CCTAACCCTAACCCTAACCCTAACCCTAACCCTAACCCTAACCCTAACCCTAACCCTAACCCTAACCCTAACCCTAACCCTAACCCTAACCCTAACCCTAACCCTAACCCTAACCCTAACCCTAACCCTAACCCTTTTAGTATTTATTACTTTTTATTTAATCTTTATATTTTTTTATATTAAGCTATTTATAATATTAAATACTAAACCTTATTATAATTTTTATTAAATAATAAACCTTATTATAATACCTTATCGTTTTATAATAAAATAATAAAACCTTTTTAAAATTAAATTTATATCCTTTTTTTTTATTTTCTTACTAGTCTTTTTTATTTTAACCTTAAAAATATTAATAACATCTATAAATAAATTTTTTAATAATATTTACCCCCTGTCTTTATTAACATATTTTCAGTTTTAGTAAGAATCTTTAATGCGGTCTAATAGATATTATCGCTAAATAAAAATAAGAATCTTTAATACGGTCTAATAGATATTATCGCTAAATAAGAATAAGAATTAATATCTACTATATTACTAAACCGATTAATAATCTATATTATTTTTATAGATATAAATAGCTTAGTAAAAAGGTTAATATATCTTCTATTAATAGCTTAAATAGTAAGGATATCCTTATTTTCTTAGGTAGTTAATAGCTTTTCCTTCTTAATTAGAAAGCCTACCTTTACTTTAAAACTATTTAGTAACTAATTAGATAATTAGACCTACTTTACCTTAAAAAGCTCTTTAGATTTACTTAGGCTAGATATTAATTATAAAAAAGGTAATCTAATATAATCTTAATTATAAGGTAGGTTTAATAATAAGGCTATACTAAATAGAATAATAAGCTAAAGGTAGTAAATTAGTAATATTCTAACCTTTTCTAGGAAAAACCGGTAGATAATCTTAAGTCTTTATATCTTAATAAGAGTTTTATAAATATTAATAATAATTATAATAAGGTCCTAGTCTATAAAGATATTTTAAAGTCTATTAATAGTAATATTAATATACCTTAGGGTTAAGATTTTAGTAAATTAAGCTAGGAGGCTAGTAATAAGGTATATAAAAAAGAAAAGGTACTTAAATAACTAATTAACTAGTTTTAGGTAATTAAATAACACTTTAATATTTAGAATAAGATAGGTACCGGCAGAGAAGGGATATTACTTAGCCTTTAAATCGGGATAATTAATAATAATAAATAATAGCCAGTTTTTATTACTATTTATAGTAGTAAATAGGCTATTAATAATAAAAAAACCTATTTAGTTTTAGTTAATATAAAACTATAATCTAGCCTATAGAATAAGAGGAATGGCAGTTAGTTAAGTGTCTTTAATAGGGTTAAATAGCTAAAATAAAAGGTTATAATAGAGGATATAGTATGTATTTATAATAGTTAACTATAAAAGTATTACCAGTAATAAAAGGGAGAGTTAAGTCTTTTTAAAAAAAAGATTAGAACCTTTTTAACTAATTAAATTAGGAGATACTATATTACTTTTAGTAGTAATTCTGTAGCTATAAAGCCTAAAGATATATTATATTAATATAGATTTAAACCTTAGTATATTATTAACTAAGAGGCTACCTATTAACTTTTAAATATATTTAGGGATATTAATAATAACCCTTATTATATCTTTAAGAGAAAAGCCTAATTTAATATTTACTTTAATTTTAGACTATTTAATTTAATAGGCTTCTTTTAAAATAAATAAATAAAATATTAATATAATACCTAAAAGCCAGGGTGTAAATATATTAAAGCTATATTAAGACCTATTAAATATAATACTTAATACGGTAAGGAAAGAGACTATAATACTATTATACTTTAAGTTTTTAATTAGCTAGCTAAGTATAATAATAAAAAGGCTAAGTATAGTATCTTTTAGCTTTTCTATTAAGTTAGCTATTATTTAATTAAATAGATCCCCCTTAATAGTTATTTACTAGTTAATAGTAGCTTTAATACGATTTATTATAGTTTAATATATAAACTTAAGCCGATTTATAAGTATAAAGGGTGGCCTATTATCTAGATCTTTATAATTAAGGTAATAAAGAGTATATATAATAAGCTATTTAGTTATATTAATATACCGTTTTTTAGTCTTTACCTTATAGTTAAATATAAAAAGTTTAAAGGCTATAAGATAGTATGAGACTTAAGTGATATTAAGTCTAGCCGTAAAGGGGATTTCTTAATAATATATAAAACCCCTAGTCTTTAATACTAGCTAATTAAGTACTTTAAAGATTAATATGTAAAGAAATTAGTTATTATTATTATTATATTAATTATTAGGTTAATCTTTAGGTTAATTATTAAGTATAGGACCTATTTTTATATTAAGAGAAATAAGACTATATAGAAAGTCCTTATTATTAATAAAGTCCTTTAAGTATATAGCTAAGCCTATTCTATCGACCTATAAGGAAGGTTATAAAAACTGGTTAGGTTACTTTATTATATTTACTTCTTTTTAATAGGTTTAATAGTATATTATAAAGTACTATATAAACCTTTCTTTTTAATTAAATAGTTACTTAGGTTATAAAAATAGATTAACCTTAAAGTACTTACTATAAGGTCCTTATTAAAATAGGTATTAATAATAGACCTATATTTAAAAGTATAGGCTAGATAATATTACTTTTCCTTTTATAGGTCTACCTTTCTTCTTAATATAACTTATATCGTAATAAATATCCTATAAGTAGTAGTTTATTTTATATTAAGAGGTATAGACCTGTAAATAAGATAGCTTAAATATATATTTAAATCTATTAGAGTATAGGCTATTAAGTTATTAAATAGGTAGCCTAAGGGGTATTAAGAAAGGTAGTTTAATAAGGTTCTTTTAATTTTATATAGGATTTAATTATTATACCTTTATATATAATTCCTCGGTTTTAATATTACTTATTTAAAGATTATAAAGGAAATTATAGAGATATTACTATATATTATTACTTAATTTTATTCTATTATAGGTTTTATAAATTAAAATCTTTAAAAAAGGTAGGTAATAAAAGTAATTTATAATCTAGTAGTTTTTAATAGGCTATAGGTAAAAGGTATAATATTAAATTAGATAGTCTATTTATATAAAAAGGTAAAAAAAGAAAATAATAAAGAAAAGAAAAAAAAAAGGAAAAAAAAAATATAGGCAGGAAGGTATTACCCCTCCCTTATTAATTTATTTATACTTTTTTATAAAAATAATTATTAGGTTTTAAATAAAATAGCTAGAGAGGTAGTATTATATTACTTATTATATCCTATAAAAGGTAGGAACTATATAATTAGGTAATTAAAAATATTTACTAAGACTTATAAAGTAAACTAGCTAGTATTATAATAATTTATTAAATATAATATATAAAAAGGTTATTATATTAAAATATATTATATTAAAGTAATAATATTAATATTTAATTTTATATATACTATATAACTTTATTTTAAATCTTTACTATATAATTTAATATTTTTATACTTTTTTAATTAATAAAAAACTAACTTCTTAAAAATATAGACTAGTTATTAATAAATATAGGCTAGGAATTAAATATAGGCTAGTTATTAATTTAAATATAAACTAGCTATTAGTCTCTTAAATAAATTAAATATAGGTAGGTCTAGTCTATATTTATAAAAGGTCTAATTTATAAAGTATTTAATTAGATATTACTAATAGTAGGTAATAAAATTATAAAAATATTAAGCTATTTTAGGTAATTTACCTTACTAAGGTTAATTATATTAAAATCTAGTCTATTTAATAAATAATTTAACCTTAAATTCTATAGAAAGCTTATTACTATTTTAATAAGTATTACTATATAATCTAATACTTACGTAAAGTTATTAAGACTTTTAAAGCTTTACGATCGGTAGAATACTAACTTCTGTAAAATATAGGCTGGCTATTAATTTAAATATAGGCTGGTAAGCTAGCTATTAGCGTTATACTAGTCTCTTATATAAATTAAACGTAGGTAAGTCTAGCCTATGAATATAATTACTCTAAGGGATAGCTTTATAGATTATTTATGCTTATAGGATGTCTGTAATACTATTATATTGGACTAATTGCCCAGCTGATTCTGTACTTCAATAGGGAAGGACGGTTGTCTGTGTCCACTGTTTTAATGTCTCGATTATGCTATTCTAAGGAAATAACCTCCTTTGCACAGTCACAACGAGACATTCCGCAAACGCTGTTGGTAGCGCCAAGTCTAGAAATAGCAAGCCATACTAAAACAGGTAAAGCTTAAATTTACACACCAGAGGCCTAAATCCAGTGGGAATAGTGATCTGACTCTTATTGGTAGGGGGTGGCTTGTTGTGGGGTCACTGACAGTAAGATCCATCAAATTATCCACTGCAATCCAGTCTTCCTTCCTGGCTCGGCGATGCGGGGTTGCTCGCTAAGAAACACCGAGGGTATTGCACAGGCCCCTGTTTACTGGACTGTGTTTTGTTTATACATCCTTCTCGTTAACCAAACATGAGCTTCAATCGACAAAGAGTAGCCTTGGCCTGTACCTACTGCCGCTATCGGTAAGCTACATGTCGTCAAACACCATCTTCAAGTTCTTACACATGCGACACTAGAAAAAGGCGATGTGACGCGGCGAAACCGAGATGCAATAATTGCATCAGGTCAGAAGCAGACTGCCATTATGACGATGGACCGTCGCAGAGGTACCAGCGTGATATGACTTGTCTCAATCTAGTGGCTGATGCTTGTGTATTAGGATTGATACCTCTGGAGGCACTAAGGAAATAATAAGTCGGCTGAAAGACATTAGAGACATACTCAATGAGCAACATCAGCATTTAGCTGTCTTATCGTCCCTGGACCCTTCTCAGTCAGTTTCTGGAGCCGACTTGTTGACTAGCGTTATATCCAATGCAAACGACGCATTACCCTCATATACCTCTACACATGACGCGCAAGCGATGGCTGCCGAGTCTCCGCGATTCCCCTCTCATGTAGAAAAGTCGTCGGATGCAATTACTTCTGAACCGATGAACATCCCGGTTGAGCACAAGACATCGTCGAGTTACCTACTGGGCCTTCCTGCCATACGAATGCTGATTGGCGAGTATCCGGAAAACCTGTTCTTTTTGTTAGAAAGCCAGAGTCCTTTACCATCGGAGCTGTCTCCAGAGCAGTGTCAGGATTCTCTACCACCGTTCCAAATAGACCGCCCATTGCTTGACCACCTAGTCACTCTCTTCTTCTCGTTGGTACACTCCAGTCATCCAGTACTTGATCAAGCAGAGTTCACAAAAATCTACGAACGCTTCTTGGAGAAGGGACCAGACTCGAGCACTGAGTCGGCTTTATGTATGACAGTTTTTGCTCTTGGTGCTGTGTCCAGTTCGCCAGAAGTATCATGCGATAGCCAATGCTCTCCCAGTGGTACTGAGTACATGAAATACGCTCTACCGACGCTCATGATCCGTTCGTTATGGCTGTTTTCCTTCGATCTTGCCCTCGCTCAAGCACTCGTTTTGGCGAGTGTCTATTTTGCATATATTGTTCGCCCGCTTCATAGCTGGCGACTTATATACTTGGCAACCAACCTTCTACAACTCAAGCTGTCAAAGTAAGTTGATCCAAATTGACCAATCATTCCTTTCTAATATGATAACTAGTTTGGACTGCCAAAAGCAGGCCCTCAATACAGAAGGAGCGATTCTGCGACTATTCTGGTCTTGCTTTATCATCGAGTGTGACAGGCTTGCAGAGCTGGAATTACCTCGAAGCAGTCTTCAGCAATTAACAGATGACGCAAATCTGCCCAGATGTGAGAACCTAGATGGTATGCACATGACAGCATATCTGGCCGAGATATCTATCCGGAGGCTTCTAAACCGCATACATAACTCTCTGTATCCAAGGAAACCGAGCTTTCCCAACACCTCTCTTTCTTCAACGTCGTTAATGGCACCAGACGAATTTTCTCTAGAAGACCTATCTTCGATGACTTCTGTCTGCGAAGAACTACATAGTCAACTCGATCTCTGGTATACAGCCATTCCCGAGCAATTCCGGCCACCGCTCAGTCTTGAGGAATTAGACAATGACAGGATATCTATCTTAAGAATTCGTTACTATGCTGCGAGACATATCATTTATCGCCCTTTCGTTCTATATCTTACAATACATAGTCAATCACAGGCGTCAAGTACAATTATCGAGAAGGCGCGTATATGCATCGAGAGTTGCAGGTTATACCTCTACCATACTTCAAAAATACTTCGAGGACCAAGTCAATATACGTGGACCTTTGCGCTTTCGTAAGTATCCTACTATCATGCTTCAATTATTACTAAATCACCAACCTAGGTCGCTCGGTGCTGTAATTATGCTGACACTATCATGGCTTAATACGGAACTACGGTTCTTTGTTCCTGACGTGGACAGCCTACAAAGTCTGGCTATTGATAACCTCAGCCGTTGGAATGTTTCGAGTATTTCTGATGTGTTGGCAATACTTGAGGAGATAAGGAGGAAGACACGTCTTCGATCGCGAGTATAAGCGATCGGTAACCCTTCGTAGCTCGGTTTAAGGAAATAATGCCAATTGAATCCTATAGCTCTACGGGAATGACAGATGTGATACGATACGAGCTGATTTAAATCTTATAGCTCGCCACCTGTGGGCTGTGCGATTATCTGCAACCCGATTTCAGATGTCCAGAACCTGCCATCAGGATATGTATACTTCTCGATCGCCTCATCGGTGTAACCAGTAGAGTAGCCAGGCGACAGCGGTGTGACATAGTGAGTATTGACAATCTTGGACGGGTGCCGCAAGTTCTCGCGGTGGCTATCGGCATTCTCCAACATTGACTTGCGTCCACTAATAGCAACATAGTCAATCGTGCTAAGATGTGAGGTGAGTTCTGTCAAGCCCATTGCACCGTTGTGTGGAACGCAAGGAACGTTGAACTTCAGAGCCATCAACATGACAGCCTAGAACCGAGATGATTAGCCAGGGACTCAATGTTATGATAACCCTGCATTTGTAGACTTACAAGACATTCATTCACGCTTCCAAGTCTAACAGCATCGATTTGGGCAACGTCGGTTGCTTCAGCTTGTAACAACTGCTTGAAAGTGACTCGGTTTTGTGCTGCTTCCCCTGTGGCAACACCAACACCATACGGCTTCAGGGCCTTACGGATCGCGGCGTGACCCAGCACATCGTCTGGGTTTGTGGGCTCTACAGAATATCAATAACACAGCTCTTGTGGGTTGGGACAAGGCGAGGTATACCTTCAATAAAGACTGGCTTGAACTCAACAAGGTGTTTCATGTACTCGATAGCCTCAGGCACGCTCCAAACCTATCATGTAATGTCAATGGTTGTTAATAACAGATGGCACAACCACTTACCTGGTTCGCATCGATCATAATCTGGTATTCATCACCGTAGCCCAAGACGTTCCTCACAGCAGAGAGTCTTGCTCTATCAGCTTCGACGCTGGTTCCAACCTTGAACTTGAAAACCTTGTATCCCTGGGCCATTGTCTCGAGCAAGACCTCCTTCATTCTGTCACCCGAGAATGCCAACCATCCCGCTGACGTTGTATATGCTGGTACGGCAACATTGTCAAACGCCTCCTGCAAGCGTTCACCCTTGCCTTTGGCCGTTACTCTAAGCATACTGATAGCTTCGTCAGGAGTGATCGCGTCCGTGATATACCTGAAGTCAATACTGCGGACGATCTCCTCGGGACTCATCTCGCACACAATCTGCCAAACTGGGAGGCCTAGGATTTTGCCCCACAGATCCCAAACAGCATTTAGCACACCAGCAACAGCCAGATGAGTGACGCTCTTTTCAGGACCGATCCACCTATACTGTGAGTCAGAGACCATATAACGCCAGGTCTTGCCCATATCGCGAGTTAGCTCGTGCATTGTCTTTCCCACTACCCGTTTCGCAAAGATGTTTAAAGCCATGCAAATGAGTTCACTTCCTCGGCCATTGCTGAAGGCCTTTCTTGTCATTAGCAGTGGTCCTACTTCTGTTGAGTACGGTTTGACTGACAATACCTTCCCCCATCAGCCCACCGTGGTTGGTATGGAGTTGGAGGTATGGGTGTGATCCATTTGTACCGACGTGCATGGCGTCGGAGCCAACTCCGTCGAGACTGGTGGGAAATCTAATATCGGTAACTGTAAAGCTGGTGATGGTGACATCGCCAACCTCCAAGGGCATCTTTGATGAAGGCATTATGAGGGTGTAGCCAGGAGAAAAAGAGCAAAAGGTTTTGAGAGTTAAAGTTTCGGACCTACGATTCGACTTACACAATGCAGTAGAAATGATTAAGGGCTTTTTAAGGAGACTGCGGGACTGCGGGCCTGCAGGATTGCCCCCTCACTAGAAGTCGAACTCACGCAGCCTAGGATTTAACTGGAAATAAACCTTTTCACCTTTTGTAGACGCGGGCCTATCTGCCGACTACCCCCACCCCTGTGGCAACCACCTGACGAGTGAAATGTACGTACGGAGCAGTACAGCAAGCAATAGCGACAATCACGTTGAATGGCGTTGAAGTTTGAGCCCAGACTGAGTTTAGCCAAATGCCGCCTATCCCCGCCTTGTCGGCCTATTGCCACCCTAGCGTCCTCTGCTGGTTATCCCCGCCCAATTGCATCGATCACACAACCGAGCTGAACTTAGGCGAGCTAGGGGGTGAAATAAGACTTCGGACGTGAGAAATTAAGTAGATATAGACGTCTGATGCTTTATTTCGCCCCGAGGGCGAGTTCGGGTTCATCAAGGGCAGCGTTCCCGTATTCCAATTCTTGTCTCATAATAAAAGTTAAGACACTTATACAGCCAGATCAACTCTCAGTAGTTTGGCTTAGCATCTTTAACATATTATTACTTAGTTTCTACACCTTCAAATATTTATCCTGCTATGGGAGGATATGAAATAGCTGTTCTGTTGTATTATTTTATCATTATTGATTTATACAAATTATAATAGCCTCCTGCAATACAGACATATTTGAGGTGTGTCAAGTCTTTATACGACCCCGTAGTCTATCTGTAACAGGTCATGATCCTGATACTCCATCCGGTTTACCCACACAAATCTACACATTCAGGACGAAGACATTGTTTTCGCCTGTGTAATCAAGTCTACAACAGTCTGCGAAAAAGGCTTGTACTCCAGACCAAGATCCTTCCCTGCTGTTTCCCCGTCCACACCGTGAGATTCATCAGCAGCTTGTACCTCTCTCGATACCTTGTCTGCTGCCCAGTCAAAATGGTTTCTAATGATATTAGAGGCTTTTCCGTATGTGAATCTCTCTGGTGACGCCGGAATGTATCGCTTGCCGCCAGTTTCAGGCCGGAAAAGTGCCTCGACGTGAGCTTTTGCAAGGTCGCGAACATCAATCCAAAAGGGCACGCGAGCAACCGGGAGTGGACTTTCGCCACTGGCTATTTTCCAGAGCATCTTGTTAGACTCGTTCAGTGCATCGACATTTGCAACGGGATGCTTTATTGGGCCGAATGTCATGGGTGGGCAGAGCGTAACCAGATCGAAAGACGGCTTTTGTTTAGCAACGAACTCCCAAGCCTTGAGTTCTGCAAACTTTTTAGATCCGCGGTATGCGATCACCGCGCTGGTTTCGGGGTCTATTGAATCTTGATAGGACTGAGGGTTCCAATCGTCGCCAGTATAAGTAAAGTATGGTGGTGCCTTTCGCCCAACATCGAGGACAGATGCAAAGGAGGATGTTATAACGACGCGTCTTACCTTGGACGAGCTAGCCGCCGCCTCAAGGATGGACTCTACGCCATTGATCGCCGGTATAATCAATTCTTTTTCGTTGCTGACTGTGTCATATGTGAAAGGCTAGGTGAAGTCAGTATCTGCGCAATACGCTAGCACGAACCTTGATAGACGCACGCTCGCGATGTGAATGACAGCATCAATATCTTGAATGGCATCGACGAATCCTCCTGGCTTCTCAAAGTCGTGGCTCTGGAAGAAATCAAGCTCTTCTTGAAACTGGGGCCTTGCCTCAATCATGGCCTTCCCTTTAGATATAGATCGAGTAGTGCCGCGTACTTTGAGACCACGCGACAGCAGTTCGTCGACAACGTGTGCGCCTATGAACCCAGTGGCACCAGTCACCAAGACATACTGACTGGGGAGCCACTGTCAGTATCAGGCGATAAATTATGTCACGCAGGGTTTCAACATACATTTTTGGTAGGGAATTCATGCCAAAAAAAGACCTGAAAAGTGAATATGGGTGAGAAAGTGCGACAAGAGAAATCAGCCTCTGTTATTTACAGAGTACACAATTTGCATCTATAATCCCTCTCCACACACAGCTTCGGGACAGCCCTGTGAGTTCATATGGAACTAATCATGCCTTTGTTTGTTGAGATGTGCCACGCGCGATAGTCCAAGGCGGGCCCTCGGCCGCCTACACCCGCTCACTTTCTGATGACTGAAGACTGTGATGCCTGCCACTCAGGTTGTACCCACGCACTGCCGCCTACACCCGCCGCTAAGAGCCACTCAACACACCATGACTAAAGCTAGCCTAACTCGCGTCGAAACCCCTGAGATTACCTTGAATTCCTCACTGATGGGCAGCCAGGCAGCCTACTACCCTGGTATGATTAACCGTGTGACACATCTCCGCTCCTCAACACCAGCCAATTAAGTGTTCCGTCAGCTTCCCCGCACAGCTTCCATTAGCGCATCCCAGAGGCCACGACCCCATGGGGTTCCCCAGACCCGAGCGGTTGGCAACCGAAAAGCACCTGCACCTCATGTCAAGATCAAGTCCACGCAGTTATAAAGAGGCAACAGTTACCGTTGTATGTGACACTTGCCCTTATTATCATACTCAAAGTTCATTGATAGTCATCCTCTCAAAATTGTTCTTGCCCAATACCAACCCGCAATGGCCTTGAGCAATATTAGTGGCACGCCACTTCTCGTGTGCGTAACACTTGTCAATGCCAGTTAGTTCGACAGTCACGCTGCGAAAGATTCGATACTGATGCATCTTCACAGTTTCTATGTCATGGTTTGGTTACGACCAGGTAAATTAGTCCATGTACTGCCTTGCCCAGAAAATAGCTGATGGGCCATGCACCAGGGTGTTTTCTCGGGAGTCCTTATCTCGGCCGATTTCAAGTTTTGGTTTCCTGAGACCAAGGTCGCGAGTATCTCCGGCATTGTTTCTAGTTGCTTTGCAGTAAGTCGACACGCCATCCTCAAACAAGTGCAAATATTCAACTCCATTGCCAGTTAGGTGCCTTCTTTGGAGCAATCTTCGCCTTTGTCTGTGGTGACAAGCTAGGCCGTAAGAAAACCATCTGGGTTGGTGTATTGACCAATCTCATCGGCGCTGTTCTTCAGATAGCCTCGTGGCATCTTCCGCAGATGATAATCGGTCGTGTCATCAACGGTTTCGGAATGGGTATGTCTCGAATGGCCACCTTTTACATTCAATCCGCTTTCCAATCTAACAGCTTCTTTCACAGGCGTCTCTTCCTCAACCTGTCCAGTATATCAGGCCGAGTGCTCAAAACCTCGAGTTCGTGGAAAGCTTGTTGTCGTACAATCGCTCTGCAATACCGCCGCCTTTTGCCTCGCCAATTGGATGAATTACGCCCTCGCCGTTCGAGGTGGACCTTTACAGTGGCGTTTTCCCCTCGGCTTTCAACTCCTATTCCCATGTGTCATCGGAGTTGCCCTCCTGTTTGTTCCTGACTCGCCGAGATGGCTGATGCTTAGGGACCGACATGAAGAGGCTCTTCATGTAATAGCACGGCTCGCTGGTAGGAACGTGGGTACTGATGATCCGGATGTCGTGGCCGAATTCAGGTCAATTCAAGCCACGATTGAACAAGAGCGCCAGGAGACTGTATCCACGTTTGATATGCTCCGATGCCGCGACAAGACTCAGAATCTTCGCAGGATCCTACTCTCGTGCGGTACACAGTTCATGCAGCAGTTTTCAGGGGTAAATGCTCTCGGCTACTACCTCCCTACCATGCTACAGCAGGTGCTTGGCTATAGTGAGCGCCGAAGTCGCCTTCTCACCGGTGTTAATGGCACTATCTACCTGTTCTCTGCAATTTGCTGTCTATTTATTATTGACCGCTTTGGCCGCCGAAAGTACGCATCCACCAATCATATGACTGACCTGTTGACATACTGACACTATTAGAATGATGCTGTACGGTTCAGCGACAATGGGCTCCTGCTACCTAATCGTTTCTATGACTTTACTCGCAGCCAAACATCACCCGAGCATCAAGCAAAGAGTATGTAAAAGGATGCAGTCACGTTCAAACTTACAGTACACCGCTCACACTTTCCATAGCTTGGTGAGGTTACTACTGCCTTCTTCTTTATTTACTACTTCTTCTATGGCACCAGCTTTGCCAAAGTGCCTTGGGTGTTCAACTCGGAAGTCAACTCTCTCGGTTGGCGCACACGGGGAGCTGCCGCGGCCACTGCCACGAACTGGATGGGTGGCTTCATCGTGACTCAGTTCACTAAAACTGGAGTTGACAATCTTAATTGGGGTTTCTTTCTTTGTGAGTCGCTCGGCACTGCTGTCATTGTGCAGACAAAATGCTAACCACAAATAGTATTTGCTTGCTTTTGCTACTCTTACTTCCCTGTAGTGTTTTGTCTCTACCCCGAAACCTCTCGTCGTACACTCGAAGATATGGACCAGATCTTTATTCAAAATCCGGGGCTGATCGTTTGCCGCATTCCAGAACTCACGCAACGAGAGCGTCCCCAGAGTTTGGTTAATCTTGAGCAGGAGCGGGTGGAGAAGGCAAAGGTGGCTCATGTGGATTAGTTGAGCTTGATTTCTCAGAATCGATGTGTACCACAGTAGACAATGTGGCTTTAATAGTCATTTGACTACCAACGTTAAATACCAGCTGGGTTTTATAATGGCTTGGTAGAGGTTTAAAATATTTCTTATTTCTTATGCAATGAGTCTAATAGTAGTACATTGAAAACCCGATTTCAACACCGTTCAGCGCATAAATAGTAACTTTGGATTTTTTTGATGTCGTTGGAGCTGGTCTTCGGTCCGAAGATAAAGCTACGCTTGCGCCACGTCTACCAGTGATTGACTTGAACTAGGACCTGTGACTTTTCATATCCCTGCTTTTAGACTGATTTAATGTCTACGAATGTTTCATAGAGGCAAAGCATATATCCAACAGCCTTAAATATATATTCGTACTATGTATAGATTGTAAAGGTATTGGTCTTTTAAGATAATTATCGGTAGTTACCCATAGTATAAGACATAAATAGTATGGATATTGAACGAGAGGAGAGGTTAGAGCAACCTAGGGCTTCTCACAGGGAGCGTCGACAAGTCACTTCGCTTAAAGTTTAGGACCACTGCTAACTAGACCATCGATCTTAAACGTTACGGCCTTCTTCTAAGTATAAATCTTATTAGCAGGACCATTTCTATAGCTATTATCGTAGACAGTAAGGATATCTTTACCTCTATAGAGATCGGTATAACTAGAGGTTAGTTAATATTAAATAGTAAAGAGTAGATTATATTATATAGATATATAAATCTTTAATATTATAGTAAATTATAACCTTAAAGTTTATACTATATTTATTAGGCCAGAATAAGAAAGTATAGTTAGACTTTCTATATTTATAGATCTTAATAGGCTTAGGAAAAGGGAAGTCTTTAATAAAGTATCTAAGACCTTTAGTATTAATGCCGTTAATCTTAAATAAAATACTCTTAATTATATTACCGATAGGGCTTTCTTATTAATAAATTAAAAGTTTAAATAGTATTATAGTCTCTTTATTATTAATAATAAAGCCAATAATAAAGGCGGTAAAGGTAATAAAGATTACTATATATATCTTAAAGGTTTATTAAAAAGGTTAAAGTATTATTAATAATATTACTTAGTTTATATATTGAAAAATACTTTTTTAATAGTAAAGGTAATTAATATTAATAGTTTATATAATATAAAAGGGGATATTATTTTATATAAGATATGGCTTTTTATATAAATAAGTAAGAAAGATTAAACTACTATATAGTTATATATTAACTTTACTACCTATAAAGGAAATAGCTAAATATATTTAGGTAATTACTAGCTTTTTTACCTATTATAGTATTAGCCTAAATAATATTTACTTATAAAGAAAAATTAAGTCTTAACTAGCTATATATAAGTATAATAAAGTTAAAGACTAAAAAACTATTTATATATATCTCTAGAGCTTAATATATATAAAGCTTTAATAATAAAGTCTTTTAAGGAAAAGACCTTTAGGGTTAATTTTATAACTAACCTAACTTAAGTTAATAATAGCTTAGTTATATAGTATATTAAGCCTAATAATACGGTATTATAATTATTTATATTATCCTTAGTAAACCTATAAAATCTATTTTATATAATATGGTATTTTTATCCTTAAAGATAAAATTTTAGTTATATAACTTTCTTAGATATAATAAAAGACTAGATAGTATATTATTCTTATAAAGAAGGTATAGAATAGAATGGCTTATATTTCTAACTATAGGTTAACTTTTTTTTATAATAGGTATAGAAGATAATAGGCTATAGATTAATAAGCTAGTTATAGTAATATACTAGCTATTATAGGGAATTCCTATATATAAAACTAAGCTAAATCTTAAATAGACCTTAATAGGTTAATAGGTTAGGTACTATTAATCTATATAAAATAAGAGGTTTTTATATATAATATATCTTTTTATTTTATTACTTTTAGGAATTAAACACTTTATAATATTATTATTATATTTAATAGTAAGGTTTAAGTATATATAAGAATTAAAATAAATTAATTACCTTATAATATAGAGAGAAGATCTTCCCTTATTTCTTAAATACCTAGCTATATTTTACCTTAAATAGGCAAATTAGCTATAACTTGGCCTATAGTAATATAGTTTTCCGGGCTAGTTATCTCCAGTCCGTTTAATACTAAGGTAATAAATAATAAAATATAGTATTTATTATATAGGATCTACTTAAAAGTCTTAAGGAACCTTTATTAATTATTTATCTTTATTATTTTAAACCTTATATTATTTATATTCTTATTAAAATCCTTTCTTTAGTAATAGAAAAAAAGATAATATTATTACTAGGTAATTTTAATTACTTTTACTTCCTATTTAAAGATATTACTTTTAATAGCTAGCTTTATTATTAATTAAATAATTATTAAATCTAGTTTATTATTATTAATAGTTTAATTAAAATAATACTCTTTATTAATATTAATAACATTTTTACTAAAGGTAATATTAAGAATCTTTTAATTAATTTTATTTTTTATTTTTATATTCTTACCTTAATTAATAATTTAATTACTAAAATAAGTATATATATACCTATTACCAGTAATTTTATTAATCTTATTAATTATTAGGTAGATAATATATTAAGCTTTATTATAGATTAGAATTTCTTTTTTTATAAGGTATTAATTATCCCTTTTAAAATTATTATATTAATATCTATTATTACTTTTTAAAACTTAAATACTTTTAATTTAGGCTTAATAATTAATATTTATACTATAGTTATTATTATATATATATAAATCGGTATTAAACTGTAATTAATTATATTCTTAATTAACTTTTTATTCTAGTCTTATTAATATTCTTATAGTTAGATTTTATAATAAGGCCGAATTTTAGCTTTTAGAAGGTAAGTTACTATTAATCTTTATCTTTTTTACCTTTACCTTTATTACTATATATAATAGTAACCTTACCTATAATACCTATGGCTTTTAGCACTTCCGGGACTATTATTAACTAGGCTATTAATCTTAAATAATATAGCCTTTTTTTAAGTATAAATCTTATTAATAAGATTACTTCCCTAGCTATTATTATAAATAATAAGGATATCTTTATCTTTATAGAGATTAATATAACTAAAGGTTAATTAATATTAAGTAATAAAGAATATATAGTATTATATAGATATATAAATCTTTAATATTATAGTAAATTATAACCTAGAAGTTTATATTATATTTATTAAGCTAAAATAAAAAAGTATAATTAAAGTTTTTATATTTATAAATCTTAATAGGCTTAAGGAAAGGAAATTCTTTAATAAAGTATTTAAGACCTTTAGTATTAATGTTATTAATCTTAAATAAGATACTCTTAATTATATTATTAATAAGGCTTCTTTATTAATAAATTAAAAGTTTAAATAGTATTACTATCTTACCTTTAGTAATAAAGCTAATAATAAAGGCAGTAAAAGTAATAAAGACTATAATATATATCTTAAAGCTTTATTAAAAGGTTAAAATATTATTAATAATATTACTTAGGTTATATATTAAAGAATGCTTTTTTAATAATAAAGGCGGTTAATATTACTAATTTATATAAAATAAAAAAGGATATTATTTTATATAAGATATAGCTTTTTATATATATAAATAAAAAGGAATAAACTATTATATAGTTATATATTAACTTTACCGTTTATAAAGGAAATAGCTAAATTTATTTAGGTAACTATTAATCTCTTTATTTATTATAATATAAACTTAAAAAATATTTACTTAAAAAGAAAAATTAACTTTTAACTAGCTATATATAAATATAATAAAATCTAGGACTAAAAAACTATCTATATATTTCTCTAGAACTTAAGTTATATAAAACTTTATTAATAAAGTCTCTTAAGGGGTAAATTCTTATAAGTAGTTTTATAATTAACCTAACTTAAGTTAATAATAGCTTAATTATATAGTATTTTAAGCCTAATAATACAGTACTATAATTATCTTTATTATTTTTATTAAACCTATAAAATCCGTTTTATATAATATGGCTTTTTTATCCCTAAAGATAAAATTTTAACTATATAACTTTACTAAATATAATAAAAGACTAGACGGTATATTATTCTTATAAAAAAGGGGTAGAATAGAATGGCTCTTACCTTTAACTATAGATCGACTCTTAAAGATATATAATAGGTATTAAAGAGAATAGGCTATAAATTAATAAGCTAGGTATAGTAATATATTAATTATTATAGGGAATCCCTATATATAAATCCTAAGCTTAATCTTAAATAGACCTTAGTAGGTTAATAGGTTAGGTACTATTAATCTATATTAAATATATAATATACCCTTTTATCTTATTAATATTAAGAATTAAATATTTTATAATATTATCGATTTATTTAATAATATTACTTAAGTATATATATAAATTAAAATAAACTAATTACCTTATAATATAGAAAGAAGATTTTCCCTCGGTTCTTAAATACCTAGCTATACTTTACCTTAAATAGGTAAATTAGCTATAACTTAGCCTATAGTAGTATAGTTTTCCAGGCTAGTTATTTTAATCTACTTAATATTAAGGTAATAAATAATAAGATATAGTATTTATTATATAGGATCTATTTAAAAGTCTTAAAAAACCTTTATTAATTATTTATCTTTACTATTTTAAACCTTATATTATTTATATTCTTATTAAAGTCCTCTCTTTAGTAATAAAAAAAAAGATAATACTACTATTAGGTAACTTTAATTATTTTTACTTCCTATCTAAAGATATTACTTTTAATAGCTAGCTTTATTATTAATTAAATAATTATTAAATCTAGCTTATTATTACTAATAGTTTAATTAAAATAATACTTTTTATTAATATTAATAATATCCTTACTAAAGGTAGCGTTAAGAATCTTTTAATTAGCTTTACCTTTTATTTCTATATTTTTATACTAATTAATAATTTAATTACTAAAATAAATATATATATACCTATTACCGGCGGCTTTATTAATCTTACTAGTTATTAAGTAGATAATACGCTAGGCTTTATTATAGATTAGAATATTTTTTTTTATAAGGTATTAATTATCCCTTTTAAAATTATTACGTTAATATCTATTATTACTTTTTAGGACTTAAATACTCTCAATCTAGGCCTAATAGCCAGTATTTATACTATAGTTATTACTATATATATATAAGTCGGTACTAAACTGCAATTAGTTATATTCTTAACTAACTTCTTATTCCAGTCTTATTAATATTCTTATAGTTAGATTTTATAGTAAGGCCGAATTCTGGCTTTTAGGAGGTAAGTTATTATTAATTTTTATCCTTTTTGCCTTTACCTTTATTACTATATACAGTAGTAACCTTACCTACGATGCCTATGGCTTTCGGCACTTTATAAGTAGTACATTCTTGACCTACCTAAGCACTGGAGCCCTCGGGCATTTAGAAGGGTTTCTCGCGGCTTTATTTACCGCCGGATTTACTATTGTCGGCCCTGAGTACATCTCAATGGTGTCAGCCGAAGCGCAGCATCCAAGCGTTTATATCAAAAATGCGTTCAAAACCGTTTACTACCGGTTCTGCATATTTTTCGTCTTCAGCGCTCTAGCTGTGGGTATCGTATGTGCACACGACGACCCCAAGCTCACTGAAATCTATTTTGGTGAAGGTGGTGCTGGGAACGCTGCTTCATCACCTTACGTCATTGCAATGCAGAATCTGAGTATTACTGGTTTGCCTCATGTGGTGAACTTCTTGGTCTTTACCTCGATCTTTTCTGCCGGCAATACTTATTGCTATGCAGCTACTCGAGCTCTCTATTCACTTGCGCTTGCCGGTCGTGCCCCTCACTTTCTCACTTACGTCAATTCTCGGGGAATTCCTATTTGGTGCTTTTGTGTCACGATGCTCTTCTCATTGCTCAGCTATTTACAATGCGCGAATGGATCCGCCGAGGTTCTGAATTGGCTGGTCAGTATTGTCACCGGCGGTGCCCTCATCAATTTCCTCGTTATTTCTATTACCTTCATCAACTACCATAAGGCATGCGAGGCTCAAGGCGTTGATCGCAAGACGCGACCTTACTATGGATACTTCCAACCTTACGGAGCGTACACCGCCCTGTTTATACAAACCCTCATCTGCCTGACATACGGTTATAATGCGTTCAGGCCCTGGAGTACCGAGGTATTCTTTCAGAACTACTCCATGCAGTTGGTAGCGGTTATTTTCTTTATTGGGTGGAAGTTCGGGAAGAAGACACGATATATCAGACCCAAAGAGGTAGACCTTATTTGGGAGCGTCCTGAGATTGACGCATATGAGGCCTCCTCCACTGACCCACTTACTGGGTTTTGGGAGGAGATGGGCCATCTTGTTGGCATTCGACAGAAGAAGAAGACTTCTCAAGCATAGGCCAGAGATGAAAGCTCCCAGTGGGTCCTGTAATGCATATGTTGGTAGATAATTGTGCAAATGCCATGCAGTGCTATGTATTTATTATCAATTATGAGATCCGTTGTCTGTCAAGTCCCTATATAATAACCGGATCTGTTGAACTTGGCAGTCTCCTCTTTTGACATGATACAACCAGAGACTTACTCCGATGGGCCTAAAACGTCATTTGCATTACACTACTCAGAAGCAAAATCGCAAGTTATTGCAGCAATTGGCAAAAGGATGGTAGACCCAAGAACAGCTTTCAATTCTATTGCAGTAGACTCGACCTCTGTAGACGACTCTACTGGGCTAACCTTTCATTGAATGTAAAGATGGAAGCAGAAGAGGGTTGTTATGAATAGCAGGGAGGATAATATGCCTGAAGTCATTAGTGCTTTGGAAATCAAATAGCTAGGTTGGCTAAGCCATTGTTAAATAATTTTCAGCTCTCAACAGCTCAAGACCTGTCTGCATTAGAAGCGAAATGAGAATAGGAGAATACCTAGTTGGGTGATTCTATGGAAACCCTAAATCTCTCAATCTAAATATATAAAACCTGTCTCGATCCTCTATCTGTATAATCTAGGGAAATCTTAAAGTGACATAACTCCCAGTTTGTTCACACTTAAGCTTCGCTTATAATATCACTTATAGGCTTCCTTTTAGCTCCTATAAGCCGGCGTTCACAGAGACTTCCACAGAATATAAAGTTAAGAACAACCAATCCACAGCCACATAAAGTCAAGATAGCTACCTTTAACAAGTTAGCATCTCCACGGAGGAAAATTTATGACAATTGCGATTTACCTTTTTTGAAGTCTTAGCACTAGAAGTATCAAAAACAGGACTTAGCAGGTGTAGAGCATATCCGGTGATAAAGAATACCCAAGAGTAGCTCATAAGCATAGTGGGACACTGCCAGAACCAGACCATTATACGGCAGACCTTTCTTTTTTTCCCGTTTCGTGCCGCTTTAGGCTTAAGGAACAGGTTAAGTGCCACCTCAAATTGTTCATTATTAAAATCCTGATCTGCTTTCTGCCGTAAATATCGGAGGAGCCTTTGATGTGCGGAGCTGATCAGGGCGAAGACTGAGAAAAACAGGCTCCAGTTCCAGAACATTTTAGTAGCCCATATTGCCTTCTCAGTTGTTGGCCAAGAAAAGACACCGATCGCGGCTCCGCCTGACAACGCTGCCTTTAATAATATAAGTGAGCTTTGAGAAGACCTCAGGGAATAGGATATCGTAATTACAGCGGTTTGGACAAACCGTAGTTCTTCTAACTTGAGCTGATGGAATTCCAGTAGGGCTCGAACTGTGCCTGCCTTGTTACCGAGATAATCCTGGTTAGATTCGATTGCCCAAGTTGGTTCCCGGGTGTGATGTTTATATGCCCCGGAGTAGGTAAAGGTAAGAAAACCGAAAATTAATTTGTGAAGTAACTGGAAGATTTTCTGCCGGTCAGCCAAAGCAAGGAAATGCCTCTTTGTTGTCTCCTTCATTTCGGTGTGATTTTCGTATCAAGTGGAATGGATGAAATTGTAATGTAGTTTAGCAGTAAAGAAAAAAAAGAAAAGTAGTTTAGCAATCTTTTCTTATATCCTTAAGAAAGTCTTTAGCACGCGGCTCAACTTTACTAAAAACCAGGTACGAGGCCTCGAGTAAGAAAGCCAGAGATTTGTCAGTCACATAGCTATCGATGGGTATGTTTAGCTATGGGAATCCTTGTGGCGAAACATTTATACACAATCCAGGCGTTGCGTCTTACGCGCTAATTTGCCTTGCGCTATCAACGTCATTCATGGCGTTTACAGCTGTTCACCGGTCGTGATCACGAGAGAAATATAATTGGTGGTTGGTTTAAGTGGCTGCCAATGTCTGACCACAGAGCCAAGACTGCCTAAGTTGTAAGCATCACCTAGACTGTTAACTGTCTAAAGTGCAGATGCACTGCCTCGGTGAGGTTTATGAACCGCATGCAATAATTGATTAAGATTATCCAGAGCCACCTCAAATCTAGTGCAGAAATAAAATTATTACCTGAAGACGTATACATTGAGCAGTGCCTCATTCATTACTTACAAGCGAGGCAGAATTGTCGGATTGCCCCCTCGGAGTATTATCTACGCAGCTGAAGTCATTCGTTCGTTCACCTTCTATTTGGCTCGGAACACACCACCAGGTTGCCACACCATTTCTCTTTGTCCAGTAATGTGTTAGATAAACCATCTCGTGGAGGCAACCACAGAAGACGTTGAATGAGTCACAGACACAGTATGCCTTCCTTAAAGCCTTGCAAAGAAATCCTTTATATAATCTGCTGTTACTGCCAGCATGATGGCGAAATACAGCCGCACTCACCGGAACAGGAACAACTAGTACGCCGATAAGTACGCATGGTAATAGAAGAATCATGGCGACCATGGCTCAACAAGATAACAACACTGGGTACCCCATCTACCTCTACACCACGCCCACATTAAATCAAAACCACTTCTATAAGAGAACAGTCGACATCATTGGACATTGGGCCATATGTATTAATGGATACTGCTACGAACTCACCAGGGTGACTCCGTCCGAGAGACAAAACTTAGGTATTCAAGGACAGTACCAGATACGATCTCTGACGGAGCAAGATTGGAAGAAGAAGAAGCGTGGCGAAGAAAGACGCATCAAGGAACGGGAGCCTGTTGGCTACACCTCCAGGCCGTGGTCTCACGAAACGATCAAGCGTATTGGTAAGCCTTGTTTTCCTCAGAGCCCCCTCTTTTACTCTTGTGTATGCACTGACAATGAATATCCACCAGCCGATCTAATCTGGAAGGGTCCTCTCCAGGGGACATACGTCTACGACAGAAACAACTGCCAAGTCTTTGTCCGTCTTCTGGTTGAGCTTGTGGGAAACAGGCAAGTTATGGTTAAATTCCCAGCGTTCTTCAACGAGAAGGTCAAAGAGGCTGGCATCGCCCGAGATATGACCTACTTCGCCATGACAGGTTTTGTTATTGGCGGTGGTTCAATGGCTGCGGGTATGAGTCTGTTGGTGACACCAGGCGATCCGACTGGAATCATGGGCGCGTGTGCTGTTGCTGCAGGCGGCGCGGCCCTTCATGCCACGAAAGAAGTATGGGAGTCTCGAATCAACAAAGATAATTTTATTTGGGCTGCTCAACAGAACTTGAGAGCAGAGCTCATGCGCGAGGGGACTCTTTGGTGATGCAGCGGTTGCTATTCATAAACCGATTTTACAATTGGGGACCAGTTCCTAAGTACTATAGAATAAGAAAAGGTCTACAGGATTACCAGTCTCTGGGACACCATTTCCTTCAAATGAGGACCTATACCAAATGAATTGTTAGACCTTTGCACTTTCCAAGCTGCCTCTACTAACTAAGCATCCTTTGCCCAGGCCTCCCACTCGTAGGCAGCTAGCATAAACGGTCCCACACCATTTTGACCATTCTCAAGCTTTGGTCTACTGACGTAGTACTGAGAAATGTTAGCCAAGCTCTGTTTGCAGTTAAGATACTTACTTCGAATGTCACATTGGAACTTGACAGGCCACACTCGGCAACAGTACTGTTGAGCACGATTGACCAATTCTCTTCATCTTCGACAAAATTGTAAGTAAGACTGAGGAATGCGTCCCTTGCCGTATCAAGATAGTCATCGCGGTCGAGATATCCCAGGTCGACAGCCTTTAACAGGCCCCACGTGAACATAGCAGAGCCGCTGCTTTCAATAAAGTTTCCCTCACGTTCAGGGTAGGGTTCATTCATTACCTGCCACCAGCTTCCTGACTCTGGGTCTCTGGATTGCTTCAATCCAAGGGCGACGGAGTTGAGGTAGCCAAGTAGTTTTTCGTAGCCGGAATGATCGACGGGAAAGAACTGTAAGACCTCCACAAGAGCCATGAAGTACCAACCAAGGGCACGTCCCCAAACATTCGGAGATCTGCCTGTCTTTGGATCAGCCCAAGATGCTGTGCCTTCGACCCATCCGTGGACATGAAGACCTGAGGATTCATTCACTGTGTTTGCATGAATGAGCTCGTACTGTAGAAGGATGTCATCCCAAGCTGTTGTGTTGTCGCGGTCATAGAGATGTGTCCACCTAGCATAAAACGAATCCGCCATATAGATCCCGTCTAGCCACATTTGGTTTCGAAAGAATTGCTGGTGCCTGTATTATAGATTAGACAATGACTGGAGGGGCGAAGATTCTTGGTTCCACTCACCAGAAGCCGCCAGAGGGAGTCCGAGGGTAAGAGTCCAGCATGTGCCTGACTGTATTGGCTGCTGTCCTATACTTCATCTCTCCAGTCTCGTTGTAGAGAAAAAGGTAGTTGTGTCCCATTCTGTACTCGTCAAGGATATACTTAGATGTGTTCAGGCCTTTAATGGTTCCATTCTCTTGCACAACAGGACCGGCTATCTGCCCGATATACCAATCTAAATATTTCTCGTCTTGGGTAAGCTCGTAGGCCTTTTCGAATCCGAGATATAAGACCGCATCCTGATATCCATGGTCGGGGGTGACTCCCTTGGCGATCATGGTGTCTGCCATCCGAGCCAGATAAGATGTTACATTTTGCGCGGTAGCAGTTCTCACCATAGTCCAAAAGAGGAACAGCTTGATAAGTCCGCTCCCCATAATCCATGAACTTGCCTGTATTTTCATTTGGAATGGGTTTTGTGTAAATCCTGCAAGCTTGGAATGAAGTTGCTAGTGTTCCTGTGTTAAGTATTTCCACTGTTGCTTATATATCTATTTACTCGTATAGCTAAAAAGGCAGGTAGTATTAAGATTAAGGTCATGTTACTAAATTTCTTGTTTCCGTAAAATGTGATTACACACTTGTGATCATGCAATGTTTCAAAGAACCTTGTCTTGATGCCTTGTGAGGTCACCAATGAGGGGAAGTAGTATTGTTGCAACCAGTTTGCAGTGAATGTCCAACCAATAAAATACAAGCAATTTGCCGAGCGCGAGAATTTGCCACCAGTAATTGTATTGTGCTTTCTTTAAGTGTGTGTGTTGTTGGTCATGGGTTGTCAAGGACAATAAGGTAGGTGCGCTCAATATCACACGGCCAGTGCCTCAAAGGAAACAAGGGTTGAGTATTTAAAGCCTCCAGGTCTTAGTAGTTACTACTATTTCTGAAAACTTCGTTCTTAATAAGACTTCGGGGAGCCCTATATAGAATAGTCTTGCTGTTATTAGTAAGGAATATAGCCTGAGGGTTATCCTTATAATCATACTTCCTAACAGTATAAAGAGATATTTATCTTCATTTATCTTCTGTTTGAGGTATACAATACTTCTGATCTTTTAGCTCGTTACACGATAATTACGATGTATTTAATCAGCCTTTTTCTTAATTAGCTACTATTGACTTGAAGGACCTTAGAAATCCACGGTCGGGTTATGATATTATATAGTGAAAAGTTATAGATTTTCATATAGATAGAATTAAACTCGTTAAGCTAGTCAAGAACTACAATTAATATAACAAATTCCATTATGCTAAAGACGTGATCATAAACGTCCGACGGCGTACACGGGTCTCAGTATATTACTCTGCTTGGTTGATATTTAGACTTTGCTAGGAGAGACCTCATGGACCTCCTTGCCATCAACAGAAGACACTCTCTCGGCCTGCTCGTTGGTCAAGATCTCCTTCTCAACAGAATCAAGTCTGACATCGGCAACAGCAGCGTTGTCGCCATCAATGACCTTGGCAACCTCTTCGAGAGTAGGTCCACGAGTCTCGACATACATGAAGTAAATGAAGAGGACTTCACCAAGGACCCAAATGGTGTAGATGAGGTACAGTCTCCAGGTGTTACCGCCGTAGAGAGAGTCCTCGTCAGGGGCCTTCCAGGCGCTGAAAGCCAGAGGGTTGAGGTAGTTGTTGAGAAGAAGCGCGATTTGAACAGAGATGTTCAAGAACATAAGACCCTTGGCACGAAGAGAGTAAGGCAGGATTTCGACAGCATAACCAATCAGAAGACCAGACCAGCAGGTAGAATAGAAGACACCGTGGAGCCAGACGAGGAAAATCATGGCATTGTTAGCTCCAGGAGCCTGGTGCTGCTCGAAAAGGCCGCAGGTGAGAGTCCAGAAGATGAGAGTAAGGAACATGCCCCCAGTGGCGAAGAGGAAGGAGAAACGACGGTTGAGACGTTCGACAAGCAAAGCGCAACCAATGGAGACAACCATATCGAGAATGGTCTTTCCGGCGGTGATGATCAAGCGCTCGTTCTCACTCGTCAAGCCAGCGTTGATGTAGAGACGGGCAGAGTAGTTAGAGACGACACCATTACCAGACCATTGAGAGAAGAGGCCGAGGGAGAAGAGAACAATAAGGCGATATCGGTTACCCTTGGTCTTGAGGAAGTCGGTGTATTTAGAGCTGTTGTCGGCAAGCTGCTCGGCCTTGATGGTGTCACGGATCTCACGGTACTCAAACTGGACAGTAGGATGGTTGACATTGCCGTTGGCGTGGTACTTGGCAAGAATGTTAAGAGCCTCATCTTGACGGTCCTTAGCGATAAGGAATCGAGGGGACTCGGGAATCCCTGGAACAATCATGTTAATGCAGCTCGAGATGCAAAGGTCAGAGGTCTTTACTTACAGAAGAGAATGACAAGCTGAATAAGACCGGGAGCTCCCTGAAGGATAGCAGGGAAACGCCACGACCAGTCGTTGCCCCAGTAGGAAGTACCGAAGCAGGTCCAAGAAACCAACAGAGATCCCATGTTCCATAGACAGTTATAAACGGTGGTAAAACGAGCACGATGCTGAGGGTGGCAAAGCTCGGCGAGAAGCATAGGAGAAGCGATCTGGGAGAATGAGTTGCCGAAACCGAGAAGGACACGGCCACCAGAGTAGGTAGCGTAATCAGGAGCTCCAGCCTGGAGACCGGAGCCAATGGCCATGAGGATGAAACCGAGTGCGATAGAAGCGCGACGGCCCCAGCGATCGGCGATCAAGGGGACAAGAGGAATTGAGGCAACCGAGCCAATCTGATAGAGGGCGACAAGAAGACCAAGTCTGCTACCTTCAGGCTTATCGAAGAAGTCGTTCCAGCTTTTGAAATTTTGTACCACTCCCATGTACATACTGTAATCGTACGAGTTGAGTCAGTTTCTGGACCATCAAGATGGTATCAGGGAGTAACATACCCGTCCCAACCAGTTCCCATGGAGGAAACACAGAGAACGCATGAATAGAATGTCAAGATCCTCAGGCCAGGGTCCTTATACCAGGTGACATGCTCAAACTTAGGCGCGTCATCACGAAGCCTTTGCGTCTTCTCGTCGACGCCGAGGCCGATAAGATCTTTGAAGCCCATGACGATCGCTCAATCAGTGGTAAATTATTAACAGAGGTTTGGATAGAGTAGATACTCTCTTCTGTCAGAAGCACTCAGCGGCTAGACAGATTGTAGTTGAGGTGAAGAGTTGGAAGGGATGCTGCAACGTCGGGGGCGTCCCTGGATAGATATAGAAAACGCGCTGGAGGCGTGACAAGAGTGTAAGCTCGAGGACAGCGGACGTGCGGACCGGACTTCAGACCCCAGATTATGGGCAAGGGGACGGGGTAACCGACCAGGCAAAAGATGGATCGAGGTATCGAATGAAAGGTTTCCGCTTAATGGGATCCACCGTCGGAATGGGCGATCTTGTTCCACCTTGGCTTGCTTGGAAGTCTTGGGAGCCATAACTGTTGACCAACAAGGAGGCCGGGGTGCGGTCTTTAGACATGGGTGTTAAAGACTGGAGACAGAAACCGACTTGAAATACAGTCACAAGCTGGGGGAATTTGACCTTGTGCACCGTTGAACTGATGTTGTTATACGGAGCGTTCCGTACTGAGCCAAAACTATGGGGCTCTGCTGATGGGCCTAGACCCCCCTGTGATCCGAGGCCTGTGGGCTGTATTTTCGCTATTAGCCTGTTCGTCAGCTCTACCGAGCACAGGTCAGGGCCGAAAAAGGGGGTTTGTTTAGTCTTTCCCCAACTGTTATCTCCCAGTGGTTTCACTAGCAACAATACGGCCTATACTACCGATCTATAGTCTTCTCTGTCAGGCACATATCAGAGTTTTACATGTTGTGCCCTGATCTGATCTTTGTCTCGACCATTCAAGATCAGATCGGCAGGTAACATCATGGGTTAATAGACAGTACCTTACAATTCTATTTTGCCTGAAACAACAGTCTTGGGGCAACCACCAGTGGCCTGTGACACTGTTATCTGTATTCTCCGAAAGCAATCGTAAATGTTCATTAAGGTAAGCAGTTTTCAAGTTGACTCGAAAAGCAGAGAAAACAACTCTCCACGTGGTGCGGAAATGGTCAGAGCCCCACGACTGGTTCAACCGATCAGGGGAGGTCGGGAATATTCTCCAGTCTTGGTCGAGTGGATTTTGGCTAAATAAGGGTAAATGCGGGTAAATGTAACCTTATATCGGCTGCCAAGTCTAGGCCAATAGCGCCTTTTCTCATGCCTGATTACGGCGATTTATCGTGATGAGCCGCAAAATTGAATAATAGACATGTAAAACCCGATAATTCTCGTCATGGAAGAATATAAACTATCGTATTGCGGCATCAGCACGGAGCAGAATTTAGCCGCCGGTAATACGACCACTCGGCCGGGAGACGAGACTTCAAGTCGCATGACAATCCCACAAATAGCCCCAGAGCCGCCAAGCTATTAAATGGAGACAACAGAACTTTTGCCTAACTCTCATACGGGGAAGAATGAACTACCAAGCCCTCGGCAATTTGCCGACTCATCGACCCAGAATTAAATCTCCACCTAACAAGACTTGAACAGAGCTTGTTGCCCTTATTTGACACAGAATTTAGGAACCGAGGGCCGACATCCCCCATGGGCAGAGAATCAGCCATATCCACCTTTTTCGTTCAAAGCGACTTCCCCACGGGCAAACAGCACGATAATGAACTGGCGATAAGTCCGGGGTCAGCCGAAAGAGAATGAGCAAGAGGCATGCCAATTACTACACCATCAGACTAATAATACAGTATTGAGAGATGATCTACGATTACAACAATCATCTCAAGAAGCAAAATAAAACTGGTATCTAGACACTTAAGCGTAGCCTTTCTGGAACATTTGCGTGAGTATTGGCTTTTGTCTATTAATGTGCACACTATTGGATGTTATTCTCGTGTTGGTGATCGCCTGCACACTGGCCTGTTGGATCAAATCCACCTGTCTCAGAATGCGACAGTGGCATCGTCCTGAAACCCTCCAAAGATTGGTATGTAAGAAAGCGCAATTTGGCTGTAGTTGGTCGGGGACAAGATTTAAACACTCAAGAACGGGGTTTATCAGGAGAAGACTGCCCTATGGGAATAGAAAATAAGCATGTTTTGTGTTCGCCGTTAAATTGTAGGGTATATTTACATTTTCGACGAAACCTGCCACACGGGCCACCTTCCGAAATATCTTATCGCGTGTAAAAAGAGGTAAGCATTCTTGGTTATATGTTACGATGAGTGACATTTGGTACCAAGGACATCCTTTGTGGTTGCAGACTGGCATTGAAGTGCTCATCCCAGACTGGGGCTATTAGATGGCTATGGTTAGTTTACATTCTTACCACGCGCGTGGAGGAAGCAGCCAGGTGCTTAAAAACCCCACTTGTGAGATGCGGAAATACTTGGCATCAAGGAAATATCATTTCTGAGACTGGGGTGAAATGGATATTCGCAAGCCGCACTCCACATCGATGTATGGAACCTATCATGAACAGGAGGAGTCTGCAGTTGTAACTGGATTCAAGATATAAATTATAGGAAAGTACTAGGACTACTAAGATTTCAATACGATATTCTCCGAATGTTACAGTTTTGAGGGTTATAACCAATGCAGACTTATCATCACTGACCTCAGGCTACCGTACTAAGTTACATATGGATTGTCCTTAAGTATTGCGCTTCGTCCAAGGGCTCAGTGCTTCTAAGAACTTCTCGTGGACCTTAGGATCTCCAGTTGTCTGCAGTACCTTCTGATACTCGTCGTCCCCAAGACGCTGGAAGAATAGCAGAATGCCAGCCCATATGAAATCAGTATAGCTAACAGTATCGCCAAGAAAATATGGCCCGGAGTCATTCTCCATGAGCAACGCTGTAATCTCCTTGGCGGATGGCTCCGCACGCTCATATGCTCCAGGTGAATTCTTCTCTCCATACTCATACAAGGGCATGCCTACATCTTCCTCGCGTGTTTCAAGGAAGAATTCAATACTCTTATCGCCCAGTATCTTCTTGGCAATCCCAGGAACATAGATGGGCACCATTTGTGTCATAAAGCCCACCATGGAAGCTCTGAGACGCAGCTGCATGGGATTTCCTACATGCAAGCTGGGCTCCGGGTATTTCTCCTCGATGAAGTCGAGAATCTTATAGGAGTCCATCATGTACGTCCCATCGGGCATTTGTATGACTGGCAGGGTGAATTCAGGACCTTGTTCGTTTGGGGAGATACTACAATCGGGCATCATTCAGCTAGGTTTCATTTGTAGGACTTATATTGCTTCTTACCGTTGGTTGAGTCGTTCCTTGATCCCGGGGTATTCAAGCTGCGGCGGTCAGAACAACACTCTATACCTTTGTAAGGCAAGCTTACCCATTCGGTTTTATACTCGAGCTTCTTATAATTGAGAAGCAATCTAGCTGTAAGAAAGGTTAGCACCAGAACACTGTACATTGACCATATTGACGAACTTCTCCACGTATTCATTGACCAGCACACCTGAGGGGACCTGGTGGGGATGTCAAAGAAGGTTATAGCGTCGGACGACATATTGAACAGTCTCTTTCTTTCAGATGTGGGATTCAGGACTGCTTAAAGCTTCATGCAACTACAAAGACAATTCTGGTAAGTTGTATCCCTTGTGCGGGATATATATAGTGTCAGCTTATTAATCAGCATGTCAGATTCGGGCCCATAATGGTCCGGCATCCTATCTCCCCCTCACCTTGAGTTGATACTATATTTATACATTTCAGACAGGCAGTATCAGGGGGTATAGTTCTACTTAGAACGTTGAGGACATATGTGCATTTGCTACGAGATAAAATGATTTCATGCCACTGAATGGAGACCAGGTGGTCAAGTTCAGTATTTGTAACTTGCTCTGTTTCCTTATTTGAAGTGAATAAGACAATATAGGTAGAGAAGATTAAAAACAAGTATCATATTTTATTCGAACGGCTTCTTAATACCATTGTACTACAGGTAATAACAGGCTACCTTGCTGGTAGCTTGCATTTAGTCCCTACTAATAATAGGTCAATATAATGATATCTTACTGGGTTCTTAACTTAAAAGTTCTCTTGAGAATAAGGCCTTCTCAATTTTAAAATCTAGGCTTTAAAGACTGTAGTATTATCAGGTTTACTAGTACTCTTAAGCTTATAAGATTAGAATAATACACAATAAACATGTTAGAGACTACTATTAGCCCTTGAAATTTACCATAGATAAGATATCCTAATAAATGTATGATGTTTTAATCAACCATTCTTGGCTACACAACCCAGGTACTAAGAACCCAAAGCAGATTGTGGTTGTGTCCAACCCTCATTTATTACATAAGTTAACCAGCGTGACCAATACAAGCACTATGATCTTCTGTCACCTTAACTCGGCGTAACCCCGCATTCTATACTTTACACAATTTGCATTCTTTATCCATTGAAACGATGTCGGCCTCTGTTCCTCCACGTGTTATCAATGTTGGTATTATCGGCTGTGGTGAGGTCTCTCAGGTTGTCCACATTCCCACATTGGTCTCAATGAGTAGCTGGTTCCACATCACGTATCTTTGTGATGTCTCAGCAGAATCACTTAGATATTGCGCCGGTAAACTGAATGGAGATATTCAAACAACCAGCGATGCTGCTGAGCTCTGCTCATCTGATCGAGTCGATGCCGTCATTATAGCTTCCTCGGATGAGTACCACACCTCACATTGCATTCTAGCCCTTCAGCATAACAAGCCCGTTCTTGTGGAGAAACCATTAGCCCTCACGATGCGAGATGCCATGGCTATTGGCCAAGCCGAGGAGGCCAGTGAGGGCAAAGTTATGGTTGGGTATATGCGCCGTTATGCTGCGCCGTTCGAGGATGCAGTACGCGAGATTGGGGGCATGGGCAAGATCTTGTATGCCCGAGTACGAGGTCAGTATTTCTATTAACGTCAACACATCAGTACTCATACGTGTATCAGATATTATCGGACCTAACTCCTACTTTGTTGGTCAATCTGGAACCTTTCCGCAAAGGTTTAATGACTTCTCCGACACTGATGTCCAAAACAAGGACCAAAGAGCCGAGCAGATGATCCACACAGCTCTGCATGAAGAATGCGGCATTGCTGTCACGCCTGAATCAACTCGCATGTGGCGTTTACTTGGAAGCTTGGGTTCTCATGACCTCTCTGTAATGAGGGAAGCGCTGGGTATGCCGCAGAAGGTCATCGGGACCTCTCTTGGATATCCCTTTTGGAAGTAGGTTGGGCCACTTGGTCATTCAATCGGGTCATGCTAACATAAATCGGCAGTGTTCTCTTCAAGTACGAAAACTTTACAGTCTTATACGAGTCGGGGCTAGATAACGTACCGCGTTTCGATGCTCATCTTGAGGTATACAGCTCTAATAAGACTGTCAGGGTCCAATATGACACCCCATATGTCAAGGGCTTGCCCGTTACCATGCATGTGGCAGAGAATGCCGATGGAGCATATAAGGAGTCTACCATTCGCAAGTCTTATGAAGACCCATATACGCAGGAGATGAAGGCTTTCTGGGAAATGGCTGCAGAGGGAAAAGCAGCCAAAACGACTGTTCGAGATGCGATGCAGGATCTTGAGCTTTTTGCAATGGCAATGCGCTATGAGTACTCCAATGCATAAGTATGAGAATGAACTTTGGTTCCTCAGAGTGTGCCGTACTATCATCACTTTATAGTTTCTTTCCAAGTATAAGAGCTTTAGTATTATGATCCTGTTATGTATCTGTGCTCTCTACATTGCTCGTGCGTGAGGAGGTATTGCATTAAATGCAGATCGCTACAATTTACAGAGACCAGTTTCGAGTGAATACACATCATTTTGAATAAAAAACCATCACCTCAGGTGAGGAGTCTACCAAAAGTTTGCTGCTGTTGTTTTAGTCAATTTAGCGACTCGGCGACAAGCGGTGAAAAGCGGCCGGGTCCGTGAAGCATATCGTAGATCGACACGTCAATTTGTGAAAGATAGCACATGGTACATACAGAAAGGTGGAATGGTTGGCTGGTTCAGTGAGGGGTCACTGAGACTTATGCATGATAAGCCAGGGTGTGACATCCTTAACCCCGCCTTCTCTCGATGCGACCATCCCTTCTACCTATTCTGTACCCAACCCTTGAATAACAAGTTAACTAGTGAAAGGAATTAATTCTACGAAAGACAGCCGGAGTAATCAAAACTCATCAAATCTTGCACTCACACCAGCCAAAATGGGTAACGATAGAGACTACCTGCTTTCTCTTCAAGCTGTCAGAGCCCAGGCCACCAAAGTCCTTGAGGCAGCAAGGCGCGGGAGCCTGAATCACTTCGACTACGAAGAGAACCGCATGAAAGAAGTTGCGGATTATGTATCCAAGGTCATTGATGTAAGTAGTGACCAAACACACTTTAATCACCAGTAGCAAAACTGATGAGACGCCAATTAGCGTGACTTTGGCCCCGACAAGTACGACACCATTCCTCCTCATGGCCGCTGGCAGCATTTCGAAGTTGGAGGGACCCCGCGAGTCGACTCTCTCCTCAAGGAATGGTCAAATGAATCTGGGATTGACCAAACCGAGATTACCCGTCGATTGGTCGATTTGTTCTTTGTGTCAGTTCTTCTAGATGCAGGCGCTGGCGATGTTTGGCGTTTCAATGAGTCCGGCACAGGGCAGTCAGTAGTTCGCAGCGAGGGTATTGCTGTGGCATCACTACACATGTTCAAGACTGGTGCATTCAGTTCAAACAGCTCCCTGAAGAGCAAAGTTGACGGTAGGCTCACTTCCTTGGCGGAGTAACAAGAGGCTAATTCCACGAACTAGGACAGGGATTAATCCAGCTGAAGGAATCGGATTTCAACACACACTTCCAAGTATCGGCTAAGAATCCTATGGTCGGGGTTTCTTCCCGCGTACAGCTGTTGCAAGCTGTTGGATCATCTTTGCTGAAGCTACCTGTGGTCTTTGGAGACTCGGGTCGCCCAGGAAACCTAGTCGGTGAGTAGAGCCGAACCATAACAACAGCAGTCTGTATTAGCATCTTGCTCACCGCTTTCCCAGATTATCTCACCAAGAATGCTTCAGGATCCAAGACTTTAGATTATGCACAGCTTTGGTCCAGTTTGCAAGACCTGCTCATTCCCTCGTGGCCAGGAAACCGCACCGTCTTCGAAGGCCAGCCAATTGGAGATGCCTGGCCTCTCAAGATTCTCGATGACATTGCAGATGAGCAAGGGGACAAGGAACCTAAAAACAGGATCCAGCCTTTCCATAAACTCACACAGTGGTTGGCTTACTCCCTCTCTGTGATCTTTGAGAGGCAACTGGGCTATAGCTGGGGGAACATGCAACTGGGAACAGGCCTCCCTGAATATCGAAATGGTGGACTGTTTGTGGACCTTGGAGTCCTGAAATTAAAGCCTGCTGACCTGAAAGCTGGGAAGGAGAACTCGGGCCAGGAGCTACCACAGTTCGATGCCTCTGATGATGTTGTGGTCGAGTGGCGTGCTCTGACTGTTGCGCTGTTGGACGACTTGCATCAGGTGCTTCTGGACCAGTACAAGCCTCGAGGAGTCACCTTGAGTCTTCTCCAGATGCTGGAGGCTGGTACGTGGAAGTCTGGACGGGAACTGGCTGCTGAGCTGAGGCCCGATACCAAGTGCAGTCCGATCTTGGTCATTAGCGATGGAACTCTGTACTAAATGTTCATCATGAGGTGTTGAGAACTCGTCAAGGCTCTTATCAGCCCATAGATATTCTTTGGCTTGTGGTATACTTGCCCCAAGAGATAGTTATTCATTGTTATATTAGTCGTATAATTTTATTCTATGATGCTGAGGTATATGACTAGTAGTCTGTCTTGAGTTTCCATTGCATCTGAGTGGAATATGCGTGGCTGCTAATGACAAATATCAGTTTAGTTATTTTACTGGCATGCTCTTCTCACCTCAGTTGTAGCCGGTACCCGGTTTGCCGTAGCTCGGATGACCCCGTCCCTTACTTTCCATCACAGCAAGTCCTTCGCCTCTCTTTGGTTCAACCGAGCTCATATCCAAGAGCTTCTCGTAGAAAGGTACCGACCGCTCCCAGTCACCAGTCAAAAGCATTGTTCGTCGCAGATACGGCATGTCCTCCAAAACTTCCCGGATACAGCGAATGAGCCAGCTTCCTAACCCTTTTCCTTGGAGCTTGGGGTCAACCCACACATCCGTGAGGTATGCAAAGGTGACAAAGTCGGTGACGCATCGAGCAATGCCCACAAGATTTGGTTCTGATGTTGTATGGGGCGATTGAGGTTCTTCGTACACTCCAAAGGAGAGCGAGTTATCAATCATTCCTCGGAATGCCTCTGGCGATGGTGCATTTGCCCAGTAAAAGTCACTTGAGTTGAAAACGTCTGTAAGTCGAGATATCGAGAACAGGCTTGGATCCGTGGATATAAAGAATTGATCCCTCTTCCAAGATCTCGACTGGAACTTTAACTTGAGAGATGACATTGTAGGGTTTTATTCGCAAAGAGTTATAATGCTTAAAGATTATTAAGGCTAGGAGCTTGGAGTATAAATACTTTATCAGTCCGAGGATACGACGTTGCATATGAGTCATTAGCTGGCCATACGCCCTTTCATTAACAAAATCCGGAGATCGGCTAGGCTCCCAGCCACGCCAATTAAAAACTATTGGCTACGGGCAAGAATATTCCAGAAGCTAAGACGTCGCTACTGTATTTGCGCCAAGCACACCATTGCCTGTGTATCGTATGCACCACAGTCACACTTGGTGCTTCTACCATACTATATTAAATCGTGGTTATTGAAAAAGACCCAGATGTAATTAGTATCGAGATTATTATCTCTTTTAGTCCCAGAAATACCAATGGCTTGTGAGAAGTCTATGTACAACCGCTACGCATCCGGTATAGTGTCCGCTAGAGAGGCCGGGCATATGTTCCGAATCCACAATCACTCGGCATTGGCCTCCGAAACTCCTCACTTACGTGACACCAAGAACTGGTAAACGTCCGGTATTAGATCCGACAGTCCATTTCATTCATCGTTCACTGTTTTTTACGTGTAAAGAGTTTCGGCTATGGAATAAAATGTATACAGCACAATATCACGAGGTCGGACGCCCATCGCACATCTACAGCAATCTTCTGGTGGAGTAGGCAACTTTAGATCAACAACGCCGTTCAGACCGTCTAAGTCCCCAAACCTGTCTTTAAGACCACAATCGTTACTCAACGATGCATCGGTCTTTTCATTCGCTGTGCCCAGAACAGATTGCAGATCCATCCTGCCGTTACCATCCATATCAGGGAAGTTTTGGCAAGTACCAACAACGCTAACGTTAAAGGCTGCAGAGAGCGCGCTGCACATGAAGCTGCCGCCGTTGCCCCCCTATCCCTTGTTGTAGTAGACCTTGGCGTCACCGTTGAACTTGTCCGCCGATATCATGTCGGCTTGACCATCACCGTTGACGTCGCTCCAGCGAATGTCGGTACGATCTGCACCCTCGGTCTTCTTGACACGCTTAGCGTTTGGCCAAGAGTTATGTGAGTTATGAATCCATGCGTTAGTAGATCATTTAGAGACATGCAGAGGGAACCAGCGCGGCCATTGTTAGTCATATCGGCAAAGCGGACAGCAACTAAGTTATGCATAAACGGTTTGGTCGTAGATATTAAGAAGTGAAGGGACTTGTAATCGTTGATACCCAACCCGTTCTTCTCATTCTTGCATCGAACATCTGCTACGCTCTCAGGTTTTGGCTTATGGTTCCAGTTTCATCCCTCTCTATAAGAACACCCATTCAGCCGATCAACGACCTTCAACTCCTGGCTTGAATCAATCAGAATGACACCGCGAGTGCCGTCGCTGTCCCAGTGTGTAAAATGGATGTTGACCGAGATATGGGCATCTTGTGCTTTATTTAAAAGAGTGGTAAAGTCTCATGTATTTCCTTTAGCTGCTCCCAAGTGATTATATCTCCATATGAAAGCTTTGCCATTCTCTTGCCATCTAACATAAGCGATGCTGGTGAGCTCATATACTGACACAAGGCTATTTCTGAACTCTTCGAAGCCAAATAGTCGGAAAGTCGAGTTAGATTTAAACTCAACGCTCCGTTTTTAACAGTACTATCAAGAATCACATTGGTTTCCTGGGCACTCTCTGTATCTTTTAAGTGGTTCACAACTGAGGCCTTGAACTCTCTTGCAGGCTTGTTTTGCTCATCCGATAGCGCTGGGAAAATTGAGAACTCAGGACAAATTGATAGCTGCTCCAGAGGTGCAGCTTGGGCATTGCTCCAATCTATGATCCCTTTCAGATTGTATTCATCATCGAATAGCATATTGCCATAGTGAAGATCAAGATGGCACAGCGGGAAAGGGCCCCGAGCCCTATCCTCAACCATTATTTGACAGAGTGATAGTTTTAGTACCCAGCACGCCGTCAGCCAATCTGGATCGTCCCCATGTGCCGTAGCCGCTTCTCGGTTATCGCTCTGTATCTGATGGTAAAAATACTCAAGCGAAGTCTCTAAAGGGCCAGGTAACGCATGCCAGGCCATACCTATTATTTCAATAGTCTGTTCGGCATCCTCACCACACCAGAGACGCCCAATGCGGCTAAAAGTCAAGTTTTGTAATTCTGCAAAGACCTCAGCAAGCTGTTTGGCCACTTTGTCGTGATACACAAGGGGAATAGACCTCACTAGGAGATCTTTGAGCGTCCGACCCCCTAGATATTCCAACAAGATATATGGGTAGCCAAAGGCTTGATTTGCAGACACTTCAAAGTCAAAGACTTGAGGGATTGGAACCTTGGTATGCTTCTTAACAATTTTCATTGTTGCGATCTCGCTAAGCATTGAGGTTCTGTCATCGTCGTTGAAGGCTTTATAGGGAATGCGGGCGATCCAATAAATATTGTCCGTAAAGGAGAGCTCGAGGACAAGATTATAGAAGCCAAGATCAAAACGCGACGTGTTAATGCGGCACTTAATGTTGGCAGACAAGGCTGGGTGGAATTTTCTTCGGGCCTCCAGTCCGCGTTTTTCCAGATAACAGAAGTCTGCTGATGAGATAATGATGTGGATCCGCTTGTATTTCTCTGACTCTGGATCCAGACTAGCAAGGTCTGACCAAGAGTCGCTTGGTCTCTCCATCTGACCCAAAGAGTTGAGAGCCGAAACAGTAGTAAATGTCTTGTTCAATGACGAAAGGGAAACAGAATATAAGATCCTGTGTGGCTTGGGCGTGTTTCACAAATAAACAAAGCGTGTTGTAGAGGGTTGCTTCCGGAGAGTCTCTTAGGAAAGCGAAGGGGAGGCACTGACGGATACTGATGGCACTAGCATTTTCTGGCATGTAATATGTGTGATAAAATCCTCATTGTGGCGGAGGGGGGGCGGAGGAATGGCTAGTCTCCCCGAGTAAATGATTCAAGGCATTCCCAATGCGTTAAAACGCGTGCCAAGCAAAATGATTTGTTTTTAAATAGAAAATAAATGATCCTTACGCGTCTGTGCTAGCTTGGCTGGGTCAGCTGTGGCTTAGCATCGCGTCCTGAGATCGGTATTGACAGTTAGTGAACCCCTGAAGTCGCGACACGTAAGTTCTTATCGATAAGGCCGCTTTAGTAGCAATGGCAATCCATTCTTCCAGCTCAGTTCAGCTAATCTTTATAAGAATATAAATTCCCTAGTGGACAAACTAGAGTTGTTCTATACAGTCAATTTATATTGGCATTCTGTATCTATGTAGTGTTCTGGATCAACCGTGACAATGTATGTGAAAATATTAATGAGACGCTTTAACTCAATTTGAGAGCACCAATCTATAAAGTAAATGTTTAAGCACAGGCACGACTGGTATTACAGGAAACAATCTTAGAGAATTGTAGGAGTCCATTACTATCTAAGGTCTAGAGAAATTAATAAGTATTAAATCCTTACCATTATAGCTATTCTTTTTACCACTCTGTTTAATACTGAGTATAGGGTAGGTCTTAAGTAGATGGGATTCACAGCGTGAAATCTATATTTAGATTTCATATCGCCCGTCGCGTAATGTCGCGTATAGTCGCGACGCGACAAAGAACTGGCACAGGTCTAACCTTAATGGTGTGTACCCACTGTATTGAACGGTAGCAATCTTGGCTCAGTAAAATCCAGTGCCCCTACTCCGTATACTCCGTAAACTTCCCACAATTGCTACACCTAACACTCGGGGTCTGGCAAAGATTCAACAAGCTAAATGGCCTTGTAATACACAATCGCAGCGTCGTAACGCTCACACATTGGAAATACACGTTCCTTGAGCTGCAGATTATAAGGTGTGAGAATTCAGCCCATACCAGTCATTGTCGCCTTCGAATACTCCTTCATAACATTTTCATCTTTAGTCGAAATAGAAGGGCCACCAAAGCTGGCGAGAGCTTCAAGATGATGCCAACCATGGCCACTTTATGGGTCCTGCGGTCTTCTACTGACACAGCGCCAATTACGAAATAGGCCAGATCGTGGAATGGCGGTCGATCAGCACCGTGGATTTAGGCATCCCACATATCCGTAAGCGCCATCATCACGCCCACGCATGATGGAGTAATCCAAGGATAGCCGGTGTAAAAATAGCCCCATGTGCTGGCGTGTAGTGCGGCGAGGATTTCTGAATGTGAATCCGGCGTTGTTCAAGTCTTCCATGACGAGAATACATACCCTTGCTGCAGATATATCTTGCTTGATCTTCCGCATTTTTATCATCCTCATATTTGATGGTAAAGAAGAGTTTACTGGCTGTGGCGTTTAGCACACTGTAGATGAGTTCTGCCGACTTGACATTCTGCCCTAGCACCTTGCCCAGCCAAGAAGCTGTCACTTGTTCTGGAACGGTAGGAAGAGGATATATGTCGGACGCTGTCATGTTAAGGGAATGAGAGAACAAGAAGGATGAAGCCGTCCTTATTGGGGAGATATCGCGAGGATTAGGATAATAACCTTGCAAGTATGTGCCCAGAATCGAATAAGAATTCGTTTAGATTTCTACAAGTACAAGTGCGTGTGCTACTAGTAATATACTTTTATCCTTAATAACGTGTCTTTAAAAAGTATCTATAATATGGTCTGCTAATAGAATTAAAGAGTTATGGAGATAGTGAGATTAGCTAGTAAAGCTTTGGAAAAGGATCTCAGCAACAGCATCAGCTCCTGCGTCGTTAGGGTGCCAGGTAATGCCTCCTGCACCCTCTGGGACCTGCGCTCCATTGATCCACGGCTCAGCGGTGCCAACGTAGTGCTCCTCACTGTACTGACGCATGGGAATAAGTCGCACATCGTACTGTTTGTTGTCTCCGGCTGCCTTCCACTCATCTATCGCCCTAACAGTGTAGTCGATAACTCGGTTGTAAAGATTGTCGTTTTGCTCCTTTTCGTCGGCTTCCATCGGGCAGTCGTCACTTGGACAGACGGTGTCTGCGCCAAGAGCCCTGATGTATGTTACGCAGAAGACGGTCAGGGCTGGATCACCAGATGTGTGCTGGATAACAGAGTCCAGAACCTCTCTGTAACGCTGCTTCCACTCATCCTCGGAAATCGAATTCTGGCATGCGCTGTCACTTGGGTTGCCCAAACAAACGGCATATGAGAGATCGTTGCCACCGGAGACAATGTATGCAATCCTTGGATTGGTCCCTTCAAGCTCTGGAGACTGGTTTCCTGTAATGTCCTCCAGGATGCTACCACTGACAGCATGGTTGGTGAAGGACCACTCTTGTCCATCGTGGTCTGAGAGTTTTTGGCCTAGAAGCTTGCCGATTTGCTGTGTAAGACCTGGTCCTTCAGCGTACGAAGAACCCAGGCCGACAATCAACTCGGCGCTTGCGCCCAGGGCAAAGGCCGGAATAAGACTTTTAAAGAACATAATGGAGGTTGTTTTTATAAATGCCGAGGTGATGATTAAGATGTTTTGAAAATTTGTATAACGATATAGAGTAATGTTAGAAAACGAATGAATTAAGAACTGAAGAGATTTATTCTAACCTACTGTCATTCCCTTTTATATCTGTGTAGTGCCCAGTGCTGAGTGAGATAGTGGGCTATGAGTCCGAGTGTAGGAGTTCGAATTGCGAGGATAAGAAGCGCTAAAAATAGCGGTATAGGCTTAGGATGTGCTAAGCCTCGTTATTAAAAATGCATCAACGTACAGTACTTTCGTGGTGTCGAGGAAGGATTCGAGGCTGGATCCAAGACTGGGTCCTAGGCTGACTGAGAGTGTACGTAATGTTAATATTGAACATTATGTTTACTGGCTAGTGCTACTCCGTAGTAGCAGCGGTAATAAAAAATCATTCGTATGATGAAAGCCAAGTCTTAGCGGCCGCTGGTATGGTCAGCGCCGTCTGTGCACTTGGCGGCTCGTGTGGTCATAGGATTTCCAATGTACTGGTAGAGCTCTTGGCACTGCTAAAAATGAGATTACAGGTCGCTTATGTGTTTCGAAAGGATCAGGTCCATAAATCCTTCCATAAACGTGTAAGATTAATTGCATTGTTTTGAAATGTTGATCTTAATTATACTGAGATTTTATTCTCATGTACTCCGTAAAAACTTAGCAGGCTAGCTAGGGATCTTTATTTATTAAGCACAAGGCTTTCTACCAGAGTGACTAAACATTAATAATTTTACTTTGCCCAACAACTGAGGATGCTTTCGCGTACTATACTGCGGCGAGCGTCCTTACCCCTCCTGTTATAGAGGGCAACTCGGTGCTTTCTGCCAGACAGAACACTAACCTCTATGAGAACGCGGACGGCTATGCTATTGTCGAGTACGGAGACGAGAACCTGAGCTATCATGCCCGCCTACCATCTACCATCTTGGATATTATCAGAGACGAGTGTGGAGAGACAGCTTGCAACCCTTCCGGAGGCTTGGATTTGTTGACCCTCGTTTTCAACTCGGACCGTGCCAATGATGTGTCATACGTTGGTTGTGGAATTTGCAAGGCTCTTTCAGTTGATCCAGCTGGAGTCGGCCTTGTTAACGCCGCCGCTGGTACTGGTATTTCCATGCTGTCGATCGCTATGGATTGCTACAGACTAAGCAGGATGGTAATAAGTCCAAGGCCTTATGCCGGCGCGATACGTTTCCATCCTGCTCCTCGGTTCATCGTGGGGCACTGTTTCTCTCTGTCTCTGTCTAATGCGCAACCAAATGCATGAGGATACTAAAAGGGATGTAAAATCCTTAATCTCGATTATGTTTCTAAAGGAAATCCTTATATATTTCGTAATATTCTCATGACCTTTCTGGAAAATTGCCATTATTAATACGCTTGGATAGGATTCGCCTAACTCCTCTGAGACGGTGGGATTTATTGTTATCAAGCGCCGCACCTGTTTAATGTGGCCAGTACGTCAATCATTTGTGAACAGTTTCAACGGCTTCTGAAGGTACCTGAATCAACGTATGGCGCATCGATTAATACGACAAAGGTTGCATCGCAGAGTCAAGGAAGGACGCATTGAACGCCTCCTAATCCCATCTACTCTCGTCTACCTAGGCCATTTTCAGGTTTCTAACTTACTGCTATTGTTTCAGAGTTCGGGCCAGAGAGGCTCAAGAAGCTTGCGCGGCGGCCAAAACCCCCTAGGCTGAAGACAGTATTGGCGACGAGCTGTTACGAGTACCATATTGACTGAGTAAATTCACCACGACTTATGGATCCGTTTTTGGTGTTTTAAAGCCTCCGATTGGTCTTTAACGGTTCAGAGATCTGACATTCACGCTACAAAACCGAGTTTTGGTGTGAAAAGGGACCCACAGGTCATAGAGAATTTGCTCAGTCGATACGGTAGGCTTGTCATCAGTGAGGAGGTCCGGCCCGAGCCAGCAACGCCCTCTAGGATGAGATATAAAATGTGTAGGCACTTGCGAATGGGAGCCTCATAGGGATCGAATCGCCAATCCTCGAAAAAGACCCGCACCAATTGTATAGTCTTTTGAGATAGATTTATTCTTTCTGGATGTTTGTCTTCCTCTGCTGTCTGAGGTCGACCATGTAAACTATAATAAGGGGGCCTCTGATAGGTCAAGGGTGCAAAATTTGCTATAATGAATACTGGCTGGTCTTTGTTCGATAAGAACCATCAGTTGACTGGACTGATCGGACACCTCGGCTGAAAGAAAACACCCGGACATAGTGGTCTCATCCCTGATAACACTTCAGTTCATCCCTCTCTTACACACATAACTCAACCCATGAATTGACCAAGAGGAAACTCCCTCTCTAAAATCTGGAGCGATCTGCCATTGCTGAGGGGTTGTTGCTCAGCTAGCCTCTGGGCTTATGCGGCTGCTAATCCCAGAAGCGATGTGACCAAACCATCCTTGCATGCTCGGTATTACGCCACTTATTCACCACCTGAGAGCTTCGGATGATAGGGGAGAGGGAGATTTCGAGGCCAGAAAGTTTGATCAGCGATATTGGTGGTTGGAGAGGTCCATTTTTAGCAAGCATTGGACCAATAGTCCCGTGCTGTTGACTCTATCCCAACTTCAAAAGGTCCAAGCGATTGCATTCTCAATTAGAAGAAGTAAAATACCAATCAATGATGTGCGTGCATGCATTTCTTAGCTATTATGACAGCATCGGCCAGCCACATAACGCTCCGGAACGTGAATTGTCTCTGAGTAAAACCAATATCACTACATTATTGGTGAGGCTTGCATAAAAAACCGGTAGCTCGCTGCGGGGTCATCTAAACGACCGTCTAGGCCATGTGTGGCTTAAGTAGTGCTCCCCCAAACCGTCTAGATTCTGGGGTCGATCGGCCCAAACTATCAAGCCTCCGTCCATTTTAGGAAGCAGAAACGGTAGCTTATCATTATGTACGACCTTGGGCTGAGGTTCAGCTGAGCCATGGAGAGCGGCTGGCATGTGAAGAATTGCAATAGCTATTCAAAAAAGGAGCTTTCTCGACCCTGGAGTGATTGTCGCTGCAAGGACTAATTTACTTTTCCCTCGTTTATCACCCACACCTGGATTCTAACCGGTCTTACCGGGACCATCTCTTGGGTATTTGAACCCTGATTTGGGCTGAAGTGGGCTGAAGTGGGCTGAAGTGGGCTGAAGTGGGCTGAAGAGGTAGCTGAGGAAAGGGATGGTGTCTCAGCTGAGAGGAAGAAGCCAAGAGGGGAGGCCTGAGCAATTTGAACATATAAGACGCTTACCTGACCCCAACAATGGCACCGCCGCGCGAAGTACAGGGCAGCTTGTCTCAACATTCTCAAATATCTGTTTAATCGAGCATGTTTGGTTTGAGAAAGACCCTGAACAGTTTGTTCTCCTCGTCCTGAACCTATACTTACTGTCACCTAACCACTTAACCAACAGTCAGACGAAAACGCAAAAGCTCGTCGTCCTCCATTCGATCCGACACACCGGTACAAGCCTCCTCATCCCACGGCGCAATGGAGTCCATTGGACAAAGCATCGAGCAACCCCATGGATCCATAGGCAAGGATAAGAACAAGCACCATAATAATGCTCCCGTGAACGTCGACGAGGTAGAAGTCTCGGATGGTGAGAGTGAGAGCACCACCGTTGCCTCAAACCCAACCTCACAAGACGACGCTGGTGTCAAAACCATTCTGGCGGCCACAACATCCAACACGGCCACCCCTACCCCAGCTGCACCTAATGGCCTGACAAAGATTACAACCATCACAAAGCTCCATGACTATGAAAAGTTAACACAAGTCACGACGTCGGTCAAGAAATTGATCGTTCGTTTTGATGGCTACGATGAAGAATTCGTCAATGACACAGACATTAGGAGCTATCTTGAACACATCTCGGACGAACGTCTCATCCACATGCCGCAACGAGGTAGTGATTGGGATCGTGTACTCAGTAATGCCCAGCTCTTCGGTCTTCAAATCACAGCTTTCGCTAGCAAGATTGAGACCTTTGCCGCTGGTGCCCATGCATCAGCATCAGCTGCTTTGGCCAGCTGTCAAGTCCTTCTTGAGGTTTGTATCACCACCGCTGTCCCTGCCCTTACACATGGCTGACATGTTTTCCGCAGATCGGCCATAACCAAGCAAAAGCTCTCGCCCCAACCTTCATTGCCTTCTACGAACTGGCCATGCTGCTATCCACAGTCTCTCGCATCCGCGACCTCGAACATATGCCCCCGTCCGTCAAAGAGGCAGCTGCCCATATCCTTTGCGAGCTTGTGCACCTCATCGGCTGCATCGCAAGCCACTACAAGCAGAAGATTGGTAGCCTCAGACCTGGCAGCACCGTCACCATCAGCTTTGATGCAGCATTTGGCCAACACATCGACAGCATCTGGAAAGCCAAGGATGATCTCTGCGACCGTGTGTGGCGACACCGTCTTGGCAACAAGGCCTTTTCCATCAGCCTCAAATCTGTCCGCCAACGCCTCCAGCCATCCTCTGCTTCGTCAGCCAGAAACACTCTGTACGACGAAGTCTACGAGCATGTCGAACGTTCGGAGGATACCTGTGGCTGGATAACCGGCCAATTGACCAGCTTCCTCAGCAGCAAGGAGAAGCTTCTCAGCATATGGGGTGAGGCTGGCATTGGTAAAAGTGTCCTTGCTGAGTGGGTTCAGGAGAGACTTGCGCGTCCTCTGGACTACAAATCCTACACTGTCCTTGCCTACAACTTCCCTTGGGACTCTCCCAATGAAGCGACATCGCTTGCTTGCGTGAAGAGCTTCATATTCCAGTTGCTGGACCGTAGTGTAGGCGATGTTGAACTCTATGGACGCCTCGTGCAGGCCTTTGAAGCATACTCCAAGACCTCCGACCCGGCCAAGCTCGAGACAGCTCTCTGGAGTGCTCTGCACACTGGACTCCATGCAAATGAGAGAGTAGGAACTTCCTTCATTCTCCTGGTGGATGGCTTTGACGAGAGGGTGGTCGGCTCCAAGAGCGCAGTTAGCTTGCACAACACCCTCAAAGGCTGTGTCTCAGACCTCTCCCTCACTCGTGTTATCACTTTCTCTCGAAGAATTGACGGTTTCAAGGACAGCAAGGTCTTCAAGATCACCGAGGCTCAGATCCATGAGGACATCCGATCTCATTTCAAGCAGACACTGTCCAAGTCTCGTCACTACCATGATGTTACCCATCAAGACCGTGAGAAGTTCGTTGACGACCTGGTAGTAAAGGCTAATGGCAGTTTCCTTTGGGCGTTCTACGCTGGCCGTCTCCTGCTACGAGAGAAATCTTGCGATGCATTCCTTGCGACCGCCAAGAGTATCAGCAACAATGTCTTTGAGGTCCTCCGAAGTGCTGTGGAGAAGTTGAACCTCAAGCAGAACGAGACAGTCAGGTATCTCTTGTCCTTCATGGTCATCACCAGCACCCCATTTGCAGCACAAGAAATTGCAGATCTCCTCTCCACAGACCTACACAAGAGATGCATGCATTCCACCCCTTTCAACATCCAAAAGTTTGTTTCGGAGAACTGCAGTGACTTTTTTATTATCCGTGGAGGACGCCTCCACTTCCGCAATGCCGTTGTTCAGATGCACTTCAAGAGTCTGCTTGGCAAGTCCCTCCTTTCAGAGAAAGAAACCCATTCGCAACTGACGCTGAGAATGCTTCTGTATGCGAGATTGAACCTTGGCGATGAGCAAGAGCTCATTCCAGATGAGCTTGACGACTCCGTAGTGGATGTCGTCCTCCACAAGCACCACCTTATGGGCTATGTTATGTGCAACTGGGTGACCCATTTCCGTTATGCTGGCTTTGTTGCCACTGACGGGAAGATGAACCTGCCTTCTGGATTCCGTGACATTTTCCCCGAGTCTGTCATGTTCACCCTCCTGGAGCGGCCGTGTTGGGGGAGACACCACGTTCCTAAGGACACTATCGAGCTCCATGAGCTTGCTCTCCGCGTCCGAGAGACTTGTTTCGGAGAGAAGCATGTCACAGTCTTGCAGAGTCTCATCTCTCTAGGCCACATTCACGTCAAGTTCTCAACTTCTTCAGATGCCCATGTCCATGGAGCACGATACTTTTACCGCGCTGCTAAGTTAGGAGAGGCTGTTCTGTTAAAGACGAGTGTCTTTGTCAGTACTTGCACACATCTCTTTTTGACTTGGACTGAGAGTATTGTCATTACCAAGAGGACTGAGATTGTGGATTGCCGCGAGGAGATGATTCGTGTCTGGATTGAGGTTTGCAAGCACAAGCACGGTCGATCAAGCGATGAGGTCATTTGCTGGTATGAGAAACTTGCCAAGCTCTATATCTGCATCCACGAAGAGTGGCGAGCAACCGCCATCTACAAGGAGCTCTATGAGATTATTGTCATTCGTTATGGCAAGAAGTCTCCCGAGGCTGGACGCATCGGTGCCTTTTTTGGGACTTTGGACATCGTCCTCAAAGGCGAAGAGGCTGAAAAGGGTATCTGTGAGTTTGAGGAGTTCATATTTGAGACAACTGAAGAACTTGATATCCACGATCACCTTTGCATCGCCATGATGATCAAGCTTGCCTGGTCGTACCACGCCTGTGGCAAGCAATATCTGGCCGAGAGGCTTTTTATCAGTATCTGGCGTCGCATTTCTATCACCTGTCGAGTCAACGCCAGCATCGAGGTGCACATTGCCAAGATCCAGATCGCTCTCGAGTACTGCAAGTACCTACGCAAGGTACATCGCAAAGAGGAAGCCAGCACTATCCTTATTTGCCTCTGGGCCGAGTATGAGCACTACCACTGCGAGTCTGAGACTTTGATAGTCTGGATCCGAGAGCTTGGATCGTTCTGCAGGAATTTTGGTCTGCTTGAGATTACAGTTACAATCTTGACCAAGGTTTGGGGCTGGTTCAAAGGACGTGGTAAGGGTGACGACGAAGAAGCTCGCAAGACTACCATTCTTATCACCGAGGTCGTGGAAGAGGTCACTGAGACCATAATCGAGAAAAAGACAACCACAACTACTACCACCGAAGTCACTGAGACGGTTGTCAAGGAGATCTACGAGACGCACTACCACCGCTGCAAGAAGACTGGTTTTGACCGGGCCTTTTACTCAGCTTGCATGGCACTCATCGGCATATACTTTGAACACAACAAATGGTCAGAGGCTGAAATCATTATCAAGCGAACTCTTGAGATCACCTGGAAGGCCATCTTGAGCATTGAAACCAGCATCACCCTTTGCGAGCATTCTGCCCGTGAATGTGTCCATGTGGCTCGCCGACTTGCCAAGTGCTACCACCGTCAAGGCCACTTTGAGGAGGCTGAGTCTATTTACCTCCGCGTCTATCACGCCTGTTTGACTTCTTGCACGCTTGAGGATGAACTGCTGCAGGAGTCTCTCACAGTTCTGATCGAATTTTATGAGGAGCACCACAGACATGAGAAGGTGATCCAAATCTATGTCGCCATTTTGGAGCGGTATAAGAAACATCTTGGCCACTCCCATCACTTGACCATCAAGACGCTGTACCTTCTGGCCCATCATTGCAAGCTCATTGGACATAAGGATACGTACACCTACTATCTTGAGATTGTCACTGTTCTGAACAAGGGTATAAAGCATTGCCATCATTATGCCTTCGAAGCGTCCCTTTGGCTTTGCCGCCACTACCATCATCGTAGCATGTGGGTTCAGCTACGGGAGATCTGTAGCTTCATGTGGGAAACACTTTGCCACCACCGGGGAGAGCACAAGTGGACTGAGGATATCATCTGTGAGATATACGAGAAGTACACGTACGTTCTTGAAGTTCACATTAAGGTTGAATATTCGGTCCTCTACAACATCTCCGTCCAGTACAAGGAAGTAATCAAGACTGTCTGCGGCAGCGAGTCTCACGGCTACATCTTGGCCTTGATCGCGTTTGCAAAGATGTGCGAGAAGCATGAGAGTCATGTACACGAAGCGATCACTGTCTACGAGGAGGTGATCAAGAAAGCAACCATAACCAAGACTACGACCACCGTTATCACCGAGACTACCGTGACCACGGTCAAGAAGCGTCTTTCCAGACTGTATGTGACCGTTATCACCACTGGAGGGAAGAAAGGTGGGCATGTCAATATTCCTGTCGATCGGGCTATTGAGATTTGTATCGAGACCTACCAGCATCTCAAGATCACCCTGGGATGCTGGCATGAGGAGACTCTGAAGCAACTTGAGTACGTGATCAAGCTTTACCACACCTTCAACACCAAGGAGTACCACCTTAAGATGGTGAAGCTCCTTGAGGTTCACATCACTGAGGTTATCACGACTTGCAAGGTCACGACGACGCTTTTCAAGGTTGCAATTACTCTGGCGTCTATCTACGTCAGCGTCAATCTCATCCAGGAAGGTCACCAGATACTCCGCCAACTCCGCCATCTTGTAATCTTCAGAGGAACTATGCCTTCGGTTGATCTCACTCTCAAGTTGGATGTCCACCTGAGCAGGCACGTCTTTATCTTCCTCAGCGCTTTCGAGCATGGTCTTTGTCCCAAAGATTGCCCCACAACTTACTCCGAGATCATGGCCACCATCATCTTTGAGTCTCTTCTCTACGAGGAGTACTCCCGCGTGATCGAACATGAGACCGATCTTGAGATCATCCTTGAGTGTGGAGCCAAGTTACGCGGCTTCTGGTTCGAGAACAAACGCTCTCAGCTTCTCGTCACGCTTGATAAGCGACTCTTCCAGCTTTTCAAGAATAAGTACGCAGCTTACTTCAAGGATGTGAGCGATGAGCACCTGCGTATCTTTTACCTCGCCATTCTTTGCGAACTTGGCAAAGATCGTGGTGCGACCAGGATTGACTTCCCTCTGCTCGCCGTTAAGGCTGGTAGCGTCAGAGTCAAGGAGCTCCTGCATGCCAAGGACTGGCATTGCGCTGAGCAGCTCGGCCACTGCATCTTCCATTTTGCCCAGGCACAGAAGCTATATCACCGCAGCAACTGTATTCAATATGGCTACAAACTCGCTGAGTACCTCGCGGGTATCGACGTGCCTCATCCAATTGACCCTAAGGATGATAAGGTTAGGAATGCCATGCTGACAACATCGCGCGTAATCATGGCCGAGGTGCTCACTGCGTTCCGGCAAGAGAATATCGATGTCCTCTGCCTTCGATTTGAGGATGTTTCTGGACTCATCCGTCTTCTTGGGGCACAACAGAACTGGGATGAGCTTGAACGACTCCTCCACCGTCTGTGGAGTGCCCGAGAGAGGATGCAGAAGTCTGGCTGGTCGCCCGCTACCGTCTTGGACATTGGTAAGATGCTCGTTCACGCCCAGTATGCCCGAAAGGATGTCACTTGTGCTATAGAGACAGCCGAGTTGATCTGCTACAACATGAGACGCAGCAGAGGCCGCCTCGATGTAGAGACTCTGGAATTATCACGTCTTCTTGCTACTCTATATGCGGATAGTGGTCGAAAAGCTGCTGCTATGTCTCTCCACGAATCAATCTTGCGCGAGATGATCTCTTGCAGCAACGGAAATGAGTTTGGTGAGGCCTATCCCGAGCGCCAGCGGTTCACTTCAGAGGCACGAATCCACCTTGAACTTCTCAAGGCCGCGCATCAGCAGTTGAAAGGTTGGACAAAGCCAGTTGATGAGTTCAAAGAGGTTCACTCTCATCTGAACAGCGATCTTGGCCTTGAACTGCCTGCTTTTGACAAGTGGTCCAATGGAGCGGTGGATAAGAACATTGAGGGAGGAGGCAAGTACGTTGTTCCGAGGGAGTGGAAGCTTAAGGGTGATACAAAGAGTGCTGTATCACGCAGGAGGGTCAGCTATGAGAGACCACGCGGGCGCTTGGATGTGCTCCAGACTGCAAGGCACTGGTGGCTGGTTTATTAAGTGATTGTATGATGAGTGTAAGCTGTTGTAATGGTCGGAATGAGCACATGTCTATAACTTATCCCTATTCTCTTTGTATTAATTTTCTTTATATTTTACCGCAACTCGGCTTAACCTAAAATATTCTAATTCTCAGAACTACACTTTTTGTCACTCTTAGCTCAAAACCTTCATCGGTTCAGAGATTCGGAGACTACAGCTAGCACAAGGCTGCGTCGAACCCGATTAGGTGGCTCATCTGCACGTGATTTTGGTGCGAGGCTATCACGAAAGTAAAGCGGGGAAGATCTTAGAAACGTCTGACCGCTAGAAACCCATCATCTCCAAGCCAAGAAAGATACTAAAAACTTGGACTTCCAAGCCCCTTACAGTGAATCAGAGAGAGACTTAATACCATATATATTAAGTCACATACCACCAATGAAGTCGTCTCTTCTCCAGCTGGATCCTCTGGGGGATGCACTTCTGATTTTGCGGTGTCCCAATGAGCAAAGGATCCCTCCAGCCCACGATCGAGAAGCATCGGATAGCGGCGAGCCTGATGAAGCCACCTCATCCGAAGCAAAGAAGAAGCATAGTATCAAGTCACCCAAGACATGGCAGGATCTCGAGTCTTTGTCGCCGTATCTCGACAACGGCGATGCGAATGAGATACAATTCAGAGTATCGACTAGGCATCTGTGTATTGTCTCTCCAGTCTTCAAGGCCATGATAGAGGGAAAGTACAAAGAGTCTCAGCCTAACAATCAAGGGCTCCTAGAGATCGGCGCATCGGACTGGAATGCTCATGCACTTATTATCTTGCTGGATATTATCCATGGCCATCATTACCAAGTGCCCAGAAAGCTCGACGTGGAAGTTGTGGCTCACATTGGGCTGCTAGTTGACTACTACGACTGTCTCGAGGTTGTTCAGATCTTCTTCGATAGATGGCGTTTGGGCATTCTCGACTGGACTACAGATTTCTGGGGGCCGGTTGTTGGACATCCTGCTAGTAAAAGAAAGTCGTTTGGTAGAAATGGAACGCTTTTACTATTCATCGCTTGGGCTTTTCGATGTTCATCAGCATTCTCAGGGCTTAGCAGCTGGGCTATTGTGAACACAGAGGGTGTTATTGAAACGGATCTACCCATACCGACACAAGTCCCTGGTACGTGATCTTGGATAAGCAAATAAGGGCAAATATCTAACACAGAACAGCCAAGATTGACGAAAAGCGGGTTGAATTCATAGATCAACTCTTTTCCAAACTTTACGGCCTGCAAGAGGACCTCGTGGTAGGCCGAGTCGGTTGCTCACTGGAGTGTTCCTGTCGGCTTCTCGGCTACCTGATGAAGCAGATGCGGTCAAGTAATCTCCCAGCTACAAAGCCAGACAAGCCATTTACAGGATGGAGTATACCAGGCGTGGTTGAGATAATCCGGAGCATTAAGACTCCGACATGGCGGAATAGCAGCCCCGCTGATCTTTGCAGTCTTGAGGCGCACTTGTATTCAGATTCAGACAATCTGGATGTACAAGTGCCTGGTCTGAAGATCGGCGATTTTCAGGGCCTGGCGTTAAGGCCATGGAGTGGGCAATACAGTTACAGTTAGCAGCATAAGCGTGGCCGCAATACAGCGCACCGAATTTGGAATACAGAAATACGCGGATATACAGAAGTTCCCCAAGACGATCAATTCGGAGACAATATTCCGATCGTCAGTCATCGTCGTCATTCGCTCAATCCACAAAACGCGTATGCGACCATTGAGATTGGTCCTGCTACTATTCCCGGCACTATGGGTTTGCCGTTGGAAGTTTCACGCCACAACAATCATTCTTCAACGTTGAGACGGTTTACTTTCAATAATTTCAACTAGCCTCTGCATAGAACAGCCAATAGCAGTTATCAGCCTAATGTCTACCGAATTAGCGACCAAGGATATCCGTGTTAACAGTCCCCTTAAGGCCCTGGCGGCTTATTACCCGCACCTCTATTACAATATCCAATCAAATCTAATCATATGATATGAAATACTTCTGTGAAGTACTTAATGATATCAAGCTGACGTATTTCGTGTGGGAGGTGTTGAAATAAGCAGGCCTGGCCAAGGCGTTATCTAAGCAATAGACTGTTGTGGTTTGATAGTTTTAACCGCTAAAGTATTATAAATTGTCTACCGACACAACCGTTTCAATGATGTAATGGTCAAATACCATAGGGTCTAGTAAATAGCTTTAGGCTAGCAAAACTTGGATGGCCAAATAATAGGAGATCATAGCATGAATACATCACCACAGCATCATAGCCGTGAAAGACAAGGTAGATTTCCAGTCTTCTGATACTCTTGAATGGCTAGCAGAGATCACTGGACAGAATTATCGATCCACTAAGTACGGCCACCTCTATTAGATTACGGATTCTCATGTATGGTAGTAGCAAACAGTGTGGCACTTAATCGCTCTGAGACGTCATAAGTACATTACAAGTAATTTAAATTAGCTTAGGCGATATGCAAGGTACACGCAGCCGCCCCTGCAGCATTAGAAGTGTTCCATGGAAAGGCTATATATGTGAGCTTGTTCCCATTCGTGGGCTCAATACTGAAGAAACCACTTCAACACATCCTTAATACCTCTCCTCATACTTCTATCATTAGACCCACAGCCATTATGTTGCTCAACATCATCCTACTTGTAACGTTGTTAGCCACTGGAAGCCAAGGTGCAGCTGTGACCCGAGCAACGAGCCATTGGAAAGGCTTTTCGAAACTTAAAACTCTGTTTGTGTTGTGAGTATTCTTCAAGTTATACAGATACTGTCTGCTAACTATATTCGTAGTGGTGATTCATATTCCCGGACAGGCTTCAATCCCACCGGCACACAGCCCTCCAGCAAGAATAAGATAGGCAACCCGGCGTTCCCAGGCATCACCAGCTCCAACGGCCCCAATTGGGTTGGATACTTAACTGGAGGCTACAATGAATCTCCCTTCCTTACATACAACTTTGGTACTAGTGGAGCAATTGTTGGCACACCAAATGCTGACAAGAGCCGCTATACTGTTACTCGGGAGATTGAAGAAAAGTTCGAGCCTCATTACAAACTCGGCAAAACCTTTGGATCAGACTCATCTCTATTCGTAGTCTGGATAGGCATAAACGATGTCGTCCTAAGCTACTTGGACAGAAACTCAAAGACCTACGATGTAAGCTTCAAAAGCTACAAGAACCACATCGAATCTCTCTACAAAGATGGCGCCAGGAACTTCCTCCTTATGACAGTCCCACCACTTCAACATACCCCTCGAATCACTAAATCTAGTGACTCTTCGCGAAAAGCCCGGTTAATAACAGAGGCAGTTCAAGACTGGAATAGGCGGATCAAAGCTCTCCAGGCAAACATTAAGAAGCTACATCCTTCAGCAAATGTCTTTCTTTACGATACCTATTCTCTGTTCCAACAGGTGTACCAACATCCCTCAGAGTTCAAGGAAACGTCTATTTACAAGGATACTAAGAATTACTGTCCGAAATACGCAAAGTAAGTGTATCTTTCCACTTACCTATGTTCGTGTGAGACATGTTAACGTCAAGTAGGGGAACTAAAACACCGGACACTAAGCTGGAAGGATGCAAATACGCGGCCAATGAGTACCTCTGGATAAATGACCTTCATCCTACCTCGCCGATTCATCGACTACTGGCCAAAGACATTGCTGGATTCTTGAAGACGAGGTAGGAGACCTTGTTAGGGTTATTTCGATATGGAGCCAGTTTCATTTCGAGGAAGGTATACATTGTCTGCATCTATTTATGTAACGGTTTCAGTGATAGCACGGTAGTAGGATTCACAATGGACAGTCAACCTCAAGGTGTATTTTATACAATCTATACTTGAATACACATGCTCAAACAGTGTCTCATATTGGTTCTTCACCTATTTCACTTATACCCACCGGGTTTAGTAAGTCATAGACACAGGCCTGAAGAAAGTAGTGGTGCTCGTTGTCGTCAACCTGGGTCGTCGCGTATGTCTTGCAGTAGACCCTTGTAGCTACGAGAGGTAAGCTTACCCAGCTCCACTGACTTAATAGCGATGGGAATGGAAAGAGAAACTCTGTGGATTTCTCGCCCGTGGCAAAACAACGGTAGAGGCCGAAATGACAGAGATTGGAATATTCGGGAACCCGCAATATTCTACCTACGGGAAAAGGGTTCTATTCATCCGTATTATGCATGTACGAGAACAGGCTGTGATCCGGGAAGTTAGTATATAGGCTGAGGCGTTTGCGAAAAGAAGACCACCCTCCCCACCATTGCCCGCCATAAGTAAGAGAGATATCAAGATCCCTGAACCCTGAATGGTTCAGAATAGCAAAGAAATCTTTATACAATGTGTGACCACACAGTTCACAAAATGAGAGCTGACCGTAGTCCGAGGATGATTGATATCCACAAAGATATTTGAGCCCTGCTTGTTAGGCTTTCGCGGTTGAGGTCTAGCTACAGTATGTGTAACAAGACTGGTCTCACGGCTTTGCCATCTGTGACACCACCCACGCTTAACAGTCTCCATGTTACCGTCGGACGTGGGAATAGGACGATCATAAGTGATTTTAATTAAAGAGAAGATGTTTGCCGTAAGTATTTAACATTAGCGTTTCGTAAAAAGAGACCATATATAAATGAGCTCTGGTGAAAGATAGTAAGAGATACCAGACGATCCTCAAACTTGACCATAGGAGGCTATGGTTTGCTAGAACTGTGTCCTTAGATGTGAAAAGGCAGTTAATCAGATCTATAAGAACGACCTCAGTATAAAGTCTGATCACGTGGTTGAGTTATCAGAGGTGTTAAGTAGACTGTTTGTCTATTGTAGAGTAAAGTATAATCTATGAGCGAACGTCTAGTAATATCTACTGGTAAAATAATTATCCACAACAAAGAAGTAAAAAGTTCCTAAGCAACCATCTCTTATATACATATGATCAAACGGATGATCATGTCATATATCCCCATAGCCACTTTAAGCCAGGATCTCTTCGATACTTCGCTTAGCATTCCTCTCAATACCACACTTCTTCAAGCAAGAGTCAATACCCAAAGCAATATTCTTAGGGATCATATCTCGGAAAGACTCGATGTCCTTTCCGTCGATGGTTTTGATACCACCAAGAGTAGCAGACACAACATCGGGTCGCAGGCTAAAGAAGCTCTGTGCGACCTGGTTTACACCAGGGTCGTTAGAGCCGAAAGAAGCAACGAAGACAGCGTCGGTACAGTCCGGGTTGAACTCTTGGTGAATGGCTCCTTGAGGGAAAACAGCCATCTGGAAGGTATCCATAGTATTCTCAATGGGACGGACGCCATTCTCAAGCACAAAGTTCGTAACAAGACGCCCTTTGACGATAATATTCAGCTCTGTGGCTCGGTTATGAACATGTGCAGTGTTCATCCCGCAGGGACCGAGAAATGCAACAGTCATGGCGCCTTCATTGCCAATAAGGGCGGGCATGGTTAAAGCGGTGGCAGAGACTGACCGGCCACCTTTTCCTATAGCTTCACCAGCTCCGGTAAAGTTGCCAAAGTCAAAGATGAAATCGCCGGGTTGGTCAAGAAGCTTGGCACGCTCAGCTTGAGTGGGTGCGGTCATAAGCTTGGTGATGAGGTCTCTGTCACCAGAGCGAGTGTTGATGGGAACGATGGGAGGCAAAACAGAGTCGAAGTTATGACCTTGGCTGTGGTTTTCGTAAGTACGAGCCTTGAGAGTGGAAGGGTCGACTGGATTATTGGCCGGGGCTGCGATGGTGGAGCCAGCAAGAGCGAGGATGTTCGAGAAACGCATGTTTAAATATTTCGAGAGAGAAGAAGAGTTGAGTGATTAAGATGTATTGAAGTGTAATAGTTGAAATGTGTTGCTATGCTTGAGAAGTGAGAGTGTGATGGTGAGTTGATTGATTTGTTGGAATATCCTGTCCTTTTATCTACTTCTTTTCAGAATCCATAGTTGATCTGAGCATCCAGACAAAGATGACGCATTGTGTACTTTCAGTATATTCCTGTCAAGTTGTCAGCGCTAGGAAGCAAATACGTAAAAGCTGTCTGACCTGTACAGCATCTTGGATGTGTTGTTTACGAACGCTTGGTCTACCTGCAAGCTTATTTTCCCACTCGGCGATGTTTGTGTTAGTAACATCACTGTCTAGTGCCCATTAATCTTGTGACAGATCCGAGTGACTGACAACCTGATCGCAGTGCTTTCCCGCTGCCATAAGCCCTAGCTACCCAGGCCCCATTTCAGTGGCTTGGCATTTTTAAATATAGAACCGGTAATAGTGATACCCGCTTACACCAATTTGGATCAACATCGTAAGTTTAGTAAGCGGGAGTAACCATAATGTTAGAGTTAATACTAAGAAGTAATCAGGTGAGAGTAAGACAGGTAACATAAAATCTTAAAAAGGAGATAACGATTACCACTTAAAAAATACAATCTGGGTTAGAACCACTAGATCTTCGATGCACCCCTAAATACAAGAGGCTAAGCAGTAAGTAATAGTAAGCAAGGCCAGTAACCTGAGGAGATTGAAGCTATGTCCCTTTCACATAGTCTTAAAATACATTCGAGAGATTATCAATCATTTTAAGGTAGCAGGGAAGGATGTTGTATTCTGTGGTACTAGTACGTAATATTCTCCGGCACGCGGATAAGTTACCAAGAGACGGGACCATTGTTGGAAGACTTATTGAATCGGTCAAGACAAACAAGAAGAAATATTCGCTTTCGGCTTCTAAGATAAGTGAGTAGATCCTTCTACATGGTCCTGTCCCCGTCTTCCGCTTCAATGACGACGCATGCTTGTCAGCTCAGCATGTCGCCGTTCTCTTTTCCATATGTGTGCGGCTTAATAAAAATGGCCCTGGCCTCTTGACTTCGACTTCTGTTCAAGCCATTGGGACAAAGGAGAAACAGGCGATAGGGAGAAGGGCTGTGCCAGCTTCCAGCACAGAAGTGTTTCTCAAACACCCACTCGGTGCGAATGCTGAGTTTACGCAAACTGGATTGGATGACAAAGCAGAAGATAAGAAACATCGAGAAAGAACAAGCGTTCAATTAGCAAACGAAGAAATATAAAGGGATACAAATGCAGATTATTAACTTATAATGCACAGAGGCGTCTCGGATAACAACACCGATAACAGCACCGATGAAGACACCAACGTGTCGTCGATAGCGATCTCGAACGAGACTGATGAATGGGGTCACGACTGCGCAGCCAAGAGAGAGAAGAAAGAATTCCCAAAAGTGTACCGCCACTGACCAATGTCTTTACGTATTTTTTGAATGATGCGGCATGTTATATCACGACTTATGAATGTCCCACGATAGCACAGCCAGGAATCTGGACATCATATTAAATAAACGCAGATGATATTTGCATGATAACACATTCCTTAATATGGTCTTGCCTACCTGGCATCGAAACCTAGAGTGACGGCCGCACACAGACAGGTTGGGGTGATAAGATGGCAAAGTCTAGAAGACTCTTACTTTTGTCAAATGAAGTAACAACAGCGATAAGTTCCTCGGTTCTCTCGTCAAGGGCAAGGATTTGTTTGTTAGCAATTTCGGTAAAATTCTCCACTATGGCGACAGGGATTTTGTTATCGAGACTTCAGCTGCTGATTTTGGCTGTAACATATCATGAGAAGTCTAGAATATAAAAAGATACTTGCTGTGACGAATGATATGAGCTTTTATATGTAGTGATGGCCATTTAGTACATTCTGTATTGCGGCTATTGGCTACGTTATCTCCATTCAAGACATGCATGTATTTTTATGCAGGGTCCCGAAAGAAAGCCATGTTCTTAACACGGTCCATGAGTTCAGTTCTCATAGGATGTCTCGACGATGGTACCAGTCCCCATGACTGGAAATTTATTCAGTGGGTCCTCGCGGTTGCTACCCGAAGATAACTGACCTGCTCAACGGTTGGACGGATACTTCCCAAAGAATTGCCGGTATTAAGAGCACTACCTAAAACAAACTATTGTACGCTAAATGTATAGCGCTAATATGTCTCCACTATACCTTCCCTAATCAACATCTGTGTTCTGTACTCTGTAGCAACACGCCAGATCACATCAAATGTGTACCACCTGTCGTGGCTCTCTCTATTAACACATCGGGGACTCTATGCCTCAACACACTGCCGAACAAAACAACAGTCTGCTAGCAGCAGCGGACCGGTTTTTATATCGAGAATTCGGGGAGATAAAGAAAATGTACGGATATTGGTGCTTTATATTCAGCTGCCTCTTAGCCTCGCCAGCACATGGACCGAGAGTTCCGGAACGACACCAAGGCAGCATGCTTCCCCTACTCAACCAAAGCCAGTGCCACCTTTGGCAGGGATTGCGCGATTCGACCGAGCGAGGAGATGGCATAATACCAGTCCTCCAATCACAGGGATTCCGCCATGGCGCAATAGCAACGATAAGTGCGGAAGTTCACCTTTATTACCCTCATGGGTTGTATCAGGTCATCTGTACGCTTATTATCAATGGCTTGTATGCCTCTATTCAACTGGTTATACAAGCGACTGTGGCTTTGGACTAATTCGCTTTGAAAGTCCTTGGTCAGTACGAGAGATAAGGCTAAGCTAACCCCAGACTAACGTCTCCCAGATATCCGGGTGCTCCAGGGTCCTGACTTTTGCAAGTGTTTTATGTGTCACTTGCCCCTTTATGCCGGGGTTCTAGTTCGAGTCTAAGCCCAGCTATGAGAGGAGAACAGGGCTGGCTCAGCCTGGTTCAGAGCCAATTCTCAAACTTGAACGAATCATATCACGGATAGCTCATTTTGACATGTGCGAGGGGTCCGAGTGACGCTAGGATGTAGTTCCGCTGTATGCTGTTGACGCCTGTTGACGCCACGATGGGGCTGAATTACCCCTTATCTGTTCACAGGTAGGAAGGCTTCCAATCATTAACAAACAGAGTCCGGGGGAAGCTCGTTAATTGAAAAATGTCGTAAATCAAAATGAAGAGTTATAGTGTATGAGAGGTTCTTCTGTCGATGGAATGGCTCGGCATCTTTCAAGATTAAAAGGAACAAGACAGTCGCAATACCACGAGCTAGATATAATTTACGTTAGATCAGTATAGACCATTCAATTCGAATCTAGCCACCATTCGTTCCCTTTAGACTTCTTCTAGCATAAAGCCACATTTAAACACTACTGTAGTTAAACTACTTCTTCTTCGAAACGCCACACTGACACTAACGGGCGTAGACTGACTCGAGAAGATAGACTTTACTTGTCTCAATTCGAAATGGTACAGACAACTTGCTCTTAGCCTGGAATTGACTAACGTCTCTAAATACGTATGCTGGGAACTTTTGTAAAATGATCTGCATCCTTCCTGGTTCTGCTTCTTTCGTTCAAGAACTTTTGTTCTGAGACAGTTATTAACTATGGCCCAAGCTTTCCCCATCCATCTGCCACGGCAGCGGGAGCTAATCGCCGCCTGGGTAATCCTGCCTATGCTATCAACGATTATAGTAGGGCTTCGGTTTTTCGCCAAGACGAAGACGAGAGGCCTGTATGGCTGGACTGACTGGATGATTATAATATCCGCTGTAAGTTGTCCTGGTCTTGTGGACCACTGTCCAAATGCTCATGGTCTGACGATTTGAACAGTTCTTCACAAACCTCTTTTTCGTTCTGGTTCTTCTGAGTAGGTCTTCTATTTTGTGCAGACAAGAGCATAGACTTCTACCAATGGCCAATAGCTAATGTATGTCCGCAAACCAGTGCTTGTATACGGAGGCATCGGCATCCCTGGATACCCATATACTAGTACGACAGAGCCGACCGACGTTTCATTAATCCACGATAAGGTTCGTCCCCATTAATAATGTTTTTAATGAGAATATAGCTAACGTAATTTGGGCGCGTTAGATCGGATGGGTCAACAACATAGTCCTCGTGTTCGCAGTTTACACGTGCAAAGCCTCGATCCTATTCCTTTACCATCGTGTCTTCATGGGCCACAACGGGCCAATAAACATTATAATCTACGCGGCATCAGTCGTAACCATGATCTGCTTCTTGGGAAGTGTCATTGGCTACCTCGCAGCCGTACAGCCTATCGACAAGTGGTGGAATTGGGGCGATGCCACGGCGGCACAGTTCCTGGCTTTCCAGAATACCAACATCGCCTACGACAGCCTGACGGTTTTTACCGACTTCTTGATTTTTCTACTCCCGCTCAAGTCCATCTGGGGACTGAATATGAACCGTGGGAAGAAGATTGGTATTATTGTATCCTTTTGCTTCGGTTTTGTGTAAGTGGCCCTCATCCCCTGAAAAATCAAGCAAGCGCCCTGCCGCTCGATGTTTGGCCAAAAGATTATTACTAACACCACATGATTAGCACCTGTTTTATTGCTCTTGCCCGTGTCGTCTTCACACATGGGTACCAATGGAAGAATCTATATGACGAGGGAACCGTGTGGACCCTCGCAGGCGTTGAGCCAGTCGCAGGAATTATCTGCGCATGCCTACCTGGGCTACGTCCACTATTGCCCAAGACCTTCAAGATGTCATCTTATGGCACTCCTGCAAATCCCAGCAGATTCAAGACTACTGGTACTACAGCGACAGATATCGCTAAAAGGAGTACCATCAGGGATCCTAACCCATTCGCGGTCTTGGAGGATAACAGCTCGGTAGCGGAATTCCGACATACCGTCAGAGAGGTCCCTTCGAGATCTGAGATAAGCGATGAGTATATCGAGCTCGAAGAGCGGCGACCCAAGGCTTTTGATACCTAGGGAGAAGTTGTTAGGAGATATGCAGGAATGTTTCAGTATTGTATGAGTTGAGGTATTTATTCTAGTAAGGAGTAAGGAGCAGGTACTTGAATTATTAAAGTGAAATAAAGTGATACTCTTATTTATAGTATGGTTGACTTGTTAAACTTAGCGATGGTAATCTTTATATACTTTAGTTATAAAGAATAAATATTGAACATACTATCTGCGGCCTCGCTATTCTAGACATGTTTAAGAGACTGATCTTCACGAGCTCGGAGGATAAGGTGGCTTGAACCAATTAATTACTCACTTCCTTCTCTATCCTTTCGCATACATCTCTCTATATGCATTCCTGTGTTTGAATTTTGACAAACCAAAATCCCCTTGTTGACTGCTTACGTGATATCCAACAAGACTCAGCGAACTTGGCAACCCCTTCAATAACACAATAAATACATTCTACTCCCGCAGTGTTGCTTTATTATGCGGTGGCACCGGGCATAACACAAGAACATTCCAGATAGTTGTTGCGATATTTAGGGAAGAACATAGCGAATAGTTTCAATTGATTTGATTGCTTGTTGTGCTTTTATCGTAGCTTCCTTTTGAAAGGTGAAGATTTTTAATCCGCATGCTTACCAAACTTGTTGCACTACTACGACGGGCATCGAGTCTGAGCTGGAGCTTATGCTAAGCCTTAGAGGCACTGTTGTCAGCGTAGTTAGTAAATAAACACCTCAAGTGATTGGCTGGCTTCTTGCTGTTTTTATCCCATCTCACGTCATCTGGTCGCAGGACAGGTTTATTTTTTGTGTTTTATTAAACGGCCACTTTGCTGGGTTCGAACCTAACACCTTCGCAGCTACTAAATCCGCAATCATTTCCGCTCGGTCATTGGACTGCCTGCCTCGGAGCCCATAACTAACCCTTGTCGAAGGCCGAAGGCCGAGCACCGAACAGGGCGCGCTCCAAACGCTCTATCAAAACCCAATCCACGCGACATTTTAGGACTACATATAATAGGCTACACAACTGCTTCCCATAAACCGCGTTCTTTAGGCTTTTATCCTTAGTTTCTATGTTTATGTCCTATTTGCGATATCACCATTATATCCTTCCCTGTCTTCATTACGTTAGGCTTCAAGGCGGCTGTTCCTCAACCTGTCGGTGAACGAGACGACCCAACTACAGCAGAGTTACACTTAGACCAAGGAAGAAGCCTGAATCTTGGTACAATGTCCACTATGGTATGTACTGCCTTGTTCCTCTGTCATATAAACCTGTTTTGTAGACGTAAAGAGCTTTTATCCGTGCTGATGAAAAGTATCTGTCGGGGCTCCCAGTGTCCCCGTAACGTTGCAATACTTTCATCTACATCGACTGACTGTTCGACACAGGATCTACGCGTCGGCAACAAATATCGCATTGGCCGAAAAATCGGTGGCGGATCTTTCGGCGATGTATATCTCGGCACGAACATCATCTCAGGCGAGGAGATCGCAATCAAGCTCGAAAGCGTAAAGGCCAAGCATCCGCAACTCGAATATGAGGCACGCGTGTACAAGTCACTTGCCGGTGGCGTTGGAATACCCTTTGTACGATGGTACGGCACCGAATGCGACTATAATGCGATGGTCTACGACCTTCTCGGACCCAGTTTAGAAGATCTGTTTAACTTTTGCAACCGGAAGTTTTCTCTCAAAACCGTCCTGCTTCTTGCTGACCAGTTGCTTTCTCGGGTCGAATATATCCATGCCAAGTCCTTTATCCACCGGGACATCAAACCGGATAACTTTTTGATGGGTATCGGCAAGCGAGGAAATCAGGTCAACGCAATCGACTTTGGTTTAGCGAAGAAGTATCGCGACCCAAAAACCCACTTCCACATCCCATACCGCGAGAACAAAAACCTCACAGGGACAGCACGTTACGCGTCCATCAACACCCATCTCGGCGTTGAGCAGGCACGGCGGGATGATATGGAATCCCTCGGTTATGTTATGCTTTATTTCAGTCGTGGCTCCCTGCCTTGGCAAGGTTTGAAGGCAGGGACCAAGAAACAGAAGTATGATCGCATCATGGAGAAGAAAATGACTACGCCAACGGAAGTCTTGTGCCGTGGCCTGCCCAACGAGTTCGCGATCTATCTTAATTACTGCCGATCTCTTCGCTTCGATGACAAGCCTGATTACAGTTATCTGCGAAAGATCTTTCGGGATCTCTTTGTCCGAGAGGGCTTTCAGTATGATTACGTGTTTGATTGGACTGTCTACAAATATCAGAAAAATGCCGAGGCCATCGCCAAGGCTAGTGGAAGCAATGGACCGGCTGCAGGCGACCGAACTCGACACTGAATGTTGTCGGCTTTCCGTTGTACTCCTCCCGAGATGTAAAACGCAACTAAGAGCTCTCTTTACAGAAGTTATCTCTTGTTCAGCGTACACTAGCAAACTATGTGTTGCCCAGAACGGGTTTCCGGAGGTAAAGGTGCTTCCGGGTGCCGGCTTTCTGAGACCGTCTTCCCAGATCACAGCTTCAAGGCATCAATGTCATGCACGTGCGGCATATCTGCCCCATTGACGACACCAACACCAACATAGCTTTGCGTATACTGGCTGCCACGATAATGGTCGGTGGGACAAGCCATCTCTGTCCCAGATCCGGCTTTTCCCGAACTGTTCCTCGAGTTGAGAGTTAGTTAGTAAGGTTGCCAAGAAGTTTTTGAAGAAAACTGCTTGAGGGGCTGTCGGGACTGCTTAGAGGGGATCAATAGTGTGATATGGCTCTTTTAAATCCAGTAGTTACCGAAAGGCACATAGAAGGAAGATGGTACACGGATAGAAGATAAACGATCCCAATAATACTCTGTAACATACCCCGACCCTGCCAGACATGCCCTTTCGAAATACACCTTTGCGGAAATTTCACAATACGCATTGCTGGTCTTCCCTCTATTGGAGATGGCTAAAAGAAGCTGGTCAAAAGCTGGTCATCCTTGGTAGTATTTCTCGAGATCTACATCCATGCTGGAATCCTTCCATGACGCTAGACGAGCCATAGCTCATGTCACATCTCCAGATCACTAGCCAAGCCATTCCACATCGCCCAGTATTCCGTCGTGTTGTCAACTGATGATTCTGTTAATGCCTGGCTCGCACCCCAGGAGGCACCCTGAGCTATTTGGTTCTCCGTGAGCCACAATCCCGAGAACGCGGGGTTCGTTGAAAAGGAACCTTCTGATACCGGCACATTATCCGTAAACTCGCTGACTGAGTGACTGCCGCCAGGTATAAACTGCTCATTGAATTCTGGGAAGTTGGGTCTGATAGATGATGTCTCAAAAGACATCGCGTCATCTAAGCGGCCTATCCAAGAGTCGGGGTTGGGTGTTTCCAGGAAGCCATCGGGAATAGAGTGTAGCTCATGTCTCATGCTACTGATGGAACCTCTGATGTCTGATAGATTCGAAGAAGCGGTCTCGACCTGGCGAGGAATCTCGACGCTCACCCCGATACGGGTGGTTGATGGTGGAACGACTTTGCCTGTGCTATTGGGTCCCTGGCCATCGAAGACTAGGCTGGCCTCGTGTATTTGTTTTCCCATCTCCACAAGTTTTACAAGTGCAGACCATAACCTACATGCACCACGGGCTCCAGAGCTTTTGGTCCAGAGACCTAATGCAAGTCCCAAGGCATTCCAAGACTGTCTAGCAACGTCCGTCTCTTGAGGCCTGAGATACAAGCTTTCTAATAGGAAGGCGGTTGCGTGCCAGTGTAAATAAGTGCCGAACATCCAGCCTCGACGATGAGGCGCCGACATCGTCTCCAACACGTGCAAGCACTCAATAGTCTCGATAGACGCCGCTACTAGATGGTCTCGAACATTGTTTGAGACGGAGGACCGCAACTCGGAAGATAAGACAGGGTGATAGATTAGAAGAGGTGCCGTGGCAAGGGACAGCTTTGCATTAACGGCTGTAAGCCACTCCAGGCCGTCATCTGCGCAGTGCTGAAGATAGCGCTCTCTTATCTGCTCTTTGTGCTTTGCCACTAATTCCTCCATTTCCTTTACGTTGGAGGGTTGAGGGCCCTTTTGCCCTCGCGCATGTGTCAACTTCTTCAAGAGCAAGCCAATCTCATACTTGACTAGCATATGGGCCATGTCGGTCATACCTGTCCTTGAAGTTGGATGCTCCGTGTGCGCGGGATCGAGGTCGGAGTCGTTGATATTTAGCGGAAGTCCGACATCGACATAGTCATCAGCTATCAACCAGTCGGTATCCAGATCCAGAGCTGTCTTCGAATCCAACATCCAGAGGCAGAGCCACAGTCTCCTTCGGTTCTCCAAGTCGAAGGGAGACTCTTGAGAGTTAGGGGCCAGATGCACACCGATGCCTTGCGCTATACGTACAGCGAGGGCAGTGAGGTTCCAGGTCAACCGCGGTTGCACGTATTGCCTAAGAGAAGAAATATACAAGATAAAGGCTTGCAGTGTCATCAGGTCCGCAGATGTCATGAAATTTGCTCTTGCAAGTGCCTGCTCTGTAGCACAGCGATATTGATTTATCAGGGTCTGCTTCTCTTGACCCAAAAGCTCCCACACCTACTCTATGTCAGTCGAATTCGTAAGAAGAATGATAGGGAGAAAACATACTTCTTCCAGAGCCATGGAACCTACAGCAGCGAAGTAGATGGCGAAGATCAACGCCTCCTCGGGTGGGCCGAGCGAACGGACCCTGCCTTGAATGCTTCTGATCGTCTTGCTCAACGTCGGAATATGGAGGAGTTTTACCAAGGGATGGACGTTTTCAACAAATGTCTGCCAGTAGAAGGGTATCTGTGACGGGGAAGGATGCTGGCTGCTGAGGTTCGAGTCGGGTGGGTTACAGGATAAAACCAAGGCATGGGTATCAGGAGGAGTCGGGAACTCTTCTGAAAACCGTTCTGCCGAATCGAAATTGCGAGCATCAGGGTCATTTGTGACATCACCATCCCCATCAGTTGTGATAAGCCCACCGGCCTTATGAAGCTGTTGATGATAATATTAGAGAAAAGCTGAACAGGAAAAGCCCCTAGACAGCTATGACTGAGGGTAAGGCTGAACAAGAAACTGCGTTCTGGAGGGACTTTGCATACCAGTTCACTCAGCTCAACCAGGACTGAAGTATACTCGCAACTGGCCTCTTCTTGGACATTAGTTCCTGGCTTCGCGTCGAACATGTAAAGTCGCTTGGGCAGCCTCTCTCCTATGTACCACCATCGTTCAATCCACTGCTCTTTAGCCAGAATACCCTCATCGACCCGAAACTGAATATCCGACTGGGTCAAAGTTAGGCTACCATTTGAAACGAATGGCGCTGTTCTATTAGATACAGGCCTGCCTCCTAGGCCTCTCTGAAGGATGCGCTCGGCGGCTCGAACGCGTGGTTTCGGCCGGGCCCGACCAGGCGGTGGAAACACACACTTGGATCCATGCCTCGCGCAGTTAGCGCACGGAATTAGTTTATCACATTTAACCTTCCGACGACGACATGTAATACACGACCGCACGCTTAAGAATGGCTGACCGCTGGTTGAAGCTGGTGGTGGTACATTTGACTCAGCGGGGCTGCAACCAGTCGCGGGATTGTCGGATGGAGTATCGTTGTAGTCGAGATTGCTCGGGTATGTTTCTGATGAGGTTTCGTGCAGATTAAGATCCATAGCTCTCTTCGTGGCTCAAAGGGAAAATCATCAACCTGACCACCTTGACGGACTTGTAACCCATGACTGATGACGTAACCTGAGAGGGGCCAATAGAAACTGCAACCGGCGGCTCGGACAGTTAGTTTTGCCGAAGACCGACTGAACGAAGAGAAAAGATGTATGACAGACATGTTAGCAGAGGCACTTAATGTACATGATAACAATAGCTGTATTAATAAAAGATAATAGTTAGTCAGTATGAGTCGGCACTCTTTCAAGTTATATAAACAGTTATACATAGGCAGTTCTACTGAACTAATAAAATTCAGCTAGAATAAATTTACACCTATGAGTCAGGATTGCCTTTAATTTAATATTTATTATCGCTTTACATTAGTAAGTTTTAGAAGCTCTTGGTATTGATCTAAATTTATAATAGTAAGAAGCTTAATAGTAGTGTATTAAATTCTAACTATACTAGCTTATTTCTAGTTAAGGTATTCGCTTTAATTAGTATGCCTATTATATTTATTAATTGTAATTGCCATTGAGACTTCACAATATACTGTGGCCTTATCAGTATAAGAATTACTTACTGGGCACTATTAAATATCTAGGGAGAAGCTACTAAGAAACACACTGGGATTTTTAAGGATAACACAAGTTAAGATATTTCTTTCAGTAAAAAACAAGAAATAATTTAATTAAAATGAAGCAATGCTTTTATTTATGTTATTTTAAAATTATTATACTTAGACTCGATAATGTATACATACTTTATTTTAGTAGAAATGTAATACTTAGTATACTATCTACGACCTTGCTATTCTGGTCGGTATTACTAACGCACTACGCCTCGCTGATTATACATATACATCGCTTGTTGTATTATCATAGAAACACTTCTAATATACTGAACATGCAACATGTCAGGTTTATTAACGTAGCGAGGCTATCGCCGTTAGTAGTCTAGACAGGTACAAGAGACTGATCTTCACGAGCTTCGGGGATGCAGTTGGCCTAATTGTTAACGGTAGATGCATTAAGCTCCGAGATATTATGATATCACTGACATATCTATCAGGTCGATGTCTCAAATTATTAAAGATAAAAGTATTAGCAGAATGTTCCCAAGTCTCTAACTGCAATTAGCTGGCATTAAAGTCTCATATCACGCTGCTACAAACTCTGACAGTCGCTACTTGGCCATGTCGACGTCTTTTGAGCTGATGGCCGCCTGGACAATCTTGTTGGAACGTAAAAATGACTGGAAATATTTACCCTTTGAGCCGCGCCACTTTGTTGCGAGACTACCTCATCGACGCCGACTCTCACACTGTCCTACCCGTATATCGGAACAGCGGCCTGTTTGTTGACAGGTTCGCGCTTACCTTGGAGAAAGAAGAACTTCAGCGTGGAGTAAAGGCTTTCGGGGGGGGGGGGGGGGGGGGGGGGGGGGGGGGGGAGCTGCCGCTGTTTATAGCCGGTGGTGGTCACGATTTTATTGTTGAGTGGGAAGCTATGTACGACGTTGATGTTGATTGATGGTCTGTGTTCGTACTGAAGCTGTCCTATCTACGTAGCTAGAAGTATCCACATGAACAATTTGCCCTCTTCAAGATCCAACCATCGCCTTTCTAAGCCGTATCAAGGGGAAGAAACCAGGTCTCCTCATGGCCTTCAGCGTCAGTGACAGTATGTGATGTCAGACCAGCCAGTTCGTCATCGTCCAGGTCCTCCAGAGTGTACTCCACTGCCTTCCATTCCTCGTCGTCAACTTGTACCTCGTTGTCATCGACAAGCACCGCATGTCTAGTCACTCTTTCGACCATCAGGACACGTTCACGGCCGAGATACTTCTGCTTGTAGTGAAGCTTCTGTACCTGAATCCCGAATACGAAGTCCGCTGGTTTCTGAAAGGCCGACGTAACCCCAGATCCACTAGCTAGTTGAGAGGAAGCACCAACTCGCAAGTCGAGAGGCCCCGCGGGAACTGTCACGTTAACCTCCGCGCTATGACCAATCACATGTCCATGCGCGTTGGAGATGGTTGCCCCCCAAGCAATCTTAAGCCCTGTAATAAGAAAGACAGGTTTTTTGTATTTGGCCGCCTCCATATAGTCTTTGACATCCCGAAGCTGTAGGCATTTATCGATGTATTCGCGGTTCGGGTAGAAGTTGACCGTTTCCAGTCTCGAGATGGTGTAAATGTCCTCATCGTGTCGCATTCCTCCGAGAGCGGCGTTGCCGCCAAGGCTACGGCCGAGAATCCTGGCAAGGATGTTTGCTTCGCCACTCTTTGTTTCTTTGAGGCTGGTAGTCACATCTGACTTGACTTCCGAGTAGCGTTGTTCTTTGTTCAAAGGGATCCGGCTTTTTAACCCTTGATTAATCGGGTAGTAGTCGTCTAAACTGTCAACAAGTGTGCCAAAATCAAGAGGACCGTGAGGAGGAGGGGCGATGCTGAAGTTTGGTGCGACAAGATAGGTAGGGGTTTGTTGCTTCAGCTGGTCCCCTTTGGGGGCCTTTCCGAAGTTCATGATGCTCCCAGGATGTGTTATCCACAAAGTTCGTGCGTACAGCTACCGTCGGATTTGAAGTTGGAAGTGGAAATGATTTCATTAAATGATGGTTATTTCCATAAGCTTTGTGTAGCACATAGCGCCACACTGTTTCGCAACTGCTCGTATAACAAGCAGATGGGCTGAGACACGGGAAGGCTCATACGAGAGTTTGTACTACGTACTTCAAACTTGTAATAAGGCGTTTAGCTCTCTATTCTAAGTGGCACGTGTAATTTAACAGACCCTATCCAAAGCCCCTTTGATCACTTTGCAAGCCACGTGTGTTCCCCCGCTGCCCCATATGTGATTTGGGTGGACAAAGTCGTACTTGTCTCTTGGCACAGACATGGCTCGGAATACTGCCTCCATGCCGTTTTTCCGGCGCACACCCTTGAGATGGTGGCGCTTGAGGGACATCTGATGCCTCTTGAGCGCCACAAAGTCCAAGATGTTGGCGGCAAGCCCTACTGCAACAGGCACCGCAAATGAAGTCCCGGAGAGGTGGATATCTTCCCCCTTCCGTCTCGACGTTATCGCAACCCCAAGTGTGGCAAAATTGTTGGCGTGTGGGATCGGTGAAGGGTTCATCTTGCCTTTGTTACCCTTGCCATCTGTTGCGTGAATGCACATGACACCCTCTCGACGAGCTGGTCTCGAACGCCCCAAGACCCCACCGTTGTTGGAGGCGGCGGCAATAATAAGCTTATTCGCATTAATGGCGTTCTCGAGCGCTGTGTCAATCTCATCGTTCTCCTCCTCATAACCAAAGGATATTGAAATGATGTCCGCGTTACATTCTTTGACAGCCCAATCGATTGCCTGTGCAATGAACGCGTCAGCATTGTCATTGTCAACTGCAACGTGGGCTTTTGCGCCCGTGAGTCCTACCTTGGCTATTCCTGGCATTTCCTCCGCACTAATTTGCTTCTCAGTGCAGACCTTGCCAACGTAGATCTCAGCACAGCTCGTCGTCATCTTGATGAGCAACTGTGTGATATGCGTTCCATGGCCGTAAGGGTCTTCCCTCCAGCTGTCTGGGTGGTTGACAAAACTTTTGCTTTTCTCCTTCACGATATGATTTGACGTCATTGCTCCGCGAATTGCTTGTTGGCTGCCATCGACGCCAGAGTCCAACACCGCGATCCTGATTTTATCTGGCGCTTTAGTAATCACACCATCCTTCTTACCTTCAGCAGTCCTCCGAAGTTCAGTAATGGTTACGAGAAAAGGGACTAAACTTGTCATAAATGAATTGGCCGAATTTCTGTAGTAACGGTTAGCGAAAATACCATCACAGATACACTCGGCTACTCTGTATACTTACATGTCATCGAGGCTGGCTGTGTTGTAGTCATCGTCGAACAAGACGAGTTTTGGCGCGTCCTTGAAAGATGTCTTGATGGGTGAGGTCGTAGCAGAGGCAGGTCGGATCATGTCCTTGAAGAGATACTCCAGACTGTTAAAGTCTTTCGTCGTCTTCCTCACTAAAGGCACAAGGATATGTTTGTAGATAATCGCCTGGCCTTTTTGATCTTCTGTGATATCTTGGTGTTCAAGATTGTCGACCAGAGTGTCAAAGTTGAGGCATGACTCTGCAATTTGTCGATAATCGTCAGTGATCTCGTCTTTCCATTCTTTTAGCATCCGCTTGAGTTGAGCATAGATCGAAAATTTGCCAGTGCTCAAGTCTTCGTCATTCTTAGTCCACTCAGCTTCGCGGCCAATCTCCAGCTCCATAATCATAATTCCAAGACCTGCGACTTTCTGGCCATGCGACCAAGCATATTGCGGCGGCTCCAGAGTACAGCGTATTCTGGGACACCATTGTTCAAGCTGGCTGCTATTTGGCGCTGGGACAATGGAAGGGATGGAGTCTGGCCCTAAACGTTGCTCAATCCATGGACTGCCAGTGAGCTGGAACACTGACGCCACCAGCAGAGCACCAATTAATTTGCGGTACATTAGTGGCAGCTTTGTTCTGTTGTTAAAATCAAGCCTTTTTCCGTCAGAATCACCAGAGACACCTGGCTCGACCACGTCATTGCTGATCCACATGTGTTCTGAATTGAATGAGATATGCAGTACCTCGGACGATTTAACGCCGGGTGGAAGAAGAGAGCAAATACGATCGGGCTGAAAGACATCCCTGGGAGGCTTATCGAGCGACCTTCTCCATTGTCAGGTCGATTATTCTTAGACACAGGAAATTGTGGCTTACCTTGTAAAAACTGTCGAGATCCAGTCTTTCTCTTGACATGTAGAAATTTTCATCCTCAGCTGGTCTTCCTTGAGCCCGGAGAGGTAAACCATTGCGCTGTGTGGTTTCCCGCATTTGGTCTTCGTGGCCATTTGAGTAAAGAGTGATGTGCATAAAGATGAAAATTCTTGTGCATAGCGAATATGACTGAGCTCGTCAAAAGTGTATTCTTTTGCATCTCCATGCTCTGGGCGTCCAAAGTATTTTTCAATGGCTGTTGCAAAGTTAAATATGACCGTCCCCAATGTCTCCAGCTTCTTTCGGTCTCTTGGAAACCGGATATAACTGGTGAGCTGAAAGGGCCGTCTGCTACGGTCTCTGTCGACCAAGCTTGACTCAGGTCGAATGTCGGTAACATTTGCATCTGGGACACCCAACACGTCATTGAAGTCGTCTTCGCCAGTTGACGGGGTCTTCCCCTGTTGGAAGAGCTTCCGTAATTGTACTAGTCTTGGGAAACAAGTAACCGATGGCGGTTCATAGGTGTGCTTGACTGGAAGTTAGTATTGATCTCCGTTGGTGGAGCGGACAAGGCTTTAAATTACCTGCACTTCTTTCTGGAGAATCTCTGGGTTGACAAGCTCTTCAAATTCCACCAAGTTGGCTTCCAGAGCAGATTCGAGAGCTGCAAAATCTGCAGAGCCCCGATTCAAGCTTCCAATATCATTCTTTACCTGTCTACTGACGTTCGAGCGCAAGTCGTGCTGAAGTGCGTGAATTTGCCCGATCAGGTCTTTGGCATCCAATTCTGAACACGTACCAAATGCACCTCGATTGACATCATCTTTGGTTGGTAGGGTTTTGGCTCTCAAAAATAGTGTGTGGATTATTTGGAGTGTTTGCCACCTCAAATCGGCGTCATCTGGCGGGTGCATGGTGAAAGCCAAGCTGTACGGTCAAGCAAACAAAGAAACTAGAACTGAACCAAGCTGGAAGGGGCTTTTGTATAAGAGCCACGCGGAATTTGAGCCCACGAGGCTGCTCTAACGAAATGAAAGGGTGTCCTACTGCCTGCAAGGAACAAAGCATTCTGGTTACACAATACACTCTCGTGCTCGGCCTAGTCTCGTATTCTGTTTCGCTCATGCTCATGACCGTCGGTCAACCCGGGCCATTGCGTTCTACCCCACACTGAGAGTCAATTGAAAAGCCCTTGATTCGACCGGCGGAAAAGCTTATCTGTTGATCAATCTACTGAATACTTTACCCAAAACATGACCCAGAGAATGCCCACCCCGATAGAAGACATTGTGTCGCAATGTCTTAGATCTTTCGACCTCATGGCGAAGGAAGGGGATAAAGCGCTTCGCACGAGGGTGATTGAGGCAAAGGCCGCACGGAAAACCTTTGAATTTCGGGCACTACGGCAGAAGCTCTTCCACTGGGCTTTCGACAGTGACGCTTTCACGATAAAAAAAAGAAGGCTTGACGACATTTTGCGGGGGCTTGAAGTTCTTTCTGCAACGGTCATGCGACAGCTGGAGATTGTTCGAGACAATCTACTCCGTGGTATGTCTTCTATGTGAAAAAAAGCATTACAGAATCGGCATCAAAAGACATTTGCTAACTGTGACTTTCTTTCAGTTGACAGCAAAGGATACACTTTCTATGGAAATGTTGATGGCGTGTTTGACACGACAGCCCCCTTGTCAGAGAGGCACCGCGCCTTTCTATCGAAATGGGATGACGCGGGTGTGGCAGTCTACCACGCCCTGGATGAGCTCTGTACTGTAGCTGCCGTCATCAAAGAGCACTCTGCTGAACTGGTTGAAGCGTTTCTCACTACCAGGCTCTCAGATGCGGACAAAAGCTTTCAAAGAGACATTATGTCAGTGGTGTGTCACAGACTCCCTGCCGCCCGAAAGGAAGCCTGTCAACTATTGGCGGATTCCATAGCCGCCCGACGCATGCTACTGTTACACAGAAAACAGCTTTCGAGGCGGTCAGCTGTCGGGCGAGCGCAAGAGGCCGTGCCGCTGGTTCCACTATCAATGAGGACGGTTGACACAGAAGCGGTCACATCCATGACTGACGGTTGCAGGTCAGAAGACGATTCTGCCGGCTATCCGCCATTACCCAAGGCCAATCCGGGAGAAACACAAGTGCAATGCCCATCATGCTTCACGGCGCTCGAGCGAACGGGCCTAGAGCAAGTTGTTGAGGAGTATTGGAAACGCCATATCGACGAGGATATAAAGCCTTACGGTTGTCTTTATCCCCGCTGCTCTCGGTCCCTCGTCTTTTTTGCTCACCGCCATGAATGGGAGTCTCATATGAAATCGAAACACGCAATCTATTGGATGCAAAATGTTCACACTTTGACGTGGTTTTGCAATGAAGACCACAATGATCCATTGGCATTCGAAACTGAGCTCCAATGGAGAGAGCATGTGCTAGATCCTGCTTTGCACCCAGATAGGGAGGAGCTTCTCAACGAGTCCCAGCTACTTGCTACTCACGTGCGGTATAAAAACGACGATATTCGTGAGAAGTTTGTCTGTCTGCTCTGCGAGTGCATCCCTGACGAAATATCACGGAGAATTAAAGACGGGTGGGATTCGCCTCGAATTCACCGTCTTCTTTTGTCCCATGTGGCATGCCACATCAAGTCATTGTCTCTACTTGCTGTGCCTTCACCCGACACCGACACCGAGAAAGAGTCTGTTGCCCAGCCCCTTGGCGGTCGAGATTTGATGGTACACTCTTCAACGCCGCAAGAACCATTGCCACGTCGTCATGCCGGTGGGGTAACCCTGCATGGAGATCGTTCCCTGACAGATCCTATTCTTGAACAACTCAGATTTTGCCGGGGCGTTGGACTGAATATTGATGCACACGACGAAGCAGGTCGGACCATGCTTTCCCTTGCTGCTCAGCTAGGAAACCAAGAATGGGTTCATAGATTGTTAGATCTGGGTGCATCTGTCGACCTGGCGGATCAGGATGGTCAAACACCATTGCTATGGGCATCATATGGTGGTTATAACGGTATCGCAAAGCTACTTGTCGATCACGACGTCAACATACATATTGCAGACAAAAGATACGGCCGCACCGCTCTAGCTTGGGCAGCTTTCAACGATCATGAGACTCTAGTTGCAACGCTCACCGAGGCCGGAGGCAATCCAGACGCTTTCGACAATTTCGGTCGCACGTTGCTAGGGCAGGCGGCGGAGGGCGGGGACGAGGGTACTGCGCGTATCTTGATGGCTGCAAATGCCGATTGCGAATTGCGAGACTTGAAATCCGGACGCACTCCTTTGGCATGGGCAGTAAGCAAAACCCGACCAGAGATGGTGACGCTCTTCATAGACCACGGCGTCAATGTTGATGCGCTCGACAAGTCACACCGAACACCACTCTCATGGGCGGCGCGGGGGGGCAAAACAGCTATCGTGGAGTTGCTCATAGCTGGTGGAGCGGACATCGAGTCGCCACACCCCGGAACATTGCAGACTCCCCTGGCACTGGCATGCGAGCGAGGCTCCCTAGGAGTAGTCGAGGTTTTACTGGAAGCCGGAGCGAATGTTGAAGCCACAGACTCGCAAGGGTGGACGCCACTTGACTGGGCTCTTGACAAGGGTCATGATGAGGTTGCCAAGCTACTAAACTCTGTCGGAGCTTCAGCAAAGACATGATGATTACTTTCGTCTCTGAGATTGGATTTTATGGTAGGGAGTTTCGTTAGTACTGGTAACCGGAAACAAGAAGAAAAAGAAGAAAAAGGGGACAGAATTTGGAAAAAAGAAAAAAAGATTTGCTTCAAGTCGCTCGTTTCATAGTTTATATATATTTTACTAAATACCCTTCTGGATTGTTGCATTTGACCATGTGAGCTCGCCTATTACCACCCAAACCACCCATTTAAGTCTGATTTTGTGGCAGGTTCTGCATGTTGCAATCTTGATACTGATGTGCGAGGACACTCTCCCATGGCCTGGAATGGGGCTCGCAATCGTGATTAGGTCGACATCCAGCCCCTTTATTATTGTGATTGTTTTTGCTGGCATCCTTTTACTCTTGATGGAGGTTGTCAAGTCAGGAGGCCCAGTGCATAAATTTAAAGAATGCATAACGGACTCGGTATCGGCCGCTACGGGATTAAACTTACTGCCTGAGGCCAAGGTTTAGCGCTATGGGCATCTTGGTCGGCCCAGAAACTAAGTTTTGCTTTCATTGTAGATCCAGCTCTCCAACGATAAGACTTATCACGCTGATGTCATAAAACCTCGCTCAAAACACTACAAGTAGAAATCAGACACGCCAGATCCGCCATGAGTTCCTCACTACAGAGCACACCGAATAATCAGAGTCATCGGAGCGATCCGAGTGATGCGGCTCCAGACGCTGGGCCAACAGATCTGAAGAAAATACTACGCGAAAGACAGCTGGCTCGCAATCGTAAAGCCTGTTTACCTTGCCGGGAGAGAAAGGTCCGCTGCAACCATCAACAACCTTGTCAAACCTGCCTTAAACGCGGTCATGCCGATCTCTGTTTTTATAACCAGGCTCCAGAGCCAAGGAGCCCTAGCCGAGAAGTCACTCAAGTCAACCAACCAGCTACAGATCTGGATCATAGCAACAATAACAACACATTCTCAGCAAACCCCACCAGCCACAGCAATAGCCCATCAATCCCAACTCCATTCTTACTTGGCGGCAACTCCATCATCTCGGTAGCACGACCAAACAGCGCCCAGCCCCAGTCAGACAATGAGCGTTATGCCGCTTTCGAAACAGGAATTTTCCCCTTACTGGGTATGAATGAGGCCTCTACTAGCGAACAAAGTCCTCGACCTGCACGACCAGATTTAAAGCTCGCCGACGACCAAGAAATGATAACTCTCTTTAGCTTCTACAGGGATCGAGTTCACCCTTTCCAATTCGTCATTGACGATCTTGCTGAGATAGAAGAGCTTGTCTGCTCACTTATCAACCGCGATACGGAAGTAGGGCAAGTAGACAATCATAGCCTCTGCTTACTCCATGCCATTCTGGCAGCTGGAGCGCAATTCTCTGACATGAACACTGCCGCACGAGTGCGCAAGTCTCGAGAGGAATGTAAGTAATTAACTCTTCATGTCCACTCAGAGCGTCACTTACAGGTACCAGTGCAGTCAGCGTTGGGACGTCTCGGGTCATTTGACTTATTATGGAATCCATCAAAGAGGCTTATTCAGGCATTACTTATTCTCGGGCACGTCCTGCAGAATGATATGAACCCCCGTGCAGCTTGGATCCTAGGAGGTACTACCGTTCGTCTAGCACTATCTATTGGCCTTCATCAGCCTGCAACAATGCCAAATACCCTCCGCCTCATGCCTGCTGAGTCACAACATCTGAGGTAAATTGTTTATCTATCTTTCCAGTCTATGCTTTACTTGGGCTGACATATACCCGGTGACAGACTCGCTATAGTCTGGCAAGACGCTCTTCTCTCTTTGGCTTTTGATCGACCGCCAGCTTCCCAAGAGATGAACCTGGAATCAGATCTCCCAAAGATATTTCCAAATGCTCTTCCCAGCCAAATTTTGAACTACCGGCAGGCCATGAATTGGCTATGTTATCTTACGCTTCGACATTTACGAAATTCTTCAGCAGGACCCTTTTTGGAGCATTATACTGTCTTTTTTCAAGACTTCCGCAACTTGGAGGCTTCTCTAGCTCCTCATTTGGAAGCACACCAGAAATGCACCTCTATCCAAGAGCTCCAGGAACATTACAGCTTGAAGCTCCATCGAAATTTTGTGCTATCTACCTTCAGTCGACCGATTCTTTCAACAAAGACAAGGGAGTCCTGTTCTGACGAAGACTACTCACGGATCTTGGGTCGGTTTCAAACTGCTTTGAAAGAAAGTGTGCGAGCATTTATCAAGCTGCGTTCAATATCGAGCCATGCTACTTCGTCATGGGCATTCGTCCATAATGGACTCTCCTCTGCATTGCTGTTGAGCTTTATAAGACAAGGTTCTGAACCGGATGTAACGCGACAGATTCAAACTGAATTGATGCAGACTTTGAGTGAGCGTAGCGAGGAGGTGGGACAATTTTCCATCGCTCATAAAAAGGCTCTGATGGCAATTCAGGCTCTTCAGGGATTAGCGGAACAAGACGCAAGCAGAGTCCAACCGTTAGGTTCTTCAAATGAGCGTCAGTCTACAATGGATATCCCCTTTGACCCGTTAGATGCCTCCCAGGAACAAAGGTATGAGTTTCGCTTATTGTTTATGATGACCATATTGCTAATCGAAATTCTGTATAGTATGCTCAGTATGGACGAATGGCTTCGCACCTTTGACTTTAACACTTTTTCTCCCTCAGAATCATACAATTTCATTATGTCGGACCAGGTGCCGCTAGATACAAATTTTTAGTTCTGACTCGGCTTATTATAGCCCGACTCAACTTTGTGTACCATGGTGCTTGTCATTTCTATACTCTATTTCGACTCTTTACGCACGGTAAAAAGTTGTCTATCAATCTACTTAAAGTTTCCAAATCCGAAGGCCTCCCAGCGGCTAGAGACTCTTTTCTTGACTTCCTGGGGAAACGAGTTCTCGAAATCTGCTGCCTCCCAATCTTTCCCGGTTGTATACTCGACAGGCATTAAGCAATCAGAAACGACCTTGCCACCCTGATTAGGTACCCCATTTCCATGTGACATATACGGAATCAAAGGAAAGCCAGGAACATCTTCGAAATGATACTCATCCATACCGGGACGGCAGCGTGTACAGAAAGCCCAGATCACGTCCTTGAAGTCGTACGCATTGACATCATCGCCAATAACGACCAGGCGGTGAATGGTGTATCCAACTTTATGTCGGAAAACCAAATCTCCGATCTTACGGCAGAACTCCTCGGAATTGGTCTTGAGCTCTCGTAGTTTCTCAGTATCCACTTGCAAGACGACCCATGTGACTTGAGACTCAAAGGGAGAGTAAGCTTCCTTGATTGGCAAGCCCTGAGACCTAAGAAGGAAACCAATTTCTGCAGCAGCAAGAGGTCCGATCATAGTGTGCTACTAGAATTAGTCATAATATCTACAAGGTAAAGAAGAGGAGCGGGACTTACGGTCTCATCGGTCAGTCTACCGCAGTTAGAGACGGGCAGAATGGCGTCTTTGCGATGTGTGATGAGATCGACCGTGTACTTCGGCCAAGGGTGTGTGTCTCCGGGAAAGACATAGCTAGAGCAACATTAATAGCTGTAAAAGATAGACAGTCATCAAGACTTACCCATGCATCTCTCCGAAGGGACCTTCAGGTCCAGTCTCCGTTATGGAACAAGTTCCTTCGAAAACAATCTCCGAGTTGGCAGGCACATAAAGCCCATTGGTCTCACACTTGACAACTTCAAGAGAAGATCCCACGAGGGAGCCGATGTAATCGGCTTCTGACAAGCCATCTGGGAGTGGCATACTAGATGCCATAATAGCAGCTGGTGGAACGCCAAAGGCTAGGGCCCAAGGCATATCGCGACCTTCCTTCTTCCACAGCTGATGCATCTGCCAGAGGTGCTGAGGCTTAATCACAAGACCAACGAGGTGGTTCCGGTCATAAACCATGGCACGGGCAATGGACCAGTTTGTCCACTTTCCATCCGGTGACTGAACAATATGCATGCCGTAAGTTTGGATGTACTTTCCGCCATCCGACTGGTGCAGAAACGGCGCAGGAAGCTTTGTGAGGTCGAATTGATCAGGTGTCAAAATATGTTCCTTGCAAGAACCGGACTCAACAATCGTGGGTGGAATGGGAGAAGCCGACTTGGCAGCAACCATCTTGTCCAGGATGTCTTTCATTGATGATTCGATAGGAAGCCCAAGATGTCTGGCAAGTCTGCCATAACGTTGCTTTGGATCAGAGCGCAGCGAGTTAGGTGCGCCGAGAATCCTCCACAAGCCATTCTCATCTTGCCCTTTGAGCTTGTTGAACAGAGGAGCTTTTTCATTGTTCTCGACGGCTTTTCGGATGATGGCGCCAACTTCAAGATGAGGATCGCACTCTTCATTGATGGAGACCAGATCGCCATCAGCTTCGAGAGCATCGACGTAGCTGCGAAATTCCATGTGAGGAAGGTTTTGCGACGACATGGTGATGAATAAGGATCAATGATGATAGCTGAGTGAAGATGGACCTAATGAATTGGTATTCTGGCTTTCTTATGTAGAAACTGTGAGATAACGACATTCTCTGACGTTCTCGCGGTTCACTGTATTATAGCTAGTTAGTAGTCCGAGTCCCCCGAGTCTGCCGACTCCACCTGATCCACATGTACCGAGCTCACCGAGTGTCCGTAGTATTCTGTAAGTGGGTCGTCCGAGGCAGCCGAAAATCCCCGAGCTGATTCTCATCGCCACTTTGAACTTTCTCAATAAATAAGCTCGAAGCAATCACAACATTGTCTAAAATCAATATTTTCTATTTATCGATCGAAGGCCAACACTTTTCACCAGCTAAAATCTCCTCCACTTCTCAGTAGACTTTCATCTCTGACCAAACCCGACTCTACAAACCACTGCCTCAGTCTCCATTCGTTCTCAATCCAAAATGGGAGAAACGCCAAGAAAGAAGATCATTGTCGCTTTGACTGGCGCAACTGGCGCTGTCATAGGCATTCGTATCCTATCAACCCTTCGACATTTAAACGTTGAAACGCATCTCATCATCAGCAAATGGGCTGCCGAGACCATCAAATACGAAACAGACTACACTCCAGCTGCCGTTCGAGCGCTAGCAGATCATGTCTACAACCCAAACGACCTGGCTGCACCCATCGCCAGCGGCTCTTGTCATGTTGACGGCATGATTGTTGCCCCCTGTTCAGTTAAGACACTGGCTGCCATTAATGCTGGTATCTGTGATGACCTCATCACTCGTGCTGCAGATGTTTGTCTCAAGGAACGAAGGAGATTAGTGTTGTCGTTGAGAGAAACACCACTCAGCGAAATACATTTGCGGAACATGATGGAGGTGACTCGGGCTGGTGCGATTATTGCACCTCCTGTTGTTGGATTTTATACGAGGCCGAGCTCTGTGGACGACATATTGGATCAGATGGTTGGTCGTTTATTGGATCTGTTTGGGCTGGAAGCTGGTAATTTCGAGAGGTGGGAGGGAATGAAAAACAATACTCCTTGAGAGGCTGAGTATTGCAATAGGTTTTATACTTGTAATACTATTAACTAGACAAGGAAACATATGATAGCCACGTGGTAATATTACTGAGATTACTCTACTAAAAGATTTACGAGATGCTACTTGCCTATAAGTAGGATTCTTTTTTTTTACTTTAACCTTTAACTTTATTAAGCCCAGGCTTTCTAAATCTCTTAATAATATTAATAATAAAAATAACCCCTTCTAAGGTCAAAACTTAATATAATCAAGGCAATAGAAGTTACACACGGCAACTAAACTCTATCCAAGTGAACACGTAGACTGTGACTTACACAGCCGTATGCATAAAAGCTGGCTTTTCCTCCCACACCCCTCAACCTATTCCACACCACAAGCCTATAAGCAGGAATAGTGATTCTAAACTACTTGTTAATAAGAATCAGACCACCGTTGCCACCGGGTCCGGTTTTGCCCTTTATCCACTGGATTGGGACTAGGTGCCCTTGATGGCTCGCCTGATACGGTCGACTCGCTATCTGATGTCTTGACCCAATCTGTCTGCTGGATTCCGTCGTCGCAGAGTAATTGGAAAAGTCTGGAACACATCAGTGGTACCTTCTTCGTATATGGCCATAGCTTCATTCATCCTCATTGGGAATTCAATCTTTCTATATCCGGAACTGGCTGATAATCTAGTAGACTAAGTATAAATTCAATACTGTTATAAATTGCAGCCAGTAGGAGCTAATAATCCGCCGACTTATCTCGGCGGACTAAGACTTCTAGAGGTTGAAGAAGTGCCTCCATATTGCGCTTCTGGACTGGGTTTCTCAGCGTGACAAAGTAGAATTCTCTCTACCAAATATGAACCTGTTTCCCGTTCTGCTTAATATCGCTTCCAGGTAGTATCCCCACGCCCACTCGCTCATAAATCTGTTCCTGGTTTGAGAATGGCCTGGGCTGGACCAAGAGCACATAGTGAACCTTTTCTCGATCCAGCTGGTTTCCCTTCTGTTTTCCAAGAACCACGCACTTCGAAAGACTTTGCCCTGAGCCCAAAAGAGAGTCAAAGACAAGCAGAGAGTCTTTGCTCCCAGCGTTATAATCTCTTGCTTGGGCAGCCAACACACCTTCATCGGTTCTGTTCGGACCACAATCCCACTGAGTGTGGATGACTTCCCATTCCGTGCCACCGAATTCAGCAGGGATATAATCGATAGTACCGGTATACGCCATCCATGACCAGGTTGGAACTCTGGTACCGTCGCGATTCGGGGAGAATTGGATACGGGATAGCGAGTCTGCTTTATTAGCACGGCGCCAAAGCAAACTTCGGCGAAGTAAACCTCGTCGACGACCACTTTCGCTATCCTCATAGAAGACACCGAAGCCACCTTGAACTTTGAGAGCAGTGATGATGCGCTGTTGCAGACTGTTGATAGCCCATGGCCTGTCCGTAGCGATAGACAGGCCTAATCCAGAGTACCTCTTGTAAAGATCTTGGTAGCCAAGAATCTTCGCCCCCTTGTCTGCTTTTATCATCAGCCGCGGAAAGTTGGGGTCGCCTAAGAAAGCAGCGCGTTGGCTGAAAAGAAATGGTTAGTACCTTTTGAATGGAAGGGATGGACGACCTAACTTTGTCATCTTCGTCATAGTCTCGCAGCGCACACCATCGCCGCACTCGAAGTAACACTGGAAGTCAGTGTAATATACCGTACGACGAGCGAGGGCGTGTTCTTGTAATACCCAGCCTCTCCCTCCCAGGGGCCCGTCGGAAACGTGGGTTTGGAAGTCATCGATAATCTCGCGGATGAAGAATGGTTCAGATGTCCTCATTGATCGGAGGCTGATGCTCCTGCTTTCCGTTCGTGATCCAAGAAAGCCAGCATCATGACCTGGGTGTCGGCTAGCAGCGAGTACACAATAGGCACCGCTGTACACCTGTTCCATCTGCTTGGCCTCCTGCTGGAAGTCTCCGTCAGGGCCTTGAACAATGCAGATGGAGTCAATCCAAAGATAAGGGCAGCCAATTGCCCGAGTCACCTTGACCGCGTCTCTGAAAGTGTGCGGAAGATGGTTAATTTTGATGCCCGCAATATGCTCCTGGAGGTTCGTTGTGACAGTGCGAAACTGTCGACCTGTTCCCCATTGGTGAGATAGAGCTACCCAGGTTCCCTTTTGGTTCGAAGTGGTTTCGACAAGATGAACCCTGTCGTGATCAACGTGGTTGACGGCAATAACTCTCGTTGGCAGCCTTTTGTTTGCGCCCAAGCTATTTGAGTTTGTTCGGCTTGGTTCTCGCGTGCAGCCCTCGTGCTGTGTATCACAATGCTTCAACCATTGCCGGACGATTTCAAAATGTGCGGGAGTCCCAGCATCAGGGAGGATGGGGAAGCCAAGTTGAATTTGATTGTCAATTCCAGTACTCAGGCCTAGATTATTCAATACATATCAACTGTAAGGAGTCTTCCAGGAAACTTACTTTGACTTCGAAATACTGAACCAACTGGCGTGTAACTATTCATCACAATAGTTGAACCACTTCTGTCAAAATGGACACGAGCATTTAAAGTGCGGCCCGGCTTCTGGCAAAATGCCCACAGTAGGCCACAAAGATCGCAAGAACTGGCACTCGAATTTGCCTTTAGAACAGAGGAGTCGTATGAGATGCTGAAACCTGGTTTCCAGAGACCGTCACGGAATGTCAGGCAGTTTCCGCAGAGCTTCGAAGACTCCTGGATGCTTGGGGTGTCGAGATCTTTGCCCTTGACAGAAGATATAGCACGATCAGCAAATTCGTTGTCAATACTTAAATGCCAATTGTCTTCGAGCTATTAAATGGTAAGTGGGTATTCTTTTTGCGAAACTCGAGAGAAACTCACGTTCTATTTTATTTTCTTGCTCAGCGAAAAGACTTCAAATGTCCTAGAATTGTTTCGGAGACTGACTGTCTATGACGTGGGTGTTAGCAACATGTCTCACGTACTCAGTGGGGGATGTGAAAGATATGTATCTTACATTCTAGATAGGTACAAGTTAACTTGATTGTCAAAAAGAAAGGCAAAGTTCCTGTGACTTACACCCTATATACCCATCACGGAGTTGTCAGCATGAAGTAATTTATCAAGCACCGACGAGGGAGTCAGCATACATACTAAAGCGATGTTAGCCAAAGTTACATTTTAATTAAAGTTTACAGTGAACACGTACATCCTATATCACAAAGGTTTGGTGGTCAGTATGCTTCGAATCTATCAACTATAAGTGCTCAAGGACTTACCGTCTGTGTTAGAAACATAATGTCAGCTTGTCCTATTGAGGGAAAAGATTGAGACGAACCTTTTCTATCGAATCCAGGCTGGGGCTTTGAACTACCGACAGCGTTGCCTGCAAACTAGTTGAAGGCTGACTCTGTGGCTCATATCTACTTCCTGAAACCTCGACAGCATGGTCCGGAGGGGGGAGAGGGGTACCTGAAAGCCAGTATTGAGGTGTATCCACATCGGTCATGATGTCTTCCATTCGGTCGTAGAGATCCTTTGCTAGGGCACGGCAGCCTTTGTCCGATTGTGGTGCCATGGGTGAGCCGGGAGGAGAGATAGTGATAAAGAAGGGTGGCTTCTGATTGGCTGGGCTTTTAGTCGGATCTGACTCGTTCAGTATGATTTTCGGAATGTCCATTGATGCAGTTTTGCCTCTGGGTGGTAAGTCGCCGATGATAGTGTCATTGCTGGAAGAGCTACGACGGCGCGCTCGAGGTGTGTTTGACATGTCGATATTCGACCCAAGGTTTCGGGGTAACTTCACTACCAGGAGTCGGTCCCTGATAAATTCAAGTAAGTCACCCAAAGCTGTTTGGCCAACTTCGCAGACTGGATCTTGAATCATATGTCCAATCCATCGTAAGGCAACATGGTGAACCTTGGCTCCGTCGTTTCGATCGAGCTCGTAATAAGACGGGTTATCAGATTGCCCCTGGTGGAAGCTCCGATTGAATCGTTTCAATCCATCCAAGCCATACATCAGCCAGATAAGGAATTCCAGCCAGATGCATCCCATGGCCCAAAGGTCGTAAAGACGAGATCGTTTCCTAACAATCTTTCCCGCATCGTTTGGGACAATGAGATTATTGTCGCGGACTGTCCTTTCTTCAGGAGGCTCGTATCGTCGTGTTCCAAAGCCGGTTGACGTCTGCACAGTCCGCAGTTGCGTAATATCATGGTGTTGTTTTGCCAGACCCCAGTCCCCAATCTTTAGCGTGCCGATCTTGGCCCTGTTTGCCTTGTTCTTGAACCAAAGAATATTCTCGGGTTTCAAGTCTCCATGTCGAAAATGTTCGTCGGAACTTTTATCCTTCGGACTGTGAACCTTATGAAGCGCTCGGGCGAGTCCAAGCAACTGCCCACATGTATCTTTCACCAGGTCTGTGGTAAGAGGCTGACGGAAAGTCTCCCAAAGGCTCTTCAGGTTCCCGCCATCCGCCCATTCAAGAATGAGGTAATGTTCATCTTGACCTAAGCGAAATGCAGTAATGAAATTGACGATGTGCTCTTCACCAAGAGCTCTTATCTTCCATAGAGCTATTACCTCCTTCTCCCAACCAGAGATTTTAATGTGCTGGTCTTGAGTACTGTCGATTTTGATCTTCTTTATCGCGACGTGTTCAGTACAAGGAATGATCTGGGTGTTTTAGTCTTGCATTTTCCACATACACAATTTTGGTGAATAGTTACCTACCAAACCGCTTGGGTCCAAGTGCGACTCGTGAATTTTGTACTTCATAACCTGGCCAAAGGCTCCCTCATCGGCAGAAGCAAGATCCCTCTCAGTAAATGGTAGAATGGCTTCCTCGTCAATGTCGTGGTTCTCTCTATGAGTAGAGAAAATCGGAGCACAAAATGTCCACTGATGGAGAATGAAGTCATGAGTGTTGTCGTCATCCCACAGTATGTCCTCATTGTCAGGCCTCATGGATCTAGTATCCTGCTCAGGCTGCAATGTGGGAGAGAACTCGTTCAATTCCTTTTCCTTGAGAGGGAGCTTGCTGTCGTAAATCTTCCTGTCCATTAGAAAGACGATAAGGCAATATAACCTTTCGCCTTTGAGTCCGATCAAAATAGAAATCGAGAAAATCTTCCTTGCATGGGTCGAGATGAAAGATATAACCTTCTTCACCGAATCAGGGAGGTTTCTGGGCGCATTATCAGGAGACTTGTATAAAGCACGAAGGATGAAGTCTCCTGTGACAAGTTCATCCAATTTCCCCTCAGGTAAGAATTTAGGTGTCCGGTTGTCAAACGAACTTTTGACCGTGGTCTGGCGTATCAGGGTCCCCAGTGTGAGCGGGGGCGGAGGAGGCATCGCTTAACAAGAGGTCCTATAAATTGATAATCAAGGGAAATCTTGGATAAATCTTGGAGCTATTCGATATGTAATTAGAAATATACCGGGGCACAAGAGTAAGTTATGGCTACTCGGTCCATCTTATAACATCCGACCACTCCGCCGAGACTAGCTTGGCCGTCACATTTCAACATTCTCTAAAAGTCCAGAGCCTGTTTTCTCTATGTGCTCATTTATATAACATCTGCCTGCGTGCATTATTGTGTTTGCGATGTTACTGCTTCTGCGCGTCTTTTAAAAGCAGGCTGCAGCCTGATTCCTCCACACACCTTAATCATAGCAAAATTCCTTGCCTGCGTTGCGCCTAATATCAATCGCGGATTGGGTAGCATTGAAAGCTGGTCTCAGCTGAACCCCAAATCACATCACTTTGGCGCTGTGGCGTGACCGGTGTGCAGGCAAATGGTTGAACGATATTTGACTATCGACATGTCATCAATATGCTTGTCTCAGTTTCAGCTCAGTCCAATAATTAGTATTCCACCACAAGTCTGTGTTCTCAAAAAGAAAAAATGGAAGCTCGGAAAGAGTTTGTTTCTTGGCACAACACAATAAGCCAATAGCCCGGCTTAACACAAGAATAGCAGCCTATCAGCTTGTGATAGTTACAAATCGCCCCTCCCCCCTAGAGGACCAGGCTCCATTTCAGCAGCAGTTCTCGATTTCTTTCTAACGAGGTGTTAGTGAAGATACAACATATCATTCTGACGTCTGCTTACCTACCTTCGTTAGAAGACGCGGGGCGCGAATGGTGTACATGTTATGAACCAACTGTGCGTAGATAAGTCAATTTGTGGATCCTTGTTAGAATTGCAGGTTATTATTTTACATCAACTTGGAACGAATTCGGCGTGAATGCTGAGCTCAAATGCTCCACCAACTTCTTTGGATCGATATCTCTCGCCGAGATATCTTGGGACTTCTGCGAGTCCTGGGAATGTTGGGAATTCCATGAATTCCTCCGAAGCCTGCGAGAATAGGGTAGAACTCGACTGACAATGCTCCGAATCTCATTGATAAGTCCAGACGCTCCCATGGCAATAAGTCTCTTAAAAAGAAATAGAGCTTTTGCGAGATAGAACTTCGGCGAGGGGAAGAAACAAAGGTGTGCGGATAGAGCGAACATTTGTAGGCTGGGGATGAGGTTACTCCCTGGAAAATATGCCTTGGGAAACGAACAAGGCATAGCTGAAAGCCCAAGGGGGGCCTGGTGACATTTGGTACAGTAGCGGTTCCGCAGCCCAGGCCAGCCACAGACGTCAGCTTGTACCAATAGTGGTACATGACCAACACAAGAGCGCCTGACTCTCGTACAGCCTGCTTTGAGGGAATACTAGAATGCCTCTTATTGCCAGCATTTGTAATTATTGAAACAATAAAATTCATTTACGCATACAATACTCCTACGCTACTGTGCGACGCAGCATTTATAGAATGGATTCACCTAGATCTTACAGCCTTGCTGAGTATCGTGGCATATTAACAGCGCACAGCGAACCAGATCCATCGTCGAGTCATGATTCGATCCAAATGGCACATCAGACTCATCCAGGGGCCTCAAAGACCAAACAAAGACCGCAAGACCCTGTTGGTGCCAGTACAGGAAATATTACCACGTATCGAAACCACAGCAAACCACGTCACAGACCCGAGGGCCACAACTTAATTATGGTCAAAAGGGGATTGCGAAGCATTCCTCAAGCGCGATCACTAGTTGAAGAAGGTTTAACGCTCACTTTTTCAGAATATACTGTATTAACCTATTAATAGACCAGGGTCAAGGAACTTGGTGATAAAGTACTGGAGCCTATCAATGGGGTTTTGGGCAGAGAGATGGGCCTACAAACACGCATTCGTAAAGCAGCCATCTCTAGTTCTTATCCCGGCTATCAAAGAGACAAGTTTTTGCCAAGAGACGAAATGGTTAAACTTCTCTCGTGGGAGGCAGTGGAGAAAGCGCTAACTAAGTGCCACAAATATCGAAAGTATCCCGATATTAAACACTTACGAGACTCTAGACCGAATCTCAAGTTTGAAGTCCAAAGCATTTGCAACTTGCCAATGGGAAGAGAAGATGAACACACAAGTCCCAAGACATATCGCAAGATATTTACTATCCTTGTTTTGCTAAAGAAAGCCTCATTGATTACTTCATTTATTGATGAAGAAATATGCGATGATGACCTTCCATTTCGCCTAGAGCCTGGGACAGAGTCATCAGACTGGAGGTGCCTGCGTAGGAGCGGTCAAGAATTTCCATCTCCAGGCTTTCGACACCTAAAGGAAAGCTTTTATGTTCATTTTACAGAGAGGCAGTGGATAGTACTTGCACCGTATTTTGACACATCTTGCCTGGCGCAAGACGACCCCCAGGTTTTGATGGATGAACAGATTCCACCCTTCACTTCCTGGAAACCAATCCCAGATGGCAATCAAGGCGGCTGTGGCGAGGTTTTCAAGGTTCACATTCATCCCGGTCAACACCGATTCAAGCATCTTTCGGTAGGTTTCCCCCATCCTCTCTTGCCAGTGTCTTTTTGTCTGAAGGTCTAACACTCGGCCTCTTAGAGCCCCGAGACATCACAAATGGCGTTCGCTATTAAAAAGGTGCGCGTCGATAGGTCTCGAGCAAAGCAATTCATCAACCCAAAAAGAGAAGCTACAATTCTAAGGAAGTTCAGAGATAATAGACATGAGCACCTAATTTCTATTCTTGCAACATATATACATCATAAGGAATATCACTTCATATTCCCGTGGGCAATGGCTGATCTACACGGGTACTGGAGGGACATCAACCGAAAGCCTTCAATAATCGAAAGCGACGAGGATCTTGCCTGGCTAGCAGCACAATGTCAGGGTCTTGCAGAAGGCCTTTCTTATATCCACCGCTACGAAACCGCTTCATTTAAGTATCTTATCCACCCTGATTCGTTACCAACGGCCACAGAAGCTTTTGTAAAAGCTAAAGGGAGTCAAAGGAAGCTTCGCCTTTTCGGTCGACATGGCGACATCAAACCTGAGAACATACTTTACTTCCCAAGATATGATCAAGATATGAGAGGATTGTTAAAGATTACTGACTTTGGGTGCGCTGATTTCAGTACCAAAGAGGAAGTCGATTGCAAGAGGCGAGGATCGGTCCCCAATTCGCCGACGTACCGTGCACCTGAGACTGATTTGTCCCCTGATGACAGTTCAATCACTTCTTCATACGATGTTTGGACTCTTGGGTGTGTGTATCTCGAATTTCTTACATGGTGGCTTGGTGGGTGGATGTATGTCAAGGACTTTGCGACGCGACGTTCGGAACTAGATCCTGATTGGTATGGAAAATCGTATGGCCATTTCAAGACGGATTTCTTTTTCACAATCTTCGAAGAGAGTAACGGGAAGAAAAACGCCACGGTCCGGAAAGGTGTGAAAGAGGTCAGTATGTTTCGACGTTTGTCAAACGTCCGTGGTGAGCTAATAGTTGGTTGTGTTTAGTTCATGGAGGAACTTCTTAATCACGAGAGGGCGAATGGATTCTCCCGCAGATTTATAGAGATGATCCAAACGAGGATGTTAATTATTGAGTCCCTGAAGGATGATGGCACGAAGAAAGGTAGGGCAAGTACAAAGAATATAGCGGCGGATTTGGATGGCATGCGAAAGAAGTACTTCAGAGATTCCCGGATAAGTGTTGATTAATAGGGGTTCAAGCCATTAGGAATGCCTAACTTCTGATAAATTAAATAGCTTATATATGCTCCTGTTGCTTAATCAGAAGCGAATATATGTCTATAAAACAGGGACCCTACTAGTGTAATCTTAAGTACCTAACAAATCTCCGCTATAGTATGTGATTTCAGCTCTCCGCCCTATACAATATTGACGTGGACTATAGAAGGTCCCCCTACCACGACTCCAAAGATTTATGTTATGTCGCGCTTACGTGGTCAACCCAGGCTGAGAGAGGTGAGGAGAGCCAAAGGGCAAGTGAGGTCCGCCGACGAATACGAATTCGAGGGTGCCATCGATCCAGGTTAGTTAATGTGGTGGCCCAAGGATAGAACTTTCCCCTCGGACAAGCCGTAGCCTCGGCACCTTACTCTACATTGGCCGTTACAGGAAGTGCAGAACAACCAAAACCCACCCCGAAGTGAGATGCGGAGCTATACTTGGACTTCCTGAGTAAGATTTCCGTGAATGTGGAGTTGGAATGTGCGGAGTGTGATGTTGTTGTTCCGGTCGAGCCCGTTTTTTATTGCCTTTTGGAGGAAAATGCATCAATCTCAAGGCTGATAATACCACGTTACCTTGTTTTCTCGCAAGACCAGGGCCTTTTCAGACACTCTCAGGATTGTTTGCATGATGTACACTGAGATCTTTGATGGAAAGACTCTTCAATGATCTAGAGCGTCGGCCAACTTGACAGTGGTGCTATGGATATCTTTCTAGCTGACCCATCTAGGCCGGGAGCATGTCCAGCGGCCAGGTATCAATGGCTCCGCCGCTACTGACAGGTCTCTTTTCGCGGAGACGACCCCTTCTGATAGTTCTTGCCATCGAGGAGTCGGATGAGGTGGACGATCATTGCGAGCGGGAAGGATAAATCGAGAATTGGTAGTTTTCAGGCGAACTAAGTTTACAAGCTACTTACGTCTCATTCCATGACGTCTGATCGTCATACAATTATGCAACAGTAGAGACACAGTGCTAGGTATGTCTGTAGAGTGTTGTATCTCCACTGTTGAACCCCTGGCTTGAGGGTCTCCTTATGCGAGAGTATTACAGGTGCAGGAAGGTTCTTTTGCAATCCATGATCCTTCTTGGTGGCCAAGTAGGTGCTTCCTCTTCGGGCACTGCCTTGACAAGTGCTGCCTTTTTGTAGATAGATCCTGGTTCTAACAAGTTGGTGATGTTACGCTCCGAGTTCCTGAAATGTTCCTCGGAGAGTCGAATCTGCTCCATCAGCTGCCGACGCCCCGAGAGCTCAAATCCTGACGGAGGGAACTTTCATATCTGAGGCGGCCGACCCGACAGCCTAAGCCCTACCAACTATGCCGATCGTCTTTGGTCCTACGCACCCGATTCGTCCAGAACGAACCTAATACACTGGTGATGTTGTGTTAAATCCCAAAGGGATCTTTTTCCATCTGCACGGGCATCCTCCTTACAGTGCAATTGTATCAGACCATTGCAGTCATGTAATACAGAAGTCCTTTGGTGCTTTGAGCTGGGAATGTAATCCTTGCACATACCGTCATGCTCACGAAGGGTACGAAGCATTTTCACCGTTAAAGTGGGATTTCCCCAACAAATCAACCTATTGTACAGTGGGCACGGGAAGAACATAGCCGAGATGTGATGCATTTAGTCAACCTCTAAATCCTGGAGCCGTGATTGGCAACTTTCGCGGAACCCGACAAATCCTTCAAATAAAGCAAAATCATTTAGACTTTGAGCGGCAAATACTGTCAGCAGGTGGACGAGAATAGCTACCAAAGGTCCAGGTTCTCATACCCAAATGACAATGGTTATATCTTGCAGCATCTTGGGAATCAAGCTTAGGGCAGTTATTAATCATTTACTGTAAAATAATACACTGTCTTATTCCTCAGTTAAGACTTGCCAGATTGTCAGATTCTATCCATTTTACACTGCTTCTTACTATGTGGGAAATGTAATACGTATGCTTACATGTTCTTTGTTGTTGTGTCACATGCAGTGCCTCATTTTATTGGAAACACACCTGTGCGGAGTAAATGATTTCGATCCTGCGTACAGCATAGAACCACCCCGAGGAAATTAAACAAGGTTATGGATAAAGGCGGGATCTGCAAAGGGGTATGTGGCACGTGAACCAGCCTCTTACGTTTAATAGCGACTTCCGGTCAGCATCTTTCACCATCTACAACCAGGAATACTCCATTCTCGGTCCACAGCTGACAAGATCGACATTGTGGGTGTTTCGGTTCCGACGAATCTAAGCACATATATTCCGATTGGTAGCCTCGCACCTGAAGATCCCTGGACTGTTCTTTGAGGCCCCCGGATCCTGAACGAGTAACGTGCCTGGTAAAACAAGAACAGTGACGTCTGAGAAAGTCTACCAGGCAGTGTATGTAGTATGACGATCGAAAGAGTAACAGCTCGATGGTCATTGTCTCAGCCATAGCCCTTTTCCGTGTACTGTCAGCGTTCACGCGTTGGAGCTCTGTGTAACTTTCCAAATGAACATGAAAGTGAGGATGATAATGACGGTGACAATTAATTCTTAATCAGGTTGTGAGAGAGACGATCTCAAGAGCATATGGATATATAAGAGCCATGAATCTTGAAGGAAATCTGTTTTTCTTATCATCACACTTCAACACAACATAACACACACACAAAGAAGAAAACACAGCACACAGCAGCAAATATGAAGACCACCGGACTACTCACGCTCCTCTTCACCTCGATGGCTGCTACTGCTATCGCCAGCCCCAACGCCCTGCCCATGGGAGTTGAGGTTGTCGAGATTGACGGTAAGACCACTGTCCGCGAGGTGGTAAGTGAACTCCCTTGACTACGTGTTTCTCTCTTTGGACTTAATGAAAGCTCACGATTTATATAGCCTCACGCACTCCTTGGCCGCGGCCTTGACAAACGCTGCCGCGAGTGTGTTGGCCAGGGCGGATCTTGCACAATTGGTGACGGCAGCTGCTACGCTGAGGACCCCCCACGTGAGTATAAGCCAATTCATTTCTTAACTATCTTTGTGCAAAGGCATTCACTGACTCATCCAAAGTGTACTGTACCTGGTGCGGTGACAAGTGCGGATCCCGATGTGTCCGCCAGGGACAGACCTGCCAGCAGACTTGTGTCTAGGATAAGGAATACTCATGGAAGTCTCCAGTTTCATCAATGACATGAACGGAGCTTGCAACATGGAGAATTGAGGTCACTCGCTTATATTCGACTACTTATTTGTAGCTACTAGAATGAACCAGTAAATATACATACGAGGAAACAACGTTACCTGTGGGATAGTGGTACAGAGGCTGCTAATTAAGTAAAGAAAGTCGCTCAATTAAGAATGTGTTATAGTACTACTAGGTATAATAATACAGCCTCTGGTGTACAGTACAAATTAGTTTAACATAAATGAAGTAAGATTTAGTAAGACTGCGGGGAAATGGGTGACGTGGCCACGAGGACATTTATGACAAACTAATTGCTGCCTGCTATTGGTACGTCTTTTAATACCTTCGTCTCAACAACACGCTTCCAAAGACCCGCAGTAATACCCACAAGACATATCACATCTACACGATGGTTCAGTACAGCGAGATACAAGAGTCTAACAGAGAGTTTGGTGAAACAAGTAGGACCACCCCATTTGTTGCTGTCTTTGTCGGTGGCACATCAGGGATTGGTAAAAGCACCATCAAAGCTCTTGTTTCAACAAATGCCAGTGTGAAAGTCTACCTTATCGGGCGCAAGTCTGCAGAAACCCGTATGGTGCCCTTCATCGAAGAATTGCAAACAAGCAACCCAAACGCAAAGGTGGATTGGCTTGAAGGTAAAGTCTCGCTGCTGTCAGAGACAAAGAGAGTCTGCGAGATTATCCAGAGTAAGGAGTCGCACATCGACTTGCTATTCCTCAGCACTGGATATGCACCCTTTGGTCCGCGCGAAGAAACAGCCGAAGGGGTGGAGATTACTCAAAGTCTTCGGTATTACATGCGAGTACTCTGCATTCTTCACCTCCTCCCATTACTGCGCGGAGGGAATGGAAGAGTGGTTAGTGTACTTGCTGGTGGCATGGAGTGGGCCGTTACCAACTTGGATGACATCGATTTGAAGAAGCCCGGGAGTTTCGGCGTCGTCAATGCTCACATACAATGTGCAAACATGACCACGGCAACTATGGAGAGGCTGGCCGACGACAACCCAGCTGTGACATTCATTCATTCTTCACCTGGATCTGTTGATACAGGCAATGTGAGGAGAGGTATCGATTCGCCTAACTCAGTTAAAGGCTGGCTGATATGGCTTTTCCTCGAGCCCCTCATTCGACTCCTCTCTTTCAACAGTGAAGAGTCTGCACAGAGACATCTATTCCAGAGTACTAGTGCAGCATTTGGTGGGCTTGGAGTGCGATGGGAAGGCAATCCGGGTAGAAATTCACGTGGGGATAACGCGGCGGGTTTATTTCTTGTGAATGAGAAATGCGATTGCACCATGAACGAAAAGGCGGTATCTGCGATTCGGCAGACTGCAAAGGACAAGATCTGGGATCATAGTCTAGGAGTCTTGAAACCTTATTTATAAGGGCATGGGTTTCCTTGTCGATGGCTCTTTTGGTCGTTGAGCAATTGGTGATAAATAAAAGAATTTGAACTCTCGATTTCCCTACGACTCTGTTACAAGGAAACAGCCCATAGGGTACTCCCCATACGTATACCGTATACGGGCGGAGTAGACTGCACTAGGCCTTTTCTGTTGAACGCCGACTGTTGCCTGAATTTATGCATGGTTATCTACGGCACAGCAGAGATATAATACACATGTCACCAAGATTCATGTAATCTTGTCAACAAGCATAAATGAGGCTGAAAGTGCGAAACTAGAGTCATCATGGGTGATTGTATCAAAATATCTGCCACGGACCGAAATTTGTTATTGCAGCACACGGAACGCACCAAATCTCTGGCAGAACTGTACGTAATCGTCCTGCAGTTGATTACGCACGCCAATCGACCTTTACGACTTCTTGAGATTGCCGATTGTATCAAGGTAACCAAGCCCAAGTATGGGAAAGATACTGGTACTATAAAAGGTCTCATCTCCAGGGCCTGAGGGACGCTCTTGGATGTTCGTCCAGACCAGACAGTTTGCATCGCACACCACTCCCTAGAGGACTATCTCTTGACACCCAATCGAATACCAGTCGAAAAAAGGATTCCGGTTTTCAAACGAGGGCCTACACATGACCTCCTTGTGAATCTGTGCGTGTCATATCTTCAAGCAAGTTCCCTAGAGACATATGATGTTGTGCAGTTCTTTCGAGGTATCGCGTGGGGCACATCAGAGGAACAAGAGCTTCCACCATTTTTGAGCTATGCGGCAACGAACTGGCATTTCCACACCGACGCGGCCGCCAAGCATGGGGTTATACGAGAGCACACGAATACTCAGATACTCTCACTTTTGACGACACCGAGATACGTGGATTGCCTAGCTTGGCTGAACGACGATGTAAAATGGAAGGGGGCGTCCCAAGGCCAGGATATGACTCCAGAGACCGAGGCCTTACTCTTTTCCATCCGCCTGGGACTGGCCAGTTTCGTAGAAGCCCTGCTTCGAGCCAGCGATGGTATAGCGATCATGTACGAAGGGACTCTAGATACAGACCCACCATTACATCAGGCCGTGGTTAAAGGCAACATCAACCTCGTTCGTCTACTCACTAGATATGGAGCAAAGCCAACCCAGTTCAACAGCCAAGGCGCAACACCTCTTCACTTGGCTGTTGGATACACTTCTGAAGGGGAAAGGATAAATCCCGACATTGTTCAACATCTCCTGGAAGCTGGTGCCGATCCATGGCAAGACCTGGGCGGAAACAATAGAGTTACAGGTTCCCGCGATGGGTTTCCACACCCAGCTATTAAGATTGTCCTTTACTCTAGTAATGAGGGCATAGCAAAATTAGTCTTACCACATATAAAGAGCGAGACAGAGGCGAAAAAGGCCTTCGCCTGGGCGATAAATGGGTCCAAGAACATGGAAATCATTCGATTAATTCTCAATCTTGGCTTAATGGATATCAACGCCTACTCCCATGGCCGATCGCTACTATTCTCAGCATGCCTACAACAGGATCCGAAGATAATCTCGCTGTTACTGGAAGCAGACTCGGATCCAAATCTGCCGCTCAATCACCCGCACGGAGGAGGTGCTAATGTTCTACATGCTTTGGCATCACCCTCGTCCTACGAGTATTGCTGCCAGGGAGGAGTTTCGGCAGATGATATTAGAGAATGTTTCAGGTTAGTCCTTGCTGGCGGCGCAAATGGTTAGTATCTACTTTATACCCCATGAGGTCCTTTATAGCAAGACTAATACTGGGTCATAGTTAACAAGGCTGATCGAAATGGGGATACACCACTTCATAAAGCGCAGAGTCCCCAGGTCGTGCAACTTCTTCTCGATGCCGGAGCGGATGCGACCGTAGCTAATCAGAATGGGGAGGCCCCAATACATATCTCATACAACGTTGACATGATCAAGGCCCTTCTCAGCAAGACCAGCATCGATGTGAGAGACCTAGATGGGAAAACTGTACTTCTCAAAGCTTTATCAGATCGGGACTTTCGACTGTCAGCTGACAGAACGCCAGTTGAAGGATTCTTTCTCAAAATTATAGAGTTAGGCGCCGATACAAGCGTCATTGACCATCACGGTAACAGCGCCTTGCACTATTTGGTAAGCAGGGAAGGCCTTGGCAAGCCGCAGGGCAGGAAGCTGTTAGAAAGCTTGATCAAAGGCGGCGTGGATCCATATCTGCACAACAAAGATGGGCAGTTGGCGATTGACAAACTCGGCATTTCTAGGTTGGAGGACTTGGAAGCATTTCTGGAGGTCACAAAGGTGGACGTAAACGCAATGGACAACCATGGCCGCACATTCCTGTTCAACGTCATCAACAGGCACGGGCACTACAGAAATGGCCAATTAGAGGCCTTTATAGGTCTTGTGTCGAAGGCAGGAGCACGATTTGACATCACGGACCAGCGTGGATGGACACTTCTACAAGCCGCATTACGACATTGTCGAACAGATGAAAAGATTCTCAGACTTCTTGTTGAACATGGAGCGGATGCAAAGCAGACGGACATCGATGGTAATACCATGTGGCACGAGGGAGCAGCTCAGTTCGCCACTCGCAGGGTCTCGCCACAGTTGTTCCATGATATCACAGCTTTGAGCGTGGATCCAAGAAAAGCCAATAAGCTTGGGAGACTTCCACTACATATCCTGTGTAGTTACGATCAATGGTGGCTAGTGCCTGGTATTCATGGCAAAATCACGCTGGACCGCGGCAATGAGGCTGAGAAGGAAGATAAGACAACTGTGTTCGATTTTATACTCCAACAGGGCCCGGAAGATGTGAATTGTATGGATCGTGATGGTATCACGCCTTTTTACCTCACGTCGACTTTCTCGACAGACCTCACGAGCAGACTTCTCGAAGCTGGTGCTGACCCGACCCTGTCTACGCGTGAGAACATCAACTTCTTTCATCTCGCATCCCGATGCCGTCAAAGTAACACCATTGGTCTACTGCTAGACTGGTTCAGGACTACCAGAACAGCAGAGGATCTACATGCAGCAGTCAACGCCAAAGACAGCCGAGGAAGAACACCGCTTCACTATGCCTGCGCTTCAGGCATATACCAATCTGTTCAGCTTCTCATCGAATCTGGAGCGCGTGTTGACTTGGAAACATATGAAGGCTCAGCTCTGAATGGCTGTGTTGACTTTGAAGAGGAACTGAAGAACTGGGATCGCTATAATTCCACCGAGCAGGAGAGATCTGCTGGTGGTGTCCTTATTGATGACAAGACTCGATCAAAGGTTGCTCAAAGTGGCTGGACCTCTTATCGAAAAGAAAGACTTGATGAAATACTGGAGCTTCTGATCAGCAACACTACCGCTGCGGCCAGTCATGGCATTGACAATGCTATCACTGCAGCAATGGGCCGACACTGCGACTATACCATTGAACAGCTCATGCGAACTCGAAGATCCTTAGGCTTTACTCATAGCTTGACTTATGAAGTTGGGGTCAAGTCCTGTTTAGACAGAAGAGCAAGAGAATTGGCTACCGAGATGGGAAATCCTGACTTTACAAATCATATCGACTCCTCGATAGGCTCGCGGTTTTACGACGTTGTTCCCTCTTGCGTCGCAAAATATTCACCTGAGCTCAAAGGACTTCACAGTGTTCTTATCAAACTATCCAAGTCAGGCTTCGCACAGATCCTAGATAACTTGCTGACACCCGAGGTCGTCTCACGACTTGAGAATGAGCTTGACTCAACAACAGTCGGTGTTCGAAATAGCCAGAGGATGGCCTCTCTGTTAGTCGCTGCCTGTGAATCTGATGAGCCAAACATGCCTCTAATTCAGCTTCTGGTTAAGAAAGGAGCCAGATTGGATTGTCTCGGTCTCCCAGTCGACCATCAATACAGGGGCCAAGTCCCAGAGACGCCTCTTCATACTGTGGTTAGAGGCGGACATCATCCCTGGTGGCACACGGCGCAGGCCCTTCGCTTCATACTCGAACAAGGAGGAAACCTGGAGGTCAAAGATGCCCACGGACTCACACCTCTCAACGCCAGCCTGGAGAACATGATCGAGTCTTGTTGGAATAGCAAGGCCACGGAGATGCTTCTGAGAGCGGGAGCGGATCCTTCGAGTGTGGACAGTGCAGGCAAGTCCTGTCTTGCTCGTGCCATTAGCAACAAGATTGTCCACACGATGCTAATCCAGAACGGAGCCGTAACCGCTATTGATCACTCGTCACTGGCCTCTTGTATCCTTGCCAAGGATATCGACATGCTAGAGCGGATACTAGCCTCTGGTGCTGACCCGAACGCTCGCAAGGTGGGAAAAGAAAAGGAAGCGTGGATCTCTGCAGACGGACGCAGAATGGGGATGAAAGAAAGGATCCGCGCTCCCAGGAGGAATCTTTTCCTTTAGAACTGGCTGTCAACGAGATCAGTCCTGATCCGATTTGCCAGCGTATGATCGAGTTATTACTCGAGCACCGCGCCGACCCAAATGCTCACTATCCACAGACGACGGTGGTGCATAGATTGCTGATGGGGACAAGCGGGCGTGCGCAGAGGAATCGCTACCTTGACATTATCCTGCAGCATCCACGGCTTGACGTCAATCTCAAGACTAAGGGTGGTACTCCGTTACTGCGCAGTGCTTATAGCATGGGGGATTTGAGTTCGGTCGATATTCTCCTTGAAAGGGGTGCCGATGTACGGATAAGCGACGGGTCTGGCCGTAATCTCCTACATTTTCGGCCCCATCTCCCTTACCATGAGGATGGTGACTGGAAGTCTAAGAAAACGCACGACTACGACTCTCGAAGAAGTCTAATAAAGAAATTTTTTGTTCTCGCTCCTGATCTCCTACACCAGGTAGACAAACACGGTAGAACTCCTCTTCACTACGCCATGGGTGACAGAGAGGGTCCGGGAGAAGAAGTGGAGTTATTCCTAGCTGCAGGTGCAAATGTTTGTGCCCAGGATGAAAATGGAGATACGCCACTTCATTCACTTTTCAAGGGCAGATGGGATCTTGTCACAGATGGAAACGGCGACGCAGCCTGGAGTGGAGCCCCAAAGAGATTGCTAGAATTGTTTCTCTCCAAAGGTGCCGACATCAATGCGCGCAACAAAGCAGGAGAGACACCAGTGTTCTCTTACTTTCGTGAAGGAAGTGGGAGTAAAGGCCCTGTTCGGTTTGAGATGTGGGAAGACGCCGAAGAACAAGCTGCCGTTGACAGAGAACCAATGCTGTGGGCGCTCTTTGATGAGCTTGGTGTTGACTGGACTGCTATGAATAATAGAGGACAATCACTGCTTCACATAGTAGCGGCCAAGGACTATTCAAGCATCGGGTGCGATTTTGAACCAGAAAGGTTACCTAGATTTAAGTTCTTGGTGGGCAAGGGGCTGGATGCGTTGAGGGAGGATTCTGAATACCGGACAGTGCTGGATGTTGCAGCTGCGAGTAACGCTGAAGATATTCTCAAGTGGGTTACAATGAAAGAGCTCGTAAGTACTTCTATTTACATCTAGACATTTACCTAACATGTGGCTTCTTGTTATGAGACAAATAGTGCCCTCACTCTAACAATAATCGCATATTCAATTTGATATCTCGCACTAGCGATTCGATATCCACTAATACTCTTTGACAATATATCCTCCAAATACAGTAGCAATGGCTAAATGATCGAACCCGTAAACTGAATCACGACACCCCTGAGGTTAGGCATTTCGATCTGTGTGTTCAACTCGGGGATTTCTCCAACCAGCACCAGCGTTAAATGGCCGATCACGGTATTCCTTTCCTCATTCAAGACCGAGGCAGTCATTATATTTGGGGGCCCGAGGTGATCTCGCCCAATTCGATTGCGCAGGGTAAAGAAGGAGTCAAGAATCGGCTGCCTGTCCACAATTGGGCTACTGTTCAGGTCACTACCAGCCGAGGCGTGAAAGGCAAGCGTCCACGTGTGTCCCTCGGAGTCACTGGCACGTCCTATAGCTGAGTGTCGCGTGGTGGTGTGGCCCAGGTTACTGACCCAGTCACTATGGAGCCGTCCAGTTAGGGTAGCTAAGAAAAGAAGGAGATTAGAAAAGAGACAGATAATTGGGAAGGTCATAACTTACACTGGACTGATCTTGTCAGGTCGCCATCAGTTGCTGAATCCCAGTTCGCCCACTGCTCCTTCACCACGAACTGCGTGTTTCTAACCCACTCCTCGTCTCTTCTGGCGAGAGCTCTCTTTTTCTCGATCTTGGTATTTCTTTTGTCTGGCGTAGTTCCGAGTCCAAGCTTGTTGCTGGTGGTACCAGTGGCGGATCCAAGTTGAACATCTCGGCGGTTACGGGGTCCATTCTTACTTGTCAATGACGACGTTGCAAGGTGGACCTCTGCATAGGTATGCTCTTCACCCTTTTTTTCGAACCCCTCTAAAGCAGTTATGCCACCAGTGGCCCCATCTGCGGTTCTACAAATCGACTCCTGGATCTGGGCTGCGGCGAGGATTGAGCCCAAGGACAAGTGCGTCCCGCTGGGTCGCTGGTTGCAGATTTCGATACCACAATCACCCACTCGAAAGATCTCCTTACACCCATCATGAGGTCCATTCGCAACCTCTCCAAAGCTGACGTTGTTTTCAATCATACTGAGAGCCTTGGAGCAGTCCCCCGAGTTCGCTCGAGTTGTCTTGACAGGCCAGCATTCTGTTTGCCATATCGCTTTTGGTTGCCTCGCAGCAGCAGCTGAACCGATAAAGGCACAAAGTACTGCTAAGAGGCCACAGGTTGTTTGAGGTCTGGGTTGCATCTTTTCAGGTGCCAAGTCTTATAGCTAGATGTAGCACAGAGAATCAAAGATAAATATGAACAGAAGAGGTATAATGTGATGGGCGTAATAGCTTTACAATATTACTTGCAATTGTTTATAAGTTCAGTTCAAACATGGTGAGATTACCGCATATATTTATATAATGCATTTCCCAAACTATTAATATCCTTATTACAAGGCAAACAAATTTTTCAGATATATACTAAGTGATTAAGATCTCATAGTCGGCTATTTCCAACTTCAGACTTTAGCCTTCGTAAGATAAAGGAATAATTATATCGTATTGCTGTGTGCAAGTAAGATTTTAGGGCGGTGGTGTGCTGTTACATGGAGTCCTCTCCATTGACAAGACGAGATTACAAGAAGCACAGCCCATTCTGTAAGCATCCTCCCAGAGTATAACCCTCCTTGTAATAGTGCAGTAAGAATTTCGTGATGCAACCACCTTTAATAGGTAAATATCTTACACAATCCCAAGATTAGTCTCATTACACTCTACATTTTTCTCTAGGTAAGTTAATTACTCTTTTTAAGTTGGTTCTGTAGAAGACTAGAAGTAGGCTATCTCAGTCTGGATAAGGCCTGTAATAACACTCTAGGTTCTACAACTCTATTGCAAGTTCGGTCCTTCTTTTAACTGCGCGTGCGGCCTTTAAGGGCCTTGTGGCTAATAAAGCCACACAAATATCTTCAAACCGGTCAAATAGCTTGATGTGGTATACAGACTTGTAAGCTACCTGCACTATCGCTGAAGGCAGGTCTTACCCCGGATGTCAGCCCGCTCTCCGAGCACGGTACTAAGAACATGCCCTTGAAGCAGATGTTGCAGCTTGCGTTTTCTAATCAGTGGGAGGCCATTCCAGCTAATCCGTGGAGCAGTTTGTGTGAAAACGTCTCTTGTGCCACTTCACCTAGCAGCAATTGTCACATGAGAAATAAATTGGACACATTAAATGATAAATGAATGACTAGATATATCGAACTTAGTTATGAGCTCGCTCTCAGCCTTCTCATCCCTCTCAAGACGTGTTGCTGTTAGTCTCGTGGCTGGAGCATCACAGCTTACTTTTGTTCTCCCAGCCTACCCCCGGTAAAGAGGTAATGAGACTCTTGTCAATATCCTCCACTTTGTTGAGACCCGCAACATTCATCAGAATATCCAAATCAGCCAAGAGACCCTTTAACACATGACGCACGCCGTGTTCTCCCATGATACTTAACCCCCAGATCCAAAGCCGGCCGATAAACACAAACTTTGCACCCAAGGCAAGAGCTTTGACTATATCGGCCGCGCCTCTGACTCCACTATCGAAGGTAACAACGATGCGATCACCCACTTTGTCAGCGATCATCTCCAGAGCATCCAGACTGCCGATAGCACCATCGACTTGCCGACCAGCATGGTTACTGACGACGATACCCTCGAAGCCTAGATCAGCTGCCTTCTCAGCATCGTCAACTCGCTGGATCCCTTTGATCAGGAACGGCTTTCCCCCAGTTATCTCTTGCCACCGCTCACGAGCCCAAACTGCCTTTTCCCAAGACCATGCACGGCCATGCCAGACGTTGTCAATCCAGAGTGCTCCAGCCTCTGCAGGTTGCTTCTTTGGGTCAATTCCATGCTCCGCAAGTCTTTTCTGGAAGACAGGATCTGTCAGGCCCATATCTGCGCCAATACCGCGATAGAAGGCATAGTTGGAGGTGGCAACATCGTCATGCCGCCATCCGAGTTGCCAAGTATCTGTGGTCAAGATACACGCATCAAACCCAGAGACATGTGCCCGGTTCAGTAGGGACAGAGTAAGTTCGTCATCGTGCGGCATGTAGAGTTGGAAGAATCGGGGGCCTTGCGGAATACGATGGCCCTCTTGACTGTTTTGGGCAATCTTTCTTCCTGCATCGTTTGCCTCAGCGACATCTTCGATCGGACACGAGCCTGCAGTTGAGAGACAGTAAGGAATGCCAAGCTCTCCCGCGACTTGGGCAACAGGCAGTTCGCCCTGTGGATGGTAGATCTTGTTGATACCGATTGGAGCAATGCCAAAAGGCGCGGATACCTGATGACCAAATATTGAAATCTTTGTGCTTCGATCATTGGTGTCTACAAGCTGGCGAGGCACAATCTTGTGCCTAAAGAATGCTTGACGGTTTGCAAGATGCGTATCCGACAGACCGGCATTGGATGATGCGTAGAGCCAACCATTCTCAGTGAGTTTCTTCCTGGCGAGTTCCTCAAGTTTGTCGGGGTCTATAAAGATTAGCCATGATGGAGAACTGGTTCAAGAACGTCATACGTGTGTTGAAAAGTGGAACTTCGCCCTCGTTGAGTTTCCAAAAGTTTTCGCGTTGGTACAAACCCCAAGGAGGAGTATCACGCTTCTTGAGATGCGGTGATTTGGGATCTGACATATTAACTGTATGAGGTGGATTACGTAGGGGAAAATAAAATGAACTCCGTGTGGGTTCACTAAGTTCGCTACGATGTCGATGTCTTGATCTTTATACCTCGAATGATCATCATCCATGACGTAATTAAAAGCTTCCGGATATCCGAACACAACATAGTAATGACGAAAAGATGATTGCTCCCAATAATTTCATCAGGTATCTATTTTTTATTTCCAGGCCTGTTGGTAATTCCGAGGTGAAAATAATGCTTGCCGCATGCCGCTGTGGTGGATAGTCTAGATCGAGTATTGGACTATTTAAAGTAAAAGAACTTTAAAAATTCTCATGTCATTAGTAACTACACCAATTGGAGCAAGTTTAACTTGACAAATAATTATTAATACTACATTATTTTTAATGACTCGGTAGTCATCTAGGCATGCTGTTAACACCAGAGCAAGTAGGCGTAATAAGATCAAATATACATAAGAGAGGTACTGGACAGGCAAATTTACATAAGTAGGATTCCTTAGTGGTAGTTAGTAATTAGATGCTGTGTCTTTAATAGAGCTTTTAAAAGGTCTTGCTAGAGGAAAGTTTATAAAAAAGAATTATGAAATTTACTTATTTAGTTATTGCAAACCCAGAGACGAAGTAATAGACTCTATATCCACTTGGTGGTTCTAAGGCTGTCATTTCACACCGGCTCCCACAGCAGTTAACCGGCCTAACTCAGCCATTAACTCACAATAGTCCAGTCACTAACAGCGACTATTGATCTGTAAAATTACCTAGGCACGCCAAATTATTATTAATACCCTTTTGCTACTGTCAAGCTTCGCAGCTATATAATCACGCCACGGCACTACGTCAGATACATGTCATTCTTTCTCTTGTATTCACTCTAGTCACTCTTTACGTCTATCCACTACGCATATTGCGTTCTGTCAGTCTTTTCCGTGTGGCTTTTGGCCTGTTGGCCGTTGAACATGTGGCTGCGAGCCCCTGCAAGCCAAGTGAGTACAACAGTACATTGAATTAAGCAGTCCAATGAGAGATTACTAACACTGTTGCTAGTCTTGACCACGACATCCGCTGCCACTTCTGCTGTGTCCACTGAGACATCACCAGTTTCATCAATTGAATCTGCAACAACGATCGCGACTACAACGTCGGTGACTTCAGCCACTTCCGCTGCTGCCACTGATTCATCGGTCGAGACAACTGATTCGCCAGTCACCCTCGGAACGGTTACAACGTCCGTTGTCATCGAGTCTGTCGCCACCACCACGGCTGTCCCAACGACTGAGACTACATCAGCTGAGCCCGTGCCCACCTTCACCATGCTTGCTACTGGCCAGGGTCCCATGGCGGGCAGAGGTTTACAAACATTTCCATATGACAACGCCGTGGCTGCTTTTGATGCCCCTCCTGGCGGCGATCCCGATTTGAATGCAAAGGTCCTGCCTTTCACCATCGACTCACAGGGTAGACTCGTCAACGATAAAAGCTTTTTTCTTTGCGGACTTTACAGCCCGACAAACTCCTTGCTCGATACCCCTGCCGTTGTTACCACCTGTCATGACGAGACGCCGCAACAGCGAGTTTTCCTTACCTGCAAGCTTACTACTGAACTCAAGGTCCAGTGCTCGATTCCGGCTATCTCATGTGTCTCGACGGGCGATGCTCCGTGGGATACTCCAAGTTGTCAGGCGGCTTCTGGTACTTGGGGCGTGTTTTCCACGTATATAAGGGGACCTGGTCATGTGCTTTTTATCGGAAATGAGAACACCCCCAGCTACTATGACCGCCTTGAGCTAGGTGTTCAGAAGGTGTAGATAATGTCGGAAAGTCAAGTACGATCTTAAGTCCGTCTGATATATATAGATTCGCTTTTCTATCTACTTCTTTGGCTGTTAAGTTACTCAGTATGGGTGTGCTAAATATATCTATGGTCACTAATGACTGTTGCCGGGGGCTCCGTGGAGATGCTTAAACAAGTGTGGGGTGCCTAACTCTCCCCGCGGAGATGCACTATTCTGTTCCTGGCATATGCACAGGCCATGGCATGACAACTCTGATCTGATGTTAATACCTTTCGATCAGTTTGACCATGAACTACTGATTTATTCTTACACTTCGGGCCTTTGTCCAGCTGAGCTATGCATGGTATTTCCAATTTCACTATCAACGGAACTGACTTGTGAAAGTAATGATATCAGGAAGCATTGAGCAGCCCTGGATATCTTGGCATACTTCTATTTCTATGATCATACGTCAAGGCTGTATGCCGTGAGTCACAGGTTAAAGTAAAAGAAAATACGTCGGGACTGTGTATATAGTCTGTTGGCTCCTGTTGTGTATAACGAATTTCAAGAAGTCTTAATTACATAGCTCTTAAGCTTTTGACTCATGGAATATTATCACGAGCAGCAATAGATGTTTTGGTGCTATAAATTCGTATCTAACGGTCTAAATATCATGTCTAAAGTCTATCTTCTCATCTATAAATCTTACTTCGCAACAACACTGGCAGGCACAGAAACAGGTGCCGACTCTATTCTACTCTCCTCGTCTGTTGTACTCTTCCTTCTGTTGGAGAGGAAATGCAGGGGAGATTCCACGGTAGGACCCTGGTACTCGACCCCGTCAACCTTGACAGGGTCTTCCATAGCCAGATACATGTACCAGTAGTAAACTCCAACAAACAGGCCGCCTCCAATAATGTTACCAATAGTGGCAGGGATCATCCCCTTCCAGATGTACAGTCCGACGGTAAGGTCAGGTGTCTTGAGCCAAATACCAAGGGACATGTAGAACATATTGGCGACAACGTGCTCAAGACCGAGAACCACAAAGGCAAAGATGGGCCACCACATGCCGATGACCTTGGAGGCGAGATCTTTTGCCTGGACACCGAGAAAGACGGCCAAACAAACTAGCCAGTTGCAGCCGATGGCCTTGAGGAAGATTTGGTGAACCTGAGGATCGATTTGCTTCTTGGTAACAAAAGAAACAACTACATCCTTGTAGGGCCATGCATCGAAGACACCACCATCTAAGTAAAATGTTAGTTACAACTCTCGCAGTGCATAGGTGCGACAACTTACAACCCATAATAATAGCCATGACGAACAATGATCCAGCAAGATTGCCAAAGAAGCAGAGAAACCAATGCAGTAGCATTTTTCGGATCGCAAGCCGACCTTGGAGAACGGCTGTCAAGGTAAACTACATGTCGGTTAGTGGATGTCTGCATTCATCTGATACCACACTGGCTTACCATCGTAGTCGCAGTAAATAGATCAGCGCCTGTAAGCACTACAAGGACCAATCCAAGCGGGAAAACACCAGCGCCAAAAAGCTTGACCAAGCCGGGAGCGTTCTCGGCGTACCAGGGTGCCGTCATGGCGCATAAAGAAACGCCACAGCCGAAGCCAAGAAGACAGCCTGCAGAGACAGCAGAGAGAAAGACTTTGTCTGGTCGCATATTTCCTCTTTTGACGCCTGAACGAGACACAAGCTCGATGGTCTCCTGCGGCGTGTAAGCCGCTAGGTTGGAGATGCTAACCACGAGAGGGTTACTCATGATGAGAAGTGATTGTAAATGTTGAATGTGTACTGGTTAAGATGGGCGGTCGGTGATGGTTTGACGGTGTCTATCTGAACCTTTTATCGAATCCAACGATCTCTAGGGCAAACTTGTCGCAAATCCAAGTCCGTATCGAACCCTGCTTCATGCCAAGTTCAAACCAGGTCAGGAGAGTAGTGGTCGTATTGATCTTTCGAGTGTGCTCTCCGTGCTTGAGAAAAGCACCCTAGTTTGAGTCCTGCGAAAATTGTCTTTTAAATCACTAGAGCCGGCGATGTCGGCCAATCTCTCCACCATCAGAAGGTATTGCGAATAAAAATGCCATTGTTTCAAGGCCCCATCTCGGTTCTCGGTACGGGTAGCGATGGCTAAGACTACAGCGGTATAACACTGGCTCATAGGGCCATTCTAGCCGCTTAAGGTCCATGCGGCCCTATCATGCCGCAGTGGGCCGTCCCTTGCACTTTGTGCTTCTCCTCGGATCTCTTGGCTGTGGCCTGACTTGCAGAATGATGAGGATACAGTAGTTATCCATGTAAGGCCAAGATTTGTTCAATCGACAGTATAGCCGCGATACCCCCACGGCTTTATGATCAACTCTATCTTTATTTACCAACCCGGCGGGCTCCGGCTGATGGGACAAAATCTGCTCTAGTGCCAATTTTGTGGAACGATTGCGTGCTGGGCTTGTTTGACTTGATATCCACAACCTCAACGGGCCCCAAGCATTGGATTTGCGGGTGTCGGTCGGCGTGGTGAATTGAAGAGAAGCGCTACACCACTGGTTCATAAGGCCATTCCTCCAACCTCTTTATTTCACATGGGTAGTTCGAGCTAAGAACAAAACAAGGTATATAGCTATATTGCTACTATATTCTCAAGTTGAGAATATTCATCTATTAGCTATATTATACGGATAGCAATTAATACTTATAGACCTTATTGGCTAATAACTATTATTAGAAATAATATACCATACCACTACCTATATCGCAGGTCTATAGCCTGATATTCGTAAATAAAACCCTACTTATTTTTCATATAGCCCTACCTATTATAAACTTACTGTGACTACGTGACTACCCTAGCTCGTCGCCTGTTAAGCAACGCAAACAATAATTATCAGGATTCGGGAGGCTCAAACAAGCAGCAGGCGTTAACCTGCCGGAAAGGGTAAGGTGCTGAGTCAATCAGAACATTAGAAACAACATTTACTGTACAGTACTTGTACCTAGAGATATACTAAAACCTAACTAGATAGGCTTGGATTGAGCTTGCTAAGCAGATCGCAAACCTCCTTATGCTTGCCGCCAATTGCGTATGCCAGTGGAGTATGGCCCAGATGATCATGCGAGTTGGCATTGGCGCCATTCTCAAGAAGTAGCTGAGCGATAGCCGCATGTCCCTCCTCGGCTGCGAATGATAATGGGGTCCGCCCATCTTCATCCCCTGAATCAAATTTAGCATTATTATCAAGAAGTAGCTGGACAACGGCATTATGACCCTCATACGCCGCCAATGATAACGGCGTTCGTCCCCTAATATCCTCCCAGTCGATTTCGGCATTATAATCAAGAAGCAACTGAACAACAGTGACATGCCCCCCCTGGGCTGCCAATGATAGCGGCGTTCTCCATTCAAAGTCTCTCCAATCTGCCTTAGCACCGCTCTCGAGAAGTAGTTTCATAACAGCTCCATGGCCATTACGAGCTGCATGGAATATTGCTGTTTGATTTATTCCGTCTTCCAGATCAGGACTTTTCACGCGAAGAAGGCTTCGTGTTACTGCTACAGCACCGAAGTACGCTGCAAGGTGTAGTCCCGTGTGTCTATACGGAATACGTAGCAGAGGAATTATCTCGTCTGCCAATAGTGCTTGGGCTGATGCCTGCACACTTGAGTTTGACTCAAGAAAGTCCAGAATACCCTCGCAGATAGTTGTAGTGTTTCGAGCATGATGACCCCAATTCTTTGAAGCATAGTGGAATAGAGGATTCAGCTGCAGTCGTTTGCTGAAATCTTCCTCATTGAGACAACGTCCACTCTTGAACTGTTGGAAATTTAGATAGGTTACGCAGGTCGTTGTAATATCACTCTCAGCCTTCGAAAACCAGATGGCTTGCGTTTTGACGAAGTATTCCTGCGCTGTGTAATGAACTAGTCGAATGATGGCGTCGCCTTCATCAATTGTAACTAGTCCAATACATACCTGCACCATGATATCGATTTCTGGCCTCGCATCCTTATCTAATTCAATCGTGCTAACCTCGACAGCAAGGGCATGTCGAAGTTCTTCCACGGTAAGCGGCCTCTTCGCGCAGGTAATCCATGAAAGAACCCGCAAAGCCAAGTCTCGATGGTCTGACATTTGACTTTGAATGCGCTCCATCGCCGTCTCGTATGCATGGTAGTATACATCTGAACCACTTGGTAACTTGGCAATAGCTTTGCGGACTGCTTGGACCGAAGTTTTGCCCCGCAGTGAGTCAAGATGAAGTTGCGACAAAAGGAACCTGTAAGGAGGTAAGCTCGAAATCCTAATTTCGAAGAATAAATTACTTACATCCCCTTTACAGAGCGAACTATTTCGTTTATAACCTCCTCTTGAAGGTCCTGTCGGCAAAGGAAACCTGGCAATTGAGTCATTTGACTACGGAGGAACATCCGAACATCCTCGTCAGTAGCACGTATTTCCAGTGAAATGCTATCTTTAAATTGATCCACAATGCCAGGTATCGGCCTGGAAGTGGCGAAGATGTTGAATTTGGACTTTCTTTGCAGCTCAAAGACCTCCTGTAAGAATCTTGTTTGACTGCCATCTGATTTCCGACACTCATCAATTGCATCAATTAAGATAAAGACTCTTGAATAGAGTTTGATAATAGAAGGTAAGGTGTTAGAGATTTCCTCTAATGACGGCCGTGAATCCTTTGTGTTATGCTTATTGTAAAGTGATTTCGCAATTTCTGGCAATGTTGATAGACTTTGTAGAAGCTGCTTGAGAAGGCTCGCTAGAAGCTCCCTGGCCGTTTGCTCGTCTTGTCGTCGAAAATTGCAATAAACATATGCAATCCCAATATCTTTATCATCTAATAAGTATAGTGTCTCTAGAGTTTCGATTACGATTGAGGTGAGGATCGTCTTGCCAGCGCCTGGCATACCTGGACAGAACAGAGTCTACCCAGGGCTATCCCGCCAATTGCAGAACTGTGGTGAATCGAGAAGCCATTGACCAGTTCCCGGCTGCCGCCTTCCAATATTATCACCTTGAATAAGACTGTAATTGGCCGGAGTGAGCCAATCTAAGACAGCTTTGTGTTGCTGGGTTCGATGGTGATGAATAATTGTATCAGCTTTCTTATGTGCGGCTAAGACCTCAGTCTGTAAGTCTATTAGGACAATGATATGTTAGCTACAGAAACACAATATATAAGAAAGCAATGAGCGAGATATGTCCAGTATGTCACTTAACGTTTCTGCTTTGCTTACAGGCTGAAAATTTGGTTTGACTAACCAGACAAAACTTGACCGATTTTCTTCTCGAATTCAACCTTGTTCGGAGGGATTTGACATAGCAGATCCTTAGCATATGCTGCCGCTGCCATCGCCGCAAACCCTTGCCACTCGTCGTTCTTGTGCGTGTCGGCATAGTCGCAGATGCCACGAATTATCAGGCATGGAAAGTGATTTACCAAGCCAGCTGCTTCCGTTTCGAAACAAAGGACATCTCTTTTTGCAAAGGCATCACGAATCAAAGCGTCCTTCATTAGCATGCTTGACGACGCGATCAGACCGTAGTGGATCGATGGATTGTCTTCGCCTCTGGTACGTTCGTGTCGTACTTGTAAATTCGATGGATCTTCGCCACAAAGGGCACAGCTGGACTCGTCATTCGGCTGATGGAGCACCTCGGACCTATACAGCCTATCGGTGGTCTTAGGTCGTCCATATTTTTTGCGTAATCTCGGTGACTTCTCCAGAATGGTGTTAATAGATTCGTTGAACTGATGACCTTCAACCTCATATTGAGCCATGAGTCCGTTCATAGCAGTTCGCAGTATTGTAGGAGGCCGATCCAAGAACCCCGTCTCTTTGAACTCCTGGCCCTGTATGACATTTCCGCAGTCATACTGGAATACTCCGCCGAACCTTCCTTTGCCAGAGGCACTCACAACAACATCGCCGAGACGGATATCATGCTTCGGACTGGGCGCTCCGCCGCCGATGCCGACCATCAAGCCAATTCGAATATTAGGAAAACTATGAAGCATATCTCTTGCAACGCTAGCGGCAGATGATATACCATATTCCCCATGGGGAAGGACAGCTATGGCGACATTATGTCTACCAATCCTACCCAGTGCGTAATTGTTATTATCGTGTGTAGACACGCATTCAGGCCCTTGGTGCTTTTCGTCGAGGAAGGTTTGCGCAGCAACAAACTCAGTTCGAATAGCACAGATCCAGCCCACGACATAGTTGTGTGGGTTAGACATAGTTGGCAGTATTACCTCTGGACTTTGCTCTGAGAATGTGAAAGACTCGGGTTGTCCTTGCAGAATTTGAGCCCCGCGTCCAACGGAACCTGATTTAGGCATCAGCATCAGCCCTAGCCGTCACGTCGCGTGGACCACTCAACTTCTTTCTCCCAACCACCAATCACATCGGGACCGATCAGTGGGCGGCTAATTCCAACTCGGCTGTTTCAGTTCCTAATTACAAAGCGACTCTTATCTCCAGTGCCTACATATAGTCCGCTATACACATGAGTAAAGTCTAGACCACTTAACGATTTGCATCAGTTTCAGAGCAAACATATTCAATCACGAAGCACAGTAGCTGGGCGTCAATTTGTAGTTTTATTTATTCTATCAAGACTTATCCCAACCCAACCAGATCCCATTATTACCGTGACTATATCAATGTCACCCAGTAGTTCTAGCTTTCATAGCACTTTCCGTGACCTTCTCTTGTACTGTGATTTATTCACCATCTCCGAACAATGGCTCTACGCCCAGGGTATGTTGGGGTCATGGTCGAGTTTGTGTTCGATACACCACCTGACGGTAGCATGACGGGGATTGGCTGGGGAGGGTGTTCAAGGGCTTCTGCGATGGGCATTTCACTGGCCCCCTCCTTGATGTGCTCAGGGATAGGTGCTGGGGTGTGCTTTGGTGCCTCCATTGCAACATGCTCAGGTGCAGGAGCAGGTTCGTGTTCAGCAACAGGAACCTCAGGCGCTGGTGCTGGTTCGTGCTCAGTAACAGGGGCCTCGGGAGCGGGAGATGCGGTGTGTTCTGCGACAGGGGCCTCAGGTGCTGGAGCAACTGGGTGTTCAGCAGGTGGAGCAGGATGCTCAGCTACTAATGTCTCATGAGGCGCCGCTGCAGGCTCTTCAGCGGGAGCCTCAGCAGCTGGTGGCTCATGAGCGGCAGGTGGTGCAGGATGTTCGGCTACTACTGTCTCATGGGGCATCGCCACAGGCTCTTCAGCAGGAGCCTCAGCTTCTGGGGGAGTGACAGCTGTCTCATGTGGAGGAGGCTCGTGGACCACTTCGCTGACTATGACCACAGCGGGATGCTCTGGGGGCGTCTCTACCACTGGGTGCTCAGCAGGGGGCTCGACGACTGGGTGAGCGGCAGGTGGTGGAGTAACATGCTCAGGAGCAGCTGTTTCGGTGATGGTGTGAACGACTGTGACGTGCACAGGCTTTTCCACTTCAACTGTATGGACAACCTCAACTGGCTTCTCAACGACAGAAGTATGGATCACTTCCACGGTATGAACCTGTTGGACAGGGACTTCAACAACTTGGGTGTGGACAACTGTGACGGGTACCTCGACAGGCTTCTCAACCTCAACCACTGAAGTATGGACAACTTGCATCTCTACTACAGAAGTCTGGATGACAGTAACAGGCTTCTCGACTTCAACCTCATGTTGGACGACTGCAGTCTCGATGACTGTGACAGGTTTCTCCACTGCTTTCTCGACCTCAACAACGGAGGTATGAACCACCGTTACAGGCTGTTCGACTGTTTGGTGAACAACTGAGGTCTCAACAAGAGTGACAAGCTTCTCAACTGGCAATTCGACGACTGAGGTATGGACGACAGTCACAGGCTGCTCAATGGTTTGGTGGATAGTCTCAACCACTGTGATAGGTTTCTCGACGGCCTTCTCAACCTCCACCACAGAAGTGTGCACAACAGTTACGGGCTGCTCGATTGTTTGATGGACTGTCTCAACGACTGTGATGGGCTTCTCAACCTCTTTCTCGACAACTGAGGTATGAACCAGTGTCACAGGCTGTTCGATAGTCTGGTGAACAGTCTCGACAACGGTTATGGGCTTCTCAACCTCCTTGATGACTTCGGATGTGTGAATCACGGTCACGGGTTGCTCGATCGTTTGGTGGACAGTTTCAATAACTGTTATTGGCTTCTCGACTTCGACATGCTGAACCTCTGTTACGTGTACGGTCTGATGAACGGTCTCTGTCTCGTGAACCACTTCTGCGGGAAGAGTGACATGTACTGTCTCTGTTTCGTGAAGCACCTCTGCAGGAAGAGTGACGTGTACGGTCTCTGTCTCGTGGACTACCTCTGCCGGGAGAGTGACATGTACGGTCTCATGAACAGTCTCGTGGACCGTCTCGTGAACTGTGACAGGCTCGCATGCCGGGGCAGCCTCGACCGGTGGGTTTCTTCGGAAAAAGGACGGTGAAGCCGTTGCCAGTCCAGCAAAGGCCGAGACAGTGGTGAGTGTTGAGAAGAGCATGACAGTAATGTGAGGAAATAATCGGTCGGTTGGGATTAGGATAAGCGATTAGGATGAATGACAAAAGGACGGGACGCGGCGATACCAGATCGCGCGGTGTGTATAGAAATAACGATAGTAAATATTATAATTAGACAAGAAAAGAATCGAAGGAACAAAACACACCACAGGCGTATAGGTTCTCGAAGGGAAAGAGTGTGAGAGGACAAAGGATAAAAAGCCTAAAAGCACGGGAAAAGGCGAGGTTTTTCTCATCTTGGCCACGATGTTTGGCGTTGCATCCGCTGCAACCTGGAGCTGGCTATGAGACGTGGCTGCCGTTCGGCATTGTCAACCCGTACCGCAAGCTGCCATGCTTTCATCCATTCTTGCGAAGATACGATTGATATTTCCCAGCTCGGCAAGTTGGCACGCCGTAAGGGGTCCGGGAATGCACCAAAGCGTTGTTTGGGGGAGGCTCTTGGCTCTTGGCGATGGGGTCTTGTCTCGGCGGTGATTCATATCGTGGGTGCTATAGAAGACCCTTGCTACTTTTCTGTGCAGACCCAATTGATAAGACTTAAGCTTAAGGCGTATAACGTTAAGCCAGATAACCTTTGACCCCTGTCGTGAAACAACTATACGGGCGGAAGCCCAAGGTCCCGGCCACGGAGACCCCGCATGGCAGTTTCAGCCCTGGAATTTTTCGATGGGGGAGACGTGTGGCTTTTGTAAATGCCTGATGTTCTGCACGGGAGCTGAGCGGATGGGGCTTTTCTCACCAGTGTTTTGGAGGGGAGCTGTCAAGTCTCGTCTGGTCTTGGCTGTCCTGTAACTGGCACGATGGATACCCCTGCCAAGTGCTTGGGCCAATCTGGGCCAGATCTCTCGCTACTGGGGACGTAAATTAAATAGGCTTCTGCTCGCTGGCCAACAGTTGTGTTATTTTCTTTTTCGGTGGGTATTGTCTCAGCATTTATTTGTTGAAACTTTATTTCCATCATATTGGGCATTTTTACGGAGGATGAAAATGAACAACAAGGTTCTGATGGTGGAGGAGCTCTGGAGATAAACTGCAGAAATGTCAGTGCAGGAGTAAACTGTCAAAGGAAAACTTTTATCTTTCGCCAATTATATCATAGGAACGCGATTAAAGGGTGCGACATATGTTCTTCAAAAAATTGACAGGATAATGCTGTGCCGGCGTTTGCAATTAATGCTCCATAAATACAAAGCCACTATTGGGTATTTTAAAAATAATTGAGTCTGGAACATATTATCATACTATCCTCCAAGCAATGGTACCTGGGCTTAAATTTCCGACAAACAATTACACCTTAATTGATATCCAGATCTCTAGTCGCCGACGGGAACAGGCCATTCTCTTCACCCGAGGTTCTATGCCTGTACATACCAGGTTTGCAACATACCCTATATACCCATCACGGATTGTTTGTCTTGAGAGATAATACCCTGTTTTATTTGACCAAGCATAATTAATGTAAGAAAAGCACATATAAATATTAATGCCACCCAACACGTATAATTATGATATCATATGCAATAGTGGTGGGAGCTTCGTAGTGGCCAATTGTTTGGCGTGAGCAACTGTTTTGCAGATGTAAAAATGTGAATGACACTTCAAACGCAGATAACTTTCAGTAGCATACCCAGTCACTATACTTCCAGAGCCAAGTTATGCTTAGACGACATATCCTTTATTATCTAAATACCTACGCCGCCTAGGCAGAAGACTCGATTGATACCGAAGCGATACACGTAAAGATGTTTGTGGTGGATTTTGCACATGAAACCATGAGTTGCTAGACTTTTTATTCTTCTAAAACAATATAAAGTACATTACGCATGTTCAAGAAGAGGAACTGAGATGATAATCGATCCTCGAATTTCACCTGGGTCTAATAGCATTCTTTAACTATAGCAGAGAAAATGACTTCAAACCGATTAACTCCGCGTTTAAAGCTTACAAGTTAGTTAGTACTCTTTTGAAATTTTAAGTTAGTTGGATTCCTATTATCTTTTCTAATCCATTGTATTCGGTTCTGCCTAATGCTAGGCTTTCTGACATAGTGGACCTGAGCTACCTATGCATTGTGACTGACTGGTAAGCAGAGAGCGGCTATGCTTTTCACAGCCACGATCCCTGAGAAGAGGCCGCTTTTGAGATAATATAAAAACCTGGGCTTACATACTCCTCACCACTCTCACCAAGTATTATTCTATTCTTCCTCATATATGCAAATCATGGGCGTCTACCAATACAAGCCAGTCGGCAAATCCGAGATCCGCCTCGTCACGATCAAGTCAAGTGGGGCAGATGGGCAACTCGAAGCGAGCATCAAGAATGTGGAATTGAACCCCGACGATCCGATCAAATATACGGCTTTGTCATATTGCTGGGGAGATGCGGTCAATCTAGTCCAGATTCCCTGCGATGGCCAATCTCTTCCTGTTACCACAGCTCTTCATGAAGCTCTGGTCGAGATTATCAAGTTTACCCCTCACGACGCGTTGTGGATCGATCAGATATGCATCAACCAAGATGACATGGTCGAAAAGTCGGAGCAAGTCTCCAAGATGAACTTGATTTACGACAGTGAGTGCAAAGAAGCTGGCATGATATGAATCGTTTGACTAACTATGACCAGAAGCAGAAACTGTCCTTGCTTGGCTGGGACCAGCGACAGATTCCACTGAAGTCGCTGTCGACTTCGTGAAGAAAGTAGGAGACATAGCACTCCCTACAGTAACAGATATGTTCCGTTGGGATAGCTACGACGAATCCCATGAGGAAACTAAACTCGAACGCAAGGAAGAATTAACCATTGAGCAATCTCGGGAACTGGGCATCCCATTCGACGACTCTGAATCCTGGGCCGCTTTCTCCGAATTCTTCGACAGGCCTTGGTTCCAGCGCATGTGGACAGTACAGGAAATCATGCAAGCCCGCAAAGCTGTCGTTGTATGCGGTCCCTACAGTCTTCCCTGGGAACAGGTCAGCGCTGCTGCCAAGTGGTTCTGCTACAAGGCGAACGCCATACATAACGACTGCCCGCGACAAGTAGACGGCATGTGTCTGGTGACGCAGATGACTGCTATCGGATGGCGGTTCAAGATGGGCGCCGAGTATTTGCCTGAGTTGTTGGGCCAGAAGACGCGACCGACATGCAAATGGTCTCTACGCGATCTTCTCGAAGGGCTTCGACCTCGTCTTGCTAAGGATCCTCGAGACAAGGTGTTTGCACTCTTGGGTATCAGCGACGTAGATCGCGTTTACAATGAAACCAAGGGCATGGTCGTTGATTACTCCTTGTCTGTCGTGGACGTCTTCACACAAGCGACAGAGGAAATCATCAAGAATGACGTTGAGGATCTCAACGTGATATGGTCTGCGCGACAAAAAAGCAACGAGCCGGACTGGCCGAGCTGGGTTCCCGACTGGCGACTCAAGACTGGTTTCGGTTGTCAATGGGGAATTGGCAAGCCTTTCAAGAATTCGGCAGAACAAGGCAAGAGATCATATGTCTATATTCCTACCGATGAACCTCGCACGCTCGCAGTGCGTGGAAAGGTAATTGGTCGAGTCAACTACATCAGCGAACACCAACACTTTGGCGAAATCTTCCAACAAGGCCGTCTCCGTGAGATGTACGATGCGTGCATGCAGCGACTATCGTCCTATCCCACAGGCGAAGACGTCAACACTGCCTTCGGACTAACGCTAATCGGCGGCCTCCCTCTGACGAAAGGTCTACAAAAGAAGGAGACGTCGGTGGAAACATATGCAGACATGTACATGGGCTTCTACGACGCAACGCAGATGCCACAAGCCCCGCCAGAGATGAAAGCTGCTCGCGATAAGGCGCTCGAGAAGTACTACGCCGTTGGTTTGGATCTGTCGTGGCTTCACGAGATCCTGGATGCGTACTGTGAGCGTAGGTTTGTTGTTACAGATAGTGGACATATGGGCCTGGCGCATAACAAAGTTTTGGAGGGGGATCTGATCGTCTCGGTGGTTGGCCTCTCTTGGCCATGTGTCTTGCGAGCAAAGAGCGAAGACCACAAAGATGGTTTCGAGTTTATTGGGTAAGTCAATGTGATGTTGTGTTTGATGCGGGAGACTAATCTTACTTGGCAGGGACGCGTATTGTCACGGCATGATGGACGGCGAAGCGCTGCAGGCCATTCTCGATGAAAGCGACGACGGACAAATATTCACCCTTAAGTAGAGCCAGTGTGTGGTCAATCATAATCGTTCAAGGAATGTCTATAGTCTAAGTTTTGAAGTCTAAGTCTACTTGTAAATCGTACCTCGTCAAAGACGACCAGTTTGCAGGCGATGCAAAATGTCTTGGCCTCCCCACCCATCATACATATAATAATAAAGATCGTTAATCCTGTCTTGCATCGTCGTCATCGGGCTAAACCAGTAGCTGCGTTATGCTTTGCTCGTTTACTGAGCGCGGGTGTTGATGGGAATTCGAGTCTCATTGGAATCTAACATCTATGCCTTAGCTCCTGTAATAATAATACATCTTAGTCAAACAACTTTGTTTCTTCCACGGAATATTGCTGGCTTCCCCAGTCCCTCATAATTATGTGTAATATTTTATTCAGTCCTGGGTCGCTTGCGGGACTCAGACTCACCATTCTCGCCCGCGACGGAAAAGTACTCGAGGCTGCCCTTGGGGTCGGCCTTCATGGTCTTTCCGCCCTCCTGCCAGCCGGCAGGGCAGACCTCGCCGTGCTCGTCGGTGAACTGGAAGGCCTTGACGAGGCGGAGGGTCTCCTCAACGTCACGTCCGACAGGAAGGTCGTTGACGGTGATCTGTCGGAGGACGCCCTTGGGGTCGATGATGAAGAGACCGCGCAGGGCGATGCCCTCATCCTCGATCAGGACGCCGTAGCTGCGGGAGATCTTTGTGCTCTTGTCGGCGATGAGGGGGAGCTCCAGGTCGGGGCCCAGACCGCCCTGCTTGCGGGGCTTCTCAACCCAGGCGAGATGGGTGAAGTGGGAGTCGGTGGAGACACCAAGGACGGTGGTGTTGATCTCGCGGAAGCGGTCGAGGGCGTTGTTGTACTGGATAATCTCGGTCGGGCAGACAAAGGTGAAGTCCATGGGGTAGAAGAGAAGGACGACCCTAGAGTGTGTGTCAGTGACTGTAGTCCATCCAGGTCCTCAGGGGAAACTCACCATTGTCCCTGGAACTCAGAGAGCTTGATGTCTCTGAACTCGCCTCCGGGGAAGAGGGTAGTGGCCGAGAACTCGGGAGCAGGGCGCTGAACGAAAGCTTGAGACATGATGATTGTGTTTGTTGGTGTTGTTTGTTAGACTAGACTAAAGAAACAAAAGAGAAGGAGAGAGAGAAAGCTTCCATCGACGTGATTAAGAAGGCCCAGCAAAAGCAACGACTGTGGATCTCTATCAGGGGTGCCTGACTCTTGTGGAACATTGTGGAAATCATCAAATTTTAGCGCGTCATTGTTGATAGCGGTCGATAAGGAGAATGCACTCTAGGCACCTCAATTGCCATGTGCACACTGCGCTACAGCATGTTTAGTTAGTCTTCTGGAAGGATTTAGGTAATTAGCACCAGATGCACACGGCAAAAGACAGGTAAAAGTTCCTGTGCTCGACTGGCGGTGACGCAAATGATGTGGCATTCCCGAGATCAATGCCGCAAGACAAGAAAAAGATGGCGTCTGCGTCTCAGCGTCTCCACAGGCAAACGCAAAAACACGTGCTTGAAAACCTTGATCCCTGCGTCACTGGAATTGATTCCAAACCGCGTTCCAAGTGGCCAACTAACTTATCTTCCCGCCTTCGGAGGTCGGAGCTTGTTCGGACACAAGGCCGAGCTGCCCACCCTACACTGACTTTTTACCTTTTTACCACTTCAGCCGCAGATGCCGCACGCTCCGCAGCTGATCTTTTAGATAAAGAGAATTTATCTGATCATGTTTGTCTATTCATAGTCTAGTGCTTTCCATTCTGTACACCCCTTGAGGCTAGCATATTCGCCTCGGCGATGATGTCGGACATGTCATCCAACGCCAATTGAGGACTCAGTGCACAGATCCGCAACGCCACCTTTCCTCTCACTTTTGTCGTCAACACTCCAGCTGTGTTACTAGAGATAAGACTCTTCGAAACGCCAGTGTTAATTGCCTCGAGCTCATCCTCCGTCAACCCCTCACGCGCATATCGGAATGTTATCACACCCAGGCTGGCAGAACTAACAATCTCCCAATCCGGCAGCTTTCGTAACTCCTCTTCCGCTCTCTCCGCCAGATCAAACCCGTGATCAATCATCTTTCCGATCCTCTCAACACCAATAACTCGCAGAGTGAACCACAACTTCATAGCCCGAGACGCAGGCCGCGTGAGCTCCATGCTGTAATTCCAAAAGTTAGGAATATCCTCATCCTCTATCGCGACACCATCGCGGAGATAGTCTCCCTCGTTGGCAAAGCTTCTCACAAGGTTGGCCTTGTCTTTGACCAGGAGAAGACCACAGCTGTATGTCTGGAAGAGCCACTTGTGCGCATCCCAGGACATGCTGTCGGCGTACTTGAGGCCATCTACTGTCTCGTGGCGGGTAGCTGAGAGCGTGGCAGAGGCACCATAGGCACCATCGACGTGCAGCCAGATCTGCTCCCTTTTGCAAATTTCTGCTATTTTTTCCAGTGGATCAATGGCGCCAGTATTGGTTGTTCCGCAAGTGCCAACTACCAAAAATGGTACAAGACCAGCTTTGCGATCGGTTTGAATTGCTTGCGACAGAACAACTGGGTCAAGCCTAAAGCACTCATCTGTAGGTAGCCATCGGATTTGTCCCTTGTGAAAACCGAGCATTCGCAGAGCTTTAGCAACGGAATAGTGTGTTTGGTCCGTCAGATAAGCGATGGCAGCATTGGTTTCACCACGCGGGACAAACCGATCGCGAGCAATGACCACACCCATCAGATTTGCCATGCTTCCTCCCGAGACACAAATTCCACCAGCTGTTGTAGGAAATCCGACTTGGGAAGCCAGCCATTCTATCAAAGTCTTTTCAATGACCACAGGGCCCGAAGCCTGAAGTTTCGAAGCACCCAGTGCGTTGAAAGCGCTGGCCACGATATCTCCGAGCCACGCGACAGGTGATGTAGGCGAAGGGATAAACCCCATAAAGCGCGGATGATTGACGCGCATGCGATGGTCGTAGGCTGCAAAGGCTTCTTCGAGGACATGGTCGATCGAATGGGCTTCGCCAGGTGTGCCTATGGTTCTCAGGTAAGGTACATCTTCTGGTTGGGCGACTTTGATGATGGGGTCGTCTTTGACATCTTGCGTGGTTGATCCCAAGCGCTGTGCAATGGATTGAATTGCTGAGACGACAGCGTCAAGTTCCTCTGGTTGATGAAGGGCATGCATTATGTTGATAGGTATGAATATGTGTTTGTACATTGAAGTCTCAGGGCTCCTAGCCTCTACTTAAATATCCATCATTCAATATCTCCATCTTACGCGTTGTATATAGCACAGCGATAATGTCACAACCAGTGGGGCAATTCGTCCAACTTGGCATGTCAATTTTACGCCTTTCAGCTCAATTGTAGATCCTGTCAGCTTTCCATGCGCCTTTAACAAGAAGTGCAGGGGAAATCAAGCGTGGAATATGTTGTTTCTCAAACATCATAGGCCCATTGATTGACCCTCCATAGGGCTGATGACACTATTTGCCGTTTTAGGTAATTTTGCGAGAGGAGGAGCCTCTCTCGGTGAATGAGGGTTCCCCGAGATCCGCTATTTATTGATAATCTGAAACTTCAATCCAGAACGCAGTGGAGAGTCGGAATTCGTTATCGCCGTATAATTGATATCCCACAAGTCTGCTTACTACTATACAATTTCTACCCGCACGAATGCCAGTATTCTTTCCCAGTCTAACGTTTTCCCAAATGTTCGAATATCTCTTACTAACTCCCTTGGTTGACTCGAGATAGTTCATGCTCTGGTACTGTAAATACTGCCCAAGTGTGCTTCTAGTTGGGAACACACTGGGAGTAGAAATCGTTGTTCTTGGTGCACTTGAGTCCAGCAGCACACTTGGTAGCACCAGCCCAGTTGCCACCACCGCACTGACCCCACGCAGCAACAGTTTTACCTGCGTTACCGCCAGTGGAAACAACAGGAACGCTCGTAGCCGCGGCCTTGGTAGCCGTGGCCTTAGTAGTCGTGGCCTTGGTAGCAGCTTTGGTGGTTGTGACGACCTTGTCAGCGGCCTTTGCGGGCGTAATGGCGGTAGAAGATGCAGCAGAGGCGCTAGCCTTGGTGGAACTCCATTTGTTCTTCTGAGAAAGGTAGTACCACCAGTTTCGTAGCATCCAGCCGTCAAAGTCGGTGATTTCCATCGAGGCGCCGGCAAGCATAATGAACTTGGTGATGCCGGTGGGTGTCCAATCTGTTGAAGTCAGTATGTCTTTCAAGGACTAGGAATAAGCACCAGAGTGGGATTACCATAGACTATGTATTGTTAGCAAAGAACTTGGAACTTGAACAAGAAGACTTACAATCATCCAAAGCAAAGGTGTGTCCCTACTCCAAATATTAGCAGTATCCCACAAGCGGACATTATATCTCTTACCATTTCGTGCAGGAGAATATGAATGTTGTCAGAGTCGAGATTGTTCATGAAATACTCGCGGCCAACCTGCTGTCCCCAGTTATGGCCAAATCCACCCTCAAGTCCATCAGTCAACCAGAGAGAATGGTCGTAGTGGCGGTCAGCTCCAGCCTTGCATCCGCTGTAGTCACCATCTAGGTGAGCATCACGAGCACAGGCGACGGGGCACATGGGGATACCATCAGCGTCAAGTTCAGTGTAGACATCGTAGCCAGTGGTTGAACCTTGGAGCTGGCTCTTGTTCTTGACGGCGTATCCGACGATGTTGACCTTGACGTTGCTGTATGGAAAGCCGTTGTAGCCGTAGAGCCATTTGAACCATTTCTGGTACTGCTGGTCATAGACTTTGGCGATCTTGGTTCGCTGTGCCTCGGTGAGAGTGGCACTTGAGTCCCATCGAACACAGATGTTAAGGTATCTACTTCTCAGTCAGCATTGCACGCCCGCGGTTAGTCTAAGTTCTAATTACCCCTTGTTGGCCATGATCTGATGGAATCCAGTGTTGACGTTGGCGTCTAGCCCGCCATCATAGGTCTTCACATAATGATCCCAGACCTCTTGAAGGGGAGCTTTCAGATCCGAAGGAGGGGTCCATCCCGACTGACGCTTCACTGGGCGGTTGCGAGAGGAGTCGAGGTTGCTACGCTTGGGTTGAGGCGCACTGAGAAGGTTCTTCCAGACAGAAGGATCGAGATCGGATTGCGCCGCACGTTCGACGTTCGGGGTGGTCGATTCAGTTGAATAGAGGCCGTTGCTTTTGTCGGGATGAGCGACAGCAGAAGCAACAATTCCACCGGAGAGGCTGAGGATAGTAGAGAAACGCATGGTGAAATGTAGTTAATTAATGAATATATTCGAAAGAATGAAGAATATGCAAAACGAATGAATGAATGAACGAGTGAACGGAATCTGTCCCAGCAGAAAAGCGAATGTAAGTTACAACTAACAGAACTGATTACCATGAAAATGTAGGCTACTTCTTATTTATATAGATCCCCATCTCACTAGAAGTTCCAAACCCGAGTATACCATTCTATACGCGGTCCTGGGTGGATCTAAGCTAACAACGAAATGACCCAGGATGGTGTTTCACTTTTAAAAAGAAGCTTCAACGGGTGGAAAATAATTCGCCGACGTGCATCCCTGCGCACGTACACGAGAATACGGACGGGTAACACCACATGCCGCTATTCTTATTCAAGCCTGTTTGAATCCGAAGCTATTTTATGGGCGTAGACACGATGAGAAACCCTGCATGATGCGAGATGAGATCGTTTTTCTCGTTGAGAATTGACAAAAACGGCAATTCTCTTCTTGGCCTGTGCTGTTTCATAACGGATAGTGGTTCGGTTTTCAGATGACCATAGCGTTTACCCAGAGGCCAGAACACAACATTCGCTAAGTTGGGGACGACCCAATAGCAGTGATTAAATTATCTCGTCTACTACTCATCGTCATTCGTTAAGATCATAAACCAACGAAGCCCGTCTCTACACCTTTCGTCTATAAAGTCTCCACGCTGTAATTCTTCTCCTTAGTCACAGCAACCTCCTTCGCTCGCAACAACACATCCTCCCAGATTGGTGGCCGGCACCGTGCTCCCTTCCCAACAGCCTCTGCCTCAACACCAAATTCCAATAAGGCCTTTTCGCTACACCATTCTCCCGTCGCCATCAAACCAATCGGGACTTTCCCAGGTGTCTTTTCATCCGCTTCCTCGCCGGCTTGTTCCTGTCCCTCTGGAACCACGAACCCGGCTGGGACGGACAGAGAGGGCATGCCGCAGAAGTTGGCCAGCCATACATATGTCATGCTCTCTATCGTCAGGTTTCCATCGCTCATGCCGTGCTTGAGTTCGCTGGCGCCGCCTCGTATCGGGGCACCGCCGTTGGCAGTGGTAGGTGTGATGATCATCATGCCGGGGTATGTCTTCCATAGGTGTGAGAGATGTTGCATTAATAGATTACGCAGCTTCTGCGCTAGAACGTAGTCTCCGGCTGGTGTTGTGCGTCCCATAGCAAGGAGTAACTTGTTTGCCGCGGTTGTGTTGGCTGATCTTAGTAGAAGAGACGCAGCATCAGCCAAAACGGTCATGGCATGAGCGATTTGTCCTTCCTCCGTGAAAGGGATGCTGATGGGGACAACTGTGTAGCCGTACTCTGTGCAGAGTCTTCCAATCATCCTTTTTGTGACACTCTGAACACCAGGTGTTGCGAGGTCGAACCAGGGCTCGTAAATACCGAGTAATTTGGTAAGTGGTCTCGAAGGCTCTTTGTAAAGTCGAGGGAATCTCGATGTTGGGTGAGGATCTGCTATCACGCTGTAAACTGTTGCTAGGGAGTACATGTCTGCTGCAATTGGCCCCTGGACACAGCAAGTAGGAGCCGGGTTTGGCGTTGGAAACGAGGACAGACGGCCGTGGGTGGGTTTGAGACCGAATACAGAGCAGTATGAAGCTGGGATTCGGATACTTCCACCTGCGTCGCCACCTAAGGCTATTGGGATTAAGCCTGCGCCGACAGCATAGCCGGCTCCGGAGGAACTACCTCCCACGTAGTAACCTTGGTTGAAGGGATTTAGTGGAGTGCCATGGTTGGGATTATTGCCTGTGGTGTCTGCGAACTCAGTCAATAAATAGTATCCACCGCCAGTTTTATGGAATACATACCCATTCCAAATTCATGCATATTAAGCTTCCCCAGTACAATAACGCCAGCGTTTTGTAATTTCCTCACACACCAATTTGTGATCGATCCAGTACTCACACCCTTGCCAGCATAGTTGTTCTTTGAGCCCATCGTCATCTCGTAGCCGTCGAGATCGAAGTCGTCCTTGATAGCCGCGGGTACACCATCTAAGGGACCGAGAGGTATCTTCTCACGATATCGAATGGTGGATTCTTCAGCTGCTTTCAGAACGAGGTCGACTCTTGTGCTAATCCAGGCAGCCGAGTGGTACTCCCGAGTGTCAAGGTCGCGGCGGATAAGTGGTAATAAGGCGTGTGCGACATCTGTAGGTGTAGCTTGTCCTGATAGGTAGAGGTTTTGATAATCCACCACGGAGTAGTATGGTGAGTTCTCCAGTGGGCGTGGTGTTTCTTGTGAAGGAATACCCGTTCTTTGGCTTTCGAGGTCTACCTGGGTTGAAGTGTCTGGCAATGGAATGACAGCAGGATCATATCGTGCTTCATATACTTCCAGAGACTCTCGGATGGGTCTTAAAGAGGCAAACCCTGCATTTTGCCAAACGGTCTCTCGGATGAAGCGAATCAAGTCGATTCTTCCTAGTTAGCTTGGACCAGAGATGGAAGGATATACACCCACAAGAATGCTATGAAAACCAATAATGGCCCTCTGAGAACGGGATTATCTAACTTCCTCTTTCGTATTATTGTATCAGGTCTAACCACATGTTAGATTTGGACTTGAATATCTGCTTATCCGCCACTGACCCTTGCTGTGACTTTGGGTAGTCGATAAACCGTGGACGCTCATCTTCCACTCCCGAGCTTGCTATTGCCATCTCCATTGTCGCTTGAGAGATGTATAAATAATATGTGGGTAGTCCTAGGGTGGATGTCTGGTTAACAGTCTGTAGAACAACTGATAGGAAAGGAAATGTCATTAATCGTGTTGGGGAATCGTGAAAAGAAATAAAGTCAAATCGTGAGCACTTCGACAAACCATGACCACAGTAGCGAGGGGACGGATCACTAGTATATAACAACAGGGAAACGAAAACGCCACATACCACAATAGGAAATAAAATACCTAAAGAGAAACAATAGACGACGATTGCTACCGGCATGTTTCAAAATAGAACTATCAAGAGGCTTGGACCTCACCCTAACCATATTCCACACATCCAGCTACATACTAGAACCAGCACGTCGGGTAGGGCGTCATGACGCTGCTGACCTGTATCGGTTATCAAGCCCTACCGCTCAAGATGTCGTCCTTTTGGGAATAGCTTCTTGCATAAACCACAAGCGATAGCAGAGCCTCAGCGTATCCCAGGGCACCACAGCAGCGACCAGGGTCAGGCTGATTCAGCCATGGGCTGACTTGTTCGGCGGCGCCGAAGACAAAACGAGTAAGCGGCTAGCTGGGACGATATCTGTTTGTGTATTTGGGTTAGACTGTGGGAGTTGTACACAGCTGCGCCATGGTATGCATCAATATTGGTCCCGCAATTGGGTGCGGGGAGTTGATGTGTTTTGACAATTGTCAAGGCGCGTTGATAAGATACCATGACTGCAGCGAAGTTGCTAGGCTGTTAGGTCTTACTGTTTCCATTCACTTGCTGGTAATTTGGAATGTCAGCGACTATCGGTAATATTTGCGATAGCAGACTTACACTTTCCGATAACCCAATTACAAATAGTCCCTAAAAGTACCCGAGAAAGAAAAAGAGTCACCGTCCTTTTTCTTTTATCTCGTGTTGGTCAAGACCTCGCAGAAATATCGGTACTCCATATTATCCAATAGTCTCGCACTATCAGCTTGGCAAACAATGCGCTGTAAACCCAGGGTCTGGACTCTTGGCTCCCTCACGATGCGGTCTACTCCTGGTTTATTCCATCAAGCGAGCATCCACCAACATTGAATCCTGGAGCAAATCAGAATCATCACATCTGGAAATGGTGTTGGTCGCGGAGTCTAAGCATGCAAGCTTAGCTTAGCTGGGATCAATCAGGGCCAAATACTCCGAAATAGGCGAGATGTGGCTTGCGTTGATGGAATCGATAGCCTTCTTTTGGTATCTCGGCTTAAATCCATCCGCTAACGACTGGCTGGCCTTTTTTGGGAATAATACTCCGAAGTGCTGTGATTCGAGACCTGTGAGTCGGTCAGGCATATTTTCTTCTGTGTTGATAGGCAGGTTGATCAAAGTAAATATGAATAGTACAGAAATGTCGGACCTGCATTCTCGTCACTGAATTATTAGGTATCCAACTGCCCCAGAATGCAACCATTAATTATTCTTGTGGTACGCTTCTAACTGATTGAAAACATATCATGGCAATGGAAAAGGCTTCAATTAGTCGATCAAATTGTTTCATTGACCACAAATATGACTTCACATGATGCTACATGACGTAGTGGTGATGATCTGTGACGATCAAGTGGTATAAAATGAAGCCAGTAGAGACGGCAAACATTCATCTATCTTCACAACCCTATCAGCGTACTCTCAAAAACACTTATCTTACCAAGAGATACCTAAAATATCTCAACACATTATGTCTGGGACTGCCCCAAATAATCCTGCCTCCGGTGGCTCATACCAACATGGACAGGCGCAGTACGACCGCCATTCCGGGAAGCAACACGTGAAGCATGATAATAGGCTAACTATACCTAGAAACATCATCGATGAAACTAAAGAAACCTTTGGACGAACGGTGGATGCGAATATCGGGGATAGCATCGACGCGGGGAACACTAAAGGCGGCACTTCCAGCCGCGTTGATGACATCCTCGATCAACCTGGCAAAGGAAGTGGGAATACAGCGGCGCAGCGCAAAGCTTCAGCTGTTGATGAGAAGGGCTTCAAAGTTGGGGAGGAGGCGGATTTTCATAATCTGGCACAGAGCAAACAACCTTAAACAAACATAACGATAAATCAAAGTAATCATTTAAACCGCCTTTATCTTTTCTGCTAGGATTCAGTATATTAATATCCTTAACGAGGATACAATAGGCTTGAGTCCATCAGTTTCTTTAACCTCTAGCTTCACTCCGTATGTAAGCACGGGGGGGAAAGCCTAAGACTGGCGAACTGACATAGTCCATCATGTCACATGGTACTGCAATCCATGTTTATTAAGCAGCCTTGGGATCTGTGCATCTGATCGGCTTGTCGTACCGCCGCCTTTGATTAAGGTTTCTGACAGGTACCAATTCTAGGGCTTGTCAAGGCCTTCCCTACTAACATAATAGTGGGCACGTCATGTCGAACGGGTCACACGTATCGATTGAACCAGGTCCTTAGGTAAGAAGCAGTGGTTTAAGTGGTGGAAGATAAACCTCCTTTACTATACTCAAATCGTACCTAAACTTTAGGGGCTGAAATGGTTCGAGAAGAGATGAAAGGTGGGGTAATTGTGTGTTTCAGGTATGACATAACTCACTCGTTTTGCTACATCCTAAATCAGCACGGATGATGGTCTCCCGCAACCGAAAATGTAAATTCTCTAACAAACAATAATCAGACTATGGACGAGATGTGTTTCAGGTAGTATTTCCAAGATACAATTTGTACAAGAAGTAATTCTAGTAGGGATTTATCCCAAACGAGCACGGGTGTAGACAACAGTTTACCGTCGCCGAGAACGTAAACACTCCATTCAATGCTAAACTGACTCAATATATAATGATATATCCCATCCCGTCCTACTCCTAATAACTTCCTCATCAACACTCTAACTCGTATCTCTTACACTACCCCAATCATCTACTCAGAGCCGAACTTCTCGCCACAATGCAGTTCAGTAGCCTCCTCACTGTCATCTCCCTCATCTATGCTGCTGTTGCAGCCCCCGGAGACCGTGGAAGTTACACTGTTTCTGGCCTCGGTAGCCGCAAGAAGGCCATCCTCAATGCTGGTGGTAACACCCTTGACTTGGCGATTGCCATGCTTGAGGATGAGCACATGTCAACTGGTTATAAGTACGGTAAGTAAAGCCGTCGGCAAAGTTAACTCCATTCCACTTCGTTAGGTACTAACATAAGAAAAATCTATAGGTGATGGCAAGACTCTTGATGCTGCCAACTTTGGCCTCTTTAAGGTTAACTGGGGAATGCTTCGTGTCTGTGCCAAGCGCGCTGGATTTGTAGGACAGTCTGAGGCACAGTGGAATAACGGTGCTAAGCTCAAGTAAGTCGTGCCAGAAAAGAAACATATCTTGTGTACTAGCTAATGAACGACTTAACTCACAGCTCTGATATCTACGCCGATGTCGCCTCTCGTTGGGACTGTCAAGAGTACTATGGTTATGACAAGTGGTTTGCTGGCCACCGCAACGGTGCTACCGGCTTGTCTAACCCTAATACCGAGGACATCCGATTCTACCGCGAATCTGTCGAGTGGATCCAGAAGCAGATCGACTCCAAGTCGACTTACAAAACTGATGATACTCGCTTCTGGGTTGATGTTACTCCCATCTGAGTCGATCAACCATCAAGCTTCTCACATTGTACTCTGTTCGACAAACCCTAGCCTTATTAGCTCGCTGGCCGAAATAACATTTCTAGAAAGATTGTTTAAAGTCGATGTGTAAAAGCTAAGCCTTATTAGCTTAGTATTGGAAGTATAGGTCTGGAAGATAACCGAAGGATGATATCTTTGAAGGATACATACATTTTCACTTTCTAGTCACTCGCTTAATTTATTTACTCTTTTTCTTGGTAGTCTTACTGTTTTGTATATTATAATGTGCTCGGTCTCTTATGTATAACATGCTAAATGTTAGTCTTGTCTTTCATTATCAGAATGAAAAGTCCAAATGCATTCTCTGCTATAGAGAATCTCTGGGTATACGGTAGGCATATTAAACTCAGGATTGGTATGTCTCATGGTCTGACGTCGTAGTTGGTGTACTTGTCTTGTAGACTGCCAAGCTATACTCTGTAGATAAGAAAACAGTTAGTATTTTCGGCCCGACTTTCGCTGTGCCCGAAGCGTATAGTTTATATCTTGTTACAGTAAACTTCTACCTATATTAATTAGGACTATAATGTTACTATTATTAATGATTTGAATTACGAAAAGGTTTTAAATACGATTTATTTCATAGTACTTAAAATGCTAGAAAGTTACAGAAGCAGTAGAACAAGCCACGATTTTATCCCAGGTCTTATAGTGGGGCTATCTCACCACCAATTGACGATGCACACCCAGTGACGAGAGTGACATTATAAGGTTCAACCCTTACAACCAGGCGGTACTATAGAATCTACTCGTAAGAAATGAATTTACGGGACAATTTGAAGTTTTAGTCGTTGCCAGATTAATAATCTAGCTTGTAACGTTATAAATTTACCGGGATCGGGTCGTTCCAAAACCCCGAGGTCCCACTCGAGATGAATTACTAATGGACGAAGCCGGGGTAATGAGGTCACTATACTTTCAACATTGCGCAAGTATTTGTAGGAAACGTCGAGCTGGTGGGATTGACACATCTTGAGATATGTTTATCGTCCCGTTACTGACCTCATTACCTTTAAACATATAATCAATCAAGCCGGAATCTTCCCATAAATCATCATGAAAGAAGCAATCGTTAAGAAAGACACCTCAGTCGAAATTGTCAACTCTCCAATCCCTAAGCCTGGACCCGGCGAGGTACTCATCAAGGTCGTAATCGCAGGTAGGTTCTCATCCCGTCCCCTCAGTTCATGTCGATATCTAACATCGATAGGAACCAACCCCAAAGACTGGAAGCTTCCCTACTACCTCGACAAGGCGTTCAACAGTGGTGATGACGTTGCTGGTACCGTCGAAGCAGTAGGAGAGAATGTTGTCGGATTCCACAAGGGTGATCGAGTAGCTGCCTTCCACGAGATGAAAGCACCGAACGGTGCTTTCGCCGAGTACGCCACTGCACCCTACTACACAACCTTCCACATTCCTGACTCCGTTTCCTACGAGGAGGCTGCTACCATTCCCCTTGCTGCCTACACATCAGTCTGCGCTCTCTTCCAGGAGCTCGCAATCCCCGAGCCCTGGTCACCACTGGCCAAGTCCACTGACAAGCGACCCCTTCTTATCTACGGAGCCAGTACCGCGACTGGAGCCTTCGCCATCAAGCTTGCGGCTGCCGCTAACGTTCATCCTATCATCGCGGTTGGCAGTCAGCGCAGCGCGTTCGTCAAACCCTTTCTTGACGAAAGCAAGGGTGACACACTCGTTGACTACACCGAGCACAAGACAGAAGAGGAGTTGGTCAAGGCAATCCAAGAGGCTCTCAAGAAGGCTGGTGCTCCTGACGGTCGATGCTGGAAGGCTTTCGATAGTGTCTCCGAGGACGACACCGTCAAGCTTGTCACCAAGGCCATCGCCGGTCCACCAGATACTACCGGCCAAAAGCCAAAGATGACGAATATTCTCATGAAGACCAAAGTTGAAGGCGCTGATCCCAGTGTGGACATCGTATGGTCTATGGTTGGCCAGGTCCACAACAAAAATGAGCACGACAAGCTCGTTGGCGCGACGTGGGCTGCAGCGTTTTCCAGGGGTCTGCTTGAGGGCTGGTTGACAAGTCATCCTTACACTATTGGCAAGAATGGTCTTGAGGGTTTGTCTGAAGGTCTTAAGGATCTCAGGAATGGCAAGACTCGCGCCCAGAAGTTCTTGACGATTGTTGGCGAGACACCAGGTGCTAGCGCCTAGTTTACAAATAATTTATCTATGGTGTGGCTATCTGGATTAAACATCTATAGCTTAATTAATTGTGTCTAAACTCTGTCTATGGGCTTTTTTGTCTTCGTATACTCTTTTCACCACTCGTCTAATAGTATCTATAGCATAATTAGAAGCATTTGCCTCTGATGTCAAGAGGATACTTCTGACTTGATCAGGTGTCCACACGAGGTTAGTTGATGTCGAGAAAGATGCTGTCTAGAATAGGTCAGTCAGTGTTGGTACAAAGATACATGCAGGACTTACAGAAGGGTCGAAGTCTGGATTCAAGCCGTTGGGTAATAGTGGGCAGTAGATGACATAGATTGTCTGGCCAGTATGTCTTGTGCCTCGAAAGACCCTGGCGTAATAGTCTAGATATCTGGACTCTACTTCTAAGCTACCAGCCGAAGTCAGAAATTTATTTTTCTGGGGCTTATGGAAGTCCTTTGTTTCTTCTATCAGTTCAATGTTAAAGTCACCAGCAAAGTGATGTAGTCGTTGAACCGCAGCTCCGGTGTGTATATCTGACGAAGCGTCAAAGGAGACAAAAACATCAACGCCTCTTTCTGGTCGAGCAAGAATGTGGTTTGGGAGGTTGTTAGCCATTCCGCAGTCCATAAGTCTTATGCGTCCCTGCGCTTCCCATGGAGGGGTATTGGGCGACTGAGTTTCATTATTAGACATATCCGCCGAGGAAGAATGGGATGACCCAGACACATGGGGCCTGTTTGCAGCGTGCTCTGGAGCATGTTCTTGTGATCGAAGAGGCTCCTCAAGCCCGTAAAAAGGATTGGGGTCATGTCCTGCCCTGATCGGATTGCCCCATAATCCTTCCAGCTGCTTCATCTGCAGGAACCTGTTGAAGAGAGATACTAATCGAGACATTATAGTATCCCTCGGTAAAGATACTAGGAGAGCTTTGATGCACTCAGTTAAAGGTCCCGCTGGCGCACTTGTGCACTGCCCCAGAAGTAACGAAAATGATTGTTCTGGACGGCGATCGACCGAGTGGCCTGAAACAAATGTGCGGCCCCAGGACCAGGTCGGTACATACCGGTGGAGGTCTGGACTGCCGATTTCCAAAGGAGAGATCTCGAAATACTGAAAGAACTTGCGAGGTCGATTCTTGATAGAGGATGAAGGTTTGGTTCCTCCAGTAGAGCTCGGGTCTTGAAGCTCAGATATTTCTTTGATAGTCTGAGCCTTTGCAGCGACAGTCTTTGGTTCGAACGAGTACCTCGGAACCCGTCGAACACTCGCAAGAATTGGCATTGGCTCTAGCCCTTTGTCAATACCCGACCGATGCCATATCTTGGACCACTGGAATGTAGCCCTGCTGAGTCTACCCTTGGGCTCACGGGAGAGTAATTGGTAAGTAGCTGTCAAGGTCGAGTATAAGTCCATCATGCTCAGTCCGATGATGCTCTTCTGGGCTTTGCTGACCAGAGGACCAATAAGAAAGTAAACACCTCTTTTGCTCCGCGCGACCATGTCCAGCGCGTGGATACTCATAGGATGTGATAGCTCACTCGCCACCGTGAGATAATGGTCGATGAGTTTTGTGATATCATGGCGAGCAATCGTGTAGTAGGCTGCTAGTGTCCAGCAACTCCCACTGACACCTGCAGTCCATGTAATACAGTCCCATAGGCCGAGCTTTTTAGCGGCCGAGATGAAGCCCGCGAAACCGTACATGACTCTATATCCACCTCCCGATCCTCCCAAAGCTATCAGCGGAACGTCTCTCAGGTCGACCTTTTCTTCTGATGGTAAATCCAGGAATTGATGTAAAGAGTTACGGCCATCAGATGACATTCTGTGTTTCCGTAGCTCAATGGACTTTTGCTCCTCGGGGTGGAGGCCTGAACCATATCGAACTTTGGCGTCCCATTTCAACTCAGGATATGTCGCAACATCATTCTTGTCTCTCTCCAGCAGTGTTTTGACTGAAGCCAAGTCGCTGGCTCTTGAATACCAACGCTGTGCGCTCTTTGTCGCTCTTTCTGACAAGGGTTCCGTGACGGGGGCCGTCTTTTCCGCTTGTAAATCGCGTGCATGCTCTACATCATGAGGACTTGGTCTTGTTGTTAAAATACGACCATTTCGAAAACGAGTGACAGTTTTCGTCAACTGAATCCTCGACGATATTGGCGTCGCTTGTATAAGAGTGACTAATGCGCAGATGCAATACGTTTTGGCATACAAGTAAGAAGGTGACTTGCGAATTGAAGTCAAAATGACCATGATGGTCACTGTAAAAGCCTTAAAAGGGCATGACTATACTGATGGCTGAGAGTTGAAGTAAACAGCGCAGGGAGAGTCATTGGCGTCATTGCTGACTTATCAAATCTGTACAGGGGAGTCAAGGCTCGTCTAGCTACCACGTGGGCATGGGCATCCACTAACTCTTGTGAATTGCCCGTTTGATAGGCCCTACGAGGAGGCTTTACATGATAAATAACAATGGGCAAGTATACCAAAGGTTCTAATGACGATAGTAGCGAAACTTGTAGGAAGTGTCGTGTGTATTCTCCGGTTCTAGACAAGATCAAAGAACATGATGACCAATTTGAAACCCTTATCTCATCAATTAAGAGTCACGCCCGGTTAGCTCAATCGGTAGAGCGTGAGACTCTTACGAGTACGCGATCTCAAGGTTGCGGGTTCGACCCCCGCATCGGGCTGTTCCTATATAATTTCGATTGCGAGCGTTAGCGAGGCTTTCTTTTTGCCTTTTTGAGTGATAGAATCCTCACTTATTTAGCTTGGAATACTCCAGCGTCGTTCATTTTCACTTATCAGCAAGAATGTTTTATCATATAACCTCGACACATCCTCTAGTACATGTAGTATACAACTCATAATTACACTCCCACAGCTAACTACATTCCCTTCCAGCTACTCTGCAGCCACTCTTGCAAAACCCTCTGCGTAGTCTCCATACCCTCACGAACAGCCTTAGACGACTCCTCGGCCACCTGGAAAGCAGCTTCAGAAGCAGCAACCGCCTTCTTGGCCTCCTCAATCTCTCCGTTGGTAGCCATGGCAATTGCCTCGTCAGCTCGCCTTGCAGCAGCACCACCAGCCCAGGACGCCCTTCGCTCTGCATCCTGGATACTTGCGACCGTCTCACTGACAGACTTGGCTGTGCTTGATGTATTCTCGGCAGTCAACTCCGCGCTATGACGTGCGACTGCGTCTTGTTTCGCGGCGTTCTCGGAACCTCGCACGGCAGCTTGCGCAGCTCTGAGGAGAGCCACTGCTTCCATTGCTCTGTCGTGCGCACTTTCGGCTGATTGTCTCAGGTATGTATCGGGCTTCTTCTTTTCAGATGTCTCAGCTTCTTCACAAGCGATGGCTGCATCAATGACCCGTCGCGCCTTGATGATGGCATCTTCACCTTGGGCGGTAGCTTCTCCAAGTGCAGCCCAAGCACGAGTCCCGCAGTCCCAGAAGTCTGACGCCTTGATTGTTTTCGAAAGAAGCACATCCCGGCGTGCTTCAGCTGCCGAGTTGATCATCTGTTCCTCATACTTTCTCGCCATAGATCCGTAGTCGCGGGCCTCATCAGCAGCAGCCTTTGCTCTGGCTGCGTTCTCAGAGACTGTCCATGTAATTGTGCGTAAATTGTCACGATAGCTAAAGTAAACGTGCATCCACGTCCCTACCGATATACTGATGAGGCCAAAGATAACAACAGGGAGCAGCGTGGGTGAAAACAAGGGCAGAATGGCTGTGAGCGACCACCAGTTCAGAACTTGCCAGTATGTCTGCGCGTGTTCAAGGTAGCAGAAGCGGAGCGGTCCATAGATTTTGCTGATGGGAGCAAAGAGGTATGCAATGGCAGATACAGCAACAGCGATTCCGCCAAAAAGATATTTAGCCCATGGCTGGAATGGAAGAGGGAAAGTGTAGTAGATGGATAGATAGTACGCCAGGGAAACCAATGACCCGACTACAAAAGTAAGCCACATCATCCATTAAGTAATAAAGACTTTAGGATGCCCTACCTTTGATATATGTTCCGACTTGCTCGGTAACCGTCCGAAAGGCGTAGAACGGTCCAAGCAACGTCGCCCAAGAGAAGGTTTTGTTGTTTTCTTTACCATTTGGTAGTGTCCAAACACTTCCAAGATAAAGAGCCACAATGAAAATTAATGGGCTCGAAAATTGCGACTGGAGAATAGTTTGCAGATCCGGAAGAACAGGAAGCTGATTGACGACGAGTGCCAGGAAAATAACGGTCTTAATATGAGGTACAATTAGCCTCGATAGCGACTCTAGAGCGGGAAACAAGTCCTCGCTGCCTTTTGGTGAAGACATGGCTTCGTCAATCGAGCACAACGGTCGAGCAAGAATTGGAAGACCTTACAATTCTCTACACAACGTCCGGTATGGAGAAGTCCACATTATATAAATCTTGAATAGAAAAGTGAGGCTGCAGCGGCCCAAATTCGACTCCGGCATGCATATTGGAGATGCATAACTACGTGGAAATCGTGCTAGCTCTGTCCAACAGTGGACGTCCATGACTGCCCGGTGTGGAGCTCGAAATGGGGAACACTGCATATCGCCGCCTAAAAGCCTGACACTTGGCGACTTGATTGTTGGTCTTGTTGTTTTCTGCAGGCTTGATCCATGTTGGGCTTCGTGACTTCTCACTTTGTCGGATTATGCGGGGATGGCCTCATTTGTGCCCGGTTGAGCTGGCGGGCCTCAGCCTAATGCTGATGGAGCGGAGGAATTACATAGTACCTAATGTACGGAACAGTGGAGAATGGTATATGCAAGAGCAGTGGCTTCTAAAATGTTTAAGCGAGGTTGGGCTTCGCCCTGAGGGTTGGGCTTGACTATCTCGTCGATCCGAAGGCCTATGATAACTGAATGAAACAAGCGACTAGTGATAGATAGAGAATCAGGTAGTTGACTTTTGAGAACAATCCTGTCTTTACTAGTTCCATGTCGCCGTTGTCGAATTTGCTGCGAGAAGATTTTTGCATCATACCACCACTTGCTCTCTGCACTGACTCGTAGCAGCGGGTTTGACCATCCGCAACCATGTTCCTGTCTTACTGACCGCTTGACCTACTGTATCCAGACTAAAGTCAAAGTCATAAAGTCGCTGAGTGTTTTCACCTACCAATTATGTCCATAACAACGCTTTCTTTTACTACATTACTCAGGGGCATATATGCTCTCCTGTCGTCGAGGGTTCACTTCCTAGAGTGGTACATCCATCGTATCTATATTTGTTCGTCCGTACAACCTTGAGATGTACATCACAGCCACCGATCAACATTGTAGTTGTAGATGGAAAGCTCTTGTCCGAATTTAAACACTCAAATACTCTCAGGAATATCGCCTTAAATGGCACAGCGCTTTACATCGTTGTCCCGCGATGTGTGTTCAAGATTTGGAATAGCCAATACTCATCAGATTATTTTCATCGTAGAGTAGTAATCTTAAGGATGGCTATTAATTAAAGCTCGACACTGGGCGCTTCTAGCCCGGCGCAGACGTCGGTTCATCCATCATGTCGTGGGTATGATCAAGGCCAACTCAAAGGGCGACCCCGTTACTAAGATGGATGTCGGGACTATTGAGGTGGATGAAGTTCCAAGATGAGCAGTTTGCTGATATGTTCCTTAATATCCTTCGTTTGGACCATACCTGCGCCTTCTGGAAGAAATTGCATCTTGTTGGCTGAACTTGAAAGGTAGTCGATAATCGAACATGTGCCTGGTCAGTCTGGAAGATTTTGCGAAGATGTCATTACAGGGTGTAGTCTCCGCGATTTGGGTCTCTTTCGCAATCAAAGTAAGTAAAACATTCGTGCGACAATCAGTGTAGATGGGATCAGACGGCTCACCAGCAGGTGTTATTTAGTCCTTGGACTTAGGCCTTCAGAGTTAGGACTATGATAGTATCCTGCCAAGTCGCAAAAAAAGTGCGTTACGAGTTTTAAGTTATCCAATACTGATCAATCAGGTACAAATAATACGCCACGTAAATTAAGCAAGCTGGGGACTCAAGATGGTTATCTTGAACTACTGCAAGATGGAGTAAATACTCCACTACCATAAGAGGAAGCCATCCAAAGGTTCTCCTTACATCAGACTCTGATATAATAACACATGTATGATCAATGAGAAATACAATGCAACCCAAATGCCCTTCATTTATCAGGGTCCTGGGAGGAATGAAGTATATTCTTCAAACAGTATATGCAACCAACGGGGCGAGCGTGAGAATTCTGCACGTGCCATGACCGGAGTTTGCCGATCCTCCCCGGCCATCTCACCAAAACCAACAACATCAACAACACAAAAGTGTATGGCAGAACGAGAAGAAAGCAGTCCTGCCCTAGAGGCACAAGGCTCGGATGAAGGGCCTCCCTCTAAAAGACAGCGAGGCTTTATTGCCAGACAGGTTTGTGCAGTGCGACTCTCCCTGAGGATGGTGTGACTCAACGAATTATAGGCTTGTGAATATTGTCGCCAGAAAAAGACAAGATGCGACGAAGACGTTCCTTGTGGGTTGTGCAAGTCTTTGGGTCTTCAATGCAAGTTCACTCAGCGAAAGGCAACCAGGTCAGTTGGAGGATAGTCGAGGATGAATGGACACTAACTGTATAGCAGAAATGAAGCGTCCCTCGGCATGATTGTCAACATCCTCCGTCGCATTGAGGGCAAAATCGACGACGAAAAGACAAACGACATCAACCCCGTGGACAATAGAATCCACTCCACCGTTCTCCGCCCTTTCAACCCACGATCGCCTGCAAACTCAAGCGAAGTCCTCGGCGTGCCATCATTTCCCCAGCGCCGTGATAACATCGTTGAATCACCATCTGCACCCAGTGATCCAAAGCCAGCCATCTCTTTCAGTGCTCACCAAATGCTCTTCTGGCCGGCGATACAGGCTGCGCTTCCTGAATCTGTCAAGTTGATGTGTCAGATGAATGGCTCTGTGTACTCTACGCGACTGGAGGCTGCGAGGCCGAAACTGCCGCATGCGTCGTCGGTAGATATGTCCTCTGATTGGCTTTCGAAACTGAGTATTGCAACTCTCAAGCAACTGTCTGATGTGTACTTCACGACGTTCAATCTTGCGAATCCAATCTTGGATCAAAAGACTTACTTCCAACGAACGCTGGGTGTGGCCATTGATGGGAATTTTGGGATATGCATCGAAACCTGTATCGTTCTTGTGGTGATGGCTCTAGGTTCGATGGGGCACAAAGCATTACAAGAAGCTGGGTTTGTCTCAACGCCTGCGTCTAGTCCCCATACCCCATTCGGCAGTGGCCATGAGGGAGAGATGCCAGGTCTGGACTTCTTCAACGAAGCGAGGAAGAGGTTTGGATTTCTCATGTGTGAGCAGGATCTGCAAGCATGTCAGTTTTATCTTCTGTCAGGGTATGTTCTCACTCCCAACTCGGTAATCCGGCGCTGACATCCAAGACTGTTCTATGCTGAGGCCCTTCGACCTGTCGACTGGTGGGCAATGCTCAGCAAAGCGAGCGCATGCAGCGCCTACTTTTGGAACAAGTAAGCTGATTCCATCCATTTGACGCTGCACAGCTGACCTGTAGTAGCGCCTCCAGAGACCGTGACGAATGGATGCTCGATATGCAATCTCGGCTCTTCTGGATCACAAGCATGTTTGAAGCAGTCTTGTCACAAGAGCTCAATCTCCCACCGCCGAGTAACTCACTACAACTTGAAGAACTCATCGCTCTACCCAAGTTTATATCCGCTCAGGATATAGCTTCTTTCGGATCTTTTCGGTATCCGGGCGATGATCCATTCTTCCATTACCATTTTCTGTCGCAGCTTGCGCATCGACTTATCTTGACGAGGGCTCGCAATAGTCTTTTTCACTTCAGTAAGGTTTTTCCTGCTGCTATCCGTCCATGCTAATATGTTCAGATCCAACTGCTGATTACCCACCTGAGCCTGTTGAAGATGAACTCATCCGTCAATTGGAGCAATGGCGTGAGAGGTTGCCCCCAATGCTACAGTTCGATCCAAAGTCACCCTTGACTCAAGCTGAGTCGCCCTCTGATGCAATTGTAACTGCTTGGCTGCATGCTCGATACTTTGTTGCAAGATACCACATTGGTCGGCCTCTATTGTAGGTGTCCCGTGTCGACACGCCGCAACATACTGACCTGGTTAGACATCGAGCCCTAGAAAGACCCTCGTCATTGACTGAAGGACATCTACGCAAATGTCGCGATGCCACCAACGCTGTTCTTGCCTGGGCATCGGTCATTCAAGTGACCGACACCATGAGAAGCTGCAACCCTCTCAAGTTCTTTGTCTGCTGCCAGTAAGCCACTCATGTCCTTTTTTATCAATGGAAAGTAACCAAAGTGTAGAATATTTGGGCAGATATGCGTTGTTTTCGCCTTGAGCGTATCTCCATATCCGTATATCCGTGATATCGTGTCGGATGTTGACAAGAAGTGGACATCATTTGCGCTGGGTTATCTTGAAGCGGGTGCGTGCTACAGCCCGGCGATTGAGCAGGATTTCAAGATAGCAAAAGTTCTATGTGAGGATATAGCCAGAGGTCAATGACATCTGGGGCTTAAAATCTATGCTTGGCAACATCGGCACACGCTGACGGCACTTGGTCGTCTTACACCAAAAGTGCTCCATCGAGAAAACTACATAGAGTAGTATTTTATCATTACTACAACTAATTTACGTCATTTTCGGCATTTATTTGCCATGGTCTGGAGAAAACTATGCCTTCGGACTTAAAATTGGCCCGAATTTAATCGGGGATTGATAGAGCCGATGACGCGAACATGTTGATCAGGACAAAGACGGAGGCTGCATTCTATTATATAGAATGGCGCATCACCTCTGCGACTCTTTAATTGACCAGGACTCTGACAGCTTTCTTATCATTCCACATCCTCAAGAATCAACAAAATGTCACAGAACGGACTCGCTTTCAACTGTGCTCTTATCACCGGTGGCGGTGGAGGCATTGGCCGAGCAATCGCCGAGTACCTGATTTCCAAGGGCAAGAAAGTGCTCCTCGTTGGACGAACGGAATCGAACCTCCAATCCACTGCCAAAGAGATTGGCGCTGCTGGGTATTATCTCCTGGACACAGGCAAAATATCCGAGATCCCCGAATTCATCAAGAAAGTCACAAACGAACATCCGGAGCTTGACTGTTTGATTAATAATGCTGGAGTTCAGCGCCCAATTGACGCCTTGAAGAACGACGATTTCCTGCAGAAGGCAGACGAGGAGATCAACATCAACATCCGCGGCCCTATGCATCTCTCCCTTGGTCTGATCCCGCATTTCAAAGAAAAGCCCAACGCGCTCATCGTCAATTTGACAAGCGGACTTGCCTACATTCCCTTCTCTGTCATTAACCCTGTCTACAACGGCACCAAGGCCTGGCTACATTTCTTCTCCATGAACTTGCGCACACAGCTCAAGAACACCAGTATTCGCGTCGTTGAGCTTGCGCCGCCCATGGTGGCCACTGATCTGCACCGTGAGCGGGAGAATCCTGATGATAATAAGAAGGAGAATGCGCCACATACCTTAACGCTGGAGGAGTTTATGGCTGAGATTACTCCCAAGCTTGAGAGGGGAGATGATACTATCGGTGCTGGCATGGCGGCTAAGGCGATTGATACTTGGTTTGATGCGTTTGGTGGACGTTATGAAGAGGCTGCCAAGGCATACAAATAGAGCTTTTGTATGATAATGAAAAGAATGGAGTTTGACAGCATATCAACATTGCACACCATGATGTACAAATATTCGAACTAACATATCAAACCTGCGCCTTAATTACTTAAGATGTTCCATAGTCACCGACACATTCTGTACATGGGACATATTCTCACAAACTCGAAAACATGAATATTTATCATATGTATTGAATAGCGACAATGCGTGACTTTCATCTAATAATTATACTGGCATTATTACTGAGCATAGCTGAGTGACCCTAAGAAGAAAGGTCAGTAAGTTTTGAGAGACAAACAGAATATGTAAAGCTTACCTCAAGTATTTCTTAGAATTCATTCTCTGCTCCGTCTTCTCTTCACTTGGGCAAATGACTTCCCGGCGGCGGCGCAACATCCTCCGCAGTCCTCCCCGTTCCGTAATGCGACGTCTCGCCAGGAAGAACAGTACCAGGCTCCCTGTTAAGACTCTCATTCGGTCTATCCTGCTCAAGCGTCTCTTTCTCTCTGTGTCCCACATGCGCAGGAGGATTAACACCCTTGTGCTCATGCTCCCTTCGGGCAATCATGTTATCCACGCCCTTCATATCCTGCTTTCCCTTCTCAGCGATAATCTTGTTGTCGGTCCGCGACTTGAGGGTCTCAGGGTGGTTGGGGTCGGTGTCGAAGGCTTGGTCTGTTGCGTCGAGGACTCCTCCTCTGAGGGCGTCGCCGGCTCCACGGATGCCCTTGAGGCCGGACTTGACATCTTCAACGAGTTTTGACATTTTTACTGTTTTGATAAATGGTATGAGGTTGATGTTGATTGTGGTTCCGGGAAGCTTGGCGATGTGTGGTTTTATATCCCTGTTGATTGATGTTGTCGAGCATGACGTAAGTGATTCATGACGTAGGACTAGCTCAATTAAAAGTCAAGCTGATGTCACAATTTATAGCAGGTTTATCTAATATTGTACTAGAGATTTTTGTCTTGCATGCTTTACCAATGAGTAGCCCGGAAAATTGAGGTACTGTAAGAAGCGTCGTATTTGCCGATAACAGTACTCATAATTTCGTTTGTCGCATTGGGGAGCAGCGGGTTTCGATTGGCATCGCCATTTAATTGATATTTGATGAGACCATTCAGGACGTGCTTACTGACTCATTTACCCACTAATATGGAACGCCACATCGAATGAAGCTATTATGAAGCGAAAAGAGTACTTGAATTTCTCAGGATCGTAGTGTGTTTGGCACTACTGCACGAAGCCGATGGCCATATGTAAGCTTGTTTTCAGCATACGACACGTTAACACGTACGCATGTCTCTGGATACATGAGACACGTCATGGCTAACATAAGTTAGGTGTTGCTTCCACAAGGGTTGACAGGTTACTTTTTGGAAACATCAAGCAGTCTATCTGCCTAAGATACAACACGCTAATATGCAGTTGAAACCCGGATGCAGCTCTTATAGCTACCACAAAAGACCCTAGAGAGATCTTTAAACCTTATCAGCTTACTCTTGGGGCGGCGAGCCAAACAAACTCTAGAGATTTCTAACTAGCCTCAGAAGCTACTAGCTAATATGATAAGTAGTATCGAGAGTAGGTCTTAATAACATATATATACTTCAGTTATTATTTTCTTCTTACTGAAAATTCCTATCTACATTCTTCACGTAGAATTCTAACTCTAAAAGCTTTTCTTCCGAAAACTCTATGGTAGTTAGTTTCTCCGACCTCAATGTTGTTACAATCTGGGAGCCGGCTATGATTAAATGCCAAACGCTGTATTCTTCCGGAAGTATTAATACATTACGGCCGCGCCACTGAATCCATGTTGGACTCCGCCATGTCTTCCATGGCCTCTTGAGATTGTCATTGTACTCCACGCCGAATGTTGGAGCAAAGACGTCTAGAGGTCGCAAAATCGGCATAGTCGATGTCAGTGCCTCCTTTGGAATGTTAAAAGTCCCCATCTCTGTTCGGATGCCAAGATCTGTAGGCAGAAAAGAAAGAAAAATGGTTTTCGGTCTTCTCGAGTCATGGGATGTTGCTCCGTGTATTCGAGTGAGTTGGATACCCTTTCTCCAATCCAGAATTGTCACGTCGTTATGATCTCTGATAGCCAAAAGTCTCTCATCATGAGAAAAGGCACCGGCAACAGGCGCTTTGTCTAAGATTTGGCAGCATTTGTCGGTTTCAATATGCCAGATGCGCAATCTTCTGTCTCCCGAACCGAACCAAGCTAACAATGAGTCTGAGAAAGCCACGATAATATTGCACCCATGAATGAGAAGTGGTTCGGTTCTTGGGGACATCAGGTTCCATACAAGAGCCCCTCTACTCCATCTTGTGTGCTGGTTAGCAGACGGCAAATTTGCGATACCTGCCACTAGTTTGGCTCCCGATGAGAACTTTAGTTGAGACACAGCTTGATAGCCAGGGTTTACTAGAGTATGCATAACTTCGAAGCCACGGCCGACTCGTTGCCAGATAGATACATCTGCAACCTCTTCGGCCACATTTCTCGTAAAAAACGAACCCTTATTGCTATAAATGGCCACAACTAGCAATTTCGAGTCATCGGAGAGGGCAGTTTGAATATCCTGACCTTTCTTCCTCATCTCCCACATGGGAGTGCCGCTACTGGCCTCCAAAATCGAAACACTTGAAATTGAAAGTGCCGGGATAGAGATTCCTGGGATCATAAAGCTCGGGGTCAAAGACCTTCTGAATGTAAGTGTGATAAGTGTTGAGTCAGCAGAGAAGTCCCCTGTATCATCGTAAGACTCCCATGGGTCGAGAGATTTAGGAAATGAAAAGGCTGGCTGCCACAGCAATCTGCCAGAGCTGATACTGTATACCAACATCTTATCGCGAGAGAACGCCGCAATCTTTTTAAGGTCGGGAGATGACTTGAGCATCGTGATTCCATACTGATCATCTCTCTCTGTGTTCAGCTTCACTCCATCAACAAGCTGGGTTATTGCCCTCTCCCAGTCCCATACACGGATGTCATCACCATTCCTACACTGGGTAGCAACAACAGTGCCATCTGGAGAGAACGCAATAAAACTCAATCCCATGCTTGCTCCAAGACCTCTCAATGCATTGACCTTAGCTTTAGTGCTCATACACCAGATGTCAATCAAATCAGTACCGCCACCTGATACCAGATACTTCGAGTCTGGAGAAAAAGCGATATGGCTTGCACATACACGCTGAAGGTCAGATAAATGTTGACCTTCAGCTAGGCTCCATAACTGGATCAAGTCTTCTGTTGCCACAGCAAGAAGCTTCGAATCAGGCGAGATCAGTATGTTGCGAATATGTTCGAACGATCTAGCTTGGCTTGCCAACCGACGAAGTCGCTTGAAACCGTGGCATGACCAGATTTCCAATTCCGATGTTCTGGAAAGGAATATGAACATCTTGCCATCGGGCGAGAACATATGAAAGACCTCCTGATGGTACGAAATATCCCGTTCGAAAACGCTGTGACCCGTGTGGCAATCCCAGACAGAAATCTCGCGATTATTAGATGACAAGAGGAATGCAGAGTCGGCCGAGAATTTACTACGCCAAGGCTGGAGTTCGGTCCCAGGACCCTTAGGTAGTTTGTTTACACAAACACCTGCAGCCCAATCCCATATGTAAATGTTGTTTTCGCCTTGTACCGCAAGTAGTTTAGAATCTCCCGAGAAACTTAACTCACCCCATCGCTCACAAGTACTGGATAACTCATATAGAAGCTGGCTAGTCGCAAGTTCCCTAATCTGGATGAGTTGTTTCGATGAAGGCGTGGCTATGACCTTGCCGTTTGGAGATAATACGGAATAATATCCTGATTCCGAGGTATTCCTAAACTCTTGCAAGCATTCTCCAGTATCCCAGTCAACGACATCAAAATAGCCGAGATCTTGACTTAAGAACAGAAGTGTCGTTTCTGGAACAAAGCTCATCGTGCAACGCCCACTTGCCTTTGCTAGAGGCTTCATCTCACGTACTTGTAGACTCGAATCCCAAGCTGGCTCTGTTGCAGGAAGAGAGCTTATCCATTTTGGCACTAGGTATTCAAAGGTTGCCTTGATAATGCTGTTCTGTGGGGAGAATACCAAAGCATGTGAATATAGTTGTAAGGGATAACTGTCTATAACATCAATGCTGGAGCTGACGAGCCTTCTAGCATCAGCCAGGAAGTCAAACAACACGGAATCATGCTTGAGCCAATATTTGTCAGTCCGCATTCTCGCATCTCGCTGGTGATCAACATACCTTGATGACAATTTGCAACGCCTTCAAGATCCTCGCTATGTCCCATTTCCTATTCAATAATATCAAGGCTTCAATCCAATGTAGAAGGTGCTTCTTTAAAAAGCCCTCAATCGTAGGTACATCCGTCTTCTTGAGACCTGCCGCTTTCTGATGTTGAACCCAGTAAACACAGGCGTACTGAAGGTCAGCGGGCAGAGATTTATTGATCATAGCACTGCTGATGGTTGCACGATCTGTGCTCGGATCGCGCACATCACAAATGTCGGTTTTGAGGTGGGCTTTCATGACCCGCAAACAGCTCGCTAGCAATTGCCGCGAGGCTTCCTTTTCGTCAATTCTAAACATATCTTCCGTAGAAACTTCTTTGTTAATAAGATAGTCTCTAAGAGACAGGTGGAATAATCGGATTGGGACGTCGGAAGATTCTGGAATGTTGAGAACAGAGTGGAGCTTGTCAAGACTGTCATTGACCCTCTCTTGAGAAACGTCAAGTAGTCGAGACAATGCTTCTGCAGACAAGGGGGTTTCAAGTGTGATGATGGTTCCAACAATCAATTGAAACTCCAGGATGAATTCGTTTTTCTCCACGGCAGACAGCCCAAAGAGGAGTTGATCTAGGACTGGCGCGTAGGTGGCTCGCATCTTGTCGACAGCACTCCAGGCAGGGTGTTCCAAAACTTGACGTAATCTCTCTTTTGGATTCTTATGCCTATCAGATATAAAACGGCAGATAGTGGTGGCAAAGATGAATAGAGGGACTGCCCGCTCTACAAGGGCTTGGATGTTCTCTTCGCCCGGCCATGCCAAGGGTAACTTTCGACTTTCGGCCACAGAGTCGTTCCAGTCCATCAAGATTGCCATGAATTCATGCTGAAAAAATACGGAGATGTCATGCTTTATGACAGGCTGCGGAATCTCATGGAGAATGAAGTCCTGATAGGTCCCTGTCACTTTGCTAAATCCAAGTCGGACTGGCAATTCTGGACGACTAGTGAGAAAGATACGGGGTCTGATGTTGTGACACTTTCCAATCCCAGAAAAAAGGCTAATCAGAAGTTTAATATCTCGTTCCGAATCGCATTCGTCCAAGGCGTCGAGAACAATCGCAACGGTAGATGGTTGTATTTGCGGAATGCTAGATAAAGGATTGAGAATGAGTTTCTCAAACTGAATTCTCAATCCTTTACTTCCGATTTCGGGATCCTCCTCGATAGCCCTACATAGTGTGTCGCCGATGTACGGACGGTTCACGGCCAACTGGCGAGCTATTGTGCCACAAAGTTTAATGGTACTTGCCCGGTCAGTTTCACCTCTTTGGAAGAAGAAGCTGGCGCCAAGTGTGCCTACACTGGATAGGGATTTGGCGACGGTTCTTGATATAGTGGACTTTCCAGTTCCAGCCATGCCATTAAGCCAAAAGACTGTCTTTTGATCCCCAGTCTCAATCCATTTGGATACCTGAGCAAGAAGGTCCACCCGGGTATTCTCCAAGCATGTTGGATTTTGATCCTCGTTGTGAGAGTCGAATATTGCTTCTTTGACATAAGGGAGCCTGTCGATGGCTTCACGGTGCTGATGTCGTTCCGTGCGGTTGTTGATCTCATCAAGAATCTCACTATCATTTTCTTCAGCATTGAGTGTCTAGTCTACCCTTCAAAGGTCAATCGCTTACTCTTGTCCCTCCAACTTGGAGTCGATAGTGGTTATGGCAAGGTGCACTTGGTGGGTCAGACAATGTTGATCTTTTAGAGAGTAAGTGTCTTACTGCTTCCTAGGATTTCGCCGATTCGTTTCTCTTCCTCGACTCTAGTAGTTGAGAGTTGGTTTAACAGTTCCTTAGCATAGGATGCCGCAGTCATGGCTGCATATCCTTGCCATTCGTCATTCTTATGCGTATCTGCATAGTCGCATATTCCTCTGATGACAACACAAGGAAAGTTGTTCATCAAACCAGCTGCTTCCATTTCAAAACAAGCTACTCCATGATCAGACGCGAGTTTATCTCTGACGGAAGCATCTTTCATAAGCTGATTGGCGGATGCAATAATGCCATAATGGATTTCAGGGTTATTGTCATATTCGCTCCTCTGGAGTCGGTTTACCAATATCGGCTCATCCTCCGAGCCATCACCGCAGGCTGCATCGCATGTTTGGTAGTTGCTCTCAGGATGAGTGATTTTTGAGATATATAGTCGATCATGGCTTTCTGGTGGTCGGGAGTATTTTTTTCTCAGCCTCGGATAGCGCTGTAGAACCTGGTGAATCGTTTCTTGTATATAGTGACCTTCGATCTCGTGCTTTGATTCAAGGTCACTTACAGCAGTCGCCAAGGCTGCAGGGGGTTGGTTCAAGAGTCCAGTAATCTCAAACTTCTGATTCTGGACTGTCTGTCCATAATCATACTGGAAGACGCCGCCAGTGCCTCGCTCAGCTGTACTAACAACGACATCTCCTAGCCGGATGTCTTTTCGAGAAGTAGGTGCGCCACCACCGATGCCTACTAAAAGACCAATGCGGATGTTTGGGAAGGCATTGAGCATATTTGTAGCGACATTTGCGGCAGGTACCAACCCGACCTGTGATTTTGGAAGCACAGCCAATACCACATTATGGCTACCAACTCTTCCCAGCGCGTAACTGTTAGTATCCCTGGCAGAAATAGATCCTACAGATGGATGAATCTCATCGAGCATAACCTTGGCTGCTGTAAGCTCTGTGGTAAGCGCGCATATCCAGCCTATGGTGTAGGTTTTAGGGTCAGGCATGGCTTAGACTGACAAGAAGCCAAGAGCTTCAGGACTAACGAGAACAAAGGATAGTTCAGAGGAGGGATTCTGGAAGTCTGTGAAATTAGGGAGTGGTTGGGTTTTAAGAACCGCCCTTTCAGCTGGCTGGAAAAAGGTGTGTCGGAAAATGCTCTCTGTGGTCAGCCCCGACACGAGACCCCACAGATATTATGCATGTTGGTTGTGATTACCCATGATTGGCATGTTATTGGTGGTGAGTGCTACCTTGCCTGCAAAAGAACGGAGTTGGGAAGTCTTCTTTTTGCCAATTCTCGCCCGCTTCGTTATGTTAGGAGAGGAACAAATAAAATGCACATAAGAACTCCAATGACACAAGCGAACTAACGCGGGTGACTGTGTCGCCTAGATAAGTAGGCAGAAACAAAAGAAACAAGGGGTTGTTGCTATGGTACAAAAATACCTCGTTACGGAATACAGTAAGGCCCACGAGATAAGTTGGGTTAGGATGAAAGCAACCCCCTAGAAATTGACCCCCTTGAAACCTTCTCCCACCATCACGCTCTATCTAATCATCACGTGAATTATGGATGATATTCAAAGTTTAACCAATCATGTCGGTAAATATATCGGGGCCGGTTTCCAGGGGCTGGCGCATAATAAGCTTACATAAAACCTTCCAACAACGGTGTTCTCCATTGTGGAGATAAACGTTCTGTTTTTGTTATGTTTTTTTGTTCTTTGGTAATTTATTCTGCTGAAGTTACTTAATCTCAAAGAGTTCGATAGGTCACATGGGTCACCATAGAGCGGCGATGTTTTTTCGTCGATATTCACAAAACAAAACAGCACCATACTGAAACTGCAAGGGACTGTTCGAAGGGGTTTCAAACTACAACTCTTGTTTCAATAATGACCGGAATATCGCACGTCTTCAATACTTAAAGCCTGATGTCTCACCACCGGGACATCCAAACTATTCAGTCATCACAATCATCCTTTGACCACCAACCACCAACCTACCTACAATTCACGAGCCGGTCTCATCACAGCCCAAAATGAAGTTCTCAGCCATCACCTTACTCTCAATTATCACAGCAGCACTTGCTGCGCCGACGCCAGTCGTGCGAGGACCCGGTGGACGACTTGTACTCGAGGGAGCTGGCTGTACCTTAGTACAAGGCAGAAGCGTGTGCGACGACGGATTCGGAAACACATTGTGAGTCTTTTAACAGCAAAGGATCTGGTACATGAGCTAATTCTTATTAAGCTTTGAGGACGACCCATTCTCGTCATAATTGAGCACTCAACAGAAAACGAAGTGTTATTGGGAATAGCGTGATTTCAATAGCGAGGGCTAAAATGCATTTGGAGCGAGATAGAGAAGATGGCTGGGACCACCAAATAATACGCTGGCCGTATATACATCAATAATAATTCAATCACCTCAATTAAGATTCATCGCTCAGATCATCGCCGCAAGATACTAAAATAGATATCTATAGATGGCTTTATAGGTGAGACTTCGGCGCAAGATTGAGAGCATCCTCCAAGTCCTTCACCTCAGTATCAGGTCGATGTGGAGCCGGCTTTGCCTTCCTCTCGCCAAACGCCCACTCCTTCTTCAGCCCATTCGAACTTCCTTCCAATGCATCAGAGATATACCTACCGATTATTGGAAACATCTTGAACGCATGCCCAGAATCACCCGTAGCGAGGAGTAAAGACTTGTGCTTAGGATGTCTATCGATCAACCAGTGGGCATCGGGTGAGTCGGTGCACCAGCACACTCGGGCGTCGATGAGAGGTCGTCCTGAGAACTGAGGCATCACTGTGTCGATAAACCTATTAATAGCTATTTCAGCTTCCAGTGGGATGCCGTCTTTTGGATGATCACTAGAGTATCGTGGAATTGAGTAGTGGGTGGTGTTGCCTGCTTCGTCTACGAAGGTCCCCTTTCGGTTTTGGTATCCAGGATTATTATCACAAATCTTGATAAGTTCTGTTCTTGCGTCAGCCGTATGACTGGCGAATTTCTCGGACTTGGTGACTTACTTGTGTCGGGGTCTGGCTCAAACATAAAGCCAAGCTCATAATGGTCAATAACGGGAACTCCCTTCCACTCTACAGCCTCCTCGTCAGTGAGCTGGATATGTCCTAGCGTCCAGCATTTGGACCATAACTGCTTTGATAGTTCAGGTAGAAGTTGTGGAGATGCAGCACCAGTACTGAGGATGTAATGGTCAGCCTTTAGAACATCCCCTGAGACAACTCGAATCCCGGTCATTGAACCAGAGTCATCGAGCTCCAAACCCGTCATCGTAACATCAGGCCCCGAGACAAATTTAACGCCAGCTTTTTCTGCTTTAGCTGCCCACTTTTCAAGGGCCTTTCTCGCATGAGTCCAACCACCAAGGCTGTTGTAGAGGCCTTTCCAGTGTTCAATGCCCACTGCATTCTTCAGCTGCGGAACGTGTTTTACAATCTGCTCTCTGCCTTGGATTAACTCAAGCTTAGTATCTTTGCCTTCTCTTTTGAGGTTCTCGTAAGACTTTCGAAGAAATGCCTCGGCCTTCTTGTCCCCCGCGGTAGTGGTGATGCGGCCCTAGTTTCGTTAATTGAGAACTCACAGAACGGGAACAGAAGTCTTACTGTCTCATGGAAGATACCCTCCCATCCGGGGTCCCTCCAGGCCTCGAGTGCCTCCAGAGCAAGGCGCGTGTAAAGAGGTTCATCATACTCAGTACGCATAATCTTGTTTAGGTCATGGCCAGCAGAGTCTACACTCGGCCACGGATGGCGGTCAATGCAAGTAACATTGGTATAACCGCGCTTGGCAAGATGATAAGCCGTGCTAATTCCAAAGGTGCCTCTATATTATCAATAGTTGGTTAGCCTTACAAGGTATGTTAACAAACGTATAGCAAACTTACGCTCCCACAATGAGGATAGACGAGTCTTTGGTAAGGAGTGGTGGAGACGTCATGGCACACAAGCATTCACCCGAAGGAAGAGCGATCAAGGAATAAATACTTAGATAAGAACATTAGAATGGATAGTATGAGCAGTTCGCTGTTTTATCAGTGAGTCTTGATTTGTAATTGACCTGATAGGCTCGCGATCCTTTCGGCTGGACCTTCCTTGTCCTGTCTACCCCGCCTAGCCCGCAAAGCCAGTTCCACTAAAGCACCTTGAGATGTCGACATTGTCAGATAGACTGGGATTAGCTGATAAGCAACGCCCAATGACCATAATCAAGACAGTGGTTCCGAGTTCTTAGATACCGGGCTAAGGACCTGATAGTCCGTGAGCCAATCAGACGCGGCTTCAGTGAGCAGATCGCTTGGACCTTCAACATTTACATGACTGGATCAAGAGTTTAAGCTTTGCCGAGAATCCGGGGCACATGCACTAACTGATTAGTGACTCGAGATAAGCATGGAATAAAACTATAAGATAGCCATGATCTCGTGCCAAGAAACAATCATCCATTCAGCTCTCCACATACTCTATACTTCTGCTTATTCTTGACAGCGCGCTGCCAAGATTCACCCGCCATCATGGCACCCAAAGTTGAACACGCCGACAACCTCCAACCAGCACGGGAAGAGGAAGGCATTGAGGGCACAACAGAGGAGATCTTCGACAACCCAGACAAAGCAACTGCTTTTGCCATTTGTGCCATTGACGAGGAATATGACATCGACTCGGATAACTCCCCTCAGCCTGAAGTGCGAGCCAATGTGCCCAACGTCGATGACCCCTCCATGCCAGTTAATACGTTGCGTGCGTGGTTTCTCGGTCTTCTCTTTACTGTCTTGGGCACTGGTATCAACCAGTTCTTTTCAATGCGATATCCCAGCGTCACTATCTCCTCCCTCGTCGCCCAGTTGGTCGCATACCCAGCCGGGCGCGTCCTAGCCCAAGTCCTCCCCATCATGAAGATCAATGTATTCGGCAGAGAAGTCGTCCTCAATCCTGACCACCACTTCAACATCAAAGAACATGCCCTCGTCACCATCATGTCCAACCTCTCCTTCGGCCCCTCATGGGCCACAGATATTATCCAAGCTCAGACTGCAAGCGCATTCCTGGGTCTGAAGACACCAGTCGGTTATCAATTCCTACTTGCTCTCACAATGCAGCTATTCGGACTGGGAATGGCTGGCATGGCCTATAGGTTTATTGTGGAACCGCCTCACATGGTATGGCCATCGACACTTGCCAATGCAGCGCTGTTTCAGACCTTGCATGGCAGGGCAAACCCGACTGCAGATGGCTGGGGTATTAGCCGGTACAGATTCTTCGTATACGTATTTGCAGGTGGTTGGCTTTGGGTAAGCACTTAGACTCTTTATGCAGCACGGTCAGTCCTCGCTAACATTATTAGTACTGGCTTCCGGGATTCCTCTTTACTGGTCTAAGCACATTTGCCTTCATTTGTTGGGCTACACCAAGTGAGTTAATTTCCATCAGTAATCATCCTTGCACAACAACGGTCTAATAACTAATAGACAACATCATCGTTAATAACCTCTTCGGCATGTCGACTGGGCTCGCTTATCTACCTACCACCTTCGACTGGTCTCAGATTGCATACAACGGGTCTCCTCTTGTCGTACCATTCTGGGCTCAGGCGAATGTGTTTGCCGGATGGGTGGTTGTTTTCGCTCTCGTTACCCCGATCCTCTACTACACCAACACTTGGTACACGGCGTACTTGCCTTTCTCTGGCGGTGATATCTACGATAACACCGGTAGCGTTTTCAACGCTTCTCGCGTAGTGGATGAACACGGGGACTTTTCCCCAGAGGCATATCACAACTACAGCCCAATCTTCATGCCTGTCACCTTTGCACTCAGTTACGGCGTTTCTTTTGCGACAATGACTTGCGTACCCACTTACATTTTCCTAAACTACTGGAAGCAAATCGTGGGCGCCTTCAACCCCAACCGGAAGAAAGATGTCCACGCTCGTATGATTGAGCGATACCCAGATGCCCCATGGTGGTGGTACGCAGCCCTGACTGCCATTGTTCTGGGTCTTACCATCATGGTGCAAGAGGTCTATGACACGCAGATGCCTGTTTGGGGTGTATTTTTAGCTTTTGGGCTTGCCGCCTTCTATCTGATCCCTACGGGGAGCGTCTATGCTGTCGCCAACCTCAACAGTAATGTCCTTACTGTCCTTGGGGAGATTATCTCAGGCTACGCGATCCCTGGCAAGCCTGTTGTTATGCTCATCTTCAAGTTCTATGCCTACACAGGACTGAGCCAAGCGATGATCTTTGCCTCTGATATGAAACTCGGCCTGTACATGAAGATCCCTCGCCGCACGTTGTTTGTCGCCCAATTGACTGCTTGCATTGTTGGATCTCTCACTCAAAACGCCGTTGTACTTTGGATGCTTCATCATGTAGAGGATATCTGCGAGAGCGACCAGCCGAATAAGTACACCTGCCCTCAGGGTCGGGTTAACTTCTCATCGAGTATAGTATGGGGAGCGGTTGGTCCTGCTCGTCTGTACAGCGTGGGCAAGATCTACTCGGGACTACTGCACCTGTTCTGGCTTGGAGCATTGCTGCCTGTCTTGACCTTTTTTCTGAGCAAAAGATTTCCCAACAGTACATTTTTGTCGAATCTGCATTGGCCTCTATTCTTTGCTGGGACGGGAAATGTTCCACCGGCAACTGGCATCAACTACACTTCCGCGTTTGCAGTCTCGTTCATCTTCAACAAATGGATCCGTGGCAAATACCCTCACTGGTGGGCAAAGGTAAGTTCAAACAGGCAAGAGATAACACACACTATTAGGGTTTCTAATGAATTTACAGTACAACTACGTCCTCTCTGCCGCGCTTGACTCGGGTCTTGCAATTTCTGCCATTGTCATATTCTTCGCCCTAGTCTTCCCTGAGGTTAATTTAAGTTGGTGGGGAAACAATGTCCAAGGCTCTACTGCGGATGGCCAGGGCACTCCTTGGAGGAAACTAGGGACGAATGAAACGTTTGGGCCATCCGTGTGGACATGAGGCCAGACTCACGACATACAGATTCCGTGTAGCTTATTGACTTTGTTCTCACTTATTGATGCTTTTGATTTAGTTTAAAATACATGTTTTATACTTTGACCAGCCTTTCTTTTGCCCTGTTTGCCGTCTGGCATGTATCCATCCCGTTATAATACATCTACGCCTTAGTCGCAACCACGAACAACCGAGGGTACGCCAGGAGAACCTTTCCATCCTTCTGCGCAGTGTATCCCTCCTTCAGCTTCGCAAGATAACTCTCAATAAACGCCTCCCTCTCGGAATCGGACAGTGGGTCCAAGTAAGGGCGTAGACCCGTTCCCTTGACCCACTCAACAATCTCCTCATGGTTTTCCATAACGTGAATATAAGTAGTCTGCCAAATATCGAGATCCTTGCAAAGATGTCTCAGGCCATCGTAGATCTCAATTGCTGACGGAAACTGATCCCGCGAGATGTTGGCGCGCTTGAGAGCCTCGGACCAAGGCTGGTTTGGTGTATCGGCTGTTTCACGCATTGTAGCGTGACTTGGCTCATCCAAGTTTACGGGGACTTGGAAAGCCAAACTTCCACCGGGTGCCACATGATGGAGGAGTTTGCTAATGATTTCGATGCGCTTTCCGTTTGGCAGCCACTGGAAGACGGCGTTGGAGAAGAGCACATCAACAGGGCTATCAGGCTTGAAAGTATGCAGATCAGCAACTTCGAAAGGCACATCAGGCAGGACCTTCTTCGCCTTCTTAATCATGTCCGCTGAAGAATCAAAACCAGAGACTTGCGAGTTGGGAAATCGTTCTACCAACACAGCAGTCGAGTTGCCCGGTCCACAGCCCACGTCCACGACACGCTTGGGAGAAACATTGGGTACGCGAGCAATTAGATCATTGACAGGGCGTGTTCGCTCATCGAGGAACTTGGAGTACTGGTCAGCTGACCACGTGTCTTTGTTGGCTCGTGCCATTGTGGTGGATAGGTATCGTCTTGAGATGGGCTGGTGTCGCGTGAGGGAGGAGAGAAGATGACGTCGGGCTGAGAATGATGCCGTGAGGGACATAGCGGTACTGTAGGCAACGTAATTAGATGCTGAGGGCTTGGCAATGATATTCTGGTGATCAAATGGTGGGAATGCCAATTTATAACGGAATTGGCCAGTGTCGTGACGGCTAATACGGCTTCAAGTGATTGTCATCTGGCAAGCAGGGGATAACTTGCTGCGCGTGTGACGTTTCCGGCCGAATCGGATGCCGAGTGTCAAATCCGAGTGAGCGGGACCGGATCGGAGTGAAATCGGCACTTCGGATTTATCAATGGAAAAACTCAGGTATTATGGAGTAATACAAAATACGATGAACAATGATGACAATAATGGAAGAGGAAGCTGGATTGAAATGCCGTTGTAGCCGAGTACCTTGTGAGTCGATTACAACCTTGCAGGGCTGATCATGCCAATATGAAGATCCTACGGAATCTAGTCATTAGCAACTGACAATGAATCAGACGAGTGCAACAGCACGATCCACGGCGGTGATAAAAGACAATTAGCCTAGAGCAACATATATAAATAGTGTAATGAGTGAATTGTTAAGATTGTATGCTCAAAAAGACTTCCCAACCATAGATATATTCCACTCAACACATATAAAGGGACAGAGACCTTCAACTACCCTGTGTCGGACGACCTTTCGAAGTTCACCACGTACAGACTTGAGACATTCGAGAGCACGACCAATCATCAATTGTTACGGCCGCGTGGCCTAATGGCTAAGGCGCTAGATTTCGGTTCACCGTCATCCCATTCTCTAGAGATTCCAGGTTCGAATCCTGGCGTGGTCGATAATTCGATGGTTCAAATCTTTTGCTGGTTCTCTGGACTATTGGGATTTTCTTTTTGTAGAGACGTGATAGAGACATGTTGTTAGAAATTGTTACGGTTTATTATTGGTCAGCTTGCGTGGTCATACATCGTTTGTCAGTCTTTCTTTAGAATATGTACAGGTAAACAAGTTGCTACGAACGGCTCGCGGCAGTTTACCACTACTGTAAAGTCCATTGCCGACCAACATCCTCTTTAATTCTACAGTCCAACAACCAACGCCCAACTCAGGCATACTCATACTCAACACTATACATGCATCTAATATTCTTGTCATCAGGACACCATCCATGAAAAACCAACGTATCCCCCGCCTCATTACTCGTCGCACCACCAGGCGCATCGAGACCAAAATCAGGCGCCGCAATCAACGGCTCGGGTGCTCGTGTATATGGCCCAGATAACTTGTCTGCATAGGCGTACTTCACATTGTACAGAGGATCCCGGAAATCATGACTGCTAAAGAACAAGACATATTTCCCGTTACCCAATCGCACAACATTGGGGGCTTCGACGAGAACACCGTCTTCGCTTCCGATACGGTCGAAGATCTTGACGGGCTTTCCAACGAAGGTTGTTCCATCGCCTTCAATTTCCTGTAGCATGATGGGTGTGCCGCCTGTTGGGCCGGTAGCGTCTCCTTCGAGTTTGTAGATGAGGTAGTGCTTGCCGCTGGCGGGATCCTTGAAACCACTTGCGTCGATGGCGCCCTTGTAATCCTCAGGTCCGCAGATGAGAGGCTCCTCGTCGTACTTGTAGGGACCAGTGGCATTCTTGGACCGAGCCACGCCGATACAATGCCTACCAGTCTCGATTTCCGGACTGAGGTACACAATAAAATCTCCATTGTCAACTCGTCGAATGTCGGGCGCCCAGGTGTTCTCCCCCGTAGTCCATCCTTTATCGGGAAGAGCATCTTCTTGCTTGAGATCCCACTCGCCCAAGAGGTCTTTTGCAGTTGCAACTTGCATCTTTCTGTATCCGTCGCCTGCTGGACCGCCGTTGGTAGCGACTGCAACCCATGAGCCGTCTTCGACCTGGATGATGGATGGATCAGGAAAATCGGCGTTGATACGAGGTCTCAGAGCACCTTCATGCTTGACCGTCAACTTCAATGGTGAATCGCGTCTAATGAGACCAGCGGAGACTGAGTTGAGTAACAGGCCTAAGACAGACCAGACAAATGCGTGGGAAACCATGGGACTAACTAGGTTTACTGACAAGATATTCGAAGATATGGGATGAAGCGTCGACGTTGAACCTCAATCGAACTCTTTATACTCGGTTCCACGCAGGCACAGCCTTCGATCTGCAATGCTGACCTTGTTTGCAGGACGATGATACGTCAGCTAACAGGATAATAAATGCAGTCAGCATGTCGATCGCGCCTTGTTGGGCAACATCAGGCCAGGAACGACATCCTTTTCAGGGAAAATGCTGCGCGCATGAAAATAAACATAAGCATCAGCCGGGTACGCATGTTAACAATAAATGCCTATGGTAGTAGGCATAATATCGCTCACGTAATGGAATGAAAGGACTGGGGTCAATATCCAACAGCGAAAAAGCTGGTTAAATGCGTTCCGCCTTTTGGGTGTAATAGCATACAACCCTGATAACATTCGCCGTAGCTATACCCGAGGCATTCTGCAGATGCTCAACAGGGTGTCTTCTCTTTATGATTCAAGAGCTGCCGAGGTAGCAATATCGTTCATTCAAATGCCTCAAGGATCAATCAATAATTAGTCAGCCCTAGTTATTCGTTTACGCCAATGTGTTTCAAAATGGGGCGAGGGTGCAGCTCCATGTGAGATCATAAAGAGGCGTTAGTAATGGAGCTGTGATCATGTCATAGTTTGTGCCTGGTATAGCACATATTAGTGAGGGTCTCGATAAACACGGTTGACAGCAGGAGGTTACTGCATGGGTTTGTAGAGCTGAAAAGCGTCACCGAGGCTTCAGACAGTTTACTTGTTGTATTCAATAGTTTACAAATAACCATACAGTTAGCTACCTATTGGAACTACGGCGTCAGGTCAATCAACATCGCTTAGCTATCTAATATTTCACAATATTGCATCATCTTGTAAACCTGCATGTACTCCAAGTATTTGCAGTAGCCTCTTGTCACCAACGCTCCTTTCAATGCCACTGTGTCGCACTATTGGGCGATGGAGGTCTAGACCTTCAATATAGCTGTCTCCGATTCAGCTCAATATTAAAAGGCCAAAGAGCTTGACGAATAAGGAAACGATTTTGCTGGTGTCAAGGGGCTTACTGCTAGTGCACGCGGAAATTATAAAATTCAGAGCCTCAAGACAAAATGTGCCTCGGAAGAACAAGGTTTTCGGCAGATCGGCAATGGCAACAGACTTCTCAACTGCCGCATCCCCAGAGTCCCTACAATACTCTCTGGGGAAAACACCAACCTCACAATCGATAAGATGTGTGGTCACCAAAGCACCGCCCTTTGTCCATGCTCTCTACTGCTTCTCGAGTAGCCATGCAGGACCCGAGTTGGCCTCAATTGAGGGTCCAATCGGTAAAAACAGATTCAACGCGCAAGTCAGGAACCGAGTCATAAGATCCATCAATGGCCTTATGGTTGGGCTGAAGAGGCGTAGGCTGAAGAGCTCAAGGTGCATGGCCTACTGTGCGCCACACTAGACTATTGAAAGCCCTCTGTTTCCCAGCCGCACCAAATTCGCAATAGGGGTCCAGAATACCAGAAAATGCTCTGGTGAATGACAGACCGTGTAATACAAAACCAACTTGTTTTGCTGCGCTTCTGATGGGCTTTCTTTGAATCCTCATCCGTCCAACTCGGCTATTCACTCGTTCGTTACTTTGGCTCACGCCTTTCCACTCACTATGCGTTTCGTTACCCTTGCGGCTTTGGCCCTTTCAGGCGCTGTGAACATGGCTTCTGCCGGTCCTTGCAAGCCTCGTGCCCCTACCGGCACCTCTTCTGCTGGTGTTTCTATGTCCGAGACGTCTTCCGCTGCCCTGTCTGGGACGGCCTCTGTTGGAGTCTCCATGTCTGAGACATCTTCTGTTGCTGTTGATGTCACCACTCTTCCTGAGCCTCCCGTCGACTCCATCATCCAAAACTCTGTCACTGGCGGTGGTATGACAAGCCTAGACCCTTTTGTTGTTGTGGGTGATGTCAAGATCAACAACAATGATGGTTTCACCAAGGACGGAAGCACTGATACCAAGGCTGCTGAACTCACTGCTACTTCTCATCCCACCCGCAAGCGGCAGAACGGAGGAGATATTGCTGCCATTAAGCAGATGCTCACCAGCCTGAACATCCGCACGCAGTACACTGTTCAGTTCTACTACGCCGTTGCCACCCCTACTCAACAAACCACCTCTTGTATCCTCGAGGCCTTCATTGGGTCTCAAAAGTTCTTCACCACTGGTCTCTTCTCCAATGGTGCCTCAATCAGCTACAACCAGGTCCTAGTTTCCACCAGCGTCCCTACAAGCCAGGGTTTCCTGAACATACAGACTACCTGTACCAGCGGTGGTGCCGCAGTCTTGATCGACTCCATCTTCATCTCCAACCAGGTTACCGTTGAGAACATTGGTGACTACAGACTTGACTTTGGCGACGGTGCTATTCGTGAGCCAGCCAACTTGCCTGCCACTACCCAGGGCACTCAGGTGCCTGCTACTCAGGACGGTGCTGCTACCACTACCGAGGTGTCCGATGAGACTACTAGTGCTGCTGGTGGAAATGGTAACTCTGTTGAGCCCACCACTGCTCCTCAGGTTGATGTCACCAGCCAGCCTACTCAGGGCGGCTCTGGTGCTACTCAGACTGGATCCGATGAGACTACCTCGACCGGCAACAACTCTGGCAAGCCAACCACCGTTGCCCCAACTGAACAGGAGACTGAGACCGCTGGGTCCAAACCTACTACCTTTGTTGGTACCGAGTCCCTCGAGACCACCTCTGCTGAAGATGTTGTGAGCAAGCCTACTACCATCGCCCAGAACGGCCAGGAGACTGAATCTACTGAGGCCAACATTGAGCCCATAATTTCTGCCGGGTCATTCGAGACTACCTCTGCTGGCACTGACCCTGAACAGTCTACCACTGTTGCCGGTAACGCTCAAAGCACAAAAGCTTCTGAGATTGAATCCCAGTCTACCTTCGCTCAGACTCAAAGTGAGAACGTTCAGACCACCTCTGTTGGTGATAACTCAGCTCAGTCTACCACTGTTGCTAGCAATGTGCAGAGTACTCAAACAGTTACAGCCCAGGTCCAGTCTACATCTGCCCAGACCCAGAGTGAAAGCTCCGAGTCTACCTCTGTGCACGACGATTTCGAGCATTCCACCACCGCTGCTGCTAGTGAACAGAGCACTCAATCCGCTGGAACTGAGGTTCAACCCACCTCTGCCCAGACTCAGAGTGAAAGTCTCCAGACCACCTCCGCCGGTGAGGATTATGCCCAGTCTACCACTTTCAACGACAATGAGCAGGGCACAACTCAAACCGCCCCGGCTGAGTCTCAGCCTACTTCTGCTCAGACCCAGATTGAAGGCTCCGATGTCACCTCTTCTGCCGCTGGATCTGACGTTACCAAGACCCAGAGTGTTGGAACCGAGACCGAGTCAGCTTCCGTCCAAAGCACTCGGACCTTTGGTCCAGGAGCCACCGAGACCACGGGCTTCGTAACTACCACCCGTCCTGCCGAAACCAAGTCTAACAGCCCTGGAACTACCACTGGTTCTGCTGCTGAGGAGACCTCTGCCGCAACAACCACCACTGGCTTCCCTACCGAGGAGACCATCACCCCCATCCGAGACGCCCGGCCTGTACAGGAAGATTGTCTCGGCCAGAACTTGATCGACAACGGAAACTTTGATAGCGCTTCTGGCGCTGGTGATGGCTGGGAGTTGTTCGGAAACGCCGCCCTCACTTACAACGGAGAGTTCGGCCCCAACGCCCGCTGCAACAGCGGCGAGTCTGCTGTCGCCCTCCGCTGGCCCCAGACCAACGGCCTCCGGGCTGCTTTCAAGCGAACCGTTCCCGACCTCGTCCCCGGATTACCCTATCTCTTCGGCTGGGCCTACCACGTCGCTTCGGGCGATAATCTGCCAGACAACCAGTGCACTATCACCGCGACATTCGGCGGCGTCACCTTGGCTCCTGTTGATCCTTTCGCTATTTCCAACGCCTGGGTCAACTACCGTAACAACATGAACCATGTTTCTACCCAGGACACCGAAGATGAGATGGTGTTTGAGCTCAGCTGCAGCGGCAGCCCGAAGCCATTCACTATTCTTGTGGATGATGTCTTCCTGACGGCCTGTCAGAAGTAGAGGAAGATATGGGTTCGATGTCGGGCAATAGCAGCTTTTCTTGTAAATAGCATTTATTCTCGATACATACATAATACAAAAGCCTGTGCCACGCGGCTATATATCCACTTGCATAACGAGCTTGAGGTGTATCAAAGTCACGTGGAGTCTTCAGCTTACTTCTTGCAATCTGTCTTCTATCATCTAGCCTTTTGGTTCCCGAAGAATTCCGAGAAAATCACTACAACTACTGCAACAAAAATGTCTACAATGGCCTCAGCTAATGACTCGTCGCTTCACCAGCAGCTTTGCGAACTGTACCGTCAATATCGTGGAACCAAGTCAATCGATGCAAAGGCCGACTTCTTCTCTCCGGAATGTCATCAAATCTGCCGCACAGAACCAAGCTATGCAGCACAAGATAGAGGTACAATAATCCGCTACCTGCTTGAATCTGGCGAAGTACTCGCTCGTATCTACAAAGAAGCAAGCTGGAATATCGAAGACTTAACCAGTCCTCCCAAGAGCTTTTACACCATGCGTCCCCTCACCGAAACCGAAACAAGCGACTTTGGCGCAATTGAAGCTTTGGAACCTGCTGGTTTCTCGTCTGTAGAACAAGTTCAGAACCAAGCGCAGGCTGAGAACTGGGCAGGACTGAGAGTCAATATGTGGACAGAAGATGACCAGGCCAGAGGAATCTTGGTCAAGGTGCAGTACTGGTGGCGTAAGGAGACTTCTGAGGAGTGGAAGCAGATACTGCATGATATTATGTACCTAGGACCGGTGGATGGAACTGAACGGGACGCAGGCGGGGAGTTGGTTGAGGATAAGTAGAAGCATGCTATAGTTCTTACTGGTTGAGAGGGCTAAAAGGGCCTTCTTTCATCCAAACGAGCATTTAATGTACCGAGTCGATACGGCAGATTGCTTGCTACTTGAGAAGTACATGTCAGCAGTAACAGTGACATGTGTACATAAAAACTAACAGCGGCATTGAGGGGTAATTTAGAGTGTCAGCGATTGTCCATCACGTGTCTCCCAGGCAGTGAACCCTTTGCCATCACCATCCATTCAGCTATGCAATCGCTCGTCACTGTTATAACATTCCATAAACTAACAAATTCGAGAAGTCGTCATGTCCAAGTCATCATTAGAGACAGTACCCACCGAGGTGCTATGCATGATTGCAGAACATTTATCAACAGAGGACCTGAAGAATTTCAGCCTGGTGAATTCTGCTGTCCGGATTGCAACCGCACCATGTCTGTTCAAAGTACTTCAAGTCGATTGTCCGCTGCGGGAGGATCACAACGTGAGGCCTGTGATTCGCAAATATGGCGCATATGTTATGGAATTGAGATTGAATGTTACCTTCTTTCCCAATAAGGCGGAGGACGGACTTCGTGATGAGCCACCAAGAGCTTTCCGCGAATATATAGAACGACACTGCTGCAACCATCCTGACTCAGTCTGGACTCGAAGAGCAGTTGATGTCCCTATCATACACGACCTCATCCAATTCAAAGGCTTGCCTGGCTGCAAATCCCTCACTCTTCGCACCAAAGGCGATCTTGATTTCAAACCATTAGGATATGAAGATTGGGATGACGATAGCCGCGGTACTGGCCCCCTCTTCACCTTTTACGAACACGAGGGTTGGGAGGCGGTCTATAGGAAAGAGCGGAAGTATTCTTGGCGTGCAGCGCTACGGGACATGTACCGTGACGTTGCCGCTCTCTCCCCAGCCAGGGAACTCAAAATCTCGAGCTTTCTCCCTCGCAAGGTCTCGTTCTGGCAGGCAGATCAGTGGGTTGACTTTTTGGGACGACTGAAAAAGCTTACGCTTCATCCCTTTGGCAAAGACGGTGGTCAATGGGATGCCAATATAATGCCCGGATATAATCAATTCTTTGCAGAATTGTCAGGTTGCATGTTTACTCATGCAAAAGAACTGCAGCATCTGGAAATAGTGGCACATAAATCCGGTTTCTTGAGAAGTGGCTCGCTGGTATTGGAACCTGACACTATGCCAGCACTACGAGTCCTACATCTAGAGAACCTGGCGGCCACCTCCATCCTACCAAACTTCCTCCAAGGCATACACAAAGATCTCAGCAAGATCCATATAGTGCAGTGAGTCGCGCTTAAAGAATCCGTGATTGGCAATGCGGAACCCTCCTGGGGAAGACTATGGATGTGGATCCGCGAAGCTGTTCCAGAACCTAAAGAAATCACTTGCGTACTGCCCCAGGCGCCGCTGACTGGGGAGGAGGCTATTATACAGGTGGAGGTGTCTATGTCCCCCCAGGGTCGGAGCCTGTGGAAGTAAAAAGGCTGAGAGCGAGGTTGGCGAAGGAGAGGGACTTTAATGCTTGGCCGTATGCACAGGATGGGAAGTACGGCGGGATCTCCGCTGATGAGGCGACAAATCTGGAGAGGCTTGAGGCTGGGGAGGATAATCTTGAGTATAGATTGATGGTCGAGGCGATAGAGAGTGTAGGTGGCAGATGCAAGGTCGTTCTGCCCTGAACTGGTTCTGAGGGTGACGCGAACGACAAGGGCGACTGATGGTTTCTAGTAGGGCCGTGAGTTGCATCGGTCTACCATTACTATATGATTGATTTTTGAGATCCGGAAAAGTCAAGATCTATCGAGACATTCCCAAACAAGCCCAAGCAAAAAGTGATCATGGTCGCGATACAGTGATAAATACCAAACCTTACCCACAGAGACAAAGGCATTTCCGTAACCGACTCCTTGATATACAAGTAAAACTCATACATGCCTCTCTTTTCTTCTGGATCTAGAGCTGCTGCAATGATCACCACCGTTTTTGGAACCCACATCACCCTGGTCACTGCGCTGGTAACCATGATACTGGCTATTAGTTTGCGTCCTATTCTCTGTGCCTCAGCCTGGCTGAGTGCTCCCATGGCATCGTGATCGGGTGCGAATGATCCGAAGGCTTGGTTGACAGATAGTTGTACCACTTCTTCTGTTATATCACAAGCTAGAAGTGTGCCGATAAAGTGTACCCATTCCGTAGAAGTGACGCATCGCAAAGATCTGATTGAGTGTTTAATTGGGATTTTGGTATTGGAAGTGATTGATCGTATCCAGAGGAGCTTGAGTGGTGAGAGGAGAATTGTGATGATGCATGTTATCAAAAATGGGTGGAGGAGATTGCCAAGATAAACCTTGATGAAATATCGCACAAGACGCTCAACAAGCCATATCTCAATGCCTTTGATCGGAAAGAGGGTAAGGAGGAGCGTCTGGTCTGGCTTGATCCCTGCGTAAGCATCCTGGTCTCGAGAAGTAAAGAGACTCAAGGAGCGTACATGGCGCGCGACGGTAAGGGTTGGGTAGACATTCTGGTAGGGGTAGGGGGCCTGTATATGGTGAGTGTGAGCCTTTAAAGAAGAAGAAATGAACGAACTGCAAAGCCAACCGCTTGGCCCAACCATTTGAACGCAATGTCCATTGGGGGAAGATGTGATGCAATCGGGTCTGATGAGATGATTGTACTAATCGAGGAAGGGATAATATTTTAACTCTTGTTTCGCCTCTTGAATGAGGGCTTGGACCGACTGCGCCCGGTTTATTGTGAGTCACTTACCAAGAGATATAAACTCGGCCCGTCTCTTGTGTCCAATGTTGCTGCCTGATTTCAACTAAATACTACTAGTCGACTCATACCGCATTGCGTGGTCTGTAATAATTACAGTGGAGACGACATGTCCAGCTACTGCGGCTCAGGATACTTATTATCCCAGCACAATCATTCTCAATGCCCCGATCCGGCATTAGGAATGATGCAGGGCGGGCCAATTGCGGTGAGATTGAGGCTGTAGAGCTCAGATGTAATTGGTCCTCTATACGCGCAAGGTCGGCACTCGGAGAGAAACTTTAGCAGCCAACCATTCCGCCAACTAACTTCATCCTGGTGCCTGCATCTGCTCGTCTTTAATCAGGCCTGCTCTATCCGTACGGCTTCTCGGCTCAGGTCCCTTTTGCCTCTGCTGCTACTAAACCAACCAATTCGCACAAATGGTACCGCCTATACGCGCGCAGAGAGTACGGGCGTTTTCCCGCAAGGCGCGTACTGGCTGTCTCACCTGGTAAGTTACCCCGCCGCATCTCTTTGACTCCGTACGCAGCAGTGAATTAATTGGAGAGGTTAGCAAAAAAAGACACAAAAAATGCGACGAAGAGAAGCCTACCTGCAAGAGATGCAGGACTGGGGGTTATGTTTGCGATGGCTACGAATCTAAAGCCCAAGCTGTAGCAGTCATCCCCCAGTCTCGTGGTATTGTACCACTGGCACCACTGGTACCACTGACAGCCAAGATATTCCACATTTCAAATGCCCCCCCAAAAGCACTAAGCCCAGCAAATGCCCTGGAAACGAATTATTATACTTATTTCTTCTCCGATATCACCAGCCATCTAGAAATAACCCCGGAATTGAATAAAGACTTTTGGCACAAGACCTTCCTGGCGCCTAGCCAAATCAACCCGTGTGTGCGACATGCTGTATTGGCATTAGGTGCTACACATTGGCAGTATTCGACACATCATCGGCAAACCTCGGCTGCACTGGATAGTTTCATTCTGGGCCACTACAACGAAGCCATTTCCCAGCTTAGGGCTACAGGAGCGTCTGCACTGGACTTGCCAACAATATTGACCTGCTGCATTTTATTTGTCATTCTGGAGAGTCTTCGCGGCGATTTTAGCGAAGCAGTTCGGCATCTTGAGTCTGGAATCCGGATCCTCGCGAACAATCCCAAGACATACCTCCCGAATCGAGATTTTCAAGAGCTCGCTACCATTTTCCATGCCATAAGCTCACAGGTCGCGATATTCTCCTCAGAACGTGTCTTTCCCGATGTGATTCACCTGCTACCTCCAGCGAAGGAACAGAAGAAATGGACAGAAGAGTTTCGTGATCTAGATGAAGCTGAGGATGTGATGAACAAGTTTGATGATCGCGTCAGTCATATATCCTGGGATCTCGACCAAGACTGGGAAGACGAGACCTCCGAGTGCAATACAAAGTGGAAGATGCTGAAAGAAGATGTGGACGAGTGGGAACGCCAGTTTGAAGTCCTGGTGCAGAAATTGACCAAATGCGGTCACTGGGTCGACAAGGAAAAGGTGCTGAACCTGAGAATCCAACATAAGTTATGGGAAATATTAATCCAAAACGAATCCGAAGAGAATGAATCCGAAACAGGCCTCGACGCTACCGAGTGCAATCTTCTACTTGACCAGCTGCAGCAACTATGGTGCAACCCAACCCGCCCGCGCTTTGGGCTAAAAATCGACCTCACTGCCGCTCTTTACCAGCTTTATGTCTACTGCGACGATATAGCTGTACGACAACGTATAATTCTGTTGTTGCGCTCGCATAAAAGGAGGGAGATTATATGGGATAGTGCTCAACTTGCAGATTTTCTGGACATGGACATGGCTCAGCGAGCTATTGGTCTTCAGCAGGAGAAGTGGCCCGACATAGGTCCTTCTTCAAGTGACAAGGCTTTGCTGACATTTAGGCCAAAGGAATGAATCGATCGTCCCGGAGTTTTTGTTTTGCTGGAAAAATGGCTGTGCAGGTATTTACTGCTTCTTGAAGAGCAAGGCTTGCTGGAATGGTGGGTTCTTATGTACGCGCTGGCTAATCACAATCGGGTACACATGGCTGAACTAGTGCTCAACCTTCGGCTAGACGGCAAGGCAGACGTCCCGTCCCGTTGCATAAATAAAATAGGTTCATGTGCCGTACGCACTGCTTTCTATAATTCGACCAAATGTACGCGATGTCAATCAATGTCCGTGCCTCTGCACGGGCAGCATTCCAGATATTCGCCTGCTCAGGAAGACACTGAGTATAAATAAACCAGACATCCAACTGCTCAAGTTTTCGATATCTTCTCAACACTCACAACCATAACTCAACAATTATACTCCATCTTACAGACTACCAATCTCAGCTACAATGCGCTACGTCAAATCTTTCACCCTTCACATAGCCGTCTTATCCTCCACGGTAATGACTGCATTTGGCGCTCACGTCCGCCCCAAGGCCGTTGTCTATCGCGGCCCAGCATCATCGCCCGGCTGTCCAGAGTCACTAGGCCAGCTCCTCGAATCGTCTCCATCGAACTTCCAAGTCGTCTACGCCGGGCCTAATGAGCCTGTTGACGTCATCGAAGCGCTGAAAGGCGCGACTGTGTATGCTCACGGCGGCGGACCTAACTGGGGCAAGGCATATCGCTCAACAAAGAAGTACCAAAACGCCATTCGAAGCTTTGTTGATAACGGTGGCCACTATCTTGGTTTCTGTCTTGGTGCGTATCTTGCTGGTCCTACCAATGGCTATGGACTGCTTCCCCAGGGCGTCAAGACGGATCGCGAGGTTGAGCAAAAGAGAGCCCAGATCGAAGGCGAAGAAGACACCGTTATCCAAGTCGACTGGAAGTTCGCCAATGGTCACGTCGATAAGAAGCGTTGGCTGTATTTCCAAGACGGTGTCGTGATTCAAGGTCTCAACGATAAGAGCCCTGGTCGGATCGTTGGTCGATACTCTGCGAATGGCGATGTAGCTGCTTCTATCACGCCCTACGGAAAGGGCTGGGTTGGTCTTATTGGACCTCATCCTGAAGCTGACGATACTTGGTGTAAGTGCTAACTATCTCAACGGACTTGTGAAATTTGACATACTGACCGAGTCCCAGATGATGATGCTGAAATTACCAATCCCGAGGGTATCAAGTTTGATATTGGCCATGACTTTGTGGAAGCAACAATCAACGGCGGTTGCAAGGCGTCTTAACTATGAATTGGGCAGGCTAGATAGTACAGACGTATAGTGTAAACTGTCAACTTTCGAATATTCTACACAAAAGTCTATATTGAAGTCAGCCTTAAAGATGTTATTATTTCTTGGTATTAAATACGAATATTTATTTCATTACTCATCCTTTATCAGGATTCGTTTTTAGACTATTATAGTTCTCATAATATTATAAATAACTGTTTCTCTTATCTCGTGTCCGATAAGTAAACGAGCCAGTTTCATTCTATATTACTATTGTGTAGCTTTATCGACCCTAGTATTTGTTTAGTCCGAACAATACCTACACAAGAGACTAAAGTACTCAATGATATATTTGCATTTCTAATCTATAGCACTCTCTAAGGAATAGCTGACTAAGCATGAAAGATCTCCATATATGGGACCATTCACATGCTAAACTGGAGCTAGTCATCCTCATCATCCTCATCGTCGTCACTGCTTACACTATCATCCTCGCTGCTGTCATCTCCAACTTCAAGGTCCTCGTCACTATCCCCATACTGGGCCTCCAACATTTCCTTCCCTCCCTCCTGCTCTATACTCGCATCTGCCTCACTGGACATGAACTGTTTAATTTCTCCACTCTCCCAGCTTTCTCTCAGCTCATGTTCCTTCAAGTCCTCGTTTCGCCAGGCGTTATTACGCACATCTTCCTTTTCAAGCTCCCCATACACTTTGCCGAAAGTAACATTCTTGCATTGCTGGTGGCTCTTGTTAGTTCGAAATCTTAGGAAACACAGAGGGCCACAAGCTTTTCGACCAGTATGCAACTTACGTCTCTTAGATCTTCCACCATTCCCTCAATAATATCCTTTAGCTTTTCATCATAGTCAACTTGGGTGAGTTTCCCCGCCTTCAGCTTTTTCTTCAACACGCGCTGTGACTTGACCGTCGTGTACATGCTCTGTAAAAAGAAGCGATACTTCTGGTGTAGGTCTTGGATATACTTGACACTGAAACGCCGGACACAAAGGTCTCTGATTGCTCTGATAGTATGTGTTAGCATCTCGACGGTAAGGTCATCAGTTTTATGCAAATTGACTTACTCTTGAAGTTCTCGTCGATGTTGACCCCCCTGGGAGAGATTGTAGACACTGAGGTACGAGTCTGAGATGACTGAGAGGATGGCAATTGCCCCCCCTGCCTTCTTAATGCCTTTAATGACCTTTGCCCCATTTCCTGTGCCACGTACAGATCTTTTGAGACCCAAAGCCCGACTCATGAGACGAATCCCTGCCGCAAACTCTTCACCAACTTGTCAGCTTCCAGAGATATGCATACACAGGATGCTACAACCTTTATTTGCGACTTTGATCAAGCTACGCCCGATCAGTTTGCTTCCCATTATGGCGGTGCCATATTTGAAGATATCGATAGCTTGAGCTGGTAGTAGATCACTGCTGTTAGTCCAAGTTTCTTATGTTAAGTGGCATGACCTACCTGTGAGTCCAATACCTGCCGCAATTACACCAACATAGTTTACAATACTGATGCAACGTGCTACATCCGCAGTTTCTTGGCCGATCCGCTCAAGCATTGCTTCGTTTTCCCTCTGCAGCTTATCGTTCCACTCGTCTTCTAGGGATGACTCTAACTCGTCGATAGAGCTCATACCTTGCTCTTCAAGGGCTTTTTCGATATTGTCATTGATGACTCCTTCGTACTGTTTCGCATCCTCGGCTTTAGTTTCGATAGCTTCGAGGTGTATATTGATGGACGTCATCAGTCCCTGAACCCGAGCCACCCTACTCGGGTTATCTGATCAGGTTGTATGAGTTAGTGTAATTTCTTCCAGTTATCACTTGTCGGTGCTTTCGAACCTGGATAAAATGTGGCCTCATCCATGATAACAATAAACGTTTAAAGCTGCAATCGAGTGTCAGGCGTCTTTCTTCTTGGAAGTGATCTGGAAAAGTGAAAAGTGAAGTAGATGATGAATTAAAGAGGAATCGTGTCCAAAGGTGGGTATTTTATGATAATTCAAAATCTTGAATAACAGGATGTATTGCATATCATATGCCGTAATTTCACAGATCCTCTCGAAAACACTCGGGAATGATCTATCCGTGCCTATCCATAGACCTTATTGGACACCGCACGACTTGAGCTATGTTCTTGATGGGATATCGATGACCTATCCTGCCTATCTTTCAAAGAATTTGGGCGGGTTTTGTGGCTTGTTAGCGCCCCTTTCGGAAGATCTTTACCACTTTCTCGCCTCAGCCCATCCCGCTCGGACGCTAAAACGATCTATCATCTCCACTCAGCTGGTCTTGCTAAGATCCATTCGACTACATGGAATTTCTATTGGATAAACTGGTCACTTGTCTCTCAGTCATTCCTCAAATTAATCTACCTGCATACGCCAACGTGCCGTACCGTCCCCGGCGCCCTAGGTATGAGGCAATCTTACGGCAAAAACTTGGCAGGGCTGCAGATTAATGACGATCATGTCACAATAATATTGAAAAGGGAAAAGAACTGCAACTCTAAAATGCTAGATCACAGCTGAAGTTCCAGCTGCTGTCAGAGTCGTAGGCAGGTTGTGGATGACAAAGGCTTGTTGCTAAGGTGTCTACCAATAAGGAGAAATAACGGTTGATTCGTGGTCGGTATCGATGATGACGAGGAATACCAAAACAGGCTTTGAAGTCTTGAAATATCCAAGAGAGGCAACGAATAAAAACCGATCTTTGATAAAAGCCGAGATACACGCAGTCAAAAAGGAGTGATGCTCTTCACTTCGACAGCTTTACTGTACAAGAAGCAGGCACCACATTGCAAAAGACTAGACTGTCACCCAAAAATTCGAGATCAAATCCAGAGTATTGTATGCAAAATGTCTCGAGCCATAGGTGATATCTTTTACCCGGACAACCCCAATCGTCGCAATCGATTCAATGAATTATTAGCTCAAATTCGAACCTACGAGACTGAATTTCAAGCGCTCGAGAAGAAGAAGTATGCACCGATTCCACTTGAGCAAGATACCTTTATACCTTCAATGAATTAACCAACTACCTAATCCAGGAAGAGAGTGTTCAAGGAAGCCCGAGAGAAGGTTGACAATGCCTTGCATGAAAAAGGCTATGAGACTCGGGATGAGCTTCGTCAGGCAATCAGAGATAAGATAAGTGACAGCGAAGAGCTCAAAAAGTTTGATAGAGTTAAGTCCGAGTGTGTAAATATTCTCTTAACATATTGGGATATGCTGACTGGATACTGCGTGCTAGGTTACTAGAGACCGGCAATGTAGGAGGCGTTGTCCTTGACCTCATCTGTCTCGCCACCACCAGTCTCACTGCTATCGCTGGAGTCGGGATCTTTCTAGGAGTGGTCGCTGGCCCCGTAGGTTGGGCTGTGATTGGCGTGTTAACAGCCATCGCAGCCGGTGCTGGGCTTGTAGTGGCCATAATTTCATTCATCGACGCGATGAACGAACGAGACGTAAGATTCTGCTGTTCGCAGTCACAGAAAACATGCTGAACCCTTCCCCAGACACTTCGGGACGGTATCTATACGCTATGGATGAAGCGGGCAGCCATGAAATATCATCTGGATAAGCTGGATGCACTGGTCCAGAGTATCGACAGCATTGGTGAGTCGTATTTCATACAAATTATGGGGGACCGGAAGCTAAGCCAGATCGATCACACAGTATCCCTCGCCGATCTATGTGACGAGGAGGAACTGGCGGAGGTGATTGAGGAGAACCTTGGCCGCAAAACGCTGTTTGGGCCATGGAATACGCGGGAGAAGCTACGGGAGCTAGATGAACGAAATGAGTCCTGGACCAACGAAGATCCTTCGTTCTACGCCCAAGACTTCGAGTTTGACGGTCCCAAGATGACAGTGGAGTGGACCGTTGACGAGTACGGAGATGAAGAAGTTACTACAGACGAGATGGAGTTACTGAAAGTGGACCATGACATGGGAGAGTGGGTTTTTGATTATGGCAGCTGGATATACCGGTTTAATAAGGCTTGGGACAAGGAGCAGCATGACATGAATCGTGAGGATCGTGGGCTTGACCCAATGGATGAGCAGTCGACGTCTTTGGGAGATGACAAGTCAAAGCCGCTTCTCTGCGATTATTATATCTGGCCAGATGCTGATCACTACGATGGTAACCCGCAGTACTTTCACCTGGGCCATACATTTAGAATTATCTAACTACAGTTCCGTACAATAGTCCCGACAAGGAGCCAACGAGAGATGCATAATATAAGAGACATATGGAATGTATTATTATTAAAATAGTTATTATATAATCTTAATGTAAGATTGTGTAAGATCGTATAGATTACATAGGTTAAAAAGAGCTTATTATGATTTAGATAATTTTATATAAAACATAGAATTTAGGAAATTGTCAGAACTTTTACGCGTTTGCTGTAGATTGTATAAATAATACCAGGTCGGGGATATTTTGCTTTCCCCTCAAAGACTATTTATAATTAACCCGTCTGGTTGATAGTAACCTCTATAGTTGTCTTCAAATAATTTCTGACTTCTCCGCCTTCTTTCCCTTTCGTGCGTAGATAGTATGTTACAAGATAACTACCAAGAATAGGAACAATCACTCCAAGACAGTTATATGAAGTAGGAAGATAAATAAAAAGCTGTTAGATCTTCGCTATAGGGTCTTAAGTGCCAAAGCAGTTCACTTGCGGTGGTGGACGGTTGAATTCCAATTCAAACCTATCTTCATAGTCTCCCCAAGTCCAGTAGCCATTCTCTGGTGTTGCGTTGGTCAACTCGCCTTCGTCGTCCAACACAATCGACTCAGCCGAAATGGGGCGCCAAATTTGGGCACCACTCTTCCTGACATAATATCGATTGTCATCTCGAACCTCCTTCGTCAAACCCTTATACGCTGCCTGTGGGATGGATAATAAGAAGGGGTCCCGAAAATTACAGAGCTCAGGCCGGTCGTTCCGACGTTTAACGAACGCATCCACTGATTGGAGCATGTCTGAGAGGTATACAGGTCTTCTAGTAACCTCATAGCGTGGTGGCACATCCAAGACGGGATTTTCGACCCGGATCCCAAGGTGCAGGCTTATTAGCTGAGGAAAATGTGTATCCAACATTTGAAGGTTTCTTTCCAATTCTGACTGACTCGGAACTAGTTTGCCTTGGTGTTCATGAGTACTCAGATCGAACACAATCTCGAGCGAGGTTATCATCGACAGGCTTCGCGGACGAATTAACATGCCCAAGTTGTTAATAAGAGGCTGGCTTGATATGTGAATAATGTTTGTGCCATACAGGATCTCAGTTCCTTCGACATATCTGGAAGACAGAGCAGTCAGCATCAAGTCAAAGTGAAGAGAAGACACCAGAACGCTTACGCTTGACGACAAGTCAAAAGCCATCCCATAGCCCCAATCCAGCAAGAGTCAGGCTTGCCAGCAAACTTAGTATATAATACACAATAGAACGACCAGCCGTCGCAGCATCTATCATCCCCAGGCTTGACGATATTGTGGGCATCCACAGTTGCCTTGAACCGAGGTGGTAGCAGGCGATGACATACGCAGCCCCTCCACTGCCAGTACTTAGGTTGTTCTATGTCTAGACCAAGATTCTTCTTGTGGTATGGCCAGAGGTGCGAATGATCTTGACCATGAAACCTCCGTTTAGGGTCTATGGATCTCACATCCATGTCGAAGTTCAGCGGTTCGCGCAACGGATGGGTCAAAACGAGATCCATGTGAACCGTTCGATTGCCAAATGCATGGATTAAAATCTTTCGTCTCAGTTCTAGCGGCAATCTGAAGAAGGGGACCGTTTCTGCTAGTGTTGTGATTTGCTCTTGCGATGGTGATGGTGTCAACGCGTACGGTCGCGGGTTGGGTAGCAGTGGGATTTCAGGGTCTTGGGGGGCACGTTGACGACTTTGCCGTTTGGCGTTCATCCATGCTTTAAACCGTCGATGCATAATGAGAGAAAGAAGCGGTCGATGCAGGTCGTGAGATGCAGAAGGGGAAGGGGTTGCGACTTTTATGTGCAACAGGGTGCAAACGTGCACAGTCGTTGATTTGGAAGGAAAAGGTGTTTCTGGCTTGGCAAGAGAGCCTTTAACTTCGGATGGGTGAGAATTATTTAATCATCTGGCTAAAAGAAATGCTTTGAAACAACAATGAATGGCGGGGGGTTGGGTACGAAAGGTCGGTGCGTTGTTGCAAACCAGATCCTGGAATATGAAGGGGAGGGGGGACTCAGCTTTATAGGCAGATTAAGGCCTGACACTGTGCTGGGCAAAAGCTATACTGTGTAATTCTTGTCGTGTTGGGCCGGAAGAAGAAGTATAATTAACTTTGGGCAAGTAAAAGCCGATGCTTGTCGCTACGAAGAAGAAACCATAATGTGCGGCGATTAATGTTAATCTCAAATGATAAAATATACAGTATTCCCCATTGATCACTTCTCCTTTGTAGCCTAATAGCAACTATAGGTTTGATGTAATCTCTAATACATCACTTTCCTTCAAAGTCCAGTCCAAAGTTATTAGAATAGCTGAATGTGTCATCCTTTATTTACCACTGTCCACGCAAACATAGGAATCAGGCTTCAGCCCACTACATGTACTTCCCAAAGCTGGATTCCAGCTAAGCAGCTTTTCCAATGAGATGCTGTTGGCTCGTCGAATAGACTTGCAGGTATCCTTCTTTGAAACAAGCCAGTATTCCTTACAATCTGATGCTACGCCTGACTGAGTTGGCATAGCGGTTGCTGGTCGAGTAGGCGTTGTTAGGGCTGCTGTTCTGGTGGTAGGAGTATCAGGCCCAGCAACACAGTACCAGGTGTTGTCCTCAACATTACTACAGTCATCAAAGACTGATGGGTTCATCGAGATAAAGTCCTTGGCACTAAACGTCCCAAACATATTGACCAATTGATCACACGTTTCTCCCCCAGTAGTGTAATACCATACCTTGCAGTCCTTAGGGCTGCCGCCAGGAATAACACTCGGGGTTTCAGTAACAGTTGGGGGCATCAGAACCTCACTCTTGACACCGACACAGTACCAGTTGCCCTTCCAGAGACCATCACAGTTCATCTTGAGGACTGGGTTATACTTGAAAAACTGGTCCTTGGACAGGTAGCTGTACGTCTTGAGAATGTCGCGACAGTTCTCGTCGGCCTCGGCCTGATGATAGTGAATGCAGTCTGTTGGCATGGGACCATGAGATGGTGTTGGTGTGAAGTCAGAGTTTGCAGGTGTGATCTTTGTGGGTGTGTAAGGGGTTGGTTCAGGAGGAGGAGTAAATGGGGGCGTGGATGTCTCCCATTCGAGGTTGCCGGTAGAGATCGAGTTCACTCCGACGCAATACCAGTAGCCTACAAAGAGGCCCGAACAGTCTTCGTGGACTTCAGGGTTCCATTTGAAGCTGGAGTCATGGTTAGCTGGCTCAGATTATCTGATGGGTGAATACTCTTGTAACTTACAACTCGTCCTTTTTCATGAATGAACTATGTATGTTGAGAACATCTTGACAGCTCTGGCGACCTCTAACGAGATGCCACTTGTTGCAGTCCTTTGGCTGCCCGGATTGAGTAGCCTTTGGGGGCCAATTCACATCCGTTGTGGGAGTCGTAATGTTCCACGTTGAGACAGGATTGCGAACAGAATACGTGGTATCGGCAGTAGTAGTGGTGATAGACTCGGAAGTCGGCTTTGATGCTGTCTGGTCTGAAGTTACTACTGATGTGACGTCCTTTGTCGAGGGTACTTTGGTGCTTGAAGTTGAGCTTCCCTTGTCCGATTGGACAGTCGAGAGCGCAGTCTTGCTCGTGGCGGTGGATTTGGCTGTTGTATAGACAGCTGAAGTACCATCAATTCTGACGCAGTAGGCATACTTCAGCCAGAAGTTGGTCAAACAATCCTTCGAAACTGAGGGATTCCAAGCCAGGAACTCTTGCTTGGTGATATAGTATTTGTTGGGAACAGTTTCACAGTCGTCGCCTTCTTTGACAATATGCCATGCGATACAGTTTGAAGGCTGACCAGGATGAACTGAGGCACCTGGCTTGCTTTCCTGTGCAATCACAGCTGGAAGTAAGGTCCAGCAAAAGAGCAATAAAAAGGTGAGAGACTGCATATTGTGTAGGTGAGTGCGACAACAATACTGCGCAGCTAAACAAGAGACGTGGACTTGTGAGTAAAGTAGCCAAAGTCGATAATGAAAGAGGACATGCTAGAGTATCCCGTGTAGAGTAAGCGAACGCAGCTGCCATGATCGTCAAAACACCAGATTTTTGAAGAACTACCAACAAACTGTTGGTTGCTCATATTACGAAACAAAGATGTCAATGCGGCTGCGGCTGAAATTGCAAGTTCATGGCATTGCATGTTCATCGTAATGTGATGCCTGTAGGTGCTTGTTGGCTGTCACTCATGGAGGAATAGAAATTTTTTATCCAGTCATCGGATGGTTGTTCGGAATATCATTACGCAAAACGAAAAATTCAAATTTGCCTGAAACGAGCTGTGATGAAGAAAAAGGATTTAATCCTTGATTTAACATGCGGTAGCATTTGTTGGCTGCAGCTTTTCATATCCTTGTCCTCGCGTCTTACCAACAAACGGGCGGCTTATACCCTTGCCTATCCCGGCGCCCTGTGCACCATAGTTAAACACAGTAAGAAGCCGTAAATCACTAACGCGGTTTCGGGTAGACGAGAAACCTCGGGCTGATCATATGATAATGGTCCGTGAAGGTCATACCATGCAACACAACGTTTAAGCTTCTCCACTGATCGCCAGTACCCATCTTTAATCCGAGCCTGGACCCCACATGTCATACTGTTAATCTCAGGTGCTTCCATATTGGGACATGCAAAAGTCTTTTCTTGGCATTTCTAGCCGCAGCTTTGTCTGAAACGGATGTTGGTAGTTTGGACATTATTTGACCCAGTGAACCATGTTCTGTCGTCACAGTGTATAGCGACCAACAGCCACTGCCATCCGTCCTAACATGCAGGTCGCCGAGTTTATCGCGTGCCAGACACCATTTTGTTTTGATGTACTTGATTTCGGGTAGTTTTAACCCCCCCTTCATTTAGGCCACGACTGGTCTATTTTCCTTTGAAGTTTCCCCTCTAGAGACCTCACTACCATTGCACTCCTTGCCAACATACCCTTTGCCCACAAGGACCATACCCGTCGTCACCTACCAGACTCACTATACACTCACGAACAAGATGCGTCTCACATCTTTACTCCTTATGGTTCCATTGTGTACCAGTCATGCCCAAGCAGGCAGTCAGCTCTGGGAAGCATCTGCTGCTATGACCGAAGGAAGCGAAACCGCTCTGTTGAAGAGAGCGGTTTCAATTGTCCCCAGCGATGACCCTTATAACAATGCTGGGGTACACCGTTGGCCTGAGAAAACCATCACCTACGCATTCAACACCAAAACAGACGAGGAAAAGCTTGAAAGAGTTTTTGAAGATGCCAAAAAGCTCTGGAACCAACTCAAGGTCAATGGCTTTGATTACAAGAAGCTCGACATAAAGAAATGCAGTTCCCGCAGAAGCGAGTGTATGGTCATATACTATAATGACTATGGCAAACACAGCACATCCCTTGGTATTCGACCTCTCGACAGCACTTTTGAAGGCCCGTTCATGCATCTCTCTGACAAGTTCGGCGTTGGAAATCTTGACTTGGTCGTAAACACAGCACACGAGCTCGGGCATGCCTGGGGTCTATGGCATGAGCACCAAGCAAGAGAATGGTGGGGCCATAGCGACAACGATGGGAACTGGGGCGGATTTCTTAACGGCGATATCTTCAAGACTGCGGATTACCACTGCGAGAATCTGAAAGACTACGAAAAAGCGCTCGAGGAAATGGCTGAGAAAGAGGGCCTGAAGTCCAAAGAGGACCTTAGTGTGTCCCAACTCGAGATGCTATGCAGAGACCGCGAAACGGCGGAGAAATACGCCTTCTCTGCACTGGAGTGGATGCCACTGCCAAAGAACGGTATGGATCGTGATGAGGAGTTTGACCCAACATCATTAATGCTTTACCCAAGTGGTGCTGGCGGGAAAGGGGAGGTAATCCCTGGTGAAGATGGGAAGGAGCCTGAAGATAAGCGTCTTGCAGTTTTGACGTATCCCGATGGAAAGCGCATGCCCATCAAGAAGGGGCCCGCGGGGATGGACATTGAGAAGCTGTTGAAGCTGTATGGGACAAACTATAGGGGAACTAGCATGTTGCACAACGATGATAGCAGTAAGTTCAAGGGATTGCTGAAGAAGATGCGGAGCAAGTTGTCGTTGAGGGCTGGTGATACGGAGCAGGGCATGTGTTGATTTGGTGGAGAGTTAGTGACAATGTGTGTTGCTGTCGAGATCGATAAATAGATAGAATGGCTGTGTAGTCAATCTAACTCGCTATATTTTGGTCTATTGCATACTGTACTCAGACTCGATTAAAGTTGAGGCCCCAGTGAACGGTTTCCTGTCATTATTTCCTTCTGATCAGACAGCAGCTTCCTAACTTATTATAACATGAGGCGTGGTAGAAAGTCAACAGTTGAGACGTGAGCCTGCAGAAGGTGAAAGAATAAAGATTATGAGAAGAGTAGAAAAATAGTACCCAGATAGTCTGCTAACCAAGGTGGTAAGGAATGTATGATAGAATGTTAATATTCAAGACTAACTATACATAATAACACCAGAGCGATATCGGATTTCAACACAAAAACTCCTTATCCTGCTGTTGCATTTACAACTCATCTTTACCCAAATTGCCAGATCCAAAACAGGTTACCGCCTTCTGTGGCTGGCTAATCGTGGACTTCTTCCTCTTGATACCCTTCCCGAGAGCCTCAATAAGAGTTCCGTCATCCAGGTCGATGGCCCAGACCATGGTCCTATTATTATGAATTAGTCAAAAATGTTTCCAGTGAAAGGATAGCTGACAGGCCTACCCTCCAAGACAATTCTCATTAGCGTAGTCAACCTTCTTCTTGAGCGTCTTGGCATCATCCCAAGAAACCCACTGGTTCGAGTCCCAAGTCACGATCTGAACGGCAGCTTCCTCGTCAAGCTTCATCTTGCCTCCGTTCTTGATGATCTTATTGATCTCACTCGCTGAGAGGACGCCCTTGGTCCCGGTGCACTCGCCGCCTTTGGCACCTGAGCTGAACTCACAACCAGCGTCGAGACAATCAGAGCTCTTCATGGTGAAGCCTGCTCAGTGTCAGTATAAGAGAGCTAGAATGATCAGTTCGACTTACTTCGACCGTAGAAGCCAAGCCCCATAACGACCCGTTCGGGATTGATGTTGTTTCTCCACAGAAGTTCGAGACCTTGCTGGATCTCGGTAAGGTTGGTATGGGCATGTGCGTAAGGACCCAGAGACTCAATGTTCTCGTCCCAGACACCATCTGCAATTACTTTAGCGAGAGTTCCATTTCACAGTACAGATCGACTTACGGATATCGTAGGTCATCATGTTGAACCAGTCAAGATACTTCTCCATGTTGACAATGTCGAATCCTTTAAGATACCAGTACGACGCGGGCTGCGGCGATAGGGTTAAATGATAGCATAAATATTGGAGGATATATAACATACCAGTGTCAAGGTCAGCCCATATTTGTGACCAGAAGAATTGAGGCGCTTTCTCAATCGGGCGAGAAAATTGACATAATTCTCAAAGTCTTCTTCAACACCACCTCTGTCTTCAGCAACGGGACTTAGGAACATGTCAGTACAATGCTATCAATGGGGCAGGAAACTTACTATTCCCAGTCGAGATCAACACCATCAAAGTCGTAGCGCTGCAGGAACGTGATAAGCGAGTCAAAGAAAGAATCTTGCTTCTTCTCCGACTTGGCCAGATCCGAAAAGACCGTCCGATACTTTCCTGGATCGTTCATAGCCCATCCTCCAATGGCAATCCAGACCTCCAGGTCATCCTGCTGCTGCTTCAGTGCTGACACCCTTCCGTAACGAGAAGCTGTTCCCTGGTCCATTGGATCAAGACGATAAGTTTCTGGATTAATCAGAGCGAAGGCAAAGTTGATGTGAGTATAATATCCCAGAGGAATGTCCTCAGGTTCCATGTTACCGCAAGGTCTCTGGTAGTTCCAGCCTTCATAGTAGCCAATGGTTCTCTTATCAGAAGAGTGCTTGGCTTTGTCGCACTTCGGCGAAGCCACTGTATTGCCTTTGCAGTAGCTAGATAAGGTACCGCAGAAGCCATAGTCACTGCAGCAGACGTTGAGTGGGCAGGTAGTGAAGTTGGAGTATGTGAGGCCCCAGCCGCCTGGATCGCATTCTGACTTGTAGTTACACTCTGAAGTACAATCTTTACCACAGAACTTGGGACCAGTACCACAGATGCCGACTCCTTCTTTGTTTCTGATCTTCTGTAAGTTCTTTGCACAATATTAGGAGCCAATGTCACCTACAGAGGGCCGCAGCAACCAAGTTTGCAACCTTTCGTCTTGCTGCATTTGCCGTCTGAATCATCTTTCTCTGGATCGGCCATTATGCGCATGGGCTTTGCCTTGTCAGCTTCTCCTTGGTCCTGTCTCATGATCATCTCGCGTTGCCGACCGAGGACTTGGGCTTGACCTGTAAAAGTGTCAAGGTCCAAACCCTTGACCACTGAAGCATAGAGAAGCCCGAGGGCGACAAGTGGACGAGACAAAAACATCTTTGGGTGTGATTAGTGTCGCGATATACAAGATGAGGGAAGTGTGTAAAAGATGAAGTTATTTAATTGATAAGATGACATGAAAAAGTGTCATCAAGATTGGCCAACCTCTCAAAATGATGGGCTAAGCAATACAGATATGGTCTGAATGACATGGAAGGCTAATTGCACTCTAACAGACTGACGTGGGAACTTCAAAGACCCCCATATTCCATTTTGCCTCCTTTGATCTGCCTTGCCCCAAATTGTTCATTGTTCAGTGTTGGTTGTTGGTTGTTGGTTCTTACTTAAAACCTCTTGGCAGTCAAATGAGTTCAGCTCATGTATGCAGGGGCTTGTGGAGTTGGGCGCAGCTACCTCGGGCCAACGGCATATCGACAATGGTCCTATGTATAGGGCCCAAGCTCGGTCGTGGTAGGGAAACAAAGTTTGTGTTGGTTGAACATATCCATGGGATCGTGCGTGTTTCAGCATCGGCACCTACCTTGTAATGTTACGATCAGCGGTCTATTCCAATTTATTTAGAGAATGCGTGATTTAACAACCAACAGAGGCTTGCATCCATGACCACTCAGAGTTTTGCTTACACAGTATCACAGTGTAGGTTCTCCTCACATGCAATTGATGCGTATGCTAGAGAAACAGGGGAAAGGTGTGGTGCGAGCGAAGAAGGAGGCTTATCTTCAGCGCTTAACTTGGACGAAAAAAGAACTTACTATCAAGTTCATTTTCGAACAACACCCACCGAATCATCACTCATTCTAATTCACTTGTCCTTTCCTTTCATGAAGCAATCCGCTAGATGACTCATTTGTCTGCCATTCTGTGCGATTGCCATGGTTCTGCCAATGTTGCTCCTTCTTTTGACTCTGTTCTCAGCTGTGCAAGCTCATATTCCCCATCTTAGGCACTCTCGTCTTCACCCAGTTTCACCTCCAAAACTCACAAGAAGGGCGGATGATGATCCGTCAGACTTCTCCTGGGTAAAGAAATGGGCAGCCATTGGTGACAGCTACACCGCTGGCATCGGCTCTGGGCGGCCCTTAGGCAGTATCTTGGACGGCGAAAAGCTCGACGTCAAGGTGAAAACGTTGAACATCACTCTACCCAACCTTGAGTTCAGCGGCCATGGAAACTGGTACTGCGCCCGGTATGATATGTCATATCCCATGATCATTAATAGACTTCTTGGCTCTCAGGTTGAGAGTTTTCAGTATGCTGCTTGCAGTGGAGATCGTGCTGGCCAGATCTATCAGCAAGCAGAGCAGATTGAAGGAGATCTTGACATGGTTATGTTGACAGCCGGTGGCAATGATCTTTGCTTGGTAAGATTCCTCTATTTTTTATGATGTATGTGGTCAACACAACTGACAATAACCTTTCAGGCTGGTATCATTTCAGACTGCATTCTTCTCTCCGCTAACAATGAGGAGGCTTGCGAAGCCGTCCTCCAAGTGGCTGAAGACAATGCTGATAATATCATCAAGAACAACATGAAAGAAATTCTTTACGCCTTGAACAAGAAGGTAAAGAAAAACGGCATTGTTGTTGTCCTTGGATATGCCGAGTTCTTCAGCACCGTGGATGCTAGCTGCGAGGATGAGGAGTGGGACAAAAAGGCGTTTCTTGAGCCCATCCAAACGCCTCAAAGGTTAACGATTGGTCGTCGTCACCGGTTCAATGCCCTCGTCAGAAGGATCAATAGAGCCACTGCTGATGCGGTCAATGACATCTCCAAGGACGATGATGTTGAGTACAAGATCGGCTTTGCAGACTGGAACCCTTGGGTGAAAGATGCGAGTATCGATGGGCAGATGTGCTCTCCCTCTGCTAATGGAGACTACCCTAGCAAGGACCAGCCTCAGATGCAGTTCATCAAGCCCCCCACAAACCCTTCACCTGGAGAGCATAACGATCTGAAGAAACGTGGAGATGGGGCGTCAGATTACTACGACTATTCTCGAGGCGAATTGAAGCGTAGGCGCGCCACTGAAAGCATCTGGAGGTCCAAGTTCTTCAACAGCGCCAACCCGCAGGAGCTTGTACGCAGAGTCCTCGGTCGTCGTGACCCAAAGCCTCCAGGTTGTCCTTCAGATGAAGATAGAGATTGGACAATGGGCCTTGGACTTCCAAACAGCATTGCGGAGAACTTCCATCCAAACGAGAATGGACATGTCACTATGGCCAGTTTCGCAATGGCTGAGGCGATGGACCTTCGCTCGCTAGTGCTGGGCATAGATGCTCCGTCATGCGAGGTCAAGGACGAGTTCAAATGCTGGTCTGATGATAACTGGAAGATCTACTCCAGCGCTGATCGGCTGGATAAGCACTACGAAGACTTTTGCAAAAACATTGAGCAGCCTGATCATGAAAAGGGTTGGGACTATTACAAGGTTTATGACGAAGGTACTCCGGATGAGCACGAGTTCAGAATCTCGCTCAATGATGACGTCGCAGACTACGACGTGAATCAGTGCATCGACTCATTCAAGAAGCTCATTCACAACTGCGATACCAACCGCAAGATGAACTGGAAGACTGGAGGCAAATATGTCCGCGACGATGGAGCGTACACTTACGAGGTTAGCCCAACGCGCTACAACAGACCCTGGCCACCACCAGAGTATGCCCAAGGGACTTGCAAAGGATGGTGGCACATTTCTCACAGCTCATATACGATAGAGGGCGGTGGGTTCTCAACTTGGGACTTTGGTCAGAAGACGATGAAACCGAGTATGAATGGATGCTATGGACTTGGGACGACGGCTTGGAAGTTCGAGTACTATGATGAGCCAACGGAGGACGGGTATGAGTGGAAGCTTACGTTTAATACTCCTGTTTTTGTGAGATCGAGATGTTTCAAGAATAACAAGGTTGTTAAGGGTGCTGGTGGGTGGACTGATGGTTGCGGAGGAAACGACTGAGTTGGATAAGAACGGGTAGCTAGTGAGACAACATAGCTACCATGAATGCATTGTGCATCTTGATGATTCTCAGCCTCGAGTTCTATCAAAGCCGTTATTGTTCCGCCTGAGTGTCTTGCGTCTTGAACCTCTTGCACCCCTCTGCCTTGACAAATGCCTGCATCCATAGACCCTGCTTCTTGCCCCATGGATTCACATGACTTTTGCCTAATCAATTAGCAAGTACAGTGACCGAGGTGATCCTATCTCATCATGGATACACTCAAGTGCAGACAAATATAGAAAATAAACAAAAGATAACTCTTAAGAGTGGCCAACTTAGTATATACACTCTTTTCTAGTTAATATAACATTTACCTTAGTAGCTGAGACAGTTTATCATTACACGATTATTCTCCATGATATAAGTTTCTACCAGAGCTATACCTCCCCGAGTTTATAACCAAGACTGACTAACTAACCTAGCGCTTGGGTTCATAGTTCTTAAATCCTGCCCCAATTTTTAAAAACAATAATCATTAACATGGCGAAGCTCAGCCTGGAGGTTCAGACCCGTATCGCCGTGACAGATTGCATCACCAATGCTATTCGAATATGAGACCTAAGTATTTTAAAATATTGATTATGTGTGGCTTACTGTGAACTGCATTTGTCACGGATATAACTGACAACCCAAGCTGCCTCGCTCATCTTGAGATGAGTGTTCTGTGCGGCCCAGTACTCGTTCGCGATGCAAATCATGGCCTTGCCCCACGTATATCAAAAATCCATTGGTCGCCACTGGTTTTAAAATGGAGAAGGAATTTGTTGTCACCAATTTTGTAGAGTTGATCAATGAGTCCTTGAATATCCTGAGAAGGAATAGTTTTCCAGCCGCCGTTGTTGCTGTTTGTGTTGTAGCAATAGTCGCCTCTTTTGAAGATTGCTTCGGGTGCTTGCTCGGGCTTTGATATCGCGGCTGCCATGGTGGCTGGAAGGCCAACCATGAGGGTTAAGACTGAAGGAAGATGCATGATGTTTTGAGATGAAAGCGGAGTGGTGACAGTTAGTGATAAGTCTGAAAGGGAAGAAAAGTATGTTCATATATAATGACTATATAGTTCGAACCTCGGCCAGTTATTTAGTATTATCTCACATGTGTTCTATGCTGTGGATGTATTACAGCTGACTAAGTTGATATATAATAACCTGTCATGCTTATAAGAGTGTTTGATTATACAAAACGGGCTGAAAAAAGACAAAGCTCAGCTAACACTAATGCATGAAACATGTTAAACGAAATTTGTTCGTATAGTGGCGGGCTTTTCGGCGGACAATGTGGGCTCTGACCCGTTATGTTCCTTTTCAAGAATCGGCACTCAAGTGGCACAGCAAACAAGGCCCCCGGGCGGCCGCCATGAACTAACCACGATAGCAGTGGCAATGAATGGGGCGGGTTTCTAAATTGTAGCCCTTTAGAAAGGGAAAGCGTTCTGTTCTCACATACGAACTTGGTGGATAGCCTGAGCAGCCTTAGTGTGCGAGTCTCTTCTGAGGGTTATCGTATTGCCTGGATCGTCGACCGATTCTACCAGGAGAACATGATAAACCTAAATTCAGTATGGAATGCTTGGGGAATATATCCATCGATATTCATATTCACATTTCTTCATTCGATCAATACTTAACTAATGGATATCCCCTCATGGGACCAAGTGAGTGACCTTAACAGGTATTCATACCAGCAACACAGCAAGCTCCGTCTCTATAAGCCCGGAACGTAGTCAATCTTTATCTACATTCTCGCTATTAAAGGCAGTAGGACTGAGTAAGGGTTATCCGGTCTCGGGATATGCTAGATGACAGGAATTATTATAGGGTAGGTATAATCCTGACGGCCTGAGAAAAGAACTGTCTTGGTAATCTAAATTCAAGCTTTGAGTAGCTCTATGGCATAGAAAATCCCATAGAAGAATAAAAGAATTATTGATAAATTGATAAATCAATCCTACATGTACGCCCAGTACGATGTTACAGTATAGTTAAATCCTTGTTTTGCCACACCCTAGCTTCTCACTGCGTTTAAAGTTCAAGTAATTATCTCAGAGTACATCTGTACACTTACCATAGCAATGGATTTTAGTTAAAAAAGGAATAATAAATATGTATAACGTTGAACATAATGAACTATTTGACGCTGTACCAGCCCCACCGATTCTCTTCGGTCGAGATTGACATCGGCTTTGAATCTACCAGCGATCACCCTTTGTGACCAAGATCATAAGCCTACCACTCACAAACAATCATAGCGGCATGCTGAATTCGCGCAGATTGATCAAGATCGGGGCAAGAAGTGGCTAAAAGAGTAGCGGATCCGTACTGCCAATATCGCTTAATGCCGCTAAACCTCTTCAATTATATAAGCATGCATTACTAAGGTTGGTAATGCATAGTAAGGTATTACATTTCAGGTCAACCAGTCGTAATACTAAGAATGAGAGTCCAGAGCCTCAGATACACCGCTATTATACGAGGACCGTCCCTTCTCCTGCTTGTTTTGACAGGATTTCTTTATCGGGTTCCGATAACAGCTGGTAGTATTTCACTATAAAGGGCTGTAAAAGACCATACAGGAAAGCTCATCATTCTCTCAATACAAACTCTTAACTCCTTCTCAATCTCCCGATCGTTCACACCCACAAAGCTCGTGCATCTTCCACAATGAAGAGCCTTTTTACCCTATTTCTTGCTGTTGCCTCTGTACAGGCTAAACCGGCTGCAGTTAACCAGCCAAGAGACCTCACTGCCCGAGGTGTCGACATCAAGGTCCAGTACTACACAGATGGCGGCTGCAAGGACTACGCTGTATCGTTCCACCCCAGTACCTCAAACTCGTGCTATGGTTATAGCTATAGCAACACAAACAGCGCAAACATCGTCAGCTGCAGTGGTCGCGGTACTGTCTGTTCTTGCTATTTCTACGAGCAGGACAACTGCAAGGGCAAATCCGCCCGAGCAGTTGCTCTTGAAGGAACGGATGGCTCCACCTGCCAGAGGTAATATTCCCTTACGTGTGCTAAAAGTTGTCAATAATTACACATTGTCTTCCTATACGTCACAACAACTCTGCAATACAGTTACTAACTATACTTGAATCAGTAATTGGGGCAAGGGCTACAGGTCGATGCAGTGCTACACCAACCAGTTTTAGTCTGTGCAGGGGACTCGCAAAGACAGAGAACTGGCTACTATACACCACTTAAATCTAGCAGGGTTCAGTCATCGGTTTTGGACAACTGGGATTCAGATTGAACGGCTTTGCAATGTGTCGTGATCCGTTCGGCGAGACACTACGGACAAGTTAGTTATTAAAACTTAACAATAACTCCAAAGTACTGCAATATAACAGTTCAGCGCGAGCTGAGCTTCAATTAGGAGAAGATTGATACGGATGTCAACCTGATTCATACTTTAATGCTTAGAAGTGAATTTAAATCGTCAAGGACTACGTGACAGACGGGAGGACGTGCATGGCTGTGCGGCCGCGCTCTCAGTCAGATAATTCTGGGCAACGACACTGAGACTATCGCGGACTGGTTTTCGAAGTCTTTTCTTGCGCCATCTCGAGTCTGCTTTCTGGAAAGTTCTTCTGTAATCAGGTTACTTTGGACATATATTATTCACAGCAAAACTGAATCTAGACAGCTTTCGGCTGTTAAAACATGGTTATTAAGCTAGTTCTCTAACTACTGACCGTCCCTCTGGAAGAATCAAGCCATAATGCTCGAGCTCTGCTCTCAAACTTGGGATGTCTGTATTTGCTGTTATGTGAGCCATAGAGCCAACCAGCTCCCACTGAGCCTTTCCTTTGCCATAATATATGCGCTCCAGAACACGAGTTAACATAGGAAGGTTGAGGATTTCCACCTCGGGTATTATGGATACGTATCCAGTACAGACGAGCATTTTAGTAGTGGTTGTTGAGAAGAAATTTTGTGGATTGAGGTTGTAGTTATTCCTTTGACTGGAATAACATGGTTGTGGAGAACCATTACTTTATATACCCCAAATAGCTGATCCTTACGCATAGACCTACAGTGATAAAGGAAATTCGAATACGCTGCATTTATTTGCTGAATGTCGAGTCAAAGCAACAGGTAGTGATCTTTGGGTGTGACAAAGCCACAAGATCAGGCAAATCTTCCCCCACACATATTCACTTCATTTGGGGACTAACAATCACTGTAGATCCACTCACGTAAGCAATGTCCTGAACTGAGTCAGAGCGAATGGTCCTGCCGAAGTCGCATGTTCACATTGGAAAAAGGCAGCGTGATTAGATGAATTCTTTGTAATTTATTACTACTTCTTCCGAGCTAGACGTGTGTCGCAACGCTAATCCATTAACTTTTCAACCTCTTTACAAACGAGACTTGGTATCCTCCTCGCGGCCCACCAAGTGAGGGTGAGGGGCACGAACAGGGCGAGTGACGGCGTAGAAAGCGAAGCCTTGGGATTGTGTAGAGAACTGTTTGAATATTAGGGCCATTGTTGTCTGAAGGGAACAGTGTGATTGAACTTACCTTGACTTTGGAGCCGACGTGGAAGAAAGCAAAGTCACCAGGGACAAGGTGGTGAGTGATGCCGGTAGCTTCGTCCTACACACCTGTTAGCATTGTCACGTTTCGTATGCCTTGGGAGGTACTTACCAAAACGTCAATTTGACCACTCAGGACATACTTGGTCTCCTCAAAGTTGTAAAGAGCAGGACGTTCAGGGCCAGCCTCAATCTTGTAGAAACCAGATGTGAAGTATGCGGGGGACTCGGTCTTTGTGCGGATGGAATGGAAGTCGGCTGTGGTGGCGTTCTCTCCCTGGGGAAGAGGGATGAACTCGTGGCCAGCGCCCTTGATGACGGTAAGAGGGACGAGTTTTCCAGACATTTTTACTGTTGATTTGAGGATATGGAGTGAATGAAAGGAGAGAAAGGGATGCTAAGGTGAGTGAAAACGGCTTTATATACCTTGATGTCCGAACTGTAGTACAGACTTCGGCAGCTGCCCCGATGTTGGGGAGGGATTGTGGGGTAACCATATCACGGATGCAGTTCCGGTATCCAAACCGGAGCGGAGGTGAACATGGCCGCATTGCAATTTTGTCGATTGTGTGTTCTTTTTTCTATATAAAGTGCTTAAAATTACAAATAAATAGTAGCTGGAGTAATATTATCGTATGAGTCCTTCGTTCTAGTACACAACAATGTGCAAATATATTGATTGTCATGGAATACTGGCAAAGTGCCGACTCCAAGTTTGACTTTGCATAATGTGGGTTAGCGTAGCCGCACGGAGGAAACCCGGGGAGTTCGCCCCTCCACGTGATCGGGTTAGTACTATTGCTCCGGAGGGCTGGTAGTGTTGACTCCTGTCAGTGGTTTCAATTGGATAGTAGAGGACCTGTTTTCATTTTGGCAAATATGTAGTATATAAGACAATGCCCCAATTGAAATATGACAAAGGAGTGATAAGCTAGTACTATAGTTAATATATCTCCAGCTCAGTCATCACGTTCGAGCTTGGTAGGTTCCGGATGATGATAGGCAGAATGAAGGAACCGCACAATGTTTTGCAAGTATTGTAAGTGAGAGTAATGAAGGTGTCAATGGAAGATTCCATCTACGAGGTGAGTATGTATATGGCTATGTGTTGACATGTGGGTTTTAACATTGTGGTGGTTCGAATGGTGATGTTGTGCGCCCTCCTGGTCTTGACCGTGTGCTATTATAGATAGAAAAAGACTGCTCGATCGTTCATTCTCGTAGTCAGGGCTACGCCTCGTTTGGCTATTGAAAATATTACAAAACATCACATTCTTATGATAATTTAAGGCTGCATGGATGCCAGAGTGATCAACATGGAAGGAGCAAGAACCGTACGGCTAAGCATAGCCCGGTACAGTCCCGTGCAGAAGTCCCAACAATAACCCAGCGGGACATATACAATAAAACAAACACATAAGACATGTCATTATCAGAATACTTAATTTATAATTTGAGGATAAGAATATATAAGATTATGTAAAGTTCTATAATATCTTATAATATTTTACTAAATTGTATAAACTATACATAGGTTCTTATACTTAATTTAGATAATTTTATGTTGAATCTAAAAAAGAAGAAATTGACGGAACTTTTACACGCCTACTGCAATAATCAATCTTGCGTCTGATTTAGCCGTTAGGGCGAGCTTCACTTATTTAACCTTAATAATAAGGTTTCAACAATGGCCCGGAAATGAAACAGTGGTGTTTGATCGCAGTATGACTTTTGACTGCTGGCATCACCCAAAGTTGGCTGACGGAAGCTACGGAATGTCAAGGACCCAAGCCGGCTATATGTGCTGGACCAATGAGGAGAGGCTAGTCGCCGCTTGAGATTCCTAAAGGATCAATTGTTGACGCTGCTTACACAGTGTCGAACTTGAATGTGCAAAATCTGACATTGCTGACGGCTTTTGAGACAGCTAAAAGGACTGATCTGCCAGTATTGAGGCTGTCATTCTCATTAATCCAACGTTAACCGCATCAAGCCAGCCGTGCACTTAGCTTCTTCCAAGTCATCGACTGCAAAATGGCCATCACAGACAAAATCCACCCCGTGTACGGCCTCTGGTTCCTCTGGATCGACCCCTTCCTGACCGTCATGGGCATGTGGGGTAACCTGTTCGACCACAACCTTGCCACGCAGGCCTTTTTCGCCAATTACCCACCCACAGAGCAGCTGAAATGCTTCCTGTACCAGATCGGCGGCATGGGCACGTCGTATCTGATCATCCAACTCACGCTGCTACGCTACACGCACGATGTCAACATCTGGAAGATGGTGCAGCTTGCTATTCTGCCTGCGGACTTCACCATGCTCACGGCTATATACGTTGGAATGCGCATCTCGGGGAACCTTGCGCTGGCGGATTGGCGGTGGGAAGACTGGTTTAGTATTGTCATCACAGGCATTTGTACCGTCTTGCGCATCGCGTTTGTGCTGGGCATTGGGATAAATGATGCTAGGGGAAGAGTCAAACGGGCTTAGTTTAGGCTAAGAGAAGACTACCGGTAGGGCTGATGAGGCTGAAGATGGAATGAGATGGTGGCTTGGACGGGATGACGATAGTCGCTCTTGGGTAAGGTTAGCAGATTGAGGCTCTGACTTGAGGCTCCGGCTGGATGAGAATCCATGGTTGGGAATAGATGGTACGGGCAGCAAAGAGCCTGGTATGTTGAATGCAGAATTTGCTGCTCTCGTGATGGAATCTTCTGGCCCACAATTGTACGAATTTTACTGTTTTCTTAGTAACGGAATGATACGGACATGAATGCTCATACCAATGTCTAATTGCCTGTGGATCCTACTCTCGACTGAAGCCCAATCCGGTAAAAGCTCCAACTCTCCAAACCAGGAATTCCACAGCGGCTCCGTTAGTAGCCGTGCAGTACACGACCAGCTAACTTCCATGGCACGATGGCTCTCCTTACAAACGAGTAAAGATGGATTCATTTTCGAGGTTTTCTTTTAACGTCTGCCTGATAATCCCTGTCACGTCCGAAAATTGGGGGTTTCTGGGGATGGATTCGGGCCTTTACCCAGAATCGCGGGGGTCATAGCGTCCCCGTGATATCCTCGTCTCCAGACTGCGAGGAAATGGCATGTCAGGGGTCACACCCACGCGAAGCCATATCCAAGTCCGTTTCTTTCCGTCGCAGCGGTCGCGAGGTGGAGTTTTGGCAGTCATCTGCCTTGGTGATAACGGGCCGACAGTCGAAACGTCGCACCGACATGTCCAAGGTTTTTATGTTCATGATTTGCTGGTGTTGGAGAAAGAAGTGGTGACAGACAGATCTCCACGAAATTTTCTCCCTGGGGTAGCAGTAAGGTTGATTTGTGGGTTTATGGTGCCATTGCATGAAAACGTCTCACGCTGTGTTGTGCTTCCATTGTATTAATGAGCGTACCAATCAACTAATTACTAGATGATAAAATATCGAAGAATAAGCAAATAATTAATCTTGTGAATTTAATCGCTATTTGTTTCCGCCTCTAAGAGCTCATGTGAGCAATTGCTTCAAACATAATTGTGTAAAAGACCAGTCCAGGGTAGCTTCAACCCAACAGCTAAAAGCCTCAGATCATTTCCATGAATGTCGTCTCACTGATTTTCAGCCAAGAGATGCGGCTGAATCATGGCGAGATCTCTAGTGCTCGCTTCGCAGCCGCTGGAATAATTGCGGCAGACGGCACACAGCATCAACAGAAAACCTCGCGACAATTCTGCTGACGAGGAAATCCGCGCAACATACCACACTAGGAGGAATTGGTCCATTGCAGTTCATGCGTTGGGTCTTTGATTACGAAATGGCTCCTTCACCGAGTGGAGAGGAAAAAAGCATCGACAGGGCGACGGTCACCCGGCTTCACGGCGTACATGGTTGCGCTCGTGACGTAAATGGCTTGCTCTGGAATATTTCTAGAAAAGGAACAATGTAGGCCCGTGGTTAGTGCCCGTAGATCTTTACTTGGGAGTAGCGAAAGTGGAGGACGAGACTCAGTGAATGCCTTGCTAATTGGCTAATTCTATGGACTGACACTGAAACCCAAATCCCCTTCCAGGTCTGCGCGACATTTCTTCAGTGGCTCGATGACCTGTTGAGAGATAGATCAGCAGTTTAACATCGAACACAAGGCGAGTCAGCGATTGAGGGAATCATGCTACCCAACGGCGCCCGTTAGTCGTTACAGAGTGTGATTATGCGGCGATCCCGCACCAAAATACAACCAAGCAATGTAAACCACAGCCAAACAGACTCCACCCAAATCGGCTCAGACGGCACTGTTGATGGAGAAAACCGGCCAAACGCTCGGTCTTACCGTCATCGCCATCGCTGCAACCCCATGGCTGTCTCTCACTATGGGGAATTGATTATCCATTTTTATTTTGTCTTTCTGCGGTGCCCCATGGCGAAAGAGAGACAGACCCATTCTCCGGAAAAGTCTAATGACTCTCTCCAGACTTGGGAATTGTGGGCTTGGGGGAATAAACGCGTGGGTTTTGCAACGCTGGAACCACATATAAAACCTGGGGGCTGCAGGTCAATTCCCCAGAGTTGGGATCTGTTGTCTATAGGTGTTTCTCACAACCCTTCACATCTTATACATCATAATCACTATTTTTTATAATACTTCGCCATGGTGAAGAGTCGACAGAACTCGACGACTACGGTCGATCGAGAGAAGGATGAGATTAAGAAGGCCATGGGCGGCGAAAAGGCCGAGTTCGAGGCTCTCGAGGTAGCCCGCCACGGAGGCCGTGAGGTCGACGACCTTATCAGCGATATGGAGCGCCAGCTCGAGGAATCTGGTGGTCTCAAGCAGGGATTCTTCCAGATCCAATTCGCCAACCCTAAGCACTTCACCTGGCTTCTTGTTGCCTTTGCGTCCATGGGAGGTCTTTTGTCTGGTAAGTGCACACGAAGTCAAAGACTCGCGCATATGAACAGCCATTAACACATATTCAGGTCTTGATCAGTCTCTCATCAGCGGCGCAAACTTGTTCCTCCCCGATGATCTTGGTCTCAATGAGCGACAGAACAGTCTTGTCAACTCGGGCATGCCTCTTGGAGCCGTCGGAGGTGCACTTTTGCTGTCTCCTGCCAACGAGTACTTTGGTCGAAAGGGCGCTATCATCATTTCTATTATCCTCTACACAATCGGTGCTGCTCTGGAAGCTGGTTCCATGAACTTTGGTAAGTCTGTCGCATCCGGTTACCAGTCTACTTTCGCTAACTGGTAAGGTATGATTGTCTCCTCGCGTGTGATTCTCGGTCTTGGTGTCGGTCTCGAGGGTGGTACTGTTCCCGTCTACGTCGCTGAGACTGTCGAGCGAAGGATCCGAGGAAACTTGGTTTCTCTGTACCAGTTCAACATTGCGCTCGGTGAAGTCTTGGGTTATGCCGTCGGCGCCATGTTCCTCAGGGTCCCCGGAAACTGGCGGTACATTCTCGGTTCATCGCTTGTCTTCTCTACCATCATGTTCTTCGGCATGCTCTTCCTTCCCGAGAGTCCTCGTTTCCTCATCCACAAGAAGCGCCACCTCGACGCCTTCAAGGTGTGGAAGCGCATCCGTGGTGTTGAGTCGCGTGACTCCCGCGAGGAGTTCTACGTCATGAGCTCATCCGTCGTTGAAGAAGAGAACGCAGTCACTGAGGGGGCCAAGAACACCCGCTTCCCATGGATGGACTTCTTCACCCAACCCCGCGCCCGCCGCGCTCTCATTTACTGCAACGTTATGATTCTCCTTGGTCAATTGACTGGTGTGAACGCGATTATGTACTACATGTCTGTCCTCATGAACCAAATCGGCTTCAACAAGGAGAAGTCCAACTACATGTCCCTCGTTGGTGGCGGATCGCTCCTTATCGGTACCATTCCTGCCATTTTCCTTATGGAAAGATTCGGTCGACGATTCTGGGCTATTACCATGCTTCCTGGGTTCTTTATCGGCCTTGTCCTGATTGGTGTTAGTTACCAGTTCGATGTCGCCACCCAGCTCATGACGGTCGAGGGACTCTACCTCACTGGCCTGATTATCTACATGAGCTTCTTTGGTTCCTACGCTTGCCTCACATGGGTAGTACCTTCCGAAAGTTACCCAACATATTTAAGAAGCTACGGCATGACAATCTCTGATGGTCTTCTGTTCCTTGCTTCTTTTATCGTCACCTACAATTTTTCCGCCATGCAGGAGACTATGGGCAAGACCGGCCTCACTCTGGGATTCTACGGCGGTATCGCTGTGATTGGAGAGATCTATCAAATCTTCTTTATGCCAGAGACCAAGAACATGACCCTCGAAGAGATTGATGTTGTGTTCTCGCGCCCTACCATGGATATCGTCCGGGAGAACTGGGCCAATGCCAAGGAAACCACTTACCTTCTCTGCACCGGAAAATGGTACAAAGTATTTGTCGAGCAGGCTATGGTCGACCCTAAAGACCAGCCTGAGATTACTCATGCTTGAGTGGTGACGGAATGTGGTTGATGGTGGGTGGGTGTGTTGATCGCTTTGACGCATGATGATATCCAGGAACATTTAGTTACAGTTACTTTTAATGACAAATTTTAAATCAATGAAAGCGCAAGTATGGCATGACTATGATATCAATTTCGATTAGTGCACAACGTCCGACAATGAGAATTGGTCAAGTTTTGACACAGTTGGGTTGTGATGAGATGCGAGGTCGAGGCTCGCCACATTTTCATTGGTCCCAACACTGTGGGTCCGCCGCTCGGAGCGGGCCGCTTCCCCAGATGACCACATGGTCTTTACTCGTGGTGCTCCTTCCTGTAACGACAATTAAAAAGGCAATCAGCTCAGATTGCTGGAGCGATTATATGAGTTTAGTGGAGTTTGATAAAATCTCCTAAACTCGAATAAACTATCGTGAGAGCAGATAAAGTGATGTAAAGTTAGATAAGGCAAAGAGAAAACGAAAATAATAACTTTTATACACTATGTTCCATTGGCAATACTATCGCAAGTGACATCTATTGTACCCTCACCACCATGTGAAGTCTATTCAGCCTCCATCTTCAGCATATCTATACACCCCTCTGTTCTCGAGCTGCGACGTGAACAAGCTCTTGGGACTCACTCTCTTCCCTGACTCCATGAAGGTAGCGTTACCCTTCGGACTATCGCCATCTTCTCCACAGCCAATACACCAGTTGATACCTAGTGGCGGAGATTCAAACTCAATAATACTTCCGTTGAGGTTCCAGCCAACACCGCCATTGATTGACCACCCATGACCCGAGCCCTTGATATCGCGGTTCACGAAATACGTTGGGACTGAAGTGTCTTCTACCAACAGACCTTGAGCCCACCTCTCATGAGGATATATGGTTTGGACATTGGATTTGGTCTTATGACGCAAAACAGCATTGGGGCCGGATGTGAGGGACTCTGTGGCAACGGAGAAACATCTTGCTGAGGGGATGCCGACTTGCTCACAGTCTTGGACAAGGACCTGTGATCCTTGAATGAGGATGTCAAAGGGAAGAGCACTTCCCTCGATATCTCGATCACGATTCATGGTGGTGTTCTGGATTGTGATTCTAGCAGCATCTAGATCAACCTGGAAGAATTTGTTGAATCCCTTGAGTGTGAGACCGCTGGCCCAACTATCTACAGTCCAAGACGGAAAGTAGACGGCGGCGGAGTTGCATGTTTGATCATCCATAGATGCCCCAGAACAAGTGTCGGGGACCTCGATCTGAAGATCGCGCACACCCATCTCCATTTTGGTTTCAGGAGGTTGGTAAACTATGAGCTGTGGTTGGAGATATTTGGAGTCAAAATTATCTGTCAAGGGTATCTTGAGGGTAATATTGGTCCCGTAGACACCACTGATCTGGTTCGGTGACAGGATTCTCTTGTTTTCCTATCTCAAGTTAGAGGACGGCCTGTCTTGGAAAGGGTGAGGTTACATACTGGTATCCAAGTCTGCGATGCATCATCTCGCTCCAGGTTGCTCATTCCATTGTACCTGATCCATGACTCGGTGGCCTCTCTTGAGACGTAGACAAGTTGGTCCACTGCAAACCCGCTGCTGTCGGCGACTTCAACAGCAGAAGAGCCTATGGGAACATACTTGTTGGTAATATTTGATCTGAAACCATACCGGGGCTTGGTAGCATTTCCCAAAGCGCCAAGTGTGAAGACGGGCACGGATGGTCGGTCCTGTAGTATCAGGACTGTTTGTTCATCAGGAGATCCGGAAATGACAACATGGCTGCTAACGTTCAAGCCTGCAGTAATGGGCCATTTACCTCCTGGGAGAATGACAGAGCCACCGCCTGAAGATGAAATGCTGTCAATGGCTTCTTGTATCAACGACGTAACATCATTAGTACTGCTGTTAAACGACAACGTGATATTGGGGGTTTCGAGATCAGGTAGGATGATTGCAGAGTTGTGATAACCGGCGAAACTGAAATCAGGAATTACATCCCCACGAGTGCTCATGATCGTAGTCCAGTCAAATTCATGATGATGCTTCTTCTTCGTCAGAGTGAAGTACGTAGCGCACGTGACGGTGATTGTGACTATGATGAAGCAGCACACAACGGAAAAGATAATCCAGGGAGAAAAGCACTTTCGGGGGAGAGGCATCGGGAAAAATCCAAAGGAGGCAAAATTTACTGGATTTTGTCACTGACGTTGGAGTGAGGAGGTATATAACCCATCTGTGGACACTGGCCAGCAATGGTGGGAAACAATAAGCTTGTCTGACTGGAATGCGTTCAGAATCTAGACATGCCATTAAGTTTAAGACGCGAAAATAGCCGTAATCGGACTTTTTGTACGAGATCACAGCACTAATTTAGTTGAAAGACAGGGTCCTTTTTAGGTTTCTCTAGTTTGAAGAGATGGAATGCATGGCGTCCGGAAATGGCTGTGCTAAAGTAAGTCGATCCATGGAGGTGACGAAGATATGTCAACGGCCGTGGGACAGACGTCATTGTCTCAAGGAAATTAGAAATCAAAGTTTGCTTCTCAAACACAGCACTAAGGATCCATAGGTGTCATCGGTGTAGTGAAAGCTCAGACGTTTGCCGCATGCAATATCGTCGGCAAACATAGTATTCCACTACCATACACACTAGCTACTTAGGTATTTGTGCCAAGCTGAACTGCATTCCTGCAATTTCTTGGATAAGGTTCTTTTTGTTAAGCGACGTTCCCCGAATCATGCCCAGAAAGAGACACATCATAAACGTGGGCCTGGACCCTGGTTCATTCCCGGTATTTGTGACAGGTGCTTTCTCTGGAAAGGTGAAGTGTTCAATATGTGTCAGTCCAGATCCGTAACTTCTTTTCATTGCTTAATCTAAAATCGATGAATATGGGTATCGTCCTGCTATTAACTATTATCCGTATCTTTTCTAGCTCTAGCACTCTAATCTCTAGTCTAATCGATCTCAGCACCCCTCTCATCCTTATTAATTAAACGCTCATTTTTTAAATGACAAGGCTCTGGCTTGGTGACGTCTTGTCTCAGTAACGGCGAAGCTTCACCTTTTTCGGCGACAGATAATTCATCAATGTCAAACTTGGTAGACTCTTCCGCCTCCACTGGCGCAGCTACAGGAGCCGAAGATGCGGTGACACCAGAAACACCCCAAACTAGTTGATGTTAGTATGCTGAATTAAGTGATCGATAACTTGGTGCTCTTACCTTGACTGCCCAGGTTTGTAGCAACCTTTGTAAAGATGATGATACTCATAAATGGCGAAATGCATTTGTTGATCAGGAACCCAATCAAGAGTTTGTGTCCTCGCTTTCGTAGCTCAGGCTCCAAGAGGATCGAGCAGAAGAACCAGAAAGAAGGCAATTGCCCAACCACCAGCATTGGAACCAGCTTCAGCGCGGTGACATGGTGTACGCAACTAATGATGAACAGACAGGTGTTCAGAATGCGGTAGTAAACCAGACTCAGACGAATAACCTCAACTGAAGCAGCAATACGAGTGATGGGGATCATCTTCTCGCCAGCTAGATAGAAGTAATTGTTGAAGTAAGCGTTGGAGCCCCATCGGCGTCTTTGACTTAGGTAGTGGAAGACTGATTGGGGTGCTACTGTCTCGCTGACTGCGTCAGGGACGAAGAGTGTTCGGAGATGTTTTCCTTGGGACAGCATGGAGTACGTAAGTCTCCTATCAGTTCCCTGATTTGACATGTTAGTAGACTTCTGAGAGGCGGATATGGTACTTGACTTACAAGGTATTGTACTTGATGATTGATGACCAGTTCGCCTGTGACTGGTTCCGCGTACTTGCGGATAGCGCCAGCCATCTCTGGTCTGACTGCTATCATGGTAATACAGCCTGGTAAACAGGTAACCTTGCCGATGAAGCCTTCAGCTCGCCGCCTAACATATTGTCCAAAGGTATACTAAAGCCACAGTTAGCCCTACGAAGTGACACCCAAGAGCAGAAACTTACCTGAAACTGTTGATACAAGTTCCAAAACGACCACTCGTAGCCTGGTTCAAGTTCAACCAAGACAAGCCCACAAGCAGCAATGGCTTTATCATCACGCGCAAGAGCATTTGCAAGGAGCGCAACCGCACCCTTATAGATAGTCGAGTCCGCATCTGTGCAAAACACCATGTCGAAGCCGTTGAATTCCTCGCCTTTTGTCAATTCAGGAAGAATATCGTCCCACATCTCCTTGCGTAAGAGTTTGGTCCACAGGGGGGAGTTCTCGCGGGGGTAGTTGAAGAGGTCGTGGCAGAGAACGAGGGAGTCTTTCTTGCCTGCGTTCTTGACCTTTTCGATGACGATGACAGGAACGTCTTCCATGAATCCAGCAAGGACATTCAAGACACCTTTCTTCCACTTGAGTGACACGTACGGCCGCTGGAACTCGCGCACCATTCTTGTCATGTGTGATCGCACATCTCGAGGCTTGCCGTCCAAGATGACAACCATGACTTGACGATGAGGATCAACGCCGTTATCTCGAAGTGAGAAGATAGTCTTGACGATTTGCTCTTCACTCTCGGAGTATGCAGGGATGAGGGAGAGAATCCAGCGTCGTGAAACGGGCTTGGGTGGGTAGAACTTTTGGTAGATAGCACGACACATCATCCCTGTCGGGGATAGGATGGCTGAGAGAAAGTCCTTGCTCTTGACAAAGAGGATGAGGACGAAGATGAGCTTGCTCTTCTTTCCGAAGAAAGCCGTGACGGCCATGCACATGTTGAGGATAACGATGAGACCCATGAAGGCCACCCTTTGAGTGCGCAGATCCTTAGGTGAGAGGATCCTAGCAGGATCGACAGGGTCTTCGATCTTGGGGTAGCCACATGTCTCGATAGTGTCATTCGCGAAGGTAGGTGCAGCCTCGACCAGCTTCTCAGAGACGGAGACAACAGGATTGAGCTTCTTCTCCAGAGGACAAACATCCTCGTCATCTTCGACAGCGACAGCGACAGCGTGTAAAGGGGCTCTCTCAGCAGGGGTCTTGAGGTTGAAGAAAGGAGTGAGTTTCTCAGGGGGCGAGGGGAATAGAGGCTCATCAACCTCAAGAATTGCAGCTGGAATCTTTGGTGTAGGAGGGGGCTTTTCCGAATGGACATGCAGAGTAAAGAAAGAACCATCCTTCTTGGGTAGTTCGTGCTCCTCATCTCCAACGACTGTGTCTGCCGTAGAAGAGAAGGATGTGTTCCCGCGGTGTCGCGGTGACCTTTCATGGAAGAAGCCGGTGTTCTTGTGCTTCAAGTCCTGAGAGTACTCGGCGTCCAAGAAAGACTTGCTCTTCTCAAAGCCGAAGTCGAAGTCGAAAGAGTGGCCTGTCGGTTGGATTGCTAGACCAGCCATTGTGAAAGTTTAGAGAGAAGGAATTGGGCGTGCAGCAGAGCGAGAAACGGCGGAGGTGAATTGCAAGTCATGGTCTTCATGTTAAAAAGCTCGCTTGCACGAATCTTCCCAAATAGGATATCACGATGGCAATACTGGGATAAACTGCTTCGACATCGAGGGACCCCTGTTCAAATTCCAGTCGTTTGGCCCTACGACGGAGGCCATTACTGTTACCGGTATATGCCGGTGCTGCATGTTAAGACGATCATAGCCAGAGATGGTATATTCCAGGAACAATTCCATTAACGACGAGGCACATCTAGGTCTGTTGATCATTTCCAGTTTCGTTGTTGCAAAAAGAGAGGTGGAGTTTGCCGGTATAGAGCATTCCTAACGTCTCCGGAACGGGCGTACGCTCCCGTGTGCCACTCTCTCACTCCCGCACACTCCACTCTCTTTGCAGGAGCAGACCTGTCAGCACCGACTGAGTCTTCATTTTAGTCTTATCCACATATGACGTCGATCTTTATTCTTACCAGGGCGCTGTCTGTGCGTGATTGATCTTCCGGGTAGATGGAAAGCTATGACAATTAGACCCACGCTTGGTTCTGACATATTGGATACTCTGAGATAGAACGCTACACCAAGAGACTACCGATGAACTTCTTTTTTCCTGCGATAAAGTAATGCGAAGAATGACATTACCAGCATCCCCAGATTTTCCCTAAATCTAGACTCGTGTCTCCCACATGGCATGAGGACACAAACCATGTGTCGTACGAGCCCACGTGCAGATCCCATGTCGAACGGTTTCCAAAAACAGCCTTTTCTTTGATTTTCTTACCTGTCAGGAACCAGAAACTGCCGATCGCCGTTTCCCACGCTTTTCACACGCATCTCCGCCAAGAGTTGACTTGACATATCAGTTTATGAGGTATGTGATCAGTGGCTTCGCTTAGCCTAGTTACCCCCTTAGAAAAGCAGGTATTACATGCGCGATCGGGGAACGATGAGAACGGCCTTGTTTTCGTGGGGCTATCATTGCTTGGAGTGCCTTGGAATAAAGTTAGTTGGGTCTGGTCCACTCCGATCCATTCATCAATAATTGAGACTTAAGGCTATGGGTCTATGGCCGCCGGGACTAGTCTAGATGCTTTCGTACCAATTTCTTTGGCGCAAAGGAAAGAAATCATGTATGGTGGTTATCGGTATACTCTTCCATCGGCATATCCCGTGTTGTAAATATGCTGTGCCGCGAAACTTAATCATGGTGCCTCCAATCTTGAACCATGGTGCCTCCAATCTTGAACCGTGGTGCCTTCGATCTACCCTGTCGGGAAGATCATACGGGAAGCAACTCAAACGCCCTCGAATCGGAACCACAAACAAGGCGATATCGTCCGTGCCCAAATTCATTCTGGTGCCACAGCCGATGGCATGTAACAGGATTGGCCCAGTCTGTCACTGCATTCCTCCCTGGGCCGCTAGCTAGTGCACAAAGTCAAATGCGCCCAGGGACGGGGAAATCGCCACTTTACGGCTAAGACATTCAATTCAACCTGCAGAGGGGCTGCGGGAGGCACGCGGGGCCTGTGCATGTTGTACGCTTGCCGAATTCGTCACTGGCAGGTCATCGCGTGGAGACGGATCCTTTCGACGGTTCCTCAATGATTCTGCTAAGATGCTTGCCAGCTTGTAAACCGGTCGCTCTAGCCGCATGGACAGTTAGTGAAAGTATAGTATCCGTTGACTATTCCTAAAGCTATCAATTCTAGACTGTTTGCATGTAAATCGCCATCGAACATTACAAATTTGGCTTTTTTACGTGGTATCTAGAACGCTTGATCAAAAGTTCAGTATCATCTCGATGTTGGTATGAAGATCTGTATAAGAAGACGGCATTCTGTAATCTAATCCTTCTCTCATCACTCACATCATTATCACAATCATCTCTTCAAAGCTCTCTCAGCCTTTCAACGCTTCTTCACTTCTCAATATCCACCAACCATGCCTATCGTTGCCAGTCTTGTTCAGAGGCCTACCCCTCGCAGGGTCCTTGCCATCAAGCCTAAGCACAGCAGCTCAGCCAAGACATCGCCTGCTGCCAAGCCCATCGTCTCACCCTATGAGGCTACCCCTCTTGTCGCAGTGATCGGCGTCGGCTTTGTCGGCACCGGCCTTGTCGACTCTTTCTCAACCAAGTATGAGACTATGGGCTTTGACATTAGCGAAGACAGACTTGACTTCCTTCGGGGAGAGTTCAGGGCCCGACCCAACGTCTCTTTCACGTCCAATGAGTCTGATCTTGCCAACGCTACCCATTTTCTCATCTCTGTTCCCACTCTCCTCCGCTCGGATAAGACCATTGATCTGTCTTATCTCCAAAGTGCTCTTCGCCGAGTCGAGCAGTGGGCTCGTCCTGGCTGCACCGTCGTGATTGAGAGCTCAGTGTCCGTTGGCTTGACTCGTCAGCTGCTCGGCCCCATTGCTGAGGCTAAGGGTCTCTTCGCTGGCATGTCCCCTGAGGTAAGCTAACCACCAATATCTTCTTATTATGAGTCACCACTAACACCCATCAGCGCATTGATCCTGGCCGAGTTGAACCCCCCATGCACTCCATCCCCAAGGTTGTCTCCGGTCTTGACGATGTTGTCCCCGGATCACTCAACGCTGTTGTCCGTCTCTATGAGCGAGTCTTCGATAACATTGTCCCTGTCTCCAAGCCCGAAGTTGCCGAGATGTGCAAACTCTACGAGAACTGCCAGCGAATGATGTGCATTGCTTATGCCAATGAGATGGCCGATGCTTGCCGCGGTCTTGGCATTGATGCCTTTGAGGTGTCTCAAGCTGCCGCTACTAAGCCCTTCGGCTACATGCCCTACACTCCCAGTCTGGGAGTCGGTGGCCACTGTATCCCAGTGAACCCCTATTACCTCCTCTCCAACTGCGAGTTTCCCCTCCTCGAGGCTTGCGCAGAAAAGATGAACAAGCGCCCTGCCGACATGGCCAAGCGAATTGCTGGTGAACTCATGGGTGTCGGCAAGCTCCAGAGACGTGATTCTGGTATCGATATCAACAAGAAGGTCCTGGTTGTCGGTATGGGTTTCAAGGCTGGCCAAGACCACCTCGTCAACTCACCTGGTCTTCAACTCGCTAAAGAGCTCAAGAAGCTTGATATGGATGTCCACTTCGCAGACTCTCTGGTTAAGCAATCAGCTGTGCCTGATATTCCTCGACTGGCCGATGAGGACTGGACCACAAAAGAGCTTGAGACATTCGACATGATCGTTGTCAGCTTCCGACAGTGGGGGATGGACTTTGATGTGTTGGATCGAGTCTCTGGTGTTCCTGTCCAGATGTGGTGCCAATAGGTTGCAGGATTGTGGCGTTAGTTATTAGCTTCACTGCTTGTCGCGTTTGTTATTTGGGAGCTATGTCTACCATAATACCTTCCTAGTCTAGGAGTAATAGTACTTTATTTAAAAGAATTTGTTTAGTCTTAACACTGAAGTATGAAGTTGTTCGAGACATTGTTTGAACAATTGACTTGTCATCCGATGTGTTCTAATAGACTAAGTACTGGAAGTGCATATCTTTACAGTAATCGATAGGTAAAGCCATTACTCCGCAAGGTGAGTGGAACTAGAGGCTGTCAGAGGATTAAGGCGCCGCATCAAGTAATTAGGGAGTTCAATTTCATTTGAAAAGGTGATACCGTCACGTCCCAAATTTACACATTAACAGGAGTTGATCAGGGTGGTCACGTGACAGGCGCACTCATATACTCCTTGAGATTCACCACGCGGCGCATTCATCTCCAGACTTCCATTGAGTTAAACGGTCATGCTCATGCTCTTGCTGAGTGTTTATAATTACTGGCATTATGTTATATCTTCAGTCAAGACTGAGATCGATCATTCGCATACTCAGGGACAAGGTGCCACTCTAGACCCTTAATAGACGGTCACAAAAGCATATGGAGATCCCAGAGGTTTTTTGCCATGTTGGTATAGGTATGGGTATTTCATGTGCCAAGGTGTAGCCAATACATCGCCAAGAAGCCAAGAAGCCAAGAAGCCAAGACATCAGCTTTCGAGGTGGTTCCCTGCTAACGATGATCATCCATGACAGTGGGTAATAGGTTTCAGCCAGGGCAACAGTATGGGTAGTGCATGGAGGTTGGGAGAACAAGCTTCACAGATATACTGAGACCAACCAGCACATGTTTTGGAGCTTTCTATGCCGGATGAGAATTTCGCCATATTAGGCTAGTAGAGTGGTTCCAATAATAATAAATAGTCGTTCCAGATCATAGTATACTAAATTGGCCAATAACAGCTTCACGACATTGTCTAATTGCTTGTATATACATCGATACAGCTGCTATGTTAGACTGTTATGTTACTATACTGTGTTATTACATCTGACAAGTTGATTATTTGTTGCTTCATTTTGTAATTAACGGAAGATTAGATTGAGTTGAGTGTGACTAACAATCTAGCTTTTCGTCCTGGGTTTCCCCGCGCCCGCCAAAAGTTGTGTACTTGCCGATGACTTCGATTCTGAAGCGGTTAATGACTTGGATTGCATAGCGATGTATTTTCGTAGTGGTCGGTTAATAAGGTGGTTGTAATCTATTTGGGAATTTAATGGTATATAAGGAATTTGGTCTGCCAAGAGCGGAGGGAAACTGTAAATTTATATATTGCGGATTGAAGCCAGCTATTCATCTTGAATAAGGTCTGTTAAGGATGGTAGCTACTGTTAATTAGATAATTAGCTATTTAGATGATATTGTTATGAATATTAATAGATTGGTTACTGTATTATCTGGTATTGTATATAATGCCTCTTATTATGTTAAAAGGTTACTGTATTATCTATGGGGTAACCTAATTTTTACCTTTTTGAAGGTATATATTCTATTAAATACATCGATACAGACAAGTCACAAGTTCGAGGTGAGTCAGTCTCAGTCCTGGTCAAGGCCTGGTCAAGTTCCAAATTGCGAATGCACATACGAAGGTCACCGAGTGCTTTTGTGTGTTAAAGAGAGTATTCTCGTTAATTAATGGTCATAAATAAGGTACTATAAACAGCTTTGACCTTGGTGTATCTATGCAATCAAGCCCACTCCTCTATTTTCATCCCAAGCTGTGCAAAACTCATGTTGCGTAAAATAAAAAGAAGGATCGAGCGCAAGTCTCAAACTGGTATCAAAAGGGCGTAGTGGTTTTAAAAGTGAGGGGCGTTAAGGGCAAGAGCCATAAGACATCCACCGATAAGACCGGCGATGGGAATGGTCATGATCCAGGAGAAAACGAGGAGGAAGACTCGCTTCCAGTTGACAGCCTTGATGCTGCCGTTGCAAAGACCGACACCAACGGTGGCACCAGTGATACACATGGAGGTAGAGACAGGGAGCTTGTACTGAGAGAAGACAAGGACGGTAATGGCAGCACCCATCTCCATGGAGGAACCACGGCTAGGAGAGTGGTAGGTGATCTTGTTACCCATAACTAGTGCGAGTTAGTACTGTTTCAGTGAGGAATGTGGTTGAGATTATTGACTTACCCTTCATGATGTTGTAACCGTAGGTGATGAAACCGATGCAGATAGTGGCAGCGACAACACCAATTTGCCAGAGAGGGACCTCAGCCTTCTTCTCGGCAGGGCGGCTGGTGGACCAGGCAGCGTACATACCAGCCCAGACACCGACAGCGTTACCGACATCGTTGGCACCGTGAGCGAAAGAAGCAGTGCAGGCAGTGATGACTTGGACGAAGGAGTAGAGGTACTCGACCTCGTTGGGGTACTTGGGAGCGTGCTCGTAGACAATAGCCATGCGACGACCCTCGGGAGTGGCCTCAATACCCATCTGAGCAGTGTGGATGTCGTAGTGAGCACCGTAGAGAGCAGCGCAGACGATCTGGGCAGGGATACGCTTGACGATGGCGATCAGGTTGTGAGTCTCGTGGATGGAACCGGCACCGATGGGGTTGGCGTGAAGAGTGCGCATGGCCCAGCCGAGAGGTCCCTTGCCCTTGCGGAGGTTGGCGTGGTGAATCTCCTCAGCATCGCGGACCATTCGCTGGTAATCCTCCTGGGTGGACTCGGAGAGGTTGAGGTGTCGCTTCTCGTTGTTCTCGGAGCTAGCAGCAGTGGCGGGGGTGATCTCGTCGCTACCGATCTTCTTGGGGTTGTGCTCCTCGGTCTCTTGGGAGACGGTGTCGTCCTCGGGGCCGTGCTGGAGGACAGCGTAGTTGGGGACACGGGCGTTCTCAGCATCGGGAGGAGAAGGGCGCTTGAACAGGAGAGGACCCTGAATGGCGTCCCACCAGCGGAGAGTGTAATCCTTCTTGATGACGACAGCGTGGACGAAGGGAACGAAGAAGAGAGCAGAGAGGAAGAAGAGACCGAATCCGACTCCGAGGGTGACGGAGGCGATGTACCAAGCAGGCTTCTCAGCGAGACCCAGACGGGGAGATCCCTTGTAGACGATGGAGAGAGTGCAGATGGTGCCGGCGATGAGGAAGAAGAAGGGAGAGGTCCAGACAGCCCAAGGAACGGGGTTCTTGCGGACGTGGACGACATACTTCACAAGCGAGAAGATGACTGCACCGAAGATACCAGCAATGGTGGGAGCCATACCGAGACCAGCAAAGATGGCACCGAGACCCTGACCACCGTTCCAGCCCCATTCGACCTTGCTAGCACCAACAGTAGCGATACCGACACCGGCGAGCGAAGAGATGAGAGAGTAGGTCGACGAGACGTGGGCGTTGTGCTTGGTGCACCACATGACCCAGGTAGAGGCACCGGCCGAGGCGCAGGCGAAGGCGAGGAGCTGGACTCCGGCGTTGTCGCGGAAGGCTTCCATGGGGATGATGCCGTTCTTGATGGTCGAGGCGGTTCGGGCTCCGACGGCTAGGGCGCCGAGAAGTTCGAAGACACAGCAGAGCACCATGGCTCCTCGGTAGGTGACGGAGCGCGATGACACGCTGGTAGCCCAGGCGTTGGCGACATCGTCTAGAGGAGTGTCAGTTTACCTGTCGTCATTGATGGAGAAGGAGGGGGTAAAAAAGGTAACATACTGGCACCGTTGTTGTAGGCCTCAAGCAGAGCAAAGCAACTGCCAATGGCAAAGACGTAAGTGTAAGCCTCGAGAACCATTGTGGCTGGCTGGAGGGCGAGAAAAAAGAAGGTCTAGAGAGAGCGAAGCTGTAATAGCTTGCCTTTGGTTGTAGATGGGAGGGAGAGGAGTTGGTGGAATGGGATGCTCGAGCAAGGGAAAGAAAACAAACTCAGAGTTCGGGGTCTCGGAGGGGAGACTTTAAAGGTTTCTTCGATTCGGATGGCATTGAAGAAAGTTACACACGGGCAAGGATGATAAGCTTCACGCACACCTCACACACCCCTGTAGCCCGTCCTGTGGGTGAGACTAAAAAACCCAAAGGTGCCTAAGCTTAGATTTTGCCATACCATACCCCCACTCCGGGGCTGTGTCCAGAAGAGCTCAATTGCTGCTGCGTGCCCCCTTCGGTGAGACCATATGGCTACCGATTGACTTCCTGGCGTCAGAAGAGAACAGCGTGAGGGCTTGCCGCATTGGGCAAAGGGGTGTGTGGGTGGGTGGGTAAAAAAGGTTCCCTTGTTGTTGCACTGGGGGGCTAGCATTTAAGCATATCAGACCCTATGAGATGGCCTCTCCACCCCACGTGCAAGATCTACGAGCTCAAATACGGCGTGTGATTGGCTAGTGAGATTCGACATTCGTTGACGGGGTTATGGTGCAGAGGAAACGCCACATGGGTCATTGAAAGCCCTCGAACCGTTTGAACCACCAGAATTTATTATTTTTCCTGGGCAATTGCTGCCAAGCTGCGAGGCACCGTCTTGGAAGCAGACGGGATAGATCGATGGTAGTCCTTGGCTTTGAGCTGATTTCTGGGCAAAGAGACCAAGTCGCGTGAGCAATTAGAACAATAAAATACGACTTTTTTCCCTAGTCTTGAAAATTCTGTAAAGTAGTGAGAATAAAGTTTTCAATCAAGCACAAATTGAAGCTTAATGCTCTGCAGTAGTGAGTCTACAGAGGATCATCGTGGTGGATTAAGGCCACGCACGTGTATGCGTACACTGGCTCTCACCACTCGAGAGACCAGCAAATCTGCTAACAAAAGACCACATAAAACACCTTGGGCCATATCGAATTGGTCAATGCTCCGGAACTTGTGCGCGGCTGCCCATCTAACGGGGACAGTCCGTTTCGATTTAGAGCCAACGCCTTTGACTAGGGATAAACGACCCTCTCATAGCTCGAGGCCCAGCAGCTTAAAGGCCCAGCTCCAAAGACAAACGACAAAAAGACTCCACCGTCGGTCTCTCTTCTTGGTTAGACTATCTTCTCCCAGCTTCTCGTTCCCTAATCTGGACCTTTTCCCCGTTGGATCTGGTGTCCCCCGCGAAAACGTGCGAGAGCCATTTGAAACCACCACATGGGGAAACGGACACTTTTAACTGGTCGATCGACCCCAGACATTAGCCCGCGCTATCTTTCTCTGTTACTGGGTCTCTCTAGTAAGAACAGATCCAGATTCTAACCAACCTTGCAATTGCCACTTTTTCTTTGCTTTGCTTTCTCGTTTTCTGGGTCAATCTTGACACTTCCGACTTCCGCCTGCTAATGCACGTGAAAAATGCCCTTTATTGATGCCATCCTTGGAAATATCAGACGCATGATACCCGCAGCATCGGCGAACACGATGAGCATTATCGACCAAAAAGTGTCTCACCATGTTCCGTTTTGTCAACCGAGATTCCAGATTCGGTGTCTGCATACAGAGTTGCAATTCACTAGTTCCTGTATAATTCCTTTTTGGGGGTTTGCTGCCTTTCAGCTTTGGGGTATCACGGGTGATCTTCCGATCCAAACCTGGACCCTCGTATCTTGACATCTGCGTCTCTGCCATTGTAGCTCATCCAAACAATTTCGCCCGTGATGTTCATCGCCACTACCTGATGATCTTGAGGTTCTACATTTCCCCTACACCACCAGATACATCCGCGGCAGCTATTCCCGTTCGCCAAGCCCTTCCTGCTTGCCAAGCTGTATATACCGAATACCAAGAAGGCACCTTCCGAGCCACCCCGTCATTTCGGCCATTCTGTCCTGGTCCAACAAGAGCGCCTTCCCCGTCGCCCGTGCTGCTGGTGATCCGGGCTGTCATCTGTGCGAGAGCCCATGCCTTGGCCGTTCCTTGCACCACGGGGACTCGACGCGGCCCCTGGATTGGGCGGCAGCTGCGAACAGTGTACCACACCCACGGGTTCTCAGAACTCTGTAGACAAACACCCCCCATCCAACCCAATCCGCTAATCTCTAATTTTCTCGACGCTCCCCTGTTTCTGTGTATGCACGAGCTCTAACTTGCAGCAGCGGCGTGCCCGTTGCCCGAGGCGAGTCCTACCTAGCTGACGGGCCTTGGGGGACATGATCGTCAGCCAAGCGCATCCACCCCGTTGGCGATTACAGGTAGGCGTGTCTTTGGGGGACTTGGTATTGGCATCCGGCTAACCCTTGCCTGCATACTCTATCCTGCAGGATCATTTCTGAAGTAACCACTCATCTTCTCGAAGCTCTGGCGGAGTTCACCGGGGCAGTGAAGATCGACAATCGTGAGTTATCGGAAAGATGCTGGTTGATATCACTGTGGGATATGCTTTTTCATGGTTCGCCACTCCTGGGCATCGAGAAACTCTAGATCTTTAAGATCGTATCGATAGTTCAGACGATCGTGATAAGTTAGACGTCACGCTGCGTGCTGGAAACCAGATCATGATTGTGTGTTTGTTGCTAATCACCTTCACTGCTGACATATATGCACCATGACACAAAACAAAAGCCAAACCAATCCCTTTGCTAAATGAGCAAGACTTGAAAAAGAAACTATAGAAATAAGTTAATTACTCATTTACTTCATCAGATACAGGTTTATTTCTATGCTTAATTGTCTAAATTCCACCTGTATCACTACCCTACACCTTAATCGTTAAGCATAGTAACTTTAACTGTATGCAAACTTAATACCAGAACAAGCCTAGCCGAACCTGGGCATGATGTTCAATCTCCACTCCCATTGGCTCCTTAGCTTTCATTAGAAGACCAGCAATCGATCCTCTGGTCTTTGATCCGGCTGGGAACGGCACGCTGCAATTTAAACTTTGCGTCTATGCAAGGAATTTGGAACCGCTGGAGCCTTTCCACTTGGAGGTTAGATCCGTTGCATTCACTTGAGGTATCCCCGTGCTATTAACGGGCCTTCTTGCTCAAACAGTCCGTGCAGTCGCGAAACTCTCTTCATTTCTACGCTCACTTGGGGGATTAGCGGGCGGGACTGTGTATCGGTGCATCATTGTGCATTGAATCATCTCTTCAGTGATGCTTTTACTTTTATCTCGAATTTTGGCTTGGGCCAGAGGCTGTCGGGGCTTCTGATTGCGAAGGAACAGTACTGGAAATGAGCACCCAGCCCCTTCGTGAGATAAGCCAATCGCGTGCTCCTACGTGAGAACGTTTTATTAGAGTGAGACCGCATTGAGCGCCCGTTTTCCGGTTGAGAACACCGGCGAAAAAAGCGTTAATAATGGGCATCAATCCCTTCGGCTTTGTCGCTTCACTGTGGTAGACTGAGCCAGGGTGTCTCTGCTCACCTACCATTTCCTTCCACTTGATGAATTCTGCATATTTAGCTATGACAAATTCATCTAGAGACCGAGCTGTGAACGAATCCTACCAAGGAGAGGGGACTGTTGCTGGATGTCTTGATCATTGTTGTGGCACAAGCCCAGGTATGATGTATGACGATGCGCTTGGCAAATCTATCCCAGTGTCACAGTACCACACTTATCAATTGCCTTTACACCATTGGCTAGTTTAGTTACACCAAGGTCTATTTGAGGAACTGCAGAATAGCAGACACCACTTCATCTGGATTCTGCTCTGGGATATAATGCCCCGACTCAACACTTCTTCCCTCAACCGATACACCATCCTCCGTGACATCCTTCCACTCCTGGATCGCATCAAAGCACTTCTCGATAACACCATGTGCTCCCCACAGAACAAGCAGTGGACTTCGAATCTTGCGTCCGTTCTTTAAATCATCACGCGCCTCATCGAGGTCGAGTGTCGCACCGGCTCGGTAATCATTGCACATGGCATGGACCGTGGCAGGGTCTTCCAGGTTCTTCGCATAAAGCTCAAAACACTCGGGTTCGAAGATGGAGAGTCCATCGCCCTGCCGGCCTCCCATGAACATCTCTGCCAGCTCTCTTGGCTTTGCGTTGATGAGTGTCTCTGGGAGGGGTTCCTTTTGAATGAGAAAGAACCAATGGAAGTATGCCTTTGCAAAGTCGAAATCTGTCTTTGTGTACATTGCCAGTGTGGGGCAAATATCGAGCAAGATAAATTTGCGAACGCGATCAGGATAGTCGACGGCAAGTTTATGTGCGACTCTTGCACCACGATCATGGGCGCAGACAAAGAAGGAGTCTGTATGGCCTAGAGCATCCATGACATCGATGCAGTCTCGGGCCATAGCACTCTTGGCGTATGCAGATACACCTTCGGGCTTTGAAGACTTTCCATAGCCGCGGATGTCAATTAGAATAAGAGTGTATTTGTCGAGAATGCGAGGTGCGACGCGATGCCAGATGTGCAGGGTCTGGGGGAAGCCATGGAGGAGAAGCAGAGCTGGCTTGGAGGATGAGGCATCGCCGCTTTTCAATCCATTGATGGTGACGTCCGGGTTGGACTTTGTCGTAATTGTGAAGGATTCAAAATTATCAAACATGTTGTTGTGTTTGTTAATATGTGAGAAGATGTGCTGTGAGAAAATAGCTGTGGTTGGCAGATTTTGTTTTATTCAGTGAGACGCCCTTTGATAGACAAGCTGCTTAAATAATACCCTCGGTGGTGATGCAATGCGGAAGGTAGTTATGCCGTCACTGATCCTCATTCCCCAGGTTTCTGGAGTGGGTCATCCATCGGCAGGAGGGTCCTTTCGCCGATGATAGACGGCGGACTTTTCATTGTCCGCCGGTTTTTGGAAGCGGAGCCAAGCCGGATCTAGAATAAATATCCCGGCTTCTCCTCACAGCCCGGTACCGTGTTGTATAATATTTGAACTTGTTGAGTACAAATACTCATCATTGAGACGAAGTATTCAATTTTAAGTAACTGAACTCTCAATACTCACCGCAATATTGGTTCATTCACTCCGCCAACATGTCAAAGACGCTCAAGATCGCTGTTATCCCCGGAGATGGCATCGGCAAGGAAGTGATGCCCTACGGCGTCCAATGCCTCAAAGCCGCTGCCAAAAAGTTCAACCTCTCTCTCGAATACCAAGAATTTGACTTTGCCAGCTGCGACTACTATGAAAAGCACGGCAAAATGATGCCCGATGACTGGAAAGACACTCTCAAAGCTTTCGACGCCATTTACTTTGGCGCCGTGGGCATGCCTGATCAAGTTCCCGATAATGTCAGCCTCTGGGGTAGTCTCCTCAAGTTCCGTCGCGAGTTTGATCAGTACATCAACCTAAGACCATGTCGGTTGATGCCTGGCATTCCGTCTCCATTGGCTGGTCGCAAGCCTGGCGAGATCGACTTCTGGATCGTGCGGGAGAACACAGAGGGAGAGTACTCCAGCATTGGAGGAACCATGTTTGAAGGAACGGACAGAGAAGTAGTCATTCAGGAAACAGTCATGACTCGCGTAGGCGTCGATCGTGTTCTTCGATACGCGTTTGATCTTGCCCAGAGTCGACCTCGGAAGAAGTTGACAAGCGCTACGAAGAGTAACGGCATCAGCATCACTATGCCATACTGGGATACTCGAGTAGCTGAGATGAGCAAGAATTACTCTGATGTCGCGGTTGAGAAGTACCACATCGATATCTTGACTGCACACTTTGTACAGCGCCCTCAGATCTTCGACGTTGTTGTCGGATCCAACCTCTTCGGTGATATTCTCTCCGACCTCGGCCCCGCCTGTACAGGCACTATCGGTATTGCACCATCTGCAAACATCAATCCGACAGCCGATTTCCCCAGTTTGTTTGAGCCGGTACATGGAAGTGCGCCTGATATCTACGGAAAGGGGATTGCGAACCCGATCGGAATGATTTGGGCTGGCCAAATGATGCTATCGCACTTTGGATTTACGGATGCTGCTGCGGGAATGATGACGGCGATTGAGACTGTTCTGGCAAGGGCAGATTCTTCTGTGGCTACGGCGGATATCGGAGGCAAGGGAAATACGAAAACGCTAGGAGACGCGATTGAGAAGGAGATCTTGTCACTGTGATGTACTTTGCAAGAACTTTGAGACAGCGTTGAAAATTGACTTTTTGTGCGGGCTGTGTGTTGCGAAGAACAAAAGTTACAGACTATGCCCAACAGCAGAATAATAGACTATCTTTATTTAAGATAACAATGTAACACATTCACAGGGCCCCTGGTAATGCCTTTGTATGTTCTCGGCTTATGGCTGAGTTAGTCACTGTTTGCTCAACACCGGCTTCGGAAATTCTTTCAGTTCATCACCTGAGAACCACGTACTCTGTCACTATTCACCACAACCCGAACCATTCACAATAGTTCGCGCGTCTATAAATTCTCTGGATATCTTGCCCATCGAACTTCAATCCTCAAAGATAACAACGAAGACTTGTAGCAACCGTGTATTCAAAATGCCCAAATCCGATAATTCTGGAACTGTACGCTTCGCTCAGGACGTCCAGTACTTCAATCTTGAGACATTGACCCGGGATCTGGAACAAGCATACGGCGCTGGAAAGGTTACATGGACGCAGAATGGGTCAGATATTGAGATCACGGTGGAAACTGATGATCTTGTCAGCTTGGAGGAACATATGAAGGAACTGGATGTTGAGTTTTCATCGGAGAAGAAACACACAAGCGAAGAAAAGTCTAAATAGAGGTATATGCTAAATTAATCATCAATATAAACTTGCCACTTTTGATATCCTTCCAAGGATACACGTAGATGGTGCAAAGCAGATGTTGTCTTTCCCTTTCTACTGGCATTCCATCGATCCCCTGGCATAGGGATCCAGCCAGCAAGCAGTTGGTACCCTAAATCATTTTACACCAACACCCATTTAATTTAGCGAGCTCTATTCTTGGCATTCAAAGCAATCTCCCGACCCACAGGATCGGATCACTGAGCCAGGATATCTAGGCTCGCTTAATCGCGAGATGCGGAACGTCGGCCACCAAGAGGCTTGGCTTATTAGCTCCATCTCTATTCTAATTGTCTTTCTTAGTTGGGGGATAGGAGATTTTAGAATAGTCATTACTTAATATTGTTGATGAAAACAATTCGATGTGATCTGATGGCTCAGCTTTCCAGAGTCTGAATACGAAACATACTCATAATCTAGAAATTCTTTCATAAATCAGTTACAGGATCAGCTTGAGCACTTTAGAGTTCAGAAGGATTCTTGGCGAAATTCAAATCTCACCCACATACGGAGTATGCCTAGGTAAGTCGGGTTTGAACCATTGCATCGAGCCCAGGTTGTAGTTGCCCTTCATCTCCTGATTCAAGATAACTACGGATATACGGTCTACGGATACGGGTCTAGTCTAGTGCTTGACCCAGAATCTCGTATTATACGAAGTGAGTGGGTATCGCAACATGGTAATCAATGGATCCGGGACACGCTTCTATCAGATTAGGAAACCGTAAGTTAGGTAGCCTTTCACGGGCATTAGTTAAAGGATGGTAGAAGGATAGAAGAACAGATTCTGAGGTTGAGTATAAGCTGGATAGGGTGGACTTGAGTGAAAATCTGGATTATGCTGGCCAAGTCTGTCCAAGCACAGCAAACCAATTATTTTAAGAACCCCAGAAAGGAAACTTTAGTAACATGAGTAGCAATACTTGATATGTAGACTCCTACACCCTGGACCGTGTGTAGAGAACAACTAATGATGACGAACTGCTCCTAAATGCGGGCTTAGGTTCTTGAAGGGTTCAGCGCTTAGCTGGGCAAAGTAACTTCACAGTTGAGTGAGGCTGAGAATTTGACTGCCCGTAAGTAACAAGGACAAAGAATGTAGGGTATGCCAGAATGTAAAATAATCCCTCCTCTGAGTTCATATAAAATCGTATATAATTAGATCACTCAAAAGTTGTTCTGAACCTCAGACGCAAGATATTGAACGTATGTTATACATGCCGAAGGTTCATCTTGTTTGTAACTCATGTGCAATCTATGGTAAATTCTCTCTGAAGCAGACGTCATGTGAGATCCAAGTTTTAGAATCTAGATAATTTAGAAGGATGAGGTTGAGAATGAGGCTGAGAAGTTGTCATAATCTTCCCGATCTGCCAAGAATTTTGATCGGATAACCGGCCTGAGAGAATATGAAACGATCCACTCGGCAGCCAGAACCGTGTAGTACCATGAACCAAATATGGGGCTGCGAATACGCGGGTTCTGTCACCGTCTGTGACCTGACGTTAAACCCGTTGGAGTGGTCCTGTCAATGCCCTTCTCATTTAACTCGGGCCAATAACGGCCTGCGTTTTGCATTTAATTGGAGGAGAAACACACTCCGTGGAAGATTCGATCGCACTATGTTTCTGCCATTCTGGCATTGCGCTAGAACCGGATCTAACGGGACACTGTGGAGTTCTTGGCTGGTGTTTGTCTAAGTGCTTGGAATATATATATAAGATTCTTGAATGCATCATCAATACATTGAAACTATCACACATTATCCTCACATTCCTTTTGCCGGCCAAAGGTTCTTTCTCGAACATTACACTCGTTTCATTACAGTCACTCTTTACAAAAATTTTCATTCTAACCGCTAAAATGACCAAGCTCGGATTCGTCGTTCTCGCTGCCCTGGCTGGCAGCGCCGTCGCCGCTCCCTCAGTTCCTGCTGAATCCCACGATGTCCACGCCTACGGCAAACGTGCCAGCTCTTGCACCTTCTCCGGCTCCAGCGGCGCCACCAAGGCCATGAGCGCTCAGGCCTCTTGCGCTACCATCATCCTCGACAGCCTTGTTGTCCCTGCTGGCAAGACTCTTGATCTCAGCAAGCTCAAGGACAACACCAAGGTTATCTTCAAGGGAACCACCACCTGGGCCTACAAGGAGTGGAAGGGTCCTCTTCTGCAGATCTCTGGAAACAAGATCACCGTTGAGGGCTCTGGTGCTATTCTTAACCCCCAGGGTGAGCTCTACTGGGATGGTAGCGGTGGAAACAGTGGCAAGACGAAGCCCAAGTTCTTCTCTGCCCACAAGCTCACTGCTTCCAAGATTAACAACCTTTACGTCAAGAACACTCCCGTTCAGGCTGTTAGCATCAACGGCGTCAACGGTCTTGAGATTAACCAGTTTACTCTCGACAACAAGCTCGGTGATACCAAGGGCGGTCACAACACCGATGCTTTTGACATTGGTTCTTCCAATGGCGTTACCATCACTGGCGCCAAGGTCTACAACCAGGACGACTGTGTTGCTGTCAACTCTGGAACAGTGAGTCTTCCATGAGATATTTTGCGAATCACAATACTGACTAGAAACAGAACATCATCTTCCAGAACGGCTACTGCCACGGTGGCCACGGTCTCTCCATCGGCAGTGTCGGTGGTCGCGATGACAACGTCGTCGACAACGTTCAGTTCCTCAACTCCGAGGTGGCCAACTCCGCCAACGGAATCCGCGTCAAGGCCTTTAAGAACAAGAGCGGCAAGATCAACAAGGTCACCTACTCCGACATCACCCTCACCAAGATCGCCAAGTACGGTATCCTCATCGAGCAGAACTACGACGGCGGCGACCTCCACGGCGAGCCCACCAGCAGCCTCCCCATCACCGCCCTTACCCTCAAGAACATCAAGGGCAAGAACAGCATCGACTCCAATGGAAAGAATGCTGCTATTGTCTGCGGTAGCTCTGGTTGCAAGAACTGGACCTGGTCCAATGTTCAGGTCTCTGGTGGCAAGAAGTACGACAGCTGCAAGAACGTTCCCGGCGTTGCCTCTTGCTAAGTGGTCTGTCGGTCTTCTGGTTGGGCTAAATGTGTAGTGGTTGATCTAGCTCAACAGCTTAGTATCTGAAACTCAGATACTGGCCCATATTAATAGGCGTGTGTATGTGGCACGCTGAATCATTTGATAGAATTGGTGCTCAGACATTTTGGGTTCCTAAGAAGTGGGTGTATTTACCGAGGATAAAAGATAGCTATCGCGTTAACGCCGTGATGAATACAGATCTTGGTTGCATTCTAAAAGAAACTCGAAGCCTTCCTTTCGTGCAAACTGAAGTAACAAAACGTGATAAAAGCATTCCCCATTCCCTCAGAAAAACACAAAATCCAAATTCCCCAACAACCTGAGTCAAGCCAATACGAATCTATCACTCCTCAGCCTCCTCCAGCTTCTCCCTCTGCTCCTCCCAAACAATCTGTGCCTGCTTGCACCATCGAAAATGCTCCAGAAAACCATCCCGGTCGTAAACCCTCCACGAGATCGCCGGTTGCATCAAGGTATCCTTCCTCTGATTAGTAGGATGCCTGTCCAGCTTGCATCCTTCACATGACAGCCAGTTGTCGGGAAGCATACCTTGCTTGTCGAGATGAGGCATCACACAGGTCGTTAGATTGTCTTCAGAGTTTTCTTCGAGGGCTTTCGCAATGTACTCATCTCGGGGCTTTCCGACCACCTTCATCGCTTCTAATGTAGATACCACTTCGGAGTCCACATCGGAGTCCGAGTAAAGATAACGGCCCAAGGCAAGAAAAGGAGCTGTCTTGAACACCTTCAGCTGGGCCAATTCGTCGTCGGTGATTCGTATTTTGGATTTGAGTTTCCATTTACTAACGTGATTGACCTCAGGGGCGTCTTTGAGACAGCCACGGCAGACTCGCTTCCAGGTCAAAAAATGGACATATCGAGCAGTGTACCCGCAGAAGCTGCAGGGAATTGTGACCAGAAGCTCATAGAAGTCAACTAGCTGTATGTTGCAAGCAGCATTCGCAATGAGACTTGCGCGGAAAAGGTCCAGTCCGTACTCTGTCACCTTCTGGTATTGCCAGATGCTGTCGACTTTTTCTCTGGTGCGTCGACTGGTTTGTCGAAGCCTAAACACCGACAGGACGTCACATTGTAGTATGATATCCTGCACAATTGAAAGGGGCAGGCCGTCCAGTGTGCCGTTGTCAGCTGCTGAGGGTGAGGCAAAAGGTGTTGCTATCGACAGCGTGATAGCCTTTTGCTCGTCCGCTTTGAACTGTACGGTCATCTGGTGTTGATAGAACCACTCCTGGTGAGTTGCCGCTCGGATGATAGCATCAGCCTGGTGTTCTTCAAATTCATATCTCGTGTCGGATTGATATGATTTGGGAAAGAAGGCGGGAACTTGAGAAGACTGTGGTTCGGCCATGGTTGCGTGTAGAGTTTTTGTCGTTGCGAGATCGAGAGTAGAGAGAAAAGGCGTGCAGAGAGAAGAGTGAAGTAGAGAAAAAGCGCGAGCAGAGAAGAAAGGTGAGTCAAGAGAAAAGGTGAGTGAGTAAAAAAAGGCGAGTAGAGAGGAAAGGCAAGTAAAAGGAGAGGTGTGTGGGGAGGAAAGGTTAGCAAAAGAGAAAAGGTAAACAGAAAAGGATAAGATTTACTATCAGAGAAATCCTACAGTGATTTATATGCCGCCATGAACAAACATGCTTTATGAACAGGCTTTGGTGAACAGCCCACCTGGTGACTATCAGTGCGAGGCCTGTAATTGAACAAAGTCACAATAGTGTACCACATCCCGTAACTCGGATTTGCTATTTATTCACCACTGCTACGCCTTTGGCGGAAGAGGAAGTTTAAGAAGCAGTAAAAGCCGCCACTCAAACTCTACTTTCCTATGATAAGTATATAATGGCACGAATTGGAGACAGTTGATTACATTTTGTGTAACTTCGTCTTGATATTTTCTGTCATTCGTTTCACTTGCAATTCAACACAAATAGCCACGATAACATTTGCAATACCAGACTATCTTATCACGCACTGGAGACCTTTCAAAATATGGAGAACTTTATCAAATTCATAAACTCTATACGCAATAAACATCTCTATCAAAATCTAAATTATTCGCACTTATATAGCCCCTGGCAAGATCTCGGTGATATTGCTCTTCGCCAACTCCTTCGTCGCATCCAAAACCCCCACCATACGCTCCCTCGCTTCCACGTTCTGCGCATCCCCCAAGTCCGCCCTCCCCATGTGCTCCAACGTCATGCAGACCACCGACTCCATGAGTCTTTGAGCCAGCTCACCAGCATACCCCTGTTCATAGAACGCGGGTGTTTCATTCACCTCTAGTAGCCATGCAGTGCCGTTCGAGTCTACCAGGAAGTCTATGGCAAAGAGCTCGAAGCACTTGTCCAGCGGCGTGAATTTATCTGCCATGGTATGGGCAGCTGCGCGGAGCAACTCTCCCGAAATCTGGCATGCTTGGTCGAATACGCTTTGTTTCCAGTTCCCTGGAAGTAGGTCATCCGCAAGCTTCCAAAAGTCTCTCATCGACTCTCTGCTCATAAACTCCTCCTCGTCTTGCAGCGCAGTGTTGGTCAGAGATGATTTGAGACTTGGGTTCTTCCACGGCGGCTCGTAGTCGTCAAGGGCGAGCAAAGCAAGCATCTCATCAAAGACGTGTACTTTTAGACGTCCCACTGAGAGAACATATGCTCGGACATGCCATTTTCTTCCATCTATGGGCGGGATTGAAACGATGTATTGCTGTACGACAAACTCTCGAAGCAGAGCGGATGGGATGCGCTCGTTTTCGTCAATCACAAGGTCTTGGAACTTGGATGTGGCATTCATGTTTTTGTCCGTTCCATTGACGGAGAGTTTTCCGGTTGCCGTTATGAGGGCATCCAGGGAATTTAGGCCAGGCGCTGACAAGCTGGGGTTGAATCCGTTCGAGTCATTGTCACTGTCGTGTTTGGCTTCAACAAGTTCGGCGTCCTCGTCTGTGTCTTCATCTTCTTCCGAGATATCAGCAGCCAATTCGAGGTTGTCGGCGAGTTCGTCAATAGTGCTGAAGATCCGGATACCGTGCCCACAGTCGATCATAGCAGGCTTGAGAATCCACCAGTCTCGTTTCGACGCATCTTTCGTCTCGTTATCCTCAAGTGAGTACAGCAGAGTCAAGTCATCTGCCGCAGCTAGCGAGTCTTCGACATATTCGCTATAGTCCAGAGACAACTGGATAGTAGCAGGGCTGTGGCCTTTGAGGATGCTTTCGGGTCTCTTGGTAACCCAATAGTCAACAACCTTTGCCATGTGGTCTTTCCGGGCCAGTGCGTCGCTGTTGGGATACGCGTTGAGGAGTCCGTGCTTGGCCCTATTCAGCACCGCAAAGTGGTGGTTTAGCTCCCAGCCATTGAGGAACTGATAAATTTCATCCACATCTTCGGGAATATCAGCGTAATTTTCATGACAGGTAGCATCTGGAATATGTCGTCTGATGCATGCTCTAACGTGGTCATCGAGCCAAGGGTTGGCGCTGTGAACGTAGACGTGCATCTTCCGCACTGAATCTTGGGTCTCAACGAGTAATGAAGCCCTCTTCTGGAGGGAGCGAAGCCTGACGGAGAATAGACAGCTGTAGCACTTTCGATTGCATTGGGTCTGCGACGTTTATTGAAAAAGCTATCATCAAGTACGTACTTGAGTGACAGAAAGATAAGTCTCTGGAATGAAACAAAGAGGTGACCGCCGAGCCTTTTAACTACCAAACCTAGGTCCTTGATCAAAGGAAAACATTTTACAAAGGATTGCCAAGAGAAATTCAGACGCGAATTAGCTAAAGGGTCCACCGGATACTTGCTTCGTTGAAGCTCTATTGGTGGTTTTGTTAATAAACGTAAGCAACATCATGAAGTTCATGACATTTTTCAAAATGCATGATCTACGTCCCGCTCACCGTCTTTCGCCAGGGATAATGCCAGGGCCCAATTTCTGATCGACGATCGCTTTGATACTACTAAACCTGTCTTCAGCTCGCAGGAACAAAATAAAACCATGTATCTGCATTCGCGGGTTGCGTCCAAGATACTGTCTAGAGATTTAGTCAGAAACCTCAATTTTTATCAGCTGAGCCCCGATGTAAAACTATGAGATACAGCTTTTGTTACATCAAATCAAGATTTTCTACTAAGATAAACTGTCATTCCCTGCAGTCCTACTCGGTAATGTTTTAATCGGTAATGTTTCCTGTGTAGTTTGCAAACGAAGTGAGGCTTTCTCGCGCTGGACAAGTATCGACATCTTGTTGTTCTTTGCTGATAGATTGCTGAACAAAGGCGGCTTGTGCGAGATAGCAACTTTCACCGAATTGTCTGCAGCATCCGGGATAATGGCTGTCGCCTCTGGTATCAGATCATCATCAGCCACACTCCGTGGAAGCTTCACTAGCTCCACTTCATTGACGATATTCTCTTCGGTCTCTTCATCTTCCTGTATGTTGCGCACAAGGATCTTGCTTTGTGAGGAGATAACATGGAGAACATTGGAAGCAGTAACTCCGTTTTCGATGCAGAGACTAGTATCTGTACTATCAACCACTCCATAGTGGCTTGTTCGCTGCAAGAAGGAGCTATACTCCATCCGTTGCATGGTATCCAACGATTTCTTGATGGTGTTATTATGAGTGTCTTGAAGCCCTTGCGGACGCTTTGTGCCTCGGAGCTGCTCCATGTCCTCGACTATCGGTCGCGCGTTTGCATGGAGTCTAAGGACAAGAAACCTTCCACAACTGGAGAGGCTATCTTTTCAGGCTCATCGGTAACCGATTCGAAACAGCAGAAGGTCCTTGGATGCTCTGCGAAAATGCTGCAGTTAATATGACAGTTGTACTTGATCGATTTTGGGATGACTTACCAGCCCGCGACCAATCCCAAAACATATGCGCCTGGACCAGCTATAAAGCCTATCAGGGTAACAGCGGTATTATGGCATATAGTGATGCTGTGGGCGTCTTCGAGGTTGAGGTTGATGTCACTCTGGTCAGAAGACTGTAAAGTTGGCTGGAAAATCTCGTCGACACTGCTCCGAAAGAGTGCTAAGCCTAGCGGAGCACCAGCTCTGGCGACTAACACGAATAGATCTTCATTTGTCGTGAAACTCGGGAAGTACAACAAACGAGGTGATAACATGTTGTGTCCGAAAATTCGATAAGGGTCCCAGTCATCAGACTTGTCGAAATCCATATCAAGCTTGCTTTTTCGCACCCAGGGCTGACAGTCCTCCGTTGCGGGATGTACGACTTCATAGACTGTCCGAAGTACACAAAAGTACCGCCCGCTCGGTGAAATCTCGAAAGGAAATTGTAATTTCCAAGGTGACCAGATATCTCCTGGCAGAAATTCTGGTATGGAAAAAGAAGAACGGTCTTCCCAAGCAGACTGTTTGCACTGGATCAAGATCTCTTTGGCGTTAAGTTTCGTTACGACACTGAACACACGGACAGGCTCCTCTTCGGTCGTCCACAGTTCATACTTGGCAAGCCAGCCTGAACATGCACTCCAGAGATTGCGGCTGCGGAGTTCCGCGCCTCGATGAACGGCAGCATCTTCAAAACACCTAAAAACAGCCTTGTTAGCGACACGTCCTCTGCGGCTCTTTATCTCTGTACTAAGCTTCATCAGCGCAGGAGCAACCTACTTGGATGGCCAAACTGAGAGTACCATCATGGCTTTGCCGTCGTTTCGTACTCTGGATATGGTCTTTAGATTTTCACAACCAATATCACTGGTTTCTGGTCTCTCTGACAGAAGGCTAGTCACCTTCATGACTTGAGCCTCACGCGGACTAGTTCTAAGCCGGTGAAACGCGACCACCTCCCTCCACAAGACTGATGAATCTTCACGTAGTTGAGTGCCCCAATCTCTTTCAATTTCTGTAGCGATCGACAACAAATTCGTCAAGTCTGCCGATGCCCGAGAAATAGTATCCACATGGGCGCTGCCGGTATGGTTAGTCAGACATACAGAGAGCTTACGCAAACTGTCTTCATAGACGAGGCTACTGCGGATAGGTATCCGTAAGAGGTATGAGATCTCGATCCAGACAAGCAAATAGGACCGGGTGTCGAGGAATTTGCGTAGTTGCGGTATGAATATTTCCATCAGGTCTCTTACGATACTAGCATCAACGATGACACTTTCTTGACTGAGTGAAGGATAGCGATCCAGCACGCAAAAGAGTGCTTGAAAACAATGATACATCAGATTTGATACTGCTGTGTAGGTTAACGGATGCGCGTAGCGAAGTTTCCATGGTTCACAGAGCTTTTCTACCAGAGGCTCGGCCGGAAAATGTGTTGTCAAGTACTCCTTATACCAATATGCCTTTTTTCCCCGACCTTCTTCACAGACTCCATCAGAGATTGGATGCCTTTGATGTGTTCGAGAACCTCATCAGATAGTTGATTTTCGTTGTGTGCTTCTGAAGCTTCGTCGTTCTGTTGGCCATTTAGGAGGAGTTTGAGCTGAAACAGCTGCAACTCCTTGTCTACAAGTGCATCGCAACTAGACAATTTCTTTTGCAAGGTGTTGAATGTTGAGTCAAATGGCTTCCATAGCAAATTTGCAACGACTCGTGATTGATGCTTTGACTCTGGAATGTAGTTAGTTGCGGAGGGTGGTAAAGCGTGTCACTGGTTTGTACTCGCCGCCTGTCTTTCTGTAGAACACCCGGACTATCTTTTGAAAGAATTCAAGGATGCCGCTGTATGTGGTTACTATTGTGCATCGCAGTCCCGTCGTTAAATCGATGCCATGCTCCTCAATCATTTGGACAAGACTTTTGTATACCGTAAAGTTCGATGAGATACTCTCCAGCATGCTGGTTAGCTTTCTGAAGAAGTTCGAGTAATTATTCGCAGCCTTCGAAAAGTTATATAAGTTAGCAGCGACGACACAAAGTTGAAAGCATCAATCACCAGCAACACAAGTTTGGCTGCGCCCCAAACCAAGGCGCCGACTTCAGGCTTGGACGACACAAGAGTGTCGACAACCTTAAGATAGGGCTCAACATTGCCGGTGAAAACGGTGATGCTGTCGAAAAGTCGCCTTCTGGTCCCAGTGTTGGCTTTCTTGAACTCTTCAAGCTGTTCGACGTGGCGGATGAAGGTATTAGCTGATGCACAGATAGTAACAATAGACCTATCTTTCTCGTCGAGGGAGTCGAGGAACCTTTGGCCGGCCACCGCGATTGGGCTACTTGTAGTGCTGGTCGACATGGCGAAGATCGCCAGTTATTCCCGATAGTTCAGATAGATGAAGAGGCTCTTTGATAATGATGTGAAGAGAACTCTCTCTTTGTACGAGCATTGTGAAGGTGTAATAAGCAAGGCTGAATTTCCCCTTATTTCAGGTATCCTTATTACTGGATAGATGAGTGGTAAATGCAGATACGGTATGTGCATAAGGATGACATACTAAGCCTAATTGAGCCCGATATTCCAGAGGATAGTGAGGAACAGAATTGTTTATTTATTTATCGTAGCAGTCTTGGCGTGAGTATTTAGACAATACTGAACCATCTCGTCTTTCTTTCTTCGGTATTATCACTCGTTCAAACATTCTATAGGATAAAAGACGTTATGAAAAGCACTTTGTACCATTTTTGAATCACTGCAGACCAACAGCTGAGCGAATAGCGTTGATGAGGATGTTGTTGAAATCACCACCGGCCTCGTAAGTGCCAAATCCACCAAGACCCTTGCTAGTAACGAATTTACCCTTTGCGTGGAACGAACGAGCATTGTCATAGCTAACATAAATGTCCTTCTTAGGGTCGTAAAGAGCAGGCTATTTATCATGTCAGTCATCCGCATCCTCAAGCTTGAGATATAACATACCGTCTGGCTGCAGTTATCCCAGGTGTAAGAAATTCCGGAAGCAGGGTTTCCGTAGACATCAAGGAACTTGGCCTCGGTGATCAAGCTCCAGAAGGGGTAGGTTCCACCAGGAGGCGAAGGGTTGCCACAGTCATCGATGGCAGGGTCGGTGTCCCAGCTGCTGCCCTGGAAACGATCGGTAGAGTTCTGTGTGGGGTAGAGGTTGAGCTTGTGGTTGGATCCATAGGCAGAGGTGTTGTTGACGGAGAAGCCGTGGCCGTAGGCTGGGACGCCGAGGACGAGCTGCGAGGCGGGCATACCAGAGGAGATCCACTTGGCTACGCCCTCATCGCCAGCGCCTTGGTTGTTGCGAGGATCGCAGGATCGAGACAGCGGGGCGTTAGGTCCGGCAGTAGGGGACCAGGCGCCGTAGAGATCGTAGTTCTAGAGGATGTTAGTGCTATCCAAGAGTATTCCATTACAGGTTACCTACCATGATCATGATATAGTCCAAAACATCAGAAAAGCCAGAGAGATCCTTGGACGCAGCGCCAGTCTTGTCGTTCCAGGGGAAGAGAGACCCAGCGGCAGTGAGGAAGAGCTTCTTGCCCACAGAGTCCTGGCGGAGCTCTTGGAGGAACTTGAGGAAGTTGGATGTATCATTATCATTGATCGCATTGCAGCCGAGACCCTGGCGGTTGGGGTACTCCCAGCTAGATAAGCTTCATCAGTATATAACATGACACACGTACGGATGGACTTACTCAAAATCGATACCATCCAAATCGTGCTCCTTGACGAAATCGACGCAGGTCTTGACAAAGGCGGTGCGGTTCTTCTCGGAACCGAAGTTGGTGGAAAAGTACTTGCTTCCAGTCCAGCCACCAATTGAGATCAAAGCTTTAACTCCCTTTGATACAGAGTTAGTTGAAACCTTTAAATGACTATGCAAAATAACATACATTCTTCTTGGCAGCGTCAACGAAGCAAGTAAGTTCCTCAGGCTGTGCGCGAGAAACATCCAGGCCTCCTTCGGCAGTGGTTTCACTATTGCCCTCAATCAGCTTAATTTCTTTATGCAGACGGAAGATACATACGCGAAAGCATATTTGACGTCGGTGAATTTATCCCATGGCATAGACGAAACAGGAAATCCTCGATTGGCGTGGAAGCCAGCAAAGTAGGTCGAAGCAACAAGGCCCGACTGGCTAGCAGCGGCGCTAGCTCCACTGAGGCTCAGAAGGCCTACCAGTGAGGCAGACAGTGTTTTGAATGAAAGCATGGTGAAGGAAACTGGACGATAAAAGAATGTATGAAGTTGAGATTTGAAAAGAGTGTACGAACAACAACCGTTTTTATGAACAAGTTGGGGGTCGTCAGCAACTATATATATCCCTCGGCCCTTCTCATCTCTCTTGACCATGAGGTGGTATTACGCTGGAGAACTAGGCTGTGTAGGGATGCTTTGCCCTGTTCCGTAAGCCGATCTCACCTCATGTTACCGTCGTACTATAGTAAGCTTTGAACATATCCTAGTCCATAATACTTTACATTAAAACTCGTTCAATGCAGGACAAAAACCGCCATAAATTAAACCTCAAACCCGGTCCTTCCGTGCCGGTTCCTCAAGCCATTGCGGCAGTTGGGAGATCATCTCCTGCATGTTCCATCTAGAGCTTAGCCTAAAGCTTATTCCGCCTACTCCCCGCTTCCAGAAGCTCCCTGTCATTTCCGCATCTGCCGTGCTTCGGCTCGTGCTTTGGTGCAATTCACACGTTCGAACAGCTTCTGCCGGCCAGTTTGCGGGCGCTGGTATGGCTGTTTCACCCTGAAGTTGACGCGTTGGGTAGTGGCTTTAATAGGGGAGGACGTCATGGCGGATGTTTTGTCTGTCTTTGGCGTCGATTGCTCGGCAAAGACGGTGATCTTACCAGCAACCCTTGTGGTGATTAGTACTTTCGGCAACACTTCCCCCCTGTTTCAGGAAAAGTCGAAAGTCATTCGACTCGTAAAAGAGCATATAAGAAACAGGTTCTTTCCGCTGCTATCTCTCATTTTCGTCTCAATTAATTCTCTGTTCCGTGAGAGGTAGTCCGTGGAGGGCGAGACGATTTTACTCCGTCAGAGGCAGATAGTTAGTATCCAGTAATTATCATAGCTAAATCTCATTGCACCCTACATTTATTGCTATATATGAACTAAGACCTAGGAACATCGAAGCTGTCTTGATGCAAAGATCGCTTTGTCTATTACGCACGGTTATTTACATCAGGTAGTCTTCACGAGGGATCTTCCCAACACATCGTTCAGGATTCAGTCCCTCGATAAGCGAATCCTTCCCGCCTTTATTTATCTTCGTTCCATGTTAATAAGCCATTCCCATAGCACCAAACGGAGCACTTACATTATATGGCAGTCCTCATGATATCTGGGCCCGATTTCACGTCAGACATCGGTGCAATTACGTGCAAAGGTTCCGAGAGGAAAACAGCTCTGGATATAGAAGCTTCTCCTCAAAAATGAATTTAAAAGAAATATAAGTCTCATAATTATTATAAAAGTTGATATAAAGACATAAAATCTTTATAAAATGAGAAGAGTTTGTCGCAGCTTATTAAACCCAGGTGAAATTTGTTAGAAAGGAAATCGTCGGAACTTTACACGGCCACTGGAAAAGCTCCAGCTAAACTCTTTCCAGCAAGCTCGGGTTCTCCTTCCCTTTGCACTCATCTATACATTTCCCCACGCGCTAAAGAGTCATTGGATGTGTGGGGATGAGGGCCAGTTCTTATCTCATCACCAGCGACGATAACCGCCCCTCTCCAGGAATTGGACTGTTTTGTCAGCGGATAGTCTCGTGTCATCATCGGGATCACTATCTCTCTTAATCTTGGGCTATGCTGTATCGAAGGATCTCGGCACAGCCGGGGGCTTACCTTGCTGTCATACTCAGCCGAGTGACGGCTCAGCCCGGCTCTGGCTGATAGGATCTGATCATACTCTTTGGGTTATGACACAAAGGGGACGTATTCTGGAATAGTTCCCGATCGATGCATTTGGTTGAATCATGTCATTATCCAAAGTGGAAAGCATAGAATCTGGGGAAATGAGTAACAGTTTCCGAAGCAATTGTAAATATAAAGAGTCTTGAAGACGGCATCAATTAAAACTTCAATCACTTGACAATCACACTCAACTCAAACACTTGACTTCAGACTCTTCCTGTTACAGTCTTATCAATCTCTACAAATCCTTCTCTACACTTGCAACTATGGCCGCCCTCAACGCAGACACCCTTAACATGTCCTTGTTCTTCGGAACAGAGGCCCAGAAGCAAGATTTCTGCGACTCCCTCCTACGCATGCTCAAGAAGCGAGGAGGTGTCAAGCTCCAGAACCACGACATCCCCTCGGAAGACATCCACGAACTCTTCGCTCAGACGAAGCGCTTCTTCGACCTCCCCCTTGAGACAAAGATGATCGCCAAGCACCCTCCCCAGGCTAACCCCAACCGCGGCTACTCCTTCGTCGGCCAGGAGAACATCGCCAACATCAGCGGCTACGAGAAGGGTCTTGGACCCCACACGACCCGCGACATCAAGGAGACGGTCGACTTTGGCTCTGCGAATGATGAGCTTGTTGATAACCTCTGGGTTCCCGAGGAGAAGTTGCCTGGCTTCCGCAAGTTTATGGAGACTTTCTATGAGAAGGCTTTCAAGACTGAGCTGATACTTCTGGAGGCTCTTGCTATTGCTCTCGGTATCTCGCCTGATCATCTCAAGTCTCTGCACAACCGCGCCGAGAACGAGTTCCGCATTTTACACTACCCCGCCGTCCCAGCTTCCGAACTCGCCGACGGTTCCGCCACACGTATCGCCGAGCACACCGACTTTGGCACCATCACCATGCTCTTCCAAGACTCCGTCGGCGGTCTGCAGGTTGAGGACCAAGAAAACCTGGGCCACTTCAACAACGTCGAGTCCGCCGCGCCCACAGACATCATCCTCAACATCGGTGACTCCCTCCAGCGCCTGACAAATGATACCTTCAAGGCGGCTTGCCACCGTGTGACATATCCCCCCTCGATCAAGGCCGGGGATGGCGAGCAGGTTATTCCCGAACGTTACTCGATTGCCTACTTTGCCAAGCCCAACCGCAGCGCTTCTTTGTTCCCGCTCAAGGAGTTTATTGAGGAGGGTGTGCCGTGCACCTATGAGGACGTTACTGCTTGGGAGTGGAACAACCGTCGCATTGAGAAATTGTTTTCCGGGGCCTAAGTGGATATGACAGCAATGGAACAAAACAGATTGTTAAATAGTTAGATGTGATTAAGCATAGCGGATTTTCTACTTATTTACTATTATTATTAAGACTTTTAGACCCTATCGTGATGTCCGGGGAAATGCATCCACAACTGATTCTATCTACGAATACTGCTCACAATGGCGAAGTCCAAGAAGCGCAAACTACTTATGTCTTTATCCATCAAGTCTTGTCCAATATCCTACTTAGGTAATTGGGTCTCTAGTCTGCAGGCACTTCAGATAAAAATTTATTTTATCGCAATTCTGTGCAAAGGCTCCGATAACCGCCATCCTCAAGATCCATAATATTATGTAGTATTATGGAAAACAAGAAGAGTTTCTAATTATTAATAAAAAGTTTTATAAATTATAAAATCAAGAAAATTATGACAAGTTTGCACGCTTGCTATAATCACAGAGACGTACGGATACTGCCCATAGTTGTCTTAGTCCAATGTATCCACAATCCAGACTCACGCCCTTTCTCTTGTCTTTCCCCAGTATTGTCACCATCATGCAGCAAAACCCCATCACGCGAGAAGAAAACATGGAGAACATTCAAAGATTGAAGCTAGAACCTCTTAGCTTCACTCAACCAACCTATAGAACATCACCATTTGGTCTCTTCAATCTCTGATTGGCCAATCCTTCTGCCTCCATCGGCCCAGCCGATAGATAAGCCTTAGCCTAACAGGAAAGAGAACCCGAGCCCCCTTCCTCTTTGACAACCGTTTAAGTAAACTATTCCCCATCGCTGGCCGTTTGGCCTTCCTCATCCGTCTATTTCGCCCAGAGGAAACAATTGACTAAGTACCCATGGCCAACTCTCGATCCAGACGAACGCATTCTTTCGGCGGGTGCAAGACCTGTCGGAAACGGCATCTCAAATGCGATCAGTCTCTGCCGAGGTGTAATCGATGTCGTCAGGCTGGCTTGGACTGCGAGGGTTTCACTCCCGCCTTGAGGTGGTTGATATCGACGGGTGCAGAGGTTTATGCAAAGCAACCACCTCAGACCGCTGAGGTTGGGGCCGAGCAATATTCTAGAAGGCATTTGTTCACTGGTAAGTTGTCTGTTCTATTACTGAAGATACGTGCTAATGTTGTGAAGAGGAAGATAGAAAGTTCATGAGCAATGCTCTATTAACTGATGTCCCTTCTACTGTAACCGCAGCTCTCAATCAGATCGATGAGGAGTCAAAAGCTCTCGACGTCAAAGACGATGCACCAATCATTTGCGAGGTCGGTCCTTTCCAAGTCTTCAAGTTTGAGTCCAGCCGATCGACCACAACGCCCATCTCAGACCATGTCTCTTTCAACGACATGGATCTCGACACCCTAAGCGAAGTCCAAACTCAGGATTTCTCAGAGCCTATCGACAATGATGTGTCTGAATCCATCATCCCGAATGACTACTCGTCAACTTCGCTCGATTTTCTGCACTGGGGCGATTTGTTCACCTGGGACGTTAGTGTTCTTGATAACCCGCCCCAACTCTCTTACGATAACTTCGACACGCTGCCCGTTAATATGAACTGGCCAAATGAGTCGAATATGAGTTTCTCTGATTCCTTAGACACCATGATTCCTTTCGAGCCTGCTAGCGATGACGTAGCGTGGCCGCAGCTAGATCTCATGACGGATGCTCCGCTGCTTCTGAAGCACTTCAACGACGATGTCATCAGTCAAATGGGCTCTTTACCCATCAACGAAAAGTCAGCCTGGAGGACGCTTCACTATCCATCGGCCATCATGACTCTGAGCGAGTTAACCATGCTGGAAATAAACAAGGACCAGATCAAGCGCGCCAACTTAGCTACGTTTTACGCGTTGATAGCAGTTTCGTCCTTTCATCTTTCGTTAAATCCCATCACTTTCCCAAATTTCACACGCCCGGGAGATCACTGGAAATCGGTGTCGAGTCGGACATACGAAGCGGCAAAACAACATCTCAAACTCAGCCTGGAGAAGGAATCTCAGCCTGGACCACACAAGGCAAAGTACAAAGAGCAGTTGATGGGTATAAGTGCCGTACTGGCAACAGCAGTAAGTTCATTCAATGACAACCCAACTTGCAACGTAAATCTGACATTTTCAGCTTCTCTCCGGCAACGAAACAGACACTCGGTGGTGTCTCACGGAAATGGAACGCCTCATCAGCTGGCGCGGTCTCACAAAACCAAGCATATCCCGCCGCGCACGCCTCCTCCACAACATCTACGCCTGGATGCGCATCGTCTCCGAAAGCCTCAACGTCTACCGCGACGAGAATCACACCATAGAAGCACCATTTGCGCGCCCTAATGGGAACAACGCGCGCAGTCAAAGTGCCAGTGTTCCCGTTCAGTCGATCAACCCTGACATGACGCTTGATAACTTCCTCCATCTTGAGCCGCGCAAGTTGCATGGTCAGAAGCAAAGGCGTGATATAAAAGATATCCATCTGGCGGATGCGTCGCAGGATCATGAGAATATGTACATGCAGATCTACGGTGTTCCAGAGACGTGGCTTAGTCTCGTGTCGCAAATCACTCGTCTTGCAAATGTCATGGATAGGCTATCGGCAAGTAAGAAGACTGACGCAGAAGCCCTCATGTCACTACAGCCAAGGGCCTCATACCTAGAAAACGCCGTTTGCCTATTCCGCTCTCGTCACAGCGAAAGCTCAACGATGAGCGCAAGCCCCAGCTCAGCGCCTGGCGGAACACCACACATGCACATGGTTCGCGCACTGGCTTCGGCGCTGGTGATATTCTTCTACCGCCGGATCCGCAACGTGAACCCCCTCGTTCTGCAAGACAGCGTGAACGACGTGGTGAACTCGCTGCACGCGTTTGACGAGGCGCTGGAGAGGAACAATCTGCTCGGGCCGGGGACGGCGTGGCCGGCGTTTATAGCAGGGGCGGAGGCGAGACAGCGGCAAAGGCAGGATATCGCGGATTGGTTAGACAAGGGGTTCTCGAGGTCTGGATTTGAGAGTTACAGAGCTTCGAAGGAGGTGTTGACGGAGGTTTGGAGGAGGAGGGATGAGGCGGAGGGGATGCCTTCGGGGGATGTTTGTACGTGGATGGAGGTGTGTAGGGATCTACATCGCTGGCCGTTGGTCTCGTGAGATGGTCACTTAAATGAGTTATGAAGCTATGTACAAGCAGTTATGTATTTGATGTCTTGTGGCTAATGATTGGATATGCATTGGCACATTACTTGATGTTTATGCGTGGTGCGACCGATGCAGTTATTGTGGTACTGCAGAAAGTCTATGCTATTCACATCTGTTGATACAGTCGCGAGCTTATCATTGCGCAGATCAGTGTGAAAGCAGGCAAGAAACCCTGGGCGGAAGTCGCTTGTGTAGCCCTCGAACCCCCCCCCCCCCCCCCCCCCCATTCCGCCAGTCAGCACCGCCAACTCTTGCTATGACAGTGCGACCCGACGGCTATCCTTCAAGTTGGCCTGGAGATGGGGGTGTCGTGCAGCCATATCATATTGGCTGAGCCGATGGATGGGGGTGGCCAAACGGAGATGAGAGACTCCTCATTCGGCTGCTAGTATCAACTCGCTTCGTTGGGATTCCGCCACATATTGTCGAATCTTGTCGAGTTTGAGTGACGACTTCCTCCGTTATGGTATGTATGATGGTATTTTGCAACTGCGATGTCATGTTTCATCGCTGCCAACATCAGTTCAACCCACCTCATTGTCAGGCTGAAACCCTGCAAGGACACTCTTCTGGAACCAAGGAACATAAACATCCCTCGCCCATCTCGCCAGCTCCCTAATCCCCGCAACAACCGCATACGTATCGAGGATACTCTGCGTTGTACCAAACTGTCTCTCAGTCCAGAGAACAGTCTTGTCCCCCTCTAGCGTCGAAAAGACAAATAGCCATCGATGTCCCTGGACGATAATACCTGGTATGAACCCCAATTCCGCCAATGCAGCATTCGCCTTGTCCTTTCGCAGCACTTCTTCCTCCGCTGTCAAAGGCTGCGGCGTGAGGCCAATTACGGAGCGTAGGAAAGCCCATTGCGCTGCGTGCCAGACACCCATCTGCAGCTGCGCCGCGTCGAGTTCTTTGCCGGGACGCTTAGTCTCGATGCTGAGAACAATGGGGGAGAGTTGGAGAGGGGCGAAGTCGGTGTGGTTGACAGTCAGGGTGGGTGTTCGGCGGCCGAGGGCTTGAAGGGCGATGGAGTCGGTGGGTTTGAGGTAGAGGCAGAAATCGACCATTTTCGCTGTGGACGAGTACGGCACGAATCGTCGATGCGGACGCGCGGTGGTGCTGGGACTAGTTAGCTAGGTGAGGTTATCGTAGGACTGGATGCGTACCATGTAGTGAAGTTGAAAGGTGTTCCCGTGGAGTTATTGGGCTCCCTTAGAATGGATTGTAGAAGACGGTGATGAACCTCCATATTCCATGCTATCTCCTCATGGCTGGTGTCATGACAATGGCGCGCAAGGTCGCAGACGAGGGAGACGTCTTCTGGTGAGGGTATTCGACCAGGTAGCGAATCCAAAACTCCCTCTTCCTTGAACGCAAACTTCCAGAGTCTCGTATTCTGACTTCGCACCTGCGAGCTCTCCAGGATGGTACTCTTCTGTGCGTAAGGAAGTATCTCAATGCCACTGCCGATTTCCCGAATCGTATCAAGAAGACCAGCAACAACAGAAGGCGCAGTATCTATATTCAATTGTCGACACTCCAACCCTCTCTCCTCTAATCGCAACCCCAGCATTTGTTTCTTTGGCGAGTTCGATCGAGAAGCTCCATCACCAGACTCGGACCACGACATGGATGAACCGGTGCTAGAAGCAGGAGGAGGAAAGTCGACAGCGCGTGGGGTACGATTCAGATCAACAAGACGTCGTCTTTTGGGAGTTGTGCCGTCCATGGCGTTGGAGTCTTGATCTGACGCTGGCGGACTGGGTTCTTGCTGGGCAGCTTTTCGCTTGTGGTGGGTTTTGTTATTGGGGGTTTGCGCTGGTTCGTACACGTCGGGGGTGGAGTCGAGCCAGGCCCTTACGCGCTGGGTATCGAGCATCGCGGTAGTTAAGGAAAGGGCATTATTTTGGTGCTATTGATGATTGTTCATGGTTGATTTGGCTGAAGATTGAATTGATGTCGCAAGCGGGAATGCTCGCCGCATGTTGGCGCGACAACAGACGGGCCCCACCAAGTTATAGTGGCGGCATGTTGGGTCGCCTAGTGCAACACCAGATTCAAGAAATGCCGAGACGAATAGTATTTGTAGAGATGATTGCTGAGTATATTCAAATGCTCGCAATAATGGATAGAGTCCCTGTTGAGTGAAGATGGCAATGTTCAGGAACTCTATATTTATCACGCGACATCCGACATCGCAAGCGCATTCCATTCCGCCACTTGCTCACTTTGTGTTTTAATCATCAATGAACTATAATAAACTCTGTAGATTTTATACAATCTTGCCAGACCGTATCCTAAGATTACATGTAAAATATTCCAAATATTATATATCTTCTATTTCTCTGCCATTCTACATATCCTTATATGACTTGCTACTGGAAGATCTGCGCAGAACTGGACATGAACGGCTTATCGATACCAATCAGATTGCACAGCGTTCACTGAGCTGAGTGATGTCGCCCATCCCTAAAGACGTCACAGGCGTTCTCTTGCATGGCCGTTTATTTATGGTTGCTCACCACTGTTGATCAAGGAAACGTTCAGGCGGTAACTCATACAGCACCTCACATCATCTTCAGCACAATCCTTCAAATACGGGGTATCATTAATTAATTATCTTCGCTAATCTTCCTCAGTATTGCAAGCTATACAGTCTCGAAATACTTCACCGTGGCCTTGGACGTATCAGGCGATAACACAACAGGCATTTGCGCACCAGCGGACGATGGTAAACTTGGTAGATCATAGAAGTCCCCCTGGTTTGTAGCATTTGACGGTGATCTTTCCGGCCGGTCATCGTGTTGTCGTTTCAAGTCTTTTACAAGAGCGTAGAAGAAAGGTGTGTTCGCGACCACGCAGGCGCACATAATCTCAATTGAAGCCCACTACCCACATCAGCACGGCGCGAGATAGCGGAGGGGGGAGTCTTACCAATGATCGAGACTTTTGAGAAACAGATTCGTTGAGGATGAGGGGGAGGCGGAGGATGGTGATGGCGACCAGGACAGCGCCCACGCTGAAGAGGATACCAAGTTGTAATTTTTCTTTGAGATCAAGTCGTAGATGTCTTAGCATCGGAAAAGGCAGAATTATTAGAGCTATGTTTAGGACGATGTTGCAAACCGCCATCAAGATCAAGTTTCCCACTGCGCGATTGCATGCGGCTTCTGTAAGCACGTTAGCTGACATCCTGAGGGTGGCGAATTTGAGAGTATTACTGTTATCGTCGCGATTGAGCGTCCACATTCTAAGTAAAAGTCAGCTATGCCCTTCAATCGTGGTTGTAGACTACGTACAGCGACAGCGGACGGCATTCCGCCAGAATTGTGATTAAAACAGCGACAAAAGTGACGACGATGAACCACCAGAGCGTATCGGCAACAGTTTTGCCCCAGCGGAACACATCTATGAAGCGCGAATAAAAGGCCAGTAGCCCCAGCTTCAGACACCATAAACTATCCCAAATCAGCATTACATCTCTCTTCCGACGGCGCAATACGCACAACAGCGCATAGAAGATCCGCGCAGGTATGAGAAGCTTATGCGAAAGCTCCCGACGGGCATCAATTTCGGCGACGCTCTGGCCCCATGTTTCGGCCTCGGCTTCGGTGGCAGGATCGTAGGTATGGTTCGGGTTGAGTTCGAACGAGTAGAGAATACACAGAGCGCGACCGATGAGAGGCAGGATGGCAATGGTCATGTAGAAGTCGTCAATGCGCCACCGGCGATGACAGGTTCGGTGGATGTGGCATCGGAAGACCACGCGGTAGGCACAGCGGGCGAGGATAAGGGCGGTGCACACGCTGGTGGTCGTGATGGTGAGGGCTGCGTCCGAGGACGATGCCATGCCTGCTCATTGTCGTGTTGCTGTGATGTATATGTAGGGCATTGTGCGTGTTGAGAGTTCGAAGGGCAAGTCAGAAAACAAGATACTCTAGGAACGGGAAGATTGCCGTTAAAGGGCGGGGAACGGGGAACGGGAACGGGAAACGGGGAACTGAATTGCCCTTATTCCAATGTGTGCTACGTCAAGGATCCGGGGTAGACGAGCAAGACCCATGACTCGTTGGATTGATGTCAATGGATTGGAACTAACGGTGGCTAGCTTTTGCCAAGCAAGCCATGGCACCGGTAACGGGCATCGTTGGAGCGCTAATAACCGCCTTGGGAGTAAAGTGACCTTGTTCTGGCCGCTTCTCTTCGATTCGTTTCAGTTCAGAGACTCCCTGACATCCGCACAGATGGAATTGGTGCAGTTTGTTCCGACGATCCGTGCATGTTCGCTTGCAGGGACGTTTGACACCTTAGATTGGGCGCATCGTTGTCTCAGATGGGAACTAGTTTTGATTGACGGAAACTGAGAATGGGTCGTATCCAGTGTAGCATCGCAAGGGCGGTTAAATTAGCGCTTTCTCATTGGAACTGGGAGTAGCGAAAGTTTAAATGTCAGTGAAATTACTCTATGGATACCATGGCCCTCCTCATTTGGAATCTGAAATGCTGGACATTACCGTACTGGGACATCCCATTGCTTTGACCTGTTCTATCTCATGCACGGCCTACAATCACGCATTCGAGCTTTGATCTTTGATGCACCGTTTTGAATCGTGAAGATCATGTGCACAGACTTTCACTTGTTCTCCAAATGGCGCCAACATCGCGTGATCGTCGTGGCCTTGACGGCCGTTCGCAAGCACTTGCGGTCGCTAATCGGTGTCATGGGACGGCCTGCAGATAGGTGCTGCACTAGCATTATTAACGGATTGGCATCGTACACGCTAATTGAATGCAACTACAACTACGGATATCGCGACGCGTAAAAGCTCATTGCTGTGAACACATTGGGCTCCCAGGAAACAATTCTTGGGCGATGAATGTGTGACTGCGTGAATGAATAGCAATGCGATTAGCAAATGACACTTTCTCTCGTACACAGTAAATAAAAGTGTTAAAGACGCGGCGTCGACTGTGAACCTACCCTAAACCGTCCCAAGTATTGTCATTACTGGTCAAATTGACCATTTTCACGAGACGGTCAATGAACAAAAGAAAGACTCAATTGATTTGATGTCCTTGTAGGTCTCTCATCATGTTCAATGCTTCTAACCTACTTAATACAATACAACATAACTTCAAGTTGATGACAGTGGCGTTTATTGCTGTTCCCCGCGCAAATTCGAGGGAAAAACCAACTAAGAAGATTGTAGAATATGGACTAAACAGAAGGATTTTAGAATAACTTAGGATAAGGTCATGAAGAATTTTATAGAACTAGGAAGTCATGATGATTTATACAACATTGCTACTAGGAAAGTCAATGATGCAGCGGACGCAGACTGAGTGGCTTAGAAATCGAAGCCGACCAGTGGCTTCGTTGGAGGAGAACTCGATCTTCCGTGCATTTTCCTAGTAGATGCATAGATCCAGTTCAAATCTCGCGATATCGAGGCTCCTCACTCCCTAGACATTAACCGTACTTTCTTTGCCGACCAATTTGAAGTTTTCGGGCATTGGGCGTGGAACAGTTGAAGTGACGGTGGCTGTGGTTGTGATGTCTACATCAATGCCTGCCTCGATGCCTGTCGAGGTGGTGGTAGTAGATCTAATGATCGTGGCGTCTGTTGCGAAATACAGGACAGCTGATGGTGATTTTAAGCTCTAAGAACTCGCTGAAGGGCATGGTCCAGCGAGGACGGTGTGGAAAGACAACACCAAGGCTGAGACAAGCAGCGTGGAGGATACCATTATCGCTGAGGGGAATGAAAGTAAGAGAGTGTGTGAGATGAACTTCAATGGGAAAAGTATGGGATAGAGAGTCGTTTATAATCATTACTGGGTTCAGCTGCCAAGTAAATTAATTCACAACGAGTTGTCTATACATCATCTCTCACAGCAGCGAAGAGCAAAGGCTAACCCATGAACGGACAAGAGAACCCCTTCTGACAAAGCCGCACAGGTCGTCACCACACCAATCTGAGTTCAAAAATAACAATTTCAGTCCCCATAAACTACACGTTTCACCACGAGTATGCGTCAACCTCAAGTTCAAACACAGTCTTCGAGTGTCGACCCATTCCAGCCACAGCCGCGCGCACATCATCACATAATGATCCCGGTCCAGAAACTACAATACCAACTCGTTTCCAACCTGCTGATGCCTCGTCATCAAGGAGCGAAGTAACATCAAATCTTGATCCCACTCGAATATCAGTCTGTGCCGTGGTCAAGGAGTCCAGCGCTGGCTCGAGCTCATGAACTAAACATCGAGCATCTTCCTTTACGCTCCAAGCCAGTTTCACGTTCCAGTGATTATGGATGAGCGCAAAGAGACTTGTGATGCCGACACCACCAGCAATAAGGAGCAGTCTGTCACATCGAAGGATTCCTCGTGTGTCGCTGCCTGGGTAAGGGCCTTCCAGGAAGGTAAGTAGCTTCTCATGGCTTTGCAGGTACTTTGTGATGCCTGTTGACTTCTTCACGAAGAGTGTCACCCCAGCCAGGTTCTCAGCCATTGGCAACGAATTGCCAGGCATAGGTAACGGCTGTCCGACTTTGATATGTGTTGTCGATTTCTCTATGTCTTCCAGTCCAGAAGAAGCACCTGGAGAGGTGGGAGAGATGGGGGATGATGGCGTTGCATGTCTTCGAAGAACAACCGTCGGAATAACAGAGAAGGGATGATTCTCCCAGGGTCGCATAGTCGCAAGAGTAGGGAAATAGACAAACACATGCTTGCCGGGATCCAAGCCCCAGCGGACGCTTGGGACGTCAATACGGACGTACCCTGCTCCAATGTCCTTGACTTTGGATCTCAGAACTCCCAGTCTAAGTATTCTCACGATGCGTACAAATCGCTCAAAGACCCAGACGGCAAAGGCAAAGTAGAGCCAGATCTCGTGACCCGATGTGTATCCCGGAGAGTGAAGGCGAATAGAGGCATATCGCCGTATCAGATGGTACCAGCATCCGACAACTATGAGCACGGCAACGATGATGTGCAGGAGTAGGAAGAGCTCGTAGTTGGCCTTTCGCACATATAAGCCACTTCCCAAGCAAGTAACAACAGCGAGCACCGTTGTAGCGTCACCCCAGCGTCTCCAGTCTGTGCTCCCAAGCTTGTTGTTCTGTGTCCCCATGTTGCCCGCCACAGCGAGGATTGAATGCAGAACAGCGAGGAATGCAAATAGTCTTCCTAACCAGCGGTGAAGCAGTATAAATGTTGAGCGTGACCAGTTGGATAGCCATAGCAGAGCGTTGTTTCTCGACGGGAAGAGGATGATCACCGGAAGGATCGCAAAGGCGAGAGCTCCAGTGCGATAGACAATGTAGGCGAGAAGTTCCCGTTTCGCAGTCTCGAATCGGGAGTTGGGCTGACGGACTTCGTAGCCCACTGCAACGCCGACCACAGTGAGAGCGACAAAGAACGTGATATATAAAGCCTGGCCTACAGTGGGCGCATTGCCAAGTGTGTATGGCAACGGGTGCACAGAGTAGGTGCCGATCAGGCTTGGGTAGACGATGTATGGCTTGAGCTTATCGTAGACTGAAGGAATGAGAGGGAAGAACCCAAGCCATGTTGTTAGAATTGGTATTCCGACCGCGACGACAACAAGAATGATACTGTTCGATGGAAGTCAGCGTTACTCGTCTCAGGCAATATAGTGTAACTTACCCATATCTTGAACCCATCATCATCTCATGCTTCGAACCATCTAGCGACTGGAACTGTTTGAGGTAGATGATTGGCTCGACTATCGAGGTCCTGTTGAGAACCATGTCCGTCATGTTGAGTTGATACCGAGGTGGTTGGGGGTCAACCTCAGCAAGAGCCTGAGCGTAGGACCACTTCGCTGAAACACTCTCGCTACCCGTCAACCAATCCTCCCAGTAGCCCTCGATCTTGGACGCCTTCTCGTCGGCACACTTTTTCTTGATGCACCATGCCATGGAAGTCAAAAAGGCAGTGTCGTTGGCCCGACAAGGCGGTTCGGTACGCATAGTTTTGAAGTCTCCGTGATGCATGGTCGAGCAGGACAGCATGAGAAGACTGAGGGTTCGGAGACACGCATCGGCGCAAACTGGATCAGTGGTAACTAAGCCGTAGGTAGTGAGGCCCATGGTTGATGCTGAGCATGCCTGTACAGCCAGCAGTAGCCAGAGGGTAAGGCTATGTACCAGCTTCATAGTGCTGCCTGTCCCTTGAAGGTCCATTATGGTTTGCTTTGTGCATGTACGGAGAGGGTAAAAGCAGGCTGCGAAGGCAGGAACCTTGTGCTGATCTCTGAAGTATAGAAGTGGTGATATATAAGTCTTGGTCTGTCAAGATCTTATCTGGTTGAGGAATGCTCGATTTATACACCAACTTGCCATCCCGTTCGGCTCAAACCTTACAAGGCTGGGGTCACGTCCCACCGACTGATCGAGATCAAGTTTACCTACAAAGACAACTACCTACCTCTGCGATTTTCCATGAAGCCCATAAAACAAACCTTGGCCTCGGGACACCATCAGGTTTCCAGTCCCTTCGATCCGGCTCGACCATCTCTCCGGGTACACTTTCAACTTGCAGTCCTCAGAATCATTTTCAAATACCTACGTTGTCTGCCTCCTCCGCCTCCGGGCCTTTTGTGGAAGGAATATTCAAAAGCAGCGAGTGGTCACCGAATCTGGCCTGTGATGTTTCAAAGACTTCCCTGGAGAGCGTTGCAGCGCGGGCCGTCTTTGCCGACAGACCTTCTCAAATTGCCAGTGGGACAGGGTCGTAGTGCATCTGCCAGCGTAGCAGAGCAGCCCTGGACTCTCTCGGTAACGTCGCTTCAAGTGCACAGTAGCATTTTCTGTTGGTATTCATCCAAAGTGTGAAAGTCGGCGAGACTGGCCTACACGGGCTTACACGCTTTCTTGGTGTTGCGACCACATAGATGAGAAGGGAAAACGTGCTGACCACGAGTATAGTATAATCGTACCACTGGGACGTACAAAGCCCGGAATGGAACAGATAATCCGTTTTGGTGGCTGCCATTATTGAGCCCAGAATCTCAAATACGCCAAGGTAGAGGTGGAAAGACGGGAGTATATGCCGAGAATTGTAATTCACAATGTCAGTTGACTCTATCTTGCGTGCTCTAGATCTACCCTTTATCAATCACTCGGCCATACCCGTCGTATCGAGTTTCACGTTTGCATACCGAAACTTTATACCAGCCAATGGAGAAATTCGGAGGAACATATTCCGAGCGGGTTTATCAGATAGCAAGTTCTTGGCAGCCATCTCGCTAAGATTGCGAGATCGTGATTAAAGGTTTGGGCTACCAAGGCCCGTTGCTTCGCCTCCAGCCGAGAATGAATTTCGGAACTGTACATTCCGAGAGGTCTTGTATATTTCCCCACGTTATGAACCTCATTGGATGATGCAAAGAGCGGCAGAGGTAATTACCCGAAGGAGATCGGCTGCCTCAAGAGAAAGGCCGAAAGGATCTCCACGTGTCCGTGACGAATGCCGAGACTATCATATCTCTTGGTTCCTTTGTTGGGATGCATAATCGGGCACAGTTGGATATTCCACCGTGCTTGGGAGCCTGATTAATGAGTGTCGTGAAAAGAAGTTAAGAATGCGATTCAATGTAATGATTATCAAGAAATTGATAATTTTGCCAGTATAGCCAAAATGCATGTATATGTCGGTTGATATAATAGGAGACACGTGATATGCATCGCTCTCTTATCTGTGGGTTATGCACCTCGGACCCTATGCGTTGGAGTAAATACGACGTCCTCATTTCACCCCTTCCACTGTCAAATAATTACTTCTAGTCACGTATTGATACGACCTTGATTAAACGTTTAGGATATCTCATTAATCTTCATATATGCATTGCAGAAGTAGAACAAAGCTGGGTCGATTTTACCGCGGCTTATCAAAGTGGGAAGTTCTCTGATACATTCAGCTTGTAGTCAGCTATTAACCTCATACCAGATTCAATTTCTGGAATTACAGTCACTAGCTAAGCGAGATGTAATTCGCTGAAAAGAATCTCGAGTACCCTTGTGTGAAATGACAGCGCGACGAAACGAGAAGGCGGCAACACATCAAACCTATATGTGTAAATTTATATACCAGGCTCTCTCTGGTAGACATTACCGGCGTCTAGTTTCGCAGTGGAACATTTCATGGGTATTGTTCAGACTTCTTCCACTGAACTATGTTCATTATGAGCCCAGGGGAACAGCAAGCAATGCTCGGCGTAACGGCCCTCAATGCTTTCCTAACCACAATATGATAGAACTTCAACCATGGATCATATTGGAAGTTGTCAGAAGGGGAATCATGCTCACTAGTGATGTGAAAAAGTCGTAACATCTTCCTCTCTTCTACTTTATGTCCCTGGTTGGCTTGCTTTCGGGAGATTTGCAAAGAACTACAAAAAGCCTCGGCATGGTTCGAAAGATTATGATAGTGTCCCAAGAAGCTATCAAAGAGGAAAGGAAGACGAAAGGGAAATGTCCTACCCAAAGCTCGCGAATTAAAAATAGTAATTGTGCCCCAAGTGCACAATCCTTAATCTTCAACTTGGACTCCAGAATTTCCGCGTCTCTCTGAAGATTCCAAACAAGGTTTGAGACTACGACACGCTTTTATAGTAGCGCATCGTGTGTCTAGCCTGCCAGTTTTCATCTTGCAGGACATAAAACGACCGTACGTTGGCGCATTCATTCATAGTAGGAAAATGCCTGTTTCTGTTGCCCAAATCCTGGGATCAAGATCACGAAGCCCTGCGATAGCTTGCTCAATAGCATTGAAACGACAAGTCTTGGAACGAGAAACAACAATTGCGGGGCAAGAAGGCATTGGTCTAAATCCTTGAATGGCCAATGGCTTCTGGCACTTCCTGATTTGTTTCATAAGGGATCTATGGATATCAATTACTAAGAAGACCTTGAATGGATTCTATATATGATTAAATGATATCATTAAAGATTAGAAAGTAAAGTTTTAGGATGATCAAGCTGAGCTAACAAGTCATTATTTCAAATAGCTTTTTGAGAGACTCGTTCTTTTAAGCGCTAGTATTTGGAATTTTGTATCTTATCAGCTACCGACTTTCAATATTTAATTGCGAAAAGGATTAAGCTTATTAGCAATAACTTCGCATACATTTCTTGGCTCCAAACCGCTTCCAAACAATGACCTCTCATTGACAAGCCGATTTTCGGCGAATCGTCTTCGGACCCATTTCTAACCCCCGACTGTCGCTTTCAATGATACCATACTCCACCCGTTCGTGCAAATACCTCTGTCGATCTTGGGGTTTGCACCGATTTGGTAATTCGACCGGGCAAGGCCGACTATCTTGCGGAAAGGAAGTTAATCTCAAAGTCGGAGGTTGAGCGATATATAATTAAGACCAACCCTCATGTCCTCAACTTGTCTTGTGAGATCTGCACCTCAACCATCATCATGAAAGTCCTCTCAAACATCGGGACGCTCCTGGCCCTCTGGCCCGTCCAGCAAGCATCTGGAGCATACTACAACCCCGTCAAGCTCGAGGGATATGGCAGCTTCTCCGGCACCACGATCAACAGCACCTTCACCAAGCAGGAACTGCCAGCGCCGGTAGATGCTTGGCTCGGTATCGACTTTGCAACTCAACCAGGTCGCTTTTACGCTGCGGAGTCGCCAGAGAAGTTCAGAGGTGTCAAGCGTGCTGATGCCTACGGAAAGACCTGTATTCAAGAGGTTACAGCCAAGACCCCAATTGCCTCACAAAGTGAAGACTGCCTCAACTTCAACGTGTTTCGAACAAAGGGTGTACCCTTGAGCAAGAAACTCCCAGTTCTGGTTTGGATCCACGGCGGTGCATTTTATGCTGGAAGTTGGGCTAGTTTTGACGGCGCTGCGTTCGCTGCTTCGTCAAAGGTCCCCATCGTCGTCGTCAATTTCCACTACCGCGTCAATTCGCTGGGCTTCCTCCCGTCCAAGCTCATCCAAGACGAGGGTCTGTCAAACCTGGGTATCCGAGACCAGCGTTTCTTCTTGGAGTTTGTGCAAAAGCACATTGGCGCTTTTGGAGGTGATAAAAATGCCGTCACGATCGGTGGCCGCTCTGCTGGTGGCCACTCAGTAGGCATTCACTATTTCCACAACTATGGTAAGGACAAGAAGCCGTTGTTTGCGAGAGCGATTCATCAATCTGGATCAGTCACTTCGCGAGCCTTCCCTAACGTGACTTATCCTTTATATAAGCGCCAGTACGACGAGTATATCACATACCTTGGTTGCGATGAGGAAAAGTCGGATAAAGCTACCCTCAAATGTCTCCAGGAGGTGGATATCAACAGTGTCAGAAACATCAGCACTAAACTGTACCACGATTATGATCCGCAATTAACGTGGCCATTCCAACCAGTGCATGGAGGACCTCTGTTTGAGAAACCCGGCTCTCAATCTGGCTACGACGGAACCTTCTTCCACGTCCCAACCATCACTTCCAACGTCAACGACGAAGCCAAGTACTACACACCTGGCGATCTTGAGACAAATGAAGAGTTCTTGGATTACCTGCATAACATCTCACCTGCCATGACCAAGAAAGATCTCAAGGAGTTGAGTGCTTTGTATCCCGATCCAGCGAAATACAAAGATTCTCCTTTCGCAAACTCACCAAACAGCACGCAATACAACCGTTTATCTGCTGCTTGGAGTGACTACGCCTACATCTGCCCTGGTCAAGAAACCGCATACCGAGCATCTATCGCTGGCGTCCCGACATGGAAAGTCCGCTTCAACACCAACAACAGCTTCCCCGCGTGGCAGGGTATTCCCCACACAGCAGACACAGGCTTCACTTGGAATGAACCAACTACACAGTACCCCGAGATCAGTCACATCTACCATGGTTACTTGTCTAGTTTTGTAACTAGTGGAGATCCCAACACTCATAGATACCCAGGTAGTCCGAAGTGGCCAAAGTACAACGGCAAGGAAAAGAAGCCGCTACAGATTGTTGTTCAGCCTAAGGACACAAAGGTTGAGAAGGATGTGATTCGGAAGGAGGCTTGTCTTTGGTGGAGGGATCCTGAGAGGGCACCTCGACTGAACAAATGAGATCTGCGAATGAAACACGAAAAGAGGCTTTAAGGTGCCCTAGAGAAGGGCGATGCGATATGCCGGTATCTTTCTTTCGTAAACATCGAGTTAAAATTAGAAACTACAATTGCAAATCAAACTATCCACTCATCTAAGCACAAAGTCTATATCCAGTCTTTCCATCAATATATCCCCGCAAATCCAATAATCTAAGCCTTAGCAGCTTCGAGGAATCCCTGACTAAAATCATAATCGTTGTACCCTTCATTGCTCTTGGCCACATAAAACGTTTCCCTCTTATAAGGTGTCAAAGGCACGCCATTCTTGACTCGGAACACCAAGTCCGGGTTGGAGATGAACCATCGACCAAATGCAACCACGACATCCCACTTCTGGTAACTCCCATCGACAGCTTGATAAATATTATCGGGCAAGTACCCTCCGCCAACAATGACAGGAGATTGGTTGTTCCACATCTCAAGGAAATAGCCAAGACTCTGCCTCTTATCTCCATAAGGATTGACGTTATCGGAGGCAAGGGTAGAGGGTGCAGCATCAAGGAACGCTGGGTTGCCGCGAGGCTCAACAAGTGAGATGTATGCGAGCTTGTACTCTGCTTTCTTGAGTTCGTCAAATATGTAGCCGTACTGTTCCCATGGATCGGAAGTGTAGGCGGCTTGGAATGTTGAGAAGGGGCTAAGTCGAATGCCAGTTCTCTCAGCACCGATTTCTTCGACTACGGCCTTGACGACCTCGAGGAGGAAGCGAGCGCGGTTTTCAATGGAGCCGCCCCATTTGTCTGTTCGGTTGTTGATGCTTTCGCTTGTGAACTGATCGATCAGGTAGCTACGGGGTGAATTCAGTCATCAGATGTACTCTCAGTGAACTAGTTTTTCTTACCCATGAGCGCCATGGACTTCCACACCGTCGCCACCAGCATCAATAACATTCCTGGCTGCCTGTCGGAAGTCGGCAACCTTCTGCCAAATCTCTTCCTCGGTCAAAGCTTCCGGAGCTATGTTCTTGCCCTCCAACTGGATAGTACTGCTGGAGGAGTATTTGAGCCCACGACTCTTGAGATAGTCCGGATCACCTGCTCTACCGAGATCCCAAAGCTGCTGAAACATGTAGCTGCCTTTGGAATGGACAGCTTCGAAGATTTTCTTCCAACCCGCAATCTGTTCTGGAGAGGAGATGCCTGGAGTGTTGGGGGCTGCTTCTCCTGTCTTTGAGATACCGGTGGCTTCGCCGATGATCAGACTGCCAGGGGATGATGCGCGGTCTGTGTAGTATTTGATCATCAGGTCGAGAGGGAGATGATCATCGCCGTTTCGGAGGCGAGTCAGAGGGGCTAGGGCGATGCGATGGGATAGTGTGACGTTTCCCAGCTTGAGGGGCTTCCAAAGTCTTGATTCGGTGGCCATGATCAATGATGTTTTGGGAACTTGATTGTAGTGTGAGTAATTTGTGGTAAGTTGATGAATTATAAGTAAGTGTGTAATGGTTGTGAGTGATGAGTGAAATTAACCTTTGCAGAGGATATGTGCGCTTTAAATGCTTCTTCCATCGCACAACACATGACCGTCTTTTACGTAGATTATCAAGCACGCTTCCGCTTCCGTGTTCCAGAATTGATAATGGAACGAAAGTTGTCCCGAGATATCTCATCCCAGAGTCATGAAGATGCCCATACGAGGTTGAAAGGCCCCACGGAGTTCCGGGGTGCTTACAAGGTGCAGCCACCATGAACAAAACCCACTCCAACCAGAAACGGTCCCCGCTGGGATGTTACCAGGTGTTTGTGAACGCTTAGAAATTAACCTAGGTAAGAAAGACTAATATTAACCCGTTCATATGCAATGTTAATTAACATCACATCAAGCTTTCGGGTCATTCTTAGATGTTTATTCACTGTGGATGCTGAAACTGGGCTGACCGTACGAACTGACCAGTCGGATTGGAGACAGTATTGCCCGATTCAAGCTTATTGGCCAGCTCTGGAGAACATTGAGTCGGGGCATGCAACTTGCTGATCTCTGAATTATGCAAGCTGAGCCGGCTGATTAGATCTTGCAGCTCTTACAATCAGTCTCTGAATCGGCAATATTACGTGTGAGTGTTTTGATTTATAATTCTAAAAGTATACGCGAAGTCCTCCAAGATCATTCTGACAGTCTAAAATATCCTTCTTCCCTCCCGTCATCATTCTCTCTCCCATTTCTTTACACTGCACTAATCATTCTTCCTGTGGTAGCACAGAACCCATCCAAAGTCAACTGGGTTGGTGCTGATACGCGCAGGGTTGCCCACGGAGAATTCAGTACTGCCGAACTGAATGCCATACTTGTCGTTGTATCGCTGGCAGACAATGTCCTTGATATCAGGCGATGGGATGTCGGGAACATGAACGCTGAGGCTGATCAAGTCAAGTTCTGTGACGTGGTAGTTGAGAGTGGTGAGTTGCGCGAGGGGGATTCGGACAGGCTGCTGGCTATGGTCGTCCAAGTTGTGGATCATGATGTTGGCGTAGGCAGTGGGAGCCTGGCGAGCGGTGGGCTGGGCTGCGGCAGTCGAGGCAAAAACTGCGACGGCGCTGGTGATGATGGTTGAGAAATGCATGTTATAATAGTGGTGGTATCTGCTTGGTGCTTGGTGCTGATTGTCGGGGTAGCGAGTGTGGATGAGAAATATCTTGTCAATTCCAGATATGATTCCAGTCCATCGACCTACTTATATCAATTCTAGGGCTGAAAGGCAATTCCTGTCGTTTCGTCTATAACACGTCAATCCTCTAATTATAGACCACACACAGCCAGTAGGCCTCCTTTCCTGTAGGACTCCCAAAGCCACGCCTGTCGTGTGATGCACATGTCAGCATTGGCGGATTTTACGAGGTATGCCTGGCCCGTATCACCCCAAATCCTGCAGCGTGCATCGCCTTGCCAATAATTCCCCGCGACCAGTCAGGATGCAGAGTCTGAGACTTTTGGAGATCAGGCAATGCCGATCATAAGATGATTTCTGCTTCGGCAGAGGTATCGTAATATGTTTGGATGAAAATCGCATGCTTACGTACAACGTCACTTCAAGCTTGCTGCTACATATCGTATTCCTATAATTGCCGTGTTCAAGTCTTGTGGAGAATTTGTATGACGCACATAGCGCCCGATATGTTCAAATTGAGCGTAGGGCTCTGGTGACCGAGGCTTAGTTGCACATAAATCGTGTTCCTTTCGCTATTCATCACACCATCCTACCTCCCCCGTATACGCGCCAAGATCACAACTCAGTTTCTGGTGATTTATGGGTAGTCATATTGCTGAGCTAGCATATTTTGCGTCCAATTGTATGGCTAGAGTACCATTAGTGCTCACAAAAGTTATACTGAACAGACTCCCAATCATTCCTCGCCCTATCCGCAGTTCTCTCATCCATCAATTCAAGCCGATGCTCCCGTGCCTCTTCATCGGTCATCAGACCTTTCGGAATCTCACTCTCAGGGTTATCCCCAATCCACAAATGTTTCTGCTGTGGAGGAACATTGGCGGTCGAGATGATTCGCCGATGAGGGTCGATCAACCACAGAGCGATGAAGCGTCGGTGTCCAGGCTTGGTAGGATCCTGTAGCCGGAAAGAAGACACGCGGTGTTGGCTACTCTTTGTCAGCTTGGTCGTAAACACTAAACAGCCAGTTAACAAGGACTCACAAGACATTAGGAAATGCCAAGAGACGTCCTTCCTTCGTCTCAACATCCCCGTAGCTTTGGTTGAATGACCCTGCAAGTCCTGAATAGCCTTCGAGTAATGTTCCATAAATACTCTCGGCGTATACAAACTGGCCTTGACCTGTACTGATATCATCATTCAGGTAATAACTCGTCTGCACGCGAAACGATAGGCGACTGGGCGTTATGTTCTCGCTGTCAACATAGTACAGGGCGGTTGCCGCGATCTTCTCGTTCATTTGGCCCTCAAGCTGAAAACCCTATCAGTATTTAGTGCGTTCGTCCGGAGAGGCTTACTTACATGCCAACTGCCGGCAGGGAACTCGGGTTTCTCGGGCGTGAGCTCAATACTGGCCATTTTGACAATAACCTGCAAGCCCTTCTCTTTGAACTTTTCCCGTAAGCTCTGCTCTGGTGCATAGTCAACCGGTACGTACGGCAACGGATCAGGAAGCTTTGCCTCGCGGAACTTCTTCCACTTTGCCCTAGCCATGGTCTCATCGTCAACGTTGGGAGTCAAAGGGGGGAGGTCTGCTTCGCGTCTTCGTTCGTCTTCTTCCTCATCAGTTTCAACCGGTTCTCTAGCCGAATAGTAGCAATCGCACTCAAGTTCTTCCAACTCCTCGTGTGTGAGCGTATGTCCTTGTTCTTGAACTCCTCAATGTTGAATTCCGGCATCCAAAGCTCGTCGTCTTCGTCACTGATCATTTGTTAGCTTGATTTGAGACCTGCTACCACATATGAGAGTATGTGCACTGACTCTGCATAATGTATCCATTCAAATCGGGACTTTTCCCTTCCTGCAATGCTTTTGTCCCTGCAGCTGTCAACCTCCCGTAGACATTGATCCCAAGCTGGGATAGCCTTGTCGATGGCCTGCTCAAGAGTCCTATAGATATCAGGAAATCTTGTGGGGTGCAGATTGTTCACGTAACTAGTGAGCTTGGCACTTCCGTCCTCGCGAAACCCGACGTTGGAAGGAAGCCACTGGTACTTGTTGGACCAGTACTCGGGGTCAACGTTCCCTGAACCAATCCCATAGCCCAAATGAGCACGATGAGGAGGAAAAGTAGGAGGGGTGTGTCTTTTGACAGGCTCGCCTTGGCCAATAAGACTGAGTGCATTTTCCACACCAACCATCTCCTCCTGGAAGAAGGGAGAACGATCTGATACACGTTAGTACACCGACTAAGCTTTTGGTATGCTGGTCGAATAATACCATAGACAAAATGGTACATGGAAGGGTGAATTAAATCTTGGACCATGTCATTACTGCGCGGATGCCAATCAACGTTTTCTTGTTGCTCTCGTCGAAGGACATCAAACGTCTTCTTCAAATCCTGACGAAAGGCCTCTTTGATACACGAATCTGACTTGACTATCGTGTTGCTGGGCCCATCCAGGGTTGGGATTAGACCAGAGTTGACATAGTAGTTTGCCTTGCTCCGTAGTTCCTCGATGCACTATGACGAACGGTTTAGCTACGTTAAGCAATACACACAAAACAAAATTAACTTACGTAGTCAAATGCTGCGTCAGTAATGATTCTCGATCGAGGCTTTGGATGTACACCCTCCAACTTGTCCTGCATTACCCGCGCCCAAAGACCAGTTTCGGATTGTTCCATGGCTTCTTGGCGCCATTTCTGAACTATGGATTCATTAAAAACCTTTCTCTGCCAATCTGCCTTGTCTGTCAGTGTATCCATGAGAATCATCATGGCAACTTCCTTCACAGGTATGACATTTGATTCGCCGAGTGGATAATTGGGGAACCCGATTGGGTAATGGGCGTCTATGTCAAAAACCCCAACATTGTCGGTGAGGGCGTAGTTGACGCCGGGATACTCTTGAGTGGGCTTCTGCATTGTGGAATGGTCTTTGAGTGGGAAATAGGGTGAGATGTGATATCGATGAACCTGTGAGACTGGATAAGAGCCCGGCAAGACGCCAAAGACTTTATACAAGGATATCCACGATCGTGCTTTTAGGCAGATGCAGGCAGAAGTGGGCATTTTTAATTACGTGACCCTCGCAATCTGATAGTGGAGATAATGAATTTAACGATAAGGTCGGTAAAGAAATGGAACGATAGCGCTTGTCAAGATATAGGTAGCAGTGGTTGTCGATCATAGAGGTGAATTAATCTTCAAAGGAATATCAGGAACTCTTTACAATGATAGCTCTATAATGAGGAATCTACAGTTGATTGTTCACTAAGGCAACTTTTGCAGGTGACAGAACTTCACCTGATTGGCAGTCAGGTCTGTTAGCATGACATAATCAGGCCAGCCAGGTCCTAAATCTAAACTGCCAGTTAGGAGACTATCTTATCGCCAAGTTAGACTCTAGAGCCGATTTAGTAACGGTAGGATGACTTGTTTCTTTCTTAAAAAAGTACCTTTGAACGAATTGAACGGAAGTTACATGTACCAACCCACCCAGTGAAGACTCTTCTTGCAGCTATTGACAAAAGTAGTCTACACTATGGTTTGTAACTTGTTCACAAAGTCTCTTCACCCGGACATGGACGCTGATTTCCAGATATCTACTCCGTACCACAGTCGATAATAGCCATGAATAGTTTCCTCGCATGCTTGGTGATCGAGGAATGTCAATCATTTGGAACCATCGCCTTTAGAGTAGCCACCTGTCGCGGCTAAATCCAAGGCCTACAGATTGTGCAAGTGATTCAAGGACTGTATGTTTTGGGTTGGATCGTTGACCAGCATCATGAACTATGCAGTTTCGGAAGAAATCTGCAAATATCCATCTAAACAATGGACTCAAGTAGAAACCTGGCAGCTTTTTGTCGTCAGTTTCAACACTTTCGTGCAGATACCAAACAATTGTTGAGCATGTTTGGTCATAAGAGATGCCCGCGGGTGGTAGTCTTGACGTTAGCAGAGAAGGTAACGAGGCTTTACACATGGTATTTGGTCCTGTTGTTTACCAACTGCTCCCAGCAGATTGCAGGTCTTTGCAAAACTGTAAGACTCCCATTCCCTCCCAGTACGTAGGTCAATATTCAAGTCTCTGTGGAATGAGTCGAACTGCTTCGTCCAAAGCAGTAATTAGACGAGCTGATCTTGGAACAAATTCGCTCCTCACTAACTTGGCACCTTATAGTCTACCAAGCATGAGATGTACGACTGCTGTATTTTCTAGCCATACACTAAAGCGTTACACGAATTGAGACTCTACGTAGTGAATGCCGTGATCGCCTCGAGGAGAAAATCGACTACTTCACCAGGTTTACTCAACATGGGAGAATGACTGCTATCAATCTCCCGTTTCGTCACCATCGCTCCAGCCTTTTCCGCAGCCCGAACAAGCATCTTCTGCGCCTCAAACGGGAACGCTCGATCCTCTTTTGTCATGATCAACCAAGCCGGCACATCCCTCCATCCTTCATACGACACTTCGTATCCAGTCGTGGACGATGTTAGGGCGCTGGGCGTGAGTTTTCCCACCCACTTTTTGGCCTCTTCCTCAGGAAGGTCGTGGTACAACATGTCAATTGGGTCCACGCATATCGTCATGAGGTTGTTCTCATAGTCGACCTCCCAGGTGGGCGGGGGTTTGCCGCCGAGTGCTTCAAGAAATGACGCGCCAACATGGACAAATCCAGTCGCAACCATGAAAAGCCCAATCACGCGACCAGTTTTGGTATCGGCAGCTGAAGCTTTGTCGGAAGATTGCTGCGTGAAGCCCTTCATGGCGCTGGAGCCTACAACGCCGCCGTAGGCGTGAACTGCGACAACAACATCAAATCCCTGAGCTGTCTCTGTCGCTATAGCATCCTGTACAGCCTTGACGTCGTGTGAGAAGTTAACCGAAGTACTTGTTGATTGTGTCGTAGGAAGTGTAACTGGTGTACATCTGTATTTGTGTGATTCCATGGCGGATACAACTTTACCCCAGTACTCAGGAGTATGCCATGCCCCTGGAACGAATACCAGGCTTGGGTTCCCGGTCATTATGCGGATGAGTAATTGGTCGTTGATAGTTGGCTTAAAGGAAAAGAAACGGTAATAATGAAGCAGAGTTCCTCTCTGTGGCTTGAGCAAATTAATTATAGCATCTCGAGCAGCGGGGTTTCTGTTCCCGTTCGTTTATTCTCCTCGAAAAGGTTTAGTTGCTGACTGCTGTCAGCCATTAGCAGTAGCTTCGAACTTGTTAGTGGAGACAGAGAAGCTGGGCCTGGGCACTAGTTCTCTAACTCCATATGCCGTACCCTATACCGAAATATGTTAGCGTAATAACTGCCAGGAGTATTTGTTACTAACATATCCCGCGAGTGGCTTCTTCAATACCTCGTCAACGCCCCTTGAAGCAAGATTTCTCTCTGATCTCACCAAGCCATAAACCACCAATCCATCGTCTATCCTAGTCTTTTGAGCTTCCCTAAAAACCAAGCGCACCTCGTTTGACATGAGCACGAGAACGCGGAGACCCCACACACGGAGCAAGACAGGGTGTCTGACTTGTCGAAAACGCCGGGTGCGTTGCGACGGCGGAAAACCAGTCTGGTGAGTCGGACTTTGCCATTTCTACATTCGACAAAGTAGTTGACGATACTACACACCCACCAGTGTTTCTCTTGAGTCGTGATTGGTTGCGAGACTAATGTGAGTAGTGCCCGATGTGCCGGTGCGGAACGAACATGCGAGTTCGCTGACCCTGGTCTGCCGCTGCGCGATCGTAAAGCCATTTTTCTCCCTGGCGAACAGCAGCCGTGGATCATAACCCCAGACTCGCCTGCAGATACTACTCTAGTTGTTAATTCTCCACTGGGGAAATCGGTGGAGCCTTTTGATTGCCTGGGTGTAGATATGTCTTTTCGGTCAAGGGAGCTGCTCCATTATTGTAAGTGCACACCATATATTGAAGCGCCACCATTACTCATTCTCCCAGTTCATGACAGCCATGACAGCTCTGATTTGGTTCTTAGCAAAGCCTCCAGAAACATGTACGTACCTTTTGCTTTCCCCTTATCGAATTTAGCTCACCTGTATGCATATAGCTTCTCATCTGTCGTTCAACATCCGGATGCTTTACGAGATACTCTCCTCGTTGCGGGCTTGCACTACGCATGGACCGTTGGCGACCTCCAAACATACAAATCAACATTCTTATTCCACAAAGTGTCTACAATCCGTATGTTGAACGGATGGTTACAGAACATACAGCAGCCGGGATTGATGACCTTCATTCGACATGTCTCAATCCTCTGCTTCATAGAGGTCGCACTTTGCCCTTCCAAGATACGCCCATCATCAAATTAAGACTGCTAACATTTGGAAGGCTTCATACGGAAACATGGGCGACACAGAGTCTCACATGAACGGGCTTATCAACGCGGTCCATCTGCTCAGCCCCCTCGACGACAGCTTTAGTCAAAGGTCAAATCTCGAAGAAGAGCTTGCGAATCGATACCTCTTACTGTACGTTTTCCTCTTCGAGATTCATATGCTCATGCACTGACTTGTCAGAACGTATTACGCTTACCAAGGCTTCAAGGCCAGAATATCGGGCAGCGAAGCACTGAAGAATATGTTTCGCCAGAACAACACAGCAACCTTCTCCACGTTTGTATCCCTCATACATTTTTGGAAGACCCAGAATATCGGGCATCTTGAAATGCGACTCAACGCTATGAAGCTTTTACCGTTTTTCTTCGCGGCGCTCCCATCCACAGCCAAGTTCCACGACATTGATGCATCTCCATTGGTCGACTGCTTGAGACACGTAACGACGTCAACCCAGACAGTCAAGGAAGACCGTTACAAATGCGATCCAAGCTGGGAGTGGATAGAGGGTTCTGAGTCCAGGTTGCTGTGCGCCACCATTGGCTCTCACTTCTCGTCTATGTTCGAAGACGACATGTCTACTTCGCTGAGTTCCAGCAGGTACCGAACTTCTTGGTCCGGCATGTGCGCAGCCTCAAGTTTGTACCTTCACAGTGTCCTGGACCTATGGAACGGCGGGAGTCCCATGGAGCCTCGTCTCCTTCTGAGATTCCTGTCGATTCTGAAACGAGACCTTGATCAAAGTATCGACTTGCTGGGTTCAAACGCGGGACAAGACTTTTGGTTCTGGAGAGCGTTTTTAGGTGCATATAGCATCGCAAAACATCAAGCGCAGAGCCATGACCCGACTTTAAATAGCCTTCAGCAAGCTTTTGGTGGGTTTGTTGAGTCGTGGAAGAGGGCCACTGGGTTAGCGCTTTGGGGAGAAGTCCACGATCGTCTTTCATCAGTGGCATGGCCTACCAACCAGGGTCAGGAACTGGGACCGAACGTTTGGGGAAGTGCTATTGAGTTTGAGACATCCCGATGATGTCTGAAACAACTTTGGCATCATGTCCATTGTGTTATTTAGCCTGTAAATTCGCAACTCAACCTTCTGGTACAAACCTTGACCATTCTGAATCAAGTGGATAAGGCGATCATGAATAGAGATCATCTTGGTCGCTTAGGAAAAGTTAATATTCCAATCTTGGTGAAGGTTAATGACTGGCAGAACTGGGGTTGTGCCATTGAATTTTTCATCCAATCTTAGTCGGCGATAACGTCCACTTGCAAAAAACCTTGGGACCTTGTCCTGTTCTGCCTGCGATGTGTCCGTGCGCGTAAAAGGGACCCATCGATCGGAGGAAACACTCCGCGCTGGACCCTTCGACACGACCCTGACCGACGCTTGGCGTAAAGCATCCCCACAGACCCCATCCCCATTTCCTTCATTCCCCAGCAACTTTTAATCGAAAACAGCGTGACGAATAAAGCATGCAAAGGAAGGTACAGTATCCGTAAAACCGTACATATATAAAACATGAAGCCACGGATACAGCTTCTATGTTGCCTCTGACTCCGTACTGCTGAGGTTGATGCGCATGGCATGTTGAAGTTGGTAAAATTGGCTACGCTATATTTAGCTCAGCTTTACCGCCCGCAATTACCGTTCAGACCAACCGATTCACCGCTGCTCAGTTGGACCCTGAAGTTATTCCCACTCAGCAATGCTTGTCACACAAGGGTAATGCTGATCAGTGAGTGCATTCGTGAAACTGGCCGACGCTTTAATACGCGATTCTGATGTATTTACTCTGTAATCCTCTACCATCGTGTCTGCTTGCTTGCGTGTCAACTCACGATACCGCCAAAGGAGAAAACTAATCCGGGACCCTGCGTCAACACTAGACCACAAAGACCCTTCTGGTCCGAGGCAATTGTCAGGGGAATCGTACGACTATTCCTCAAAAAGGGAATAGCCCGACAGGGTCTTGCTGGGTTTAATGCGAGTAGGAATGACATCACTCGTGCGTCAAGGCTGGACGCTGGTCGATATAAACAGAAACTCCCGATTTCCCAGAAAATGGCCTCTTCTGGCGATCGAGAGTTGTCGCTTCTGGTAAAGCAGCAAACTGCAGCCCATTGATACAATAAAAAGAAGCCGCCATGGCTGCATCGCCATCGAGATCTCTTTCCTTACCAAATTTTGCCACCCAGCAAGACGTGGGTAAATGAAACAATTCTCTCTGGTCAAATTACTCACGTGACAATGACAGAATCACGATCTTGAAGATATCGAGCGATTCGGCCGACCACTCTGCGACGTCCCGTTATTCCGAACCAGACTCATCCCGTCGACTTTGGCAGAGCAGCCCGAGGACCGCAAGATGTCTGATCTGGGCTTCAGCTTTTTGCCAAGCTCATATGTGCGTAGTGATCACTCAGCGGAACTCGGGCTCGATGAGCTGCCGCCGCCAATTAGCGCCATCTCCAGAAGGATGCACCAAACCGAGCCCAGATTGAAGAGCAGCAGCACTAGCAAGCATCGCCGGTCAAAACAACACAAATCCAGTTCGCGGAAAGCAACACCATCTTGCGCCTCAAGCAAACAGAGGCTCTGCGGGCTCAAGCTCAATGACTCTACCCCGTCTTGCGAGTTCTGCCACGTGGAGCAGACACCCAAGTGGCGTGAAGGGCCCAATGGACCTCGCAGCCTCTGCAACGTGTGCGGCTTGATCTACGCAAAGCGAGAAGAAAAGGCGCGATCCTTTTTGATGGCTCGCGAATTCTCTATCAACTCATCATCTGGAACATCATCGGGGACTCACAGCACATCACCAACCTCAAATACACTATACGTATCGACAGCAATGCATTGTTAGGCGCCTACCTTGGGTACCTGTCGGCGCTGTGTTTTTATCGGGCTCAAACACAGGGTCATGGACCAGCATGAGGCCTGCGCTCAGAGAAAGAGGAGTCCGCAGCATTTTAATATCACGGCTTTGGGAGGCGTAACGGGGTTAAGGGAAAACAGGCAATATACGACAGGAGTAATGCGCGATGGGTGGTTTGCGGACGGTTTTTTACTTCTTTCTTTTCTTTCCTCAGCAACCGGATACACATTCACACAAATAGATCATGATGCGGTTTCGTAAGGATTGGGTGGTGGTGCGATCGCAGCTACCCTACAGCACCTCCAACTTGACATGATTGCGGGTGAAGGTTGAACCGCTCAGTGTGATCAAGTTCCCAAGATGTGCTGTTTTCATTCTTGACTGGGTTCTCGAGAAGTCTTGAGGCTTCAAATGTCCGGTCATCACGGTCTGAACCATTCTCACGTAATACCGTGATGTTACACCATGACTTTTTTACCCGCTGCGTAGACCACGTTTAGATTCGGCGACCAACCCTCCTTTGCCATTAAATACTGGATCAGCGATCGATAGGAGTCGACGGATATCCGTACATAAGGACATTCTCAGAGTTACTGTTGCCTCTGCGTATGTGTAACCTGGCTAGCCTGGGGCCAATGCCTGAGCCACAGAGGAGGAAGAGCAAATTGTTGGTACTGAGCCACTGATAACGATGAACGCTTGTCGCTATCGGCTGATTTCGATTGGTGTGATTAGTGCCCGAGAACCCCTCTTCCAAAAAGCAGCTCTCCGCATCTTTCAGAGAATCGCTCGAAATTGAGCTGGTTGGCTGGCCTTTGTCAAGTTGGTGCCGTTTGACTTCACACAAGTGACCTATTAAACCTCATTATGAAGATGGTGCCTGTGTAACCCCTCAATTAGCGTCGCAAAGACACTCGACCTCAGATTGCTTAGCAACCAGGTGAACAGTTGCACAAGTTGCACAAGTTGGCTGGGTTACACAGTGAGGAAGCACAGAAAATCACCTGCCATCCGGTCATTCCAGCAACCCCACGCACATTGTGCACTGTGGTGCACACTGAACACTTGCTTGAAATGTCAAAAGGGTCGTGTCAATGAACACCTGGCCAGGAGTGAGGCGCCGTGGCTTACGTGTCGCCACCAGGGTCGGCGACTGCTGTGAGTGGCCTGAAGTTCACCTTGAGACCTTCTTATCGCTTTGAAGATGAAGGGATGCGCTGTTGAAATGAGCTTTAATGCAGGGAACCGTGGAAATGAAATCAGCATGTTTTGTCACGCCAAAATGCTGCGAGGGACAAACCCGAACGGGCGCGAGACCTCTGGTGTTTCGAAGCAAAAAGCAAAGTAAACAAGGGAGGCTGGTGTGATTGGTACTGTCCAGCGTTACTGTGTTACTGGGGCGGGAGGGGGAAAACTCAAATTTGCGAACCTGAAGAGATTTGCATGCACAAGAATACTGGATTTCCCGTTACCCATCATGCCCGTTTGAACAAAATGCTGTTTTTCTCTTGGTTTACGGAGGACCTCCGCTGAGCAGCCATCGGTAGCTTTACTCCGGATCCGCGGATGGACCCTTATTCAGGGTCTCTTTATGCACAGCCCAAACCCAATCGAGCAACGATCGTCCAAGGGTCCTCTGGGGGCAAACTTGGGGGCTTGTTAGGGATCACGCTTTTGTTTAGCAGAAAGTTTTCATAGGGCGATGAGGGGTATAGAAGAGCCCGATCCCTAAGTTCTCCCTTGGGATTTGAGATCGGATTCCTCACAATATTTGCCTTCATCTCATCATAGCCATGGACTCCACCAGACACAGACACAGCCTTAGCAAACCAGCTTTGGGCAAGCGCCGCAAAGACCGTGTCCCTTGTCCTGCTGATCACTCGGAGGCCGTCTTTTTCCCCCGACGCTGCACTTTGGCGAGGAGGAAGTCTCCCAGCCGACACGTAAGTTCCACACGCGCCTGAGTTATGTTATTCCGTTGCCGGTTCAGTGGACTAACCTTTTTCAGATGCGCCCCAGTGGCCACGATAACGGATTGCCGTTGTGCGATGTCGCTTTGTTCCAGACTGCGGCTATCGCGAATTCACTAGCCAACAAGCCAGCAATATCCAGAGAGGCATTGCAACTCAAGGCGGCTTCACGCGCTGCATCTTTACGATCTCAAGTCGGTTCAGGACGTTCCGTTAGATCCAGTACGAGGGAGGCTTATGAAGCCCTGACATGGCGGAATAGACTTAGACAGCAGCCGGTATGTTACCAGTATCAAATCTGTTGTCCCCTTCTAACTGAACTACAGAAGTCACCTGGAGGACAACAACCTAGTCCCTGCTGCACATCTTGCTTCACAAAAGAGACTCCTAAGTGGCGAGAAGGTCCTTTCGGGTCACACACACTCTGCAACGTATGCGGTCTGCTTTATGCCAAACGGCAAGCAAGACATCGTTCAGTGTTGGTTCAGAGAGAGCTTTCCGGAATGGCAGAAAACTACTGAGGGCAACCTCCAACATGATACCCGTCTGTGTGGCTACGTGTCTCGGCACGACTTGGATCAATAACCTTTGCGTGCGATGAGTTTTGGCACTTCTGCTTTCTTTGGACTGGATCTAGAGGATGATTATTTTATGCGGGCTACACGAGTGATGAGGAATGGTTTTTATACCCCGGCGCAGGATTGGGACAGCATTTTGTGAGACTCGGTTGACACCTGAAGTTTTGTGTCAAAATGGGCGTTCTTGGCGATGTAATATCATGTTGGAATTAGTGCAGATACCTCAGTCACTGTTTTGAATTGTAATTCTTTCTCATTTTTTGAAACTGGAATCTTTCTAAGTCTGAGGTGTGGTAACATCATGATCTTATTGCATTATGTAAATGAGAATCCAAAAATCGCGAGCTCGAAGCCAGAATGAAGATTTAATAATTTATTATTGGACAGTATTCTGTTGAACCAGTGCCAAACTTTTCCAACTATTTCAACGGAGCTGATAGATATTTCTATTCATTTATATCCATGTGTATGTGTATATCCGTTTGTCTTGGAAGTGGCTGCTTTCAAGTCGAAACAGAATCAGTTTAGGGTAGCCAAGTATGAAGACCCAGTAAATCACGATCGCTCCAACTGACTCAGGATTCTTTCCACCCTGTTTGAACGATATGGAAATTAGCTCACCAATACTCTTTTTGTACAAGCAGAAGTCTCATTTAATAGCAGTTAACAGTGCACTCAGAGTAAGACTGATCATGCAGGCAGTGATCTCATAAAATGCTCTCTAGCTTTGTCAATGGTCTGGACACCAACGGTAGCATTTCTGCTTTCTATCTATAACAAGCCTCAATGACCGGGGGTGGAATTACATAGTTACACAGTCATCCAAGGCGGGCGTCATCCGATGTTTTTTCCCCAATCTGATATGCGATGATGTGAATGTTCTCTGCCCCTAAGAGACTCCGCGGCAATAACGGGAACTAACCTCGACCGTGCAACTTTTATATACAAATAATTTTCACTGGCAAGGGTCTACGTAAAAGAAATTTTTAGCATGTTCATCTATGGCAAGGATCCGAAGTCGCCATTTGCTAAAAGGTTATATGATGGGGAATGTCACGGCCCGAAAGCGAACCTACGCCCACTTCGCGAGCACGCAATTGAGCTTCGACATGTCGTTTGTATGCGATTTTTTTTCCACAAGAGAAGCTTCCAGTGCATGATGGAGAGGAAATTTGAGCCTCAAACCTAAATCGCGCTGTTGCTGGGTGATACAATCAGTGTCCGTAATGACAGAGCAACGCACGAAAGTCAATTGTATTTTGGATAATGTGTCCCTTGGTGCAATGGAGCTGCCACGCGACACATTGCCTTTTAAGCTCAAATGACATAACATCGGGATCAATGTTCGGAGTCTTCTTTTCACTCATTAATCTAGAAGACTAGCTATAGACTACTAGCGGCCCGCAACAGTAGTCCCATCGTAAAACCCATCCACACGCGGCCTGTCAAACGCCGCAAGGTTCGCAGGGAACAGAGTATTCAGACGTCAAAACAAGGAACGATCGTCTATCGTTACTCTGCCGAACCCACGCCAAGAAAACGTGCTCCGAAAGATCGGATTCGTGATCAATCCCATCGGACGAGGATCCACTGCACGCGACACTTATATAGAAGATCTTTCGCGCTTCTGGATCCCAGAGGAGGATCTGGCAATTCAACTTCTACTTCGTTACCATGGGCGAAATTCAAGGAAATACCGTCAACAATGACGGGATTCAAGCGGCGGAGAAACGAGATGATGCCGTCTCTAACACAGTATCCCTCAAAGACGAGTCAATTCTCGAAAAGGCACGACTTCTAGGTGCCACACCAGATGAAATCGTCGAAGCGGAAGAGCATGGCCGCACACTCGACCTGGCGGAAGCCAAGAAGGTAAATCGAATGGAACTTTACTTTCCATCTTCGTCTCATGCTAACGATAAGCCAGCGCGCCGAAACTCTCGTCTACTTCCACGAACATGATCCCAACTTCAGCAAAGAGTCGATTGTGCGTTTGATATCATTCGTCAACAACACCGAACTCTTCCAGAATCCAGACGAACACGCAGACGCCATCGCCGACATCAAGACAGAAATCTCCCTCGTCACCATCAACTCCCCCTACGCCGAAGTCCGCGCCGTAGTCAGCAACAAAGACGACCCGTCAACACCAGCCGGCACGATCCGCGCCTGGTGCATCGGCTTGTTCTTCGTCGTCCTGCAAAGCTTCGTCAACCAGCTCTTCTCGGTGCGACAGCCGACGATTCGTCTGCAGGCGCCGGTCATCCAGCTTCTTTCGTTCCCGCTTGGTAAGGCGTGGGAGAAATGGATGCCCGTTGGCAAGTTCACGCTTTTTGGATCTGAGTTACTTTTGAACCCTGGAAAGTTCAACCAGAAGGAGCATATGTTGATCTCGATCATGGCGAACGTCTCGACGAGCTTGCCGCATTCTCGATATATCATCTTTACCAGCTGGCTGAAGAAGTACTTCGATCTGCCATTCGCGGCTGATTTCGGCTTCCAGATTTGTCTTTCTGTAAGATCTTTTTCTCGATTTGACACAAGCCTCGCACTAACAAAAATAGCTGGCTATGAATCTACTGGGCTTTGGCCTCGCTGGATTGGCGCGACGATTCCTGGTATATCCGTCATTCTGCATTTGGCCTCGATCCCTTGCCACAGTCGCTCTCAACCAGAGTTTGCACAACGGTAAGCTCCATACGACAACTAACATAGCTCCTTTAGACTGACACTCGACAGATTCCGGAAACAGCAGCGTTCTGGGTCCCTTTAAGAAGATGTACAGCATGACACGATACCGATTCTTCATGATCGCCTTTGCCTCCATGTTCGTTTGGTTCTGGTTCCCCGACCTCATTGTCTCAGCCCTCTCGCTGTTCAACTGGCTTGCTTGGATCTCGCCCAACAACTTCAACTTGACTGCCATCACTGGCGTTTCTAAGGGTCTCGGCTTCAACCCTCTTCCAACCTTTGACTGGAACATTGCCACGTATTACATTGATCCGCTATTGGTTCCCTTCCACGTCACTGTCAACATGTTTCTTGGTGCTGCGTTGGGTGGAATCACTATCATCGCTATGTACTGGAATAACACCTACAACACTGGTTACCTCCCCATCAACACAAACACTATGTTTGACAACACGGGAGGCAAGTATAATGTGTCTTCCATTCTAGATGACCGCGGGTTGCTGGATGCAGAGAAATACCAGGCTTATAGCCAGGTCTATATCGCTGCCTCGTCAGTGACATTTTAGTAAGTTCGCGTCACTACCTACAACGAGTGTAATCCTAACCTGTCTTAGCATCTACTTCTTCGCCGTATACAGTGCAGTCATCTCCTATGCTGCTCTCTATCACTGGAACGACATCAAGCTAGGCTTTGTCTCATTGTGGGAGAGTTTCAAGAAGAACAGCAAGGTCAACGAGTTCAAGGATGTTCACACAAGACTCATGGAGAAGTATCAAGAGGTTCCAGAATGGTGGTATCTGATTCTAAACGTAAGTAGTGCCATGGGGAGATATACCAGCACCGACTAACACGAAATAAGGTCGTGGGAGTTGCTTTCGGAATCGCCTCTGTTGCAGCCTGGCCTACCAACACCAGCGTCGGCACTGTCTTCTTTGGTCTTGCTCTTGCAATCATCTTCACCATCCCAACTGGTATCATCTATGCTACGACGGGCATTGAGGTCGAATTCAACGTGCTAGCCGAGTTTATCGGAGGAGCATGGCAACCTGGAAATGCCTTGGCAGTAAGTGCTTAGTAACTCTCAGCTTTCAAGAACTAGGGCTAACGATTTCAGATGAACTTCTTCAAGGGCTTTGGATACGTGACAGTAGCTCATGCGCTCGACTTTTCCAATGACCTGAAGCTCGGCCATTACCTCAAGATTCCTCAGCGTCAGACCTTTTGGTGCCAAACTGTTGCGAGTCAGTAAATCTCGAAATCATATCAAAGAATTGTCACTAACCACTTTCATAGCTATTGTTTCCGCCATTGTCTGCACAGGCGTCATGAACTTCCAGATCCTCAACATCCCCGATATTTGCGAGTCCACTCAGAAAGATCGCTTCACTTGCCCTGGTGTTGAGTCTTACTTCACCGCAGCAGTACTCTTTGGCTCGCTCGCACCCCAAAGAGTCTTTGGCCAAGGTGGTCTCTACACAGCCCTCCTTGCAGCTTTCCCTGTCGGACTGGCCTTCCCAGTTGTGTACTACTACGCCACCCGCAGGCTCCCCAAGACTCACTGGCTCACCAAGATCCATCCTGTTGTGATTTTCAGTGGTGGTCATATCTGGTCGCCGTACAACCTGGCCTACGTCTGGCCCGCAGTCATCCCCGGCTGGATCTCCTGGGTCGTCGTCCGAAAGAGGTATCTTGCGTTCTGGGCAAAGTACAACTACGTCCTGTCAGCAGCCTGGCAGACTGGTATTGCCCTTGCTGCACTTGTGATATTCTTCACTGTTAGCTACCACGGTGCTTCAATCAATTGGATCGGCAACCATGCCGATAGTGGCTGTGAGGCGGATGTCTGCACGAGACTCAAGGTGCCGGAGGGGGAGATCTTTGGACCGTCGCCGGGAACTTTTACGTAAATCCATGATCATGGCGAGGAGTCTAAAGCTTACAGAGCATAGTTTAAGCATCTGGCTCCTTGAAGATATCTTAATGTAATTGGGCTCATCTAGGTGCCCACCATGACTCTGGGATATACACGGCGTGATAGGCCGATGAATAACTCATCTACCAGTGTCAAAAAAATACAGATACAATCATAGCTTTGCATAATGTCGCCTCGTGTTTAATTCCGCTATTTCCCCATTCCTGATAGGAATTCGATGCCATATCAACCAACCGAGATAGGTCTAGATAACATATGCGGGGGACGTGGATCATTTCCCAGAACTGCCTTATCAACGACCACCAACCAGCTCTGCATGACGCTTTACCATGCACGGTAGCTGCAGTGTTGCCGTTGAAAGGTTATTACTTCCGAATATGGTAATATTTGGAGATAAGGTAGTGTAGAGTCATACTCCACATCGTCGTGCCCAAGATTAGCGGCGGGGATAAATAGCAAACACATGACCGGATTTATCTTGTAGAATAAATTCATCTCGAGAAACACCGGATTCTCTCTACTTTCCAGTAGCCATGTCTTCATCTTCAATCCCCCACCCACTCTGTCCGTTGACGGGCGACGAGATCCAGGCAAGCGCGCGCTTGATTGAGAGCGTTTGGCCACAATCGGTTTCCCTATCTTTTAAGGTTATAACACTGAGCGAGCCACCCAAAGAGAAGCTCGCGCCTTATCTGGAAGCTTTTGACAATGGAAAATCCCCTTCCCCACTAGATCGTCGGGTTTTCGTTGCGTATTACATTCGAACAACGGTAAGAACCATGTTGGCACCATCGTGTTGCGTCTGGTCTGACGTGATATCAGGACATCTTCCATGAGGCTGTCGTGAATTTGACCACGGGGAGAATCGAGAGTAACGTCAAGCTTGGGCCTAACGTTCATGGCAATGTTGATTACGATGAGGCTCAGAGGGTCGAGAAGCTTGCTCTTGAAGATCCGAAGGTGCTGGCCGAGCTCGAAAAGCTGAAGCTGCCGGAGGGAACAGTCGTATGTGCTGATCCTTGGATCTACGGTTAGTTACGCAACTTTTTCACCGATTCCACAAGACCAGACTGACAGTCATAGGATCTAATGGTATTGACGATGACGTACGCATGTATCAGGTGTTTCTCTACATGCGAGACCCTGCGAACTCAAGCGAAGCCGATTCAAATCACTATGCGTTCCCTTTGCCCGTCTCCCCAGTTATTGAGTGTGTTCACTACAAGGTCATCCGAATTGATGTCTTGCCCACAGGCGTCGATAACACCATCAAGCCTTTAGAGCCCTATCAACCGAAGCCGGCGAATGAGTACATCCCGGAGGCTCAAGAGTTGCGGAAGGACCTTAAGCCGCTGCACGTCAGTCAACCGGAGGGACCCAGCTTTTCTGTGACGCCGGTAGGTGAGACCGGAAATGTTATCTCTTGGCAGAAGTGGAACTTCTTTGTTGGTCAGTGTACTCGTGGTTGTATTTCGGTGTGGTTGTTTATGCTGACCCTCCTGTAGGCTTCAATCAGCGTGAGGGAATGGTCTTGTATAACGTCAAGTACGACAACCGCCCACTCTTCTACAGACTATCACTCTCAGATATGAGTGTTCCATACGGTGACCCGCGTCATCCCTTCCACAAGAAATCAGCATTCGACCTGGGCGATGCTGGCGCGGGTGCTACAGCCAATAATCTCAAGCTTGGCTGTGATTGCCTAGGCAGCATCCAATATCTCAGCGGTGTCATCTGCGACGATCGAGGCATGCCCCTACCAATGGAGAATGTCATCTGCATTCACGAGCAAGACGCCGGTATCGGATGGAAGCACACCAACTACAGAACTGGAAGAGCTGCTATCGTCAGGTCGCGTGAACTAGTCCTGCAGTCAATCATCACTGTTTCCAACTATGAGTACATCCTCATGTTTATCTTCAACCAAGCTGGAGATGTCACGTATGAAGTGCGGGCTACCGGTATTCTCTCGACACAGCCTATTGACCACGAGTTGGACAAGACTGGATCGCCATTTGGCACGGTTGTGCATCCTGGCGTCTTGGCGGGTAATCATCAGCATATCTTCTCACTGCGAGTAGATCCCATGATCGACGGCCATACAAACCAGCTGGTGTGCAGCGAGGCCCATAAAATACCCCGAGATCCCCACCGGAACCCGCACGGTACAGGTTACGAAGTCGTAGAAAAGACCGTTGACACAACAGCTGGTCTCGATATTGACTATGACCTTAGTCAAGTGTACAAGATCACCAATCCTAATTCCCTCAACCCAATCAACGGAAAGCCCGTGGGTTACAAGATTATGGCTCCGCCATTCCAGAAGCTCATGGCCGACGAAGACAGCATCAACCACAAGCGTGCCGAGTTCGCAGACCATAACATCTACGTCACCACCCACCGCGATCGTGAACTCTACGCCGGAGGTTGGTGGACGAATCAATCGCGTGGAGGCACAGGCGTGAGGAGCTGGGCACAGAGAAGCGAGACCCTGACTTCAGAGTCTGATATTGTGCTGTGGGTTCAGTTTGGCATCAACCATATACCACGCATTGAAGATTTCCCTGTCATGCCAGTCGAGATCTTGAAGGTGCATCTCAAGCCTGTCAACTTCTTTACCAAAAATCCTGCCCTGGATGTTCCACCAAGTGAGCAGAGCGTCAACCAGAGTACTCTGATTGAGACCAAAGCAGATGCAGGCGAGACTGATTGTGATTGCCAAACGTCTGCTCCCTCCAAGCTTTAGACAGTATTAGTAATTGAGAAATCCCTTACGATAAATGCATGTTTCGAATAAAGAATAATGCAGATTAATTTTCATTACTTTACTCGAACATCAGCCGAGTTGTTGTACGTGAACCGTCGTTTCCTCCTCTATTTGTATACCGTCCAGTCCCTCATTGACCGCCTCCGGAGGCGTCTGATTTCTGAACGGACTAAAAATGCTTATTTCTGTCCCATAACTCCACCCAGCGTGCGAAGCTTCGATATCATAACCAGGTGGAATGTCGTCGGTTATGGCAAGCTCACAGAGGGAGCTCGAGCCATTCTGCTGGGATGTCTTGGTCCCGCGACTACTCTTGATACCGTAGCTCGGGGCTAGCACAGAGTCAACAACCGCTCGCTTACTTCTATGAGAGGCGAGGAATGAGGCTGGGATAACTCTGCGAAAAACAGGTCGTAGCATCGGCAAGGAAACTAGAGCACGATTAATATGGAGTTATTCATCTTGGTTAGATGAGGAATACCCGAAACATTGGCAAGGTTGCACTCGGCGGAGGCTAGAGCTCCATGTTTGGCCATCCTGAGGGCCACCTCTCTCGAACTGCCGTCGAATTTGAAGGCATCTTGAATCACCAATATTGTGAGGATGCAGACACTTGTAGAGGTTAGCCTGCGACATTGCAACTTCACCGAGAGGGACATACAGAGTACCAAAGCCAAACAAAGCGATAACAGCAATCTTCTGGCCCGTAGGGAGATGCATTTTGACTACTTCAATAACAGGAAGAACGAGAATTATGACATCAAGAGCCGCGTGCGTAAGGCTGGTGGAGAAGAAATAGATGGTATTGTTGACATGGCAGTGAGTGGCTCTGCGGTCGATGTCCCAGTAGGCTGAAGTCGGCAAGCATTGGAGAGTCAAGAGGAATATGCGGACCAGCAGCCACATGACGCATATGATAGCAACGATTTGAATCGCAATTCGTGTGCTGGAGTATTTGAAGAGACGCCAGTAGAAGGTGAGGATGGCAAACTTTGCACCGGCAATGGCGATGGTATACGTGAGGCTACTGAGCCAGATCAGGAGATAGGATCGTTCGAGTCGTTCGTCTTCGGTGAGGTGCGAGGGTCCATTTTCGAGTGGTTGGCCAAGTCCAAAGCCTATAGCATCTAAATATTTTTAGGTATTGTAATTGATTGACATAATAGCGGATATATTCTTACAGACTAAGTTGTCGACGGAGTAACCAAGTGCTCCAATCTGAAGAAAGCCTGTGTCAGCGGTCGCATTGCAGACAAGAGGCTGAAAAGCAAAGCAACGTACAAATGCCACAACAGCCAACCAATCATCAATCCCATAACTCGCTCTCGTCGTCCGTCGGGCAAGAAGCCGCAGTGCCAGCACAATCGCCGCAAGTGGTAGAGTGATGCATATAGAGGCGTAGAGATTCGGTCTATGGTCCATCGCGCATAATTGACGACTGACGGAAACGCTTTGAAAGCGAATGATGTAAGAAAAGAAGAAGGAAGAAGAGAAGGGGGCCGAATGGATAAAAGTTAAAAGAAAAGCAACGAAAGAAGGCATTGGGCATGGGGCATTGTGTCTCACCTGGACGGGAGTGACCAGTCAGCTTCAAAGCGCAATGCGAATGGTTTGGAGGGAACCCCCCGAGAGTTCAAATCAGAAGAGAGGAAAGACGACGCTAAAGACGCCCGATGATGCCCTTGCCTGCGCTAGACGTGAGCTACGCTGCTGAGGCTGTCGTTCCATGGGGGGAAGATTGGAAGACTGCCAACCTAACGGTGCGGGGAAGAGAAAGGCTTTTGCGGACTAGCAGTCGTTCATCGTTCGTATCGCCACCCTTTGCCTCCCGTTCCTGAGGAGTAACAGGCACGGTTAAGGTCAATCAGGGGTACGGAGTACGTTGTAATAAAATACCCAGGAACCAGCGGCAGGTAAATTTGAAGCATCTCGGTTGTTAAGGGGCATGCAGTGTCGATCTTGAACCGCTGGAGGCATGATGATATTTAAACTTTACATGGGATCATACTGGGCCTGAGCGCTGTCATTCTGCTGATTGGCGGGGAACCTTCCAGGCCATCTCCGGCCGACTGGCTAGTCGAAGAACACTCCGAAAGTCCCACAATCTTAATCAACTTCAAGGGTATGCTGTTATAGGGCTGCAGTTCTTCCAGTTTCGCAGGGGTTTAAATACCTCCCTTCATTCTCTTGCTCATTTTGTAGTGAAGTTCAACCAGTAGTTTGACGTAGACATCTCTCGAGAAACCTCACAGCCAAGAGCGGATCGGCAACTGCGGCACGCCAAGCGTACCTCATTCCTCTGCAAAGGGCATTAGCATTCACAGTCCGGAGCAAGTAGGCCGGATAAGAATATGTCCACAGATCTACGTAGTAGGCGCAATGGATTGAAGACTTCAGAGTCAAGCCTATTTAGGTTGGCGAATTTCACAATGTCAAAAGTGATCTTCAAAATCGGTTCGTATAAGTCAAGTCAAACTACATCATAAAGCGAAGTCCGCCAGTGCCCACTTCCAATCATCGAGAAATTGTCATAACCCGAAACACATGTTCCCTCAAATACTGGAGTGCTTAGAGTTCGACGTGATCTGATGCATGGATTAGTTAATCAATTCAGATTCATGGTTAGGATCTCTTACTGCCGTGTTTGTGTCCACAGGCACACGCAACAGCCGGGTCCATCCCTCCATTGATGTTACCAAAAGAAGTGCAAGCGCATGACTTGCAAAAGCCCAGGCCAGAATCTACCAAAGGGTTGTGTTCAACAATGGCCATGTTGGTGGTGCTCCAGAAAGACCTTTTGGTGAAGGTAAATGGTAGAAAGTGGTATGTTTGAAGTGCGGATTGGGGTGTAAGGCGAGGAGCGGTTCGCAGTTGAGATACAAATACTGGGCTTCCTAAGTAATTCGAGGGAAGCTGACCCTTTAAGTAATTGAACGACCTTCACGAGCAAGAGCTCAGGCTCGCAATCCACCTCATTGAACACCATTAGGTATATGGAAGGACGTGCTTGCTGACGCATGCAATTGTGCCGCGTGATAGAATATCCAGCAAATGAGACGAAGATAGGATGATCACATGCAGCTTTTGAACCAGTTTGTGTCAAGAAGGTGAACATTGGCCTGCCTAGGCCCTGTCGTTTCGAAAGATGAAATCCTCATAGAGCCTGACACGTCAAAGTTGAGCTAGGCATGCTATGAGTCGTAAACCAATAGGGTAATTGTGCAGGCCTCGGTGTGGCAGCCAACACCATAGAAGTTGTGTTATTTGAGGCTCTGATCAGTGTACATGTCATATCATGATCAGGCTCTGTGCTTACGGTGCGGCTCTCATAGCAACACCATTGCATATAAATGTTACAATGGTGATGAATTGGAGCCTGTCCAAGTAGGCTCTACAGACTGTTTTCAGGTTTTAACGTCCCTGGTGCTCCGTCTTCTGTCATTGTTTGCGTGTTGATCTACTGCAAGTCATGTTCGCAATGCGCCCCATTTCAACCAAAGCTGTGACGCGCATCATCCATTTGTAACGTTCCAGACTCTCTGGATTTCTGCAGGCTCTCTTCAGTGGTGGTAAGCCCTGCCGTTGATGATTCTACTGATTATGGAGCCCTAGTCGTGGCTGTCTATCATAAGAAGCGAGCCAACCCTGGATTGCAAACATAAAGTACACTTCGTCAACCTTTCCTGGTACCGATACCCATATATCTTCCGTTGGATGACTTAGATTCTATGAGCCAAAGACATAGACACCCACAATGAGAAATGCACTTTTCCCAGGAGACCCAACATGCCGTCAAACATAATGCTACACAACCTTCCAGAGTTTGAATCATCCCAGCCTGACCTTTCTCCACATCCTCAGACACTCCTGCAAGTCCATCGAAAGCGTCCCCTCAAGAGCACTTGACGCATCTCTGATGATGGCCACCAACAGAATAGCGTGAGCAAAGTCAACCTGGTCGTCTTGCACAGCCTGGTAGTCCGACTGCTTCATGCCACCAACATCAGCCCAAGCCTTCCACTTGTCTAGCATGCGACAGATACTCGCTGCAAACTCTCCGTCCAGGACCATGCGATGCAGAATAAAGCCAACGACGTCCTTGACGGTTGAGGAGCTATCCCAGTGACCTTTTTCTTGGAGCCATCGGAGGCAGTGTTCGGCAACGAGCTTTGTGTCCCATCTTGGGCTTTGTAGGGCTTCCATCATGCGTTGATCTCGCCTAATCTGGCTGGTCCTGAGTTTGTCACGCACTAGCTACCGTTAGTTGTCACTTCAAGTAGTTATGTGAAGGAAATGTCTTACTATCCTCCATGCGCTGTTGATTCTCTTTCTGCCTCCTCGCTTGCGCCGCCGCTTGTTGCTGAGCGGGAGGCAACCGAGATTCCGCAGCAAGCGCAGCACGCTCTTCCTGAGCCCTTTTAGTGAATTGTTGTAGATCTGCACCGTAGTCGTTATGCTTCGTCGCCCAAGTAGGCGTTTCAGATTCATCGACTATACCTAAGACGACCAGAACTCCGCAAGGCACCGTTTCTTTCCTAGCAAAAGAGAGTATCTCGTCTGGGATCTTGTAGTTCCATAAAATGGTCTGGCTCGAGGTTCCAAAAGCAGTAGCTGCACTGGCGAACCAGACACCATCGGATTTGACAGGATGGGTACGTAGGTGGTCGATGTAGAGACCCTCGAGGTTCACGGTAGTCGGAGCACCGTAGTGGCTCTCTTCAACCATGGCTGTGGCGAGCCCGGACATAGAAATCTGGCAGGTGATGGCCTTGCTTGAGTTGCCACGGCTCCTACTTCCTATTGAGTGGTGGTCGACCGAGTCGGCATGTTGCGGTCCCCTCTTTGCTTCATTCAACACATCTTCCGCACTTTGGTGTGTTTCGGACAGGACATCAGAAGATGCACTCCCATTGTTACCAACCTCTTCCTTTGGAGGCGGTGATGGTAGTCTTAACCAATATGGCGGCAGGTTAGAATAATCCCTTGTAATCCAAGAGCTTGACCAGGCCACAGCTAAAGAGAGATTGCCATCCGAATCATTCGACGGAGCCACCGTCAGAGCATCTTGTCGACCCTCCGGAGACATCATCAAGCAGCATCCCACAGGCGTCCACAACCCAGACGAACGCAGTAGTTTCCACGCATGAGGATTGGGAACAGCGCCAAGGTCTAGTAGATAGCACACAAGCTCATCGAACGCGACGTCGACTTGCGGTTGGCGGACTTGATCGGCATATTCTACGCGTTGAGTCTTCATACCAATTGAATGCGCTTTCCAATTGAATGTGGTCCAGCTTCCGCCGGGGATAGAACTTGGGTGACGCGAGAGAGTCCAGTACTCGGAGCGATCCTGGAACCTGTCCAATGGCATGACGGCATAGCGTGGGAGCTCTATCTCAATTATGCGATTGACGATATCGCTGCGTGTGAGCGCAGTCAAGCGACCGTGTCGAAGCATGCGCTTAATTCGCGACAGGGAGATGAGTGTTGATAGAGTGTTGTACAGAATTGGGAGAACTACAGGGGTTAGTCACTGGCTTCAATCTGAGAAGGTAGGTATATACCTCCCAAGACTGCCAAAGGCACACCTATATAGGTGATGATATCGGTTGGTGACTTTCCATTGTCCGACATGTTGAACGAGGTTGTCTGTGGATTAAATTAATAGAAAAACAACAAAATTGTAAAAAGGGTTCGCGTGATCCTGGAGAGCTGAAATGAAACAACAGCAGCTAAACTCATTTGGGGTTTGAGCTGAGGCTAAGAGCAGCCACATCACCATTAAGGAACAGCTTCAATCTCACTCAGCCTTGCGCAATTCACAGTCTACAACGACATTGAAGCATGTTTTACACTGTAGTGTAGTATCTGACAATTTGTGCTGATGCTTGTCACTACCCTCACTCATCAAATCATACCCCACATATTATATCCCCCACTTGTACAAGTCTTTCTCAGCAACTCCGCTTTCTGACAAGTCTGACTCTCCACAAGGCAAATCATACCATCGCAGTTGGAAACGTCGACGAACAAGCACTCCTGAAGGAGACAACAAGAGCGGCTTTCGATATATAAGCCATATAAACCACTAGCGTCACACCGCCGACAGTCCTGGGCAGAAGCAGCAAAATGGCAGGCCTTCAGCCTCTGTCATACACCCAAATACCATCAAATCATATACGTCTTCTTCGTCTTAATACAGACATCACAAACCCAAGCGTAGGGACACTTGAGGTGGTTGATCTTGATCAAGCACCCCCCTTTTACGCTCTCAGCCACTCCTGGGGTACCCAAGTCCAGAGCGTTGCCGTCCAGGTGGAAGGGAATCTACTGTATCTAACACCAGGCCTTTCAGCTGGCCTCCGGATGTTTAAAGGACTAGCAATCGAAGAATATAGCCTGAGCCCTCCACTGAGGTATATCTGGATTGACAGCATCTGCGTGAATCAAGAAAGCTTGGCAGATCGTTCTTCACAGGTAGCTCTGATGAGAAGGATTTATTCAACTTCGATAACAACGTTAGTCTGGCTGGGCACTGAACTGGCCTGGGGACCGTCTGCATGGAAGTTGGTTGAGCAGATTTACGACGTCTTCCATTCTAGGCATCCCGCCTCTCAGACAGAGGCTGACATTCCCGTAAGGATCTGCTCGGATTCATCTCACGCTGAGACGGGGTTACCACAATGGGATCATGAGAGTTGGGGCCACCTGAAACAGTTGATGGATATTGAGTGGTTCTCCAGAATCTGGGTTGTCCAAGAAGTAGTCCTGTCTCCGAGAGATCCCATCATCATCTGTGGAAATCGCCTGTATCCATGGCATCACCTTCATTGGACAAGTGCTTGGATGCGCCGGGCCGGATATATGAGGCTGCCACAAATTCCGGAGAGGCTACTAAACGTGAACATCATGGGAAATCTTCGGAATAGTCTGACCAAATGGCCGTTGGACGCTTTGATGTCATTTACGCAGACAAAATTCCATGCGACGGATCAGAGAGACAAGATATTTGGTCTACTCGGTATGGCAGCAGAGTGTCAGGACGGTTCATTGATGCCGGAGGCCTTGCGCCCAGACTACAGCGTTGACACGGCGCAAACTTACCTGAAAGTAGCCCGCTTCTTACTGCAGAACGGAAGTTCGCTTGCCATCTTGACTCGCGCGCGTGGTGCAGTGGGCAGCCCGATGAGGAGACAACGAGTATACGACCTGGCAGGTTTGCCGTCCTGGGCCCCGGACTGGAGTGACTTTCGGGTCTTCAACAAAGGGATCCGAGCAAGTCTGGCGCGTGTTCACTTCTCAGATCCAGAAAAGGCCCCCAATCTGGGATTTCCAGACAATTTCAATGCCTCTGCTGGGCTTGGGATAAAGCTTTACAAAAGTGACGATAATTCCGTGCTCCGAGTAGGTGGAGAGAAACTGGCAACAGTAACTAAAGTTTACTCCTTTGACGAGAATGAAGTTTCAAAAGATGAGTTTGAGCTTGTTCTTGAGTCTAAGATTCGGAATGCCTGGAACACATTCGTCTCAAGTCTCACATCAGATACAGCAGACATGGTGACCTGTGTAACGCGTTTTATCAGAACGACAACTGCAGAGCGACATGGGCTTGTTGAACGATCGTGGGATCAAAGTTTGAAGGACGGTATGGCATATCTACTTAGCCTGCTAGAGACCAGTGACGATCGAATAGCGCTTTCGTTCTTCAACGGCGACAAAAGGAAATCAATAGAGCTATTGAGGCAGCTATCAGTCGGCGGACAATCCGAGGAGTACGCCTTTTTGGCCTGCACCTATTGCTTCAACAGGTCTTTCTTAGTAGCCTCGATAGGAAACATTGGCATCGGCCCATCCGATACACAGGTGGGCGATTGCATCTCGGTCATTCTTGGGGGTGATGTGCCGTATGTTATCAGAGAAGATTGGACATGGTGGTCACTTGTTGGTGAAATGTATCTTGATGGATATATGAATGGTGAAGCGGTGCGAGCGATTGAGGACGGCCATATGCAGGAAGAGATACTGGAAATCAAGTAGTTACGACAATATTCATGAGAGGAAGTTTAATCTTGATACTAGAAAATCAGTAGTATAAAGTATTAAGTTGTCGCGTAAGGGTTCCGATTATCAACGGGACAACCTGAGAAGCACAGTCACAACCACAGCTGGCGAGAAAAGAACAATAGGAAATCATTACTTCTTCGGGAATTGGGGAACACGAAGCTTCTGTTGTGTCGCATTAGGACCAGCGACCTCGAATCGGAAGTTGTAAACCCTTGTTCCTGCAGACACCCCATGAAGCGAGAACGAATACAAGCGAACTCCACGTAACACTTTTTATCACATCATCGCTGTCCGCCTTCACTTCGTGATTTTGATAAATAGCGCATTCATTACATCGACTATTAGCCATGCAGGAGGAGCAAATTGTAGGATCGGAGTATCCGCCGGCTATTCACAAGGCAGCTAACCTATTAACAGGTTGTAGACCCCGACTTTGACTCGGCTCTTGAAGTGGTACGTACGCCGACCAAGGCCTGGACTTGAAGCGGCCAGCTAACTGTAGTAGCCTCTCGAGGAACCTTCGACGTCTTCACTTCGATCTAGCCTTCTTCAATTTGCGCAAGAGAATGGACGCACCTATCACAAACTTAGTGAAGGGAGTGAGTAGAGTTTCTTTGGCCGAATCGACTTGTGCTAAAATGGAGCAGAATATGTCTACCCAAATGACGATGTGAGTAGAACTCACAAATGGCGGAGATAATGCTAACCCAGGACGAGGCCGAGAACGACAGGCTAGGTATTATACCTACAGAGAAGTGTTGGTCGCCGCTGACAAAATACAGACCTGCAGGATAATCTGTACCTCATCACCCTTGATGGTAAAAGAGCTCTGAACCCAGGAGCCGGAACAGCCAAGCGAGTTCTGGATATGGGCACTGGTACTGGTCTCTGGGCTTTGGAGTTTGGTAAGACAATATGATCCTGACGGCCTGGGACCGGACTGACAAAAGATTGTAGCTGATGAGCACCCCGCCGCGGAGGTTTGTCCACCTATAAATGGTTGTACACATAATAATTGACGAAACAGATAATCGGTGTAGACCTGAGCCCTATTCAACCTGCCTTGTTAGTGCCAGCTCTTATTCTTAGGTGCAAAGTTTATGGCTAATAGCACAGCGTACCCCCAAACTGTACCTTCGAAATCGATGATCTCGAGAAAGACTGGACGTGGAAAACGCCCTTTGACTTCGTTTTTTCTCGCATGATGACGGGTAGCTTCAGCGATCCCGAAGCGATGGCCAAAAAGGTATATGAGTAAGTTTAGATCTATCTATACCGTCAACTCACTATATGTGTTGATTCACCCCACAGAAATCTGAGCCCAGGTGGTTGGTATGAGATTCAAGACATCCAAATCCCCGTATTCTGCGATGATGATACCCTCGACCCGAAGACCTCCCCAGTCATGAAGTGGCAAGCCGGCCTCATCGAGGGATCCAAGAAGCTCGGTCGGCCTCTTGGGGAGTCTGACAAGTACAAGACTATAGTGGAAAAGGCCGGTTTCCAAAACGTTGTCGAGACAATCTACAGGTGGCCCACCAACAGCTGGCCCAAGGATCCTAAGCTCAAGGAGCTTGGCAAATGGAACCTTGTCAATTTCGATATTGGGCTAGAGGGCGTGAGCCTGGCGTTGTTCACTAGGGTTCTAGGCTGGTCGAAAGACGAGGTTTTGGCTTTGTGTACGGACGTGAGGAAGGAAATGAGAAACCCCAAAGTGCATGGATATTGGAAGATGTGAGTCTTTGGTTAGAATACTGTGAGATTGGGCTAACTGGTATAGTTATGTTGTTTACGGTCAGAAGCCTCAGACGGAGTAGAGGGAGCTATCAGTTGCAGTCCTCTTTCTACCTAGCTGTCTAACTTTGTAGTCTTTTCGGATAATACTAGCTGTAGTTCGGTGTTCAATGTGGATCGGTATGCGAAAGATAGGTCCACCATCAAGAGTAGCGTGATCGATGTTAAATGATCTGAGGGGAATGCTGTGAAATATCTTACCCCACCATGCAATACCATTATCAACTATAAACTTACGATGACAAGAATTCTCACCGTATTCGACATCAGCATAACCGAGATCACATGTTGGAAAAAGACATGCGAGCATAATCAGGAGGCTGGTTCATGATGAATATCCGTACGCGAGCGAATCATATCCGAGGTTCATTACCCCAGGTTCAAGGCTCGGGGAACGCGGAGCCGACATGGAGCCCCAAACTGGCGTGAGCAGGCTTGGAGCTAACCGTTTCTTCGCCCCGGAAAATGGTCAGGTCACCACCTCCTCCACCCCAGCCAAACCCAAAAGGTTCCCCTGTCATGACTCGTGAGGGGTGTCGCAAATCCGGGGACGACGTCGGACGGGCGGTGGATGCCGTCTGGGGGAACCAACGTCCGGGCCATGTATCCATCCATATGACACGAGCTATCTGCATGCATATAAAGACTCCTCCCGACGTCCCAAGAAACGATCGGCAGTGTTTTTTGTTTCTTGGCTTTCACAGCGCATCTTATCCTCGAACAATAAACATGGACTCCAAGACTGACGAGAAGGTCGCCATTGAGCATGGGGATGATCGTCATGATGCACAGGTAGCTGTTCAGCTTGCTCATGACACAAGCAAGAAACTGTCGCCTTGGACGAAGCCTATGTTTCGTCTGTATCTGGTTTTGGCATGCGCGTATCTTTGTGGATGCTTGGTAAGTTCTCAATTGCACACCAGCAGATTTTTCAAGTAACTAACATGGTTAAAGAACGGTTACGATGGATCGCTTCTAGGTACAGACTCCTCTCGCGTCCGACGCTATGGCCCAGTATATTTACATGGATTTTAGGTGGAATCAACGGTATGAAGAGATACCAAAAATACTTCAACATGTATGTATGACCATCATTATCTCGGGCTTGGCTAACATCCGCAGGAATGGTGAGGGCTCCTCCACCGGTATCGTCTTCGCCATGTACAACATCGGTTCCATCGCTGCCGTCTTTTTCACCGCCCCCGTCAACGATTGGTTCGGCCGACGCTGGGGAATGTTCACCGGCGCATTCGTCGTTATCGTCGGCACCTGTATCCAAGCAACTTCCACCGGCCGCGGTCAATTCCTCGCTGGTCGTTTCGTCCTGGGCTTTGGTGTCAGCTTCTGCTGTGTTTCTGCTCCCTGCTACGTCAGCGAGATGGCCCATCCCCAATGGCGAGGCACTTTGACTGGTCTGTACAACTGTACTTGGTACATCGGCAGTATCATCGCCAGTTGGGTTGTATACGGATGCAGTTACATCGAGCACGACACTGCTTGGAGAATTCCTATCTGGTGCCAGATGATTACCTCTGGCGTTGTGGTCGTTTCCGTTCTTTGGCTTCCCGAGTCCCCTCGATGGCTCATGGCCCAAGACCGCGTCGAGGATGCAGTCGCAGTCCTCGCCAAATACCACGGAGAGGGCGATGCGAACCACCCCATGGTTGTTCTCCAGATCAAGGAGATGTCCAACCAGATCGCGTCTGATGCAACTGACAAGTCCTGGTGGGACTACCGTGGTCTCTGGAACACCCATAGCGCCCGACGCAGACTTATCGGTGTTCTGGGTATGGCTGTCTTTGGACAAATTAGTGGAAACAGTTTGAGGTAAGTTGACAGTAGCCTGTGGGTATCAACTCTTGCTGACTTTGTTTCTTTTCCAGCTCGTACTATCTCCCCACCATGTTGAAGAAGGCCGGCATCGATGATGAGAAGAAGGTCTTGGCTCTCAACGGCGTCAACCCAGTTCTGTGCTTGTTTGGTGCCGTTCTCGGTGCTCGTCTTACCGATGTTGTCGGCCGTCGACCCCTTCTGATCTACTCCATCATCTTCTGCTCAGGCTGTTTCGCTGTCATTACTGGTACCAGCAAACTCGCCATCGAAGACCCCAACAATGGCAATGCCCCGAATGCTACCATCGCCATGATCTTTATCTTCGGAATCGTCTTCTCCTTTGGTTGGACCCCTCTCCAATCCGCCTACATTGCCGAGTGTCTGTCGACCGACATCCGAGCCAAGGGCACTGCGGTGGGCAACCTCGCCAGTTCAATCGCTTCGACCATCATCCAGTACAGCAGTGGTCCTGCTTTCGAGAACATCGACTACTACTTCTACCTTGTGTTTGTCTTTTGGGACCTGTTTGAGGCTGTCTTTATCTACTTCTTCTTCCCTGAGACCAAGGATCGTACCCTGGAGGAATTGTCTGAGGTGTTTGAGGCCCCTAACCCGGTCAAGAAGAGTCTACAGAAGAGAGATGCGCAGACTGTTATGAACACGATGAATGTGAAGGAAGATGACAAGCTTGCCGGAGAGGTTTAGGTTAGTCGGCTTCAGTATTATGAGCTGGTGTACCATGTGACCTGAAGGATGCACAACAACAGATACTTGTCGAGCAATTTAATTATTGAGATGAAGCAACTTGATTGTTTTCTCCGTGACAAATATTTATCCAAACTATTTCAGAGAATGCATGACTTGTGATTACTTGGCAGAAGGAAACGCGACACATTGTAACCCTGGCTCCAGATATTCGTATAGCTCGTCAATTGACTCTGAAAAACAATGCCACCTCGTTGCCGATCAGTCAACCCTCGGTTCCAAATCCCGGTCCGCATAAAAAGACTGATCATTGCCATCCTAGGGTCCCAGGCCATTCTCGAGGTCTCATGGCCATCAAGCTTTGCACCGTTCCTTGGCTACCATGCAGATCGAACATGAGCCAATCGGCGAGCCTATTAAAAGCTGGGGTAACATACCTGTTTTTCTGGGGATCCAATCCTCTCCCGCACCAATCATACCCCCCAATTCACTCCGGACCGGACATCCCCGAACTTGGCCGGTTCCATCGCATCATCCAATCCTCCACATGATCGTCGCCTTCATTATCTCCTCGTTTCCCCACGTTTTGTGTCGGCCCGTACCGGAGCGACGTTGTAAAACACTTCGTCTGAACCACTGCCATGGAACCTGACAGCGCAAACGACTCTGCTGAGTGGCGAGCAAGGAAGAGACTGAGGACGTCGCATGCAGTGAGTCTGCAGCCTTAACGTCTGCCTACTGTGCCAAGCTTACCGACAATAGTGCGATGCTTGCCGTACCCGCAAGACAAGGTTGGATCCTGCTGCAAGAGCCTCATTGCGTAGCTTGGCTGATAAGAAGATAGGTGTGATGGAAATCATCCTTGCGCGACGTGTGCGGCGATCAACCATGATTGTACCTATGGATCTGAAGCCAACTCGTAAGCCCCACGTCCAGTACCTGTCGATCGGTAGGGAACTAACTCTTGTCAGGAGAAGCAAGAACGATCTTATCCTAGAGAGTGTTTTGAGAGTCGAGAGAACTCTGCATGAGCTGAGATCCACTATCGTGAGTAGCATTGAACCCCCAGGCCGGTTCTGCTCTGACAATATCACCTACAGCCAGCAAACATCCAACTAGGCTGTCAGCATCAATCTCAAAACTCACCTCAAACTCATCGCACCAATTCATTTTCTGGTTCATCGCCAGATCTCAATCTTCGCCGTCAAAGCCATGCCATTCAAACACCTAACAGTCAGGATCAGCGTGAGAGTGTGAACAACTTTGAAAATGCGGTGCTGGACTCCATGCACACCTCCACAACCGAATCGATCCTCCAATGGCCACATTTTGACGTGTTTCCACTCCTTCGACATGATGGGGAGTCGATCTTTTACTTGGAGCAATCGCGTACTCCACTAATAATTGCACCCAATCCTATGTATCCATACGTTGACGCAGAGGATATTACTTCCATGCTTGAAGCATTCGAACGCAACGTCAACTTCTGGTATCCTTCCATGTCTCAGGAACAACTCAATAGTATTAGAACGACGCTTCAAAACGGGATGCCTGCTGAAGATACCGTGCATTCCTGTCTATGCTTACTCACGTTGGCTTTGGGTTGTGCAAGCCAGGCTGCAGAGGACCTGCGATTCACAACAGAGCCGGACGCTTCAGAGAAGGATAGAAGACTTCGAAAAAGAAAGCTGGGAGATATTTACTTTCACTTGGCGTTAAAGAAGCTTCATGTTGTACATCTGCAGGTTGACTCACAAAGCACGCAATGCCTCTTCTTCACAGCGTGAGTAACCCCAGGCTATACGATCTATGCTACCGCTGACCTACCAGTCTTTACTTTGCTTCGCTAGTTAGACCACTCCAGGCGTGGGAATACCTCAGTGCTACGGCCACAAGATGCATGCTTCTGCTCTCATATCCAACCAGTAAACATGACACCGATTCCGAAGAGCGGATCAGAAGGATATTTTGGTCTTGCTATATACTGGAGAGGTGAGAGGCCCATGGACCTACCCTCTTACTTCACTCCATACTGATACCACCGTAGTGATTATATGGCTGAGTTATCGGCATGTCCTCCTTCTGGGATCGCCCGTGTTGAATCATCCGTCCAGCTACCAAGTACATATCACACCCATACATCCGATGTCGTGGAAGAAGAGTCTTCTCTCTATTTCCTCGCCTGTATAAGCATGCGACGCCTGCTTAACAGAGTCCATCAGCTTCTATATGCGAGAGATACAGGCGCTGCATTCGACCATACTCGCTTCCCCAGGATCGTCGCTGAACTCCAGCGCCAACTGGATGATTGGCGTGACGTCCTGCCAGCATCGTTCTCGTTCAGCGTTGATACCGAGGAGGTAGCAACGGCAGCTGGTGGATTTCTTCGACAACGATATCTCACCTGCAAAGGAGTTATCTATCGACCGTATCTTATGTGGATACTCAGCAGCAGTTATGCCGATGCCTCTACTTCGGCTGTCGCCCCTTCGATACCAGATGTGATGAACAACTGCAAACTTTGTCTTGACGCTTGTTTACTACATGCACTAGACCTGAGAGGCTTCCCTCAAACGGTCTTAGTTGACACATGGATATGCTCACTATCGTAAGTCGATCTTTGTTTACCAAACCCAGCGGAGCATTAACCGAAAACAGTATGTCTGGCGCCATGCTGATACTACTGGCAGCATCGCACGTACCTGCACTGAAGGAGTTCATTGGTAATCGCGCCACTCTTGTGGGGAGCCATCTCGAAAGGCTGTTCAGGACCTGGCGTGATGTTTCGTTTGGGGGTGACTCGCCGAGTGTTGATCGCAGTATGTGGCTTATACAGCAGGCGGATAGCTACATCAGAGGGTGTTATTAAATAACTAATCTAATACAACGAACGCTTCCTATGCTTCTTATAAGGAAAGTCGGCACATTTGATACTGCAAACACACACACTGGTGATTGCCGCTAATTTGTTTCCTGTCTGGTCCCCGTTGGTACGGTTGAAACGGAAATTTCCTTGTGATTTAGTTACAAGCCTCTTCAAAAAAAGGCTTGTGTTTACCATCAGACAGTCCAGCTTCATCTCCTCTCTTCATAAAAGACCTGGCGCTTCTTGAGACTAGAGGTTCATGAGGGTCTACACGAGTAGTGCCACTGCAGGGTATCCACGCATACTTGCCCTCTCCTCAGTTCCCTAGCCTCGCTGACAGCTACTTAATCATTCCTTCAAATACCTACCTGAGAGTCCCTCTCTTCAAGATCGCAAACGGTATTGAAACTGAGGGTAGGCCCGCAGTAAAGGTTCATGTCGAAAGCTCTAGTCGGGCCGATGAGAAGAAAACCGCTAAATGTCTTGGTCAGATCCAAGCATTCAGTTTGGCGAAGTTTACACCCATGCGTCTTTATGTGATGATCAATTGCTCCCACGATCATGGATTGATCTGGGATACAACGGTCACTCTTCACGGCCTGGGTCAGGTTAGTAACTATCGTATCGCTATGAGGGGTGTCTGAGTTGCCGAACCCGAAATTGATAACGAATCTCTTGGTCCTGTCCAGCATATCCGTTAAGGAACGTTTGTTCGAATGGTTCACCGCTGTAAAAAAGTTCAAAACCTATAGATCATGTCAATTCAGGACTATTCCACTATACCATGTTGGCTTACAGAGATCGGCGACTCTACTAAAGACAGGCTGTAAGAAGAGTCTTAGCTATGTCGTCCGAAGTTTGGAAAGCACTTCTTACCTCCAAACCAAAGAGTAGCACAATACATGCTCCAAAGGTGGCCAATAGCCTGCGAGATTTCTTCAGAGATGTCAGTAAGCTGACTGACTAGGATAGAAATTGGTACAAACGTACCTTCGAGGCTTTGTCTTTCTCGGACGCAGTCTTCTTAGGCTCGGGATTTTCAGGCTCTTCGTCATTATATAACGAAGAAAAGAGCAAGTATATACCAGCGGCTATATTGAATTCATTGGTCTGATAGGAATCCATCACGTTGAGTACTACGAGAAAGGCGGGGACTATATAGGCGACGGTGGCCTCATTGAACTTTCTCAGAGCAGAAGGGTTTGCACGAGTATCCGTAGCCATCGCGATAGTCTAGACTGGTACTAGTGTTGAGCAGATTTATTTTGTTGTAGTTCTTTTGTCCTTTTCAAAATTATTATAGGAGGTTATCGGATTAGAGTAGAGAGAAATAAGTCGCTACGAGTTATTGAGTGAATTTGCCAATTTATGTGCTCAGCAAGATTTAGGCAGCAATCGCGAAAGGACCATTCAAAAAGCACATGTGCCGGTTATCCGGCATGAACACGGTGTTGGTTGCAAATAAAAGATATCATACGACCTGCATTTTTAAAGCCAACAGACCCTGATGTGGACCAACAGTTGGTTAACTGTTCTGTGGTGGAGTCCGGATTCGGTGATTGTTTTAAACGCTCGTCTGGTCCACTAGCATTGGAAGCTAGAGCATGACGTTTTCCTGACCTGGGATCAATAGAGGTCGAACTATTTTACCAAAAGAATCTCAATATGAACTGCTCTCATCTGAACCTCATGCCGAATGTTTTACTATTTCAAGAAAGCTACAGTCGTGGTCATTTTACCATAACTCTAATGCTTTGTCATGAAATCCCTAGCATGAAGCAGTGCCCTAATCCAAGGTTTTACGCAAATAAGAGGAATATAATATTTTGTGGCTTTATGAATCCAGCGACAATTAGTTATGCAGAATCTTGAATTGACAGTACACTTATCGCTTACGTGGCAGGATCTGGGAAATCTGGACAATATTCATCTAGTAATCACCCGCTAAGTCATGAGCAAGGCCACGACCACTATGTCAAAAGCTCTTGCTCAGCCTCAGAATTGATAGATAGTCCTAGATATGCCATTAAAGGCCTGTATATAGCATTTGCATTGAGTAGATTACATTTTACTTCCTAATTTGTGGGTTTGTACTACTGCCAGCTTAGGAGCCAAAGACGCACGCGAAAAGAATAGATGTCCCAGCAATCCGTTCTCACTCTTATTACACAAGTTAATAAACCAGTCAGATATCTTTACAGAGGTATTATTTTATATCGCAATTCTTCAATCATCTTTGCTGAAGCAGTAGGTGGCCTGTTTTTATTGGTATGTGTCCTGAACGATAACCAGCTTAGGGTAGCGAAATTATAGTATCAGTTGCAAACTAATACATATTATCTGTTGCCTATTGGTACATATTTATAGTACATTTGGGAGAGAAATCTATGTACTAGCTAATATAGTATGACTATTTCCTTACCCAATGAAAGACACTATGCATAGACGTGTTTCTAATAGCATTCATTAACTATCTCTGGCTCATGTTGATTCCATGAAATCATCACGATTTTTTTTAACATTCCTGTTTAAATCTTTGATCACTCTTCGTATCAGTTCTCATTTATTGGAATCAACTGTCTCCTAATTATTAGATGTTTGATGGTGACTTCAGAAATACAGTTCCGTGCAACAGTTCCGGTAACAGGCCAAGGACTATTCCAAATACAGCAGAGACGAAATTGTCACAACTTCGACATGTTACTTACGAGACAATAGGAAGTCACCGAATGACAGTTCATATCATCTCGCCCTCCAAAGTATGACTAAGAACTGGTGAGATGTATGGTGTATCCTCGAACTTGTCAATACCGCCCCACCCCGGCCCCGACATCCCCGAGCTCTGAACCTCGGCCATTTGGCTAGCCCTAACTGGCTCTGGTGCATTCAGGCTATTACCCAAAACCAGGCAAGATCACCACTCATCGAGCCATGTACCCGCACCTATCGTGGAGTTTTGGTGGAGTTTTCTTCATCCGAATCATCCCCCGAGAGTGAAACCGAAGCGAAGCACGTGGTTGGGCGAAGCTGACCTGGGCATGTAGTAACGACGCGGGCCTCACGGGGATGCGGGGGGCTGAGCAATTACGTAGAGAGGTATCAAGATAAAGGCTCAGGTTAATCCTCGAGACTGACTTTTCCATTTTCATTCTCATTTTCTGCTTGTTATTCCTTCTCCTTCTCTGCGACAAGATGGGTGATAACATTCAGCAAGAGCCCAAGGGCATTTCCCCCCAAGAGGACGAGTCTCGACCGGACTATATCAATGAGGCTGTTTTCAGGAGAAACACCCTCCCTACTCGTTCATATCATATCCCTGATACTTCCATCTCACTGAACGGAATTTGGGACTTTGCGCTTGCTGGCACAGCACTTGAAGCACCAGAGCCAAGCGCCAAGGACATCGCTTTTGGCCAAATTCAAGTCCCTGGTCATTGGCAGCTACAGGGCCACGGAAAGCCTTGGTACACCAACGTGCAGTATCCCATTCCCGTCTGCCCGCCGTTTGTTCCCACCGAGAATCCTACGGGAACCTATCGTCGTGAATTTCACGTTCCAGCTGGGTGGGAGGCAGACTCTCAGCTGAGATTGCGCTTTGATGGTGTTGACAGCGCGTATCACATTTGGGTCAACGGCACGCTCGTTGGGTACGCTCAAGGATCCAGAAACCCTTCTGAATTCGACGTTTCGGCGTTTGTCAACCGAAAGGGCGCGAATGAGCTCTTTGTAAGAGTTTATCAGTGGTCTGATGCGACATACATCGAAGATCAGGACCAATGGTGGCTCTCTGGTAAGTAGCGCAGCGCCGGGGAGAAATTCGCAACTAACATGTTACAGGAATCTTCCGCGACGTTTATCTCATCTCATTCCCAGCTGCTCGAATTGAGGATTTCTTTGTCAAGCCAGACCTCGACGAAAATTACGAGCATGCTACACTAACTACTGTCGTTGATATATCTTCCGACAAATCTGCTGTTCTTGAGCTCACAATCTCAGAGCTTGCCAAGAATGGAGGTGCCATGATTGCTTCTGAAACGACCTCGGTGGACGCGAAGTCTGAGAAGGTCACTGTCAGTGCTTCCGTCAAAAGCCCCAAGAAGTGGACAGCAGAGACACCATACCTCTACCTGGCAGAGCTGACGCTCAAGTCCGAAGACTCTAAGACTGTGCTTCACAAGGTTCAACAGCGGTTCGGTTTCAGAAAGGTTGAGCTCAAGGATGGCCTTATGATGGTCAACGGAAAACGGATCCGCCTCAGGGGAGTCAACCGCCACGAGCACCACCCGCTCCTCGGCCGCTCTGTGCCTCTGGAGTTTGCCAAGAGAGACCTCCTTATCATGAAGAAGCACAACATCAACGCTCTTCGCTGTGCCCACCAACCTCACGACCCCAGAATCCTCGATCTTTGTGACGAATATGGTCTGTGGGTTATGGCGGAAGCTGATCTCGAATGCCATGGCTTCTACGATGCTGTTGCCCGACCCCTTGACATCCCCGAGTCTATGGATTACGGTGAGCGAAAGAAGCTCGCTTTCGGAAAGGCCGCTGAGTTCACCTCCAACAACCCTGCTTGGAAGGCTGCCTACCTCGACCGCATCCAAGCTGTCCTCAATCGTGACAAGAACCATGCGAGTGTCATTATGTGGAGTTTTGGAAACGAGGCCTTTTATGGAGATAACCACAGGGCTATGTTCAAGTATGCTACCGAAGCCGATCCTTCAAGACTAATTCACTACGAGGGTGATGAGAAGGCAGAGACAACACATATGTATAGTTACATGTATCCTTCCATCGAGACATTGATCAAGCACGCCAAGGAGGAAGGTGTGGTAGACGGCAAGTTCGAGAAGCCCATCGTCCTCTGCGAATACGGCCACGCCATGGGTAACGGTCCAGGCTGGCTCGAGGACTATGAGCAGGCTTTCCGCGACTACCCTCGTCTCCAGGGAGGCTTTATCTGGGAGTGGGCCAACCACGGTCTGTGGAAGGATGACCACGAAGGGGCAGGATACTACGCCTATGGTGGTGACTTCGGCGACACACCCAATGACGGAACCTTTGTTATGGATGGTCTCCTGAACAGTGAGCATCAGCCTACACCAGGTCTGACAGAGTTCAAGAAGGTTATCCAACCTGTTGGCTTCTCCTTCGCGGATGGGGAGTTGAAGATTGAGAATTATCATGACTTTACTGGTTTGGACCACTTGACTGCTTCTTTCAAGGTGGAACAGCTGGGAAGAGAGTAAGTCACTACTACTATGTGTTATAAGTATGATTGTTAATCGTGAACTAGGTCAACTCTGATTCATTCTGAGTCTTTTGATGTCCCTGACATCCCAGCTGGCGAGACTCGTTCTGTCTCTCTCCCTGTAGATGCCAAGCGATACAGCAAGGACAGCGAGGTTTACCTGACCGTTACTCTTTCACTCAAGCAGTCAACAGCTTGGGCTTCTGCAGGTCACGAAATTGCCTGGTACCAACAACAGCTCCAAGCTCCTCAGAGCAATGCTAAGGAGACACTCACCGCCAACAACACCCTATCATCTAAGCTCTCTGTTTCAGAGAAGCTCGCTGCTGTTACAGTGTCCGGAAAGAACTTCCAGTTCAATTTCGACCGAGCCTACGGTTCTTTGAAGAGCTGGACGTTGAACAACGAGGTGATCCTTGACACCGATCCCAAGACCCAAGCAGCTATCATTCCGTCCTTCTGGCGACCCAAGACTGACAACGATGTCCCCGGAGCAGTCCCTTACTGGGAGAGATTTGGTGTACACCAACTGCAATCGCAGCTTCGATCGTTCTCGGTGGATTCGTCCAACTCTGACAAGGTTGTCTTGAAATCTCATACCTTCATTACCCCCCCTGTTCTCTTCTGGGGCTGGGACTGCGAGATCACATACACGGTCTATCTTACTGGCGCACTAAGCGTGGATGTTACTCGATTGACCCCCACTGGTTCTTTCCCAGAGCACGTACCTAGGATCGGACTTAACATATATAGTACCAAGACCTTGGAGCGCGTCAAGTGGCTTGGCCGTGGTCCCGGTGAGAGTTACCCCGATAAGAAGGACTCCCAGAGAATAGGAATCTGGGACGTCGAGACAATTTCTGCTCTGCAGACACCTTACGAAGTGCCTCAAGAGAATGGAAACAGAGAAGATACCCGATGGGTAGCGCTGCAAGATTCAAAGTCCCCAAGTATTGGACTGCGCGCAGCTCGTCTAGACGGAGCAAACTTCAGTTTCTTAGCGTCACATCACAGGGATTCTACCATTAATGACGCCAGACATCCCCCTGACTTGAAGGAGGATGATGCTGTATTCATCAGACTTGATGCCAAGGTTGCAGGTGTTGGATCTGGTGCTTGTGGACCAGCTGTTCGCGAGGATCTTATGGTCAAGACGGAGGAAACGACTTTCGGCTTCCTGCTAGAGCCGCTATGAACTAGATTGATAGATATCATGAGTAAATGATGATTTAAGTTTCAAGAATCGCTACTCTGGAGAAGCCGAGTAGACAAGGAGTGTAGAATGTTCAGCTTATACCAATGCCACTTCAACCACTCCATCATCACCGTTACCCCAAGCTTCACCTCTCATTATCCCATGGACATAGGCAGGGCCTACCAACTCCCTTACATGCCTCTCACCTGACTCTATTACCTTCTTCGCAGTCTCCTTAGATGAATCCACAGCCCTAAGAATGAACGGCATCACACCGCCCTCCAAAACCCATACCTCATCACCCTCCTTCAAATAAGTCGGACCCGTGCCGATGAAACCTCCACCAAGTACAAAGAATCTCTTGTGTGCACTCATACTGCCAGCGTATTTCCAAAATGTATCAGCACCATACCAGTCCGCTCGCAATCTACCCCCCATCCCCAAGAGCATGCAGTCTAGGTACTCATCCACACTCAAGTTCGGGAGTTTAGCCTCTGGCAGGTCATCTACCTGATGATGGAGAATGCACTGCACAGCCTCCCATTCGTGAGCTGCTGTGAAACCACCGCCGCCTAGAAACATGTCTGCGCAAGCGGTGCGCCAAAAGGCCGAGATGAGTGACTGGTCGCTAGGTGAAAAGGCATCTGCTTCACCAGGTCTATATGCTGGATATGGATCGGAGGATCTGGCAGCGCATAGTCCTCGCCACTGGTCAATCACCATTTGCACCATTTGGTGCTGTCGGAGATGTGTTAGCATGTTTAGGGCGGGACGTTTCTGACGACTGAGATCTTTTTTGTAAGGGTCTGTGAGCTGCATCTTTGTACCGAGGTGTTCAATCTTGCCCACGTAGCGACCTCGCAGACGAAGTGCCGATGGACTTCTCTTTGCACTCTCGCTGTTGATCAAATCGGTAGTCACCAATCTCCCACCGGCAGCATCCAGGTCGTTATCTCTGGCGACGGGGAACATTTCAGAGCCGATTGTTCGTATTCGATAATCCGATACCCAGCTTGGTAGGTCTGGAGACATGTTGGGTGCCACAAAACGGAGCGCATCAAGTGTTCGAGATGATGTGATCTCATACCTCGTGACAGAGCCGTAAATCTCGGAAAGTGGAATGTTGTAGTCCACGGTGATAGCGTCTTTATGGCGTTTATCTACCATTCCAAGGATCCCAAAGACTTTATCACGAGGTTCAGAACAATCGCTCGCTCTCAGTATGGTAAGCTGCTGATCTAAAGTCGCTCCGCCCTCCACATCCCTCGGCCCACCTTTGCCCCAATACGAGTCTCTTTGGATATCCATCTGAATAGCCATGTGACTAGCCCTGCTATTACGACTGCCGAAAAGCCCCAATTCCCAGATAAAGGTATCAGTGAACATGAGCGCATCCCAGCTGAGTGCCAAGGTTCCGACAATGATTGTTGGTTCCTTGGCGAGAACCAATTCCTGAAGCATCCAGACACGAAAGAACCAGCTCCGACTAAATAAACTAGTCAGCGAGTGCCAAACCAGATCGACAGGGCCAGAGAGGTTGAGCTGGTCAATGATGGTTCGGTTTTGATGAGATAACATGCTCGGGTCCCATTTCATTGGTGCTGATGCCGGAGGAATAACACCCGGATTGCGAAAAAGGTTCTGTCGAAGCTGCCTCTCAATGAATGAAGTTGTCCACTGCAAGTCCATGGCGTTTAGTTGTGCCGCCATTACTGACACCTCATCCTTATTGTCAAAGGGCGCGAAGTCGGCTAGAAACTCTGTCTCTTGGTTGACCGTTCTCCCCTCTGCTTCATATATAGCCGCCCGCTCGTATGCTGTTAACAGCCCGGGTTCTTTGTATTTTGCAGTTGTCCGTTCTGGACCGTTTTCCTTCTCGGGATGCGTCGTAAACAGCTCTTTCTGTTCACTAGCAGCTACTTCCAAACCTCTCATGATCTTCAACTGACTCAAGTTTCTGCTTCTTCGGCTCGGCGGTAGCCCGCCGTACCGCGCTATCTTGATGGCAGAGTCGCAGGCGAGCTCGGTGAGATCATCCTCTTGACCCAGCCAAATGAGAACCTCGGCTGCGCGCAAGTAAATGGCATCCATCATTTGAACCTGGGCTGTTCTTTCAGGAGTGTTCTCCTGGTCAATGCAAACCATGTCTATCCATATTCGCGTAACGTTGTGATGATCTCGCAGCGTTATCAGTGCTGCAGCTGCGTTGCTACGTAGTGGAACGGTGCCACCTCTGAGATACAGACTCGGGTGGTTTGCTTCTGGAGGACCCCATTCGTATGAAAGCGCGATGAATGGCGGAGAAGTTTGTAGATCATGGACCTCTAAAGTGCCGCAAATGATTGAACTTGAATTTGCTGTGACCGGGGATAGTCGGAGTAGACGGATAGAGCCAGTGGGCAGCGGAGTGAATGGATAACGAGCCATGTTATCTAATGTGAGGGAAGAGTAAGTCAAATGCCGTACTTTCAGTAGATGACATGCCACTTTAAATGGTTCATGAATGGGCTGAAACAATGGACATTCAGCCTTGTGTGCGCCCAACTGTCTTAGTTCCAAGCCTGCATGAAAGGCTGGTCTAGACTCCAATACAGGCAAGCCACTATCGACTTCTCAATACCTAGCTGGATGCTGCGCCTCATCGGCTGATGAAAACTGTATAGTGCTCGCAACGTTCATAGGCGTGAAAGCTAGAAATATTTGCCTGACTAATTGTGAAAATGTTACTCTGCCATTTATCCAACATATTTGATCACGCTCGCTGAAAGTCTTGTGTCCAAAATTGTGGCTTCACCTCCAATAATCATCCGCTAACTTGGCCGAGTAGTGAAGGCGTTGTGTTGGGATTCTTATCGGAAACTAAACCCGCAGTGAGAAACCGCCGATTACAGAAATCTTAACAATAGAGAGACCCTTACACAGACCAAAAAGTAATAATAGCTCAAATCCAGCAAGATTACCCAACCATATTTAAAATGTTATGGACTCGGAGATACTGTCGGTGAAACCTCTAACCAGCCATATTACAAGCCGTCGCCAGCTCCTTTCGAATTTCCTGGATGAAGAGAACGCCCTGTTCATCCCAGCCCGTACTTGTGCTGTCGACAAACTTGGGAATGTTCCCAAATCCATTTTCAATGCATAGTAAGCACTTGACCACTAGGTTAGAGTAAGAGACTCCCATCTCATATGCAAGAACGTTTTTGGCAAGAGCGATAGAATCTCATGCCCAGATGCCACTTCAGCGCTACATATAACTGCGGTAAGCCGAATTCGCAAGAATGGCTCAGCTTATCTAAAGCGGAATTGCTATTTATGTCGCCTGCTGACTCTAATACAACCCGTTCAATCGGATTGGTCTTTGTATGCGATGCGACAGTACCAAAATGGTAATATGTCCCGATTGAGCTGTGTGCAGTGAAGTCAAGTGGTTATATCCGGATAATTTCATCGCTTTCCCTAAAATGCAGAAATTAGCGTGCACCAGCTTACGCTTCACCTGGTATAATTGGATAGTGATGAGTTTTAGCCTTGGGCCTTGTGATTCTTTGGAATTATGCGTTATTTAATTGATTCTCTGCCGCTTATCTCACATCCCTATCCTTCACTTTGGCAGGTATAAAGAACAACTCAGCGTCATAATCTCAGTGACGATAATAGCGAACCAGTAATGATAAAGAAAATACGTCACGGTGCCCGGGGTACGAAGAAAGTCACCACGGGATGTTTGACATGCAAGTAAGGAGGCTCCTCCCGTACCCCCCATGGGATCGTCTTGTTAATCCAGCAGTAGAAGCAGGCATAAAAAGTGCGACGAAGCCAGACCAGCTTGCTCACCTTGTATCCGGGCGGGATGGAAATGTGAGTTCGCCTCGTCTGCTCCCCCCGGGGCACCGCGGTACACGGCGACTCCTCTCATTTGTAGTCTGCGATACCCTTCTGCCAGACCTTTACTGGCTGGCGAGTATCAGCACATGGAGTACTTTCGGGTCGTGTGTGTTGGGGATTTCTCTTTATTTTTTGAGGTGACCGAGTGGGAAAACATCATCGTCCAGGGCACTCTCAATGAACCAGCATTGCATCATGCAGCCCTAGCAATCGGGGCCCTGGCTAGCAGCCGTTACCATCCTAGCGTATGGCAAAGCACCCCAGCGGTTGTCTTTTCGATACGACATTATAGCATGGCCATCCAGGATCTCCAAGGTCGGCTTGATGGATCTCCCCGAAGTGTCGAGCTTGCCGTCCTGGCGAGCGTTCTCTTCAGCTACATCGAATTTCTTCTAGATATCGATAATCGGGTCGAGATGCATATCCAGGCTGGATGTTCCATGCTTGAGAGACTCCTCACCAGGGATGATATAACACTCGCACTTTCTAGTCGGGCTAGATCGAATTACGAGGTTGGCAGTTCATTTGCTAGATATCATCTACTTGCTCGTGTTATGCATCAGGTCACTACTCAAATTAGCTCTTTGCGGCATTTTTCTCGGATGATGACAGTAAATAAATAGATTCGTTGTGTTGAAAAAGATGATAGATAATGCATTTGCTCAAGTCGACCTGTACTCAAACGGTGTCATACAAGGTAACAAAATACACCAAGATATACATCTATCGAACGTGATGAGTTAACTGGTCAGCAATCCCTTGCTAGCTTAGGTCTAGCGTTCTACCATTGGGCGAGGGTGTGTGAGCGAGTGTCGAATACTACAACCAATCGAATTCTTCAAAGCGTATCTTTTGTTCTTTAATTCGATAACGAAACCCATAGCCGGAAAGGAAAAGTCCCAATACCACCCGGAATCGGTTAAAAATGGCATAATCCCGTATTCTTCCCTGCTACGCCAGCACTAAAAACCATGAGCTAGGTAGGTAAAATCATCTGTCTACAGTTAATTGAATTCTGGTAGCTGAAAATGCCGAGCTTTTCGGTCTTTTGCGGGACAGAGTTGGGATATAAATACAGACGTAGTAGAGCATCTGATTCTGGATGTTCCAGAATACTTAGCTCCTTACCCCCAAGACCGTATGGTACTTTTCCCTTCACTATCACTAGAGACTCGTCACATAACAATTTACATCCTGCCTCATAATTAGATTCAACAATGACCTTCTCGCGTTCAACCTACACTACAACGCGCGCACTCACATACTCTTACATACATGTACCGCCCCAACTCCCAACCACTCGATACTTTCTCTTCCTACATGGTTTCCCCTCTACCTCGCATCACTGGCGCCATCAGATTGCCTTCTTCAAAGAAAAAGGCTATGGCATCATAGCGCCAGACCTGCTTGGCTTCGGGGAGACGTCAAGACCGACTGAGTTAGAGATGTACAGGGGTGAGGATATGGCAAGGGATATCGTTGAAATCTTGATGTCAGAAGGCATTGAAATTGTGGTGGGTGTGGCACATGACTGGTATGTTAAACTTGTTCGCCTTTCTGGTTGTCATATTCAAGACGCTCTGAATGGAGAGAGAGATGTAGCGATGCTAACGCTTCATCCTTCAGGGGATGTTTCCTTTTGTCACGACTAGCAAATTATCATCCCGAGCGCTTTTCGGCCTATGCGTACATCGACCACGGATACATGGCCCCTGGCCGTGGCCTCACTACCGCAGCGGTACAGCATTTCAATAGATCGGTGGAAGCAAAACTTGGGTTTTCGATCCTCGGGTACTTCCTTTTATTTGATGACGAGGATGCTCCTAGGCTGCTAGATGAACATGCAAGTTCCTTCCAAACCCGCGAGGATTTGACTTGCTAAACTATCGGAAACGCTATAGTCCGAATCGGTAGAATCCCTCTACTTTACCACCGACGAAGAGATCATCAAGAAATACAAGGGCTCTCTAGGCGGTTTACGCTCTTGGCTGACCGAGGGCAAGACTACCAAGTTGCCAGCCTATTTGACATCAGAGGTATAAATTCGACCCGTGATGTGTGGTGTTATGTCCAAACTGACGTACATGGAATAGGATCACAAATATTATGAACACGCCTTCTCTAAGGAGCAAGGTGGCTATGGCCCTGCGATAAACTGGTATAGGGCTGCTCTGCGTAACATTAACGAAGAAGATGAGCGAAGTATGGAATACCCTCTATGCCCTGTATCTCTTCCTCTCCTCTGCAGCCGCCACTACCTGGAGATCGCTCTCTGGCACCTCCGCTTCCATATTTTACTAACACCAAATCAGACATACCAACGGCTGCCCACGTCCTGACACACCCAACCCTATTAATCGCGTCTACGAACGTCATTACTGCCGCAATGAAAATCCCAGAGCAGATGCTCCCTTTCGCGCCTGGTCTCAGGGTTGAGCAAGTTGCCGGTGGACATTGGCTACAGTTAGAGAAGCCAGATGAAGTAAATGAAATTCTGGATAGCTTTGTAGCAAGTTTGGAAACCGATTCAATCGATTGATCAAACATTGGAAGACAGTCTAAAACCGACAGACCTTCACATCCCTTGCAATCCGATAACGCTTTAAAGAAGAGACGATTTTACAGTACCTAGGTAGCCGAGGGTTATATCTAATTTATGTGCTATTTGTACCCTGGGACTAGAGAAGCTCGAATTAAAGTAGTCCCAGCCGCTTCGGTCAAATTTAAACAAAGCTTGGAAAGTCTTTTTTTATCTCAGTATTTTGTCGAGGTCAATAATGCTGATTTCGACGCGGACCGGGTACACGTCGTGAAGCAGCCCACGATTTTAGAAATGTGTAGCGACTCGCATGTCCATACCCCCATGATCATTGAGTAAAAAGTTCGGAAGGTTCCAGATATCTACCGAATCAGAAGCGTTTGTGACCGAGCTGACAGAGGATCCGAAGTTCCGAGGATCCGTCGATCGACGAGGAGATGTCCGAAAAGCAGAGCCTTGCTAAATTCTGTTGATCCCCGCCGTCTTTGTATGATACTATCGACAGTGCAGGATCTAAATGGGAAACTTGAATTAATCGAGGGCCTGGAACCCCCACGCTTTGTGTTTTCAGTTACTGCTGACTCTGGTGAGGCTACCCCAGTCCCGCGATGACGCCGATACTCAATGGAGTGTATAATAAGTCTCAAGTCTTAAGTTGAAGCTTAATGGCGCTTTTATATCCAGTTTAATTATTTATGCTTGATTTGTGATAATTACCTGTTGACCTGTTTAAGTGAAAGTAATTGTAATAACCGTTGCGATGAACAGGAGTGGTTGACGTAGCTTTCTTTAATGCCAGAGAAATATTAACAGTATTGAAACATGTATGGTCTCCGGAGACGGAAAACTTTAACCGCAATACTCCGCAGGACAAATTGAAACAGGATATAGTTATAATAAAGGATTTTAGACTTCGTCATAGTGTATCAGTCTCGTTACCGCACTACCTTGGCAAGGACTTCAGTGTACCTGTTGCTCGTGAATACTCAACTTCACTTCGCTGGCTGGCCCGCAATAAATCGTATCACATTAATCACTTTGTATGAGCCATATTAACTGCATCCTGAGGAACTTTTTGTGATGTTACAATATAGGATTGCTGACAAGCAGCCGGCACCTTGTAGTCTCTTGGCATTAAAGTCCGTGCTGAGCAAGTGAGGGAACGAAGCGATTTTCCGAACGTACCTTGCCGAGTATCGAGATCAGACGCTGCACTGCACTTCTGCTCGCGGCCAATAGGGACTCAAAGGAAGCGGGCTGTAAGACTGCCAAGGATCTCGATGTTGGATGCGGGTATTCAGCTCCGTGTAGATCTCACGCATTTGTACCTATGCAGGTTTAACCTTGTACTTACTTGCAGTCTGCTTACCAAAAGAGCTTAGTCCTCGAGATACCACAGCATGGTCAGTCACTCCAAAGCATGGTATGTGTCACGACAACTGTGAGGAATTCACCGTAACGCTTTAGTCTCCCAAGTCGAATCAGGATCGATGCGGGCTAATCATATTGTTTCTTCAGCTATCAAAGCGCAGGGCTGGCAAGTGTGAGCGCGAGCTCGCCCTCGCCCGCAAGCTGGTCACCGAGAACGAGCATCTCCTGCCCCACATGCGCGGCAGCGAGAACAACCAGCGAATTGATATCTGCACGACTATAAATATGTGTTGACTTTCCACTACTGTTGTTTCCTCAACAAACGTTCCAATCGACTCATCCCGAAGTCAAAGAAACAAGCCTTTCTGAACCATCTTTCACCTCCGATAGCTACGATGATCTCAGTAAGTCTTGGAGTTAACTATAGGGCAGAGAAAGAGAAATTAACATTATCAGCTACGTTCTACCTTGACTCTTCTGGTCCTTCCAGCCCTCGCTGCAGCAGGCAATGTCTGTCTCGGCGTCTTTGCTGTAGCTGGTCTCGGCGACGCTCCCCCTGACGTCTACTACGTCGCCTTCGCCGCTGGATCCCCATGTGACGAAAGTCGATCAGCTTCGTTAACAGATACTCTCAATGAGAATTGGTGCTCAATTTCCAACCGCGCCCCGCAGTTCGACATGTGTGGCAGCACAGCCACCATCTTCAATTCAGGAGAGCCTATTGGCGATGATGCGGACTTCAATGACTGCGGTGCCAAGTTGAGCATTAATGGAGAGGAGTTTGATGGTGAAGTACTTGACGACCTCGCGGAGGATAACCCTTGCAGTGGTACTTGCAACAACGGTATTGCTTTTGGTAACATCGGTGGTCTGAGACACTATGTTGGTGTCCCCATGTGCGACTAATGTCCGGGGAGCTTGTTCGAATGATATCAAGAAAAAGGACTATGAAACCCTGTACGGCAAAAGGCTGGAAGTGAAACTTTACTGCTATCAAGAATTCATGTCGGAGTCATTTACAGAGAGGGCATATTTTCTTATCGATATTTTTCCTTTCCCACACTAGACAGTTTGGCCTCGCGTGTTTTAAAAGTTCAAATATGTATAAATGGCTGGAAAGGAGTCCAATACCGCAATCCATTGTGTGCTTCTCGATGCTTTACCCGTTACTGCGCTTTGAAGTTGAAACGAAGTGTTATGAACCTGGCCACGTTCATAGGTGGCGAGAATATACACGTTCGATATGATCACACGCATAACGCTTAGGGCTAAAGGCCTGTGATCGGAGGGGATTTCTGTGTAGATTGACTTAATGGTTCGATCTGGGAGCAATATGAACCAAAAATTCGAAAGTTCAGGCCTAATAAAGAAAATCCACTCTCATAAATTCAGATGCGTGGATATCCGACACTTTCAGACGAAAGAAGGGGTTGATCGGGTTCAGTAACTCAATTGACGCATTTGCTTCAGCAGTCTGCTGGGGCTCTTGTGCGTAAAACCTGGCGTCCATCTTCAACAAATCATCCGCTAACTTGGCCGAGTGGTTAAGGCGCTGTGTTTAGGTTCTTATGAGAAACCAAACCCGCAGTGGGAAACCGCGGAGGTTCGAACCCTCCAGTTAGCATAAAGCGATTCAATTTTTTGGCATTTCGATCAAATTCCCCCAATATTTTATCAGTGTCAATCTTTTTTTTCATTCGATGTTGCGATTTTCGCTCCGGCTGCCCAAACTCTCAACTGCAACAAGCGTAATATTTCGCTACAACTAAGCCTCAAGTTCCAGACGCTACAAGAAACGTGATGTAACCTTCCACAATCCCCATGTTGCACCAAACAGGGCTGCCCAAGAAAGAAGTCCCTTCGCAATAAAAATCCTCCTGACCATTTGAAAGGTCGTCCTCTCGTTCAACCTCGGGAAAGGCTGATCCGGTACCTCAACCCCCAAGAACTTACAAAGAGGTTCCCAACCATCTTCAGCCTTGAACTGGAGTACCTCACGGTTTCGCGCCTTTGCCACAGCCAGAACTTCCTCATTGTACTGGTTGTACGTCTCGGCAGAAAAAGGAGTATCGGAACCATATTTCTCCTTGGTCAGCTTAATGCTCTCCAGGTTGAGAGTATACCACATGCGGTCCGAAGGCCAGAGCAACCCGACCCATTTAAACCACGGGCTGAAGAAGAACCAGAAGCTCTCCTCGGCACTTTTCGCCCAAAGCTTGGCATCTGGTCTCTGGTTCAATATGACCTTGGCGTCGGGGTATTCGTCCATGAGGTCGGGGGTAAAATAAACAACCGGAAGATCGCAGATGGAACGATGTCCGTGAATGAGCTGGCGGACCATCTTCTTTCGCGCAGCGTCATCTTTCTCCCGCAGAGCGTTGATAAAAAGACGCAGACGAGATGGATGAGGGAGAATTTCTGCCATGTGCATGCACGGACCAAAACCAAGGATCTCAAAGGCTGCTTGCATTGAAGACGTGGCAGCGCGAGGGAGGCCAGCTCCGATGACTTGCAGAGGGACCTCCTCCGAGTTGGGATCACCAAGGCCGCGAGGATCGGTAAGGAAACGCATTATGACTGACACCGAAAATTAATAGATGTCAAAGTTGAAGTGAGTTTCGAATGATTCGAATCAGGATACCCACTGACCGGGAGTTGGGAGCGGTGGTGGTTTTTAAGCTCAGATATTTACATATGCGTTGCTGACGCCAAGCGGCACAGGCTGTTTCTGATGTAAGATTCGTGCTGACTTTTCCATTGGGCCGCTTCTAGGCTAAAACAAAACAATGTTCAAAATTGATGCTGTCAAATCCTTCTAATCTTCCGGATGCAAATTAACCAGAAGTAGGAAATGCGCTGATATTTTATAATGGACGTTTCGCTGGTATATAACCTTTACGACTACTGTTGAAGTAGAAATCTCGGAACAAGAGATTTTCGGTACTTATCTTTCGATTATGATCGTTTGTCATCTTCTCCGGCGGCTAAATCGTACCTGACGGACATCTCTTCTAAAATTTGCCGCTGCTTTATCAGGTTAGACTCCTTGGTGCATGCCTTTCAAGCAAAGGGTGTACTACGCCAACCCTAATCGGCCTCGAACAAACTTCCCCAGAGCTTGATCGAAGTAAGTCCTAAAGTTTTAAGCATCTGTGCTTACCTATATTGGCAGTATAGTTGCGTGTCTTATGTAAAAGATATCATAATTTGAGCTACTCTTGAGGCAGATGACCGTGTAGGAATCCGCGACTAAGCCATAGTTCGAGGGCAGAGAACGACTTCCTTGTCATATGAGGAACCTGGACCAAAAGAATAAAGGCTCAATGTGTTTCCAAACACTCCCAATACTACCTCAGATATTGCTCTCGTTCCATCTCTTTTCCTTGTCGTGGGCTGCCGACAGATTATCCCTACTCTCACTTGTGAAAGGGCATATTTTCATATGAGACAGCTGACTCAGAGGCCACCTGTTCTACTGTCTGGTTGATTGTAGAGTCAACTGTATCTACCTGACATGGCACTGGTTGTGAAGGGAACTCAAGTAGAGGCGAAACAGGCTCAGTTGATCCAGTGGTGACAAATACAATTGGCCCAGAACTAGGTGGAAAGTAGGAAAGGATAGCATCTGGACTGGTTCGCTTTATGGACATTAAGTGGGTGCGAGGCAACGAAATGTCTTGGCTGCCTTCACAAGTTCAATTCTCGTGGCTTTATTTCACGCTTCTGAATGGCTCTGAAACGGATTGAAAAAGCACTCTAGTTTGGTAGACCTGCTCAGCCGCAATTCAACCTCAGGCAAGAACATGCATAGTCGCAGCCTGATTTCCAGAGCCAGAACTTTGCTTGTTCAACATTTTCCTCAGACGCGTCACTATCATGAGCAAACCTCCGAAACAGTTTTTGAACGGTACGAAACTACTGCTGAGGAAAGCTTTCAAGTTTCCTTCAGTTGCTTACATTAAAGCTGTCCGGAAATACACAATTCTTCTGCGAGCTGTTGGCCTTGAACTCCTAACTATCATTCGGGGCCCTGAACAACGTAAAAAGCTATTCACAGTGTCATGGAGAGTCGCTCTTGCAAGATGTGGAGTGCACATTCTGCCTTCGGCCGTTTCTATTGTCCTGATCACTATCAATCTATTGGGCTACTATATTGGCGACGAATTGCAAGGGTTTCAAGATGGTGATAGCATCAAACTTGGTATCCTACAAGTCTGCGCCAAGGTGCAAGAACTTCTGGTTGTTTCGAGCCTATCTGCTGTCATCTTCTATGTGTTACGATCGGAGCTAGTTTTCGGACCAGGATTACCATTGGGACTAATGGGTGCTGGATTCAGGTTTACATCTCTCAGGTGAGAAAACCTACAAGCAGACGTTTACCGTGGCTGATTCTCGGTAGCTTCTTCTGGTCCTCTGAGTTCTGGGGGTCGGTCAGGTACAAACAGGCGTCGAGGGGTCGAAAACTCTTGATATTTGGACTCTTGGTCATTTCTGGTCTTCTGGCTGTCCTAGCCGGTCCAACCAGCGCCGTGCTGATGATACCGCGAGAGCTAGACTGGAAAATAGGCGGCTGTAACTTTCATCTGAACGGTCAGTGGGTTCTTAATGTTACTACGAGTGACCACTTACAGACTCCAGGAACCAAGGAGGAGATGTGGCCACAGCGTCCTGAACCACCACCTTTGAACTGCAGTGGATCTATCTGGAAGAACAATTCCCGCTGTCTTGCCAGTGGTTATCAATCGATTCGCGAGAACTTTATCAACCGACGGGGTAACAGTCAAATTGGAACTTTAGCTCTGCAAATAGCAGATGGTGATCTTCGCAAGAACGTCCATGCACGCGTGCGTGAGCCTGTTGCTGAGGGTGTTGCTGGGACTGTAGAAACATGGGCATTTACGGCCCACGTCCCCTCAGCAGTTATGCAAGCTGCCTCTTTCTCCTTGTGGATATCCGCACTGAACTACCTTATATCGGTCGCTAACTTGGTCACTCACCCAAACCCGAAGCTTCTCGGCTATGGCTCTGACCGCACAGCTATTGTCGAGACGGAGCTACCAGTTGCGAGAGTTGTCTGTAGCGATAATATCGATCTAATCGAAGACAATGTTACTTTCGTGGAAGGCAAGTTTCCTACGCTTCCAGAGTACGGTCTGCGATGGAAAGAAAATGCATCTGGTGACCCGTTCGTACTGTACTGGTTTGAGACGGTCGACATAACCGGTATTGTTCTTTCTATGATCACCACCCCCTCTCAAACACCTATCATAGTAAAGCCGATTGGTCTTCCCATAATGCCTGGTCAAGCAAGCTCTGCTGGGATTATACTTCTTAGCGCCATTGACGCAAAAAGAACAAGGTGGATGATGCAGGCGTGCTCGGTTGATGCGAGATGGGCTAAAGGAAGCACGAAGATGACCGAAAATTACATGAGCGTCAAGTACGACTTTGGAGCTGATCAGCCTCGGTCTGTCATCGACAGTGAGATTGATTTCAACGGTTTTGGATGGGGATGGTTTGTACCACCCAATGACGGCACATGGAGACGTATCAACGTGTCTGCCGAGTGGTTGGATGCGTTGAACCCAGAGATACCTGGTGAAGATCAATTAGAGACTGGAAGCAGACCACAAACGACTATAGAAAGTATTCTTCAGGCTAGTGCGCATGGCTCGTTGGGCGACCAAGACTCTACTTTGCTGAGAGAGCTTGCATTGGCTGTTACTATTGTTGATGGCCTTTCACGATCTTCGCATTATCGTACTACCAACTATGGCTCCATGTTTGAGCCACTCGGCTTAGAACCCTGGAACAAGTCATCATCTAAATCTCTGGTTCGTCTAGGTGGCCCGACAAACACTCTAGGGGCAGAGCAGGAGACCAATAACGCGAAACTGAAGATGAGGATACAAATACATGGTTATGCAATGTCTGTTGTCGGATGGTTCGACTATCTCTGCATTGCCGTCTTATTGATTCATACTATTATTGCCCTTGCCCATTCAATCTGGATTGTATGGCATCGCAGGACGAGCGACGCCTGGGAAAACATAACAGAAATGTTGGCACTTGGACTCAACTCGGAACGCCCAGACCTGACCGGTGAAGATGGATTGTCAAATACTTCAGCAGGCATAAGAACTTGGGTACCGACCCAACAGGTTGGCTGGATTGAGGCTTTTGATAGTCGAGACGCAGCATCAGTCGTACCTGGCAACCCGCCAGACTATTGCGAGCAGCTACAACTCAGGTTTGGTCAAATTCGGCATATCACAGGGACGCAAAGAGACAGCCCGTTTCAGGCAAACGATACTGTGGAATATGGGAGGCTCGAGAAATGAACTTGCTACGTTTGGTGTTGGCAGGCTGGGTAAACAGAGAGTTGACTGCTACGGGTGATATTTCCAGTCTATGGTCTAGCGTTATCTATGCTACATTAACTTGTGAGCCGTCTTACTTCAGCTTCAATTCAAGATTCGCTATCAATATTGGCATGGGTATGATACACACTCTAGGCCAAAGTTCGCTATGAAGGATTTGCTTGCGTGATACCGGAGCTCATGACACTGATGCCTGTATCACAACGAGACTTCGGAATACCAGTACCTTGTAGGAATGATCCTGGCCTAATGCTGCTTTGATAAGATCACTGGGCTTCATCACATGTAATTTGTGTCACCTGATAAGCGTGCCCTTTGTTCCATAAGCCCATGAATCAAGGAACACAGGGCGCCATACATAGGCATGGGTAGCCATGGGTATCATAGATGAAGTCATCAAGCAGTTGCAACACAAGACCAAACTTACTGGAACACAGATTATTCCATCCATAATCCCTTGCTAAGCGCCCTCTAAATGGTGTTACGAACAAACAATGGTTTATACCCTTCCTCCGACACGCCATATGTTTTATTCACAATCGGCTTCAACCCTTCATCTCGACGCTCCAAGTGGTCCCGGAATCTGATCTGCAGCTCCCCTTGCGGCACTGTTTCATCCTCCAAACTACTCGTCTTCCCAGCCTCCGGCGCCTCCACCCATGCCACCAACCTGACCGTTTTGAACGACCGTATACCAGCAGACGAGTGACGGAGGAGGCGGAGCAGATCTTTGCGTCAAAGCGATCAACTCTATAAGCGAGTCCCATGCTCCGCCTGTCTTGCGCATGATGAGTATGAGGAACGTGTGCACAATGGCTATCACAGCGTGCAAAAGAAGACCGATGACAGATGGCCAATCAAACCAGCCATCAACTGTCATGACATAGCCTGTGTAAATAGCCTTCATTTCCAAGCGTGTTCTATTGCCAAACTTAAGCATCTCTGGTTCAGGGAGTACCTCTAATGGATCGCCCTGACGGAGCAGCTTTCTGGCCAGGTTTTCGTGCTCAGGTTCAAAGCCACCCCAGGGCACAGGCCCAAGGAAGCGTGAACCTCCGAAGTTGGGTATGAGGCCACTACGTGATAACCCGTCGACAAATACGGTAGCAATGAAAGTCTCAAATTCGGTCTGTCGGCTGTAATTGGGATGAAATTTAGTAGTGAACAAAGTCTCAAGGGTAGTCCGCTTCGATCCGTTGATAGGCAGCCAGGGTATTTCGTCAGGCGCTTTATCCGGCAACGTTGGCGATAACATGTCATACCAGTCTGGAGTCAACTGAATAGGTACCATGGACGCATTGGCGGGTGGTATCACACGGGTGTAACCCAAGAGAAGTTGGAGCTCAAGCTCAGTCTCGACAAGATTGAGGACTCTGCCAGCAACAAACTCATGGTCGAGTGGAGTGTTTATGGTCATTTCCATAACGGTCTTTCCCTTTGCCCATCGAGCGTCTATAGAGCAAGCAATGGCGTTTGACGGCGGAGATATCTCAGGGCTACTGTTTGTGCGGTTATATAAATCTTTTAGTAGTATGACCAGGCCAAGCGAGTTGCTGGTGCTGTTCCAAAGGTCGATGGGAACTATGAGAGCATCACGGCGTTGGTCAAATATAGAATTATCGAGACGTGATTTTGTGTCGTTCAGAATGCCTCTAGCAGCCAGAACACGCTGTACATCGCCCAAAACTTCGACCTCGTCAAGAACTTCTGTGCCATGGACCTCTCTAATCACGGCAGGGGTCGTATCGGTCCAGAAGTCGTCGATCCCCTTGAGGTTTGGGAACTTGACGGACAAGTTGGTGCACTTGATGTCTAAGATGCCCTGTAGCTCACAAAAGACCCGTGTAGTAGGGACCTTTGTGTCAACCTCGTAGCGCATCGGGTTAGTCCAAACCAAGCGCCCAGGAAAGGACGCCTATCAGGACTTGTACCTGATAGATATCGCAGCGCATTTATATGGAGGCTTCTCATGGCGTCCTGAAGTGTAGCGGTAGCTGCGTGTGCCGAATAGGCCCAAGTGTTAGCATCTGCTATCAACGCCGGTCTTGCATACATCGTCTTTCGAATAAAGTCGTCTTTAACCTCAAAGGAATAGCCTGTCGCGTAGCTGTTTCACCATGATATGAAGTGTTGGTAGATGGCTATGAAGCCTTGCGATGGGCATTTGTTGTCGGTAAATTGGCCGCCTTCAAGGGTGCAGTTGACCTGGGAGTAGTAATCTGCGTTGAGATATGTCGGCCACAGTTGCTCATCGCTCCCTAACATCTAGATCAGTCCATTTATCGCTGACGCTTTTGTTGCTGTGTTACCATTAAGCCAGTACACTCCTCCACCAACCGGCCAGTCCAGCTGTCTTGGTATCATGAGCAATGCAGCCGCTGGACCGGCCAGAAGAGCCAGACCACCACCAACAACTACAAGAAGAACAAAACCACGTCTTTTCCATCGCTGTATAAATGTCATGTTATCGCTACAACACAAACCACCTAAGAACTCGGCCGACCAGAAGTAGCTAAACCGAATCCCATGAGTCCAAAATAGTGTCTCGAGCGTTTGGGAATACTTACCTAACTTGCGAAAAGGAGAAACCAGAAACTAGCAACCCGAGTGGCATTCCATCGCCAAAGACGAGCTCCGAACGTAGAACGTGAAAGATGACAGAGCCCACGCTTCCAACGATGAGAAGCTCCTGAACTTTGGCTGCAATCTGAAGCAAGCCCATTCTAATGGCATCCTGGCCCGAGGGGCCTTGAAGCTCACTTCCGATGAAGAAGCCGATGCAGTTCAGGGTGAATAACGTTATAGAGAGGAACGCAGGGACGATGTGAATTGCACAGCGAGCCATGGCCAGCCGGAAAGATGAGTCGATCAATACCTTTGGCGGCTCATCCTCATCACCTCGGAGGAAAGTGATAATGCCGAAACCAAGATTTCGAAGAAGACTTCTGAACTTCTCGACTGGCCATGACGAGGCCATACTGAACCATATGCGCGACAAAAAACGGCCTGTCTTGGTCGTTACTGAGCTCCGGCTTGGCGGCTTTGAGGGTACCTCCACGGCCTGGTTCTCGAAAGGGCCCTTGGGAGGAGTCGAAGACATTTGAACAACGAAATCAGAACAGAGCAAAAGATGCAGTTGCAGCTATGACCTCCGCAAAAACAGCGCAGAGTTCAGCTTAAATTATATACAAGATCTCCTAAAGTGCCTAGTTTATTTTTATCAGCTCTTAGGTAAAGTAGCTAGGTGGGGGATAAGCACCGGACGCCATTTGGTGGTATTTTTGGTGTCCCTCCCCCCTCCCGAGGGGTATCAATCATTTACCCGCCAGCCTGGCCCCCAAGTTACTTGGATATGCGACAAATAAAACCTCAAGAAGCGTCAATGGGTCGAATGAGGATTCTCCGTTCCCGCCATCATGCAGCATTTGCCGAATTGAGTTGGGCGTCAGACGCAGATTGACGGCGTCATTCGATTTTGGGACATGCTATAGGTTGTTTGCTTTACGGCTGAGATATCACTGGCAGGGGTTGTTTTTCATATTTTCGGTCATGACATGCAGGGCCGATGGGTTTGATGAGAATGGATAGGTACGCTATAAGAAACTCACTTACAGGGGTCTAAATAGTTTTAACGCCGGTGGTGTAGCTTATCTCGCCCGCGAAGCTGCAATGGAAGGTATTCCAGCTTTTGTGCTGAAACTAGCCAGGTATGTTGAGGTAGAGTAGCAGGTAGGCCAGGCTGTTATTTTCGAAGTTGTAGCAGACTCCGGTTACAGTCGGCTTCATCAGTCCTTTTCATATCATAGAGCGCCGGCACTCGTCATGGCTGAAGTAATTAGATATATCATGCCAGTTCATTTCACGTCATACAGGTCAATTGAACACGAGACAAACGAGGTTGGGTGAGTCTTAGACACAATTGAGTGAGCTCACCACGACGCGTGAAAGGGCGAGTATAAGTGGGGCTTGGAAAGACATAAAGTTGATGAAGAGGCATCTGAGTCCCTTAAGTTAGTAAGATATGGTGATTGGCGATTCTGGCCTGGTTGGCAAAAAGTCAAGTTGGTGATGGCTTTCTTGACACAGCAAAAGACATACAACAGCGGGGATTCGCTGGTCGTCACCGGCCCAACTACTAATCCGCCCCTTACAAGCTTATCTATGGGAGAGCGGACGGGATCCCGAGTTCTCTGATAGGTATGGTCGTATGTGCCGACAAGACCAGTAATCATCAAATCTATAGTCGCTGCAATCTAGCTTCTAGGTTACTATCAATCCCTAAATGTTTCGCAATGGGGTGTAGACCCGTGGGAAGATGTCTTATGAGAACACTCATGACAAAGGATGGAAGCGCGCTGTTGAACCTTGGCTTCCAGCCAACTGATCCTGACAGTGACACCAGCCATTTTGTGCCAATAGTAGTTGATTGTTGAGTTCTTCTTTCACATAGTTTAGCCCCCAAGAAGGTTGAGAAACACGTATATGAAGACCGTCCTGGCGATATTATACGACTTTCACATTGACTATCAACATCAACACTTCTCTCATCATCTTTCATCATTGCACTCCCTCACAATGCGTTCATGCAAGATTGTTCTTTCTCTCACAGCACTAGCTCCTGTGCTAGCGATGCCAGCTGTGAGCAGCTGGGATATCGCCTCAAATGAGCCTTTGGACTTTGGACACGACTTTTTGGTCTTTACCAAAGTCCCTCTGGAGTCGTATGACTCGGCTGCTATGATTCCGGTTGCTTCACTCAATCTGGACGATGGCGAGTTCGATATGGAGACATCCAACGTGACCACTGATTCCATGGCTGAGCCTCGCGCAGCTAGGAGGACCGAAGTCGACTACAGCAAGACCCAGGTCGACTACGGCTGCGAGGCCTCCATCAGAAAGTCCCTAGGCGACGCCATCCACTCCCTCTGCGGCAACGGCAATTGTGACGGAGGCTCTGTCTACACCCGCAAGGTTGTCCATATGAACAAGAGCCGTCGTCAGGAAGCCTGGCTTCGGATCCAGGTCAAAGGCCAATGTCAAGGGCGCCATGCGCGAGGCTACATCGCCGACGCCGTCAAGAAAACGGTGAATGATAAGACTGCCAAGCCAGCTACGCGACTCTGGCTTCCTACGAGCCCGCACCTTCAGGCTCAGAGATGTGTCATGTCGAAATTCAGTAACTACATCCCCATAAACAAGGACTTTGGCGAAAAGGTCCATATGGAGATTAACGTCTCGCTCCACACTAGTAACTGTGAGTACCTACGCTAACTTGATTACATGAAGGACTAATCTGATGAAAATAGCCAATTGTCTTGGACCAACTACTCTTAAAGAAGTCGCCAGTGCTTTTGGGGGCGTCGGCGGTTCTTTTTTCGGCTCAGTATTTGCAGGCATGGCCGGGTGTTGATAGAGCTGAACTTTGAATTCTTTTTCATTTCACTCATGGCTCAAGAGGCGCGGCATTGTCACTCATCAACCATTGTGCGATGACAAGCATGGCTGCTCAATCTTGGTCAATACCGTTACCTCGATGGAATTGGACGGGGAAGGTACATTTTTGAAATTCTTTTATTCCACTATTTGTTATTCAGGGCATGAATCAGATTATAATCAGAGCCACTTATACAAAACCATTGTCTCTGATTAAAATCTTGTGTCTCGAGTCTCATTACTTGCCAAGGATGTAGACGAATGCAAGAGAATGATCATCGTTCCGTGAGCTCTTCACCTGTAGGGTAGCGGTGGCGGTATGGCTGTAGTAATCAGAGTCATAGCCTGTTTCATACGCTGAAGTCGACATTTCTCTTATTTCATCAGTATAGATCATACTATGCGACAATAATTCTAGAATACTTTACTTATAAACAACATCAGGAATTCCGCCAATCCACTTTACAACAACGGCGATGATCTCCACCCGAGGGCTATCGATTTCAATGGACTTGTCTCAATTGTCGATGACGACAATGACATCATAACGACCACACATGTATTTTGTGCCGTCGTTCTGCTTCACCTCATCGACAAAGCCAGAAGCGACATGATTCGCATTCACTGCAAATATAGAGTAAGACTATCGACACTTCACCGACTACTCCAATCACCAAAACTCTCTACACTTCACCCATTACAGCGAGGGCCATCGTCGGAACCAGTCAAGATGAGTTGGATGGATAGTTGGAGTCGCCCCTCCAAATCTCAAGCGACACCAGCACCTTTCTATTTACTTCCCGGAGGTGAAGACACGCCATACTGCCACTCGTGTGGCAGAGTCATCAGCACGAGACGTAAAACAGCGACGGCGAATACCAGTACTCCTGCCAAATACTGCTCAAGCAGATGTCGGACACAGAAACCTGGGAAGCTGGATCGTGAGCTTGAGAAGGCATTTGTCACGCTTTTAATTGCAGAAGAAGGTCACCCTGTTGAAGCAAAGAAGCAGGCAAAAGGAGGAGGCTCTGGAAAGCATAAGAAAGGGAAGAATAGCAAGGGCGATAATCGCATCTTGGTACACTGCAGCGCGGCGGAGGAGCTTGTTTTTGGGCCAAACCGCACATCAATGGAAGAAGGCGAACCGAATGAAGACAGCCACGACGAGGATGAAACAAATCAAGTACTAGAACCTACCCAAGGTCCATCTGAGCCACGATCATCCGAAGAGGATTTGGACATTACAGGCGACCTCAAAATAGACAACAGCGTCGACGGCGACGTCCTCGCCCGCATGTCCGTCCGCAGCGGCACCCGTATCCGCCCACCGCAGTCCGTCTCTGAAGTAAACGGCAGTGTAGGCGGCGAGAAAGGTCGAGCAGAGAGAGTTCACGAAACAGACGCGATGCTCGAGAAGCGCAGGCAGGGACAGAAACGAGCCAAGGAGCGCGAGATGACAAAATGTGCTGCTCGAAGGGGAGTTGTCTTCGGGTTTTCCGTGGGTGAGGATGGCGAGAAGCGTCTTTGCGAGGCCGTTATGTCAGGAAAGGTCGTGGAGCCGAGCTTTGCAAAGGGGGATTGGGCGATAAGATGGAGAGAGTAAGGAGAGAGCTTGGACCTTTAGATTTGTGATGACCAAGATGTTTACTCTTGCGATAGGCGTTCGGCCCGACAAGACAAGGGATCTTCATATCAAGTCCAAGCACCCCGAGCTGTACATCCGAAATGACGCTTGTGATAGTGGTGATCGGCCGCCTATCTATACCAATCTCGAACGTGGGGAATAAAACCGCCAGCGATTGACGTGTTGACGTGTTGACGTGTTGACGTATCAATCATGGGAATATTTCGATTAGTCACAAATTAAACCCCCGTAACCTGACATCGTCCCAACTGGACAATCCAGTTCCTGATTCAAGACGGACCCTGAACTTTGACTGCAGCTGCTAATTAAGACAGCTGAGCTGAGGCCCACATGCGGACCAGCGGAAGCAATGGAGACGAAGTTTGAGAGGATCCATTCTTATCTCTGGAGTCGGCTACGGCTCCGCGATACCGAGCGTCAGTTTGTCTCACGAAGAGCTTATCAATTGCATCTGAGGAATGTTCTGTAGTTCTACTGATTTTCATCATTTCGATATCGCTTGTCGGAGGCGTAAGTGACTGTCTATCATCCTCAGTCGCCTCTACTTTCTGTGCCTCGAACTATCTACGAAACTAGGTTCTTCCAAGCAGGTCCACGTCAGTCAAATTTGGGAAGACGATAGCCGAAGAAAGTCTAGAATCATTTTATCTGTCAGATCAAGGGGTAGTGGGACGACATCCAAGGTTCCCCAATCGTGACCTGCAGGACAGGGCTCAGCTTGTGCATCACTGGATGCACAACGACGCGCGATGAGAAGGCTACACCACTAATTATCTCGAAATCATTAAAAGCTTCTCCCAATCCGTGCATCATGAAAGCATAATTTCCACTACCATGCAAGTTTTACTGCAGCCGAGACACTATCGGATCATGGCACCGTGTGGTTGGAACTCGACGACGCGAGGTTTACACTTTTCTTCTCTCGGTATGATCAACATGGCGTACGTTAGCCGGGAATAGTAAAACCACAGACGCAAAGCTGTCTAACAGAAAACGGCCAAGATTCAAAAGATAACACAGAAAACCAAATGCCTGTCTGGGGTAGAAAATGACCGGTGGCTCAATGCTAGGTCTGAAGCAGTAGGTGGTAAGCCCACGTATCAGCCACTGGCCTCAGCGCCTTGTCAAATATTGACGCTTGGGAGGGACGTGGCGCCACTATGGACGCGCGAAGGATGACGAGGCGCCTTCTAGAGCAAGGATGACAGGGTTGCAAGGCGCAGGGCTGTTTCATCACGGTGATTATACCCGGGGATAGGGGATCATTCAAATCTTAGCAGACTTGGCTATCTTTTCTGGCAACGCCATCCGAAGATCCGGGACAGTTCGGTTGGCTGGACTGTGCCCCTGTCTATCACTGGAACAGAAGCTGAGGCCACCTCGCTAGTCGCTGTGACTCGCTGAAGGGCGCTGTGAGCGACTTTTTCTTGCGGCTGAGACCTAACATACTCAGCTTCCTTTTCTAGAATAATCTTCGTACGAGCAGCCAACAGCATCGTTCTCTGTCTTCTTCACCTGCTTGGATAGTCAATGGTCAATACCAGGCTGTACTAGACTCGCTGATTAGTGACATGCGTTATTGACGCCATGTTCTGCATCGGCAATGTCGGCAGTAGTACGTAGCCCGCAATCAAGTCAACGGTCACCAGTAAAGGCCTCAAGAAAAAGGAAGCCAGATTGCCAGCTAACGGTTATACCGAAATCATTAACCACAAACAAATTACGCCACGACATCATGGACTGGCTGTCCACCAGCAGAGAAGTGGCCCGTCCAGACAAAATCGCGCAGGGACCAATGATCAGCAATGTCAATATCGCGCTGGAGGATTTCCCCTGGTGCACTGCTACTGCTACTACTGCCGCGCTAGGCGTGGACCACACACACGCTCATTCGCATGTACCCACCAAGGACGGGCAGGGAGCGAGTCAGTTGTTCTGGAATAGCCACCACCAAGTCCAGCCATTATTCATTATTGTAGGGCTCCCCTTTTACCCCAGAGGTTGCAGTTACATCGAGGCTAGTCGCACAACGTCTTGGCTCCCCGGATTAATCCAAGATAAGCTACCATGTTCTCAGGGATGCATGGCCGAGGCCCTCCACGAATCCCAGGCGCTGCATCAATGCATTGCATTGCCATGTGGAAGGGTAGCGCTGGCCACTCCTTCAAATGTCGATCATTCCCACGGACACACACCTTAGTCTGGGGACTTTTGTCTTTCCTGTACCTTATTTCTTTTTTACTCCCTGTTTAATTCCAGTACACTTGCTGTACGAGTCAAACTGCGGCCTCGCCCGCAGAAGCAAGCCCGTCATGAGCCTCAAGTCAGATATCATCAGTTGCATGGTCGTCACATGGCTGGCGGCTTTGCTGGCTCTGATAGCACGCATCTTTGCTCGACGCATGACAAAGGTTGCTTGGTGGTATGATGACTACTTGTGCGTGGGTGCCTTTGTAAGTGATCCGTTTGACTTGTGTCTTAGCTTGTTGCTTACATGCTGTAGATCGTTGGCATTGGGTACAATGTTGTGATGATATACTGTAATACCTCCCGACTCACACATCGTCAACATATACTAACATAAAGTAGGGGCCGAGACATGGTACCTTGGCACAACCATACCCGACACCGTTAGCAAAGCAGAATTCGAAAACATCAACCTCAACGCACGACTGATGCAGTTCCTTATTTCCCTCACCTACTCATACTCGATCGGCTTATCCAAACTATCCATTCTCCTCTTCTACTGGCGCATCTTCAAGCTATCAGCCATCCGAATCCCTATCCAGGTTATGCTTGTCATCAGCGTTGCCTGGCTCATACTTCGCACATTCATGGTTATATTCCACTGCATCCCTGTCCAGGCCTACTGGGACAAGTCTATCGAGGGTGCCGTGTGCAAGATCAACGACTCGCAATTCTTCTTCGGCACCTGTCTCACTCATTTCATCCTTGATGTTGTCATTTTGGTCCTGCCTGTTATCGAAGTATTCAAGCTTCGACTTCGCCTTGGGCAGAAGATTGCTATCACTGCCCTCTTCGTTGTTGGTTTTGTGTACGTTGCCTCTACCTTAGCTCTATGTATTAAGCTAACCTTCAAAGTGTCTGCCTTGCCTCGGTATTTGTCATCGTCACAGCTCTGCAATATGATCCTCAGTCTAAGCAAATGCCACGGGATGTTGCAACCAACGACATGTGGGGAGGCGTCGAGATCAACATCGCCATCGTATCCGGGTGTTTCCCTCTCCTGCGCCCAATCTTCACCAAGATCCTGCCCAAGAGATTCCTCAGCTCTGCCGGCAGCAGTCACCCCATCAGCCGAACCACACACGGCATCCGCCTCACCACTATCAAGGGGACAATCAAGGACAAAGAGGCCGACGACAGCAGCTCCACGCACCAATTGGCAGATCCAGAGCAAGGAATCCCAGGAGATTTCGAGATTGTTGATGGCAAGGAGGGACCTCGCACATACATTTCTAGTCGGACGACAGAGTCACTTCACTCGGGAGAGCAAGATATCGCAGGAATCTACGTCCGCAACGATGTTGTTCAAGAAGTTGAGGAGTCGAATCACACTTACGCCATGAAGCGATAGAGCTTCAGCGGTCATATTTCGCGATACCTGTTTATTTCCTTACATATACCCATACGTATGTACTATTAGACACAACATAGCAATATAAAGTTGTATAAATATATATTTCAACGGAGCCTTTGAGAATCAAGCAGCATGTGCTAAGACAATAACTGATCTAACCATAAAGAGGAAGCCAACCACACCCTTAAGCCCCGAGTTCCGCTCTACGTCCAACTTGTCTTCATTTCGCTCTCATCGATCAATCTTCTCCGGTGAGGTCAATAACCTCTGACTTCGAAGCGCTATCGTCTTGATCCATGGACTCCACATGCGATGCAGCTCCTAATATAAGTGAAGCACGTCTGGTAACGCCCTTGCGTGAGAGAATCTCTTCAACAGTCGGCCCATGGGAGGTAAAGGTGCCAATTACGTAGTGCTCATCTTTGATACCTAGTGTGAAGTGCATGAACCCGTATGTCTCTTGCAGTACTCTGCAGAGCAACGCAAAAGACGTCACATCTTTGAAATGGACGGCGGTGTTGAAAGGGGCAGGTGAGAGTCCGAAAGGCGGCATCTGTTTCGCTGGAGATAACAAAGGTTGAGCAACGATGTCTTGATACCCCTAGGTACCACGGTATTTGTAAGAACTTCAAGTGACTTTGCATGAGGTTGATATACATGGAAGTCAAGAGTGATGAGGTGCTGCTTTATTTCGTACAGGTTCTGTGATTAACATCTCACCTCTGCAGAATTACACTCCTGCATACAATTTGCTTCAGCCTTACCATGTCACGGGAATTGGACCCTGATTTGAGCGGGCCAAGCATGTCACTCCGTGACACTCCGTGAATAGTTTCGGCATAATTTGTCTTGGCGAAAAGCTCTTGAATAACTTCCATAATGAAGCCCGAAATCCCCAAAGATACTGCCTTGTAGATAATTTTCCCGAGAATTTGATACTACGAACCTACCAGTACCTCTACATGGGCATCACGCTTGACCCCTCTTTGTATGTGTAGTTGCGGCTGAAATGAAAGTGTTCAATCAACATTCAAAGCGAAGTGGCTGTCCCAAAATAGGAACCTGTGCGCCACGGAGCAGGGACAAGGCATTCTCTGGTCGACAGCTTTGGTGTCCAACAACAATGCCAACTTTCAGGCATACCTAGTTTAGAATACTATCTCTAATAATGAAAATATCTAGATACGAATAGATCAAGTCACTTGATAAACGAGGAGCCTTTTTGTTTAAGCTTGTATTTATAGATGATTTCATGCTTGAATTGTATTCTGGTCAAGTCAAGGAGAGTGTCAATGTTTGTGCCTCGCGGTTTGTGAATGTGACACACTAATGCTTCAGCTGAATGCATGGATCGGTCCAGACCCCGCCCTTTTAACGTAACCACTGCGAGAAGGCATATTTAAATCCTGTGCTGTCCTTGGCAATGTATCATTTTATTTTTATGAATTTTTAAGTTCAACAACAGTGTAAATTGTAAGTATAATCGCTAACCATTTTATCGCGATCAATAAGGATCAAGATGGTGAGCAATCAGCCCTACAACGGTTATCAGGCGCCTCCGCCTCCGCCAGGCCAGGCTCCACAGCAGTCTCCAGTGCATTATTCTCAGGGTCCAATCCAGCAATTCCCTCCCGCTCAACCTTATCCGCCTGGTCAACAGCCCAACTACCAGGCGCCTCCAGGTTATCAACACCAAATCAGTCACGTCCAACCTCCGCAAGCTCCTCACGGTCAATATCCTCAGCCTCATCAATACCCTCCAGTTCACCAACCGACGTACCAGTCGCACCATCCAGGACATTCAGTCAGTCAAGCTCCCCAAGGCCAGGGCCATCCTCAGCAATATGCCCCCGCCCAGCAGCCCAACTACCAGACCTCGCCATACGGTGTCGCAGCACCTCCAACTCCAGCTCAGCATCAGCAGCAATACCAGCAACAGGCTGCTCAATTTGCTACCCCGCCCTCAGCACAGGGCCAGCTGCAGACGACTGCGCAGTCACTGCTAAAGTCGGGAAAAGGCTTCCTTGGCAATCTTGCAAGCAACATCAAGTCAAAATACCCAAATAGCCCGGTTCCCACCAGTTCAACGACTTCATACACTGGTGAGCCACCCAAGCCGACGTACAATCCTGCGCAGCATCCTACGCAGACTCCTATTAGCCCTACAAACTCTTTCCCGTTGCCGTATGGTCAAGCGCAACCTCAGCCTCAGTTGGGACACCCACACCATACGCCGCCGACACCACAGCAGAGCGTCTCGCCTGCAGCCTCAGGCTACCCTCCGATTCCGCACCAAGCACCACATGTCGCATCTCCTGTTCAGCATCATCCAGGCCTTCCCGGCCAAAATCCACAGCCTGGAGTTGGGCCCGCTCAATATGCTCAGCAGCAACCGCATCAACCGCAACACTATCAGCCGACCGGGCACGCTGGTATCCCAGGCGCAATTCCTCAACACGTCCAGTCTCCTCCGGTAGGCGCCGCACCCTATCCTCAACCTGTATTGCACCACCAGCAGTCGAACCCATATCAACCGGCACCTCCGCCGCAAGGAAATTATCATCATACGCAGCCCATAAGTGCTGCTGCTTCCCCCAGCCATGTACAAAGCCCTCACGTTCCCTCACCGCAACAACAGCACCAGAGCACGGCTCCTCAGATCAACCACCATGCATCATGGCCACAGCAGGCGGCGGGCTCAAATGGCTCATTCAATCCAGCGGCATCACCGCCAACATCTCAACCTGTTCCTCAGATAGCTCCTCACATTGGATCGCCTAGCCACCCGCAGCTACACCAACAGTCACAGTATCACCAGCAACCTGGTGCAATCAGCGTATATGCGACGACATCTCCAGTACCCGCCTCTCAACCGGTGCACAATGTAGCTCCACCACCGAGCCATGCACAAAGCCCATCTCAGGCAATGCCACCACAGCAGCAGTACTATCAGAGCCGCGTCCCACAAGCACAGGTTCACCATCATCAACAGCAGGTAGGGATTGTACAACCTAATCCAGAGATTCCATCGATGGCACCATCGGCACCTCAAACTGTATCTTATCAAGCAGGCCAATACGACCCAGCTAGCGTAGCACCACGTCCCTACCAGACTCAATCGCCACATCAGCAACATCAAAGCCCCGCTTTACAACAGTACCCAAGCACAACGCCATTATCGCAAGCACAGCAAGGCGCTCAGCTTCCCCATGGACACCATCAACCCGAGCAGTCAGTACAGGCTGGAGGCGGACCAGCCCCAGCAGTCACACAGCAATTGCCCACCTACAGCCAGGATCACAACTACCCTCCTGAATCATTGCAGCAGCAGCCAAGTGGGATGCATTCCGGACCGATACAAGCAACCTCTCAACCTCAGACATACAACCCAGCTAATGGCCAACAAGTTCCCCAAGCACAGTACCCACAGAATCCTCAGCAGGTCATTGCTAGTCCTGTCGATCAGCAGCATTACGCATCACATCCACCCCATCTTCGTGAGCATCCCGATACTACAAGCATCGCCCAGGCTCCTGGGAGCTCCTCGGCAGCAGCAGGAGGTCAGACCTATCAGCCATACCAACCAGCTGATCAGTTACCGAATCTCAATCAGCCAGCGGTGCTTGCAAACAATCCCAATCCTGATCAGTCTGCCTCAAACGGATACCAACAAGATCCCCTGGCCTCTCTCTCGACTCAAATGAGCAACCTCAATGTGCAAAATGTGCATCAACAACCAGCAGCGCCAGTCGCGTATCCAGTGTTTGGTCAAGATGGGCCTCGAGGACCACCACCTTGCCAAGCGAACGGAATGGCCAGTGATACTCTACCATTCTGCCCTGAGGAGAGGACCGTGGCATATCCACTCGACTGGTATCGTTTCATAGCTGTTCCGCAGTGTGTTATTTGTACTCGGTGTTATTTTGATCATGTTGCGGGTTCCAATCTTGCAGGGCATTTCGAACGGTACCACTCTCCAGAAGGGGTAGAATCGTCTTGCGACTTCTGGTGTTCTCGGGTAAAGGAGACCCTCTGGCCACAAGCTTTACAAACCAAAGACATCACACCTCTACATGCGTACATGGAGAAGAAGATGACCATACTAGCTTGCAAAGGACGGGTTTGGAGCACAGGCGCTGATGGGGTTAAATGGTGGGGGATGGTCAACAACGACATTGATGGTTTCATATCCTGCGAGGCTTGTTATGAAGATAATGTTGTCGGCACGGCTTTTGAGTCTCGCTTCTCACCTCATCGTCCCCAAGGTCAAGATGAAAAGTGGATGTGCGATATGTGCATTCCTTACATCGCGAAGATGGCAGTCAAGATGTCCAAATCCAATAACTGGAATGGTTTTGTTGAAGCTGCAAAGGGACGCATCCATCTGCCAGTGTGTGAGGGTAGGGATGAGGAGTCCAACAATGGCCACTGGATTCTTCCCCGCCGGAGGATCAAGGATATGACTATTTGCGAAGCCTGCTACCTAGACAAACTCGCACTCACACAGTTTGGGAATGAATTCGAGCGACATCAACGGGCGGAGGGCTTTGATGCCTTTGTGGAGTCCATTGGCCAAAGATGGAAGTGTAGCCTGACCGACACTGCTGTCAATATGAGCATTGCGCTCGAGGCAGCTATTTATCGAAGAGATTTCGAGGTCTTCTGGAACGCGGCGAATGCTATATGTAACCTCGTCCCTTGTACTGAACACGGCATCGTCCGAGGAACTTGGTGGACCGTTTCTGGAGGATGCCCTGATTACGATGTCTGTGAAGCTTGCTACAAGGGTATAGTCGAGACATCTAATCTCGAGAGATTCTTTGAGTCTGTCCAACGGGATCCGACAATCGATATAGTCTGCAATTTCTGTCCCAAGAGTCCTCGATGGGGTATGTTCATTACCAAGTTCGCCGAAGCTATTGACAAGGGAGTCTTCAGCTACTACACAGACTACGTCAAGAAGTGGGCGGGCGTACCAACTTGCCCCGGTATCAAGAACAGAGAGAAGAGTAAGTGGTGGGGCTACCCAGAAGCCCTTGCTTGTCAAAATTGCTGGCTCAGCTTTGTCGCCGACACGCCTCTTGGTGAATCAGTCCCAGTCAAGGGCGTGTACGATGAGCGAACCTTGATATGTCAGCTATGGTCTCCCAGGATGCGCAACATGTGGCTTTCAGCCTGCGCCGCTGGCCCTCCAGGTTCGCCAGAGTCTCAGAAGGCTCTCGATAACTTCCGTGCATTCGGAACCCGTCGTGTACAGGTATATAACGCAACAGTACCTCACGTGGAGATGATTCTACAGATGATGAACATGAAGACAATGCAAGCTATGCAGCAGGGCCAGTTGAGTTTGATGTATCAGGGAATGAACAGCATGGCCGCTATATCGGGGACCACTGATGGATACCTGCACGGGAACAGCTCCATTGGATACTATGAGACTGAGAACGGAGTCACAGCTGCTAACATGATGAACAACATGCATTCTGGGATGGCTGATGCGAACAAGATGGGCGATTGGATGCAGATTGAACGGTTTAGAGCGGCCTGGATGGAGGTGGAATAAATTGAGTACTGATGGTTTTCATTTCAATTTGAATGATGTAAACAATTTCAGTCGCCTCTCACTTATAAGCTTAATCATGGTCTTCTTCATTTCCCAACTTTCCAATCAAAGGCACGGGCGTCCGTGTATATAACACCCCTTTCCAAAGTGCTCTTGTAGTTCTATGCTGTATTGAGTATACGCGTATGTCTTCCTCTTTCTCTCTTCCTTTTTTTGGTCCTGGTACATCTCCAAGATAATCCGCCCCAAACGCCGGTATTGTAATCCTCAATCAAGCTCGTAACGGCAAAGCAACCTGCAAGTATCCAACTGTGCCCTCCTTCGTAAACTCTGGCGCAATCAAATTCTTCAACAGAGCGATGGCCTCGTTTCCTCCACGTCCGTCGGCGCGTCTCTCATCCTCCCAGTACTGATACAGCTGCCACCACCAGCAGTGCGTAACGCCATCGAGGCCCTTGTATCCTGCCACTCCATCTGTACCCACGCGTTTTGCCCAAGGTTTGTCCACGATATAGTGCAGGCAAATAACTTCCTCGTCGCGCCAAATGTTGGGGTGCCAATATCGCATCGTTTTAATGGCATTGTACTGCCACCCAAGAGCATACCACTTGTTCTCGAAAAAGAAGGCCAGGAAGTCCTGGTCAGGAAACATGAAGGACGAAAGAAGTGGCGTCGTGTTGAACACGTGCAACATTCTGTCCCATAGAGCCTGAGAGGGATGGAAGATGAACATACCGCCGTTGAGGAGTTTGTGCGGCGAGGGAGATGTCGCGATGGGCTGTATTGGCTCACTAAGCGCGTTTGGATGCGACAGTGGAGTGTAGGCGCAGTTCTCTGCTCGCCAATCTTCGGGTGCCCATGAGTCTGAGTCAAGATTACACACGCAGACGTGATTCGCGGCAATCCAATCATCAGGCAGATGCGTCTCTACCTGGAACACGCTGTCCATGTTATACAGGACGGCCATGTCGGCGTCGAGATAGCACACAGCGTCGTACTCAACAAGCTCAAAGACGCGCAGCTTGGTCCACGTGTCAGCGAAGCGCTCGGCGATGAGCGTCATCTTAATTCCCGCGGGCGGCAGCAGGTGGTCGCACTCGCGAAGGACCATATTGCATTTTGGCGCCTCAAGCTCAAGCACCCTCTTCGCCTCCCGGGGGAGGTTTGGCGTGTAGAGCACAACGAGCGGGTATGCGGAGCCGTTGCGCTGGAGGGTGTAGGCCAGGATGATGACACCCGGGAGGTATGAGTCCCGGGTGATGAGGGTTGCATAGGCATTGTGCCTGGGCTTGTTGGTGTCGTTGTTTGCCATATCTGTCGCTGTGCAGGCTGTATGTGCTGATAGTGTGTGTGTGCGTATGTGTGTGGATGGAGTGGACGTTATCTTTGCTTATAAAGAAAGGGAAAACGGCATTCCCAAGAGGGGAGGGAGGGATATTACAAGAAGTGAGGGGTTGGATTATGGTGACGGAGTTGAGATTCGTGCACGTCATGCAATTCAAATATGCGACAATGAAGTCATTACTTTGCCAGTGCTAATCCCTTACTTTAGGTACCTGAGAATGACCGCTGCAATTTCTTAATTGTCGGAGGAAAAGGAAATACAATTGAGTTTACGCAAATTGGGCAGAAAAAAAGAAAGATGTGTGTCGTAGCTGAGCCGAGACGTGGTCAAATATGCATGCAAAATGCTCTATCACATAACGTTGGTGATGAGTTGCCACGGCTTTTTGACCTTTGACGTGGCCTGATGTACAGGACTTTGCCTGCCGGGGTAATGACCGGGTAACCCTTGTTTAAAAAGCAATTTCATCAATCAATGACGCTTTGTCCTATGTTTGTTTGCTAGAGACCAAAGCAACCTCGTTTATCGCACCTTTCAAGATCTGCAATCGCAAGATCTAGATCAATCGGGAGCTAAGTTTAACGGTGAGATCCTGGCGTAACCCTCCCGCGCCTGTCGATCCTTGCAATATTGCAACCCAAAGTTGTCAATTGCAATAGAGATCTATTTTTAAACGTCTCGCGTCCCACAACATTTTACATAAACTCAGTAGTTATCTACAGCCTGCACAATCGCACCCGCCGCGCCCTCGTCGAGATCGTCTAGTGTTTTCATGTCCTTATCGTCGAGATCAAACTCAAACACATCGGCGTTGGCCCTGATGCGGTCCGGGGTGTCGCTCTTGGGAAGGGGAACCCAGTTCTTCTGGAGACAGTAGCGGATCAGGACCTTGCTCGGTGTGACTTTGTGCTTGTCTGCGATGCTGTTGAGGGTCTTGTCGTCGGCCTTTTGGTTCCGCACGAGTGGGGAGTAGGCTTCGACGACGATGTTGTTCTTTTCACAGTACTCTACGGCTTCTCTCTGCTGGTTCCAAGGATGTAACTGGTGGTTCTGTTAGTATTTTGTCTTGTGTCTTGTTTGGAAACGTACCTCAATCTGATTCACGTGCGGTGGCCACACTTTGGCGAATTGCTTCAGCTCATCGATATGCTTGATGCCAAAGTTGCTCACTCCAATACTCTTCGCTTTGCCCTCCTCGTAAAGCCTCTCTAGAGCCTGCCACATCTCCTTCCTCTTGGCAGCACCAGGGTTCGGGCTGTGAATGAGAAAGAGGTCGACATGGCCGCTCTCGGGATCAAGCTTCTTGATGCTTTCAACGCATTTCGCGTAGGTCAAATCAACAGAGCCAGCGGCCTCGAGAACCTTTGTCGTGAGAAAGACATCGTTTCTGTCAACGGTTGACTTCTGCACTGCCTGGCCGACTTCGGCCTCGTTGCCGTAGTACTGCGCGGTATCGATATGACGGTAGCCGGCTTCCAGGGCTGTGAGGCATGAATTGACGCAGGTTTCGGGCGGTGACAAATAAACGCCAAAGCCAAGCTGAGGAATTTCGACGGAATTAGCCAGTGGCAGTGTGTCAGACTGTGAGCGCTCCATGGTTTATTTGACGTTAGGTACTTGGGTGAGCGCTAAATGATGAGAATAAGATAAAGTTATTATGTTGCACAAACAGGAAATGTTCCAAGGAGGGGTAAATTAGTACAACTTTCTTTCCCCTCAAAAACAAATTCATTTTCTTTGCTCATTCTTGCATGCGGCGCGCGTGGATATCCAGTCATAGCCAGGCGCTGGCTAGTCGATGACGTTTCTCTTCTCCTCTTTTGGCACTGCTTTTGTTTCACGGGCAGAAATCAATGATGCGCAGCCTTTATTGAGAAGAGGGGTTACAACGCATGAGAATTGGCTTCACGATAATATTGCCAAATATCTTGACTTTTTCGCTCTTCTTCTTTTGCCATGTCGCCCGTTGAGCCGAATTACTTTGCGTGTACGCTCGGAGAGGCTGCGAGGCTGAAACGTCAGAATGATGGTTCGACAACGTGGAAGACCGTGGTGGAATTGATTGACCATCAGGCTGAGAAGAATTCACGGCTGCCAGCTCTTGGCTTTGCGACGTTCCAGCATGAGGGTGCTGATGAAGGTATTTCTCATATCCGATCATGTGGTCGACAACGATGCTAATTCTAGATAGCATCGCGTAAACTCCTCACATTTCAAGACCTCTCAGAATCATCAAAACATGCCGCCCACGTGTTATCAAAGCATCTTCCTCCGCCACGAGACGATTCACCTACCATGGGGCTGTTATCTTCAAGTAGCACTGACTTCGTCTTGACATGGCTTGGTTTGATGCGTCTAGGATATACGGTCTTGCTTCTCGCGTGAGTCATTCACACTGAGTTTTCTATCCAGTTCTAACAGTTCGCAGACCTCAATTAGCACCGCCAGCGATTTCGCATCTCTGCAAAACTTTACACGTCCGAGAGATTCTTGTCGATGCGACATATGAGTACCGTGCTCGCGGCTTGCAGGGAAACATCAACGTCATCAAACTTCCCAGATACCCTGAAGACGATTCACCAGTTGAAGATATTCAGCATGGCCGCAAGATCTCAGATACGGCGTACATCTGTCACACGTCGGGGACATCATCAGGTCTCCCAAAGCCCATCCCCCAAACCCAGCTTGGTGTCATGGGCGTGCTCTACAGCTTTCCAGGAGAAAACAAACCCGCTACTTTTTCCACAACACCGCTTTACCACGGAGGATTTCCAGATTGCCTCAGAGCATGGACGAGTGGTGCTGCGATATGGTTCTTCCCCGAAGGGCTCGCACCCATCACTGGTGCCAATATCATGAAAGCGCTTCAGTTCGCGCAATCACACAGTCCAAGCCCAGTCAAGTACTTTTCTTCAGTCCCGTATGTTCTGCAGATGCTGTCCGAGGAGTTGGGAGGTCTCGAGATTCTCCAGTCAATGGACCTTGTCGGCGTCGGCGGTGCTGCCCTCCCTCCAGCCATAGGCGACAAACTCGTCGATGCAGGCGTGAATCTTCTATCAAGGATGGGAAGTGCCGAATGTGGATTCCTCATGTCTTCGCATCGTGATTACGACAATGACAAGGATTGGCAGTTCCTTCGAGCAATCGACGATCCCAAGCTACTTTCTTTCGAAGCTCGCGATAATGGCCTTTCAGAACTCGTAGCTCAGCCCGATTGGCCCTTTTTGATAAAGACGAATCGCGAAAATGGCTCGTATGCTACGTCTGACCTTTTTGAGCCGCACGCAAAGATCGCAAACGCCTGGCGCTACCACAGCAGGGCCGATGCCCAGATTACTCTTGCAAACGGAAAGAAATTCGACCCCTCGCCTATCGAGGGCAGCATATTGGCCTCATCAAAACTCCTGCAGGATGTGCTGATATTCGGAAGCGGTAGAGACTATGCTGGTGCTCTGCTGTTTCCAAGTTCGAAGGATACCAGCGCCGAGGATGTTGTCAAAGACATTTGGACACACATTGACCACATGAACACCAACAGTCAGAGCCATGCTCGAATTACCAAGGCAATGTTGGTTGTGGTTCCTGTGAAAGATGGCGAGAAGGCTCTGGAGAAGAGCAGCAAGGGAACTATCCTCCGTCGTCAAGCTGAAGAGAGATACGCGGATGGAATTGAAGGTGTCTACACCAACAAATCGTCTTCCGCAAAGGATGTTACCAATGACAAGCTCAACGAAGCAGTACAGGCTTGCTTTCACCAAGTCCTCGGGCGAGAGGTTGAGCCAAACCAGGACTTGTATCGCCAAGGCGTAGATTCGATAGCCTGCATCCAGATTCGCAAAATGGTCGAGCAGACGTGTCTATCCTCCCGCAGCCCACTCCCTCTCAACGTCATCTACGATCAGGGAACTGTGAACGCGTTAGTAGAGTATCTGAGAAGATTGAGGAAGGGTGATACTCACCTAGACAGCGAGGTTCAAGACGCTGAGCTCAAGAGCATGCGTCAGCTTGCTGAAAAATACAGCGACTTTTCAGACGTGAAGTCGGCGCCGCGTCGGAAGAACGGAAATACTGTCGTTCTCACAGGTGCTACTGGGTTCCTTGGGGCGCATATTCTTGATCTCCTTCGAGAGGATCCCAAGGTGGAGAATATTTACTGCCTGCTTAGAGCTGATGTTCCCTCTGTTGCTCAGAAACGAGTCTCTGAGGCTCTCACTCAACGTGGCATGCGAGCTCTTGATAGATCCGACAAGGTCAGCTGTCTCTCATGCAACTTAACAGACAGCGATCTCGGTCTCACTAAAGAAGACCATCAACGAATTCTGGACAGTGCTACCACAATAATCCACTCAGCTTGGGCAGTCAACTTCAGCCTCCGTCTCAACTCCTTCGAGGATCAAATCACCAGTACTCGCAATCTAGCAGCCCTCTCAGCGAAAGCAGGCGCACGATTCATCTTCGTAAGTTCAATCGCAGCAGTCAGCGACTCAAAAGCTAGGCCCATCCCGGAAAAGCTTTCTGAGGATCCTAGTGAAGCTTCACCACTTGGATATTCACGTTCAAAGTGGCTAGCTGAGCAGATCTGCGAGGCAGTAAATCAACAGTTATCGGGTTCAGAGGACAATCCGCTCACTTCGATCGTACGTGTTGGCCAACTTTGCAGTAACGATTCAGGCGTCTGGAACGCTACCGAGGCATATCCACTTCTCCTCTCAACGGCCAAAATCACTGATTGCTTGCCCGATCTTGAGCACGAGGTGCTTGACTGGCTACCCGTAGAACAAGCAGCGCAAGCAGTTGTCGAAATTGCGCGCTCAACACCAGGAAAGCTTGATGAATCAGCCAAAACACCAGTCTATCATGTTTTGAATCCCCACAACTCACCAAGCTGGACAGAAATGCTACACTGGATATCAGCCTACATCCAAGGCCCCGAGTTTGAGATTGTCTCCCCTCAAGAATGGATCAAGCGTCTGGAGGAGGCGTTGGGAGGAAAGAGTGCGAATCATCCATCCCAAGCTCTGCTAGGGTTGTGGAAACAGTCCTACGCTCGGGAGGCTGGTCTTTCTGCGGGTTCTAAGAAGGACGAGCAGTCATCAATATTTGATGTGGCTCGAACCCGGGACGCATCTACCACTATACGAGACGTTGAGCCGTTGGATCGTGAGAGGTTGATCAAGACTTGGAAGTGGGTGAATGAGACTATTAAGGGATGAGCGTTTTCGCGGCAGGTGGGAGATTCTGGCAACATTATGTTATTCGGGATAATTTCAGTTTACTTATATCTTGATAGATATACATGCTTAACTCTGGTGCTTAGTTTCCATAGCTTGGCTTGCTGTTGTTAGTTATCACAGATGTTTACAAGCGAGTCAGAACAAATCAGAGAACTCAAGCTGCCATGAAAGCGGGATATATATAGACTTGGTCAGATGTCAAAGATAGTTTAAGCCACTCAGTATTTCTGTCATTATTTTATTAGCATTCCCTATTATTTTCTAAGCTGCCTGGTTAATCTGAGCTCCCCATTAAAACCGCTCCCTTTTCTCCTCTTTGATTCGCTACACCGCAACCTCGTCAATGCCTCCACCAATCAAAGCAGTGTTAAGTGTCCGGCCGACAAATAAATCCCCCAGCGGGGCGCTTCTTCCACCTTTTGATCATTTCAAAGGTGTCCAACTACAACCATAACAACTCTCCGGTTTCTATTCTATCATGTCCGCTTTACCAGTTTCTCCTCGAACAGTTCAGCGGTCTGCTTGCGAGTCATGCAGTATGTTGCTCCCACACCATCTCCCACTCGAGACCTAATCATGGCTTTATCAAAGGACGAACAAGATGCAGGTGTGATAGTGGGAAGCCGTCATGTCAGAGATGCGTACGTCTTGGCTTCGAATGCGTCTACTCGGTCAAAAAGCCTATGGGCCGACCGGCAAGACGGAAATTAGCCTTGCCATCAACCCCGGCATGGCCCATCTTCAATGCCCCGGACGATTCTACATCCGCTACAGAAACCGTGAACCCGGTGTCCAATTCATCACCTTCTTCTGTGCTACAGGGCTTGAGTCAACTCGAGGTGGATACATTATTAGGGCTTTCAGCTCTCGCCGACGTAGCACCCGGAATAGATGACCCTGTTCACTTGGACTCTGGAGAGGTTAACGACTCATCATCTTCGGGTGTTGAATTTTCTCCACCATTCGATGAGATTCCGCTCCCTGCCCTGTCAACTTCTCTCACGTCGCGGACATCTTCAGCCCCAGCAGCATCACCAACTGCACAACCCGCCTCGGCGTGTGCCTGTCTAGCATCATGCTACCTCACAATGGACCATCTCTGCAAGAACGAAAAGCTCACATTTCCTTCTGGTCTTCAACAGTTACGCAAAGCCATTGCGACAGCAACAGAAATGGCGCACTGCCAGGTCTGTCCAGGTAACAATCTCTTCGCCATGCAGAATATCCAACTTCTAGTCACGTTGGTCATGTCAATAGTGAAACAATACGATGTTATCCTACAGAGTATAGACGAAGAATGCGGGTCATTGGACCAGCAACCTCGCACAAAGCACCTCCATTTCAAAGTTGCAGAGGACGAAATCACCGATACTCCAACGACGGATGGTTTTCTGGACTACCCGATAGAAGTGAGCCCCACCCAATGGACGACCTTGGCCAAAAAGGTTGTGAAGAATGAGGTATACGGCAGGGACGGTAGCCACGGTTCCCTATGGGCTCTTTTAATATTCCTTGAACAGCGACAGGTCAAGTGGCACGCTGTCCCACCTAAACGGGATTGTCGTCACAATCATCAACCAGATGATGAACCGTTCTGCATTAAGTTTATCTGGAAGTCTAAAGAGCTTCTAGCGGCGCTAAAGTTCGAGGACGCTGATGAAGGGGCGCAAGACGAACAATAGCGTATGCCTAGGAATCGGCGAGATCATCCGAGAGCCAGGTTGGGATATTGCGATGGCCCTGGTAGCCACCTATTCTTTTTCTTATCACATATGCCAAGCGCAACGTCATACAGAATCTGACGAAATCCTTCGTGATAGTAATATTTCCTAGTGTATCCTAGTCCGTCTGATCATACGCTGGCTAAAAGCCAATTGCAGACTCAGAACGCTGCCCAACGGTGAGGCTAGTCGTCAGCTTACTCTTATCTCGAAATATCAGGGACGCTTACTTCTAGTCTGCGTTCCCTTCCTCTCAATCATCTGCTTTGTCTCTTTATCCTCCCATCTCAATCATTCAATCCCTCATGATACTTCTCTCATCACTGCGCCATGCCTCACGCAGTCAACCCAAGAGCGTTGGAACCTCACTTCCTTCGTAACGTCCTCGATGTCCTGATCATCGGAGCAGGTCCAGCAGGGCTATCAGCGGCCATCGCGCTTGGTCGCGTCCGCAGAAGTGCGATAGTCTTTGACTCTGGCGATCAAAAGAATACTTCAAACCATCCCACGCAAATGTCCCTTGCGAACGCCCCGCCTCCAAAACGTGACGATATGATGGCCGAGCTGAAGGCCAAGTACAAGACTGTCATTCTTGCCAGCACGGTGGCCAAGTCAGTGCGTGAAAGGGGCATGATCTTCGAGGTAGAAGACGCAACAGGTCGTCGCTGGAAAGGAAGAAAAGTCATACTAGCAACGGGGAATCGTGATATCATCCCAGACATCCCAGGCTACCAGGAGGCGTGGGGCAAAAACATGTAAGTGTACACTTGTACCACTAAGACAGTATGTTTCTAATGTTCTGAGAAGTTTTGACTGTCTCCAGTGTCATGAATTCGGAGAGTCCAGCAACAAGAAAGCCGCCGTATTACTTACATCCGACGATGCAAACTCAATAGATGCATGCATTCGATCTGCGTACCTCTCCCTTCAGTTCGCTCAGGATACAACATTCCTGATCAATGGTATATATCATGCCGAGCAGCATCCCGACTTCATTTCCGCAAGAAAGAATGGCTTCGGGGTAAACAATAAGCCTGTCAAGTCATTCCGCACAACGACGCCGGGGTCACTCGTAACCGTGGAGTTTGCAGACGGGTCAACTGACTCATATGGGTTGATATTTCACAGGCCCAGGTCAGTAATTGTAGGAAAGTCTGCGCAGCAGCTGGATCTTGATATGACATCGGCAGGGCAGATTTTGATTGAAGATGAGTATCAAGGGACCTGCAAACGAGGCGTTTTTGCAGCTGGTGAGTGTGCTACTACTCTGAAGCACGAGAGTATGGGAGTGGGCAGTGGAATGGTAGCTGGGATCGGAGCAAATTTGCAAATAGTTGAAGATGATATGAGCCTGAGTAGCTGATCGCCGAGTGGCGAGCATCATATATTGATACAACAGTCCATATGCAGTGGGTGTCAGGGATGTAGGTTTATTACCCCAGTCACATCACCTGAGTGGACCGGTTTGGAGAGTCCTATCGGGGACTAAATGGATCGCCGTATCTGAAAGAGCAACAAGACGAAGTGCTTGAAGACTACGGCGTGGAACTTCTGAGCCCCTGGGTTTTGAGACAGTCGGCCATTGGACTTGGATTCGCGGTTGAAATGAGTCGTAATTGATGTAGGGTAATTTATCGAAGTTGGGCATATTTGATTTGAGCAGTTTTCACAAAAGACTAAATGTATCCACCGTAGCCCATATCAAATATTTGCATAAATAGTTTGTCCTCGAGTTTTTCACACCTACCACGAATTTACGTTAAATGGTTAACGCTTTATGTAATCAGTATCTATTAGCGATTCAAACTTCATTGGAATCTTTCTTCGTGATATTAAACGATCATAAAAAATGGTTTTAACTAGAATGGTATTCAATATTTCCTTAGATAAAGCTTGACTTTAAATAATGCCATATATATTGTCACATCACATCCATGCTTGATATCAGCTCACGGTAGTCGCCGACTATTTGACGCTCTGGGCCATCGGGCTCTAAATTCCGGGCCATCGGCGGTAATCACTTCATCCCTGAATCACGCAATTGAGACTTATCCACACTCGGTAAGCTTCCGTCGCGGACACACGATAATCCGCGACATCCAGACCCCGACAGGGTAAGGCGTCATCCGCTAGTGGATACATGCGCTATGTCACTTTGATTGTACTTTTCCTGGAGTGATCCGATCTTATTTTGAGCTTTTTCTCACAATCGACTTTTATTTCAACTTCATACACATAATTCAACATGCTTTCAAGTCGTTTGTCAGTGGCAGCTCGATCTGCTGGCCGCTCTGTGGCCTTCTGCCAGACCCGAAGGGGTCTTGCTACCGCTGCAGCCGTCACATCCATTAGCCGAAGCCACAAGGTTGTCGTGATTGGAGGAGGTTCTGCTGGTCTCGCTATCAGCCATCAACTTCTCCGAAGTGGCCGCTTCGGCAGCGAGGAGATCGCTATTGTTGATCCCGCTCAACATCACCACTACCAGCCCGGATGGACACTTGTTGGAGCTGGTCTCAAGACAAAGGAGGAGCTGAGGATGAACATGCCTGAGCTTATCGACCCCAAGCTCAAGTTCTACAACGTCAGCGTTAACGGCCTTACCCCCGAGGACAACACCATCACCCTCGGAACTGGCGACAAAGTTAACTACGAGCACCTTGTTGTTGCCCCTGGTATCAAGATCAACTACGACAGCATCAAGGGTCTCCCCGAAGCTCTTGCTGAGCGTAACGGCCCTGTTTCATCCATCTACGGCTACGACTTCTGTGACAAGGTCTTCCCCAACATCCAGCGACTCCAGAAGGGTAACGCCATCTTCACTCAACCCGCCGGAGTTATCAAGTGTGCTGGTGCTCCCCAAAAGACAATGTGGCTCGCTCTCGACCACTGGAAGCAGACTGGTCTCTACGACCCCACCAACCCTTCTGCCTCTCCCGTCAAGATCAGCTTCGCCACGGGTCTTCCTGTCATGTTCGGTGTTCCCAAGTACAGCGCCGCGCTTGAGCAGATGCGCCAAGAGCGAGGTGTCGAGGGTCTTTTCCAGCACGATCTTGTTGCTATCGATGGCAACAAGGCTATCTTCGCCCGACCTGATGGACAGGAGAAGGTAACCAAGGACTTTGACTTCCTGCATGTTGTTCCCAAGATGGGACCTCATGAGTTTGTCAAGAACAGTGCTCTTGCCAACGAGGCTGGCTATGTCGCCGTCAACGACAACACCCTTCGCCACAACAAGTTCGCCAACGTCTGGTCTGCCGGTGACGCCTCCAGTCTCCCCACTTCCAAGACCGCCGCCGCCGTCACTTCCGAGGCCCCCGTTCTCGTTAGCAACCTGCTCCGAGCTATCGACGGCCAGGAGCCCGAGCCTGCCTACGACGGGTACACCTCATGCCCTCTCCTTACTGAGTATGGCAAGGTCATGCTCGCTGAGTTCAAGTACGGTGGTGTCCCCAAGGAGACCTTCGGAGAGATCCTTGGTATTGACCAGGCTGTTCCTCGCCGTTCTTTCTACCACCTCAAGAAGGATTTCTTCCCCTGGGTGTACAAGAACTACATGGTTAAGGGAACATGGGGCGGACCCAAGGGTTGGATCAAATAGATAAAAGTTTTGAGCTTGTACTATGTATGTTAGGCTAGGAGAATCGATTGCAGCGAGGAGGTATACCCATAGAAGTACCGGAATCAAAAGCATGAATTTAACAATGCTACCAAGGCTGAGTTCGAGTGACACCTGGGCCCGAGTAACTGAACGTGTTAACAGCAGGCATAATGTAGGAATGTTGATTCAGTGCTTAAGCCGCTGGAAACTATCGTTGCCGAGATAAGTCCGCAGCTCAGTACAATGCTGGGATTCGTCGAAGGAGCCGCGGGCTCTTGAAGTTTGGTGCTTTCCTGATTTTGGTATGGCTCACAAGTGGGCTCAGAATGACTTTCCGATGGAACTGCATCAATCTGACTTGGTTGTAGTAACGCCAAAGATCAAAGTCCGTGATCCAGTTCACTATCAGGGCTTCTCCAAACATGGCGTTGGCTACTGTCAGGCTATTGGCTTTTGCAGCATTGAAAAGCAGGGAAAGGGAAACTATCGGAACCTCTGCACGACCACTGCACGGTCGGTTGCTTCACCAGTGCTGACCATGAAGCCTCGGGTGATTGGCAACCGATTCTGACATCACCAACTCGGCATCGCGGCAGAGAGGACGGTAGATGGTTGCGGGGTTAGTTACCCCGTACTTCGCAACATGAATAATACATACCAGCTCCAAAGTCATAAATAATTATTGTTCTTCGTCCATCATTTCCACATTTACGATCGCACGAACTGCAAAACCGCCGAGATGCTGCCCATTTTGGTTTTTATTATACCATGCTTCTTGGCCATATACCTTGTGCATTTCGTTATCCGCTCTCTCCGCTCCCCACTTCGCACTATCCCCGGGCCATGGCTGGCACGTTTCACTGACGGATGGTATTTCTGGAACATCCGGAAAGGCTCATTCCAGAACGTGAACATCGATTTGCATAAGAAACATGGTATGAATAGTGCTAGCTTTGTACAGAAGCCTAGATTCGCTGATGCTGAGTCCTTGACAGGAACGATCATCCGGTACGGCCCAAATCGCTACAGCTTCAACGACCTTGAGGCTGCGAAGACCATCTACGGCCTCGGTAACCACTTTCCAAAGTCCTCATGGTACTCGACATGGGCAAGCCCTGGACAGTGGGCTATTTTCAGCGACCAGTCAATCAAACGTCACTCGCAGAACCGCAAACTCTACCAAGCAACATATGCAATGTCATCACTGGTTCATTATGAACCCTTTGTCGATGAATGCGCCGACATCTTCACGCAGCGCCTCTCGGAAATGTCCAGCTCCGCAACCACTCTACCTGTTGATATTCGACACTGGTTTCAGTGCTACGCATTTGACGTTATCGGGTTGATTACATATGCGAAACGATTTGGCTTTCTGGACCGTGGAGATGATGTTGGCGGGGTCATCAGTGCCTTGGATGATCATCTTGGCTACGCAACCCTCTGCGGTATCTTTCCAAGTCTGCATCAATACCTTTTCGCAATTAGGAACTATTTAGCCGGTGGAAAGGGTACAGGAAGAGCCTATGTGCTGAGCTTCACAAATGAGAGGATTCGGGAATCCCAGACAGCTCCCAAGCCTGTGGCGATGGAGAGTGAGGTCACGACAGAGGACTTCCTTACCAAGTTCCTTGCAAAGCATGCATCTAACCCAGATGTGTTCACACAATATCACGTCCTCATGGGGTGCACTTCGAACATGGTTGCTGGCTCCGATACCACGGCCATCAGTCTTTCGGCTGTTCTTTACTATCTGCTTAAAAGCCCGCACTGCCTGACGAGGTTGAGGGATGAAATCAATGATTTTACTGAGCGCGGAGACCTGTCCAAGTTGGTGACATTCAAGGAAAGTCAAAAGATGGTATACTTGCAGGCCGTTATCAAGGAGGCGCTGAGAATGCATCCTGCCACAGGTCTCCCGCTTGAGAGAGTTGTTCCTGAAGGTGGAGCAACGATTTCTGGTCGATTCTTCCCAGAGGGTGTAAGTTCAAGCAATACGGCAGATGAACTGGAGAACCATGACTGACCACGAACACAGACTATTGTCGGCATCAACTCCTGGGTTGCACACCGCGACACTCGCGTCTTCGGAGAAGATGCCAATGTCTTTAACCCTGATAGATGGCTTGTGGAAGATAGCGAGAGAATCTCCATTGTGAATCGTTATTATATGCCGGTAAGTTCTCTCTAGTAAATTCTGCAGATTGATCGTTGACTGTGTTGTTTTTCTAGTTCGGGCTGGGCTCAAGAACCTGTATTGGTCGCCATGTGTCGATGCTCGAAATGTCCAAGCTCATCCCCAGAATCATCCGAGACTTCGACTTTGAACTTGTACCATCACTGAAACAGAACAACTGGCACACGCACAACTATTGGTTTGTTAAGCCTGTGGACTTTCAAGTACGAGTTGAGAGGCGCCAGCCAGGCAAGTAGAGGGTACCTGACAAATCGACCGGTAAGTTTACGGAAGCATAAACTTGATGGGAGAGACGTTTCGCCGAAGCTTACAGGTCAATCAGAAACATCCACCATCAGAGGGCTGCGCCTCCGCATTGCTGACGCTTCGTAAGGAGGCTTGGTGGGAACATAGCGCTAGTTTGAGATGGCCTTGGATTTTCAGCAATAAGCGATCAGACCAATCAGATATCATCAATATTCCACGAACTGCCTCGTCGAGCCTTACCAGTGAATATCTGTAAAACTTCTTGATTTCCAAGCCATTTCTATTGATTCATCCTCATATACTAAACAGCTCTCCCTTTCAGAGTCTCTTGTTACATCCATTTCATCACCATCACAGCTGTCAAAGTACCCTCCTTTAATCATGCACTCCTCTTCCAGTCTCATCCTGGCAGCAGCCTTCCTGACAACTGCTAGACGGGTCTCCAGCTCTTCTTTCCCACTACGACATCGAGCCAGTGAACAGTCCAACCCGGCACCTTTGAGAGCTACAGAATATGGAACCATCTACGACGTCGAGGTCCAGTTTGGGAACCAATCATTCTTCCTGCTCGTCGATACGGGAAGTAGCGACACCTGGGTTTTGGAGACTGGCTATCAGTGCATTAACTCGTCCAACAACTTGATGCAACCCCAGGCCAATTGCCAGTACGCCTCATCGTACAACCTGTCATCTTCTTTTCAGGTCAAGGACAACCAGACCTTTGGTGTAAAATACGGCACTGGTATTGCTATGGGCATGGTCGGATATGAAGACCTTACTATGGGCGGTATAAAAGTTGCCAACCAAACAGTCGGTATCGTCAACTCTACCAACGACATCGGTGACGGGCTGCGCAGTGGTCTCCTGGGCCTGGCCTACCCTCAGCTCACATCAGCTCACCCAGGGTTGAACTATCCCAACGACTCTCTCATTATCGATCGCGATATCTATGATCCATTCTTGCAAACCATGCATAAGCAGGGTCTAGTGGAGCCTTGGTTCAGTCTGGCTCTTGAGAGACTACCAGCCAACACTTCGACTGGTGACGGAGGATATATGGGGCTCGGCAAACTCCCACCAGTACACCATTCTGATGAATGGACGACTGTTCCCGTTGAGATTTCCAAGAGTATCCCTAAAGCCCTTTACAAGAACGAAAAGCCCGTTCTTACATGGTGGACCTTGACCCTCGACGCTGTCACATGGGGTCCTGCGAATGCCTCTTCTAAAGCTTCATCTTCTTCTACCCTCCTCACCACCAACACCACCACCAACTCAACCGCATTCCAGGCTGTTGTCGACAGTGGCAATCCCAACAACGTTTTCCCAGTAGAACTTGCAGAGAAGATCAACGCAGCTTTCGATCCACCCGCCGTGTACAACAAGGCAATGGACTTATTTGTCGTTGATTGCGATGCTAAAGCGCCAGCTTTGGGAGTGGTGATTGGCGGAAAGACCTTTTGGCATGACCAACGAGATTTGATCGTCTGGGCTAAAGATGGAGTCTGCGCCAGTAGCGTCGGCGCGACCAAAACAGCCTTGGGCATTGACGTTCATTTTCTTGGCGATACCTTTTTGAAGAATGTCGTGTCTGTCTTTGACTTCGGTAAGAATGAGATGCGATTTGCGGCGCGTGTTGACGAGGGTAAGTCGACTGGTAGCGGTGGTGAGATGCCGGTCTCTTCTGATGGGCTGCGCTCGTCCGTGTCGAGGGTTGCTGCATACGCGGGGTTGCTGGGTTTCTTGTCCGTTGTCGCCCTCTGATCAATTTTTGGTAGACTACAGGGGCTATCGTGTTTTTGTATATAATTCTCTTGTTCCATAGACGTTCGAATCGAGATATGTTTTTCATACGCCAAACTAAACCACAATGCCGACGTATTTTGTGATAGTGGTCACAGCCAAACCAGGTACGAACATTGCGGTCCAAATCATTGCTTGTTCAACTCCGTGCCGTGTGTGGAACGTGAGACTATGTCCTCTACAAAAAGGCACTGTTTTGCAAACAGTTCAGAACGGGTTGAACGGAAACCCGGGTACGGCAAGCCACACAGCAACTACCAGGAGAAGGATGCAAATGACAATCAATGGCCACAGTTTGCCAACAGATACATGTTTCAAATGAGGCCCACCCCACCAAGCTTGATGAAGTCGCTGTTGCTGTGCCCAATCCGGGGCTGCTATTCCGTTCTCCCAGTAAAGGACGGCTGTTTCAGCTGCCATGGCTGGCATTTGGGTTGTCGGCATAGGTATATGGTAAGGATCCGTAGCGAATGCAGACGTCGGAGCGTTTTCTTTAGTACTGTTCGACTCAGTGGAAGTAGGCTTCTCGGTCATCGTCTTGCTGTAAGTCGAGAAATAGTATGGTACTGTCACCGATATCTGAGTGGGGAGAGTAGTAGGTACTCCTAGATCGTATTGTTGGATTGAATCCCAACTGACGCTTTGAGGTGCCGTGGGGGGCAGGTATGCCGGGAGTCTCGTCGTTAGAGCGATACCTACCTGTGGTTCGAACGGGGGAATAGGTGGAGGCATTTTATAAATTGTCTTGGACCGTCAGGGGATGCTGGCGATGTGAGGTTTCGGTAGACAAGATGAGAATCTCTCTTCTGCGCGTGGAGCGTAATGAGACAAGAATTGTAGGGACGAAAGTTTGTGATCGGACAGTGGGATCTTGCGACGCTTTATAGCAGACCCCCGAACAACCGACCATTTACAGTTCGCATTTTGTTGTTATCAAGCAGACGTGTAAAGCTTCGGTAAACCATGACGAGAAAATAATAAACCTTTCAAGCACTGAAACGGTGAACATAATCTTGTGAAAACATTGTATTCTTATCTGTGTAAGTATTCCGAGACATTCGCCTTATTACAGGGATAATCTCAGATCATTTCGTCAGAATACAATTCCTTCATCTTTATCCATCGCAGTGCCCGGTTGAATGAACATCTGTCCGTAATTACATCTTAGCCTTTCGTGGAAAACCCTGATAATCAGGCGAAAGGCTATCCTGCAGGTCAAAAAGCGCCCCCAGTCCCCAGCCAACTTATTTGAGGTGCCCGATAGGATAAACATGTTTTTGAGTTCACCTCCGCACATTTTTCTTCACATAATTTTCCAGTATACCCCTCCTGTAGAGTATATCAGTCAAGTGGTGGTTGATAAATCCCCCACAGATCCGTCCCTCCGTTGTCCGCGTTACGCCCATCATCCGAGTCGACAGATGGCGACATCAAAGGAGGATCGCTGCTCGGAACAAAGTCACTAACGGTGTAATCCGCTGTACACACTCTGGCAGGGAAACGACAATAACCCTTCCCACCATTTCGGTGACGGCAATCAACCTTTTGGCAGACATGGCCGTGTACACAGTTTGCTCGTCGGCAACTTCCTTTGCGGGAGCACGGGACTGATCGTGAAAGATGCTCCAGCGCTGGTTTCAGATTCTCGGGGATCGGAGCATGCTCGTATTCGCAATTGGGGTTTTCGCAAGAGTTATACAGCTGCGCGTTATTGCAGAATTTTCGGTCTTGGGATAGTACTTTGAGGCGTCGGACAGCGTCAGGGTCGGGGGAGGGTAGGTAGGCATCAAGGCGATCTTCGACTGCGTTTATGGGCACTAGACCATCTGGGATATCTTCCTTCTTTGGAAGCGAGTCGATGCTCAGTTTGCCGCCGTTGGATACACTAGAACCACGTCGCCAATCGTTCGAGAAGTTGCGGTCCGTCTTTGTGCCATTACCGATGGAGGGCGAAGGTGTACTATTCTGGCTAGATGATTTATTCTCACTGTGGGAGAACTTGCAGGTGCTGCCGTATCGGCAATTTCCTTGCATGTAAAAGCTACACATCGTATTACCATCGTTGGCAGCTCCTTTTGTTGATGTAGTATTGTTATATGGAAGGCTAGCCTTTCCGATATTGCTGGATAAAGGCAGACTCGTCTTTGTTTGCGCAGTGGCATAGGCGTATGTAAGAGGTGAATGGCGGAACACACCGGGAAGCTCTTCGATGTTCATTCCAAGTCTGTCAAACTCCTTATGGAAGAGCAGGCTTGGTGTACGGACGAGCGTGAATCTCTCGCGGTTACCCCTAAAGGGAGTAAGATCCGAGACGTAGCCGACATCGTGGCAGGCAGCGAAGTAGATGTGCTTGCACTGAGCGTTATCGGCGTAAAGGCGCAGAATGGCTTTGAGTTTGAAGTCGGCGTTCTCCTTTAGTTCGCCGGCGTCGATAAAGTCAGCAAGGCCATAGGATCTGTTGAAGCCAGCTGTGAAGGACGACAGAGATCGTTTTTCGGCTCCGGCGAGACCGTTCTTGCACAACGCCTTTGATAGACCGGTGAGGTTGGCGTAGACGCGAATCATAACCTCGCATGTTTCGAGGCCCTTGCGACGCAGACTATCTTTAATAGTATCGTTTAGTTGCTTAGCAGCTCGACTGCCACCTTCTTCGCCATCTCTGACAAAGCGTTCGTCAAAGATGTATCCATCGCCGTCAACGACGACCAGAGCGAAAGGGTTGCGTTCTTGCCCCCGAGCAAGCTGCTTGTATCTTTCTCTGCCCTCACGCTCTTCTTCATAATCGCTCTTGAGCCGTCTGTAGTCCTCAACAAGAACAGCATACTGGTCGAGAATCTCACTCAAGGCGTTGTCTCTCCGGAATTCGGCAAGCTTGTCAGCTGCTCTGTCGATTGTCGCATCAGGAAGCATGGTCGCAGCAAATGGCGGTCAGCGATATGCCACGCATTGCCGTAACTTCCGTAGGATGCTCGAACGATTCTGGATAGGAGAGAACAGAACAGAAATACTCACAACCGCCGTCGGGGAATGGCCTGTTGCTGCTTATGTTGAGAGCGGGCACCACGTAATTTTAGGGCGGTGCGGGATTCAAGCCGGCGTCATGTGACCTGCCACGTGTGGCTTCGTTCAGGCGTCAACGCTTGAGACCCAATCTGCCTCTTTGTTGCGAAGACCATAGACAAACAGCCACGTTATATTGATTGATCATTATTTGTGATCAAACGATGCAGTTGTTTTCTCGCATTAAAGCGTTGCCTGTGTTTTCGCAGTTGACGAACTCGCTGGAAAGACAAAAGTTTCCCGGTTCTTGCCATAAATTCAATAACGTATAAAACATTCAATAACGTATAAAACATTCAATAACGTATAAAACATTCATAACGTTCACAGAACATTGCTTTTTGAAATCATCTGCTTGACCAACTCATGGTGGTTTTGAGATTCGGACCATTGAACAACAACATCCTGGTCTTTCAGGTTCCTGTAGCTGGACCATCTAATTCAACCAAACCCAGCCCGCGAAATCCCTTCTAATCCTCTATCCATTGCGAACTGAAATCTCACACAGGAAAAGTCTAAAATCATGTTGAAATATCAGAAACCTGTCCCGTAGCTTCTTTGACCCCCCATGCATCGCTGAAAGGATAGTCGGTGTAACCATCCGCACTCTTCACCTTGTAGAAAGTATCTCTTTGATACGGCGAAGGAGAAATACCACTGGCTAGCTTAAAAGGCAAATCTGGATTGGAAATGAAATGTCGCCCAAACCCAAAAGCAACTGGTTTGTCTTTAAAACTCGTCTTCAAGGCTTCATTAGCCTTCTCCGCTGTGTAGCCTCCAGCAAGAATAACGGGACCGGCTTCAGCCCATGCTTTTAATGCAAAATCGAGTGTTTCTTTGTCATCGACTGTTCTATCCCAATTCCCAGCGATCCGAGGCTCGACCAGGTGTAGATATGCAAGGTCAAGAGGTCGGAGTTCGGAAATGAGGTGAGTGAACTGCGGCTCGGGGTCTGCCATTCGCATGCCTTGAAATGTACTGAAAGGTGAGAGTCGAATGCCTGTTCGATCCGGTCCGATCTCTCGCGACACTGCCTTGGCGATCTCGAGACAGAATCTCGAGCGATTCTCGACACTTCCACCCCATTCATCCACCCGCCGGTTGCAGGTGTCTTGAGTAAACTGATCGATCAGGTATCCGTTCGCAGCATGGATCTCAACACCGTCGAAGCCTGCTTCTATCGCATTTTTGGCTGCACTCGCGAAAGACTCGATGCATTCCCGTATTTCTTCTGTCGTCAATGGTCGAGGCTTTGGATGTTCTTCATCGATGGGAATGTCGCTGCTGCTGACCATTTCCAGTCCGGCTCTATCCAAGACCTGTTGCCGAGCTGCTCTGCCGACGTGCCATAGCTGCATGAAGATGTACGATCCTTTGCTGTGAACCGCGTCCGTCACTCGCTTCCACCGTTGGATATGCTCCTTGGTAAATATACCCGGGGCATTTTCATCTCGACCTCGGGATTTGGCCGAGATGAAGGTTGCTTCGGTGATGAGAAGGGTTCCGGGAACTGAAGCTCGTTGCGAGTAATAGTCAACCATGATATCCAACGGCGCTTGGTTCTCGTCGGCTCTCAAACGCGTCATCGGTGCCATGACGACGCGATGCTGCAGAGAGCAGCGGCCGATTTCGATGGGACTTGTGATGTTTGTCATACTGAGTACGTAAATATTGGCAAACAGTTCGGAAAGTGCAGTGCAAGTACCGAATTGTGGGATGATATATGATGTCGAAGTGGAATGTTGGTTTGATGGAGTGGAAATCATTGTCAAGACCCCGCATTGACCCAGCACGCAATCTCGGTCGGACGTTGAAGATGGAGCCAGTGGATCTCGACTCCATCTCGGAAGTTATTCAACGGCATTTACGAATACTAGGCCATTTTGCTCTATAGACATGCAGAGCCGTTGAAGTCGTCCAAAAATTGGGGTATTGGGGTTGAATAATCCATGATTGCATCACGCACCCACAAGAGACTTGGAGCAGACATACACCAGCAATCGCACGTCCACATGCCATGCACATAATGCTTCACCCGATCTCTTTTCAAAGGGTGGCTAGATATAGATCTACTGTGGAGTTTATGCACAAGGTTCCACATAATGAGCTCTATATAATTATGTGTTTTGCATGCAATTCAGCATTCACCCAATTGACCGACACAGTGGCAGTCAAGTGATACAAGAGAGCATCAGTGAGGTCCGTCGCCGAGAAGAACAAACACAAAGTCACGTTTCTCATGTGATCGGGGATTAGATAAGTCGCCTGGGGCGTTTACGAATATTCGCATCCGGCGAGGAGGAAACGACCAACGGCATTGCAAAAGACGCCAGATTAAAGTGTTGCACATGACAAATGCAGTGATAAGCCAGCACAAGCCAATGCCAAGGTACTGATAACATCCGGCGACTCAGATTACCAATTAACCTTGGCCGATCGCGGCCACCAACACCAACACCGCCCTTGGCGCCTCAACGCAGCACCTTCATATCGTCATATCATAATACGCCCATATTCGAAAGTCTGGGGTAAGTTTTGGAGCTAAGACAATCCCTCTACGGTGACAATGGCTAACGTCGCGGGAGACCAACTCCACGCGTGCGCAGTGCCGCATAACCGGTGACAACATCATCTCCGGAGATCGACATGTTCCTCCACGAAAACATTGCGGCACAGCAACTTTCGGCGACTATTTCAGCCTAGGAGTCTTATCTTGTTTAAAGCTGTCGCACAAGAAATGCCAATGTTCTTGGCTCACAAGAGTCATAGGCTGGTCGACTCCCTGTGATCACAGATACCCCTCATTCAACAAACTGTGGCTGATTTGCTAACGCTTGGCTTTCGTAGTAGCGTCACACCCGAGGAGATAGCAAACTCTCCACAGTGCCATATCGACCCCGGATATCTTTCCCAGGGTGAAGATTATCACCGATAAAAGTAACCCCAAGGATGCAAACGAGAGAACAAACGCAATTGGTAAGCCGACGATCAATTGTCCCAAAAAGAAATTAGCAATGTCAAGCCCAGGGCGTACTAAATCTGCGAGAATCGGCGTCTTGGTCGCAAGTCTGGGGTCGGCTTTTGCTAGCCAATGGAACAAACCCAAATGCACGACCAGGGCGTTGCGTCGGCCAAGACAACCAATCACCGCAGCCTTGAGCCTTGGCTGAGATAAAGGGTCATGTGTTGGCAGACACAACTTACGCTGTGGCGGAAGTGAGAATGGTCACCTCAAGTATCGGGGGACAGGCTGCGTTTTCCAACTTTTTGCAAACTTATCGCAAAACTTGAAGCCCATCCATTAACCTTACAGTTGTGGGTTTTTGCGTTGTCTAACTGTCAAAATCGACACTAGTTCAGGTATTCGCATTATCAAAATGTCGGCAACACAGATTTTGTTCAACACTACGCCTGCAATGGCAATCGCCTCAGAACCTCCCAAGCGCAGGGGGAGTTGGGTGCCCACACGACGAAAGTCGGAATGTCCTCTTGAGGTCACCATCGATAGACACTTCGAAGCAAAGATTTACACCTCCGGCTCTACCATCACAGGATCAGTCTCATTCTCATCGCAAACTAATCTCACCGTCGACGCCTTCGAGATCGTCTTCACAGGCTCCTCAACAACTATGATTCAAATGTTCCACCAAGGAACAATGCCCAAGTCTGGCCACAAATTCCTTCTTCTGAGAATGCCAATTTCCGAAACTGCTCTTCCTCCTGGTGGAGTACTGCAGGCTGGGCAGACCTACGAAGTGCCATTCTCTTTTGTGATTCCGTACCAGCTACCCAGTGCCGCTTGCAGACATAGGAATCCAGTAATCCGCGAACGACATCTGCAGTTACCACCCACTATCGGAGCCTGGGAACACGATGACATGGCAGTTCACACCATCTCTATCAACTACGGCGTCAATGCTCGCGCAAGCTTCAAGTCAGATAAGGGAAAGCCGATCGTCTTGGAGAGAATGCATCCTGTCAAAGTCATGCCGTTTGTCCCCGAGCAACCACCTCTGCACCTTGTCCCAGGCAATCCACGGTTTACACTATCTCAAGAGAAAGCGATTCGCAAAGACATCCTTTCTTCCAAAATTGGGTTCATAAGGGCGACAACTTGTCAACCCGAGCCTGTCATTATCTCCGCCGACAAACTGCAACCATCGGACTGCTCACTGAACATCGACCTTGAGTTCTGGCCGACTTCCAAAAAGGCGGTTCCACCTGAGATGTATGCAAAGTCAGCTTCCATCAAAGCATCAACCTATTACTCCACAGGTCACTTGAGCTTTTTGCCAGACCAGCACAATTTCCCCAGTGTCATGCCAAACCCAATCTTGAGTTTCGTCCTCGACGAGAGCGCCACAGTGAACCAGTCTCCAAAGTTTGAATGGGAAGCAGTCTCGGACTCTCCTTCGGCGTCGAGCTCCCGCAGAGGCTCAGAGAACTTAAACTTCGGCGACGAACCCCGTCCCACAAGTTCGCGACGAGGCTCCAAGAGCAGTGACGTGATCAAGACGGAAGCGCCAAGACATACCACCACACTACCAGTCTCGATTACACTGCCAAGCCCGGACAATAAGATCCTACTACCTACATTCTACTCTTGTATGATCAGCCGGACGTATATACTGGAAGTGATCCTAGCCTCAAGAACCCATGGATCCAGCTTTGCACTACGGCTTCCTTTGCAGATTGCTGTCGAGGGACAGCATGAGATAGGTGTCAACCACGTGCCAACTTATGTGAGTACTGGGGAGTGCTACAAGAAACAACAAAAGCTGACGATATCCACAGGAACAGGTACAGGCTAATCAAGATCTTTACGACATGTTACCGACTTATGAGATTACCGTCTGAGTATGACCCGGGCAAATCATGTTGTTCTTCCCGTCAATCAGTGTGGGTTTGTTGGCGAAGGAGATGTTGTGTAGGATTTGTAGTTTGAGACCCATATACCCTATGTTTATTATCAGGATTTGGTGAATAATTAAGTAAATTTTCCATTGTTCATTCGTTTTCTTGACAAGACTCTCCTTTCAAATTACGACTTCACCTCCCACAACGCCAAGTGCAAACGAGGCGACATAACCTTGGAAGTCACCCCTGCTTTAGAGATCCTCGAGAAGATCAGATCCTGATAATAAACATACCTAGGTTATATAGCCGTAGGCGACTCGCCGGGTGCTCATAGTTCGCTGTCGCCCTTGACCCAGCGGGCTCGATGGCAATGAACAATGTACAGCTTCTTTGCCCTTCACCATACTGAGTGCTGCATTTATATGAGTGGCCTTGTGCTCTTTGGGAGATCGGGTGATACTCTCGATCTGTATGGTATGGCTTCTCCAATCTTCTATCTGTAAACTCACCGCTACCATAAACGCCAAACCATAAAGGTCACAGTCAAGGGTCCACAGGGCCTACAGGCGTATTTGACATCCAGCCCCCATTTCTCCAGGCAAAGGGGCCACACGGTGAGTTCTGTATATCCCACCGAATATTGCCCATTGCGTACAAAACGCCATTTTTATACTGTTAAACATTGGAAAATTACCATATCGTGTAAGAATTTGTGCCTAACGCGTTGCGACAAAGCGTAGTGACTTACGAGTTGATTGGCCAGCAGCGAAAGTGTCATCCCGAAACTTTCCAACTCAGTCCTTGCCAAGCCCAAAACCAGGTGAGGATTTTGAACATGATCCGGGTAACATCAACACAGATTCGACGAGGCTCTAACTTGATCCAGGTCTTTCGAAATAATCATCAAAGGCTATGCGTTGCGGCATTAAAGTTTGGGTCATGCTCTTTCACAGAGGGACATCAACTCGAACTTCTCTTCATGGATTCTGATATGTCAGTGTGGTGAACTCAAATCACAACCACTATTGGAGAGTCGTCAGAAGACACAGGTCATGAGACTGAAAGAGGACTAGATAGCCACTGCATCGTTAATACGTAAGTCGGTCGCATGTGTACGGTAACAGCTGTGAGATAGAAATGACAATATTCAGGCTCACTCGTTCAAGCTTTGTCGCAGGCCTAGCCAGGTGCAATAGACTTTGATGTCCGACTTGAAGCAACCGATCCTTCATTTATCATGAGAACGAACCAAATTCCAATCCTTGTGTCATTCTCGTGAACAGAGAACATATAAGCCATCCCCCGACATCTGCTTCCAGTGAAATTCCCTCAAGTCTCCCTTGCACATTTCGCCCTTCCGAGTCCAATAACTTCCAATATCGGATCACATCCAACTTATGCTCGTAAAACTCGATTGCGTGAGTTATTCGTCCGTCGGGGGTCGCCAATTCAACTTCTCCTGCGTTACTGTTAGCTGGTAGCGACGGTAGAGACATAAGCACAACGGACCAAGCAAGTTGACAAACACGATAGTGATCTCTTCCACACTTGCCACTTTGAACCCCTTGTGAAATGTAAGCAAATTTCGGAACGATTGGTAGCAATGGCCACGTACAAGTATAGCATGCGTGGTATGCCAATTGCCTGTCCTATTAGTAGCGTGTCACATGTCACGAATGTAGAGCCTGGCTGCATATGCTGTCATGAGAAGGGGCCGAAACATCGACCACGAATTTCATTGATCTCTCTACCAATGTCAGTTGCCAAAGCCAGATTGTTGCAGTCAGAGGTCTCACCGGCTTCCTGATAAATATCACATCACTAGATTAATATTAGACTTTGATAGCAAAACATGTGCTCTTGATTTGACTCACTGGTTTCGTACGTCGGCTACACAAATCAATCAGCCCTGTGTCATTGCATCAGACGTGGCATTAGCCGTAAGAAGAATCCTTGCCTGGCTGGGACTTGTTAGCAAAGGTGCGCAGAAATGCAAGGAAGCCAACAGGGCCATACTCATCAAAAAGAAAGAAAAGGCTTTTACTATTGCTCTGTCAGCTTCATCAACTTGTCAAGATGGGCCACAACAATACCTGCACTTTTTTGGGACTCAACAGTCTCCTTCACCTCAGCCTCAGCCTCCCTCAGCCTTAGCCTTTTCCCATTGCCAGTCGCACGAAATCATGTAGGGGTGGATAGTTGCGTGCAGCCTCTCGCTATCCCTGCTACATGTCATGGTGTCAGTTCCCTAGCCTTGAAAACAATGGGTTTTACATACGTGAGCTTCGCCGATGACCGACTACATCCTGTAAGTAGGAGCGCATCCACTAGTGAACCATATCTGATACTTACCTCACTCGAGGCCCCGGCGGCCTCCTCTTCATCAAGCTTCTAAGACTTGTTAGTTTAAACAAGTACCCAACTGTAAACCTGTACTTGAACATACCGCGAGTGCGTTTTCCTAGTACTTAACAGACAGGGTCGTTAAGAGAGGGATTTGAGCTAAACAGGACCGATCTTCACTTACCACAGTCGAGTCGGCGTCTCTCTGTAATCATTGTCAGCTAGCCTTTTCATATTGCATAATCGCATCCTACTTACTTCCATCCACTCTCGGTAGAGCTTGGCCATTTCTTCGTTTTTCTAGAATAGCCATCAGTATTGCTGGACGCCCCTGTACGCACCTGCCGATACTGAGCATAATTCGCATCTTTCCTACCTTGACCTCGTGGAAGTTCCACTATCAGGACACGCGATGTCAGCGTCAAATCAACTGATGATTGATAGATATCGTATCTCACAGTGGCACGATCCCTGTAGAACTAAGCCTCTATGAGTCATGTTATTGAGAAATGTACACCCATATTATCACTCACGGCGTGCATGGCGCGAGCGAACTGTTTGGATGCACGTATTAGCTAACTGCTTATGAGTAGTGGGCAGTCAAGAGTGCTTACCTCTAGTTCGCTCATATCCTGGAGAATGTTTTTAGTAACTTGGATTAGTTGACAAGGCATACATGGAGCAATCAAACTGACTTTGCGCTTGGGCTGGGAGACGTTAGTAAGATGCATTTATCATTCCAGGAATTTTGTATGTTGGGCCAGAGCTTCATGGGTGATCAATGGCAAATATAGACAGCGTACCTTCTTGGGCTTTGAGGGCCCGGGGGAGCGAGCGCGGGAGCGAGCGCGGGGAGTGTCCTTGAACGAACCATGAGCATGAAAATACCGATCATGGATAGAGTCTCGACTTACATTCTGGGCCTCGAGAGCTGGGCCCGCCGACTTAGTCGACATCGAAGACTAAAAGAGTGTCAATGCTTCCTGAAGCTTGATACTGTGACAAAAAAGGGGTGGCATACAGCGGTTCGCTCCTGTAAGAGAAATATTCGTCAGCATATGAGCAAGGGCAAGAGAGAAGAAGATGAGCACGGCTTGATGCTATTCGTGGAAACGATCTTGCGAGCAAGACATGTTGCGTCGACCAGCTGTTCAGGGGGACGTGGAATTGAAGCTGAGTATATGATGATCATCGTGAACGTACCTTTACCTCCGAAGAGGGAGCACCCTGGGCCTTCAGTGAAGACTCATCAGTATATAGGGCGTAGAGATGGCGATTGAAAGTTTCTTACGGGCGTGGCGAAATCGGTCTTCTAAAGTCGTGTCAGCAAAAGAATCACGAAAGCATTTAGCATCCATGGAGTTCCCCTGGAGATACTCGCAGCCAAAAGACAATGAATGTACTAACCGAGTTCTTGTCGGCCATTCTAATCGAAATGTGAGAAAAAGCCAGAATGTCAACATTTCCAACATTAGGATCGAGCCTTACTTGGACGAGGTGTTGGTCTGGCGGAAAATGGTCAGTTTGGTACTTCAATGAGCGAAGAAACACAACGTGTCCAACGCCATCTTCAAAGGGGGCTGCTTACAATGAGTAGGAGTTTTGTGTCTACAAATAGTATAAAAATCAGTACCCTGGTGTTGGGCGACGGTATAGTCAACTCACGGAAATGGTGTAGGCTGGAAACTGTTGGCGCATGGTGTGTGAGCGGGCGCGGTAGCTGGGAAAGGATGTCATTTTGATACGTACTGGTCTATCAACGCTGTTAGCATAAACAAGCACTTCAAAAATCGTCGTCGTCTAAGAATTCAAATGGGAGCTGTCACTTACAACGCGGCGGCGGTGGTGAGATGGTTGTTGTAAGGGGAAAAGAAAAAGAGGGGGAGGTTGCGCCTGCACATCGTGAAGTCAGCGTCGCGCCAGCGGCACGTGAATCGCACGTGAACTAGGTACTCGCGACGACGTTTCCCGAGTGAGGTACGGGCATGAACAAGTTATGTAATTGATGGGACAGTCGAACTGGTTCCAGGAAATGCGTGGCACAAATCTGTATATAGAGAGCATGCAAAAGTTCCGACAATCCATTTGCTTTGTATCTTGTATAAAATAATGTAAAATCTAATAATTCCCGTGAATTGATGCACAGAACTGTCTACCTTTTGCTTCATCTAAGGCAAGTTATCAAAGGCAGCGCTTTTGGAACAAGGAAGTTGTAATTTAAGGTTTTAACCAAGGTACACCCTTTCTCTTTTGCTTCAACCGTCAACTTCATTAAGCCTAGGCTTTCCATATTTCGTAATTTATGAGCAATAAATAACCTTCTCAAAGGTCAAACCCAATATGGTCAGAATAATAAAGGTCGTTTATGGTAACTAAACTCTAATCAAGTGAGCACGTATGACGCAAACAGCCGGACGCATAAAAGCTGGCCTTTCCTCCCCCACCCCTCAATCTGCTCCACGCTACAAGCACACGACGTAGCCAATCGACCCTTGCTCTTGGCCCGAGACTAAGAGTGCGCAGCTGTCAGGGACAGTGACAGAAGGTTTACGTGGGGCGCTGAGGTACTGTTACTGAGAGGAATGCGTGGTCAGAGTCAACCTCGAAATCCCACTGTGCCTTCGTGATGCAACGCGCAATGATATCGACAATATTATCAACTGGGGTTAACCGAGGTATGATCGAGTAAAGCTGTCGGAAGCTTGGAACAAGAGTAACGTGTCTGCGAACACTGTTCAGTCTGTGATGCCTGAATGCGGTGGATCCAACGGAAAGCAGTCGATATTCCTGATGCAGAAAGTGTTTCGTTGCATACACAGATGCAATATCACTCCAGCAGAAGTATTTGAGAATTCCACGAGAAGTTTTTGCGAGATGAATTGACGCAGGATAAACCTATGAAAATAGAGTCTTGTGAGTTTGGTTGCTTGGTGTGCACCGTCATAAAATCAGCCAAGATCACAAAACCATCAAGACAGTGCTTGTGCTTCACATGTAATCCAAGTTCAAAATACAGTATCAGTCATTCTTTTGTCATCGAAAGAACTCATCTCTGGGAAGCAAGCCCAGCCCTCTGCCACTGCTGAAGGAGGCGAGGCCGGAAATCATGATGATATTGAAGCAACATAGATGTGATTCTCGTGGACATTTCCACTAGGGTAATGAGTGAAAGTATCTGGCATTACAGTACTTTATTGTATTCATTAACGGTAACACCCTTTGCCGTAACTGTTGAACTCCACTATTGTTTTACTCACAAGAAATCTGTAATCTATCAAAGGGTGTCCCAACCAAGAAGCCCGATGTCACAAGTATACTCTATCTCCTGCTCTGTAGCATCGGGATCATCTATCTCCTTTCTCTCTTCAATAAGGTGATCCAAATGCCACACAAAATCATGCGATAAGCTGTGCTCGCGGTCTGACTTATCCCAACCTGGCTTGATGTATCGCCAGTCAGCTTTGCTTTTGGAGTCAAAGATGTCCACCTCCAGAAACCTTCTGTCGGCAGCATAGAATGCATTCATCTTCCAGGTCTCGTTCGTTATCTCTTTAAATACAGGGGCATTTTCGCTTCTTTTAAGGGTGTGATCGATGAACCATAATTTATCCACGGAGGTACCAATCTCGAAAATGGTTTCTACAAGCTTCCGCTTGACATGTTTGTTCGCATAGTACGATCCTTCGGTCCATTCGGGACAATACTCGATGGCAAGATGCCTGATTCCCTCACAACCAAGAAGATTTTCCCCTAAATTTGATGTCAAGTATAGCGCCCACCAATGGGTAGTGGCGATATCGTCCAACTGTAAAACAAAGAGGTCTCTGTGGGGGAAGACTGTCAGGCAGTGAAGCTCGTCTCCTTGAAAATAACCGGTCGCGGGAATCTTGAAATGTTCTTTGCTCGCCTGGCTAGAGTATCTGTCGCACTCTTGTTTTTTAGGCCATTCTGATTGTCGAAAGTGCTTCTCCATGATGAGTCGTGACTCTTTGCAAGCGGTCCATAGTCCGCCGTCGATAAGGTACGTTGACACGTTTTCGTCGCTGCGATTCTCGTCAAGGCTGTCAAAATAATGACGCCATGGGAGCGCAGCATAATCGAAGCATGGACGGCCGCAGTACATGAGCTTACGAATCTCGTTCTCGTTTTTCGTTCTATCATAACCATCGCCGAATATATGCACTCCCGGGTTGTCGTCTCGAATGACGAAGCTCCAAATCATATCCCGTAACTCTTTAGGGAGCTCAGAGAACTGGTGAAAAGTAGACATCGTGAAGATTGATGATGATAGGCAGGCAAATCTTTCGAAGAGAGAGAAAAGTGCTAGATGTGCGGTGTTGTGAAGAGCGTGATCTGCAAGAGTGTGTGGTGATGTTTGTTTGGATTGAGTGAGAGTGGAGAAGGGAAGAAAGGCAGTGCGAGACAGGTGCGCGCAGGTGCGTATTTATTAATGTTTACAATTAACTTTGTTTGCCTTGCATGATTGAACGGCCTGAGTCATACATTAAAGGTTCATCTTGAAGTTGATTTCGGGCCGCCAAACCAATCATTTTTGGGCGACATCACTCAAGGTTTCGTGGGACAACTTGACAAGAAAATCTTACAGAACATAAAGGAAACAAGGTTCCAGTCAAATCATTCTAAAGAGGGGGCTCTTTTGGTCTTGTTCTCTTTGATTGGTGAGCTCAATCTGCCTTCATAAGATCATATGCATTCGTAATTGAGAATTCGCACCACAAGTTGAGCGTTACCTTGAGGGCTACAACCCTTGAAGACAACAATGCTCGGTATGAAATAGTTGACGACGGTTATTTCCCATCAACTTCCTTTACTACAAATGAGCTGTTTTGGTTGTATTTATGCATTGGCGGACTGTTCGTAACACTATACCGCGAATAAAAGTGTATTGGTGTGCACAAATCGAATTCCAAATGCAAATGTGCTGAGAATCAGGATTGGCAAGATCTGGTAACGGAAAGGGCCTGGTTTTCATGAAGGGTAGATAACTGAACCAAGTAAGCGGCAAGCGCTCCTACAAATGTTGATACATAGTTTCTGGTCAACCCTCACATAAGTCTTTCTCGTACTTTCCTCTTTATTGTGGTAGACCAGATCCACAAGCCTTTCTTCCTAGCACAGTAAAAAAAGATGCACCATTGGTTCCAAAGCGGGAGAAACATATCTTAATCGCGTAACGTTGAGTCTCGTCAATGCAGTGCAAGCATATTTTTTCGGATTGCAAGTGCTGTCAACTTCGCAAATGACATAAGGGGTCGTGCTTTGGATCTGTTTCAAATTACAATAGTTAATGGTAATATTATTTGATGGGTATATGTTATTAAATAAAATAGTTCTGGGAAATATATGTGAACTCTCAAGATCGTCTGCTGCTTGACAACGAAGGGTTTCGACTGGTCTCCTCCACGATGACCTGCTTTGGATGTCCGGTATGAGAAGTCAGGGGCATCTCGTCTCCACTCTCAACACCCTCCCCGAATGGGTTCCTCTTAGGCTTGTGGTTGGTCTCAACCGTGACCTCAAACTCCGTTCGGCGGTGGATACCAGGTCCACCATTATTTCGGTGCGCGGCTCCAGGCAGGTCATCATCGGAGTCTCCGGCGACGACCCTGGATCGGTGTGTCAACTGCACGTTGTTTCCCTGCGTCCATGGGGCGTCGTTCGTTCGTTGGTTGCTGTGGCCGTGGCCTGATTGGGACATTGAGGGGTAGTAGTCATCGGCGTTCTCACCCTTTGCGAGACGTGTGATGAGCTTGGCCATGGACATTTCGATGTTGAGCTTGACCATGTATGCGACAGGGTGAAACTGGACGTAGACAACTTGGTTGGGAAGCGACATGAGGCCAATCAGCATGCCCTAGCATAAGAGTTAGTAATCGGGGACTTGGTAATGGGTATCGCGGTGTACTCACATCCATAAGAACGGAAACAACCATAAGCTTGGCGTTGAAGCCGACCAGAGGCTTGTACTTGGTCAACTGGTGCTGTTCGACCAGTCGCTTCTTGACAGTTCGGAGAAAGTACCAGTTGAGACCTGCATCGACCACGAGGATGATGACCTTGGAAAGACGGTCCCAGACTTCATTGATACGGACGAATCTGCACTAGTTAGTGTCTGTTCAGGCCTTGACGGAGGAAGCTGGCAACTTACGTGTCATTGACAGGGGGAACAGTATGGGATGGAATCCATATAACAAAGACGGCAACGTTCACGAGAGTGATGAGAATGGCCGTACCCCATTTTATCTTGAAGATTGTAGATCGGTGTTCGGCGATGATAGAAATTCGGTTGACGATAATCTGCATAAGTAGTTGGACCTGGAAAACCCAGAAGAACAGAATGAAGAAGAGAACCGGGACACTGAACGAGGTTAGTCAAGCCGAGGTAACAATCATGACAGAATATCTTACGTCGGCCCGATAATTCCATCCAAGAACACCCATCCGATGACAGTGATGATTAAGTTGGCCGCGATTTCTCCCCAGAGCATGTAGATGTAAGTACTTCGCAGGGGATTTCGGTTCCGTCGAGTCTGCTTCCAGGCCTCCCAGACCGTCAGCAGACCGAAGCCGAGGGTGAAGCCCATGGCTATGGAGGCGAGCTTGATGTCGCTCGTGGTGGCCGACATTTCGGATGATGTGATGCACTACGCTGTAAGGTACGAAAAAGAAGGAAAAAAGAAAAGAGATCGACGACTAGAGAGAAGGGAAGCAAGGTAAGGGGATGGAGCCCGGATCTGGGGTCGGCAGAGTTTATTTATGTATGACCTGCGTGAACCAACTCAACATCTATCTAACGTTAGTCGACCACCTCTATTCCTTCTAGCGAAATCATGGAGCCACGATCAAGAAAATAGGTCCACCTGGCGTTAAAATTGGAATGTGTCAGTGCCACGGGGAGAGGGACCAAAAACGGTCTGGCATATGGTGGCGAGACTAGCATTTGTGGTTTTAGCCACGCTGCCCAGACGAATGAGCGTCTACGCTTTGACACATTGGAGTCTTGGATATGTCTGATCTGGTGAGGATATAATGCTTGGCGACGGCCGGCGTCTGTAGTCGAGTAATAGTTTTCATGAACAAGCGCAAGGAACCCCCTGCTCCATGTGCCGGAATGCTACTGTAGATTGTACAAGGTATGATCGCGCACGCGATGCATAATCTTCAAGGGAGACCGTTGCATTCAGATAGCGGGGTATCCGCTGTATCAGCAAGCGAGTATCCGTACAGTATTGGAGCATCCTTTTTCATCCGACCTTTGTGTCTCAATCTGCACGGAGACGTGATTCTCTCCCACCTCCTCGAATCTCGGATCGCCGAGTGGCTCCTCTTCTGGGTATTAGGGGGAGGGGGAGGGGGCCGGTTACCGCTAGAACGAACGCCACAGGAGACTGGCGTGTGTTAAATGTCGGTACCTGGGAATCCTTTCAGATCGAATTCCGCAGCCACTTAGGTACTATCCCGCATCTGTCAAGGGGAGCCAAGCCACCGGGAGGACTTTGCCTTCGGAATGCGCCGACGCAAACTGTTGAGTTATTAGGCAAAATGCAAAATTGCAGCACCCATTCGTTGCCCAGGTTTTACCTTTCGACTAACTTACCTACCTACCCAATGTTAGCTTGGAGTCGTTTCATCTATGAACTATTCCGCACTTGTCCTTTTGCTCTAATCGAAGCAGATTCAGACTGAATAATCAGGATCCGCTACGCTGCAACGGGGACCCTCCGGAAATAATCGCTTCGTTATGACGATCGCATTGCGCCGAGACGTCGTATTCCCACGCGATCTTTTTAGTTTGGCCGAGTTTCGGGTCAAAACCTCCTATGTTGTTAAATCCGCGGATATAGCCTCGGATATTTCTGCACAGACCAATCACTCATGATACAGGATCATGGTGGCGGCTCGGGGAGATCAGCAGGTGCAGGTCAAAGAGCGAACACGACTCAATTGAGTTGGTTAGACTAGTCTCTTTTTTCTCTGCGCGACACTGAAAGAATAAACGTTGGGGATTTGAGAGTCAGCAACAGAATGATCGACCGGGCAATACTAGTCATTAGTCCAGGGTCACGGACGAAATGGGGCCAACTGCCAACCTTGTTGATCCATCACCACGTGGACTATGTCAATGCTCAAAGTGGGTTCGTAAAGCGATGGCATTTATTACCCCTGAGCCCTGCCTGTCACTCGGTTATCATTTTCCCAATCTTTTTAGCGGAGCCTGAAACTTGAGTTGTCAAGGGCGTTGGGTGTGATTCAGATCGTCATATTGCAAGTGAACGACAAGGGACGAATATAAAACCAAAATTGATCCTGCTATAAAAGGCTAGGTTTCTGCATAATGACACAATTGCGTCGTTTGAGGCAAGGACGTCGTAGTTAAATGGTAGCCAAGAATACCAACCACCGTTAATGCTGTTTCGTTTCCCACAAGTCTCATAATATCAAGCACTCATTTCATCAGACTCCCATCTTGGCACTTCGTAGCGATTGTTCATCTTGGCCGTATCTAAGATAGGTGATGATTGGCTATTTCTCCGCCTTCACCAAGTTGTATGTGTATTCGATATCCTTGGCCATATCGTGCGTACAGACCACGAACATGTTACACTTCCGGTCTAACGCCGCCCTATGGTTTCGCAACAAGCCGGGTATAAGATTACGCCAGGTATACGCTGTCTTCGAAGGCGATGTTGACAAAGTCTTGTGATACCCAAGAATAATCTTGTCATAACGGGAGAGTAGTGACACGAGCACTTCGAAAGCAAAGTGTTCAATTTGTCGCTGCAGAATCAACCATCTTTGAACAACCAAGCGTACGAGTGTGTGCATCACATATCTCCCATTTTCTCCAATTGAGATCAGAGAGAAGGCCTTGAGAACCCCCAAGGCTTTGGCTCGCTCTAGAGGTCCTTTGGAGCCGTGATGATGTTCCATGTATTCATCAATTATGTCATTCTGAAATGTAACCCCGCTATATATACTTAACAAGGACAAGACCTCGCCAGCCAGCGGATTTTGCTGTTGTATTTGACGAAGCGATAGCCTCCATGTCTTGGCCACAGCACCGAATGATTCGGGGTCCCTTCCGTTGGCTTCGAAATCCTCATCAAGCAGCTCGACCAGAGTGTGGTCGTTGGCGAGGTAAACAAGGTATTCTTCGACAAGTATGCTATTTTCCTGTATGAAAGCCAAAGCTTGTGCGAGTGCGAGAGGATGGTGTTCAAGTCGATCAGCCACTTTTAATACACTGAAAACTTCAAATGCACTGTTCTTCAGTGTCGTAGTTAGAAGTTTGCGGGACTCTTTGCCAGTCATTCGATTCACTTGAAGGAAGTATTGCCCCTTTGTCATTTTGACCGCTACCTGCTTGTTCCTTGTTGTGATAAGAAGGTTCCCAAGGGTACACAGGGGAATATATTGATTGAGATAATCATCGCCATAGAAAGTTTGGATGTCGTCAGTGTTATCGATGATCATAAGCCAGGGTCTTCGATATTTGGTCTGTAACCAGTCCTTAACCAGCGCCAAGATATTTGTTCCGGGATCTTCATGGTGCGGTATCTGGCACAATTTTGCTAATGCAGCGTAGGACTGTCGTAACCGATCGGCAGTACTTGCATGAACCCAAAACACCGCTAAATCTGGGTATCTTGCGCGCACCCAGTATGCGTACTTCAAGGCGATCTGTGTTTTCCTGCAGCAGTCAGTACGACACAGTTGGCTGTAACATATTGCATACCCTATTCCACCGAGTCCATAAAGTGCAACAACATTCGGAGAGTTTCGAGGGTCTAGCTCTCGTTGAACAGCCTCAAGAATGCTCTCTCGCCCGATAAAGTGCTTGTTTTCTGGGTACGGAACTAGAACTGATGTCAAATGTGATTTAGATGAGCGCATCTCAAGTTTGAGTCTTGAACATACAAATAGGAGCCTGCTTTTGCAATGATAGATCTGCATAATGTTGTTAGCCATGATTGATGCTAAGGTCAACGAAGGTGCTTCATGCCGGTAGGGGACGATGTAGTCCAGTAATGCAACACATCCTTGGTACATGCAGCAGCAGTCGCTGCAGCGTAGGTTTGTACTGTTTTGGTCTTCTGGCTGTCCGCATAATCACAAGCGCCTTTGACGACGAGGCAGGGGAGAATATCCCAGACTCCTGCACTCTCCATCTCAAAGGCTATGGTTCCAAGTTTCCGAGAGATAGCATCACGGTGCTTCCCAGACTTCACAACTTTGTCGCCGGATGCTATCTTTCTGAAATGAACTTTGGGTTGGGGTGAGTCCTGAGAAAGACGCACACGCCGTACCAGCTGACCATTGCATCCACACTCACCGCATGATTTCTCCCTGTCGGTATGATCCCAGGAGGCTTGAAACAGTCGGTCATGTTCACTTCCAGGATATTCTGCGCTCAATTCGCGCTTTTGTTGCAAAGTGGTAAGATAGGCTGCGATGTTGGATTCGAGAGCACTTCGAACGTGCAAGCTTTTCAGCTTGGAGAGTAGTGTACGAATCTCGATGTTAGGTCTCGCAAGGACTGCCTCGAGGTTGTTTTTGTACTCGAAATGGTCCGTACATTGACTTCCTAGGTCATACTGAATGACATTTTGACTCACAATCACATCGCCGAGTATTATCTCCTGGTGCTCGTTGCCACGATTGGAAACAAATGGGATAACTCCGCAGACACCAACGACAATGGCGAGTTTGATAGAGGGAAAGCTGATGTGGCAGTTAACCGCAGCTACTGATGCGTTCACCTTCCCTGCTTCTGGCATATACACGAGAACGACGTTGTGATGACCGATTCGTCCGGTCGAGTAGGCGTTGGGATCCCCGGGGCTTTGTTGTAGATGTTGCAGTCCCAACGCTCGTCGAAAAGAGCTTCAATGGGATCAGCTTCGAGAGTAAGGGCACAAATGATAGCGACATGGAAGTCCGCACGCGACATTGGTCGATTTAGTGTTGCGGTATTGCTGGACATGGCGGTAGCAAACGGAGGGCTGATGGAAACGCCAGGAATATCAGCGTAGGGGCAAGATTGACATTATTCAGGCGTAATGAAGTAGTAAACTGATATTACGAGCGGTGAAGGATTGATTGCTGTTAAGGTGAGCCCGCCTCGTCCTGACCAACAGCCTGGTTGCCTGCTTTCACACGTGACCACCCTGGCGAACCACCAACGACAACACTCAGGCTACGTAGTAGACACTTCAAACAGGCTGATACTGCGAATCTAGGATCCACATTCCAGTTCAGTATTTGAACTGGCAATCCTACTGGTAGACAATGAGCCAAACTGCCCCGATCAAATTACTTCGACTTCTTTGCCTGCACTAGAAGTCGGCCAATAATGACTTGTTGAAGCCGAAGAGCGCTGAAAGCTTGTTTCCTTCAACGAGTGTCGGCTCTCTGAGAATTAGTCGAGTGAGCTTGATCTCGGGGAGCAGAGTTGGTAAGAAGGGCTTCATATCTCTTTATTTCTAATATATAAAATTATAGTAGGACTTCGTACATCATAAGCTGTCTCATGATCGGACTTTTTGCACAGAACTGTGACCAGGCACTTAGGGCCATCAATGAGCCTGAATTGAAAGATCTGGAGTACCATAAACTCATATACACTCCAAGAGAATGGCAACGATGGTAGAACCTATCTTAGGCAATTTCTGAGCTGATACCGGCTTGAAACAGACTATGCCCTACTGGCGGATTGCTTCCATGGACTATCCCAGACATTGGCTGTTTACACAGATAGTATACGTCTCTAACGAAAACATTTATGATTAGCTGAGATCCCAGCTAAGATAATTCCACTCTTGAACCCTGAACTAGCTTTGACCAAAACAAATCACGAACCTAGGGTCGGACTCTCGAGATCACGCGCGACTGTGCAGGAACCTTAATATGCACACTTTCCCAGAACACCTTACATAACATTGCCTCATTTTCCGCAATGGCTCATACCAATATCACCTTTGAAGGTTCTTACAAAATATTGGCCTCTTGAACCTGTCGCAACTTGTCCTCCGTCCATTCGTCGATATCCTTGTCGCCCAGAACCTCTTCCAAGAAATCCACAAGCTTGGGACCCATCTGGATAAGGCGGTTCAGGATGGTGAGAGTTCGCTGGTTCTTCTTCTCCAACTCCTCGGTCTCGCACAAATCGTAGATCTTGCTCAGCAGAGGCGCGGCCTGTGCTTCAGCCAATTGTAGCTTATTGCAAATGTCGGCGAGGCACTTCTTCTTGGCGTCCAAGTTGGCCGCAGCCGCTTGCTTCTGGAGCTGAGCCTCGCTGTTGCGGCTGTTGGAGGACACAATGCCGAGCAGGGCGTCGTCGGAAATTACAGAGGGGTGATTGGCGCTGATGCGGCGGACCTGCTCGAGAACTTCGTCTTCAGCTGCGCAGAGTGCGGTGGCTCGCTGGAGGGCCTTTTGTGCACTAGAGGCATCGGAAACAGCCTTCTCCTTTGCTGCATTGTTCATATGATGACTCTCGAGGAGTTCCTTGCGTTGTTGTCTGGCAGTGTCGATATCGCCTCGAGATCGGTGGATAGTGGCCTGAGACTTATCTACCTGTTCCTTGAGGTAGGCAGAGTAGGCGGCCTGAGCATCCTCGAAGGACTTGAACTGAATCAACATGTCATTAGTTGCCACCAAAGGTTAATATAGCTAGATGTACTCACAGTCACGTCGACGAAAGGCGACTCTCCTACAGATGGGTTGTCGCGAACCGAAGCCGAAGATTCGATGTGTGCAAGCTCATCGTTGTTCGAGATAGATGTCTGACTTTGCTGACCCGGTAGCTCGCCCGCAGGTTTGTCGGATTCATCACCCTGAACCGAGATACAATCTCCTACCACCTTTAGCTGCTCTTGGCCTTTCGGAGACTTGAAACTGAAGTACATCATGAGTCTTTTCTTGGCGATATGAGTTGACGAAGTGACTTGAACTTCATTGCCGTTCTTAGCTCCTTCTTCGTCGTCGCTGAGGTTGATGATCTCGTGCGTGCGCTTACGCTGATAAGCTGCTGTAGTGATCATGTCAGTATCATACTATACTTAGCAAGGTATCAATCGACTTACTTTGAGAACGAGTAATTCGTCGGCTAACCTCAGCGTTACTATCGTCCTCTGGCTCGATCTTAACAGGTAGAGAACGAAACTCTTCGGATTCCGGGTTTTTGCTCTGAGGTGGCTCTTCTCCAGCCATACGCTTGTCTTGCAACCATTTGGTGGCTTGGGCGACTACTGACCTGCTTAGAGTGCATTTGTATTGCGAAATGGGATGAAATGCGGATTGATCAAACATGAATGTCAAGACATCTTGTAGTCCGACGCCTGGGGTACTAGGCAAATCAACCTTTAGCAGCCGGGTGAAGTCCGAAAGCAAATTTTGGCCCCAGTGGTTTGGCTCAAAGGCTTCGACGAGCTCCCAGGGCCATTCCCCGATACTCTGATGGAAGCGACGAAACAGAAGCTGAGTGGGCTTTGGGGTCGCATCGTATGGTGCTGGAATTGGGGGTGTGGCAGACATGTTTGGTGGTGAGACAGAAAATTGAATGGGGGAGACTGTGTGAGAAGGAACAGTAGGGTTAAAATCGTCAAAGAGTTGTGGGCAATTGCTGCTAAAGGCACTAAAGAAGGTAAGGCCAGAAACTCAGAGGCCAGATATGAAATGAGAAGTGAGAAGTAAAATGTAAGGAGTGGAAACTGAGAAGTGAGAAGTGAGGAGTGATAAACACAAAAGCTCCAGACGCGTTGAGGTCAAGACGCTAGCATGAGCGTGTTCAATAGTTGAGACGAAAATCGTGACTGGTGCCTGCCACCTGACTGTAGACGGAACAGCACTTACCTCGCTATCAAGCCCGTAGCTCACCCGGTGCCTAAGGTTAAGGAAAACGACACGGGTCACTGCATGTTAGTGCTCTGGCAGTGCTGGCTTACATAGTGCATCTCGCCTCAGGTCATAATTAAAGATACAGGTAGTCCGACGACAGGTTTCTATTATGGATAGGAGGTATATCAGGGAGTGTTTAACTTATTCTCCTCGATTAGATCATCTTCCAAGGATGACACGATCTAGTCAAGTAGTTCTTTTCCATTGTGTGTAATACGCGCTTTTGTTGCCTCAGCTGTTGTGTTACCATCTGTGCCTACAATGTTTGTCTACTTCAAACATCTACCAAGCCTGTTTTTTATATGCCAACACATGGTTCTGATGGTCAAAGTCACAAAGTTCTACTGTTTCCCATTCTTTCTTCTTCTCAGAAAAACTATTATCATTGCATCTCGTTACTCAAATCCCTCCCATCTGCACCTTTTCCCTGTCTTTACTATCGAGGTTTAGTGGCCCTCAATGCCTTGCAGTTCAATGTCGCAAAATTAGCTGTTCTACATGGCTGCGTCATATATAGCGTCTTTGTTACATAATGCTCATTTCTTGACTTCACTTTTGAAACGGACATTCTCAGGATAACTCCCACTAGAGCTTTCGACTCTGCGTGTTTGATCATCTTGGGCTAGGAGCTTTCTTCGTGAGTTCCCTCCTAGCTTTATCTAAAGACGGTATGAGTTTACACTAACAGATAAAGATTCCAGATTATAATTACTGAGTTACTAATGCACTGAACGCGATTCATTCATCAAACCGAAGTCCAGAAAGCGACATGTCACCATGAATTAACAAACTCGAATGGATTTTGCAAGTTTGTCAATTCCCTATTTTCACGACACTCGAGGGTGGCCTTGCCATCACAACCTCAAGAAGTTAGATTCTCGGTCAACTTGATGCAGTGGTCCATTTGCAACGCAAAAGTCATCGTACAGTGACACAAAACAACTCATATTTCAGCCAAGCGAAACTGATTATCACAATCCACATGTATCGTTTCCTAAAAGACAGGTAGTGCATGGCCATTGTCAGATTTGAGCCCGAAGCCGCAGACCTCACGACTTGTTAGGTGTATTCCAAGTTCCTAGATCTAATATTTACCTGATATAGATGGAAAAGCGTCCATATTCTGCAAGGATATAGCTTGCATGCTGAGATTACCTTAGTTTGCTACAAGAACGAGAAGACTTGATTAGGCGTCTCTGTATTGAAAATCTAATAGTCTGCATGTAACCTAATTTTGTGCTTGATGTATCAAAAATGGTTCTGATTTGACTTTCCCTGAATAATGATCCCACCTTATGGAAGTAATTTTGATCTGCCATGACTTGAATGGCTAAACACTAAATTAAATCACAACAATATCGTCTTCCGAGTAGAGAAACAACGACTTGACAACGACAAATTAAAGCTGTTGTGCATATCGGTGCCATTAACAGGCTATCCCTTCTGAAGCAGAAAGATATCACTTCATGTCGAGTCTAGTGGATGCTAAAACTTTAAAGACTTCTCTAATTCTACCATTATTTAGAGACACATATCATCATCGCCAAGACAGGCATATTGCTGTCGCGTGTGTTTTCTAGTCGTCAAAGATTGCCAAGACACAGTCCGGAGTTTATGCACCGGAACCGACTTGAGAAAATGGCATTACGTATGACACCCATAGTGACGGATTGCCTACGTCATTTAACATCAATGTCTGGATGCACATTAATCTGGGGCTCCATGGGTCACCGAGGTAATAATAGAGCCTCATTTTATGGGTATTCGAAACATCGACGATCAGATGCAGATTCTCCAAACCAGATTTATTTATGGAGTTGCGGGGAATGATCCCCAAGAGATCGACCGTGGGGAAGCAGGATGGGACAGTCTGGGAAGACAATTGAGATTGGCACATCAACAAAGGAGACGGCGACGATGTGATCATAAAGTTGTTCATTAATTAAAAGTAATTATCAAGGAAAGCCGGTACGCCATTATCCAGCCCAACCCAGCCCATCCCAATGCTGCGTCTATGCGCCAATGCTTTTTACCATGTCCGGGAATCTTCTATATGCTACATGCTTGTCTTGAAACCAAATCCACAAACGCTCAAAGCTTACTCGTCGCGAGACTTACTGTACGAGCCAGTGCTGCCGAGACCGTTCAGGTCAACTTCGAGGCCACCGACACGCTTAGGGCGGGTTGGCTGCTCAGTGCCGCGGACGAGCATCTTCTCCTCCTTGGAGGCCTGGACAGGTGCAGAGGTCTTCTGCTCGAGACCCATGGAGGCGAGGAAGGCAACGGCGTCGGCCTTCTCCTGCTGCTTGCGGGCGGAGTTCCATTGTAGTTCGGTGGCAGCAATGTCGAGAACGCGGGGGAGAGCCTCAAGGGCCTTGGAGGAGTCAAGGAAGGAGATACGGGTACGGCGGGCGATGATGTCGGCGACGGTGCAGGCGGCTTCGGAGCGGATGCCGTGAGTGACCTCAGCCTCGATGAAGGGCATGGAGGAAACGAGACGGGTGTTGAGAGAGGGAGAGATGGAGAGAAGGGTCCAGGCGCGATCACCGTAGTTGTGCGCAAGGTGGTCGGCGATATCGGCATCGATGGGGTATGCCTCCATCAATTGAGAGGCAAGAGAGGTGGAATATCCGTGGGCACCGATGAGGGGAACGTCGCGGGTGCAGCAGACGCCGTTGGTGGTGAAGCCAGCGGCGTTGGCACCGCTGATATCGGGGAGAGCGACGGCTTGGGGCTTGATGTCGAAGAGCTTGAGGGCCTGGTTGACGGTATCCTCAGCCATCTCTCGGTATGTGGTCCACTTTCCACCGGCGCAGGTGAGGAGGCCAGAGGGAGATGTTGTAATAAGGTGGCTTCGGACGAGGGATTCGGTGTTCTTCGCATTGGGGTTCTTGACGAGAGGTCGGATGCCTGAGAATTGTTAGTATGATGCTTGATTCGATTGAGCGTTGAGGTGTAACTTACCAGACCAAGCAGCCAAAACGTCCTGGCGCGACAGAGCAGAGTCGGGGTTCAAAAGCTTGCTGACCTCTTGGAGAATGAAGTCAACATCGTTCTGCTGTGCGACAGGTGCACGCTCGACTTCGCAGGGGTTGTCGGTGGTGCCGGCAAGAGTGTATCCCTGCCAGGGAAGAACAAAGATAACACGGCCGTCAGAGGTGGCAGCGTCAAGAAGGCCAAGACCGTTGGGGCAGATGCTCTTGGGGAGCATGATGTGCACGCCTGAGGCGGGGGCGACGATGGGCTTGCGAGAGGGATCGTCCATTTGGTGGATGGCGTCGGTGAAGGGACCGGTAGCGTTGACGACACCCTTGGCGCGGACCTTGAAGGGTGCAGCGTTGGCGGAGTCGCCGTTCTTGGAGGAGAGGACATCGCGGACTTCAGCGCCGATGATCTTGCCGTTGGCATCCTTGTCAAGACCTGTCACCTCAACGTGGTTGAGAATGGTAGCACCGTAGTGGGAAGCAGTAAGAGCGAGAGCGACGTTCATTCGGGAGTCGTTGTGCTGGCCATCGTAGTAAACCAGGGCACCAACCATGCTCTCCTTGCGCAGAAGAGGGAACGCCTCGAGAGCCTTGTTCTTGCTCATCCAGTACGAGCTCTCGAGACCCTGGGAGCCAGCGAGGAGATCGTAGGCCTTGGTGCCGGCCCAGAAGTAGGGCGCCTCCCACCATTTCTGGAGGGGCAGCAGAATGGGCAGCGAGCTGGACAGATGGGGCGCGATGTTGAGGAATGTCTTGCGCTCGCGGAGAGCCTCCATGACGAGCTGTAATTGACCGTAGTCGAGGTTCCATACGGCCTTTTCTAGGTATCGCACACCACCGTGTACAAGTTTCGTGCTCTTGGAGCTGGTGCCGGATGAGAAGTCATCGCGCTCGACGAGGGCGACCTTGAGGCCGCGGGTGATGGCATCAATAGCGATACCGGTTCCGGTAGCACCGCCGCCGATGACGAGCAGGTCGTATTCTGTGTCCTTGTCGGGCTGGGCGCTGCGTCGCAGCTCGGCGAGGGCCTCAGCGCGTGACTTTGTTGCGCTGAAGGTAGGAGGGACGATGCGTCCTGTGGAATCGCGCTTGATGGGAACGAGGGCCTTGTCGACGATGTGTGTTCTGTTGCGAGTGGCGTAGTAGCCTCCGCCGACGGCGACTGTTGTTGTGGCCGCTGCTGCGAGGAGCAGAGGGCGCTTGAGAGACCGTAATCTTTGCTGCATGTTTGTGTGGTTGTGCTTTTGGGGGGGGGATTGGTGGTAGATTTTTTGGCCTGGGGGCGCGGGGGACGGTGATTGCGCAGGGGGGGAGTTTGGAGAAAGCTGGAGAGTCTGGGGGAAAATAGAGATAGAGATCAAAGAGAAGAATTGGCCCGAGGGTTTATAAGAGGCAGAAGCTACACGACGATCGTGGAGAATGAAAGGAAATTTCCATAAATTAGCGGAGTTGATGGGTCTCTTAACCAGAGTCTGATATCATGGAGTCATTTCGACTTGTTTTTTTCTTTGGCGCATGGCACATGTTGCAGCTGTGGCATTTGGTAGGTTTGGGGGTCCCGGAAGCCAGAATTAGGCTATGCAGAGCATAATCCTCTTTCGCCTAGGACTGTTTCCCGCCCCTAACATGATCCATTTACCCTACCCCTAGAAGCAAGGCGACATCTGATCCGGAAGCTAACAAAGGAGGTGCTCAATAAATGTTGCGGGAGTGCGTCGCATGTCTTGATTAGGAAATCCGGGACATCCTGAGCCTCATCCAAGTTGCGCGGCGGGAATGCATCTCGGGGTGAGTTTGCCGAGCTGCGCTGACGTCGACAGGGAGACTTTACCCCAGTGTTTATGCAGCTCGGTGCGCAAAGCCCGAGTTCAACACCGAAAGTGACCGAAGATGGCTTAGCCGAGAGTGGAACATCGATAATCCGCTCATCTGAGGGGCTCCGGACCGGAGATCGATGCTGGGGGTTTAATCAGCTACCCCCACTCGGGGAGGGGAAACCCCGAGCTCTGGACTTTGGGGTTTCCGTGAAAAAGGTTCAAGAGGTCATGAGCCTCTGGTTAAAGTGAGCCATGCGGGAATTACGATATGCGTTTTGTTTGTCGAGAAATCAATGTCGGTATGCTATGTCTTTGAGCTAATTTATCCACTAATCATCGGGCAGAAAACGGTGGTGAAACGTTATGACTGGTGGATGTTTGTTGCACAGCGCTTGGGGTCAGACAACATTTACAAAGGCTACAATCAATGACAATTCCCCCAACACTGATGGCTCAGGCCAACTCATATTGATCATTTCATCTCAGATCTCACAGTAGACTCTTATTATTGTAACGAGTCTACTGACTTGACACAACGACAGAAATGGGAGGCCATAGACCTTCAATGGAGTATAGGGTTGGTGGCTGATATTGGGTGAGTCTTTTTACTAAACCACCACCACAGCAAGGCTTGATGCCAGAATGTCGGCACAAAGAACAATACTTTCCCCCGAACGTATACTGATGTTTGCAAAATACAGGAAAAACACACACTTTCCTTCCGAAGCTTATTCATGGTCACGATTTTGTACTAGAGCATCTTGAATAACAGCATGAGCTTCATCTCTACCTGTGAACTATATCGACCGACACTTCGACCATCCTCAACGAAAAGGACAATTAACATGACGGCCACTCTCTTATGAGAGATTATACATCTTTCCAGTGATTCATCCACGCTTTTCACGCTACCACTTGAGTCAAGTCTCACGACATCTACCATCGCAAATTTCAAACCTCACGAACCGTACCGAACACCCCATCGTCACCACGAAAACACACGTCAGTCTCATCGAATCTACACTGGAGAGCCTGTAGCACTGTATGTGTTTGACCATGTGGACCGACGAGGGCTCACGAGGCGACCGAAACCCATACCAGGCGTGTTGATGGGACTGGGTCCTGTGTAGATGAACACATCATAGAGGAAGCCACCGAAAGCACAGCCAAAGAAGGGAGCCACCATGGGGATCTGATTACACCAGTTAGTTCAGAGTTCAACATCAAAAACTTCAGCTTGGACTCACCCAGAAGTAGTAACCACCAGCAGACCAGACCTCGCTGCCGTATCCGATCATATACGAAACCAAACGAGGACCAAAGTCACGAGCCAGGTTAATGGCATAGCCAGTCTCCCATCCGAAGCACGCTCCGATTCCGAAAATCAAGAAGAACAGACCAAGCGGCATCAAAGGACCGGCACCGATGTTGTTGCTGTCGGCCATGGCGAAGATGACAAACTGCAGAATGGTGCTGGCAACAAATTCGGAGAAGAACATGCCGGTACGTGTCATGAACTCAGCAGGATATGTGCAGAAGACGCCGGCGGTTGCGTTCTCGCCAACAACGGTTCGGATACCAGGACCGCCTTCATATGCGTCGAAGGCAGATTTGTAGTTTCCGTACACGACAGCTGCGGCGGCCATGGCTCCGAGGATCTGGGCAATGGCATATATGGGAAACTTTCGCCATGGGTGACCTCTGAACAGACAATTTGCCAGTGTCACGGCTGGGTTCAAGTGACCACCAGATTTACCGCCAACATACACTCCAAGCATGACACCGAGGCTAAGTTCATGTCAGTTATGAATTCGATTACCGACGACGACGACGACTTACCCCCATCCCCATGAGATACTCTGGTAATCACCCTTTGTTCCTCGGCTGAGCACAACCTGGGCAACGACACCATCTCCAAAGAGAAGCAGGATGAAAGTGCCAAAGAACTCGGAGAAGGCATCTTGACAGTACTCCCTCACCCGGCTCCAGGCATACTGCTCAGGCGGGGGAGGGATCGTGGGCGCCTCGCTGGTAGCCTCACTATACTTCTCATGCTGGCTCATCTCGACTTTAGTGGGGATTGAAGACTTGTGAATAGAAGAACGACGGATAGAAGAATCAGAGATGGAGTCGTTCATGGTGGATATGGGCATCCTGTGGAGTTATGTTGATCTTTTGGCAGAAAGAAGATGAAGATGTTGACAGATGCAGGTGAAGATGTGGATTGGCGTCATCATATCCTGGAACTCTGGGGATCACGTTACAATTTATGGTCAGCAACGACAATGTGCATGAAGCAAGGTGCCTTTGCCCCTCAACCCATTCCGGCCAAGAGTCAAGAAGGTGTTTTTCGGCCTCGGGGATTCGACCAAGCAAACACTGGATGCAACGGACACCGAATCTGCGAACTCTCGACCTGGGCACCTCTCAAGCTCCCGGTGGCTTACCAGCATGCCGATCCGCCCTGCGTTAGGAAAGAGGCATTTTGGGCAACGGGGAGGGGAAGAACGAGGCCCCAGGTCTCAGGTCAGCGACTACTCCCGATGTAATCGAACCATGGACGGCCAAAGATGGGGAATATCGAAATCTGCTCAATCCATGACGGTCATGTGAAGCGCCAAACGACATGTGGCTCGGCGGCACACCACCGAAACAGCATGAGAGAAACGGCCGAAGAAAAAAGAAGACATGGTCAAAACTCAACGCCCGCCGTGGGATATCAATTACCGAAACATGCCTTTGTTCTGATCTGGTTGCTTACACCGGAGGCTGCGGGGGGGGACCGACGTTCGAGACTGATTGGTTTCTCCACAGCAGAGCAGAAGCAAAACAGAGCACGAACAAAAAAAGGGACACACCCCGGACTCTTTTGCCCATCCCCGCAAATCAGACAAAACGATTGACGAACCCCCAGGCCCATCCGCTTCCCCGAGCGTTGGCTTGGCCAGAAATTAAGGTATGGTCAAAGTTCAAGGGGGGGTTATACCGACCCGCATATATGCGCCGAGGATGATGGGGATGGGGATGTGCAAAGGCGGAGCAAGATAACATAGTCTAGAGAGCTTCTGGAACATGAACTACTTTTTTCCCGTGTCTGCGGGGAAAAAGGAAAAGTGAGAAAAAAACAGCTGCCCGGGCTAGTTGATCCTGACCCTGACACCAGAGACAAGAAAATGCAATCTAACCAACGCCACCCCTCACCAGATGTGTTTCGGTGGACAAACTTTCGCTTATGATATCCCGAGTGCTAGTGCTGCGTGCCGCACACGCTGTAATTCGGTGTCGCGCAGCCGAGGCTTACAGCTCGATGAGGAAAGTGACGTTGGTTGTGTTACAAGGGAGGTGTGTGTCTTCAATGTTTCTCGTGTGTGTGCCGGTCAAAACCCCAACCAACCACTGGAAGGATTCGTTCGAGCCTTTTGATCTCGTGCATGTGCGTGTCCCTCTTTTGCTGACAAGAACACCCAAGACCGAAACCAAGACCAACAACCCCGCAATGTGCCCAGGCGCAGGCTTGGGGAAATCGAAAACAGAACCAGTACCAACGCTACAAGGGGTCGGGAAAACGGTTCCCCGAGATACATCACCAGGCAAGACTCGACGACAGGTCTTGGATCTCGGTGTTTGCACCTGTTGACGACCGAGATGGGAAATACTTAAGGCCCAAGGAATTGCAGTCCGAGATGCGTTTCCTTCCTAGTCCCCAATCAAACTTTCCCAAATTTCCTCGTTTATCTTGTCAAGTTGCATCCGTCCTTTTGCCCCATCTGACACTGACACGTTTCCCCGCAAAAACAAGCACAAGCATAACCACCCGCCGCTTCTTTACCACAATGCCTCTCCTCAACGGCAAACCCAACCCTACCTTCATTGGTGCCATTGATCAGGGTACTACAAGTTCGCGCTTCCTGATTTTCGACACCAGTGGCGAGGTTGTTGCTACTCACCAGCTTGAGTTTAAGCAGTACTATCCTCATCCTGGGTAAGTTTTTGAATCCACAAATCTATACATGACCGTTGTTAACATTTTGGTTTAGATGGCATGAGCATGACCCTGAGGAGCTTGTGAGCTCGGTTGAGCAGTGCATTGACGGTGCTGTGGAGGCTTTTGAGAGCCAAGGTCACTCTCGCGAGCAGATCAAGGCTGTTGGCATCACAAACCAGCGAGAGACCACTGTCGTCTGGGACAAGACAACAGGAAACGCTCTGCACAACGCAATTGTCTGGACAGACACAAGATCGAAAGATCTTGTGCGTCGTCTCAAGCGTCGCCTTGGCGCTAGCGAGCTGATCGCGCGGTGCGGCATCCCGCTCTCCACATATCCATCTGTCAGCAAATTGCTCTGGCTGCTGGAGAACATCCCCGAGGTCAAGGATGCGTATGAGCGTGGAGTTCTCGCCTTTGGAACGGTGGACACTTGGCTGACGTACAAGCTCAACGGCGCAACTGAGCGCGATGTCTACGTGTCTGACCCTTCCAATGCGTCGCGAACCATGTTTATGAATCTTGAGACGCTCAAGTATGACGAGGACATCCTCGACTGGTTCCGTGTCGATGACACAAAGGTTACGCTGCCAAGAATCGTGCGGTCTTCTGATAACAAGGCCTATGGATCGCTTGCATCGACATCTCTGAAAGGCGTCAAGATCACCGGCTGTCTGGGCGACCAGTCCGCAGCACTTGTCGGACAAAAGGCATTCACCCCCGGTCTCGCCAAGAACACATACGGCACCGGCTGCTTCCTGCTCTACAACGTGGGCAAGAAGCCCGTCATTTCGTCCCACGGACTGCTCACCACTGTCGCCTTCGACTTTGGCGAGGACAACACCATGTACGCGCTGGAGGGCAGCATTGCCGTTGCCGGCTCCAGCGTCAAGTTCCTCGTGGACAACTTTGGCTTCATGGATTCGTCGTCCAAGCTCAGCGCGCTTGCCGAGACGGTGGAGGACAACGGTGGGTGCACCTTCGTGACGGCCTTCAGCGGCCTGTTTGCGCCGTACTGGATTGACGATGCGCGAGGCACAATCTTTGGTATCACTGCGTACACGCAGCGCGGTCACGTGGCGAGAGCCACTCTCGAGGCGACATGTTTCCAGACCAAGGCCATTCTCGACTCCATGGAGAAGGACAGCGGACATGCGCTGACAGAGCTGGCTGTCGACGGTGGCATGTGCAACTCGGATCTCATCATGCAGGTACGTAAGACATATCAGTGTTTTTCTTTTTTTCTTCTTTTTTTCTTTGCATTTCCCACCCCCCCGTCTTATGCGGTTGGCTCTTTTACGAAAAGGAAATCAGCAACACATGGCTAACCCTGTCTTAGACCCAGTCTGACCTTGTTGGAATCCCGGTAAACCGACCAGGCATGCGCGAAACGACAGCCCTAGGCGCAGCAATCGCAGCCGGGTTCGCCATTGGAGTCTGGAAGAGCTTCGACGAGCTCAAGGACGTGAACACGCAGGGCCGCACCATCTTCAAGCCGCAGATTGCCGAGGAGGAAGCCACCAAGCGGTTCAGTCGCTGGACCAAAGCCGTTGAGATGTCCAAGGGCTGGACCAACGAGTAGACGGGGGGCGTCACGGAAACCAGAAGGAGGCAAGGCAAAGGGCGAAATTGATGTTTGCGTGTTTTCTTAGTTAATTGTGTATGTATGTACTAGTATACCTTTAGTTACCCCCTTGAGTTCGTATGCAGGGATGTCCTCTTTTTTTATTCTGCTGCCTGATCTTCGTAGTACAAACACAAACATGCAGCTTTAAATACCGAGCTTGGCTGCTTTGAGCCATCCTCGGCTTTGGCCATCGTACCATGGGGCGGCTCCGCAGCGTTATTTCCGGATTGAGGGGGCGCTGCTAGATATCAATGGTCTCTATGTAAGCGGCAGCTTACTTTATTTACATGGCATTATCGTAAGATGGAATAGCCATTGAATAATACTCTATTAGCGTCGCTGAAGAGCAATCAAGACCTTCCTAATATGCTCTAAGTTTATAAAATTTCATTCATGTTTTCTGCTAATCTAGACCTCGTGATGAAGCCAGACAGTCAAAGCTCAATTTTATGGATAGATTTCCATTCCTAGCAGCATAGACCACCTTGAACTACATCCTTAGTGTGTTAGAAGCCGTCACACCAACGCCACCCATGGCTGAGAACTCTCTGTTTCGGTTGGTCCCGTTTCTACTAGACAAGACCATCTTCTCTAAGCCCCTTCAAGGATCTTTTCTGGGCAATGAGGCCGGATGATCCGGGGAACAAACTCCCCACATACCGGGTGTGCCGCCGCTTGTCACATGTGTAACACAGATGCAGCGTTAACCACAGAGAGAAGGTCCAAGGGCCAATTGATGTTATGCAGGCATGGCATTGCCCCGTATGAGGGGTCGACGTTAGATCAATCCCTCAACACGACTTGGCTTTTGGCTAGACAGGGGTCTGCTTATGTGGAGGCTGTAACGTTCGGGACTGTTTCTGGTACCGGTATGGCTTGAGCCTTGGTAGTGGCAGGATTTTCATATCAACGGCTTAGATGGTCGGCAGGTGTTGGCTTTATTGTGTTGTAGTCGTATTTTGACGATAGAAGAGGTTGCAACGGATGGTGCTAATAGGCTTGGCTTCGACCGCTGCTATTGGCGCGCTCCTGTAATATCTTAGCAAATCCTTTCCATTCTAGTTCCACCTTCTCCACACACTCCAATTCTCTCACTTTTTTCCCTCCCTCGCAGTCAAACCCCGAGAGCTCGGCCTTACTCTGAACCACACCCGTCGCGTCGCATCGCATCGCATCACATCTCATCATACCAAGCAAAGACCAACCGTCTGTTTCCCGACTCCGCTAAAGGAACAGATGCTGCAAGGTTTCTCTGCTCATGTTTCCCCAGTAGCTTGTTTCCCCAGACTCTGAGGGACCGCTTCTTTTTCCCACTCGAATGTGGAGAGAGCTACATACACACACACACTGAGCGACGATCGACAATGACGTCCGTCAGCGGACCCTCAATGGCTGAGGAGACCAATTCAACTCTGAGCAACGACGATGGCTCCAGCGACGATGAGTCCAGAATGAATAGTGCGATTCCGTCCAAGAAGCGGAGGAGGGAGAAACATCAAAAGATATCGTATGTTTTTTTCATGCTCCTTTAAATATGTCAGAGGACCTTTTCTGAAGGATGTATCATAGGTGTGAAATGTGCAAGACTCGCAAGGTAAAATGCGATCGCGCTGAGCCTGCGTGTTCGTGGTGTGCTCGTCACAACCGCTCGTGTGTATATCTGGAGCGTCAAAAACCAGGAGCCGGACGTAATGGCTTCAGCATCGAGCTTGAGGCCAAGGTGAACAGGATTGATGCTCTGTTGCAAGCGTTGGGCCGCCGGGTGGAAGAGCATATCGTGCAAGACCACTCTGCTGTTGAAACACGAGATATCTCGCCTCCAACTGTCAATGGGTACAGTTCTACGCAAGTCGAAAGCAGACCTACACCGGCAGCAACTCTTCCAAGACAATCATCTTTCTCACAAGTCAGATCGCCGGGTATCTCAAGTCCCTGGAACGCCGCCAATTACCAGAACCAGAACAATGCTCAATCTTCTGTGCAAACTCCACAGCAGAGCATCAGTACGGCAACACCTACCCAGTCGAGCAATGCTCCAAATCCAAATAACGCCAGAAGAGATCCGTCATTCCAGTCATACACGATTGATTTGCCTCCACACGACATCATCTACAGTCTTGTAGACCTCTACTTCAAACATTGCAACACATGGTGTCCTATCCTTGAGAGGAAGACCATATTTGCTACCTTCTTTGGCTCAACCTCAATGGAAGAAGCTGACCGGATACTGCTTTACGCTATTGTGGCCACCACGCTGCGTTTCCTCAAGGATCCAAGATTATCCCCAGAGATTAGCACATATTATCACAGAGTGGCCAAACACACGGTTCAACTATACGCTATGGAACATACCACCGTTCCTGCATTGAAAGCTCTACTCATAATAACACTGGATGAACTAGGGACTTCTAACGGCCCGCGCGGTTGGAATCTTCTGTCTCTGTTGGCGCAGAACGTCAAACAACTTGGTCTGTGTGAGGAAAGCAGTGTCTTCTTATCTGCAGAAGAATCCGAGATGACACATACAGCCTCGTCTCATCGAGTAGCTGCTGCAAAACCCGAGTCTTGGATCGAAGATGAAGGACGGCGGCGGCTGTACTGGATGATTTATTCTCTCGACCGATACGCAACCATCGCCACCCCAACTTTTGACTTTATACTCAACGACACAAAGATAAATCGCTTCTTACCCTGTTCATACGACTTATTCTCAAAGAACGTACCCGTGGAGACACGCTCATTGAGTTCCTACAATAACCAGCAATGGCCAATAATGACATATCTGGTCAACAAGCCCGAGAATCTCGGCAGTTTCGCTTATCACTGCGAGATTCTTGTCATACTCAGCAGGATACATGAGTTTCTCAAAACGCCGGTTGATGTCACTTCATCCAGTGACATGGCTGAATGGCGGAACACATATCGAAATCTCGATAGAACACTCGATGGTTGGTTGCAGAGCCTGCCTAGCGAATACAGCAAGATATCTGCTCTCTGTCACTCTGACCCAGCGAGTCGCGTGGCAAACTGGTTCATGCTGCACAGCGCCTACGTCACGGCGGCAGTGAAGCTACACTCTTCAGCAGCGTATCCGACAGTGCGATCTCACATCTTTGTTCCCTCTCACTACGCCATGCAGCGGTGTTTGTCTGCGGCTCAAAGTCTGGGCGACATCACTCGCGATGTCCTCGAGGCAGACGGCCTAAACCTTCTTGGCCCTTCGTTTGCCTTCTCGCTTTGGGTTGCTGCAAGATTACTGCTGGTTCACGCCGCCACGGTTGGATGTCCGGTGGATTCACAGATTGACTTCTTCATTGACACTCTTCGGGACGTCGGGCAGCACTGGGAGGTGGCGAATAACTACTCCAAGATTCTACATCGTGTTGTGCAGAGAGCTCGACAAGGCGATATGAGCTTCTCGGCTATGAGAAGGTGAGTTCATGAGAGATCAACCGAGTAGTAGCTCAGCTAACAATGATTAGGAGTGCATACGATCTGGTGACGCTCACAGCTTCCGTGCGGCACTCGAGTCTAGAACCGACATCAACGCAGACTACTTCTTTGAGCGAACTAGACAACATAGACGTCTTTGAGTTCTTTAATTATCCTCGAGTCTCTGGAAACTCGGCCGGTCAATCGCAGCTACAGTTACAACCTATGCGTCCTCAAGCTCTAGGAGGGGAGTCGGCGAGGAGTAACGGCGTGCCTGATCCGGAGGCTGACTGGTTGGCTTTTGGGTCGCCTTTCAACTAGATACTTCGTAAATAACAGCGCATTTGCATCTGGAATGGGTTCTCTGGTGCCGCACAACACACTCGGTCATAAAATTTTGGAGTGGTCTTTGGGCTGTCACCTTGTGAAACGAGTTGTCTAGTTGAGCATTTGAATACACAAAAGGTGGAATAAGCTTACAGAACGTCGTGTTGTTGACGTCAAACGTGGCCCAGCCTTGGAATGCAACTTTGTGGTTATGGTCTGCGACAGGCAGGCCGGGTTATAGGTGATGAATCAGTATCTGTTGAAAACACACCCCCGATACAACAACTATTGAGTTCAGCCCGTTGTCGATCAGACATCTGAACTCAATCGGATTTTAACGGGCCCGGAGAATTCATTTCTGTCCCAAACTCTTTCTCAGCTATCGCAAGTGCCGGTGATGAGGACGATCACATTCCAACACAAGATTGTTTATGGAAACTGTTTCAGATCATAACATGGCAATCATTATCATTGAGTATCGTTCCCAAATCGTAAAGCTAACAATCCCCGACTCCGAACCCAGATTCTGTCCCCAAAAAAACGACAGACATTGAAGCAAAAACAAAGACAATAAACTCAAAGTCATAAACCTAGCTATCCCAGATCGCACCATAGGCTGGTATGCCACGCGTTTCCAGGCCATAAACTATCTTCTTCGTAATCTTCTCATTCGCAATAATGATGACAGCCTCAGCTTTGAAGCTTTTGACCAAGTTGTAGCCCATCTTCACCAAATCTGGTCTCCCGAGCTTCTTAGTATCGTGGATGACCGCGTTGGGGATGCGCTCGCTGATGGTCTGGCAAATCTCCTTGCCGAAAGTATCTTCGGGGTTTTTGGTCGACCAGATGAGCTGAGTTGGACAGCTGGGGTTTTGAATGTGGCCGAGCACAGGGCCAATGCCTGACCCGGTCGCAATGAGGACAACGCGGTTGAACAAGGTTGCGATGCGCATCACGCCACATGTTGGTACGCCTCTTGTCCAGATATGGGTAGGGCCACTCTGGATGGTGGACTTTGTCCAGTCTCCTGCGTTAGAAACGACGAGGGAATAGCCCTTGGACCGACCATTGACGTCTTGAGGAGCGGGGATGGTGGCGAAGGAGTGCCACTCTTTGAGAGGTTGATGTGATAGACGGGTAAAAGAACCATTGACAGGAACTGTGTAGTCGAAGTGAAGCCTGACAGCGTGATCTGAGAGTTTCTCAGCTTCCACAGGCACCTTGCGGAGGAAGCACCAGGAGGAGGCGACACTCGCTGTGGCTACAGCTAAAAGCCAGAAAGCGGGTGACTTGACACAGGATTCTCCCAAAGTGGTGCCGGAAGGTGCATTATCGTTGGCTGAAAGTACGACTTGGACCCAGAAGAGGGTGAGCATAGTCCAGCCAGCAAAGCGATGTGTCTTCTCAAAAGTGTCGTGGTAACGCTTGCGAACAGACGGCCAAGCAAGGCCGATCATGCCCACAAACATGGCTGAGAGAATCCACGAGATGACTTGAGAAGCAATGGACAAGTTGCCCCAGTTGGCACAGCTCCCATACATACAGGCAATGTCTGCAATATTGGTCGCCAAAAGCCATGCTCCTGCGCTGACAGCTGCACCGGAATGGATTCCGCCGAGATGGTAAATCTTGGCACAACGCGATCTGATAGCAAGGGGCCATGACTTGGGCACGCTGCATGTGATGGTGTACAGAGCGTTGATGACGAACTCTTGGCGAATAAGGACGGCAGTGGCCAAGTTGATGGCTGTGACAATACCCATCCACTCTCTGCTAATGCCAGTGAGTAGGAGAGCAATAGCAGCACCGATGTTGAAAAGGCCGACAAGGGAGAACAGACGGCGGTAGACGATGAGAAGTCGATGGCGCAGACCACGCGCATGCTTGGGAAGATCCTTCTCGGGGAGAGCTTTCTCAAGATCGTACTGGTGCTCATTGATAAGGGTAGTATCAGAAGCATCTGAGAAGGAACTGAGCTGCGTCGCACTAGAAGCAGTCGAGTCGTAGCGCACATGCGCAGGCTGAGGAGCGCGAACAAGGGCCTTCTCCTTGCCAGCGAGAGACACAGCCACTCTGAGTGCGTTCTTGTCGATCTTTCCGTTTGCAGTCATGGGCAGACTCTCAAGCTGATGGTAATGGGAAGGCATGGCGTAGTATGGCTGGAGAGTCTTGAGGTGGGCTTCCATGACCGGAACAGGGCAGTGACTGGGGGTCGCGAAGGCGTGGATCTCTTCGTCGATGAGAAGAGCGGTTGCTGACTGGACTGAGGGGCAGGATTTGATGCATGCGACTACGCCGTCGAGCTCGACGCGGAAACCTTTGATTTTGACTTGGTCGTCGATGCGGCCCATTATGTGTAGTGAGCCATCAGGGTTCCATTGGCAGAGGTCTCCGGTGTTGTACATATTTGATCTAGAAATGTCATTAGTTGAGGTACATTCAATGGAGTCTCTTGTGTTAACTTACCCGTCTTCCGCAAAAGGATCAGGCCTGAAGTTCTCAGCCGTCTTGGTAGGCAAGTTGACATATCCACGCGCCACACCGGCGCCACCAGCCCAAACATTGCCGACCTCGCCAACCGGCACAGGTACGAGGAACTCATCTAATATGTAAATGTTGTTTCCTGGCGTAGGCTTGCCAATGGAAAGTGGCTGGCCGGTTTGGTGCAGGTGTGTAGTGTTGACGATGGTTGTTTCGGTGGGACCATAACAGTTGAAATATGATACGTGAGACGCCCATAGGTCGGCCAATCTATATGTGGTTAGCAACGGATATGGTTGATAGTGATAGGGGAGGAGGCCTACTTTTGCCAACTTGGCTCGCCTGCTGTTGCGACTGTTCTGAGCCTTGGATAGTCTTCGGGGTTGTATTTTGAAAGGATGCTAGGGGTGCAAATCAGGACATCGAGCTGCAGAACCAGGTTAGTATAAGTTAGGGTGAGAAGACTGGATAAACTCACTTCTTTCAAGGCTTTTGGCCAGTAAGAACCCCGTAAGATTAAAGTACCGCCGTTGGAAAGGCAGCCGAGTGTTTCCCAAGCAGCTAAGTTAATCAGGTTAGCTGTGTCTTGGAAGTTATATGGATACAGAACTTACCCATATCGAAACTGACGTTCAATAACTGTCCAACACAAGTTCCCGGGCCAATGCCCAGGTTGCCTGGTGCTTGACATACGAGATTTGTGACATTGTGGTGGGTGACGTCTACTCCTTTTGGTGTGCCAGTTGTGCCTGGTTGTTGTTAGCTTGATACAGATGGTATTTGAGATATATGTCCACCAACCTGAAGTATATATCACGTAGCAGCCATCATCAGGATTGGTAAAAGGAGTGAAGTCTCCGAGTTTCTCTTGTGATAGCTCGTTCTCTTCTTGTACATCATCGATAGTAACGACATATGAAATATCCATATTTGAGAGACGTTGAGTCGTTGATGGTGAAGCCAAGACTACTCTCCTTCCAGTCTGCTCAACCACAAAGCGCAATGTCTCTTCTGCCACGACGCCTCCATCGAGAGGGATGTACTGCGCTCCGCACGACAAGATGGAGAGGATGCCAACCAACATGCCAACGCCTCGTTTGACAACAAGAGGCACACGGTGCCCTGGCATAACGCCTAGGCTTCGCAGCCGTTGCGCCAGTCGGATGCTACGTTGAGCAAGTTCGCCATAGCTTATCTCGACAGGCGGCTCGGCAGATAGATCTCGTGCCGCCAATGCCGAAGGCTGTGTGTTGGCATAGTGGAAGAAGGCTTCTGTGATGGTGGTGAAGCTGGGTCTACTGCACGTACCTCGTGTAAACGAGATCGGGACGGTAGTTCCCCGTGGGCAGAGATCTGACACGGGTGATGCCATCTGTGCTGGGGATGAGGCGTGTGAAAGATAAGATGAAGATCGTCGTTTGGAGGAATAGTGAAACTCAAATCATCAGCATCAGCATGGGAGAGAGGAGAGTGTGCTTGAATGATTTGAAATTAAAGGAGTGCATGAGAAACTGTCTCCCCCACCACAAGATGTCTGTTCTTAAATACAACAGCCGTCTCCGCTCGCAACACCTTCTGACCTGACCCAGCCTTCTCGTCATGCCTTGGCAGGATAAGATGTTCCAAGCTACGGTAGCTGCCCAACACTTCCTCAGCGAAAGTCGACCGTCAACCAGTCAGATGTGGCACTCAGAGGTGAACTTTTGGGCCTGCCCCCCCCCCCCCGCCGCCCGCCAGAACGCGTCTTTTTGTCTATATCGAGATACCTCCGCCTTTTGAAATCCGGATTTGACCCAAACACGGTGAAGAAAAGTGTGCTGGGTAGGCCAGGAAACAAACCCCCAAAGCTAGAGCATGCAAGTTATGACGCTTGAGCAGATAGCGTCAGGACTGCTTCAACCGAGGACAGCACATGACGAAACAGGATTGAGGAAATGGACGTGGTTCAATGGGGAAGTGTCGTCTGGGTCCGATGGTTCCCGGTTAGGTAGGTAGTAGCTTGAGGTGATACTGCGAGAAACCTCATTGCATCTTTCGCATTTGCTGTGGTTCTACCGTACCGTAGGTCCGCAGGCCCGCATATAGAGAAAGGATCTACCATTTAGTTTGGGGATTGGGGGGCATGCAGCATGGTTTGTGGGTTCCATGGCTGCGGAAACAAGGGTAGGTAGCCAAGACATCTGTAGCACGCGGGAGCTGCAGGATCTGACTTCGGCATGTGCAAAATCTGACACGAGCCGATAGCAGGGCCCGGAAGGGGACCGGCTATTATGATATGACAGATGAGCCTATTCAGGTCTGGCTTGGCTATTCGCCATTTGACTCGCCAATCCTATATTGACTACACTCTAGCAATAAGAGCAATTGGGCTCACTGAAAAATCAAAAACATCCACGGTCCTCGGAAAGAATCAATCAATCAAAAGTTTTACCCAACAGAGATCATCGCGCACTGGAGCTAACCATGCGAACGACTTGACACTCGGACCCAAAGCCAACAGAATGACAGACACCAAGATCGACATCAAAGACAATAAACCCTGTGATTTACACCAAAAACTGCCCGACACGGCAATGGAGTAAGTAATACCCCCCCAACCACCGCCTTTCAAAATGCCTCAGCCCAGCAACCGAGAAAGCTCTTGATACATTTGTTCTTTTTGCTTTTTTTGTCGGCTGCAGCATCTGTCTACCGGGGGATGCAGAAGTTTGAGACCTACTCAGCCGTGTCTCAGTTGAGATCGAAGACACCTTTCTGATTTCTCCACTAGGGCAGTTCAATAGTGATCGACGTGGCTAAAAAGTCGCGTTATTGACGTACCCGAACTATTTGACCCAACACAATCCGACAACGCAGCATCATCAACCGAGTCAATCTTTCCGAGTGCAGCACCTCCCAAACTCATTCCTCCCGCTCTAGGTTTCTATCAGTCTTCATCATGAGTGATTCATTGATTGTGGCTTCTACGCCTGTAGAGGGCGTACGCGTCCTCGCGTTAAACAGACCCTCCAAGCGCAACGCCCTCTCGCAGGAGCTGATTACCGTGTTCCTGGAACAGCTCAAGACGGCATCCAGGGACGATGGCGTGCGAGTCATTGTCATCACCGGCAGCTCGACCTTCTTCTGCGGTACGAAAGAAAAAACAAAAACCCACAATGGTTCCTCTCTTTCAGGGGCCCCCCGGCACTTGCAAACTCTAGCGGCAGGGCTAAGCTGACGGCGCAAACTAGCGGGAGCTGATATCGGGGAGATCTCGAAGCTCGATGCGGAATCTGCGCGGGGCTGTCGCTACCTGGCGGACCTTTGCACGGGGATGCGAGCCGTGCGCAAGCCGCTGATAGCTGCGGTTGAGGGAATGGCGGTGAGTTCTGCCTACGGGCCATTGGCCACACGTCAAAGCCATGAACATGATACTGACGATGCTTTGTCGTTGATTGATAATAGCTCGGTGGGGGCTTTGAACTTGCTCTCATGGTGAGGTTCCTCTCCGTTCGGAAGCTCCGTCGGTTGCTAATGCTGGTACAAAGTGTGATCTGATCTTCGCAGCGCACGACAGTCGCTTCGGCCTCCCAGAAGTCACGATTGGTCTCATCCCCGGCGCAGGCGGCACGCAGCGCCTGACCAACGCGGTGGGAAAGTTCAAGGTAGAAGACCCAGAAATGCCACGTGTACACTGAGGTGCACAGCTGATGTGCGTGAGATAGGCGATGCAAATGATCCTCCTCGGACGGCCCATGTCGGCAGACGAAGCTCGGTCCGCGGGTTTGGTTGCGCAGCTCTACGAGAGTGGCGAGGTCCTGGACAGTGTTGTGCGAGATACTGCAGCCTCGCTTGCGGGATTGAGTCCCACGGCTTTAAGTTTGGCTAAGGAGGCAATTTGTAAATGTAAGTGGTTGCCATGCAGTGATTCTATCGCGATTACGTTTATGTTGTTGCAGTCGACTAATAATATCCTATAGCTGATGATCTGGGGGCGGACCACGAGTTTGAGAGGAGTTTGTATTACTTTGCTTTCGGAACCGGGGACAAGCAAGAGGGTGTCAAGGCGTTCTTGGAGAAGAGGAAGCCTGGGTGGGGATCCAAGTAACTCTGCTTATGCGTGTTGGTTCTCTGCATGCTGCGTATTTGATAGTTTTGATATTGAAAGTTTATATGTTGCTCTCAGGGATCCCATTGGCTCGTGTACTATGCCTGTACGCTCTGATCTCTCGGCTGGGTAGTCCCGTGCTGCCACGCTGCAATATTGATTACCATGCTGTCGATCAGTGATTGCCAAGCATCAGGGTTGCATGGCTTTCTTCAACAAGAAGGTATCAACACAGGGCCTTTCAAATCTAGTTCTCTCTTTTCAAGCATAGTCTACTCTCCAGCAGAACTCTCAAGGAGGGTACAAAGACATCGGTTTCGGAAGATGATTCATCCCTATTACCTGAGTACTTTATGAGGAATGTTCAATCAAGTCAAAAGTCTTCTGTTCATCTTTCGATGGCACCCTCTTGCTAGTTCCCATCGTTGATCTCTCACGCCATCCCGTTTAAAACCGTTCGACCACGCGTCCATCAGACCAGGGACAATACCTCAAGGATGCTCTTCCGTTACTCAAGGTTCATGTAAAAAGCCTCATTACTGCGCTACACCGTCTGAATCCTCACGCCGGGATGCAACGGAGTTCGAATATCACTCAGAAGTATGATTATGCCTGCAGAAACGTGGTACGAGCTGTCAGCACGGAATGCTTGCCGCAAACTCAATTGATCCTTGAATATAACCTCAATCAACGGCCCGAGGCGACTTGCCGTTTTGACCAGGATCGTGTCAAAGCACCTTGATACCCTGTAGACTCAAGGTTTAAACCGGCGAAGACCAACAAGCGAATATCACTTGACCACGTTCAAATTTCAAGCCACGAATAGATGTTGATGGAATTATCGAAAGCTAGTGTGCAGTAGTTTGTCGCGCAGCTTGGTTCTTTGCAGAATCGTACGATTGACAGTTACCGTGCTACGGCTTTGGATCGTTTCCTGTCAGTCATTTCGTTCTACATCATGATACCAAGGCAGTGCTTGCTCATGTCAATCAAATAATGCGTTATTAGCAATTGATGTTTACACACCATGATTTCTAAGTTGACTGGGGAAGTCAGCTAGCACGCCAATAGTGGCAGACACAACGGTAACTCTCTAATCCCAGCCTCAACTACCTTCCATACTGATCTCTAGCGACCGAGTTGATGAACGTAGTTCCCGCCAGTCGAAGGGTATCAGGCTGGACAGTCGATCCGTTAGGGTTGAAGTAGAAGTTCTCTCCATAGCCTCCACCGCTCTTGTAGACAGGCCACTCAGGAACACCATCAACTATTCAACGTTAGTTCCAACAATATGATGATTATATCGGGCTTTAAACACTTACTTCCGTGCTCGTTGGGGTCGAGACTATGGATGAAGCTGATCCACATGTGGTTGATAAGTTTGGCCAAGTCAAGAACCTCCTGCGACGCATTCACAAGAGGACCCGCGCCCTTTGCGTAGCCTTGTCCCAGCATGTTGTAGAAGGCATATGCGACCTCCACGAAATGAGGAGTTCCGATGTAATCCGCTGCAGCACAGGTCAGTATATGTGCAACGCAGATAGCTGAGTTGACTTACGCATGTTAGTGTTGGGCGACTCAAACAAGTACGAGTACGCAGTCACGTTGTGCTTAGACCAAGCATCACTCCTTGCGCGTCTCCATGAAACGAAAAGCTGATCGCTCTGCAGAGCAGCCATGCGCTTGAACTGTGCCTTGACGGGATCGTTAGCCTTTCTGCGGTACCCCGACGGGCTACCAAGCGCATCGATGTTGGGGTAAAGCGCCATGAGGGTCTCAATTGTGTCGGTGTCGAGGCCGGTAGATTGGAGTCTGGTGACCAATTCCTTGTCGGTGTCAACACCGGGAAGGCCGAAAAAGGTGCCTTCGTCGGCATTCGTTCCTAGCATGATGGGCACCTTGGTGAAGTTTCCGTTTTCGAGAAGCGTGGAAGGGAAGTCAGGAATGAAGTCCTCGTCAACCACTGGGTAGAAGCTGCCTTGCACCTTGGTACTCGTGGCATTGAGCTTCTCGAAGGGGACATCTCGCAGGCAGGCGAGCTTGTCTTTCTTCTTATCGCAGCCAACAGCCTTGACGATGGTGTCGTAACGCTGCTGTGGTAGGGTATAGTTCTTCATGTCAGTTCCGTCAGCACCGGACTGGGCGATGATGCCGCGGAACAGCTTCTCATCTCGGCCTCCGTAGGCAGTAGCCTGGTACCCAACGTTGCCACCACCAGCACTCTCGCCAAAGATGGTGACCTTGGAGGGATCGCCGCCAAAGGCAGCGATGTTCTCGTTGACCCAGTGCAGGGCGATGCGCTGATCCTTCAAGCCGAGATTGGCTACTCCGGCATCGAGAATATCTTGACTGGCCATGAAGCCCCAGAATGACAGTCGGTCTAATGGATATTAGTTACCAGGTTCTGTTAGTAGGGGAGGTGGACTCACAATCGACGGATACACCAATCATGGGCTTGCCAGCCTTGACGGACTGCTCAACCATGAAGCTCATGTTGTAAACACCATTTGCGCTGAAGTCCATTGTCCAGCCTCCACCGTGGATAAAAACGCCAACTGGCAGCTTTTCATTACTGTTACTGTTGATCGTTGAGGGTCTGACAATGTTCAGCGTCAGACAGTCCTCACCCAAAGTGACAGGGCCTTGATCAGGGCTATTCTACAACAGAGTCAGTCACTAGGCCATCCCAGACTTCATCAGGGCGACTTACTCCATATCCGACACAAGAGTCAGCATACTCGGTGACCTTCTTGGTCTTGAAGGTCTTGTTCAGGCTTTGGGGGTTCTGGAAACGAAGCTTTCCAACGGGAGGTTGAGCGAAGGGGACACCAAGGAAGAGATCTTGATCGTATCCGGCCACATATTTGCCTTCAAGTGTACCGTTTTTGACCCGGACAGTAGGGGCCTGCTTTGACAGCACGCCGTCGGCTAGGAGAGCAGCCGCAGTGGCAAGCCTCAAAAGAGAACGCATCTTGAAGAATTATACTGGCACGGTTGCTAGCTGCCAAAGCTCTAGTCATGGTGGGACTTGCGATGATATATTTAATCAATTCTATTAAGGGGTTTGATGGGAATAACCTGGCCATTTTTACCAATGCTCCGATTTAGGTACCATCGGGTGGGAATATTTCACGTCATGCGGAAGAATTCTCATGATTCATCAGGTAACTTGGCTTTAGGCATAGTAGTCTAACTAGTTCCCCAGGATCATGACATCGCGTCGGCCCTCAAATTCCCTATTTCGTTTATATTCCCGAATATTGAGACTTGCCGAGCTCAACTGCCGCACCACCTTTGGCTCGTCGCAGAGTCGCAGTCGAATGGCGAACGCAGTAGATACCCCATGGGGAACTTGAGTGCACCACTGAAATGCGGAGATATTTAAGCTTGCCCGGACGTTTCTCGGCGCTATACTCCATACACAACGTTTAGCAGACGCTAGACTTGTTAAGAGATGAAATCGGCCTCAGCTGCATGACCTATCCCGATTGTTTCTCCAGACTTTTTCCGAAATTGAGAAAGACATTCGACGATTGCAAGTTGAAACAAGGAATAAACGGACTAGCTTGAACAAACGGCCCGTTAAGCTGGGCTTGTGATCGCCGAACTTGGCAGGCAGAGATTGGAGGGACCACTAGCGATGAAACAATAATGCTTCCAAATTCCCACTCTGAGCTTGGCCGACGGTTCGCCGTCATCAGAGCCGGTTCCTCGGGCACGCGATGAGCGGGTATTAAATGCTTACAATTACCGATGCAGGGACGCTTCCTCTATGTGTTTGGATGAGTTTCGGTCAAAGGTTGATCCTGGTTTCTTCTCTCATCGTCCGTCGTCAAATAAACCTTTTGCCCTGCTTTGGAGTGTCCTACCCTAATCCCAGACTATTCATTCTTGCCGTCAAGTGGAGTGGCCTTCAGCCACATTCAGACGCCTTAAAAGACTTCTCAAGTGCATGGCTAACCTCCATTGTCCAAGGGTGGGAAGCCTGATCGTTACCGCAGTCACTGAACACTGCCACTTTGCTGTTGAGCATATCAAAATTTCTGTATTTGTTGTTGGTCAGGCGTTTAGATTCTGCTTCTGGCCACAAACGTTTGTGTTGTTCCTCAACTGTGACTGGAGGTCGTGGTCTACTGAAACATGCAAAGGCTTCCCATGAAATCATATCACGGGTAAAGAACAGAAAAGACAGATTGCAGTGCTTGTTTCCAGCCCGAGAGGCAACTGCAAGTATGATATGGCAACCAAAGTTGCCTTTGCTGTTGTCCATTAAACTGTTATTCTTCTCGATGTTTTCGGCAATTCTGGAGTGTGAGCATGTCATAACAGGCAGCAATGATAAGACCGCAAGAGAACAGAGGTTATCACATAAGTAACCTTTTTGGAAACAACCGTTTGCTGCTCCATAGATGTATCTCAAATAGAGAGGCTCTGGTGGTTCTATTCCATGACAATTCCAGGACTTCTTAAATAGTTTTATTCCATGTTCCATTGAACGTGCTTTGAATTCCTTGATCCTCAATTTGGACTAAATCCTACATGAAATATCTATTTTTGTATCTATTTCTTGTATCTGTTAAAATGGTATTTATCAAATGCCGGTCTTGGCCTTGTTTTGAAAGAACAAGTACCTAAGTCATATCCCCTCCTGTTCCTATCGGTTGAGAATAATGACGAGCATAATTATGAGTCTCACAAACGTTGACATATTTGTGAGATAATTGCCGCGTATGAATAGAAACCATTACCGGACAATACTTGTTCTCCATGTGGTAAAGTCACATGTAAGGCAGACCACTGCCTTCTCCATTGGTAATGGAACTATAGAGGCAACTGGTACTCGAACATTGACTTTAATAGACCCTCTATTTGGGGTACGTTGCTCATAATACTACTAGAATTAAGCTGTATTCCACTTACTGTCGAAATCCAGGTTCGTTCGTAGGTGAGATATGTGATGGGGATGGTAGCTGCTCAGGTTCTCACCTTCTACATTCTGGGCCCCTAAACTGGTTTGTAGAACCCGCACTCTGTTTTTTAAACTCTATATAAGTAGGCCCTTACAGCTACTTATCGTCCTGTTGCTCATTGGCTGTTTTCGATCCTGTGGCCGAGTATCGGTCTTCTTGTACGCCCTGCGCCCTACGGCATTTAGTCCCTAAATGGAGGATAGTTTACGACGATGCCGATATAGGAGAATGCACATTGCTCAAATGCAGCTGCATCTTCTCAATATCTTGTTAAGCGGTCAATCTTACATTCTGTATACAGCTGAACCAAATTATCCATCCGGTATAACCAACGCCAGTCCCAAAGCAAGCCCCGTCGCCTATCGCCACAACGCAACAGCACGCTCCCAACATTTCTCTAGTTTGTTTCAGCCACTCGAAGGGCCACCGAGATGATGATTCCGAAAACATGAAAGCCAATCCTTGTTGTCCGCGAGAGTCTGATCCCACGGGTCCGAAGTATTGTAAACAATCCTCCTCGCCTCCGTCTGAAACATATCATCCGTGGGCATGACTCCGAGGCTCATCTGCTGTTGTGCATATCTCCCTAGAAGATGCACTAGATACTCGGGGAACGCCATGGAATTGACATCCTGTGTCATGGATGGTCCCGGTACTAGCAAATTCTCCTCTGCGGTTAAATCCAAACTACCACTTTCTAGAAGGCCTGTTTCAGATGTGGTTATGGTTTGTCCCGCGTTTTGTTTTATCTGTAGAAGATGATCCCGCGTGCCTGGATCAGTCGCCGAAAAGGGCACCGGCGCCCGTTCCTCCGCCGCGATCATATACGGTGCAAGAGAGTTCGTCACTCGCGCTTTGACATGCGACTCAAAATCGTGTTCTCCCTTCCAGTCCGCCATTGTGTCGCCTTTTCGGAAATGCTTCGCCAGATGCTCCACGCGTTCTTGCCAGGTCTCCATACGAATGCTGCAGATCCCGCATCTCGACTTCACGGGCGGCCCCTCGACCTTCCACGAATCTATAATCGGCAATGTCTGGACGTGGTGGACAAGCCGGAGGTGCTGAACAAGGTGGTCTTTGCGGCGGAAGATATGCGGCTTCTCGTTATCCTGACAACCGGCGTGGTTATGGGTTTCGAGATGCTCCGTTGTCGGGTCGAGTTGGTTACAATAAGCGCAATGACTTCTTCCTGTATCTGGCGAGGATACGGCTCCGCCGAAGGGAGTGCACCGCCAACCTTGTAAATCCAGATGTAACGATCTTTCATGTCGCGCCCAGTCATACTTGCTCTTGAAGCTATCGCAGCAAAACGTACATGGAAAGCGCCTCTTCTCAGTTCCTTTGCCCTTAGCGGCAGACGCTCGCTTCGATTTAGCAACTCTACCCCGCGATGAAGTTCGCCTCGTCCTGGATTGGGGAGATTGTGATCCCGCTGAAACAGACGAACAGCTTGTCACGCTGCCGAGGCTTGCGTTGGACCCTGCACGGCTGCCTGCGCGACTACCGACGCGGCGACTCCCCAGACTTCCGGCAGACGAACGAGTGCGTAGGGGAGTCTTCTCGAGGGCATCGCAGATGGCGGATAGTGAAGCTGCTTCGGCTTCGGGCGGAGACTCCTGCCATCGCTGCATAGGGTCTAGAGCACTGTCGCTTTGGATATTTGAGCGTGGTATTGAAATGGGGTCACTGGCGACTCTTTGAGGTTGGTGGCGGAAATAGTGACTTCTTTTTCTTGGGAGACTGTGCTGCTGAGTCTCCTGTGTGGGAGACCTACCAAAACTCGGACTGAATCCAGGGACTGACCAGGGGTTCGTAGTTATTGGTGTTCCAGTCCGGTTCTCGATTGATGCAAGTGGCGAAATAGAAATGTCCCGATTGATATCCGTCTGCATCGACGCAGGCGCTTGCCATGAATTCAGATTCAGTGCTGGGTCAAGCCAAAATTCACTTTGTGGATCTGTCGGAATGTCGAGGTTGAGTAAATCGTCGGTGAAGAGGTCCTGATGCGACGTAAACCCGTCGTCCTGAGTCTGGAACTGCAAGTGCTGGGACAGAAAATCATCGCCTGGCGGGAAACCATTATCAACATCTTTATTTGTAAGTCCAAGTCTCGCAAAATCGAGCTCTGAGAATGTCAAGACTATTTTGCAAATTAGCAAGAGGATCAATGTCAGGGTCCACAGCACGCTTACTGTCGCCGCCCAGGTCATCTGACGGCTGCCGCGTGGGTGCACCTGAAGCCATTGGATGATAACTATATCTCTGCGATACAATTTGAATCGGGGCCAGAAGTTATCAGGCAGATTGCGATGTTGTTGGAGGCTCAATGAGTTGAGGTCGCACGCCTTTGAAAAGACGAAAAGGCGTCGTTGACTCACCGGAATCGGAGTAAGGCTGACCCCCGCCTCGACTAAAGTTGATAAGAGGCTAAACGCGAGATAATGAGTTGGGGTAATTTGTCTAACCCAGAATCCTTATCTTGAAGCCGTATTCTTTTGCAATTTTTCATCCTTGAATCAGACGAAACGGATTGGTCAGAAATAAGCAACTTGCATGCATTGAACTTCGCTGTTGTTACATCCTTGCCTCAAAACTCCCCTTTGCCATTATAGAGCGTCAGCCACTCAGAAAATTCGATCAATCTCAAGTGGCGTGCATTGAGAGCGGCAAGAACGATCTCGTTCTTGATTGATACATACTCGTAAGGGAAATAATTCCCAAGCTGTGGTTTAGCTTCATCATGTCCTCAATCATGCCAGATCTGTCTGAAGTGATAGCTCAATGGCTGCCCAGATAGTTTCTGAATCTCTGCAGCCCAATGCTACGCGTGCATTGTGAGTTTGGTTTAGCCATCGTCATATGCTGGATGTTTTGGGCTTGGCAGTTGAGTGTGTATCAGCTTGGGTTTGACAGTGGTGTCTTTTTTCAAGATGAATACTTTTACCAGCCATAACAGGCGGCAGGGCTTTCGCCGCGATGTTTTAGCTGACTTTTGGATATTGCAGTAACGGGAAACGAGCTGTTTAAATCTTTGCAAGATTGGGAAAGCAATAAAGGTACGTAGCCCTCGAGCCGAAATATCGGATAGGCCCCTGCAGCTGTCCGAAAACCTTATGTAGAATAGGGCGCAGGTTTTAATTTGACGCAATGAGCGCCGATTACATGAATCTAGACATCCAATGTCCGGGAGTTCTTGTTGTGCTAAGATATGATCATGAGGAATTTGCACTGTTCTACATTTCCCACTTTTCTCCCGTCCAAGGTAATAAACTGAACATTGATTTTGATGTACTCGACTCCCTCCTGTTGGATTTTTCTCTCCATGAGAAATTCACTTCTTTCGTCTGGATATCAATTGCTGGCGCTCACGACAGTGGATGAGACGGTTCGTGGTAGAGCAATGATGAATGCAGTTAGTGTTGGCTGGGCCAGGGCGCATTGCGCCAAGTGTAGGGCGCGAAAATGGCTTTGGTCGGAACAAAATCGGAGCAGTCCATTTCCGGCAGCGCAACGGCTGCCAAAACTTCATTAGCAACAACACCATCAGCAGCCAATCATGGTCAAGATCAGTCTGGAAATTGGACTACATGTATAATAAATCTTCTGATTCGTTTCAGCAAAAAGACGGCTGCTAGACGTTCTGCTCCTCTTTGTCTTCCTTTACAACATCGACCTGCACTATCGAATGCGACCAGCCCTCGCCGTCCTCCTTCTCACTGATAACCATCGCTGTTAAGCTTCTATCATACGCACACCCGGAATCAAGACCGTAAGTATATCTTGCAGCCTTGGGTGAATCACCCTTCTCCGATATAGTCTCCTCTGCCCCGACTTGAAGTCCAACTCTAGCATCATGACCGTAGACGACAACACTGCGCTGCTCAGCATCCTCTATCGAGTTCTGCCATCTATTCCAAGCATCGATCCACCAATCTCCTTCACGATGTTCCAAAGGAAATCCGATCTTCCCTTCTTTGTACTCACCGCTAAAGCCTTCACCGTTCTTGACCAAGTCTGCCATTCTCGCTAGTTTAGCTTTGAGTTCGTCATCCGTAACATCTTCAAACGCGGCATATCGTCGAGCCCGGCATTTGGCACCTTTCAGCAGACTTGCTCGAACCTCATCGGTGACACTAGCATCTGGGTCTGGATACACAAGGCCTCGCATGTTCATGACTGCCCAAGGTTCTTGTTCTTCCAGAGGAAGTAAAGGTACCAGACCACCGTGCGCGACGAGAAGTGTCCCAGAGTTCCATGGCGGCGCGGTTGCTCCCCTCTTTAACTTGATACGTAGGATGAGTGGTTGTGAGGCTAACCACGAAACCTGCTCGTCGGAAAGAGTAGCTGCGGTTGCAAAATCAATTTCGGCGCTATACGGCTTCAGATCCTCTGTTGCAAGTGACTTGAGATCGGCTTTCGGTTCGGTGAGAGCTGGTTGATCTCCAGTCTTCTTTTCCTCCTCTAAAGCCAGTCTTCTCAATTGCTCTATGATACCTGGGCCATCTCCCCTCTTGAGAGCGCTGTGCGCAGCGAGAACGCGGTCCTCGTTGTTCCCTCTTATGGCGTTAGCGCCAAGGTCTTTTGCCAGCTGCACAACGCCCGGGCTGTCGAGGCCTTTGTTGACCAAGTCACCGACAAAGATGAGATGGTCTCCATTGTTCTTGTCATACGAGACTTTTTGCAGCAAACTTTTCAGCTCAGCGAGATGGCCGTGCACGTCGCCGACGATGATGAGTCTGCCTGTGGCGTCGACATCTTGGATGAAAGTTTGCAAGCGGTGCCGCGATGAATCAAGGTCCGAAGAAGACAGACGAACATCTCCCGCCCGATTTTCATCTGTAGTCATGGTGTTTTCGATTGTCTTGTTGATGTTGGTGTTGTGTGAGGGAGGAGAAAAACCGCATCAGATAAGACCTAGAACAGGCAGCGACAGGCAGCGACCACTTGTGTTGTCAGCCTCCACTTTGGCCATGACGATGGTGGTACAGAACAATTAATTTCTGGTGCCTTTCTCAATCGTGCACGTCAGCCTTATTTGCTCCACTTTCTCAGGAATAACCCAATGTTAGTGCAGAGTTTGCAAAAGTCGCATGCTAACGTCGAGAACGTGAATTCTCCAAGTCACGCAAGCTAACGGCTATTATATACTCTTATACCGTCAACATCTCCATCAGTAAAAGGCATTGTGGCGGAGTGGTCTAACGCGATAGACTAGAAATCTATTCTCTTCGGAGGCGTCTGTTCGAATCAGGCCAATGTCGACTGAAAACCAGACTGGACCGGTCTGGATCCATTTTTTGTTTTTAATTTTTGCAAGGTGGCGAAAGCAAAACAAGAGCCAAAACGTGGCAATAGTAGTAAATAATACCTTTTTTACCCTGATAGAAAGATTATGCTCGATCAAATACCATTCAAGCTGTTTTAACCTTCTGATCATGTCGGTAGCCTCGGTGAGCATTTCCTCCTCGGCCGTTCCTCACCGACTACAAGGCTCTCACAACCACAAGCTGAAAACCAGCAAGCTTAACAAAGCCATGCGCCACATTCAACAGGAACGTCAAAGGGTCAAAAGCTTAAATCCTAGCCCTAGCTCTTTCAAGCTCAAGTGAATCTCGCCCGAGGACCTGGAATGCCCATCATGTGATGGTACAACGGTCTCGACAGGCGGATAGGTCCCTCAAAAAGCTTGGTTATCCCTAAGCCGTCGAAAAGGTGGAATCAGTATGCGCAAATTTCGATTGTAAAGCCTGGAACCAATAGTGGCGCGAGATGGCGGGAGCTAGACTAACAACCCCTGGCTACTAAGCTTTGTCTGTTGCTGTTTGCGCTTTCAATAGTTTGTGATTGCATTCCAAACCGTGCTCTTTGTGCGTCCAAAGTATTATGCAAGTTTGTCAAGTTCAAGAAAACATCTTGTCATTTCAACCTTGTAATTGTGCTTTCTTGACAATCAGAAAATGATCAACCGTGGCGCTCATATCGAGTTTCTAAGGACTCAACCAGCGACAGATAGACGCATCAGAAGAGAAAGGAAGAGGATGAGATGTAACTAAACGGCGAGTCTTTTCTCTGCAACACTCCTCGCTTTTCTCATAGTTGTTATCAGTGGAATTCTTTCCACAAAGTAAGTATACGAGCTAGGGAGAATTTGAGGTTCAACGGGATTATAGTTTAACAGCGTCTCCATCATTCCACATCAAAGTAGTTTGCGATTCTAGACTTAAACCTTATGATCCAGCCTCTTGAAATGGCAGACTAGGTAGAGAAATAAGAGAAAGACATTCTGCACAAAAAGGCCCCTCTGTAAACCAAGGTCAGTGTAGTGTCACACCAACACCCTTTGTCTTGACTCTTGAGGTGAGTTGATTGTTGGCCTGAGACAAGACGTGCATGCACAGATGGCAAACGATACTTTGATTGCCAATGAACGTTGCACAGCTTTAGAAAGGCTCACGTTGAGACATGTCTGTGATTGAAAGCTGACTTACCATCTCAGTTAACAAGGACAAGTTTGTGTCCTGGCCATCTCTTGCTTTCCATCGACTCTTCTACTTTGTTCACGATGTCGGTATTCGGACGATTCCAGGAGAGTCGGAAGACTCGCTTCTCCATCGCGGCCTGTTTCTTACTCTATCTCATCGGAATCCTTTTCTATACATATCGCTTCCCAGCTTTCAGTTTCGCCCACGCACCAACAGCCATTACCAGCGCGACTTCGATCCAAGCGCCGCTTATCAAGCCAGAAAACACCACAGTCAGCGGACTGGTATTCTATGGCAGAAGAAGCCGAGTGGAGATTATGAAGTGCTACATCGAGCGTAACATGGTCGACAATGGAGGATGGCTCGACGAGGTGCTCTGGGTTGTCAACACAGACAAGCAAGAAGATCTCCGATACCTCGAAGAGATATTGGCTACGAACCCCCGGTACAAAAAGATTTACCCAGACGAGATCGCTTCGACGTACTCGTACAAGAATATTTGGAAACTATTGGACCGTGGAAAATACTATGTCAAAATAGACGACGACGTCGTACGTTATTGCAGATCAAAATGTCTCGCTTCGCTAAATACTAATTACTTGTCCCCCAGGTCTGGATCGAAGACAACGCCATTCCTAATCTCGTCACACGCAAAATACAGAACCCAGACGACTTTGTTGTCTCGGGTAATATCATCAATAATCCCCCCCTGGGCTTCTTTCACATGCGCATGGGCGCGATACACCCCTACTTCCCCGAAGCTTTCGAGCCGTTCAACGTCACAAACGCTACTGACTACTGGAAACCGTCTCGACACCCTTCCTGGGACGGACCCAAGAAGTTCAAGTGGGAACTCAAGAACGACCCTCCGTCGTGGAAAAACCACAGGTGGCTAAGGGTTCCGGACGATTCCATGCTGCATCAAACACCCGCTGCCGAGCTCAAGTATGAAGTCTGGGGCGACAGTTACAAGAATTGGGCCATTGCTTCACAGATGCATATGTCCCTTTTCGAAAACATTGAGAAGAACCAACTAGATCTATACAAATTCGAAAAGCCGTGGGTCATGTACGAAGACCGAATTCGAATCAACTTTATGTGCGTCTACAGCGATGACATTCTGGACACAGATCCTGCCAATTGGAAAGAAGGCCGGGGAGACGAGGACATGATCGTTCTTGATCTCCCAAAGAAGCTCCGTCGTCGTAAGTCTTTCGTGGGAAGCCCTTTTTGGTCAATAACTAACATGTGATACAGCTGTTGTTATACAAGGCAATGCGCTGGCCGCGCATTACCAGTACATGGATCAGAAGAAGTTGCTCCATACAGATATTCTACAACGATACCGGTCCATTTCCAAGGACAGGTACTGTTTGAAGCAAAAGGCTCTTCCGAGCGGTGGGCAGGAGATGAAGCAAAGATCGCATTAGGGGACTGCATTTGGTATCTATAATACGGAGTTATATATCCTGGGATGGAGTTGCCAATGGACATGGAATTTGAAATTACAACATATGATCTGCGCGCGAGATACGGATACTCCGTACAGTGTATCCATTTCATCTCCTGCGTGTTGATCCGAGTGAAACTCGGATAGTTGCCAATCGTGTGGGTTTCCACTGCATGTGTTTTGAGTGGCTACAAGGTTACGTTGTAGTTGGGACGGGATGAGTCTCTCCTGGGATAGAGGACCGAGTGGTGCCCGCATAGTTCACGCGGGCGATCCTTCGCAATGGGAAGGACCATACTGCGTTTAATCCACCAATGGCAGTGACGCAGATCATTCATTAACAGCGCTGGCTTAAGTCAGACATTGACGGAAGTTATCTGGCGGATCTGGGCGGCACACTTGTGAGGCGCGGTTTGCTAGGCTTTGTTTAGATTAACGGTAAATGGAGAAAAAAATTATTATAATTTCTATAGTAAATTGAGAAGTCTATATGCCTCTTTTGTCTACACTAATATGATATCATCAAACCCCAACTCTACTTGCGAGTGTGAGTCACTGTCCATTGAGTCTGAACGCTGATCTCGTTGTTTCGTGCTTCAGACGAGCCAACGGTCAGATTCTTCTCAGACCCAGACTCATCCACGAAACCATTCACAGCGTAGCCGTGTTGAACCTTGTCGCTAGGTCGGTAGTCGTCCATTTCCCAGGTAGATAGATTGGGGTCTCGTATGACTTCTGGGTGAGCGCTCTGTGCGCCCGATCGGCTCATGTCTCTGAATCCAGTGCTTCGTTCGGTGGAGTATTCGTCGAGTCGGGATCCTCCCATTCGCTTCTTGTACTTGGCGTAGAAAGGTCGAAGCATGGGGATGCTGACGCAGAGGATGGCCAGGTTGGGCTCGAGGATGAAAAGGAAAATGGTGGTAGGCATTGTGCCGGTGATGTTGTTGTTGAGATCGACGGTGGAGATGTAGATAAGTCGGAAGACTGCGCATATAACGCAACTGTTGGGAGTCAGTATATAGAGCAAGCTGGCTAGTTGGAGGGGTATTCTTACGCTAGACCAAGTGCAAAACAAGAGGTGATACCGATCTTCTCAGCACGCCTTGTCTTCAAGCTCCAGACACTCTGCATGGGCAGGGCCATGATGATCAAATCACCAATGGCATTGGTAACAATCAGAGACTGAATCATGGCAATGTAGTTTCCGCATTGCAATGGTGCTTCCCACTGGGCTGATACTGGTTTGCAGATGAAGATGCAAGCGCAGAGATAGGAGATGAGCCACAATGCGACAAAGACGAGAGCGGCCTTTGAGGACTTTTGCATAAATGGCGTGGGGAAGACGCGGATATAGAACGACAGCATGCTTGCTTTGACGGCGGCGAGAAGTGTGACATAGATGGCTTGCATACAGAATGTCAACTTAAGGATGAATGGAATATTGACGGCGACTGTTGGATTAAGCTTGAGGTTAGTTTGGCTGGTCCGATATGCGGTTGCATCAAGGTATACGCACGATCCATATTCGTCGCTAATTCGTAACCGTTTCCAACGGGCGCAAACAGGCCTTGACAGCACAGCATGGCCACACCCAATGGCTATAAAGTTAGTAATGGTCAAGATGAACCAGAGAGATCATGTACGAACCACACAGAACATGACAAACCCATCATCCCATCCGAGGCCAGGTCCGATCAATCTTCCTACGACGCGCAGGCCAACAACGACCAGAACCAGCAGGACGACTATACAGTTGATGGCGAGTTCGGCTTTGACATAGCCCAAGATAGGCTTAAAAACCTGGGCCGACGAGTCGACTGTGGTTGACATGATGGAGACACAAAAGAAACTCCTCAAAATGAAACAAAATCGACACGCTCAACCGACAAATTCATGGGACACCCGGAGTACATATGCACCAGTGGGAAAGGGAAAAAATGCTCCCCCATACTTCCTTATATAAACAGGACGCTGTACGGACCAGCTGGTGGTCCTGTCGATCATTTTGCCCCTCAAATTCGCTTGGCTGGGGGGAGGACCTGCATTAGTTTAGGCCTGACGAACGGTAATAACTTGGCTGTGTCCAGGATGGGGGGCCCTGTAAACACTGAATCAAGTGCTAAAAAAGGCCATGGTTTTTTCCAACATACGACTGGGCACTTCGGCTAGACATCTTTCTTTTTTGCCTGATGGGCCTTTGAGTGGTGCGACTCCGCTACGCTACGCAGACGAGAAGAAGCCCTGACAGTGGTCCAAGCTAGGGGGGGGGAATAAATAACCGGACGCCATTTGGTGGTAGATCAGCGGTTTTTGGTGTAAGTGCGTCCGGTGTTTTTCTTCCCCCCGAGGCCAAGTTACGTCGACGGCGCCAGGGCAAGGATCTACCCGGTAGACGCGGCAGGGTAATTAGCTGCGGCGGACAACAGATCCGTGGTGGGTTGGGCTGCACTTGGCACGGCAATGGAAGCTCAGTGGCAGACTGTAGGGTGAAGCCCCTCCTCGAGGGTCTTCAAGTCTTGGGAGAGGCCAGGAAATGACATCCCCGTCGTACACGTGAGGGGCCTTGCGATTCAGTTTCTTGACAGGTCGTAAAGTGAACAAACCACAATTACAGGTTTGGCAGCCAATGCCAGATGTTCTGACAGAGGGGACAGGATCTGAGGCGAGTTCAACCGAAAGTGCCGCATGAAACAATTAGATTACAATATTCTCCACTACCAACGAGACTCTCTGTCTCTCTTGACTCGAAGTCGCATGGCAAAGGTAACATTGCGAATGGGGTTGGGTGATAAATCGTAAAAAAGGACGGATACCAAGGTGGCCAGCGTTGCAAGCGGGTGCTTCAGAAAGCTCCGAGCCTAAGGATGTTTTGAGGGAGGGCTGAAGAACAAGCTGAAGAAGGTTCCGGGAATCGATGAAACCTAACTACCGCTGTAGTTAGATTGTGTGCTGAAGAAACCCCAACGGGCGCTGTCTATTTAGCTCTGGAGCTAATGCCAATGAAGGACCTGACCTGACGTAGGTAGGGGAGAGAGAACAGACAATGCGGAGAAAACAGAAACAACAACGGTCTACCCGGGCTGACGCGCTGAAGAAATCGTCCATGGAAATTAACCGTCGAGATTTAGAAACGACGGCACGAGTTAGGGGCGTCTCCCAGGTCTCCCAGTGACCAGGGACCACGCATTCTGACTCTGCTCTCCATATTTAAACTTACCCACATGGAACAAGGAATTCTGGTGGACCGAGGTGAAGACTGGGTCTCCCAGGTTGCCGGGCTAAACCCTTCGAATCTTGGAACAACTGCCCCTACACTACACCAAAACGGAACATGTTTTATCCCTTATGAAGAGTGTCGATCTTGCACAGGACAAGCACGCTTCGCCGAAGCCCCATCCCCAAATGTCCGTGAGACAGAGTTGAGCGAACCGGCGCGGGCACTAGAGCAACTGCTAAGTTAGCCAGCAAAAACGGTCGGAATAAGTTCACTCTCTAGGCGCGCTCGTAGGGCTCTTTTCCGACCTAGTGAGCCAACGGCTTCTACAAGTGAAACGGCCGGGTTGGTTAGTCGTAATATATCCATAACGTAACAACAAGCACGATTGAGTTTTTCGGAAATAAGAAATATTAATTATCGAGATCTCGCTTTCGAAACAAACACTGACGTGCTTCCATTACCACTCTTTTTGTCAGGCCCCTTACCAGAATACTACCCACCCAAACCACCCAGTTCCAGAGCAGCGGAACGAACGCGAACCAACAGCTCCTGCTCCTGCTCCTGTGCCTGTGCGTGTCGGTCTATTTACACAATTCCCCCGTCGACCAGGTCATATCATGTGCATGCATGTGCATGAAAGGAGGTCCCCAGTGCCATCCCTGCTAGCCTTGCCTCAAACAACTTGCCGGAGATGGAACCCGTTATGCCTAGCCACAGAAGGGCCCCACGCGAAACCACAGGAACGGCTAGCACACCACGACACCGCAACGTCGCCTCTTTTAATGACGGCAAACTCGCATCGCTTATAAGTATTCGACCTGGTTAACCCAAAACGGGACTTGGGAAAAAAGTAAAAAAGACAAACCTTGGTACAATCCTTCCTTCCCCCACACATCCCATAAACTGTCGAAACACTCACCCACAAACCCGAGTCTCACACCACACGTCTATCATCATGACATCTTCTTACAGCACCAAGCAATGGGTCCTGGTCAACAAGCCCACAGGGGAGCCTGTTCTCTCCGGCCCTGACGCTACCTGGAAGCTGCAGACCGTTACCCTCCCTGAGCTGCAGGACGGCCAGATCCTCGTCAAGAGCAAGTACTTCTCCAACGACACTGGCTTGAGGAACTTCATCCAGAGCACCGTCGCCCCTGAGCGCTTCTACGTGCCTACAGTGCCCGTGGGCTCGCCCATGCGATCCGGTGTCATCGCAGAGGTCATCGAGTCCCGATCCGACAAGTTCAAGGTCGGCGATCTCTGTATGGATTTCCACCTCGGCACCTGGAGCGAGTATATCATCCTTGAAGCCGAAAACTCTCAGGCTCTGGCCCCCCTGCCCAACAACCTCCCCGTTACACACTTCCTGGGTGCCTTTGGCGCCTCTGGCCTGGCCGCGTATACAGGCCTGTACTATGCCGGCGAGGCTAAGCCCGAGGACACCATTGTTATTTCAGCCGCTGCCGGCGCCACTGGCTCCATGGCTGTTCAGATCGCCTCCAAGATCCTCAAGGCCAAGCGTGTCATTGGCATTGCCGGCTCCGACGAGAAGTGTGAGTGGGTGAAGAGCATCGGCGCCCACGAGTGCATCAACTACAAGAGCCCTACCTTCCTCGAGGACCTCAAGGCCGTCACCCCCGACGAGGTCGATGTCTACTTCGACAACGTCGGCGGCGACATCCTCGACGCCATGCTGACCCGCGTCAAGAAGCACGGCCATATCGCCGTCTGCGGTGCCGTCAGCGGCTACAACTCTGACGAGCCCATGGCTCTCAAGAACTGGTTCGAGCTTATCTCGTGCCGCATCAACATCCGCGGCTTCATCATGCTCGACTACATGGACAAGGTCCCCGCCATCCTGGGCGAGCTTATTGGCGCCACTGCCGACGGCCGCATCAAGCTGGAAGCTGCCGAGACGGTAGTTGAGGCTCCCATTGAGCAGCAGCCTGAGGTGTGGATGAGGCTCTTCAGCGGCGGTAACCAGGGCAAGCTCCTGACCAAGCTCATCATCTAAAGAGATGGTGAGAAGGATCATTATACATATTGATTGTCTCGAATTTTACGCAAGCATTGCATAGATAGCGTTGCCATCAAATACACTGGCTCTACGAAGTTGATCAAATTTTGTCCATGTTACTTGTTTGAATTGTGAAATGACCTCCGTCTGGTGGACATTTGCTAACTTTGTTGTTGTTTTACTTTGGGCAAAGTCCAATATTCAAATTAACATCATATTCCGATGCCCTTGCAGAAGATCACTAGAGAGCCCACGGGCTCGCTTCTGTTCCGCATTAAATTTCGGCACATGATGAAGACCAACGGCCTGACTTTCTATGGTTTTCGTTTTTCCATGCACGAATTTTACGAACTCTTCATGAACTGAGACATTTTGCCTGCCGAGGTGCTTGCCCGCCCAACTTAGTTAGTTTTGGTTGGACGTAAGAAATTGACTATTTCCGATGGGTCATACCCTAGAGCAACTAACTGACTAGCTTGCCTTGCCTGCAAGAACGAGTCAATATTGGCCAGGATTCGGATCCTTCTTTATCTCTTTTTTTTCTCATTCCAAAAAAGCAAGTCAAGGATTTTCATGATCCCCTGCCTGCATTGCTCCATCTTTTGAAAAAAGACTTTCGGGAGGGAGCACTGACTAATTTACCCTGCTTAGCCACATAAACTACGACTGCACTTGCTACAGACGGATATCCGGAAAACCAGTAATCCGGACCGCAGTACAGATACGGAGTAAGAAATTTCTCCCCGCAGCAAGGGTCCGAGTAGTGGTACAGTAAGACGCGGCTCAGGGAACCGAATATTTGCTTTTTACGAAGCTTTCATTAAATAGTAATTACTTCGCCGCCGCCTATTATTTTCGCAACCAAAACCAATCGTTTATACGTCGATCATTTTCAGAAGGGGGGCATTCAATCAATAATAGGGCTAGCTAGCACCTCAGCCGCAGGACTTTAGGCTCAACACGATCTGTGGTTTTGCGTAGTATAGAGGAAGATATCATAACTGTTTCCTCGAATACTATGAATCTTCGAGCGCATTTGCTGCAATTGGGATTGCATTGAGCTAATGATTCAGTAATAATTCATCTTTTATTCGTCTTGATACCGACATGGCAGCATCTTTGTGTAAAAGTTCTGACGATTTCCTCTCTTCTAAACTTCAATAAATTCTATTCAGGTTTGACAAATTTGTGTCGTTCATATGATATTCTTAGGAATCTACCCTAAGTACTTACCAGTGCCCCTTTCATTGCCAATGTCGCTATTAGAGGAGCATATTTTACCTCAAGTTGTCTTTTTGCTAGAACCTTCGGAGTAATCTTACCCCGCATGTCAATTGTCATTCAATGCTGACCACAGGGCGTGCCCGGCATAGTGGCTTGCAGTGAGTGACTCGATGTATATAATTTCCGCAAGCAATCTCACTCAATTGAGAAACCAAATGCTTCACAATCTCATACAAACTTCTCCATTGTAACCATGGCAAACCACCAGCCAAGTATCACCATTGAGTCAGGATACCGCCCTGGATTTCTGGCGAGATGTCTAGAGATGCACATAGCATACTACCATCCCTTCAACTCATGGGGTCTACAATTCGAAACCGAGGTCGGAAAGGGCTGGGCTGACCTCCTCCAAAGACTCGAGTCCAACCCCCGTAACCAGGTCTTCGCGGCCGTTCAATCCACACTCAACGATGATTCCGCATCTTTCACCCAGAAGATCGTAGGGACCATCATGGTTGACGCAGAGCACCTACAACAGCCGGGAACTGCGCAAATCCGTGGCTTCATCGTGGATGAGCGAGCGAGGGGTCTTGGTGCTGGAAGGCGTTTGCTTGCGGCTGCCATGGAGTTTATCCAAAAGCAGGGGTTTGATAAGGTAACTCTTTTTACCTCGAGCACTCAGGAAGCTTCTTTGTATCTTTACAAGAAGGCTGGGTTCGTCATTGTGGAGGACAGTGAGAAGGATCTATGGGGGGTTACGATGAATGAGTTGCAGCTTGATTGGAAGCGACCAGTTGCAACCGGTCAAACCGATTGTGTGCAGAATGGTATTGTGGAAGTACAGGAAGCAGAACAAGGACCAGAATAGGTTGTTCTAAATACTTCGCCGTTTTTTCCCCAAGATTTAGACTATTTCGATCTTTGAAGAATAACACTTCTTCACACAATCTAGAGAATTATAAAAAACCACTAGTTATTCCCCTTAAGCGAAATTAGCAAACACTCCTCCAGATACACAACCAAATCACAGTCATGACTTCAGACATCCACGTCTTCATCGGCGGCCCTACTGTGCAACCAATCGTTGTTTCAAATACGTTTTATATTCAACAATAACTCCAAGTCAGACCTCATACAGCTTTAATGTCCTGCTCTATGTCTATTTGATCTCTTCTTAATAAGTAAGCCATAATCCGTTTAGCCATGAACATCTGGATCTTATTCCAGCAGTATACCATCCTCGACACTGCAAATAGAAGGACTACCAACACAGGTGTCAGGACGAAGAAAGACAGCTTGTTAGGCCCTAGAATACCAGGAATCGCTTTCTCTTGCATAGATAGTATCGCAGCTGCCAGCGTCGCGGGTGAAAGGATCTGCCATAATGAATGTTATTAGACGACTTATATTTATGGACGACACGAAGACTAACATGCAGTATGAAGTAACTAAGAGCTTGTGTACTCTCGGCTACTTGAGCCTGAAGAAGAGAAACACGATGTGTGGCGTTGATATTGTGCAGATTCAGCTACACGAAATGTGAGTACGTATAGCCCACTTGCATCGGCACTGCTCTTCACATACGGTCTTCTCAAACTCATCACACTTCTTGTGGATGTTCTGTAGTTGTTTTAAACAGTTTTTGATATCGACAAAGATTTGCTGTATGGTTGACAGAGATTGCTGCCCGTGTGGCGTTGGAAACAAATTTTCGGATGTGAAATTGTCCCAGCAATCGATCGTTGTCTCCAAGGACTCAGTCAATTTACCTAAGATGCGCCTGGTTTGTTGAAGCCAATCCAATGGCACCTGAGATTCACGCCTGGCAGTGAAATTTGGCTCCATGAAATCAAACTGAAAGGTGTCTGTCTGCAAGCATAAAAGTCAGTTAATCTTCCGAACCGGCATGACGATAGGCTTTACAAAGACTTCTACTTTATGCTTAAACATCTGTGCTGTATTCATCCACTCGTCTTTGAAAACCCTCAATTGGCACTCGAGACTGGTCAAGAAGTATTCTCCTGGATTTAGAATGGGTAGCCCACTCTCGCATCTCCCATCTGTGAAGGGATCCATTTGCAATGAACTCTTGTGGTACTTATGGGCAGATCTCCTCCAAACCTGAGGCTGGCAATACGTGTCAGTAAAGCAATAGCCAGTCCAAACTTGACGATCAATGCCTGCAATCAGTACTGAGGTTTGTGTCTCGGACAGACAGTTAACGTTGACTGACGCATGGGATTTGCCCTCAAGAAAGCTCATGTTGTGTGTCTCTCTCAATGGAAGCTTGTTCTTTTTGGATCTCGCATCACAGGGCGCTTGCTCGGTGCATGTCCAGGAGAAGATGGGTAGATGAAAAGAGTACGAAAATATGGCAAACCCGCGGTTCTGTTCGGAAACTAGTTCATATGAGCGTACTTAATTATGTTATTTGTGGGCTTCGTACCCTAACATGAACGCCTATGTGAGATTTGAAGGCGACGTATGAATAGAAGAAGTCTATCAAGGCATCGACGTAGTTTTCTGGAGATGTTACCATGAGTGTTGCTATTGCATGACTACTTGGATTGGTGACGAAACTAGAGTCAAGTCAGTCTCGAACAAGAGAATTCCATGTCGGACCCCTCACATTAATCTTCGATCGACATTGGGTTCCACTGTAGTCCCATCAGGGGATGGTGCATGAAAACGCTATCGTCCCGTTAGAAGGCGACAACGGTATCACTATAGTACCTAGAGCATGAAATAATAGCGCTTACCTTTTCCATCATCTTGAGGTACATTTCCCGAACAGCTAGTGGCCCGTAGTCCCCTAAAGATACCGAAGTTGAGCCATCACTTGACCTGTCGTCGATCAAGCAAATCTTTTTCGAGGAGAGCTCACAGCTGTTTGACTGCAGCTGCTGAAGCGCACCCCGGTGGCAAAGACTATCAACAACCTCAGCTTGGTACATGCGTCTAGGCTCGTTATTCTCCTTTGTCATAAAACAATAGACCAAGTTCTCTCCGTCGAAGTCTTTGGGGTCGATGTATCTTTCATCCTCGCTAAGAAGTTCTCTCCATGATCTCTCACTGACCCGAGATTTGATGTTGCAGTCATAAGTTTGCTTATCAAGTGAACAAGTACGACAGGTTGAAGACTGCTGACCTGCAAGACTGATAGTGACAAAGCCAGTCACGCGAACTTGTTTGTGGTATTTGTTACGTCGGATCCTACCGACTCGGTATTTTCTTTTCTGCTGGTTCACTTGTTCTTCGTTTTGATTTGTAGGTTCGGGCATATCTTAATTTTGTCCTTATGATTAGTTGGAAGTGTGCTCAGCATTGGACGTGATACGTGACCTACCTCGGTGATGATGAATCGTGAAACTAGCAAGCCTTAGCTTTCCGGAGTCTAAATGTGAAGCGAAGATACGGTATAGACCTGACATTTTAGAGGGGGTTCATGCTGTTGAAGATGGGACAAGCCTAGTGGGATAGAGTACAGGAGAAGTAGAGGGTCTCGTGGACTATAAGCCTGGTTTTGTGAGAAGTGATTAAGTAACTGTTCAGCCAATGCCCTTTGAGGCCATCAATCCCAAGCAGGTGGCTGCACAATACCCGAAGCTCGGTGAAGCTTATCGCCTATAAGATCCGTAGTTTTATAAGGCAATGATTGCCTTGAAGAGATGAGGCCCGTCATGCTGTGCCACAATCATTCACGGCCTGTCATTCGTTGTAGGAACTGCTTAATTAGTACTTTGCTTCACGGTCAGTGGACGCTTCGCGCTTGTCATGATAAAGGCCCAATCAGCCGCAGGTAGATTGTTCTCGTGATCTTCTGCGTATCGAATGAGAAAGCATCCGAGATCGGCATGGGTAATTTGAACAACTAGGTACTCTTTGCCATCGCAGGCTAGTCTAAACTTGAGTTACAAAATGCAATTCTGATTCGTTTTTGTAATTTCAAGACCTGTCAACACGTCCACACCAAGGCGGTCAAGACGCACCTACAGTTGAGATGAGACATGTTTATCCAGGCGAAGCAAGTCTAAGTATCCGTAGTGGGAAGACTTGATCATGTTGTATAGGTAGCTTCTGATGACAAAAAATTCACATAATGATGTAAACCCCGATTCATTGCCTGATATCGATTGATGGGATCTGGTCATAAATGACGATCAGAGTAAGACTATGCCTGATTTGTGATTTGTGATTTGGGGGCGGCTATGATCCCAGCACTGTCTCATGCAGCCACGTCAAGGGACGGACGGTCAGTGTGGGATTAATGAAAGTTAATTCACCCATGACAGGGAGCATTTGCCCATGCAAACCGGTGAGTCTCAATTAGGGAAGAGGATGGCTGCAGGTCAAACCACCACATTTATCAACAATAGTTAACTGGCCAGCGACGACTGGCTACGTACATATCTCCGAACACAATGCTTGGTGCGGTACGACCTGATAGGTCCAGCGAGAGCCGCAGATAGAGAATTACAGCACACGTGTGTTTCCTATTTGCGCATCTAATGCCTGCCTATTCCCTAGTTTCCGCGTGCCCCAGGCTTGGCGGACAACGGGAACACATACACAAAGGGGGAGTCGTAGCCACTATATTCCATTGCAACAGAACGGCTTCAATCTGGTAGGCAAAGATGTTTATGATAAGTTTCTCGCAGTAAATGCATAACTACGGATATCAAGGACTCTATTTACGGAAGAAAAGGCAATCAAACTATATGTAATTAGCAAATATGCTACCATCCATGCCTGCTGCCCCTATCTTCCCCCTTGCCGGGACTTATACCATTCTCATGCCTGCATTGGAACAGTTACTGTGATATTTATCTCGTCTTTTTTTATTGCAATGGAAACCTTTATATCTCCTAATGGAGCTCTCGTCGGAAACTACGAGACATTTGAGCAACAAGACGATGATTCAGATGGCAGCAGACAGACAGGGATTCCTCGCGTTTTGGTAAGGCCAGATAAACCTTGTGTGAATACCTCCAGCCGACTGACTTGACGCAACTTTCAAGGCACCAAAGAAAAAACGAACGGTCTTCATATGGGCATGCTGCACGTGTCCAACATCTGGGATGAAAGTATCTGTGGTTAACTGTCCCGGATGCGGAACGCCACGTTGTCCATACTGCCGCGTCGAGAAGAAGACAGTCAGAGAATAAGCACGTATCTTGCCCATCATGGACAACTTGTATCAGTACCAGATCAGCTCGATAATCGAGCCACATACACGATTCCAGCCATCATCTCAAAACAACCTCGGCATGCTCATCGTGCCTAGAAGCAACAGTCTTGTTCTCTTCAAGTTTACACCCATTACCCTAATATTTAAAATAACAATACGCCTCACTTATACAAAGTCAGGGATCTCCCTGTAACCCGAATATGAATCATCCTCGTGAACTGCACCATGGCACTCGAGATCTATGGAGATCACTGATATAAGCAATACCATGGACCCTTAAACACTTGTGCATATGTAAGAGAGTCATAAAGAGTTTACATGTCCATCCGAGTTCAGAGAGAGCTTTCGCTCAGTCAGCTCTGTGTATACCGTCCTAGGTACACAGAAATGCCTTCTGGTACTAAGCACGAAAATGAAACCGCTTATAACAAATTTGTTCCGGCATCACTCCTGAGCAGCATGTACTACTGCTGTACGTCCTACATGCCTCACTGGTGGCACAGGCTTGGTGAGTTGGTAGTCGCAAAGTAAACTCAGGATGCAACCCCCCCCCCCCCCCCCCCCTCCCTCATTTTGGATAGATGATTTGCCCATATCAGTTTACTACGTGTAATCCATATGAATATTCTAATAGAAGCCAATTGAATATCTTTCGCAAAAGAGGGAGGGTTTCTCCCTGCCTTAACTTGTGGATCCGCATCTGAGACAGAAAACGGGTTCCTGCGCAGCATGAGCCGCACATATAACACTTCGTAGGTATCTGTACTTCGGCTTCTTTCGCTACTGGGATCAGACCCTTGAACTGCTCGCTATGTACCCTGTCGCATGTGCAGAAAAGATATTTATACTCGTATGAACAACTGGATGAGAAACACGAACCCCGGAAGCTATACAACATGGCAAAGGATAGATTGATATCCGTAAGCATCGCCATACCTACTCAAGCAAGGGAAGATGCTGCATTCCGTAGTGTTGGCACGTGGCGCACCGTCGCAGGACAAGACTGTTACACAAACAGCAAGAATTTCTGTATGTCGGCATTGTCATACCCTTCCTTGTAGATCTATATCCATATCCAATTACATTCTCTATTTGTACACCTGATCTCCCATATCCAAGCCGTTACTCAGACCGTAGGTATGATAATTGAACGCCCAAAAAAGCACTGCCATTGTAAAGCACAAAACTCCTGCACGATGATATTTTCCCGTTTACCACGGAGGTCCGTTGGCAGCAATAAGCTCATCCTCCGAAGTCTTGAACTTCTCAGATTCCTTGAGGAATTGCTTGTGGAAGGTCTCGAGGAGAACACCGGGGAAGACGGCGCCGACGGCCTGGACAAGACGATCCTCCTTGCCGATCCAGACGTGCTTGATGAACTTGCCATCACAGCCTGAGTTGCTCTCGGGGAAGCCGTTAGCCTCCGTGCAGGGAAGCGAGAGAATCTCATCGCCGTACTCGTAGCGGATGAAGGTGCCGAAACCGCCCTGGTCGGTTGGTTGCCAGCCCTTGCGGTTGCGGAACTCGGTGCAGCCGGGGAACTTGCCGCCTTCGTTGGCGCAGTCGTCCCACTCCTTGAAGATCTCGTAAATCTTCTTCTTGTTCTGCATGATCATGAAGCCGGTGTTGAGGAACAGGTTGCCCCGACGGTCGCGGTTGTGCTGGGTGTCGGGGTCGTAGGGGAGAGCCATGGAGTTGTTCTTGGGGTCGATGCTCCAGTAGTTCATCAGCCACTCCATGGGGAGATCCAGCTTGTTGAAGAGGGCGTCGGAGTCGATGAAGACACAGACGTCATGCTTCTTGAGGACCTGAGATAGGACAGATGGCTTCTTCCATGAGTCGCGACGGTCGGGGTATCCGTTGATCTTGATGTGGTAGTACTCGTATCCGTGGATCTTGGCTATTGAGAAGTCAGTACACAGCGCATGCTGGAGATTAGCGATTGGACATACCGTAGACCCAGTGGTTGAGGGAGCCGCCAGACGGGCCGTGGACCTGTCGGCTTTTGTTCCAGGTCATCTCATCGGACCACAGCTGGCCGGGCTTGTCGAAGCGACGGCTCTCGAGATCAATGATGCAGAGCTTCTTGCCGAGAGGCTTGTTCCAGATGGGCTTGTCGGAGGGAAGCTTGGAGGGCCAGTGGCCGTAGGGGTAGTATTCAGGATCGTTGACCTTGACGGCGGGACGAATCCATTGATCGGGTGTGAAGACATCGAGGTTGGGGCCGCTGACCTTTTCGGGAATCGCAGGAGCCTCGGGGGCTTCGGGTTCCTCAGGTGCTTCGGACTCCTCGACATCTTCGGACTCTTCCATGGACTCGGAATCCTCAATAGCTTCAGGTGTAGACGTCGGCTCCTCCTCGGCAGCGGGAGCAGGAGTGGGATCGACCTCAGCGGCAACCTCTCCCTTAGCCTTTTCCTTGGCCTCCCCCTTGGCCTCCTCCTTAGCTTCCTTCTCAGCCTCCTTCATAGCTTGCTCCTCAGCCTCAGCGATCTCTTCAGGATCACTGGGGGCTTCGGCAGGGTCGACCTCGGGCGTGTCGGGGGTGACGGCATGGTGCTTCTCGGGCTCCGGGGTTTTGATCACGACCGGGACAACCGGTGTCGCGGCGACTTCTTCATCTTCGCCGGGGACGTAAGTCGCGACTGTAGCGGCGACTTCTTTCTCGGGGATGGCGGGAGCGGGTTCGTCACTGCAGAAGAAAAAAGATCAGAATTGGTTTCGGAGCATGCGGAAGAGGGGACTGGGGGCAAAGGTGGTTGCTTACACTCCGCTCTTGAGGGTTGTCGACGTCTCAATGGGAGACTTCAGATGGAAATGCGCCAAGCCGAGAAAGATGGTGATAAAGACAACGGCGGCCAAGACCACCGCTCTGTTGGAGCGTGGCACGGTCATTTTTGCGGGCGACGAATAATTACTGCAAGTACTGTAGCAAAATTCGACAAAGATGATAAAGAGTGTAAGAAACGAACGGGGGAGAAACAAGAAAAGAAAGAACAAAAACGATAAAACCAGCTCAGCTCAGCTTGAAGTGAGAGAGGAGGGGGGGGCGAAGAAGGGGACCCCTGACTCTCTTTTTAACCAGGGGGTTGTTTTTGGGGGGGCCTCTCCCTAAGACGAAGCATCAGGATACGCGTCCACTAAACTTTTTTTCTTAGGATGGGGAATCTTGTTCTTGTCTCAGTAGCGCTTCAACTCAAACATGCATGTAAGCAAAAGGGACGCCAGCGGTTGGCTGTGGGCTGCGTACAGAGCACACTCTGACGCCTCGTTGATCCACCCCAATTAATCTGTGACGGGTGCTTCATGAGAAAGGGGATGGCATGAGGCCACGGTAGTTGAGTTAACCTTGTTTTCCTTGTGTTTCTAGGGTGTCAACTGTTGAGTTCAGAGCAGGTGTTCAGACGGCAGTTGGGTTCATTTTACAGTGAACAAGATATTTATAGAGGCGTCTATTTCTGGATGACATTGGTACTGAGGTTGGACGAGATGCGGGGGCCTTCTGGGCTCGGAACTCTGAAGCTGATGCCGACCCCTTCAGGCGTTGATCCCTTTAATGGATCCCTTCCCGCCAAGCAATTTCCTCCCAGATCTTATCATCTTCCAACATGTTTCTAGACTGGTATCGCAAGAAGCTTCTCTCCAAACTCTTGCGCCATCTAATGTTATGCTTGTCTTGGCTACCTATTTACTGACCTGCACTTGTGTAACTATGTAACCAATATTAACTTTTGACGTCTCACGTCAGCGTCATCGCAGCACAGAATCACCTGTCGCGATAGCACTCATCACAGCCCAAAACTAACTTTCCAGACACTCTTCAAAATCTCGAGGCTGGAACTCAATTCCTTCTTCGCCTCGAAACCGCCGTAGCTTAAACGAAGCACAACGCCTAACGGTCCGGCGCCACTGGTTTGAGCCCAAATTCGCCAGCGTCTGACAGCCCGCAATGGCGCACGCTTCAAATGTCCACCATCAACATTCTGACTCCCAGCCTTATCAGGATAGGAGAACTGAAGACCCCCGATAAAGAAATATTGCTGTTTTAGCCCTTTTTTGTACTCGGGTCTTGACTTGAAGCTGCAAAAAAAGAGGGGGTTTGTCCGGTGAAGCTAAAGACGCCACGTCAAAATATTTTAATTGGGGGCTTCACAACGCCATCTTGATGATATGTGATCACTGAGTGCCATCGTGCACTTCCTCCATCGTTGCTTCACATAGCACAAAGCATATCATTCTCACATTTGTCCTTCGGCTTAGCTCATATATACAGGCAAACAAACAAGGCCAGAAGACTGTCGATCGGCAGATACTGGACCCTTCAAAACGCGCTGAAGCTCGAATAACAACCCCCTGGGCTAGCGCCTGTGCATCCCTGCTTAACAACGCATTCCAAAACATAGCGCGTCCAAAGGCCAATCATCATCATGTTTACCAGCTAGCCCTGATACCCCTTCACGCTATCGATTTGTTTCAATTCTTTTGGACACGCTATTGAAGTTATCGTGAGTTTTCGCTGCATTGGTTCAGGGGGAGACGACTTTTGTCAAGCTGAGCTGTGGGTTTCCGGCTTCAGACACTAGTGCGTGTCAGTGGTCGGTGGTGTCGCCAAAGTTTGTCCCAAGGTTGTCATTTATTCCTGCTCTTTTATAATGCTAAAGGTTGAAGAAATTGTGAGTTTAATGGGTCCCCCAAGGTCAAATATTCTGGAAAAGACATGTTTCCTCAAAAAGCTAAAGCAGGCAAGCATATCGAGTCCAGGCTGAGCTTGTGCAAAGGGCTTGCCGCCGGAGCCAAATTTGTTGTGCTTTGGTCTATAGGGTATGTCAATTCACCAAGACATTTGAGGCTGATAACAGGTTTTTGGGCAGTCATGGACGACTTGTCTCCAGATTGTACTCTTTGGCAACCAATCCATAAGTCGAATAATACTGAAATAGTTAAAAATAAAATCTCGTGAGGAACTAACGACTCGTTAAATCGGTATAATACCCGAGCCCTCAGGGTGAAATAAAACACCAGACGTAGGACGAAAATTAGACGACTTTATGCTTTAATAAGAATATTTAGATAAATTATTTTTGCTGTTAGATTAATATTGAAATAATCGCTAAGCCTTAGTCTAATATTTAATAACTTTATTATATCTCAGAGCCGATTAATTGTGGCATATGATAGTCTACATCTACTTAATTTCTCACGTCCGAAGTCTTCTTTCACCCCGTAGCCGAGCCCTCCGGGTGAAATAGGCAGCAGTATCTGAAGCCTGGTGAGCGACGGATTCCACAATGCTTGTTGCTAACTCATCTTGATTCAATCCTGACCGCCCAGCGGTGCAGTAAGCTTGACGTGAAGAGCAAATCCAATTATTGTTCTTATGGATGACATGGATCATGTTTCGTTTCAAGCTTTCCTGAACCACTAGAAGACGAATTCGATCCGGAGACGATGGCCAATGGGAGTTTGGATTTTAAGTAGGCCTCAAGGTTGTGACAATGTTAAGAACAAGACGAACATATACAAATGCAATAAGGTTGAAAAGTAAACTTGTGGTTCAGACGAGCCAAGTTTGCAATGCATGAATCCTCTTTGAACTGCAAGTTTACCTATGTTGTAAGCATCTCAATATAGTATCCAAGCCGAGAGCATACAAGCCGAAAAAGATATCGCAAAAATCCTTTATCTATAGCCCTAGCACATAATCAGTGGAGGTGTGGAAACCACCCTTTGCCCCAGGGTCTCCATCGTAGCTTCAAAGAGGCAAGCCGAAGCGCATGTTTCCACATTAAAATTCTAATCACACCGACTGGAAAAGATTGCGCAAGAGTTTAAAGATAAGGTTAAAAATCGAGAAGTAGCACTTTTAGAGTCACAAATTTACAAGATTCATCATACAGGTTGACAATGAAAGTGCCATTGTATGCTGTCGCTGGTGTTGCGACATCTTGTGTTGCGTTCCTTTTTGGGTATGTTCATGATCTTGAATGACTATGGGATCCGTCTAATCGTCGTGGGTAGGATGGACACAGGAAGCATCGGTCCTATTACTACCATGTCTTCCTTCAAAGATACATTTGGCGATTTCTCGGCTACTATACATGGAGTCATTGTCTCAACTATTCTTATCCCTGGCGCGTTGACAGCACTTGTTGCGGGTGCCCTAGCTCATCGCTTTGGACATGTTCGACTCATCGCCATTGGATCTATCATCTTTGGTATTGGAGCTGCTATTGAATGCGGTGCACCGTATCTCGGCGTTTTTATTTTTGGCAGACTCATCAAAGGAATAGGCGAGGGTCTCTTCCTGAGCAATGTCTACGTTCAAGTATCAGAGATGTCTCCATCCCGCGTGAGAGGCATCATGACAGCGCTTCCGCAGTTTCTCATCACGACCGGCATCGTCACAGGCTACTTTACTTGCTACGGGACATCAAGATTGGGTGACTCGTCTATCACCTGGCGTTTACCCTTGGCAATTGTGGCTTTTCTTGGAGTTTCTCTGTCGATGGTGGTATTCATTGTGCCTCCTTCTCCACGCTGGCTTCTCTCGAAAGGACGAACGGACGAAGCTAGATCAGTGTGCAGAAGGCTTGGAATCGACGAACTCGAAGAAAAAGAGCTTCTTTCCCAAGTCTACGACACATCTGGCATGCTGGATGGTGAGACATCACTCTGGCAGGATCTGCGGCATACTTTCAAGGATTTCAGATGTGCATTCTCTGCACCATACCGCGGCCGGACCGCCTTCGCTTGTTTTCTCATGGGGATGCAGCAGTTCAGCGGCATTGATGGAGTTTTGTACTACGCCCCAATACTCTTCACTCAAGCAGGTCTCAGCGGTGAAAAGGCTTCGTTCTTGGCATCTGGAATATCCGCTGTCGTGATTCTTGCTGCAACACTTCCTGCTACCATTTTTGCGGATCGATGGGGGAGACGCATGCAGAGCATCCTAGGCGGTGTCTTGATCGTGGGCCTGATGGTAATCATGGGATCACTATATGCAGCTGGACAGGTCCATCCGGAACACGGTGCGGGTAGATGGGTTGTCATTGTCTGCATCTACCTTTTCGCTATTGCGTTCAGCTTCACGTGGGCCATCGGCTTTCGAACGTGGGTGGTAGAGAGCATGCCGCGAAGGACAAGGAGCAGTGCCTCTAGCCTTGCGCAAAGTTCAAACTGGGTATGTAACATCACAAGACACGCTGCTCATTACGTACTGACCATTATTTTAGACTGCGAACTATATCGTGGCGCTTGTGACGCCAGTACTTCTTGATAAGTCGTCGTTTGGCGCATACTACCTTTTTGCTGGGTGTAGTTTGGCTACAACAGTGATGGTCGTCTTGTTCATGGGTGAGACCAAGGGTTATAGCTTGGAAGAGATCGAGGAAAGGCATGGTGAGAGGAGAGAGAAGAGCATTCCATTCAACTTGTGAGGGGGACGGGTGTTACCGATAGGATACGATATGATCTTAGATATTAAAGCACAAGAGATAGACAACATAGATATGGTAATTGCTTATGATCGACACACTAAAAGCCACCAGTCCACGAGAAGCATCTGATAAAATGTCTTTGGAATGTAACGTGAACTCATCACACAGGCTGCGGCAGTATGCCAGGTGTATAATTCGGGTATTGAACTCCCAATACTGTTGTGGCGCATGTTCAATTGGAAGCACACCTGAGAGTAGTGTTTGTAGGGTGCATCTTGGTCTGAACACCGTCGTTTTTTTGTGCTGCAGCTTCATATTGCATAAAACAGTCAGATAATTCAACAAGCGGGTTTAGCTCAGTTGGGAGAGCGTCAGACTGAAGTCAAACTTCGATCAATATCACTCGATATCTGAAGGTCATGTGTTCGATCCACATAAACCGCACGTTCTTTTTGCAATTGTACCTTTACTCCATCGTCTACAATAACCACATACGCGCCTTCTTTTTTTTGCTCTTCTTCCCTGTTTGATGTTACTTCTCATACCAGCCAGTCATGTATATGCCTGATAGAACAGTGCAGGCGAGTCAAGAATACACTATGGCCGTATTGTCCTCGGACAACGGACTTGGAGAACAAAAGCTGGGGATTGGTGGGAAGACATTTGACACCAATTGCTTGTCGTTTCATTCGATCAATGGGGAAGGTCTAGATGATCATATAACCGGGAGATCAACCCGAGGCTGCCCAATACGAAGTTGCATAGAGGCGTACCAATCACAACCATACATCCAAGTGATCAACCTTCGAGGCTGCTACCTTTGTAATGAAAAGGAAGAGCGTGATCACATTTACCTTTCGTATTGTAGTATTCATTGAACAGGAACTTTTGTAGACACGCAGGCAAGATACATAAAAGATGGTGGTCCTACGGGACAAGACTGAGCAGTGATCAAGACTGGTGGCCAAACCTCTAAGCCGTCATGCATTGTTTGAAGCAGCTAGGTGGAATTCTTGCCCTTCTGGCGCCGTTCATTCAGGCACAGAAAGACAACTTAGGTCTGAACAACGGCTACATCGACATCAAAACCAACACCTTCAAGGCTCGCATCGTTCGTGACGCGCAGGTACTTGCATCCTTGACCTCGGTCGACGACGCTTTTGACTTTTTGCCGTCCGATCGCCTCAATGTTCGTGCGCAAAATGGGCAATACCACTGGGGAGATATCACCTACCGCTATCGTAAAGAGGGTGGTGATGCATGGACCAGTGGTGATTCCGCGCAAAAGCGCCAGCCTGTGAAGAAAGTCTCTGTTGGGCAGTCGCTTGCAGCTTCTACTCTTTCGCCGACACTGCCAAAGGGCCCTCTGAATATCACACGCGAATGGCTTGATGTCAAAGGAGATTTAGGCCTTCGATTTACATTGACCAACAGCGGAGAGGACTCGCTTGAACTGGGCAGTCTTGGATTCCCTGCCGAGTTCAACAGTATCTTCACCGGCCGGACTGCCGAGGAGATGCAAGCCCATTGCTCTCTTTCAGACTCTTACATCGGCCAAGACGCAGGTCAGATCCGAGTCACACCCGTCAAAGGCACCGGCAAAGGGCTCGTTGTTACGCCACTCGACGGTACCAAGTCGCCACTTGAAGCATACAGAAATCTGGATGAACCCTACTTTGGGTCAACTGGCTATGCAAGCCAGACGTTTGAGGGATTCTATGAATGGCAGATGCTGAGCAAAGCCTGGGCGGACAAGGAATGGAAAGGCCAGAAACCTTGGAATGAGCCGACATCTAAGATGTTGAAGCCTGGCGAATCGCTCAAAGTTGGGGTCCGGTTCTCTCTGTCTGATTCCGTTCGCGACTTTGACAAGGCCGTCCGTAAGACTGGAAACCCTGTTGCTGTGGGCGTTCCTGGGTACACCATTTCACGCGACCTTCCAGCGCAGCTTACCGTCAAGAGTGATAGCAAAGTGGCTTCTATTACTGTTTCGCCAACGGGGTCTTTCGGAATCAAGGAGCAACGCGATGGAACGTATACTCTGACACCCTCTTCTTCTGCATGGGGCCGCGTTCGTGTCAATGTCAAATACGAAGACAACAAGGTACAGACCATTCACTACTTTGTGACCAAGACCACAACAGAAACCCTCAATGACCTCGGAAACTTTCTCACCACTAAGGCTTGGTTCAACGAAACTTCCGATCCCTTCAAGCGATCTCCTTCTGTCATGACCTATGACTACGAGAAAGGTGCCATTGTTGAGCAGGACCCAAGAGTTTGGATCGCAGGGCTCAGTGACGAAGGCGGCACAGGCGCTTATGTCGCGGCGGTTCTTAAGCAAGTCATCCAGCCGAACGCCGAGGAGATTGCCAAGCTCGATGAGTTTGTGCAAACTACGATATGGGGCGGACTGCAAGGTGAAGACTACGGCGTACGCAAGTCGCTCTTTTTCTATGAGCCATCTGCGGTGGGCTACGCGTACAGCAAAGACATCGACTGGACTTCCTGGACATCCTGGGATAAGAAGGCCGCATCCAGCCTCGACAGAGCGTATAACTATGTCCACGTCACAGTAGCGTACTGGTCTATGTATCGCGTCGCACGAGCATACCCAGAACTTGTTTCCAAGCCTTGGACGTGGTACTTGAGTCAAGCTCATAAAACAATCATTCGAATGACGCAGAAGGATGTGGCATACAGTGATGTCGGCCTGATGGGAGAGACTGTATTTGGAGAGGTCCTCATCGATCTGAAACGAGAGGGAAATGACACCGTCGCTGGTGCTTTGGAAAGCGCAATGAAGAAACGTGCTGAGCTATGGCACTCGCAGAAAATTCCATATGGAAGTGAAATGGCCTGGGACTCAACTGGACAGGAAGGTGTCTACTACTGGACTAGGTAAGTCTTGTCGGGGAGTTTAGTGTGCATTGCTAATGGCTTAGACACTTTGGGTTTGATGATTCGGTTCAGAAGACGATTGATAGCGTGTTGGGCTATATGGCTAACGTACCGCACTGGGGATGGAATGGTAATGCTCGCAGATACTGGGATTTTATGTAAGTTGCTGAATATAGGCTTGTTTCATTGACATGCTGATTATAAACAGCTATGGAGGAAAACTCAAAAGAATTGAGCGTCAGATCCACCACTACGGTTCCGGTTTGAACTCTCAAGTCTTACTCTCAGCATTCCGCGATGATCCATCAGACTCTTACCTACTTCGCGTTGGGTACGCCGGTTCATACGCCCCTCTCACCAACATCAACCAAGACGGCTTCCCCAGCGCCGCGTTCCATTCTTACCCTGATACGCTCAAGTGGGATGGGATCACGGGTGATTACGGAGGCGGATTCATTGGCACCGTACTGAACTCGGGCACTTATGTTGCTGATGACAAGGAACTTGGCGTTGTTGCTTTTGGAGGTATTCTGTCTAAGGAGGGGGGTAAGTATACGGTCCAGCCCAGGGATGCTGTTAGGAAGAGGATTTTCATCGGTCCTTTGAAGCTTTTGGTCACTATCGATGCAGGGTCTATCCAGGAGTTCACTTTTGATACTGCACAGAATGCGGTACAAGTCACTCTGGCGCAAGTGAAGGGCTCTCCTCAGGCGGCTAAAGCTGCGATATGGGTGGAATCGACGGGTGCGGAGAAGTGGACGATGAAGGCAAAGGGTGCTACCGAGGGACGAGGTGGGTGGACTGTTCCTCTGCCTGCATCCGAATCTATCACCCTAGCTCTTACTGGGGTGTAAGCAGAAGAAGCTTCATACCATGCTGGACAAACCCTTCATCTCTAGTGTAGACTTTCCAGTGTCAGGGAATATCATCACGCGATAGGTCACTCTTTGAATGACAGTCTGAAATTTCATTTTAGTATCTCAAGCTATCTACTACTGAAGCTCATGTGCGGAGTTTCTAGCAGGGGCCGTATCCCTGAGCCTTACTCCATTGTCGTTGGGTGCCTCATGAATAGGATTTGAATCCGCCTGCAGGATCGGATTCGAGTCAGCTTGTAGGATCGGATTTGAGTCAGCTTGTAAAATGGGGTTTGAATCAGCATGTAGAATAGGGTTTGAATCGGCGTGGAGAACAGGATTCGAGTCAGCATGCAAAATCGGATTTGATTCAGCTTCCGTAGAGTAATTTCCCACAATCCCTCTCCTCAAAGCATGTTGCCGGTCCGGTCTAGGCATGCTGTCGTTCTCGGGATATGGTCGTTGAGAAAGAGTGACATCCATAGGTTGAGGCATTCCATCGTCCTCTGGATATGCGAGTTGCAGGGGCGTAATGTTGACAGCTCGAGAATCAACTTCAGTGTACCTGTTGCCCTCTGTTCCCTCAGCTTCAGCAGGGCTAGTCTGGGGGATGACCTGCACGGCTGCATTGTCCTTCCCGCTTGATGCATCATCTTTCTTTTCACTCAGAGCTGCTACAGCAGAATTTGGTACGGTTGGACGATCTCGACGTTTGTAAACGCAAAAGACTCCAAGAAACAGAAACCCAATGAAGGAAACACCGCCAACAGTCCCGCCTACAATAGCAGGCGTCGAAGACTTAACGGTGCTATCCCTGGGATCGCCTGTTGGGGTCGCTGTCTGTACAATTGTTGTTCGAACGACGCTCTGAAGTGTACTCGTCGCACTGGTTGTCTTTGTTTTGCTGGAAGTCGGGCTCGGAGCTTTGAGCGTGTAGACCACGGCGCCGCTGTCGCAACAGTCGCTTCCATCTGCTGGAGGACAACAGTACTTATTCTTCCCGCATGTTGTCAAGGCGAACCAGGTACCAGAGTCCGCTTCTCGACGTCAGTCACGTAATTCATTCTTGTATAGAGTGGAGACACTCACCGTCCATGCAGACCTCTGGGCAATTGGACCAGTCTTTGTTCTGGCAAGCGGCGCGATAATCCCACTTTCCAGGTTGATTGCACAAACCGTTTGCGAGACATTTGTCGCCTTCGCCAAAGTAACAGCACGTTGAGTACGTCGTAGTCGAGTTCCCGCATGGTTCGTATTTATAGTCTTTTGCGGCGTTGCTGCCGTCGGGGTAAAAGCATGTCGCTATCGCTCGAGTCGCGAATACCGTTAAAACAGTCCATTTATGCATCTTAATATGTCCGGTCGTTGGTCGATAGTCAGGATTTTATTAATAACGTGAACATTTCAGGAACAAGACTCGAGAAAGGGGGACTCGTGACTATAAACTGTTTCTCAATTGTAAGCTAATATCAGCCGCTCTAGGGCTGAGGTCTTGTGGCTTCAATGGGCGCTGAACTATCGTGACTAGACCCTGCAGTGACAGCCATCCTAAACTAGGCGTTGGTCTAGATTCTGGTTCTGATCTCTGATTTGACGTCTTGGCGAAAATAAAGGGACGGTGCATTCTTCATTTTGGTTCTATGCCACAAACAGTTGGGTGTGTTTACCAAGGGAATGGTTCAGATTGGGGTTTATTCTCTGCCAATTGCAACATTCAATCGCATCCATCCCTACGGTGATAAAGATGCAGCCTTTCAAGCCACCATATGCAAGACACTTATGTCGCCGTGAAAGATAATATCTCCAACAGCAGTTTCCAAATACTAGCCATTTGGTCCCTCGAACAGGGCGTGCCCCAGTGTAACACACTGTACCGGTACCATAAAACACATGCTAATTGCTTGGTTTACTCGTCATTTTATAGTTGGCCAGTCTTGGGATGCCGTTGAGGCTTTGTCACGGAAAAGCAGAACAGTTACATGAATCAAGCAGATCGCAGTTGTCTTGCACGTATATTTGCTCGTGAGTCAAGCTCGAGCGTAAACTTATGTAATAAAGTTGAGAACTAAGGGAAAGGGAATAATATCCTAGACCCGTTACGCAGCCCTATCGAAGGATTGTACAGTTCCGTATAAAAGTCCCGACAATAAGCAAACAAGAGATATATAATTAAGTAGATATCTAAAATATAGTATTATTGAAAGATTTATTATATGATCTTATCTTAAGATTACATAAATTAAAAAGGTCTTATTGTGGTTTAGATACTTTTATATAAAATTTAAAATAGAGGAAATTATCAGAACTTTTACACGCCCACTGTATACACTTTATTCGCCCGCTCATCTCGTTTACGTGCGAAAGTTCTAAAAATGGATGATTATGTGGTAAGTAAACTAATAAACCTGCATCTGAGCGTAAGCTTATTCGGTCGCCTATCTGACTATTCCAAATCTACAGGCCCTGGTAACTTCCCTACGGTTTGATGATCACAGCGATAGATACGTTAACATAGAAAGACCATATGTTTACGAGACACAGGTTTTGTCTAAGTACAAACTCGAACTCACCAAACATCACAGTATTCTCGCAAACCCCACCGCATCTGCTGCTGTAAGTGCGGGTTTTGAAGTCTCGCTTCGTACTCTTTTCTCGGCTCGTCGCTCCCCTAAATTGATATGTACAGTTGAGATCCTATAAAATCAGAACTGTTAAATATCTTACTCGGTAGAGTCTAGAAGCCAAGCCTTCGCTCGGACTGTGGTGGTGTTGAGTCCGAGCGAGCCAATCGCAAACATATGGCGGTGTGTGATCAGAGCAGGGACACTTCGAGCATTTAATAGGCGAATGTTCTAACAACATCTGTTTATGCAACTTCATGCAGATCCTGTCTCTTATGGTGATATTCTTACTTTTCTTTTTGACTTAGGGGAACTGCTCCGTTGAATCTGCCAGGACTATAGTATCGCCAGATTACACATTCCGCGAAGCAACATGTTTTGGGATTTGTTGCGATAGACTGGCATCCATCAATCGAATTAAGCCAAGCAACCGCCGTTAGAGATGGAGCCGAGTGTCTGGAACTTCGGACTTGCAGCCCACATCATACAGTCTTGGCCTGCCAATTTGAGTCTAACGTATGCGTTGTCGGCCTGAGCATCCTTATGAGGCTGTGACCCTTGCATTTTTTAACTTCTCTCTCAGGCGGTATCCCGAACGTCATGGATTTCAGGACACACTAACTCTCGTCAAGGTCTTGGCACTATAGCCGTGGGCATAATTCCAAATTCTATACGTACCGTCAGTCCGAGTCCTCAGGGTGCGATCAATGATAGAATTCCTTCATTGAGCATGGATACATCCAGTAAAAAGAATAAAAGGGATCGTTCCCAGCCATAACTGCATATCTTCTCCTTTCCTCACCTTCATCACAACCTACGACACCAATACAACCTCACGCTATAACTCTGACACCGCCAACATGGTCACCTTCGCCGCTTCCATCGGCCTTTTCCTCACTGCCGCCTCCTCGGTCGTTGCAGTCCCTAATACCATCGAGGCGCGAAAAGTGAGCTGCATGGACAACTTGTCCGCAGACTCACTCGCCAACGTACGTATTGAACTTCATCCCCAACTATCACAATCACACAACTAACCCAAACTCCTTCAGGTCAAGGAGGCTGTTGAGTGTATCAACTACCTCGCTAGTCTTGGCAACCAGCCTTGTGTCGCCAAGGTCTCCGGCGAGTCCTTCTGCAGACGTGGAAACACTTAGATCACCGGACTTGCACGAAAAGGTCCTTCGGCAACTTCTACTTGGTAAGCCCACGCTCCAGATTGTCGTTCGGTTTGCTAGAGTGATTACTAACTCATTCGACAGCCAAGATGTTGCTCGTGGTGCTGGATTCATTATGGATAAGTGCTCTCGTGGTGACGGTAAGGTCCGAGGCCAGAATGAGGCTTGGGCCAACGGTAACCTTCTCGTTGACATCCGTAACAACCCTCTGTAAAGGAAGAGGATCGTGGGGTATTCTCTGGTCCGCTTTGAATCATTTCAAATTCTATACAATTTCAACGTATATATCACTTTTTATACAAAAGACACGAATGAATTTCTCGCATGAATTGAGGCAGGGAGTTTTATGTTTTAACTATCGATGGATTCCCCATACAAGATCAACCCAGTTGTAACGCACGACGGTAGGCTGTTGGTTAAAGTACCTGGTAGTATCTGGTCATGACCACATCAAAATATCAGAGGCTGTTCTCTCTCCCTTGTTGCTTGTTCTTTAGCAGACAAAGGCATCGGTTAACGAATCTGCTGAGTAACGAATATGAAGCAAAACACCGTAACTTGTCGACGAACAGACACCCCGTGGTTCTTCCTGCTAGGCATGGGCTTGTAGGATCCGGGTAAATAGAACCGCAAGGTCGGTTCTAGGCTCTGGCAACGATTCCTCCGCCTCTCCACTCATAACCCTGCTCTCCGGCCTGCCTGGCTCATGGAAGGATTCAATGGAACTCTCAAGAGGTCTAAATTTGATCCAAGGCACCAAGCGAGTAAGATTTTCTTACAGTCACTTCAAGGAATTGCAGTCTCAAGAATCTCTTAGTTAAGGTATTGAAGTACCTCTCATAATTTTCCTTCATATTTCGACCTAGTGTTCACAAAAGTTGTATTCATGTTGCCTCCACTCATCCTCAACAGCTCCCTGGAATCGACTCCGCTCGTCCATCAACTTCAGCCTGTGCTCCTTTGCCTCCTCAAGCGACATAAGCCCTGCAATCTTAGCAGCCTCTTTCTTCACCATATCCAGCAGCTCCTTGGGAAGAGGTGTTCCACTCTTGACAGCAGCTTCCAGTGCCGGGATGGAATGGCCTGGCGCAGCTTCAGATAATATATTTGCGATCGCGTTAGGGATCTTCTCGGCCTCTTCTGTGCTCAAGTTGCCGAATGCCTTCTCCAGCCACCAGCTCTGCTGCTGGGGAGGTACCATGGACGTACTGAGGGGTTTATTGTAGGGATCGACGAGCCACAGCGCGATAAAGCGCCGGTGGCCTGGCTTAGTCTTATCCTGCAGCTCGAACGGCGAGACTCGATGGTGAAATACGTTGGGGAAAGCCAGCAATCGGCCCTGTCTGGTCTCAACGTTACCGTATTGCTGAAGACAGTCTGCGCCCCTCAGCTTGGTGCCGTAAACACGCTCCATCCAGCCGAACGCATCCTGTCCTATACTCCAGTCTGATGGATCTTCTTCTGTTTGCATGCGGAAGTGAAGATGGCTGGGCGTCACATTCTCAGAATCCAGGTAATAAAGAGCTGTACCGATAATCTGTTCGTTCTCCAGACCTTCGATGTGCCAGCTTCCGGCGGGAAATTCGGGCTTGTCTGGAGTGAGTTCGATTGATGCCATCTTGACAATAACTTGGATGTCCACGAAGCGGTCATGCAACGAATCCCCCGGCTTCACATCATAGTCCAAGGCTTTGAACTCTGGGGCTTGTGGTTGGACAGGCTCTCGCGCCATCTCCCAAGCAATTCGATCGCGGGTCCCGTTGTAATGGCTGCCTCCTTCACTCTGGACTTGGATCTCGTCTTCCGATTCATCCTCATAGTCCTCTGAATCAGATGATGGGGGGTTCGAGATCGATTCTTCCTTTTCGGGGTCTCCCCGCTTGGCGCGTTGGGCGCGAGTGAAGACTTCTTCGTATGGGGTCCAGTTCTCCTCGTTTTCGTCGCTGATACAGTGAGTCTTTGTGACTGTAATTTGGGTGATGAAAACTTACTCAGGGTTTCTCGGCCTAGGGAATCGGGCTTTTGTCCTGCCAGCTGCCACAACCTGCTTCTTGCAGTCATCGCCTTCGTCTCGGTCAAACACGAGACAAAAGCTCCATGCTGGCAGCGCCGTCTCGATGAGCTTCTCGATGGTTGCGTATATTTCCGGGTACTTGTTAGGATGCAAGCCGTTGATGTAGCTAGCGAACTTGACGCTTCCATCTTCTAGAATCTTGACGTCAGAGGGCAGCCACTGGTAGTTTTCCGAGGAATACTCCTTCTTTTTGCTGTACTCGTCCTTGAGCATTACCTCTCCTTTACCACTCCACCGATGCACGGCATCCTCAACGCCAACGACTTCATCCATGAAAGCTCGTGATCTTTCGTAGACAAATGGATACAAGGACGGGTGTACGAGGTTCTGCACCATGTCGTTAGTGCGAGGGTGCCAGTCTGGATCATCCTTCTGGTCGTGTTGCAGCGTGGCGAAGGCAGCATGGAGGCGTCCATGGAGCTCTTCGTCTACGATACTGTCTGATTTGACTACTGTAGCCGTGGCATCCAGAGTTGGGACAATCCCGGATTTTATGAAGCACTTGGCCTTGGCACGGAGTTCTTTGATACACTGACAGCATGAGCATGATACCACACATGAGGAGGGAGACAATACTCACATATTCAAGACATCCCCTGTCAAGGATAGATGTGAGCTTTTTTGGGCGTGCGTGCCTAGGACCAACAGGGACGATATCATCGTACAGTGGCTCGACAGGAAGCGCAAGGGCTTCTTCAATCCATTTGTTAGTGATAGTATCGTCGAACACTTTAACATGCCAATCTGGCTTGTCGGTCAACCGGTCCATGATGATCATCATTGCGACCTCACGAACGAGGAGCATGCTGGAGGTATTCATAGACGAGGCATAGGTGATCGCTGTAGGATAACCTCCACCGTCTCGGCTATGGGTAGACTCGATGTCAGACATGAGGTCAGACATCATCATCTTAGATATTAGGCTTGCCAAGTGAAAATCAGATAAATAGAAGGTTTTCGTTCGCATAGAGAGCGGTGTGTTGGATTTATGTATCCGCGTGAGATTTTCGCGCGTTCATATAGAACTAACAATCAACGCGGCGCCACATCACGTGGGCCAGGCAGCACAGCACAAATGAGAGGACACAGACCGTTTTTTTCGGGGACCATTTGCAATATCGTGAGTTTTCTAATTCTTAGCTGAGTTTTGGCACTTCGATTGGGTACAAAGGTGGGCTGCAGTTACATCAGTAGGCAGCAATACGTGAGCTTTGTACTCACGTATCAGTTTGTAGACGAGTCTAAGATGTGGGAGAATTCAAGATAACTGTAGCATCTTGACATATCGATAATTCATTACAGTCCATTAATAGGAACCCGCTAACAGATGGAGGCGTTCAAAAAGAGCATACGATTGATTGAATAGCCTTAGTCAATGCCTGTGGACGATAAGGATAATATAATTGACACACCAATGAGAACTTGCTTCGTCAATCTCACCACTCTCAATCAATGGAGTACTAAGTCAAAGCTTATCACACATTGTACAGTTTCTCTTTGGCGTACTGTTTCACGATTGACACATATTGTAGCAGTTGCGACGTGACAAAATCGTGGTTCATGATTGGTGGAACTGGGGGTATCTGTCCCGCCATTATTCGCCATTTTAATACAGAATGGACTCAAACGCAATAGTTAGTAATTACACTTTTTGTGGTCTTTGGAAATAGTTGCAGCCCAGTCGAGATTACCATTGGAGGCAACGCCGTTCTTGCATCGTGAAACTTGTCAGTTTGGCCATCTCCCCTTCCTTAATCCCCGCTTTTGGGAACACTAATCAGCACGTGAGGATTATAATCCATCCTCGCAGCATCGTCTAGCCAAGCACAATTGAATACAGCATTTGGCTATAAGCTCATGCAATTATCTGATGCGCCATGCACCGCGAGAATCTTGTTTGATTCGCGAAAGGAATAATGGTTTATAGCCTACCCGGTAGGTAGCCTGCAGCCGCCAACCATGGAAAGCATTCCGAGGCGCCACCAATCGCGAAGGGACAGACTCCCCGCGCACGAGCCATGTAAAAAGCTTGTCCAGGACTCCAGGTGTCAATGTTGATCATGCCGCTACCACGCAAATTCAAACAAACGACGCTAGTAAGGCCCGACCTCGGCAAATCCCATCGTTTTGTTGGTTCACTCAAATATTGAGTCGCGTGCGCGTTTCAGGGAAGGAAAATCGAGGCTTGACCACTCTGTTGACAGCTGTTGAGGCTGCATTTCTCGTATGGCAAAGGAGTACGGAGTAGTATGGTTGGTTATAACCATTTAGTATCCGTAATGGTAAATTGGTGATCGTCAGGCGAGACAAGGACATGACGTTTCATGGCTTGATCCTTTTTGGCATCCCAGCATAGTCGCGTATCTACGCAAGCCGGCACGCATTGCCTGCCACGTACGCTTTCGAAGCTTTCGAAGCTTTACGAGAGTTAAAATGAAGTGGTAGTATTCGTAGTTTGGGTTTTGTTCGTATAGACGGAAATGACACTGAAGTATGCCATGATAGTCCGGCTAATAGTGCCGAACCGGCTGCTATGACCTGTGTCTATTGATTCTGGACGTCGACCCAAAAAGGAGGGTGACCCGCTTATCAATGCAGTGTTTGCAGATGAACTGCCGCCGTTGGAAAGGCGCTTCGCCAAGCAATACCCTGGTCGCCTTTTCTTTTTTTATGGCAGAAGGACGCTAGAAGGCAAGACGGTGCCCGCTACTGACACGACACCCAAGGTGGTCTATTGCTACCCCCGAGTCAGCCCTGGGAAATACGACTCGGCCAGTTATATTACAATGGCTGGAGAAAAGGGAGGGACTCCCACGACTCCTTAAGGATTGAGGCGTTGTTTGGAGGTTGTATCGGTGAAGAAAGCAGAAGCGATGGTTGGCTGTAGGGTATAAGCCTTCCAATCGCTTTGAAACGGTCTTGATCGTGCATATCCGTAAAGATGGTCAGCTTCGCCTTTTTTGCTACGGGCGATCCCGCACAATGACGGTATTTTGCTTCTGTAGGCTGAAGCCTGAAGGAAGGATGCTGGTACGCTTACGGCGCTATGCCTCCTGTGTCATGCCGAGAATATCGTTCCCCAGTTTCTGACAGCAGCAGCAGGTTTGTGCAAGATGATCTTGATCATGATTAGATCGAAAGAAGCCATTATTGGGATGCGCGTTCACTCATCCCCTCAGTAAAAGCAGGGAAATCTTGATGCACTGTAGTGGCGGTGCATGCATTGCACAATCCCACGGTGCGAATAGGCGCACCACAGTTGCATAAGAAGATTTTGTGCCACTCGGTAAATATCACAAATAGAGTAAGGGCCACAGCGGAAGAGCGTTAATACGGTGCCGGGACCGCCATCGCGGCTAAGAGGGCCTCGAGATCCCTGACACTTGGGCGTTGGAGAGTGGCGTAGCAGGAAACAATGCACTCTAACATCTCAGTCAAGCCAAGTGCGATTTCTCAGCAACAGGCAATTCGTCAGACGGGTGAACGGTTAGGTGACCGCAAATAGCCCAAAGGATGGAAGTGTCAAACTAGAGTCTATTCAGCCGGTGCAATTATTCCCGCCAACTGCACAACACTGCAGCGCACCACCTTTTTTCCGTAGAAACGCTTTCCATAATTGTAGTCGTGAAGAAATGGAGTGGACGGTTCCTCACCTCGTACTAGCCACGTTGCGACCCCTACTACCTTCTCCGCTCAGGCGGGAGCCGTACCCTGTTAAAACTAGCCCCTAATAATTTGCCTGCGGAACAGCTAATGAGTTACTTTTGGGGGGTCGCCAGAGAATGACAGTGCACGCACAGTCACACAGGGCACTGCCACTGCCCACAGTGACCGACCCCTGAACACGCGACCCCTTTCTTATTTGGCCTCGCTCCTTAGGAAGGTGCTACCCCACATTCTTCTAATTCATTGGAAAGGAAGGTGCAAATCGTGAGTCCCGCCCAGTCCAGACCAGATGTCGCAAGAGCACCTTTGGTCCTTAGCGTTTTAGCTTGACTTGGCCTCTGCTCTGCTTTGCTCTGTAACTGCAGCAGAGAGAAATAGTTACATTGGGGCTTATTTCCATTTTCTTCACTTTCCCTCTTCCTCCCCCATCTCTAATTACGCTGCGGCCTCCCTCCTTTCAACAACCAGCGAGCGGCCCTGCGGTTTGCATTTGTGTGCGTCTGCATCTGCGTCTCCGTCTCCGTCTCCGCGTTCTGCCGCTGCTTTCAACACCCGTCGACAGGCGCTCGACTATCCCGGCAAAATGTGTTTCCTCTTCTCGGTATCCTATGTTTTCGGCGTCTTCTTCGTCTCGATCCTCGGCAGCAAACTCCTGCATTTATGGACGCATTTCTTCACGGTCCCGTTAACAGCCTTCATTCTCTACCTACCGACATTCTTCCTCTTCGATTTATTGGCGATATGTATAGGAAGGCTTTTGTTGAGTCAGTCCAGGACACCGTGGGCATGGATCGGAAGCCTTTTCGGAAGCATAGTTACGTACGTTTTTCTCCCGCCGTTTTTGCGACCCGTCGCAAACTCAAAACTTTATCGCCGCTGTCTGGCGGATAAACAACAAACTAACTTTTGTCACGCGACAGACTCATTTCTATCGGCGGTTCTGCGTCACAGCTTGGATTCTTTGTTAAGACTGGAGGAGAGCTCGATTGGCGCGATGCGACAGCCTACGCAACCAGCAAGGAGGGCCTCAAGGTTCTTTTCAGCGGCAGCGAGGCTGTGATAGCTTGTGGAATCGGTCTGGTCATCATCGCCATGCCCATTCATGGCATTGTTTACCGCGCATTTGGTGCCTTCTTGGGCGCAATCGGCGAAAACATTCTCTCAGGTTCGTGTGCCAATCTCGGTTGCTTTGGTATGCATGCTAATCTTCCTTCACCCCTTTAGTCTACAGCTATTTCCGAAGCCTTCGCATGCGAATCCCCGGTCTTCAGCGCGGCAAGTACTCCGCCCTGAATAATGCCGATGCCGATCTCGAATCGTCGACCGATACATACTCTATGGATGAGGACCTCCGATCTAGCGCCGAAACCCCTTCGCGACTTGGTGGTGAGAAGCTTGCGTCCGCCCGTGGAAAGATTGCCCGCTTCTTTTCTCGTGTCCCATTCTTCTCGTGGCTGTGGAAGGTTGCTCTTGCGCTTTTCCTCGGCCTTACGCTCATCCTGCGACCTGCCAAGCCGTACGATTTCTTGTCAGTCACGCTCCCCGTGTCCATGCTCGATGTCTTCGCACCCGAACCCGATTTCTGTGCATCGCAGCGCGAGCTTGTCATGAACAACTTCCCTTTCCCTGAGCTTCTCAACGCTTCGTCTTGGAAGCAACCCGAGGGCGATTACTCCAAGGGTTGGGCACCTCTGGCCGACAAGTCGATGAGCCCTCTCGCTGAGGCCTACCGAAACCAGACCGTCGATTGGTTGCCTAAGGAGGGACAGCTTCCCCGTGGCTTCTTCCGCTATGACCCCAAGCGCTTCAAGAACGGCTACCATGGCTCGCTTGCTGACCCCAGCGCTCTAATCACCGACCACAAGTGCCCTCAAGTAACTTTTGCGGAGAAGGATCCCTACTACAACCCCGTGAACGACCCTCTGAAGATCACCAACCTCGACAACGACATCCTGCCGACTCTCAAGGAGGCGCTTGGAAATGGCGACGTCAAGATCAAGCACGTCGTCTTCATTCTGATGGAGAGTCTTCGTCAAGATCTCTGGCCGCTCCAGCAAGGCTCTCACACCCATAGCTTGATCATGGACCTCAACAAGAGCGACAAGGAAAAGGAGGACGCTAACGAAAGGCTGTCTTGGATGATGCCCCATATCGAGAAGATCACCGGTTTGTCTCAAGGGTTCACCGACAAGGACGGCAAGCCATACGCAAAGCCTAACTACACATGGGTCGACCAAGCGGAAGAGGGCTTTGGTGGTATCAATGTCGCGACCGCCTACACCGCTGCTACCATGTCTACCAAGAGCTACTGCGCCAACCACTGCGGTGCCTATCCCATGCCCGTCGAGAAGTTTGCCGAAGCCGACAGCGACAGCTACCAGCCTTGCATTCCCCAGATTCTCAGCATGATGAACAAGGTCAAGGAGAACACCTCCTCCTCCGACGCTGATTACCGCGACTTGCAGTGGAAGACCGCCCTATTCGAAGCCGAGATTGAGCAGTATGATCGTCAGGAGAAGTTCGACGCTAAACTGGGCTTTGAGCACATCATCACCAAGAAGGAGCTCGAAGCCGATTGGCGATTCAACGAGTCCGATGTTCTATACCACAAGATCAACTACTTCGCATACCCCGAGCCTATTCTTATGCCGTACCTCAAGGACTTCATACACAACACCACCAACAACAACCAGCGCATGTGGTTGACTCACTTTACTAGTACCACTCACCACGCCTGGGGGCTTCCAGAGGGCTACCCTTACCACGATTACGTGTCGCACACTGGCATGAACAGCCAGCACGACAACTTCAACAAGTACCTGAACACTATTCGCTACCACGATGGGTGGATGGCAAGCTTGATGAATCTTCTTGATGAACAGGGTATCTCTAACGAGACTCTTGTCGTCTTTGCTGGTGATCACGGACACTCATTCAAGGATGACGCTGGCAAGGAGGGCACCTACGAGAACCAGTTCATCTCCAACTACCGAGTCGGCCTGACCTTCCGACACCCTCACCTCCCTCGTGTGCAGTACGACGCCAACACCACCACTATCTCTATCCTACCGACCATCCTCGACCTCCTCATCAACAGTGGCTCCCTCAACGACAAGGATACCCACATCGCCTCCGATCTCGTACAAGACTATGAGGGCCAGTCTCTCATCCGACCCTACAAGAAGTCCGACGGCGACCGACGCGCATGGACTTTCTCCGTCGTCAACTCTGGTGCTGGTATGCTTGGTGTCACCTCCGCCGATGTGCCCTGGAGGTTGGTCATTCCCCTTAACAAGGTCATTGAGTACCGGGTGACCGATGCTGTCAACGACCCTATGGAGTTGAAGCCTGCTGCTGCGTGGTCTCCAGAGGAACTCGGGCCCGTTGTCCAGACCGCGTTCGGCGACGAGGCTGCTGCATGGGCCGCCGAGGCTATCCCCATAGCACAGTGGTGGGTTCTTGAGCGTCAACGTTTGTGGCGCTATCACTCTTTGTCATCATAGACAAGCAACATCGCATTTCTTCTTTCTTGCATTATCAGGCGTTTTCGGGGCTCTTGCTCAAATCTCATCTACTTGTGTGCCGTCGCACACAAATGCATTTACACATCATATCACACCAAGTACGGACGACAACCCCAAGCTATCCCCGGATGGATCACGGCGGGGGTTTGCTCAATCTCTTGAAACAGCGATAATAATCTTTTCGGCAAACCTTGCATTTTTTGCTCTTGTAAAACGGACGACGACAAGTGGGCTACGATGCGAGATAGAAAGGGAACGGACAAATACCAATGTCATCCTTCTTTGTTTTTATATATATACACAAGTCATTGCAACCACTACCTATTTCTCATAGGCGGAGTTTTGGGGGATGGATGGGGCTGTGTTTACGGTCGGTATGCCATGGCTTTTTGGGCATCTCTTTTATCATCACTTTCCAGTGTACAGCGTTTAGAGGGTTTCTATAACCAATGCATAACTTGACTTACTTCTGATATTTCACTGGTGCTTGACTCAATCCTGTTGTGGTCGTATGACGGTTCGTAGGGCAGAGCTTGTCTAGCCTCATTCTGTTGGATGGGTAACATTGCGCTCCCGGTGAATGGGTCCGCTAATAAGAGGGTTTTCGCAAGTCAATCTTGACTAGGGGACTGAGTGTGACAGATGGTCCATGTAACGCTACGAAACAAAGGGGCGAGGCGGTCTGTACGTACCCCTGACGATGGGCATCTTGTGTCGATCGCTGAAATTGTGACCGCAATAGTCTTTCCGTATTGGAGTAGCAGCAACTTGATAAGACAACCACATAAAACAGACCGCTCAAGTTCTGAACTAGCAATCCGTCTACAATTGTCGATATGACCGAATGCTTGATCTTGGAATGTGAGGACTCACGATGGACCTGAGACCGCCTGTTACTCGCCACAAGCTCCTTCGAGACACAAGAAACGCTCCGTGACTCAAGTGGCCTTGTTGAAACGGTTTTCATTGCATATTTGAAGTTTTGAACTAACATGGGAAGACTCCTGTAGATAAGCTTAAAACAAGCTTTGTGTGATCTCAGCTTCCTGATTATGCGCGTGCTTAGTATCGGCGCTAGGAATTGATAGGTTTCTTATCATACCTTTCTTCTTATCTGGTATTGTAGCGCATGAATATTAGTTGTGTTGTTTGATTGGGTAAGATCATGTCTATAAGCTGAATGCCATGTTTTCTGTTTGAGTAAATGGTGGTGTTGTGGTTGATGTGATCCTACCTTACTCTTCATACAAGTGTTGGGACTCAGATCTTGAAAATGCCATAACAGGATATATTGCAAAACCGTCTGCTCTGGTCTGGATATCCATTATTCTGCCACCTCTCTCCTAATCATCTCCACTGGTCTAATCTTTCATTCGCCCATCATTTCGCCAACAATTCCTCTCTATGTTTCTCAACCCATGACGCAAGCGTCGTGGGTTTTCTTTCAGTATACTTCTCAAAATTCCCCGAAGCCTCCTTATATACATCAGGAGCATACAAACCTGACGGGTCTCGCGCAAGATCGGCTAAGCGCTCCACGCTAGACTTGATCATGGGTGGCGGGAAGCCTCTCGCCTCAAGCTTCTTGCGATGCTCCTCATCGGTGATTTCCTTGACAGTGATATCCATGCCAAGTCCTTTGCTGATGATACTCCATGCATTTTTCTGGGAGATCAACTCAGGTCCGCATTGTGTGATGACCAATTCACCCGACGAAGGCGCTGGCTTGACGATTCTCGCCCCTGCAAGGGCACCGACATCCTCTGGAGCAAGATAGTCAAAGGGGGCCTCGGGATAAGCAATGCCAAGTTCACCTCTTTTAACCTCGTCCCAATCTTCGAGCATTTGGATGTTACTGGAGAAGTACGCTGGCCGTATGATGGTACAAGCAATGCCACTCTCGGCTAGCGCAAGCTCAGCTTTGCCATGAACAACCGCCAGAATCTCCTCTGCCTTGGCTGACGCTTTCGCACCCCCGTTCTCAGTGACACAGAACGAAGAGAGGAGGACGATATGCGTAATACCAGCCCTCTTCATAGCTTTGTATGTTTCCAGGAGACCATCCTCGGCGTCAAAGAGGATATAAGAGAACGCAACTGTTGCGCCAGATTCGGACACGGCGCGCTCAACGGACTGGGGATCGGAGAGATCTGCCTGAACACGGGTGAAGCCTAACTCTTGCTCAGTTGCTGATGTGAGGCCTGGGATGGGTTTCTTGGTGTTTCGCATTGCGAGGGTGACTTGGGCGCCCTGGGACTGGGCTTCCAAGGCTGCGGCTCGACCGACTGCGCCTGTTGCGCCGAAGATAATGGCTTTGATGGGGGACATGTTGATGTTTGCTATTGACTTGTTTACAATATGAGTTTAGTTTGATGGTGGACAAGAACATCTCGTTGCAATGGATTTATATAAGTATTTGACACAGTATATCCCCGCTGTATCGGTCTTTTCGTGTAGAACTTCGGTATTCCATTTTGTCCGTCGAGGTTAGTGCCTGAGATCGTCGAGATCTAATCGCCACGCACGTCAACCAATGGATGGCGCAAATAGAGTGATGGAATAGCCCGAAGATCCACTGCACGTCTGTTTAGATCGATTTCGGACAGTTTAAGTGTCCGATGATGCCCGTTGATGGCGTGGTGTATTGGTGGGTCGTGGCTACGTAATCGACTTGAAAGATGCGCTTCGCCATGGCTGAGATGGTAGTAGCCGTTATAAAACTAGCCCATGAGATTGTTTAATCCATCAATGGGATCTAAAGATTGAGGTTACTTTTGTGGTTTTTCCTACAGGTGAAGAATGACGCAGGTCTATCTTTCATTGCAGCCTCGGCCAAGCAACATGTTTGCGATGAACTCTACAGCCTGTAGCCAAGTTATCACGATTGAACAACTCCATATCATGGGAGAAACAGAGGGAAACTCGCCTGACTTGGCTGGTATTGTAGTCGCGTTCATGTTCATAACGTATCGAACACTCATCGACCGGCTGGTTCCCCTTGGCGATGCAAGTAAGATGCGAATGATCAAGCCCAACTCAAGTCAAACAGGAATACATCCTCACGCAACTGGGAAGCTGTAGAACACACTGTGTTCTTCCTCACGAAAGAGTTTCTCTCCTATGATATTGCCGACTTTGGTAGTTAACATCAGAGTCTTTGCCAGTGATGCCAATATCGTATGATGAACCAATCTGAACCAAATATTGCCAGTCACAACTTACGGACTCCAGCCCTGACTGAATCAATAATTAAATCACTAGTAATCTTTCAACCTATACCATTATATCATCATGTACCCAGACTTGTTTCTCCTGTCAAGCTCAATGGTATCTCTTATCGGTGGTATCGTCTGAACCGGAGGACTGATTGTGTACGCCTGATTATAGTAAATTGGCCCGTATTTTGCAAGGTCAGCTTGAGTTTTGTACTTTGACTCGTGAAGCATCCGCAAGCTCAAGTGTTGAATGATCTTTTCAAATCAAGAACACACCATCCGACGAATAGTGCGTGTTCTGCACAAAACCAGGTGGAGGCATCTACTGCAGCAGTGTATTCATTCGAGATGGTAAACATAAGAAGACTCCAAGAATATGTGCTCAAACCAACTCGAAATCAAGCGAGCCTCCTTCTTTTTCCTGCAGGTGTTGATTAGATGATGATAAATGATGATGGTTGAATTAACCTTGATCGATATCTCGGCGATGTTACTGGATAATGTATTATTAGGCTTCATCTTTATTTGACGTGGTCACGCTGATGGACGAGCAACATGCAAAAGTTAAATTGGCTTGATAAGCCTTGGTCCTTACTTGTGGTCATGGAAGTCTGAGTAAATCAACACATGGTCTTTTCTTCCAGAGTAGACATGATGACCTCATGCTCATAGGCGCTTGCTCATTTGTTGAGTTTTTCGGCGAGACAGGTAAAAAAGCTTTCACATCCGAGTTTAACCAGTACCCCTCTTTCAAGACACATCGTGTCGCCCTCTTCTGTTGAAGAATGTCAAAATACGTTGCTGGGGAAAAGTAACAGGGGAAGCGGTGAAGATGCGTCATTGAAGTCTTGGCACAAATGCTTATTTCCGGCGGCTGATCCGGGTCAAGATTTATGTCTGGTCTCTGCGCAACAAGGCGGCTGTTTTGAGTTGGAGCCTTGCAGCCCCGAATTGACAAGGCTAGGTGTTGCATGCTACACCTTTCGCTTCAGATTGAGATCTCACGTCCAGTAAAACACGAGTTTAAATGCCCTTTGATTGCGATTTACCTCGTCAATGCTTTCGTGCCCAGACCCTCAAAATCCACATTCCTTAGTGGTTCTGCGGGGCCTAGTCATCTCCCGAGGCGACAGGGGCTTGAACATTGGCATTGGCTCTTGATGAATGCTAGAAATAATTTGGAAGCTTTTTTAGAACACACAAAAGTAATTTGGCAGCCATCATATAAGGATATGTGTTCACCGCCAAGGCTTGGATTGGATGACGCAGAGACACTGCGACGATAAAGAGTCAATCGATCTCCCCGCTATAGAGATAAAAAATAATACAGGGACGCGACGCTAAATACCTCGCTGGGGCCAGACCCAATGTTTTCAATTAACAAGCCAGCAAAGCAGATTATAAATTATCGCCCTGGGGCCTGGGAGAAAAATCAGGGGTAAATTTGACAACAGTCCATGCTTTTAGCTCGGCTTTAGCGACAGACGACTCGCCCATTAACTTATCTTTTATCTCTTTTCTCCCTATCGTCAGGCCTCCTTTTTTAAATTTATCCCAACTCACCCTGTCGGCCCCTTTCCCACCCACCAGACTCTTTCTTTTTTTGAAGCTTCACAATTTTTATCTTTTCTTTTTAATTGTTTTGCACAACCTTCGCTTCTCAATGAGTCCCTCCCTCGTCTCGGAGACGCCCAGATACAATGACTGCTCACAGGCAAGTGGGAGCGAAGATGAAGATGACCCGTCTGACCCGTTGAATGGCGGTGCGGCTCACCATGGCCTTGACTTCAGCATACGAGGTGCGCAACAACCGGCCCCCTAATTTTTGCTCAATTTTTCTGCTCTTCTCGGCGGTATATAAGTGTTTCAGAAAACTGATCAAGCAAGCTCATTAAAAGACACCATGAAGCGAGCGCTTCGTGCATCATCACGCTTAGGAGACGGGGTCCGCTATCAGCAGCTGGGAGTTTCAACGAGCGATCTGGAGACGCAGTCACCGCCTGTTGAGCGGGCTGGCTTCGACTTTGGCTCGAGCCACGAGGGCCTTTCGTTTTTCGGCCACGTCCGCTCTACCGTCGTCGCGTCGAGACTCAATTGGCTGCTTGTTTTCGTGCCCATTGGTCTGGCGGCGCATTCTTTCGAGATCAATCCCCTGGCCATTTTCATGACCAATGCTATCGCCATTGTACCCCTGTCTGTCATGTTGACCGAGGCGACGGAGCGTATAGCTGCTGATGCGGGAGACACGATTGGAGCCTTGTTGAATATTACGCTTGGTAATCTCGTTGAATTGATCATCCTGTGAGTTTTCAAGGTCTTATTTGGACGATTTGAGCTAACATGTTTGTAAGGGTGTAAGTTGAAGATGAGGCTGAGTCTCACACAAAACTGACTTTTGCAGGGTTGCGCTGGTAAACAACCACATCCGCATTGTACAAGCATCCATTCTGGGCAGTGTGCTTGTGAATCTGCTTCTCATTCTTGGCTCCGCTCTTTTTGCTAGTAGCATGTCCAATCCTGACCCTCACAGCAGCATGGAAGAATCCGAGCTTTTGGCCGCTCTTCTCTTTGTCTCTGTGTTTGTCATTCTCATCCCGGTGAGTTTGTGTGACTTCTGCTTCTTCCATCCTCCTGCTGACCCTAGCAGACTGCATTTGACTACACCTTCCACATGAAGGGCAAGTCAAGTGAGGCCGCTCTGAGTATGAGCCGTGCTTCGGCTTTGGTAGTTCTCGTCATTTACATTGTTTACTTCGCGCATGAGATGAGAGGTAAGAAGGTGGAAGCACCAGCTATCCCGCTACAGACTCTCCACGCAGGCCACGCGGATCACCACAACCATCGACGCAACCGGAACTCGACATCTCACGGTTCTCGACTCATTCGTTTTGTCGACCAAGATGTTCCGACTCGTGCCCGAAGCACAACTCTCGATACGAGTAGGGTAGCTCCTGCTCGAGAGACAAGCGAGGACCGCGGGAAGAGAGAGACTGCTCCGCGCGCCAGTCTGTCTCATCGATCAAGAGGAAACTCGCGCTCTCACTCTCATTCTCGCTCAGGCTCGCGCACCGAATTCTACGGATCTGAGCTACGAGACCTTTCTGTCAGTGGTGCGCACACGCGAACGCTTTCAGAGCTCCCCGAGGTACCCAACCACGCACCGCACGTTTCTAGCACCAGTAGCATGGTGGCTGCGGTCGCAGTCCTGGTATTCTCATCAGCCCTCATGTCCATGAACGCCGAATTTCTCGTCAAGACGATTGACGACGTTACGCATGAGGGAGGTCTGTCAGAAGCGCTGATCGGTCTGATTATTTTGCCTGTTGTTGGAAACATCGCAGAGTACGTGACTGTTGTCACCGTCGCGATGAGGAACAAGCTCGAGCTTGCAATTTCCGTTGCCGTCGGTTCAGCCATCCAAATCGCTCTATGCGTAGCGCCCTTGACGGTTCTGATTGCTTGGATGCTGGGTCGTGATCTGGAAATGGCCTTCAACGTTTTTGAGACAACGACGTTGGTTGGCTCGGGATTACTTATCAACCTGCTCATTCTTAGTCGAGCTAATACTGCTATAAGAGCCATAGGCTTAAAAGGAGCTCTCATGATGGCCTGCTACATCATTATTAGGTGAGTTATCCTGTGCTTTGAAACGGGGCATTTGCTAACAGTTTACAGTCTTGGCGCGTACTATGAGCCTCACGCAACGAAATAGACTTGGGGGTTTGGGCTATTAGAAGAATTTTATGATAATATCAAGACAACCATTTTAAGATATATAATTTCACTAGACACATTCCCACAATTCAGAAGCAACTAAGCTTGCTATTATTACCATGCACCGCCCAACTTGGGGGCCAGGCCAGAACTGCACATCTTGCTCCCCCCTTCCAGAAGTTCGAGGACCCTTGAACCGTCATAATTAAACCTCGAGAGTAAACTCTAAACTCAAACTCTAAGCTTCTGTGGGATATGACGTAGAATATGCTGTAACGAGCTAATCAGAGTTTCTTCCTCAACTCTAAAACAGCCTTCCTGGGAATTGGAGACGTACATGCCTGAGGCACCAAGTGTCCCGCATGCAACTCCAAAACACTGCTGACGTACATGGCCAGCAGCGTCATGTTGATCACATCAAGACTTTGCCGTTTTGAATCTCTTCCTTTCAAGCATTCATATACCATAAATAATATTCATTATGGCGCTATATCATCGACCCTGGCCCCCGACTTCTTCGCCGGCAGCTTGGCTCGACCCTTCAGCTCCCGTCGAAGAAGAAACACTACCGAAATATAACCCCGCGCGCTTCTATCCGATCCGTTTGGGTCAAATACTAAACGGAAGGTATCAAGTTGCCACAAAACTAGGCTACGGGGCTAGGTCAACTGTGTGGCTTGCCCGCGACCTGACTGAGTATGATGTTCTCCGAAGAGAGCTGATATATAACTAACTGACTACTCCAAGATGGCAGTGGCTGAATGAGAAGTATGTTGCTATCAAAGTCAAGACAAGGAGAAAGTCCCCGAAGCGCTCATCGGAGAACGAAGTCAAGATAATGAGACACATCGCCAGGACGAATCCTAAGCATGAAGGATGGCAATTCGTCAGAAAACTCATTAGCTCCTTTCCGATAGAGGGCACATCCGGTTACCATACTTGTTTAGTTTCTGAGCCTTTGCGCGAACCTCTATCGCTCTATTGCTCCAGATATGCTGGAGGCGTGATTCCTCCAGAAATCCTGAAGATTCTTGGTCGAATGATGCTACACGCACTGGATTACCTTCACTCAGAATGCCATGTCATCCATACAGGTAATTGGCATCCTGTCATTGTGAGCCAATGGCATACTAACAAGAAATACCAAGATCTCAAACCTGATAACATTATGATCAAGATTGAAGACACCGCAATCTTTCATAAGGATGCCAAGAATGAATTTAACTATCCACTTCCAGAAAAACAGCTCGATGACCGCACAATTTACCTATCTCGAAATAACTATGGGCCTCTATCTAGGCCAACGGGTACTATACAGCTCGTAGATTTTGATCGCGCTGTCCATACCACGCCGGGCGCCTTACATACGGGCGCCATCCAAACCGAGATGTACCGAGCACCGGAGGTCATCGTTAATTCTGGATACACCTTCTCAGCAGATATATGGAGCCTTGGAGTTCTGGTAATAGTACCCTTTTCATGATTGATGATATACTGGCTGACCTTGTGTCTTGATAGCTGTACGAGTTGCTCGAAGGGAAAAGCCTTTTCAGCCCTGAGAACGGTGATATATATGATGATTTAAGCCATATTGGACAGATATCCGCTTTGCTCGGACCTGCGCCTCGAGATCTCTCACAGAAAGGCAGAAGAACTTCTTTGTTCTATAATGATAAGGGTAAGAATCAAGTTGATCGTAACTAGATGGATAGCTAACGCATGACAACAGGCGAGATAAAAGACCCCAGCCGCATACCTGACAATTTCAGTTTTGGAAGCATGATAACAAATATGTCAGGAGAGGAAAAGCATAGGTTTATTTGTTTCGTCGAGAGGATGATTGTTTGGAACCCTGAAGAAAGGGATACGGCTGCAGAGCTTCTGAATGACCCGTGGCTCTGCAGCGACTTTTTACAGAATTAGGGAGTAACATATTACGAAGGATAGTATTGTATCGAAATATCTTATTTGAAAAGGGTATTTTGGTCCTCTCTGATTACTGGAGGACTCTATCTATTCTATTTACATATTGTCGTTTATGAACATGTAGTTGTCTATTACCATGTATTCATCTATTAACACGTAGTTCTTCGTTAGCATATGGTTGCTCTCTGTCCCTTAACGTCTTTGGTATCGGCTTCACTCTGCCGCCGCCGTTGCCCTGTGGGTATAATTGCCCTTGAGTGCATTTCTTCAACAGACGGCGGGATCCCCATAAATGCTGGGATATCTTGGTTAAGTTCGGGGAAATGCGCAAAGAAGTCGGTCGACATTGTCCATGAGTTGATGTCTCTAATTCGCTGCTCGAAGATGGGCGATATTTGGTACTTTCCAGTGTGCGCGTTGTGGTAGAATGTGTCTTGGAATCCATCCTGCCATAGGATCTTGAGGTTTGATTGCAGGAGATCCCAGAATGTGTTTGTGCAGTAGTGGTGTTGGGAGAAGATGAGGCGTTCTCTTAAGCCCGGCCTTGGAGATGGTAAGTCACTGAAGCGTGGAGAGATAGGGTTGGACGTACCAGACGAAGAAATCTATGCCATATGAGTGAGGGAGGGCTTGTGATGGTCTGCTTTCAGTTAGCCATGACATTGAAATAGCGAGGTCGCTGTACCTATTCCAATACCAACGTGGTACTGTCTCTCGACGTGCTAATGTAGGATCACCGTGGTATATGAGGAGAAGGTGACATATTCTCATCACCGCCAGACGCTCGGTATCAGCACAACGACTGAAGCACAATTCATCTGCACTGCGTAATTTGCGCCATGTCGGCGTCATTCTTCCCGAGCTCTCGACACTGTCCCAGCCTTCCAGAACAGCTCTCACTGCAATGTCTTCTCCGCCATACATTTCAATAGCCAGCTCCTCTTCTGATAGCCGGGTGGGCTTTTGGAGGATCTCGTTGACTGCACGCCATATGTTGGCATTGGCGCTATGGAAGGTGGATGTGCAGCTTGTGGGATTGGAGCAATGGCAAGGGATTGGGCTTTTAGGGATAATGACGTCTGCCTCTTCGGGGGTGCTGGGGGTCATTTCGGGGAGGAAGGGTTGAATAGGCATGTAGCTGGCTTCTGGTGGGAGCATTGTGTTGTCGTAGGCTAGAGTTGTGGGATATTGGTTGGTGCTGGCACTGTGAGTCCAGCTATCATAGGCGAACGGGCTAGATTGGGGAGGGTCCATGGGAAGTTCTAGTAACGTAGAGCCACTTGTTTCCGATAAAGCTCTTACTGTGACTGGGACTATGCGTTCGCCCATGGGCGGGTGCATTACTCCTCTTGAAATCTGTGGTGATGACTCAGATGCGTCTGACGCTGGTTCGTTGGTAGTGGAATCACCAATATGACGTCGGATCGTCGAGCCTAATGAGTCGAGAACTTGGAGTAAATTATCTCTCTCTTTTGTGACCTGGCCTAGTTGGTCCATCAAGGTGGCTATGTGTGAATTGGAGTCGTTCTGTCGTAAATTGTCGACCATGTTTTCCAGCTGTGCAATGCGACTCTTGGTCCTTTCGCGCGCCAACCTCTGCGCTTTGCGATCCAGCTCCCGCTTCTTGAGCCGGCGGGCCTCGGCAGTTGCAGGTTGGGTTTCGTTATACATTGTGATCGCCTTCAGGGATTGCAAGGTGAAGAGGACGGAAAGACCCAGTGGACGGGGACGTTGGGATAACTATTTCCGGGAAAACTGGGCGGGAGGAAGGTTAAAAGGAATCTGGGGAAGCGGAACCAAGGGGGGTTTAACGGGTGCGTGGCTCTGTTCCTTGGCCTTGGTAAGCTTGGCCAAGCCAGGGTCAACAAACTTCGACGCCAAAAGCCACAATGGAGCTGAAGGGGACTGCGCCGAGACTTGGTAGGTGATGTAATGAGCTAGTCGGCAGGGCCTGCAGCTCGCGGCTGGCTCTAATTTGCTCGGCATTGGGATCAACGCCCATCGTTCAGCTCTGCAGCGGTCTCGATCAGTCCTGGTGGCGGCCACATGTCTCGGGGTCTAGCATCTAGCTTTTCGATCTCCGAGAGATTGTATAAAACGACGCGCAACGGCTGTTTTGAATGACTCGAGGGGAGAAGCACCACCGAGTTAACAATTGACGGACCGACAAAACATTGGCCGAATGTGGCACACATGCCCATCCATAGCTCATGGACGCACGCGTTGATCATGGTAAGTGTGGTGGGAGCTGCAGATCGACCACATGGCAGATTAGCGATCGCACACACACACACACGTAGACACACATAGACACGACCCTGAACGGCAGACACGACGGAACTACTGGTGAACTACTGCACCTACGGCTCCGGAGCTAGGATGACGCCCGCCAAGAGCCGGTAAAATTCGGCGGAGCACCACCGAGACACGTTTTGGGCGTGATGTGATGGTGATGATCAAATTTGACACAAGGAATAAATGTCACAACGTGCCGCAGCAAGGGAGACATTCCTGGACAACCTGATTGAAAGCCCATATCGCGTGTTGTGATTCACAATGGCAATCCGTAAATACGCTAATTGTGCCCGCTTCTGAGACATTTTTAATTACGCTGGAATTGCCGATGACCGCTTGTTCAATAAAACATCAAACGGTTTACTAGCCTTACAAGACCTCCGACAACAATAATTAGAATGGCTATTACTCCGTACCTACGGATACTTGATACCCTAATCCCTAACACGGACCCTTGCCCGCGCCGAAGCGTCAACCAGGGTCTAAGATCATCAACCAAATTTTCAACGGAAGCTCCGGGCGGAAGTTCCGTGAAGATGTGGCTGCCCACTAACGTTAGGGCCGCAAAACAATCTAGAAAGGGAAGATGCGGCCCCGCGGTGACATATCAAGATATGATTGCTAGTCATGAGATTAAGATGAATTAATTGTTTTACAAATGTGAGAGGCCACTGTCTTTATTAGCTTCGCAAACGCTAAGATGCTTGGCCTCGTAAGCAACAAATTTACATGTACCGCTAGGGAGACTAGCAGCTCCGAGTGACAGCTTGGCGGGATATCAAGACTCTAGCTAGTGGGCCACTACGTCTAAAGAGCATCCCGCGTATCCAGGGACTGGTCGTCATGATCCATCCTTGCCCCTGTTCGAACGGATGCATGATCGCGTAGAGCAACTGTCGCCTGTTGTTTCCTCAGTTGGACACGTAATAAGGTGAGGCTGAAGCGTGTTGGGGATCAATCCTGCTTCAGTCCAACCCTGCCTGCCTTCCTAAGCCCAATGCCCCCAATAGCAGCACATAGAACCATAAAGGCGAACATGGTCCAGAAAGCAGCCCTGTATCCCTCCAACAGGGCCTCAGGGGCTGGCCTACCCGAGTGTTGCTTCGTTACTAGAGTAGAAACAACTTGCATGATTGCCAAACCCATTGCGTTTCCAAACTGCGATGCAGCGTTGAAGACGGACCCGGCGACTGCTTGCTTGTCCTCGGGAAAGGTTTCCGTCACAACGATGAGACCTACGGTGAAGAGAACATCTGCCGAGAATGGCATGAGAACCTGGGCGAAGAATGCAGCGGTCCAGTACGTCCAGGTAGGATTGATAAGGGCCATGAGAAGGGGGGAGCCGGCTGTCAGAACCGAAGTGGTGACGATCAGCCAGATGGCGGGGATTTTGTGAACAACTAGACCAGTTGTGAAGTTAAGAGCCACACCAACTACAACGCTGGGCAGGATGCGGATAGCAGCGTTGAGAGCTGAGAGATGCTGGACTTCTTGGAAGCTAAGATCTAGTCAGCGGAGCCGATCTCTCCATCGATCGTTCAACTTACAACAGACTAGCAAAAAGCTCTAGGGAGTTGATCACGGCGTTAGATAAGGCGATGGTAATGCAGATGCTAGTGAAGGAGTGATTGCCCCAGAACGAATTCGGTATAAGGGCAGGGTTGCCGCGCTGCACCTGGACGTGCATCCATCCCACGAATAGAGGCAGGGAGACAAGACTTAGACACAGGATGACAATACTACTGGCCTCTTTGACCCTGTAAACATCAGTGCTGATAATTCTATCGCCAGAGTTAGATGGTATTCATAATTGAAGCAGGAATTGTCTCACGCTAGGAAATATGACAGCAAAGCCATAAACATCGAGGCGAGGAGAGTACCCAGCCAGTCGATCTTGGTAGTTACACTGCGAAAAACATCGCGAAGGGTACCTAGAGGTTCGGACTTCGGCAAAGACCACAACCCAACGGCTGAGAGGACGAGATTGATAGCGCCGTAGAGATACCATCCCGAGCGCCACCCAACGGTCTCAACCAGCACACCCCCAAGCACAAGACCACAGGAGAAGCCAAGCGGCTGACTCAAGCCCAGGCAAGCAAAGGCCAAGTTACGCCCTCTACCGCGCGGCAGCGTCTTAGACACCAAAGCCACGGAGCTCGCCAGATGCAGCGCAAGCGCAACGCCCTGTAAGGCCCTCAGGGCGACTAGCTCCTCGCCGCGACCAACGAAGCCGCAGGCTAGCATCAGGACGCCGCTGAGGATGCACCCGACGAGATCCACGGACCGAGCGCCCAGGACGTCCGCCAGGGCACCTGCGAGGAGCAATGTCGACGCGGTCGCCAAGCCCTGGACGGACGAGGGCCAGAATGCGAGGGACGCAGGGAGATGGAGATCAGCCGTCATCCGAGGGAGACCCACGATGATGAGGCCGTTGGTAGCGCTGCATGCAAAGTTGACGCCCGAGAGCTGGAACGTCACTGCGATTTTCCTCAAGCGAGAGGCTGTGACGCGGGGGAGTTCTGGGGTTGCTATCTGGGCTTCGGCGGAGGCGTGAGTGTGAGACATCACTGGCATGGCCTCCATAAGGAGTGTTTCGGTATGAGTCGCCATTGTTTACCACGAAGCGAAGCGGACTGAATAGTTCAAATTCCAGATGTCACTGCTTTAATGATAGTAGCAGAAGAAAGGAGACGAGATGTCACCTTTGTCAATTGATATTCTCACAGTGATGGCAGTAGCGCCGTGCAAGGGCGTTCTAAGCTACGCCCTTCACATGTGGGGAATGCAGGGCGGCGAATGACACATTTTCTGCAAGGGAGAGATTTACAGGGTCCTTTTGTTTTCATGCAGGCGACCGAATTCCAGGTCCTTGGTGCAAAGGTCACGCTTGAAGGAATGGTTAGGGGTTCGTGCAAGCGAGATCAATTCGATGCTTTTTCGAATTTATTTGTCGTGGTGGACTGAGAAATTATTTTTAGCTGTCGGGATAAATATTTAACCTCGCAATGTGGTGATGCACACAATGTGCGGTGATGGCCGAAGGATCTTAAAAAAAACTAAATCGTCATTAAGGACGGATGCAAAACCTGTGTGATTTGTTATTCTCATGTAAGCACTAGAAGGCCGATGTGCTAGTAACGAGTGAGACTAGCTTGATACTGCAGGTGGATTGTCGAACAATGTGTTGAGAAATGGTATCTAAGAGGGAATAACACGCTGCCCTCACAATCGTAGATGGCATAAAATGTAACAATCGAGTTTGTATTTCAAGTCGCATTAAGAATTCAAGTAGCAAGTAAACCCGAGCACTCATATCACATTTACAAATTCTTACGCAGAGACGCACCGCCAAGCATCTTCGTAAATCTGTTCCTCTCAACCTCGTTCGGCCTAGACCACCACTCATCCGCCTTGACCTTCTCAAACCCCTTCTCCTCCCACTTCTTCATCTGCTTCGAATCGATTTGATGCCAAGGTACGCCCGGATCCTTAGATACCTGATCCTTGATCTGGTCCATGATCATGGTATCAGCCCCCTTGTCGTTCTCAGGACCCTTACCATCCACGAAAAAGGCCTTGTACGCTACCTCTCTCTCTTCCTCAACCTTCTTGAGTCTTCTCTCCATGCCATTTACTATAGACTTCTTGTTATAGGCCACTGGCTTCATCCACTTCTCGACCTTCTTGTAGTCAAGCTGGAAGCCCGCGCTGTCGTATGTCGGAGAGCCATTAGGGCCTTTCTTGTGACACTTGTGTAGATCGTAGAAACTGTATAATGGGTCTGTGTGCTTGTTCCTTGACTTGGGGATATGGAACTTTGATAGAAACTCTTCGCTCAACTCGCGTTCTTCATAGCGTGGACGCTTGACGCGACCTGGGGTTGCTCGGGGATCTCGGATTTGAGAGTGGTCAAAGTCAAATTCAAGATCCTTCTCTGTGAGCGTTGGCTTGTCTTTCTCAGGCGTCGACGGTGAGGCATCCGCATTGGATTTCTTGGTGTTTTTTGCCTGCTTGGCCTTTGGTCCTGGTGCCGAGTCTGTGTTGCTAGATTGTCTCTTCTGACCTCGAGGCTTTGGAGAGGTGGTGTTGTCCTTGTGGGTATCGGTTCCACTTCTAGTTCTCATTTTGATTTGGGATGATGGTAGTAACTTCGTGAGTTTTGATCTTTAGTGATGCTGTCCAACCTTTTAGGAAGACTCATAGAGGGCCGGGACGCGTTTATAGTTTGAGGTATGATGTCACTACTGTCAACGCGACACTGATGTCATACCCACGTGATGATGCTGGTGGACAACCTACCCTAGAAGCTTAAGGAAACTCGAAGAATGACTCTGTCACAATAGCTATGGACGATTTTATGAAATTCGAATATTCTGGCTATCTTATAGTGTGATTTTGTGATTTATTCGTCAAATTTGGATGACAAGGTGTTGATTTCGTTACTCGCTAATTTTTGTTTAGAATGTGAGTGTATCATGCCTAGGGCCCACGGATAAAAAGAACAATTCATTTGCACAAGTTTTACAATATTTGAAAAGTCGTTGTATAATCTTGGAATAAGAGCATCAAATTTTGTAAGGATTAGAAAGTACTTATAACATTTTATATAATCTTATAGAAAGCATAAAAGGAAGAACATATTTAGAAAATTAACCGTTTGGAATTATAAACTCATTTTGCTGACACCGTCCACGGAAGATAGTATATTCTCGCATTTCACTCGCTCATACATTCTATGCCAGCCACGATTTTAACGTGGTATCGAATGACAAGTTTTTTTCTCGATGAACGCTAAGAAAATATAGTGAAATCTTTAGAAACCCATCTCGTAGAGGAACCAACCACTCCCGCCTTAGCGGGAACGCCCCCAACAAGGTTTCAGATCTGCGACTTTATTTGCTTTGTTCAGGACTAAAACCTGGCTTTCAGCCATGGCCAGACACCTGGTGTCAAGTCTCCTTATTAGTGAGCACAGTCTCTTTCTCCACGGAACTACCAGCGACGTGGCGTTGTCTCAGGTTTCCAGCCTCGTCATGTTCCGCATCCCACTTCTCAATCTCAAGAGCAGGTACTCTGACCAGACGGTGAGTGTTTGCACCATTGCTGTCAACTTCCACTACTTCAGGTCGAATGATGTAGCCCCTCCATTTCGGAATGATACAAATCCAGAAGACGTAGTAGATACCGCACAGAACCATACTGGGCAAGCATTTGGTTAGTCACAAGATGTCCAGTTAGGTGAGTGGGGATACGTACATTGCAATACCGACCACGCAATAAGTCGCGTACCAAAAGCTGACATCGCCGGCATAAGGACCACCCTTGGGAGGGTACCAAGGCATAGCGATAACGAAGATCTGGATAAGGATAAAAAAGATAGCAGCTACGTCCCAAGCCTTGAACTCGGGTCGTCCTCGTCCCACATGCTTGTTGCGACGTCGGATAATGTACAGACCAATACTCATCGCGAGTTGAAAACAGCCCTCGGGATAAGTTTTGAGTGATACAACTTCATCACTGTTAGTATTGTCTTGAGGAAAACATCCAGTGTACTCACCAAATTGGAACGCATCACCGGCTGGGGGAGCGACAATCATGATGAAAGTCATAGCCCACTTCAACAGATATGGCCCAATCGGGGTACCAAAAGGCTTAGTTGATACCCAGAAAGTAGTGAAGGGAAGAACGCCTTGGCTGAATGATAATATTAGCAAGATCACTCTTTGTCCCTCATGCGATCCAAGGCTCACCGTCCAATCTCACGAATCATTCGCGAGGCACCGATCAACGTAGCGAGAAGGTTCCCATAAGCACTAAGCAGTACAAGTACGTTCAAAGCTGTGACAGCACCACCACTTCCAAAGACAGTTGTGAAGAAGACAGCCGCTGCGATTTCGTTGGACTCTGCGAATTCCTTTTTGGGGACTATGTGGTCATTAGCACTAGGGACATTCGAGAAAACAGGAACAACTCACCTGCAGCAAAGTACGCGACGTTGCACAGCATGTACAAAACGGCTACCAAAATAACGGAGATAAAGCCGTACTTCTTGATTGTGGGAACAGGCTTCTTGACCTCGTTGACCACGGAGAAAGCATTCGCATAGCCAGTGTACGAGAACACAATGTTGACAAGAGCTGTCGAGAGATCATTTCCGTTATCGGTTGTGCCCTCGAAGGAATTGCGGAAATTGGCATTGGGGTCGGGGATTGAAGAGACGTTTCCGCCTAGGACAACGAAACCGGTGATGGATATACTACTTGAGTCAGAATGAGGAGACTAGTGGGAGATAATTATACTAACAAAATGAGAGTGATGATCTTGATGAATCCGAGAACGTTGACAGCCCAAAGAGAGTATTTGTTGTGAGCAATGACACCTGGGTACTTCTGTTAGAAAGATGAACCAGTCAGTACAAACAATAGAACATACAGATAACAGCAAGTGTGTAGGCAGCAATGGCCACACCCTTCATCTCCCAATCACTAGGCGTCCTCCCAGCGATCCGCCAAAGATATCTAGACAACACTGCGAAGCCAGTTAGCGTGCTACACCCACATGGATCTATATGGCACTAACCAATAGCATTACTGCTACTAAATGACAAGAACACAGACTGCACTGCATATGCGATTGGGAAGAAATGCTTCGGACGTGGGAAGGCTTGTTCGAGGTATACGACTTCTGCTCCGGATCGGCTGGGGAAATAACTAGCAAACTCGAGGTACACGCAGAATCCGGCTATGGCCATCACAAAACCGATGAGCCAGTAGATCAAAGCGAGACCAACGGAGCCTGTAGAGTTGAGAATGCTTCCGGCTGCCGGAAGGTCAGTACATTCCTGACATCATAGCAATATCACTCACGAGTTGAAAAGATACCCGTCCCAATCATCTGGTTCACATTGAGAAAAATGATGGTAAGCCACCCAACATGATAGCCCAAAGGAGAGTTAGATTCGACTGGAGCTCCGATAGCCTCTTGATAAGTCGGCTTGGAGTCATTGCCGCCCTGCACACGAGTGAAAGCGAGATTTCCATCGCGAAGAAGTGCAGGGTCAGAGCTATCGGAGGTATAGTTGCGATCAGCATCAACTACAGCTGGCTTAGCTGTCGGCTTCGAACGCCAACTGGATAACGAGAAGCCCATAGTGAAAAGGCTAACACGAGACGCAAGTGGAGAATGTCTTGATGGATACCGCTACAGAGTGCAACCTAAGTCATTTTAAACAATATTTCATCAGATTATTAGCCCCATCTAAGCTTATGCTTAAAAAATACCATCCTGTCGATCCCCGTGCTCGAGATATCAAAAAGATTGGCTATCGATTGCGTGACGCTAGTTACCTTCCGCTCTGGTAGAAGCACGCCATAGGCCAAGGCATGACGCCAAATTTAGTGTTACGCTGACGCCCAGAGGATCGATCCAAAGTCCTTTGAATGGTTGAATCGGCCAAGGATGGACTTGAAGTCTGTAATAGTAACGTTGTGTTCCAAGAATTTAAATTGCAATCAAGCCACAGACGTGGAGTAGCTAGATCATCGGTATAGAACCCACGAATGAGATGAGCATTGTTGGCGAGTGTTTCATTTTGGCTAAATCCTCCCACGACGTCAGAAATTAAGCTTATCGCTAGCTTGAGCCGTCTCATGCCGGACCGTTATCTTTATTTAAGTCACCTTCCCTTAGTGGAAATGCAACTGCGATGTTCTTTATAACCCCTGCCGCTGTATCGCACCATTATATCCTGGCTTGTTTACAGGACGGTTTTCCGTAAAGACAGAGTTTGTATATGAAGGTTATGTGGTGTAGTTCTCAGGATGGATGCTGTGCTTTGTGCTCGGCCTCGGCATAGGCAGTTAAGTTGAGACCATTGTTGTGTGTGTTCAGATAAAGTAGTATTTCCTAGTCTCATGCGAGCACGACCATGCCTTGTGGCTATAGCACCTGGCAACTATAGTACAGTCCTGTGCGAAAGTCCCGATAATTAGGTAGGATATCAAACTCTACTTAGATAACCATTAGAGGATAAAAGTGATCCAAAATTCATAATAAGCTGGAAAACTTTTAACAGAATTTTGCATGATCCCTGGTAAATTTGTATGAGTTTGGCGAATTAAGAAATGATTTAGATTAGAGTTGAGGAAGTTATAAAACTATATTAATCACATCATAAATGCGGTGCGAGAGCACACCATTTAGAACCGGACAAAATGCGTGAGATGAAACTAAGGTAGATAAATACCAGTCACATCCTTTTTTTCTAATTCAAAACAGGTTGACCATGAGCCTCCTAACTACGTATTTTGCTCATCTTAATAAGACTCTTCTAAGTTATCCTGCCCATAAAACTCAAGGCAGTAGGGGAAGTGCTAGGCAACACAGTGAGCTGTCTGCGTGTCATTCACGATGCTAATCATCAGTGCTACTGGATATGCATATGCACACTTAAAGGGGTAGAAAACATATCACTACTTCTGCAAGTAAGACAGCGTACGTCTTACCTATACATCTCCTAATTCTAACTTTAACTTAGGTTCACATGTTGGCTATACATAGCTCTACTATAAAAAGTTATCTAACGAAGCCAAAGGGAGGTGAAACCTGACAGTCTTCCCGCAAGACAATCAGAAGACCTGTAATGATTGGCTAAACTTTTGTCCGTTTCGGCTGTGCGAACAAAGCGGTCAAGTCTTGGGATAAGACATTGTGACTGGTCAATGTATCACAAATCTGCCTCACCATGCAGACAGTAAGCCACACACGTACGGCATTGCAGTCCTAGAGGCTTAGCTAGTTAAATTGGAGGCTGGAGAGCCTCGTTTCGGATTTCATTTTTTCTCACATCACAAAACTCCTTCACATCTCTTCGTCAGCTCGACCTATCCCATCAAGCATCCTAAATCCTCTATAACGAAGCGCCTTGCTCTGACCGAAATGAGTCAGTCCACGATTCTATCTGCCACGGACAGCGCTGAGGCGTCACAGCCTGAACTGGAGGCATCAAGTGATCAAGGCATTTCATTATCGGATTTGTCACCTCCGCCTGCTGCAAACGACGAGAGCGACGAGACTCCACTTGCGCTAGCAAAGAGAACAATTAAAGACGACCATCTCGTCCTATTCATGACATGGATATCCGAGAATAAAATGGCTGTGTCAGGCTGGGTCGTAGCCCTGCTCAGCTTGGTCGTCACTATTATCGCGATGGTGCCCGGCTTCAGAAGTGAAAGCATGTCACAAAGAGCGCTTGAGTTGGCTGAGTGGACAGCATTGAAAGACTTTATTGAAAACTGCAAGCAGGATCATGTTGGTAACGGATCTATTCTTGTTCGAGATAACGCTAACACACTATTTATCAGCAAGTTGGCCTGGCCTCGGTTGCTTGCCAAGCAGCTATTACACAGTCACTTCCACCCCCGCCCCACGTGCGAATAACATCTTCCATCAGCAAAAGGTGGATGGACAATGGCTGTAACTGCAAGCCAAGGGGCGAAAGCTCTGATCTAAAAATGGCTACCTACGCCATAATACTCTTGACTATGTGCATTGCGCTTGTTGTGCATTGTGTTGCTATCCGCAAGATCTGGTATACAAATAATCCCATCAGAAACACCAGGTCCCGGGTCCTGAATTTCCTTATGCAGCTTTCGAGCATCTTCTATTATATCGATATACCTCGGCCTTTTAATGCGCAGGTTGTGGAACTTCGATCAAAGCATCGATTTGAGAGTGTAACAAGAGCCGATATTACACTTACAAAAACCCCCGAACGAGGCCAGCGTCACACAATGGCACGGCGTTCCGAAATTGAGAGCTTGCATGACTCGACAGAAGTAACCATAGTTGAGGCCAGGATAAGTGGGTTGGCTGGTCTTGTGTCTGTGATTCTGACCCTGGTGTCGAGTATGTATGTAACAATAGTCATCATGTCATACAAGACAACTCAATAGTGCCTCTTTATATTAAAACGTTAACTCATGAAGTACCCTACGTTTGTAGCCAGAACTTTATTAGTCAAGCGAAACCTGACGATCACGTTGACTCCACACGATACCGAACAGACCCCGCATCTCAGTGTAACAGCTTTGATTCATTTTCACCCGGATAAACCGTTGCATCTACAAGTAACACATCATGGCCGCGACCCTCAGGCACCAGTCGTTGCAGACTACACTCAATGGAGTCGACAAGTCCGGAACCACGCAATTTCGAGGGATTCCGTACGGTCACATACCGCGACGCTTCGTTGCGGCCGAAAAGCTAGACCAGTATCCCGAAGAGTTGGACTGTACTGCATTCGGGTAGGCTTCTTCAAATTATGAGCAGAAAATACAACCGTGGCTGATAGTTTTAGACCGCGATGCCCACAAGTTCCTGTCGATGTAGGCCATCTGTTGCGTATACCTCCTTCGTATGAAGTTCCGCCTGAGCTAGAAGATGAATTCAAGTGCGCCAACCTGGATGTGGTTTTGCCAATTCTTGATTCAGAGCCAGAGTCAAAGTGCCTGCCAGTTCTAGTCTGGATCCATGGTAAAATTCTCGTCCGATGACGATACACAGTCAACGTTCTGATGGCTAATCGTTAAGCATAGGAGGTTCACAAGCCGTCACATTTGGCAGCGCGGCGTCTGGTGTTTGCGGTAAGAGCTGACTCTCCAAAGGTTCAGGCAGAACATTGCCATCATGGACACTAAGTATGTGCTGAACCATATCCCGACAGACATGACCACCATAGTGGCCGACTCAGTTCGACTAGGGATGCCAATCATCGCTGTGTCTGTGCAGTACAGGTTGAACGTATTCGCACTTGGCAGTCGCGGTGGACCACCGAATTTGGCTCTGCGCGACCAAGAGCTGGCCCTCAACTGGGTTCAAGATCATATAGCAGGGTTTGGAGGTGATCCGGTACTATCAATCCCCATCAGTCGCACTAGGTATTCGCAGCTGACAAGAAAGTTAGAAAAGGGTCACATTGGCTGGTGAGAGTGCTGGAGCTGTGTATTGTCACGCCCACCTCGTCACAGGTACAACCGCTAGACAGGTTATCCTTTCGTCTGGCTCAATGTTCTTGTCGCCGCCTCAGCCACGCCAGAAGATATCAGCACTGCAAGGCATTGTATTGAAGCAACTGCAATCCATTGACAAGAGTCTTAGCTTGGAGAACGCATCAGCCAGTAAGGTGGTTGAGGCTGTCAAGCTATCTAACTTGCAATCTTTCTTCCTCGAGTGGGAGGACAGATTCGATGGCTTGCAGACTAAGATCGGTAATGCTGAGAAACTACTTCTCAGTGATGTACAAAAAGAAGTGAGTCTGATGTAAGATTATGACCAATAACTTGTTAATATTCTTAGGCAGCCATTTGGCAGGCGGGAGTATGGGCAACAGACTCGAACGAAATCTTGGCCGCATTCAACACTGCAGGAGAGCACAGTGGAGAGCTCAAGACTTTATACCACATCTGCCCAGACAGACCATCATCTTGCAAAACCGGGTCTCTGGACTTCATAAACGACTACAAGTTCGTTCTTCCGATACATAACCTTGAAAAAGCTTGGAAGGCTGCCCATAAGCCTGTGTACAGATATCTAGTCGACGAGTCCAATCCATGGCAGCCGTCCAGCGGCGCACATCACGCTGTAGATCTACCTCTGCTTTTTGGAGGTTTCGACCTGAGCTTTTCTCCCAGTGCCGAACATGTTGGCAGGGCCATGCGTGAAGCTTGGATCAGGTTCGTGAGTCTCCAAGAGCCATGGACCGATGCTTCAGGTACATGCTATGGGTTTGGACCACATGGGATGACCAAGACTTTGGATAACTGGGAGGTACAGTCGCGTCGGAGAGTTACAGAAACAGACAGGTTGGGGACAATGGATAGTGCATTGCTGGACAAGACGCTTGCTGGCCTGGCAGCGGGAAAAGTGAGCCTGCTGAACTGATACGAGGAAACCTTGAGACTAGTCAACTCGAACATCATAGCCAACACCGTCCCAATCATGTGTGAATGATATCAAGATCATGCTCTCGCTCGCCCCTTTTCACCTTCCAAGCCGCACTATGACTAAGTCTCACCAGCTCCATAACAAACTCACTTATCTCCTGGATATGCTCAATCTCCTCCATGGGAAGTCTCTCCGCCGGTACTTTGCGCGTGATGTTACTTATCGAAGACAAGATACGCAAGTCGTTATCCGCCGAATGTCCAAGAGGATGAATCAGAATGTTCATGAACAGCGGCATGGCAGCCATAGGAGCATAGTGGGAAACAATCCAGAGAGAATCCTCCTTCCAAAAGCCAACCACGGTGTCCAAGATACGAAAGATAGAACGGCTAGCCTCGATTGATAAGTCGGCGCTGGAGTGTACTACGCTGTGTAGATCGTCGGGAAGATTCTTCTCCAAGTCTCCGCACTTTCGGACGAGCGTGTGTATGTTGATTATGGTAAAGAGATAGTCGAGCTGCAAGTTGATGAGATATGTGCGATTCTCTAGACTCATTGTTGAAGGTAACGAGAAGGACAAGTCTGAGATGATAGACAATCTGGGGCGATAGCGCGGATCGACTGCTAATCGCCACTCCTCAAGCTCATCGTCGAGTTGTCGGACTTGCGCGAGGAGTTCACTCTCTGTGTGTCTAAACGCAAGCGGAGAGCAAAGAAGTCGAATCGCGTTCTCTTTGATCTTGGCGAGGTTCGTGTCTCGCGTCTGGTTTCTCAACTCCTCGGAGGCACTGAGGCCACAGTGATCCAAAGTAAGTAACGGTGGCCTGTCGGTACGCAGGGCGATGTCCTTGTCGGAGCAGTAACAGGTCCAGAACAGTCGCCGGATATGAAGCTTTGTCTTGTCCTTGAATGTGGGAATGTGTTGTGGGAGGATAGCTGGGCGTGATAGAGGGAAATGGCCGCCAAGGTCGCATACCATTCGGCAGGCGTTTGTGAAAGTAACAGAAGCCTCTCGGCATTGCCCTCTCATTTTTTGACATGCCCACTAGCCGAAGGTTAGGTACGTAGTGAAACCTGCTGGGGGTGAGATGACTTACCAGAAGAAGGGTGGCTTGCAAGCTGTCCAAGTTGGTGTTGCCATTGCTGATGATCAACAAGCGCGTAGCTTCCTGGATACAATCCTTTGGCCCCATGGAAAGACCGAACTGCTGAGAGTCCGTTGTACGAATCACAAGAGCAATTAGTGCCCAAATGCAGGATTGAGCTCCGAGATCGACACTATCGACATGATATGCTCTGTCAACAGTCGCTCCAAAGATATCACTATCCAAGAACGGGAAGAGGATAGAAGTTTTGGAATCCAAAAAAGTCTCAACAAGATGCTCACAGACTTCTCTTGGGGGCAGTGGTCTTGGTCTCTCCGCAAACGCAATTGGGTTAAGATGGGGAATAGTTCCAACCGGGTCTGCAAAGATGTCGAAGTTCTCCATAAACACTCGCTCACCTGCACCATCAGAGATCCATTGCCGTCCGCGTGGAGACAGTATCCCTATTCCTTTGAAGTACCAATTATTCCCAGTGTGACATCGGGATAATCTGTAAATTGGCTTCTCATGACGAAGTCTTTGGCTTAATGTGACATCGGTGGAAAAGTCAGACGGGCTTGCAGTTGCCGGCTGACGACTCGCCAGAGTGATGGGCGATGCTCCAAATCGGATACTGGACGGCGATGGTTCAGCAAAGGGCCTATCCGACCAAGGCGACGACGAGGGGCCTCCCACAGGCATGATATTGATGGTGCATAATGCTGTTTGGAGAGCCTCCTCGAGTGTTTCAACGCGCTGGGACAATTCTTGCACAACGTCGGTTGTCGTTCTTGACCCCTGTTAGCTCTGAGGTAACCCGTCTGCTGTGGGATGATAACGACTTACCTTTTGTTTGGGTCTTTATGAATAACTCGGTCAAACGTGCAAGTCAGGCCCTGACTGTCGCACCAGTCGCAGGGGTCACCCTGAGTTTTGATCAAGCACTGGATCTATCAGGCAGGTATCAGCAAACGATCTCGATCCATGGCATTGGGATTTTGGGTAACAAGAAACATGACATCATGCAGTGCATTGACTTACCTTTCGCTTATAGCACACGTCGCAGGCTCGCCGGGGAGGCATTACGGCAGTGCGTGGGAGGGATTGGTAGTGGAGGTTGTTGTAATCGGAGAGCCGGAAGCGAGAGGACGGAGGCCATGGAAATCCGAAACTTCACCGTATCGCTGGGTAAGCTTATTAGCCGAAACGCGACCACTAAGCATTGGATAATAAGGTCTTGTGGGGGATCTGATATGGTGGTGCTCCGTACAACTCATCTGTGTGGGTGCATTATGGATCATGGGAGAAGGATATGCAGCGTGGGCATGCAAGAGGATGGGAAACAAGATATGGTCTAAGCTTGTCTTTTCCGTCTCCGATTACTAACACTGAACCACGGATTCATTGGTTTACTTTGAAGCACGCTTGTGGTAGTCCGCCGAGACACCGGTGATCATCGCCCAAACAAGACAACGGACTTCCGTTGTCCGATGACATAAGCATATTTACCCCAGTCAATCTGGAACTAACACAACCGTGGCGTTTATCAGATCTCTACAAGCATAATGATTGGTCAACAAGGAGAGCTTCCCTCCCCCTTTGTCAATGGAAACAACAGCTCCCCCTGCCGAGACTGGAGCTAAGCTTCCAGACGCAGACATGGATGGAAAATTTGGAAATGAAATCTGTAGAGGGCCAAGAGACGTATATAATGAACTGGCCCCACGTTCGCTGCCATGAGTCACTCATCGTAGCTCACTGGTTTATGAAGCTCGGTAGCTTACACTATCTTTATCACTCTATTCTTTGCCAAGGGCCAAGCACAAGGTCTTCAACATGTCTGGCAATCTACTTGATCCAAAGGCGTTGATAGACCCCCGCCAGCGGTCCATCAGCGATGCAGGCACCATCTCTACCGTAGGCCACTCAATGCAAACGGGCGAGACAACAGCTGTGCCTAGCATCAACCAACAACAATCTCTCGAGGCGGGCCGCGAGAAAGAACTCGATCTTCATGATCCCAACAGTCCCTTCGGTCACAACCCCGATCAACTCAACAAGCTCCTCGATCCCAAATCATTACCCGTTCTCAATGCTCTCGGTGGTCTGGAGGGCCTTGCCCGCAGTCTGCGCGTAGATCTCAAAGCAGGTCTCAGTGTCGATGAACTCCACCCACACGGCGATGCCCACAAATCCAGCGAAAGAGTCCGCGTCTTTGGACGCAACCAACTCCCTGCAAAAAAGCCAAAGTCCATCTGGAGACTAGCTTGGATCACCTTCCAGGAAGCCGTACTCATCATGTTGACGGTAGCGGGAGTCATTTCCCTTGCCCTCGGCCTCTATGAAACCTTTGGCGTCACCCACCAGCCTGGTGATCCCACTCCCGTGGACTGGGTTGAAGGTGTCGCTATTCTCGCTGCCGTTGCAATTGTGGTGGTTGTCGCGTCTCACAACGATTGGCAGAAAGAAAAGGCTTTTGTGAAGCTCAACACCAAGAAGGACGACAGAGAAGTCAAGGTGCTCCGGTCTGGCAAGTCTATGCTCGTCAACGTTGCCGACCTGGTTGTCGGAGATGTTCTGTACCTTGAGCCAGGTGACTTGATTCCTGTGGATGGTATCTTCATTGATGGACACAATGTGAAGTGTGACGAATCAACAGTGACTGGCGAGTCTGATGCGCTGAGGAAGACACCGGGCGGAAAGGCCTTTACACCAGACCCCCACAGCACCAAGGAGGCTGATCCGTTCATCATTTCGGGCTCGCGTGTTCTTGAAGGTATACATACATTAGCCCAGATGAACTCCATCGTCGCTAACTCTTATTTGTAGGCATGGGAACATTCCTCTGTACCTCGGTCGGCGTCAACAGCAGCTTCGGCAAGATCATGATGTCAGTCCGAACCGACATCGAATCAACACCTCTCCAGAAGAAACTCGAAGGCTTAGCAGTAGCCATCGCCAAGCTCGGTGGTGGCGCTTCCATCCTCATGTTCTTCATCCTCCTCTTCCGCTTCTGCGCCAACCTCCCAGGCGATGCGAGACCAGCGGAGGAGAAGGCCTCGACATTTGTTGACCTTCTGGTCGTAGCCATTGCCATCATCGCTGTGGCTGTGCCGGAGGGTCTGCCTCTTGCTGTTACCCTTGCGCTGGCGTTCGCTACGACAAGGCTACTGAAGGAGAATAACCTCGTTAGAGTGCTTAGGGCTTGCGAGACTATGGGCAATGCGACCTGTATCTGTTCGGACAAGACAGGAACTTTGGTACGTTGCCACCAGTAATTGATGTACACTTTTCTAACTCATTTGCCAGACTACGAATAAAATGACCGTTACCGCCGGCCGCTTCGGTTCCTCGACATTCACCTCCGACATCCCCGCCTGGGCAACAAGCCTATCTCAAGACGGCAAAAAGCTCATCACCCAGTCGGTCGCGATCAACTCAACGGCCTTCGAAGGAACACAAGAGGGAGAAGCAACATTTATCGGCTCCAAGACAGAGACCGCGCTGCTGCAGCTGGCCAAAGATCACCTCGGCATGCAATCCCTCTCCGAGACCAGAGCCAACGAGCAGATCGCCCTCATCGAGCCTTTCAACTCGGTCAAGAAGTACATGCTGGCTGTGATCAAGGTTCCAACCGGCTATAGGCTGCTCATCAAGGGCGCTTCTGAGATTGTGCTTGGGTATTGCTCTGCGCAGGTCAACCCCTCTACTGGCGAGGTTGATATCGTGGACCGCAGCGCCGCGGAGGAAGCCATCACTGCATTTGCGCGCAAGTCCCTGCGTACAATTGGCATGGCCTACAAGGACTTTGATGAGATTCCAGATCTTGAGAACCTCAGCGACCTGACCCTCCTCGGCATCGTCGGTATCCAAGACCCCGTCCGCCCCGGTGTTCCCCTCGCCGTTCAGAACGCCCGACGTGCTGGAGTCGTCACTCGCATGGTCACAGGAGACAACCTCATTACCGCCCGCGCCATCGCCACCGAGTGCGGCATCTACACCGATGGCATCGTCATGGAAGGTCCCGAGTTCCGACTACTCTCCGAGGAGGAACTCGACAGAATCATTCCTCGGCTGCAAGTTCTCGCGCGTTCTTCACCCGATGACAAGCGCATCTTGGTCACACGTCTCAAGGCCCTGGGCGAAACAGTCGCTGTGACAGGCGATGGCACTAACGATGCTCCTGCGCTCAAGGCTGCTGATATTGGCTTCTCCATGGGTATTTCGGGCACTGAGGTGGCTAAGGAGGCTTCTGAGATTATCCTCATGGATGACAACTTTGCTTCCATCATTACTGCGTTGAAGTGGGGACGGGCTGTTAACGATGCTGTGCAAAAGTTCTTACAGGCAAGTTGTCCCTTTCGAGTGAGATGGTAATTGAGTACTGACATGGTGGTAGTTCCAAATCACCGTCAACATCACCGCTGTCATCCTCTCTTTCGTCACGTCCATGTACAACGATGACATGGAGCCTGTTCTCAAGGCTGTGCAGCTGCTATGGGTAAGTCTCGAGTTATTTGTCACTATGGTACGAAAGCTAATGGTCAACAGATCAACCTGATTATGGACACTATGGCTGCCCTTGCTCTGGCTACAGATCCTCCCACCGATGCTATCCTCGACAGACCTCCCCAGCCTAAATCAGCGCCACTCATCACCATGAACGTAAGTATACCCGTCCTCCCACCACATTCCATCACTGACAAGTCCCAGATGTGGAAGATGATCATCGGTCAATCTATTTTCCAGCTCGTCGTCATCCTCGTCCTCTACTTCGCCGGCGGCTCCATCCTCAACTACGACCTCAGCATCGAGAGCGAAGAGCTGCAACTCGACACCATCATCTTCAACGTCTTCGTGTGGATGCAGATCTTCAACGAGCTCAACTGTCGTCGCCTCGACAACAAGTTCAACGTCTTTGTCGGAATCCACCGAAACTGGTTCTTCATCTTCATCAACATGATCATGATCGGCCTGCAGATCGCTATCATCTTCGTCGGCAACCGCGTCTTCGACATTGACCCCAACGGCCTCAATGGTGTACAGTGGGCTATCTCTATCGTCATTGCAGCTTTCAGTCTGCCGTGGGGTGTGCTTGTGCGCATCTTCCCGGATGAGTGGTTTGCCAAGGCTGTTTACTTTGTGGCACCGCCCTTCGTGGCTGCATATAACTTCATGGGTAAGGGATGGGGTAAGTTCATCAGGCTTTTCAAGAAGTCCAAGAAGACAGATGACGGGGCCTCTGATTCCACGGGGGATACAGTGGAGGGTAAAGAGAAGTCATCTCCAAGTGGTCCGATGATCGTTGAGCCATGAGACTGGGTAGCGGAAAGGGTTAAAAGGTGAATTAGAGACATGTTATTAGGGATCTGATGCGGGATTGCTTTTGTACTATAGATTGCTTGCGCACAGTAGATAGAAGAACAAGAAGACTTGATACAGCTGTAATGTCCAAGAGTGGTGATGAGTCGAATGGTAGAAGTAGGACACCATGGCTGTAAGAGGTCGGCAGATCGCTTTCGAAGCCATGGTGATGGTAGATGGCCAATATTGAACTATCACCATTACCCAGGCGTCTTTGTTCTGGATCAACCAGTTCGTACCGGAGTGGTCCGTTGTCAACTGGATGGACCTGCCATTCCAAGCCTGATGGCTGCGTTTCGTTGTCGACACACTTACTTGACACGGTCAAGTACGGATAGCAAATGAGTTGCTTTTTTGTCTTCTTATCAGGAAGGGGGTAGCTTGATTCTATAGACGCCCGCTCAATGACCTCGCCCGTTGTATCGTGGATCAGTATACTATTCGTATCGGTATCGGAACGTGAACTACACTCATGAGTATGTGATACCTAGGTAGTCGATCCAAACTTACATATCCCCTTCAAGTGGTTGCCGCCCAATGCATCTTTCCTGGATAGAAACTAACCCGGAACTATCAGAGTTGATCAGAAATCGTGCATCGTCACCGACGTGACATCCGCCCGGCTTTCGAAGAAGAAACAGCACAACCTTGTAATCTTCCGAACCCATTGGAAGACTCCCGAGCTTGTCGGCATATCGCTGGGTGATGTCGTACACTGCAAAGTGAGTTGTTTCAGCAGTATGCTTTGGGATGTATAGCACTTTTGACAAGTGCGCGGGAACGTGAGAGATGATGTTCTTCATAGGGTTGACTTTGTTGAACATTGTCGGTCAAGGTGGAAGTGTTGGGTTGAACTTGAGAGGTTCCTCGGTCGTTAGTGTGAGATTGGATGGGGACTTATCCTCCTTATGAAGGGAAACATGGCCATGGTCTGAACCGGGAATCTGGTCACAGGATGACTCCATTACCCACTGGCAACCGAGACATCATGGTGGTCTGCGGTAGGACTCGATGGAGCAATGCTGGTGGTATCAGCTGGAAATCATCTTGGCACATGAAAGTCTTAGACTAAAATAAGCTTGCCAAGACAAAGCAATTGGTTGTAAATTGTCATTCAGACACTATTATCAATTACATGCTTACACAAGCCTCTCTTCGTATTTCGTGTGATTGGAAGTATTTCCTATTGTGGAATCTCCGAGCGGAGCTCAACACCATGTCCGATTCCGATTCTCATCTTCATTCCCCACATCTTCAGAGTTTTCCGAGTTTTCCGAGTTTTCCGATTGGGTATCAAGGTTAACCAGAAACCTTATACATGCCCTGACGAACCTTGTCTCCGATCGGAGTAAGAGTCTCAGCGAGACGCAGTCGGTAATTGCATTCTATCTAAACGATTTGGACTTCTGCATTCTTCAAGTTCAAATATAAATCATTGCCCATGTCCATTGTATGTTAAAGCTTATGAAAGAACTTGAACTAGTCAATCGTTGGAAATATTCTATCAAACATCCCAAGTGCTTGTACCACAGAGGTCTCGATATCAAATACCACCCATTTCAGTCAAGGTCACCGACGACGCCAGTCTTGAACATGACCTTCAAACCGTCCATGCGGTCCTTGTTGGCAAAAGTCACAGGTTCACGCCGAGCACGCATCCTAATAAAGTACGTTTTGGCAATAAGCTCACCATAATCGATCATCCTTCTAACAGCTTCAAGACCTGACTGTGACTATGTCTTTATCAGTGGCCACGGAGATGAAGGGAGAGGAGGATATCTTCGAGGGAAGATATTGCTGTTTGTGCCCGAGGACCAAAAGGTCCAAGGAGTCCAGCTAAAGTTCACGAGTCGAATGTGGCTTGGGGAAGTGCTCCAATGGTCCAAATGTGACTGTCAAATCTAATTGTGTTCTAGTGATCATAAGGTGCAGACCGAGGATGAAGTAAAATGGCAACATCGCGAGACTACAGTGCACCAATGGGATGCATTTACTACCACTAATCAGGTTGGGAAACCATCCAAGCAAGGGAAGCAATACGAATGGTCTTTCGAACTCTTCGTCAGCGGTGATCAGGAAGAGACTTTCAAAGGCTGCAACCGCTGCAGCATAACCTACATCCTTGAGGCTTCAACCATTCACTACGGCACCACAGAGAGCTCCTATACTTTCGCACCCATTCGAATTATCCGATCACCCGCATTCTCGTCATACGAGCTTATGGATCCCACTACAGTGCAGGGAAAATGGGGTGGAAAAACAGAGTACAACGTCTCGATCCGGCATCGAGCAATAGCACTGGGAGGACTCATACCGATCGATGCTCAAATCGGGCAGCTGAGCGCGACGGCAAAAGTCACAAAGGCTAGGTTCTACTTGCGGGAGCGACATGCAGTAGACGATGAGAGTTCTACAGATTGTGTGGACTATGAGGGGCAGCGGATAGTGACCGAATGGCCGCTTGACTTGGACGATACTCGGATAATGCACTCTTGGCAACAGTGTTTACATCTTCCCAGGGCGTTGAGGAATTGTTCACCTGACTTCTCCCTCTGCGGCGTTACGATCAGCCATACTCTACACTTCGAAGTTACAATGAACACCAATGGCACAACAACAGAGGTATGTTCCCTATACCTGCACACTAATATACTAACTAACATTCATCAGGAGGAAATCTCAATGCCTATACATCTTTTCATATCGCCTGAGTTACCAGTTAATGGCTGGGGCGTTTTCGTCAGCAATAGCAACGTAGCTGCAAAGGAGGTTAAAGACGTGCTGGCAGAAGGAATTCGGGTACCGCCGAGGTATTGCAAGGGTGCTTTTGTCATGGAAGATTACGCGATACCTGACACTCCACCCCCGGCGTACAGTGAAGTTTAATTGGGAGATCTCGAGTCAGAGCTTTGTTTAAAGACGTAGCACTCTTTGATATCATTTTGTTCATTCCAACGATAGATGAAGTGTAGTCTAAATAGTCCATACCCTTATCCTGCTTCTAGTCCGCCATAGATCAAGTAAGCATCGATTGAGTATCCTCAGTCTGTGGAGTTACGTAGTTTGTATCCCAGTAACCCTATTTGAGTCAGCAAATTCCTTCACGAAATGATCGATATCATTGACTTACCCAATCTATCGCATCAGGCCTGAACCAATCGACATTATTGGCCCAATCCTCAAATCTCATCTCAATATGCTCGGGCATCACAGTCTGTGTGGGCTCTCTTCTTGAAAGGTAGGATCTGCGAAGATTAGTCTCGATCAAAGTCGTTAACATTTTGCATATGACTCACCTCAAACAACGAAGAACACGATAGACATTCGAACAAGCCGGACTCTTCATCTTCAATGCTTCCATACGGACCACAGCAGCGTCAATAGCTGATATATGCTCCTTCAAGTCCGAATCACCAGGCATGTCGAGCATACACGAAGTAAGAGCGACAGCACCATGTAGAGCATTGCAACTAATGGCCCCTTTGACGAGCCAACGATAGCATTTGAGTCGCGGTAGTTCGAAGAACTGGTGATGGATGTCAAGCAGTGCCAGGCCGGACTGGATGCATTTCTCTCTTGACTCGGCGCGAAAATGGTTTGAGCGAGAACTGTGAAAGGGCCGGTGGAGGAGTAAGTATAGTTGGTGAGCGTAGGTTTGTAATGTGCACCAATGCGCATAGCCTGCCGTGTTGAGGATACTTCTTCCACCGTTGACAAGATACACCGAGTCCCACTCCGTCTGTTCTTTGGATACTGCAGCATCAAATTGGTGCAGAATTGTTTGGTTAAGCTTATCGCTGCCAGAGATGTGCGAGCAAATCTGCGTGGAAAGCTGAAAGAGACGGACTTGGAACTTGATCAGAGTCATATCAGTAAGCCGTGACGGTGAGTGTGACGACACGTCAGTTATGCTGTTCTCGGTAATATCGCTATCGTTAACCCAAGCGGGCATTGTCGCTTTCATGTTCAACAAGAAAGTCAGATCAATATCTCGAAAGCAGAGCGCCTGATATGTATGAATAATCAAGATCCCTGCCCAACAGCGCCGACGTCGTTGTCGCTCAAGACAATTCGGCACAGGGCCATCCATGTGACATTTCAATGCCATGGCGATATTCGTCGCACTTCCAAGAAGCGCCCAGCCGTACTCGGGTCCCTCGTTGTGCGAGATCATATGAACAAGGATAAGAAGAGCTTCAAGCGTGCTGATGTCATGACGCACCAAGAATTGGTCTTGGGAGAGTGCCATCATAGCTGCGTTGCGATACTTCTGAGACAAGACTGATAAGTCTCTAGCAAAAGAAGTGTCCTGCCATAAGACAGCAAGGCCAGCATCGCTCGTCTCGGTGGTCTTGAGAGTCAAAGAGATTATAGCGAATAGCAGGGCTAGCCAAGATAGGCTGGTCTTCTCGGGCTCTTTGAGGAAATCTAAGTACTGGTTTTGAAATGTCGGACCGTGAAGGATGTGGAACAGCGATGAGAGAGTTCCGAAGTATCGGGCTACCAAGTACTCGGTGACAGACGTTGGCGGCAGCATAGCAAGAAGTTCTGTTATGTGAACGCTCGGTCCAAAAGAGATGGTAAAGGTTGGTTCTGGCGAATCAGGTCTTATGGGACTCCTGTCAACAGACGGTCGTCGCAGGATATCATCCCAACGTTGCTGAATTGGCTCTGGGGTCCGACTCGGCGACGAGACAGTCTCCCGACTAGCAGTTTGGACCTGAATCTGCGGCTGAATTACAGGCTCGACAAAGTCCAGCCCCGTCCTTTTTCGCCGCTGTCTTCCTGTAAAATTTGACCCATAGGCGCATGATTCCTGCCAGCCTCGTTTGAGACATGTGTTACATGGCAATTGACGATCGCATCGGAGTTTGGAGTGTCTGCAGGGGTCGCAGCTCAAAGGTTTTCTAGGTCGTCGTTTTTGAGCGCGTCCGCTCGCTGGAGTGCTTGGGCTAGTCGGGCTTAATTGCTCCATCATTTAAAATGGGCTTGGGGTAAGAAGAGACTGAGTTCGGCTTGACTCTCTGATGTTGCACGAGTTATTGAGCGTTTGTCGGGAATGAGAGATTGAATTTGGAGTCGGAGTTGGAGTCGGAGTCGGAATCGGAGTTAGGCTTGGCTGGGTTGGTTACGTCATGCTACGGAGATTGGAGCCAATTGGGTCAAGATCTTATCACTTCGAAGTTTATCTTAGTATACAGTTCTGTGCAAATTAGCCTACTAGCTCAAGGTTTAATTAAAGAGTATTAATATTGACTGTTATAACTATCTTACCTTCAGCGATAATACCTAGCCTTTAGTGACATTACCTAAAGGATAAAAGTTTCTTGTATACTAACGCTAGTCAAAACCACCCGCTTCTAGAAACACAAATCAACAACGCTCCATGTATGAACCAATCCACTCTCCCACACAACGTGCCTGTTGTACCCGCCTTAATACAATCACAGTCTACTCAGAGGGTAGTCATTATCCTTCCCAAGCACAGACTCTATATCCTCGTCACAAAACTTCTGGAGAGGAACAAATTCCTCCTCTGGAGCATCTGTATAGACCCCACCATACTCATCCTTGAAGTCAGCCTTCCTGGGATACTCTCGTGCAGCCATCCACACTCTGCCATCTATAGGCTCCTGGCTGATGGACTGGTGGTGCTGGATGGCTTTGACCGCAACTCGAAGAAGAGGTCGCATGAGAGGATAAAACCAAGCGTCGTGGAAAGTGTCGACAAATCCAGTTTTGTCGCATGTGTTGTGATAGAAGGCAAAGACTATTCGCGTGGCAATATTCGTACCGAGTTTTAGACTTCGGATCCAGTTGCGGCCTGTCATTGCTGGACGGTCCTCCTCAGGCAGAGAGTCATAAACTCTGTGCAGAGTTTTGTAAAGCGAGGAAGGCATCTGGATCTTATATGGATGGAATCTTGAGCCTTCTTCTAAAGCGTCTTCTTTCACGGTGGCTGTCAAGTCGAAGTTGTCATATTGAAGCTTTCGAATGAACCTGCGCCTATCAGTATTGGAAGTTTTAACAATGAGTTCTCAGAATCAAACAGACCTATAGTTGTGGCATTCAGTTTGAGTAAACGCATAATCATAGTCCACAGTTACGTGATACTCTGTCACATCGTCCTTGCCAGTCTTCCTCTTTGGTACACTTCTGCCGGCAACCTCTTCGGGGAACGCACCACCATTGAGATCGACCATTCGATGGTATTCTTGACGAGCATATAAAGCTGCGATGTAAAACTGATCAGAGTCTCGGAAGAGAAAATCCTGGTTCCAGTCGTCCTCTATTAGCGTGAGGGCAGCATCGATAAAGTTGCGAAGATCTTCGAGTGGGCCAATGACGGTTCCTGAGTTGAGAAATCGCGAGTCGCTATATTGGAGATCCCCTGTATCTGTCTTGAGTCCCCAGTTGAATCGAGGCTGTGTTGAAGACGGTACCACCCAACATCGCGGGTCAGTATCGCTCTCCGGCCAACATCCTTTATCGGTTCCCCAGAGAAGAGTTTGTCTTACTCCAGTTCGATGGAGCTCGTTTATAGTTATCCCGCGTTGATCAGCCAATCTTTGGTCTGCCTCGGACATCAAATCGAAGTATCGTCGAATCATCTCGCCGGCAGGGAGTTGAGCCATGACATCGAACCCGTCGACAATAATAACGAGGTCATCTGACGCACCGCCCGAGTCGTGGAGGTAGTCTTTTATAGCGCGCAGCTTTGCGATATGTGCCTTTTGAGCATCTAAGAAGGACTCGCCTCTATAGCCCAAGATGGTCGGTATGGAGTATCGATTGACGAGGGCTGAAGCAACGACGGCGCAAACTTGACGATTCGCTGCATTAGCAGGTACAAGGTAATGGAGTCGTGATATTTTATAAGAGGAGCCGAGCAAATGCGACGGATTTGTAGTGTTTCTAAAGTCCTGTATGCAAGAATCAGTTAGCCTTCCTGCGTCCAAAAGAGGGGTCTGATTGTACCAAATTTCTGCAGTTGAATATGAGGAATATCAAAACCATGGCGACAAGGAATAGGCGCCCGCGGTTCTTCTGGCCACGGTTACGTGGATGTGGGCTTCCTGGCGCAATCATGTTCACCACCACCGGCACTTCGGTGTTAAGACTGATTGTTTCGAACTTCATGTAGAAATGTCGTGGCTGGGTGGAATGATTGGGAAACAATCAGAAGATTCAAAGGATCTGCGACCAGCGAGGTGAGACGGTACCTTTTAAAATGGTCCAAGGGGTCAGTTGAGAATGCGGGAAACCCAACTCTTTGGAACCACTGGCCAGTAAAACCACCTGCTCGATCTCAGATACTACGACAAAGGAGTTTAAGCTCATCCCTTGCGTTAACCTTGAAATTTGGCTGGTATTGACTTGAGCACAGAATGTGAGACAACTCTTCCCCATTGGGATGCTAGACGAGGGAGTGCAACACCAGCAGCACCTTTGCCAATGGGACAAGCACAAACTCTTAATATTGTATCATAGTTCTATGTCACCCAAAAAGTCTGCATACCCGAGTCTATTCGATTATTGAGGCTTTTTTACAAAGAATAAGGTCAAACATGTCTTTGTCTTACTGAGACTGTTATGCAAGAAAAGATGGTGTTGTGTGTCATTCCATTTTCCTCCCTTGCTCTCTCATCGCTTAGCAAATCAGAGGCTGAGAGCGTGAGACATAATGGACTTGGACGAATGATGCCCCCCCCCCCCGTTTATCTCAGTGCTTTGTTCTACCGTTTCGTGTAGATCATTCCACAAAAGTATGCATTTCTCGGTCACCGCTAAGTCCTGACCAAACTCGCGGTGAGCAAGTACGACAATTGACCTGCCCCTTATGAGAGGATCATGGCTATCAGTCGCCTCGCAGTTTGAGTGGTAGTTGCTTTTCATCATGCATTTGACTTTTCGTCTCGGTGTTCATCATAGCATCTATACCTTACGACCTTGGAGCAGAATCAAGTCAAGACAAATCAAATGGTCAGAAATAAACCAGAGATATGGAGCAAGTCCACTCTGTTCGTTTATATCAGGATATATATCGAAAGCTGGGACGTAATGCTTTTGTTTTACTGGACCTTAGTAAGGTATGGTTTAAACGACTGGTGTCGACCCTCCCATTGAGAAAGGCTGCGACTCATCGGAACCATAGTCAATACAGCCTTTCGAGGATTTTACATTTTTATGCTACTCATGAAATGCAGGGACGTATATGTATGCAGAAAGAGAGCCCCGAGAAAATAAACATAAATGGCCAGGTGGCGCCTTGTTAGAATGACCGGGTGCCGTAGAATCCCCCAGGTACTTGCACGGCACAGTAGAAAATAATAATATGCTGAATATTCATAAGAAGATAAAGAGACATACATCAATCTTATTGAATGTACTTTCCAATGGCTCTATGGTACGAGGTATAAAGTCTTTTATGGGCTTGTAGTTCTATGGAGGAGTTGAGAAGAACATGCGAAAAGGTTCGAATCGTAGTGGAGGATGTTAAGCCTCGGGGGGGGGGGGGGGGGGGGGGGGGGGGGGGGTTAAAATTGCAGTGCAAAATGGAGCTGAGTGGAGCCTATGACCTATCACCGGACTTCGTAGTAAGCATGTGCGAGGGCTTCAGACGCAGTCAGACGACGCTAAAGCATGCACGTTAGTGTTATGTGGTATTTGAGAACCACGCTTACTTACCCTTGGGTCAAATTGTAGAAGCCGATCAACGAGATCTATTGCTTCATTTGTTGCCAGATGTTGATTATCTGGGGTTTTCAATTCCCTCCAAGGCTGTCTGGGATGATGGCCAAGAGTTTCGACGTCCTCTGGCTCCATCTGAATCCCGTAGTCTTCCACGAAACGATACAAGCTCTCTGTTCCCAAGACCCGAGCCGCTGATAGTAGTTGATCGATACAGCTACTACCGTGGAAGAATGGCTCTTTCCTGAAGATCATAGCCGCAAGCATGGTACCGAAACCCCACATGTCCATGCTGTGGTCGTAGCGCTCGTAACAGAGGAGCAATTCAGGAGGCTTAAAGAGACCAACGCAAAGCCCAAACTCCCCTCCTGGCTGGTAGAACTCGGCTGAACTCCATCCTATGAGTCGAAGCTACTATGTTGTGAGTTATGTATATGGTGGTAGAACGAGTCGGTACCTTTCGATTTCGATGGTCAATAACCACATTGTGCGGTCTTATATCGCGATGCATGATGCCTTGGCCATGAGCAAATTCTAATGCTTGGAGCAGCTCACGCGTGTAGTGGAGGATGTCCATGTCGCTTAATTGGGGATATAAGGTTCTGAAATCAGTATCGTCCACATGTTCGAGAATCACTCCGACATTGGCTCCCTGAGTCCCCCTGTTATCAAGCGGGTTTCAAACGAAGTAAATGGGGCGGACAAACCTCGTCGCCTTGAACAATGTCGATCAATTGGACAATATTTGGATTTGATCTCAGGTGTCGCAAGACCTCTATTTCGCGGTTGATTCTGTTCCGACTGTCTTGTTTGTACAACTTCATCGCGAAAACACGCTCGCGTGGATCATGGCATTCGAAAACGATGGCATGTCTACCACGTCCTGGATTATACATAAGTGAATAATACAAGGCCAGCAAATATGTAACGTTACCTAATCGTTTGGGAGGAGCGGCCAAATCGTAGAACTGTTGGCGCTCTGGGAGGTCTCAGCTGCATGGCCATTCCCACTGACAGTAGCACGAACTCACCTATGTCGGCATTTATCTGCATGGGTGCCATGACCGAGGCGCTAGCTATAGCGGTATGTGACTCCCGAGGGTAACTTATTACCGTTGAAGAAATCAGCTAGTTTGGAAATGAAGGATAGAGCAGCCGTTGTCAGCGGGAAAAAATGCCGCATGGGAGCCATGGCTGATATGCCGCTCATTCGCAAGCTACCTACTGAGCTGCCTACAGCTGACACTGAGGAAGAGCAGCAACATAATCGTTTCAAGCCAGTGATTTTACAGTATTTGAATCGTCAAATATGGTAACTACACTAACAACTGAACAAATGTTATTTCCGTCTCATTGCCCATAACAATACCATCGGCCATCGGCAATACGCCCGTATTTCTCGATCGAAGTGAAGTTGTTCGAGTGCGCATATCTTCACGTCAGGCTAACTCTCAAAAATAAGCCATTCGGGGTAAGCCAGTAAGCCAGTAAGCCAATTCGGCACCTCTTCCGGAGACTTTCATGCATCAATGCAGGTGCAAGGTTTTCCGAAGAATGAGGTCGTCTATCTCCAATGTCCGTTAACACCCTCCGGACTTCCAGTGGCCTTGTAGCGCTTCCTGGCCGGACATAAGGTGAAAGATCCGCTTTCATGCAGCACTCCACTGCCGCTTTCCACTCCGCTGGGGATGGCGCATTTGCGCTGATTGGTGTACTGACCTGGTCCCCGAACGGCTTTAACATTATCATCGAGAAGAGGGTCAATCGCGACGTGGTTTTCGTATCGTTGCTTCTCAGTATTCTCCGCTAGTACGATAGTATATGGTAAAGTAGCTCTTCAAACCTTTCCTCCACACTACATAAACCTTTCCCATCCTCCCCCAGATGGAAAAACATCATTATTCAACAAACTACAACTCATCAAGCTCTCCTCTCCATCAATCAGCTTCACAAACATACGCCTTGCTCTTAGATAAACTTCAACTCCCATAAAAGCCCAACCATCAAATATGGCTCGAGTCTGGTTCATCACTGGTTCCTCTCGAGGACTAGGACGCGCACTTGTCGAGCAAGTCCTTGCCTCCGGCGACATCGTCGTCGCTACCGCCCGAAAGCCCTCGCAACTCGATGATCTTGTCACCAAATATGGATCTGAGAAGATCTTTGCAACAGCACTTGATGTTACCGATGCCAACCAGGCGAATGTTGCTATCAAAGAGACTGTAGACAAGTTCGGCCGTATCGACGTCCTTGTCAACAATGCAGGCTACGCAAACCTAGCTTCTGTGGAGGACACATCTCTTGAGTCTTTCCGTGCACAAGTCGACGTCAACTTCTATGGTGTTGTCAACGTCACAAAGGCCGCTGTGCCTATTTTCCGACAACAAAAGTCTGGCCACATCATCCAGGTCTCCACAATCGGAGACCGAGTCGGTACGCCTGGAGCAGCAGCCTACCAAAGCGCCAAGTGGGCAGTCGCCGGTTTCTCAACTGTTTTGGCACAAGAAATTGCGCCTTTTGGCATCAAAGTCACAGTTGCCGAGCCCGGTGGCATCAAGACCGATTGGGCTACTATCGCTATAGAATCTTCGAATATCAGTGAGCCTTATGAGCAGTCTGTGGGAATGATGTCCAAGCTCATGGAGGATAAGTCTCACTGGGCTGAGGGCTCGGACATTGCGAGGGCCCTCATTCATCTTTCTCAGGTCGAGGAACCGCCTCTGAGGATCGTTCTGGGCCATGGTGCCCTTCCCTGGTCTCAGATGGCGGCCAAGACTCTGGCTGATTCGGACGAAAAGTGGTTGAAGGTATCTAAGCTTGAGTTTTAAGTTATCTGGAGTTCACTTGGATATTATGACGGGGAAATATGTACGAATACTGGTTACAGATCTTTTATTTACTTTCAATAACTTATTTTACCATATACACCAGTGTATACTCAGTCCTTCTCAATATCCCCCACCTTTCGTGTGATGGAATATGCAGGCTGAGGCCCACCATGCAATCATGTGTGCATGTGTATATACATAACATATTCCGAGTATGAAAATTCAATGAGCTGTACAAGCAATATTTTGATCGTCTTTTTGTTCCAGGAACCAGTGTTTACTGATCCGATTTCGTCCGTTCGAGTCCAGATTAGCTCGGTTATTCTAGTGCCTGAGGCTGTTATCCTGTCTTATCAGTGACTTATCGGGTCCCACCGGTTGGTCAAACGCGCCAGTGAATTTGACATTGCGTCACACCTCATCCATTTCACAACTCCATCCAACAAACTCACGATGATGTCCAAAAGTCAAAAAGCGACAAGCATTATTTCTTCGCTGCGCAGGCCGCATGCGATACGGTCTTTAGGACCAGTTTTGGCCAAGTCTGCAACTAACAGCTTCCACACTTCGGCTGCCACACAAACAGATGGCGTCTTTCATGGATTGGAAGACAAGAGGCAGCCAATGCCCTGGATAGAGGCTTTCACTCGTCAACAACAGGGCCTACCGGCCCATGATAACAGCGACACTGCTAATGAACGCGACCTTACGCCGAAGAAGATGAGCGACAGCTACCACCGCGTTGTGCTTCCTCTCAAGAAGGATCCTTGGCTGTCGGATACATACGTTAACTCTTCCGGCCACATCAGGTAGCAATGCCATCAAGCTATTCGGCTGCGGACTAACTAAACTCATAGACTTGGAACTCTGTTCATGGATCTTGACGCCCTCTCTGGCATCATCGTTTACAAGCATACCGGTCCTGGCGTTACCACAGTGACCGCCGCCCTGGATCGTATCACCATAGCACATCCTCTCACTGAGATTTGTGACCTTGAATACAGCGGCCAAGTCACATATGCCTCCGGCCGAAGTAGTGTTGAGATTACCTGCAAAGTCGCAAAGGCAAGAGAGGAAGGCGAGCCAAGCAAGCCCGAGGATGTCCTCCTTACCTGTACCTTCACCATGGTAGCTCTGGATCCTAACACGAGAAAACCCGTCGCCATCCCCAAACTTGAGCCCACCAACGAGGAGGAGGAGAAGATTTTCAAGGCCGGCGAGCAGAAGTCGCTTGCGAAGAAGGATATATCCAAGGTTTCGCTTCTCCAGACTGAACCAAACGATGCTGAATCCGCCCTGATCCATCAAATCTGGCTGCGACAACTTGCATACCACGACCCAAACAACCAACTTCGTCAGCCTTCCAACGTTGTCGCCATGTCCAAGACCCAAGTGTCGACTGCAAATATTATGCAGCCGCAGTTCAGAAACCGTCACCAGACAATGATCTTTGGCGGTTTCCATTTGAAGCAAACATTCGAGCTTGCTTTCTGCTGTGCTGCCAGTTTCGCTCACGCCCGCCCAACCTTCATCAGCGCAGATCCTTGTACGTTCCGTAATCCCGTTCCTGTCGGAAGTGTCCTGTACTTGACCGCAACGGTTGCGTACACCGATCCTCCGCTACTGGAGGAGGATGGCACCGAGCCTGGCTTTCCGGATCCGAAGAATCCTATGACTCGGGTGCACATCCGCGTTGACAGCAAGGTCCGTGATGTTGAGCATGGTGTTGCGAAGCCGACGGGTCAATTCAACTATACCTTTTCTGTCCCGAAAAACTTGAAGGTTCTGCCGCATACGTATGAGGAGTACATGGTGTATATTGATGCCAGGAGACGTGTTTCGCTGGGTGATAGTCAGCGAAAGGAGGAGTCCAAGGCCTTTTCCGAAAAGAGACCCGAGGCCTCGGGAGATGTTAATTTAGTAGGCTAAAAGGATCATCAGCGAACCAACCTGTAGTCTTAATTCCGATTCTTAATACCGGGTGAGGATCAATGCGATGGAGTTGTGATAAGGCCGTTAACTCCGGCGTCTGACTTACTTGGAGGCTCGAGCCCTGGATATATGTCCCATCAAGCCGTGCATATCTCTTGAATTTGCATCTTTAAACTTCGTAAAGCTGATGACCTTCGACGCCGTGCTGTTCATGTTCTCTATAATGACGTTTACCAAAGAGGAGCGACTGCAGCTAGCAGATATGGATCCTGAGTTGGCTGAGGCAAGTGCTCAGGTTTTATCAGCATGGCTTAACACTGACTCTGAGTAGTATCTAAGGACTGCGAAATTTCCGCAGCTAGACACTTCTGACCCCTCAAAGGTCATCGCAGGCTTGAGATGGTACATGAAGAGCCTTCACAAACCACCGAACCCGGACAGTGGTGTCGTTGAGCGCGATGTTTACTATGCCGCCAGAGATGGGCACAAACTACGCGGCCATGTTTATGAACCGACTGCAAAGCCAGCTGCATCTGTTCCGCTCGTTGTATACATACATGGCGGAGGATGGACTATCGGATCTCCCGAAGACACCGCGCGGTCATGTCGCGATATCGTCCAGAAGCTTGGTGCTGTTTGCTTAGCGCCTTCCTACCGACAGGGACCCGAGGATCCATTTCCTGCTAGTATTAACGATGTTTGGGATGGCCTGCAGTGGATTGCTTCGAATGCTGAGTCTGAGCTTGGTGTCTCTTTGTCCAAGGGTTTTGTCATTGGTGGCTCATCGGCAGGAGCGAGCATGGCTAATATAGCCAGCCATCTAGCTCGTGATGAGAACTTGAATCCCCCTGTTACAGGCGTCTTTCTACTTGCACCTATGATACTCCCACCAGAATCCGAAGAAGCGCTTCCTGAAAAGTACAAGGAGATATATCTCTCACGAACCCAAACCGAGTGCAAGAACGACCCAATCCTTACGCCCGCGCTGGATAAGATCTTTCACGACTCAGCTACTGGCGATATATCGTCTCCTTTGTTTGTTCCGTTCATTTGGCCGACGGGTCACCATGATCTACCGAAAACCTACTTCCAAGTTTGTGGGCTGGACATCTTACGTGACGAGGATCTGATCTATGAACAGGTGCTGCGTGAAGACAATGGGGTTGAAACTAAAATGAACGTCTACCCTGGGATGCCGCATATCTTCTGGGGTAACTTTTCGCATCTGGGGCAAGGTAGAAAGGCGGCTGTGGATCTTGTCAAAGGTGTCAAGTGGTTATTGACATATTAGGAGAGGATTCGTCAAGTCATCATTTGCTACTGCGTTTTAATGCTCAGCTTGTTTCTCCCATAACATAAAGCTGCGATAAGTTTCCTACATAACCTTCCGCCTGAAACCCATTTTTTGTTGGCGAATTTCCATCAACCCTCGTCTAAGCTTTGTCCGCGTCTGCCTTTTTCTCCGCTGCCAATTGTGAAAGAACCTCCAAAGTCTCTTCCTCCCGACCAAGCGGCACAAAAACATGATCATGATAAAATCCGCTGACGCAGTTGCAGGGAATCTCTTTCGCTGCCAGCTTTGTCGCGATAACAGCCATGAACCCCACAGCTTCCAAGCTCGAGGTAACGTTGAGAGTGATCATTCTACATGGAAGGAAGTAGTCGATCTGATGAGACTCGGCGTAGTCTTTACTGATGATCAACGTAATCCCTTCGGATTCTTTGAACATCATCTGGGTTTCGGATTGAGGTGGTAGCTGGGAAGGGTCGGTGATGGTGGCAAAGACGTAGGTGGTTGGATGCAAGCTTGTGGTGAGTGTTGAGAGAAGCTTGCTCAGTGAGAGCTCGCCTGGGTCGGTTGACATGAGAGACATTGTGGAAGGTGATTGCCTGTTGATGAATTGCTGATGTACTAATTTTATGATACAAGCAAAGGAGTGAAAAGCGATTTGAACTATGGCTTTATGAATTTAGCTCTTGTCAAATTTAAGTGGACAAGTGGACCTTGACTTGTGAAAGGCGCGCCCATAAACAGCATGACGTCACCATTCCAAACTCAAAATGAATGGCGACTCAGATATTCTTGAGCATTGTAGAAACGAACTGTATGACTACTTGCACATGTAGATGAATTGAAACCGGGTTATAGTTCATACAATAAAGTAGCGACTGTATCAAACAGCAAAAAAGAGTAGCCAGTCAAGACCAAACCGAGTATGCGTCGATGCCATTGGCTTGGTTGACCATCAAAAACTCATGGAACAGCCCTGAACTTCTGCAATACAGATCACGGTTCAAACTAGGCGCCCTGACCGACTCCTGACCCCTTCTGAACTTTGGCCTTGTTGAAAGCATCGATGGCGGCACCGGTCTTGATGACAGCCGAGGGCGCATCGAGAGGCGGCAGGATGAGTTCTACAAGCTATATCCATTGTTAGCAAGGCACCCAAAGACAGAAGGGAAGTCAGCTTACCTCAAGACAACCGGCATTACCAAAACCAGGGTCTTGCAGAAGTCTTGACAACTCGCCACAGGTCTTGATAGGACCATGGTACTTCGATTCAAAATCAGGCCCGAATGTTTTGGCCAGGAGTGAGTAATCGAGGATTGCAACATCGTTGTAGAACGCTTCCTTTCCGTGAATCAAGCGCTCGACTGTGTATCCGCCGTTGTTGAGAACGAAGCTAGAAGTAGTAAGTATCAGTTAATGCGAGGGTGCACACAGTAAGAGAGAGAAAGAAATAGGACTTGCATGACTGGCTTGAGATCCCACCGAAGCATGTCTGCCAGAGCCTGAATCGTGAGATGCATGGAGCCCTCTCCAGTCACAAGTACAGGTCGCTTCCACTTTCCTTCACTTTCTGAGATAGCCTGTCCTACTCCCACGATGGCACCTGTAGCATACCCAATACTTCCATAAACGGTCTGGTTAAACATCATCACACCGCTGGGAAGCTTGGTGTCGCAGAGGCCAAAGGCAGAGGTGCCGGTTTCTCCGATAACGACATCACCAGGTCGGAAGAAGGAGCTGAGGGCCTGACAAAGTTGTTATAATGATGAATTGGAATAGGAATAGGAGGACTTACACCCCAGATAAAGTCTTGCTTGAGGGCGTCGCTGGCTTGGAAGTTGAACTTCGGGTATGGATCCCAGGTGACTTTTTGTGCGACTGTTGCAACGGGGCTCGAGCGAAGAGACTTGACAAGACTATGAAGGACCTGCAGCAGATTTTAGCAAACAACGGCCAAGGATTATTGGGGTACACTGACATGCTTCATCGACACCGCATACTGGATCTTGCCAATCGAAACGGTGAAGCGTTGAAGATCCACAATAGTGGCATTCTTGTTGACCACCGTCGTAAACTCCCCAGTGTTGAAGTCTGAAGGGTAGTTGCCGATCCAGATGACAGCATCCACGCTCTCCAGTGCTTCTTTGACACCGGACAGAGTACCAGCGCCGCAGTGAACGCCTGCATACTGGGAAATGGTCTCGTCAAGTCCCCCCTTGCCCATGGCGGTAGTAAAGGCGGGCAAATTGGTCAACTTGATCAGTTCGTGGGCTTCCTCAAGCGTATCGTGACGCACGGCGCCTATCACGAAGTTAGATTCTAGGTTGCGGTATTGTGTAACTGTTACTAACCTCCGTCAACGATGATTGCAGGTTTCTCAGATCCTTCAATCAGTTTCCGAATCTCGTCAACCACTTTCTTCTCCAGAGCTGCATCATTGGGCGGGAGGATAGCCTGAATTGGTGATTCAAGTCCCTCCGCATTGATCATTTCGTATGCGATATCGACACTCAGCCCAATGTATACAGGCCTACTCTCCCGCATCATGATACTCAGCGCGTTGTCGATCTCCTGAGCCGCAGTAGGAGCATAGTTGATAACAACCGTAGCCGCAGTGATGTGCTTTGCCATGTTCTCATACATGTCAAACTTTCCATTCCCGAGACTATGATGCATGATCTCCTTATGGCGAACAGCGTCAACAGCCGGGTAGCCAACGATGTGAATCACCGGCACAAACTCAGCATACTGGCCAGCCATGCCACAGTATGCAGACAACTCGCCAGGTCCAAAGGTGGTGAGGAAGGCTCCAGCACCGCGAACACGGGCATACCCATCAGCTGCATAGGAAGCAACGAGTTCGTTGGGGTTGCCTTTCCAGGAGAGATCATTGTCAGTGACAAGATCAAGAAGGGCGAGTTCGTAGTCCCCGGGGACTCCAAAGACAGAACGAATTCCTAGTGAGTGCAGACGGCGGAAAAGATAGTCTCCAACCTTGATTTCAGGCATTTTGGGCGGGTGTTGTTGAAAATGGGTTTGTGTAAGAGAGGATGTCTTGAGTATGATGAAGAATGGTGCTGATGAGTTGCACAATATTCGTTAGATCCAGTCCACGTATTTATACAAAGAGCTTCACAGCAGAACATCTTCGTATCTCGGGTCTCTCAATTATCGCGACCGGAAGTTCGGATCTAATAACATGGTCTTCGCGAAGCCCCGAGGCTCATACGTTGCAGAAGATGGCTGCTTACGCTGCAGCAGTGTTGTAGTAGTGCAATTGATTCCGCAGGCTTGGTTCCCAGTTGGGGGCGACAAATGCCGTGCCGTTGATTGCAACCAAGCCGTTAATTGACTGACCTGGTGGCGTGGTATGGTAATAAGTGCCTAGTCCTTGTACCCGGGCCCAAGCCCGTGGTAGAGCCAAGCCTCCCTACCTGTTGACCCGTTCTAACCGTCTCAACGGCTAAAAGCGGAATACGAAAACATCATCGCGACACCGTCTTACTCTCAAGATATTGAATAACAATAAATACTCATGGTAATGATTCCAATAGTCAGCTAATGTGATATCGTTTTGCACTCTCAGTTTATTATTGGTGTCAGGAAGCCTAACAATCATGCTGTATGCCTGAGCTTCGACTATGATCGAGGTTCGCGGCTATTACTGTTGCTGCAGTAAAATTCTATTCAAGAGAAAATTCCGTGTGAAAGCCAAGGTTCGAAGATGGGGGCAGCCGAGTATTTCGAAGAATCTTAAGGCTGACTATGGGGTAGGGCTGCAATGGCACAATGCCGCAAATATTAATGGTAACAGTCACTGACGGCGCCATTGACGTCGTGGTGTGACAGCACAACGGAACGAACCCGCGACCGTGCGGGACACACACCTTACTTCAGTCAATGAAAACAATGTTATCTTAAATTCCTTTGATGCGCTCATTCTAGTGTAACACAATTCACGTCGGGAGATGCTTTCTTAACACTGGCCTGCGAGTAATTGGCCCGGCGTTCCCGAGTATCGCCCGCTCCTAACTTGAAGAAGTTGGTAGTATTCACGAACCAATTGAAACGGAGTTGGCCATGTTTGTCGTGAGCAAAAGTCCTGATAGTGCGATCCTGGACGGCCGTCTTTTGTAGAACTTCAACCGAATCCATCATTCCGGACCCTTGCGCTTCTGTAATTCGAAAGACGAAGCCGAGTTCAACCACATTCACGTACAAAGACTTATTCATGCCAATAGGTGCTGGGCTATATTTGGGCCGGCATCTGGAAAGGTTTGGTTGGTTGGTTCATTGCGGCTCTCATGGAACATTCAGAGTAGATTTGTCATCGAATGCTCAGACTCGTCCGTGTCAAATATTCGTAAGTATACATACTCAAGTCTAATTTGATCAGCAAGGAGTTTATGCAGTCTCTGTTGTGGTTCAATGAACAATCCTTGGAACTAGCCCGCCTGGATGACACTCTTTGGGCCTCTTTCTTCACTTCAAACCGTCGGCTTAAGGTTGATGTGAGGCCGTGTCAGTAGCTCTCTGACATCTCCAATGATAAAGTAACTCGCGACTATCCACTTCTATTGAGAGACAATGTTACATTGTTCATGATGATTCCTGAATGAATTCGGGTTAAAGGCGTGAGGCGCATTGAACTTCTCAATCCTCCTCGGTAATTGGCTAAAAGTGATCGAGATGTATTTGTTCGCACAACAAGGAAGTCCTTTTAAGCCATTCGCGACAGAGCCTGGGGTATGATCAGCGTTTCATATCTAGACGTTGTAGAATCTGAACGCCGGTCGTAGTCGGGGATAATACTGCCTGCGTAGAGTACTTTCTAGAGCAAGTCATAGGCTTGGAGATAAGTTTGAAGAATTCATGATACTAAAAGCTGTTCATAGGGACCTAAAACATGAAACGGGCCAGGTTTAGGGATTAATTTCGCTACTGGGTTGCACGAGACAAACTGCATGAGAGCCACAGGGGCAGGGAAATGTAGTTCTCTCTCTTCCGCCAATACGCTCCCTTCGGTAGTAAGTTCAGCTCGATTCCAGCATGTTATATTCGACTGTAAAGCTTACGTATGGCTTGTTGCTACAGATCCTTGCCACAAATTGATTAGTCTCAATCTTCTTTCCACGTAGATGAGCAATATGAGTGGAATGACTTCGCGTTTTTCAGCCCCTCTTCCTTGCTTGGAAGGTCGTAAAAGGCAGTTAGTGCTAAATACTGTGGATTTGAGTATCATTGCGGACCAAAATTTTCTTCACCCGAGAGCTAGTCTGGGTACTTAGTGCTCCTTTATTTTCCTAGCCCAACGGTCCGTCAACGGGAAGCCCCATCCGCGACGGCAGATCAGCCTCTAACGTTCTTGTCGTGAGAAATGTGTTTTACTTGGATAAAGGTTCCTCGGCAGTTGGCCTTGAACATGGGAGAAATACGTGCTTAAGTTGAGATTTCTCGGAAAAGAAGAAGCGAAAAAGCAAAAAGAGAAAAGAAGAAAGAAATTGGCATTGCAGGGTACATCACCAGAATTCGCGGCGCAGCATGCATGGTGCCGATCAATGGCCGGAACGCTGGTCCGGTGTGCGCTTGTGGAAATACTGCCGGGGCATGCCAGGGCAGGCTTGCTTGCAGCGTAACGGTTGCTGATAGTAAAGCGAGATTTGCTATCATAAACAGAGGTACTGATTGTCCCTGGCGACCTTTGACGACTTGGAACTGCAAGATAATTGCCATCACGGCACATTGACAGGGATTGTAAAAAGCTACCTGCAGTTGGTCCCCAAACCTGCATGTACTGTTGGTTGCTGGCCTGTCCAGTTGCCGGGATGATTGACCGCCAAGAAAAGTGCATGCCAGGGCAAGTCCTGTGGTTACGCTGGACTCACAGGCAATAAATCATTGTCACAGTTGGATCCAGCGCTGAATGACGCCACTGGCCCAAGAATCTGGGGCAAAGTGTCTGCAACGAGTCGCATTGTTCGGCATATCACAAACGGAGAAATGCATAATTGTTCAAAATAGGCATACCGTTCAATTTTATCTATCCAGTGTTGATATATCGTTATTTTAAGAAAGGAAAAGGTACGGCGATAGCCTATCTATTTGTCTTTTGGCGTTATGGTAGCGTCAGTTTTCTTCCAGTCTCTGCCATTATCTGCATCTGGTAAGATGTTGCGTTGGCTGTCCCCATCGTCAGAGTCCACGCGGTTCGGGTCAGAAACGTGGATGTATTTACGACGGTTCATTTCGAAATTGTTTGAGCCGCTGGCCCCTGGACCACGAGAGCCTTCCCCAGTATGCCCCCCCGGGCTGGAACTACGTCCATGACTGCCGAAAGGCATATACTTGATGAGAGGGCGGAAGGCAACCAAGGAAGCGGTTAAGATAGAGATACCGAACTCGAGGACAGAGCTAGGGGAGCACAGGTTAGTAGATATAAGTGAAAGAAAAGGGGATGGGCACGAAAGACTCACTAGATGAAAGACTCGAGCTGGAGGTCCAATGCAGCAGCAATATCCTTAGATCCGACGATTTGGATCAGACTCTTCAGCCGCACAATACTGACAATAACAGTACCTGCGCCAAGTCCCAACAATATTATAATGGCTATCTTGGTCCGGAGGCCCATCTGCAACCCCTTGAGCAAGAAAATAGGCAGAATCGCGTAGAACAGTGCCGACACGATATCCAGTATCCCTCCGTGTCCTGAGTACTAAAGAGCTCTCCAAACTGACCTATCTCTTTGAGCTTTGGGTCCTTAGGAAAGGGATTCAAGGGTTGCTTTTGGGGGAAAGGTGTTAGTTTGTTTCTGCTAGATCTATCATGTGGAGTTTACCTTTGAATCCCATTGATTGACGTCAATGAAACCAGCTCTCTCGATGCCTGACCGTTGGATGTCATCCGCAATAACCGTGAAGGTATTTCCAATCTTCTTCGAGGCTTCGATAAAGATAGGGGCCCACTGCGCCATTGCCGAGTCTGGTTTAACAGTACCATCGTCACTTTCGATCGTCGGTGAGGCTTCAAAGGTTTCGATCCAACCACCTGGCTTGAGGACCTTGTAAGCTTCTTGAAAGAGCTTGTCCCAGTCAGGAATACATCCAACCAGGTATCGCAAGTGTACGTAGTCGAAGGAATCTGGAGGGTAAGTCCAGTCTTGGCTGCAGTCTTCGATCTCACTGGTACATATGTAAGATAGCGTCATATAAAGTTGAAGCATTTTAGTCTTACAATTTCACATTCGGTGGTACCCATGAAGGTTGGATAGGCGAAATATCGGTACCGATAACTTCGCAGCTGGGGTACTTGTCGGCGAAATCACTATTCGTTCAGCCGTGGTTATTTAGCAAGGGATTTAGTCAACTCACATTGCCCAAATTCCTGTCAAGTTGGAAAGCTTGTCAATATATCAACTCTTAAGGCAAAAAAGTGCTGGCACTGATATACCTGTTCCGCATCCTACGTCGAGGACTTTCTATCAAGTAGACAAGGCCCTTTAGTACTGGATCAAGTATGTAGTAGGGACGTCTTGACTTACCTGAATATCATCTTTCAATGGGGCAAGGTGCAATTCACCATCTTGTGCAAGCGTAAACATGTGATGACTATATACGTTAGTTTGACACTTCAAACCCAAGCAATCAAAGTAGGGTATCATACGCGATATCCATAGCCTCGCTTTGTCGCTCATCGTTGGAACCCCTAAAATCGTCAATCTCAGCTTTTCTCGTACCCCCGTGTTTCATTACCAGTAGGCTGCGTTTCCTCTCTCGCTGTGGTACGTCCTCCCATTGATGGTGCGGTAGTGCAGAATGCTCGATGTGATAGAAGCGGTGGAACTTTCGGCGTCGGCCCCAAGACCTGGATCATCTTCATCCTCCTCTACATCATCATCGACCTCAATCGTATGGGCAGCGGCGGGTACATCCCTTTGTGGAGACTGAGGTGACTTCGGTGAATTGCTTTTGGGACTCTTTGCAGACATGTTGCGGCAGTTGAAAAGTGCAAAAAGCAAATATGCAGAAATTCCAGGATGATATGTCACGGCAGTGAGCCTTTTTATTGCCTCAAATACGTGTGTGATATCCCCTCAAGCATGATATGATTGCGCAAAATACAGGGTTACAGTGTCACCTTACTTGTGCATTCATGTCTGTGCATTACGAAACACATCGACCAACAAGCCACTCATAACGAAGAATTAAGCGATTTTCAATGCAGTGCGCAAGCCAATTCGGGGTGGGATGGTATGGATGGGGACAGATGGCTTGAGCCAGCTTCTTAAATGATGCCACGAAGAGTATAACCCCACTACTTTATCCAAGACGTTACATCTGTGAAACGTTTTTGGTCCATTTGACAAGTTGTAGTATTTTGTTCCGCTCCCGGATAGTGGTTCGGCAGTCACTATGTGACAGGACATTGTCTTCGATTTCTCAATGTTTTGCTGCTGGCTGGCTGGATGATTATAATGAACAAGTAACAGTATTTGCTGTCATTTCTTAACCTGCATTACCAACTGTCTAACATCAGGCAATTGTGGCCAGGACGAAGTGTCACGTGCGGGAGAGAACGTAACTCGATACTGCCGGTGGACTTGCCGATGCACTCCTTCTTCTGCCTCCGACAAGACTGCTCTGTAGTTAACATAAAGATCCGGGACACTAATACAAGCGAGGCTAGGCGTTACCCCAGATCACGGCCTTACAGATTTGCAGATCTTCTCAAGGACTCTCGGACTTAACCTATACCCACCTATGGGGAACGAGCAGTCGTGTACCACGGTGTGTAACTGAACAGCAGTGTTTGGTTCGTTTCATTGGTGGTGATTTTGCTACGAATGGTTAACATGATAGGTAGACAGGGAATTTCTGATGCTGCCTCACGATTCAATCCTTTCTGCCCTGTGCAACGTTATCCAATGCCATGGCAAAGCGGTTTCAAAAATCTAAAAACCTAAGGAGACTCAGGTGTAAAAGATATTTCGTTTGTAGGTACGTCCAAGGTTTCATAATACCAGACTTGAGCTTGATATCAGACAACAAGAGAGGGAGGAGTTGGCTTCGAGTACATCAGTACGCTGTTTTCCCCAATCTAACGTTGATTCCTCGTCGCTAGACAAACGAACTGCCACACTGAAGGGCGACGTGGAATGAGATTGGGTAAAATAGTGTAACAATACAATTATTAAATGGAACTTGTAATATGTTGAGTATGCTTTTGATGTCCCAATCTTGGCCATCACTGTCTATGAGGGCGACATACGCGTGCATTTGAATTATGTGCTCAGATCTGGCTTGCGTAGGAAAAGAATAAGCCAACAGGTATCTAGAGCTCACCAGCTTTGATACTCTGTTCGGCAGCTATGTAGTACCTAGGCGAATATAGAACGAACCTCTTGACCATCATGCATCAGCCAACTTGTTTGCATACACGATGCTTGCCAAAAGCAGCATCGTGGCTGAGATTGTTAGAACTGAGCTCGGTTCCTATACGAACCATCAAATAAGCTTTTCTACAGAAATCCTAGTGATTCTACACCTGGTCAATCCGGTTATTCTCTGGGAGATAATTCAAATTCAGGTCATGTGTGTTGAGATAAGAAGACCAAAACACCACGACTGCCCCAGATCCCAATGCAGTTAAAAGGGTTTTCTCCTCGGACCGACATGACAAGCATCTCGTCCTCAGGTCAAAGTCCGAGCTTCAACATATTATCGGACCGACGACACGTCCCAATATTCGCCCCCTATTCGCCCCAGATTCTCCCTCTCCTCAACCCCAGATTTTGCTTGGCCCGCATCTCGTGTCGCATTGCTCCAGAATCCCCAGATCCGTTAAGCGTCTCCTGAGAACTAACCGTGAAGCGCGCGAAGGAATCTCGTCCTTTCCCCGGACCGACGAGATTTGTTAGGTCTGGAGCTATGACGATTACTCCCAAGACCTAATGAACTGATTTCGTTGTTGCGTTGAGTCGACCCACAGGCGACGAACTTGAATCCTGTCACGACACAGAACTGAGACTTCTATCTGCCATTTCAGCCTTCTAGAATCAGATCAAGCCTAGCGCAGCTGTCTCCAGGTAGAGCAGTTTAATTTCCCCCACTTGTCTCCCCAAACCTTATCCTTCGCCATGGACCGGGACTATGAAAACGCGTCGCTGAATACCGTTTCCCCTTCTAACACTACCAACATGGCCTCGGAGAAGCCAAGCCCCAGAGTCAATCATGCTGCCCATACTGGCTCGAAGGGCCAGTCGCAGCAGGCCGAGGCCAGCGCCGCTACGGCGCTAGAGCACGAGCTGACTTTTCGCGATGCCGTGAGGCTGTACCCCAAAGCCATTGGCTTCTCACTAGTATTCTCCATGGCTATTATCATGGAAGGTTATGACATGGCCCTCATTGGTTCATTCTATGGTTACGAATCGTACGTCACCTCCGTTTGTAACGTTTAACATGTGTCTAATGCTTGTTTAGTTTCCGCAACAAATACGGCAATCAACCAGCACCGGATGGCGGGAAGGTAATTTCTGCCGACTGGCAGACGTATATCCAAGTTGGCGGCATGTGCGGCCAGATCTTCGGCCTATATCTCAACGGCTGGGTATCTGATGCTATTGGATACAAGAAGACTATGATCATGGCTCAGATTCTTATGGTTGCCTTCACGTTCATTGTCTTCTTTGCGAAGAACATCCAGATGATCCTTGCCGGACAGATCCTCATGGGTATACCGTGGGGTGTCTTTCAAACCCTGACGCTGGCATATGCGTCCGAGATTGCCCCTGTCGTTCTTCGGCCTTATCTCACAGCCTATGTGAACCTCTGCTGGGTTATCGGGCAGCTGATATCAGCAGGAGTCCTGCGCGGGCTTCTCAATTTAGACAACGAATGGTCTTACCGGGTACCTTTTGCTCTTCAGTGGATATGGCCTCCATTTATCATCCTTGGAACCATTTTCGCACCCGAATCGCCCTGGTGGTTGGTGCGTATGGGCCGCCATGAAGATGCCAAACAGGCGATTCTCCGACTTGTCAGTCCTCGGTCTGATATCAAGTTCGATGCTGATGCGCAAGTCTCAATGATTCACGAGACGAACGAACTTGAAAAGGCCACTTCTGCCGGTACTAATTACTGGCACTGTTTTATGAGGGCTGATTTGAGACGAACTGAGATCGCGTCTATCACGTATGTCGCCCAGGCTATGTGCGGCAGTGTCCTCATGGGATATTCTGTCCAATTCTATGAACGCGCCGGGCTGTCGCCCAACAACGCGTTTACTCTCAACATCGTACAGTATTCTGTCGGCGCGATTGGAGTAATTCTTTCGTGGTTTCTCATGTCTAAATACGGCCGCCGCTCCCTTTACATCGCGGGCACAAGCGCACTTTTTATAATCCTTCTTGTCGTTGGCGGCCTCGGCTTTGCACCCCAGGACAAGGCTGGCCCTTCCTGGGCGATTGGTAGTCTACTTATCTTTTACACATTCATCTACGATCTGGCTGTCGGCCCAATTTGCTACACAATTGTCGCCGAGATCCCCTCGACGCGCCTCAAGGCAAAGACTATTGTTCTTGCGCGCAACTTCAACAACATGGCCGGCCTGGTCAACAATACCCTCATGCCGAGAATGCTTGGTGTGCATGCCTGGAACTGGGGTGCGAAAACTGGACTTTTCTGGGCTGCTTTTTGTTTTCTGATCATGATTTGGGCGTATTTTCGACTGCCGGAACCAAAAGGCAGGACGTTTGGAGAGTTGGATGTTTTGTTTGAGCATCGAGTCAGCGCACGCAAATTCGCCAAGGCGCGTGTGGATCAATTTGGTGATCGTACTGGAGCGGTTGAGGTTGATGCACATAAATAGGCGGTTGGCGTTATAACGAGAAGCTAATTTTATCTAAAAGTGGTTTAGTATGCAGTTCAATAAGTCGTCACATGTGAACATTTGCTTTGTTTATGCATAGAAGGGTGATCCTTCACGTCGAAGCTCACATGCTGTCAGAAGGATCAGCCAAAGCAATGTCGCTATCACCCTGCACCAGAAATTCACCCTACTGGTCAATCCATCTGCCGCATGGGGAAATAATCGGTTGTACTCCGAAACGAAGGACTCTCAAAAAGCGTGGGGAAAGAAGGTGAGGCAGCGGGGATATCTCATCTCGGACCGTCGAGACTGAAAACATGCATCTCTAGCGTCAACCTTAGATCACATCAATCGGTAAAACCTCGACTAACGAGTAGCGAGAAGTGATCTACTGAAGAGGGGCCCTTTCGTGGGAGGAGATAATTGGAGATGGGCTTTGTCCGTAGTTTTAGTTCTAGTGTCTTTGCTGCTGTCGGTCCGACGACATCGGCAAATTGAGACGGCCGGAGGGGCGTAATCGTAATCTGGGGGTTCCAGAACGGTCGGCTGAATTCACTACTTATTAGGCAAAACCCGAGTCTCGACCGCTCGTTCGTGCATCACATCTTTCTGCGTTTTTATATCAATTGTCATTATTCCATCGAATTGAGTCCCAGTAACCTCATGCCGAACACGATATCCCACAGGAAAACTTCATCACATCTATCAGCAATGACGGTCAAGAGCAATGTCCCCCGGCCACGCTGGCACCCTTCGCCCACATACCACCTCAAAGCACCACGAGGCTGGATAAATGACCCTTGTGCGCCTGGATACGATGCTTCCACTGGTACATATCACTTATCATATCAATGTAAGTTTTATCCATGAGCCTGCAGAACTAGATATATCTGAATCTAACTTCGCCACCAGGGAATCCCAAATCTTGCGACTGGGGTGACATCACTTGGGGCCACTACACAAGCAAAGATGGACTGACTTGGAAGCAAAACACCCAAAACCCGGTCTTGGAGCCTTCTGAGTCTTATGATAAGGAGGGAATCTTCACTGGTTGTCTGCATCCAACCGGACTTCAAGGCGAGGAAGGTCAACTCACAGTCATCTACTCCTCCATTACACATCTTCCAATTCACTGGACACTACCATATACACGGAATTGTGCCGGACTCTCAGTAGCGACCTCAAGTGACGGCGGAAAGACATGGCAGAAGAGTGAGCAGAACCCGATTCTGGATGGTGAGCCAGAGGGCGTCACCGTGACAGGATTCCGAGATCCTTATCTGGCTGAATGGCCTGCTTTGGACGAGATGCGTGGGGAGGCAAGCTTATATGGCTTCGTGTCAGGAGGTGTAGTCGATGGTGGGCCTACAGTGTTCCTCTATGCCATCTCACCAACCGACTTGACCCAGTGGACATATCTAGGCCCTCTGGTCGATCTACCCTCTGGTTTCAGCCCTTCCGGTCGTTGGGGCGGTGATTTCGGCGTCAACTGGGAATGCGTCAACTTCATGACTCTTAACAACGAGTCTGAGGAATGTCCGTTTATGCTTATGGGAACAGAAGGTGGAGTAAAGCCGGGCGCCAAAGAGGGCAGTGAGCAGTGGTCGTTGTGGATGGCTGGATCTTTGGAGAAAACAGCACAAGGTCCCAGGATTAAACCGGAGTTCAGTGGAATTCTGGATCACGGATGTCTTTACGCGCCCAACTCTTACGAACATCCCATTACGAAGAACAGGATTGTTTGGGGATGGTTGAAAGAGGACGATCTGACTCTTGCTCGTCGCGAATCTAAAGGTTGGACAGGATACTTTTCGATTCCCCGAGAGCTATTCTTATACTCCGTCGACAATGTTACCAGGACAATTACATCATCGTTGGAAGAGGTCGGTTGTGTCAAGGCCATCGACAATGGAAAGGGATCAAATACAGTGCAGACGCTGGGCATCCGACCGCTACCAGACTTACAGTCTCTCAGACGGGACAAGCCCGCATATTGGAGCAGTATTGACAGCAAAGCCAACCTTGGAAAACTGCTCAACACACATTCCACAAGCTGGGAACTAGAAGCCACAATAAAGGTTTCACCAAACGACAAGAATCTAGGATTCTGGATTCGACACAACGAAGACCTGACTCAAGGAACTGCCGTCTGTTTCTCGCCACAAAGCGAGGAGATGACAGTAGACAAGACGAGCTCAAACCAAGAACCCGATATCGAGAAGAGTGCTGTCACAGGTCCCTTCACACTCTTCTACGCTGATACGAATGGTACGGAGGAGCTGGAGAAGCTTCACTTGCGCATTTTCTGCGACGGTGATGTTCTCGAGGTGTTTGCCAACGATCGGTTTGCTTTGTCAACAATGGTTTATGCGGATGCGAGGGAATGCACGGGCATCAGTTGGTTCGTGGAGAGTCAACGGTCGACCGAGACGGTGTTTGAGTCTGTTAGGTTGTGGGAGAATATGAGGGATGTGCTTGAGGTGGATGAGCCTGTTGTTTACCAGCGAAGTCAGCTGTGATGAGAACCTTTTTGACCTGCGGCGCTTGGTGTTGATCTTGGGATGTTTTAGTCTTAAGATAATGAGAAGCCCTTTCGAGGCCGTCAATGAAGACCCATCGATATTGTTTGTTTTACGATAATTCACCTCAAACCTTTTTCTCACTACAGCTTATTTACGGAGTATGCGAGACCCTGATGCTGGAAGCAAGCTTCTGTCTCATCCTAGTGGTTGAAAGGTCAGTTAAAATTAGCTCAGCGCTAAGCTCAGGCTGATAGGGCTTACCTTCTGTCGGTGAAAATGCAGATGCCTTGGCTGTCTATTCTTAGAGCCTTTTCACATTGAGTAAATCGGCCGGTCAGATAAACAAGCAGCCACCTTTGTAATGATGTTGACAGCTCTTGCTATTATCCAATTGCACAGTCGGGGTGACAGTTGTCTTACAGGATAGCACAGTCCGCCTTGTTCAACGGTTGAAGCAGTACCATCGCGGAATAAAAAAGCAACTATAATTTACAAAGTCACCTTCCTCTACTGGTAGTTAGGCCGACGCATACCAAAAGTAATAAGAGTTTCTCCACGTATTAAGGAAACGCCACGAGGTCTAGATCGTGAGGTTAGTTGTTTCAGTGCTCAGCCGCACCACGCTGTGCCAAGTGATTGGCTTCAGTGGCTGTAAGCACGGAGCAACTCTTGTTCAACTCCCACAGTAGTGTTATACAAAGAGTACTAAATTTAAATTACCAGGAATTTATTTATGCTTTTAGAATGCGGGGATAAGAATAGCTCGTGAGAACATCACCGCAGCGTATATAAAATGGTCTCGACGGAATGCTATATCACCGCAATGTCAGAAAGCTTTCGGATACTTACAAAGCTACTTTGAAAACCACCATCATAGTTCTGTCAGTTTTGACATCATCACTAAGTATGAAGCCTTCCGCCATTCTATCTCTTGGAGCTCTACTCCTTGGCGTTTCCACTCCTGTCGAGGCATCTGAGTGCAAGGTCCCTCCATGCGGCCGCTTCGAGAACAGCACGCCCTGGACAGCCAAATGGGCTGACCTCGGAAAGAAAGATCACCTCTGTCAACTCAAGACTGTCGCCAAGCCAGTCAAGTGCCACCAATACAGCTTGGGGCCTAACTCCTCTCGCGGCGGCTACTTCCACAAGCCTCGCACTGATGTCGATGCCTTCTGCTTCGCCGATCGAACATACTATGTCAAGTTTGGACCAAGGGGCAGCGAGCAGGCTATCAAGAAGGGCGTTTGGATCAAGATCAACTCGGCTCAGACTGCCAAGTGTGTTGCGAAGAATGGAGTGCCACACTGTACGGTCAACTGATCAGTGATGGAAATACAAGCGCAGAGAATAGCTGCTATGATGGATACGATGAAATAAAGGAAACATCTCGGACAAAATTATTATGTCAGGATTTGCAGAACTGGCTCAAGATAGCCACTTCGTATGTGTCGGAACAACTCACTTGTAAAATATTTATAGCTTATTCCGGACCCTATCTGTAGTATTATAAAATCGACGGCCTATGATACCGCTTGCTGCAGTAGAAATTCCTTGCTTACTCAGATCAGAAGTCATATGTTTGGTAATATTAGACGCAAATCCTGATGTTTCGCCGTGGCAAAGTTGGGAGTACTACCGTAAAGGGAAATACACAACCCGCATCCCCACAATGATATGGTTGACGAAACTTCCTTACACACAACTACTTACTCACCATTACCCCTCAGTACCGTATATAAGAACGATGACAATGCAGGTTGCCTGCCTTCTCAACAGCATTATATTTCACTCTAAACCGGATTCCAATTGGCACTTGATCCAATTTCTTGTCTCCAACTACCAATCGGTTTGACATTTTCTCCCTCGCAAGCAAACCCATTATCATGACAGTAGTAGTGGCAGTTGCTGGTGGTACCGGAAGTGTTGGCAGCACTATTGTTGACGGTCTCGTAGAATATGGCAAGCATAAAGTCTACGCGCTGTCAAGAAAGGTAAAGGTTTCCCATGTGTTAAGTTCACGACCATGAGACTAATGTTCCATCGGTAGGAGCGTTCCCCTCAAGGGGCTGTGAACTACCTGAAGGTAGACTACAATGATACAGATGCCATTGTCAAAGCTTTTGAAGAAGCAGGAGTCAACATTCTTATCTGCGCCATCAGTGTCGTTTCACCCGAGACAAACCAGGCACAGAAGAACCTAATTCTAGCTGCTGAGCTTTGTCCATTTACGGAGCGATTTGTGATTAGCAGCTTCGACATGCTGCACGTCAAGGAGTAAGGAAATGCCTGGAAATTTCTGAGCTCGGTTAACAACAATCACAGAGACATTGAACTCTCGCCATTGACCCGATACACTTTCGAAGCCATCGATGAGCTTGAGAGAACCGGTCTCACGTACACACGTATCGCGAACGGATGGTTCCTCGATTACTACGGAATGCCGCATTGGAAGTGTAATCTGGAGCCCTGGATTAACATTATCAATATGGAGAGCAAGTGGGCTGTGATTCCAGCAGATGGAAATATCCAGGCCAGCTTCCTCACGTCACAGGATATGTCTCGATTCGTCGCTCGACTGATGGATCTTGACAATTGGGAGAAGATAAGTGCTATTCGAGCTAATACACTATCGTTCAATCAATTGGTTGACGCAGCAGAGAAAGCTCGTGGTAAGCTACTACACTTCCCGGTTTGCCAACTGATACTAATTATCAGTAGGCTCCAAGTTCAAAGTCGCAGTCGACAGTCTAGAGAAGCTCAAATCTAGCAAGATATCTTTCTTTCCGGACTATCCTAAAATTGGCCACGGAGACGGAGGCGAGGCTTTCTTCGCTATGATCCATTATCAGGCTGGGATTGGTAGATATCTTGTCCCAAGACACTTTCCCCCTCTGGATGAGAAGTTCCCTGACTTAAAGGTGACTACAGCTTTGGAGGTCATGGATGCGTCTTGGAAAAGCAAATAGATTTCTTTTCTTTGCTCTAACTTTCAACTTTATCAAGCCCAGGCTCTCCAAATCTCTCAATAATATCAACAATAAAAATAACCCCTTCCAAAACTGGATTATAGGGTGATGGAACAAGATCTTAACACAATGACGGTGAGGAACCATGAAACTTGAGTGCAAGGAATAGGATACAGCTCTAAAAATAGTTCGATGATAAACCGAATATAAGATAACTGAATTAAGTTGTTACCTGAGAACCAGCCTTTCGCCATTCATACTGCTTTGCGTGGGTGCCTCTCCCACAAGAAAGGCGAAGAGACAAGCCCAGCCGCAGACATAACTGCCATGACAATGTTTTGAACATTATAGCCGTAAGCAAATGGTCTCCTTACAGCAAGGCGTTGTCCAGCACTTAGGCTGTCTATCGCAGATACTGAATCAAGAATGGCATTTGCCTGTTCTGGAGATACAATGTTTTCCAGCTTGGGTTTTAGATGTATTGAGGATAATGGCGCTGTGAAGGGGTCAACTTTCAGTCTTTCGAGATGAACACTTGATGTTGAACTGACCAGATTTCAAGCGAGATGGTGCCACTAAGAACACTAATTTGCGTCAGTGCACCCATCATTACAGCTAGACAGTTTGTATTCTAGGTTAGGATAGGTGCGGAAATACTTACGAAGATTTGCTTCAGAAACGACAACTCGGGCAAGGGTCAAGATGGTAGCCAAGCTAAAACCGAACCCAATTCACATGAGGGTTTCGTACCCGTATTGGGCGTTCGGTATATGAGTTGGGTGGGTTGGTAATGAGCATGTGAGCCCTACACCTAAGACTTGTAGTGCCGCTGCCACAACGATGAGGTATACGGCCGGAACGAGTTCAAGGCGGGATGGTTCTGCATCGTCGTGCCTTTTTTGCGCTCGGGATCGCAGAATGGTGAATAATGGTCTCTTGAGCCAGAGGATCTTCTTTCTGACTATTCAAAGCTTGATCCAGAAGTGGCTGTTTGTTATTGCTTTCTGTGAGGGAGAGCATGATACAAGTCGTCACCATCACCACAATGTTGACCGCAAGGCTGAAGATTGCAGGGTGGCGCCGGTCCTTCTACATCTCAAATGTTGCATTTAGAAGAGCCAGCGCTATTTCCAAGGCAGACATACCTTTACGCGCCAAGACAGCCGCAGGGTATAAGAAATATGCAGCCGACTTTGCAGATTCGCTGGTTGACTCCAGTCTGTCTTGGGACGAGGTTGTTCCGTGGCTACGCTCTCAAACCAAGTTGAGAATTATTCTGAAGAATCATGAGAGCCGAAGATGCTCAATTGGCTTTAGGTGCCGGTGTGGATGCAATCATAGTGTCAAATCACGGGGGACGACAACTCGATGGTTTTCCGTCAACTCTTAAGGTTTTGCCTGAAGTCGTGAATACGGTACAGGGAAGGATTCCTGTAATCATTGACGGAGGGATTAGTAGAGGAAGTGATGTTTTTAAGGCCCTGGCTCTAGGTGCAGATTTAGGTCTGATTGGAAGATGTGCGCTTTGGGGGTTAGCATGGGATGGGCAAGATGGTGTTGAGGGAGTGTTACATATCCTAGAGAGGGAGTTTGCAAGGACAATGGCTTCAATAGGTGCAGCTGCTCTAAGGTATATCTCTAGAGATATGCTCGGATATAAAAGGAGAAATAGCTTTGGAATTTCCAAGCTTTAAATATTGAATTCAGAGGTTTTGATCTCTGAAATAGCTTGTACTTAGTAGCGTGTTAAATTATCTAAATCAAATGATCTCTATAAAAATATCAAACTTTAAAATGATCTTTAGTATTAAAGTACCCAAGTTAAGTACTATCTAGACTCAGCGTGTATATGATTTTCGCCGCTGTACTATGTGCTATTATAACAGACCTATTTGGGGATTATAAAACTTGTTGCCGAAGTCTACTGGGCAACTACATAGGAGGTTGGAGTTAATAGACTCAAAGACAGAAAAACAGAGAAGGGTTACATAGTTCACAGAGACATAATGAGCAATAACATCATCATTGGCGATGCGGAGACAGGCTCATATTTATCGATTTCGGCCCGGTGAAGATAAATATTCTACACATCAATGACTACTACGTCCAAATTGTTGGCTCACACGAATCGGGATATAACGAAAAGGAAGTATGGCTCGGGTATTGGCTCGACCAGGTCGAAGCCAAGGCTAGACAATTTATTGCGACTATTAAGCCTGACCTCTTCATGATTACTGCTAGATCTAACGACTATATCTAAAATTTCTAACTTAATACATTTAGGGAGCGTATAGGTAATATAATTGAACAGTTATGGTATATATCCACTTTCTCTACAGTTATTCTCTCGACCATACTAGTAAATGTGGATAAGGAAGTAAACTTATGAACTCTATACATTTATAACCATCTTAGGCAGTCAGTCATGGTAAGGAAGTATGAGTAGGAAAGAATAGTTCTTACAGATACGAATAATACTGAAGGACCTTAACTTGGTAATATAATAGATAGCACCTATCTTAACTACGAGGGATATAAGAATATGACAGACATGTTTTTCAGCGCAATTCAGAAAGCCGGACAAGGAAAATCTTTCAGATTTAGTACTATAGGGAGTACTCCTTTCCATCAAGCTCAGTTTTCGAACTGATGTCACATTTAGCCTTGCGCGGTCTGGCGACCCTGATCAGATTCAATTTGCCTCTAACTCTAGTATAAAAACCTTGGCATAATTACTCTTGTGTATCAAACCTTTCCTCTTGTTCAAAAAGAAAAAAGTCTTCCTCTTCCCAGTTTCGATGTCCCCGCAGCAATCTTTCTGCTGCACAATGCCCCTGCCTGATTGCCAGCTTGATAGCTTTGATGTATTGGTATCGTCCGTCACCTTTAGTAAGAGTTCCTCGCTCCAACAGAAGCTGCAGCATGTCCAACCTTCCGTTCTCCGCTGCTCCTTCCAATGCTGTTCTGCCATTGATCGGCGCAGCAGGAGCATTTGGATCTGCCGCAAGATCGATTAAGCGATTGGCTATGCCTAGGTGACCTCTTATAGCAGCAAACTGTAGCGCTGTCGCGCCATTACTAATAGCCGGTGGCATGTTAACATCGGCCCCCCGACTCAAAAAGAGCTCCATCAGATCGGGGTCTCCTGCATCAACCGCTGCCTGTAACGGTGTGAAGCCAGACTTCGCTTCCAAGACCCAATAGCTAGTATTGATGTTAGGATAACTTTCCAGAATCAGTAGGACTAGTTCTTTGTTTCGACTCCTGATTGAGCCGATCAAAGGATCCGAGCTCATCGAACAGCTTGGGCCCATCATATCATGGGAATAGATCAATGCCTCATCGTTTCCGAAGGAATAGAATCCTGGCAAAGGATCTCGGCATATCAAAGGGTCGGTAAGGCTTTCGCTGGAATTCGAGCCCACAAGCTTTAGACGCTGGTTGTTGTCGACAAGCGCCTGAGCCATGAGAAGGTTTCCTTTTGATCCGATTAGAGACCACGTCACTTGATCGGCAAGAAACCCCTGATGCAAAAGCTCTTGAAATGCATCCGTAGCTCCACAATAAGAAGCCACAGCCAGAGGACTGACTTGACCACAATGCAATTCGGAACGCCACCAAGAGCCAATTCGTATGACCCAGTGACTCAGGACGGATGGCATTGTCGCGGCGACTGGCTGTGGCACCAGTGCAGCGAGAAGCTTTCGCAATAATGCCATATCTTGACAGATCACAGCTAAGCTGATGGCAGTCCCTTCGAGACAATCTGGCCGATTCCGCGTGCCACGAATTCCAAGGAGATGATCAATCACCCAACCAGGCTCCTTTCCAATTGCAGCACACAGGCACGCTGGGCTATATACGCAGGGTTGCAGTTGCAGAGCTTTGGCCAGACAATTCCTATCAAAGAGGCATGTTATTGCTGCCTCGAGGGCCGTCACGGAACCATCGTTGGAGTCTGGAAGAAGTCCATCCTTGGGCAGGAGTCGATCAACGAGGGTCCAGTCTCCAAGAACCGCCGCTGAATTAGCTTCTCCGCCTATCACTGAGGCGCCCATATACAGGAGTAAACGCGCAGCCTCAGCAGTGTGGTGGTTAGAGTGATATAATAGGATTGTAGGTCTGAGTGACAATTGTAGAGCAGTTAGACCCTCCTCTGACATCTCATTCGGGTCGCCACCGAAATCTAAGACAGCGGAAAGCATTTGTGGAGATTGGTTTGTGATTGCGAGGACGACGTCGCCGGATGTTACCCTAGCACCCGCTTGAATCAACGCGGCTGCACAGAGAGGGTACCCGCCAGTCGTGGTGGTAGATCTCAGATTCTCTCGAACAATTTCTAACGCTGAGAGCGGTTTTAAAGTCTCGTGATCCGTGATATCGACACCACAGCGGCCAATTGGATCCTGGTCCTGAGGCGAACCATCAGCAACTGAAACAGCATTGACATTGGCGCCTTTTCCAATGAAAAGTTGTACAATAGATTGATGCCCATAAGAGCTTGCAACATGCAGAGGAGGATAGCTGCAAGAATTCAGAATATCGGAACCGTAGAGCTTTAAAAGAAGTGCGCAAGTATTTTCGTGTCCTCCCTTTGCGGCTGCGTGGAGGGGTGTAAAGCCCGACTTTTCCATCGGCATTTCCCCAGTCAACATACCATGTAGAAGAAGGACGTTGTCGCTGCAACCCATGGCGGCAGCAGCATTAAACATTTCCACCGTTACAAAGTCCTTCCTAGGTCTAGTTGGACAGAGATGTGAAACAAGGTCCATGACGAACCCCAGTCGCTTTGCGTCTTCATGATCAGCGGCTTCGGAGACTATTTTCTTCAATAGTACGACCAGGACCGGTTCTTCAGGAACATCGAGGATATCAGGTCCTCCCTGTAATATCACCTTCGCAATTTCCATGTCCTGGCTTTTTACAGCCAGTCGCAATGCCTCATCTAGACATGTAGCAGCACCGTGCCTCAACAACGCATGAACTATACTCAGACGTGCAGAGGCAGAGTGACGAAGGGACAGCACGAGTTCCAGTGGCGAACGAGGTTCGTCATCCGATGCCAAATTAGGGTCAGCGCCCGAGTGTAGGAGAAGCTCCATTAATTCGTAATCGCCGCAATGTGAAGCGACTTGGAGGGGTGTAACAGTGCCATAAGCTTTTTGCTGTGGCATGAAGACAAGAGAGGTTGGAATTCGACCAGCTGATAGAGTCCAACGGAGTACAGCCAAAGCTTCGCTTCTGTTTTGCACTCGATCACAAAGCCGCCAAAGAGCGGCGTGGAAAAGGCTTCGAATGATTCCGTTCATGGTGGTGTCACGAAGGCTAGCTGTGAGAGGAAGGCTCATGAGACCAGAGTCATGTAAAATTTGGACATTTCCCTCCCAAGCGTCATCAGAGTGGTTGGAGAGATTGTTGGAAAGATTGTACAGCACGATAGACAAGGATGCCTGAAGCACTTCCTTATCTGATCCTTTCAGAAGACTCTGAGCTCGACTCCAGTTTTCGCCAGGGTAGTACTCGGGCATCGACGTTCCGATTACCGTTTCTAGTTGTGATAGCTGAAGCTTTGGACTCGTTGGGTGTAGTCGCAGCATGCTTTGATGGTTCGTCACGATTGATTCGGGGGCCAATGCTCTCCGCCCACTAGCAGTACTCGGGTTGAGTTCTATAGCTCGTAGTGCATGCGAGGCCACTAAATTGCCAAAAATCAATTTCCATTCGCATTGATATTGTCTTCGACGCTTACATGGAATGAATGCCTCATCGTAGAATCTCAGCCACGGTAAGTTACGTGGCCACGCAGGCTCGTGTGGGAGGACTGGGGGCGTGCAAACAACCACTTGAGCACTGGATAGCAAGGCTGAGTTGGGAGACGCTACAACATATTGCACTATCAGTAACTGATCGATTTGAGAATGGAGCCGGTAGGGTGGGTGATGGAAGCATAAATTACCTGGGTATGTAACCGTTCGATTGCGGGCTGTGTATTCTTTGACTTGTGACAACTCTGAAGTCTTCCCGCGATGGATGACCCGGCTCTTTTTGTTCTCGCGCAGACGCTTGGCGATCTTGAGGTCTACATGGTGCCGGACATCTGACCTAATGGCCTTGCCTATTTGCAATCTATTGATTCTGTGCTCAAGTTGTGCTTTTCTGTAAGAAAAAGGATAAGTCTTGATGTCTAGTGATGACTTGGAGGTGTAAGACACACGTTACTCGAAAGTTGCGGCGGTCGAGCTCGGCCACCACTTCTTCAACTTTCATGCCTTTTGCAACCAAGAAATGTCTGATGTATAGCTCATTTTGAACCCACTTTTCTTCGGGGATGGGCGGTGCTTTGGATGATGACATGATGTATGATGTTCAAAAGAGGAAGAAATGCTTGAATCAGTGGAATGGAAACATAAAGATTTGAGTGAAGAGCTTAGAACTGAAAGTGGAGGGGTGAACGTGTTATATAAGATACAAGTATCCAGCGCCTGATCTGGGGATGGTAGGGGTCCACGTCTTACTGCATAAATTTTACTTGGCTTAGCTGTCTGTTGTCTGGCAATTCCCGTTGTTATTGGCCGCCTCATTGCGCTCTGCACTTTGATTGACCTTGGAAAATCAGATCCACTTTAGTGTATTTATGACATCTCATAGGCTTTCGGAAAAACCAGATCCGCTTTAAGGTATGTATCTATTGCCAGCTCCTGTTAGAGTAAGCAACGCCACATTAACATTGGTCAAGGCTAGTGAGCTCTGATAGGTTAAGAAAAAACCAGATCCACTTTAGTGATGCGTTTTTGATAGGGCACCGTAAAAGCCAGATCCATAACCGTGCTTGTCTTATACAGCAGACGTCAAACGCTGCGCCTCAAATCCTGTCCTACCTTGACCGGCGTCGATTCTTCGATGCTTGGGAGACCTTGAAGGGTATAAAGCCTTTCCTTGGGCCAAACCCGTCCCGAAACAATCAGCTTGTCAAGCAAGGTTCTCCCAATTCTCGGGGGAAAAAACGACTTATTTCACCCATCACCTTTCCCCTCAGGAACTCCACCTCATTCATGACATTGTCAACTGAATCTATCGTGGGAACAGTGGCTGTGGTAGTTACCCTTCCACCTACGGTGCTCATCTTGTACCAGTGCTTTCACCGTCGAAAGCGGGGAAATTGTGAGCATTACTGACTTTATGAGAGTTCAACTTATGAGCCTGAGCTAATGGTTGATCTAGCTCATGCCCTCTGCGGCTCCCCAGCCCGAACTCATTCGCGCTTTGGCACCTCAACAATGATGCGGTCACGAATCAAGACCATCGACATCTGCCTCGAACAACATCAAATTTATCACCAAGTCCATACGTCGCAGGAAATCCAACCACTTGACCAGGTTTAACAGACGGAAACGAGTAAGCGTATAGATTAGAGCCCTTGAGGAAGTTTCTTTTTGTTGTTATTCCTGCGTGTATCGTCCGTCCAGAAACCCAATGCGAAGAAGAAATAGGGCGTGAAAGGGGACTAAACTAGGTTGCCTACACAGGCACATACAACATATACGAGGCACTGGGGTTCAGACAGAAATACCCACATTAGTGTATAGATGCGCCTTGACTATTAGACCGAGTTTCACTCCATGGATTCCGGAGATTCTTGTATGTCTGATGTGAAAAGAAGCAATCCGCTTTTTATACTCGCACGGGAACTAACCACTAAGTAATCTGTAACCGAACATAAATTTATACCGTGTATTCTATCCGGCTTTACATTCCCCTTATCTCATAAATCACCGCCCCGCTCTACTGGACACGGATATGTCTACCCCACCTACTCCTCGGATTCTTATCCGCTACCGAGCCATGAATTTATGATGGTGATAACATGGCTATAAAATGGCATTTCCCCCCTTATGAAAACTGCCAACAGTTGCGTTCTACTCTTCACGACGCCATGGAAATCACCTTGAGCTTCAGAACCTTGGCCTTGTTATCGTGCCTCCCTTTCACCTTGGGCCAAACCAGTTCAACGAACTTCACATCTTGGTTCAATGTAACAGAGTTTCCTGCTGCACAAGCAGCTAATGTATCGCGCCTCCAATTTGAAGCCCAAGAGCTTGCTACCGGCAGACTCTGGTACGACTACATTCATCGATGCGAGAACTCTCAGAAATACCCGGTCATTGCCGAAAACTCTCAAACCCCTGGCTGGGTCAACCCTGCTCGGCCGTTTGACTCTCTCTTTTTCGTCGGAGATGCATACGTATCGTCTTGGGCTATCGACACGGGTGACGGGCTTGTACTGATCGATTCACTTAACAACGCTGAAGAAGCGCGACGAGTTATCATCCCGGGACTGGAAGCTTTCGGGTACAAAGGTCACGACATCAAGGCACTGATCATTACCCATGAACATTTTGATCATTATGGCGGGGCAATCTGGTTTCAAGACACTTACAAAACCCCAATCTACGCATCAGAAGTTGCTTGGGAGACGATGAAGGATCTCAAAGGCACCCCAAGAAAGGACAAGACACTCTCTGATGGAAACCACTTGAGAATCGGCAATACATCGTTGAGTATTCTTTCAACACCTGGTCACACCCCAGGCACTATATCGTTGATGTTCCCACTTCAAGACAGGGGCACGAAGCATCTTGCAGGGTTGTACGGAGGTGGAGGTATTCCTAGCAAAGCTGAAGACAAGACGACACAGATCAAGTCATTCCTTCGCTTTGCAAGGCTTGCGGAGGAATCAGGCGTTGACGTCTTGTTGTCCAATCATCAAACGCAAGATCACACCTTACAGAACCTTGACATCTTAGCAACCAGGCAATGCTCTGGGAAGACATGCAGTCTGCCCAACCCCTACGTCGTCGGTAATAAGCAATATGTGCGCTATCTCAAATTGATGGCCAAATGTGTTCAGCTGTCAGCGGCTAGGCTGGGACAGATTTTGGCGATTTGAATGAACATGGTTCTGATTTTCGAGGAATTTGAGTCTCGACGTATCACAAGCTGACGGCGCGTCGGGTGTAAGCAGCCACCGTTTCAAGGTTGAGTCAATTGGTTGATTACGTGGCCATTTAAATCCTCCTAATTTCTTAATCACGAGGATGACCTGATCCAATAAAGTAACTAGAAACCCATATTTAACTGCGCGCAACTTGAAGTATGGCAGAAATATCTGATTCCAAGCCAGAACTCTTCTTCTGTTCCTACAACAATTCGTCCTCATCAACTATTGTTCTAATTCATGGTCTATTCTCCTGCAACCTAGGATGGGGGCATGTCATCCCGTATCTGACCGACTACCATCTACTTGTCCCAGACCTTCCTCAACACTCCAAATCGAAGCATGTAGGACCTTGGTCGCTTGAGTTAGGTGCAGACGTCGTCGCAGATCTTATTAGTAACCATGCCCATGGGGGAAAGGCGCACGTCGTCGGGCTTTCGCTGGGTGGTTTCACCACGATGGAAATCATCCGTCGACATCCAGAACTCGTCAAATCAGCATTCATTACTGGAGCCACTCCCTGCATCCCCTGGCAAGTTTGGATAGCTGATCGGCCCAGCCTCTTACACTACGGGCTCAAGTTTGTTCTAAGTAGCGGTATCTACGCGTTCAGCGTATGGAAGGCAGGTCTCAAAGAACCTGCTGAGTTGAAGAGCGAGATTGCTGCAAACAATGATTGGACTCTGGTGAATAAGGCCTACAAAGGACTTGCTAAGTGGGGGCAAGACGCTGTGGATGAAGTTGCTGCGAGGGACAAGCGGATATTAGCTATCGCTGGAGATCAAGGTGATAACGTCGAGGGCACGAAAGAAATGGCGCACAAGTTTCAACAGGGAGGTAGCGGGGACGGTAGGAAAAGCACTGCCTATGTTGTCAAGGACGCCATTCATGGTTGGAACTTGCAGTTTCCAGAATTGTTTGCTCAGGGAATTCAAGCTTGGGTGGAAGAACAGCCGTTGCCCAAGGGATTCACAAGTCTCTTTGGAGACCAGAAATGGGCGACAGGAATCACAGGTTTTGACTGGAGCAAAGGACTAGTACAACTCCATACTTCTACTTGGATACTACCACTATACATTATTATTCCCTTCCCCCATAAATGCAATACAATGTCTATATATGTTTACCAACTCGTCGTGCTGTTGAAGAATCCAAATATTGGCAAGACTGGGGTTTGGTTGTCGACTCCTTGATTATCCGAAAACCAGCAATCGTCCATTGGGCTCTGCAACATGCTATCAGTTACATTTCCTTCGATTGGAACTGGATCCATCAAATTCTCTTGAAGACCACCATTGAGGATCTGAGAAGTCAAGGATCTGTGAGTCATCCAACTGGTGTCAGTTTGGTATACAGCCAGCTTGAGCTTCGGAATAAACTCAGGCTCGTCAACATCCTGAAGCGTATTCTCACGAGCTTCCCAGGCCTTCAGTAAGAGCCGCGCTAGTTGCAGGTGCAGCCGCTGGTTCAAGTTCCACAGATTCTCGTGATAGTTGTAGAAGCGGTCGAACAGACGCCATGTACGCTCTGCGAACGATCCAACCGGTGATCGACCAGCGAGTTGGCCGGCTAGAAAAAGAAGCGAGTCGAGGTGTAGATGGCACTTGAAGGAGTAGAGAAAGTTACCGCGCTGTGCCAACTCGTAGAGTGAAACTTCGTTCTCGTTGTGTGCTAGCCAGATACGAAAGAAGTTGTCTTGAGGGTTGTTGACCTCAGTGCCCCATTCCGGTGTTTCCTGCATGGGGGTTGCCATTATCTTAGCTTCTCCGACGATGAATTGACGAAGTTTGAGGGCTAGGTCGTGAATTATTCCTGCCGATGGATCGCAGTACTCTTTCTCGACTTCACTCATCCTGGCATCTAACAGTTCTGCTAGATTATACATTTCCCTCATAGAAACAAGGTAGTCCGCGTAATCGGGAGTTCCAGGGTCCAAACCGTGGCCTCCCAGCGCGAGGTGCTCAAAGTCAGTCATAGGATGATCTTTAATGAAATACACGATTTCGTACAAAATCAACACAAACACCATGTCTGTAGGACCGTCTCTGGGCTTAATCGTCGTAGAGTAGGAGGAAAAGTCTGTGTCATTGACATTCTGGGGAATTCTAGTGTTGCATCCCGATGGCAGCAGTATTGGCTTCAATCCAGAGGTTATTGCGTACATAGCGTCGATGACAATTATATGCCACCACACCCGGCGACGGATCTCTGTTTCGAAGGGCGTCAATCCAAGTGTTTCGCCATCGCGGTGGACGCCCATCTTGTGAGCGATACGGATGACAACTCCACTCAGGATCCAAACGGCATCGTGGTTGCTGCGTCCCCGCAAAGATATCTACAAGAGTAATGAGCATGTACAGTGTACCAAACATGATGTCAGCTTACCAAGTATAGAACCAAAGTCTGAAGAACAACCATGTCATAGTTTCGAAGAAAGTTGATCTTGTTCAGTGCAGTTTTAAGCCCCTTTGTGAACCTTTGGATAGCTTCATCCTTGCTCAAGCTCAGTGTTGCCATACTTTCGCTATCTGACAGAGTAGTAACAGAAACAAGATAAATTGCGAACAGCAATGCTCGTGACTTATACGAGATACCGGAATGATTCGCCATTGCATTGATGATAAGTTGTTCCGTTGTGGGAGTGTGTAATATCTTGGTTAGAGGATTGACCCTTTCGAGGAAGATCTGCCATAGACGGAGTGTCTGGAACGGTAGAGGAACATCATCTTCGAGATTCAAAGCTGACGTCTTAGCTAGCAGTAAATCTACGTCTTCGTGAGGAATAGGCGAGTCGCAAGGCTGGTAAACTTCGTCATCGGAGGTCTCCTGATCAATGATATGTTGCATTTCGACGAGCTATCAATCCAATCATTTAGTTTATTCCTTCTCGAAGGGGGCAACCGGGGTAGAACCGACATTTTCATGAATTGTGCTCCAGATATAGCTATCCAGAAACTTATATCCGCCGTTCTTGACAACAAGTTTGCCTGGGCCTGACATCGGACTCGGCGAGCCGTTGTACGCAGCGGGCGACGATCTGGCCGACACTTCCGACATGCTGGGTGTTTCTGGAGCTTGCTTATTTAGATCTTGGGACGTATAAGTCTCCAACAGAGCCTCGACCTTCTTTATCCTTTCTTGCAGTAGAATGTTTGGAGTCCTTCTTTTGCGAGTTGGGGCCGGCGTCGACGGAACGCACATGACGTTGGCCTATTAGAATGAGTTTGGAGTTCCAATGAGAATAAAAAGAATTTCGGACCTTCATACAGTTCACGCAAGGAAATACCCGGTTGCATTTGATCTTGCGTTGCTGACAGTGGTTGCACGCCAACACGCGCTGGGGTTTGTGCGTGGAGGCATCGGAATGATCAGGTGAGTCTCGAACTTGCTGGACGCCGTTATATCCTGTGTTCATTGTCGTTAGATGGTGTGGTTAGTAGGCAAAACCTTCAAAAAAAAAAAAGCATTAAATAAAAATTACACGTATGACGATCAGCGGAGGTGTTGTCTTGTGCCGAAGCTTTGAACTTTTATCTTGTTGGCATTGAAAGCTCGGCTTCTCGGGCCCTTCTTTGACCCCGGCTACTGGGCCTCGTAAATTCCCGAAAAGCTGTGATAAATCAACCAATCAAAGAACATTATTTATTCCACCAAGAATGCTTGGTCATCGGAAGACAGATCGTCATGACGTTGCCGCCCCGATGCCAAAAACCATCACGTTTGACGTTTTTTGCTTCGTGTTTAAGATTGATAGTGGCCTTCGAACCATGTGGCTTTTGGCCATTAAAAGTAATGTGGATGGTCATTTTGACAACAATATCAGAGAACATGAGATATTTATGGTCTGAAACTGAGTCTTTTCACATATCGTCAACGCTGGTCTTGATGTTGATGCTGTTACAATGCTCAAGAGACAGACTTGCGAGTGACATTGCATGTCTTCCAGGGTAGGTAAAAGTCAATTGATAAGAACAATGATGTCATCACAGTAAATAAAACACCTTGCAAACAAGTCAGCCGTACTTCGCAGCATGAGAGCTATCTTTCCAATAGTATTCAAGCTGTGCTGCTTTTAGCCGAATTCATTCGCTAATATTATTGGAAGATGACCGATCTTGCGGACTTCTTACCGATCTGGTCTGACGCCGTATTGTGGTACTGTACCCCGCTTCACCACCACCTCACATGTACCATACCACTATAAAACCGATCTCTTATCTCGTCATACACTGCCAAAACATTCCCGGACAATTCTTTTTGTAGCCGTCCATCATGTCCTCTCCTCTTGGTCTCGCCGTCGTCGGAACAAACTGGATCACAAATTCTTTTGTGCAATCCTGCCATGAGAGCAAGTTGTACCAGCTCAGTGCAGTCTACTCCAGAAAGCTCGAGACAGCACAAAAGTTTATTTCTGAGACACCGTCCGTCAAAGATGCCTCGTCCGTCACAGTATACGACAGCTTGGATACCATGTTCTCCCAGGATCCAAAGATCGATGTAGTATACATTGCATCGCCAAACTCGCTGCACTATGAGCACGGTTTGAAGGCGCTGGGTGCTGGCAAGCATGTCATCATGGAAAAGCCTTTCGCTTCCAACATGAAGGAACTCGATGCTCTTTACGAACTGGCTGATTCGAAAAATCTCTTTATCCTGGAGGCCTACCGACACATCCAGGAGCCCAACTTCAAGACGCTGCAGAAGCTACTTGATGATGAAAAGACCAGGACAGAAAAGTTCGGCAAGATCTACGGCGCCAGTCTGTCCATGGCGGTGTACTCCTCGCGTGTTGGTCAGATCACCGAGGACAATATTCCGAACGTTGTCTCGCCAAAGTTCAGCGGAGGAAGCCTTTGGGATATGGGATGCTATGTCGTGACATTCGCTCTCCGTCTATTCGGAACACCTGCGAACCAGTCATACTTCCCTGTGATTCTTCAAACCGGTGTCGACGGCGGTGGTCCGATCATTCTCCAATACACCCCAGAGACTTCAAAGCACAGTCAAAAGTTCACAGTGCACGCCCATACAAGCAAGATCTATACCTCTTCTGCGCCGACTGAGATCTACTGCGAGAAAGGGACCATCAAGATCGAAGGCAGCCAAGCTTCCAACGCCACGGATATTAGTACCATGGAGTTTACTCCTCGAGGATCCAAAGAGTCGGAGGAGTTGGGTAATACCAAGCCGGAGTACACTGACATGCTGAACTTAACTTGGGAGGCAAATGAATTGGGCCGTATCATTCAGGAGGGGGATAAAAAGGCGGAGGCAGATTTGAGGGCGCTCAGTCGCAGTGTGCTGACTGTGATGGAGGATATGCGAAAGCAAAATGGGATCGTGTTCGATTGCGAGCGATAATTGTCATACGGGCATCTACCCGTGGGAAGGATAGGCTTGATGCAGCTTTTACATGAACAAGAGATATATCGAACCCAGCCTTTATGCCACGCAACCATGTACTTCTCTTCCAATTTGACCCTCTTATTGCCGACTTCATAGCTCATTGTTGGATTCACCTTCAAGCATCATATCGCCATCAACAAATGAGATACTGAAAACATCAACACCTTCCGCAAACCCTCCAAATCCACTGAAGTCAAACATTTCTCCTGATAAAGCCCAATCCCCTCCGTTTGTGAGTTGCGCGTCCAGCGTAGGACTTGCAGGCCTGGTGGGAGTTGATAACGATGTATAGTCGACGCTTTGCCACAGAGCATTGACCTCCTTCGGGTTGCGCTGTACATCTGTGGTGCATGGTGACAGTTCTTGGCCGCGACTTTCGCATTGGCTGTGGAACCGTTCAAGACGTTTGGCCTGTTGAAGCTTGGATCAGTACTGATGTGTTGTGCCGAAATGAGCCTTGTTACTTACCATCAAAGCCGCGTGTCCCCAATAGCGTGATAGATCTTGCAAAGATTCTAGAGCAGCAAGGTAGTGTTTCTGGCTTTCTCGTCGTGTATGATCCCTCTCGTCGTTCATAGAAAGCGCATGGATCGTTCCAGCAACCATGATGCAGTATCCGTAGATCGAGGTCAGTATGATGACTCTCTGGTTCTTCATGTCGAGCAAGTCTGTAATGCTCGTCGCATGCGTTCTGCATTTCTCCCACGCTGTTTTCATGAAGACTGGTGGAACTTTCTGCTGGCTCGATTGAAGCCTCTGTTGGATTAGAAAAGGGTGGTGAAGTAAGCAGTGAGACAAGTGAAACATCGCCTTGGCAAAGATGAATGACCCTGCAAGAGTTTGATCGACCATACCATTGACAGTACACCGCTGTTTGAGGCTTTCCATCAGATCCTCATTCATGTTGAAGTAATGTTCAGCTTGAAGCAAGGCCGAAGATAGAGTGGAATAGGGAGCGGTCGGGGACCACGGTAGACCCATGTGAGGGCTATTGGTTTCGTGAAGTGCGTAGTCCGAGACGCGGCTCAGAATCGATGCCATGACGTTGATCAAACCAAGTGGAGAGCACTTTTCGATAGCCTCTTGTTCTACTGACTCCCCTATAAGGTCTTCGAGCAGAGGTGTCTTCTCCTCCCTCTCGTCCTTGAATGCTTGTTCTGAACATGGCAGGGAAACCTTGCATTCCTCGTCTCTGATGGCACAGAAGCGTCCACGAGAAAGACTGATCAGAATATCTTGTAGATAGAGCGACCAGAATGTTCGCCGTCGCTCCTCGCGCTCGGCGACAGGGATTGATGCGTTAGGTTCAAGGTGTAGTCTGTTGTTTTGTGCAAGCCGAACGGCAAATCCGAGTTTCATGTGTGCCTGGTTACAGAGGCCAGCTAGACAATTGAGATGTCAGAAATTGCACTGATGGAGCAGGGGTTCTTGCATAACTCACCTGGGACCTCAGTGCTTACGATTAATATGATAGTTTGGACAACCGTGAGGACCTTTTGTGGCGGAGCTGAACCACTCCAAGGAAGATCAATGCACTCCCACGCTTTGGCCGCATAGGTCGAAGCATCATCGGCAGTGTTACCTTGACTGTCTGAGAGGCTCGAGTATCTTCATGCTGCTGACAAGAACCCCCAGAGCAGATAGGTAGGAAGCGAGTCGTCGGCTAGGCGTTGACGAAAGGTCGCTTCGTGAAACAGAGAATAAGGTTGGCTGTGGCAGAAGCGGAAGTAGATATCAGCGGCGGAGAGGAGGGTTTGTAGTTGAGGTCGCTCAGAAGCAGTAGATTGCGTCGTCAAGGGCGTTTGAAGAATGGCTGTACTTGGAGTGTTGGCTTGTTGCTGGATAGGGTGGTTGTTGGATAGTGTTTGCTGATTTAAAGCAAGCGGTAGTAATCTAGATGTCATCATCAGATATTTAACTCGACATGCAACGAGATATCTGCCAGTCTTACTTCTCTACTGTTGCTTGCAATGTAGAAACTTGATTCTCCAGAGAAGCAAACCTTGTTAGGATGGTCCTTTCCTTCTCATAAGTCAGCGCCTATCAGGTCAATGATGTTCATCCAGGCCTCCGCACCATGTCAGTGACAGGCAATTGTTCACTCTCAGTGCGATAAGTCACATAGGCCCGTCGAAGAGTACGTCCATCCTCGGCGTATTCGCAATCCTGGTTGAGACGCTGGCAGAAGCTGCAGACAGGCTTCTCGCCAGTGCAGCGGACCTTTTTCTTCCTGCAGTTAAGGCAAGCTTGGCGGATCCTTTTCCGACGGCTCTCGGGCCCGTCTGAATCGTCGTGACTGGATGACATTATTCTACTTGGGGTGCGTAGAGATGGGTGATGATGGAGAGAAGAGTAAAGAAGCGGGTGCGCGGCTAGCACGGCTTTTAAAAGCCGTGCCCGAGTTGAGAAAATGCGGGGTCCCCAGTGTTCATCTCTTGGGTGTGCTATTTTATACCGGTCCCCACAGCGGTCACAGTGACAAGCCTCTCTCCAATGTTAGATTGTAAAAATGGGTATTATTTAATATCTTCCCTCAAGGATGATACGAATATTGAATAGCGGCAAACGAAAATGGTTTATAAAAGCCTTTGATGATTGGTAGTCCGATTAGATAGTCTGTACGAGTCGGAGAATTGACAGCGTACAAAACAGTTGCCTTAGCACGGCCAAGAAGACACGTACGGTGTACTCTCTTCACCCGCCAGTACCACGGCAAAAAGAGACGAACTTCGAGCTAGTGGTACGAATGCAGAGTCCATGTTGTCGAGGTCTAGAACCTTTAATCACTGTCATGCTGCCTCCCAACTTGGACTTCAGCACCGTTTACTGTCACATTGTACTTTCAATGGCCTCACAAAAGGCGCAATATTTGCATTGAAGTTCAATATATTCAATACATATGTGAACCAGACCCAACTCAAATTAGAAGTCAAGAACAAAACGCTATCAATTCCGAGTATTATCTTCCGTTGCGATACCTCCATCGACACCATTGACAGTCCAGCTTTTTAAAGCATCATAACACCAGCAATGCCTGCGATAGCAACAACAATCCCAGCCTGGATAGAGTTGGAGCCGGCAGCATTGTCATCCTTCTTCTCATCGTCCTTGCTAGAAGATGATCCAGTCTCCTTGGCCCACGAGATCTTATCGCAAATAGTGCCAGTCTTCTTGACCGAGTCAATCTCGGACATCACCTCGGGGACATCAGAGCAGGCTTTCTCGAGGGAAGAGAGTCCCTCTATCTGGTCGTTGTACCAGGAGCCGAGCTTGGAGGCGTAGGCGGTGTACTCAGAGGCCAGAGACCCGGTCACGGCGGGGAACTCGCATGAGTCGGCCATGGAGTTGAACTGGGTCTGAGTGGCGAGGAAGCTCTCGAGGGCTCCGGTAGGGCTAGGGATGTCTGTCAAGCCAGGAAGAATCTCCTGGGCGACAGATGCGCACTCTTTCTCGTCGCGCTTGTCGAGGCGCTCGAGAGCAGGGTGGGTAGCAGCGGCAACAGCCACGCCAACAGCGAGAATAATGGCAGAACGCATGGTGATCGGGTTTGTGGAGAGTGGATGGATTTGAGGTCGATAGTATTAATAGATAGCGGAGAATGACAAGAGGAGATCTAGATCGTGTTGGTTTTGCAGAGCCAAGAAGAAAAGGATCTGCGACAGGCTATTTATGATCTTTTTTCCCAAATTGCCACTCGATCAAAGGGGCATCCTAAGTCGCTTGGGGGCTTGTTTCATTTGGCCCCTTGCATGAAAAGCTGAATCCCCTCATCAAAAGCACACTTTACACCCCTGCAGCTTGTTTTCAGCTCATGTGCCTTGTGTTGTTGGGCCAGTTTCATTCGTCGTTCTAGCGTCTCGCTAGCGAAGTATTGGTGGTTTGGCTGCTGGTCATAGCTAAATTAAGTATCCTTCGCGACACAGTAGCGCTAGATGGATGCGCTGTCCCTTACTCACAGTCTCACATGTCACTTTAGTTGGGAGAAAGACAGGATCTACTGATCGACATGGCTAGCTCCAGCGCATTCTTCCACAGCGCTAACAATCCGCAATCTTATGAGAAAGACCTGAGGGACTTGTGATCGTTTTGAAAGACTAGAATAGAGCCCACGGTCCTTTGTAATCTCCACAATTAAAATGGTGTTACTGTGATATATGAATAGTAACGTACATGTCTGATCCGTCTAAAATAGATACCAGGCTATTACCACTCCAGTGATGGATAACTCATGGATTTCGCTAGCCTAGATCGGGGTGTAAGAACCTAGGAAAGCGAAAATGAAGAGACATAAGGTTACACATATACCAGTAATTAATTTGAGTTTAATTTGCCAAAAACTTGTCGAACCGCCTCTGCGAGCCTCAGCATTTTGCTATGACAGCCAGCTTGTTTCACGATACCGACTAATGAGCTGTCCGGCAGACTGACGCTTGGACCTATCTATATTGATTCATTACCAACCGGGCAATAGAGGACAAGCAGGGGTCTATGACTTTCCTAATCCAAATAGCAGGCTCAAATTGAGAAATTAACGCACCGGCTGCTATCCATAATTCGAACTGTAGGTCCAGGGAACTTCTGCACTCGTGCCTAGCCGCATTTTGCAGGTGATTGAGGCCCTAGTAAGACCTATAACGTTTGCTTTGACCATTGTAGTCAAGCTCGGACAAGACTGGAGGTACTCTGCCTGGGAAAAATACTTATCACAGCATTTTCTCTGCCTCGAGGATACAGCACCGAGTGACAGTTGCTTATGTTTCAATCGTGAAACTCTTTTTAAATAGCATGTGATCCATAGATCCAAGGGCAAAGCGGGCTGGAGGTCACGCGATTGCTAGATGAAGCGGTCCCTGCAAGAGCCAGAAAAACATAAGGATACAAACTTGCATATCATGCGTGAGATTCTCGGTTGATCTTATATATACTAGATACGTTCTGTTGATTGCCTAGCATGGGGTCCCTGATCCTATTGATGTGGATCACATCACTTACATAATTGTTCAAAACCAGGCTTCCATGTTGCAAGGTAATTATCGCGATCTCGAAAGTAGTATATCCTGAAACATTATACATCATGATGTCAGTAACTGATATATAGACCTCTCCAAGATGGTAGCCGCGGAAACGAAAAGTCAATTGGCCAAACTGGCCAACAAGTATCCGAATGTCCTTTTACTTCTCCCGATAACCGGTTTATGATGACTTCTGCGCTATGTATTTAAATGTCACTATTCATGAAGCAAACGACGACGCGATGAAAGTGCTATTTTTAAGCTAGGAATGATGTCATAGAAGTTCTTTTCTTACCTCCCTACCCTGTAGACGGCTTTCCCACGTAGCCATTGTGTACACCCCCATTTTAAGGTCCGCAACAAGAACAAAACTGATTAAGTGGGAGAAAATGACAAAAGCGTTGTTTCACGTACTCCATAATAGTTGAAGATGCAGTGAACCTTGAATAATTGCTGTCGATTCCTTTGATTTTGCTGGGTTCCTTGGCTCATTTGCGTCCCCGACTAATTTCAGAGAAACGTCTTTTTGAGAAATTTCGACTGCTATGCGGACTTGAGTTAGCAATTTCGCTTCAGCGGGCTAACTTATAGCTATATTTCACAGCCGGATAATTAAGTTTGCACAATCTGCTAGGAACCTTTGTGTTTTAAAGACCTATCCGTTCGTTTCCAACTGGGTAACACAGATCCGCGCTTCAAGATATCAAGACTCTCATTTTCGTAAGAAATCTGCTGCTTGGTAGTTTTTAATGATTCGCACCCAGCTAAATTTGAAGACGTGAAAGCCGACAGCAAAGGTTAAGACAGCTACAAGTAGATCAAACCTTTTTCCTTTTTCTTTTTGCTACCATACCTGTTGTCAAGGAAGCACTGGGTAATAAGCAACGAGCATCAAGGCCAGAAGCAGAATGAAATGTAATAAAAATCTGGTGTCGTTAATGATCTGGCGATTACCGAGGATCGCCCATCAGAACTCTGCGGAATGTTTCCGGGTCAGTGTACACTAATAGTATCTACCGAGAAACTATTGAACCTGTCACTTTGGCGTATCGATCCGGAAACGAGATTGAATGTTGGAGATCCGGCAACCCGATAATTAAACGAGAAAACAGCAAGAGTACCCGGTAATATCAACCAGTAACCGTATCATCCGCCGTCTGTTGGGTAAAAACATACCCAATGCGTATTACCTGATAATGACAAACCTACCCCATACTTCCCCAATTGTTGCTGTACAGGCCTGCATTGGCATTAAAACCTCTTGGCTGATGCTGTATGGAGTAGTAACAAGCTAGTGACCACACTCTCGGGCCTATTCACGGCCTTGGCTCTCGAATTTAAGCGTAACAGGCATGAATGTCGCGTGGAGGTGGAGCGGCATGACGAGAAGGAAATGAAGATTGGTGAATAGAGTTCAAGAGTCAGGAATTTGCATGCGGGGAACAATGAGTACAATGCATGGGACCCTGGTTCGAATTCCACTTTTGAGTCCGCCGAGGGCTCACGGGACCAGAAGAATTTCCGTGAGTTTTGTTGCAAAGGCTCAACTGTTTCAGCATTTTCCCAACGTTGAACTCTTTGCCCAGACAGATTGTACGGAATAATGGTAATAATGGTAGCTAAAATAATGGTCGTTTACTTGAAATCGCATATTATCAGACCAGTGTTCGTGATGATCGCATTGACGACCTAAGCCGTTTGACCGTTGATGACTTATTCCCTCCACAATTTCCTCAACTAACGCATTCATTCATATCCGAAGCTAACTCGAAGCCGTCTTCTTCTTCCCGGCACTAAGAGCTTCACCCGCTGTTCAACCGAGTTAACCGTTGTTGAGCCATTCTGAAATCATACCATCCCAGGTTTATGACTCGCGCAGGACGCTTTGGACATGCCGTTTTCGGCAAACTGGGAAAAGACGGAGAGGCCGTTCGAGCGTTTTGCGGGGACTCCAGGTCTTTAACCTGCTTAAGCATGCTACTCTCCCTTGATGGACTGTCAAATGTTCAGCTAAGTGGAACTGCCTGGTAGCACTGCCGGGTGTTCCTTGTTCTCATCGTCTTATAACATGGAGATCCGGGGTCATGGGGAAATGGAGACCCCGCGATGTTTCGTGTCTAGACTAGTTTTGGGTTGATCCCGGCCGTGTCACTGCGTTGCTGCGCTCCTTTTAAAGGCTGCCGATCGCACTCAATTCTACCCTTTGTCTTTGGAAGATCTCAGCATCACCACAATATTCTCTTAACCTCAATTGTGCTTTGTTTGGTAAGAGCCATGACTAAAGTGTCGAAATTACCACCTCCCTCAGGTGGACTTCTGGCAGTTTTACCTGACCAGTCTACACCTTGGTACAGGAAAAGACATCTAGTCAAGCTCAATGCATTGATCCTTGGCCTAGTTTGCTTTCGTGAGTATTGCAACTTCTGAATCCTTTTGATGTCTGCTAACATCTATGAACAGAAGGAGCAGTTGGTTACGATGGTAGCTTACTCAACTCGCTCCAGTCGTTTCCCCAATGGACCTCATTCATGGACCATCCTGCTGGAGAATGGTCAGGCTTCATCAATGCCTCCTATTTCATCGGATTCTTCGTAGCTTGCCCACCTAGCTCTTGGCTCGCCAACAAATACGGCCGTCGATTACCAGCTTTTCTTGCTTTCATCCCACTAGCACTAGGTGTAGGTTTACAAACAGGTGCCCAATCAGGCGCGCAATGGATCGCAGGTCGTTTCATTCTCGGTATACCAACTGCTATGTTCTCAACATCAGTACCTCTGCTCATCACAGAAATTGCATACCCTGCCCAAAGAAGTGTTATCACTTCTTTGACCAACTGCAATTACTTTGTTGGCGGCATTGTTGCTGCGTGGGCTTCTTACGGAACGAGGAACTACACCGACTGGGCTTGGAGAATCCCTACCATCCTGCAAATCGCTCTGCCACTCGTCGCCTTGCCTTCTCTGATCCTTGTGCCGGAAAGTCCCCGCTGGCTGATTTCTGTGGGACGACAAGAAGAGGCCCGTCAAATTCTTGGAAACCTGCATGCGGTAAGTCTCCGTCGAAGGGATCGAATTCTAAATATGTCTAACCTTGAGGATTAGGGCCGTGATGCGAACCATGCTCTTGTCGACTTCGAACTCCACGAAATTACCACAGCCATCGAATCCGAGAAGCAAGCGTCGCAATCGACCTCATATGCGATGCTACTATCCACAAAGGCCCACCGCCGAAGATTCTTTATTACCGCCACGTTGGCAGTGTATAGTCAATGGGTTGGTAACGGAGTGGTCAGCTACTACCTTGCAACGGTTCTTGCAACTGTTGGTATCACATCTGTCACAGATCAGACCCTCATCATGGGATGTCTCCAAATTTGGAGTTTGATGGCAGCCTGCACTGGTGCTGCGTGTATGGAACGCCTGGGAAGACGATTCCTCCTCATGCTCTCATGTGCGATCATGCTTGTTAGTTTTATTCTCATCACCGCTATGTCGGGGAGCTTTGCCGAAACTGGATCAAGAGCCGTTGGAATCACTATGATCCCTTTCATCTTCCTTTTCAATGCCGGTTACGGTGTCGCTATGTAAGTTAACTCTCTATTGCCACATGGCAGATCACCAATACTGACCCCAACAGAACACCTCTTCAAATAGCTTATCCTCTAGAACTCTGGCCTTTCCAACTACGTGGGCGTGGAATGTCAGCAGCCTGGATGATCATGATCCTGGCCCTCATCTTCAACGTCTTTGTTAACCCCGTTGCGTTGACGGCTATTGGCTGGAAATACTACATAGTCTACGTGGCGCTTCTCGTATCGTATGGTTTCGTCATCTTCTTCTTCTACCCAGAGACTAGAGGTCGCACTCTTGAAGAAATATCTGTCATCTTTGGGGATGCACCCGAGGGACTCTATTCGGACCAACTTGAGACAAAGGAGGTGGTGGAGAAGGCGGGTGTCAAACACTTGGAATAGGCCAACTCAGCATCACGGTCGTCAAATATCATTCAATTTTAAATCAGGATCATCATTTTTCTGTAGTAGCACTGGTCTGTCTATCTTGATTGCTTATTCATTCCTTGCCATGGTTCTGTTCCATCATCGAGTCCCAGCCTGATATTCAGGTGAAGCGGGAGGGACCATCGTATCTCCAGTATTCTGTTCCATCGTGATCCACCTTGGTGAGAGTTCCTATTGTTTGACGGTTATCATCAAGGGCACTGGTGTTGGCACCTCGCCTGCTGCCGCACTTTTCGCAATAGCACTCGTCGATGGTGTTGACATGACTACAGATTCCACCAAGTCCATTGTTCTTGTTGCACGTCCACATGGTGTGCTCCTTGATAGGTCTGTTGTGAAGGTCGTCGGACATGATGTTTAAGGTTTCTAAAGGAGGTGGTTGAGTAATTGGATTATAGTTGCTTTCTTCTTCGGCTGATAGCTCTACTATTCTAAGTCAAGTACGGTGGACGCGATGTCAATTATATACCATCAAGGAATGCGATTCATTTGGCTGGGTAAAGTTCTGGTGTGACCATGTTCAACGTGAACGTGGTGAATGAGGTGCATCGAGTCTGATGCAGTGTTCTTATCATTTGCTGTTCACGCTACACACAGCACCACTGCATCGACGTCAACTAATCAATGTTCGGTGTTTCTAGGAGTAGTATCGTGTGACCTTGGTTAACGCGTCTAATCATCAACACTGGGTAGAGACGGGTGCCCGGTGACTCCCAACCGGAGATTGCAGTTTTATGAGTGGTGGGACTGGTTCGATCAAATTTGTCAAATAATTTAATTGAGATACATTTTCATAATCTGATTTCTAGCCTTTGCTTCAGTCCTTAAAGCTTAACAATTTAAAGATCGTTTGACTCAGAGTCCTCGTCGTCTTCGTCATCGTAGCCACAGTCTGGCGCATCTCTCACAAGCTCAGATGCACCGACCTCCTTCAAATGTCCATTAACCAGATAATCGTTCACATTGATGCCATTGCCGAGGAAAAACTGAACTCCAAAGCCTGGCTGACCAAACCAGGGCCTGATGGGGCCAGCCTGGACGGTGAATGTTCTCATCACCTTGTAGACGTGATAATTGTTGGGAAACTCCTTGTTCTTGCCAGTATCGAGGTTCTGGGGGTGGAGAGCCCTTTGAGCAAAGGGAGCAGTGGCGGGAGAGATGTAGCGTCCTGGGAGGTGTCAGATCTTGTACCTAAAGTGCCTGACTTTGACTTACCAGTGTTCTCACCGAAGCGGTCGACCAGCATACCAGGTCGAAGATCCACGTTAGCCTTGATGGGAAGGGCCTCCTCATCTAGCTCGAAACCGTACTTCTCTGGGTAGATCCAGCCAGCTTCACTCATCTCACCCTTCCAGTCCTCTCGCTCCGTGGTGTTCCACCACTTTCCGAGGAATTCATTTGGAGACAGGCCACCGAAACGGTCGTACCCAGTAACATATGTTCCGAGGGGAAGCTTCTTGGGTAGGCGACTGGGCCCGAGACGCTTGTCACCACAGATGTAGTTCTTTGTCTGTGATGCGTCGTACCGCACATTGTCTCCAGAGCAGTCGCAGCTATCTTTCCCAATATGCTTCTGCTGGACTTGGGGAAGATACACAGCGGTGGCGCTGGTCAGAAGGGAAGAGATGAAGAGAGACTGGAAAAGCATGTTGGCGATTTCGATGATAGACAAGAATGTAGGAAGACAGAGAGAGCTGATTTTCTTCAACACTGCTGGGTATGTCGTCCTTTTTAAAGTATCCGTATTGTAAGGTTGATTGACATCCCTACAGGTACCCAGGTAGCAGCCTTCATCGGCATCTGCATGTCTCTCTCCTCCTTGACCTCCAATCTGCTCATCAGCCAAGCCAAAGCCCGGGCAGTCGGGGTACCGACCAGCCGTGTCTCAACTGCCATTAGCCTTCTGGCTAGGGAGGCGGCCCTTGGAATCCAAAAGCTCTTTTCAGCGTTAGCTGCAGCCATCGACAACCCAAATGGCCTATAGTAAACCGCGAATCTGCATCTCATCACAAGCCCTGGGACTATTAGGGATATACATAAAAATGTCTTACGATAGTGTTTCACTTGTAATTTAATTGGCTGTCGGATGGCCAATCTACGAAACTATTGAGATCAGCCTTAGCTGGCTAGGGCCGAATTGGCTTATGTGGCTGGCTGAGAGGTCCAAGCGGCTTGCGCAACAACATTTCACAGCTGCTTCCCTTGGACGGATCTGCTGCCAATGAACACTTTTAACAGGTTTGGCTGAAAAGCCATCATAACTCTGGCGCTATTTTGCCAACTACCAATGATGCTGAGTCTTTGGAGGGAATGTGGTGACGGCACAGCTGAAGACCGCGAGTGAAACACCAATGCAATGCGAGGAGCGAGGCGATCCTCGTAATATGATCTTCCCTTGGCAAGGTAATTATTCAAGCCTTTCGCCGACATCCCAGGTATCAATCTGGATTTAGACTAGGCGTTACCTAGTGGGCGACTTATTGGTCGTCGACAAGTGGAGGGAGATCTGCGTCACTTTTGGAAACGGATTCTCTGATCGGAGTGATATCCTTTTTATTCAGGAAGAGAGATGCGCTCCAAATACTTAACATCTTCAGGATTCTTGCACTTTACACAAAGAAGGCTTCACATGGAGGCAAAGCTGGAAGTTACTTGTAATACTACGTCATTGTTATTTCCTTCTCTAAGTAGCTTTGCCTAACGATAATTTGTTAACCTCTGCAACATCCCTGCCAATTTGATATCAGGCTCAATGCGGGATGCCTTGGAAATAACATCAATAACTTGTGCCTAACATACTCCGTATCAAATTAGGATGTCTCGTTCCGTGTCACCACAATTCGAGTGTACCGAAATTAGATACATTTACATTTCATTTGCACTCGATATTTCGAGATAGGTTTGGTCTTTGGGATACCTTTGCAGATCGTTGTGGCTTATCCCGCATCTCGCACTCGCACTCCCTCTCGGACTCCAATGCTGATGAGAAGGCACAGTACAGCCAAGACAAGGATGTTCAACGTTTTGACAATGCGCAGATAAGACACATGGGGATGAGCATTGGATATCATGCTGCTCACTTCAACAGTGGCGAATTATCCCCAATAAGACGACACAGGGAAATAACCTTAACTTATATCCATATTTTTAAAACCGAAACACTTGATTATGAAGCGATCTACCAACGGAGGACTGGGGAGGCATCCTTTGAGTCGCCGAGATAAGCTTGAGTGGTGGATTAAATTGGAGGCGAATCCTTCGCCCTCAATGCGGACATATCGGATCTGACGATTACCGCTTTGGGTAGTCGATATATCCGACAATGCGTTGCTTACGTCGAACATATCTGTTCCAATACACCTGCATTTATCATAATAACTCCGCTGCAGGAGAATATGGAGAATTACAAATGTCCGTAGAGGAATATAAGAACCAAGCTTGCATCTCGTTGTGGACTTATCATAAACAAATAAGCAACACTGAACACTCACAACTACACGTAAAACCATCACACAACCACTTCCTTATTTTCATCATGGGTGACCTTTCTATTCCCGAATTTTCCACTTCTCTCGTCCTCCATGCTTTCAACGAGCCTCTTAGTCTTGACAAGACTCCAATCCCAAACCCCACGCCCACGGGATCGGTGATCGTTCGCGTGTACAGCACACCTGTCCGTCCTCACCAAAGACAAGGCTTCGCAGGAAACACTCCCCTATCCTTCACACCACCATACAACCCCGGTGATGGCGGTGTCGGTCGTGTAATTTCAGTTGGGCCTGATTCGGTTGCTCTTCAGCCAGGCCAGCTCGTGTATCTGAACAACTTCATTACAGCAAGAGATGATCCCAACACTAGGGTCTTACTCGGTATCCATGATGGCGGTCAACAGCCCGACATCAAGTTATTCAACCTCTGGCAAGGCTTTTGGCGAGACATCGCTGTCGTTCCTATGGAGAACGTCGTTCCTCTCAATGAGGAGATTTTGGTCAAGGAGATGGGTTATTCCTACGGTGACTTGAGCTATATGCAGCGACTCTCGGTAGCTTACGGAGGTGTCATTTCAGCCAACCTTCAAGCTGGCCAAACTGTCATCGTCGCTCCAGCCACAGGACACTTTTCGGGGGCGGTCGTTGAGATAGCCGCTCAGATTGGCTGCCGAGTGCTAGCGATTTCCCGCTCGGCATCCAAGCTCAAACCTCTGACAGACCGATACCCCCGCGTTACGGCGGTTGAGCTTAGTGGGGACGAAGAGAAGGACATCAAAACTATTCGAGACCATGCCCCCGAAGGCATCGATGCCTATATCGATATTTCTCCACCCTCCGCTACCGGATCAGCTCATCACTTCGACGTGTCCCTTGCATCTGTTAGCCCCCACGGGCGCGTGGTATTCCTAGGCATGATGTTTGAAGTCAAGGTCAACTATGCTAGTCTCATGGCTCGTAACATCACGATCAACGCCCGGTTCATGTATACACGACAGGAACTGGCTTCTTTGGTCAAGATGGTCGAGGCTGGAGTTCTCAAGCTGGGTAAAGATGCTGGCCATGAGGTTGTGGATGGGGGATTTTCTATGGAGGATTGGGAGAAGGCGGCTATTGCGGCGGAGACTGCTGTCAACTGGGGTCAACAGGTCTTGATATTTCCTTCATCGGACTGATGGGGACCAGGAGGAACGAATAGTAAGGCAGGTTGTAGGCTGGTGTGGTTGGAGATTGTCAGGGAAATTGTGTATAGCTAGACATATGACTAGACTGTAACCTTTCGTTCAGTACAACCTTGAGATGGTAATTAATGAAGGTCGTGGTCATATTCAAACCTGTCTGTTATCAGTATTCACTTTTATCGATCTAGATGACTTACATCGAAACCAGGTGGTTGAGCAGGTAGGCTATTCGCAGAGCAAACAAAGGCCAGCAACCTATTGAGGTTCGATCGACAAAAGCCCTAAAGGCAGCGAGAGACATATAACTAGAACCACGGCCGACTATTCAACAGCTCAATCATCCTTGGAGTCGTGAAGCTGAAGTTCTTCACTCAGGGTAAAAAGGCTTGGCAAAGCAGCCACATGCCTCATTATGCTTATTTGTCAGTCACATTCGACGGGTCGGATGATTTGGTTATGAATTGTTATTGCCATCTTTCTTGATACGGATTTGATAATCACCTTGAACGCCATACCATTATCCTTCAAAACCCAAAAGGTAATGAGTCCATTCCTTCAAGATTACTTTCAGCTTCTTCCTCCAGGCACCGACCACAAGCGCATTTAAACCGAAATTGTTCTTCGGTATAACTCTGCCTACTTGATACATCTTGACTTATTGAGAGATCAAAATAGGTAATCACGCATTCCTCGCCTTTCACGATGTCGCGAGCTGCAGTGTAAACCATCCGAGCTTCGCCGTCGGGCTTGTGGGCCACCTGAGATAATCGTTAGTAAGCGACGCAATCCCTATATCTTAGCATTAACTCACGTTGGGTAAGCATGAATGGTTGAATTGAGCGGCTCTGGGATACAGCGCCATCCCGTACATTTCACCTCTGGGCATAGAACTATCGTTCACAGATTGAGAGCCAGTGATTCTTGGGTACAGGCCGAAGGTGTTGGTCTCCTCCTTGCACAACAGCGACAGCATTTCGTCGGCACTTAGCAGGCATGACATAACGGATACGTCACTCAGATACTCATTGACCAGTCGTTTCCAATATGTTACCTGCGGCTCGGGCCACGAGTCGAGATAGGCGCAACACATATCGACGGCTTTCCAGCCGCGAAGGAAATGTGCCTCCCACGGATACCGGTGTTGCGCCACAGCATTACCGTGTAACTCAACGTTCCACGTGGCAAGCAGACGAACAACGTGCCAGACCGTGGCAAAGTTGTACTCGCCCTCTTCACGACGGAGAGCATCGGCGTGTTTCTTTAACCAGGGACACTCAAAGTCATGGCGGGTCTTGTCCTTCGCTCGGCAGGCGATATTGCACCACACGACATCCCTGCAGCAGGCGTTTTCACAGCGCACGGCACGTCCATTCTGTGGTACACGACGGGAGCACGAGAGGTTGCTGCAGATAAGCGGCTCGTTATCGGAGGTCACGGATGGGACGATAGCATAGGCTGTGTCAACGAGGAGGACGGTGCCTTCTCGGATGGGGCCGGTGGCTCGAAGAAGCCTGCCCTTGCAAGGGTCTTGGTCTGGCACCAAATGCGGATGCACGTAAAAGTTCAAGTCGTGGGTGACGGCTGTATTTAGAGCTTTTGGTGTACTCCTAGGCGCCTTAGGTGGAAGGCTGGGCTTTTGGAACTCCATTGGTGCGATAGGTGGCGGGAATAGTGGGAGAAATGAAACAAAGAGTCAAAAGGATAGGAAAGTCGGTATAGGAAAAAGAATTTGCTGGCAGAAATTCATGTCGAGTAGGTACGTTCTGGACCGTCGGGGCGTTCCAATTGGGTTAGTTGAGGCCACTAAGACACCATCGCCACAAAGATAAGGGATTATTTCGGCGTAACCTCTTATGGCTTGAGACCCTCTATCGTTGTATCAGGAACGGTGGTATTCTGTATGCGTTTGAAGGTTTGACATTGTGTCACTGCAAAAAGCTTGTGCAATGATACGTCCAGTGGGTGGCAGTGATACAAGCACTGAGTTTTATCACTTATCTGCCAGTCAAAAAGCATTCAAGGTTATTCTTCCCCTATGCTTTACATCTTTTCCTCCGTAATTACTCGGGTAGCTCATTCTATTGTCACAGAACATTCAATTGTCCGCAGTTTTCTGACGTCAACATTCTGTGGTGATTCAGCCCCGTTAAATCGGCATTGCAATAACCGTTTGTTGCCCTTGCATCTCAGATCGAGGTGTGGTGGGGCCGACAGATCTAGGGGTCATCCCTCCAGTAAAATTAGTCCCTGTCACACGTGCCACTGAGGACCCTTTGATGGCGCATCGTCAGCTTCACATTTTTATTTCTATAGGGAGAATAAGAATGAGGCTCATTTGTCTTCTCCGGTTGTCGGCCTCGATGGAATTCCAATTGAGTTAAGATCGAACCTATCATGTTTCTCAAGATTAAATGACATCGGAACCCAAAAGGGATGAAAGATTTTATTAAGCAGAAAGCAATTATCGTTTCCTAAACCAAGTAGCCTGTACGTAAAAGGGTTAATGTTTGACTTCCATTCGTTCAATTGACGGTGGATATTTATAACTTTACAGTGTTTGTTGTGGGATATACTTGAAAGGCACTCGACGTACTACGTAATCCTGATCGACAGGTCCACGGAGAAGCCGAAAGAGTACGATGGAACTATTCATTCCTAGGCATGATTCTTAGTTATGGTACATACGCCAGAAATATAAACGGTTCTCGATCATCAAATTATCCGGAATATAGAATCACCATATCCATACATCTTATCAAGTAGAAATTGAGCACAGTTACCCAAGACAATGACACGACGTAGCTGACTGATGTGCATGGTGCTCCCCAAATTGATGTTCCCAGCTACGTGCTACGTCTACAATTAGCTATAGTGCATTTGACAAGAGCAACTTGCAATCGTGTTGGTCTGGAAATGGTGTTGAACAGTCATCTAGTAGCAAAAGATTCTAATACCATCTATCTAGGAAGTCTAATACATATTTGTCTTCCAAGCGCAATGCGGAAAGAAGAGAAAAAGAAAAAGGAGCATGTTTGGAACAGCAATGTATTGATATATCCTTCCTCTAATTGATTCACCTTACATGCGACTTCTACGACAAACCCTTCCGGTCACTCTTTTGTTCTCCGGCCCATGCGCAACGAACGAACTTCTCGATCGGGAATTTCGTCTGCAAGGATAATGACAGCTGCGCTACGTGTTGAGTTGCATTATGTTACCTTAACGATTGTGAGCTGTAGGATTCCCGTACGGGCGATGCCGACTTTTACAGGGGTATCGCATGTGATTAGAGGGTCTCTGACAAGTGTGATCATGCGTACAAAATAGGGATAGTCCAGTTACGGTTTGAGCGGTTTGACGCTTTTGCCGAAGCACATGTCAAAGCCTCCTTCGAGCCTTGCAACTGCTCCGTACCAGACCGGAAATTAACTGCGCGGCTCTACAGCATGTTCTTAGGTTCAAATTAGTCAGAAGATGGGACTCAAGAAGTGCATGTACCAATGGCCCTTCTAATGTTTAAATAATTACCATATCAAAAGGTAACATGACATGATAAAATATCGCTACTGTGACCTCTCCCGAAGCCAAGACGCTGTTGGCGGCTATGCCGTGCCTTAATCCGGTTCTTGACATACAAGCATAAACCACTTTTCACAAACCAACAGTACCATCCACTCACTTATCAATCACGTCCCCTGCTCTATCCCATTAATTAAACCCGCTCACACTTTCCCCTTCGCTACGTAGCATTGGACCCTTGTAATCACCCACCTGAGCAGTTATCACCACCGTTCGACACCTTTCCTTATCTTGACTAGGGTCTGGATATAACCAGTGGATAACGTCTCGGGAGGTACCGTTCTGACGTGCGACAGGGGTTTTAATGGCTTGGCTACTGAAAGCTGAACCCTTAATGGAGTGCATAACTATAGATTCAACGGTATTGTATACCTCCCTTCCACGGTCTAGCCTTTGCCAAGTCACCGTTGACATGAACTCTATTTTTCATCTCCCATCAGTTCTTCAATGCTGGTATATATCGTAGTTATTTCCGTGATCATGTCTTTCTCGTCATTCTCAATCCAGGCATTGCCTTGTCATTCCTTTACCAAAATTTCCGTTTTTCAACATGAGAACCATGTTCTCGTCCATTCTTTTCAGCCTCTGGCTTCTTTGCCTCGGTGCAGTCGCTTCAGCCGACGATTCGTGTGGCTGCTCTGTCAAATACATTGTTGTTGAAATGCCCCCTCAAACAGTCTCTACTCAAATCCAGACAACCACGTCTATGTACACCAAGCCGACCAACCTGCGGTCTAAACCATCTCAGACTACCATCCATGCACTTCCCGCAGCTTCTGCAGCTTCCGCAACTCATCAGAACTCCACGGCTACCTTCCTCCCTCGCACTCCCGCAAAGATCAACCGTGCCGATCATAAGAATGCTGTGCCTAAGAAGAACGTATCTATGTCGTATGGGAATGTTGAGAAGCCTCTCAACCAAACCTTTCCGGCTTCGAACACTACCACCCAGAAGGGCGCTATTGATATGGATCTTGTTATGAACCATCCGGCTGTTGTCTTGGATTACATCGAAGCCATTGTTTCTGTGCATTGCACCGCTGATTCCGTCACGGTTCACTTTGGCAAATCTGTTGCTTTCGACACGGCGGCGAAGACTTGGCTAGGTGACCAATCTTTTATTCTTATCACAAACAACATGGGAAATTGCAACCCCAAGGTAGGCCAGGCTTTCTATCTTGTTGATGGTGTTGCAACAAACAAGGAAGAAAGGTCCATTACCTGCTACGCTTCGGGTCAAGACTTAGCTGATATAGCTGGTATGTATGCCTTCAAATGCACGAAACAGGACTAACAGGTCGCAGAGAGCTGTGAGATGTCGTTCACTTCCATCCCTGCCACTAAGCTGAAGAAGCGTCTGACCCTCAACCCGAGCCTTTCACTCAACTTTGGCGCTGGTCTCGAAAGAGACACAGTCCTTTTTAGTGAAGCGCCTTGGGTGACGATCAAAGCTGAAGATGCGGAGTTTTCTTCCACAATCTCATTTTCGGGCTATGCCAAGTACAACTTCTGGCGGTTCAAGGTTAGTTGCTCAGACTGGTCGGCTACAGCGATTTACTAATGTCATCAGATGGAAAAACTTTACTTTGATCTCGACACGCATTTCTCAGCGGATATCGCATTATCCGCCGATGTGGCCGCGGCCTGGTCCAAGTCTATCCTCTACGACCCTGACACTCTCACATTCACCATCGTTGAAGTCCCCGGGATTCTTTCTCTTGGTCCCGGCATCTCCTTCGCCATTGGAGTTGACGTCGATACTTCTGCTGCCGTTTCGGTCAGAGCCGGCGCTGGAATCGCTATCCCATCTGCGAACGTTCATCTCGACGCGCTCGACTCCAGCAAGAACATAGCTACGGGATGGACACCACAGTATACCTCAAATGCCAATATCAGCGAGAGCGTAGAGGTTAGATTGAACGCCAGTGCATCATTGACTGTTCAGCTTACATTCAAGCTTCTCGGCGGATTGGTTGATCTGAGTAGTGGGCTTGTAGCCACGCCTGAGTTCATCAACAAGTTCACTCTTGACGCTGAACAGTCAGCCGTTGCGTCGCGCCTGGGTTCGGCAGTTCATGTTATCGGTACATCAAAGGAATGCGATGTCTCTCTCAAGTCGGATTTTGAATTCAACCTGGAAGGTTTTGCGACAAAATGGTGGAGAGCTAATCTGTACTCTGCCAAGGTGCCCATCACTGATATTTGCTATGACTTCCAGCCGGTTTAGATGATCTAGAGTCGAGGAGGGTGCTGCATTGATTGGCTAGATATGATACTATAAATTGGTTTCCTCCATGCAATACAATATTAAATAATCATACGCAGTAGACGGCAGAGTTGTTGATGGTGCTGGCCGCCGTGGAATGTAAGGAGGCCAGCACTCTGATAAAATGCACGTCCTATGTAACAGAACTGAAACTCTACCAAAAGCTGAGAAACGTGAGAAACTATGCTACAGCAAATCGGGTCCCGATCTTGTCCTTCCAATTGATGTAGCGCATCCCACTCGTGGCATGGTAGTTACCCCGACCCAACCCTGCACAAATGTCAATCGCTGATCGGCGAAGTTTCGCGAACCTTCGGCAAGCATCAGTCAACTGAAGCGACATCGGCCAACTCTGCCTGAGGCCCCCATGATCCATCCATGTAAAGTTTCCCAGTCGCACCATCAGCTGCGAATACCCTCGCTTGTGGTCCCCCCCTAGTCAATCATCTGATGGCGGGAGTTATCCTCCGAGATCTCCCTCCAATTCCTTGAGGATGAGGCTTCGTTGACGTCACTCTGCTACGGTTCACAAGAGAACGTTGCCGAAACTTCCTGACCATGACCGCATTTTACTTTTAACTCAGTGCGTTTTTAAATTTAATGTAAATCTCTGTGTACTTCTTTTTCTGCTCTCAATTGTCCATCGCTGTGCTTCTGTGCTTACAGGTAGTTCATCACCACTCCGCATCATCGCAAATGTCTCTCGCTCAGCATGTGACTCAGACCCAGGGCTTCGACTACGAAGGCCCAGCGAATCCCAACTATGAAGGGCCGACGCATCCCAGCGTGTCGCCCAGCTTTGGGACACCAAACATCATTGCTCCTGGGGAAGAATATGTTTCTTTTCCTGACAGGTCAGAATGGCGACGCTTGAGTTTTGCGCCTGTGGATATTGTCCAGAAATTACCCAACCTCGCAGCGTACAAGGTCTCGGATCTCAAGCGATATGGTAAGTACAAACAATTGCAGCATGGGAATAGTGAATGTCTGACTGTCTGCAGCTCAGGTAGCGACCGGGATAATAGCGTGCTGGTTTGCGGCAGGCATTGTATTCGGCTTTGCAGCGATTAAGCCAATTCTGATCGCTGAGGGCATCTATTCTGAACTCTGCCATCATGATCAACGAAAATTAGGGGAAGGGCCTGACTTTGAAGTCCCTTGTGCTGAACAAGACATGCGATTAAATCTCCTCTTCATCTCAGCGTCCATCTCTGCCAACGTTTCATCTCTTCTTGCCGGGTCTGCCCTTGATCGATTTGGTCGTCGCGCGTGCTGGCTTATCTCGAGTCTGCTTCTCGCACTCGGCTCTCTGATGATGGGTCTTTCTTTCTCAATCCCTGGATTTCATGGATTTCTGGCTGGCAACGTACTCCTCGCATTTGGTGGTACTTTTCTCTTCGTCTCCAGTTTCCAACTCGCAAATGCTTTCCCCAAATACTCTGGGCTGATTGTCGCCCTCGTCACTGGCGCCTTCGATGCTTCCGCAGCCGTTTTCTTGTTCTACCGCATGATATATGATGCATCGGGCGGCAAGTTCACACTTGACAGATTCTTCTTTGGCTATATCTCTGTTCCGGTATTCATTTTCTTGGCTGAAATGCTGTGGATGCCGGAACACTCATACCATACCCTGCCCCAATTGGAGAAAAAGATCGAGAACGCCCAAGACCGCAGTAGAGACGTTCACGCATCAGATGACGAGATCGATGACTCTAATGAGTTGACGCGTGTTCAAAGCGCCCGCGCTGAACATAGAAGACACAAGCTCGAGAAGATCGAGGACCTCACTGGTGGTATAGAGCAGCGAGGAGAGCGTATCAAAGAGGAGGAAGGGCGACAGGAAGCCAGTGGTGTCTGGGGCGTTCTTCACGGCGTTCCTGCCCACAAGCAGATGATGTCGCCGTGGTTCATCCTGATCTTGCTATTGACCATTCTCCAAATGCTTCGCATGAATTACTTTATCGCCAGTGTCAGATCTCAATATCGTTACATGCTGGGTTCCGAGAAGGCAGCCGAGCGCATCAACGAATTCTTCGACGTCGCGTTGCCCGTGGGAGGCGTTGCTTCGACGCCGTTCATTGGGCTTCTGCTCAACAACTTAAGTGTGCCTACAACCTGGAGCGTTTTGACAGTGTTCATCGTTGTTATTGGAGTTCTTAACTGCTTGTCACATCTATGGGCTGGATACATCACGGTTATTGCATTTGTCATCTTTCGCCCTCTTTACTACTCAGCCATCTCGTGAGTAGCCTCCCAACGCCCAAAGTGCTTCCCATGTTGACCACAGATTCAGTGACTATGCGACCAAAGTCTTTGGTTTCGCTACCTTCGGACGTATCTATGGAACCATCACCTGTATTTCGGGAATCACTCAGCTTTCCCAGTCAGGACTTGATGCGCTCACGCACGGCCCACTACACAACAATCCAATCCCTATCAATGCAACTCTTGGTGGTCTTGGAGCTCTTGTCGGTGTTCTCCTCATCGTCTTCGTTACTGTCAAGGGTAAGAACTTTGCTGAAAAGAAGACTGAGATGGAAGCCGACGATGAGAGAGAGCGACTTTTGTCCAACGCTCAGTATGGATATGGTACAGGCCACTGAGCATGCAACTTGTTTTAGCCCTGTGAGAACGGACTACTTCTGTAGAATTATGATGAAGCGACTACGTCTAACCTTTTTGATGCTCAATGGACCGGAGCTTATGTCATATACAAGGCCGTTCTTATCTGGGAGACAGGAGAGGATTTTATATATTAAGTTTCAATGTTCAATTTTCTGGTACCGACTTCTTAATAAATTGGGAAATTATATGATCTTGCAAGACCTGTCATATTCGTTCTGGGAACTGTATTCTTTGTTTATTGTTCCGTGAGTTCGACGTTCCATGCCTGATATCAATCCCTTGATCAACTTTGCACAGCAATGCCTCTCATCCCGCTATGTTGTTCCCTTTTCTCTGGCAACATATATACGTCGAATCTTGAAAAATTCTAAAGTTGATTCATTTGTTTCGAACTCTAGTCTATGCTAATTATCTGCTAAACTAATATTAGGAAGCAAAATAGGCATAATAGCATAAGAGATGAAAGACTGATACATTCAAAGGTCTACACCACCCTCACCAAAGTAGGTAATGTCTGACACAAACACCATCAATCTCCTTAGACAGGCGTCGAATAAATTCTGACCACTGTCAACAAACCCACCCACAGCCTCTCTCAGATTGTGTGCAACCTCTTCCACCTTCGTTACAACCCATGAAAACGCCCCCGTCCTGGGTACATCATTACCCACATTGAGATTAATTCCTGTGTTGATAACACTCCAGACGTCACGTCCACCGCAGACTTGATGGTCAGAACCTGGGCAAGTGATACTACATTCACTATCGCTGACCTTGGCATTGTCAGATGGGTAAGTGTCGGAGCAATGACACCAGCCTCCCTTGACTGCTGCCACAGCTTGTTCATCGTGTTTGCAGAATCGTGCACAGACAAAGCCTGAGTTTGCTTTATTGAACACTCTCAGCGCCCCAGTGGCTGGTTGCATGTTAAAGCACCCTTGGCTAGTGTACGCGCCTGCGCGAGGCTCCGTGGCCGGCCTTTGAACGGGGTATGGCTTAGTAGTGAGGTCTATGCTGTACTGAGGCTCCTGCCCAATATCGGATTTATCGGGGTTGAATCCTGTGTGATAAATAGAGAACGCAGTTGGGCGGTCATCTCGAATACCTCCGCAGAAATAGGATCCATCGCCACTGCAAGGAATGTGGCACTTCCGAGTAGTTGTCGCGGATAAAGCGCGAGGGTACGTCGGGGCACAGGCACACATGCCGTCTAGCATAACGGCGACAGCTCTCTCGATTTTCTTACAGGCAAGGAAGCAAGACACTGGGAAGTTGCTCATTTCCTCCGGCTCTAACGGTATTGAGACCGCGTCGTAAGGTGGTTGAGTGTAACAGCGTGCTGCATATCTCGAGTGGGACTTAGGCTCGGAATCTGGCTGTGAAATTTCGGTGGTTGTTTTCTTTGGCGTAGGCTTGGACTTGCGATCGGGAACAGGATCTGTTGCAACATCTAGGCCAAGACCAGTATCGTAGACCGTGAGGTAGTCTAATTTTCGACGAGGATTATACGCATGCCCAATTTGGCACCTATCGTTGTCACCCTCCCTTGAGCATGGCATATAACACCGGTTGGAGGGCACTTTGTGCACGTCGCTTGGGTAGGACTCGGCGCAGTAGCAGACCCGGCCAGTGACTGCGGCAAGAGGCATGCCATCGTCTCCGCACGATTTGGCACATGCAAGTAGAGACTTATCATCTTGCACCATCCCCCTCATCATTGGCTTCCGTACGTTTGTATGGTAGCAACCCTGTGCCGTGATCTCTCCAAACTTGGGGGGTTGCTCCATGAGCTCCTTATCGGTGGTAAGCCGAATGACATGGTGGAGATCTCTGTCGTCTCGGTCACATTCGGAGTCTTTCTTGACCAAGCATTGGACGCAGTGGGCATCGTCAACGCTATCTTCGCTTGAGTAGGCATCTGCATCGGCACACCAACAAGTGTTTGCACCAAGTACAACAACCGCAGAACCATTCTCATGACATGACTCTATGCATTTCTCGCGCTCGACCTCGGTGCGTGTGAAGCCGGCACGAATTGCAGACCGGGGTTGTCCACGATAGCAGCCCTCAGGTGTATGTTGAGGAGGATCAGGTACATGGGCAGCTACCAGGACCACCCACAGAAAAAGGATCAGAGGTAATAAATCAAGCCTAGCCATGGTAACAAAAAGAGTGAATGAAATTAGAGAACAAGAGTGAAGGGAACTGGGGGCCGGGAATGTGGTGTTTATGTTTCGATTCATCACCGGGCCTATTTAATTTAATCCACCAGGCAGTGCTTCCATTGGTTTGCCGTCGGATCAGTATGGAGCGTTTTTAGGCAGGTTACGGTCTGTGCCTCGTTATTTTCTAGGGTCAACCAACAGTTTGTTGGTCTTTCCCATGCGAATCCGCAGGATTACGGATCCTCAGCTGAACCTAACCATGGAATCGGCCGACAGCTCTTGGCGAGAACGTAGTTGACAAAAACATTGGTACAATGAGCGCTCTGGTAAGGGAATAGACTGCTCAATTACTTATAGCAGCCTGGTTCAAGGTTCACTCAGTCAGATCGAGAAGTCGCCGGTATCCAAATCACTCCAGGGGGTTAAAGATGAGAGAAAGGCCAACTGCACCCAAGCTATTTAAATTACCTATGGAGTAATCTTTTTCGCTTCTTCGGTTAGCAGGCAAAACGGAAGCAAATTTTCGGTTGGCTTTCTTGAGTAAATTTCCAGAAGAAGCATATTACAAGCTTTTGAGTAGAATCCCGCAGGGCAAACTCTGGTTCAAAGGGATGTTGTTTATCCTGGGTGGAACCACAACTAATACTAGTTAGTGTCAAATTACGGCTGGATTTTGACGATGTGTTGGTTTCCTTTTTCAAGTCCGTTCCGAGGCCTTCCGTCTTGGCATTGTCCGTGTCAGTAGGAACTCCCACGTTTTAATATTAGAAAACAACCGCAAGGTAAACAGTAATGATTCCAATACGTCGAAGAAGTTTCGACAAACTATAGAGCCTTAGTAATTGTCAGTTTTGAACGTGACCACCAGTTCTCGAAAAGCTCGTGCAGTTACATCACAACTCATCCAATCGGGAACACAAACTTACTTTCCGCCAAGGTCTCTATGTCTCCAATCACGCAAGCAATCAATTGAAGAGGGTGTCTGTCTTTCACATCGCTGCAACACAAGCTGATGGGCAATTGGTTGATGGTTTGCTACCCCGCGTTTCTGACGTTGATGGCACAGCGCGCCGTTGACGATGGTCTATCTTCTACCTGAAGAGGCAACCCGGCGGACATTTTGTTTGAAAGCTGACAAACGTTGCGTATCATTTCCTCAGGATGACGAAACGTCACGGGGCATGTTTTATTCTGTTATGTCTTGATAAGAGGGCAACCCCTCGTTTTCTATGATAATCCAACTTCATCCGTTATCGTCTCAAGCAATCTCAGCACTTCAAAACCCATAGTAGCCTTCATCAGTCAACAATACAACCATGGCTCCTCAGACCCTTGCAGAGAAGGCTAAGGCCAAACTTCAGGCTGTACTGGAGGATCCCAACAGAAACGATTCTAGCTGTACGTGCGCTCTACCATTCCCTCTTGTCTGGTTGCATGTCGTTCCATACTGACTACGTTGTCAACAGCCTATAAACAGAGAGTCATGACTACCAAGACACCTGCTACCGGCTCCGATTGGACTAATAGCTGGGTCCGGAGAAATAGTAATGATCGCCGAGCTAGTGTTGGAAGCGACGGCTCGACTGGATCGCCTGTACGACGCAGGTCAAGCTTCCAGGAATGGTTATATCCTTCTGCACGCTGAATTGTAATTGTTATCACGACGGGAAGTTCTCATTCTGAGGTGTTGGTGCTTGCACTTTGTTTGTCTTCTTGCATATGGAAATTGTAAACAGGATAATTTGTTCGTGTCTTTCTTAGTCGATTCTAGCTTCAGTCACGTCAGATCTTAATATATAAAAACATCGTTTTTGCAAACAAAGAATGAATTGGGCCCTGCACTTGAGGCTGTGATCTTATAACTTTATTTCCTTTGCAAACAGGACCTTCGTGGAAGAAATCCAGATCGTAGTTATGGAGTTGAAGTACACAAATTGAACACAGCATGGTAGAAACTTAGGTGAACAAGTACGGTGAAGTCGGGAATCATGTTTGTATTATAGTGCACATTGTATCTTTAAAATTCAGTTTCGCTTGGTATCATTAATACTAGTCAAGTCACGATCTAGGTTGATCGGCAAGTAAAAGGGGCGTGAGCAGAGCCAGTGGAGGTGATATCAATCTATGATACTGTTAGTGACGTGAAAAGGACAATATTAAGAGTAATGAGAACTTACGATATCCTTGATAGTGGCATATGTACCGGCACCGAGGGTAACGATGCCGATAATGAAAGCCAAAATGCTTCCACAGCTCATGAACATGTTCTTCTTGGAAAACCACTTGCCCTCGCAGAGCAGGGCAAACCACATGACACCGGGGATCCAGAAAGAGAAACCGGAGACGAAGAGGGCGGAAGCCAAAGAGAGCAAGTCAGAGAAGATGGGAATAGCCTCGGCAATAACCCAAGCGACGATGGTGAAGATGGTCACGAGAGTGATCCAGCTGACCCAGCCCATGGGAGTGTTGACATATCGCAGAATTGAGTCCTTGAACATACGGCCATGAAGATATCGGAGCGCAACGGTGGAATTGATCGAACCGGAGATGAAGATAACGGGTAGAGCAACTCCGAAGGCGATCTTGGAAATAAGTGGTCCGGCGGAGAGCAGAGCAGGTGATTGCACGGAGGGGCCGATGAAAGCGTAGCACAGAGCTCCAGTCAGAGTGTAGATCCCAATCTGGATAAAGCACGACGCATAGATAGACTTCATGTAGTCGGTTGGTGTGTGCATCTCGTCCATGAAGGAGAATTGACCAATTGCGAAACTGAAGGCGAAGATAATGTTGCTGACAGCGACGAAAGCCTCTGCGAAACCAAGATCCTCCTTGGGCCAGGCTGACCACTCAACACCAGATAGTCCGCCAGTTGAGTCGCTGGCCTGAATACCGGTGGCGATGACGGTAATTCCAATGGCAGCCACGATAGACACGAAATCGATGTAACCAAGAATAGCGACTTCGGTGAAAGATGGGGGGATGGCGAGGATCAGCAGGATGATGGCGGAGACGGCAGAGAAAACAATGGAGCAGACGTGTCCACCGTTGATGTCAATGAGCGCAATGCTACCAGTCAGAGCGTGCGAACCAACGACCATGACGAGCTCGAGAACGAGAGCAGCACCGAAAAGCTCGTAGCCAAAACGACCGAGGAGAAGGCGTCCGGCGTCGGCATAATGCGAGATGTGAGGGAACTTTAGCTTCACCTGGCCGACGATGTAGCTGGTGAAGATGGAGATGAGACCGAGAGTGATGGTCAGGAAGACACCGGGGAACATGCCCAGCGTGTGGTAGGCCGAGGGCAGACTGAGCGCGCCGAGGGCGATGGCCTCGACGATGGTGACGACGGCGAGACGCTTCCAGCCCAGACGGTGGAAGTGGGCGTTTCCATCAGCGGCGAGCTGCTTCTGCTGGGAGATCTGGAAGTCGTCCGCCGTCTCGGGGTCATGCTGGTTGTCCATCATGTTGGTGGGCTTTGAAGACTTGGCCTTGGGGGAAGAGTCCATTGTGTCGTGATGGTCTAGTAAGGCTGTGCGTTCGTTGGGGTGGCTACTCATACGACCAAGTGAGTAGTCTGTGTGATGTGGACGAGTAGGACGATCGCAAAGAGTTGAAGGAAGAGATATGACACGAGATCAGACAGAGCCTTCAAGAGAAACAAGGCACGACAAATGTATTTAAGAAGGAATGTAATCGCCGGCTAGAAGAGCTTTCTAACGGAAAAACCGGTCCAAGGCGAACGCTCGGTGTATCCGGGCTCCTCCACCGGCGCATCGGGGCCGAGGACGATTAGATAATGAGATAGCTACTCCAGGTTTTTATTCCATTTAAACTCGTAATTCCTGTTTGTCAATTCCGAGCAACGGAGCGTGCGCCTCACGACCGGACCGGCAGTGCACGCCCTGTGATTACATGCCTGTCTTCTCATGTTGACGAACGCGAGAGAGCGAAAAAAGGCCCGAAGTTTTTTTTTCTCGCTCACGAGCCGCAGTCTGGGCGTGGCGTGCCCCTGACGCAAAGCCCATAAAAACCTTCCAAAAGAAGGACGCTTTGCCTGTAGTGGTAAGGTGGTGGAAATATCTGCCGGTTGTGGAGCAAAGTGACATTCGACCTTGTAGCATTTCTTTACGTTGCGAAACCTCCCATTGGTGGGCGGTCGGCAGAGGGATCCGTTCGCGATGGATTTCATCACGTTATGATATCCTAACAATAACTCTGGTCAATATGCGCGCTCCGCTCTATAACCGTCGAGATCACTCTGTGCTTCCGGAAAACGAGATTACTCCGGGGCCCCAAATCATGGAGAGTTTTTGTGAAAGAAAGTGCCGTTGGAGAAAGTTCTGGGGGACAAGAAATGCTCTTTCGTCATTTCAATCGCAGCTTTGCGCCGGGTCAACTACCACCGAACAAATCCGGGGTCCAACCCTCTTTTATAGCCCAAGTTATCACCGCAGAAATTTTCAACACGCCTCAACTCCATGACAAAGTTCATCTCCGCCATCCATCGCTTATCTGTGGGGTTATCTACCTCATTGACTAATGCGAACTGCAAGACTTTTGGACACCTAGACCATTCTCGTCAGACCGGTCTAGTCCTGGTGGGAAATTGAGCTGCACCCCAGATATCCCCTCGACCTCCAATGTCTGCTGGCACTGCACCCCGGAGATCAAGTATTTTGCGGTAGGTATGGGGTTTTTTGGTACGGGGAGGCCGTTTAAGCTTGTTTGGCCGGCCCGTATTGGAGGACGAGGCGACAGCGATGAAATTGACTCGATTTGTCACTTGGTTCCTGCTTGGTGGTTTTCGTTTGTCAAGATATTATCCAACATGTTAAAGCTAGTATGGAATAGGGCGCGTCTAGCCCTATAGGCAATTTGATCGGAAAAAGACGTGTTGGTTCAAGGGTAGTCTGGCGATGTCGGAGTTTCATGAATATGAGTACGTAAAGCATCCTGCAAAGTTCCTGATGCGGTTGCCATTCACAAGTAGTGCTTACGTTACAGTTTATGGAGTCCATGAACCTATAGATCACTAGTGAAAGAGCTGTCTACCCGTCATACTCGTGCTTAGTTCGTAATTAGTCTGGGATGATCGAACGGCGGCTCAGCCAGCGAATACCTCGCATTTATCCGTCCCTTGCGAAAGAAGCGCGATAATGGAATCGGACTTGGCAACGCGGCTGCGGCAAGTTGAGGGCGGATAAAGATAGCAAAGGTTAATCAGCATTCACGTGAGTCGGTTTCTGATGACGGACAAGCAACTACGTATCGAATACGCATAAACGCAACCCGGAATCGTTCGGTAAGATACTTGTAATAATCCAGGAAAATATATTCGGCGTATGTCACTAAAGGGCTTGTTTTCGTCCCCGCGTTCAGAAAAGTTAAGGTTCATGATGGCTCATCAACCGCGTGCGCTGGCATCTCATATGTGGTCGGATGAGTGAAGTTGACTTTGTGGTGTCCAAATTGATGCCATGCGAAACCTTACCCTGAACTTTCACTGCCAGTCGATCGACCACCACATTCTGTCACTGAGGCCCCCAGTCTAGGAAAGATCGTGATCAACTTCTCTTGACTATATGAGTGATTTAGATAGTTCCGTTTAAGTAGCAAAATAATGAGCCCTTATGACAAGCACTGGGATACGTTGTACCTGGCTTCTTTGTAAGCTTGTCCGTCATCCATAGCCATGATCTCATCTTTGGCCGTAACTTCAGTTATCCAAAGTCAATATACACAACACGCAGAGACTGGTTCATGATCAAAGCTTCCCACCGCCACACGCACAATATGTATATTCATAAATGAAGATTTGAAGAAAAGCTTGTTACACAGTGGCACAATAATAAAACTGTGAAACCTCCCTCCTTTGTGACACCAAGATTCCTCTCCTACAAATCTCTGATACCACCAACAGATCACAGCACAATATCCTATCAAGATGAACAAAATGCGACCCATTGAATCAGATGAGATCGGGGATCTCCTCGATTGGAAACCCATGATGCTCTTGGACAAAACCTTCTTCGGTCCCGCCTTCGTCGATAGTCTCGTCTCCCGCTCGCCAACCTTCATCAAGTCCAAGGGCGGCAAGGAATTGCCACTTGAGCTTTGGATATCGATTCTGGATTTCGCTGTCGCCGATGGTTCAGAACCACACGACTATGCGCTTGTGCGACCCTTCACTCTCAGAAACAGACAAGATGGTGGGAAGTTGTTGTTTCTCCAGAGATTCAAGAGGTGGACTTCATTTGGCACAATTCAGAACTCCAGCGGAGTTGAAGACTACCATCTCTCCCTTGCGCTTCCTGATAGGAATTTTAACAGGTTACATAAACCATTTATGAATCGAGATTATGGCCAGCCTATTCAAATTCCTACCGAGCTACTCGACTCCAAGATAGACTTCCTTCACGTCAAGTTGACTGTCCCGGATGTCATCAAATATCTGGAGGGAGGCAGGTGTCGGATATGCTGGGGTGCCCGTACCATAGGAGGTAACGGCGCTGGCTGTCACTTAGCTCACAGCTTCTTCGGAAAATTGTCAAACATAGGTTGGGAAATCACACATTGGAATATCCATTTTGATCTCCCGTTACTTTGCCCCCTATGCGTTGGGCTGGAGCATACTATGGCCTGTGTGCGGAGGGATATTCAAAGGGACCAGCCTCATGAGACACAGCGTGAGGACTATGTCTCATGGCTTGAGACAAGACTCCAGGAACTGGGATTTGGAAAGATTTCAGTGCCTCGGCTGTCCCCACCACGTGGCTTGCGACCATCAGGGGGTTACCTTTTCATCGACAGCGACTAAAATGTCATCACCTCATCTACAGCCGTCACACTGCAGCGCCGACCTCAGTCCGAGGTCGGACAGTGTGTTAGTCGCAGCCAGATTCGCAATGGCATTTTAATCACTAGCTATGTATAATTCTGTTCTAGTCGGAGCTGACGGCGGGGTCCGTCCGATGTCAAACACCAAAACAGCTTGGCTGCCAGTGCACAGCAGATGGCGATCGTCAAGGATCTGATCACGCAACCACTATCCTTATCGACCATCACCGACTAAGCCCAAACGAAACAAAAACCAGTACCGATCGAGTGGTTGATGTGCACACTTTATCTTGCAGGCTGTTATCATTCCCGGGGTCGGTGGTGCCATTCGTCAATTGGACATATTATTTATGTCGATGCAACGCCAACCCCTCAGATAGCACTTTATTATTTTACTTACCATCCTTCTATCGTCGCGCAAGTTATCTTCATTGCCTTCATCTTATTCAACCGCAGATTTCACCGTCATCATGTCGGACTCAGAAGGCAAACCTGCCGCTGATGCAGTCGTCGAGGCGTCTGGCTCAACACCAATCAAGCGTAAATACACCGCTCACTCCATCCAACACTCACTAACAAGCGCAGCAAAATGGAACCGTTCCGTTCTTTACAACGCCACGATCCTCGGAATGTGCAGTTTCGCAGCTCCCGGCCTCTGGGGCGCCATGAACTCCCTCGGCGCAGGCGGTGCTCAAAAGCCGTATCTTGTCAACACCGGCAACGCTCTCACCTTTTGCCTCATGATCATCTCATGCTGGTTCACAAGCGGCATCGTCAAGTACGTCGGGATCAAAGGCGCTCTCGTCATCGGAACTATCGGCTTTGCGCCGTACAGCGCGGGTCTTTACCTAAACAACCGATACGGTGTGGAGTGGCTCGTTCTCTTCGGTGCGGCGTGCTGTGGTGTTTCTGCGGGCATCTTCTGGGCGGCTGAGGCTGCTATTGCCATTGGATATCCTGAGCCGCGAAACCGAGGTCGGATGGTGGCTTACTGGCTTTCTTGGACGAGGCTGGGACAGATCATGGGCGGTGCCATCAACCTTGGTCTCAACGCAGATCGGAACGAGGCTGGGAAGGTATCTTACAAGGTCTACCTCATCTTCATCGCTCTCCAAGCACTGGGACCCTTCGTCGCATTTCTTCTCAACAAACCCTCACAGGTCCAACGAGCGGATGGTAAAAAGGTCGATTTGAGTATCTTTGACCACCCATGGCAAGAGTTCAAGGCAACCACGCGAACATTTCTCAAGAAGGAGTTCCTACTTATCATACTCTGGATCGGTCAGGGCGTCTACTCAGAAGCCATCTTCTTCACCTACATCTCTCTGTGGTTCAGCGTAAGAGCCCGAGCACTCGGGTCATTTGTTTCTGGCGTTGTAGCGATCATCGCGGGTAACCTACTCGGCGTCTGGCTCGACCAGAACCACCTCACTATTAAAAAGCGCGCGCGATGGGCATACATCGTGATCTTTGTTCTGCAAGGAGGATGGTGGATCTGGCTGACCATCAACGTTACCAAGTTCAACCGCGAGGGACCCATCTACGACTGGAGCGATTCTGGCTTTGGCGCTGGTTTCGGTGTTTTCATTTTCCTCGTTACTGGCTTCCAGCTTAACTACAACTTCGCCTTCTTCATCATTGGGCAGATCTCGAGCAGTCCTCAAGAAACAGTGCGGCTGTCTGCGTTGCTGCGAGGTACGGAGTCGGCCTGGCAGGCGCTCAGTTATGGCCTCAATGCACTGCCTATCATGGCGACTGTGGGAAGTACGTATTTGAACTTTGGACTTTGGGCTATCGCCATTTATCCGGCTTGGTTGGTGGTTAGGCAGCTAGGTACGGCCAAAGAGGAGGTCGGTGATACGGAGACGGAGGCAGTTGAGAAGGCGTGAGTCAGGCTAGTGGACGCGGTGAAATAATAGATCTTTTTTAAAGGTAGCTGAATTAACCGTTCTATTTCTCAATTTCCACATCATGTGGGTGTTTATGGTGCATCGGTAGGGTCCCTAAACAATCGTTAGTCACAAATATGTAGCATTCCGTGGATGTACTCACCAGTCGGTCACCAAGTGCTCATCCAATCCATCCAAAGTCTTCATATCACTCTCTGAGATCTCAAATCCATCAACATCCGCGTTCTCAATCATACGCTTCTGTTTGGTACTCTTGGGTAGAGTGATGAAATCATGTTGAAGACCCCACCTACACAACGTCAGTACACGCGACGCACATTCATCATTGGGAACATACTTCACAAAGATTTGAGCAGGAGTCACAGAGTACTTCTTGGCCATGTTGAGAATGGCTGGGTGATCCATTCGCTCGGCGCGGGCAAGCGGGGCGTAGGCCTCAATGGCGATGTTGTGCTTGGCGCATGTGGCGCGGATGTCTTCTTGGGTGTTGAAGGGATGGACTTCGATCTGGTTAATGACGGGGGCGACGCGGGGCTTTGATGCCATAAGTTCCTCAATCTGCGAAATATTAGCCATCCATTTATATACCAAAATGCTTGGTAACTCACATGCGCAGAACCAAAGTTGCTCACACCAGCAGCTCGAATCTCGCCCGCATCAACAGCATCCTCCAAAGCCTTCCAGCTGGTAAGTCGCGCCTCTTTTCCTCCATATGGGCTGTGAAGAAGAAACAAATCGATATACCCTAGACCCGAAGCCTCAACCGACTTCTTCACCGAGCGTCGCACAACATCATACGACTCGTCGCAGCTGGCGAGCTTTGAGGTGTACCAGATATCCTCGCGCTTCAAACCAGACGTGTTCTCACTGCTGGCGAGGAAGTCGCTGATGGCCTTTCCGGCTTGACGCTCATTGCGGTACATCTGAGCGCAATCGAAGGCACGGTAGCCGGTGAGAAGACCTGATCGCACTGAGTCGGTGGCCTCTTTGGTGGACATCATGTAGAGGCCGAGTTGGATGCGGGGAATGATGAGGCCATTGTTAAGCTGTCTACATTAGCGACTGTCATTGAATCGATGGAGGTATTATACCTTGGCCGTGGCTGCGAGGAGAGAGGGTTGCGATGCCATTTTTGCGATGATTCGTGTGGTTGAAGGAGGCAAGAATTTGTTGTGATGATGTCAGGCAATTCACGATCTGATAAGGACTGATGGGGCCGACATCGCTGAATATGTGGGCGGGGGTGACGTAGCATTTACGCTGCAGCGACGAGTTTGCGAATGTCCACTTACGCTTTATGATGATTATTGGGTTGAGTGTGTTGGCTTCATGTTCAAAATAATGCGACAAATTCACGTCATCATTTGGATCGTACCGGCTATCTCTCAACGCTCCAGCCGCTACTGCGATCAGTCTTCAACGGTCGTGAATCGCGTCACTGTTGGGGACCCGCGTAACGCAGTTTAAAACTCACTATCAACTCATAACCGTGTCGCATGCGGCAGTGTAAACCGAAATCATTGAGCTTTGGTATTTGACCGCCTGCAGATACAAAACTTTTTACATATCAACACCTCTTTCACCTCTTGATGGTCTTGTCATTCCCTCATCATATAAACATCACCATCCTCACTTTTTCACTCGGTTTGTTCACCACCACACCCTTCAAGTCGAAATTCATATCATCAGTCCTCTGCAAGTGCCTTTTCCACTCTCCTACCAACAGTCACACTCCATACATCAACCTTCCTGTTCCATAAATCAGTAAGATAAAACGTCACAGCCATCAGGATAACCCAGCCAATCGCATAACCACCTGTCTTTCCGAAGCTATCAAACAGTCGCGGCATGATCCAGAAACCTAGACTGTGCAAAACAGGTCCATGCACAAGATACAGCGAAAAGCTGACCTTTCCTAGGTACTGAGGGAAACGACTCTCGAGTAAACGAACGAGAACCGGACTGCGCAGGATACAAGCAACGAGGAGCACGGCGCCCATTGCCTGATAAAACATCCATCCGGACAGCGGGTGGTAGTATTTGGGTACCCAGGTTGAAAAGTACGCGAAGCCGGGGGTGTACTCAGCGCCAGAGTCGGGATAGCTAAGGAAATAAAGCGCCAAAACGATACCAGCCCATCGTAACGCCGTTCCTTTAGTCGTCTTTTGGAAATCGCCTCCCCGCGCACGAGCCCCAGCGGCCAAAGGAAGCGAATCGGATGACCGACGAACATCGTGTTCCGAAAGCAACATGCCACCCATGAAGGTGGCCATATCCCATCGTCCGATAAACAGACTGTAAGCAGACAGGAAGCTACCAATCCTCGTTCGCCATTTTGCCTTGATGGCAGCCGTGGCGAGAAGGAAGACGTATATCAGAATGGAGCCGCGAAATTCCATTGGGATTGTGAAAGTATGCGGGTCGTAACGCGTGTGGTAGTGGCCGAAGTTGAAGGGATTCGCCCATTCAGCATACGATCTGGTGAAGTTCTGAAGCGCATACGTGAGATTGGGGTGAATGAATGGATGCTCTTCCCATGAACCTCCCATCTGAACCCAAGTTAGGTTGAGCGGGTTTGTGGCGTTGGAAGCGTTGCCAATAGAAAGAGCCAGGTCTTCATCGTCGTCCAGGTAGGCGAGGGACGAGAGTCGCTCCATGCTAGTGGTATCCTTGATGGTCTTAGTGGAGTTGGTGTCATTCTTAGGGAATTGAGCTTCATATTCGGATTCAAGAGTGTAAAGCTGGGATGGTCCATACGATCGTGTCGTATGGTTGACGCAAAGAAGCAAATCGGTCCACTCTGTGGTGTTTCCCAACGGATAGCCAGTGGTGTTACGGAGGTATGCGGTGGTCTCTATGCCGAGGTAGTTCGCGATTCCTGGTGCTCCTTTCACAGCAGTGCCATTAACACAGAAGCTGCCCTCAGCCAAGTCAGCGTGGGTGATGGTCGCATTGATATAGTGCGAGTCCGGGCCCTTATAAATTGCAAACTCGGACTTGAAAACGCCAACTTGAGCTAGCACGGCGACCAGAAACATGCTGATGGTGGGAGGGATATAGAGGCGAAAGACACGTCTGAAAACAGATGACGCAAGCTTCTGGTAAGCAGTATCGAGCTTGCGCTCGTGGATCAAGCGGAGAATATGGCGGCAAATGACATATCCCGAGATGGCGAAGAAAATGGCGACCATAGCACGTCCACGATGCAAGAGGCAGATGATAGGCAACGATTGCCATCCCCAGTACGGCTCAGGCGCACGCGGCGGAAACGCGCCGTAGCCCAACATAATCACAGGTGTCCATGGCCAGAAGAAGTGGTAGTTGAACACGAGAAGACAGGCGATACCGCGCAGACCGTCAAGACATCTGATCTTGTCTCTGTTAAGTCGCGAGGCTGGGGCTGACGCTGCTGAGGGCTTATCCTCGTGCTCAGAGCGAGGCAGCAGATCCGGCTGTTGCCCGCCCATTGTGCCGGACTGTCTTGGTCTAGCGATTGAGAGCATTCATTCGGCGCGGATGGTGTTTTACAATTGCTGTGGGTGAGCGTGGCGGGGAAATGAAGGTGATGATGGTGAATGCGATGAGATGAATCAAGGGAGATGGAGGCTGTACAGAGTGTCCTGTCCTTGATACGACCATGCATGGCGAGATAAGATAAGAAAGTGAGGTAAGATCTGCAAGGAGTTTAGCCGTTTATCCTAGCTCCATATTTCTGACGTAGACTTCCAAGGTTGCTTCAGGGTAATTGGCGACATTACGGTATCATTTCATCGATAAACGCGTATTTATGCTCGTGATAGAATGTTTTGCGAACGAATCATGGGGCCCCCGCATGCTCTGTCATATTCTTTTTTTCATTACCAGTTGGCTTTCAAGTGTCTTTACTCTGTGGTGGCCCCGCTTTGTGTTTGTTCCATTCGGCACACATTGATGCGAGACCGAGGAGGATTGTACGAATGTGGGCCTGCGTGAGTAAAAAGGTTGAGGAAAAATATCGACATTAACGGCCTTCTAATTACTTGTCGTTTCATCTCTCCAAATCAGTTTCTTAGCTAAGAATTATCCAGCGATATTCATTCCATTCTATATTCGCGAAAAGGCATGGCTCAGAGTGGCAAACAGTGATCTAGAGTGAGTGGTAGACCGATGAGTTGATGGGCAGCCAAACGATAGCCGCATCCTGTATGTAGAATAACCTTTAGATCAAGAAATGGCTTAAATAAACTGTCGGTATCGGCCATGCTTAAGTCCACAAGAGATTAACGGTGACTTTGACTTCAGTGGCATCTTGGGCCAGTCACAGTGCAGCCAGAAAAAAGCAAAACCTCATTCAAAGTCTTCTTCTGCTTGCGTTGTATTTACACACCTAACGATAGTATCTATATCATAATGACGAAGAAAAAAAAAAGATTGCCGTCAGCAAGACTCGAACTTGCGTTTTCAGTGCTTCGAAGAGCCACAAACTGATGTACTGACCCCTATACGATGACGGCTGGTTTTCCTGTGGATGAGACCCCGGTCGACTATTCTGGACCTTGATCCTCTCCACTGACCCACTATCGCATTTAAGTCAGGAAATCACAGCAATAATGACAACAGTAGCCGGTCGACGGTGGCTATACGAAGAACACAATTGTGTTAAATTACAATAATGGTCAGTTGTATATATGTGGATGACGTATTGCTGATTACATGTGGTGGTAACTAGTTTGACCAGCCGACCCTCTCTTTGATAAACTTCACGATGTCGTCAATCTGATCGGGGATCTTGTACCAATGCCCTTGCTCTTCGTAACTCTTCCACTCCACCTCAAATCCAGTTGATCGTAGGGCCCGACAAGCTTGTTCGCCGAGAGCTGGGACAACCTTCTCATCTGCTTCTCCATGTCCAAGAGCAACAGGTGTCGATAAGGCTCCTAGAGCCTTTGATCGCTCAGGACCGGCAAATGCTAGCAGTTCTTCTACATAGTCGTGGAACTTGGCGTCCGCATCGCGCAGGCCTTCATCGCCAGAGATGTGCTGTGCAGTATTTTCCTCTGCGACTTGTCTTATATCTCCTGCGAAAGGAAGCCACGCACTCATGCCAATGAACCCGCCGATAGGAAAGTCCAGCGCAAGTAGGCACATGAGACTCATAGCGCACCCTTGGCTGATGCCACCGAGGATGATATTCTTTTCCGAGACCTTGCGACGTTCTTCGTTGATCAGTTGCAAGATTTCGCGCGATGATTGCTCCAAGCCCTGATACTGAGTCTGGCTGCCATAGTAGGGGTCTAATAACGATGTGATGTCGAACCACTGTGTTAGCAAAGATCGTTTGAAAGCGCTTGACCTACGTCTTTTCGACGTTGGGAGGTGAATCGTGCGCCAGGGAAGAGATCAGGGAGTGATTTCCCATCGGAGCAGATGCCGGTTTCGATGAGCTCGCGGCCAAATTTCTCTCCGTTGGAACCCAGACCGTGGAGGAAGATAACACTATGGGTATGGGGCTTAGAAGATTCGATGATGAAAGGCGGGACGCCTGGTTGGGATGCGACGTCTCGTCCATAGTCGAGGGTGTTGAATGTCAAGATGATGTTGGAAGATGATAGGAAACCAGCTATGATTTGGGTGCTGAATAAACAGGCGAAACCTCAGCGCTCAGGCACCCACACCGCCTAACATGTTTTCTTCTGGTGTAACGTGGATTATTTGTTCACAGGGGCCACTGAATACTCATGTGTGGCAGTGCCAGCCTTTAAGCAGCACTTGTAAAAAGTTGCCCCGTTTGTCTACCTCAACTCTGTTGTAGCCGTACGCTTCCCATGGAAAATTACACATTTAGTCACATCAAAACGGGAAGTATGTCAAAGAGAATGGTGAGTGTCTTGTCAGGAATCAATTTAGCAGAAAGGCTATCTATTGTTGCAGTGTCTGTCTTGAAGAGAAAGCCTGTCAAACTGGGGAAAAGCAAGCTACCTACGTGAGAACTGAAATATCAAACTGACTCTACTCCTATCTGAGCCTCGGGGAGGACGTGAAGAACACTTGTCCTGTGCTTGGCTTTGAGCTACTCTTTTGTTCGTCTAGAGCAAGATAAAAGGAAAGAAATTCAAAGTACAATGCCACTTACCTACACCAACAAAGGAACCTGCAAAGGTGGATAAACTTTTGTCTCACGTCTATGGATTCCGATTTAGACGCCAGGCGAATTGGTAGAGCTGTTAGTGTTGACTGTTTCTTCAGAAAAAGACGAAGCCACCCACCCACCAATCCTTCAACGTCCCCTTAGAAACAAGAGACTCCTTCTCCAAAGCTTCAAGGACATCGGCAACCCACTGCTGGCAGAACGTAGCAGGAGTTCTCTGCACTACATCTTTCACCTTGTCCTTGTCCGTGGCGGCAAACTTGCCAACAAAAAAGCGTGAGTCAAGAACATCAGAGTCGAGCGGCTTTTCGTCGACTTGTACCCTGAACGCCCCACCTGTGGTTAAGTCACCAACGTTAGTTGAATGATACCAGGTGGCCTGATCACTGCTTTGTTCAGAAAGGATAAGTACCCGGTGTCGAAGTCCATAAGAGCCACGGTCGTTGCTGACGCCGATCCACAAGTCAAAAGAAGCCATTCTTGCAAGATAAGAACGGATATGGGTTTGAATGTGACGTGTTTCTGAACGTGATATGTTTCTGCATAAGAGTGTCGAGGAATGTTTGTCTGGGTGAACATTATTGAAACATCTTCCATGGGATGAGGAAACTCCTCGATTTATACTTAGGCTTCCACATGTTCGGCAATTCAGCATCAGGAAAGTCTTTCCTGAGTTCTAGGTAGTTTATCTTTGTTCTCAAGGTCTGTTCCGAGTTGAATGCCTGTTAGATGTTTGTACATGTTCATGGACTTGATTTATTACAGTGATCACAATATTTTACAGCATGAACATTAGAACAAACGCATGCCAGCGATGGAGCCGAAAGAGTTGTGAACTGGTTGATAGTAAGACAGTATTTCTGGAAGTTACTTGAGAAATGAGAAAAGGCTAAGGTTTCTGGCGCTGATAAGCCGAAACTAAAGCGAAGGATTGTCGATTTTATGAATGATAATTGATGTATTAACTGAAGACAGAATAGGTGAATAGCGCGATACAAAAAGTCATTATAACCGAGTCGATCTAAAGGTCAATCGATGTCATGCATGTAATTACCTCAATGCTTGACAGCTATAATTGCCAACCACCATTTCGTTCCCCACTAATTCCGTACAGTCACTGGCCGGACGAATTCAGGGCGAGTTGCCATACGCATGATGCTCTCGAGTCCGTCTCTACTGACCCTGTGCCGGTCTAGAGAATTGATCATGTCAAAGTAGGGTGTCAGTTCACCGCCAAAATCAGGTGATGTAGATGGCCGTCGAACATCTTGCATCGCGACAGCGGAAGTGCTGATGCGAGACGTCGCAGTATTGGGATGGAAGATCTGCATGTCAAAATCTATCATGGTGTCAGGTTAGCAGAGAAAGAATCCTAAGTGATCTTGAGACCTACCAAGTTGGAGATATCGTTTGATAATATCATCAGGAAGTGGGAAGCCTCGCCATCCATCCAATGTGCCGTAGAAAATTCCTGGTTGATCTTTTCCTCGGCGATCCCGAGGGTCGTAGTGGGCTTCAACTATGCACCCAAAGAATTTAGCCTCCCAATACCGGCCTGATTCACCTGCTCTTGGACTTTGAGGAGTGCCAGGAGGATGATTTATGACTGGTGGGGTTAGTCTTGCTGCATCTCCAAACATGAATCCCATAAGCATGTGTACAAGCTCATGAGCGACCGAAATGCTCAGTAAGAACAGGATTTTCTGTAGTGACCCCAAATCTCGTGCTTCGGCTGCTACCACGGCACTATCGACGACCTGGAGAAACTGGTAAGTCAGAGTCAACATAACAGCTTGTTTGTCTTACAGTTTTGTTGATCCGAAACAGTGCAGCCCATTTAGGGTTGTAGTCGCTGATTTTTGCACCTAACATGCTGGGCCAGTCGAGCCTCTGAGCTAAACCCTCACCAGTAATTCTATCGCTGATGATAATGTTTGGTGGCTCGGCGCGACACTTAGACAGAAAGGTATTGACAAACTGCCGTGCCTCACTTAGGTCTGTTTGTAGGTTGCCCTGGGGAACGAATGTCTTCCTGGCTCGGCGATCTGACGCACGCCAGGCATCCGAGATTAGGGTGACTAGAGCCTCACTTCCCCGCCGAGATTCAAGCATAGACATTCCCATGTGAAACACAAATGCTGATACGCGGAAGGTTCTTGATGATTGTGGAAGATCGGGCGTGTCTACTGGGTTTGGACGTGATTGATCTAGGACTCGGAAGTTATTGAGGCCTCCCCCTTCGTTTTGCCGAGGACGAGATCTAGAACCACGGGAAGACATTTTGAAAGATGATGAAGTAATTGAGATATTTGCAATTGATCGTGCTGAGGTGGGAATGAGAAATCGCTTTATGTGTTTTGAGTGAATGAGGATAGCGAAGATGTCGATTATCCGGTTAGGAATCGATGAGACTTATAATCTGAAGACAAATGTGTGTCTCTTCATAATCACTTCAATAGCCGCCCATACGTAACCGAGTTGCCGTTGATGGCGAGTAACTGAATAGGATTTAACGCTATCATACCGACAGAACCAACACTGTTTCATAAAGCTAGGGTGCGGCCAGGGTCTGCACAATAAGACCGTTGGCTGTTGCTCAAAATAGCAAGACCTTCACAAGCTGATAAGTAAGAAAGAACGGGCGATTCTTCTCCTTACCGAGTTTGCAAGGGTTACCAGCGAGGAAGTCATGATGATTCACTAAAGCATCAAGAACCGAACTTCGAGTGCGTACCTGTGCGTACCTCGTGAGGTGTCATGGAGTTATTCCAGGGCAGCGCAATTTCAAGGTCGGAATTTTCTACGTCTCAACAACAATCGTTATTTTAATGCTATGGAACTCAAGTATCCGCCATCGAATCGATGTATTTTACTCGGTTGGGCACTTCTAATACTCGTGATGAAATGGTGGCTGTGTCTTTAGAAGAGTCGATACTTTTTCACCCCGGGCGCGACCTGAAACCAGGCGCCAATTGGCCACATACTTTGTGGCCGCACACTGATATTTCACCCGCTACAGGCAGTCTGATCAGTTTTCTGTGCTGTTAAATCGGCTTCAAGTATGTAACGAGAGCGCAAATTCGCCATTCTGGTCTGCGCCGAGGATTTTGAACCCTGCGTTGCTATTTTCAGAGGTAAAGCGCTTACAGCGGGCGCTTAGCTGCCAGCGCGTACTGGAGCCACTGAAAGGTGTGACGGGTATGCAAACCTTGATAATCAGGCAAAACCCTTTCTTATGGTTATGCCCCATCTTTCTGACAGTTTGATCTTCGCTCATACATTCTGTTTACATCATTCCCATTGACAAAGGAATATTCAACTTCGCTATCAAATTTCCCCAGTAACGGACGCGCGCACGATATTTCGATGGATCCTAATGAGTTGCAAGCTCATACGAAAAAGCTCCGAAGAATCGCTCGTAAAGCTTACGACAATCGGGTATCCTTTGATGCTATCACTTCCAATCATCATCGGAAAGTACTCGACAAAGCCATCAGAAATGTTCTTTCGACCGAACTAGCGATCTTCACATACGCACAAATCATCGATGGCCTCCCTATAGCTGACGTTGCCTGGGACCGCCGGCTTCCAGGGATTATGGGAGAACACATCATCGATGATCATGAGATCTTATGCCCTGGGGCTTTAGAGAAGGCACAAGAATATCATGAGAACTGGCAACCTTCTAGCCTTATGTTTGATCCCGAGGTAGGTCGCTTTCAACAGCTACTAAATCTTACTGACCGGAACAGACAGTGAAATCGTACCAGAAAGCAGCACCTGGCTCTAAACATTTTAATGTCCGCCTAGTTGAGCTGGTAGCTGTATCTTTGCATCAAATAGCGGTGTTACTATTCCAAGCCGATCATCGGCTTCATCAAGGTGACATCGATGCCGTTACGAATTGGAAGATGCCTTTGTCAGAGACCATGATTGATGTGCTACCTGGTCCTACGCTCTTTAGCCACCACGCATATCTTGACGATGATATATATCCAGAGGGGGTCGCTGATATTGTCGGTTATTGGGCGGAGGATAGAATATTTGGCGGTGTAGCTGTATTTGATCGACGTCCAGGAGGCCCCAACGACATCCCCAACATCTACTTCCATCCATGCCGCCAGCGACAAACGATACGAGTCTATCAACTACGAGACGAGCAACAGCAAGCTTTGTTAGATTTTCTTTTACAAGACGAGCCGTCAGCACCCCCTTCGCCTCTGCCAATACTAGGCGATAAGCAGAACAGGATACGCGTAGATGCACCCATGGCCATCACGCACTTCCACATTTACAGGGATATTTGGGAGCGTAAGCCCCTCAATATAATTGACTTGAGAATCTTTGAGAAACGGCCAAAGGACGAGATAGATTATCCAGAAGTTGGGGACTTGGTACGCCGTATCAATGCACAGCATGGTATCCCAATTCCACGCCCTCGACCACGGTCTATGTCGCCTCCAGCTAGAGACCATGGAGAGGAGAACAAGTACAGAGATCGCAGATGAAGAAGGGTTGTACCTCTGGTTCAGGATATGATTATTTACTATCAGCTTAAGGGTGTGTGAGGGGGGGGCAGCTTTTATGCGTACGGCTGTGTGATCTACGTGTTCACTTGGATAGAGTTTAGTTGCCTTGTGCGACTTCTGCTGCCTTGATCATATTGAGTTTCGACCCTGGAAGGGTTTTTTTTATTGTTGATATTATTGAGAGATTTGGAAAGCCTGGGCTTGATAAAGTTGAAGGTTAAAGCAAAAAGAAAATATACTCAAAAAGACTTCGGGTTCTACAACCATCTCAATCGGAATCTCACCATGGACGCCGGACACATTCATCTGTAAATATTCATCATTGTCATTTCTATACTCTAATCTATCTGTCATCAATCGTTCGTTCCAAATCTGGGAAATCTTCCAAAACTCCCGCCACAATATACAACACCACAAAAGAAACACTTATTTGGCATGCTGAGGAAGGTTCTCCGCAGCCCACTTCCTCTGAGCATCGACATATTGCTGCGAGAAAGGATAATCGGTATATCCAATCTCTGAACCTCTGATGTAGAAAGTGGTACGATCATACTTGTTCAACTCAACGCCATTCTTCACCCGCCAGACAAAGTCAGGGTTTGCGAGAAAGCTTCGCCCGAAGGCAACGACAACATCCCACTTGCTATAGTGGCCGTCGAGAACCTCGGCTGCAGATTCGGGGGTGTAGTTGCCAGCAACCATGACAGGTGATACATTGTCCCAGATCTCGAGGAGGAAGTCGAGAGTTAGGGCATCAGTCGAGGCATCATTGTCGGGAGCCAGGAGCTTTGCAGGGTCGCCGCGGGCTTCGACGAGAGAGAGGTACGCCAGAGGTCCAAGCTTCTTCAGCTCCTGGACGATGTAGGAGTATTGTTCCTTGATGTCGGAGGACTCGGCACCTTGGAAGGATGCGTAGGGTGATAGGCGCACGGCAACCTTTTCTGAGCCAATCTCTGCAGCGACAGCCTTGACGACTTCGAGGAGAAGACGGGCTCGGTTCTCAACTGAACCTCCCCACTTGTCAGTTCGCTTGTTCACAGAGTCTGCGATGAACTGGTCAATCAGGTATCCGTGTGCACCGTGAATCTCCACGGCATCGCCACCAGCGTCGATAACACGTCGAGAAGTGGCAACCATATCTTGGATAAAAGTCTGGATCTCATCTTCAGTCATGGGCTCAGGGACAGGAGCGTCCTCTGAAATTGGCACAGCACTAGAAGAGCGATACTTGAAGCCTCGCTCCTTCTGGTACTCTGGATCAGCAGCTCGGCCCTGGCCCCAGATCTGCTGAACATAGAAGGACTTCTTGGCATGGACACCAGCGATGACCTTCTTCCAGGCAGCGACCTGCTCCTCTGTGACAAACATTGGGCCTTGGCGTACACCGGTGTCCTGCTTCGAGACTCCGGTGGCTTCTGTGATGATGAAGGTGCCGGGTGCTGTAGCACGCTCAGAGTAGTATCTCTCGACAAATGGCATGGGGACGTGGTTGTCGTCGTGTCGGTAGCGGGTCAAAGGCGCCATGACCATACGGTGATCGAGCTTTGCATTGCCGACTTGAATTGGCTTAAACAGCTTGCTGTCTTGGGAAATGGACGAGTTTGTCTTCGTGACAGTCATCTTGGCGTCTGTGATTATTGTATCAAGATTTGGTTAAGTAGAGGGTTGGCAGTGTCAAAAAGTCTTGGGTTTTTGTTTGGACTGGAAGTCGGGTATAATTGAAATATGAATTGATCAGATGGAGGAATGCTTGAGGTTTGGAGTGATTTGAGAGAAACTTAGAAACAGGACCATTTCGTCTTCTTATACCTTCGAGAAGGTAAAAACTTAATTCAGAGATCAACGTTATTTACCAAGGTCACCTTGATGAGGGTCTGCCAAGATTTGTCCGATGCAAGTACCGTAGTACTAACGTTAGCTTATGACTTCAACGCCACTTGATTATGTATCTTCAAGAATATCTTGCTTTGGCAAATAGAAGGCTAGGAACAAGCTGTAAAAAAGAAAAATGTGATATCAAGGATATTTAATTATATATGACAGTTATTTCAAAGTTATTTCTTCTTATCAAATATCGAGATACAATCGACTTTCTTTAGAGCCCCTGGAGTCGAGTACCCGCTAAACGGACATGCAGAATTAGAATGGGTAGGTACAATTATGTCATTTTTCGCGATTGACTCAGCTAGCGTCAATTACAAACTCCGGGACTCCGATGAAGAAGAATTGCGATCGGTGATGGCCGAACCAATAGCGACAACTCCAGATGACAAATTTTGACAACCAATTGGAGCAACTCCGTCTCTGTCTACGTCTCCATCTCCACACCACCTCATCGATCCTTCAGGAATCTCGGAGATAATTGAGATTGGTGGCATCAGCATGATTGGTTGGGCTATTCGTCTGATTGAGGAATAGCAGTCTCACCTACATTCTTTACAGCATGTGAAGGTGACGAAGCCAGCCTTACGCGCATATCGTGACTATGCTTTGTCCAGCTACGAGTGTTCCTGACGGCACAGTAATTTGGCCAATAGGATTCACTCATCCTGACTAGGTAGGTATCGTGACTTCGCAATAGCACTTTACCGGAATCACTTGTGCAGTTCATGAGTGCTCCGTCTCACTGCATCCTGCGTACGGGATCCTCCAAGAGTTTGGGTATATATAGAATGAGAAGTTCTGCTTGAACAAAATCTCAATACAATCAACAACACAATTCAATCAGCATTCCAGCACAATCAATCTAAACCATCAACTCAAACCAGTTTTCTACTTCAATCACCCTTTACATCAAACAAAATGTCTCCTCCTCGCCGCGCTCTCATCAGCATCACCTCAGCTACCGCAACCCTCTTCAACGGTAAAGAGACCACCGGCCTCTTCATCAGCGAGGCTCTCCACCCATACAATGTCCTAGTTGCGGCCGGTTTTGAAGTCGATCTCGCTTCAGAGACTGGCACTTACACGCCTGACTGGCTTTCCCAGCAGCCCGACTTCCTCAAGGGCGATGATCTGGCTATTTGGAACGACACCAACAGCGACTTCCGCAAGAAGCTTGACAACATGCCCAAAGCTTCTGAGGTGGATGGCTCCAAGTACGGACTCTTCTACGCCTCTGCTGGACATGCTGCCTTGATTGACTACCCTACCGCGACTTCTCTTCAGAAGATCGCCGCTCAAATCTGGGGCAATGGCGGAGTCGTGTCCTCTGTTTGTCACGGACCTGCAATTTTCGCCAACTTGATTGATCCAACTACCAACGAGCCTCTGATCAAGGGAAAGCGTATCACTGGTTTCACTACAGAGGCTGAGAATGATATGAAGATCATGAATGAACTACGCAGCTGGGGTTCTGAGATGGTCGAGGAAGTGGCTGCTCGTCTTGGCGCTACCTGTAAGTGGCTCTAATCCTGGGGATAAATTGATCATTACTAACTTCCAGTACAGATGAACGTTCTTCCGGTGTCTGGGATGACTTCCACGTTGTTGATGGCCGCCTGGTTACTGGTCAGAACCCAGCCAGTGCCGCTTCCACGGCTAAGGCAGCTGTTGATGTCTTCGATACCCTTTAGAGATTGATGTTCTATGGGACAATCCGGCAGAGATAATAGAGTTCGTTGCATACAGAATATGATATTTGACCTTCTTTTGTCAGTCTTGGGATATGTAGTTCACTTAGAAAGAACGCATTGTTTAATATAATCAATCGAGTAGCCAGTTAGTCAATTCCATTGTGATTATAAAATCCCGATACCAATGATGAGTGTTCAAAACTGGCGCTATGGTCCAGTGCACACACTACGTCTGTCGTTCAGCAGAAAAAAGAAGAAATCCTTTATGGCCGTCACGATGCCACTGTCTGAGTCGTTGCGGCTGTAGCACCAGGCAAAAGCATGTCTAGCTCAGCCCAAAAGTCCACATCCATAGCCATATCTAGAAGATCAAAGTCTTGCCCAATAGCATCGAATTGGGTCAAAAGTGCATCGGATGCGGGCGCGTTAGCCAGTATAGATCCCTGATCAGGTTGTGAATCTAGGTACTCCATGACAGCCTCAATGTTGGTGTGCATCGTACGCACGATTGTGGCTGCTTTGACTGCGGCATCAAAGCTACGAGAAAAAATATCCAACACTTCAACAGCGGTTTTAATAGCAAACCGTGCCGCGGTTGTAACAGGGTGTTGGAAGTTGGCGACGACAAAGCCTACCATTGTCATTGCCGCGCTCCACTGCCACTGAAACGCTTCATGCCAGCCATTGAGGATGGTCGTGTTGGTCAGAACTTGGCGGGTGATGCTGGACAGCTCTATAGCGTGCATGGCGCATTTCGCTGCCATCTCAGCCGCCATGCTTCCCTGCGGTGTCGAAAATGAGATGAATGGGCGGTGGAGATTGATGCAAACGTGGTGATATTCTAGTTCCAGACATAAACGCTGCCTTTGGAGCCAGAGAGGTGCATATTGTTCAATGTTGAGGATTGAGCCATCATGCGAAAACGCAGTACCTCCTTTACGGCTAGTCTTCAAAGACTGAGGAATCTGCTTCGTCCACTCTGTGAGACTTGATGTTTGTGGACCCCAAGTGCTTGCGAGATCCTCCAATGTGCTGGGGTCATCATAAACTGAGTTACCCTCATGGATGTTAAGCTCCCTGCTATACAGGGCAAGATTGAGCGTCCGTACAATCTGGTATAGTTTGGTTCGCTGCAAGTTGAGGCTGAGCCACGTAGCATTGTCACCAATCGGAGCAAATGTCGAACCTGATTCCATCGCAGCTTCAAAGGTGTCACTTGGCAACTCGGGCATATCATGTGTATCGCGAATAAGGAACGGTCGGCCAACCTTTATACCAACTTTGGTGTCAATTTCGAAAACAGACCACCACAATCGTCTTCTTGACTCACGCTCGCGTCGTGACAAAGTGGATGGGGGATCTAGGTGGAGTCCTAGCATGTAAGCCGTCCGAACAGCCAGAGAACACGCAGTGTCTGCCATGTTATGGAAAGATCCACCACAGACATATACCGCACATAATATATGGCATTGTAAGGTTGAGGTAGACGGGCTCTCCACCTCGCAAGTCATGAGTGCCTCGGCTCTTCGGTAGTACCATCGCCCAGCCATAGTCGCGTCGTTGCCTTCGAGAACATCTCTCTGCTGGCTAGACGGTTTTGCTGAAGCATGGTATTGCATGCACATGGCAAGGACCATGTCCACCAAGGCCGATGACTTCCTTTGAGATCCTGGTGGGACATCAACGTAGAGTGACTGGACATGTGCTTTAAAGTTTGCTTCATCGATGAAAGCGTAGAGAGACGTGTGATATGTTTCCCAGTAGAGACTTATGAAGTACTCTTCTTGAATCGGAGTCAAGAAGAATGCATCGCCACCGAATCCAGTAAGAAGCCCTAACAGCTTGGAACAATCTTGTGTGGCGGTTGGTTGTTCGTGTAGTACCAGATTAGTCGCAAGGTGGATGAGCATTTGATCTGTCTGGGTGCTTAGGAAAGTACTGAGTCGGTGGGTGAAGAAGTAAAGTGAAGACGGCCCGAACCAAGCACTGTGCGGCGATCTCGCCGGTCGAAGAAACACACCATCCCAGAACTTTGTCTTGGGCTTTTCTGAATTTGCTGACTTTTGAGAAAAAGGTGACTCGCCCGGCGGTGTGCTTTCTTGAGTTTGATCCACAAGACCTGCCTTACAGCTGCGCTCTCGCGATAGCTCGGCCTCCAGTTCCCTCACCCTTCGTTTCAGCTTCTCGATCTCATCTTGAGCTTGGGGGAGAGTGGGCGCTAGATTGGCATTGCCGTTACTGCACTCTCGACCGCGCGTTCTGCAATTTAGACAGGGAACAGTGTCATCGCATTTTATCCGCTGAAGTCTGCAGCCATCGCAAGCTCGTCCAACTTGCTTCCGCTTACGCCTAAAGGTGAGACGTTGGTGGGCGTCGGTTGGTGACGATTCTGGCTGGCTCATTGATATTTGTGAGATTTTGAATTAAGAGAAAGCTAGGGAGAGAAGTTTGTTTATTGGAGGCTGGAATTCTTAGTACGTTTGTGACCGAGTCATGAGAGAAATATGTTCTGATTCAAGATGCTGCTGACTGAGGGGGTGAAGTTGATCCGTCTTACTAATCCGATTGCTGACTAGCATTTGCGAGAACAGTTTTGCTGTAGCAAAAAAATGATGTCAGGACATTTCTGAGCTTTATTACTCTTGAACAACTTTCAAAGCTAGTGAAGACCAATTTTGGCGACAAAAGTAAGTGAGGGCGAAAAATACGGACGTGTTTTGAGAAGTCATTGGGGTTATGAAGATTCATGATTCGCTCACGATCAATTTTCAACGTTAGGGCGATGGTTTAGCGCATTCCAGAAAATTATCGAAGTCTCAATGTTGACGTAGTTGACCTTCTACCCGGCGCGTCAACTTTGACTTTTTGGCACCTAATTTTCCAATTCTTAACCAGCTTGGACCAGCCTCATTCACTACTGTACCCTGACATTCGAATTCTGCGAACGCGTTGCCGCCTGAGAGTACTCAGTGGGCTTGATGACATCTACCACCAGCGCAGATGCTGCTGACATCTCGTTGGTAAGTACCTATCCAGGCATTTATGACCGGTATTGACTTTGACAGGCGGCAGCCGTCGCAGCACTGAGTGTCGAGTTTGTCGTGCATCCTTTCGACACGCTCATCACACGGATACAATCTCCTGAGTATGTACCCAAGTACAGAAGTCACGAGGGCAAGCTACAGCCCTCTCTATTCCAGGGTCTCTATCGTGGTATAGGACCAACCGTCGTCACTACCATCCCAGCCTCTATCACCTTCTTCGGCATATACGAAACGGCAAAAAAGTCACTTCAGCCTGCCGAAGGACTCAAGCCAGGCAGTATCTCACAGATAGCGGTGCACGCGACCAGTAGTGCACTGGCTGATATGGTGGCCTGTGCGATCATCAACCCCTCGGAGGTCCTAAAGCAAAATGCGCAGGTGTCAAGGTTCTCGGAGGGACGTGGACAGAAATATCCTGTTTTGGCAGCGTTAAAGCACTTCTCACGGCATCCCTTGAAGCTGTGGACGGGGTACACGGTCTTGGTGGCTGGCAATCTTCCACGAACAAGTCTCACCTTTTCGATATACGAGTATCTCAAGAGCTCTTGGCTTCAAAGGTCAGATGATCCGAAGAGTATCGCACAGCAGGTGAAAGTCAGCGGTGTCACAGCTGGTATCGGCGGCGCCCTTGCATCTTTGCTTTTTGTCCCCATCGACGTGGTGAAAACTCGAATGCGTCTACCTGAAAAGGCTCCTGCTAGTCACCCTCTACAGCCCGAATCCCTTTTCACATCAACACTTAGCAGAGAGAAAGCCAGAAAACCAGCGGCACAAGGTCCGATATCTATTGCGAAGGGTATTTTGGTAAAGGATGGCATTTCAGGGCTGTTTAGAGGAGCAACTGTCACCTGCATAGCGGCTGCTGTTGGCAATGGGTTGTTCTTGGGCTGTTATGAAGGATTGAAGCTACATTATGCGCATGAAGCTTCAAGGCGCGAGATTATTCCTTGAGGTTGGTTATAGCTGGTATTGTAGGGATGGGCAGTGTACGATATGTGTATTTTTGAAGTCTAGAAATGGGTTATCTCTATTCCGTAATTTCCCATCAGTAAATTTCAATGTCAATAGATAGACGCTTTCTCCTTTCTTCACGTTTGTCCAAACCTCGATACTCAAAAAGAGGATGCGATTCATTCAACAGTCATCCAATCGTTGTGTGGTCAAATGCATTGTTTGCACGGAATTGATAAACTTGCAACCAATTCTTGTTATTGAGAACACATACGACTCTTTTCTCAAGTCAGAAAACACATTTCGCGGCCTTGGATGGCTGTTCGTCTTCATTCTCAAATCGGTCAGATATAATGCACGATATTGCCCACATTCGGTAATGGCACGGGCGCCGAATGGAGACTTGCTTAAGTACTTCACGTCCAATCAAGTCGGACGTGAAATTCTCACCGCTAACAGAATCAAGACGCGGTGATCCAAGAGGCTTGCGATGAGAAGAAAATTCATTACGATTTCGATTTTCTGATTGTACTCATATATGATATCGGCGGTTCTAGGTCGAGATATTGTATGGGAAAATTCATACAGAAAGGCCACTCAATGGTGAGAAATTACCCTCTGAGCTAGGCACTATTCGCACGTATTCCTGCACTAAATTAGCAATTTTACACGGTACCCGCAGATAACGCGCAACGCATTGCCCCGACTTGGATAAAACAAAGAGGGTCCCCGCTGGTGCAATCTCGAACATCCTCAAAACTTCAACAACTTTAAACTCTCACCATCCAGCAACATCATTTCAAGAACAAACAATCAACGGATCAGAGTTTTTCTACGTGTTGATTTGCGTGGATGAAACCAGTCATCGCGGTATCACAAAATGACAGAAACTAGGTACTTCCAGCATCCACCATCAAGTATCATCATCTGACAGCCAAAAGGATAGAGCCGCCGATTTCTTCAGTGCAAATATCAGATAATAAGCCTAAGGAAGCGCATATACCCGAGTCAAACCCTCTGAGAAAGGGCGCAAAGTCAATCGGGGGGAAACCACTCAGCGCCATCAAAAAGCTTGACGGATTCATCGGTCATTTGAATCGCCTTTTACACACCCGCGACAATCATGATTCCCTCATACTCTTTTTAGCTTATGCGGCACACTTTATTGCGACAGCGTTGGAAACCCCAATTCCGAGAAGACTTCAGAATCTGGCAGCGTTGGTCCGCAAACTGATTTCTAGCAACACTCCTTCGAGCTTATCATCAATATTGTCAGCTTACAGGCTTCGGTCATTGATAGCAGCAATTCCTACATGCAAGTCAATTCTTGCCGAGCGGTTCAGGGCATTATCAGATATTCTGGACGACTGGCAGGTCATCACCCGGTTATGGGGGATGTTTGCGATGTGGGGTGAGGCAAAAGACTTCATCATCAATTTGAGATCCCCAGGAACCGCGAGCAAGGACAACGATGAGAATTTATGGGACTCCGTCGGGAAAAAGATGATAAGGGCGACGTATATTGTTGGGCTTCTGGGTTACTATGGCGCGGAAAACCTGGCTTGGTTGAACAAACGTGGCGTGTTCAAATGGACGGACAAGATAGAATCGAAACTCGGCATGTGGTCTCTCAGAGGCTGGGGCGTCTTTGTCTTCGCTGAGATGGCCCAATTACTGCATGAGCGCTCAATGAGAATGCGTGCTGGGAAAGAACAAGACAAAGACGAGAGAATGGCATGGAGAAGGAAGTTTGTTCAGGTCGTGCTGTGGGGTCCGTTGACGATGCACTGGACGAGTGAGGAGGGATTATTCCCGGAGGTTATTGCGTCGTTTTTCTCAGCTTATGTGGAGTTCATCACGGTTCGGGGTCTATGGGAGGACACTGCGTGATATTGGGCGTTTCAAGAAAGAGTCTGGTAAAATATTACTCCCGCGTTCATATCGGACATCTTGGGAGGGGATGTCGTCTCTCATAAAATTATTATCTCCAATCTCCCGGGAGTTCGGCACCAGACCCCACTGATCCGGCAACTAGCCGGCCTTGCGACAAGCCCAAACCCTACTTGGAAGGACCAGGCGACTGGTATTTTATCATGAGAGCAGTGATGCGCTCCTCGGCTCGCAAAGTTCGCCGAGTCGTTCTGCTGGCCCCAGGTTCCCCAGCTACCCCGGACATTCAAGATAAGCTGGGTAGATGAGTGGATCATGACATGGAAAGCGTGGTCGTTGATAGATAGGTAACCTGATTAGGAATTCTTTTGACAAGCGACAACGGAGTTGAGGGTGTGCTATCATAGGGGAGTACATCATGCCCGGATGTATTTGCCCATAAGAAGTGCTCTTGCCCATCAAATATTACTCTTCTCAACTTCAGAGATTTTATAGGATACCATCCCCTTCACGCCACGCTAACTTGACAGCGCTGTCGGTGGCGAGTACTCTCTTCTATCTGAACAGACTCCAACGAGACACAAATATCCTCCACAAGTCGAACTCCCGAAGCTCAATCCTCGAATCCTTACGATATTCAGGCAAGATGTCTGAGAAACACGATATCCCCGACAATGCGTCTCTGACGCCATCACAAGCAGCGGGCAAGTCATTCGCCACCCATCACCCCCGCGGAGACGAACAGCTGGAGAAACGATACAGTCCTTTATCTGTCCTTGCGTTTGCATTCACAACCACCAATTCCTGGATGGCCTTTGCCTCAGGTATTGCAGTGCCGCTCGCCTGCGGTGGAGGACCATCGATTATATACGGCCTTATCGCTGGAGGGATTGTCATGGCCACCATCAACGTTGGCTTTGCAGAACTAGCATCTGCATTCCCGTCTGCCGGTGGCCAGTACCATATTGTCTTCATGTCGTTCCCAGCTTCAACGCGTCGCGTCGCCGCGTTCTACACCGGTTGGATCTCAATTATCTACCTCATGGCTGCGACAGCATCATGCAATTTCTTCGCCGCCAGTTCCATTCTGGACCTTGCTCAGCTGTGGAACTCGTCGTATACTATTGAGGCGTGGCATACATACCTTATGCACATTCTGTTGTGCATCATTGCATTTGCTGCCACGTCGCGATTCCCTGCTGCAATTGGTCGTTTGACTACGACTATCTTCTGGCTGTCGTTGGTTGGCTTCATTGCTTCCATGGTTACCCTTCTTGCGGTCAGTGATCGCAAGCAATCTGCTGCTACAGTATTCAAGGAGTACAAGAACGTCAGTGGATGGGGAGATGGTTGGGCGATGATTACTTCGATCACCTCATGCCTATGGGCATATTCCGGTGTGGACGGACCGACGCATTTGTCGGAAGAAGTACCCAACCCCAGTCGAAATGTCCCTCGGGCCATCTTCTTGACGATTGGTCTCGGTATCACGACAGTCATTGCTTGGACAGTCGCCCTCATGTTCTCTATCAAGGACGTCGACGCCGTTATTGCGTCCACAGTACCCATCCTCGAGGTTTACAGCCAGGCACTAAACAACAGAGTTGCGACGACAATTTGGTCGGTCTACTACATCATCATGTTCTACGACATTGTCCTGAACCTCTTCATATTTTCTGGTCGAACTATATGGTCCTTCTCACGTGATGGAGGAGTCCCTTTCTCTAGCTTCTTGAGTCACCTGAACTGGGCCAGCCCCGTCCGAGCCACCGCTGTAATGCTGGGTCTACAAGTCATTATTGGTGTCTTGTACGTTGCCTCAAGCACCGCATATAACAGTTTCATTGGCCTCACTCTTTTTGCTCTCAACATCACAGTCACCTTGCCTCAAGCTGCGTTGCTCGTTCGCGGTCGCGGTTGCCTTCCTGAGCGAGCCTTTTCTCTTGGGAAGGCGGGTTACGTTGTCAATGCAGCGGCAACGCTATTTGTGATGCTTTTCTCTATCAGTTTCTGCTTTCCTTCGTTTATGCCGGTTGAGGCATCTTCCATGAACTATTTAATCGTTGTCATGGCGGTTGGACTATTGTTTACGACGGGGCTCTGGTTCGGTGGAATGCGCAAGACGTTCACTGGGCCACAGATTAGTTTGGAGGGCGAGTATCACTGAGGGCTTTGAGCTGTGTCTGGCATTGGAAGAAGAAATAGAAAATAACGGTAAAGTATAGTGGGTTCAAATGCCTTAGGGTTTCTCATTTAATTATTTACGCTATCTAATTTTGTTTCTCATGATGAGCGCTTGATGATATTGCATCCCTTCCAGTGTTAGATATACCCCAAGCTATGGCCCTATCATTAATTCCTAATGCCGAATTCGGATTTGTTTATTCTACGCAGCTTAACATAAAGTAGAACGAATTTTCTTTATTTTATAAGTTCAACATGAATTATAATAAATTCTCTTCATTTTGTATAATATTGTGTAAATATTATAAATTTATATTATCTGATATGAATTCATACAATCTTATCCCATTTTGTCTAAAACCTCCAAATATTCTTCCATGTACTATAGTCAATTATCCAATAGCTATAGAATCAGACCAGATAAGAGATTAGCCATAGCATGGGGTACGTCTTACACTGCAAGGGGTGCAATATAATTAGGCCCTATGAAGAGGCCAACTTCCACGCTTAATGACTCCACCGTTTGTCATCGCACGTTCACAACTTCATGACATACTTTCCCTCCAGCTATAAAATCGTTAGCTCCATCGCGTAAATGGTATTCGGATACTTACCTGTCCCTTAGACATCTTGTCCATCAAATTCTCAATATCTTCAAGCTCGGCCCACTTGATCTTGGGAGTCACGAGTCCCCTCTTGACAAATTGCAGAGCTTCGAGGATATCAGCTCTCGTACCCACAGATGACCCCTTCACAGTCCAACCATTGTCGATAAACCAGAGCGGGTGGAACAAAATCTTGGCCTCCTCTGGCAGTATGGAAACACACATCAACGTGCCAAAAGGGCCTAGCATATCAAACGCTTTCTGATAAGCGGCGGCAGCAGTCGCTGTGACTACAACAGCCTTTGCTCCTTGGCCGTCGGTCAAGTTCTTCACCTGCTGTCCTGCGTCTTCTCCTGAAGTGACATCTATGTAATGCTCGGCGCCTTGAGACTTGCAGTAAGCCTCTTTGGAGGCGCCTGCGTCAACGGCGATCACCCGGTAGCCCATGGCATGGGCGTACGCAACTCCTAAGGCGCCGACACCTCCTCCTGCGCCGGAGATGACTACCCATTGGCCTGGCGTAATGTTGCACCCTTTGATAGCCTTATAAGCTGTGACTCCGCCGCAAAGAATAGGCGCAATCTCTTCGTCAGGGATGTCGTCAAAGGTAGCAGGAATTCGAGCCAGATATCTCAACGGAACGAGAGTATACTCTGCAAAAGTACCTTCGTAGGTTTTTCCAGAATGCATCGCCTGCGCACAGCGTGTCTCGCCCTCATTCGCAAGATCAACGCACATATTGCAGCTTCCGCAGATATCTCGCGTCCATGCCACGCCTACACGCTGGCCGATCTGAACGCTGGGGTCTAAGTGAGCAATATTCGAGCCGAGCTCTGCGATTTTGCCAACTCCCTCGTGTCCGAGGATATTTCCCACCGGCCCCATGTGACCCAATGCCATTCCTAGGTCAGAACCACAAAGGCTTGTAAGTGAGAGGCGGATGAGAACTTCATTTGGGCCAGGCACTGGCCGTGGAAGGTTCTTGATAGCAAACGTGGGTTTTGCGTCATGTTCCTGTGGTGACTTTGCTTGTTAGTTGGAGTGCTTCAGATGGAAGGTCGAACGCACAGTGAGAACAGCAGCTTTGTAAGTTTCGGACGTCATCTTGGAATGAGATGTTGAAATTCGGCTTTTGCGGCCAAGTGGAAAGATATAGCTAAGTAACAGAGTAAAGCATGCAACGACATTATCTCGGAATAGAAGGGAGAGAGTCGGGTTATTATCATAAGAACCCTTGATCAACGTCACCTGTCTCTCTTTCTCATGGCGGCTAGTCGTGGCCGGTCCGGGTCGTTTGAACATTCCCAATACAGAAAGGCGTGCGGAGACAGCTTTTCGGCATATCGTCATGAGTTGAGGGGTAACAACGTACCGAAATAAACTGCAGATATTGAGAGACCACTGCTTGAACTCGTAGTTCATTATACAAAGTGGGTTAAAAAGTGGTTAGGTAAAATCAGTTTATCCCAAGGGTAATTGATACTGTTAGTACTGTGCAAAAGTTCGCACGATGGCGTTTCCCGGGACACACCAAGACCATTATGAATGAAGAGATACAAGGTTTATAATGACTTTCGAAGAATTTATGAATTATATAAAGGCGATAGAGTTTATTTTAACCTTGTACTTGAATAGAATAGTTTTTACCAGACTTGGAAACCTTGTCAGCTCTTACGTGCTGCCACGTGCCAAACTATGGTTAAATGGCTGGAATTCCACCTTACGTACTTTACAGGGATATCGCGGAGATGATGCGGAAGTGCCCTTGTTATTGTATCTCTGTCGTATGCGCTGATATAGATGCTTTCGGGCTGTCTCCCCAGCAAGGATAGCAAATTGCCGTAGCCCTGCATTCAAGATCCCAAGACGAGGTGTCGGGAACAAACATGTAACCACTACGAGCATTAAGGTTTATGCTCTATAAGCCCCGCCAGCCATCTTCTTTACCAGGTGACTGGGTCGCTCTGCAGTGCGCTTTAGTGTCACAGCCCTACGCAACATTCCAGTCCTGTCTCACCACAATGGGCCTCAATTCCCGTCCAGATTTGCGGTCGACACACAAGCAGAGGGCATCAACATCATTAGCAACTGCAAACGGCGTATTACTGTTCATCTATACACATGACCGCAATCTTCGAAAAAAGAACAAGTAGAGATACCAGCGATTCTTACGCCAGATTGTAAGAGACTCGTGGCTTCTTTACGCGTTGGAAGACTGCGTGGGATCTCGAGAGTAACCACCTTTCACGCTCGCCAGAATTCAGCTAAAGCCACCGGGGACTGGGCTTAGAATAAAGATCCCTTCAAGCAGTCAATTCGAGCAGTTCAAACGGGGCTAGCATAAACCAAAGTCTAACCTCCGCATAATGACCCGCCTGCTAATCCTCAAAAAGCTCGAAACGTTACACTTCCTCCCTTGAATGGTCTCCCCAAAAGAGATTTTCATTCGAATGGCTGTGCTACTAGCCCGTGACGTCTCTCTCTAGAGAGGCGCCACATCTTACTGGGCGGATACAAGGTTTTAAAGCTCAACCGTCGATTGGCCGTTGGCTGTCAAACGTGGCGTTGACATCACGAACACAGCTCAGCGTGGCTTGTTTACGACTGCTTTTGACGTGTCTGGGCTTTTGTGGTGAGGCATTGCTGTGGTGCGAGGATTCCAGTCGTGCATGAGTGGTGCATCGGAGGTGTTAAGTCGGCATGTTCCGTATTTGGTGGAATATTGAATGTGAAGAGCTATATAACCTTGTCAGCGGAATGGAATTGAGAAATTAATCAGAATCAACACACAGTTCAACAATCACATTCACATCTTGAGCAAATCTTCAGCATGGACGCAACAAAATCTTACTATCTCTATAACCCTTCCGAGGTGTTGGCAGGAGTTGTCGCCGGCCTCTATGCTTTGAGCTTCTTTGTGACGCTCTACCAAATCATACGAAAGAAAGCTTGGGTATGGCTTTTCATGCTACTTGCCATTACCAGTGAGTCTTACTCGGGGGATTGACTGGAGAGTTGACGGCTAATCAACAATTTAGTGGAGGTCATCGGCTACGTCGCTCGAGTTGTGTCCGCCACTGAACCTGCAAAGAAGGGCCCTTACGTGGTCCAGTTTACGCTTGTGATTCTTCCACCTGTCCTGATGGCTGGTGTTATCTACGTGGTATTTGCGAGAATTGTCTATTGGGTCGTCCCACCCGAGTCAAGGACACTAAGTTTCCTTTGGGTTCCCCGTAAGTCTCCCTCCATCATATGAACAAACAGCCCGCAGGCCTTGCTGACCTTTTACTGAAGCCCGCTTTATCACCCTCCTGTTCGTTGGTTTCGACGTCATTTCTCTCCTACTGCAGTTGATTGCCGCGGTATTGATCGCTGGGACCGACCCCACGGAGCACGATGCGAAGACCAAGCTCAATCTTGGTAAGACTCTGGGTCTTGTTGGTGTCAGCACTCAAATTGCTGGTTTCGGTCTATTCACCATTGCAGCCATTCGTTTTCACTTCACTTCCAGGCGTCTCAGTGGCGAATTTGCGAGGCAGAACCAGGTAAAGTATGGGATTGCAAAGAATTGGACGACATTGCTCATTGTTGTAAACGTTTCGTGTCTGCTCATCCTCGTGAGTACAGCAAATTCGTTCAACAGGGCCTTCCAGTAAGCTAATTATTGAGATAGGTCCGTTCTATCTACCGTGAGATAGACTTTGCAGGAGGGAAAGATGGCAAAACTCACCAAAAAGAGTGGTAGTATGTATATCGCCTGGCTTGTTTCTGATCTCACCACTAACAAACTTCCAGTCTATACGTATTCGATACCCTGCCCATCTTACTCGTCGTTTTTCTCTACAACATCTTCTTCCCAGGCAATTATCTCAAGCACCTTGGCTTCAAGCTGCCCAAGGAACATCAAGGTCTTGCCTCAGATGTTGAGGCAATGGACAAGCAACCGTCAGCAACTTCAGAGTCCGTGCAATAGCGCGTGAATAACTTTCAGAACATGTGAATGCTGGATCTATGGTAGGAATGGGCTAGAGTAATTAGATAGTGTTTGGGATGGGGACTTGAGAAAGTTCCTGCACGGTAGTAGATCCTGCATTTGACTGAGTTGAGTGTGAGAAATATTGAAGGTCGTTGACCTACCAATAAGCGGCGAAGTAAAAGGGCGACAGATTGGAAACTTTTAGAAGTATCGCGATGTGAATACCATATTGTTGGATAGGATATAACTTCTGCTTCTTGAATTAGCACAGCTATTCTTACACTTGGAGTTTTGGGCAGCGAAGCGAACGAATACCACAGCCGCCGGATGCACAGGTACGAATACGGCAAGGCCAGGCAATAAGCATGAACCAGCATGATGATCCATGACCCAGATCATATCATGTAACTATCCTGGAAGTATTAGCTCAGTATCCACATCTCGGCATTCAATGGCTTATGAACAAGCTAAGGGTGCTTAAACGATATGAGAAGAAATCCTTGTTCGACCCAGATGGCATGTCACTCCTCAGGCGAGGGCTGTTTAACAATGTCAACGTCGCCTCTTCTCGACAACTTGATGCATGGAAACCACAAGGACTACCATACTACCATCCCCATGAAAATGAATGCATATCTGTCAGGTGCTCCATCATTGTTCATTCATGTTTCTGTACTCAGTTAGGGTGGCTGCTATCCACAGGGCTGATGTAACCATCGCGGGAACTATCGGCAACACGACCCTCTAGAAAAACACCAAGGTCCATTCCTAGCGTCAACTGCTGGACTGTGGACATCGTTGTCTATGACTAACAGGAGTGGCCCGTCTGAAGCCGAATCACGCAAACACTAGAGGGCTACCGGCATACGATGTGATGGAGATGGCCATTATTACTAATTCTTTCTCAAGCTGCAATGAGTCTCTGAAATAGGACCAACCTCCAACCTCTAAGCTATGGGCTTCCATCTCCCGAATATCCGCGGTGATCTGTATGTACAAAGGAGACTTTGTTGAACAAGGCTGATCCCAAGGCCCGTGCCCTGCCCCTGAAGATGAATCCGGGGTTAGCTTTAGCGCTTCAACAATTCTTATGCCGACAACGTGGGGTAACTAACGCGGAGGCTGGAAAGCGAAGACGAAAAAGACACCGACTTTCCACGCGTCTCACAGTCTCACAGACTCACAGACTCACAGACTCAGCGAACCCCGAGCGTAGCCGAGCCTACTAGGGTCACCTAGGTGAGCCCAATCCGGTCTCCTTGTTAACCCGACGCAAGACGCCTCGAGATTAGCGTAGCCGCAAGACCTGCCAACCAGCACGCTGTCTTTTACCGTCGAAGTGGGGACCTGCAAGGTGAAGCTTACGCGTGAGGATCTGTTTTCGTGATTGTCGCAAAACCTTTGGTAGACTTTTGTTGAGAATGCGTTGTTGTCGGGGTATGACGGGCTGGGTTTCTAGGGCGGTTGTTAGTGTCGAGTCACGGTAGTTAGACCGCCCTGTGGCTGCATTTGTTTCACGGTGTGTCGGCGTCTCGGTGTTGGATGCCGTGGACTATATTAAGAGTCATACTCCAGAACCTGATTGAAATTGCTGTGAGGCTCTTTTTGTTCTTAAACGTTTTTGATTGACAAATCTCATTCTGTCTCATCAAAATGACGGATGTTATGGGTATTCGAGAGCAGCAGCATTGTACTCTGCAGTACTTTGCTGTTGACCTTGCAGCCGCGGCGTTTGCTTCAGCCATGGTCACTCCCTGGGTGACAGCGATTGATAAGTGAGTACTCAGATTATTATTAAGAATTATAGCCTTGAAACTATTTATCTCTTTACTATCTACTTCTCTTGTATACATGATCGATATCTAATCATAGTCTTGGATAGGCTCGTCTTCAACAAAGCCACCAGTGGCACATCTGCCATGTCCTCCATGCGAAAATGGGCTTCCAAGCCCAAGGCAACCTTCGCCTCCCTTTTCATTCCCTTCCTCGTCTACTTCGGAACCTACGCCACCGCCAACATGTTCGATTCCTTCAATGCCGTTCAGTACGACTGCGATCCTTCTATCGTCTGCTCCTCCGCCGCAAAATTCGCTGCTACCACGACCGTTAGCTCTGGGCTGAGTATATTCAAGGACGCATACTTTTCTAGAATGGCTTGTGGAGGTGCCACTCCCCTGCTCAGTTACGCTCTGTTTACTCTGCGTGATGCAGTGACTATATACGCTTCGTTCAATCTGCCTACTGTTATCGCACCTAAGCTGGCCGAGTTTCCATTTGCTTCTATTACGCCTTTTGCCAACATCTTTCAGTCCGATGATTCGAGGCTCAAGATGGCCCAACTGTTTATGCCGGCTGCGTCTCAAATAGTCAGTACTCCCATTCATCTGCTTGGTCTAGACGTCCACGCCCGTCAGGTCCGGATGACAATCCGAGAGCGCATGAGCGTGATCAAACGGTACACTGGCTTCGCTACACCCTTACGTATGATGCGAGCCCTGCCTTCTTACGGAATCGGCAGTGTGGCCAACACAGGCCTCAGGAGGAACCTGATGACTAGGGTAGTCTGATCTCAAAAGGGTTGTTTGAGTTGTTAGGGTTTCAACACGAGAACTCCATGACTGCCTCAACGCCTGGAGATGGGTCGGATCAATTTGCGCTGATATTAATTATTCATAAAAGTTACAGATTGTCAATACGCTTTCACTTTACCTCACATTGCACTTGTACTGGGCGCTTATAGTATCACTATTATGAACGGGAGCTTGCTTGATACGCACGTATGATTCAAATAAGTGATAAACTGTAATTTTCATTCCTTACTAGCTATCCATCAACATGCAAAAAAACGCTAAAAATGTACTCTTGATACTGTGCAGTATGTACAAGCAATCCAATGCCTCATTTCATCTCTTTTTCATCTTTTCTTTTTGTTTATTTCTTGCTTAGAACTTGTCTTGGTTGGCGTTCTGCATCAGCATGGTGTTGTCGGGCTTATACTTCTTAGAAGCAAGGTTGACATTGTACTCGACATCGAGAATAGCGCCCTTGGGCTCATCCTTGACAGGCTTGAAGGTCAGGAGGAGGTCGTCCTTGACAGCGCAAGCAGTATCGGTCTCGAGGTAAGGATCGTCGCTGGGGTACAGCTGAGCAGTAACACCAAGGTAGTCATCGTGGGTAACCATGATGTGAATGTGCGCAGGGCGGTAAGGGTGACGGCCCATGATTCTGAGGAGCTCGGCGGAAGGACCAGAGGTGTCGATGGCGTACTCGGTGGGCTTGAGGCAGTAGAACCAGAACTTGCCGTCTTGGTCGGTGCGGAACTTTCCGCGAAGGTTGTGGCGCGTTTGGTTCTCTGGGTCGTGGGCGTCGTATTTACCGTTGGTGCTAGCTTGCCACATGTCGAAAACGGCGTTGGGGATTCCCTTGCCGGTGTCAACGTCGCGGATAACGCCGTGGAAGAATGTGAGCTGGCCGTCCTTGGGCATGTCTTGAACGACGCTGGCGCCGTTGTCGCGGAAGGGGGTCTCGGGAGACCAGAAGGGCCCGAGGATGCTGGAGGATGTAGGAGCCTTGCCGCCATCGGTGACGACCTTGTGGTTGATCTCGTCGACGAGGCTGGGAGCTGTTAGTAAATTGCTGTGGTATGCGCGATTGAATGAAACCTACGACTCAATGCCAAGAATGTCGCACACGCGCCATGTCTCGTTGCGGTTCTTCTTGTAGGCCTGACCAAGAGAGTTGATGTAGTTGACACCAATGATCCACTCGTCCTGCTTGAGCTCGACGTCTCTGCAGAAATCGTGCATGTGGCGGATGAGCGAAGTAAGAATTTCGCGTTGGCGGGGTTCGGTCTCGGGGCTCATGAGACCGATGACATGGTCTGTGAAGTTGGGGTCGAACTTGGAAGCACCCTTGGCGCCGTTTGTACCGTTGGAAGCCATTGTGATGGGTAGGAGGAAGATGTTGAAGATTTGGGGTATCTAGGGTATCTTGGGTATGATGATGGAGAGAAACAACAAGGGAAACGGTCCCGTTAGAAGGTGGTGGTCGAGACGTTAAGTATGATGGAAATCTGGCGTTTGCCGTTTTCGTAGCCGGGAAAGTTGGGGACTTGGAGGGGGCGGGGCCGTGGATCATGGACGCCAAAACGGTAGCGGCAATTCAAATCGGCTCTCCACGTAAGAATGACTATTGCAAATACCGACGTGTGATTGGACAGGGACAGTCTTGACCCGCGAGATCTTGGGGTAAGACTCTCCGAACCGGCGGATGTATCCTTACCCGACGCTGCCGTACCAAGATGCCGATTCCCCAGCTTACGGGTCATTGTTTCTCCAACTTTGTGAGCGTTCTGGATGAATAGATTGCCGTGCTTTGCTTCCGTAAATGGTTCTCGTACGATGAGGGACTGTTTTGGGAATTTTTCAAATGGTTCGTATTCAATTCGTCTTTAACGCGTCTCACATGCGCCAGCTGAGCGCGTATCGCAAACCACAAGACGACTCTCCTCAATTGAAAACAGACTCCATGGTGGCTGTACAGTTTTCTCATGCCGAGAAGGTATTTTACAGAAAATTAAGGATAGCAATCTATGACCACCCTAGGAGATAACATATTAATTCTCCAAAATGTAAAAGCTCAAGCGATGATTTACCAATACTTTGTAGCCCTCTAGGGTACCATCCCTCTCCGGTTCGGGACCCCATCTGGGGTAATGTCAATCACTTTAGGGTTCCGGCCTCATTCAACCCCATTTGGCACTTTAGACTCCGACGGGAATAATGTCCACGCCCTTAAGGTAGTCCTGTCAAATCATGCCACTTCGATGGAATGTTCTGCGTCGAGAGCTCGAGATGAGTCAACCCGCAGGTATTTGCCGAAGAGGATCGCCATGGTGAGTCTCCACTGTTTGAGAGCTAATTAACCTGCCTGACGACTGTACTGACACTGCGCTAGATAATAAAGCGCGGGGAATTCGGCAACATTGAGGTCTATTGACAGATAGTGATGATTTGTAATACTTGTCGTTTCCAGGCGCATTCAGGAAGTCATAAGCTTGATACTGTTAAAGCTTTGAACCTTGCGTTCTCCTACTTTCCCGCTCCTTGTCCCTCAGAAGACGACGAAGGATCTTTCCACTAGGGCTTTTGGGGATAACCTCCAGAAATTCGACACCTCCCCTCAACTGCTTATAAGAGGCCTTATGGTCGGCAACGTGCTTCAGGATTTCATCTACTACCTTCTTCTCATCCAATGACTGAGCCGACGAACTCTTCACAACAAAAGCCTTGGGTACTTCACCAGAGCGTTCATCGGGAACCTGAATCACAGCACAGTCAAACACATGCGGATGTGAGAGAAGATGAGCCTCGAGTTCCGCTGGTGCAACTTGATGGCCCTACTGACTGTTAGTGTCGTGCCAGAGTAGCCAGTGGCACAGTGACCTACCTTAACTTTGATCAATTCCTTGATTCTGTCAACGATGACAACATGCTCATGACCCGAAGGAGCCACAGTCACTAAGGCTTCGTCTCCTGTGCGAATCCATCTGCCATCATTATGATGTACAAAGGTTTCCGAAGTAGCCTTCTCGTTATTGAGGTACCCCAGTACCACGGAAGGTGCTTGGATCAGAAGCTCTCCAGGCTTGTCGTGCTCAGTGATCTCCTTACCCTCGAGATCGATAATCTTGCCTTTTGCTCCCGCGATCAGAGACCCAGAGCCTCTTGTAAATACGTCATCCTCGCTCGAAGACGTAACAACTGTCGCGGTTTCCGTCATGCCTGTCTGCGATCAGTCTAAGTGTTCCACTAATGGATAGTGCTAACTCACCGTACGCCTGAGCAATTGTCCAGTCTGGGTATATATTGTTTACCTCCTGGATGGTCTCCTCACCGAGCGGTGCAGCGCCGCAATAGACGAACCGCACACTACTCAAGTCATACTTTGCACACACGTCCTTAGACCGGAGGATTTGAATGATTATCGGCGGTACCTAGTGTTACACGTTAGCGTGATGAATAAGTGAGATAAAAGTTTCACTAACCACAAACATCTGCCTAATCTTGTACTGCTGAACAGATTTGAGAAAGTCATGGAAATCGAATCGCGGGAGCACAATAACTTGGTCGCCCCGCCACGTGCTAGTATGGGCCATAATCACAAGTCCGTAGATGTGAGAGAAGGGTAGAAAGCCTGTGACTGCTTGAGTTGTGACGCCTTTCTTGGCTCGTGCGACGGAGTCATATGTGACGTGCTGTAACACATTCGAGATCACATTGTAATGAGATATCATAACAGCTTTCTATAGTGGTGTAAGCTAAAGCCGTGGCGGTAAAGGGAAAGCTCTTACTGGTAGCCCTGATGTGCCACTCGAAAAGCATAAAAATGCTGTTTGACGTGCACCCTGGCCTTGAGTCCATTCCAACTGATCTAGATCCGCAAGTTTGGATCCTTCGTTGATGAGATCCTCAACAGACGCATGGGCGAATTTGGAAGAAGGCTCAGTTCGCGGAATGTCAAAGAGGAACACGTTCTCCTTTGATATACCGACGCGTCTTGACGCCTCAAGTGCTGTCTCGAGCAGCGGCGTGCAAGTCACGAGAACCTTCGCACCAGATGATTTGAGCTGATGCGTAAGCTCATCAACGGAATACGCAGCATTGGCTGGGGTGACGATTCCCGACAGTCGGTGAACGCCATAAATGGCGGTGACGAAATCGATCTAAGTATTCGGCATTAGCTATTGAGTTTGGCTTGCGTTGGTCGATTACATACTGTATTCAATGAGAAGATAGCCACAACTTTATCCCACGGAGTACCTTCGTTGGGCTGCCATTGCATGCGCTTGGCTAGTGCTTTGGCAAAGTGCTCCGCTCGGTGAAACAGTTCAGGCGCCGAGTACGTGCGGCCTGTAATTCCGCAAGTGAAGGGATGTCTGCTCTTGGCTATGGGATTGCGACCATATACCTCATTCTTCATGAACTCCGCGATCGGTATCGAATCCGGAGGGTCTGCCTCTATGTCAGCTTGACAATTGTCTTGACTGGTGGGATGCTCACTTATAGGGAGCTTGGGCACCCAGCTGGGAGTAGTGAAAACCATTATGAGATATTCAAGGCTGTCTTCTGAGGATGAATTAATTGGCGATGTCAAAGTAAGCTGGTTAGTGAAAGTGAGATATTGGTGCTAACGTCACTTACTTGCTGACGAAGTTAATGTAGTTGCGAGCTAGTGTCGAAAAGGAAAACCGAGACCTGTCTTCGTCAAAGATCGACAGTCCCCGCACGTTTTTGGATAACCGTGATTAGATAGGTCAGCATTGCCTCGGCAAATACCTCGTACCTAGAACAAATAGCTGTTTATTCCGAAACTGCCTATCTAACGTCACCTATCGTATAGTTGATCTCATGCGATGAAGTCGACTTGATGCGAAAATCGGCGCTAGGTCAATAACATATCTTGCTCGTTTCTGAAGGCCCAATTGATTGGCTCAATTGTCACCCTCTATATTTCCACCTTCGAGTTGAGGCCTGCAAATAAGAAGTCCATAATTCTTTGAAGATTGGCGGGTGTTGGCTAATCCCTAAATTACATCTCAGTTCTATCTGCCTAAGAATTTGAAATGAACTCTAACAACATATCTCAGTTAGGTACTGTTGAAGTACTGGATACCGAGCACCGCCAGGCCTTTGAGCAGGCGTTGGCACGAGTCATGGGGACAAATGTTGTAGTGCAGACTTTCGCTCAGATAATCGACGGACTTCCTACTTATGAATCTTATGCCGAATTTCACTAGCCGCAAGATGGTCATCCTGCCACTCATCATACCGGGCTATGCTCTGGCGTGTTAGACAAAGCTCGTGAGTTTTGCTTAGCATTCGTAGCTGAATCCCTTAGCTTTCAGCTGACAGTACGTTTTTACCTTTCCTTGGTAATTTCTTTTTAAGAAAGTTCTTTGACATTAAAATCTAGCTACTTCGTGCTTTTGCGGAAACTAAAATTGGCTCAAAAGGGTACCACCTACGGATGCTTGAGCTACTAGCGGTATCATGCCCCCAGATTGCAGTCTATCTATATCAGCGTGATGGCATAAATCATAAACACCTCGAGTTCTCAAGATGGATAGATGAGCCGCGAGATATGACTCGTTGGGATTCTTTTCGTCACCCGTCAGCCTTCTGCCATACGTTCTATACAGACGTTGAGCAGTACCCCAATGGTGTTGCTGATGTTGCTGGATACTGGGCGGAAGCAAGGATATTCGGGGGCGTTCTGCTCTTTGACAGAGGGGAATCCGAAACCGAGGTAAGATTAGAATAATTAAATACAGTGTTGTTACTGACCATTTGGTAGTGCAAAGAGCTATACCTGCATGCCGGGCGCAGAGGGGGGCCGTATACTATATTTCCTCTTACAAGAGACCAATTTCAGGCTCTGATCGACTTCTTGCTTGGTGATTTGGACAGCACTAACTCCCGAGAGAGCCCCTTTCCTTTCAGAGCGAGCTCAAAGAACCGCTGGCGATGGGACGACTGGGATGCCATAGCCAGGTACCACATCTTTCGGGACAAGTACGAACGATATGCCCAACCTACTAAGCCTCCACCAAATTACCGGTCCTCGATAGACTGGCCAGAAATAGCTGACGACCTGTACCTGATTGATGCGATGCATGAGCATTGGAATGGTCGGCCAGTAGACAAAGATGAGATTAGAGCAGCATTAGAGCGGTTGAAGCAGATTACTCCGTCTTCGCCTGCCTGGGAAAACCGCGAGACACGTCACTCCTGGGCGGAGGTATTATTAAAATAGATGCAATGGTACAGTTCCATGCAAAAGTTCCGACAATATGCTAACATGAGATTATGTATACTAAAATAGACTATATTAAATAACATAAAGTCAAATGTCTTTATGTATAAGCTTAAAATAATATTGAATAAAACTATATAAATTATATAAGCCTGATAGTATTTTACATAATCATTTATAAGATTTAGAACAGAGGAAATTGTCGGAACTTTTGCACGCCCACTGTAACTCAAGTATCACAGAAACAACATAGCTCGCTGTCATCCAACAATGCCCAGGCTGAGAGATTGAGAGAATCTTGGTATGTAGTGTAGTTGATCGCGGTATCAATTAGTAACACATTTGAATATTTCATTAAATCATAAATCATTTCTGCTCACTACTCTCCCTTGGACTGTGAGGCGAGGCATCAGGCAACGAGTGAAATGATCGTCACAAAGCTGAGCTGATGACCCCGGTCGGTGTAAGTACCTTGTATAGAATCAGGCTGCACGCCCAACAATGCAACACGCAAATGGTATTGACGAAGTCCTGCCCAATTACCCCTCATCTTGGCTGAATGGAGTAAGATTCCAAGCTTTTCTTATCCTTTATTTTTCTCTCGGACGAGCTCCATCTTTAAAGTTGTATTTTGTATACTCTCACCCGTTGAGCTTCTATTCAGATGCGATAATGTCGCAGAAAAGAAAACGCTCGACTACCGAATCTTACAATATCGCGTGGATTGCCGTATTGCCTATCGAACGAGCAGCAGCTATCGCCCTACTGGATGAGCGCCATGATGAGCCCGAGGATTTCGACCAGCATAGCAACGACAGCAACACGTATGACTGGGGCAAGGTAGGGCAGCATGATGTTGTGATTACTTCTCTTCCTGCAGGAGTCTATGGAACGACCTCTGCTGCCATCACAACTTCGCATTTACTTTCATCTTTACCACATATCAGGATTGGGCTTTTGGTGGGTATTGGTGGTGGCATCCCTCGGCCTGGTCGGGACATTCGACTTGGGGATGTTGTTGTCAGTCAACCCGATGGAAAGAGTGGTGGTGTAGTTCAGTACGATCTTGGCAAGGCAAAAGCAGATTCCACATGGGAAAGGAAAGGGAGCCTCAATATGCCTCCGACTGTCCTTCTCAGTGCGCTTGCCAAATTGCAGGCAGAACATGAGTTGGAAGATTCGCAGACGGCAAAGATTCTTGAAGCTATGATAACCAAGTTTCCTCGAATGAAACCCCAATACTCCTTTCAAGGGGTAGACAAAGATATCCTATTTTCATCGACATTCAAGCATTCCGGCGGCGACAATTGTGACCTATGCGATCTCTCTGAACAAGTAATTCGCGAGAAGAGGGAGTCAACCGACCCAGTCATCCACTTCGGTCTCATTGCGTCCGAAAATACCCTGGTCAAGGATGCTGAAACCCGAGAGAACATCTTTAAGCTCGCTGAAGAAGAGTGCTTATGTGTGGAAATGGAGGCTGCGGGCTTGGTCAACTCATTTCCTTGTCTCGTCATCCGGGGTATTTGTGATTATGCGGACTCTCACAAGAATAATAGATGGCAGCGATATGCATCTGCCACAGCGGCAGCCTTTGCGGTAGAACTGCTGAAGTACGTGCCAGTCAGGCAACTCCAAGCAGCCCCACGGGCTCTTGAGTTGATAGAAAGAGGTTAGTGCATGTATCTCAAGACGAAAATATTGGATGTTCTGACGAGATCTCAGTCAACCAAACAATTACCGACCTGAAGTAGGGCATGAGTCAAATCGTTCAAGTTTTCATGCTAATTGCCATCAGTAATACGGTAAAAATTACTCGTGCTCAATCTGTCGTCCGCAGGCTTCCTATTTCGCGAGGAGCTGCTTATGACTCGGCCAGCAATGAGTTGGAGTCCATGTGTCTGGACATACCCGTGTCAATGTGCTTCGAGAAATCCACGATTGGGTTCAAGATCCGGAATCTCCTACTCTATTCTGGCTTGAGGGCATGGCTGGAACCGGAAAGTCGACCATATCTCGAACTGTTGCTCATCGCCTGGCCGAACAGCGTATCTTTGGAGGAAGTTTCTTTTTTAAGAAAGTTGAGGCTGCCCGAGCTACTCCCGAAAATCTGTTCACCACTATAGCTGCCAGTCTACACGCGCAACAGCCCGCTTTGTCACGGCATATCGAAGATGTCATTGAGAATAATCCGCAGATCCATGAAAAACCTTACCTCCAACAGTTCAAGACGCTTCTCCTGGAGCCGATATCTCGGGTTAGATCGGATTTAGTCAAGACAATTGTTATGGTCATTGACGCTCTGGATGAATGCGACCACGAAGTCATTACTAACATTATTACTGACGTGTTGCCAAACGCTTCCGATTTGCGACTTATTCGGCTCAAAATCTTTCTCACTAGTCGACCAGAACTTCCCATCAAAGCTGGGTTTTCCTCTCTACCTCTCGGTACGGCCTACCAGGATCTAATACTTCAGAACGTATCCGATGATACTATCAGAGAGGACCTGGAAACGTTTTTCCAAGTACGGATGGCAGCCATTCGCGACCGTTACAACGCACAAGAAAAGCGAATTGAGATAGGCTGGCCCACGAAAGAGCAAATAGCAATACTTGTAGACGCCTCATTTCCCCTTTTCATCTCCGCATCTACCCTCTGCCGCTTCATGGACAACAGAAAGCTTGGTAACCCGAAGCGGCTTATGAAGCAACTATTGGACGCAAAAGATAGAGGTCACCAGTCGAGCCTTGATCAGATGTACTCTGCTATTCTGTACCAGCAGTTTAACGACAACGATACGGCTTGGCAAAGGGAGCAAACGGTGAGAGAGTTCCGTTTGGTTGTTGGTTCTCTAATCCTGTTGAGGGATCCTCTCACTATTCCAGCTTTTGCAAGATTGCTCTCCAACGATCAAGTCGGTGATGACGCTGAAGAGTGGCAGCAAATAATCGTGGACAGACTTGAGCTCTTACATTCTGTTTTGAACGTTCCACCGCCGTCGGAACGTCTGTCACAACCGGTGAGGATACTGCACTTGTCATTCAGTGACTATCTCCTGGATCCCTTATACTTTCATATAAATCTATTTTGGATTCCTGAGACTGAAATTCATGGCATTCTACTTCGAAAGTGTTTCCAGACGATAATTGTAGCTTGGCGGGAGGGCTCTTGTGAATCACATCCTCCCGAGGCATATTATCGATCCCGCACTGAGATAGACTACGCATGTCGATACTGGGCAGACCATGCTAAAGAGGGGCGAGCTGATGAGACTGCTGGATCTAGGATCCTTGGCTTCCTGGAGCAACACTTTCTGCACTGGCTAGGGATCTTGATCTTGATAGACAACACCGGGTCTGTATGCCTCACAAGCTTAAAAAAGCTACATTCATCCAATCTGGTGGGTGGTTGCATCTTTCCGCGTACTATAATATATGCGCTAATTCTTGTTCTAGACCTTGAGGAATGGTCAGCTCTCTGAGTTTTTGGAGCACGCAATCGAACTCCTATCTGATCGACAAGCTAGCTTCCAATTGGACTTTTCACAGGTGTTCTCTACAGGACTGCTATTCTGCCCGACAAATTCCAGAGTTCGCCAGATATTCCATCCAGAGATACCTGCTTGGATCGCCCTCCAGCCACAGGTGGATCTCATTTGGACATCCTACATACGCTCCTTCTTCATGGACTATAACCATGAAGTTGATGGACTTGAGTTCTCGCCCGACTCAAGACTACTGGCGGTATACACATTTACGACCTTTTCACTACGAATCTTACAGGTAAGCACGGGCAACTGCCTGCATACCTTTCACCCTGGGGTCATCAAACCCTCGGACCGTATCCGGGGAATAATCGACTTGCGCTTCTCACACGACTCCAAGTTACTTTACTGGACTTGGGCTGGCCATGTTACCTTGTGGTGTGTTGAAACTGGTCAAATCATCAGAGATTTCAAACTCAGTCCGTACATACCACTCGGTGAAGCATCCATGATCTCGTCACACCCTGGTTCTAGCACAATAGGAGGAGACCACCAAGAAGAATATCCTGTCGCAAGTTTATCTTTCTCCACTTGCCTTCGCTACCTAGTTTCCGCTTCGCATCATGGTGGAGTATTTGTTTGGAATATGACTGATTGGAAGTTGGCACAACAATTCGAAGTACCTAATAAGGAAAGTTGCGAGAACGCGACCTTTATGGATGGGCCTTCGCGAGTTGCTGTTGCCACAAATATGGCGATATCTATATGGGATCGAGCCGCAGACGAAGTATCTTACACATTAAGATTGCCTGAACGATTTCGGTGCATGAAATTCTTTATTAACGTAGGTTTGGTCTTCGCTACTGGCAAGATCCTTCAGGTCTTTGAGCCCGATAAGAACTCGATCGAACGCTGGCCCAATATGGATGCAATTGATTCAATCGAAGCAAATGGCTCAAACAATATGGCTACATACAGCCGGGATATAAAGGCGATCGATGTTTGGCGCCTTGACACAAGGCACCACTTGAAGCGGATCAGCATTAACTTCAGCCATCGACTAACACCGATGGCTCTGTCTGTCGATGGCGGGCTTTTAGCGTCAGGTGATGGCCATCTCCATGAGGTTGTTCGTATTTGGGAGATTGAAGATAATGGAAAACGAGCGTCACAGTTTCACCCAGTCTCTCATCTCCAAATGTCGCCAGACTCACTCATGGTCGCAACCGTATCTCCCGGCTCCTGCGAGTTCATCGTAACCTTCTGGTCGACAGAAACAGGGAAAATGCTAAACTGTGTCAAAATTGATGATGTGGGGTTCACTTCGGAAGCTCCAACATATCTTCAATTCTCTCCCGATTCGACCTTGCTCCTCATGGTGTACATGAGTCATATATATATATGGGAAGTGGAAACGGGCGCGCGGGTGCAAACCTTGGTGGCTCCTATCGGAGTGTTCGAATGCTCAGCAGCAATTTCGTGTTCTTCAGACTTGGTGACAACCATTTGTACTGAGCACGAAGAGTCTTCTGAGTGTTTCGCGCACATCTGGCAGGTTAGCACGGGCGAATGTGTTTTGACCTTGCGGGAATCAGGACCCCGCAAGTTGTTTTTGTTCGTGTCTTTCGTTCACGATTCTTCTTTCCTGATCATTCAAGACACACTCAACACTTTGCGATTATGGGACAGTGTTACGGGCGAATATTTGTCCGAATCACAACACGATGAGGAAGGCAAGTTAATGATGGCGGCTTATACAAGCAAATCAAGGCTACTGGCAGTGGCTTTTGAGAGTTATTATAACAAATTTGATCGATGGTCGGTAGATATTATACAATGGGATACTGGGGGTTGTTTAATAAGGGTATACCTTGGGGAGGCGCCTTGCTGTCTTCGGTTTGGGGATGACGGGAGGCGGGTTTTTACAAGCTACAGCGGTTTGTCGAGCAGCCTTCCTCTTCGGCCGTTCACTCTCGAGACACCAGAGCGAATGGCTCTACGTGAGTTCATTGCCCCTAGTTTGAGAATCTCCATGGGGTTTGGGCTTGGGTTTTGGTTGGTCTCTTGGAAGAACCATCATCTGTTTCAGCTTCCTTCCAATACCGATATAAGAACGATTGTCATTCGTGGGCCCCTGATCGCCTTTGCTAGCACGCAGGGCCATGTCGCTATTATGAAGTTGGACCTTTTAAAACTAGATGAGATGCATAAGCGTACATCGGGTTGTCAGAGGCCTACTCTTAGGTGCTTATATACTTAGATAGCTCTCAGAGTCTCTCAATCTACTTAATAGTTATGATAATCCCTCGCTGTGATCTCACAGTTCTGATCAGAAGTAGGATTATTGTAACTCGTTATATTTTCGTTGGAGGCTGGCCTCTTAAACTCTGAAGCTCTTGACAAAGCCACAAAGGGCTGGTTGGTGCAAGTAGGTGAGATTCGATTCAGGTTTAGATTGCCTATCATTGACTACACCCCAATTCAGCCGGTCTCCATGCCGCGCTTGTCTTATACTATTCAGTCGACAGTTGGGCAATCAACCTGGTACTGAATATAAGCCCACTCAGGCTTGGCCTTGACCTTGCCATCAAGAGAAACATCGTAAAGCTGACAGTTACCCCCATCCTTGTATCCAAAGCCCTTGCATCTCTGATCAGCAAGACAAACTCCACGACATCCAGCGTAGGTGCCCTTTGTCTTGGTAATATCGGCATAGTAGTGCTTAGCGACGTTCTCGGGAACGGCACCACGAATTCCCTGGGGGAGGGGGAAGTAGGTGTAAACCGACTGACGCGGAATGATATTGGGTGTAATATCAAAATCGAAGAGAAGACAGGAGCCGCCACCGCTCTGACGGATGCCGAAGGACTTGCATGCAGAGTACTCGACACTGAAGCACTTGTCGTGGCAGGCTTCAGGGGTGGCGAAGCCAGCCAGGGCCTTGAAGGCAGAGGTTCTGATGTTTGTTGGGACGTCGCCCATGATGCCAGTCACACCACAGACTGATTGTTCGCCTTCGATAGGGAGAGCGCAGGCGACTGTAACGGCCGAGAAGATGGTGGAAAGAGTGATGAACTTCATGGTGAAGGTTAGCATGTAAGTTGCCTAATTGAAGGATTAATTGAAGGATGCTGAATACGGAGAAAATAGTTATAAGGAGTGGAATACTCGACCATTTAAATACTCTTTAGTTAATTATCAGTTTCTCAGTGCTGAATCGTAGTTCAAGGACAATACCCATTCATTGGAGTACAAAAAGCCACAACTGAAGATCGGATAACTGCGTATTGGTATTCCCAAATATCCCCATCATAAGCAAGACTAAGAACGCCACGTTCCGTTGGCTTGGATTCTCAGTATGAGCTGTCTCGATGCAAGTGTTAGCCAGAGGGTCGGGGATTTCTTGGCAGCCAGACCGTTATGACACCACTAGGGTGATGATTGGCCACTTGTAAGCATCTCAACGTTCCTACCCCTGAACAAAGAGTTCAGCTTGCCCCCTTTCAAACGCTAAAAGATAAGGTAGTGGATAGACTGGGGGAAAAGCAAAATAATGGTAAGAGCCAAGCAAATAGTCTATGGCCAAGCCAATAGTTTAATTGTTGAGCGAATAACGCGGAGATGTAAGCGAACAATACGGTGCCCGATGAATCGCACAGCAGTAGAACGCCAATGGATGATGCACGGGGATGGGAAACTGCTAGTTATGAGTTGATCAAACATATTGCACATCATTCGACAATCAAGTATTCTCATACCATACTATCTCATCATGGTGGTGATTACAGCCCTACGTGGGTTGCTCTATTGTCCTACACGAGCGTGCATCAAGTCATGATGCCGGATCAACTCAACTCACCAACAGGATCCATGGTCCGCAGCAAAAAGCAAGCCACTCGCATCCCCTGCAGTCTGCAGAGCAAATAGGTGTGCTAGCCAAGAGTAGGCATGATCTCTACCAACAGAGCTAAAAGCTCAGCTCTGGGTACAAGGTTAAGTCCGGGCACCAAGTCCCAAACTCCTGGCTGTGGTCTAACCCCAGGCCCAGCCTTGAGACTCAAGTGGCGGGTTTCCCCCCTGTCTTGTCATAGAACACTCATGCAGTGACCTAAAACTGAGTCGTCTTCTTCGAGCTTGGCTTTTGATTTTTGGAAGGAACTATTGAATCAAATTCCACTCCAAGTTTGGAAAACATGCCATCGGCTGGATGCCCGTAGACCAACGATCTTGGCACGCAGTTGTGTACAAGCTATGGCACGAGGGCTGTTCTATGCTATAGACACGTTCTTTGTAATCGTTGAAATAGTGAAGAGCTTACTCCTACGTAATGACTTTGACTACACCACTCTCGGTGTAAGTTACTTCTCTTACGGGCTTGACAAGTCACCAAGGTGTACAAGTTCTCTTATACATGCATCTATTCATGCAGCCTTCCTCTCACCCCTAAAAGCCAATGTGTTGTTTAATGCGGCTGAGAGCGCGGCGTCGCGCGATGCGACTTGGCGGCTGTGATTATTGTGATGCTTGAAAGACAAATGGTGGTCTCTAAATACAAATTGAACTAGTGGAATAGCACACGCTTTATTCGTGTTGCTTCCGATCTGTCCTAGTCGATCCAGTCTTTCAATATTCGATTCGCCGCCGAAAGCGACGCACCAACTCGTTACATTCATACCAATTCCGCTGTATTTGTTCCGAAGGACGGACCACCATCCTGTTAATCAGTCTTGGCTTACCGCTCCCAACAGCGGAGACTTTTAAGTCTGCTTTCAACGAACTCAGATATGACGGTCGTTCTTCTTCGCCTGACCATTAAGGGTGTACGACTACTCCCGTAATAGCTATTATGCACGATAGCCTGGTTTCATGTGTGATGGCAGAGATCCTCCAGGAAATTAGGTGGTGTTTGGAAAAGTACGAATAACATTTAAAAGGTTCAGATACCGCCTATATCTCCTTCGACAATCCCACAGCCATGACGAAGAGTGACATTTTGATACCGATAATCTGTACCGCTCAGATTACATTTGACGAATATCTGTCAGAGACATCATTGGACTTGTCAGCCTTGTACACGGCGCTATCACCTACGACAAGGTTCGGGTTGAGGCTCACGGTCAAGGTTTAGGGCGCCAGGTAAGACGTAAGATTGAATGCGAGAAGTACGATGCCAAAATACAGGGATACAGCCACCTAGGGGGCGTTGGTCCAATGAGATGGTCGTTCAGATCCGGTGCCGTGAAGTTGTCTTTCAACGTCGACAGCAACAAAGCTATCCAGTAACGCAAGGACTTCCCTTCCACGTACTTCTGACACACTCTCTCTCATTCGTAGTGTAAACCAGGGATGTTATGGCCTTGACAGATCCTACCACGCGAAGAATCATCAGTTGCATCACCACGGAGGCTTCGGTGAAATTGGATATTTTAAGGATGGACTCAAGGCGTGACGGGAAGAATGGTGAAGGTTGCCTTGTTTTCGATGTCTCAGGAGGGCTATGTCGCCAGTGTTCGCGTTCAAAGACAAATGATTGGCATGTAATAAACAATGGATATACCTCAAAGCGACGACTGACACAACGAATTCTCGCCTTTGCTCCTAACTGTCTTGTCATACCTCCGCTTCTACTGTTCGGTTGCCACTAGTCGATCTAGCAGATTATATAGTCTACGGGTGCATATACAAGAGAAAGTTACTAGTGAGTTTAGGACAACGGAAACCCAAAGGATCAAGATACATGATTGATAACCGTTTGCATTCATTAGTCAATTGGCACTATAACTTCACAGCATTGAAAAGTTTTGTTTAGAAAGACTATGTTCATTGACATCTATACGCGTAGCTACTTCATTATATATACAGCATTAATTACTCTTCAACCTTCTTGGGCGCGAGGCCGTTGTGGGTGATATCTGGCTCATCCCGATCCAAGTCGTACATGGCATCTTCTTGGGCATCGTAATGACGGAAGAGGAAGTAGAAGACGCAGCCAGTGATGAAAGAGGAAATTCCGACACCAGTGTAGAGCCACAGGTACTTGGGGTCCTCAGCAACGGAAACGAGAGCCTCGGCGATGGCGGAACCGAAAGCGTTGGTGAAGAGGTAGATAGACTGGACGAACGACTTCATGGAAGGAGGAGCCTTGGTGTAGGCATACTCAAGACCAGTTACAGAGATGAAGATCTCGGCAACACCAATGAAGATGTAGGCAGGTGTCTGGATGGCGATGTGCACGTGGTTGGGCAGCTTGTTGCTGCCATCCTGGCCAGCAGCACACTCGCCGGGTGTACCGTAACAAGGTCCAGCGTTGTAGATCAAGTGCTGGACGATAGCAGCGTAAGCGAGACAGAGGGCAGCGAACCAGAAACCAATGGTGATTCTCGCAATAGGTCGGAGCTCGATGCCGAAATGACGCAGAATGGGGTAGACGACCTTCTCAATGATGGGAGTGAAGATCAGAATAGAAATGGGATCAAAGTTTTGCATGAAATCATTGGGCATTCCGTGACCCTCCATCTGACCAGCCTGAGTAACAAAGTTGGTCGAGAATTGGCCGTAGCAAACCCAGAAGATGGGGTAGAAGACGAAGACCTTGCAAGCACGCAGACCACGCTTCAGCTCGTCGACGAAATGATCGTTCCAGGGGACAGACTGGGTCTTTCCGTTGGCGGCACGCCATGTAGGCTTAGCAGCATCGGTGTTGCGGGCGGCAATCATCATACCAAGAGCCTTGAAGGCATCGGTGATAACGGAACCCTGGGGAGGGCGGTTGACAAAGGACTTGCGACGGAGGATCAGAGTGATGATACCGACGTTGAACATGATGAAACACATGAGGTAGGCAGTCCAGAAACCCTTGTACTTCTCCATGAAGGGAGTGGCCATCAGCGACAGGGCACCGACGTTAATGCACCAATAGAAGATCATGTAGATACGTTGGTAAGTAATGGCAGGATCAATGATAACTCGCTCTCCGGTCTTTTCGGTTCGGATGGCCATTCTGCGTCGTTGGTACTGGTCGGCAATAAGGGGCGCAATGTTGGACTTGATACCACCAGTTCCCAAACCGATAATGATAATGGCGACGATGTAACCAGGCTTTCCAGCGCCGGCTTCCATAGCAACAGGGAGCGAGGTAGTCCACAAGACGATGAGACCGACCCAGTAGAAGCCGCAGAAGAGCAGAATGGTCTTGTACTTGCCAAGGTACTGATCGGCGATGATGGCACCAAGAATGGGGGTGACGTAGCAGAACCATTGGAAGAATAGGTTCAGACCGGTAGCAGCCTTGTTACCCATACCGAGACCTCTGGGGGTAGCGTCCTCGGCGCTGGAGATGTAGTTCTGGAAAAGACCCTGGGCACCATAGTAGGCGAATCGTTCTGTCAACTCGACAACAGCAATAAGGAAGGCCGAAGCAGGGAGGTTCTCTCCGACACGGCGAAGAGTAGCCCTCTCATGGTCGTTGGGCTCCTCGCCGTCGATTGTGGTGCCGTACTCAGGATCAGAAGCATAGTGAGCCTTGTCAATAGACCTCTTCTCGTCAATCTCAGATGGGGCGATGTAGCCGCCAGCCAGATCAGTCTTCTTCTGATCAGGCACGCGCTCACCAAGCTCTTCGTGGAGCCTGCACTAATTAGCAAGGATTCTGGATTTAAGCTTGAATCAGAGTTTTTCGGTTTACATACTCGGCGGCCAAATCCTCGTGGTTCTGCGCCATGTTGCAGAGCGTTGCTGAGGACGAAAAGTTTTCGCTGTCACGGATTGGTTGCAGCAAAACAGACGATGTCGTCAAGGGGGGGTGAACAGGTGACAGGTGATGGTGAGAGAGAAGGGAGAAAAGAGGGAGGAAGGGGATGGAGAGTAAAACGAAGAGTAATAAAAATGCCAAAGTCTGGAGACAGTTTATAAATGTTCTGTCATGGAAACGCAGACGGCCACTTGGTGTGACTAGGCCCGACCGAAGCCATTCCCATTGCTGCAAAACATCCGACGAGTCTGAGGAACCTTTGTCGAGGAAGCCGGAGCCTCTTGCAAACGGCCCGGATATGGAGATGGGAATGGAGAACTCGGAGCTGAAAGTGGGTGTGTGGAACTCGCTTCAGTGGCGTGTCCCAGTGGCCTCCAGTGGCTGCCAGTGGCCATACCTTCTGCCAGTTTTTCGAGAAGCAATGCCGAAGACCCGAAAGACTCCCCTGTCAATTGTCTCGTACGAGCGACGGTGCCACTCGAGGTGGATCTTCCGTTGCCTAGCCTAATTTGGTCGCTAAAGTTCTATACAGCCGGCGACTGCCAGTGGCACCAGGGAATTGCCCGGGCATTTTACACCTGAAGCCGTGAGGTGACTCTTGAGTCTGATGGATATCGCGATGTCGCTCTCCGGCCACGGCGAATCCGTTCATTTCGCCATGACTCTTCTTTCTTTCAGAGAGAGATCGCGTTATGCTTATCAAGCCAAGGTACAAATCATGTTATTATCTTGTTCTAAAGTCGCTCAATAATTGAAACACTGCGTTTCGCCAGTCCATCATCCTTTTGTTAGTGATCAGCGCATTCATCTACCCAAAAGAGGTCAAGTGTGATTAACTTCCCTTTCCGCGGCGCCTGGAAAAAAAAGTTCCGCCACGACTTGACGCTTCCCTTCCCCAAACGTGTGGTAACGTAACAGTCAGTCAATCAGCAGGCGACTAACGAGGACCCTGAGCCCACTCAAAATATATTTCGACTACGTAAAGGGCGCAACCGGTAAGAACGGATGGTTATCTCTAATTTCCAGGCACCCGTCGATATCTAGACGAGAAAGAAACGGTCATGATTGGATTTGCAGTCCATTCTCCACTGATACAGTGACTGGGGAAAAGGTTATCTCGCACACAAAAGGTCAGCTCGTCCAAACAGCGCGAAGCAGATTGTCATATGACGTATTCCAGTCAAGTAAAGTCAACGTGAGACTGAGACCGTGCCCGTAAAGGAAACTGGGGGGGACAGATAAGATTTGTTACTGTCATGGATTTCTGCTAGCCAGCTTCTCGATGCGGAATGATCTGTCGTGCGAGCCGAGGAATTGGAAGGAGGATGCAAAGGATCATTCAAAAAGTTCATTCATGTGTTTTTTTTAACATGATCAATAAGCGACATGGGTGTGAGCTGTTATTACCGACCATTTCCCTGGCCAAGCCGGCAGCAGCCGTCAATTCCCCTTGGCAGCACCACCCGCCGCATTTGAAGCTGTTTTCGTTCTTTCGCCTTGTTCATCCTCAGCGTCGATGGAAAGTCATTCGATGACATTCTCATTCTCTGCAACGTTGTGATGCCCTCCAAAAACTTTACCTCGGCCATCGCCGAACAATGAAACAGTAGCACGTTGCTTATCTCCCAATTCCCCATTTCTTGTCAATGCACCCCGTGTTTTCCTCATTTCTCCATCTCCATCTCCATCTCCATTCTCCACAGGTGCGACGTGAATAGCGAAGCGAAACTAATGCACGTCCAACCGCCTGGGGTAACGATTCACTGGATTGAGCAACACCACGACTCAGAAATTAACAGCAAACACCCCCATGCTATTCACAGGCCATTACATAAAGCCAATCAGCTCCCTGATGCCGTATTCCCGTCGACTTGCCCTTTCTGGGGTCGTGATTAGTGCGAGTTCAGCTACGAGGTGGCGTTTGGCTAGTCAAGGATCATTTCCAATTATGGTTATTGATAAGCCTCAATGAGCCTGGTAAACCCGCAAATAATCATCTGTTTGCGACCGAGATGCCGAGGTTGGATGAATGTAAGATCTTGGGTAGCGGGAGCTAAAAAGTGTCCGCCGTTTGACGGAAGTCGGTCTCGTACAGGGTAAGTTCCATGCTCGGCTATGGCGAAACGCTTTCCTGGACACGAGCGTCAAGCTCACACAATTACTCCAAATTCTCGTGTAAATGTTGTAACAAAGACTTTCTAAGAGTGCATCCTGACTTTCACGAAGTTATGTTACTTCGTAAGCCCGTGACAAGGTTTACTGCGGATGGCACAGGTGTTACTCTGCCGCTCGCTTGAGCCGCAACAACACAATAAAAGACAGCAGCAGGTTGAATCCGCAGTGCACATATGAAACCCATCTAGCATGTGAATTAAAAATAGATAGCCCTATACATGTAAAAGTACACCTAAACAAGCCCCAACACCCCCTTCAACACTTGCAACGCCCCGAAGAGCTCGTTGTCATGAAACCTCCGCGCCACGATCTGCAAATTCACCGGCGCACCCGCAAAATCCCCCTCCTCCCATAGCTGCTTGACATGCCCACAAGCCTCGCTCAACGGCACGTAGCACCCATCGTACTCTTCCCCGGATTCAGCCCTAACAGGCGTGGGAATAACCACCCCAGGGTAGTCGACAAGGTTGTACAGTGAGGTGTATGTCCAGTAGAAGGCCGTGTCGTGCGCGCAGGCTGGACCGACGAACGCCGGGCCGATAATGACATCCACATCTTGGTCACTCCAGCTTTGGGCAAAGGCTAGTCGGAACTTGTCTCTGGTTTGGTGGAGATGAGTGATATCTAGAGCTGTGTGCATGCCGAGTGGCTCTGCGTCTTTGTAAATCCATTCTGTCAGAGGGTGAAAGGGCTCTCCCGATGAGAGGATACCTCCTTTGGTGAGCTCACCACCATCGGGCCAGTAGAGTCTTCTAACTTGGTTCCAAGCTTCTTCGGCACCAACGATTTTGAAGTCTTTCACCTCGACTATATCTGCATACTTGCCTTCTGACAGGAGGTTTTTGGCCCATGATATAGCCCTCTTCACAGGAGGTTGTGGCTCGATGAAGCCGTCATTGCTAACGATGCCCACTTTAAGTCGTCGATTGAATGGCGTCCCAAGACCCGTCCATGGAATCGGAACCACATTGGGATCATCCAAGTACGGCTTCGCAGCAAGTACAGTCTTCATGAAAAGGTCTATGTCTCGTAAAGAGCGACACATCGGTCCTGTGGAAAGTGGAATGTCCAACACAGCTGGAGGCGGAGCACCCTTGATGTACCCCCTGGTAGGCAAGATGTTTGAAGTGGTTTTGAAGCCATAGATACCACAAAAGGCAGATGGTCCTCGAATACTGCCACCAATATCAGTGCCAATACCAAGAACTGAGCCTTTCATAGCGACCAAGGCTGCTTCGCCACCCGTCGATCCTCCAGCCGATAGATGTATGTTGAAGGGGTTCAGGACTCTTCCCCAGTGGGAATCACTCTCGAGATGCATCAAAGACTGTGGCTGGTTGGTCTTGCAGTAGACAACAGCGCCCTGCCGTCGCAAGATGGCTACTATATCAGCGTCCCTGTCATCGTCGGTGATACTGGCAAAACACCCCTGAGAAGAAGATGTCCCGGCAACTTGGATGTGATCCTTGATGCTGATGGGCAGGCCATGCAACGGACCAATGGTCTTCCCGTGCTTATTGAAGTATGCGTCTAGGGCCCTGGCTTGTTCGATGGCTTCTTGCATGAACCACTGCGTTAGGCAGCAGGTAAGTTGATGGGCGATGATAGCTCGCTTACAGAAAGCTTGGGCAACAGCTACCGCGGCGAACTTGCGATTTGCGACTGCCTCGACAAGGCTGACAGCATCATAGTCCTCAGTGATGGCTAACTCTTGTGTTGTCAAGATACCACAGGTTGCGGGAATCTTGGTGACATCCCTGGGAGGACTTTGAATGAGACTGAGAGGGAGGCGGAGGTTTTCGGGCACTTTTGATGCGAAGGCCTCGAGTAGAGCGGCTCGCTTAGCTTCAAACTCGGCTGTACCGCGAAGGACGGGCCTCGTCTGAACAACCGGGAGACCTGGAAGCATAGTTTCTGTGTGTCGAGGATCAGACTGGGCAGTGTCTACAATTTCAATGAATACAGATGAAGTGTCTTTCGACCCTGTTTGAGGGATCGATGAAGAAATGGAACTCATGATTCTGTAATTTGACTGAGTGGATGGGGCAAGGGACAGATTTGTCGACAACGATGAGTATACAAAGAGGAACAGAACAAAGAAAACACTGTAAGAGGTGATCTAGCATGCATCTAGATCATATATGCCCAGCATTGAGGGTCTCGCTTCATAGCTGATATGGTTTAGTCCGCTTGTTGCAATTGACAGCATGTCGCAAATATCTCAGGCTCTCGTACTAGAAATTTGGCCAAACCTCATTCAACGACCGCCAAGAACTCGAGTCACGCTGTCATGTCGAGATAATCACCAGATTTTGGTGTTTGTCTTCGCGAGTCTAATGTGGTGGCGTAAACACCATCTCCAAACAGGTCCGTGAGTCAATTGATTGTACCACGCGCAGAGACTCAATGCCTCACAAACTCGACACAATCGAGATTAAAAGCATATTGTTCAAGTTCAGCCGCAGTGGAAGGTCGGAGTTGGCTTCTAGATGTTTTAGCTGACCAGTAAAGATGCTTTAGATAATCCCGACTACCCCGTGATCACTTCATGGAACAATAGTAGTGGCGTTGCATTGTTCTTCAGCGCAGACCACCAACGCTGTAACCAACAGCCAAGTCCAATATCGCGTGTGGTGTAAACGGCTTTTGGTGATATGACCCTCGGGCTTGCTTGTTGCCACTCCATCGCGACTCGCGACTTGGAGAATGAATGCACAGCGACGGACATATAAGGCGGTACACGGATCCCTCGTGCAACAAAGAACACTGTGCATCGGGCTTCAGCAAACTCTTCCGCAAACTCCCATTTCTGTATCTCCAATTGCGAACACCACCATGCCCGAGCCAAGTTCTATCCCCGGCACGATCCATCTCGTGGATCTTGACCGTAACCTGCGCGTTCGCCATGCAGGAGGCGGCGAAGGCGACATCGTCTTGAACCCGGCCCCGTCTGACGACCCCAATGATCCTCTGAACTGGTCTCCCAGACGCAAATTGCTTGCGCACATTTGTCAGAACTTGTAAGTTGCTCGCATTGTGTAGCCAGACTTGGTCTCTGACGTGCGAAGGTACACTTGGTTCACGGGAATGTCCGTCGCGACCGTGTACTCTGTGCTTGTGCCTCTTGCGCAGCAGTCTAAGGTCTCGATCACGACGCTCAACGAGGGGACGGGGTATATGTATTTGCTTCTCGGCTGGGGTTTGTTGTTCTGGCAGCCTTTTTCGCTGCGATATGGCAAGCGGTTGACGTACCTTATCTCAATCCTGGGTGCCATTGTAAGTTTGATGAAAGAATGCAGCAAGCCAATACTAACTGGAGATTCTAGGGCACGAGCATTTGGAGGTATAGTCTTTGCTAACGAGATATTGCGAGCGGTACTGACATGTTTGTGTAGTGCTCATGTGTCGAGCAATGGGGAATGGATAGCAAAGTGCATCATCCAGGGTTTCTTCATCGCACCCATTGAAGCACTCCCCGAGATATCCATCACCGACATTGTAAGTGAATCAATTAGCCAAGTCACGATTCCAACTCACCCTTTTTAGTACTTCACCCACCAGCGCGGCACCTACATGGGCGTCTACGCTCTCGCTCTAGCAGGCAGTAACTACTTTGCGCCCGCCATCTCCGGCTTCATCGCCGAGTACCAAGGCTGGCAATGGGTCTTCTACTGGCCAGCGATCTTCCTTGGGTTTGTCTTTGTATTTTTATTCCTTTTCATGGAAGAGACGAACTACATTCGCGTCGCTCGAGACATTAACAGACCGCAAATCGAACCAGCCCGATTGAGCGATGAAAACAATAGCAAGGCTGAGGAGAAGGCTACTGAGGCTGGCAAGCATGAGATCAAAGAAGCTGATGAGGCCAACGTGCAATACGCCAAGCCGAAGACATTTCTTCAGAACATGTCGCTGTGGCAGCCGTCGCCAGGTCAGGGTATGGCTCGCCACGCAGGGCGCTCTCTCGAGTTCCTTACTTGGCCTGTTATCTTCTTCGCTGGCTTCTCGTACGGATCGTACCTCATCTGGTTCAACGTTCTCAACGCAACTGCATCCATCATCCTCTCTGGTCCCGGGTACAACTTCAAGCCCTCAATGGTCGGTGTTAGCTACCTCTCTTGCTGCCTCGGTACAATCATCGCAGCATGTGTAGCAGGGCGACTGAGCGACTGGCTCACCATCAGACTCGCGCGTCGCAACAACGGCATCATGGAAGCTGAGCATCGTCTGTGGCCGCTTGTGATCTGCGTCATTGGTGTCCCAGCATCCTTGATCCTCTGGGGTGTAGGAGCGCAGCACGGCGTCCACTGGTTCGGCCTCATCTTCGCCATGTGCTCTTTGTCTACGACGAGCGTCATGGGTCTGATCATCAGCATCAACTATCTGATCGACAGCTATTACGACCTCAGCGGAGATGCCATTGTGACCATCATTCTTGTTCGTAACACAATGTCTTTCGCGATTAGCTATGGGTAAGTTTGGCACCCTGCAGTGTTGAACATCCGCTAACTACTACAGTATCACCCCATGGATCATCAACCTGGGCTACCAAAACTGCTTCATTTCGGCGGCTTTTATCGGTCTAGCTGCTTGCTCAGCGGTCTTCGTGGTGATTAAGTTTGGCAAAGCACTGCGCGTTCGAAGTGCGCCCAGGTATGCAGAGCTAGTAGCAGATGACAAGAGAGTCCAAGGTGTCGCTTCGTGATTGGGAACTTTGCTGCATGATCAATTGAGTTCTGGGTATGATAATGGAGGAAAAAATAGGCTAATCATTTGTGAGAATGCTTGATTAAGTATAACATTATTCGTAGATAGTTTTGTGTTGATCTAAAGTTTTCCATATCCGCGTCCCATTCCCGCTATGCATTCTTGTCGCAAAATCCCAATCTCAACCCACTCAGAACAACGCCGCGGCAGCCAAAATGGCCGCTGCAAAAGCTCCAATACTAGCCTCGGCCTTGATTCCCAAGTTACCGGAATCGCCAGTCTCTCGTGCTCCAGCCCCAGTCGTTGCGGAACCGGAACCCCCATTAGAACCACCGCTAGAGCCTCCACTGCCGCTTCCGCCGCTGCCCCCACCAGAGCCGCCGCTTCCAGAACCTCCGGACGACTTCACGGCGCTTTCGGTTCCGGCGCGGACATTGCGGACGGTAAGAGGTTCTGGCTTGTCGCCACACTTCTGCGTAACCTCCACATTCCCCTTGCCCATGTCCGAGGACGAGATACCGCTACTGGTAACGTCCTGGAACTCGCCATTGTTAGTAGATAGAGGTTCGTTGTAGACGGTCTGGCCTCCAGCTTGGATCTGCAGACTACAGTCTGTCTGTGTGTCTCTTCGTCGGAGCTTTGCGCTACCGGAGGCTTCGCCGACGCGAATCGATGCGACAATGTAGAGGAGGTCGTCGGAGGCGAAGTCGTCGTCGTCGGTCTCGACCGGTACGCTGAAAGTCGCTTGCCCGTTGGCGGGGGCACTCAATTTACTGGGGTTTGGTTAGTGGAGGAGCTTCGGTGAAAGGGGAATCGTGTTGACTCACATTGCGGGCTTGCCGTCCACCTTGATCAATTCTGCGTTATCGCCGATAGTCGCGTTGTTTAGATTGACCTCAACAACGGCTTCGGTGCTTGTCGGCGCGGAGCTGGAGGTGGCGGTTAAAGTAGCTGTGTCGGTCGCATCGTCGTCTGTATCGGTCGCTGTGGCTGTAGCTGTAGCATCGTCATCGCCGGTAGCTGAAGCTTTGAACAGTGTTAGCTGGTGAATGTCTCTTCTTTGTTGACAGTATGCTTACCATCTGCCGTCGCTGTCTCTTCGGCCGCTGTTGTAGCCTCATCATCATCATCATCACCATCGCTTGCTGTCGCCGTTGGTTGATCGCCGCCTGATATTTGAGAAGCGCCAGCTGTTTCTTCAGGGTCATCGGCTGTCGGCTCTGGGACGGCCGTGGCTATGGGAGAGTCGCCTGCGTCTGTTGGTGATGCATCATCGCCATCATCGGCGGGAACTGAAGGTTGGTTTTGGGCTGGGACTGAAGGTTCCTCTGCGGCAGGCGCTGAAGCTTCTGGTTGGGCGACGTCGCTTGGTTGTTGGTCTGGTACCACTGTTTGAGCCAGGCCATTTACGGCCAAGAGGCCGAAGATAAGGCTGCCGGAGAACCGCATGTTGACGTATTCGGTGAGTGTCGGTAGATCTAAATGCTTTTATAGAATCTATTCGTCAAGTAGCAAATCGTAAGAAGTGTTGAATTGAAGATTTCAGCTCGAGCTGAATGAGCTTGTTATTATAATACCTAAGCTCCCTCCCTGATGTCAGCCTACCAGGGTGGCATTGCTGGTCCAGGCCCTGGCAGTCGTGGCAACTAGCGACTAGACTAGCCCACTCAAACGCTGGCTTCAGACTCTGGGGCTGTGCTTAGCGAGCTTACAGCCTATCACAAACGGCCATCTAGTACCGAAATAGCTTCACCTTCGTATAGCGTTGTCAATGCGCCACGGCCAAGCCGGTGTCTCCTGTCTTTTATACGAGATTTGTCAGTACAAAACATGTGAGAACTCCTAATTCTCTATACATGTTATGAGACCTGTCAACTTGTGCAAACCCCACATTCTTTCATTAAGCTTAATCCTGTGTTGGCACTAACGAATTGTCCCTTATGGAAGGGCTGAGGATGGTTTCGATAGTTTACGCCTCAGCAACGCGGCCGCGGCCAGCTGAAGAGCTAGTAGCATAGCTTTAAAAAGCCATGGCATTTTCCGAATTCCATATGGTTAGTGCACACAAAGCAGCAAGAAGTCGCAATTGCGGCTGAGCAAATGGGCTTTGTGTCCTCAGGCCAACGTCAAACTTCCTTTCGATTACGGAGGCTCGAGTTTTTATTACAATTTGGATGTTTGAATAGGATTCCCTTATCTTTGAGGCTTCTGAGCTGGGTGATATTCAACCACATTATATTCAATCAGTGCTGTTGTAAGCGACAAAACAACCACAAGTATTGTCACTGCACTTGACAAGCCGACTTCTAATGTCAGGACTATTTTCTTTTTGCTTAAACTTCAACTTTATCAAGCCCAGGCTTTCCAAATCTCTCAATAATATCAACAATAAAAATAACCCCTTCCACGGTCGAAACTCAATATGACCACTGCTAATGCCAGGACTATGTTTCAATTCTTAAGCATATGGAACACTGGGAAGTGTTTGAGCCTCGTTCAGTATGCATATGACTTGCATAGCTGAGGTTTTGATCTAAGTATTGCTATCTCTTTAGTTTCTTTCGCGCCGTACCTAAGCTTACACTCTGTTTGCTATGGTCACTGAGCTTAATATGCATGGTTTTGTAAAATCTAGAGTATAGGAAATTATCAAAACTTTTACACACTCATTGTAGCAGCTTTACGTTCAGAAATCGATAGTTGGACATAAATAGGAAGAAGCTAAGAAAAGAGAACAAAACTATGGTAATCGTGTGGTGAGTGTTTTGCTAATGAGCGTTCTGCATTAGGGTAGGTATATTAACTTCTGAAGCAAGCTCTTACGTTAACATCTACGTAATGGAAATAGGAGCTTCTTATTGACCATTGACTTTTAAGGTTTCCCGAGCTTTCTCAGTGAGCCTTCTTATAATCTCTTAGGCTTTAGTGCTGCTTTTTGTCAAACATGCAAGTTGCCAGCAACATTAATGCAGACCAACTCACGGACGAGTGACTTAGTTTCCGCCGAAAATTTCAAGCTTGAGGGCTTCCCGAATCAACAAGATGGTGAGTATGAATACCTGTAAAAACAGGCCTAACAAATACATTATAAGATAATGGACTCATCGTGGGAAAGCAATTGTAAATAGTCGTTTAGTGGCAGAGACAGTTAATGTGATTCAATGAAGTTGCATAATCCCTTTCGCTATATACCATAAGCAGTGCCTAGTGCGCAGATACTGTTCAATGAGTAAAGTGCATATCGACTTGAGAGACTAGGAAGTTTACAGCAGGTTCAGTGCTAAATTTTATAATACCAATCCAACGTAAACCTTACACTACCTAATACATCGAGTTCAGGTCCAAAAACTGTTCTATTTGCAAACTGGCGCACTGTTAGGCTTTGACACTCCATTGCTTGGGTTTGTCTGGGAGCAGCCATTCGCCAATCCTAGAGCAGTGTCGTCGACTGCCGCGTTGAAAGCAGCTCCGCAGTTCGGGTCGCTATGAGGGGTCAGATTCATATTCTTTGCATTCGTTGAGAGACTTACCTGGCACCTCCAGCCGCACTGTTGAAGTAAGAGCAGATGTCATGAGAATAGCAATCCTGCGTGTAGACATTACCCAGAGCAGCCCCGCTGCAGCCAGCTCCACATCTTCCGTTGCAAGAGTAGCTGCTTGAATCAGAATCAAGGATGATAAGAAAATAAGTTGTTGGCAAAACTCACTCGCCAGATCCGGAAGGATTCGCGCCAAAGTTGCTTCCAACGACGCCGGTAAAGGTGCATTTCTTGCCAGCACTATTGGTCCATGAGGCAGTGGCTGTTTGTCCAACTTTGAGACAGGTGATAGCTCGCTTCTCAATGACTGGAGAAGCAATGGAGAGGCTTGCAAGAAGGAGAACCACTAGAGAGCCGAACATATTGGGCAAGTTGTCAAGAGTAAAATGCTACAAGTAGATACTTTTCGAATTATCTCGTAATTTAGTCTATTCTCACTGAACTTTTATATAAAATTATAGTAACATCGTTTGTCCCGGCACTATATTCGTCATCGGAGGTGTGTCTTGATATGGTAGTTGCGGAGAATCTTTCGGATGTTTACCATTTAGCCATTGGCCCAGTATGCGAGATCCCCAGGATTATTTCGGTAGATTTCATTTTATACTTCCTGAACAGCAGTTGTTAGAAGACTGTGTAAGTTGGATGGAAGAATTGTTGGCCGTTGCCGATGTGGCGGGAAACCTCATGACTGTTGTGTGGTCTGGTGATCATCTGGCCGCCGGAAGAAAAGCCCGATGGAGTTGATCAACAAACGAAGTATTGTTAGACCCTTCCTAAATCCCGTTCATAACAGAGTTTACTGCTTGAAAATCAAAAGACAGATTAGTCCGCCAACCCTGGGACGCTCTGCTCATGACGTGTACGATCTCAGTCACGAAGCTTACTGAGACACGGGATCTGGCACAGTCTCAGCTGGCGACCATTCACATCCATCAACACAACGCAGCTTCACCGACCGCCGTCAAAATGAGGGGTTAATCTGAGTACAGAATTGCCATAAGGGTAGTTACTGGAATGCCGATCCTGACTTCCGCTTGTCATGGCCCGCTGCCGTGCCGTGCCGACGCGTCTTCATCCAATGCGTGCGTCCAGATGAGATCGGAATGTTTTAGACTTTGGAGCTGACTACAGATCCGTTATGCATATCGCTCTATTTGTCTTTCAGCACTCGCAGATGTGTTGATCTTGTCCATTTGTGGTAATCAGCTTACCAGAGCTCCCCTCTTTCGTTTGGATTGCGATTGAGCCAAGGACCGGCAGAAGGTGGGACAGATCTGTTGGTGTACTCCGTAAGATCTATCATCTCGGAGATCGACAGAGAGGCTACTACAAACCTAACGCACTGACTACAGCATATGCCGACTTGACTAATCTGATATGTTGACTATTATGCTTTTTGGGCTTTGTTTTTCAGAGAAATAATCTCTGCTTTCGACAGATCAACATGGTGAGTCCGATGGTTTGAACAAACTCACCGCCATTCTTTCGGCATGCATTGCTTTTGTCATGCATGAAAATCCGGAGGTCGACTATTGGGTATCTTGAGGGTGCTTATGCTTCATGTCTCAGCTCAAGATGGCCTGTTCCACATCACCGAATTAGCATGGGCTCATGATTGGAATTTGAGTTCAGTTGTCAAGACATGATCACTGCAGATCGTGAACACTTGCAGCGAGCTTTACGAAAGTATCTCATCGATCTTCCGAAAGCCATCAGGATTAGGGTGATGCCTCTCGAACGTGACAAACAATTCTTCGATGGATGGTAGACATGTGACGAGCCGCAAGAAGTATAAATAACTTGATGCCCCGAGTCTTATCATAGGGTTTCCACACACATCCCACCACCACTATAATCCTTTACCTATATTCACAAGTCCAAGAATAATCAAAATGTCTCTTCCTAGCCGCTTCAGTATCTATATCGATGGACGACCCGTTGCCATCCCACAAGAGCCACAGGAAAATCACCACCCGATTTTCGATGCCCAAGCCGGAAACCCTGGTGCTGGAACCCCTCCTGCCGTCTTTGAGGTGCAGGAAGGCCAAGGTGGTATTCAGCTTGTCTCTGGCTCTTATGCTTTGGGCCGTTTCCAGGTTGAGGACATGAGTCTTATGCCCAAGCGTGTTGGCTGGTGCAAGAGAGACGAGGCTCAGATGCTGCAGCCTATTCACGTTCGCAACGAAGGCAACGGTCCTGAATTGAGCTTCTCGGGTATGCTAATGTCCGGACAACTTCGAACCCTTTGTCTAATATACTACAATAGGTGCCAAATTGGCGTTTATCGATAACAAACTTTTTGCCCCTCTTCTCCCAGACCGTATGTACACCTCATATCTGAAGTAGCTTTAACTTACGGAGACAATGCAGATTCTGCTAAAAAGATCGAGATTCGACCCATGTAGAACCGCTTAGTTCTACGTGTCATATTTCGCTGACAAGAACAAGGGTTCAAGGGTATTCACGGTTTAGCTTGATACAATAGTCAAATATCCCGTCAACATCAACATAATCTAAGCCCTTGAGTTGATTCCCTACTATTTCCCATGTGACCTAGTGTCCGAATTCGAGTTCTTCGAGTGACAATAGTTTAATTCATTGATATAATGCTGGCTAGGAATTTTGGCACAGGCATGTAGTTCACAGATGGATAGTTAATCGCATATGGAGTAAGAATGAGACTAGGTTGATAGTGTACAGTCCTTCTCGTTAGACGCAATTACAGCAAACCCGTTGAGCTATTATATCAACAATATTATCCGCTCTATTAATTTCAAGGATTGCTTGAGCGTTTTATACCTCAGTTGAGTTAGCGCTCAAATAAATCAAACTATTCGGAGTTAGTTATGTGGCATAGGTAGATCCAAGCCTCGTGTGAGTTCTGAACTGTACAAATTGCCAAGACGTACTGTGCAACTCCCCTACACGATAATTTCATCGCACTGGCCAGCTTGGAAGATCGCCTATAACGATGAAGCTAGTAAAATAACGTTTGACACTATTTTATCATCACCACCATCGCCTTCCTTCGCATCCCCTCCCTTCATGCTCAATCACGGCATCAATTAATGTGCTCAATATTGCAATTCGCAGCCTACAGCCGACTATGACGTCCACTTCAACCTCGACTGCTGCTGCTCCTCTGCGGCCTCTACCAACCACTGAGGACCATTCACCTGCGCTTCTCGCGCCCCGTCCTAGACATCCGTCTGTGTCTTCATTTACGACGCAAACATCTGCGTCAACAGTCGCTCAAGGCCCGCTGACAAGTGATGTACAAATTCCAGTTTGGCTCAAGAAGCACATGAGATTCTGGAAGATCCCCCCAACTACTGTCCAGGCACGAGCGTGGATGTTGGAGGCGTTTGACTACTTCAACTCCGGAGGATATGAGCTTCCATACCAATTGAGAGGAATCGAAACTGAGCTGAAGCGTGAATGGAGAAGACAGAACGCCGAGGCGCAGAGTGCAACAACTCCTGGGGCTAAAAGAAAATCAGATGCCGCCTCCAGTTCTGCAAATAAGAGAACCAAGACCGGTACAACGATCAAGTCCGAAGAAACATCAGCGGTTTCAATGCCTCCGCCATCTCGGAAGCCACTGGGTACCCTAAAAGGCAAATATGCTATTGAATCACTTTTTGCCTGCTGCGATAGCCATACCCAGCGCGCCCATGAGGAGATCTGTAGTGTCGTTCTCTCTCCCGGGAACGGCACCACCATGCGAGGATACTTCAATATGGGAGTCTTGCTAGATCAGTACAAAGCCTTGATCTTTTTCGAGAAACGCCCTTCAGAGTCTTCATCAGGAAAAGTGTGGTTTAGATGGCGGGGTAGGCATGTCTGTAACGACTTCAAGGAGTACAGAGGAGACGAGAACCGCGGATGGATGAAGTTCCTTGGGGATGGCAAGATCGAAGTTTGGTTCGACAAGTTCAACATGCGTTTGGTTGCGCAGAAAGGTAGGGGTATTGGCGGAAGGAACCAGCATGATGCGTCTGGATTCTGGGAAGATTGGCATGAGTTGGACGATGAGGGTATGGATATTCTGGATAGGTTGGCGCCGCGAAATAGGTCAGATCCCGATTATTTGGGAATCTTTTGATTGGCTTCTGGCTCATGACACTCGCTTCTGGGACTGGCGCTTTGTTTTGTACATCACTTGTCTTACATACGAGATTGAAATGTCAATTTTTCTTACTAGTGAAATCTGCACAATTTGATAACCTGAAGTATCCCATTAAGATGAGAGACAAAAGAGACCGAGGTAAATGAGCGTCGGGGATGAGTCTCGCTACAGTAAGCAGCCCATAGTCAAGGGAACAATCTTCCCTCTATATGCACCTGTACAACTATTCTTAACGAGACGAATTAGACTGCATTGGCGTGCTTCAGTTGGATGGTAACCCCGTGCTCGGTGTGAGCATCGGCGACAGGTACGGTGACTACAGTTACACGTGAGGTGTTGTCTGTTCTCCAAGAAACCTTGGAGTTGGCGGAGTTGACCTCTGCGGTGCTGATATTGGCAGATGGATCATGCCAGAGCGCCACTGTGTAGTCGCTGCCCACAATGTCACTGACATCACCATATCCGTTGAATGAAGACTTGATAGTGAGGTTGCGGATGACTCTGACGCCCGAGTCCTCGGTGAAGGTCTTGGTAGTCTATCACAGAAATATTAGTGTGTTCTCAGTGACTTATCTTGCAAACAATGAGTAATTACCTGTTGAATCTCAACCTGGCAATATTTGTTGTTTGCCTTCTCATCGCCGATCTTTAAACCGGGGCCAGTGATGGGGGCACTGTCTCGAGAGATACCATCGTCCAGGTACATGACATACGTCTGCAAAGTGTTAAAACTGCCATGGAGGGACACGATCTGTTGCGCCAATACTGACATTGTCTTTTCCTGGGTATACATGCAAGGTGATAGGATTGGCAGCTTGCTTTGGAAGCGAGGGATCAGGGATGTAGTCCCGTACCTCAATCTTGGGAACAATAGCGCCTGTTCGATATTAGCGAACTAGACTTACGAGTTAAGAAACCGTGACTTACCCTCACGGATGTACATAGGAGTGATGTATGGAAGCTGAGATTCTTGGTCGCTGATCAGACAGCTGTACTCAACCCGACTGCCACCTTCAGCAGGCGAAGCCAAAGCGGCACCAAGGGGCTCGTCAGGTCGTAGGTTCATGGCATACCACTTGTCAGGATACGGCAAGTACACTTTTCGAGTTTGTCGCTTGGCCTCGGGGATCAAAGCCGGGGCGACGAGCAAGTCATTTCTGACCATGTACTGGCTCCGGGTGAACCACTGGTTCTGTAGAAGCTGTCAGTATACCTTGCTGGTAGATGCACGAAATAGCCTTACATCGGCGGAGAAAAGACTTCGGTCAACATCATCCGTGATAACCTGTGAACGTCATGTGAGCGCTGCTACTTCGAGGATGTGTGTGTGTGTGTTGACCTACCATAGCTCTGGCGATGGGCAGTCCAGTGACCATGTTCTCGAACATGGCATCGTACATGAGCTGCATCAAACTATACCGAAGTCGGATCTGGTGTCTGCAGACAGGGAGTACAGCTCGGTAGAGCATAGCTTCATGACCTTGATACTGACCACTGTTTTGCTCATAGTGCTTCTGGTAAGCATAGGGTTCCTGGAATTGCTTGCCATCCTTTCTCATTTGGCCGTTTCTTGGGCCATCGACCCAGAAGCGTTTCTTGGTGTAGTGGTTCCTAATTGCCTGTGAGCCTATGTTTTACCTCGAAGGGCAGCAGAACTAACCTGAACCAAGGGAGTAGAGAGTATGCACAGTACCAACGGATAAGCAGTTCAGGGTTAGCATAGTCATGCTCAGAATCGATAAACTCAAATCCGCCAACATCCTGGCCGGAGATGGTGATACCTGACATGCCCAGGGCAAGAACCTGGGCGACTGAAATGTCGAGGAATTCCCAGGTAGAAGCATTGTCTCCAGTCCAAAGACCAGCGAAACGGTGGCTTCCAACGAAACTGCCGCGGCCGATGATAAAGTTTCGTCTATTCTCTCTCCAGGATAACTTGGGACTGAGCTCGTGAATGTTATTCAGCCCGTGGTAGGTAGCTTTGTGCAAGTTGTAGCTGTACAGAGACCAGATCTCAATAGCCTTCTTCCGAGTGAGCCGGCTGGAGTCTTGGGACCAGCCATCAGAATCAAGGTTAAGACGGAAGGGTAGGCTTTGTGTGGTTAGCAAACACCACAACTACCATGATGCTAAACTTACCCTTTCATGTCTCCATACTCCTCGGCAATACAAGGACCAGTCATATCCTGCCAGACAAAATCGAGACCGCACTCGAAAAGATACTGATACTGTTTACCCCACCACTCTCGTACCTCCTTGTTGTTCAAGTTCGGATAGTGACCCGGGTGACCGTTTCCCCAGCCGTAAAAGACGCCGCCATGGAAAGGCTGCTTGTTGTTGAAGGTTTGAGAAAATTCAGACGTATCGGGTTCGAAATAAGGCGGCTTCTCCAAAATGGGCACTTTGAAGGTCTGGTTTCCGACTGACCATCCTTGGTAGCGCTGCTCGTAGGCTTGAGTTGCCGATGGGTCGATGTCACGGTCATCGATGATAAACCGCCCATCCTTTAAACCCTCATTGAGAGTCGGGTAAGAGTCGCTTGGCATGGAGCTGATGTAAGGAGTGATATTGGTGCTGCACTTGACGCCCTGGCCTCTCAGTGTGTTGAACATTTGAACAGGGTCAGGGAAATGCTTGTCTCGTTTGTCAATCGTGAAAGTCCGATAGTCATCTTGCATGTCAACATCGATGTGCATGCCGTCAATAGGGATACCGCAATTGCGATATTCCTGGATTGCTTCGAGTACCGACTCTTGGTTATCGTAGCCATAGCAGGCCTGGTGGTAGCCAAGGACATATCGAGGCTTGAGCCTAGGCTTACCAACGATGGAAGTGTAGGATGAGATGAGGTCTTGCATACTGTCGCCAGCAACCATGATAGCGCGGAAGCTGTTGAATCGGGTAGCAACGCGAATAGCACCTTGGTCCTTGACTCCGACATCAACGCAGATATGAGAATAGTTGTCAATGAAAGTTGAGATCTGGGACCGATATCCCGGGTGGGAGTCGACCTCAATCCAGAATGGTTCCGAGTGGTAGAGCGGCTCTCTGTCATCGAGTGGACCTTTTCCATAGACATTTTGATATCTCATGTTGTCGAAGTCTAAAACCATTAGTTCTGACTGTCTATAGCCAGTATTTGACTTACTAAAGTAGTTCATGTAGGTTCTCTTCTTAAACAAATTCTTGCCACCCTGTTCGCCGAACCCCATAAAATCCGCCGTGACAGACTTCTCAATTGACAGAACAGTTGCCGTGCCGCTATACTGTAGACCTCTAGGCTTAGTCCTCCAGATGATTGCAGCCTGCGCTCCCCTAGAAACGGGTAATTCGAGCTGCTTCACCGTCCCAGAATCAGCTGTCTGCAACTCAGGCAGCTTCTCAACAGGAGGGCTACTTTCCAAGACCTGCACGGCTGTGATCTGGAATGGATCTCTCTGCACCCAGATTTGAAGCTGGACCTGGCGATTGGAAGCTTTAGGATTTAGCACAGACTGGAGGATGATGTATCGCGGGTCTTCAACGACTTCCACAGCCCAATCGACATTCTCGAGCTCGTCAAGAGTGGCAATGAGTGAACTGAGGGTATCCTTGACGATTGTTCGACTGGATTTGAGTTAAACAATGCTGTAGCTGGCAGGTATGAAACGGCAGCCACTTACGTGTTGAAGTCGGTGAAATCAGCACCATTCTTATTGTTAGCATCAAATCGGATCTGCCAGACCTTGGGGCGAACGAATTGAATGAGAAGAAGAGAGTCATCATTGAACCGAAAGACAGCCCCGTGACTGCAGGCTGGATTCTTGTCGCCGCTGCTCATCAGTTGATCATCATTCTTGTAGGTGACCCTGGCTGGCTGATTGATCTTACCAGCACCCGAATCAAGGCCTTGAAAGAAGTCATCAGCTTTGACAAAGATGAAAGGATCGCGAAGCTTGGTATCTTCGTACCCTCCCATATTGGTAAGAGCTTGAGCAAGAGTATACAATGGTGTTGATGTTAATCAAAGCGGGGTAGAGCGAACAGAAGAATAACTAAGAAAGGTAGAGGTGAGCGAGTGCATTTAATAGTTTGGGTTCATCACCTCCAATGCTGACCGGTGTCACGCTGTGTAACCAATATTTGGTTTCTGGTTCGAAAGCGGCCGTCGTTTCCTGCGGTCATCATCTCCAATATCGCACATACATATGCACGTGGATCGTTACAGTAACGACACCACCAATATTCATGTCAAAGGCTGGAATTGTCGAAGGGGCTACCAATTCCGCCTTTACTTGCAGAAAGCAGTGCTCGTAGGAGTTTGAACTTGTAACACCCCAGATTGACCGGAAAGACACTCTCACGCTCAATTGCCGAGACAGCAGCCTTTTCACGTCTTCAATGAATCTACGGAATTGTAATCAACCGTACACTCAGATATAAGCCGGCTATAAACCGCATAGGTAAGAATGAGATGATCTCATCCTCCTCGGTTTGTGAACTTTCATATTTTGAACCTTACAGATCAGCTCAATACTAATAGACTTGAGAAAATGGGATGAGGTTCAGCTAAATCCTCGCTCCCTTGATCATATCGTCAACTATAAATTACAACTGTTATCTTGCCGATCTGTTCTCTAGAATCTGGGTGAAACCCGACATCTAGAAGATGCCATTTCTCAGAGAGATTGGTATTTGGCTGAAGACTCTTACGCATAGTTGCACACCTTGACAAGGTAGAATAACTACAGCTAGATGAACATGCTTATTCCAGTTCATGTAGCGGCTTTATCAATATCGAATTTAAACGATTTTAGGTTGGTAGCAGTCGAATGCGACAAGCCCAACATATTTTATTTAGTAGAAGTCCACACACCTTGGGTCTACGCATTGCTTTATACATTCATATCATGATTAAATCGTGTATAAAAACATTGAGACGGCATTTTTCTCTTTGTATTTTGTTATAGATTGATACAGAGTTTTAGAACGCTCAATAGGCTAAGATTCACGGTCTTTGTGTCTGTCAGAGTCTAGTGATTTGTAAACACAATATCCTACTTATCCTACAAAGATTCTAGAAAACTATACAAGTGACCCAATAGGATCTTGTAGAATCAGAACTGATGGCCAAGACTACTGTCGATTTGATGACCGATCGGCGATAAGATGGTGTGAAAGTTCCATACCTGGTTATTGTTTTGGAAAAGGATGCTAATCTTTATACAGTCCCGTGCAAAAGCTCCAACAACGAGGAAACTACAAGATAAGAATATACATAAAGATATATAAAATAAATAATATCTAGAATATTTTTAAGTAATCTTAGGATAGAATTATGTAAGATTTTATATAGAATAAGAGAGTTTATAGTTATTTATATTATATTATATAAAGTTTAGAAGAGAGGAAGTTATCAGAACTTTTGCCTACCCACTGTACTATAGTTCATAGTTCAAATCATATGATAATTCAGCGTTTTTTGAATCTTATGGTAACCTTTCACGAGAACGATCATGTAACAGCCAATGCGCATCCGAGCTTCGATTACTGACCCCAGCTCAAAGTAAGCACTATGGCTAAAGCGCGCGTATAGCCTATATTGAACACCTATTTACATGCAATTAGGCCGACGCATCCGCTTCATCTTTCGCTTGATTATCTTCACTCTTACATCAAACAATATGACGGGCCTTAGATACGACCCTGAGTACTTCAAGGCTATGGAGCCTCTCCTCAAAGGCCCCAAGCCTGAGCCCGCCAAAACGGTCCTTGAAATCAGGGAGCGCACAAATGCTGTTATTCATCGCGTCGTCGGCGCATTTCCTCGCCCATCCAATGTCAAAGAGACTGTATACACTACTAAGAGCTATGATGGCGCTGAGATCGAGATTACTCGTTTCGCATCGGAGGAAATCTTGGCTTCGGAGAAACCTACCCCGGCTGTGGTCTACTTCCACGGTGGAGGGTACGTAGCTTGCGACGTCAAAATGTTTGCGCCTCAAATTTCGGGGTTCGCAGACAGATACGGGCTACCCTACTTTGCTGTTTCTTATAGACTGGCCCCGGAGCATCCTGCGCCAGCTGGAGTGGAGGACGGTTACGCAGCTGTCCAGTGGTTGATAAAATCTGCGGCTGAATTCAACATCGACCCTACCAAGATCATTCTACACGGCGACAGCGCTGGTGGCGGTCTCGCTGCAGGTCTGGCCTTGATGGCCCGAGATCGCCAACTTGACCCTCCAATTGCCAAGCAGGTGCTCATCTATCCTATGCTGGACGATCGCTACAATATCGAAAATGATGATCCCATGCTGGACTTGATGGCATGGAAACCAGATGCTGCTAAAATTGTGTGGGACTCATATGCATCGAAGGTCCGAGAGGGTCATGATGCGCAGGCTCTGTCGTACGCTATTCCCGCTCGGGCTTCGAGTCTGCAGGGATTGCCTTCTACGTACATAGACGTCGGGAGTCTGGACCTTTTCAGAGACGAGAACCTTGAGTATGCTAAGAGGTTGGCGAATGACCATGTTGAGGTTGAGTTTCATCTTTGGCCAGGGTTGCCGCACGGATTTGATGGAACACTTTCCCTCAAATGGTTTGCGCGTGCACAAGAGAGTCGTTTGGATAGTTTGAAGAGGGTTTGATGTCGAGTAATACATGACGCAAAATTAGTCAAGTTATTTGGAGCATACAGAGTAGACGCATAAGATTGTAGGGCAATCTTTCCAACTGTTTCCCATTTCACCGTCGAATGACCATCGTGCAGATCCAAACACTTCAAAATGATCAGACCCCTATGCACTTGTCAATCGGTTCCGTTACTTCATACTGTAACCTGCATCGGATCTTCAGGCACGGCTTATCCTTCCATGTAACCATTGAGCTACCGAAATGGAGCTGCAGGTACCGTATATGATCAAGATCGGATGCCAGTAGGCTGCACGATGCATGGCTATTTATGCTTAAATTTTCACTAGTTGATTCATATGGATTTATTCTGGTCACATTGGAAGGATAGTTTCAGGGCCAGAGTGGAAACTTTGAGATGATCTAACGATGGAGAGAGGCGATTCTAGCAACACACCGTTGTCCGCATATTAGAGCCAACGCTGCTTGGATTCTTTAATAGCGAAGTGGGTTATCAAAAGTGGCGAGGTCGAGGCCGTGAAAAATCTGCTTCGACTTTTCTTCATCGTGCATAATTAATCTATCGAACCGATGAGGTGTGTTGCAATACCGAGTTGACAGAAAGGTTTAGTCGACATTCTCCATAAATATGATGAGTTTATTTTGTCTTTATGCCTAACTTTATGTGGTAAAAGAGCTTCAGCTGCCGATGAGAACATTAGACTTTGCAAGCATGAGCCCACCAAAGAAGAGAAAGACACGGCATTGGTCGGGGTGTAATGCACGTCACGAATGAGGCTAATAGGGCCGATGCCAGTTGAAATGACAAGCCAAGACGTCCAGAGCCGCTTCAATAGAAACGCGGGTGAATGTGGAGACGAATATGGGGGAACTGTCATCAGGCACAATAACCTCTGATCCAAGGCGTGGCAATACTACGCTACGGCTAATAACCCTCGCAACCCTTCGATTCTGGGGCTGGGACTGGGGTATTCGGCCGTTTTCCCACCGGTAATTGAGGGGTAGACTAGCATGGGAAGACGATCGACTAAGGGCGGGAGGATAAAATGCATCAATGGGAATTTTTTCCATGCGAGGATTCGGGAGTGTAAGCCGGGGAAAAAGCTATGTCATGTTATGTTATGCGGGTCATCAGTGACCGAGGTGGTTTTGTTGGTGGTGATATAAGACGTTGTGATGCTGCCAACGGTTCTGGCGCGTACGCACGATCACTTGCTGGAAGAATAGGCATTGAGAATGAAGCTCCTTTCACTCTCTACCGTCGGGCTTTTGGCCTTGACTGGGTTCTCAATTGCACAAAAGAACGCTGACGTTCCGATTCAGGACAATGGACTGACCAACATTGTTCAATGGTAAATATACCAAACTGGCATCATGTAGCTCAATTCTCACGATACATTGTAGGGACGACCACAGCTATCTCATCAACGGCGAGCGAATCTTTCTCTTTTCCGGAGAATTTCACTACTGGCGTCTGCCTGTGTACGCATCACCAATCCAAACCCAACCAATCCATACTAACAAGTAATAGACCCGAGCTCTGGCGAGACTTGCTAGAAAAGATCAAAGCTGCCGGCTTCACTGCCTTCAGCATCTACAACAGCTGGGGCTACCACGAAGCCTCCCCGGGCGTCATCGACTTTGAGAATGGCGCCCACGATTTCGTCTCCATCATGACCCTGGCCAAGGAGCTCGGCCTTTACCTCCTCATCCGTCCTGGTCCCTACGTCAATGCCGAGGCTAACGCCGGAGGATTCCCTCTTTGGGTCACGACTGGAGAGTACGGCAAGCTTCGCAATGATGACCCCAGATTTACAAAGGCTTGGTCCAAGTACTGGACTGAGATCTCCAAGATCATCGAGCCGCACCTCATTACCAACGGTGGCAATGTTGCTATGTTCCAGGTAATTATCGCACATGCAATGAAAAGGTTCAGAGGCTGACATGTTTAGATTGAAAACGAGTTGGGTGGTCAGTGGAAGAACGACGACAAGAGAATTCTCAACGAGCCTACTGCAAACTACATGCAGCTTCTCAAAGAATCCGCCAGGGATGCTGGTATTGACGTTCCTGTTTTCCACAACGCCCCAAACACTGTAAGTCACTCAACCGATATTCTGCCCCAAGTCACAAGCACTGACTCGACTTAGCGAACATTCTCTTGGTCCAACGACTTCGAAGCTAATGCAACTGGCAACGTCGACGTCACCGGTGTCGACAGCTATCCTTCCTGCTGGAGCTGCAACCTCGATGAGTGCACCGGCACCAACGGCGAATACGTGCCCTACAACATCCAGGACTATGTCAGCTACTTTGCCAAGCAGTCTCCTGCCCAGCCTCACTTTCTGCCTGAGTTCCAGGGTGGATCTTACAACCCTTGGGGCGGTCCTGAGGGTGGCTGCCCTACTGATATTGGCCCTGATTTTGCCAACATCTTCTACCGCGACTTGATCGCTCAGCAGGCCACGGCTATATCCCTCTACATGATGTACGGTGGTACTAACTGGGGCTGGTTCGCTTGCCCTGTTGTTGCTACTAGTTACGATTACTCTTCTCCCATCTCGGAGAACCGTGCTATTTGGGATAAGTACTACGAGACAAAGTCTTTGACTTTGTTCACGCGAGTTGCGCACGATCTCACCAAGACCAACCGCGTAACTAACACCACGTCTCTTTCCACCAACGATGAGATTTTGATCACTGAGCTCCGACACGAGGATAACGATGCCGCTTTTTACGTCGCTAGACATGACCACTCCCCATCTGGTACTAAGGAGACTTTCAAGCTCAATGTCAAGACTTCAGAGGGCAAACTTACCATCCCCCAGAACGGTGGCGATATCACCATCAACGGCCATCAGTCCAAGGTCATCCCAACAGACTTCCACTTTGGGAAGAAGACACTCCTCTACTCCACTGCCGAGGTTCTCACCTACTCTGTCATTGATAACAAAGAGGTCATTGTTCTCTGGCTGCCAGAGGGCGAGTTTGGAGAATTTACCCTCAAGGGACACACTGAGCTCAAGCACGACAAATCCCTTGAGGGCATCAAGATCAAAGCAGGCAAGAAGAGTGTCACTGTCAACTACACCCAACAGAAGGGTCTTTACACTCTCAAACTCAAGGACGGTTCTACCATCATCCTCGCTGATCGCAAGACTGCTTACAAATTCTGGGCTCCCACTCTGAACAACGATCCTTTTGCACCTGTGAACAAGACTGGTATGTCAGAGTTAGACTTGAAATAGGAAACTTAATTGCTAACCTTTTAGTTTTGGTTCATGGACCTTATCTCGTCCGCCACGCCACCGTCAAGGACGGTCAGCTCAACCTCGAGGGAGATCTCGACGCGTCCACGGAGATCACAGTCTTTGCTTCTGAGTCTCTCAAGTCCATCTCCTGGAACGGCGAGAAGGTTAAGGTTTCATCGAAGGAGGGCCACAAGTACACCATCAAGGGCAAGGGTCCCTCCAAGGTCAAACTTCCTAACCTTGAGTCTTGGAAGTACGCCGATAGTCTGCCAGAAATCAAGTCCGACTACAAGACTTCGTCTTCAGTTTGGGTTGGTATGTATATGAACTTTCGTCCGAAATTATCAAATGCTAACTTATCATAGTCGCCGACAAGAAGAACACCACTAACCAGGTCCTCGTTCCTGATCTGAAGAACCCTGTTCTCTATGTCGACGAGTACAAGATCCATTACGGAAACCACATCTACAGGGCTACTTTCCCGACCACCAGCTCTGCCCCTACTGGTGTTCACCTTGATCTCACAGGCGGTCTGGCCTTTGGTTACTCTGTCTGGCTCAACTCGGACTACATCGGCTCGTACCTCGGAAACGCAACCCTTGGCAAATCAGGACAGGAATTCTCTTTCAAGAACGCCACTCTTTCCAAGAAGGAGAACGTCCTTGTTGTTCTGATGGATAATTCTGGCCACGACCTTCGCGACGGTGCCCTTGACCCTCGAGGCATCACCAACGCAACTCTCATCGGCTCTGCTAAGGGAGGCTACAAGTTCTCTGAGTGGAAGATTGCTGGACATGCTGGAAGTGTTAAGGGTGAGGTTATCGACCCCATTCGCGGTCCTCTCAATGAAGGTGGTCTCTATGCTGAGCGTGTCGGTGCTCACTTGCCGGGCTTCTCTGACAAGAAGTGGAAGTCGTACTCTTCTAAGCAGGATACTCTCGCCAACCCTTCAGCTGGAGTACGCGCCTACCGAACTACCGTCGATCTCGATATCCCTGACGGCTTGGACGTCGGAATTTCATTCAAGCTTACAGCCCCATCCAGCACGACCTTCTCCTCCACCAAGAAGGGCTTCAGCAACCGCGTCAGAGTGCTTCTGTTTGTCAACGGCTACCAGATGGGTCGGTTCAACCCCTACATCGGCAACCAGATTTCCTTCCCTGTGCCCCCCGGTATTCTCAACTACAGCGGAGAGAACACCGTTGCTGTCACGGTTTGGAGTCAGAGTGCTGAGGGAGGCGAGGTCAAGGTTGAGTGGGAGGTTGATTACGCTCATACCTCGAGCTTCGATGTTAAGTTCGATGGTGACTACCTCCGTCCTGAGTGGAAGAAGGATAGACTACAATACGCATAAGTCACGAGTATTGAATTTATGATGGCAATCGGAAAGGATTGAATCGTAATTGGGGTATTAAGCTAGTGTATCTATCCCTTAGATAGTACTTTACTTGTCATTAAGATCCGTGGGCTTGACGAAAACCCAGTTCTTGTTGGCTGTGACCGGTAGTCCTTCTTTCTTCTGTGCGATGGTGAAGTTCTTGATCATGCCGTTAATCTGCTCTCTGTATGCATCCTTGCGGTCAACCCACAGGTGAATACCACCACGTGCAACATCAACGCCGTGGAAAATCATGGGGCCGTCACTATCGGGGGTATCACCAGCAGCAAGAATAGGCTTCTTCCACTCATCGATGTAAGTAAGAATGGCCGCCCATTTGCCCGCCTTCCAGGTTGCAGGGGCCCACAGCCAGGGTGTCATCTCGGCGTCGAGGTTCTGCTTTTGGGTCTTCACAGAGTATGTGCCATCCTCAATTTGTTTGCGAGCAGTGGTGATCTCGCCCTTCTTGGTCTTGAGGAAAACAGAGACACCAATCACGTTCTCGGGAGGGACGTTGTACTTGTATTTCTTGTCCGAGGCCACCATGCGCACCAACTCTTCAGAGGCAGCGCTGACGACGTAGACCTTGATGCCGTTGTTCATGAGGCGGTTGTATAGCTCAACTTGGCCCTCAAAGATCTTGGGGGGAGAAACCTCAGTAGCAGTAACCTTGTCATCCTCGTAATAAGTAGTAGGGATGGTCGTGTTCAGCGCCATCAACTCATCAACGTAACCCTTGAGCTTGCCCAGGGGGATACCAGAAAAGATCTGCACAGCCCAGGGATAGCACACAGCATCCTCAATCTCACAGAGGCGCAGGTAGTAACTGTACAGCGACTCCTTGTGCTTCTTGGTGTCCTTGAAAGGCACAAGCTTCAGAGTAGGGTCCATTGTCTCGCGTGTGATAACACCCTTGTTCTCGAGGTATGGAAGCAGAGACTCCTCCAGGTCGAATTGATAGCTGGTGTTGTCCATGTCGAAGACCGCGTAGCGTCCAGAGTTGGCATTGGCGGCAATCATCTTGTTGAGTGCCTTGGCGGCGTCCTTGGGCCAATGCTTCAGCTCGGGGCCTTTGAGGCCTTTAGAAGGGTGAGCAGCAACTGGGGTGCCCAGGCTTGTCAGCCAAATGGCATTGACGACGACAGTGCTGCTAAATCTCATGTTGGCGGCCTAAATTGAGTAATTGGCTGGTGTTTAGGAAGGGAAGATGCGGGATAAACAAGAGAGACCAAGAACTTTGTTTCTCGCCCATCCCGGGATTCATGCAGGTATTAAAGGATGCCGCTTGCCCGTCTGGGCCTCGCCAGGTTAGCGGCCCGACGTTTGTTCCATGGTGAAGCCACTGATTGTGTACCAGGAAGCAATATCCGGTGGTTGGTCTAGTCCGACGATCTTATACCTATCTGTCGACGCTAACCCGCTCAACGTTAATGGGGTTACACTCATCACACTGGACCCATACCAAGATACGAGCCCCTGGCAGGCAGGCAGGCTACAGAAGGCATGAGGGATTCATCTATCATGGCGAATCCATGTACGTCATGGGGTAGGTTTGATCATGATGTTGTCAATTGAGGATGTTGCAGTTTGGCTTACAATCAATTGGTCTATGGTGAGGGAAACTGAATGTAGAGAGCAGAGATGGCTGTACAAAGTATACTGTATTGTCTTCTTATCAGACCTTAATTGAACAAGTCATCCGTCCGCTGACAGCCAGAAAAACGGCATTCGGCATTCGGCTGTTGGTAGATAATGTTTGAAGGCTTGCAGCTCGTCTCCAAACCCCATCTGGGCAAACAGCAACATTTCAAGAATCTAGTGTTTCCAAAACGGCTAATCAATACTAACAGGGGCTGAAAGCCTTAAATTTAGTTTACCCCAGCCTGCCCAGCCCAAGTTCTGCTTATCGCAAAAACACAAGCGGGAAAATTCGCTCAGTTGGCATAACAGGCCTGCAAGCGCAAGGGTTCCTAGCGCTTAGCGAAATAGTTCAAAAGTGTATTTCCCTGCTTCGGAGTCTTGTTTTGGGATTTCTGCGGCGAGCCCGAGCCTTTTTTGCCGAGTTCCAGCACCTCCACGAACTCCTCGAATTCGGCTTTGGGGACTATTCCGCCGCTTGCCTCTTTGTGCCCACGAGCAAAAGACTCTCCCAATCGCTCTCGAAGCGTCGGGTCTTTTGCTCGCGAAGCCACATCACGAAGAATCTCAATGATGTTTACTGGCGGTTCTTTGGCCCTTGCGCAGCGGGGAATGCGACATGAAAAGTTGACCATGCCTGGTAGGTAGCCTTCGTTGGCCACCAGGATGACTTCAAGACTAGCTGACTGTAGATGGCCAGCCCAACGCGTTGCAATGACAGGATGGACCTGGGCTTCGGAATTGATACGGAACACTGCTATTCTTCCATCGGAAGAAAACTTTGGTGCCGTGTGAGTGCACCTCTCAACTTCCGCATTCACTTCAGCTCTGGCCGCAAGTAAAGTCTTGTCTTTGAGAAGATCTTTGGGTGTTGAAACGGCAATCAATGCTTCCCATGCCCCGGGCACGTTGTAGGTTGCTGTGCGGCGCGGAGCGTTAATGAGCGAGACAGCATCGTTAATTGCCTTCTTGGTGTACATCTTGAAAGTCGCTTTCATATCTGGAAAGGGGGGTTCCCATTTGAGAGTATTGCCCAGGTCGCCGTGCGTGCCCATGGCACATAGCCAATCGCATGTTCTTTCTACCTCCGGATGTAAGTCGCGACAGATCAGATACGTCAGTAACGAGCTCGTGGCTACAGGTGTGCTATTGCATGCTGTGACAAATGCAGCATCCTTTGGGTGGTCTTTCTCTTCTGCGTGATGGTGATCGATTACAAGGCCGCGGTGAGGTTCGTCAATAAGAGGTGGTGACTCTCGTGAACCTTGGTCGAGTACAAATATGAATGCCGGTTTGTAGGAAGCCATAGCAGTGCGAGATTCATCATCGTGGACATTGCGACCCTTTTTCAGTACGTAGACTGATATCAGTTCCGGATCGAGGCCAAGCAGTATCAGGGTCTTTCTCAGTATGGCTCCAGATGTCAGGCCGTCGGCGTCTTTGTCGGGGACAATAAGAGTAGATTGGGAGGCCGCGACACTATCAGATCATCAGTTTAGAGACACTTTCCGCCGGGCGAGATGTTATCATCCCAGGTGTTTGTATAGGAAGAGATGAAATGACATACCATTCACGAATGAAGGTTCTGGCTACCTCAATCTGATTCTTCGGTGCCGGCCAGATGATCTCGCCATTGCTATCTTTCCTTGATGGCGTCGAGTGATACTCAGGCACACTTATGCTGGGTTTTGAAGTCCGAGGCTTCTTAGGACTTTGGGTGCCTGTTTTTAAGCTTGCAGTGGTTGCGGTTCGTTTCATGGCGAATTGTTGTGGGATAATGAATGATGGTCGTCTTACGCAAGGGAAGTGAAAGAACCTCTGTGCTCTGCAAGATGGTATAACCACAGATTTTGATGCAAGGGGTCGCATGGTATCCTCGACTATGCATTTGATGCCGACCTTTGGTTTTGACTTTTGAGTACATCATTGGCGCTTTGTTTGGCTGGAAACAATACTCGTCATAGAACAAGTGTGGCCGGGCTCTTACACAGCCACAAACCCTAGCCACATGGCGTAACAGTGAGTAACGGTCAAGTACAAACCTCAATACAAAAAAAGAGATGTGCAACACAGAAAAAAAGGATATTTCTGTGTTACACAGATGGCTGGAACTCTCCCGCCGGGAATTGAACCCGGTCTCAAGCGTGACAAGCTTGCATACTGACCACTATACTACGGAAGATGATGACTGTGAGCAGTCATTGTAGCGAGTTCGATGTCACGTGGTGAGAAAACAGAGTCTATATACCCACGATGGATTTCCTCCTGCTTAACACCGAGTAGTATGATGGGATATTTGATGATTTAAACAACTATTACCACGAAAAGTTACTATGTAGCAGGAACACATACGTATGATTGTATTAACCAGTAACAACCATGTGCTTTCCAGAGAAAACAATGCATCATTTTCCATGACAACATCTTCATCGAGGATTATCGCTCGGAAACCCGAGACTGACTAATCCAAATGTCCAATCAGATCACAGCCTCTGGTAAACTTTCTTCCAGCGAATGGGCTGACGCGTATGACAGCAGCCCCAAGCTTGCCATCATCTCCATTTTTAACTTCCTTAGCTGCTATGAATCTGACGATAAAGCCAAACCCGCTCGGAGTCTCGGTGGTAAAAACAAGTATATAGCCACGAGAAAATGAATTGATTTTTCACTCTTCTACAAACACCATTGATCTCAGTTACTTCGTAAACTGAACGGCACGATGTCAAGTGATACTATTGATTCCACGAGGCCTCATGCCATTCACAAAGTGTTCGAGGAGCTTGGCCTCGTCTCGCTATATCAATCGACCAAAGACATCAAGATCCTTTGTGTCCAGAGGTTTATTCGACTTTTTGCGTATGGCGCATCAACGCTGGTCCTCGTCGCCTTCCTTCGCGAACTCGGCATATCAACCACTCGTGTCGGTTTATTCATGACCCTGACACTGAGTGGCGATATCGTCATCAGCTTCCTACTTGCGCTGTTCGCTGATGGCGTCGGTCGACGAGCTGTGCTGGCTTTGGGGGCGATCCTAATGACCGCGAGTGGAATTGTGTTTGCAACTTCTAGTAATTACTGGATTTTGCTTGCTGCTGCCATTCTAGGTGTAATTAGTCCTGGGTAAGTCAGTGTGCGCTCAACTTATCCCTATTACTGACGAGTCTTGTGATAGTGGTAACGAGATTGGCCCTTTTCGGGGCGTCGAAGAGAGTATAGTTGCACACCTGACTGATCCAGCCAAGCGTGGCGATGTCTATGCTTGGTACAGTCTTTCCGGTACTGCTGGTGGTGCCTTTGGCCTGTTGACATGTGGCTGGGCTATCCACCACATGCGTGTCAGCCTCAATATGGATGTCATCGACATCTACCGCACAGTATTCTATGGATACTCGGCGATTGGAGTATTGAAGTTGATATCGGCAGTCATTCTCAGTGCGGCAGTAGAAGTCCATGATGAACCCGAAGAAGAGCCATTGGCTTCAACCGCAGAGGATACTGAGCAGGCTCCTCTACTTCCAGCAGCACCCCAGAATGAGAGCCAAGCTGCGCCAAAGAAGAAGAAGCTACTAGCTCGAGTATCGCGCGAGAGCCTCCCAACTGTTGTGACCCTATGCACGCTGTTTGCACTAGATAGTTTTGCCTCTGGACTTGCTCCTCTGTAAGTTAGAATTAACAATTCGATCGAATCATGGAAGCTAACAATTACATCAAGTTCATGGATCACTTACTACTTCAAATCTCAGTACCATATTGAGGAAGGAAAGCTTGGTTCCATCTTTTTTACCACCAGCATTATTGCCGCTGGATCTGTGCTGGTTGCATCATCCCTTGCGAAGCGTATTGGTAACGTCCGAGTAAGCATACCACAATTCATACTAGCACAAAGTCTTGTTACTAATGCAACCATCACAGACCATGGTCTTTACTCACATACCATCTGCTGTGTTTCTGGCCTTAATTCCTATTCCCAACGATGTCCATTTATCGGTTCTATTCCTCGTGCTTCGGTCCTGCATCCAATCCATGGACATCGCACCACGCGCCGCATTCCTTGCTACTATCATACCATCAAAAGAGAGAACGGTTGTCATCGGCCTCATCAACGTGGCCAAGACTACTTCTTCGAGCTTGGGACCGCTAATCACTGGCCTACTCGCAGATTCTAATTACTTTTGGGTTTCCTTCATTATGGCTGGATCTCTCAAGGTTTGTTATGACCTGGGTTTCCTTGCTCTCTTTAAGCATCGCGAGCACGCAGAGGCAAAACGCCACGATGAGCAAGAGTGATGTTGATCATGCAAATATGGAAAGCAGGGGTGACTCCCAGGGAATGATTTGAGGTAATAAATGTGGATTAGTGGTTGTCATTGTGCGAATGGGAAACAATCGGTCAGACTCGACCGCTCCATTATATAATTACAAAACGTATTTAATCCAATTTCAAGTGGCTAGTATACAATGAAGTTTCTAATACATGCTCCCACCTAAAGCTTCTGCATTGATATGAGATCGTTCACCAACAGCTTTCTTCACAACTATGACAAGCTCATCAAGAGTACCCAAGAACCTCACAAATGCGTAAACAGCTGCCGACCACTGCCGGCCTTCCTGTCCAGTGAGATACTCTTTTACGTTCTCTTCGTCTTGGAATTCGCCCCGCAACTTCCTGAACTGCATTGCTCTACCAACCAACGGCGTGGGCAAGATTGCTGGGAGTGACTCTCCAGACATCAAAGAGTGTTGGAGAAGTGTCAAAGTTGACATCAGATCCGCGATCATGTTTTCGTCTCCTGCACTCACCCTTTGCCGGAATCTTTCGCGAACTGGGAGAGGCAGTTTTGTGACGGTCAAGCTGAACTGTGTAAGGAACACGTTGAGGTTCATGCACAGGTGATTGGCGCGACTGAGTGTTTCGGTATCGATGTTTGACGTGGAGAACTCGAACTTCGTCTTGAGTATGGGGAGCGCGATGGAGCTCAGAAGCTCCTCATACGTGGTTGTTTCCTTCTCGATGACCTTTTCGAAGTCGCTGGGTGGTGAGCGCCAAACTGTTATAAGCAGAGCGTAGCGATCTCGGATGCTGGAGAGATGACTAGACAAGATTTGCCGATAATGCCTGTTTCCGGAGAGTGGTCGCGGAAGAAGAGCGACGAGCACAGCCGCGCCAAATCCTATCAGGACGAGGAGAATTCTTCGCCAGAAAACGTCGTATCCTACGCCTGGATTACCATAGGTGGGAATGTGCGTGTCAACCCAGCTGTATGACACAACCATGTACATAGTTGATGTAAGCATAATACCAGCCGCCATATGTTGGGGCGGAGCAAACAGCCTCCACCACATCATGCCGATAATAGCAACGGCCATGATAGCGGCTAAGCCATATGGATTACCTGGACCATTGCCTGCGCCGATGTACCAGCACACGAGACCAAGAACGCCGCCAGCGACAGTGCCCAGAGTTCGAATGATAATTCCAGAATTGAAATCCGACATATATGGCTCAAGAGCCATTTGGGCCATGATGAGAGCCCACATTCCCTTTTCCCGGTAGTAGAAGCCGGCAGATGACGGTATGACAGCAGGAACAGCAAGAGCGATTGTTAGAACTAGAGCACGTAAAGCGTGGAGTCCTTCAACATTCGTAAAGAAGTTCACCAGTGACAAGAAAATAAGGCTTGGTTTGCGTCGTTGACGGCTAGTTGGCTGTTGCATGCCTGCCAAAAGGGTTGCCGCAGTCTTGTCCGCTTCGGGTTCGACCTTGCTCTTGGCCTTCTTACTAAAAAGTCCCGATTTCTTTTCAGGCCTAGAAACTACAGACATGGTCCTAACAAGATCTGTGGTATTGGGGATCGTTGAAGGTGGCGCCTCATGGGAGAACATGAGCGAAAAGATGTTGTGAAGGCCTCCGGGAAGCCACACGCGCTTTTTTGGTCGGATCTTTTCGGTCTCGATGGCTCTTTCTAGAACAGCTGCAATGTTTTTGGCGAGGTTGATCAGTCGCTCTTGATACAGAAGACCAGACATGAGGCCGAGAAGAGGAGGGGCACGACGATCGTCGTAGATGATCTTGCCATCAGCATCAAACAGGTGGGCATGGGGGGCGATTAGTTGCTCTGCAGCCGTGTCCTCGAAGTCTTCCAGCGATTCTTGCAGGGACATGAGAACCTGCTCGTGCTGGGGCACTGGATCCTTCTTCGAGGTTCCCGACAGTGTCTGAATGATAGCATCGATGCTTTGATCTAGATTTTGAATCAGCGGGCCAGCGCATACAGACAGTGCGTCAGTGGTCTTGATGATCATCTCTTCGGTGTCGGGATGTCTCGTGATTTCTCGTAGATTTGCTGCCTTAGCGATGTGATAGGCTAGTGGATGTTTCTCATTGCTAGAGTTCTCCAGCTCCTCTGCAGCTTTTGTCAGGGCATCGTCTTTGGCGAAGAGCTCCTCACGAGAGATGGACAGTTGTAGTAGTTCCCCAAATGTGACCAAGACTTGTCGCAGCGGCTCTTGAAAGGACTTGATATCGTTGGGGCTCCATTTTCGATATGTGGCGTCCATGGGAAGAAACTTGATGGCTGATTCGATGCCTTTGTACGCCAAGGTCAAACTTGCCTTTAGTTCCTGGAGTCGCTCTGGTTCAAACCTAGCTCTCGTCCTGAAGTGCCAACTCAGAGACTTGACATAACTGTTCATGGGTTCAAGCAATCCGGCCATGCTTCCGAGTGTAATTTGTGAGGTGGACTGTGGAAAGAGCAGCAGGTTGCAGACTACACCGACGCCAACTGCGATGGCACTTGGAAGAATCAAGACTTTCGGGATCGTGCCTTGAAATGTGGGGATTAGTGGTGCAGTTGTGAGGTAGATGTCCGCAACTATCATGGAAAAGATTGACACGAGTGCCAGATTCGGCGCAGCAACTCGTACGCGGGCCTGTAGTGAGAATCATCAGTCGACAGCACGCTACAAAGCTTGGAATACCTACCATAAAGTATACAAACAGACCCATCATGCAAAAGTAGGTGACGCTCACGCGAGTATCGAGCATAAATCCTTGGTAGATGGCAATCTGCTGGTAAGTCGTCTGGCCAGAAGCTTGGCCGACATTGGTCGTGTTCTGGGGCGCTGATTGCTGCAGTTCTCCATAGCGTTGCATCAAATCAGCCTGCGGCCTTGTGGCTAACGCAGCTTTCATGGTGATCGCTCCCCAAGCCCAGCCCATTGCAAGGCCGACGCAGATCATAAGGCCAGCCATGAAGTGGATGAACACAACGCCCGAAGGCGGCATGATAAACAAGACAACACTAGATGCATGGTCAGTAAATGAGACGCAGCCAGAAAAGCACATCGTGTCTTACCATCCGAAGAATGCCGCCTGGCCAAGCACTCGCAGGGTGTCGTTGATGAAAATAAAGATGGTGAGAATCCAGACAGCTAGGGAGCACTTGAACAGGATCTTGAGATCCCTGGCATTGAAATGGTCCAACCACGCGGGAAGCTTCTTGGGACTGTTGAAAGCATTAAAAGACGCTTCCCCGTCTCCCATTGAGTTCTCCTGTTTCGATTTTGGCTGTTTGAGCACCATTTTCGGCTCTTCGTGGGACGGCCGGCAGTGTTGATGCTAATGTTTTGATGACGTTTTGAAATATGGAGGTACAGAATGCCAGTCAGTGCCGGGAATGGCGCATTCGTGCCTTTTTACGTTAGTGCAGGTAAATACGAGCTGAAAAGCTTTGATCATGACTAAGACAAATGAGTACCTAAATCATTAAGGATCATCAAGGTTTGATCTAAACGCGATAGCTTAATTTCCTTTTCATCTAAGCGACAACGCTTGAATACGTCCAATCTCTATTTCCTACGGAGTATCCGTACTCCGCGGAAACTCCGTGCTAGCCTTGAGTATGCACAAGGCGAACTGGAACTAAGCTGTCAAGAAATATGGTGAAAGCTTGGGTAAGCTATGAGTACTTGTGATTGATTTCGGTACAGTGGGAACAGACGAGCCTGCACTGACCTTAAATGCATTATGTTGTTCGGACGCGTGCTCCTCTGTCTCCTTTCCCGTCGCGCACGTGCAAGCATTCTCACTCCTCGGCATGTCAGCGAAGACTTCGAACTCCCGAAACGAATTCAGAGACTTTACAATATTCATGCCCATGTGCATGCAATTGGCTGACACGAATCTTATCTCTGCTTCCCAGTCTGGATTAAAAGCAAGGCAATCCATTGTGTATTTTGTAAACTCTTGCTTATTATTGAGCTTAAAAGTACCGAAGCGACAGCGATCATTTGTCTTTGTCTTGTGGAGATATTGAACAAGTTCATTCAATCATGACCAGCATCATTTGTCTCCATGTTCTCCCAAGCACTTAGCGATCAAGACATTCGTGAGTTTATAGAACCTTGGAGAATCTGAATACCATGAATTGAAAGACTCAATCATATAAATGATGCACTGGATTAACCATGGCCATACCCTGTACCAAACACCAATGGTAAATGGTCACCTTATCTGGGTACGCCGATAAGAGTTGGCTGGGGAGATAAGCTTATCAGTCGCCTGATCATTCCTAAAGCACACTAGCTCAATCTCCATCCTTATCTCACTCCTCGCCTCCGACCATCGCTATCATGAGTTTCCCCCGCCTCTACCGGCCGCAAATGACATAAACCCGGAAAACAAACATGTTTTCTTGTTTCTCCCGGCAGATCAATCTCTACCTCACCTCTGATGCCACCTCAGCGTCGATCATGGGTCGGATGTGCAAGGTGCAAAAGTTTCAAGAAGAAGTGCAGTGAGGAGAGACCTGTCTGTCAGAGATGTCAGAGTGCTGGGGCCAAATGCGAGTATGGGGTCACGTTGCGCTGGGGAGGGAGGCCCTTCAATCGCTCGCCTTTCGGAGATTGTTTGTCGCAGAATGACGGCAACGTTCAAAGACTAGGTGAGTCCCTTGAGTTTCAAAGTTGCACATATACTAACTGTGGCAGATTTAAACAAGAAAAACTTCATTTATGTTTCCCCTTCCACTCCCAAAACAGCTCCAGCAACGGTCACATCACCCATCCTGGATAGCGCCCCAAATTATACAAAATGGACAGCAAGTTCTCCAGCCGCTTCAGAAGCAGAGTCCCTTGACTATTCACAGCTGGTCCTGAGCCAACGACAAACGTCAATACCCCTAACTCCCTCCGTTGAGTATTTCGGTCATCTATCTCCTCTGCACAGATCAGGTCTCCAGTACTTCACCGAAAGAACAGTCCGAGCTCTCGCGCCTCATCCTCAGATCTTTGATGAACTATGCGAACTCATCTTACCGATGGCAGTCTTTAATGAACCTTTGTTGCAAGGCATTGTTGCGCTCGCAGCTACTCACCGATTGGCCAGTTGCAAAACAAACGAAGAGCAAACCTCACAGGCCCTCATTGTCGCTGGCTTTCAGGCCTTGAGCTCGAGATCACTCTGTCAGATGCTTTCTGCATATGCGGAAGACCAACAACTCATACCGCTTCTGGCCACGGCGAGAGCCTTGTTTGTCTGTGAAGTGTTCGCCAGTGAGCCTAGTGCAGATCGATGGAGTGTGCATTTTCGAGGAGCGCGTGGGCTGATCTCCAGAATACAAGACAAAGGTCTCCTGCAGAACCCGACAGACGAGTTGCGTTTCCTATTACGGTGGTACGACATGACAGAATCCCTGGTCTGCCATTCTATGAGCGATCTTGCTCCTCGACAGTCTGCTATTCCCACACCGACGACACTCCCATCAAGATTCAATGATGAACCTATATATATCGACATGTACCTCGCACGTACGAAAGACTTGTTAGGGGTCTTCAAAGAGATTGCGCGTTTGTATCACATCAACAACACTGAAGCGACTCCCGACATTTCATCACAAAGCGGACAAGACGATACCGAGGTCTGGTGGCTCCTAAGCTATCTGCAGAGCATCATCGACAGAGACCAAGCAGATCCCCCTCCTGTCATGTCAATACGCGACCGAGTCCTCTCCGTCGCCGAAATCCACGAGTACAGACTATCAAATCAGATTTGGCAACTTACCGGACTTCTCCTCATTCATCGACGTTTGCGTCGCGAGCCCAGGACCTCGACGCTTGTTCAAGACCTCGTCCAACGTATTCTTGAGAGTGCAGAACGCATGACGCTGCGCGACGGTCTCACCCCCGTCACACTATTGACGCCTCCCTTGTTCTTTGCGGGATGCGATGCCCTTGGTCCCGACAGGCCGAGAATAAAGACTTCGCTGCAGGGTGTATCGACCGCCTTGGGCCTATTGAATACGCAAAGGGCGTTAGAGATCTTGGAAGAGTACTGGGAAGCGGATCCAGGCGTTGATGATGATTTGGCCGATAGATCATGGCCCAAGATCAGTCAATTTCTGCCATATTGAAGATGAGCGATTTTGTATCACTAATTCTCACGAGTTTCAAGATGGGTGGCGTTTGTTTTTCAAGTCTATAAGTTTGTTGCGCTCGCGTTGTTTATTATGACTCTAAACACTCTAATCTGTGAATAAATTACCGCAGTTCTGCATCATTTTAAACATATAATACAAGTTGCAAGAGACGTCGCATCGTTCTTATGTGACTCCACGACTCCAACTCCAAGATACAAAGAAAATTGCTCCGTAGGGGAACCCTCTACCACAGCTACCGTTAGAGGCCGGCACCAAACTCCACCTCCAGTTTTGATAACACCCTTAGTTCTGCTTCCTCATTGCAAAGACGCTCAAGAAGATACTCCAGCCAAATCCTACACAGACCGCCACCAAGACTCTAGACCGCACGGGTACCCAGAGGAAGTTGCATACAGCTACCAGTGGCCAGATGTGCCAACCCGCCTTGATTAGCGGCCATAGTCTGTTGCGAATGACTTCTGTGACCAGATAGGGATGTGCCACGCGGGCGATGTTTGTGCAGATGAGAAAGACGCTGCCGCTGATGGCTAGCCCAATGGTTTGATCAAGGATCAGCTTGGCGAAGACGTTGCGCCATATTAGATCAGGGCTGACATTGTACCATCTCTTGGGCTTCGCTGGATTGTCGTCGTCCTTCTTCTCCTCAACCTGCTTTGGATCTGCTTGGACCTGCGGCAGGATCTCGTTGGCTCTGATCGCGTGACCAGTAGGGAAGCAATCCTCCAGGATGAACTGAATGATGTTGCCAATCTGAGAGCCCAAGCAGCCGTAGACAGCAAACTCGAAAACCTGCTGCAGATCAAAAGTCGACACGCCTGGTGTTCTGATATGGATGATGAGCTGGGTGACCAGGTTGGCCGAGACTTTGATGGCCGTTGCCTGAAGGGCGAGGCGGAGATTGAGGGCGCGGACCATGGCGAGGGGAAGGCCTGGGCTGGACCCTAAAAGTGAGGGGCGAGAGCCTGTTACGTCGGAGTCATGAGAAGAGACCCTGTGGGTAGAGAAAGTGAAGCGGGTACGAGGGCTGACAAGGCTGAAGATGGTGGGTGGTGGGTGGGATGTTGAGTTGGGCTGGTTGGTGTATGTGTCTGTATCTGTATCCGTAGAAAGTGACCAAAGGTGATTAGTGACAGGCTGGCTTGTGCAGGGTTTCCCCTGACGGTTGGCGAATGAGAACAGCTGTCCCTTTTGTGGGGCCTGTAACTTCCATCGGCTGCTGGGGTCTGACTGGCATTGAATTTGTTCCTTTTGGTGTTACACAGCAGATTTTGCAAGATCAATAACTTACTCGTCATAATCTCATAAAGTGTATGTAGATATTAGATGAGGCATACCGTTGGCAAACTCAGATATGCTAAGTGTGTTGCTACACCTTTTTTCGCAGCAGTTTCAACGGTTTGTTGTCTGGTCCGCTCACGGTAAATTCCAAACTTTCACGCATGAAGAACACCAAGCAGCGCGTTGATGGCTAGAGTGTGTGTTATAGTGCCCAAGAAAGGATTTTTTCCGAAGGAAAGTCATAAAAATGTATTGAAATGCGACTAAGGCTTCACAAAGAACTTCAACGTCTTCATTATACTCATCCCTTGAGCTACTTGTCTTGATACCGGGTAGGTCAAATCAACAAAGACGACCCGCAAAAGGTAAAACATCACGACGGAGGCCAAAAAATGTGGACAACAGTGGAATCAAACCACCTAATTTGGACGAACAGGGAATCGAACCCTGGACCACTCCCAAGGACGAGCTCACTGAAGAGAACATGCTAAGGGAGTATTATACCACTAAACCATTCGCCCGAATGGATGGGTGGAACGCTTGCAATTCGGCACTAGGAGTCCAACGCCCTAGGGTTGAGAGTCGGAATGAATGACCACCAACTCACGAGACATTAATACAGCAGCGGTTTTGAGCACGTTGCGTGAGATTTGATAAACTAAATCGTATCCTGCGAGAACAGAGAATAGTCAGCACAAGCGTACGCTGGGTTTCCTTTCGATATCAGAGATTGAGGTTGGTGAACAGGTGAACAGCTGCCTGACAGTGCCCACCTCCGCCATCACATTCACTCACTTGGGCTGCCCACCATAAATTTCTTGCGCGCTCACTTTGTTTTGATTTCTTTTCCTTACCTTTCACTCTCCTCACCTCCGTTGGAAAATTCTGATTCAACCGCGCACGCCAGCGATGACCTGGTACGTTATATCGCTACAGCTTCTTTTCACAGAAGCATATCGCTGACTTCATCAGAGCATGTCGGAATTTCGCTTTTTCCTCGATCTCCCTCGGGAGCTGCAGGACGAGATCGTCTCTAACGCCATACCCCCGCTGACGGTACCCTGTCAATTCCTCACCGGATTAAGGGTATCCGCAGGCGAGCACAGCTTACTCTCGCTCAAGCTTTCGTGCCGCAGCATCAACGAAGCCGTGCAGCGAGTGCGCCAGGTCAAGGCCTTCTCCGCTGTGCATAGACCCCCAGGCCCGCCTATCTTCAGCTTCAACCCAGAAAAGGATACCCTGCGAGTGCGGGAAATGCGGCTGCCAAGTTCCACAAGCTCACGTGTCGAAAACGCTGCAGGTCTTCCGGTCAAGAGACTCATTTCGATGACTAAAAAGCTGTCTGTTTCCTTCAAATTGTGGCTGGACAAACTCAATCCAAGCGCCCCTCTTGACTTGTACGACCCGGCTTCACCAGCCAGAAAGCTCAAACTCGACAAGCTACCACATCTCCAGGAGCTCATCATCGTATCGCCGTCGGCGGACAGGTTTTAGTCAAACCCTCGCTTTTGGACGGAAGGCCCCCAACATGGAGAGGGGTTAGAACCATCACAAGAATCTCTGCGACAACATATCGGACATGCTTGGGAGGAAAACCGCGAAAGATACCGCGACCACATGTTAGAGATCCTCACTTCGTACACCAGCGCTAGAATGATGAGCCGACTCCCGGATCTCCAGCCAATGATCGGCCTACATGGTCACACTTGGGGGGGAGATATGTTTGGAGGGATATGGGCTGGCTTCAGATACTTCGAAGAGACCCAAGAGGTGTGGTTCAGCCCACTGACGTGGTATGAGGTTCGCGACATCATGATGGTACCAGCCACAAGCACGACATGTGACGAGGAAGCCCTGTTTGAAGAACACCACGCGCAGTTCGTTGCTCGCATCTGGATCATCCGCAGCGGTCAAGCTGCACCCAAGGATGAACCACACCACCGTTGGGCAAAGGTCAATTACATGGAGGGTAGGGAGCCTGAATGGGCTTACAAGATGCTGTTCACCTGGGAAGCGATTTGGCGACTGGTAGACGCACAGACTTACGGGAAGGAACTTTACACACTGCGGGACTGAAGTTCAGAGTGGATGGGTCTGATTCTGAGTTCCTGAGAAGATTGCTATTGGGAGTTTGAGGCGACAGGTGATACTGCAATGGTCTGGGCGGGGATGATGATAGTCGCCTTCCTGTGATCCATTGATCGAGATCATGTAATGTTCATACAAACCACTCAGTTTCGTAAGCTAGCGGAGATCTGAGAACAACAGGACAGAGAAAATGAGAGCTTGCTGTGTATTTACCCTCACTGTCACAAGATACGCCGTGCATTGATTAGTACATGAGGACATTTTGGACAACAATCTCCTCGTCTACTATCACGGTTGAAAAAGCAAAGGTCTAGAGTAATTAATCGATTGGCGTAGCAAAAAAAACATACAACAGCGGGGATTCGCTGGTCGTCACCGACCCAACTACTAATCCGCCCCTTACCAGCTTATCTATGGGAGAGCGGACGGGATCCCGAGTTCTCTGATAGGTATGGTCGTATGTGCTTAGAGGCAGTATAAAATGAGTATATATAGGTGAGATGTGGTAGGACACGAGAGCATAGGCCAGGTGTGGGGGCAACAGAGAGAATGATTGCTGGTAACTTCACGTAATGAACCCAGCGGTCGGTGCCGTAATAAAGAGACCAAAAAAGTATAAGGTTTGTTGGCTCGTTTTCAGGAAGGATTTCGCTAAATATGCCCAGGATTTGTTAAATAGATGTCCCTTTCTTCCACGTTCATTGCTCGGGGACTACCAGCTGGACGGACCCCTTCACATCACCACCCACAAGGCTAAGATACTTCCCACTACTCCGCCCACCAAGTTTGGCATCTTCATAACTGACGAGTTGCCAGTCTCAGAAGGACTGGCATCGGAATTTGTAGCTGTAGCCGAAGCCGCCTGTTTGCTGCTCTCGCCAGTGCCGGTTGCCGACGGCATAGAATCGTCGGTAGCCGATGCTTCGGAGCCCTGCAGATATTTCGAGCTCGCACTCTCGATTATAGAGCTATAGTCTTTTGCTGTAACGGGTACGCGGGTAGCACAGCTGACAGACTTGGGTTCCCGGGTGCTACCAGTGCAGATGGGCCATCCTTCGCATGTGCTGAGGTCAAGCTTTCCGCCGACGCAGCAGGTACCGTCGCTATCGCTGCCGCTGACTTGTAGGACGCCAGGACATTTTATGCCGTTGTTGGAACTGCCACCGTAGGTGGTGGTTAGTGCAGTAGTGCTTTGGAGAATGGATGCTAGGCTAAGGGCAGTGAGGAGGGTAGAGGTTGGTGAAGGCATGTTGAAAGATGATGTAGTGAGTTTGAAGATGCTTGGGCTGATGAAGCGGGGGAAGCAGAGCGGCTATATATGCTGCATCGACTAGACGAAGTACGAATTCCGTGTTACCCATGCGATTGTCAGATCTCCATTGATGACGGGGGATCTGCCAATGATGACCCTGGGCTCTTAGAAAAGCACACGACTACTGATCTTACTCGGATGATAACGTACAGGGTGACGCGTATGAAATGCCTTATTGGTTATCCCAGCAAACAGTCGTTCAAAAATCCTACGGTGCTGAGCTTTTACCTTATTCCCCAGGTTGAGGGCCAGCTGAATGTAATTCCCCACAGGGATACTTAAAATGGACATCCGTATCTTGAATCTTGATCGTCACCGGCAGCTACCGGCCGAAGCCCAGCCTGTCTAGCCACATCCGGTAGTTCAGAGAGAGGCCCCTGCTTGGCTTCGATAGACCAAACCTTAACAGATCTCAGCTTGATGCGCAACAAGATCAACAAGATCGTGAATGACGCAAATATTTTGTTTACCTGGGGTAGGGTTGCCCCTTTCCAAGGTTTTGTGCTGGCATGAAGGTGTTTTATTTCCCCGGGACCCCGGCGCTGTGGATATACGGGTATCTAGATCGACAGTGCGTCTAGATAGATGACTCGGTACATCGGCACTCGAATACCCTGCAGGGAGCGGCCGACAGCATCAGTTTGACAAATTGATCGCTGTGGAATGCTGATCGGGGTTGTTATTTATCGCTATTCCCCTGCTTACGCACTTCAAAGTTCCAAGCACGGCATTCAAAATAGATCTGAATTGTTCTAGAACATCCAATTCCCTAACCGAACAACCCTCATTGACTGCTCAGCAGCGCGACTCCACGCGTTGAGAAAAAGCCATTCTAACCGCATCCGTGACCACGGCGCCCTAGCGTGCCATCGATTTCCCTACGGGGTATTTCAAGACCTGGCCCCCGTCGTCCTTGAAACCCTCTTTCTGCAGCCAAGCTTTCCCTTCCCCAGCCCTACGAACCTGTCACTTGGGCCCGATCTAACTCTTTTCTCCAGCTCATGATCTGATCTGGTGTTTCAGAGGCCCATTGACAGTCTCCACATGACACGGCACGGAAGACGTATCAAACGATGCGGTACATGTGTTGAGCGCAAGGTTAAATGCGGTGAGTCTAAATTCCCTCTCCACTGACAAGTCCCTTAAAACTGACGTCGACGTACTCCGTAGATGAGCAGCAACCTCATTGCCAACGGTGTAAAAATGCAGGTCTTACCTGTTCAGGATATCATAGCAAGCTAAAGTTTGTCGACGAGGGGACCCGTTTCTCCTCAACCGTCACTTGTAACACTAAGGCTGTTGCGAAGCCTGCAATAACGACAAAATGTAGTCGCCCTACCACTACCAGCAAAACCTTGACAAATCGTGCCCAAACTCCCAAAACGCATATCACCTACTTGTCACCCCCGAGAGAGACTCTCTTTCTGCCCTACACCTTGTCGAAGCTTTGTCCTGGCATGTCTAGCGGCGATCCAATGCAAGCAGCCGGCATGTTTTACCAGTTACTTACAGCCCCCCAATCGGCCCTGCATCATTCATGCGTGCAAGCATTGTCGGCGATGTACTTTGGAAGAACGAATCGTGATAGACAAGCATGCCAGCAGGGTCTAATGTTCTATTCACATGCACTGACGCAGCTTCGCGCTGATATCAGCAATGAAGTATCAGACTTCAGCACCATATTGAGTGTTGTCTGTCTTTGTTTGTATGAGAATATTGTTTTTTCACAGCCAACTGCGTGGCTCATGCATTACGACGGGCTTGGAAGAATAGTAAGTTCACCGCTGCCGATACATGGCAATGGCTTATCATTTGTAGTTACAAGCACAAGGCCCAAGACCGTGGAAAACAGCACAAGAAAGGCAAATCTTCTTATTTGCACGGTACTATATAGTGAGTATTTCGTAATATTCGAAATAATCCTGTATAGCTTTTGCTAATCTGGCTGCAGACCCTTTCTTCGGGACATCAGCGTCGTCACTGCTTCCTCGCCCAGCCGCAATGGGAGCTTCCGCAATGCATGCCGGAGGGTGAAGAGCCTGATGAAATGATACGATTGTCTGATATATTCGCCCAGTGTCCCGGTATCATTGCGGATTATGACGAGATACAGAAAAGGACGCCCGTAGATACTGTTGCGTTGGAAGCATTGCGAGACCGCACACAGGCTATTATTGACCGAACGCACGCTTGGTTTCAGATTGTGCCGTGGATTTGTACCACAGACACTGCCCTCAGGGAGACTGTACCACTCCCCAAAAACCCCATGAAAAGCGTCGCCCTCGCGGTTTCCCACGCAATGTTGCTCTGTCTGGCCCGGCCTTGCGAATATCTCAAAATCGGCCTCACCCGCGAGGACAACACTAACGTGGCGGCTACAGTCAAATTACTCGCAAGAGAGATCTGCCGCATCGCAGATTGGGCACTAAAAGTCCACAGCTCAGCAGATATTGCTCTCGTACTGATATTCCCTCTTCAGATAGCATGGTTCTGTCTTCGGGAAAGTAAAGAGGATCTGTGCAGCATTAGAGGAATAATGAACTCGGTCGTTGCCGATTCTCATGGCTTTGAGATAGGGAGAATGCGTCATTGGGATCCTTCTGTTTTTGGACAAGGGCGAGTGGGATTTCTGCATTGATAAAAAAAATAGAAGTTACAAAAGGCCAATATTGAGTGCTGTAATGGCGTTATTGAAACCAAGAGCCGGTGATTTGGAGATTGAGATGGTTCACCGAACAATGCGGCATCTGGGGGCGCAATAGTGAGCAGCTACAGTGGGCAATCGCCTGGACTTGGTTCGCGTAGTCGCCTCCCGCCACTCCGAAAGCGAAAGCGACCAGTAAATTGCACTGTCAGATTGTCAACTTTTTGCGAGACTAAACATTTCCTCCATAAACCACTACACCACCCAGTATGCGGCTCTGCAGCACACTTATCAATTATGCCGACGTCGGTGGCGCTCTCTGAGCACAACATCACCACTGTAAACTTGGAATTATCCTTGCCAAGTCGAAGCTGAAATGCGCTGCGTGGCGAAGCACGCTGCACCTCCAAGACCTCCAGCGTGCTCAGCCCTACCTCCATGAATCATTGGAAAAATGATCAACCAAACACGTTGACTTGTGCGACAACATCGAAAGGCTTAGACCGCCAAGGCGAAACTCCAACGGTCTCGGAGTTCCGCGCGTAGATTGGGACGCTCCAAGGGAAAAGGTCCGCGGGAAGCGATCCTACAAGGCTGATATGCAGCCTTGCTTACGCCCAGCTATCTTCTACTTCTTTTGGAAATCGTGCTTACCTCGAAACAGTCTAATGAAGCGCTCATAATCTCACCGGTCCCCCGCCCAAATCCCAACCCTCAGTGTTTTTAAGCATTTGGTCTCGCTGATATAGAGGCATCAAATCTCGACAATTCCCTTCAATTACGCGCGTGCATTCGATTACGGAAAATGTCCGAGAAGAGACCTGTTAAAAGACTTGTCGTGCTGGTCGATGGATGTGAACCACGCGAGTCCAAGAGTGAGATTCTCCTTTGCATTCGAGACAGCGACTAATGGACGTCAGAGGACACAAATCCTTCCACCATCCACAGAATCAAGCAACTAGTTCACGACGGTCTTGTCATATCAAATGATATTTCAGTAGCACAAATTCCCAAATATTATGTTGCGACTAGCAACGTCACAAAACTCAGCGACCGGTTCAGATCACGGAGCACGACAAGCGACGACTCAAACGCCCTCATTAAGAGAATCGTGAAGGATGTCTGCCTCACTCTTGAGCAGCCTGAAGACGAACTATGGCTGTACGGTTCTGGCCATGGAGCTTTCATCGCTCGTGCTGTTGCTGGTATTGTGCATCGTATGGGCTTACCGAGGTCACAAGCCTTCGATGAGCTATTTGACGCGACTATTGGACTTATCAAGGCGCAGATTGAGGACGACTTCAAGAAAGGCCCTCAACTGATGCAGAAGATCAAAAGTGAAGCCGATGATCCTCCGCGGATTCCTTTCGTTGGCTTATTCGATACCACCATCCTTACCTCAAAGACATCCTACGATATTTCATTTAACCAAAGCATCGAAACTGTTCGTCATGCACTTGCCATGAATGAGAATCGCTCCAACAGGACACCCGAGATCTTCAAAATCCCAGAAGATGCAGACATGACAAATCGATCGCTCATTCAAGCCTGGTTTATTGGTACACATGAAGATATGATTGGTGGTACAGCCCAAGACGGTATCTCACTATACCCACTGCAATGGATGATCCTTGAGAGCATCTACTCGGACCTGAGAGTCAACAATATCGGTGACTCAAAGGACAGCGACCATCCCATGGCGTTGGTGTTTCCCCAGTATGCTGGAAATCTCCCACCGTTGGATGGATCTGAGGAGATTGAATGGCGCCTTCAGTACACAAACGGACTCCGGACCAGCATGTTCGACCTCCAGAGCGCCCACGGCAAGAAGTCAGCAGCGGGAATTGACATCCACGCCATCAAACTCGATACAGACTGCTACAAGCGTGCTGCAAATCGCCAAGTGTTCGATTCAAAGGGCGCATTGAAAGGGTGGTGCGACGCTGGTAAGAGACATCTCATGACGGATCAAAGCGCTGCTGACAATCTCTAGCACCATATGGAAATATGATCCACCCTTCGCTCTTCTGCATTCTCGACAGATACCCTCGGCACAACGACCTCAACAACTTCAAACTTCTCAAGAAACCAATCTCCAACTTCCAAGAGTCATACCTCATCGCCGAAGAAGACGCGTTGGCTCCATGGCTTCGGGACATGCAGCTCGAAGCAAGCGGCGTCAAAGCCTTCCGAATCCTCGTGTGCGGAAAGACAGGCGTCGGAAAGTCAACACTGATCAACAAGGTGTTTGGTGTTGAGATGACCGACGAATCGCTCTCTTATGATCAAGGTGTTCACGATATCAACGTCGCTTTCGAATCTCCCAAGCATCCAGGACTTTTGATTCACGATTCTAGAGGTTGGCAGGCCGGTAGTGATGCTGAGCTTGACTTGATTGCCAAGTTTCTCAGACACCGAGCGTTTCAAGAAGATCCCGCTGAGGCTCTGCACGTTATCTGGTAAGCTGAGATTAACCTCGAAGACATTGTCCATTAACATAGCTACAGGTTCTGTGTTGACTCTGATGTTTCCCGAATCGAGGAGGCAGACAAGCGGACATTCGCTACAATCGCGCAGTACTCCCATCAGGTCCCCGTTTTCGTCGTCGGCACAAAAAAGGACAAACTCACGGGCTATCGCAAAGCACAGTATCTAGACGAGCTTATGGAGAAAACAGACGATTACAAAGAAGCTAAGAGACTTGCCGAGGAAAAGGCCAACAGCGTGGCCGAGGAGCAATTCGCCGAGCTCAGAAATCAACTATCCCAGATCGAACACTACAAGGCCGACGGCTATTGCTGCCTTTCAAAGAGTTAGTTATTTACGATTCGCTGAGTCCTACGTACAGTTACTGACATCGATAGATGACGATGCTGGAGTAAGGGACCTTCTCTCCCAAACCCTCGACCTTATCGTCGACGAACGTGTACGTCTCTTCTGTGTTGCCGCTCAAGTCGTTGATGTTGAACAGAAGATCAACTCAGCGATTACAGAGTGTATGAGACTAGGCACGCACGCGATCCGCACCGCCGCCGTTCCCTTGCCCTGCTCAGGCATGATCGGAACACCCACAGTCTCGCGCCTCATCTGCGAACACGTCCTGCAGTGCTTCGGCTTTCCCAAGGCTGCGCCCGCTGAGATCGAGCAGATCATGTCGGAAATCGTAATGAAGAACTTCAAAGAATACATGAAAGTCTCCCTGTCGCAGTTTGCCGCTGTTAGTGTGGTTGCTGTGGGCGTCGCGGTACCAACGCTGGGTATCGGTGTTATTGTTGGTGCTGCAGGATGTATCCTTGGACTTCCACCAACAGCGAGGATGCTGCTCAAGTGCTCTTGCGACATGATTCTTATTCTCGAGCGCTCGTTCCGGTATGATGGGAAATACGTGTCCATCAAGCAGATTGAAGACGCAGCAAAGTACTACGCGAAAACGACTATCACAACGTTTAATGGAAAGGAGAAAAGGCTGCAGCAACAGGTGCACGACGAGATCGATCAGATGATTCCATTGAAGAAGCTCACGGTCGGCTTCAAGTTCAATAAGCTACGCTCTTCGGTAGAAGAGGTCGTCTACAACAACCGTTTCGGCAACCCCCCTGACTATACCTCTCTTCGAAGCCCCTCCAGCGTTGGCATCGACATGTCACCCGGTGGACCAGTCGAGATGGATGCAGTTCCCGCCATTTCAGAATTACCCGGTGACGAAGTCGATCTATCGCGGATACCAAAGAACGACGAAAAGTCTGACACGGACCGACCAGTCATCGAGCTCGACTCGACTGAAATCGGTGCAAAAGACAATCTTCGTCCCATCAGCTCAAACTTGTCTGGGACAACCGCCAGCACCGGGCCTTCGCTAGCCAACAAACTCGTCGAGCTGCATGTACAGCCACCAGAGCTCGAAGGCAGTGCGCCTGGTAACGAGAGCGGACACCAGTTGGAGGTTCCGCCATTGGCAACTAGGAGTAAGTCCGACTCGTCAGGATCTCGATGGTCGAATAAGTTATCTTCGTGGAAACTGAGTCGGAAGTCGAAGACGTTGAAGCAATAAAGCGAGTGAATGAGTGGACTGTTTATTTTATTTTTTATGAAATTTGAGTAGCATATACCAACGTGATAACGATCAATAGCTGCCAGATTTATAGCCAAGATAATGACTGCTTCTATGTGTGAGAAAGTAATACATGATAATTTTCCCAAGCCCTTCTTGTGTCAGTGTTGTCCCAGCAGTGTCTTTGTGTAACACCCAGCAGTCCCAAATTGACCCCACTTGGTTGTGACGAAAAACAGTGGAGCTCGTAAACGTCCAAAAACGGTAATCGTCTTTACGAGCCGTGCGCAAGACTCAACAACAGGGGTCTTTCTAAGCCAAGACAGGATGGTATAAGAATGCCTCGAGGCCACAAGATTTGAGCTCTCCTCCTTTAAAACATGTGTGTGTCTCTTTTATTTAAGTTCGAATCCGTTCCTCAATATCCTTTCATTCACTCCTCCATATACTGTCATTTCTCCTCTATCTCACACCTCTTGGAAGGCACAGCAGTAAGAGGCATTCCGTGCATCTCCTTGCATACGTTCTTGACTGCAACGCTGACCCTCTCTACTCACCCAGTAGCACAGATATTGTCCTACCTTCACCATGTCCACCGATCACAATCCCTCCACCGATGAAGCGGAAAAGGAGAAATCTCTCTCCGTAGCCCAAGAACCTCAGCGACCGACACGAACCCCCAAATTCGCCGACTACATCCGCATCTTCAGCTACGCAACAAGATGGGACTTCTTTGTATACACCGTCGCCTCCATCGCCTCCATAGGTGCCGGCGTTACCATGCCACTGATGAACATCATCTTCGGCCAACTCGTTGGCCAGTTCACAGATTACTTCAAAGACGTCTCCAGCATGTCCGAAGGCGACTTTCGGGGAATCTTGAACAAGCAGGCTCTTTACATCATGGCCCTTTTCTTGGCTCGTTGGGGTCTCAACACAATCAACAAGTACTGCTTCCGCATGATCGGTATCCGCCTATCATCCGCTGTTCGTCTTCACTATCTCCAATCTCTCTTTGCTCAGTCCATCCATGTCATCGACTCGATGCCTGCTGGAGCACCTGCCACCGCTATCACATCGACCTCCAACACTCTTCAAGTTGGAATCTCTGAGCGCCTGGGAACTTTGTTGGAGTATAACGGTACTATCTGGGCCGCCATCATTGTTGCTTTCGTATGGAGTTGGGACATCACCCTCGTCGTCTCATCGCTCATACTGTACATGATGGTTGTTCTAGCCATTACGATGCCCATCATGCTGAAGGCTCAGATAGCAACGGCTGCAGCGGATGCTCAGGGTACCGCTATAGCAAGCGAGGCATTGCAGGGCATCCGTCTTGTCACGGCGTGTGGCGCTCAGTCGCGTGTCATCGCTCGGTACCAAGAATGGGTGTGGAAAGCAATGGGAGAAGGTCAAAAGATGGCTCCTTTCATGGGCCTCCACCTTGGACTGATCGTATGTTTCTCCTCTCATTACATCCCAAGTTAGATCATGTTACTAAATATTAGCTAGTTCTTTGGTGTTTTTGGCACTTTTGGCCTTGCATTTTGGTACGGTAGCCAACGATATATCACAGGTGCTATAAGCAACCCCGGTGTTATTATTATCGTCCTCATGTCGGTGATGATGATCCTTACGTCAATGGAACGTGTAGCAACACCTGCCATGGCTGTTAGCAAAGCCATGGCTGCTGCTTGTGAGTTCTATACCGTTATCGATGCACCCCTTCCTGCTTCTGGCTCCCTCAAGCCGAACATCGACTCGTGCGACATTGTATTCGACAATGTGATCTTCGAGTACCCGAGTCGGCCAGGCGTTCGTGTTCTGGATGGCTTGAGCTGTTCCATACGTGCTGGGCAGAACACTGCCATTGTTGGCCCCTCGGGTTCTGGTAAAAGCACCGTTGTTGGCTTACTGGAGCGATGGTACTCTCTGAAACCGCACCATGTCCTCCCCGTTGTTGTCGAGGCCAAGCCACAGAAGGAGACGAATGCGGATACTGAAAGTCAGCCTGTGGTGGACCAAGGCACTGCTCTACATCCTCTTCTATCTGGAAAAATCTCTACCGGCGGCCATAATCTGGAAGACCTCGATGTCAAATGGTGGCGATCCCAGATCGGTTTGGTACAACAAGAACCATTCCTCTTCAATGACACAATCTTCAACAATGTTGCGCGCGGTCTCATTGGCTCTGAGTGGGAAGACTGTCCGGAATCAAAGAAGCGTGAGTTAGTACAAAACGCATGTCAAGAATCTTATGCAGACGAGTTCATCAGTCGACTTCCCGATGTATGTCCCATTCGCCACCTCCAGGATTTTAAAAACCTCAACATACTAATAGCATATGCAGGGTTACGACACACGTGTTGGAGATGGTGGAGCAAAACTTTCTGGGGGTCAAAAGCAACGCCTGGCAATCGCGAGGAGCATCATCAAGAAGCCCAGAATCATCATCCTAGATGAAGCCACCAGTGCTATTGACGCGAAAAGCGAGAAAATTGTCCAGGCTGCACTTGACAGGGTTGCGCAGAACCACACAACTGTTACTATCGCCCACCGTCTCTCAACTATCAAGAAAGCGGATAACATCATCGTCTTGCAGAAGGGAAACGCTGTGGAACAAGGTACACACGCAGATCTTATGGCTGATAGCTCGGGAGTCTACTACTCCTTGGTTCGTGCACAAGCTTTGCGTGGCATGGAACAGACGGAGGAACACACCCTTGCTGATACCGAAATGGCTAAGCATGTTGCCCAAGAAGATTTGACTGAGATCGCTACTCCAGCTCCCACAGTTCAGCAAGACTTCCCTCAGAAAACTCGAGGTCTCTTCAAGAGTTTCGGAAGACTCTTTTATGAGCAGCGAGCCAAGTGGCCCACCTACATAGGCATTATCCTCTCGTCCATGGCCGTCGCAGCTGGTACCCCCATCCAAGCCTGGCTCTTTGCCAAAGCCCTCGGTGTCTTCCTCCTCCAGGGCGATGACTTGAAAAGCGAGAGTCAGTTCTGGGGTTTGATGTGGTTTGCTCTCGCCGGAGGTGTTGCCCTTGGGTATTTATCAGAGGGTTGGATCGGTTTGCGCATGCAGTACTATGTCAGTGCAGTGTACAAGTCCCAGTACCTGAACGACATGCTGTTCCAGAAACTCGCTTATTTCGATAGCGAAGAAAACTCTCACGGTTCGCTAAGTTCAAGAGTTTCAAGTGACGCAAAGCAGTTGGAAGAGCTTCTTGGCGTTAATCTTGCACTTCTTCTCTCCGCTGTTTTCAACGTTACGGGCTGCGTCACTATTTCTCTTGTCTTTGGTTGGAAACTTGGGTTGATCGCCATGTCCGTCGCCCTTCCTGTCATGATAGGCGCTGGGTGCTGGAAGTTCAAGCATGAAGTTCATTTCGACAAGATGAACTCGGCTGTGTTCATGGAGAGCTCCCAGTTCGCTACTGAAGCAATCGAGGCGATGAGGACAGTTTCGTCCTTAACAATGGAAGACTCAATCACCAGCCAATATCGCGAGCTTCTGAACAGCCATGTCAACGCAGCAAACCGGAAGGCACAGTGGACTTCTGCAATATTCGGCTTCGCCGACAGTGTCGGGTTAGGGTGTCAAGCACTTCTGTTCTGGTACGGCGGTAGCTTGCTGGCCAGTGGGGAGTACACAATGGAGGCCTTCTTCGTCTGCTACATGGCTGTCATGCAAGGAGCGGAGGCTGGTAGTCTGGGATTTGGTCTGGCGCCCAGCGCTGCACAAGTTACAGCTTCTGCGAACCGAATCCTCAATGTGCAAAGATCCGTCCACCCCGATCATTTGTTGGGCAGTTCCCCAGGCAGCGGCATCAATGGTGTTCATGGTGGAGTCAAGATTGAGCTTCGGGACGTATCGTTCAAGTATCCCACCAGAGACGTCTCTGTGTTTGACTCGCTGAGCATCACCATCGAGAAAGGCCAGTACGTCGCTTTTGTTGGTGCGTCTGGATCAGGCAAATCGACAGTAATATCGCTTCTTGAGCGATTCTACGACCTGGAACCTGGCAACGGTGCGATATTGTGTAACGACCAAGACATCAAGCTCACAAATGTTTACGAGTATCGGCAGGCCTTATCACTCGTATCTCAAGAGCCTGCCATGTTTCGAGGGTCTGTCCGCGATAACATCCTGTTCGGCGTCACCGACCCCGACTCTGTCTCCGATGAGCAGATTCACCAAGTCTGTCGTGACGCTTTCATCCACGAGTTCATCATCTCGCTGCCTGAGGGCTATAATACCGATGTCGGTCATAAGGGTGTTTCGATGTCGGGAGGCCAAAAGCAGCGTATTGCTATTGCTCGTGCCTTGATCCGCGATCCCAAGCTTCTCCTCTTGGACGAAGCGACATCGGCTCTTGACTCAGAATCCGAGAAGATCATCGCAGCTGCGATTGACAAAGCTCGCGATGGCCGGACTGTGATTTCTGTGGCCCATCGCCTGTCAACTGTTCAAAATGCGGATGTTATTTTTGTCTTCGATGACGGGAGAGTGATGGAGAAGGGAAGCCATACTGATCTTGTCAATAAACAAGGCATCTACTGGGAGATGGTAAGTCGACTTTCACTCCTCGGCAGCTTTTACTGACATTTATTTAGTGCCAGAGTCAGGCACTGGATCAATAGAGATCCTCCATCAGCCGGACATCTGATGATCGGGCTACTCGTCGTTGCTACTTTTCCTTTCCCTTACTTTCCTCTCGTAATCTTATTTATCGTTTCCCTTTCTGCTTTCAATAGCACATATCAGTCTCTCTGTAGTTTACGATTCGACAATATTCTTTTATGTATTCATTCAACATTTCTCGCAAGCTCAGTAGGAATGGATAGAAGAACCAACTGTATCAATGCCTTGAATATTGCCCAAGTTTAGCAACGATATACCTCGGGCTCGAAGTGGCAATCAAAATATATACTCAATCTGCTTCATGCCAGGAAACTTTCGCTCTTCATTCTATGATTACCCCACCAATTCTGGCCAAAGAGCCATCACATCCCCCAGAAGTGGTTTCCCACCTGCCGAGAGCGGTCGCCTTTGCCATTGTACAGCTTCAAGGTCTCCTTTGACTTCGGCTGTCTCTTCCACGAGCTGCCACTCCCCAGTGCCCGTATCTTTATCCAAATAGCACAGAATGACTCGGTCACCGCCTTCTTCAAACAGGTACTCCCTACGTAGAAGGCGGTGCCACTGCTCTAGGGCTGTGCCCTCGGATGCGTTGATTCGTTCCACGGTTCTGTTTCTCAGGGCTAGTAAGTACAACGAGCGGGCGTTCCAGATTCCGTCTTGACCTCGGTAGTCCTTAAGCATCCACGTGGCTTCGTCGCGAAGTAATGGGTCGCGGCAGTACAGCGAAATGAGAAAAAGGTGTGCCGATAAATTGCACTGCAGTGACAGCCGCTGTGCTGGATTCTTCAGGTCTCGCTTGGCGGTACGGAGGCTTATGTCTGCGAGAGAGATGTACTCGCGGAAGAGATGCGTCTTTGCAACTACTGGTTCAACGTCGTAAAAATGCGTAAGGTCGTCGAATGTACAGGTGCCCAGATAATGCAAGCGAAGATGAATTGCTCTGATGTAGTCTGTTGAGGCTGAATCGGACATAATGGCACGGTTAAACACTGGCATGAAAGCGGCTTCCAAAGCCTGCAGTTCTTTTGTGGAAGCCTCGCAGATTTCTTTGATGCGGGGATCAGAGGCAATTTGCTTCCAAAGTTCCGAGACACTATACGGATCAGCTGAGCTCAAAACTACAGATTCTTGTACAGCTTCCATCAGGATGGGGCCGATCGAGAGGCGGGTGCTTTGGCCACTTATCCAGTATTTCTCGAAATCATCCAAGCTTTCGAGAACAGCTGGTAGCTGTCTGATCGGTGGATATGACCGAGGTAGCTTGGTGATTAGTGTCATGAAAGTCTCGACTGTTTGCTTCTTAGCCCGTAACCCTCTGGTAAAGTTCGGGACTGCTGGACTGCGACCGATATTACCGCGCAGGATCACTCGTGTTTGTGGGAGGAGATGAGAGAAGATGTCTGCCACAGCTGCGATGAGTGGCTTCGGGTTTGGGGCCACGGATGTCATTTGGCGTGAGTCTGTGTCGGTCAACAAAGCCAGCAGCATGGCGAGGCCATGGTTGATGTGATCCAAAGCAGCCTTTCTGTTCCCCCTGAGCGTTTCGAAGCATAAGAAGAGAATTGAGAGGAAGACTGCATCTTGCATAGAAGCCTGCTGGCTTTGTAGCTTCATAGCATGGCAATAGTGAGCCACTGCATTGAGGTAGTCTCTATCTTTTCGTGCAGCCTCATCCTCGACCATTTGCAGACTGTCGGTATCACTGTGGTTTGATTTACCGTACCATTTACTCAGGGCCCCAATTGCGATGGCGGCGTGCCGTACTGTGCTGTTGGTACGAGCAACCTGAGGTAGAGTCACAGCCCAAAGATCATTGCTGAACCCCGCGGCTATCCAAGGACTTTGAACGATATGCACGAACTCATCGAAATAGAGGATTCCCAGGGAATCTTTAAAATCCAGTGAGTCATGAACAAGATGTAGTTGCGTTATTGGAGGTGCCGCTCGAGTGATTTGCTTCGAATCCCATTTTATGTGAACAGGAGAGGTACTCGGCTTTTTGTCAACGATCAAATACCCTTCACACTTTCGGCCGTTCCTGACGCAATTGCCGCATTGCGGCTTTGTCTCGTCGCATTTGACGTGTCGCCTTTTGCAGGTAATGCAACCTGTTCGGACTTTACTTGTGCTTGTACGAGGTATCTTTGTCTTGATTGATCTGGGAACAAACTTCGTCAGTTTACGCGTTTAGATCCATTGATACGGTGCATCTTATCTTACTTGGAAGATCCCGAACCTGCAGTTTCGCCCATGGCGATAATTCTGGATTGTGCGGCCAGGGACCAAGTTATATGTCAAACGTCTCATCTTACAGGCGACACAAGGATGATATTCCATTCGTAGAGTCCGGAAAATCCCTTAACCGCGCCGATTGATGTTCCGTGGGAGTTGCCCATACGCAATCTCTCATTTGCCCAGTGTAACAGGGCTCTCAACAAATCAAATCTCTAGTAACATTTTCGAGAATTAATTTAGATGACCTTTGTTGGAATTAATTTGATGCAAATTACTTGAGGTATGAGATATCCGACTAAGATAAGATAAGATAAGTTATGGCTTGATATGATGTCTCTCTTTTTCCATATAGGGTAAGTATGTTCACCAAATGAATACAGTACAACATCAAATTGACCTGAATAGTAAGCCCTCTGGTTTTGATCAACTTAATTTGGCCTGGTTTGGCTTGAACCAAAGGGATTTGGCTTGCATGGAGCGCTGGCGCCACATGTTCGTTGTGCTCGCGAAGAGCCGTTCGTGAACCAGCATAGTTCAAAATCGGGACATTCTCATTTGAATAACAGCGTTTCAACTGGCTATACTTCGCTTGAACAATCGAAAAGCCAATGAGCTCAGTAACACCTGGGTAATACGTTAGTTAAACTGGCCACACGTCAGAAATCGAGATGGACTTAGGAGGCCATCTTTGCCGCGTCTCCTGACGCAGGACCTAATGGTTAAGAGCCTGCCTTCGCAGTATGTCTGAAGGAATTCGATCAATAGAAGCAAACTATTGGTTAACCCAAAATCAACCAAGAGCCAAAGAAGATCTCCTTGCCTAGACTTACCCGCAATTATCCGCTGATCCAGCATCAGCTTCAGAACTACGATAGAAGATGTTTCCACCACCAGAATTTCCTCCTGTTAGGGGAGTTGAAACCGCCATCAATTTCTGAATCCAGAACCTTTTTACCATGGACCTGTGTGGACCTCGCTGGTTGATGAGGAATCCTCATCATCTTTCTCTCAGCGGTAGTCAACGTTCTCGTTACAGCAAACTTTCATCAAGTTGTTTCGTACTGCGAGAAGCGTTAAAACTCCAGGAAGGATGTGCTTTGTTTTGTTCAAGTACAAGTCTTCTGCTTCAACCGTCCTATTCTTCACCATGCAAGTAAAAGAAAGAAAGCCCAACGTCTGCCAATAGTCGAGATGATTTTTCCCCAAGACTTCCCTCTTTCTGCACCCCAGACTGACAGGAACTTAAGAAACTGCTGACCTGGTAAGCGAGCTCTTACCTGTAACTTGTGCCCAGGGAGAACATTGAGCACGTAGTCTCAAGGAGACATTCGGCAAAGTAAAGGGTAACTTCCGGCATATAAATAGTCCTGGATCGTTCCATCTGGCATATGTGACAACCCTTTGAAGAGTACTAATCATGGACGTATACTATGGCTTAATCCTATGCTTAAGCCAGCTTTAGGAAGAATCAAGTGGAATTTGGTATGGAATGTCATGCAAACTCGACTGATACGCTTAGCTTTCCTCGCAAATGAATCAAGAACATGATGCCCAAAAGGAAGAGAGGCATTCTTTCAAGTCAAATACAAAGGGGTGAAACCTTGGCCCGTTGAGCTTGAGGGTCAAAGCCGTTGTAATTTACCGAGCTGTTGGTTGCGGGCGGGGCTATATCGTTTGAGACTGACTGGACCACGATTAGCTTACCAGACTGTTGGTTCATGACCTGATCATTCATTGGCCTGTTGGTTCGATTCGCAGGGGAACCAACAACAAAATAGCATCTAGTTACCAGGAAAGATTAAGGTTACGATAAGATTTTAAGCTAGCTTTCATAGCTTTGAATAGCACATCAAGACATATTTATAGGTATCGCTACGTATCTCACGATGTCTTCTCAGTTGTTGTCCACCCCTACTGAGGCGCAGGTAAGCATGCACTGTGGGGCATACACATCTCTTACGACTAATCAGAGACGAGGATCAAAAGATCAAGGAAACCTTGTCTCTTTACAAAATCAAGGAGCGAGGGAAGTATATTCTAACAAACACAAACCGTAAGCGGGGTTTAGCAGCACAAACCTTTTCAGCTAGGTGGAGCCATGCATTGTAATTTGTGGAGGAAATGACACTGAAATTACAAGGAGTGGCTACATGTCAGCGCTTGGAGCGCTGTGTCTGCACCTAATTTGACAATCGGCGATGACATTTGCAACACTGATGTCACTGTCATTACAATGACCGAAACAGCGTACCGTCAGATTTCCATTTCGCAACAGGGGTACGTGTCAAGAATCACAAAGGATTCGCTAATCAATTCAGTGTATGGGACTGCCATTTGCTCTGTTGCAGCAAAGCTGAAAGTTTGATTCAAGGTTCCAGGCTTCAATCATGGCGCAGGCACAACGCCCAGCCAAGCACGGCAAGGTTGACAGGTTTGTTCCAGGCTTTTTCGCCCATCCATTCCCCCCCGGTCCGTGGATTCCCTTGGAACTTCCAGCTCTTAGTTCCATTCCATGAGTGGACCCGTACCCCTGAATGTACATGGGCGAAAGAAACTGCCTGACGTTCTGTCCGGGTTCTTTGAGATCCTGCTGAATCCTTCTGAGATGGAATTTCGGTGGGGTCTCGACTACCGGGCAGAAATCTCGGCATGCATATCTCAAATTCATTCCTTCAACGGCGAGGCTCAATTGCAACGCTCAATGTACAGGGCAAAAAGCACAGCTTCTACAGTCACGCGACGCGTAACCTAATTAGGTTTGGAACAGAAACCTAGAGGATTGATCTAACTTGACGCCAAATGCTTACCACCCCTCAGATCTTGTGCCGTACTCCGGGGCCATCCGCCCCTAAGACTAGATCACACGAGTCACAAGCCGTCCTGCCGACTCCTTTTGCTCCGTAGGCATCTCTTTTAATGGGGGCTGTTGATTTACACGGAACAACGCTGCCGGTAGCCTGCAGCAAAAGGCTGATGGCTATGGCCGGCCACTGCCGTTTGAGGCTTGTTTTCACTCCCGTCCTTATTTAGAAACAGTAAGACGAGCAGTGCCCCTTTCCAGGCACGGTGGTCACCGCATTCATTGTCATTCACTACCTACGCAGGTCAGCTTGTGAAACATTTGAGAGCACGTCTTTCCCTACCATATCCGTAACTCCTTCTGCAATGCTTCTCCTACAGGGGGCACAAGTTAGGACCTCGAACTTGGCAAAGTTTTAGCGCAATCGCCAATCTTCCTCTTTTCTTCTTTTTCTTTCTGTTTTCGTCCGTACAGCGCTTCGTTTACGTACAAGTCACATTTCCAAAGATCATGTTTCGGAATGTGACACCGTCACGAGGGATACTGTCGCTTGCTCGCGCTCTGCTACAGCGCATCCCCAACAGACAATTCTTCTTTACCTTTACAGCCCTCGCTGTCTGGAGCGCCAAAGCTATACACATCTACGCCCACATCAACGCCGTCAACTCGAACCTACTTCACCGATGGGGCTACTCTTTTGTCGCCCAAGATGTCGCCGTCCTTACATTCATTCGACTCCTTCTCGACCATTGGTCCACGAACCTCCCCGCCCTCCTGCGATTCACGATTCTTACACTTAATGCCATATTCATGCTCTTCAATGCAGGCCTTGGCATCGTCTCGGTTTCCTTTTACGTCGTCGCCGGTTCCGAAATACACCTGAGCAACATATCGCTACCCTCCGATCCTTCTTCCAAAGCGCTCATGCTATCCGGTAGTCTGGCATTTACTGGTGTAATATGTGCCAACACTGTTATGAGCTGGTTACTCAAGAACCCCTGCTACCATTTGCATGGCTATGCTGCTGAAGTTGTTCACCGTACGCCCATCAAAATCTGGCATTTGATCCATCGCATGATCCTCCGACGAAGCCAGTACATTGCTGTCCCCCAACCGAAATACGATATCGAAACCCAATCCGACCACGAAGACGATTATACAAAAGAGAAGAAAGATGAACCAGAGCTGCTACCGTTCCAGCTTTCCTTGCGATCCGTCTTGAGATCAATACCATATGTGGCGACGACAGGCTTCCTAATAATGCTTTTATTTGCTGCCTTGTTTCGCCCAGCCGACCGATCGCTTGTTTTCCTTTCTTGGACAGCAGCACTAGCACCACTGGTGGATTATACGTCGGGAGCGACTCTCCAAAATATACCCACCGTCCATGGGAATAGTATTGAACGTCACTGGGACAGTCGAACTGCGCTCACCAACCCTATCCCGTTCGATTGGCTTCCGCACGACCAAATATTGGATGGATTTGAAGACTGGCACTGGAAAAGAGATCACTACGACGCCAGCGTTGACCCATTGAAGATATCAAACCTCGACGAAGCTCTTGTTTCTGCACTCATGGACAAGCTACACGACGTCCCCATCAGGCATGTGGTATTATGCTTTCTCGAAAGTACACGGAACGATGTTTTTCCTATCAAGAAGAACAGTACTGTCTGGGAGCGTTTGACATCAACCTTTCCTGGCGGTGAGCTGCCCCAGGCGGCTAAAGATCGACTCGTCCACTTGACGCCTACTGCTAACTATATCACTGGTGACTATGATGATGGTTTTGAACATGAAGAGAAGTCCAAAGTTAAGCGTGGTGGTATTCATTTCACCAATGCCCACACGACAGGCACATTCACCTTCAAGAGTCTAGTTGGTACTCTCTGTGGCATCGGCCCACTACTAGCGGACTTCAATCTTGACTTCTCACATCATATCTACCAGCCTTGCTTGGCTCAGATTTTCGAAGCCATGAACAATGTCAAGAACACCACAGACGGAGATACACGTGAATTCAACAATTTACCTTGGCAGTCATACTTCTACTCAGCCGCGGCTTTGGGGTATGATCATCAACGCGAGTTGATGTTATCTGTTGGCTTCCCAGACGAGCATCTTATTGGACAAGAGTGGCTGCGTTCCGAAAAGGCAACCCACGGACCAGTCAAGCTACCTAACATCAACGCTTTCGCTTTTGAAGAAGACCCGCTTGAGGATTATTTCCGTGATGTTTTTGTCCAAGCCAAGGAAAAAAATGAACGAGTGTTTCTCTCACACATAACGTCGACAAGCCATCATGCTTACAAAATGCCCGCGAAGGAGGAATACGTCCCACTTGCCAATGGCCTTGACATGCTTTCACATTATCTCAACACAGAAGGCTACGAAGATCGGTGGCTACGCACAATCCTGGACCTGTTGGATGAGCAAGGTGTTGCAAACGAGACCCTGATTGTCTTTGTTGGAGACCACGGAATTTCGATGCCCGAGAATGACGCCGTATCACCTTATTATAACCCCAGTATTGGTATCGACCACGTGCCTCTTGTTCTTTCTCATCCTCTACTACCAGCCTTCGACATCCATGATGCAGTGCATTCTTCACAGATCTTACCTACAATACTCGACCTACTTCTCGAAACAAACTCATTGAACAACCAAAGCCGACAAGTTGCTTCAGATCTTATCCACAACTACGAAGGGCAGTCTTTAATTCGACCACTAGTGAAGGAGAATAACGACACTGGTCAGGGCAACTGGCAATTTGTGGTTGTGAATCCTGGTCGAGCTATGATAACCGCTCGTGACGCTCGTCACCCTGAGCGCCATCTTGTTATCCCCCTCATTGACAACGTAGAGTGGCGACTCAGTAATATTGATCTAGACCCAGCCGAGCACCACTCCGTACAAGGCTTCGATTTTGTCTCCTTCCTGCATAGTGTCGAGCAGAAGTACGGTCTTGAAGTAGCTAAGTGGGTTGAAGAAGGTGCATTCATAGCTCGCTGGTGGGCAGAGGAAAATCACAAGCGATGGCGGTTTGGGGCATATGAAAACGGGATAAATCCCTGAAGGATTGCTTGGCAAGGAAAAAGGTGCATTGGAGAAACAACGGTTCGAGACATTTTAGAACAGCGTCCAATTTGGAAGATGGTAAGATGGATACTGTGAGGTCTTATTGGAGTTATTGCATTGGAATGCATTGCTTGGCGTTGGCAGGGCATATGTATCAGTCTGTAGTGGCATAACACACGACTGTCTTGATAAGTATTCAGCGGCTACTTTATGATGTCTTTTTTAACATGTATGATGTCTAATATAAGACTTCGAGCTCCCACAGTTTTTAGTAACTCTGCAGCCTCGCGCTTTGATAGAAACTTATAGCCTGAACAGTACTCAACCTCTGCATAGGTACTTGTCTACATGAGGCTTGCTTTGTCCCACTTGGGGAAGAGCTTGCGATGGTAAACCTGTCGTCCACACAGTTTAGTAGCGTGATCCTGATGCCTACTTCATGGAGTCGTGTTTGTCCATGTGCAACTACCACTACACTTTTGCTCGGTTCAAAATCCCATTTCCCTTTTCTTCTCTTGACTCATTTCTTTTCTGTTGAATAATCATGATACCCCTACACTCTTACATGATTTATCCTAATGATGCTCACTAGTTAGTACCTTGGACGGTAGGTATAATCTCTGAAGCTACAAGTATTTATCCTCAGTCTAGAAGCTGGCACTTTGGTAAAGAACGCAAGGAAATCACGGCCAAAGCGTTGGCAAATGATAGAGTATTATATTACCCGCATTGGGAGTCCTACAGCTATTCTTTCACCTTGATGCTCAGTAAGAATTCAATATAATCATGTAGGGCTTTTGTTTAAAGCTAAAAGGTAAGATTGCGTCCTCAAAGGTGTTCCTGAACTGTTCATGTCCGTTGTATTGTGCGGTTCATCCCAGAAATCATGTTTCTTCGATTTCTGATTAGATCACAGAGAGTGATCTAGACCTTGGCACGGCGATCTAGAAAATTATTTTGCTCAAGTGGGGTTGCAATTTGGAACTTAATACAGATAAATTGACACCGTTTGATGTCTCAGTAAAGTCTTGTCTTACGTTCTGTCATATGACTTGGTATACCTCGCAGGCTTGCTTTCCCAATACCTTGGTATGTGCCGACGTAGATTCTCCCGATTAAGCTCTTCATTACTTCGATGATATGACAAAGACTCTTGCTTAACCTTCCCATCACCTGGCCGCGCTCACCGCCAGTGACATATCTGCGCGATATCATTCTCCGGCTTGGACTAGACTTATATCGAAACAACTCACTAGAGGATGACAAGCTTGCGACACAAGACGTTTATTGGTTAAATACATATGCTCTACGAATTCAACTCGCTACAGGGCTCAGGCTTGCTTACAATTCTTGTTCACGGTGCTACGTTGATTCAGCAGGGGACAACCAACAGCATGTGGACTTCGACAATCATCAACCAGCGGTAATGATAGTCGGCATGACTTAAGAATCGTATGGAAATGGCACTGTCCGTGAAAGGTATGGTAAGATCCGGGGCAATTCCCGCCGAGATGCGATTGCCCAACCCCCATAAGCCAGTCAAGTCAGACTACATGTATCGCTATGGCCATCTCCTCCGTCGTTGCAGCCTTTGTCGCAAAATTTCTTAAACTCAATTACTCCCTTAGAGCCACCCTTGCAATAGAATAAGGACATATTAACATGCTTGTTGACATCAGTTTCCTGATGATTCCTCTTGAGCTCCATGTCGATTCGGTCGTAATAGTTGCCTAGAATTTGATAAGCAATTTAACCCCAGAGTTGGAGTCAAACGACTAGCTACGCTACCTCTTCTTAAAAGGACATAACCGCAGTAGGTGAGGCCTTTCACACAATTCCGATCCTTGGCTTCGGCGACAGGAGCAAAGGCTGCTACAGCAGCAACAAAGATGGTAGCAATTTTAACCATTTTCGAGTCCTGATTGGAATAGAAGAATAAATAGATAAGTATAGAAAGACTGTTATTGGACAGAATAAAGAAGACGGTGGGGTTTTTATGTGGTTGAATTGGTCGTAACAGTGGCCTTGTTATGATCGTAATGCCAATGGGGCGGAGCTTGTGTGTTTTTAGGTTGTTTACAGTTGACCTGGCCACGCAAGCAATCGAGGTTTTGTGGCTAGCAGGCCCACCTGATAATTTGACACTAACAACCAACATGCATATGAGAATCTGCTGCGTGGACCTGGGCGCGTTCCGGCCTTTCAAGATGATACAGGCTAGGACCCAGTATATTAATAGCTGCCAGGACAATAAATTGTGATTTCAATTGGAAGGGGGGGAAGAGGAAGACAAAAAAAGACAGTCTGAATGCACATGCTAACGGATCTGAGAGCGCTGTTATTTGGATGTACCTAATGGTGATGAGACAGCGCGATTCACCATGCGAAGCGAATGGCACGGGCCGCGGCTAGAACTTTCCGGCTGATCGTTCGTTAAATTAACTGTCAATAGGTAAACTCACCGACAACAGGAGCATATCCCCCATATTTTCACCCGGACAGCCAGCCAGCCTCGCGTGATCCAGTCACCACGGCTGGGCGGTTATGGCACACCGCCTAGTGTAGTACAAATTTGTAAAAGGTCAACCAGTCCAACCAGTTTTTCGATAGTCGTGCACTGAGGCATGAGGGGAGGCAAATGCTGTTGGTTGTCCCCTGTTAACTCAACGTGTGATTCCGACACCAAATTGCGGGGCCAGCCCAGGCCAGCCGATGCAAGACCTTCCAAATGGGAGTGACATTCAACCTTTCTGAAGGGTGAAAATACCGCAGAGTACCCGAAGGCTCTAAATCTCGCCTGTTCCTGGTTATTGAGCCCTGGACATGCGATGCCAAGACATGTTGCTGGCAAGGCCTTTAGTGTAAGGCTGAAGAACAAACAATCCTTCATGGAGCTACTAGCTTAGAGTACGTTCTAAAAATGCTAAACATACTCTGTTCTCGCATGTGAGCTCAAAAATGGCATGGGCGCCAAACTGTTTCATGTATGCAATTGTGTCTAAAATATTTGGTCCTTGACAACGATGCCAATCCCTGCCAAGTAAATCCAGTAGCGCCAACGAATACGAAGTGAAAACAACTACCAGTTCCCAATAAACTGCGAGTAACTCGGAATCTCGACCTCTCTGTGCGGATACACGCCACCTTTCTGTGCCTGCATATCGGTGCATTTCTCCTTCTCCATTTCTACCTCTGCCAAAGGCTCCTTGGGGTCTTGTTCACGGTTGGGCTCTGACTTTTCCATCGTTTCGATTTTTGCATGCGGCTGGACATCTTCTTCAGTTATGATTTGCCAGTCATCTTCAAGACTTGTCTGGGTGGCTAGAACCGTATTAGTTTCACTGACGCCATTGAGGAGATAGTCGCACCTGAAGCTGTGGGCTCTTCATTCTCGGCTGACTTTGGGACACGATCGTTTGATGTCATTTTTGGTAGATTAAGGGATTAGTATTTCGGATGTCGATGTACATTCAGACCAGGCTGATATGGCGTCCTGATGGTGAGGGGGTTGATGTGTTGGATGTGGTGACGTAGGCAGCGAGTGGCGATGTTGATCAGTACTTGCTAGGTTGGTCCCGTGATGCGGAGATTGTTCATGTTATGATGTCAACTTCTGGATATCTGGTCTGAATACTAATTGTTAAGTCGAATTCCTCTTCAGATCATTAAAGATCTAGTAAAGATCCAGCCGCAGCCTTCCCCTTATCACCAGACTCTCGTCCACCTCTCGAAGCAGCTGCCTTATACACACTCGCAATCTCACTCTGCCATTTCTCAACTTCAGGCCGCACGAAACGACGATCATAGGTAATCAAACCGTTGACCTCGCCTTCAACATCACTAGTCTGGGTATAAACAGCACCACTACAAGCGAAGCGCTGTGTCTGCTCGCGGATGTCGCGAAATAGAACTCCAGATCGGTAGTGGTACGAATCAAGATTCTCATTGATTTCGTATGTTTCTGGGATGCTGTCGATCGCCTGTTTCACATTCCAAAGACTAGGGTATATGTTAGTTCTGGAGATCAACGGCTACGAGATGACTTACTGCTCGATCGAGACATTATGACCGATTCCGCCGTACTCGCCAGCAATGCCAATACGCTCAGGATCATAAGGCGTCTTGGGCCTGGAGTAAAACGGCGTTCCGCATTGAGGAGCAGCATAGTTATGGTTGTCCTGAAAGATGTTAGTCTGTGCATCGAACTGAAACAGTACCCTTCCTTACATGAAAGTCGCCATATCCGTGATCGTTCCATCCGCTGACAGAGTTGATGAGTCTGGACTTGTCGAGCTTACGCACCACTTCCGTCAAGTCTTTCTCAGGTTCCCCGTCTCGCTGGCCCCAGCCTTCATTATAAATGACCTATCAGTGTAAGTATATCGGCAGAGCATAATAGCATGCGACTTCTTACCCATGTAACGATTGAGGGGTAGTTCTTATGCTGTTTGACCAGAATCTCAAGCTGTCGCTTGAATTCGGCTTGTTCCGCATCGTTTGGTTTGCGCTGGCCGTCAGCTGGCAGGCTGGGCATGTCTTGGATAACAAGAAGGCCAAGCTGGTCACAGGCCTGGTAGAACAGATGAGGCTCATATTTGATCTTTTGTCGTCAGCGAATAAGTCTTTCCATCAGCTGTGCCAGCAATACCTACATGTTTTCGAACCATGTTGAAGCCTAGCTTTTTCAAAAGCTCCAAATCAGAAATCATGGCCTCTCGGTTCGGCGGCGTGTACAAGCCATCAGGCCAAAATCCCTGATCGAGGGTTCCAAACTGGAACACAAACTCCCCGTTCAGCAGTGGCCGAGTGACGTTCTCAACTTTACCTTTGGAAATGGTTCGGAAGCCCGTGTAACTCTGTACCTTATCCCCGCTGTCGAGCGTTACGGTGAGATTGTAAAGCGTTGGGGAGTCAGGCCACCATAGCTTAGGTGACTTGGCAGTGAAAGTGAATTCTTCATTAGTTGTTCCATCGTGGGATGCCAGGTCTTCTTCATTCAAGCCTTGAATCACTACTTTGGCGGGGCTGCTAGAGTTTTGCGATGTGTGGACTGTTACAGATACTAGATAGTGTCAGTGGCTTCTTCTCGGCCAACAGCATTTGGAAGGGTTACTTACCTTTGCCGTCTGCATTAGCTGAAACATCGAGCTCAGTGATGTAGTCCTTGGGAACAGCCTCGAGCCATACTTGCTGCCAGATACCCGAGCACGAGCGGTAGAAGATGTGACTGGGTCGCAGAGTCTGTTTGCCGATGGGAATGACCTGGTCATCTGTTGGGTCATTCACAAAGACAAGTCTAGTTTATGGTCAGGAACACTCTACGATAGTCACTCCTATGGCCAACTTACAGCTCATTAGACTCGCCGAACTTGACGTTGTCGGTGATATCAATTGTAAATCTGTCGTAACCACCGATGTGTGTCGTCTTTTCCTCTCCGTTCACAAACACAGTCGAATTGTAGTCAACAGCCTCGAAATGAAGCAAAACGGTCTTATCCTCCCAGTCATCGGACACCTCAAAAGATCGCTGGTACCAGAATTGCCGCTCATCGAGAATCTGCAGTCCCGACAGAGCGCTCTCGATACATGCGGGAACTAGAACCTCACGATCTAGAGGCCCTTCTTCCGGAGGATTGCTGAGGTCACCGTCTCCTCTCCACGTCCAGATGCCGTTGAGACTCTTCCAAGCTTCACGTTTAAGCTGAGGTCGGGGGTGTTCCGGCCAAGGGTTCGTGCCGAGTTTATAGGTCCAATCTGTGTCGAGCGGAGGCTTCTGAACATTATATTTTGTCTGTGCAGAAGCTGTGTCAATTGCGACAAGGGAACAAAGTCCCGCGAAGGAGGTGATCTTCGACCAAAGCATGACCGTAGTTTATGCCTTCGCATTTGAGTTTGGAATACATTCTCTTCACGGCCATGGAGTACCTTATGTATCATCAGTTCCCCGCATTCCAACCCCCCTGACCTTAATTCTCCTTCCTGCGATGACGTCTATATCGTCAGCAGACGAGAGTCGATGTGATTATCGACCCATTTCCATTCCCCGCATCCTTGTTGATCATCAATTTATTAACCCGAATGCAGTGCCGATGCAGCACATTTCCCCTGTCCTATGCGCCGTGTGAGGGGAAAAGCCCCGAAGGATGTGGCTTTGCGCCAGCGATAAACAAGTTTAACTTTCGCGACGTGGTATTGAAAACTCCATTGAGTATACAGGTCCGTGCAAAGGATCCGACAACGAGCCAGCTAGCGATATATGGTAACACGCATGTATAGAGTATGTAATACTCAGAAGGTTTTATGTATAGTTCAAGGATAATATAATGTGTTCTTATGGAAACTAAAAAGCATCAAATACAAATTTTCAAACTTTTATAGAAAAAGAAAAGGGAAGCAATTCTTAGACCATTTGCACGCCAACTGTAACGTTGCAATAAGTATCCTCCCTGGAAAGCTCTTAGCTGCATATATATGGATCGGCACGTGAGTCAATTTTATAAACCCAGGGGATCACTGATACCATGGGCATGTGATACAGGTTCCTAAGAACAACGTGATACACGCTCACATTCATGGCAACTGGAGCTGTGAACCAGTGCCTTTTGAGCACGGCGTACTGACCCGACTGCCAAGGACGAAAAACCCCTCGCTCACGGATCTGATCCTTTGATCTAGCGTCTGAATTGTATCATTGACGGGGTCAAGTTCACATTGCGCAGCAACAGGCAATCGTGATCATTTCACCTCACGATGCACCGGAGAAACATTTTATCAAAGAATTGCCTTGTTATTTCGCTTGAATCAAACATCCATCTAACGCAGTAGTCATAAATCTAAATCCCAGTCCAGCTTAAGTATCCCACTTTAGTCAAAGTTGCTCTCCTGGAATGAGGTTCGGAGTGGCATCTCGCTATCAAAGTTCCCAGCCTCCTTCTTCATGTGCCTATCAAAGCTCTGTGTAGACAACTGCACCTTCTCGAACCAGGTTCTATCCAGAACAGGCGCCGCGGGAGGGCTCTGGCCCCGTGATCGCGCAAGTTCAGCCTGGTTGGAGTAGTTGTGGATGGCCAAGCTGGAAGCAATTTGGAATGCACTTCGGATCTGTCGACCGTTCCAGCAGCCAGTAGATCGGGCCAACTCCTCAAAGTGCTTGGTGGCGAACTCGATGATGTCGTTCTCCTTGATGATGAGCGCGGGCTCGCCAGTCATACGGTGGCGCTCGGCCTCGATCTGCTTGAGCTTGCCGATATTGAGGCGGAAGATTTCGCGTGTCTGGGTCTTGTCCAGAGGAGGGTAGTACAGAGACAGGTGGATACGAGACTTGAACGCCTCGTCGATGGTGCCGACTCGGTTGGTGGTGAGGAAGAGAAGACCGTTGTAGTACTCTAGAACTCGAAGGAAGACAGAGACGAGAGCGTTACGCTTCATGTCCTGCTTGGATCGCTGAGTCAGGAAAACATCAGCCTCGTCTAGCAGGAGAACACAGTCCCACAGGTGGGCGAGACGGAAGACGTTCTTGAGCGACGACTCAACCGCATGTGGCGTGAGACCAAGATCACCGCAAGTGATAACAAACAGAGGCTTTCTGTTCTCCATAGCCACAGCCTCAGCCGTGGCAGTTTTTCCAACACCAGGAACACCATGCAGCAGCACCACAAGACCGCGACCCTTGCCCTGAATCAAATCCTGGCTGGGTCCCTCAGTCGCGACGTCGGCATACTTGCGCTCAAGTTGCTTCCTCTGGAAATGGGACATAACCAGACCGCGAACAACGTCCTTGTAGTCACGCTGGATGCGGAGGTTCTCGAAAACGCCGGGCTCCCGACGCACGGGCTTGAGGACGTTCAGGTCGATGGGCAAGAAACGTCGCTCGCGAAGAGCATATGCGAACATACGCTTGGGAAGGAGCACAAGGTCCTCGTCGCGAAGATCGAGGGCCTTGGGGTTGGTCTCGAATGTTCGGCTTCCCTTGACGCGCACGCGAAGGAAAGCGTCAACGGCGAGGTTGTCTCTTCGCTGGCGCGCCTCGACACCATCGGACTGCTGGATGATCTCATTCTGGGAGAATGCCAATGTCTGGCGTGCACCGTTGAACCATTGCTGGATGGGCATCTCATCATCCTTAATCTCGCATCGCGAAGCCTTGTTGATCGTGAGACGATGGAAACGAGGCCGCCAATCGGGCATCTTCTGGTATGCCTCTGTGAGATCGACGATGACATCGCTCTCTACAAACTCAGGGTGGCGCATCTTCTCATAATCCTCGCTCTGGAGGATCTCCTCATCGGGTTCGCTCTTATCGAAAGGGGGGTTTCTGGTCAAGGTCCAGGCGCTGTACTGCTGGTGGCGGTCGTCCAGATAGTTGACGAACTTTCGGCCCTGTTCTTGCATCGAGCTAAGCATTTGCTTGTGGTCGTGACGGTATCGGATGGGGAAGACCTCAAGGGACTCAATTGATCGCTCTCCAATAAAAGACTCAATCTCAAACTTGCGTCGCACAGCTCCAAAGTTGTTGCCATCATGGTCGATGTAGTACGCAGAGATCTTGAACTTGGAGTTCTCATCGATCGCCTGCTCGTCTGCGAAGAAGTCCCACCCAGAGGTGGGGTATGATGTCTCTGGGTCAGGGCTTGTCACCCTGTAAATACGCCAGATCTCGTGGTATCGTCCGCCAGTCTCACCGGATGCGGGCATGTAGACGAGGTCACCAACTCGGAAGAGGGACCAGAGATCGTCGAACTTGACACGGTCGGCGGAAGCATCTTCGAAGCGGTTGTACAAGGGCAGAACTTCCTTGTCAACGAAGTCAACATAGCATCGCATATCTCGGAGAGCCTCAGGGCTGTCCATAAGATTGTCGTAGTCCTCATCCTCGTTGGAGTCAACGGATGCAATAGACTCGGCGTCGCTGTTGTCTTCATCATCCTCAAGCTCCTCGCCCTCTTTGACTCCAGCATCGATGATCTCTGGCTCAACCTCGACGGCCTCGGAGCTCTCGCTAGCAAGGTCTTCGTAGTCAGCCCACTTGTCCTCAAGTGTAGCGAGGATCTCTCGCATCTTGGGCTGGAAGTGTACAAGCGACTTGAAGGGTCGCATGAATGTGCGGGGAGAAGATCGCTTCTCTGTGTCGTTCATAAGAGCGGTCAAGTGACCGAGAATAGGTTGAGACTGGATTCGGATACGCTGGATCTCAGCATCAGATGCTGGGATGATGTCGCTCTTCTTGTCGCGTCTGGACTTCTCGAAGGCCTCTGTCTTTCGAAGAGGTCCCTCGGCGATACCATTGCTGGCGTTGCGGAAAAAGAGGTAGCTCTGACGAATACGAGCCATCTCCTCACGTCGTCGAAGGGCATGCTCTCGACGGATCTGAGCTTGGGTACCAGGACCCGACATGAGCACATCGATAGCATAGTCGGGCTCATCGATGTCCTGGAATCTGTTCTTGAAGTTCTCGAAGTTGACCTTTCGGACTTCAGGAATCTTGGCTCGCCATTTGGCGGTAGTACGGCGTCGATCGGCGAGAATACGTTCACGTCGCTCGGCCTCTTGCTTGAGAGCCATGTATTCAACGTCATTCTCTCGAGTGCCGCGGTTATTGTTGTTGTTGGCACGACGGCCAGCGCCGCGCCTGTTCTTGAAAGCTGCTGCTTGGGTAGTGCGACCCATTGTTGCTGATTTGTGATGTGTGGTTGATGGTTTTCATGCAAGTTGAAGAAAGAATAGATGTCTACTTATACCATAATCGCATCAACAATCAACCCCCAACATCAGCCTTCCTCATAGTGTATCGTATCCACATGTTGAATCCCTCCGCTGCCTCCAGGCTGCTCTGCCGGGCTGAGTCACTGGCCTGCGCTTAGCATAAAAGGCCCCTGTCCTGCCTATCGCTGTAGGCAGCAGCACGGCCTAAAAATGTGGCGAAGCCTATCAACGTCCGCGCTTAAACTAACCTCCCGTGCCAGCTCAGTCTCACATCAGCGCTGGCCAAATTGAACCAATGAATCTTGAAGGATTATGCAGGATGTTTCAGTTGTCAAAGCTTCTGAATACGAAGGCGTTTTTCTCAAGGCAGCAATCGCGGGGCTTAGAGGACAATGAGCCCGAGACTCTCATTCTTTGGGGAAGCTACCACAATTGCGGTTAGCTACGATCGACGCTATTCAAGTCCTGCATAGAGTTATCTCACAAGGGACTTTGGTTAAGAGTTCCACAAATATTCCTTCACTGACCAACGCACCCCAGTCCAGATGGTTAATAACAAGACGTACACAAATAAAGGATTAACCGCGATTGATACTTTGGCCATACTCAATGAGAAATAGTTTTATCATGATCCGAGGCGATATGCCATTTGAATTGACGTATATGGTCGACATGGGCCCTTGACTCAAATCTTCAATAGTTACCTACCGACTATCTCTAGTTTGTAGTAGGAAAGTTGTTCAGTCGACCTCCGTCAACCACTATGACCGTACCATTACAGTATCCACCCGCTCGAGAGGCGAGATAGAGAAAACTCCCTGACATGTCCTTTTCATCTCCCATTCTGCGAAGCGGTACCATCGATGTCGGGATTGCGCCAGGTTGCCCCGAGTCGTCAGTGTACAGCTTGACAATTGGCTCAGACATTTCGCTAGGGAATACTATAGCATGTTAGTTTCCATCGTCCAGGAGCAGCGGCGTATAAAACTTACGACCTGGAGCAATGCAGTTGGCCCTATGTCACGCTTAGCACATAGTCGAAGGATCAGTGGTCAAAAATTGATGACACAACGTACCTAATGTTCCATTGAGGAAGAGCCACTGCAAGTTGCTTAGCTGCTGAAACTGCTGCCGCCTTGGACTGGCCGTAAGCCCAGCCACCGGGAGCTTTCTTGTTAAACGCAGCGATCGAGCTGGTAACGATGATTTGCGAGGTTTGCTCAACATTACCCTTCTCGTTGCCCTTCTTCAACAGCCCCAGGAACGCCATACTGGTGTACCACACGGACGCTGTGTTGATAGCAAAGGTGTTCACGTAGGCATCAAAGTCAGTGTCGAAGTTAGACTTAGCCCAGTCCTCCAAACTGGTTTCGGGAGTAAGAGGGATGACCTGGGGCCCTCCAATACCAGAGTTGCATACCAAGAGGTTGATGTACCCAGTTTCTTTTTCTATCTGGGTTGCAATGCGCTGAAGATCGGATTTGGAGGTGACGTCGCATTGAACTCCAACGACTCTCTCACCCAGAGAGTTTGCTACCTCATCCAACTTCTCTTTTCTTCTACCGGCGATGTACACCTTCGCAGTGCCGTTTTGGAGCAGAGCTTTCACCAGCATAAGGCCAATGCCTGCGGAATGGTCAGTCACGCCGAGTAACGATCCGTGCTTTTGTCGCTGGTTGACTAACCTGTAGCTCCTCCTGTCACGACCGCGACAAGACCGTCGACGTTGAACAGGGAGGCGGCGTTGAGTTCGTTGGAAGCCATTTTGTACAAACTGATATTTCGAATGAAACTTTGATCTATGTTCAATATTTTGTGGGCAGAATGCGCAGATTGAGGTAATTCATCATTTATCTAGCCCCGCTTCGGAATCAAGATGTCATCTCTTCGCAATCGATTCGGCCCCACTCACTTCCATAACGTTATGGCTTTTTAGTTACAGCTTCGCTGAATAGCAGAGGACACCGCTTGGTCTCATTAATAATGGTCAATATCCATAAAATCTCTCGGCCCTATTTTGAAAAGCTCATTATTGATTCGTTAGCTACAACGATGCTCCGGATACCTCGGCTCGCTTCGGGTCGGCCTAGAGTCCCGCTTGTCGTGGAGGCTGCAGAATCGCGAGACAATACCTTTTCGAGAATTTTGATCAGGAGCCTGGCAAGCTTGTTTCATTTTGAGCAAACTGAACTTTGCACGAAATGGCTTTGACCTGATACTAAATGCAGATGGACGTCAAATTGCGAATGCCTAACGTAGATGGAACAGACTAGTGGAAGTAAGCAAATCTGCCTTGGCTTGAGCTTAGGCAGACGTAGATAACAACGATCAAAGAATCAACTATTGAACGGTTGTGGTTACTTCTTTCAAGTTCCAAAATTTCTGACAGCTGTTTAGAGATCAAGCACATCATTATCCCAAGACTTCTTGCCCCCTTTGATCTGTTTCCTTCAGGAGCGAACTGAACTTTATTATCACTATGCTAAAAGACAAAACACGGGATTATGAAGACGACCCAGAAAAAACAGCACAATACGCAGTTTCTGGCTCAAACGACAGTCCGTCAAAGGAATTTGTCAACAAAGTCGAGGCGCTCTTCAATAGACGCAGTGGAGCAGAGATTGCTGCGGATGCGGATAGACTAGCTGCAACAGCAAAGAGGTTCCGTCAAGAGCAGATAATAATTCGAAAACGGCAGCAAGGAAGGCAGATGCTTATTGTAGCCCTTCTGGCTGTCTTAATATTGCTTGTGGCTAGACTGTGGTACTGGCCCTGGAGTTGATGTGCTGCGTTGAAAGACAAGATACATGTCTATGATTAGTGGGCTCAATGTATACATCAATTTCTCGCCTGATGATACGAATTCGGAAAGATCGTGGGCCTCGGCTCATGTTTGAGATGGGACAATTTGGGGACACGATTTTGTTATCAGCTTCGCAAGTCACGCCATTTTCGACCCCGCTTATACTCACTTAGTGGTGTCACTTTGGCCTTCGATTTATTGCCTCAACCTTCTCATCACGAACCTTTCTCAACCAGCATTATTTACTTGGATAAATCACGAAAATCATGAGCGTTCAAGAGGCAAATTCACAAGGCCTCCAGGCCCAGCAGCCAACTGGTGATAGACTGTCACCTAAAGTGTTGCTCATCGCAATGGTAGGCCAAATCCCGCCCGAATTCGGGTCTGATCAGTATCTAATGGAAAGTAGTTCTATGAAGAGTCGAGAAACTGGCTTTCTCCTGAGAGTGCTCTCCAATTTCCACGCAAGGTGCGCGTTCCAGGTCTAGCACGGGGATATGAGGATATCCACGTCACTGAAAACGGCGAAGTTGCACTCCTGGTCGTAGGAACTGCCCGTAAGTACACATGCATGATGAAGATGTCAATTCTGACCCGAGAACAGTAATCAATGCGTCTCTATCAATTAGTGCTCTGCTCACATCGCCGCTCTTCGATCTGAGAAAGACGTATTTCGTCCTAACCGGCATTGCAGGCGTGAACCCTAAGAGGGCCACGATAGGCTCTGTCGCGTTCGCGAGATTTGCCGTTCAGGTTGATACGCAGCTCGAGTTCGATGCGAGAGAAATCCCTTCTGAGTGGGACTCGGGATATGTCCCAATGGGAGCTGACAAGCCTGACCAGTTCCCTGGTATTGTGCACGGCTCTGAAGTATTTGAGCTGAACGCCGCGTTGAGAGACTACGCTTTGTCTGTTGCCAGAACTGTGGAGCTTGAGGATACTCCAGAAGCTGCTAAGCACCGGGCCTTGTGGCAGAATTCACCAGATGGTATCTTCGACGTAGCTACAGAAAAGCCAAGTGTGCTTGAAGGCGATGTTCTATCCTCAAATACCTTCTGGCACGGCCATCGCATATCTGAAGCGATGGAAAAGGTTGCCAAGGTCTACACTTCAGGCCAAGGAGAATACACCATGACGGCCCAAGAGGACAATGCCCTGCTCGCAGGCCTGTTAAATGCAACTCTGCAAGGAAAAGTAGACTTCTCTCGGACACTACTTATTCGATCTGCTTCGAACTTTGACCGCGGTCACGAAGACAAGCCCCACCAACTCCCCTTTGTTATGGACAAGGGAGGTTTGGGCCCGTCAACCCGCAATTTGTACCTCACAGCTCTCAAAGTTGTCGAAGGAATTGTAGACGATTGGTCTGTCAAGTTTGAAGCTGGAATCACCCCTGAGAACTACATCGGGGATATCTTTGGATCGCTGGGTGGCGCACCAGGCTTCGGAAATCAGCACAATATCGACCAAATTCGGTCGCATTGAAACTGATATAGAAAGTTCAACAGCCAAGAAGCAGGGGCCAAGAAGGATGCAGTATACACGATAGATAGAATAGAGCAATGTGCATATACTGCGAGCTATCTGTTAGTTGCTCATGAAGGTGCATTGATATTCAGGAATCCCAAGTGAAGCTTTCAAATCATCTTTTCATTAATGAGAGCATTAGGTTTAGTGATTATGAATGAGTGTTGTCTAATGCCGCTAGATTGCACAGATATTAATTCCAAATTCCGTCATGATATGCCATGAGGCCGGCCGCCCATAGCGTCGACTAAAGGCCGTTCTATCTAGATTCAAACTAGAGATTCCTCTCTGGGTATGCTGACGCTGAAAGCAAATGTGGGCATCTTATTAATGCAATGAACCATCGCGCGGCGTCTCTGGTACACGGGTCTGTATCAACCCCCCAGATCACGGGTCAATGATTAGATAATCAGAAGAGCTGCGAAACCAACCACAACTCCCACGACAGGTATACCCGTTGAAATGGCTGCGTTGTCAGCAGTTGATGATGCTGCTGCGGCACCTGCTGATGAAGCCCCGCTAGCCAAAGTTGCAGATGCGCCGTTCGCCTCTTGTGTGGCAAAGGTAGAACTGGCATCTGTTTCCGCAGAAGAAACAGAATCTGCTGTAGTGGAAGCAGAAGCCGCAGATTTTGTGCTCGACTCCTTTGTCTGACTCGTTGTCGTTCCTTCGGTGGTCGTCTTAACCTTCTGAGCTGTCGTCTTGGTGCTGCTTGCCGCAATAGTTGAGGAATTTGATTCATCCTCATCGGCACCTCCAGCCTGCTCAACGCGCTCCTTCACCCAGGCGGCAACCTGGTTGCTGTAGATATCGAAGTAGTTGAGGTGTGTTTTGACGTCCTCGCCTTGCGCACAGATAGGATCAGTCTCAACGCAGTAGTTGCGGAACACATCGCCATAGCTGGCCAGGTTTGCAAGCTGATTAGCTGGTCTTGGGAAAAGACCATTCTTTCCCGCTCCAGACAAGACATTCGATGGCTGATCGGCGGTGTGTCGCGTATCCCCGAAAACCATTGCTGCGACGACTTTTTATGACTCGTTAATATACAGCGCCAAGATTTTCAATGACTGGCTGGACTTACTTTTGTTACCGGGCCGAGTCTTTGGACTCAAGCCCGCAATGTCTTCTTCCACACAATCTTGGAAAAAGACACCTCCGCCGCCGCCAAGGATGTCGCCCACAACGTGGGCACCTTGCGAATAACCGCTCACCACGAGCTTGGAGTCAGGACATCGCTTGTTGTAGGCTGTGATCTGCTTATTTCCATTGACAACACCCTCGGTGACTGATTCGCAAAATGGTGCTGGGAGCGGGTTGTTAAAATGAATGTCCTCATAGTCACAGCTCTTCAGTCCAGAGCAGATGGCTTCCACCAGCTTTCCCTGTCGCCCCGGCTCAGGTTCATTGTTGCCCTTAGCGAGAAAGATGTGCACGTCCTTGCAATCATTGTCGCGGACGCCAATTGAGAAGCCGTTTGCTGAGGCTGCGGCCAGTAATAGAATAGTTCCTGTGCAATGCATTGTGATTATTGATTATGTTGTTTGTTGTTTTTGGTATGATCGTGAGCGACAGTCGAACGACATAAACAAAACTCACCCAACGCGACTTTCAAACTTTCGTCACCTAAAACAAAAACCGGTTTCACACCCGGGGTCACCCTGGGCCTGGGGGCACGACCCAGGTTTTAATGGTATCGCATCCGGTGTAGAAAATATGGGGGAGGATGGTAAAAGTGGATGTAGTTCATAACCCCTGAGACATGGTAGAACCTTTATCCGAGACTGTGTAGGTATTGTTATCTTCTTGGTACGGAGTACGGACGGTTGTGATACAGCCCCTGTTAGCCGTAAGATCGTCTTCCGGGCTACCGAGAAGGTCTCAAACCCACTGCGTATACGAAGCATTAATTAGTTTGACGTGTTCCATATAAACTAGGGCTAAAACTCAACGTACGAGTCATGATTTATATCGTGAACTTTCGCGTCCAAACTTCGACTTTAAACAGAGACAAATCCCATCATTATCACGCTCTTGATTCACCAATTCAGCGCCTTCCGTTGGTCGGGCTAAATGAGACATCTATCCAGCCGGATCAAGGAATGAGAACTGGGGTGCTCCGTGATGATAAGCAGAAAATGACAAATCGCAAACGGGGCAAATGAAAATTGCGATCGCTGGTCTAAGCGCTAACAATGGAAAATTCTACCTTCTTAAGTCTGGTAATCGGTCCGCCAACATACCCAACGCCTTGATCGTAAAGGTAAACTTATAATTCGGGTATGAAAAAGTGCAAAAATTATGGAACGCTCCTGGGATCGCCTCCTTCAACCACTCGCCATTATCTTGCTGGCGATTCATTAGGAAACGAGCGCCCTTTTCGAGTGGCTCAGTGTCGGAATACTGACTTTCAACCAGCCCGATGAGCGCCCAGGCGGTTTGCACTACCAGGGAGCCACTTGGATCTTCATGATACTGTCCAGTCTCGCAGCTCTGTGAATGGTTAGGGGGTATTCTATATACATAACTTTGAGCGAAAGTGTTAAAAGCACGCACCTTGAAGCTTTCAGACCAGCCCCCGTCCTCCCGTTGTTTCGATATTAGGAAATCACAAGCTCGCTTGGCATGAGAGCTTGTGCTATAGTGCTCCCCAACAGCAGCCAAACTCTCCAATGCGAACATGGTGGCATACGTGAAATAAATGCCCCAGCTGCCATACTAACTACCATCACGTCTTTAGTCTTGCTTGATCCAAGCAACTCCCTGTTGGATAAACTTCTCAACATCCCGCTTCCTGTAGTCCGGCCAATATTGCCTGAAGAGGCAAAGGGCTGTGACGTACGATGTTGTACATTCCGGATAGTCGTATTCGACCATTTGATTTCCAAAGACTTCAGCCACATTAAGCGTTTCGAGGAGCTTGCTCCCCCGTCGTGCCTCGAAAGCGGAAACGCCACCACCGGCGTTCTGGTATAGCATCATGGTATCGACCGCATCGAAAATCCTCTGGTCGTCGAATATCTTGGGGAAATTGGCCGTCTTCTCGAGCAAGATGACAGCGCTAAGTGCTTCGGCGATGCAATCACTTACTGTATACCCCTGGTCATTGTTGCTGAACGACCAGCCCCCCTTTCGTGGTTGTCGGTAGCACTTATTTTGATCCATGCAGTTTTCCGTGTTTGTTGGCGCTCAAGATAGTTGTAGGCCTTCCGTAGCATTGGTCTCCATCTCTCATCAGCCTGAAACCCACAACGGCAAACAGCTTGGACAAGAAACGCAGTGTCCCAGCATTGACTCCCATTAGTATTGTTAATGACCATTCCGTCAGCGGTCATCCAAAGAAACTCCTGGAGTCTTTCGACATGTCGCTTGAAGCCTATTGAGTCTGGCCCATCGCGGAAATAGCATATCATGGTGTTCATCGGGGCACCTGTGGCTGCGATGCCTGCGTAGTCGGTGTTGAGGTCTTGCATATCAATTTGTTGGCTCACCCAGGATTCCGCTCTTTCCTTCAAGAATCTTGGACACACATATGGTTCCAAGATATTCAGGAACACCCAGTTGGCACTCTTGGCTATCCAAGACTTGGGAGTTTTATCAAAAGGTGCCACTGTGTCGATATTCTCTGCCCAATTGATCTCTTCATATGGTTCAACAAGAAGCTCCTCCCGCAGATCTCGGATAAACTCAGTATTACCCTTATATGTCCACTTCTTGTGATAGAGGTAGCTCATAGGCAGATTGACGAGCCTCGTTTCGGCATAGAATCTCCAAGGCGCAAAAGGCACCCAGTCTGGCAGAAGCCAAAGCTCTGGTGGCATAGGATTGACGATCTTCCAATCCATAACTCCCAGGATGGCAAGCCAAAACTTCCCTTAAATGGTCGAGTAGATAGCTCCACCATTCTCCTGGATAAAGCTACGAGCTCTGATAAGGACAGGGTCATCAGGCTCCATAACTAGAATGCGGAGGACGACATAGTTGATAGCAGTACCACAAACGGTACTTTCGCCCGTTGTGTGCAGTCCCCAGACACCTTGGATTGGATTTTCCAATGAAATAAGGTAGCTTCTCAGCTCAATCTTGGTGGTTGCCGAGATCGGTGTGTCTGTAACAAAATATGCGATGCTAAGGCCCACACAAAACAACATGGGACCACTACTCTCACAACCCCAATGACCAGAGGGTAGCTGCAGGTTCTCGAAGAAGGTCAATCCATTATATGCAGCTTCGGAAACGGAAGTAGCGCGAGGGAGGCATGGGAGTCCCTATACTTGTTAGGTCCTTTCACGACAACAAGCACATAACATGTAAGACTCACTAAAGGTAGGTCCAGATAGAATTTTTCTGGATGGCTCTGTGGCCAATCCTTGCATGCCTTCTCATCGGGCAAATAATGCCAGGTATGGCGACTGTCGTCATCTTTCAGGCGCCATCTTGTGTGGTCTGTTGTTCCACGCCAAAGACTGGCAACCCGTTTCTCTTCCGACCGGACATCGTGAGCTTTTCCTTTCGTAGAACCAACTTCTATATTTTTGGCCATTTTCGCCTTAGAAAAATGAAAATGGCGAAGCTGACAGCTTTGTTCACGGCCTCCTTCTTCATATAAGTAGTTATTATCCACACCCGTCTCACATCAGCTGTAGGATCACAAGTGGGAGCGGATTCTCACGGTTATCCCTGCCATGTCCGTGAGACCAGCGAAGCATCACAGACATCCGTTATCCAGTTCCGGATAGCTTACAAGTTGGGAGAACAACAGTCTGCATGACTGTAAAATCATACCTACTGAGATGTTCAGTGGGTACATATAAGTTCCAATGACTTCCTATCCAATGCACTATCCATAGGCTCTCCTACTGTATGCAGATCGCTCTCGACGAGGATGCTGTTGTCTGGCAGAGCGCGTATCACTTCATCGGTCTTGGTGCGGCCCGCATCCGTACAAAGGTTAAAAGCCGCTGAGAGTAAAGTAAAGATATAAGCCGGGATGGTCGGGAGTACTGCTTGAGTACTTTAATACTGGCACTGGATGAATGAAGATAGACTCGTGGCTCGCGCTTTGAGGTCCGTCCTTGGACAAAAATGAGAGGGGGGAGTGGGAGTGCCCTCCGTGTCCTCAATATTCCAGGTCATAAACTGCTTCGTCTCGATGACAGGTAGTGTTTTGTGGTTGGAGAATAAGGCCGATCGCCCCCCACACCTTGGCAATATAGACAACTCTAGGTTTATACAGTCTGTCTATATTTTCACTATTAGCGTTATTTAATCAGGCTTTCCAGATCAGATTAACTACTAATCCGTGACTTATACATTCTAGAGCAGTCGACTTTTATCTACGCTATTTTAAAGTCAGGTTTAATCTCAGAACTGGTTTCTAGAAATAGGTTTTAATATTAAGTTACTGCCCCTTTGAGCGTTGAATATATATATAGATAAGACCTTGGCCCTGAAAAATGAAACGAGATTATCTAAATTTTACACAAGAAAGTATAAGTGGTAATAAACTCTTTTATCTAACATAACCCTTATATAATCTTAGGATAGAATTATGTTTAAAGTGTTTTAATAATAAGTATATACTTAAATATTTATGTAATGCTTTGTGATCCTAATTAGCGCATTGTCCGAGCTTTGTCCCATAGTGTGACTATACCGTATCTCGGCAATAAATAAATGTTATTAATATATGCTTCTAGTAACATAGATTGAGCATTTTCAATTTGATTCATGTAACTCTCCAACCTCAGAGAGAAAGGGCTTTTGTAAAACCCGCTTTGTGGGTGTCTCAAGAAAAGCACTGACAGAACGAGAACATGGTAATCTGATTCCAGCACGATGAAAACTTTGTAACTATGGAAGAAGAAATTCTGCTTTCAACAGGACTTATCCAGAAGAAACATCATATCCAAGGGCTTCTCAAACCGAGAATATGGCATACTGGACTAGTAAGAAGAAGTAGGCGACTTGGAAATGAAATCCTTCAACTGCCAAATCCTGTGTCGCGCATCCCAAGTACCATCCTTCTTGATGGGGCCGTTCGGGCCGAGACGCTCGTACGAAACATCTACCATATCAACAGCACCATTTTTGTTCCACAAACAAGGCTTACCCGGGCCATGACTGTTGCGGGGGCGATAGGTATCGACCTTCTCTAGGCGTTCCTTGAGCGAATTGTGCAAGACAGCCCCCCTGGGGATATCCCGAGAGGCACAGAAATTGGGCGTGCCTCGATACAATTCCCATCCTCTTTCTTCCTTATCCTTCACATCGTTGAGCTCCCAGCGGGGAATGCCTGGGAGAGATTCTACCACATTATCAGCAAATATCAAAGAGAGTTGGAAAGAAAACGTACCAATGAAGTTCCACATGAGAACCTTGAAGAAGGATGTGCCGTATCCAAACTTTAGACAGTTATGCATGAACCCCTTGACGACATATTTCTCAACGTTGTCAGCCACGTTCATGTTCTTCTTGAAGTCTCCAAGAGTGTGACACCAGTGTACTTGGCAGCCAGGATGTTGCTTGCCGATAATATCAACCTCGCGAATCATCCAGTCAAGCGCCATATCGCTCATCTGTAAAGCGTCGTCGTCCAAGATCTGGTATGGATCATTGGGTTTCATGGTACTGAAGAAGTATTTCAAGCGCGGCCACCAAGTCATTTCGCTTGGCGACTTCACTGGCACAGCTGGCCATCCTCCACCAATATCACCGTGGTTACCGGGGAACCAAACTTCTCTGATATCCTCCTCTTCATCTTCGTCGTGGATGCTCTTGTTGTTGGAATCCTCAATCACTTCCTTAATATCCTGCGCAAGCAGGGCAGGCTTGAACTTGACACGGTGCTCGTCGACCGCCACGGCGTGACGGACGTGGTGTGCAGTTCCAGTTACCTCGACTGGAGCGGGCGCATTTCGCTCGACAACTGCAACAGAGTTGACGCAGTCCCAGATACCGAGGAAGAAGACCTTGATGTTCTTATGCGTGTGAGGATCAGGATCGGTGCCATCAGTCCGGCAGAAGGTCTCACTGAAAGCCTTGACCTCCTTTCTGGCAGCGATCGTCTGGGGGCTTGTTGTAACTATGGGGTTGCCCGACAAAAAGCTATCTCCAGCCGGTTTGTGGCTTTTTTTCCCGCGCTTCTTCTTCCCATGTGACGTGCCGGTAGGCGCAGCATTCTGCGGCAGACTATCTGTTTCGGACTGACTGGTTCCATCAGGCTGGCTCTTGGGGGTGTTGTCAGAACCACCCTTGGCGGCAGCGGTACGATCGTCGCTTTCACATTTAAGAGACCTTTGGTATAGGCGGTATGCGAAAGGCACCATCTCTTCGTTGCCCTTGCATAACAGGCCAACCTCGTTGACCATGCGGGCTAGATACTTGGCAGTAAAAGCGCCTCGACTGAAACCAAATATATAAATCTTAGCTTCCTATCCAAAACATTAGCCATTGTTGCAGTACCGATTAGCCATCACATACAGATTCATAGTGTCGCATCAGGAAACGATATCCCGCCATAATATGCGCGTCGAATGTGGTACCGAACCCCGAGTCAATTGCTTGAGAGGCCATGCTTCGTACGCTTCCAATAGGCGTCTTGTTGACGGAGCTCTCATTTATATCGTACGTACCGATTCCAGCTTCAATCTGCTTAGCGTATTCAACATGGTTAACTGGGTAATCTACATACTTTGATAGTAATGGAACTGCTTCTTATTGTTGCGGTCAAGCTTACGAAGAATCTTGACGACATTGGTATCCGCGTTAGTGCCACTGAAGACATTGCCGGTGCCGTCAAAGCAAAGAATAAGTTTGACATGTTCGTCGGCGTTGATAGCCTCCTGAACGTGAGGATATATAGCGTGGGGCATCTTGGCAAAGGCTGGACGTATACAAGAAGAGTAAGTAAAAGTGGATGTCTGGGGTAACTAAAGTAAAGGATATCCACGTCCTGCGCGGGAAGTAAGACTCTTATAGTATTTTCTCATGGTATCCCATGGACTACAGAGTTGCACCTGTGTGACTTCTCTTGCTTCCACCATTCACAGTCCATTCATTACCACTGCTCATTTGTCGTCAAGACAAGCCTCAACATATCAAGCGGTGGAGGCGTTTATGGCTCATATTCAGGCCAGTAGCTAGCCCTCTCCCGTGTGCTGTCACCCCTCTAAAAAGAGAAGGCGATGGCTCGCATGCTATCCCGCTGAAACCGGCCGTTTCTAGTGGGCAACTGGGGAATTTCAGCAAGCCACTATCAGACGAGGGGCTCTTGATAAATACCAACGCTTTCCCCAGTCAACCGCAAGGTTCGGATTTTGGGCAAGCCAGTCATGCACAATTTCTCATCGTGTCTCATGCCGGGGCGCAGCTGAATCCTGAATTGGGAGAAAACGGCGCAATCACATTCCTTCTCCACAGCTGAAGAGTGAGACAGAGAAGTTCAGCCGTAACAGAAAACAGTTGAGATTAACTAAGAGGAGACTAGTTTACTCACTAGGTGCAGCAGTGTTACTTTCACAACAAAAGACAGTTTCAGCCATAAGCATAACTGAAAAGTAAATTTCCTGAGAGGACAGTATGCGAAGTTCGAATTCAAGTATTGATGTGGAACACAAAATTGTGAATTCATGACCAGAGTCGGCTCAGCGTAGCACAGCCTTCCGTAACTCTTGTTTTTGCGAACATCGTCACGGTGGAATTACCATGTCTATTCGCCAAGGTGAACCGTGATAGGGGCATCTCTAGTGCCAGCCATCCAAGAAAAGCCATCTGTGTTCTCGCTGAGCAGGAGTACTCCAATCCACCAATCGATCTTGATATCAGCTACTAATCTACTGACTCACTTCCCAGCAAGGATCCATTTCATACTTCCACTGATTGACTTCGCGCTTCTGGATGTCCTGAGAACACTACTGCGGCACGTCTTCACTGCCAGACGATATATGAATGGATGTGGCAATGCAAGTGTGGAAGATGGCCCGCATTCTCCCGAAATTTGTCCTCAAAAAGGTACTTACTTTAGTTACTTTGAGTAACGGCTCAACGTGCTACTAACTAGGCGGCGGCATTGAAATGAAGATGAAGGGAGACTGCACAGTGTTTTTCTATAGTGGCACATGGCGATCATTTCATGCTGCTATTGTGATATAGCGCATCGTAACATAAGAATGATGCCCAGACTATTGTTAATTATTAGTCATTCAGATATTGATTTCCCTAGCGAAATTCATTTACCTCCACTCCAATCTCACGCAACATAACAGTGTCCCGGGCGATTACAACTATTTAGTACAAATACAATATTATTCAGACGGCCAGTACCGACTACTGGTGGACTTATAGTCTCATCAAGTTTTGACGCCTTAACTCATTCAGGTCTGTTCACACATGACAAGAAGCAAAGGATCATGAAACACAGCGAAATTACAGGTTCGCCCAGCACATACTGGCCTACACTAGGCGTGCAAGTAGCTGACATGGATTCCATCGCCAAGCAGTTTCATCTCATCCTTACCGAGGCTCTTCTCAAAACGTCAGCTTTTACTATACTCCGGGCACAGCCACCGGAAAGTCAAAACTACTTCTAAAGAGCACGGAGGTGTGGAGGAATAGCATTGGGTAAGTTGGTAATCACCTGCAAATCAGTTTTAGAATTATGACGTTGAGCGTAAATGTCCCGATGACAAGTCGCCTAGGATGTATGATATTTAGGAGAGCTTGGGAGCAATCTTGTACTAAGATTACATGAACTCAGGTCCAATGAGAAGGGTATATTATGATTAGGTATGAGCATGTTAACTACTCCGTAGAGTATTAAAATATGTGAATGTGGAAAGTTTTCACGTTAACTAAACATCCTGCCACACTAGACGCATCAACATCCGGTTCGTGTTATTCCGACAATTTAATGGTCCAAAGAATCTACCATTTATGAAAAGAAGATTGATCACTTCTCTTCTTGCCTAGCTCAAGAAAATAAAAGCATAGGTTCACATTCTTGTCTCATGTGTTTTTGACCGTTGACATTCGCTGGTTACTATTTGACTCCTTCACCATTAAGCATTACAAGGTGCAACCTAATGGCTCATACCAACTAAACTTAATATCTAGTATTACTTTATGAACACAGAGATAATCTTACTCCAAGTAACTTGTGATCAAATCTGTTGACTTCTATGAATTCTGGTTTGAAGTCACCGTCACTTAGCTACCCTACAGTTCTTGCTGTCAACTCCAAAATGCCTCAAAGGTCGAGCGAGACTTGAAGTTAATGCCGAACTAGCTCCGATATGAAACACCGCATCGCCATCGTTCGACCTCAGATATTGCTTTCGGTCCTTACAGGGAATTTACAAGGTGATATAATTATAAACTTTGCCAACACGAAAACGAATTTCGTCATCCGTGGCCATACTGCCGTATTTATTCTAATCCTTGGCGTCTTCCCGTCAATGTCAGTCAATGTGGAGTGGTGGGCGGGTATTTGTGGAATGATCGCTAGCTGTCTTGAGTCGGGCATCAAACATTCCGGCATGTGAAGTCTCCAAGATAGCATCGTGATGGAGCTATTCAGATTTCTTGCCTCTCTCTTCGATTTCAACTTCGCCTCTAGTTTTGGGGCGCTCAGCGATCCTTTCTCATTTGATTGCCACGTTCTTGAAACAATTGGTGTTCTGAGGTCGAGTTGGATCCTTGTGAGGTCAAAGCGCTCAGAATGTCTCACACCAAGAACTCCCGGCCCGACGATCTCGTATCGTTATGCGCGCTTGCGGATGCTCCGTATAGCATATATAACTCGATTAAGAAGCTCGCAAGAAAGTGAGACAGTACTGATAGACAAGCTTATCTCTTGCTTGAGTCATACAGATGGTATAATACCAAGACTTTATTATTTGCACTTCTTTGGTCGACATCGCAAGCCGAAGAGCACTAGTCCCAGATGCCGAGATAGCGATCAAGCCTCTAGCTTTGATTCGCGGAATATGCGCTGCCCCTGTCAACTAGCTGTGCACTAAGCAAGGGGTCGTGCATGCATAAATCAAGCATACCCTTAGTCGATACATAAGAACCTTAGCATATTCCCTTATGGGCAGTGAAGTCCGAATCACGCGAGCACACACACAGGTGAGATAGCGGGCTAGTTCCAGGGGTCACACGGACTCTACTGCCGATCAGTTAAGCATTATCTTACTTTCGTCCCATCACCATGCGGGAAATAGTCTCTGTATGCCGGATCGACACCATGTATTTCCACACGTGGCGGGTGACCCCGTTCCAGGAAATTGGCGCACCTTTCCTTTTGGGATGCCATGCTCCGAGAGAGATAGCGGTGATGGTGTCGCCGATAGCGGGGGAGGTTCGGAGATCGCTAGGAGAAAAGGGAATGAGAGGGGGGACTGGGTAAGGCGAGATGTGATAAGGGGACGATGACAGCATATATCACCCCGCGGCTGAGGCTGGGCATACCATCAGCCCTGGTCAGCCGTTGGTTAGACCCTGAGAGATCGAATCGTCAATTAGGCAAAGTGAGACAGTTCCAGCTGAGCTTGTTTATCTAAAATTCCGACAAGAATATTCCATAGCGCGTCCGGTCAACGGTTAGACTAGAGAGCTGTATCCAGATACCGGTACTCAAAGATAAACGTGGGGTAGAAGAGTCCTACCAGGTACTTGGCCAAGCTCCTTAGAGGCTAACTCCAGACAGGTTTGTCTTGGCATAGGCACTTTTGCTCATACTATTCGTTCACTATCACTTTCCTTACTTGGACACCTCGGCCGCCGTGACAGTTTAGGAAGCTGAATACTCTTTTTCTGACAACAACACCATCACGCAAGATATGGTGTTGATGATACGGGATGATAGAGTTGGGTTGAATTACTTAGTAGCATTTTTAAGCATTTTTGCTGATCTGTAGATCTGTGTATAAATATACTAGACGATCGCCACGATATTCAGATTTCTTATCCTCATCCACACCGCCTCATCTTCTCTTGTATCTCTCTCGCTCTGTTCACAATGACTAGCATTCGCCGCCTCGCTCTCTACCTTGGAGCTCTGCTCCCTGCAGTGCTTGCTGCTCCTGCCGGCGTCTCCAAGGTTGCTAAGCTCGACTCTGTGCCCGACAAGTACATCATTACCCTCAAGCCCGATTCCTCTGACGCAAAGGTCGAGGCTCACTTGAGCTGGGTCGAGGGCGTCCACCGCCGCAGCCTTGCTAAGCGCGACACCATCGGTGTTGAGAAGACTTTCAACATCAGCAGCTGGAGCGCTTACTCTGGCGAGTTCGACCAGGCTACCATTGATGAGATCAAGAACAGCCCTGAGGTAAGCCTTCCTGCACTGGTCTACATGCTCCAAATCACTAACATGCTATAGGTTGCTTTCGTTGAGCCTGACTACACTGTCTACCTGGACTACGAGGAGTCATCTGAGCTGTCTGACCGCGCTCTGACCACCCAGTCTGGTGCTCCCTGGGGTCTCGGTGCCATCTCCCACAAGACTTCTGGATCCACCAGTTACATCTACGACACCACTGCCGGCAGCGGCTCTTACGGATATGTCGTAGACAGTGGTATCAACGTTGCCCATACCGACTTTGGTGGCCGTGCTACTCTCGGCTACAACGCTGCTGGTGGTGCTCACACCGATACCCTCGGCCACGGAACCCACGTTGCTGGTACTATCGGTGGCACCAGGTACGGTGTCTCCAAGAGGGCCAACCTCATCTCCGTCAAGGTCTTCGCCGGCAGAGAAGCTTCTACATCTGTTATCCTTGATGGCTTTAACTGGGCCGTCAACGACATCACCTCCAAGGGCCGTGTTGGCAAGTCCGTTATCAACATGTCTCTCGGTAAGTAGTTACGCACTCCGACTCATACAAGGAAATCACTAACCAAGACACCAGGCGGACCTTCTTCTGCCACCTGGACCACTGCCATCAACGCTGGATACAACGCTGGTGTCCTCTCCGTTGTCGCTGCCGGTAACGGTGATGACAATGGCAACCCTCTCCCCGTCTCTGGCCAGTCTCCTGCCAACGCTCCCAACGCCCTGACCGTTGCTGCCGTCGACTCTAGCTGGCGCACTGCTTCTTTCACCAACTACGGTGCCGGTGTTGATATCTTCGGCCCCGGTGTCAACATTCTGTCCACCTGGATCGGCTCCACCTCCGCTACCAACACCATCAGCGGAACTTCCATGGCTTGCCCCCACGTTGCTGGTCTTGCTCTCTACCTCCAGGTCCTTGAGGGTCTTACCACTCCTGCTGCTGTCACCAACCGCATCAAGGCTCTTGGAACCTCTGGCAGGGTCACTGGCTCCCTCAGCGGCAGCCCCAACCTCGTTGCCTACAACGGTAACGGTGCTTAAATATCTATTAAGAACTAGGCTATAGTGGTACATATGTCTAGGATATACATAGAACAATAAGACAATCTTGATTATTAGATTTATAATCCACTGTGAATGCTTTGTAACTGTGTTCATCTCTCTGCCGCTTTCAGTTGGTTGGCTTGAAGGAACAATCACCCACATGATGGAGTCCGAGTTGAGGCTTTCAGCTTGTGGCTGAATCCTATCGTTACAACTAATTAATTTATCCTCTTGTGTGTATTGTGCAACTAACTCAAGGCTGTTCAAGTTCCTGTTAATTGCAATACTGCTCGGCTCAAAGTTGAGGGTCATGGTAAAATGTGACTTCATCGTATGCCACTGTCACTCGTATAGTAGTGTCTGGCTGCATTGGATCTTCCAAGCTGCAGTCCAGCAACTGGTGTGGATAATTGAGGCCTCCTAACTCATAAATCATTTCTGGTATGACTTACATCAGACAGTCGTCATGCTTAACTGATATATGATCGGTTACCCATAAGTTAGGCCACGGAAAGGTGACATCCCATTTGATTCTAGCAATTTGTTGTTCCTAATAGATGGTAGTCAGTCTGATGCTCCACTTATGACCGATGATGTGATTTCAATCTCGATGAGGTAGTAACGTAGTTCCAGGGAGTGGGACCCTGCAGGTGCCATCACCAACAAGGAAGCCCAATGATTGTCAATATGTGGTGTGGCAGATCACTATGAGAGCCTAGTCCTGTACTGTGGTATCACTGCAGGAAGCTTTGGGGTAAAGATATGCATATCGGTTACTTGTATCAGCTGCAGGTTTTCAGCTCACCTGGCCCCCTGGTTGTCATGTCGGCTGGTGTCCCCGACCAACACCAGAGCCCACACCGGGCACATCCGAATTGAAACCCAACTGTCCCTTTTGATAAATGGCTCCAGAGAGTATGATCTACAAACGATCTGCATCAGCTGAATGCGGGGAACGGACTAGGCCGTTACAAGCTGCTGACTTGCAGAAGTGCTCATGCATCGGGTTTCCCCGAAGTTGATCTCCAGGACTCTCATTATACCCATCTATCCAATAGTCTTTCGAACTCCGTTTCTAGCTGTTCACTCCCCGACGGCGACCCCCTACCTATGCTCGATATTTGAGGCCGGCTTACCTGCTTCTTCATATCTTTCTTCCATAAGAACAATATCAGCTACGCCACTGAGTGGGTATCGTCTGTTTTCGTCCGGAGACATCCTGCATACTGTAGCACCGACCAACTCAGTCAAAGTATGGCTCGCATAAACCCCAATAATATGACATAATTGTGGGTTGATGGCACATAGCTACAACTGGCCGCCTCATCATAGGTGTAGTCGTTCGCGAACTTTGATTGGTTTATTGAAAACTTGTGGCATAGCATTTTACGCGTGTTCAGAATAAGCACACATTCCCTCAGATACCGAATCAGAACAAGACTGCAGATAATATCAACTCAACCTTGAGAGTGACGACAGTACGGAGCCCAATTATCATATTTCACAACTAGTGCTGAATCCAAAAGTCCTTGTATGATTTCAGACACTACTTCTTTCATTGTCACTGACGTGGCTAAGGGTTTCAGCAAGCCATTTCAATATCGAGATGCCTATTTCGATACGTGGTGACCTCACAAATTGCTCGATGTCTACAAGATTATTGCAAGAATTGACGACGGTAGGCGACGAGGGTTGAAAATGGAAATATTGGCTGGCCTCACACAGCCCATGACGTATCTTCATATTCTTCAGCGGCAGTAATAGACGCATTATCGAGTTTACAGTCGGAGCAGACGATATTCCATTGAACAAAGACTTGGTATATAAAGTCAATCAGAAGACTCTTCAAACAAGTATTCCATCCCTGTCTTCAAACAGCTTCAATATCCAAGTGGGCAAAGCTTTCACACCGCATTTACATACTCAATAGCCAGGTCTTAACATGGTCCACTACGCGTATGCCCACTGGGTATGTTCTTCCTACGGACTACCATACTTGAAAGAGTCTGAGCCCACTGACATAACAATATAGCGCGGCAAGCGTGAGGTCTATCGGTTCATCATGGTAGCCGCGAACCCAGAAACCATCGATGAGTGGTGGCGCAAGGCCGCTTCCAAGGAGGAGAATCACGTAAAGCGCATCACTCCCGACTTTTACACCTACGACATCCCTACGGGACTCGCGTGGGATCTTGTTCCCCAAATCGATGAGAGAATCATTTGGACCAACGTTTGCGATTGGCTCAGCGCAAATATGACGACTGTCAGTCAACCTCAGAGAGCCGACGTTGTCAGCGGTGGAGCGTAGGTTACCCCCTTGATTCATACCATGTCTGATCCGGTGATGGCTAATGAGACAAAAAGATATTACATTCGCGCCAAGTCGAGGCCAGACTTCTATTGGGTTGCCAGTGGTAAAAGCAATGAGAAGGACCATATTTGTTTGTCGAATCAAGGTCGTACTCGCTTCATCTTCAATATTGAAAATGACCGTGAAACCGACAAGAAAGGTACGGTAATCATTGGCAGCGACTTCATTACCATCACTGCTGTTGATTCAAAGCACGTTGGTGTCAGCGATACCGGTGCTCTACTCCTGCAGGCACACAGTGAACGCATGGTCTATAAAGATCTCAAGAACAGGTTCCTCGCACAGGGGTGGTCAAGTGATTACAACGATGGGGCATCGGTCACTGAAGTTGACGGCTATGGTGAGGAATGGGAGCTTGTTCAGTAGACATCAGCTCTGAATGTGGATATCAGGTTCAATCGACATTCGTTTATACTAGCTAGTACGCATCTCATTCAGAGGGCAACACAAACGAAAGTCCTTCTTAGTTCGAAATATAGGTAGTCTCTTTTGTACAACTCGTCTCTGTAGTGTGACCACCCAAAGAAATTACTATTGGCCCGCACTTCATATTCTCAATTGGAAGTTTCTCTCTGCTTGTCTCTTGATCATCGAGCTGGCCACATTAATTACACGGTTGCACTAGTGCTGTACCAACAAGTTAGGCCAGTTACGGAAGATCTCGAGCTGACGCCAGTTTCAATAATATAGGGGGTTTAGGTACTGCGAAGAAATGACTAGAAGTACGAAGTCAACATCAGCTTGTATTGTTTCAACCGTCTTACAATGTCGTTTACCGTTTACCGGTATTGTTAGCTTCTGTAATAAAATCGCCAACGCTTCGTCTCCTGTCATAATCAGTTTAGCCGCTCCTCTGACACTAATGCGGGGACTGTACAGTAACCGCATTGCCACGATTCCATTGGCTAGCAGCTTGGAAAGGCCCGTTGATCAGCAGATTACTGTACAGTTCTAACCATCTGTGCTTACTCTGTACCACACAAAAGCACATCGTTTCCCACAGATATCGTCATCACGGTTGATAAGGTACTGCGGCGGGTTACTATAGAGTTGGATATATATTGCCAACTTCCCAGCAGTTTTGCATTTCTCTATCAACCTGTAGCTCACACACGCTGCCTCACTATTTATTCAAAGAAACGTCATAACATAATGTCTGTTGCCCGATCTGAGCTCAGGTTTCGTGCTCCTCCGTCAATGCAATTGAGCGATGGGTCTGCCAGCTGCAAAACGTCACCCCCAGAACCCATCAACCTCAATGAGACACCTGCCAACCGTGCAAACTCCCGATTCGCCGTGAAAGGCAATGCCATTGTCACAGGTGGCGCCGGAGATATCGGTTCTGTCGCCTGTAGAGCCTTGCTTGAACACGGTCTGCACGGATTAGCTATTCTTGACCTTCACCCTGATGCAGGTCAGAAAACAGTCGACAGTCTTCAGGCCGAATTTCCAGAAGCAAAAATCACATTTACAAAGGTTGATGTGACAGATCCAGAATCTGTCACCGCGGCTGTTGCGACATCAGAGCAGGTCATCGGCCCTGTCAATATTTGTCTTTGTTTTGCGGGCATCGCCTTTGCTGCAAATGCTCTGGACATCACCCCGCAACAGTTCAAGACCATGTTCGATGTCAACACTACAGGCGCGTTTCTTGTTGCACAAGCTGTGGCGAAGTCCATCGCAAGCAGTGGAACAGGTGGTACTATCATCCTGATGGCGAGCATATCTGCCCACATTGTCAATTTTCCCCAACCACAAGTTCACTACAACGCTGCAAAGGCGGCTGTTATTTCCATGAAGAGCTCATTGGCTGCGGAGTGGGCTACTCATGGCATCAGGGTCAACAGCATCAGCCCTGGTTATATGGATACCATTCTGAACGAGGGTGAGGGGTTGGCGGAGCATAGAGCCATCTGGGCAAAGAGAACTCCTTTTGGCCGTATGGGAAAGCCAGAAGAACTCACTGGAGCCATCATCTTGCTTGCAAGTAACGCCGGAAGTTACATAACCGGTGCTGATATTATTGTGGATGGTGGAATCAGTGTTTTGTAGGTACATGCATCGCAGCTACGGATATGTAGTAATGATTGCATTCGCATTCGTCTATTTAGATTACCTATATCGTTTCCGTCATGTGTCGAACATCAAGAGCCTCGAAAAAAGGGCAGTGTAGAATATCGTTGACAATATTCTTGTGCTTCCCATTGTTGGAACTCCGTTATGAATCCCGGATCTATTGTGCCTCTATTTTGTATATGTCTATTTTATCAAGTAACTAACCTTTGACTTTCCCTTGCTTCGCGCAATCTTCTTGACCAGCGTCTCGCCACAAAGATCAGTGGTGTCGACATGTGTGCCACCACATGGATACACTTCAGCTCCAACAATCCTCACGACTCTAAACTTCTCGCCTGGCGCCACGAAGCTTGGATCTGGGGTAAGGCGTTCCAGATCATTCTTGCGAAAGTCCTCGGCGTCCCACCACTCGATCTCCACGGGCATTTTCGCAGCTAAGAATTCGTCGACTTTCTTCTGAATAGGCTCCTTCCACTTTCCATCGATAAGCCCCTGGAACTCGCATGATGCGGAGTCGGGGAAATGAGAGGCTTTCAACTCGTCGAAGCCCTCCACTTTGTCTTTCAGGAGATGGCTGACAGCTGAGCCGAGAACGTGGCCAGCAGTATGGTACCGCGAGTACAGAAGACGTTTCTCGACATCGATCTCTTGCGTGGCATTTTGTCCTTCAGTGAACTTTTGGTCGGAGCCGAATTTTCCAAAGTGCAGAACCTGGCCGTCGCGAACAGCATCCATGCGAGCAGCGGCAACAATGAAAGATGCACCAGATTCATCTGTTATTTTTCCAACATCAGAAGGTTGACCTCCACCTTGGGGATGGAAGATTGTCTGTTCTGTGACAACTGCGAAGTCTTCCTCTGTGCCTTGCTTGAATAGCTCACGATTTTCGTCTTCTAAGCTGCTGAACGGTCGGATTGCTGTGATGAGTGTTTGCAGGGAGTAAAGTTTTGCATTGCGCTGAAAAGCGAGAACTGTGCGTGCTGTAGCCATTTGTGCTGGAGGATAACTTAAAGAATGAAGAGTGAAAGTGACTTGTGAGTGAGGGAGAAGGAAAAAATATGAATGAATCGATGACTACGCAGTGAGAAACTGGCGCTAAAGCTAATGTGGTTTAGCTAAAGGGCGCGCTGTAATTCGCAGGGCGCGTCTTCCTTCAGTGACTGGAACGCTAAAGAATGGAGTAGAAGCAGGAAAACGCCCGCCGCTTGATGATGCAAAGAGCAAAAAAGAGCTCAAAGATGCGATTGATATGTAGCTTAACTCTACGCTCTTTGGCTTCGTCAGGTTAATAGAAAGAAAAACGTCTCTTGTTTAGCCAATGTCGGCTCTGTGGCACTACCTTTGAGTGACGAATTGGTATGGCCCTGAGATTCGAACCTCTCACCCAGTAATCTTTCTCCATACTTTTCCAGCATCCGCTCGCATCATTGGTGCCTTTTCGCTGGAAGGAAGCTCACAGGTTAGACGAAGGTTATCGGAAGAATAAATGGGCGAGAATAATGAAACAGGAATTGAACGACACGAGAACTGCCATTTTCCTCTCATCAAGATGATGGTGTCTTGAGTCTATCTATTCTATCCATTTATGCTGTCTCAACCAAGCCTCGCACATAGAGGGCCATTTGGTGGCTGGAAGATCTTTGTGGCTATCCAGCGCAAAACCATGAGGTGCATCAGCGAAAACATGCAACTCGACCGATGCCCCGTTCTTTGTAAACCCCTCGGCGAGACGATAGGCGTTGATAACAGGTACAACTGGGTCGTTGTTGGAGTAGACGATGAATGCAGGCGGTGCTGGGGACCGGAGCTGAACGTCTGGCTGCACGACATTGTAAAACTCCTGTTTCTCTTGAGGCGGAAGAGGAGGCTTGTTTTCAATGATGGTGCGACCGACTGCGTTTGTCGAGATGGGTCCGTAGCCGAGGATGGCGAATTCGATCTGGGGAACTTCAGGGTCTGGCGATGTCCAGACTTGAGGGTATTCAGCTAGGAGAGCGGCACCAAGATGACCGCCTGATGAGAGACCGCAAATGCTGATGCCTTCCGGAGCAAGCTCACTCTCTGCTATGATCTTCAGAGCCCTCCGTCCATCATCCAATGGCGCTTGTGCACCCGTCTCGCTGTTTGGAAACCGATGAACAAGGACGAAAGCGTAGAAGCCGAGACTGCTCAGCCACTTTGCGACAGCGACGCCTTCACGGCCGACCATAAGTTCGACATAGCCACCGCCTCCGATGACGAGAATACCGCGGCCGTTGGATTTTGTGGGACAGTAGCCGAAGAGGTAAGGCCGGTTAACTTTGGTTACAACAGCATTGTCGTTGACATCGAATGCTCCATTGAGGGAGTCGTTATCCCACAAGGGCCATGATTGATCGGATTCGAGCATTGTGATCTAATGCAAATTGGCTGATTTTGTGTGTCGGAATGGGAAAAGTAGAACAAATACGATGTGATGGGGCGGGGATAAAAGTCGCGGTGGGCTCGCGCGAACATCATCCCGAGAAGCCGAGTCTTGGAGCCGTGATTTATTTCACATCAGAGATGGTCCTTTCTACGAATATTACGAGTTCACCTCAAATAATAGTTCCGGGCAAATGAATGAGCTTCAAAATAGGATGATTTTAATCACAATTCAAATTATATAAGTTTCCTGACCGCTGATAATCTTGGGAGAATTGGAATGCCTGGGCTCGATAGGGTTAAGGTTGAAGCAACAAACATCATTCTCCTACTCCGTGCTCGCGTCGAATGAGAGAAATGTTGAAGCCTGTCCAGCTGCCTCCTCATCCTGTGAAATGTTGTTTTGAAGCTTCTTGTTCTCCTCGTCCAACTTGGCAGCAACGTCTTCACCCTGCGCCTGCTGAGCCTCGAGCTTGAGGACGGTAGCAGTCAACTTCAAGACCTTGTTCTTGATCTTTCCGCGCTACAACATTGTTAGCACCACATCATCTTAAACATCAGACTGGGATAATTACCTGAAGAGCGTCGGCGTCTTCGCCAGAGGCTGCGTCAATGGCAGTATTGAAAGCCTCTTTCTCAGCATCATTAGCGATGCTGTTGACGCTGTCGAGGAAGTCAAGATCAGACTTCTCGACAGTTGAGAGATCGGTGGGGAGACCGCCAAGCTTCTGCAGAGCTTCCTGCTGGGCGTTGCCTGCAGAGCCGCCGCTGATGGAAAGGTCGTTGTATGTAGATTGGCTGAAGACGGCGCGCTTGGCAATAGGGCTTGCAAAAGCGGTGGCGGCAAATCCGAGGAGGACTGAGGTGAACTTCATTTTGGTGATGGATGGTGTTGGTGTGAATTAGGTAAAAAGAGTGATGTTTAATTGAAAAGTACAGACCAGCTGTGTATGAAGTGAATGGAAGAGTGTGATGTTGTGAATGAGATGAGATGAGATGAGATGAAAGAGAAAAAAGCTTACCGACGTCGGGTCTATTATAGTTATGAATAAAGATGTTTCCTTGTCATTTTCCATCGCTAGATCCTTTTGTGATACACCTTTCCTGGTGCTTTGTCGCTTCAGCTTCAGGATGAGTCTTGTCAAAGTTACAAGCAAGCGCTGCATTCAAACCGTAGACCCTCGACGAAGATCATACTTGTGACATTTAACGACCAGCAAAGAGCCCGGATAGTTGATGCTCCGACAAATGCCAAAACTCGAACCAAGCTATCAACCGTTATCGCGTAGTGCTGATTGGCTGATTTGCCGCCTCCAAAGAAAATGTGACCGTAACAAGGAGGTTCCCTGTATCACAATTTGTTTCACCACATTCAGGTGGTCAAACGCGACGTCTCGTGTACTTGAACCCGTTCCACGATGCGAGGACAGTTCGCATACTATACGCGGTTCCAATTCACGAAAATAAAATTAGATTTGCTTGGCAATATCATTAATTGATATAAGTCAGGATTGTCTAGGCAATCATTCGCTGAGCTGTTGATTTCGGTGCTAAGCAGATTATGTTCGTCGGTATTGACAAGCACTTGAATGAAACCTGGGCTCAGAAACAGAAAACTGGGACGATCCCTTGATTGGTGTGAAGTTCGAGTGTTTAATTTGTTTGGAGTCTCAGAGCTGGGATAAGTCTCGCGTAGGGTAGGTTGAAGGTTGTCGCGCGAAAGGAGCGACGTCAATGGCCAAGTTGAATCGCTCACGACCCAGTAGTCATTAAATCAGGTTCTAGATCAACTACAAGGTCACAGTATTCTTCTTCTCAAGCTAGGTACTTGTTGAAAGAGTCGAAAGTTGGAGAGTAGAAAAATCTAGGCGCGTTGAAGAAAGTTGGGTGAATGTGATTTTTCCGAATGAGTCGCGTGAAATTGGGACGCATTCCGAGATGAAAGTTCGGAGAAACGGGGCTGTCACTCATCCTTTTCCCCTAACTTCTCTACATCGAATTGAGCATTTCGAGCATTACTAATGCTATACAGCTGGGTTTGCTCTTTCCCGATATTCTCTAGCATTCTCCCACACTCCAGGATCTCGACACACAAGTCAACTCCGCTCCTCTCCCTCTGTTTCAGCTTCTCGCACCCAAAAAATGGCAACCTAACGTTCTCCAACTCCACAAAATCGTTTTAAATTCAACTTCCACTTTCTTGCCGAGCCTCGGCAAAGTGACTCTGTACACCAGCAGAATTTGTCCACTGCCCCATGTTATCTACGAACGTGATTCTCTCTAGTTAGGCTAGGGAGGACGAAAGAACATCGCAGTATAGTTTATGAACAGGGCTGCTGGCATGATCATTGATATGTTCTGAACAATCTTTGATACTTGGCCAAAGTCTTCCGATCGCCTTTCCAGACGTTCTGAGAATTATCCACCACCTCGATATGCCTACCGATATATTGCCACCATGCCGCTCCCGTGGGTCGACTTATCGATAAGAATATGCTCATCTGGCTCAACGATTTCGATACAATAAGGGTGCGAAAGCATATTGATCAGGACGTCGGCTGGCTGGTATAGAAACATGACGATGCCATCAAAATCCATAAGATCGTTCGATACCGGTTCAGTGGCACCGGTGTTTATGGGTACGATCTTGCCAGTAACTCGGATCTTTGTTTTCAAAGGAACAAGGAATTAGTGGAAGCCATTATGGCCAGCATTCAATGATCAATAGTGCACATACCTGCTGATATTGGGATATGCCGACGTGAGTTGCAAGAGGGATAACCTTGGGTGCATGCTGTGTATCCCAATACTGCCAAAAACCTTTCTCGGGTCATATTAGGGTTGCGCTTGATGTAAGTTATCATCTGCAGTAGCCCTGTACATGACGGACGGGCCTCTGGTGTCGCCAAACCCGCCTTAAGAAAGCCACCAGAGAGCAACAGCAATGATGCGAGCCGGATCATGGTACTTCTCTTTTGTATATCTGGCAATACAAACAAAGAGGAAGAATTATTAGAAGATGAAAGCAGGGGCACAGTGCGTTAAGAATAGCAAACGGGACGGCAGCACAATGTCAAAGCGTATCGGTCAACTGGCACATATTGCTATGATTTGTGTTGGCTGTTGGCTCATGAGAATCCAGATAGCCAATGTAATCTTCGAGTAAGCATGCACTCATGAACTGGCACTGAGACACTGGACGCCACCGGGAAGACTGACTCGCTCATTGTATCTCTCTTGATTGGAACAGTCAAACCTCCTGGGTAAGTCTTCTATTGTTTCCTCCAACCGTCGCAAGACAGATGCACTATATTGAATTGATTCTCATCGCACAAGGCTAGCTTAAAGACCTCAGTTGGTTCGGTTCGTTCTTGATACGTTGACTTTTCCGCATTCCCAACGATACCCACTTTGCTCTGTGTTGGTAGCAATTTGAGAACCAACAAGCCAATTAGAAACAACAGAACTTCTATTGGCAGCCTAGAAATACTCAGTTGTAGGAGAACAGTAATGAGGTTTGAGTTTTCGAAAACTAAGCGTACAAAGTCCCGAACAATATCTATTAGTGGCTTGAAAACCATCGGATCTATTGATGGTTTGCTCGATCCGAATTCCTGGTACCAACTCATCTCGAAGCGTGTTTGTTCAAGGCACTTTTGCAAATGAAAGCGGTTATATTAAAAAATAATGATGAAAGTCCTTGTTACAGCGCTCCGTGACGACTTTCGTGATGAACATCGAGCTTGACGTGCCTTGTCTGGCCACGAACGACGCAACGATACGTTTCTCACTACAATAACCGCATTTAACACCTCTTAATTATTTGCACTTCCATGACGACGTTTTGCAAATTCTTCCAACATGTGGCACCAAACTGGATGGGCTCATTCACCGGTTATTGCTCCGAGCTTGTACCAGGCCAGTCCCAGACCAACAAGCGAAAGAGCAAACACACCGGCCACGTCCAGCACAACTCTGTTGAACTAGCAAATTACCCAGATACGGTCAAATATGATACACTTGTAACATGCTGCAGAGGCATGAGGGCGACGTGGGAGAACACGAGCGAGGAAGCCATTTTACATGAAGTCAAGATTTCGTGCATAGATTGGGGTCTCACATAGCTAGTAGACGTTTAATTGGATGAAACTGTGCACGTTTCTCAATCAGAGGTTACCATGCACAAACAAACAGTGCAGACATCAATTGTGACAATGCTTATCAAATTTCATCATTTATGCACCATCTGACTATGGCCGTTATCGCAGTCTTTTGTGCTCAGTTTTTGTTACACAAATATCCCGAAAGGGTCAGCAAACACGACGATCACCGGCTGATGCCGATCAACTACGTCAATGTCACTGTCAAAGCAAGGGCGCATTTGGTGGCTTATAAGACAACGAAACGCCTTGACTGATTTGGGAAATGGGTCGTGCTTTTCTACTGCATCAATTATCGCTTTCTCAGTTGCAGCCCTGTCTCATCAGCGTTCATGATGCCTTCATCGTCGGAACAAACCGTCTATGCGATGGAATCGCTACAAGGAGAGCGCCCAGGCGAAACAGAGATCGCTTCCGCAGATTGTGAACGCACAGGAAACGTCACCCCACCAACGGAAACCTCTCTTCCGCCGACAGACCACGGCAAAGAAGCATATTTGACTCTCATGTGCTGTACTCTTGCCCAGTTGCCAATCTGGGGTACGTAGCTTCTGCCAATCTTCTGAGTTTGTCTAATCCAGCATCCTAGGCTATTCGGTGTCATTTGGCATCTTTCAGGAATACTACAGCCGTCCCAGCAGTCCCATTAGCACGGCTTCCTCAGGCACCATCGCCACAATTGGAGCACTGCAGCAGGGTGTCATGTATCTCATGATGCCGTTTGCCTTTCTGATCCTCACCCGCTATCCTCATCTGCGCCAATGGTGCGGTCCTCTTGGTCTTGCCATAACGACCGCTAGTCTCACAGCGTCGGCGTTTGTGAGCGGCATTGGCGGACTCATCGCAACACAAGGTGCTCTCTACTCGATTGGCTGTGGGTTAGTATTCTGTCCGATTTCTCATTACATGAATGAGTGGTTTGTAGAGAGGAAGGGAATGGCCTTGGGGGTTATGTGGGCAGGTAAATCTTCGACTGGTAGGTGCCTTCAGTCTTTGTCCAGAATGGATGCTGACTTTACGCAGGTATAGCTATGCCTTTCATCTTCGATGCTTTGCTGCGCAAGATCGGTCTTCGGGCAACGCTGTTGGCTTGGGCTGGTGCATCGGCATTGATGATCCTCCCAACTCTGTTCTTCATCAAACCGCGAATTCCCATCCACACACAGGCTCGAGTACAGAAACTCTCCTTCAATTTTCTTCGCCATACTTCCTTCTGGATGATGCAGGCTGGTGTCATCATACAGTCTCTTGGATATCTCATGCCAAGTACTTACTTGGCCAGCTATGCATCAACGATCGGGCTACCAAGCATCACAGGCCCTATCCTTCTGGCTTTGTTCTCCGTGGCATCCGTTCCCGGTGGAATCATTCACGGCATGGTCGGAGATAAGCTTTCCGCAACAGAAGCTGTTACACTGGCGTCAATAGGCAGCGCCCTGCCCATATTCTTACTCTGGGGCCTCAGCCTCAACCTGGCCAACTTAGTAGTCTTCGTGGTACTCTATGGCTTTTTCGCAGGTGGTTTCAGCTCGACGTGGTCCAACATGTCAGCCGACATCCAGAAAGACGACTCTGCTGCTGATTCCGCTCTCATCTTTGGCATGCTGATGGGCGGGCGCGGAGTTGGGTTTGTGGTTGCCGGGCCGTTGAGTGGTGTTTTGTTGCAGGCCAAGGCGGTTCTGTCTGACGAGGCACTGGGTTACGCGACACAGTATGGACCTATGATTATATGTACGGGTGTTACTGCTGTGTTTGGGGCTTGGGCGCCCATGTGGAAGGGTATGCGAGTTGCTTTGGGAACCTGTGGAGGTGATTGAGAAGATTGTGATGTTTCACATGCTGTTTGAGACGTGCAGAAATGGGAGAGTTCTCATAGGGAGATATGAAGAGCTATTGAACCCCAGTTGTAGTTTTCTCGCCGGCTGACTCGTTACCGTTCACCGTCAACGATCATGCAAGGTTCACACATTAAGGGAACAACGTGGCCTGCATCGGACTTAAGGCCGGCTTTAAAGTAATCCCATTCCTGATGTCATACGCAATTCAATTGATACAAGGTGCATTTATCGTAATGTCAGCACCTAAACACAATCTCGATGCACATGTTACAATAGGCAATTCACTCTCAACGCGCGAGCCTAAACCACAATCTGATGGTTATTTCATGGCACTTCTGGTGGCATTTCGCGCAGTAGGCGTCATTGAAGCTGGGAATGCAACACCGGCAGGGAGGGACCCGCTATTGAATTATTAATACTAACGCTCCAATGACAAACTCCGAGTCTGGAGATAGTTCAAGACAGACACCACTGTGATTGGCCTTTTAATACTGTAACTACGCTAAACTGTCGTCAGTTTCGGCGTGGAGCCCATCATTGTTTCAATATGAGGCATGGTCCAAGCGGAATGAGGGGTATTGCGTGGTTGTGTGATGGCGTCTCCGTCTCCTCCATGACATCAATTCCGAGTGGACTTTTATAAGAATGGCGCCCCTCATTCATCTTGTGCAATCCCAAACACTACATCCCTCATAACATTTCCCATAAAATACCGCCAAAATGCCCGTTGAAACCGCCTACGACCCCAAGGATATGCTGTTCCGCCACCTGGGACCTACCGGTCTCAAGGTCAGTGTCTTCAGTCTTGGAGGCTGGTTGACATATGGAGGTACCCAGAAGGGCGATATCGTCAAGCAGATTCTCCAGAAGGCTTGGGACCACGGTGTCAACACTTTCGACACCGCTGAGGTTTACGCCAACGGTGAATCTGAGGTCGAGATGGGCCGAGCCCTCAAGGAGCTTGCCTGGCCCCGCGACGAGTAAGTAGCCACTGAAGTCCATCGCAAGCTTTTCGCTAACTCATTCAGGTACGTCCTCACCACAAAGGTCTTCTTCGGAACTGGCCGCAAGGAGCCCAACACCCGTGGTCTCAGCCGAAAGCACGTCGTCGAGGGTCTCAAGAGCTCTCTCAAGCGCCTCGAGCAGCCTTACGTCGATGTTGTCTTTGCCCATCGTCCCGATTACGCCACTCCCATGAAGGAGATCGTTGAGGGATTTACCCAGGTCATTCGCAACCTGAACCTTGCCTACTACTGGGGCACTTCAGAGTGGAGCGCCGCTCAAATTACCGAGGCTACTCACATCGCCGAGCGCTACAACCTTATTGCTCCTGGTAAGACCCCAATTCACGTTTGATTGCTTCCCAGTACTGACTACAATGCAGTCGTTGAGCAGCCTCAATACAACGCCCTCCACCGTGAGCGCTTCGAAGTTGAGTACGCACCCCTGTACGACCAGTTCAAGTACGGAACCACCATCTGGTCCCCTCTTGCCAGCGGTCTTTTGACCGGAAAGTACAACAACGGCATCCCCGAAGATTCCCGCTTCGCCACCAACAAGTCTTTCTTCGAGGGGACCGTCAACGAGCTCCAGACCGAGGCCGGCAAGGCCAAGATCGAGAAGGTCAAGAAGCTCACAGAAGTCGCCGAGCGTCTCGGCGGAAACGTCGCCCAGCTCTCTCTCGCCTGGGCCCTCAAGAACCCTAACGTCAGCACTGTTATCCTGGGTGCTACCAAGGTTGAGCAGCTCGAGGATAACTTCAAGGCTCTGGACCTTTACAAGAAGATCGACGATGCTGTTTTGGAGGAGATTGAGAAGATCCTTGATAACAAGCCTAAGCCTCCTGCTACCTACAACCGTGAGAGGTAAAGATGAAAAAGCGTTGAGTTTGGACTTCTGGTCTAGATATGAAAAGTAGACCGAATAATAACAAATGTTGCCCATCAACTATGTTTCCATGAAGAGACTTCCCTAATAGTCCTTACCGCTATTACGGGATTGGGTCATACATGAGGATTCAGAATATTTCACCTGGACCGCATCAAAAATCGTAGAGAATGCTTAAACGCCCCAGGAACCTTTAAATTTCATTGTAGACGAGGTGCGATCAGTGAATTTCTGCATTCGTCAATCAGTAGTTTTGACTGGTCAACATCAACACACACAGTGGACCTCAGTAATCTTCTTAAAGCTTCAAAGGCACGGCATGTAGCCTGTCTTCATGCCTTATTGTGGCCTTAATCATTTAACCTGCGAAACTTAAATACCGTCTATAGAGGATTTTTTATGTCATTGTCCGCTATTTACTGGTCGTACGGAACTAAGAATTGTCGCTGACAATAAAGTTAGAGGTTGTTCACGTAGACAAACATGCAAAGGGATTATGGATCGAAAGAGCATGAACTGGATGACTGCGGAATGCGGTCTAAAAACAAAAACATATCTTACTACGAGGTTTCTGGAAAGATGAAGCAAGAGAGTTTAGAGATTCCAGGAGTAGGTAAGGCAGCGCCATGGGAGTATATCCTGACACCACAGTTTCAGGCACTAACAAGTGTACCTCGAGTGTGCGACAAAGGCCAATAATGTCCCTTACATTTCACTAACTCCGCAGGGCTTCAGGATATTCTGCGAACAATATTGGGTGAAATCGTAATGAAAAGAAGTAGTTCATGCACTCCTTTTACTCCCATACATCATAAAGCTCCTTATTCGACATTGGCATGGTGAAGCAAAAGCAAAAGAGATAAATATGCGAAGAGATTATTTACACATCCATATATATACCGACAGAAACGCGCACATAGTCCATCATAAACATCCAACTCATAAACTACTCATCCCATCATTCATCACGCTCGTCTCATCCCTAACTCTTAACTTCTCTAACATCCAGAAGGCAGAGCGAAGCTCTCGGTTCGGCTGGTGCTGCTGTACTTGGCGGCAGTTCCCAGACCTCGCTTGGCAAATGCCTTCCAGAGCTCACACTTGTTGGCACCCTTGGTGAGGGCAGTGTCAGCATCGATGATGGCATCTCGTGCCTGCACCATGTTGGGGTTGCAAGGTTGACTAAATCATTACTGTTAGCAGATTTCCATCATAGAAGACCCAGTTACTTACAGAGCCATGCCGTCAATGACAAGCTTCATAGCGAGGTACTTTCCGTCAGAAGGAATGCCGTTGGTGAACTTGGGAACGTCGGAATCGTTCTTGCCGTGCTTGTCGATGAGGTTCCAGAGGACCTCGTACAGGACGGTAGCCCAGACAGTTCCAATGGCGTGGACTCCGCTCAGGCTGTTGGTGGACTTGTAGGTGTAGGGGTTGGTGGTGAGGCTGGTGCTGTAGGGGTAAGCTCGGATGCCGGCGGGCTTGTTGGCGGCCCAGTCACCCATGACCTTGTTGGCAGTTCGGGTGTCCTTCGCCTTGAGGTGGATGGCAACGGCCATGAAGTCACTCCAGCCTTCGCCCATACCACCGGACTCGCCTCCGGGGAGACATCCTGCGTTGGCGGGACCACCAGTAAGACGGTTGGACACTATGATACGTTAGCATAGGAATTGGCAAATGGGGTGAGAAAACTGACATCCGTGGGTGTACTCGTGGATGATGATACCGGCATCGAAGCTACCGTCACGCTGAGGGGAAGAAGTATCCCAAAGGTACATTCTCATACGTCCATTCTGACCATCAGCGGGGGTGGCAAAGTTGGCGTTGTTGGTGCCACTTCCGTCCTGGGCGTTGAGGATGACCTGATCATTGCCCTTACCACCCTGGTTGTTGTTGTTGACCTCGAAGTTTCCAGCCTGCTCAGTGAAACCGAGGACGTACAGAAGATCGTGATACTTGTTAGCAGTGTAGAACAACTGGGTGATGGAAGCATCACGGTAAGAAGTGGGGTTGGTCATGGTAGTGGAGTAGTCGTACTCGAACTTGAGATCCTTGGCGTCGGGGCGGTAGTTGGTCAGGTAGGTGCTTCCACCGGAGGGGTTGACCTGGGCAATACCGTTGTTACCGCGGGTGGTGGTGTAATTGGCTGAGCCGTCGCTGAGCCAGGTGAACTCAGATGAGACGATGTCCCAGGGGTTCTCAACAACAGTGCGAGATCCCTGAGTTGGGTCATTGACACCCCAGGGGCTAAGGACTGGTTAGCTAATATCAAACTTGAACGGATGAAGGAATACGTACTAAACCTTGTAAGTGGCCTCAGCAACATAGTCGACCACACCAACGACCTTATCAGTCTGGGCAGCATCGACGTAGGTCAACAGCCAGTTATCAAGGATATCAGTCTCAACTCTCCAGGTCAGCTTGAGGTTCTTGTTCTCGTCGACAATGTAAACCAGCTTGGCCTCTGGCTTGCTGACAGTGCCCTTGGTGTCGGTGAAAGTGTAGTGGTTGGCGCTCTTGCGAACAGGCTTGGCCTTCTCGGCTTCCACGGGAAGAGAAAGAACCTCAACGGTGTCCTTGAGGGCGTCGACGGGGTCCTTCTCGTCACGCTTGGCGAGAGGGCCGGGCAACTTGCCCTCGTAGAAGCTGTTTCCATAAGAGAAGACCTCTCCATCAGCAGCAATCTATTTCTTGTCAGTATATATCATCCCATACTGGATATGGTTTAACTCACGTTAACGTTGAAGTCAGCGTTATCAACATCAATGCCGTTGACAGTCTGCTTAAAGTTCACATGGGCAATGCCGTTGCTGCCAACATAGTGATCAGAGACCATGCGGAAAGTGGCCTTGGGAAAGGTTGTCTTGACCAAGTCCTTGGCAGTCTCGGTGTAGTCAGCTCGCTTGGCAACGACCTTGGCACTGGCGTCCTCAGGAACCTCATCTTGAGAAACGTATTCGGCCTGAGGAGGAAGCTTGAAGGCCTCCAGGTCGATAGCTCGCTTGCTCAACGGTGATGGGTTGGGAGTTCTCCTGCTAGGATGGGCACCGGCCAGGCCGGTGAGTCCGATGAGGACGAGTGTGTCTGAGAAACGCATCTTGAGAGTGAAGACCGAGTTGCACTGAAGTGGAGTGCTGTGAGGTTATGATGGCTGGTTTTCTTCATGTTTAGAAACGCGAATACTGACAACTATTATATAGTTTCTAGACTATGAGATTCCACCATATATCAAGACCTCATATCCAGCTTCCCAATTCTATCGGGACTTTTGAATATCTTGGCCAGAGGTCTTCAGACCGCGAGTGCCAACTATTGTCCTATTTCAGGATACTTGCCTTGCGAGAAGGGTCTTTTGTCTAGTCCAACTATCCAGCATCACTGCCGGCTCTAGAGTCATGCGAGCGCTTAACCAACTGCAGCGATAGCATTTGTCCGGGGTCCGAGAGTCCTACTAGACTAGTCTATGAGCTTCTCTCCCGGGCTGGATAAGCACGTAGTGCAGCACGCCATATGGCGATAGGTCGGCCACAGCGAGATAGGAAGGTCTACAAGCCGGATAAACAAAGACCGTGGACAAATCGGCTCGGGACGAACCATCGTAGATTTACAAACTGGGGAAGGTCCGCGGAGTTGACCTCCTATTACGTCTAGATAGCCCGAGGGACAAACTAGTAGCGACTAACACGGAGTTTAGCACTTAAGGTTATCCATAATAAAGATATTATTTGTAGATCGTCATAAAGGTTATGCATTATGGTTAAATCATGTAGCAACAAAGATCATGACCTACTTCCATGACTCGCGTACAAATCATCTGTCCATCAATTCAACACTACTCACCCTCGCAACTGGGCCTCAAAGCGGTTCGACCAACCTGAGGCGTATTGCACCCCAATACGGCACATACAGTTTCCCCATCTGATCTATAAGATAAGAGCTCAGGCCCTTTTCTCTTAGCTACAAGCGCTTGCCTCGGCCCCTGCGTCTCTTGGCACTCACGTTGAGGTTCTTTTTTTATTAGCCAAAGTCCGCGTGATCTACCATCACATCCCTGTATATCTGGGGACCTTCCAGGTTAGGCTATCTCGGCCGGCAATACCACCCTTAATGCGGAGACTACACTCCAATCATGTATCTGTTTTCCGCGGCTATCTCGCGAACAGATGATCCTTATCAGCGCCAGGTGACATCCAAATGTGACGCAATGACAAGTCCAGCCACTTAAATGCAATGCAGCTCTGGTCCCTGCGTATCGCCTGCGAGGTTTATTAAGGCTCTCTCTTAGCGAGTGTCTTGATTCAGACTTGCCTTTTTGATAGTAGGGTGTGAGCACCTATATTGTGCTTATTGATCCGCCGGCACTTTTCTGGAAGGTAGTATCGCGTCTTAATTCAGTACTTTACGCGGGGCCGTGCCATTGACAGTTGTGTTTCTATCTTGGTTTGTGAATACCAAGATGTCCGAGCATAGGCGATTTCCAATTGACGAAGTAAGATATCACACTGTAAGTACACATGACTCAGAGACGTCTTTTCAAACTTTCTGTGGTCTGCAAAATTATAAAAAACGCATCTCCCTCTTCACAATCCGAGCGAGTCACCTGCAAGCGAAACTATACGAAACATATTGCTTAGCCAGCCAGGAAACTGTACCCGTGAAGGGCGGGGTGATATCAGGCCGCAACACTGCATAATCCACGGTATGCCAAGGATATATCTCGTATTATGTATCAGGATAGCATTAGGAGAATTAAAAACCACAAGTCTCATCCAAGCTTCTAAACTCTAAACGATGGGTTTGAATGACCCACCAGACCAAATCTCCATTTGACAGAGGGGCTGAAGTACATCCTACCAATAAATTTGAAAGAAGGAAATGGTCAGACACAAAGGCAATCAATACATCTTCTATCATTTGGAGGCCAATACAACAATGTAGTAACGTTACTCTCTTATCTGGAGACTGGCAATGTGTGGTGGATCTTAAGATCAAGTCAGAAATAACCGTGATTAGTATTTGCATAGCCTTGACTCAACAGAAACTACATTAACTTATTTATCGCCTTTTTTCCCACGCCTATGCTTTGTGTGCTTCGTCCCGGTTTGAGTTTATCCACTTGATTGATCGTCCAGACCTTTGGTTTCGAATTCCAGCAGTTGCATGTTTTCTGTTGTCCTTGGGAATTCTACAATCCATGCATCTATTAGTCAATAGCGAAGAATTAGTCCTTTAATGATATAGTAGTCTACTACCTATACTGAGCTTTGAATGTGGTACAGCCTAACCTACAGTAAGTAGTCTGCGTTTTAACATATTCGCAACTCTATTGATGGCATTTTATGTGAGCCTTAAAAACTGGAAGCAATTCACAATTCCTCAGTTTCAAACATTTACCAAACGTGGCTTTAAAGATATAGACTTGACACGAGTGCGAAATGGGGAGTAGAAACAGAGTTGTGAACTGATTTCATCATTTCGCCCACGGAATTGTTGTGAACATCCAAAGTAAACACCATGATTGGGTTTGGTCAGCGTCGGCAAGTATTTTCCGCCATCATTGCAAACTTATCATGTAACTAGATATGTCTTGAAAGTGCACCTTCACAATGTCAGAAGTGTTACAGTTTTCTCTGTGGTCCGTTGAATTCCGTTGCAGCTGTGACGGCCAAATTGGCCGTTGGACCCCACAGGGCCACGGCGAATTTGGACCGTGGGAATGTGCATGTAAGATAACATCGACACAACAATTCACGAACTTTTAGACATTTGGGCATGTGGAAGGCCAATTTGGCCGTCAGAATGACCATTACTCTTGACTTGAGATTGTTTCCTGTCGCTATTTCGATCATGCCAAAAGCCTATAAAGAGCAGCCATTGATCCTCCTCTAACAACATCTCTATCTTCATGCAAATTGCAATCTACAACTACTACTACCATTCATCACACGATTACCACTTACATCTTTCATCATGTCTCGCACTCTCGCTCTTGTCACTGGCTCAAACTCTGGCATTGGCCTTGCCGTCATCAAAGAGCTCGCCATCAAGCACAACTACCACATCCTCCTCGGTGTCCGCAACATCAAGGCTGGCGAAGAAATCGCTGCTGATCTTCGTAAGGATGGCTACCATGCTTCAGTCGCCGAACTTGACTTGGCATCCGAAGAATCCGTCAACAAGGCGATTGAACACATCGAGGTCAACTATGGCTACCTTGACGTTCTCATTAACAACGCTGGTGTTTTGCTCGATTGGCACCAGGACATTACCACTTGGGACCGTTTCCAAAAGACCTTTACCACCAACGTCGTGGGAACAGGCAGCCTGACTGTTGGTCTTCTCCCGCTTCTTAGAAAGGCAAAGGCTGGACCGCCTCGCATCATTTTTGTCACCAGCGTCATGGGCAGCCTGGAGAAAGCAACCGACACAACTACATTGTACTATAATATCGACTACAAGACATATAATGCAAGCAAAGCTGCGGTCAACATGCTTATGTTCAACTTCGCGCGAGAGCTCGACGATGTTGGTGGAAAGGTCAACTCGGTTTGTCCTGGATTGGTCAAGACAGCTTTGGTTAACTATCATGAGTATGGAACAACCACTGAGGTTGGCGCGGAGAGGATTGTGCAACTGGCGACTAATGTGAGCCCGGATGGACCAACAAAGACTATCAGTGACCGCAATGGAGAACTGCCCAGGTAGAAAGGAGGATGCAGAGCTCTGGGATTGTTCAGTCCTTTCAAGAACTAATAAATTGTTCATTTCAAGACTGTCACAACTTTTGGCGGGTTCGTGCAGGATGCGTCGACGCCGCAGGGACTTTAGCCTTAACTCCGAGTAACTATTTCTGCTTACAAACTGGCAATCTCCGTAACTTTCACCATCAACCTTTACAAAGTTTCACATCAGTTTAGTCAAAATGGAAATCTTACCTCATGTTTTGTTCAATGAGAGCTGTCATCTTTGCGACAAACCTTTCACTCAGGGTACGCGCTCATTGGTAACTCATTTCATCTGCTTACTTCTGTAGAGCATCCATACAAGCGGCACATCAACTATTGTCGGCGAGCTCAAAGCCAACGCAAAGGCAGACCAAAGTCGTGCGTTTCTTGTCGGGTGGCCAAGGCAAAGTGCTCTTTCGGTCAGCCATGTGCTCGATGCGACAAGAAAGGTGTACGTTGCGTATATGGTCGGACGGCTCATCAAGAAGCAACTGCTCCACGTAGACAGGCTCAAGAACCTGATGTTTGGCCGAGCTATGAACTGCAAGCTACTAGCAGCCTGAATCCTTCTGAAGACTCGGGTATTTCACTTGAACTAGATGGATTCACAACTGGACTAGACTCAATGTGGGATACGATCACCACAGATGTCTCCGAAGGCGCAGGTTCCATCGACATTCTTTCTTTCGATTTCAACAAGGATACACAGATCCAGGTGCAACCGCAAACCCTCAGTTCTAAGGGAAGTCTTGCCAGAGTATCGAATCGCCTCTCCAGCCTCCAGCATGCATCCCGCGTCATAATGCAGATGCTATATGCGTATCCACAGATGATGCTCAGGCGACAAACCTTCCCACCCTTCATCCATCCTCACTGGCATGAGAAGCGTCTACCCGAAACACTTGCCACTTGTATGAGTATCGCTCAACTCTTTGCTGCGAGGACGCCGGAAACAGAGTCATTTCTATGGAGAACGATTAGTGCTGAAGAGGAGCGCTTCCGGGAACAGGTAAGTAGGAAGGCTATTTTTGCATCACGGAAGCCAACACTGTTTAGCTGTATACCCTGACTCCGCGTGAGGTGCACATGTGTCTTCAGGTTATGATAATCTACATGATGATGGCGATGAGCGAATCGGGAGCAGAAGGCAAAGAGCGCATTTCCGGGTTATTCGAAACTACCGAGGTGAGTCCACAGAACTCCTACAAGCCAATCCGAAGCACTTCACTTACGATTGTTAGCTTATTGGTTCACACTTCCTTGATCTTGCTGGTAGCTACTCCACATCCGAGCAAACAGAGCCCAGCTCCACATGGGAAGACTGGATCTTCGCAGAATCACGCAGACGAATGTCCTGTCTCTGGCTAACTATCAGCTGTGTCATCACGATCGAGAGTGGGAAAATTTGCGATGGCTGCAGTGCCTTAGATACTCTGCCACTTCCGTCCAGCCGGCTGCTTTGGGAGGCTCGAAGTCTGGAAGAATGGCAGACCGAAAAGGCTTTCCATGATATGAGCAGTCCTCTGAAGACGCTCGGTGAATTTGTTCGGGCCAAAGAGGACTCGGGAGATCCGATACATGCGCAAAAGCTGCAGACGTGGGAGACGGGGAGTGATCAGATGGCTGCAATGTTGACTCTTGCTGTTGAGTTTGTATGGGGACGAATACTTTAATAATCAGTGAGCAATTATTGTCTTGTTTGTTAAGAAATTTGTTTGCCATTTAGTCTTGACCACTTGCCAAATGTGTCGAGTTTGGACCATTATTCAATCACAGACTTCATTTCTCGCGCGTTATTACCATTGCAAATTGATCTTCATCGGGAATAATTAGTGTTTGATGCCCCTGACCTGAGTTTTCACTCCGCCAGAAAAAAGCAAAAACTCCAAGATAAGACACGATTCGACTAAATGACGTTTTGACACGTGATGTCGCCTTCAACGGTTCCCAGTGGACGTGTTTTTTTGGCGTCCCTCCGACAACGTAACGGCACAACGCGATCGAAATTCTCTTTGACGCGACTTTGAACTTAACGCATTGATCGAACCACCCCTGCATTTTCAACAATGGATATTCGCTCGTTCTTCGCGCCACGCCAATCACCTTTGCTAGGTCCAGCCGAGTCGCCTAAAAGAAAAATTGTCGAACAATCCCCATCACCACCCCCATCTCCCAAGCGAACCGAGCGTGCCCAGTCTTTTATCAGCGTATCTTCAGGCGATGAAGATGGTGAAGATGATGGACCCCCACTACAGCGTCTTGGTATTGATTATATTGTTTAGAGAGTTTATTATGGGTTTCATAGAAAGTTTAGACGAGAGGAAGTTGTCGGAAAGAACTCATGACTTTCTGAGAGCCAGCGCGAGCTGCGGCAGGAGATAAGGGTCGAGACACATGCTAAGGAACACCTTCCTTGACTACATTAAGTGGTTGAAGGTAAAACCTCTGGCTAATCAAGCCAGGATACTTGTCATCATCACCACCACCAACTATTAGAACAACATGTCGCCTAGCGTTGATTCGGGTCGGAAATGTCACCCATGCAGCATCGAAGACTGTAAACACTTCGAATATTCAGAGAGAGCCCTTGCATCACACCTAAAAAGATTCCATGGCCATGGTGTCACCTTGTTTTGGAAATGTCCTCGTGGTGGGCCGAAATGCGACACCACCAAGCTGTGGCTTGCAAAGAACAGATTTCGGAGGCATCTCATAAATATTCATGGCATAAATCCTGATATTAACTTCTTTAATAGTTGTATCGACTAGTGAGTTAATGATTATGTGTACATGTTGGAGTTTTTGACTAACTTGTAGTTACTATCTAGTTCGGATCGGCGCTCTTCTCCGCCATCTCAGAAACCGACTGCCAAGCTACCACCCCTCAAGCAACCGCCTGTGGAGAAAACGCCCTTCACGCTACCGTCCATCAAGTCCCTGATGCCCGAACAGGTACGACCCCAGGGGGAATTGCTTCAAGAAGAACAAACCCAAGAGGGCTCTCATCAAGGACTGCCAGCGGGATGGCCCGGAATACAAGAGGAAATTCCGACTGCAGAAGTGACGCGGGCTAGAGAATCTCAGAGAGTGTTACCCCAAGACGAACCTTGGGAAGCTTTCAGTCAAGAGCCTAGTAACTAGTGAGTTCAACTTTCTACATCATAGCTCTTGACTGACTGATTATAGCCGGCCTTTAGCCCCTGCGTTGCCAGAAAGGCTACTCAATGGACTACCAGCGTGCCGGGGTACAATACCCGAATCCTCCACGGCGAGTACAAGAACTAGCAGCACAGCAGATGGCCAGTATGTTGCCGCCCACAATCAAACAGAAGATGAACACATCTCCCCTGACTCCGCCGGGAGTTCGATCTACGACCCTCAAAAGCCAGGCCGACATCAGAGGCAGGGTTGAAAAGGTGCGGACAGCCTTTCTCAAGGTGGTTCTGGAGAGCCGAGATTGACCACCAGAGAAGCAAAGCTGCGCAAGTTGACAGGAACAAAGAGAGCAGGGCGATCAAGATGTAAGGCACAAAATATCCTACTGGATACGACATACGAACATGCCTGGGATTTTAAAGGAGGGCAGGGCGGAGTATTGATCAAGAGTATCGAGAATGGATTATTAGGTGACGATCGCATAAAGTTCATGGCATTAGATCACTTATAGATGAATTAGAAATGAGAACTGGGGATATGTTCCTAGATATGTCGTTATCGGAGTTTTTGCACGGGACTGTGCGTGAACTCGCTTCCCCTAGTAGTCTTGCCAACGATGAGATTGTTGAGAATTAAAGTGAGCTGGAAAGGAAACGACAGTCTACTATAAGCGAAGCCGGTAAGTTTTATACGTCAGGGGTTCTGCTGTGGAGTATTAGTGCAATGCGAGAGTCATATGTTGCAATTTGCTGAAGAGCATAGCCCGTTCATACTCTGCGTGGAAGTTTCAACAAATACACAATAGGAGGTTTGTAGTCGGCCAAATATTCTTAACGACAACTTAGTCGAGTCATCGGTACTTTGGATATAATGCTTGGTTCCCCAGAAACAGCGAACGATAGCTGTCAATAGGAGCATAAAAGTCTACAAAAGATGCTGCGTTAGGCCTGCAGAGCGGGACACACCCCGTTCTTCGACGTAAATCATCCACACCTTTGACCAATACTCTGAAGTTATTCCCCTGCCCGTCCATATCCAAGCCTCGGATAAGGAATTGGGTATTTGTTATTTGTGTCAGCAACCCATCGAGGATAGTCTGGATTCTGCCAAGATATTTAGCTAGCCTGCCATACAAGAGGAAATGGCAAACCTACATTGTCAAAAAACGGGTGTTTGGATCCGATTACTTGACGTTCATTGACCCATTCCGTCTCTGGCAAATGGCGTCTTTTGCACCACATGCAACGCGGCACAGTGCTATGCGGAACTGTCTTTCCACACGTACACCAAAACTAGAAATTTAGTCAGCACTGAAAAAAGCTTGGCTTGGTGTTGGAACGGTCATACAGCTCGTTCAAAAGCATGATCGCGAAGTGTCTTTGAAGGTTCGGAATCATCTCCAAAATCCACATCATCTCTTGTCATCCATTCCCACTCCATCTCCGTATGCTCCTCAAAATACTTTTGCGTAGCTTGGCGTTCCTTGTCGTCACAACCCACGCAGATCCATCTCTCGTAAATGTCGCAATCGCACTGCTCGGACATAAACATTCCCTCAAGCTCTTTCTCAGTCTTGGCATCGCAGTCGTCACACAGACACACGATGTTATCAAGTTGGTAGCTTCCTCTCAAGTGAGGCCGACGATTCGGATAGGCAGTTGCGGGAGCTGCTCGAGGATACCACCGGCATTCCTCGCAGATGTTGATGTCGCATTTCATGCATGGTAACGCACCTGCTTCATCGCATTTAATGTTGTATAAACGCACCTCGATCTCCTCGTCGCCCTCTAAATGAGGGTTGATGTCCAAGCGGCCAGGCTTGCGTCGTAGGTGGTAAGGACCGGTGTATGCTTGACGAGTAGCGAGGCCACGGCCGTCGCATAAGGATTGCCGGCTAAGAGATTTGAAGATTTTGGATGATGAGTGAATGTATGTATATGCTAATCGACTTGTCAAACCCAGATTGTACAGGTCACGCGTCGATAGCCAGGGGGCTAGACATGTGAGGATGGAGTAAGACGACACGAGGTCCGCAATGCCAGGCGAGGCGTTTCCACTTGTTTCGGAATTCATTTCGATTCTTGTTTCTGATGAGATACTAGGACCACATGGTTGTTGTTTGTCGTTTGACTCATTCGCTGACCAGTCTGAATACATATAACATTGCTTATCGACGAAGCGAGGCTGCATCACGTGGGTAAGCAACAGTATCGTGAGAGTAAGAAGTTAGGTCTTTGTCAGATTCGCTAGGATGAAACCTTGGCATGCCGGAATCACGCTTCCAGTCGCACCAGTCATGAGAAGGGAACGAGGCAAAGTTTTGGATCCTGGTTCAATCATCTTGAATGGATTCCCATCTGATCGGTCTTGCTTAAGATCTTCCAATTCCATATCAGCACTTGCAAAGCTATGCGCGCTATTCATCTAAGTATACATATTCTACGACCCTGACTCTGAATCTGACAATTTCTTTGCCTCTCGGGAAATAAACTCAGCTATCCACTTCCGATGCTCGTCAACCAAGTGCGGGCTGTGGCCAGACTCGATCTCTACGACAGTTGCACCCCATTTGTCAGCAACAAATGCCAGGATATCTTTCGTGAAAATAGTGTCGTTCTTGCAGAGCACCACCGTCTTGGGTATGTTGAGATCCGCCGGGGTGCAAACGACAGTGACTTCAAACGGGCCTTTGCTCTGGTGGCAGAGAGTGGGGATAATCTCATCTGCAAGGCTTTGCTCGATATCGGAGAAGAAAGCATCCTTGAGCTTTTCAGCAGCCTTTAGGGGAAGACGAGTATCCTGGTTTGAAAGTCAGACATATTCGTACAATTTTGCCGGGCGCGTCAACATACAGACACGTCGTGAAACCAATCACTGGTGTACTTTCCGCCAACAGCTTCATACATCGAGATATCCTTCTGCAAGACTGGTGTGGGGGCAATAAAAACGGTCGAAACGAAACCACCTTGAAGACCCCTCTCTTCCCTCTCAGCAACAGTATGGCCGTTGACGGCGATTTGGAGAGGCACTGATCCATAACTGTGCCCCACGGCGATTACCTTTCTCCCGTTGTCAAGATAGGGCATCACCATGTCGTGGATTCTCTTGACGTCATCTTCGAGTGCCATTCCGTCGATGGAGTCATCGTAGCCGGAGCTCGCAAGAGTAGGCGCCAGGACAGTGAAACCTTCAGCCTGAATAGCTTTGATGAGAAGCCGGTAATGGACAGGCGCATGCCATGCGCCTGGAACAAAAAGCACTATCGGCTTTTGATAGTTTGAAGTCATATTGAGCCTTGTTTGAACAATTGAGTATGGAAGAGGTGGGGAGAGCGACAATAGACTTAAATAGGTAAAATGGTTGGTCACTTGGAACCCTAGTCTCGGACCAAAGCACCGAAGGTTCGCTAAGCATACAGACCAAAGCACCCATACTTGGCCCATTAGCAGAGGGCCATAGGTTTCACGGCCTATCACTGCTCCTGCATTCCAGGATGGTTCGGAGGGTTTGACCAATTTTCGACATGCTGACAAACTCGCGACGTTAGGATTCAGGAGCGAATCAATCTATTCTCGCAGTATGTGTCCGCAAGCGCTACGGATTTACTTCGTATGCTTGCTTCGGAGGAACAAATTTAAGGAGTTGGCAGTAAGACTCCTGGTGCCCCAACCGGTTTAGTTGAGCAGGAGGATGTAAGCACTAGCACAAAAGAGCTCAGCTTCGATACATGATCAAGTTTCTACCCGTCGACTGAGGCTTGGATCTTTTGGATGATTTTAATGTCATGAAGTATTCTAAGTTGCCTTTCAAATGACTCGAAAAGTTCAAATGATAGGCAGCCAGCACTTCAATGGAGTGAATAGCAAAGACAAAACCGTTGAACTGATGGCATAAATCTTTAGTGGGGAATCTCAGCGCTTACTGTACTCTGATAAACCGATAATGAATGTTTCTTGGCCAGCCCGATGCGATCGTGTCGCAATTACCTATTTTCTTCTGTTCTTATCCTATCGAACCACCAAGAGTGCCAGGAAAGATATGCCCTGATTAAGGCATGTAGCGCTCCACAGGTTTGGTATTCCCACAGTTCAAATGCAGTGATTCGGCACAAGAACGTCCGTCGCATTAAGCCGGCTAACGGCGGCAAAGCAATAACGAATAGTACACGGAATATATACGTTTTGGCATATAATCAGGCCTACTTGAATCGATTTAATAATTGTTCTTAATAAAGATCCAAGCTTTCGAGCCCGAAACTTTCACATAAACCGTGTGCGATGTTAGAAGGTCTAGCAGTACTGATTACTCGATTCCGTTGCTGAGTCAGTGAGCCGTAGCCAGTATAAATTGACCTCCCTCAGCAAGCAGGTCCTTGAAATCGAAGTAAAGCAATGTTCAGAGAAGCCTAGAAATACACCTGAAGAACAGTATCCTGAACTTCCAAATCTCGACTACGAAATTTACCAAGATGTGCTGGACGGTGCGGACTTTCCATTGGTGCAAATGCGGACGCCTGTATACTATGATGATAGAAAATTACGAGTGCGCCGTAAAGGGCACGCCAGAATGTAAGCACGACTCCGAAGACGTCGATGTATCATACCCTCCTAGAGAGTGTGCGGAGTGTGAAGAAGAGCGGATCATAGCCGAGCAAGAAGCAGAGGCTGATAAGGATGAGAAGAACAAGAAGTAGTTTCTGTCACTGTCGAGGTGGGACCCGTTACAGTCAAATAAACCTCCTTCAGTCGAACTAGTCCATCGGTAGTTTGCTGCTATGTCACTTGAACGGTGAATAGATCGTGCGCTTGAAAATCGCCCCAGTAGATCGTTTCACATGTTTCCATGGCTACTGGATTAAGAGACAGAATGTGCGTATATATATGGCACCTTTCTTGAACTTAGGCAAAGGTTGTTTCTCGACACAAACCTATTATATAACCATCGATCAGTATAAGCACCAGTCACCGAGAGCTATCGCATCCAACACTATCAACATGTGCGAAACCGTATTTTGGCGCTATTGGTGCATGTCGGGTCGGCACCTCCATCGTTACGACCAGAAAGAGTATTCGTGCGATGCAAAGGGAACGGCAGACTGTAAACTTGTGATCAGCTCATACGACAATCCAATGTTAGCCACCTGTACAAGATGCGTGGAGTTGGAGAAGGCGGAGAAAGAAAGAAGGGAAAAGGAAAAGAAGGAAAAAGAAGAAGCAGAGGGAAAGTGAACAAGAAGGAGGTAGCCTCAGTCCAAGGCATGTCGCCTAGATTCTCGCATATCCTAAATATCACATAGATGCTCAGGGCGTCTATGTATGATCAAGATAGCTTTGCAATTAAACCGCCAAACTCTGAGAATGTGCCGATATGCCTAGAGTGCGATTATCATGTGGTTGTAGATCGACAAAAGGAGTCGCATGCCTCAAAGAAGATTATATCGTTTCGTTGTACTAGCAAGCCGAAAGGCCGACGCAGATTTGATTAGAACACAACGTGTCTTAGCTTGCAGCAGTGATAAGAAGATGCAGTCCACAAGAACAACTTCTTATTACGCACAAACTAGCGCGAGAGCATTTGTCTAGATTGCTCAAATTTCAATTCAGTACAAAGACTCACTGTCGTGTTTCGAACATATATATCGCCATCTTGGGGAGAAAGCTACTTCTTAGATCTTCAAGTATCCAATGCAAACCCCCGACTAGTATATACAAATAGCTTCAACACATTGAAGAGGCTCAGATATCCGTTTACACTACCATGTGTAAAACAATTTATTGGAATTATAGGTGCGCGGGTTGTTACGGTCTTTTATCCTACGAGCAGACAGAAGAATACTGCGATGTGCCAGGGCAGCTTGAGCAAGGATGTGTCCTAACTGGGGAAGTTAAAGTCAGGAGATGGGCTGCCAGTTGTTGTACTAAGTGCGAGGACGAGAGACTGAAGAAGCTAGAGGAGCAGGCGAAAAAATCAGGAACAAGTTAGGCCACCCCTCAGTCTGACTCTCAGACACACTATACAGGTGCCTATATTAGCTCGGTGTACCTAGGTAGCCTACAGATATAGTATAGCACAATGATGTGTATTGTATAAGAAGCCTGTCAAGTCAGGGCTGCTAGTTGTAGCGTACGCAAGATGATTAGGCTCCAGGGAGTTGTGATTGGTTATCCAGCGGTCACATTCTATTATTTAATAGACTTCCTCAAATTGAAGAGCAAGGAGAGTTGGCTTTGGATTTGGTGGCTGCCTGGATGACAGGCTACACCGTCACAAAACCGCGTAAGCCTGCGCCCCGCTTGACGATCATTAAAATCCCTAAGCGAGACTAAGAATCCGGATCTCACGTAAGTCCCCAAATTTCAACGCCAGATATTTTTCATATATCGACTGAGTCGATTCCACAGTTCATTCTAAGGTCAAAATGAGTCTCGAAAACCTGGCGACAGAGCTTGTTGAGTTCATCGCGGGATATCTCCTTGCGGATGAGCACCTTAATGCTTTATGCCAAACCAATCGGCGATTCTACTACATGCTCAATCAGCGCTTGTATCATCAAGATGCTCACAGTTCCTGTAGAGCACTGTCCTGGGGTGCTTGGAAGGGACTCTTTCCCTGTGTCAGGAGATCACTGGACGGCGGTGCTGATGTGAACGCTGTCAACAACTACGTCGTTAAGAACTATGCAGATGAAACTCCAATTTTCATGGCTGTTAGGAACCAGGACTTCGATACGGTGCTTCTATTGCTGGTCAGAGGCGCCGATGTCAACCGCAGGAACAAAACAGGCGACAATCTGGTATATTTCGCAGTGTCGACTGGCAACATCGACATGGTGAGGCTCATACTCGCGCAAGGCGTCGATCCAACTTGTCACGAGAATGGCGATGTGCCTCCGCTGCTTTTGGCTGCCCGAAGAGGCTATGTCGAGATTGCAGAGACCCTTCTAGACCAAGGAGTCAAAATTGATGATGGGGACAGCTGGGGAGAGACACCCCTCCAAGTGGTCATGACTAGCGGTCAACACAAGATCCTCAAGCTCTTCCTCGACAGAAACTTTATTCGCGACGATCCGACGGGTGATATAGGGGCTGATGCACTCGAGGTCGCGATAGTACGACATGATTTTCGTGCGCTGAAGCTACTTCTTGAGGGTGGTGCAAACCCTCTCACGCGAAGGTGGACAGGCTACAATGCGATCATATCAGCGACACTATCTCGAGAGGAGGATATGGCAATCTTTATGACAGAACCGTTGAATGATCTATCCGAGATCAAAGATAGGGTTGGAAAGGGGTTGCTCTGGTATGCCGCGAAAGGGCGGTGCGAACGGTACACAAAGTATCTTTTGGAGAGGGGTGTTGATCCGAACACTGATACATGGCAGCCACTGACGGGTGCAATTTTTGGTGGTTCAGCTGTGGTAACTGAGATGCTCCTTGATCGCGGTGCCGATGTTGAGTTCACGGATGAGATTGGAAGATCGCCATTGAAAGTGGCTTTGGAAGAGGGGGTGGAAAGTGAAAAACAGGAAGTTGTTAGACTTTTGCTGAGCAAGGGTGCTTCGTTGGAAAAGGCCGAGTTGAACGACGAGCGGAAGTTGTTGGTGCAGAGTTTCTTAACTTGTGAATCATAATAGATGGTTCACGTAAGATTGCAGGTATTGGCAGTGGCATGTATGATTGGAATGTTCCATATAAATCCAATTACCTTTTGGTACAAGGTATCCCTAGACGCTACGGATTTATTTCACAGGCTTCAGGGCTTTCTGGAGAGCCTTCTTCAAACAGTCAACCTCCTCTGTGAGAGACTCCTTTTCTTTCTCTAACTTCTTCTTTTTCTTCTCCTTTTTCTTCTCCAGCTCCTCCAAGTCCTTTACAACTATCTCGAGTTGCTTCTTGGCCGTTTTCAGCGCATGGTTCGCCATCACTATCTCGGTCACCTGATCTAAGCCGAGCCCCGGTTTGCCTGACTCTTTCTTCTTGGCATCCTTGTCACACGCTGATGAATTTTTGGTTTTCGGGGACATTTCATTTGGCTTGCTTGGAGGTGGTGTAAAGTAGCTGTAAGAGTGGTTGGTGTTGAGGGTGGAGAGGGGCGGCTATGGTTGGCGAATTAGTTGTGGCCTTGAGAAGATCTCCAGGGATAAATACACACATCAATGGCCGTAGGTTGCGAGAGTAATTCACTCTCTCGTCACTTTGCGTTTCAGTGATTTGCAACCATTGTGGGCAGTGGTTCACTCCTGTGCAACGCGGGCACTGTTATTCACAGCTACCGAAAATTCATGAAACACAATGGGTATTCCTATCTCATCATGGTGATTCTATGATCATGTGCAAGCTCCAGACGCCAGTAAAACAGTATGCATGCCGCTCCATATGCTTTTTGATATGCTTGAAATCAAACCCCCAGATTCGTGTTCCTCCTACGTTCTCCGGACCCCTCCTCGCTCAGATCATGCTGCGCGTCTTCCACTCTGCGATAGCTGCGGGACAAATCCTCTTGATTTTTGTCTTAGGTTCCCACGAGGTATCCGTCTCGCCATACCCAATCCATTGTATTTCGTAGTGGCGCTTCTTCTCGGAGACGATTCGATAGACGTGATACTTCTCAAAGTCGGTGACTTGGCAGCGGCCACCAAGCTTCGTCCAGTAGTTCAAGACCACACTCGGGTAGTGCTTTTGGAGGTCGAGCTCTTCGGCTACAGCGCTGATCCAGGAGGTTTCGGGGCCGTATTTGAATTTGATTCGGAAGCTGACTTGACATGTTTCTTTCTGGATCATGTGGTGTTCAATTTTCACTTCGTATGCGCCCTCCCAGATGAAGTCGTCATCGTCGCTGTCCTCGCCTGGCCAGTTAGCCGAGTTTCCTCAGACAGCTGAAAAAACAGACGTACCTTCGTCGCGGGGCAAGTTAGAGGCGAAATGATCGATGTAATGTTCTGCGAGGGTATTAGCCAAGCTACCATACCGGCTGGCGCTTCGCACATACCAATGTCCAGCATTGTCGGTCACAGCGTCAGAGTCCCTTGTGGGAGTTTAGAGAAAACCACAGGAGGCGGATAGAAAGTTTGCGGTGTGCGATATAGCGTACGACAGTGATAAACGGCAAGATGATAAGAAGCGAAGAGAAAGCAGACTATAAAAAGGATGCTTCCAACATTAGTAGCAGTGTTGAAGCAAACGCGGTGAAGAAGTGAACAAAGAAAGTCAGCGCCAAATTGGTGCCCGTTTGTCAGTGGCAGCCCAACAATGAGGCTCTATTGTTGGTGGCTGAACCCCTGTAAGCGCTGCAGATGAATAAAGCATTGCCGTTCACTTCTTCTTTCCTGTGCATGGGGGGCATGGCAATGCTTTTTGATGTTTATAAACGACCAAGCAGAGAAACGTGGCTTGAAGAATTCCGACATTGTTGGGCGGAAGTGTCAATCACTGCGCTCTCAGTGGCATGAGTCTCTGTACGCTCCGATCTTCATAGACGTTGGGCAGGGCAGATGCGTATCTGTCATCATACATTTACATCCTGTGTAACCATTTGATCCCGTCTCTGTCTCCTGGCCAATCAGTCTTCAATGGGATAGCAAAAGGCTGGGCCATCCATCCTGACAAGAGGCAGGGATGCGCAGTATTCAAAGAATGTCTGACAAGTGGCGCTGTATTTCTGTAAACCTAGGCCATGTTTTTGCATTCAAACTCTAGTAGACAATATCACTCCTTTGTTCGTTCTTATTGATCATTCCGGTGACTTCATGCTTTTCTGTAGACTTACGCACAACTGTCCTCAAAAAAGGGGCCAAATTCTCAGTGCTTGGCCGGTTCTTCAATTTTATGTTATGGATGTAGAACCGACTTCAAGGAGTTCTACTGATACTTGTATTGTGGTCTCCGGGTTAATTATAGTTGGAAGTGAGCGGTCGCGGAGCGATTGAACGTTTTATAGGACTTGTCAGGTTACATCATAAGCCGATAACGGAGAGGTTGCCAAAGACAAACGCGACTTTAGACCGCGCCACTCGAGTTGCGCTTAAGTGGGTCTCTGCAGGCTTTTATCCAGTCAGTGCCAGGTATAGTTTCTGCCCCAGGTTCAACAAATCGTAGAAGCAGTGACGCCAAGGCGCCACCAGAACCATTTTGTTGGCAATGGAGACAAAACCCAAATTTTTAATGAATTGACAACGCATACATAACATCCAAACCAAGTATAGGATGAGCGTTTTAGACAATCCAAAGGCCTCTTAGGATTTAATGATAAGATTGAAAATAGGAATTGGAATTCCAATTCCATAGAACTCAGATTGGCTCCTTCAAGTAAACAAGAGATGATTGTCGTGTACTATAGGGTAGTGATGATACTGCTTATCGATAAGATCTTTATCTTATCAGATCGGATCAGAACCCCACCATTTAGCGGACTTACTAATTCTCTCAATCAACGATTGGGTTTCAGCACCACAACTCCAAGATGTGGCTTGGAAGAAAACCCGTCTTACTGGTCTTGACAGCCATTGGCTTTGCAGCTGGCCAAAACCAAAAAACATTGACAGACGAAACCATATTCCGCCCTTCTTTCACTGTTCGCCAGCAATCGTCGGACCTCTGCGATGCCGGCTCTCGACAATGGACAGGCACTGTAAATGTCACGGCTGACAAGTCAATGTTTTTCTGTACGTACGCGATGGCTGAACGAATACTCCGGTGAACTGACTATGCCAGGGTATTTTGAAAGCCGAAATAAACCTGAGACAGATCCGTTGTTGTTATGGATGAGCGGGTAAGTCATCGCTGGTAAAGTATTGAACCAAGGCTAATGCAACGGACACAGTGGACCCGGTGCAGCTGGAGAGATGGGTTTATTCATGGGTAGCGGCCCTTGCGTTGTCAATTCTGATGGCAACTCGACAAGACGCCTCGATTATTCTTGGACAGACCGTGCCAATGTAGTCTACATCGAGTAGGTCTCCAGACTAAGATGACTGCACATTACTTACTCTCCATAGTCAACCAGTCGGGGTCGGATTCTCCGAAATCACAGACCGCGACGATATCGCTGTCAGTCTTCGACAGGGAGCCAAAGATGTCTACTCCTTCCTTTCGACCTTCTCACACGACGTCTTCCCTGAGCTCGCAAACCGATCCTGGCACATCACCGGCGAGTCAATGGGCGGCCACTACGTCACAGGCTACACACAGTACATCGTCGCCCACGAGCGTAAGAACGCCATGTCTGGCATTGAGCCCCGGATCAACATCTCGTCTGCAATCATTCTTGACGGCTATATCGACGCCACTCGACAAATCATGGGGTACTATGACTTCTTCTGCACCGATTGGGCTGCTGATGGGCGGAAGGCTCCGTTAATGAATGAGACTGCTTGTTCACATATGGCTGCAGGAATACCCGAATGCGAGAAACTAGCTGCGCGTTGTCGGAAATCATATGATATCCCGACATGCCGTATAGCGAATGAAGTCTGCGAGGAGACTATTGGCGAGTACTTTTCGGATGGCGTGCGACCTGGTGGATGGGATCCGTATGATGGTGAGTATAATCAATCCCCCATCTCTATAATATGTTGGCTAGGGCCACTCTCTCGAGCCGATACTGATCTACAATCCTTCAGACCGACATCCCTGCGAAACGCCTCCCTTATGCTCCAATCTCGCCCATGGGCCTACCTGGAGATTTTTGAATCGCCCTTGGGTTCAGAAACAGCTTGGATTCCATCATGTGCCATATGATCTTATTGATCTCGACACTAACAAGCGCTGGGATGAGGCCGAGAACATCCATCTGCCCGTCACTCGAGAATTATCCTATATACTCGATAACACTGACATCAAAGTGCTTTTCATCAACGGGAACAATGATATAATAATGTGAGCTCATCAAGACTCGTTTCTGTGTCAAAGACCTGTACTAATAGTTTGCAGAAATACTCCAGGACAAATGAGCATGTTGGACCATCAGCCATGGAAGGGACAAGAGGAGTACCGAAATCTTGACTACGGAGCGTGGCACTACAGAGACGGCGAAGTTACTTCGGATGTCGACGGTTGGAATGTCAGAAGAGGAGGGTTTTGGAAGGGAAACGATAGGTTGAGCTTCTTTGCTGTTGATGAAGCTGGACATCTGTCCGCTCATCACCAACCAGAAGCTGTTGGCGCGATAGTTAGGGCGTGGCTTCGTAATTGCTAACTCTATTTTCACCCGTGTAAGGGCAAATCTACAATCTAGCTTGCTGATTCGAACCTTCCCTACTTAACATATCTGCACTCCTGGCATCTTCAATAATCATGTGCGCTGCCTTCTCAGCGATAGCATACACCGTCGCTTGGATATGTGCACTGATCTGTAGTGGCATAACGCTCGCATCAACGACCCTCAGGCCTTGCACACCATAGACTCGAAGCCTCTCATCAACAACTCCACCCTCTATACCAGAGCTACCACCCATGGCGCATGTTCCCACGGGATGCCAGTCAGTGATTGTGTTTTGCGTGACCCAGTCCTCCAAGCGCTTGTCATCTTTGAAGTCAGCAGCCGAAGGAGATGCTGGTGCTCGGATGATGTTCGTCAAAGGTTCCGTGTGCGCGATTCTCTTCACGAATTGCAAGCATTGCTTCATCACTTCCATGTCAAGCTTCCCATGTGCACCTTCGTAGTATTGTGGGTCGATAGCAGGTGATTGTTCGGCCGTGGCAGATCCGTCACTGGAAGGACGTATATGGATGGAGCCAACAGTGAAGGGATATTGGAGGATCTGCAACATAGTTCCGTACCTCTTACCTTCCTCACCCTTGAAGTAGGGGTTCCAGATACCTAGGTCAAATATATACTCAATCTGGCCTAAATCAGAGCTCCCATTGAGCCGTTGACTAAGGATACCGTGCTTATCTGGGTCAAAGACTGACAAGTTATCCGCCTCTGCGTGGAGAGTAGCAAGAGTATCACTCGGGACAAAATGTGCCAGGGGGACGTAGCAAAGAGACACAGGCAGAATAGTAAGAGGCCCATCTGCTGTTTGCGTGTACTGCTCACGAGCAGCAGCGGCAAGCTTATCGTCTTTCAGCAAATCATCGCGATTAGCGAGAGAGGGATCAACCTCGAAGATCGTCGCGAGCACTGGATCGACATGTCAGTGGAGAACTCAAACCAAGATAGTGGTTCGCTTACTGATATGCTCCTGCAGATTCTCCCCCACATTGGGACTATCAACCTTGACGGGAATGCCAGCACGCTCAAGGATCTGGGGGTTACCGACACCAGAAAGTTCCAGGATCTGCGGCGACTTGACGCTTCCGGCTGAGAGGATTATCTCCCGCGAGGCTGAGACACTGTACTTGACACCTTGATAGGAGAAACAAACCCCGGTAGCATCCTTTTGGTCGTTGATAAGAATCTCGTTTACCGTGGCGTGGGTAAGGATGTGTAAATTGGCCGGCCCTGTTTCGCAGTAGTCTATCGAATAAGACCTGCGGGCGGAATGTGGCTCAACGGCATTGACGCACGTCCACACACCAACGTTTGAGCCCCCGACGTGGGAAGGATTAGTTTGGACACCGAGGGCATTGAGGGTGCGATGCCACAATTGGTGCGAAGGTGAGTAATCAGTAGGGTACGAGATGTGTATGGGGCCTGACTCCCCAAAAGTGTCTGCATCGTGAGAGACCTCGTGCAGGCTCTGCAGGCTCTCACTTGGTGGGTGGAATGTCTCAGATCGTTTGAAGAACGGGCTTTCAGGGAAAAGAAAAAAGATTAGCTGCCGTTCATCACCCAATAAACTCAAGACTCACAGAAGGCCTTCCCAGCCCCAGCCGGGGTTCCCCAAAGCTTCCCAAGCATCGTAGTCATCCTTGCTAGCGCGATTCCACGCCATGTAATTCAGGGCACTTGTTCCTCCGAGGGCCTTTCCACGGGGCCACGGAAGTTTACGGTTTCCGAGACCTTGTTGCGGAACAGTTTCCAGGTGCCAGTCGTAGGATCCCCTTAGCGAGCGGCCGTAGTGGCCGGGAACACTGATATCAGGATCATCTTGGATAAGGCCGCCTGCTTCGATAACGCCGATTGTGTATGAGGGGTCAGCTTCGGCCAGACGAGCAGCGATAGCTAAACCAGCTGTGCCTCCTCCTTTGAATTGGTCAGTGCCTGGATCGACATCGAGATTGGCAGACACAAACCTATGATGATGAAATCAAATGAGAGATGACTGAATTCTTCGATAGTGCGGATTTGTGCCATTTTGGAATGCAGCGGGAGGTTAATGCGCCCGATAAGCTCCTTACCACTCACGTACGCTAACTCAATGTGCTGTGGGAGAGAGTTATGCTGGCAGACAACTTATAACGCCTCTCGGGAACCGCGGGAGCAAGCTCGTGTAGAAAATGCGCGGGAAAAGAGTAACAAAAAAAGCAAAAAATGATGAAGAGACAACGTTCGATTAACTAGCCAATAAAGAGGACAAGTGCCTTTGGGTTGCGGACTGTGCCGCACTAGCCCTGGCAACTAAATGATAGCTAATATGCAGGAGACGATGCTAGACGTTACAACCGAAATTCTCAACTGGGCTAATGATATGGTGAGGCTTTTACTGCAGTTACGGGTATCCGAATGAATCGGGTTGCTGGCTTTTGTCTCAGAAGAGAAGGTGATTCGGTACATGGAGGAGATACGTCAAGGATATGTACTGTAATTAGAGTTGGGAGCAGCCAATGATGCGTTGACGGCTGGGGACAGTGCTAAATACGATTGCCTTTAGTGGCTAACGGCGTTGATAGCTAAAAAGGTAATGGTGCGATGGTAGAATTGACTAACGATAGCCTGAAGAGCCTTCTTTAATGACGGTTGATGTTAGAAAACTCCACTACAACATTCGATATCGGCAGTGAAGAAAAGGGTCCCTTGATAGATCTGGGATTCTAGACCAATACGGGGTAAATTCTCCATCGTATGACCAAGAGTTAGCACCTAAGCTTTTGCCCAGCCGGGCCAGCCCCCCACGACCAGGTACAGGGGTATCCCTCCGGAAGCAACCCGAGCCCCAGCACGGATGCTGCCGTTAATAGTTGGTTATTGGCTCTGCTATTGCTTGTTGGCTCTTCTCTCCATTTTGACGTGCCGATCTAAGCGCAGCAAAACTTTGTTCCCGAATAGCAGTCCACATTCCGAATCGCACGCAGGGGGATAAGCTATCGAGGCATCATTTCTTCCTTCCCCTGGCCCATCATCCTGGAAAATTCCATCAAGCTAAGCTTCAGCTATCAAGCTTCGAGATTAATTACAAAGATGCAAACCTTTTTTTATGAAGCTAGCATTTGACGTCCAAGGAATGGGGGACCCTGCTTGCTTTGTTCATGTGTCTGTAGTAGTACGATTTCAAGCCCAGCCGTTGCGTTGTGGCGGTTCGATCGAAAGGAGAGGTTTCGTATTTGAGTTCTGACGGGCGTTGGACCCAGGGGTAAAAACAAACGCCTCGATCTGGAGGTTCTTAGCTCTTATTGCCCGCCTTCTAGAGGCCATTTTTTCTCTCTGGTGCTATGACAATGTCAATCATCTCTTCATCATGGATTTTCTGCATTCTCTGTTGGTTGAGTCCTGGGTTCTTTGGGTGTTGGGTGTCTTTGTGGTTGTCTGTCGACTGTGAGTGATCATCACATGCCTTTTATGGTTTGTCGCTAATCTCTACATCTAAAGTGCATCTCGGCGACTGAAACTTGGAAAATGGAGTCGTCTTGCTATTGAAGACTTTTTGATGGTATTTGCGCTTGTATGTACCTCCTCAACCACATGTCTTAGACTCTACTGACACAATGTCTAGGTCAACTTTACCGGAGTCGTGGTATCGATCAACGAAGTTGCCAAGAATGGCAGCAATTACATGGCCCCAGAGGTCGCAGCAAAGCTCACACCCGAGGGCAAGAAACAAGCCGTCTTTGGGAGTAAGATGACATTTGTCCTCGAGATCTTCGCCCTCACAGCCGCATGGACGATCAAAGCCTGTTTGCTTTTCCTCTACGCCCGATTAACACAGGGAACTTCCATCAAGCAGCGATGGGCTGTGAGACTCGTTGCAGGCTTTTGCGCCCTTACTTATGTCGTCGTCACCTTCATGTTTGTGTTTTTCTGGTGCAACCCGACGGTTGAGTACTGGGCTGTGCCTGTGAACCCGGACAAGATGCAATGTGCGACTTACTACAACCATATGATCTTTGCGACGGCTTGCAACATCGCCAGCGACATCATGTTGATCTTGCTTCCTATTCCTATCGTTATTAACATCAGTTTACCTAGAAAGAGGTCAGTTCCCCCTACGAAGTTATCTAGCACTATTGTACTAACAAGCGCAGAAAATTCGGACTCTGCTGCGTCTTCGGCCTTGGCCTTTTCAATGTAAGTGCACACATTCAGCCGTCAGCCCTTCACAAAGCTAACATTTGCAGATCCTCGCATCTGTCCTCAATCGATACTACAACTTCAGCAATCCCAACTCCTACGTCTTCTTATACTGGTACGTGGCAGAAAGCGGCGTCGCACTCTGGGTTGGAAACCTCCCGCTCTGTTGGCCCGTCATTCGCCTCGCACTTGGATCCAAAGGCGACACATCGAACCCATCTTCATACCCAAACCCTTCATACCCTGAGAACTCTGCTCGTCGAAGAACACAAGGCCGTCTCCCACTTTCCAGCAAGCCGTCAGTATGGGCCAAGCTGGAGGATGAGGATGGCGTACGAAGTGACGCATCACCCGAGCAGGGAAGTCAAATTGAGCTTGTGGAACAACATGGGCCGGATCAGCAGCAGCAGCAGTACCATGCGGAGGCTAAGGCTGGTAGTGGGAGTGGAGATAAATATGAGCATGGGGTGAGTGGTCATATTACGGTGGTCACGCAAGTGGAAGTTAGCTCAAAAAAGAATTGAGATATTTGGTACGGAGTAGACGTGTTGGAAATATTGGATAGACGATATGTCACATATCGAATGGACTCAGCTACAAAAAAAGCGCATAAAACTATTGAGACACCAAAATGGTTCAAAACTAATCGTCAAGTGAAGTGCACAATTGCCAAGCCCGCTTATGAAAGCGCCGGCATATTTGTTAGTGTCCGTAATTAATGGAGATATTGTCTCTTGGCTCCCGCTGTCGATGCGGCTTGGCACGTAGTATTTTCGGTTCCGCTCCAACCGATCCTGACCTGTTTGCTAGGCCTTATGGGATTTAGTGCAGTCGGGGGAGGATTTTGGGGGTGGTTTCATTGCTAAAGATCCTAGACATGGGTGCTTAAAAAGCCAGGGGATCTAGTCAAACCTTGATTGATATCAATGATCCCTACCTGGCAAGCAAGATGTTGCACAGAGCAAGGGACCTCGATGATTAGGATTCTGGAACAAGGCAAGTTCGGAGATGAACAACGGTATAACCTGACAGTAATCATTCCGAAACCGAAAACAGTCAAGTTTCAGAAGCAAAAGGCTCTATCAGGACAATACATCCACGAACCGCAATTGTCCAGTCCCGCTGCCCTTACCCGACTCCCCTCTCCTCTCCGATCCCTGGCATCAGCTCGTACGCCACAACCAACACCAACATGGGGGTGCAGCAAATAGACTGTTGCCGTCTGCAGCTTCCAGAGTCTAGACTGTTTCCGTTGGTGAAGATTGTGGTCCGGCACCGTAGGGTTGTCTTCCGCACCCTGAGACCAGACTCCCAGAGTCGCAGCACGAACGCCATGGCATCAACCATGCATGCATTGTCGCGCATCGATTGGGTGCTGCTGCGAACAGGGTCGCTTTCCTCGTGGCGAAAGGTCTCGTACCCGGGAATCAGGTCAGCTCTAACCAAGCATTGAATGCAAGCGAGCTTTGAAGAGGGAAAAAAGGTTGAGCGTTCGTGGCTGCAACAAAAGCTCGGTTACATCCTCTGCTTATTTGAGATTCTGCAGGCAACCTTTACACCAGACTGGTCTGGGATTGTGGTGGCACTGCAGCTATTTACTTTTTACTTTTACTTTTTTACTTTTGCAATTTCCTTTTTGCTAAAATCAAGCCATAATGTCTCTCACAATGCACGACACAGAAGCTGTGCACGAAAAGTCCGCAACGGTCTGCTCATCCCCTACCGCTGACGGCAATGGCAGCTTCAACACGTCCGAGCCACCGAGCGCCTCGCTGTCATCGTTCCAGAAGTTCAATCGTCGCATTGAGAACCTCGCTGGCTTGGAGGCACGAGGTATCCAGCGCGTGCTGCCCGAGGAGCGTCAACCGGCATCGCATGCTGCTGATCTGCAGGTAGCTGTGCTGTGGTTCAGCGCAAATCTGTCGCTGAATAACCTCGCTACTGGCCTGTTCGGACCTATGGTGTTTGGCCTGGGATTCTTGGATAGCGCTCTTCTGGCAGTGTTTGGAACAATTCTCGGGGCGTGTTCGACGGGATACATGGCGATATGGGGACCTCAAAGTGGTAACCGAACTATGGTAAGTAAATACGCCAATCTCAATTAGCAGCATTGACTGACTTCTGTTTTACAGGTTGTCTTGCGCTACTTCTTCGGCTACTGGCCTTCCAAGATCCCGACATTCCTCAATATCGTCCTCATGGTTGGATACGCGACAATTGATTGCATAATCGGTGGACAAGTTCTGTCTGCTGTGAGTGGCGGTACCATGACCATCTTGGTTGGTGTCATCATCGTTGCCATTGTGTCGTGGGTTGTGGCTGTTTTTGGAATGAGAATCTTCCACACCTACGAACGGTACGTGCTCAAAACTTCTAAGCCCATTGCATACTAACGATGTTTCAGATACGCTTGGATCGCGCAAGTTGTGGTGCTTGCCGTCTTGATCGGCGTGGCTGGTCCATCATTTAACGCCTCAGCACAGCCTACAGTCTCCGGCGCAACTCTTGCAGCTAGCCGCCTATCCTTCTTCACCCTTTGTTTCTACGTCCCCAACTCGTGGGCTGCTGCGGCTTCTGACTTCTACGTCTACTATCCTGAGCGCACTTCTCGCGTCAAGGTCTTCCTGCTGACCGTCATTGGACTGACCATGTCTTTCACATTGGTCTATCTCGTCGCTATCGGACTAGCTACCGGTCTTGTTGATAACAAAGCTTGGGCTGATGCCAACGCTATCAGCACCGGCGCTCTTATCGTCGCTGCGTATGAGCCCCTACACGGCTTCGGGCGTTTCTGCTCTGTTGTTATCGCTCTTGGAGTCATCGCCAACAGCACACCCTCTTTGTACTCTGCCTCGCTTGGATGCCAGGTTCTCGGACGTTACACCAAGGCTGTGCCCCGATGGGTTTGGTCCACCGTCATGTCACTGATCACCTTGGTTCTTGCCATGGCCGGTCGCGAGAGCCTTTTGGTTGTTTTCCAGAACTTTGTAGCCCTGATGGGCTACTGGGTCATGCTCTTCATCTGCATTGTGCTGCAGGAGCATCTGATCTTCCGTGGACGCCAGGGTTTTGATTGGACTGCTTGGGAGGACAAGTCGTATCTTCCTGTTGGTTTGGCTGCGTTTGCAAGCTTCGTTCTTGGCTGGGTCGGTGCTATACTCGGAATGTCCCAAGTCTGGTACATTGGACCTGTTTCGAAGGCAGCTCAAAACGCAGATCTGGGAATGTGGCTGGGCTGTGCATTCGCGATTGTCACATTTCCCGTGTTCCGATATTTCGAGCTCAAGATTTACGGACGATAGATGCCCTAGATGCATCAGGTACCAAAATATTTACTAGCAAGGCCATAGGGTCTGGATGAACCCAAAAGTTAGATAATTAGTATAGAATCCAGTTCCTCGTTCATCTTAGCCCAGAATTCTCCACCCATAAGGCCATGCACATAGCAATGAGAAACCAGCTGAAAACTGTTTCCGGCCGGTCTTAGAATAACTGGCACTCCTAATCCTGAGATGAGGGCAATCTTGTCTCCCACTTGAAGGCTGGCAGAGAACTCATCCGGCGCTGTTCCTAGATACCCACCTTCAGTATGAAACAGAGCCCTCTGTGCGGAAAAGGTCACTGCTAAGGAGTGAAACCCAAAGCCGTTTCCTCCAGAGGCCATCGCCAGATACGTGCGTAACTCGATGGGAACATCTTCCCTAGTCTTCTTGACCGTCGCCTCGAACATTTTGGCCCCCTTACTCGGTCTGAAGACAGCTCCGAGAAGTCCGCGTAGGTTGACACTGGGTGGCGATGTTGCTTGCCATTTCATGGCATATGGTATGGATTTGATAGTGAGTTCCTCTTCACTTGCTCGCATGGTAGCAAGCCAGTTGCTGAACTGATCTGATTTGGGAGAGGCCAGACTTGTTGGATCACTGTTGAGCAAGGTCGCCTTCAGCACATCATCGACCAGCTCTCCTGTTGGGTATGTCCCCAATGTGCAGGCCATCCCTAACCATGCTTGCATAGTGTTGTAGATCTTGTGGATTGTTGCTAGATTCTCTGAGACCATACACCTCCCAGTGTCATCACGATGCAGGAATAATTCGGGAAGAGATATCCGAGGGAAGCAGGGCATTGAATCTTGACGATCAACAATAGTGTCCACTATCTTGCCACGAAGGATAACCTGGCGCGGAGAAGGAGTGAAAGACCACCCAGGTTCGGATATCCCCGAGGCCGAGAACCTTCTTCTGTCTGGTGCATGTCTCGAGTCGTCTTCTTCCCAGCCTCTGTCAGACCAATCAGGGACCCAAGAAGGGATATCTGGATGCTTCTTATCAGATGCAGCGAAGCAAAGTATCCACAGACTCTTGTCGTGTGCAATGGCAGCTGTGGTAACCTCCGTGAAGATCTCTGCCAGTGGCTTTTCGTAATCAGGTTTGGAGAGCACGATGCCGAGAACTTCGAGCAGTCCGTAAAGGGCATAGGCCTTGTCTTTTGCGTCTGTTGCCAGTTTCGGCCGACAAAGTGTCAACAGCAACGATAACTCCATTTCCAATGTTCTATCGGCGATGTTCTTCATGAACTGTTTCACGCCCGGCACAAGATGCACTGTCATCGCTTGAGAGATGTAGCGCAGTAACCTCATTGCTGGTCCCATGGACTTGTCCTTATACCCAATTGCACCAAGAATGTCGGTTGCTTGCCAGAGTATGACCCAGTTTATCATGGAATGGCCGCAAAAAACGTCAACTTTAGGCGCAAGTGGCAAAGTCACTTCTTGTACTGTCCACATTCTGTGAAACCAAGGGCGGTCAAACAGTGAGTTTATGAAGTCGTTGTTCTCAGCATCGATGCCTATAGGCTTGTAAGTACACATGTATGACCGATTTATTGGTGCCAGGTACCATTTGTTAGCTCTCGAGCATTGGCATGTACTTTCTGCATTGCAATCTTCCTTGTGGCAGGATCAGCAGGTTGGGGGCCAGAGCGAGGACCAAGTATCGATCCCACGTCTCCAATTTGTTTGAGAAGTTTGATGGCTTGATCGGACTTTTCATCACTCTCACCCAACCAAACCACGACGCGTGCTGCATCTTTGTAGATCTCACCCATTAGGGCAACCTGGCTACTCCTCTCTGCCAAAGATGTCTGATCGATACATATCCCATCAACCCACAAAGTTCTTTCCTCTCGCTCATCGCGAAGATGTTTCAAAGCAGAGACACAATTAGGAGTAATGCGCAGTAAAGCTATCGCAGGGCCGTCTACGCAGAAGATGGGGATAGAAGGAGGATCTGTTCCCCAAGTGTACGAGAGAGCCCAGTACTGAGGTTTGTCGTCAAGAGAAACCGGTACAAGACTGCATCGTAACTGTGATTCAAATCTTGGAGCCGGGTGGAGGCGTAGAACTCTGATGCAACGCGGAGAGAGCGGTTGGTGCTGGTACTGAGCGGTTTCTGTGGTTGTTTGATGGATTGGCTGAGGCTCAGATGGCCATTTCCACATTATAGTAGACATGTTCGCCGATGAACTGCAAACTCACTGGAGAAGTGGTTTTCCTTATGAATTGGGAGAAAACAAATTAGCAATCACACGAAGAGCGGGGAACGATCGCAAGGTAGACAAGGGTTGTACTGAGACCAATCACAGCGTTTGCAAAGTCCTACCACAGGCTGGAGGTGATCACCAGTTTCAGATAGGCCGAGCCAACTAACATCAGCTGGGTTAGTCTAGGCAACCTGCCAATCAAGACGTATCAAACGAATAAGCATAACCACCAATGTTCTTATCTTGGAAAATAGTGACATGGCAAGCGTTCAGGCTTGGTGACGAGACAAACTTTGAACCAGAACATGGCCGCTAAGCATAGTCTGACGGATGAGTCAAAACAGCTGAAATAAGTTACTACGTGTCGGAAATATCTTACCCGTCGTCAGCGTTCTACAAACAGCCTGTGTTTACTAGTGCAGACAGACATTGGTACCACCACAGGTGCTCGGGCTGTTGTCCCTACAGGTACCACAAACAAACATCGCCTGATTGTTGCCACATATGTTACAAGCCGAGCCCATCAGTGATCAGCATTCGCGTCATTGAATTCTGTGATTGGCATGTATTTTATGTTGCTTTTAAAGAGGAGCAGAGGTAAATGTCGAATTACCCAGAGTGTTGAATATGTGATCCGAGTCCCACTCCAGTACACTGCCCAGACCCGACAGGATTCTGCTGCAACCTACTGTTTTAAATTCATCTAGGACTTTGGGTAATACAATCAATTAGCATTCCACAACAGCCGTGCCGTTGCGATCTTGTTACTGTGTGATGTCATACTGCCCATAATTGGCTGTTGGGGGCCACCTAACAACCAACAACCAACAACAAACAACAACCCAACCCCTCCTTTTGAAAGATCATAAGCTCAACAAAAGCAATGGAAATCAAAGACTGTTCTCTCCATCAACCACAATCGAAAATGCAGTCACTGGCGTTCAAGGACTTCGGGGAATCTCTAAAGGGGGAGGTCATAATTGTCCAGTTTGTCTTCACATACACTAACTGATGAAGCAGGTATTACAACAACAAAGATCTTTCCGACGCAGTGATCCGATGTGAGGGGAAAGACTTTGCGGTTCATAAACTTGTCCTTTTCAGCCATTCTCAGTATTTTGCCGAGCAGCTCGATGGTCTATCGGAGGTCTGTTATACTTGACCTATCTCCGCCAATGAGTCAATGACTAACGACAAACAGGAAAAATCCGACAAAGCTATAAACATCGATGACTTCGAGATTGATGTTGTGGAAGCAATGGTACAGTTCATGTACCACTTCGATTACAAAACTCCCGAAGATTCCACGTCTTTGATACTCAACACCAAAGTCTATCAAATTGCGGACAAATTTGGCATCAAGTCCTTGAAAGAGCAGGCAGCTAGAAAATTCGGTCACGCGGCCAATTTCTATTTGGCATCCAATGAATTCCCAGTCGCTGTTACCTTGGCATGTAAAATTACACCTCCAACTGACATGGGACTGCGGAATGCTATTTTGGTCGCTATATTCGATAACTTCGACGAGATTATGGGTCGTAGTGAATTCCGCGAAGTTTTGAAGACGAATCCGGAATTTGCGAATGATCTGGCTCGATTTCTGTTCGAAAAGACGCGGGGTATCAATCGATTCAAATGCCCTAACTGCGTGCGATATTTTCATTTTGGATGTATGGACCAAAATATGAAATATTGTCCATTGTGTCATCATTATCTTGGCTTCTGGTATTCCGCGCCAGACTGTTGATGTAGTGTGCAAGAGGTAGTGGCACGGCACATATCACAAAGAGAGAGATGTGGGATCTTCTGACGCTCAGAAATGGAATCTTACCCCCTTGTATCTTATTGAGGATAGCTACAGTTTGCGTAACGTGGAGGAGCTTTCTCCAAGCAAAGGGCAAAAGTTTCTCCATAATCTGAGCAACATTCCCGTTTGTCTACACACCGATCAATCAAACTTCGCATAAGTCCATAACTCCTGTCTTGTGTAACTTGGCAATCGATGATTTACTTCCATGCGTCTAGCTTTACTTTCAATCCATGACGGCATTCACTCATTGATGGGTCTGCACAGTGCCGTGAAATTCAGCTATATCATGAGTGAGCATTCCTGGCAGAATGTCGAGATTAAAAAGCGAGTTCCCTTCTACATAAATCCACAGATCAAGTCATCAAAACTTATCACAAGATGGCAGGAGACCATTCTAACAGCTTTCTTGAAAAGCTGAAGAGGTAAGCAAGTATGATATCTACCACAGAAAAACTTAGTAACACTTTATCTAGCTATTCCAATAACGAATCTTTCTCGGATATCGCTATTCGCTACGAGGACACTGAGTTCAAGGCTCACACGGTGATCTTGTCGTGCCATTCCGAATACTTCGCCAAGCAGTTAGCTGGCTCGTGGAAAGTTAGTCAGACCAAACCACATCTTGATCAATGCTAACAGACCGAAGGAGAGTATTGAGAAAGTAATACACATTACAGACTTCGATAATAGCGTCATTGAGGCGATGCTTCACTTCATCTACCACTTCGAGTATACCGACGAGTCAAAAGAACCAGCCATGGTCTTTCATGCCAAGGTCTACCAAATCGCCGATAAATACGGTATATTCTCACTCAAAGAGCACGCCAAGCAGAAGTTCAGCCCTGCAGTCAAGGCCAGCTGGTCTACGGAAGATTTTCCGATCACGATTAACGTTGTCTATACCACCACACTATCCGAGGACAGAGGGCTCCGCGATCTGGTTGTTGAAACCTCAAACGCGAACCTTGAAAAGCTGATCAGTCGAGATGGTTTCTGCCAAGCGCTTCGGTCCACGACCGATTTCGCAGCGGATTTGGTGCCATTCACATGTGGCAAGATGCCTGGGTCGATCCATCACTACCGGTGTCCTTTTTGTGAGCGGGATTTTCATCTTGACGATCCGAAGGGGAAGACTCGGTTCTGTCCTAGGTGTGGCCGAGGGCAGTCATCGTGGGATAAGCACAAACAAGTCGATGGGAAATGTACTGAGGATCAAGTTTATGACTTATCCGATTAGCCTATATGGCTGATTTTTGAACTTTCAGTTTCTTCGAATCGGTGAACTCAACAGGATGGTTTAGATAGTGGTAGATTTTGCGAAGAGACCTAATCATAGATTTATACCTGATATGGTGTGTTGTTGAACACAACCTCGAATTCCGTAAGCGACCCTTGACACATCATATGCAGTGTGGAACCTAGCATCCATTTACACCGACTCTGAATAGTGAAGGGTCACTCTCAATCTGCTTTCGCAGTGAACCATTCTTGAGCTCGTCGACATCCCACTTAGCCCAAACAAAGCGACCATGAAGAAACTCGGCCTCCTCTGATGCAGCCCAAACCGCAAAGTCACCTGGCAGTTTAACTATAAATGTGTCAGCGATGCGTACCTAGTCGGTTTCTAATTTCAACATACTATCATCCCACTGAAAGCTGCTTTCGTCAGTGAACCGTTCAAAAGACTCCGTGTAGTGTAGTCCTGGCTCAAAACTAATGACCTGCATCTCACTAGATGGGACAGTCATGGCAATATGCTGCATCAACACTGTACCGGCACTTTTAGTGAGCGAGTACAAAGGGACGGGTACGGCCGCTAGAGTCGCGTGAATGACAATACTCGAGAGGTTGAGAAGGGCCTTGTAGGAAGTAAGTCGTGTGGACTAAGACATGATGGATACGATGCACTGACCAGCTTTCTCGAGGGGTTTAACTCCCTTTGTTTGTGGAACAGGGTCGTCCAAAGATAGGGCGCAGTAAGGTTGATCGAAAGACCATCTTTGAAGGTGTCGTAACCCAAGCCAAGAATCGTATTTGGCAACCACATCCTGGCTGCGCTCAAGACCAGGACGTCGACAAAGATGCCATCGTGGGCAAGCTTGTTCCAAAATTCGTGAGTAGCAGCTTCATCGCCAAAATCGTTGATGATGGAAACAACTTGAACTTTGGGGTACTTGGCCTTGATCTTCTCAGCAGCGCCATCCAGTACATCCTGACGGCGACCAGTGATGATTACACGATCGGCAGATGCAGCAGCAAATGACTCGGCAATACTGTAGCCAATACCAGTAGATGCTCCGGCGACGAGGACAGTGTGGCCAGCTTGTGAAAGACTTGGGCGAGAGGGAGAAATTGCTGGGTACGATTCACGGTGGATTGAGGATACCAAGTCACTGCCATTTAGGGGCGTGTTAGTGTTCTTCCAGGGGTTGTCCTGGGGAGCGGTGGAGTCTGCGGCAGAAGGCATTTCGAGGAGCCGTTTTGTTGGTCTTGTGCTGTAAAGTGTGTTTGCTTAATGATGATTGATTCTTCCAAGATATCAGAGAATGGCGGTGCCAGTTCATTTTATATCATGCTATGAAGTCTTATATTGCTTTATCTGAAGGTTCCAGTGAGCATCGGAAAGTTTGCGGGTGAAGTCATTCCGTCCATCAGAAACCCGCCCGAAGACGTTGCTATAGAGCCTAGCATTCCACCTCAAAAACCCGCACAACCCGCACAACCCGCAGAAACCCGCAAGCCAAAGCTGACAAAACCCGCCTAACGTTACTAGGGCCCTTCTTTAACGACCACCTGAAAGTCCCCGCAACATCGAAAACCCGCAACCTCCCGCAACAACCAAATCATTCATCATGCGCTCCGCCTCAAAATTCAAGGCGTGCTTCGCCTGCACAAATGGAAAAAGAAAATGCGACAAGGTGCAGCCCATCTGCGGCCGCTGCAATGATAGGGATATTGATTGCCGCTATCCGCCTACCAAGCGGAAGACTTTCCACACATCTCCGATTGAACCAAGGTTGGGGAATCCTGGTACTACGCAAGGAGTCTTGAGTTCGGTGCAAATAGCTTTTTCTCCTCCGGCTGCTGACTTCGTTGACTTGCATGAGTGGACGAGAAGCTTGGGTAATTGGAGTTCTTTGACTTCCACAGAATTGCAGAATGATTCGCCTGCGAATACCAATACGACGAGCTCCACGACTCCATCAAGCCAGGATGGCACAGAGTTCTTCCTTCGGCCAGACGCCTGGACTGTCCGCCACATCCCCTTGAATACCCCTTCGTTTTCGAATTCAGTCTGTATGAACTACATCAGTGGCATACGTGACTTCTTTACTGAATGGGTTACCCACTCGCACAGCCCATTTATCCACAATCAGCTCTACTCAGACTCGGGTCTTCCTCCTGCAATTCAAGATGCGTTTACTTGCGTCACGTTATACAATGCCAAAACACCAGAGAATGAAACCACCATAGAAGAGATTCTTGCCTCCAAAATGTCTTTCTTACTCGAATCTCATCCGGACCCTTCCCAGAGCAGTCAAGACGCCGATATTCGTGTGAACCTCACTACTCGCGACCACCTCTCTCGTACCCAGGCTTTATTCGTACACTTGGTTCTGTCCCTCTTCTCGCCCTCAATAGGTGCGCGAGCCAACGCCGAGCAACAGATCCAAAGACTTCTGTCGTGGACGCGTCAGCTCTGGGAAGCAGCTATTCGTGACCCAGAGATTGCCCCAGCTAACAGCCACGATGAATCGACCGTCGCTATGGCTTCCACTCACGCTATTGTCGTCGATGCCCTATTTGACAACGACCCATTGCCACGCATATGGCGCTCTTGGGTCTTGTCAGAAAGCGTCCGTCGAATATGGCTGATGGCAACTTCGACCGTCGGAGTATATCTCACACTACGCCAGAAATGGGCTGAATGCCATGGAGGCATCTACTTCACAGCTCGGAGGGAGCTCTGGGAGGCTAGATCAGCTTCTACTTGGGCGGCAGCGTGTCGAGGAACAGATCCGTTGTTCGCTTGTAGTCTGGAATGCGAGAGTCTGTTCTTGACTGCCAAGGCATCTGATGTCGACAAGATGCTTATTAACATGTTTACAATCATGTGGGGTGTTGAGAGAGTCGAGAATTGGATTGCGAGAACAACTGAGCCAGGAGAAGAGTTGCGAGTGTGGAAAGGAGCTGATCTTCCCATGGAAAAGGGACGACTGACTGTTGTATAAACTACTTGAGATTATAGGAAAGTTGCGAAAATAATAACAAAATCTCTCAAGGGCTCTGTGTGGAAACATCAACCGTAACATCGGAGATGTTCCGCTTCGAGGTCGGCGTCTGGTACGATCCATCAAAAATACTCTCAAGGAAGCGAAACACCTGAGGCTTGCCATTCTCAATCTCAGACACATGACCTCCCACTGTATTTCTCTCATACGTAATCTCACCTCCCGCACTACAAAGTCTCTCAATGGTCGCATCTGTCAACTTGATGGGACAGAACTGGTCTCTAATAGCCTTGTATACAAACATCGGCATCATAGGAACGCCTCTGTAGCCCAATTTTGCCTGGCTATCGTACAACTCTTCTATTGGAGACGTTTTCAAATCTGCAACGCCATTCTCAAAGAAAGAATAGATATCCTTTCCCGCGAAGTGCTTCAAAGCTTGGGTAACTTCTGTGTGCAGAACCGACATGAACTCGTCTTTGGTACCCTCAACAAGCCGGCTCTCTAGGTAAGCCCTCGCTTCGAGGTATTGCGAGGTGATGCCCAGAAGTAAAGCTATCAAGGTTCCGGCGAGTGGACTCTTGTTGATCTTATCGAGGTCCGCGGAGATATCGTCCACCACACCCCCAAGCACAGCTCCATCGATGTTGACATCAGGTGCATAGCTTGAGTGCAGCTCCGCAGCAGCGAAAGTAGCGATAGAGCCACCGCTGTATCCCCAGATTGCAGTACGGAAATCCGGCCCTTGCCTTAGTTTCAACAGGCTATGAACTGCTCGTACAGAATCAAGAGTCGCATGTCCACTCTGGATGCTTGCTCCAAAAGCAGCAGTGGGACCTAGGTGATCAGGTGTGTTGATGATCCAGCCGAACGAGAGCATTTCTGTGAGCATACATGTACTCGCTCGAATGCCAAGAGTTGGTTCACTATTGGCCATCACGCCAGCAAGAGCAAATGATGGGCTGCAGTCGAAATTGGCCGTGTTGTAGGCGAACTGGTAGGACAGTACCGCCGTGTTATCTGTCTGAGAGCGATGGAACCGTGTTGGGATAAACAGAGTGGTAACAGCCCACGATGCCTGACCCCGTGAGTCTGTCGATCGATAGAGGATATGATATACAGCTGAAGAATTTTCCACAATGCTGACTAGGTTTGGTACAGAGCGGATGCGGAGAACATCGCCAGGCTGTTTAGACTCAAAACCGTCAGGGGCGGTATACCAGGTATCTTGGCTTGGAGGCAGCGCTTTCTCTTGAGATAGTTTATCCGTGGCAACGCCACCACCAGCAGCGTCTACCACGGCGCAAAGATCAAAAAGCCATTCGAGAGAACTCATCTTGCGAGACGATTGTTAAGAAATTGAGGTTGTGGTAAGCACAGTACCAGATGCATGTCGTCGGGTCACCGTGCCGCTTGCTGACGTCTTGTTTAAAACAGCAAGGATCATCACCTTATGGCGAATCATGATCTTTGGCATACGAAGTCTGCGGCTCGGAGCAGCAACGGGTACACTCAATTGTCAGCTGGCGAACAGCATTTTGGGTAAGACCAGATTACTCTGCATGTGGTGACAGCTTGAGGTTTCTATCGAAACCCGTACAGGTGACTGTGTGAAAGCTCTATTATGGCCATGAGATGTTCCAAATCGCAACCTGTCTTCTATAGAACACCACCCAAGATTCCATCTGTATGATCGTAACAGAGCTTCCTCTACCGTTCCTTTTAACAACAGAATATGTACATTCCTAAGTAAGACCCGAAACTCAAACCAATCCGAATCATTCAGGAGGCTCCAGGTGCCTTGCACTTCGAGTCTCCCTGTCCTTAGAAATCACTTGCCGCTCTTTCTGTATTTGGTAGTTCCTTGTAAGGTATTATACTGTCGAGTGACCTGAGCGGTCCACCATCAGACCAGTCATATTTGTGCATAGTAAAGATGAAGGAAAGAATTAGCAGTGCTTTACATGACACGAATCCAATCTGCAAAGAGTACTTCCGCCATCAAGGCAAATATAACATATGCCTCGGCAGTGAATGTGGCCTTGCTTGGTCCAGTGATTTCAGCGGTTCCTCCCGTATGTACGCATGCCAAGTTGGACACCCATCTGTAGTCATCTATTGTACCATAGGCAATTATCAAGCCCTGGGGGAGGATGTGTGGTGAGAATGGGAAGAATGTACAAGCATTAAGGTATTTGGAGGTTGGAATCCTATTTCTTGTCATCTTCCCATTGTCAACGTATAGTTTATGTCCGTCCTTTCCTACACAGTGCTGATCGGGAACGTGAGGGAGAGGAAGCTGCCGTTAGCAAAAAGGTTCATATATCATATGGCATGTGTGAAAGGTGCAAAATGGAACTTACCATTCCGGTTTGACAACCCGCCGGTTCCTGCGCCATCAAATCAGGGGGTAAGTTCGTGTACCAAGATCCGAGAGAGACTTTTATATCCGTATTTGTCCAAGGGACAACAACAGACAACTAGGACGTGGCCTATCCGGTTGGTGACAAGGGTTCTTGCTGTGCTGATATCTTCAAATCATCGTTCAAAAGCTGCGAGTAATCTTAGCTTGCTCGTTACATCCATGAAATGTGAAGTCAACTCGTGTGCAGGTGATAATGGTGGCGTTGGAGGGGTATATCAAGACCGGATGTGTTCGGTATACGTTCAAGGGAGCTTTCAAATGATGGAGAAAATTGAAGGGTAGACTTTTCGAGGGCATGTTTTTAGGAGTTTGGTTACTATATAGACGGTTGGATTTTGCATATAGACTAGTGTTGATAGATGAGTTTCCTTTAATTCAAGATTTGCAGTCAGATCTTTGACCACAAATTGAAGCGATATACGGATAGTGGCTGTCGTAAAGAATTGACGAAAAGGGATGTGCGATTGATGAGACAATGCTCCACTTTGGTACCCCGTTGAGGTAATTTTATACGGATATGGTCTTCAACCACCAAATTTGTGTCATCCTACAAACATTGAAGGTTAAGTCCGGATCCTCTGAGTCTGTGCGACTGACTCATTACGTGAGACAGGGCTGACGACAAGTAAGATTATAGCTTCTTACCTCGACACTGGAGAAATCCTTCTTTCCTCACTTGTAATAAATGCGGCCTCGTCCTTGCAACTTGAAGAAACACGAACCAAAACAATCAAACATGGGCTCAAATCTAGAAAAGTCCCCTATCGTCGTCAGAATCCCGCCTGCCGACGACGCTGACGATGAGAACCTCACATCTACTCTCGCCGACATCGTCAACACGGTGTACACAAAAGCCGAAAGCGACATCTTCATTCCCTCATACAAACGAACCTCGGCGCCAGAAATCGCGCAATTCATCCGCAACAACCAACTCGCCGTCGCATACCTCGTCTCCGACAACACCCCGGTCGGCTGCGTCTTCATCAAGCTTATCACTCCTCAACTGGGCGAATTCGGCATGTTGGCGCTGGATGGGAAGTATCAGGGCGGGGGATTGGGACGCCAGATGGCTGTCTTTGCAGAAGACGAGTGCAGACGGAGGGGCTGTTCGACGATGCAGCTGGAGATCCTCGTGCCACAGCATTTTCACCATGAAGGAAAGGTCGTTTTACTGAGGTGGTATATGAGGATGGGGTATAAGCTTGTAAAACTGGGCGATTTTAACGAGGATTATCCTGAGTTGAATAAGTTACTTGCAGGACCTACCGAGTACAGGGTTTTTGAAAAGAATCTCGTCGAAAGCCCTGGGGCTTGAATGATTATAATCAGATATAGACTAAAGCATGACTATCTATTATGTTTCTGTGACTATCCCGAGAATCGACATCCTCTCGTTTGGGTTTGGATAAACCATCGACCCGCTTTTCGGGGATTTCGAAATAGTGTACGCAAATGATGACATCGGTCTCAGATGAATTTCTTCATTAACGTTATCGTTTTACCAGTTTGGTTATGATTGATTAGCTTGCATCCCGTGCCACTTGTCTTATCTAGCGTATTTCTTGAATTCATCTTCTGTGCTCCTGCCCCTCACCTTCACAATATCTTATCATCCTCGCATCGCTGAAATGAAGCTCGTCAACTATCTTTATCTAACTTCAATCGGAGCCTGGGCATCCATCCAGCTCCCGTTCCTGCATAGACCAGCCAGCACTGTTTCATCTTCACCGCTACTTGAGCTACACAAAGAACTTGTTGAACGACCTTCCACCTCGGGCTCAGAAAAGCCTGTTACCGATTTCTTGAAAAGCTATCTTGAGGATGCTGGGCTCACTGTCGAGATACAGCCCGTGGCTGATCAGCGGGATAACGTACTCGCTTACTACAACAACACGAGAGATACCAGAGTTTTAGTAACTTCTCACGTCGACACTGTTCCTCCATATTGGCCTTATGAAAGACGAGGTGATGAGATTTGGGGCCGAGGGACTGTCGATGCAAAGGGAAGCGTCGCAGCGCAGATCATTGCCGTTCAAGAGCTATTTCAGAAGGGGAAGATCGGCGAGGGAGACGTGGCACTTCTTTTTGTCGTAGGAGAGGAGGTCGGCGGAACAGGCATGAAAAAGGCCAACGATCTGGGCCTATCGTGGGAGTCTGTTATCTTTGGAGAACCAACAGAGCTCAAACTCGCACGTGGACACAAAGGCGGAGTAGGCTTCACTATCAAGGCTCGCGGAAAGGCTGGTCACTCTGGATACCCAGAAACCGGCTCAAACGCAATCGACAGTCTTGTTCGTGGCTTATTCGCGTTGCAGAGGATGAGCTTGCCATGGAGTGACGAGTTTGGCAACAGCACACTCAACATTGGCAAGATTGAGGGCGGCGTTGCGGGGAATGTGATCCCTGGCGATGCGTCTGCCACCGGTGGTGTGAGAGTTGCAGGTGGAACTCCAAACGAGATCAGGGACTTGATTCGTCGCACTGTGGAAGAGAGTGATCCGAATCTGGTTCCTGAATTTAGTTCATATGGTGTTGGGCCTGTGAGCACTGATTACGACATTGAGGGTGAGTGTGGCGTGTTGAGTTATGAGCTTCGACTAACGATTACAGGTTTCGAAACGGCAGTTCTTAGCTATGGAACGGACATTCCCAGTCTCAAAGGCCGCCACAAGAAATATCTTTATGGGCCTGGTTCAATCCTTGACGCCCACTCTGCTCATGAACATTTGAAGGTTTCGGATCTGGAACAGGCCGTTGATGGTTACCAAATTCTGATTTCTCACGCCTTGAACAAGCCTTCTGAGCTCTGATTCAGTTGCGCCCTGTCCTAAGAGTAGTCAAGTGTGCTACAACACATACAGTAATAGATTGAACCGAGTTTGAAACGAATAAATCATGGTATATATCGACCCAACGCCGTATATGCTATGTCATCTAACCCAGAGTTCCCATGTCTATCCATTGCACTACTTTAGCAGTAGCTCTATCTTGCTCAGCACCTCTGGTATCCTGAACGGCTTGGACACCACATCGTCCATGCCGCTCTGTAGCGCCGTTCTAATCTGTTCATCTCTCACATTGGCCGTAACTGCAATAACGGGTACATGCTCCTTAATGAGCCCTTGCTTCTGCATCTTTCTAATCTCGCTCACGCACTCTAAGCCATCCATCCTGGGCATCTCAAGATCCATCAGAATCACGGATAGCTTTGATCCATTTTCTTTGCAAAAATGTGTCTTTTTGAGGAACTCCAGGGCTTCCAATCCATCGTTGGTGGCGCTGACCGTGCAGCCGGCTTTTCGAAGTTGGTTGACCAAGACCTTTTGGTTAATGAGATTGTCTTCCACAACGTGGATGGTCAACGCTTGTGGGTCGAACATTTGGCTCGATGTCTCCGCCTTTCTTCCAGTCGGGACGTCAGAGCTTTGAGCCAGAGGCTGGGCTTCCTTCTTGGTGGACCCATTTGTGTCCACCAATGGAGGCTGGCGCAATTCTCTGGAGTTTGGAGGCGCAGATCGCCTCGCCTGAACATAGAAGCCAAAGTCGCTCCCCTTTCCAGCAACAGAAGCCACTCCTATACGACCTCCATGCAACTCAGCGAGACGCTTCGAGATAAATAGACCAAGCCCGCTTCCACCGAACTCAGCATGTGTTCTGGGAGTTGCTTGTTTGAAACGTTGGAATAGAAGTTGCCTCTCGTTGTCAGATAATCCACAGCCGGTGTCCTGCACCCTGTATCGCACAAACAAAGCTTCTCCCGTTCCCCATTCATCCGCAGACACAACATTGCCTATCTCAGCCCTTGTGGGCGCAAATGCGAAGCCAGGAATGTTTGTGATTTCAGGTGGGTCTTTCGACACGCCCACACCGACTTTGATCTTACGCGTTGAGCGCGGTGCCGTGAACTTGATGGCGTTTGTCACAAGGTTGATGAGAATCTGAAGAACTCGACTCGGATCCATGGCAACCCAGTCGACAGCAAGCTCCTCGAACTCTGGGTAGATTTCGATCTGCAGTGTAATATCCTTGGCGAGCATTTCCGACTCAAACATCTTCACAACTCTATCTACTATCGTTTGTGGTTGACATACGACGGGGGTAATGAGAAGTAGATTGGAGTCAAGCTTGGAGACAGTCAAGATGTCATCCACGATTAGCCTTTGGTGCTGGACACACAACGCGATTGTTTGTGAGCCATCAAGACACGATTCCATGACTTCGCGTGAGACATTCGTACCGTTGGAAAGCGCTTCCTGCATTGCCGATGTGATATCATCTGCGCATTGCAGAATTGCACTGAGAGGATTCCTCATCTCGTGTGACGTGATGTCGATAAATTCGTTTTGCTGTCTCCGTGTCTCCTCTGTTTCCTGCAATCGACGATTCTGCAGACCTTGGGCCCATTTAAGGTGCGAAATGTCTGTTATGGACCCCATGATGGACCGTAAAGCGCCTGTAGATGACAGCTCGGGATGTGCTGTGACTAAAACCCAGAGGTCGATTGATTCGCCCGGGAAGTTGACAGGATCCTCAGTTCCCTGTCTCAACTTGACTTCTCCAGACCACGGCTGCAGTTCTTGCGTTAGACGTTCCCATCCCTGCTTCATTATACTTCCCGGGCTTCCTAATAAATCTACCCAAGCTATGTCGACGTTGTTATCTCTTGTGTGCTCTGTCATCTCGTAAAATCGATCATTTGCCTCTCGCAAGATACCCTCTGGGCTGGTAAGAAACATGCCAAGTGGTGACATCTCCGTCATCCTGCGAAGACGACTTGCTTGAAGGTTGATCTGCTGGGTTAGTTCTTCCTTCTCCAGAGCCGCAGCTTCAGCCGCGTCTCGACTGCGCCGGGTCTCTTCCTCGAATAAAATGATAGATGCCAGGGATGCCGCAAGCTGGTTGTTTAGGAGTGTAGCGAATGAGATATATCCTTCATCATACGGCCTCTGGGGATTCACACCAAGTACGAGGAACGCCAGCACGTTTTCACCATTTGTAGGTCGCAAGGGGAATATGATTGCTTCTGTACCGGGTTCGTCGAAGCCTCGCCATGTAATTCCCTGTAGAAGATCTTCGGGTAGTGTGCCGTCTCGGAGTCGAACAAGGGTTGGCTCTCGTGTTCGAATTGCCTCTCGGAAGGACGGGACGAATCCTTGGTAGCTCCGCTTGAGGTCAATCTGATGAGGTGCAGCGGGGTGTCCTTCTGGTATACCAATTGCCCCTTCCAGGAAGCAAGACTTGCTCGAGATAGTACTCACAGAGGAAATAGACTGGTGGTCTGCCTCTTCAGCCTCTCCGACAGAGTAAACCAGGGCAAAAGGAACCTCGCGGTGGTTATCTTCAAGACCATCCAATACCCTTTTCCAGAAACTCTTGATAGTAGTTGCTTTCCGTAGTGATTCACCGACTCTGTTGATAGTTGCCATTCGTCGCTGGCTCAAGACAAGATCGGTGGTTTCGAATGGGGCGTTGTAGAAACCGACGATGCGGTTGGTACCGCCGTACAGTGGTGTAAGCGACCAGCAGGTGTGTGTCTCTTCCAGGAACCCTCTTCTATACAAAGCCAACTGATTATTATCGCTTCGGAAACTTGTACCGGTCCTCACAACTTCAGCAAATGCCGGACCAAGCTACAAACACAAAGGTCAGCTGTATACTAGAAAAGGTTATCATCAGGGCTCATACCACATCCCAGGCTTCTGACCAAGGGCCGGATGCACCAGTTCCCAGCATCGTTGGATGCTTGTTGCCAGCAAAGCTGATGGCGTAAGGCTCGTTGTAGAGCATAGTCATGTCGCTACCCCAAAAGATATTTGCTGGATGTGGGTTGTTGATGACTAGGTTTGCGACTTGGCGCAGCTCCGGCGACCATGATTCCATAGGCCCCAGCGGGGTGGAAGACCAGTCAATGTCTCTAAGAAGTTGTATGTAAGGCGACAAGATACCGATGGGGTTTGGAAGGGTCCAGTCGGCGACTGCTTTTTCGGGTTTGCCTAGTACAATTGATGCACTACCCGAGCTACCAGTAATACGATCTGAGCTGCCTTTGGATGTTCCGTTACGCCAGAAGTGTCTGAATGATCTTCGCGGCGTCGTGGATGCTACCAGGGTTGCTTCTGTAGGTGTCGCTTCGTGCACAGTATCTTCAGTGGCGTGGCGGGTGTCGCCTTTTGGCTGCGCTTCCTGCTTTGGTTCCCTAGGGATGTCGTGATTGGGGGCGTCTTGACCCTTAGGAGTGGGCGTGCCCGCTCGGGAGATTGCGCTGGATGACAATTCTGTTGAGGGAGCGGTATGCTGCCATAACCGATTGCCACTGATCAATCTCCATCTCTTGGCGATAGTCGAGCCAGTCCACAGCAGGCCGTTGAAGAGAAAGAAAAGCGGGAAAACATCTTTAGAATCGTCTTGCGTGGTTACACCTGTCGCCCAGTTTTTGAAGTCAGAGTAAGAAACAGCATCGGCCTGTTCATGGGCGACATCGGCGGTTTCCTCGCCGCGCACAGCGTCCAAAAGGCGTTCATGGGTGGTGAGGGCGGTGTTTGCAAAAACAGGACGAATGGGCCTTGAGCGCAGCGGCGTGTCATCGTCCGGGTCTAGGTCAATAATAAAAGTTGGGCGAGAGTCTGCATTGAGAATGTCTCTGATGTTCAGTTGGCTGAGGTCGTCTGCGATGTCCGAGTCCATGGTATTCCATCCCTCAGCTCACGCAAACGAGAGAGAGCTGATGACAAGGTAGAGTTGGGCACTGCGGCATTATTTAGTGGGCTGTCTGGGTACCTTAAGTTACTGGGTAAAGAAATGACGACGAGACTAGCGGAAACCATCATCCAGAGAACCGTGCTTAATTTGAAACTGTTCGAATCTGCCGCTTTCATGCTTCATATGGATTCTTTGCTTATAGCTTGAATGGACGCTATTGCAGAGTAGCTTTCACTATGTCTATCTTTTTCCATCTGGCATTTTATCGCCCTCGCTCATAATCCAAGTCTGAAGCAATAATTCAAAACGCCAAAAAGCCATTTGCTCCGTGCAACTTGATCGGCAAATGATGTAAGTCTCCGCGGGAAAAGCCCTGTTTTAGGCCCTTAATCCGGAGTCAATGCCCCATTAGCGGCCCGATCCAGATCGCAAGGGCCGACATGCCGATCGGGGTTTTGCTCCAGCATCAATCTTGTACAGAGTACAGACTAACAGAGTACATGCAAACATTGTACGTACAAGTACTGTATTTTTCGTATTTTCCCCATGCGCACAACATTCTGCAGGGGTAACTGAGATGAAAATGCAGATTTAGATCTCCCCAGGGTTTTGTGTGGCGCTATTGCGGCTCTGGCCTGGTGCGCGGGAGGCTTGAAAGCTAATGCTGCTGACTGTCTGACATGACGGATCAATGATGCAAAGTTCCCGCCAATTCATTTTGGGCTATAGGGTAGTGAGATGCGCAAGTTGTCTTTTCCTCCCTGACGGTAGTATTTAACTACGTCAAAATCGTCAGTAAGACTATGAAGATCGTTTCTTATCCGATATTTGTAATTTATTAATCAATCCATCATCCTACTTCCAAGTACTTGAGGTCTCTATTCCTTTCTGTTTGTTCTTCTGGTATTCGTTACCTAACGCATGATAGAGTGTTTTGACCCTGTCCACTTCCTCACTCCATCGCGCTCGCTCGGCTGTGTCCCCCAACTCAAGCAGAAGGTTCTCAATACTTTTGGCAGTAAAGAACTTATTCGTTTTGTTATATAATGGTCTCTTCTGCAATGCCTCATCGCTCTCTCCATCCGCTTTAACCCGAAATACCTCTTCCAAAATCTCAATGTCATACGGAATGGAGAACTGATCGCGACTATCCTCATAGGTGAAGAGGTAATATAGCTCTTTGAAACCAGACCAGGTAATTCCGCTCAAGCAAAGACTGCATGGTTCATGTGTCGCAAAGAAGATGCAATCATCGCGGGGACTTGGTCGATCCTTGGGATCGGGGAATGTCTGCGTGTAAAATGTCTGGATGCAGTTGATCTCTCCGTGAAGAAGAGGAGAAGCGCGTTCATTGTTTGTCGAGACTGTGAGTGGCTTCAGGGTCTTGGATGATAATATCGCGGCCCCGAAGACTTTGCTCCCAGAGGATACTCCATCGCTTGTCAATGGGACAATGTCGCGCTCAATTGTCTTGAGGAGTGCTGTAAGGAGATCTTGGGGACTTTTCGACGACATTTTGAATTGGCGTGAGGCTTAAAAATGGACTTTACTGGAATATTGCGAAGGAATGATCCTGGTTCAAGTATAATCCCTTATCTGCTAATAAGTAACGCATCGGATCGCTCCGCTTGAGACGTCAATGCGGCACTCGGCGGCAACCGACAGCCACATTCACAACATTGAATCACATAGTTTCGACACTTCACATGTCGCCAGCAATGTTGTTGGTTCGTGTGTATGAGGTTGCCGCTTTGGCTTAACGCTTTGTCACAAGCAGTAAATACCTTGCTTGTTTCGTACCAAGAGAGCACCATTAATCTCGTATCCAATTGCCAGGCTGGCTAGGCCGTGTCTCATTGCATTACCTAAAAACGCCATAGCTACAGCTAGTAAGCACAAATATGTGTCATGAATAAGCACACGTATCCAAACATACTTTTTTAAGAGCAGCGAATCTGACACCTGCAGTTACACCGCGTCATTGTTGTCCATCCGAGCCTCCCGCCTGGTAGTAAGCATGATATTGACTTTTGAGATATAAAGAAAGACAAAACCTTCCTAAACACACTATCTCAAGTTTGTAAAACAATCATCTTTACATATATGCAGCTGAACAACAATGCATTTTTCAGTACCTCTACTATGGCTACCGTTCAGCCTGGCACTGCACATACCAGAAAACCTTGAACCACGTACCAAGGACACCAAGCCGATCAGTCAATATTCTACAGAACAAGTCATCGATCTACTCAACCTCGAACCATCCACTGAGAAAGGCTACTTTATTGAAACATTCAAGGACCCCACGAACGTTGCAGGCACCAATCGTTCAACCAGCACAGCAATTTACTACCTACTCGATGGGGCTGCTGGCCAATCGCTCTGGCACACCCTGGATGCAGCTGAAGTTTGGCACTACTACGCAGGAGCACCGCTGATTTTGTATCTGTCTCGAAATGACGGCTCTTGTGTGAGGGAACACGTGCTTGGGTCTGATCTGTTCAAAGGCCACCGGCCGCAGGCAATTGTTGCTAGAGATGAATGGCAGAGCGCGCGGAGTCTGGGTGAATGGACACTTGTTGGTACCACAGGTAAGTGCGAATTCTCCAAGTAATAAAGGTGTGTTAACATGAGATAGTCGCACCGGGATTTGACCCCAGCGGACAGGTTCTTAAGCCAGAGGGATGGAAGCCAAAGTCTTGCAAGAAGCCTCACTGAAGGTGACTGGATAATCGTTCTCTCATTGTACGGCGGACAAAGTGCAACAAAACATCAAGTCATTGAACGAGGAATAGGCACAAGAGAATGAGATGCTTGTCCAGGAGGATCGTACATTCTGAGCTACCATTAATTATATATAAGAAAGTTCGTAATCTTACCGTCTATATACCGTCAACAGCGTTTGATAATGGATAGTTTATCTCAGCGAGAAAACCTTGAGAAAGTCTGTTTAGGCATCGATATAGACACGCGCGTAGTATCATCCTTACACTCATCATACGAGGCCACCCGAACCATCTCGCAATCAGAACCGTTGCTACTATGAAACGTCTCAGGACGAGATTCATCAACAGTCTTCCTGGACGACGAAATGTTGCGAAAGACGCGGACATACCACGGCTTCCTACCGGGAGCTCTCCAGGTCCAGTATTCTTTCATGTCGTAGTTCTCAGGTTCTAAGCTACCTCCTGAGATGCGAACCGTCAATGAGATCAAGAGGTTGATGGCTGTATATAAGAACATGCCACTGTAGATCGTGTTAGCTGCATAACTGAATGACGGGAAGAACACATACGCGATGATGCCGTAGGCGACGCTGTATGAGAAGGGAACAAATGCGATAACGGCGAAGGAAGGTAGAGTATCACCGATGTATCGCCAGTTGATCTCGGTGATCTGCCGAGTCATCATACATCCAACCTGTCAAAATGTTAGGTTCAATCCTAGATTTTGTTCCGTAAGACTTACCAGGATGAGAGCCGGTCCAGTTGCCCACGGCGGCACCGAAGAAAAGATAGGACCAAACATAACAGCCAAGAGAAAGAAGAGGCCTGTGGTCATGGCAGTAAGTCCCGTGCAACCTCCCGCGGCAATCCCAGCACCACTCTCGATAAAAGCCGTCACGGGGGAACAGCCGAAAAGAGCGCCGATGGAGATACTGATAGCATCACAGCAATATGCAATCGTCGACCGCGGAAAGTCGCCGTCCGTGTTTTCCACGACGCCGCAGAAGCGTACCATAGAACACATCGTTGCAGTTGCATCGATAATATCGACGTATAGAAAGGTGAATAGTGCCAATGCGAATTGAGTCCCATGTTGGCCAACGTTCCAGTCTAGAGCATTGAAGGTATGCTTCATAGGACGGAAAGATGTGATCTCACGGAACCAGTCAAAGCGGGAGTCTCCTTCTGGGCTATCAGGAAAGTAGGTGATAGCAGTGCTCCGTCTACTGTTCATTAGAAAGGAGTGGTCATATGCAAGTAATGAGGGTAGAACTTACGGCCATGAGAGGACAGAAACCAACGCAATGCCAATGATAAAGGCATACCTGACTCTAAAGGCCATGAGGTATACCGTCAGTAGAAGACCAGCAGATATAGCCGTCCACATCTGCTCCTCTAATCAGCATCACCCCCCATCCGTAACGCCTTAGGACATGCATACCTTGGGACTAGACATCAACCCTCCACGGCACATCTCCGTCTCGGGATCGATCATCTCTATGGGACAGCCAGCGATGCTCAAAGGAGTAGCGTTCCAACCCCCAGTGATAGCACCGATGCCAGTGCCGTAAGACAGCCCGATCTCAGTGAGGAAAAGGCCAATTCCAGCTCCCGTAGCAGACTTGATAGTCGAGGGGATAAGCTTAACGAGCCATTGTCGCATACCCGTTAGTGCTAGGAAAACGAAGACAAGACCTTCGATGAAGATTGCTGTTAGGGCAACGCCGTAAGGGATGTTGCCGGATCCATTGTATCCGACTACCTGGAAAGCAAAGTATGCGTTGAGTCCCATACCCGGGCTGGAAACTGTCAGAGGCTTAACCTGGATTTGTATGATGAATACTTACGCGAGAGCGATGGGAAGATTGGTGGAAAGACCAAATAGGATGCTGGAGAGAGCAGCAATAGCCGACGTGGCCATGATGAGATCTCGCCTCACCTCTGTGGTTCAATTAGTAGCATGCCCAAATTAGCCAATAGTTAGGCTCACCCTCTTTACATGTGGCATAGCTATCGATTTTATCACAGTCAATCCTATTCTTCTCATCACAGACACAAGGACCTCCTGTTTGCGAAAGAATAGAAGCCTAATAACCATAATCAGTATTTTCCTATGCTAAGCAAGTATCAACACCATACATTGACAGCAATGATGTATGTCATTGCAGCAAACGTGGTCGCTCCCGCTCGAAGTTCATTTAAGAACGTAGAGCCAGCGATCTCTTTCGGCTAAGACTCGTTAGTAGAGCGATGGCTTGAGGACTGGAATGGCATACGTGACCACTGCCTTCTAGCCTGAACAAGCGGCCAATAAAGGATGTCGCGACACGCCGATTGAACCTTGCGCCTAGATCTGCCGTGTTGTTCCTCATGATGCTTCTAGAGTCCCAAGGAAGGCGTTTTAGTTGATCGTGTATTCGCAATGTCTTTGGGAAAGGAATGGCGGAGTGGGTGGTGTCAGTTCAAATACGGAATAAAGAAAATATTCAGCTAACGGCTGAACTGTTGAGATCAAGCCTCAAGGTCGTTAGAAGAGCCTAATCAACGCTGCAGGAACAAGCAATTACGCAGAACACGTCTCACAAACAAAGCCACGAGGCACTAAAACTACAATAGATATCAATAGAAGTCATTGTGGGGGACATGACGGGAAGTGTGCCACACCAACAACAGCCTTGGCCAAGACGGGAAGACCGAGTCGGCTGGGAGAACCTGTCGAGGACCCGATGTACCCTTGCTTACGTGTCAGTTATGTGAGGGAGGATGAGGTTGATGCTAGCCGAGGTGCCATCAGTTCATCCCCTGGCGCTATCACGGAAGAAGGGCTGCCAAAAGCAATATGAGTGCCACATATCAGGTACAGACAGCAGCACGTTCAAGACTTTTTAGTAAGGCTATCGATTTAGATGCGAACTGGGTCGTCTCATCTTCCTTTCTTTTTGTTTGCGATAGTGCCATTCCTAGACACAGCTCTCAGATGGATGCGTCCGTGGCCTCAACACCAACGGCTGGTCGTGTAACCCAAAAAGCGTCACCATGATTAGTCCAAGGCCGTGTTTACGAAAATGCCGTAAACTCTGAAACAGTTTGCTGCAGGTTCGGGAAATACAGTGGTCTGATCTCTGCATGGCATGGCTTAGCTCCGCTGAGCTGAACTCTTTGCTTTAGACTATTGCCCAGCACTAAAAAGCCATCGCTTACACGTGCCACGGTCCCAACAATACGGTAGAGGTTGCAAAGGCTAATTTGGAAGTTTTCCGAGGGTAAAACCAGACTTTTCGAGGTTGAGTCTTTACTATGTACAGCACAAAGGCTATTGATGGCTCAGTTCCAGTGCTTTGGTCTAATGTTAAACTATGGCGTTGGTGGTTGGTTGAGTCCCCGCAAATGGTCTAGATTCCAAGCCACCAGATGCCTAGAGCCTGGAGGTGATGCTTTAAGCTACTGCATCTTGGAGAAGGTGTGTGTCTGTGTGAGGTATTTGATGGCTGGTGCGTGCTTTGACATATTTACTTTGCCATCTTTTGTTGTGTAAAGGTAAAGACGACCGTCAATTCTCAGATTGGTTACTTAAGGGAGACGCTGTCAGTATGATTGCAATAATGCACGAACCAAGACATGTTCAGTGCAGGTTTAATGTGCTACAAACAGACATACCGTAACTTTTGGAGGGAAATAGCACAGCCACGCATCATGCAAAATCAAGAATAACTTTCTGAGAATACGAAACACAGGCATGCAGATTGCTAAAGCAAACACAATAAAGAATCCCGGAGCCAAACAATGTCCATCTGGCTGATCAGCCTAGTGCAACAGGGCGTCAGATAGCCGCACGCCACTCCAACGCCTTGGCCGCATCGAGACCATAGCATGGGGTGATGGTCCCTGGCCCTCCCCAGGGGAAAAGCAAACGTTCGTAGCGACCGTGGGATGTGTCAACTGCAAGGGACGTTTAAGCGAGGGCATCGAACTGATTGAATTGATCTGTCAAAAGAATTCATATCTTACTTACACATATTATCGTGGCTATGACAATACCACCCTCCAGACAAACCTCCCAGACTCCCGGTTCTCGTTCGCCCGCCACTCTTTTTAAGTTGTCTACCCAGATCCTCCATCCGCGGCCTCGACCTCGACCCCCCATTCCTCCATCCACAAGACGACAAAGTTCAGCCCTGCATTCGCCAGCTGAGATCCAGTCTAACCGGCACCCGCGGAAGAGAAGAGCCTACCCGTGAGTCGCAAACCTTATCTCCCCTCCCCCAACACACGACAGGCTCCCCCTGGTTTAACTATACCCCAACCCAAGGTCCTACCATCATGCAACCTCCCCCCTTCACTCGGCTGCGCGTCACACACTCACACCCACACATGCACGTTATCTTTTGTTTTCGTTTGTTCATGACAAGCACCTCCCCATGGCACGGCCCGAGTTAACAGAGCCCGATGCAGGGCCCTCTTCCAGAGGCGATCGCCTACGCAACATCTTGCGAAAGCCCGCGTCAAACCTCGCCCTTCGAATCACCGACCTTGATCGCTATCGCAACATGTGGGAAGTCAGCTGGGCGGCTCCGAAAGAGTCGAGGAAGGAGCATCGAGACAACATGGACACCTCTGGGCCCAAGGCCAGCAGCAATAATGCCATGAAAGCGAGGTCGCTCTTCAGTCGGGGTTCCTCCACGTCCAGCGAGACGCCGTCGTTTGGTACATTTTCTCGGCCCAAGAATGTTGATGAATCGATATCGCCGACCGTGTCTTCCTCATCGTCCAAGATAAGTGCCACGGCCTACAATTACGAACTCGAGTCAGACAGGATATCGACATTGTCTGCCGGTAGCGAACACACCACCGTCAACGTGGCTCGCATTGTTGACCTCAGCTCCCGTCGCAGAGGTCACATCCTGGATTCCTCTCGAGGTTTGACAGCTCCGCCTTGCGATCATTCCAGATACTAACACATGCCAATAGAGATACACGCCGGCGACAATGCGCTGCTTGATCCGCCTTCCCCCACACTCACTTCGTCGTCCACTCCGTGGGATACAGAGAGTATTGAGCGCGGGCTGCTGCTGCCTTGGCCTCTAATTCAAGCTTTGAGTGAGGATTCCTTTATCGCAAGACGAACAGAGGCGACAGTGACACCACGTACATCTTACGATACCCCGTTTCTCATGAACTGCGGTGTGACTATTGAGGCAACACCTAGCGTAAAGTCCAAAAGTCGCTCTCAACCTACTAGTAACCCGTCAGTCATCAATCCGACTCATATTGATCTTCCATTAACCCCCCACAGGACATCTCAAACGCAGCCGCAGCGACCGCAAAGCAGTCGATCAACGACCAAAGCCAAGACACCCAGACGTATGCCCTCTTCAACAGCATCATTGAGAGTCGAAAGCCTCGATAGCTGGAAGCCCCCCAACGCTTGGAACTGCACACCCACGGAGCCCGGGTTCCAGTTCCCAGATGAGCCTATCGAAGTACCAGAGCCATCCATTCCGAGGGAGCTCAACGCTATGCAGCTGGGTGTGAAGCAGTTAGCCAGGGAGAGCAACATGGTCAGACTACTTCGCCTGATTGAATGTCAAAGTGACAATGGACCTCCCACTGATTGTCAAGACCTTGAGGTTGAGAAAATGCAGTGGATGCTCGCTGCCATGTACAACCTGGATGGTCCAGAGTATCCCGATATCAACAGTGATGGCTTTCCCATTGAGCCTGCTGATCCGCCAAAGAGATTACTCGCTCTTTATGAAACTCCTGGTAAGACAAAACTAATTTCTCATACGAACTATACTGATATGTCTCAGCTGTCACTTCATACCTGGCTGCAGTCAACCACAATAAACAACTCCACCACCTCTCCGCTGCGCCCCTCTCTCATGAAGCATTTCCAAACATCCACCCTGTCCTCTCACCAGTGAGGTCACCGGCGGCATTCCCTGTTGCGCCATCTACCATCGAAGCCGTCCACTCACTACGATTACCTTTGGCCATGCCATCACAAGACATACCCGCTCTCTTGAGAAATATTCATCGATGTCTTGAACCCGGTGGCTCATTACACCTCACCATAATCGACCCTCTTCCCGTCACCAGCACTCTTGGACCCCTCTTACGAACCTGGATCGACGACCATCTACTATTCAACCTGGAATCCAGCTTCCGTTGCACCAACCCAAGCAAGCTACTCCCCGTTTGGTTGAAAAGCGCATCACTGCGCGTCGACCCCAACTGCGTCGAGACAACACAATTCTTCTCCATCCCACTCCACAGCAGTCAGCTTCAATATGTGAGAGATGGCCATGTGTCTGAAGAAGGCCTGACGCAGGAGCTTCGAAACATCGTCGGTCGGATGCTCTGGACGGAGATTTGGAGAGAGTATATCATTGCTGAACGATGGTGGTGGGAGGATCCAAATATTCTACGGGAATGCGTTGAGTGGAAAACGACATGGGAGTGGCGGTTGATTGAGGCTGTCAAGGATACATAATTTTCTCCTTTGTTGTTGTTTTCTGGTGTTCGTTTTAGATAGCATTATACCCTTGGAAACTTTGAATAGTTACACTTCATAGCACTGGTCCGATGATTCCCTGAGTGAGCTCCGCCAATACCAACGTTGAACCTCAGTAGCTCTGTTCCTTTGTTAATACATAATTTAAAACAAACTTTCCTTAGATATTCTTGCATGTCCAAGATAATTTCTCGAGTGACGATTCAGGAATTAGCTGATGGTATCGGAGTCATCCCCGACGGTGCGGATGATTAGATCCGTTTGAAGTCGCTGTGTCATGTGGATCAGTATGGGAGCATGTCGCGGCTGTGAAGCTTGGACACGACACTAACATCGTCCTAATTCCCCTGGATCGCCCGCTCCCGCGGCGGGTGAGGAATTAGCGGCATATCCAATAACGTGATTGCAGTTGTAGATGGAGTTGTATCCCTCTTCGTCAGGGTTGAGTGAATGTTAAAAAAAGCAAACCACCGTCGTATTTATGTCGTGGTCTATCTTAACTGATGTATTCTTATGCTTGCTTCAGTGTGATCCTTCTTATATCCCTGACAAACGGTGTGACTCTTGACACACTCTTGTCTTCTACTTTGAAAGAATTGCTGACCAGTCGTAGTTCTTGGCCCACTCCTCCCAGCTTGTCATAGGGCATTCGATGCCCGCCTTGCACAGTTAGTATTCATTCACCATTACAACCAAGATCCATACCTTTTCAATGTCCTTCGCAGTCAACAGGTCCATTCCGCCATCGTATCCTGGATCAGAAGTATAGGAGAACATGTATCCAGTCTCAATACCTGCATCTCTATCAGGAGTAGCCGCAGTCATCTCATCAGGTGTGACCTGTCGGTACTTAACCGAGACGTTGTTAATGCGTCCCCAAGTCTCAATCCACTCGGGCCACGTGCAGAAGGTACCTGCAGCCATGTACGACTTGCCGGGGGGCATCTGAGAGACGGCATATACAAAGTTACCCAGATCTCCTACAGGGTCTAAATGAGGTACCATGGCCTCGGGGGTTGTTGTGAATGTCATTTCGAAATTTCCATCTGCCAGCTGTTCACCTCGTTAGACAGAGAGATAGGATGATTATTTGGCACAAACCTTGTTCATGTATGAATCCGGCAGAATGTTGAAGCTCGTGAAGAAGTAGCCAGTGTGAATACATGAGATCTTGGCTGCGAGTTCAGGACACTTTTGCTGTACGTAGGCAGGAAACACATCGGCCTTTGCATCGAAGTGATATAACTCCTTATACTTTCCACCACTGCACTTCTCAGCCTGGCTCAACGTCGAGACAAGGAATCCATTATCATCCAAACCATCTACTACCGTGGCCGCAGCATCCACAATGTTCTTGCCCTGCTGTACCTCAACATTGTACGCAAACTTGCGACACGAAATACCCTCTTTGGCAGCCTGTTCTCGACAGTCGGGGCGGAAGAAAGGCTCCCAGTAGTTGGTCACGCTGAAGATGATATTGGCCCCCTTGAAAGCGGTTTTGAGAGACTCAACGTCGTCCAGGTCAACAGCTACAACCTCAGCACCAGCCGCCGCCAGCTTCTCGGCCGAGGCAGAGGTGGTGTTGCGGGTCAAACCACGGACCTTGAAGCCGGCGCGGAGGAATCGACGGGCTACGGAGCCGCCCTGGTTCCCGGTAGCGCCAATAACACAGATGAGCTTGTCGACGGCCATTTTCCGATGATAGAATAGTAAAAGAAGAATAAAGTAAAGAGGGGAAAAGGAAAAGATGCATGAGGTTATTTTCTTGATGAACTAAACCTAGCCTTGGTCTCAAACTGCACTAGCCATATTGAGACTAGCTTCCTACCTCTCGTTCCTCTGGGCGACGCTATACCTGATGGGGCTGATTTTGCGGTGGTCAGATGGATGCGGGCATTCCAGATAAACTCCGGTTTTCCCTCTTCCCTTTTCCCTTCTGCACGTGGCGCGAGCGAATGATCGAAGGTCTTTTTCTCTGTGCAGCCCTCACCGCTTGACAGAAGCAACCAAGAACAGGAAAACGCTTCCTACGAGGTAAGCGCTTGTGTGAAAGAGACGAGATACGATGGGTTCAGGACCCGACAAACCCAGTTCGCCTGTAGCGGCGGCACCATGTCACACTCCTCCACCCGTTACCAGTCTGTCGGGTCAGGAGGAGAACCCTGACGCGCACACGCCAAAGAGCCCAGAGGGTCAAGATCGCCCTGAGGAGGAGCACGCCCCGTTGCAAGTTGATGTATGCTTTTTTCCATTTGATACCATATAACATTTGTTTTAGGATTGTGACTGACCTCAGCTTAGGAAGACGAGTTACCTGGTAATGATGCAGACTCTACATATGGTTCTGACAGGGACTCAACATACACAACATCGGTCACCTCATCCATCTACGACTACCAGTATGAGAATGGACGACGCTATCATGCTTTCCGAGAGGGCCAATATATTCTCCCTAACGATGATCAAGAGCAGCAGCGATTAGATCTCCAGCATCATATCTGGCGATTACTGCTTGGCGGAGCTCTTTACACCGCCCCTCTACCGCCGTCAAGCGACCAGAATGAGTTTCGCATTCTTGATCTCGGCTGCGGCACTGGGATCTGGGCAATCGAAATGGCAGACGACTTCCCCAATGCCGCCGTATCCGGTGTAGATCTGTCGCCGATCCAGCCTGACTGGGTTCCCAGCAATTGCCATTTCCACGTGGACGACTACGAAGATGAGTGGACGTACCGCGAGAACGAAAAGTTCGATTACATTCACGGCCGCGCACTCAGTGGCACTTCATCTGACTTTCCTCTCTTTTACAAAAATGTCCTAGAAAATCTCAAGCCCGGCGGATATGTCGAGATGCAGGAGTACGACGCCTGGATCTTCAGCGACGACGATAGCTGCGACCGCGCACCTTGGACCATGGAGTGGGTCAACAAGCTCGACGAGGCGAGTAAGATGTTTGGCAAGCAGATAAACGTGGGCCGTTATCACAAGCAGTGGATGATAGACGCTGGGTTTGAGGATGTTCAAGAGCGAATCTTTCGTGTAAGTTGACGTTGTTCTCTGTATTGAACAGTTGCTAATATTGGTGGCAGATACCCATCGGACCATGGGCAAAGGATCCAACGTTGAAAGAGCTGGGTAAATTTGAACTTACGCATATGCAAATGTCTGTTGAATCACACACGCCGGCACTATTCACCCGCGTGTGGAACTATTCTCATGACCAGTGCATGATATTGATGGAGGGTGTTAAGAGAGAGTTTCGCAGTCGTGATTTGAGGCTGATTACCAGTTATCGATTCCTCACAGGTCGAAAGCCAATGCAAGCTTCATAAATATTGATTTAATTTTTGATTTTCTCATGTCCTATCGATGCATTTGCCAAGCTATAGTACTCGTTCTTTAGATGGTTTATTTTGCTCTATCAAGCGGGAGTTGGAGCCCGCCGGACTAGTTTTGTGGCTACAATATTGATCTCAAAACAATCACATCTCAGTATTCTCTATTTCTTTGCAGTCGTCTGTCTTTCTTCATTGCGGAGTGGGTACAGAGTGGCTGTCGATGCAGATACCTTGTTCTCGCGTGCGGGTCGATCTACCAACAACCGGTCTTCCCAAACAGCTAATGCAGAGAGCTACGGAGCTACTGAAGCTCTGCCACGGAATGAACCTATAGGTTAGAGGGGCATGCCCAGTACTATTGTATCACAGTGGGCCTTGGTCAGCTTCAGCTGGGCTGAGTTGACGATCATGTCTGTAACTCTCCAGCCCGCATGAAAATCGACCGTCAATTCCCCCATGAGGGTTTCCACTGGGTCTGTTGGCGAGACTAGACCAACTCTATGACGTGCGGACGGTATATCTTTCCAGCCACTCATCCACTAGTCCTAGCTGAAGACTCGATGATCTATTTCCTACGCCAATCACGGCACCACCCGCACGGCCCCCGCTCCAGTTGTCCAAGACATTAACATGGGCATCTCTTGACTCCTCACAATTTGGCCTCACAAGTCAGAGTCTTTGCCAAAGCACCTACGTCAATATGCATTTGTTGAGGGGTAGACGAGATAGGTAAAGGAAAACAGAGGTTGGTTTTGGGTATAAAGCCAGGCTCTGTCTGCTTCATCTTGGGCTCTGAGTGTCTTTATCAACTACCCTATCACCACTATCTTAACAATCACCCTACCACAAACCATCAACATGGCCGCTGCCCAAGTTCAATACGATGAAGCAAAGTCAGGCTGGCTTCAGGCCATCAAAGAAGCCCAGAAACAAAAGGATGAGGCCAGATCCGCTTACGACAGCGAGAAGTCTGATGGCTTGACGAATGATTCATTCTCGCAGTGGGTCGCCATGAACGTACGTCGCAAGCCTTTTTCAGCGTATGTTCTTTACTGACGGCGACTAGTACCCTGCTTTTAGTGTCGCTTACAACTACTACCGAGCAGCCGAAGCCCGGTACATGGCTGCTTTCGCAAACGTGGACGGCCCAGGACAGCGAGAGTGGCAGCAAAAGAGGCAGCAAGAGTTAGCCCCAATTTTGGCTACGGGTGGCGATGAAAGCCAATTCATCATCTACACCGGCGAGGAGTAATGTAATGGGACAACAAGCAACACTAAACTAAGACTAGTAACTGATTTTCAGGGAATATAGTGACGATTCTAATTGCCCTATGTAGCTTCTCTATGGTCGTGAAATTAAATACTAGTGTAGGCAGGGCATGTAAGATAGTGACGGAGGCTATGTTCGAGGGTTGCAGAGGTTCAAAATGCTCAACTCAAGTGCAGCATGTGCGGGAGCTGATCCCAGCTATTGACTTCCATATCACGAACGCAACCGCAACACTGGCTACTATATACCAAATCAATCAAGTCAAATTGCTAGGACGCCCAAGAAAAACATCCGCTATGCTAAATACCACACTCTAATACATGCTCCTTCTATCCATACTCCTCCCACCAACACTCATAGCCCTTGCGCTTCTTCTATCCATATCAACAGTAGATCTCCCCGACGAGCTCCTCCTATCCGAGTCCACAGACCTGGGAGGCATGATCCTTCTGTTCATGTCGACGGACCGCACCGACGAGCTTCGCTTGCGCGCTTCGATCGCCTTGGGCGGCGGAGGTCTTCTGTCCAGATCGAGAGATCGGATCTCAAAGTCCGGCTCCCTCTCCATCTCTGGGACGGTGTGTTCTCTTCCGATGTGGTTGATCAGGGTATCCGCCGTAGGGCAGAGGACGTCTTCGTCACGGAATCTGCTGCAGAGCGCACACGCAAACTCTCCTTCTGGTGTGTGGCACTTTACAACAAAGCGGGGGTCGACGTGGAACTCTAGCTCCTCATCAATCTCCCTCTTGTATCCATTCTCTGTTATCGATCGAGGCGCCGTCTTCCCAATGGCCCAGCCATCGTCGGCTTCGACGTCGAGAAAGACGTCGCATGCCGGGCAGAGTCGGTCACCCCGCGGTTCAAAGCTAGAAGAGAGAGGTCTTTCGTGGTCGGATTGTAGATCGAGGGCGTATCGGCAGTATAGAGGGTCGTCTCGGATGACGGTCGGGGCACGTTTCGGAGGCGGGAGGGCTTGTTGTGGTGGAGGCATAGACACCTCGTCGCCCATAAGGCGCTGTCGCTGTTGGCGAAGAGCACCGAGGGAGCCGTCACGGGCGGCGTCGGAGGCGGCGATCAGCCTTGCCATGTCGACGCGATCGAGTTGACGGCCGTTGTAGAGGGCGTCCTGGAGGACATTGATGACGGTCTGCTGCAGAGCAATGACCTGCGCTTGTAGTTTATTCTCGGTAACGACATCGCCGATGGCGAATCTCCGACCGTATCGCTGGTATCCGTCTTCGAATTCACGGTTGATAAGGGCGCCCGATCGCTCGAACGAGGCTTCGACTTCGTCCGAGACCCTGCTCCTCTCCAAGGCGCGGTCCTTGTACCTTGAGTTTTCTTCGACCTGGGCTTTAAGCTTCTTGATCTCTTCGTCTTGGGTGGTGTCGCGCTTGGTCTGCTTCCGCTTCTCCTTGACGCGGTCCCATAGGCCCATGGATGACGTGAAGGTGCCGACAAGAGTGCTGCATAGCTAAAGGCTGTGAGTATTGGGGCGATGATAGTGGAATGTGGAGCAGGAGCGTACTGTTGCTATTATAAATGTCTTCTTGAGGTTTTTCTCCTCAATCATGTTGGAGTAATTCATCGTGGGCGGTTGTCGTGTAGTGTTGATGATGGTGGTGAATCGGTGCTTGATGCCCAACGACCAGAATCCAGAGACGAAGGGTAGCTGCAGATCATCGGAGTATATAATCAATGTCACCTACCCTGTCCGTCTGTTTCAGGGTCCCGGCGGCGCACAATGATGGCATAATCTGCACACCGCAATATTGCATAAGGTATCCAGTCCCTCTCGCGACATATTCTTCACCTACCAATTCCCACCACGTACGTAGCTGTCACACTACATATTCCCTCAATCCTCTGACGTCACATGGCGAAATCGAGATGTGCCAAGTTTCGGTAACGCATTGATGTGCGCGCTGATTGGAGGATCTGTGGTCCTGCTGAGGCTTGTTTCCACGATGGATTGCACTTGTCGCCGAGGCTAAAGGCTTGTCTCTGTTTGACAGTTTAAATTTAGTGTTCGGTGTTTTAGATTTCGAGAGCCGCGATCTTGTTAGTTTGAGTACCTGAACGGTTTATGCGGTGCGTAGGTTGTTACAGTTTCAACATTTCGAAAAACGCTTCATCACCGGCCCGAGATACGGGACGACCGGACATGGAGTTATTCCGAGGGAATAAGCTCGGGTTGTCGGAGTCAGGATCTAGCAGCATCACGTCATGTGTCACCATTAGCGATTAGATTTCCAAAATCATTATTCGCTTGTGTCTAAACAAAGTGCAGGGTATCCAAATGCTAATTACACAATCCTTCCTGCGTCTTGTCTTTCCACGACATCCATTTCGATGACTTTGCCTTTGATCTTTTGTGTGCTATTTATTGTGGTAGTACTCCGTAGTCATCACTCCATTTGAACGCAGCGTTGTTGGTTCATCATCGCCATCCTTGATTGGCACAAGTGAGCGGTCAATAAATACAGGCCTGTCACTCATTTGTGGTGAGATAGGTTTTTTTCGGGACAGGCAGTATTGTAGTAACTGTCTTGTCGAAGGACCACAGGCTACAACAACGCCGACGTATAGTTCAATACTCCCTAGGATAATAATCAAATGTATAGAACTATCTGTTGATACACGTTAGTACTGTTTTGTGTTTCAAACATCCAAGTGGACCTACCTGCTTCGCTTGGGTTTGGAAGAACCTCAATCTGCATTACCATTCGAACAAGACTAACTACCAAAAGTCTGGTATCAATTAGCTCCGCCACTGGCTTGCAAAGACCTGCTCAGGAAGATAAACAAGTCAAAATCACTTACAGTACACCCATTCCAAACATACTCATCACTCTGATCTTCTTATGCCGCCTGAGCCCAAGGTTGTACAGTTGTGTCATGGGCAGGATGAGCATCCATATATCCAGCGCAAGGTTTACAGCGCTATGTGCAAATCCAATCTTGATACCTACACCGTATGTCTTTATACTGGCGTCAAGGGTTTGCCCGCCACGCCAGACAAGCTGCACCGATCGCCCCACTGTGAAGTTGAGGATGAGAATTGTGGACGTCGTAATTATGTTGAACCATATAGTCACCCAGACAACCTTTCTGAACTTCTCGCTGGGGAATATTCTCAAGTAGAAGAAGAGAATCGAGGTTTTGACGGCGCAAAGACCCGATATGAACATGATCTGCCATAAGAACATACTCTGTAAACTCGTTAGACAAGAGCACAACCCATTTCTTTATATCAATATTGCATCACACCTTAAAAAGACGGCCAAAGTTCTGGTTCCCTTCGCGATATATGACTGCAAGAGACCCAAAGCCACAATCAATTGCTGCGGTTAAAAGGTTAGCATTGGTGAGGTTACTTGCATGAGTAGAATGGCATGTCCAACCGATGCTCACCAAACAGTACAAATGCTGTAGCAGGGACCATAGTAAGCTATTGGTATTAGATATGGGATATCACAGGACAGGAAGTTTAACTGCTTACAAAGGATATCACAGCCCAGGTATCATCAGCCCCCCAGGATGTTTTGATGAAAAATCTGGTCACGACTCGCAAAACGACAAATACGAAGGAGAGCGCTGTAAAGACGATGATAACGACTCTGTACTCTTGGCGGTGGTCCCCCGAGGGAACGTTACATATCGACGTGACAAAGCTTTGGAATTCTACAGATGAGCTGTGTGAGATACAGTGGACGACCAGCTGGGGAGAGCGAACCCACGCAATCCTTCTCTCAGCGAGCAGACCGTACTGACACACTCTTGTACACTTTGTGCGGAGTCTGCACTCTTGCACATATCTTGGGTGCTCTGGCCGGCGTTGCTCGCGCTCTTAAAAGCTTGGAGCGCACACGGTAACTATCCCCAGGTGTCAGATCAAACCTCAGATGGAAACGACGGATTCGCTACTCACTGCGCATCGTGGCATATCAGACAAGGACATAGTCGCTACGACAGACAGCAGAAATGCTACGCAAAACAGAAATGCTGACCTCATGATCGGTGACTAAACCGTTGAAGGTGAAAATATTGATGGATATTGGATGGGAGTGAAGCGGCTCCGCATGGATTGCATAGTGGTCTTAACAACGAGCCTCTTCTGTCCAAACTTTAGAAATGTCTAAATATCGTCACTAACTTGAAAGAGATCTGGACTCGATCGATGGTCCACGCGCGCTTTTAGTACTCCTCAAGCGAGGAATGCTGTATTGATATGGGCATTCCTCCTCCAAAGTCTGTCACATTGAGCTAAGCCAAAATGAAATAGAAACAGTACACAGCTGGCTAGGGACCATGCTGCGTTTGGACTTTGTGATCTAGTTGTATTTCAGGAACGGAGCGGATCTGAGAGGGTGTTTCAAGCCTTCGAAGCCCACTGAGGCGAGATGTCATGGTCTTGGCGTGTCCGCGTGGCCAAGAAGCGGCGATCAAGCCTTACCAGGTACGGCGGGTAAGGTTGTATTGCTGGTATTCCGCATTATGCGTGTCTAACAACTCACATAATCCTGGGATCTTTGGGTTTCTCATCATAAATTGAAACCCCTGTCCATACGGCGATAGAGGGTTTGGTCTGCAATTCGTTTTTCCTCAGTCTACAGGGTGGCCTGTGTCTCACTTTCGAGCGGCAACCAGCTAAATGTTGGCTCACCCTCGTAATCAATGCAACACTCGATGCGACCAGCCTTAAGGCAGGATTGATCTACCACAAATCCGATGATGCACGACGGTCCGCAGAACTCTGACAGCTCAGTTAAAAACGACCACGACAGCCTCTTTTCGATAAAAATCCCTTCTGCTACCATCCACTCCTCCAGCTCGGCCTTTCTTTTGAGATGCAGACTGAAACTCATCGATTTCCCTTGACATTCGTTGCACCAGTCTTTGTAAGCTTGGTCAAACGGCTGTCGAATCTTGACTTTCAGATAGGGTAGGGCTGGGTGGTGTTGGTGGACCGATCTCAGCGTTTCTTTGATCGTCAACAGGTGAGTGCTATCGTTCATATCCACGTGAATTTGCAGCTCTTTCAAACCAGGAACATCATTCAGGATTCGCAACCTGCCGTCTCGCAGCCATTTGTCAGAGTCTTCGAACAGCCTTATCCGTGAAATGAGCTCAAAATTATCCCTGCTAATCGGCGATGAATCTGACAATGGCCAATGAATCCGTCGAGAGCGCCTGCTCCAAGTAGTTGGCCAGTAAAACTTCCGCCGAAACACGTTTTCCGAGTAGATTATTGGAGTGGCCTCTTTGTTAATTGCCTTGCAAGTCTGCAGAATCTGTGGATAAAACCCGAACTGTGGATGGAACGGCGTTTCGTTGATGATACGGAAACCGTTGGGAGCAGGGCACAGAACAGGGAGAGTTGTGGAGACGAGGAGGTGGTGGTATATGGCAAGACGGATCTCGGTCGGCAGAGTAAATAGAGAATACTCAGAGGTGGTTTTGGTGTTGACGCTGTTGGATGAACTGCTTGCGTGAATGTGTGCTAGAGGCTCTCGGACTACTACAGTCCCGTTATGCGATCCAAGCCGTGATTGAACCTTGTACTTTCTAGAGAAATTTCCCCTTTTCTTTTCCCCGGTTTTCGAAGTTGAATTAGTATTTCGTGGCGGCCCAAACAGATCCAAGCAAATGTCGTCAAGGCTGGAGTCGGTCCATCCCCGGGATGTTGTATCAGGCGCTCGTTGACAGGGAGTCAGAATACGAAGAAATCCGTTTTCAAAGGACAAATGAGATTGTTGCATGTTTCTTTTGCTTTTCTTTGGGATTCTGCTGGAAGATTGGGGCAAATAAATGTTTACGTGAATGTGATAGTGCAACTCGGAGTAGGTACCTTGTTGTGCTGGCGGGTTATTAATCCTCCGGATGAGTCATTCCCCTCAGGCGGCTTGGCTATGATCGTCACGTCACACTTGCCATACAATTAAACCTGACAATTTAGGCAAAAGCAAAAACAGAGTCTTGATTATTGTGAACATATCTCTAAGATATCCCCGTCTAAAAAGTCTATGCATCATTTATCGTATCGTAACAGTAACAAAATTCCTCTGCAATGTCCTCAACTCCATTCCAACCGGCGAATCCTCGTAAAAGCATGCCTAGTTACGGCCTCGCTTGCCGCGTCCACTGTCACCATGTCCACCAGGAGCACCGTGCTTCTGTCGAGGACGGTCAGCCACGGTGTTTAGGCCTCTAACGCCCTTCAAGCCCATCTTGGAGGCAGTGCTCTTCTGAATGGCCGGGATGTCGGGAGAACCAAGACCCTCGCGGGCGTAGACGTTGGCTTGTCGAACAAGCTCCTCCTTATCCCACTTCAAACTCTTCATGTGGCTGTTGTAGTATCCGAGCCACGCCTGGTAGATGCGAGTCTTGGAGTCATCCTCCATCTTTTCGGCAACTTGGATAACATCTCTGGAGGGAGAGAGGTCGGCATCACGAGGCTTGAAGCTGATTTCCTTGAGGGAGTACTTGGGGAAGAAGCCCTCTGCGTCACAGACGATCAGAATTCCTCGACCTTCGGCATCGGCTCGTGCTGTTCGGCCCAATCTGTGGATGTAGCTCTGCTTGTCGGCGGGCATACCAACCTGGATGACGGTAGTCACACCAGGGAAATCCATTCCGCGAGCGACAACGTCGGTAGCAACCAGGATGGCGCTGCGAGCGGTTCGGTAGTCGTTGGTGATCTTGGTACGCTTGTTTTGCGACATGCGGCTGTGAAGGATCGAAACGGGAGGGAGTCCGGGCAAAGCCTCGAGAAGCTCACCGTAGAAGTCGGCAATGGCGGCAGTGGGTGCAAAGAGAATGGCCTTGAAAGCTTGGCCGCGGGTGGCCTCTTCACGAACACAGCCGACCATGGCGGGTGCAACATCTCCAAAGGTGGGCACCTGGACGAGGAACTGGGGAACGCGCTCGTGGGTGTTGGCTTCACCAGCAGGAATGGTCGAGATGAACTTGTAGCCAGGAGCCAGAACGAGACCAGCAACTTGCTGGACGTGAGGCGCGATGGTGGCGGAGAAAAGCATGCCTTGGCGGTCAGACTTGGTCTTGTCGGGAAGACGGTTGACAATTTCGCGGAGATCCTTCATGAAGCCCATATCGAGAAGGCGATCAGCCTCGTCGAGGACAAGGGTGTTAAGGTTGCGCATGCTGTAAATGATATCGCTGTTGGACATGTGATCCAGAAGGCGACCAGGTGTAGCGATGAGAATTTCACAGCCGCCGAGGATGTTCCTCTCCTCACGATCCTTGTTTGTTCCTCCAATAGCGACCTGGACGCGGTACTTGGGAAGTCGCTGAAGAACCTTGGTAGCCTCAGCAGAAATCTGAAGAGCCAGCTCACGAGTAGGTGAGATGACAAGCAGGGAGATGCCGTCGCCAGCAGCACGGTTCTGGTTGATCATGGTCTGGAGAGCAGGGACGAGGAAAGCCATTGTCTTTCCTGTTCCTGTCCGAGCCTGAACAAGGCAGTCATTTCGGTTGGGAGGGAGAAGCTCATCCATGGTCGCGGCCTGAACAGGCGTCATGAACTCAAACATCATATCCTCTGTGATAGTGCGGACGATAACAGGATGAACCTGGTTGTTCTGCGAGAGACTGTCGAAACGACGCGAGTCCAGAGTTTCAGGCGCAGGCTGAGAAGCCTCCTTCTGGACAACTGGTACTGAAGGAGTCTCCTGGGGGCGAGGGGCCTGAGTAGGTCGACCGCCACGTTGAGCAGACTGTGAATGAAGACCTCGTCTGCTGCCACCGCCGCGACCGCCACGGCCGGGGCGCCTTTTGCCGTCCATTATAGATGTGAAGGGGGTGAGTTGTGTTGTGGGAAGGAGTGTTGTGAGAGGAGAAAGTTGAATGCGCGATTGATGAAAAATGTTGATGAGGCGAAGACGTTGCATTTTCTTTGTTAACGGTTGAAGGTTTGATAGACAGAAAAGTCTCTGCTCGTTGTAGCACATGCGCTAGGCCGTTTGTGGCGAGAGAGGTCTGTGCAGGATGGCTGCGCTAGGCCCGATATAACTAGATTCGTGACGCCAGTGACAGCGCACCTCAAGAATAAGCCAGTGGCAGCGCCATGACACGAGCATCAAGAATAGCTTTTATTTCATAGCTTAATCAATATCTGAGGTGATATCTGTGAGGGTAGCTTCTTAGAAGTAAAGTAAAAAATAGAAATCTCATTATTTACATCTCGTTTGAGGGCTATGGTTTTATCGCATCGCTTTCTTGGAAGGAATGACATATCAAGACGAGATACGGTGTAAAAATCATCAAGATTCAAGAACAGGGGTGACCAGAATTCAACTAGATCTCAAGACAAAATCGAATTGATTTACCAGTATGTTTAATTGTTTCGCGAATCTATAATGAAACTGGCAATATAAAACAGACATAAGGAGGATAACGCCTCCGCAGTGAGCTGGCCATTGAGCTGAGGGTGTTGGAACTTTGACAACGTCAGTAGCTTATCCTCTTTAGGAATTTCTCCGGGTCAGCTCGCTGGATGGACCCAATCTTGGGTGTATACCCGTCGTTTGTATCTGCGCTTCAGAGTGATCAGCCCTATTGTAATGCAGCATTGTGGCACGGGCGAGATATATAGTTCTCTGGCTCGTAGCCACTTCCCTTTCATCAGCTCAACCCACTTCGTCTCCTTGCCAACAGAACATTCATCATGGCGACTGTTGTTGTCATTCCAGGCTCATTTGCCCCTCCATCTATGTACGACAGCCTAGTCGAGAGTCTTTCTCGCAATGGAATCCAGTCTGAAGTCGTTGATCTCCCATCCGTTGGACGCCGACAAGATATGCCACCGGCTACGATGGCAGACGATGTCGAGAAGATTGTGTCCGTGGTAGAAAAGATCCTTGAACAAGATCGAGAGGTTTTCATTCTGACTCACTCTTATGGTGGGGTTCCTGGGACTCAAAGCCTTGAAAAGCTCTCCTGCAAAGCTCGACAGGCTGAAGGGAAGAAGGGCGGAGTTGGCAAGATTATATATATGTCGGCAGTTGTGCTACCCGTTGGTGGAGCTGTTTTGGCACTACTAGAAGCTCCTGAGTTTCTCAAGATTGAGGTACGGCATTAGCCCATGGTGGCTCTACAAGTGCTCATATTTTTTACAGGATGATTACATGACCCTGGAGCCTAAATGCGCACCATTTGTATACTCGGACCTTCCACCCGAGGAGGCCTTGAAGTTGGCAAAAGCTATGCCTCAGCATTCAACAGCGGCCTACAGGGATCAGTTGACCTACGCAGGCTATGAGGATGTCGAAGTTCATTACATAGTCTGCGAGGAAGATAAGCTTATTCCTCCAGTCTATCAATACGGCATGGTCGATTTTCTGAAGGGTGCAGCTAAAGGAGAGGTTAGATTGCACAAGCTCCAGAGTGGCCATGCGCCTAATATCAGCCAGCCGGATAATATCACCAGAATTGTGGAGGAAGTAATTGGAAAGAACTAAAAAAGAAGTTGAGGGATACTCTCGAATCAGACATTTATCAACTTAATTTGAATGCTACAGATATAGTTATACCAAAATGCCTGTCTTTAACCGGTGTAATGCATTGACTGGCGACTCTGCTCCTGTAAGGGACCTTTGGCGCCCAATGTGTATAGAGTCCCAGATTCTCGGAAAAGACTGGCTGTGGTTTGTAGCCAGCAGCTTGCTACAAAATACCACAAAAAGGGATCGAAGACTACGATCCACAACACAACACGATCCATGGGTGCCTTCCCTGCTATCACTTTTGATTGGAGACATGACGCTCGTAGGATTGCAACTCGAGTGATAGTTGAATCTCGGCTTTCGTAAGCCCATCTCGCCTCTGAAATTCAGCCTCCATGCGGCGAAACGCCCGAGGAGGCGACCTCATACAAACGTCTAGCATCCTCAACCATCGTGAGCCGGAACTTGTGCCGCAAGATGGATTTCTACACCACAGTATGCCTTCTGTACTTTCGTCGAGAATGGGGTTTTTGCCGTTCAAAAAACTCAATCGTGAAAGCCAGCCAGGGCTAATTGGACTTATGAGGAATGGTAGGAGGTCAACCTCCAGTAACACGTCCTTTCCATCGCGTAACAATGTGTAGTTTAGTCTACACATTTCGCAGGCAAACACATGTTTTCTGCAAAGCATGGCCTGGCGTTTTGCCGTTGACCGCATGTCGAATATGTGAGCCAACCCAGGCGCTGAGATTCCATCCGGGGGGAAGCATTTGCAGTTGTTCGGTGTCCCACTTGGCAGTACAGACTCGATCAGACTCGGCAAATGCTTGCAGCCGTAATTTGGATTCGGAAGTACATTTCTGAGCTTTTTTCCCAAGGAAAAAATGCTTGTGTGGCGAAAGTTGCGTAGTGTTACCAAGAGAGAGCTGCAGTGCCCTTCAGCCCTGGTGAAATCATAGTACTTATTGAGGTAAAGAGCTGGAACCCACCTCCCATGGCCTGAAATAGCAGTAGACCCTTGGTGTCTGGATGGACGACGAGAGGGGTGATCATCCCAGGACATGAGAACTTTTCCCGATATCTTGTGAGTACCACACATCTGTAAGACACCGAGTTGTCCCAAGCATGATCTATCCCGTATATCGGATGAGAAGAAGAGTCGAGGGTGAAGTGTCGAGCAACCTTGGCAGAACTCGTTCTCCCAATATTCCGCTAGTCTCCGATCTAGCTCGCCTGAATCCGCCATCTGACCACAACTGTGGCACAGAGTTCGGCGCTTCAGCACATTCTTAATGAGTCTGAGCTCACTGAACCCGTCTTGTGTTATGCAGGAGCTTCGGCGCTGGTTTGGCAAGATTTCTGACCGGAAATCTTCGAAGGCGTGATCATCCACCATATTGCGAAAGGCGTGGCATGTCTGACGGAGCATGTACAAGGAGCTATATGGCATAAATGCCATTATAGCGAGCAGAACCTCATCCGGTAACTGTAGTAGGGGTGCGATGGAGTTAGAAGGGTTGGGAAGACATTGCGAATGGTCTTCACATTGTTGGTTGTCCGGCTCGGGCAAGGGTCCTTTCGCATTTTCTCCATAGCCAAAAGCAATTTGACCTTGTGATCCATCCTTGACGGGGCTCAGTAGACGCTCGATCCCTAGGGAATGGTGATGAACTTGTGAGGAGGGCATCGTGACAAATATTTTCTGTTCTGTCAGGCGTATGCTAAGTGCACGTGAGGTTGTAAAAGTAAAAGGACAGGGAGAATAAATAGTCTTGTGGGTAGGGTAATTACGGCATGAAGGGAAAGCAAAACGTAAGTTTTGAATTGACCAGTGATTTTCCAGGACTCCTATGCTCGTCCTGAAACGTGTATTTGATTCGGAGTTTTCAAATTTAACCGTGATAAGAAAAGTATATTTTTCGCTTCAGCCTCACAGATAGTCACCACATAGTCAGTTGGCTCCAGATTAGTTGAGTTAAGGTTTATGGCTCGGGCTGAGCGTAAACAAACTCGTCACGTTAAACTCTCCAAGACAATTATGTTGAAGAATTACAGTTTCTTTCATATGGCAAGTTTGATTCTGCCCATCTGTTCTTTTAGAACAGGGTTAACACGAACCTTAACTGTCGGTGTCGGCCAAATGCAAAGATAAAAGAAGTCACCTGAGAGTAAGATTTTGACTCAAGATAATATACCCACTCAGTCTAGAAGAGGAACCTGCAGTGATTGGTGCTGGAATCCTTAACTTACCACGACAAGCCATGCAAGTACTTCAACGCAGATGGATGTCTTCAAGGATATGGAGGTGGGCTTCTGGGATCAAGCTTGAATAAGTTACTGTGTGCACAGTAATGAAATGATTGCGGAGTATTGATCCAGGTTCCAAAGCAGTTGTTGAGCCATGAACAGCGCGGTGCCTACTAATCATTCAAGCTTTTGTTGCCTCAACAATGCCAGGTTAACCCGTTATCTCGAAAATTTTACAAATTTTGTTAAACATAAAGAGATATTAACCTTTCAGGATTACTATTTAAAGCTTCACATTTCCCCCTATTTCACAACTTTTGATCATTCCCCCTCATCATTCCCCCTCATAATTTCCCCTCATAAATTTCTCATGCCCTACTCACTCTTCCCCTGGGTTTGGTTCTTTCTTTCTCTTACACTTTCCATGGGCGTTAACTTGGTGGAAACAAAATATGTATTTTTAGACTTTTTCACCAAGCGATTCGCCCATGGAAAGAACAACAAAGACGTACGATCACGTCGTCTAATACACGTCGTGTGGCACAAGGATCGAGAAGGGCTCTGCTCCCGGGCCGAACAGGTGTTCAGATGGCAGCCGGCGCGACTGTTTCTCTATGGCTATACCAAAGACGACGATGGCATCGAGCTCTGGCTCTTCGATCGTATTGGCATCTACCGGACAGGGCCTATCCTCCCCAAGCAACTGACCCTCAAGAAACTCATAGCCTACTACAAAGGAATGTCCGATTACCAACTTGGCCTCAACCCATTGATTTGTACCGACGAATCTGGACATGAATGCATTTTTGTGAAGGGCTCGGGAAAGCTCGAGTCTTGCCTCAGCGACTCTCCGAGAGAATACAAACTCCGTCTCGATAAGGACCCCATCACCCACACTCGGGACATCGTCAGTCACAGACCGGTGGTTTACTGTGCAAGAGATGACTATGGTGGGGAGTTTGTGGTTAAGTTCTCCGTCGACAAAGCTCAAATCTCTCATGAGGAAAGGCTTCTGCGCCGAGTCACGGAACGCAAGATATGGGGCGTTGCTCAGCTCGTTGATTTTCAAACTCGAGGGGCCGGCGAAACTACCTCGTCCTGCATCGTCACGGCTCCCTTCGCCCGTGACCTTGAGAGTTATCATTCGATTGAAGAGCTGTTGCGATGCTTCCGGGACGTTATCAAAGGTCACTACTTTTTGTATCATGATGGTAAGATCCTCCATCGGGATATCTCGGTGGCAAACATCATGATCAACAATTACAAGAACAGCCCAGATGTACCATGCGGTATACTCATTGACCTCGACCGTTCCCTAGACCTTGAGACTGAGCCGAAGAAACCGTACAACTTGCAGGGTACGAAGGCATTTATGGCTATCGGCATATTACGGCACAAGGATTATATTCTGCACACCTATCGCCACGACCTAGAATCGATCTTCTACGTCTTCCTATACTTGGCAGTCTGCCACAACAAAATGCTTCCCAAGACCAGCCGGCTAAGGCGTTGGATGGACGCGGAAAAAAGCTGGGCCGAGATGGGCAACATCAAGCGGGAGGACATGTCAGACAACAAAAATTTCAACGCCATCATTGACGAGTTTGAACCGTTGGGGTTCAGACAACTTGAGGCTTTGGCACGACAACTGCGCTCAATTCTGTTTTTCCCAGACAAGGAGTTTTTCGTGGGCACAAAGACTGAAGCGGAGGATGTTCTCAAACTTTACAATGAAATGATTGTTGCCTTTGCGAGGTGGGCAGATAAATTAGATATCAGTGGTGTGGTTTGGTGATAAATGCAAATTAACCCCCCCTCCCCACCCCCCAGAAGAGGAGAATATCTATCGCTGTCTGAATGTGATTAATGGTTGAATGACTGTGTTCAACATCTAGGCGAGATAGATCGACGGTGCGGACAAGAAGCCCTCAGAGAATAGAAATCTGATAATACCAAATAAAGACAAGAGGAGAAAAGAAATTTAAACTCGGTGGAGGTATCCATTATAAGAAATAAGCCGAGTAAACCGGAAAATAACAAAAAAGATATTAATGATAGAATCACGGTGCAGTTGCAAGTCTTACAAAATATAAGGCATGTCGTTAAGCATAGATTACAAGTTTTTGGATGTACCTACTCTTAGGTGACATCATCTTAGTCTATACGTATTCGAATACGACTACGTACTCTGTAAAATGCCTGAAACTCTTAGAAACAAGGGCAAAATGTACTGGTCTCTCGCGTTATCGGATAATAATACTAGGCCGCAACCCGAACTACGGGTAAAACTGGCCGTTGTGAGAGGAGTTGACTTGGTATCCAATCATAGAACTTCAATTAATCCTCCGTCAAACTCAGCGGTACATGGCTTTTCGGTGATATCGCCTGCAGATCGTAAGTATCTCGTCAGCGCTAGGATCACTTCACGCTAGTAAGGAGCTTCCTCCACATAAGGGGCATACTTTCGTATTCGGATCTTGTAGAAACTGCCCCAGATTGGGAAAATCTTGGATAAGCGAGGTCCCGGATCGTAACTACGCTTATGTTTTAAATATCCAGCTTACCCCCAGCCGATAGAGACATCTACAACAATTCAATTCAAGCTACAGAGACTATGCTCCGCGAGATACTTTACGGTATAGCAGGGTTCGTCCTGCTGGCCTACGGGTCAGAATGGATCATGTCATTGTTTGACGATCCTCGCGAGCCTAAGCGTCTGCAGTCCAAAATCCCACTCTTTGGACACTTGCTGGGCATGATGAAGTACAGTTCGGGATATCATGGGATTACGAGGTAAATACATCTAAGCATACAGATACGTTATTGCTAACACCATCATAGCAAGCAAACAGACCAGGAAATCTACACGTTCGCTATCTTCAACACAAAACTCTACATCGCCAAGACCGCACGTCTTATCCCCGTTATCCAAAAAGCCTCAAAGACACTCTCTTTCCGCCCCTTCATGCAAACAGCTGCTAAACTCATGGGCGGTGCCAAGCCCGAGACCTTTGAAGTTTTCGGTACCGAGTGGGTCGATACTTTTAGCCATGCTCATAAACACAGCTTGGCCCCTGGACCAAGCCTTGATGAGCAGAACCTTCGTATGGGTGATCGTGCCTTGATTGACATTGGGCAACTCCTACCGAAGGAGAAGGATGGTGTCTCCAATGTTCGTTTGTGCGAGTGGTCAAGGTACACTGTTGTTCAGGCTAGTGCGTGCGGTATCTTTGGTGTTGAGCATCCTTTCCGTGACCCCAAGATCGATGAAGCATTCTGGTGAGCCATGATCATTTCTACACCATATCACAAGACTAACAGATACAGGAAATGGCAATCCTACCTACCTCTTCACATGGTCAATCTCGACATTACTGGTAAAGGTTACGCTGCTCGAGAAATTGTCTTTGATGCTTTCCGCAAGTACAACAAGTCTCTCCCCAGCGACGTATCTCTGGTTTACAAGGAACGCCTTCGATCTATGCAAGAAGCTGGAATCGACGAAGATGATATTTGCAAACAACAAGCTACTTTTGGAACTGCTGCTTTTGCCAATACTTTCCCCATCTTGCACTGGACTATCTACGAGCTGTTCTCTCGGCCCGAGCTTCTTGAGGAGGTACGAAAAGAGGTTTCTGAGAAAGCCATCAGTGGAGACAGCAAGACCGGCTTCAAATTGGACGTGGCTGCTTTGAAGACAAAATGCCCTTTGATCTTGTCGATTTTCCAAGAGACGCAACGAATGCGACACGTACACGCCAACATCCGTAAGATCACCGAGGATACTCTTCTTGATGGAAAATACCTTCTCAAAGCAGGCCACTATGTAATGATGCCAGGTCAACCCGTCCACACCAACAAAACAACCTGGGGCGAATCCGCCGACCAATTCGACCCCTACCGCTTTGTGCCCAAGGATTCTTCGGATCGCAAGAATGTGGCCTCAAGCAGCTTCGTTGCTTGGGGTGCGCCACTTCATCTTTGCCCTGCGCGTCAATTCGCCTCGACTGAGATTCTCATTGTTGTTGCTCTCCTTGCCACTCGTTGCGAGATAGCTCCCACGACGGGCAAGTGGGTGAAGGACCCTGCTCTGTTCACGGGCGATATGGCCACCATGTATACTCCCAAGAAAGACATTGAGGTTGAAGTGAGGAGTCGTGAAGAGTGGGATGGGCAGTGGAGTTTGGAAATGGGAGAGAGCAAGACGCGCATTTCCCTTGCTTCTGGTTAGAAACACAAGCGTTCAATTTCCACATATACTCGCTTTTTATTACTTTATCAACCGTGGCAAATGCAAGTCCCCGTGAGGGACTTATAACGTCTAAGAGTTGATCACTCACACTGATTTTATACATCACGCGGGTCATTGACTTTTCCATTCGTAAATTGATACCTGTATGAATCAAGTGGCAAGAATGACTCACTGAATTAGTTCCGAGCTGACTATCAAGGTTGGTCTAGTTGATAGTCGGAGCGTAATTCGGCCCCCGATAATTCCGAGGCTATAAGACTCGTGATCTGAATCGCCAGCGAAAATCCCTGATTGCCGGCCAAATATTGTTAGTGCAACAGTGAAAGATGCCTTGTGAGGCTGAAAAAAGACATTTAAGGGCATGCACGAGCATGAGCATGAGATGCCTTGATTCCCAATTGCGCTACGGCAGGTTGCCTCATTCCAAGTTACATCCTATCATGCTCTAATGACTTATCCACTTTTGGGGCTCAGCTCCGATTTGTTCATCGGTGAGGGGTCAGCAGCCTCAGCAGGGCCAGCACCAAAGTACCCGAAACATCTCTTCCACACTTGATAGGGCTGATGTGTTGATGCCTATTTTGCGACCGTAAGCAGTAAAGGTCGGCTGTTTCAACCCAAGCATCATTCTACTACCGGAGAATTTATATTATCCCCAGCTCGCTCCTACTTTATCCTTCCTGTATCCATTATACTACCCTACCCTTCTCAGGACACATGCCAGGATGACTATCGACCAGGATTCCATCGTCTCCAAACTGAAAGATATTTCTATGTTGGATCATGCTGAAGAAAGCGAAGATGCCACCGATAAACATCATGCAACGGAGCATGACCATCAAGCCGTCGCAGGTCTCCTCTCAGAGCGAGAGAGTGAGGCTTGGCAGAGAGCCATAGAAAAGGTCATTGGTTGCGTCGTGTCCATCAAATTCTCACACCCTCACAACTTCGATACGGAAATCGCAAAGACGAGTGAAGCAACCGGGTTTGTTGTCGACGCAGCAAGAGGGTGAGACACTCCCATTCAGCAAAACTTGATCACATGTGTACTAACTGTTGAAGTCTTGTCCTTACTAACCGACATGTTGTTGGTCCTGGACCGTTCTCGGGATACATCGTGTTTAATAATCAGGAAGAAGTTGATGCATATCCTATCTACCGCGACCCCATCCATGATTTCGGCTTCCTCAAATTCGACCCCAAGGCGGTCAAGTACATGGAGCTCACCGCCATGGAACTACGACCTGATCTTGCTAAAGGTTAGTTATTCAGAACTTCGATATAGGGATATCTACTAAAAAAATATAGTCGGGACCGAGATCAAGGTCATTGGCAATGACAGTGGTGAAAAGCTGGGTATTTTATCTGGATTCATCAGTCGTCTTGATCGGAATGCGCCCATCTACGACGGGTACATGGACTTTAATACTTGCTACTTCCAGGCGAACGCCTCTGCAGCTGGTGGAAGCTCAGGCTCTCCAGTTGTGAATGTCGATGGTTATGGCATTGCCCTACAAGCTGGTGGACGCTCTGATGGCTCAACCGATTACTTCTTGCCCCTCGATGGTCCGCTGAGCGCACTGAAGCAGATACAGAACGGCGAAAAGGTAAAGAGAGGTGAGATACAGACCGTGTTCAAACTCAAACCTTTCGATGAGTGTCGAAGACTTGGACTTAGCCCTGAGTGGGAGGGTGTGCTCCGCAAGTCTTTCCCTGGGGAAAACAACGTGATCGTCGCTCTTGACGTCCTGCCTGAGGGACCCTCGGATGGTAAATTGATGGAGGGAGATATTCTCATCAAAATCAATGGGGAACTCGTCACCCAATTCCTTCATCTTAATACCATCTTTGATGAGAATATCGGCAAGACTATTCGATTGCTTGTGCAGCGCGATGGAGAAGATATCGAGGAGGATATCGTCGTCCAAGACCTGAATGAAATCACGCCCAGTCGCTTCGTCACTGTCGGAGCAGCCTGTTTCCACGACCTCTCCTATCAAATCGCCCAGAGATACGTCCTTCCTTGTCGTGGGGTCTATGTCAGTAAGGCTGGTCCTTTGAACCCAACACGCGACAATTACATTATGGTTGATAGCGTCAACCACAAGAAAACGCCAAACCTCGACGCCTTTGTAGAGGTTCTGAAGGATATTCCTGATAGAGCTCGAGTTGCTATCAAATATTGGTACGCCTGGGAGCGTCACACTGTACGGACGGCCGTGGTCGCTATTGATCGACATTGGTTTCAGAAGATGAAGATGTTCACCAGGAACGACACAACAGGCGTCTGGGATGTTGAGATTCTTGCCGAGCCTTTACCTGCTGTTCGGCCAGTTACTCTCAGTGCGTCGTTTGACACACTAGAACACATCCCACTTCGAGCTGTTGCCGATATTGTGAAGAGCTTTGTTCACCTCAAGTTCTCTGCACCAGTTCTTATCGATGGCCAGTCAACGCGCGTTAAGCTCGGTATGGGTCTTGTCATCGATGCCGAGAAAGGATATGTGATCATCTCCAGAACTATCGTTCCGACCAAGATGTGCGACATCGAACTGACATTCGCCGACTCGGTTCTTGTCCCCGGAAAGGTCATTTTCCTCCACCCGTGCCATCACTATGCCATCATCCAGTACGACCCTAGTCTGGTGGACGCGCCAGTCAAGAGTGCAAAGTTCAGTACAGAGCGTATTTCACAAGGAGCCGCGACCTTCTTTGTAGGTCACAACGACTGTGATGAGATGGTATATGCTTCGACAGCCGTCACCAAAGTCATCCCGCTTGAGAGAGAGCCCCCAAACCCACCTAGAGCTCGGCCGATCAACGTCGATAGAATTGACGTGGAGACTAGAATCGGCAATCATTGTGGAAGCGGAGTTCTTATTTCTGAAGAAGGCATTATTCAGGCACTCTGGGTCATTTACGAAAATGAGGATCTTGACGAAGCTTGCTTTGGTTTGAGCTCCCAGGCCATTGCCCCGATTGCGGAAAAGCTTAGCCAGGGCATTGTGCCCAGCCTTCGAAGCCTTTTTGTGGAGTTGGAAGCAGTCACAATGATCGAAGCCAGAGTTATGGGTGTTTCTGAGGAGTGGATAGGACAAGTCCAAAGCAAGACCTCGGATCGCCGTCTCTTCATGGTCAAGCGGGGTTCTAGCCCATTGCCCGATCAGCTCCGAGAGGGAGACGTCCTTCTTACGCTGAATGATAAGCTCGTCACTCAAATCTCCGATCTCGATGTCATGTATTGGAACGAATCGCTGGATGTTGTAGCCGTGCGTGGCGGTGAGCAAATCAGCTTCAAGGCCGAGACTGTTGTTGAAGACGAGTACGAAACATCACGAGTCGTCAACTTCTGTGGCTTAACTGCCCAGAAGCCTCATCGTACTGTGCGGCAGTGTATCAGGAAGTTACCGAGCGAGGTGTACATCACGAGCTGGCTGATAGGAGCACCGGCAAATCTGTACAACGTGTACGCAACGACCTTTATTACTCACATCAACAACAAGCCCACACCCGATCTCGAGGCATTGATGCAGATCATTTCTAGTATTCCCGACAAGACATGTAAGTTTCAAACCTAATGCGGCAAGCATGTATCTGACTTGTTTAATTATAGACTTCAAGATCAAAATGACGGACTATTCAGGAACTCCATCCGTAGTCACCATCAAAAAGGATGAGCGCTACAACCCAACTGTGGATTGGGTTACCGATGCTTCGCATGCAGAGGGTTGGAGAAGAATTACGTACGAGGATGGCAAGGCTGTGCAGGGCGAGGGCCTATACGGCATTTCGCTGTAATAGTACTGATGGGGATCAAGGCAGTAGGCTTTGGAAGAGAAGGTCACCTGACGATTGAATGACGTGTAACATACATCTCCTATCCTACAGCGTTTAGACATTATCGAATAAAGACCAGAATATGTCATAATTGAAAGACCAGCGCTATGTTTGGGTATGTGAACGCTTCCGTCGTTCCCATGCAGGAGGGCAACCGCTTATTCGTAGTATATGTTGGTAGCAGACCAGCTCACGCGAGAATCGATCAAGGGAATGCTTACATCTTCTAATTATTATAGATCAGTCCAGCAAAATGTAAGATGAACAAAACCAGTATGATTACCCAACTGGAAGTATGTAACGAGACATCAGTTGTCATGAGCTTCCACTTCCACGATGAATTGCACAATGGATGGTAGCTGGGAACCAAACTCGGACGGCGTGATGTTCAAGTAACGATAAGAGAGGAGCCAAATGAGTCATGGTCTTCAGCGCATGGCGAAGGGGAAGATATATGAGTTGAAGATTGTAATCACCAACATTAGGCTCGCTTCATATATCTAAATTCTGACCGAAACATCTATCAATCTCATGACAGCTTCGTCAAAAACATACCCGGTCTGGTGGTCTAGTGGTATGATTCTCGCTTAGGGTAAACCCTACAGCATTGCTTGCGAGAGGTCCCGGGTTCAATCCCCGGCCAGACCCTTTCTTTTGTCGTATTCACGATTTAGATATGTTTGCTTTTTTTGTTTTGCGTTGTTGAAATGTGGCCTTTTCGTTTTCTGTGGCTATGCAAATGTCGGGGTGTGTGGCTGTGCTAAGTGGCTGCTCTCTAGGCTGAGTAGCACTCATAATCGTCTTTATTCTCCAGATCGAAAGAGGTCTTTGCACAATTAGTTTGCTGGTTATCTTTTTGGAACAATTTCTGGTTATCATTATGATACAACCCTTCAAAGGTCCAATACGTGGCAAATTACAGGATGTGTGGTACGGAAACAGTTGCGGTTATGGACATCCGAGATACTGCATTGATCACATTCCGACCTGTTCTCATCACACTGGTCTTTCATTCTTTATTGAAGTTGTCAATTGTTCGCCGCCCTCTGTACATCTCAACGGCTGTAGCGGTCGAGGCCATAACAAACTCAGCCAGACAAAAATGTGTAATGTTGATGGAATCGACTGTACCGGATTTGTACTAGCAGAGGAATGTAGAATGTCGCCTGGACGCATTTGTATAGTCTCACATACCTGAAATAAAGGAGCCGCATTGGCCTTCACTTCATGGGTCTGCAACTTTCAGCTCCTCATTTACTATCCCAAGAACTAAATCGCCCTTCCTGTACTTAGTCTAAATGCTTCGGCCCGGACGATATCACAATCCCGGCGGGAGTGGCTAACTATAAGTGAAGTCTACAGTAAGAGATCTTCAACAGCAATACTGTCATCAGCTCCGTCATGGAATGAAGGGTCCAGAGGAGTAAGGTTTTGCCTGGATTGGAAAGAGACACGACCAAGCCTTCATCGTCATATCAAGAATAGACATGGACAGTACCATCTGCAAATCCATCACAGGAGATAACCATCCGGATTTGTCAAAAGCAGGCCCCGAACTTTAAACCCGTGAGATAACAGGGTCCCGTGTAAACCACACTTGTCAAGGGGTAGCTCCATGCCAGCTCTAAACTTTAATCGTAAGCTTAAGCTCAACGCATCGCGGATGCTAGCCCAAGCACGCATTTGGCGTCAGTGGCTGTAGCTTCAGGGCAAAAACGGATAGCTCAAGTGTCACACTGATCGAAAGCTGACTGCATGATGGGAGATCAGCAGAAATGACGGCGATTCCAATCGTTAGATGAGGCGAAACTCAACTTTAATCTCAGTCTCCGATCACTCTTGCACCAGGTACTATAAAGGTCTCTATGTCTCATATCTCATGACTTGATAGTTCCAATACAACGCAACATACAACTCTTATCCCTCACAGCAAACAATTCTTGTCACAAATACCATGAAGGTTTACTTACTTACCGTTGCAGCTCTGGTAGCTAGCTCCTTTGCTGCGCCTGTTGCCGAAAAGCCCTTTACCAAGCGACTATCTCATATCGTCGAGACCTTTTCCCACAACCTACCAACCAGCCCCGATGTAGATCTTCATCCTCTGAAGGATGACGACAAGGAAAAAAGGGCTACGGCCAATGCTAGACGTTCCGGAGCCAATTTGGATGCGCAGAAGTCCCATTCAAAGAGGCTGTTGGCCGATCTTGGATTGACACGTTTCAGGAATGGCGACGACCTCATTGGGGCCCTGGAAAGTCTGGTTAAACAGATTACTGCTCACAGCGTCAAGATCAGTTCGTCATCCTCCCACAAGGCTTCTTGAGGGTTTACTAATGCAGACTAGATGCCACTCTCAATGGTGTCCAGGCCGGCAAAACCACCAAGGCCAAGGCCAAGCTTGATACCACAAAAGAAGTCATGCAAATGCGGACCGTTCTCTCTGGCTTCTTGACTAGACTTGCCTCCTCGCGCAACCTAGGTTTTAACGATTCCCAAATCGAAGACATCGTTGACCTTCTTGACAAACTTATTCTACAGATCGTCGGTACCGTTGATAGCATTCTCGGCGGATTAGGTTCTCGCAACGATATAACCTCACCGTTAAACCCTCTTATAAACATGCTCACCAACCTCGTGAGCAATTTAGGCGTTTCCGATACTGAGCTTGGAGCCCAGCTACGAGAGCTCTTGGGTTCCATCCTCAAAGGACAAGTCAGCGGTGACAAGGTTGGGCTCAATGCCCTCCTGAGTGGTCTAGAGAGCCCACTTCTAAGTCTTCACGGTATCCTTGGTGGATTAGGCAAGACGAACTAGATATACTCCCCTGTTGGGACGTGTATTTCTTAGCTGCTAGCGGATGGATGCAGGGGTCACTCTTTTTGGGCAGATCATATGATACCACTGGAAATGTCGTCTTTCCTACCTTCATTCTTTCTTCTCCATACTTCCATAGTTCCGAGGCACCCAATGATAAACATGTTAATACCTAACCCCTACCGATAAATGTTGGTCGCTCATACTCCGTATTATCCACTTTCGTGCTTCCACATACCGCCAAGCATGTCGCACTATCTACCAACAGCAAGCGATGCTTGCATGCAATCCGACCGCCCGGCCAAGAGGCCAGAAAGAACAAGCGGTGAAGGGTCAACCACGGGTATGATCATCCAGCAAGAAACTCTATGCGGCTTGCGCAGTTGGTTCCAACAAGACGCCGTCTATGCCTGTCCTTATCAATTACTAATACGGCAACCCCGGACAGGCTATGCAAGCGAGTTTCGGCAAACCTTTGGGGTTTTCTTATGGACAGGGGCACTTGATAAGATACGTTGTTGCATTTTGTTGCGCCCGGACGGACTTAGACCCCAGATGATGTCTACTCTGTGAGGTGTTGGGCGAGCCGCAAATTCGACAGCGATACAAGCACTCGAGCCAACGGGTTTGTGATTATACGGCAGCGGGCCGTGCGAGCAGGCCATTGGGAGTATATGCACGAGTCCATGCGTAAAACCATGCATCTTGATTGGCCCTACATAACCGTAAGTGTAACCTTCCCTTTGGTGTTATCACTAATCTGATTTTATAGAATGGCGTGAATGGCGTGAATGGACGAGGCCGCTAGAACAAGATCGTCAAATCTCAGTACTCTAAATCCGGTGAAGAGAATTTCGTGGACATTTTCAAATGCATCACCCATGTCGGCTCCATGATCATTTAGTGTTTATTAACTATTCTCTTTAGTCAGTAGATTAATTATCTTCCAACTGCTTCAACTATGCCGTGCACTGTTCCTTTTTCTACTTTAACCTCTAACTTTATTAAACCTAAGGTTTTTAAATGTCTCAATAGTATTAATAATACAAATAACTCCTTTTGAGGTTCAAACTTGATATAATTAAGGCAGCAGAAGTCATAAACAGCAACCAAACTCTATTTAAATGAACATATAGAACAGCCGTATGTATAAAAGCTGGCTTTTCCTCCTACATCCCTCAACCTATTCTACACCACAAGCACACTAGGGCAGAAATGTGGAAGGTCAAATGTGTTACTGGGAGGATGCGTGTTCTGTTGGTTAAAGTTGAAGTTAAAGTCAAGGCAGCCCTTCAGGCCGAGGAATCGAATCAGATCATGTGGCCCTCATCAAAATCTTACTGTACCTTCTTCCGTGATGCAATGTATAATGGTATCAACAGTGTCATTAACTGAGTGCCGAGTACCATAATGGTGGTCTACATGGTCTTCTTAAAACGGAGCGGCACTATTACCTTGTCACCCACTTTAAGTTAACGATGGGGGATGTAGCCCCCCCTAATTGCTGATGAATCCGATTGATTGAATTTATGGGGTAGAGTCTTGTACAGCCAGTAAAGCATTAGAAGACCGGGTTCATATCCCCTTTGTTAACTCAAGCGAAATCAGTATCTTAGCGACTGTTATTAATAGGTCGTCGAATGATTCACAAGACAAAAGACCATCCCAGACCTAGCGCCATGACAGCCGGTGCACTAAAGTTAAGTTGAACCTGCTTTTTGAGAGATGTTATGAACGCACTTTTTGGTCTGTGAGCACAGCCTCGTTCCAATCCCAAATCTCTTCTTGATCTCCAGGTAAAAAAGAATTAAGTCTCTGATACTTAACTTCATAGAACTAGAAAGCCAGGCTATACTTGAAAAAAAGATTAATGGAGATCTATAAATATCTAAAATAATTAGGTAATGCTTTACATATTCAAGGCGACTTTTGCGCGTATTGGGCCCGGTGCGCGTAACAGTGGCCCGTATTCGACTGTTTAATCTCATTAGACTTATTTCATATTTATTCCCCGTTGATTTTATAGCAAACTAAGCTAATTGAGGTACTCAACACCGAGCTTAACGCACGTGGCACACTTGAAAATTAGATATAAATTGGCATGGGAGCTTAACCACACGAATGGATTTTGAATATCAAGCCTTTAACCTGCCAGAGACTGTGCATGATGGTGATCAAGGCGACATTGCTGTCGCTCATCCTGCCCGCAGTGGTCGCGTTCGGACCGAATAACCACACTCAACCCAACAACCAAACGGCTTGCTTAACTTCAGAAGCTTCCATAAACGGCACAATTCCATCCAACGACACAATTCCTATCAACGGTACCTTTCCTAACGGTACTTTCCCCGAAGACAATACGCCATGGGTTCCGACATGCAAGCTGCCCAGGAATGATTTTGCGTGGTTGGGTGTTGGACATGGCTTTATGCCAGATTGCGTCTCTAGCAAGGGCACTATCCAAGGCTATATGATCTTCGTCGACTTTTCCGATGCAGAGGCCTTGGAAGGAGAGACTCCGAAGGACAATTACGATTTCCTGGTTCCCGATGCCAATAAGTGGTTCCAAGAAACCAGCTTTAATCAGCTTCAACTCAACATCACTGCCGATACCTCCAAGTTCTATCGCATGCCACACTCCGCAGAATCATATAACTGGGACGCTGGTTTGAGTAACCAGCAGCACTACAGCTATATTGAGGATGCACTAGATGCATATATGAACGATAGTGCAAATTCAGCCCCAGCAAAAACAGATGTCCTGTACATCGTACCTACACGAAACGCGGCGTGGCTCAGTCGCTCTATGGCCAGTTCCTTCGCTGCCTTCACTCGAGATAACCAGCAAATATCTAACAGAGCTGTTACTTTCGGCGTCGACCCTTACAATAACTGGGGATATAAAGCTCTCAACCATGAGACTGGTCACACTATGTGTCTGCCCGATCTATACCCCATTGATTCTAACTTTCCTACCGGCGAATTCGTCGGTGGCTGGAGTCTTATGGGGAATGTTGGAGGAATTGCCCCCGATTACTTCGCATGGGATAAGTGGAGACTGGGTTGGTTACTTGATGAAGACATCGACTGCGTTCTCGAGCATGGTACCACCAGACATACCCTGACGCCCGTTGAGAATGCTGGAGGCACCAAGGCCGTGGTTTTCGCAGTTAACAAGACGTCGGCTCTTGTTGCTGAAGCCCGTGTGGCCAAGGGTACGGATTCAAAAATTTGTGCTCCTGGTGTTCTTCTGTATACAATTGATACGACTCTCGCCACGGGAATGGGTCCTATTCGTGTTCTCGATGCAACCCCTGGGTCTGATAGTTGTGGCAGTGAGGTTAGCGGCTGGGAGCCGATGAATGATGCGACACTTTCTTTGGATGGGATAAAGTCGTATGAAGTAGCTGGATGGGGTATTAAGGTCACTTTGGTTAGCAGAGAGGATGATAAGTATATGATTGAGGTGGAATACTGATAATATAGTTCATAGGTTTCAAGGAAAGATTAAAAAAGAATTATCATCACCTTAGAGCTACCTTTACTTTGTTTAGTAGGAGAGGAACACCTTATTTATTAAGGTGGCAATTTAAGAAAGGGATTTCAGTATTGGCAAGGTAGCTTAACACCAATAAAATGTATGCCTATTACCGAATTTATCTTGGTATAGTTCTGTGGATCAATGGTACTATTGCAGGTGGTCCGGCGTTTACCTCAATAGAGGTCGGAATTCATCTAGTTCATATGGTATGGGTATTTTAGTCCGCCGTGTATGTAACCTTTCCCTAAATGACTTAGTTACTTCTCTCTTAATAAGCTATGTCAATAACTCGTAATATATTTATTAATATGCAGACATGTATAGAATTCACTCTCGATTATCCCCTAGACAAACCCAATGCTTCTCTGGTTATAGATACGTCTCCTCCCGCGCCACTTTTTAACTTCTTTGTTCTTCTTCTTTCTTTATTATCCATACCATAAGTCTATAAATACTGATCTTATAGTGTGAAGTGAGGACACAGATCTGAATCATGCGTCGTTTCATTTCCCATCAGGCGAAAATGTTTGCCTATACCAACATGCCTTGGAAGTTGAGTATCAAAGTGGGTAATGTTTTTTGAGACAACTACTATTCGATTTGACATTTTCCTCCACCACGCGGGTTACTATAATACTCGAACGAATGGCAACACGTAGAACTATTCCTAGAACTTCACGCAACATAGTCAACTGGAAGAAGAAAACGCATGCGCTCTTTGGATATATGAAATAGACGTAAAAGTCCGGCGCTAACTATAAAAATCTCACAAAATAACTTTCCTATGTCTTACAAAGAACTGGCCTCTCTCCATGTCGAACGTATCTGCTCAGAGTAGCAGAGTGGAAAATGTTACCATGCAACGCGTCAAACAAAGCAACCACATATACACGCTGTCGGTCGTTGAGAGAGGTATCATGCATGAACTTCTCACACATAGCGTAGAAGTTCTTTTCCATATCCCAGGTTATGTTGCGGGTGATGGTCTTGGCCAGGGGCGCTGGCACACTGAGGAGCTTCTCAATGACATGAACGGCGTTAACTATTGAGCCGCGAACGGTCTTGACCTCGTGAACTTCCTTGTCGTAGGAGTAGAGGTCGTTAATAAGAATGGAGTGCTGAACGTAAAGGTCGGTCATTTCATCAAAAGGCGCAAGTTCCTCTCTTGTTTGTTGTACGCCGCAACCAAAGCGAATAGCTGCTATCATAAATCTGAACTGCTGTTAGCTCGTGGTCATATAATTCCAAACTAAAATTTACTTACGGCTTGCCAACGTCATTTCGTCGGTAGAGCATATAATCGGCAAGTGTGGGGTAGTGGTCTTGCTTGAAAGGAGACTTTACACGGCCATCGCGAACAAAGATGTTGATGGCCTGGAGCAGATCAGGTCCGAGAACGGGATCCGTTTCTAAGACTTCTGCAAAAAAGCGCTTGAGATGTTGGTTCTTGGGGGCCATGGTCAGGAACTCATCCACCACCGTTGTTTCCTGGTGAATGTTAGTCCAGTAAGGTACAATGGATTCTCGTGATTTGGTAGCTTACATTTTGGGTGGCACCACGCTCAATAACATCTGTTGCGAGTATTTTAGCATAGTCTCAAACTTCAATGGTTGCTGGACATACCATCGTGGAGAAATAGAAGCAAAACTGATTGAGTCAGCAGAGCAAGTCTGGTAGGACTTGATGTTGGATAGAGATATGCGCAGCAAGAGATAGCATCCTCGACAAGTTCATCAATCTTCCACTTGCGACGGTCATCCTCCAACTCCATAGGCAGACTGCCTCGCTCCGAGGCCTTATCTGCACTAATGCGATTCACCAGATCCCGTCCGGAAGCCTCGGCATGAGCCCAGAACTTGGACTGTCTCACCCAAGGAAGAGATGTGTGCCACGGCACGCCCAAGTCCTCGGGGTATAGTGTGAGAGGGGAATCATCGGTGACAGTCTTCTCGCGGAAGAGAGACGCAAAGTCAAGAGTGGGCACGCTGAGGGTGTCAGGTCCCACGGGGTCGAAGGCCTTGTCTAAGGGTCTAATGGGCAAGTCTTTGTGAGGCATTGTGTAAGATATGGGATGTGAAGAGTCCGAGGTGACAATAATAAGAGTGGTGATGCTAAGATGAAGGATCGTATAACGGATCGAATCTAAGATATCCGCGATGATTGCGCCACTCGTAGGATTTATGTCTTTTTGCGATTACCGGGACGGCGGTGAACAGACCATGAATTGACTGACAGGCGGCTGCTTCGGTACGGCACGACTCCATAACGGCTAGAGCCGCTAGGGGAAGCAAAATGAATTCTAGCAAGGGTTGGGGGCCAAGCTCTGCAACGGTTATGTTGCCATAGCAGTTAGACTCGTCTAGCGATTGCAGGTGATGTCCCGCCTCCCGGTTGTGATTCGACGAGTACCGGCATGGTGTGTGATAGCCAAGCACGGTACATACAGTGCATACTCTTGGTATGGAGAAGTAACTGCAACGCAACCTCACCTCAAGTGGCACTACGACACAACCACATGTGTTTCCTGCTCTGTTTTGCGTGCCTACGTGGTATGATTACAATTCGTCCTGGCCTCACCCACATCTCCTGCTACCCCCCTGGACCGCATTCGCGGGTCTAAGGTCCACTTTGGGTGTAGACTGACGGTATGGAATACTACCTGGACCCGGTGTAGGCATCCCACAGGATCCGGCTAGGGATGACACAATGCAGATCGGCCTGCTGCCCTGAGACCAGCGGCACTTGCAGTTGCATCCCCACTGTAAAGGAGGTCCTCGGGTTCGGTTTGGGGTCAATTAATAATGCTATCTCTCCAGATAGGACGATGGGGTCAAGCCAAGATCGAGCCGGCCATGACAGACATGCTAATTCCCGCAAATCCATGGCCTCGAGTCGACCCGCTAGACAAGACGGGGGGGCCCTGCTAGGGAAAACCGAAAACTTAATGCAGCTCAGTGTCGCAGTTTGCAACAGTTGTATCTGCTAGAGCCAACAGCTCGGATTCCCCTGCAACTTTATGTTCATGGCCTACCGTTTCCGGGAACCCTGCTCCACCTGTTTGTCGTCAAAACATTATCCTTGCAATTGCCAGGTTCCTCATTCGACAGGCCTCTGGCCCGGGGCAGGGTTAAGGTCGCCGGAGCATGTAGGCCAGGACACGCAATTGGTACAATTGGTACTAGCTTGAGCGGTCGTTCGAATTGCTTTGTCGGATAAGTTCTCGCGGTTTGGGTTTGGCCCATGTTTGAGAAGCAACCTACGGACCAGGATACCGGAGGCAACGTCCCATTCTACATCAGTGGGGATCGTTATCACACGAGAGTCCCGGGTTTGTGGGGGTTTCATATCTGTTGCACATAGTTTGATGATTCAAAGTTTACATCCATAAATTATTGCCTTTATACCACATTGCCTTTGATGATGTCAAAATATTTGAAAGTTATGCTCAACAAATAATCAATTTAATCTACTTCAAAATGCGGCGCAAAATTCAGCTCGCTCGTGCTAATGCAATCCAGATTCCTCTATCGCATCCAGATACCATCCATTCAATCCATGCCCTATCATACAAATCCTGAAAAGTCAAAGACAAAAGAAATCGTCGCCAAGTCTACCAAGATGCTTATCAGTGACTACTTCTTCTTGTTGGACTGCAACTCAGGCTCTAGAAATTTGAGGACACCGGCCAAGCGCTTGCGAGCTCGCTCCTTGATGGCACTGATCTTTTTGGGGCTCCTGTTGCCCTTGCAGGAAGAGTTAGCGGGAGCGCTGTCTTCCTTCTTCCCCTTTGCCTTGGAATTTCCGAGAACCCCACCAGCGAACATGGCCTCAGTCTCATCCTCATCCTCAGGATCTAAGGCGTTGGGAAAGACGACTCCCAGACCGTTGATCCAGCTCTGGACTTCCGGCATGTGAAGGGAACCTTCGTCATTCATGGCGTCATGGATTTGACGACGAAGGGCCGCTGTGTCTATGACCTCGACGTTGGTTGCCGCTGGAATTTCCTTCTTGGGCAGCTGAATGCCACCGTCAGTCCAATCAGAGCTCTTGTCACCTTCAGACTCGTCCAAAACTTCGACCTGGTTGACTGCGTTAGGGATGAACTCGAAAGTATCTTCAGCAGACTTGCTCTCACCTGACTTTGTGTGTTCAGACATGTTGGCAAAAGTTTGATGTTGAGAAGATGATTGTCGAAAGATGTAAGTTGTGAGTTTGCCCTGTGGAAAATGGTCAGTTGCAGAATACCAAAGTCCAAAGTTGCAGATGGTTGGGAGAAGGTTTGTTGCTGAATAGGTGCGATTGATGGATTTTATACCCATTTGACGAGACAGTGAAGACATATCAGACCGCAGCTGTTCGGGGAACATCGCTGTGTTATTGGCATTGATTGTATGGTTCCAGTGTGAACATATGGCTGGAGAGGCTGGATAGTCCCAACAGGCTGGCTAATCTTGATGTTCACTCTCCATACCTTAGATGAGATTTCTGTCCGAATACTATGTCCATATTGTTCACGAAACTGGAACTGGAACTATTCAGAGACGCGCCAAAAGCATCCGAACATCATTTGAACTGTCATATGAGGAGCAAACTATCATGGTCGCCTATGAATGCTGACCCACCTTATACGACTCACCAAATTCGCTCTTGGAGTGCAAGCGCAACTTTCATGGATGTTCGTCTAGGCTAAGGCCCATAGGGCTATTTATGAAATGTTCCCAGATAACTTTTCCCAGATCCACATTGTGCCCTTCAAATAAAGAGGTGGCAGTTAAACTGAAACTGGTTACTATCAGCTTGAGTGCTGTATGTGAACTTCCCATGTGAAGGGCATCTAAATCGTACAGTTGATCCGTCGTCTGCATAACAGCTTTTGATGCCATACTTCTCCACAAGGTCCACACTTCGGACAGGCAGTTCGAAGGGTCAGTACACTAGTCTCAGGTGCCAGGAGCTCTCTATAGAAGTCGCGCCTGCTGATGAGATATAACGTAGAACTGCCGGTATTTCAGGGTTGCTCATAAATTCCCCGTTCGTTCTGATGCGGTGGTGCACATTGTACCTACTGGCGAGACTGGCTACGAGCTCAACGTAGCTGGGAAGATATCTCTGGAACTTGTCCTCATTCTGAAGGCTTTTCCGGTAGGCAATCCCGCTAATTCCCATCTTTTACTCTTTCACGCGGTCAGATAGATCGCATGTAACAGAAACGTTCAACCCTTCATCGACTAAGCGATGAGCGATTATGAATGTTAGCCCAAGAAAGCATAAGGTTCCGACATGAGGTGCACAATTGGGCCGGATGATTACATCAAACTCGGTTCTGCGATCTGAGTCTGGTAGGAGAGTCCTCAAATATGTGGGATAGCCAGCTTTGAAGGCATACGAACCGCCACCGAGGTCATGGTGAGACGAAAGTTCATACACGACGGGAACTGTAACATCCGTCGTGGTTCTTATAAGATGTGAGATGTGGGCTGCAAGGGTGAGTATAGCTGAAAGACAAAACTGTAAGGGGGAGTCAATACGGGTTTTATACCCATTTAACATGAGACTTTGTGTGGCTTTCAAGGAACACTACGGAAGTATGTGGAAGTCAAGTGTACTTCTCAAGCTTTCCGTTGCCTGTATGACAACAAAGAGCATTTTAATTCTCTAGAAACACCATCAGTCACCTGTCAGGAGTTTTAGCGCGTTGTGCATATATTGCTGTTATTAATTCATTGCAGCAGCACGATATGCTGTGATATGCTTCCTCGACGATTCGTAAATGCTCCCGTCTTCGTTCTTCCAGCCACATTATAGTCTCCCAAGCATGAGTCCAGCTCACAGAACTTTCTTCTGATCCTCCAAGCGGTACTGCGCGACCATCGACTCCGGGACCGTGACCCTGCCCCGTGGCGGAATCTTCATGCCGTGCTCATCCCTCATCATAGCCCAAGTGATGCCTTTGCCTCCTTCAGCGTTGATCTCATACACTTCCTTAATGCGATATGCGTAATCATAGCCCTCGTAGTCTGGACCTTTCTCGTTGTACTCTTTGTTCCCCAGGCCGTCTTCGGGGAGAGGCTCATCGCCATTGTTTTTCGTGGCGGCTTGGTTCACGGGGCAGATGTGCGTGACAGCCGAATGTGGAGCGGTGCGGTAGAACCAGATGCGCTGGATGCCGGCCATGTTGTACTTTCTGAACTCGTATGTCTTTGTGCCGTCGATAATCTGCTGCATGTAGGGATCATTCATGGCGAGAATCATGTCAGAGCGACTGGGGGCTTTGTTGGAGGCGGACATTTTGCGTGAGTTGGTGTTGAAAGATCGAAGAATTATTGAGTGCAATGGTGCGCGGAGAATTTAGTTATTGACATATTTTTGTCGCGCCATGATTCACAGTAAGCCCGAAGTCAGCTGAAGTTACACCTAAATTGCGCGTGATCATAACAGCAGTGCCAGAGCAGTGCCGAGTACAAACTAGACCCTTGGTGGCATTACCTGGCAGGTAACTTTATAGGATCATAATCAAATGTATTTGTCCGTAATAAATACCTAGGGATTAACTTTCTATCTTGGTATATCCTTTGGGCTTGAACCTTGTTGTTTGATGCCACACTTGGAACTCTCTCCCGATTACAAGACAGCCTGGAGTACAAATCTGACTACGTAATGTGAAAATTCGACTATCTTCACACGCGTCAGCTTACACCTCGTGAAGATTACGACGAATCGTAACTGCTTGTTGTTGCACAAAAGATCAACACCTTAAACTCCTGTCCGCAGGCTTGCATCTAGCCTCATTGGCATCAAGCATCTCATCCCAAGCCTGATTATCCTTCAGCAAGGTCCCTTCCTCTGGCTCAAATCCGTCGTAGACTACGGCAAGGCGATTCCTCTTCTCGCGCCATGGCGAAGGCCCAACACCAATATCATACTCGACATACTGCATGCGTCGGTCCCTGGTATCGGAAATCCCCTCACCATTTAGGTACTTTCCCGATGCGAAGATTTCTTTGCATTCCGGCTTCCAATAAGCTCCTCTAGGTATCGGAGCAGGGCACGCGAAATCTCTGTGTTGGTTGTCTGAGGTGCGATGATGCAATACATCATTGTCCAATTTTGCGTACTCAGGATCATACCGCATCGTGTTATAAGTGCTCATTGGCGTGGTGAACCACGATCCACTTCCCATTTTGAGGACTTTCAGTCCTTTCATTGAGTCTTTCCAGTGTAAAAATACCTCATGCCATCGCAGCGGAAATGCGTGCGTCGAGGAGTGATACTGGCCTCCCAAAACAGTAACCCAATCAGGGTATCCGTCGTGGAGAGGCCCGTCTTGGCGAGCCTTGTAGAGTATCGGGCAATCATCAAGGTACAGCTCTTCCAGTCCTCCACTGCCATTCTCTTTCCCAATCCTGGTAAACCACTCAATCTGCCATTGATGAGAGAAGACATAGTTCCCAAGGGCAAGCACCTTCAGGTGATGAAAAGGAGAGTCCTCGCCGATAAGACGAAAATCCATCTTGGGGAACCAACCCCAGTAATCCCGGAAGTACAGTGCCAATACTCTCAAGTGTTGGCTGAGATTAGGAGAAAGCCATGTTTCGTGAAGACTTTGGAAGAAGTAATACTTGTTTTCAAAGTAAATGCCGTTTTCCGGCGAAGATTGGTTTTCTTCCGTGGCGACCAAAAGCTTAAGATCCACCAGACTCGGTATGGAAATGACTGCATTCCAAGCCTCTGATAAGGTGAGATTGGCATCGTCGTTGTCCGCCAGGTTTGTCACTGTCAACTCCCTCAGCGGGAAAGGGCCGTCATTGACAAACTCGAGATCTTGATCGCTGTAGTCAAACTCCTCCATCTCATCTTCAGCGTATAGATATTCAAGCAGGACCTTATCAATTATGCGCTGTTTCTCCAACGTCCACATGCCTGCAGCGCAGTGCATAATAGTATCGAGCACCCGATAGCGCAACTCTGCCACTTCTTCTATGGAGGTTCCATGCGCGTCGTCTTCGCCACAATGCTCCTCGAAGCGGATGTGGAGCGACGTGATGTTGGTGAAATATCTGAGATGAGGGAGGGCTTCCATAAAAGCCTGAGGGAACGGGTAGGTTTGATTGCCGGTGTATTCGAAGTCAAGGTCAACATGAGTGTCTATGGTGATTGTCCGGACGAGTTTGTGGAGTTTTGGGGACTTTGCAATGTTGACGAAGTGCAACCGAGTCTCCAAATGCTTCGAGCCGGAGGCTCCTGTATTGCCAGGGCAGGGTGATTTCATTGAATCGTCGCGAGGCGAGTCTCAAATTTGCAAGACTTTGACGAGTGAGACATGAGCATATTTGATCCCATATCTCGTTGACGAGTATGATATGGCTAGAACATTCAGGCATGATGAGAGAATTGACGTAGAACTGGAAGTATTGAGCCCGATTTTGTTGAAATCCATTCAATTGAGGCGCTGTAGCGCCTTATAAGCCCCCTAGGGCCCCCTCTAATCGAAGCTTTGGCCGCTTCAGTGCCTGGGTCTAATAGGCAGCAAGCTCGCTAAACTATGGCTGGATCCACTAGAGCATAGGTACCTTCGTGACGAGCGTGCAAGGGACCAGCCAGTTAATGGCTTCACTCTCATGTTTCGATGCCTGGTTTGTTAAAGAGACCGATTATTTCTTGATACATCATCTGTAAGCTTGCAAATAACGCGACCTTGACTGAATTACTATTTCATCATGACAATTGACCAACGGGGTGGGAATCTTGCCAATTGAGCAACCGTCAGTTTTAGCAATAGTTTACTGTGACAAGACGCAGCATTATAGCCCTAGGTATTAGTTTTGTCATGTGAATAGTTATTTTGAGCTAAATATTGTCAAGCTCGCACCATTTCGTGTCAGATTGCGGCCCATGCTTACTCTACAATCCTTCGAGTCAAACAAGCTAGCGCTGACATACTGATTTAACCAGCAATCTATTCATAAAGTGGACATCGCAAGGGCTGTCGACTCTTGACAGATCTGTAGCAAGTCGTCAACTCCCAGAGTGAAAGCCAAGAATGGATACACAAGCACGGCCTACTGCTAGTAACGACGCTGTGGTGGGTACCCCTAAGCTGAACATCGTCATAATGGGCTTCGGCAGTCGCGGCGATCTCGAACCAACCCTCGAAATCACTCAAGTGCTCCAATATCAGCATGGTCACCGCGTCAGATACGTCACCCACCAGCGCTATCAACACATCGTCGAAGCTGCTGGAATCGAGTTCTACTCTCTAGGTCGCGCAGACCCAAGGGAGATGATTGCTCAAAGAAGTTTGGGCTCCAAGGCTCTGCGCGAATTGCTTCCTCAGATCCAAGACCACTTCTTCGAGATGGGTCAGAGATACTGGGGTGCTTGTATTGATGATCCAGCTGGAATACCGGAAGGGAAGTGGCCGGAGCCTTTTGTAGCGGATGCCATTATTGCTACGTTGACGACGTATGTCCACTGCTCGGCTGCAGCTAGGCTATGTATTCCCATTCACCTACAGGCCAATAACCCAAGAATGTTCTCGAAATACCTTCCTCATTCTCAAGCAGAGGGATCTGCTTCGAGTGATTCAGTGATGAGGAATATCTTCTCGTGGTGGCTGAAGGATTTGGCGTAAGTGACAAGATTCTGTAAACAAAGACATAGCTAACTAGTCAGATTCCATCTGATGCTGAACTCTGGTTTCGATCGACTTCGAGTGGAAATCATGGGCCTTGAGTCATTTTCACCTCTTTGGTGGACGAGCCAGTTTTTCCGCTTCAATCTTCCATGCACGAATCTTTGGTCTCCTCAACTACTACCCAAGCCTGCGGATTGGGGTGAGGAAATAGACATTGCTGGTTTTGCCTCCACAATAGAGAAGCCTTATACACCGTCGGATGAACTGATCAGTTTTCTTCAAGCCCCCGGTGAATGCATCTACGTCGGCTTTGGCAGCATGTCGTTTCCCAACTCAAACCAGGTTCTCCACGCCACATTCGACGGCGTGAAAGCTACAGGACGGCGAACCATCTATGCAAAGGGCTGGTCTGGAACAGAAGAAAATCGTATCAAACGCGATGATGTCTTCGTTGTGGATGAGATATCCCACTACTGGCTCTTCCCCAGAGTTGCCGCAGTGGTGATACACATGGGCGCCGGAACCTTTTCCACGGCGCTGAGGCTCGGGAAACCTATGGTCATGGTTCCTATCGCTGGTGATCAGCCTTTCTGGTCGCACAGAGTGTGGAAAGCAGGCTGCGCCCCGGAACCAATTCATCTCAACGGCGTCACGGCAGAGTTGGTTGCTTCAAGACTTGAAGAGGCATTGTCACCAACTGTTTGTCGTAGCGTTGAAGAAATGGCCAAACATTTGCGTGAGGAAGAACCGGGGCAGTTTGTCTTTGCAAGATCAGCACTCAGGACATTCGAGAAGGTCTACGCAAACGGAGGTATCTGCGATTTGATGCCTGATAGAACAGCTGTGTGGCGGCATACGGTAACGGACGCAAAGTTATCGTCAGTTGCTGCAAGCATGCTTACCAATGAAGGGATCGTTCTGCAGAAAGACCTTCATCTGATACGTCACGTTCAGTGGCATTGAAGAGTCCGGGTGATCCCTTCACAGGGTTCATCAACGGCATGTTCATGATCGTGGGGCGAGTTTTATCTGCTTCTACCTCACTCTTTAGCCTGCAGAATGCTCCAAGTATCTCTCAGGGAGTCTTGCAGGTTGTAAAGCCCTCCATACGCGCCATGACAGGTAGGTTGCAACCAGTCCCTGATGGTTTGTGCAGGCTTGGCTAATAATCTCCAGCACCCATCACCCTTCTGCATTTAGTCTCATACGGCTTCTATAATCTCTTGGAATACCTCACATTTAAGCTTGGAAGTGTCTCTCAGCCTCAGCACTTTGAGAGTAACGTTTGGACACACTCGTACTGGAAGATGCTCCATCTACTGATGACAGTGCCATTTAAAGAACTGAATCCCCGCCGCAATACTTTCACCACGTTGTTTCTTTCACCCGTCAGATCTGCCGTATCGCTCATCAATATTCCGTTGGGCTTCATGGCTTTTACTTCTCGTCTGGCGAGTCGACATATTGATCAAATCCTGGGCTTTCGTCCATCAACGGACGTAGTGTTTGAGGCTCGAGTAAGGCAGGGCAAACGAGAGATGGAGCTTGTGCCAGATGAATTGTCCCAGCAGGTGATCAAATCATGGAGGAATCTGACCCAATAATACTTTCTTTTGACTTTCGGAAGCGCATTTACGCGACTGATTGCACAACACGAAGTGGTCAAGCACATCGCCGTTAAGAGCCAAATAGCAGGTTTTGCTTGTCTCACGTCTAGTAATGTCTTCTACCCTCCAGCATCAGTAATGTTTAAATAGAAGATAATAGATGTATAGCAATTGATGGAATGCTGTATTTAGACTTATCTCCACAGTAACTGGCAGACGCCGTCATGTGAAGCCTGAAATGGTTGTAATTACCATTTACAGATAATCTCTATCAAGCAATACCCACCACCTAAAACAGGATCGCCATCTTACATGCAAAGAACCACAAACCCAAGCCAACCATCTCTCGTGGCAAGATTGCACGAATCACAACCTCTACGGAACTCAATGGTACAAACGCGGGCTGGAACTTTGTCCTGCGGGGGAATCTTTAGCTAATCTCAAAGAGGCAATTTTAGACTTATATTTCCTCTAACACCACATCTCTGCAAGCCGATGTGCGGGGGCTAGCTTCACAATATGCTTCAAGATCGTGCTGGTCTGGAACCAGATCGCCAGACGTGCGGGCGCAGAATCTGGGGAATTGCCAGTGATATTACGTTTAGGTTCGCCGGGACACCGTTTGATGGCAAGAAACGTGGAGTTATCGAGGGATAAATCAGGGGCAAGATGGATGATGCTTTGTGTAGCCACTTAAAATGCATCTGGTTCGGCGAACTGGCGACCTTTCGATCAGAATAAGGTGTCTTTAACCGTTAGCTCTAGACCATAGTGTGAGCGGGGTGTTTCTCACAAACGTAAACATCTCTAGCTTGAGCCAGCAACATATACAAGCCGTGCACCTCGCTCTTGGTCTTCCAGACTCGCCATATCGTTGTTTCGTTTAGTCAACTTCACCAGAGATCAACATCATGTCTGGTCATACACATAGCCCATCTGCTGAGGGCCACCTCCGGCCGCGGCTGTCTAAGCTCACTATGGTAGCCATGACGTTTGCCATTCTCAAGTGTGTTACTCCAATCTCAGCTAAAAGCCACTCTCTGATGTGAAATCTCTCCAGCACTTGGATTTGTCTAGCTGGAAGTCTGTCTATTGTTCTCCCATCGGGTGGCTCCGTTGCTTTCCTTTATGGCTTTGTCTTTTGTGTCTTGTGTAACTTCTGCCTGGCGGCCAGTCTGGGCGAGTTGGCGGCTATTTGGCCAACGGCTGGTGGGCAGTACCATTTCCAATGGGCTTTGACTACTGAGAAATGGAGAAAGGTCATGGTAAGTATTGGGTTTGCCAGTAGTGACATTTAGTGTTGACAGAGTGCAGAGTTTTGCCGTTGGTTACATCAATATTTGTGGCTGGCTCACTCTCGTTACTACTGAGGGCTTCTTTGCAGGTCGGTATCTTGGCCAGGATCATTGAGTACGAACTGACTCCTTCTAGCACAGTTCATCTCGGCGGCCTGCGTGGTGGCATCCAACGGAAACTATACCGTTGCAGCTTGGAAAACATACTTGATCTTCATGGTAGTTCTAACCTTTGGTACCCTCTCAATGACGTTTGGTAACCGAATTCTGGGTGCTTGGAATAATCTGGCTTGTAAGTGTTCCTCAAAACACTCAATCATGAGACTCAACTGACTTATTTACAGTATACTGGTCCATCCTCAGTGTATTCGTTGCCAGCGTCGTCCTCCTATCTACCTCGGATAAAACAGACCCCGAATTCGTGTTTGCGACATTCCAGAACGAAACAGGGTGGAACGATGGTATCGCTTGGATTCTAGGTCTTTTGCAATCTGCTTTGTCACTTATTGGATACGACGCTGTGCTACATATGACGGAGGAGATGCCCACTCCTTCTCGAGATGCTCCTCTAGCTATGGTATACGCTGTTAGTGTCGGGGGGACGACGTGAGTAAAACAATGCTGCTAATGTGTATTCATATGCTAATGAAGATGTAGGGGAACCATCTTCGTTCTCGTGATGCTTTTCTGCCTCACTGATCTGCCCGGAATCGTAGCCACATCAACTGGCATGCCCATCGTCGAACTTATCCTCCAAGCGACCGGAAGCCGCGCGGGCACAACATTCCTGACACTGATGCTTGCTATTTGCTTCATTCACGGAACTAACGGATCCATTACCAGTGCCAGTCGTCTCCTATACGCTATGGCTCGAGACAAGGGTATCTTCTACCACGACTATTTCAGTCATATCCATCCTAAGTGGGAGGTACCTATCCGAACTATTGTCCTCACCTGGGTCTTCAATGCCATATTTGGACTGCTATACCTAGGGCCGACAGTTGCTTTCAATGCCTTCATTTCTTCCTGCACGATTCTTCTAAACATGTCGTATGCGATTCCGATCTTGACTCTCATCGTCCGAGGAAGAGACGTTCTCACGCAATACCAAACAGCAGATACGCCGTGGAAGTTTGGAAAAGCCCGAGGTCTTATTATTAACTACATTGCAGTACTCTATGTGTTTATCACCTCAATAGTTAGTCAAGAGTGTCCATACCTGTTGCAAAAGCTAACATTAGTCTAGTTCTTCTGTTTCCCACCTGTATTGCCAGTTTCTGCAAGCCTGATGAGTATGGCATTCCTCTTCGCTTCTTTTTAGTAGCTTACTGACACCGAATCCCAGATTACGTCTCGGGTGTGATTGGAATCTTCGCTATTTTTCTAATAGGCTATTGGGTGGCATATGGAAAGAGGACATTCGAGGGCCCGGTAAGTTTCATTGTCACATTTTGTACACATACCGCTAATACACTGGCACAGCAACTAGACATTATCTTGGGTGAGAGGCCAGAACTTTGTGAGGCGACAGACGAACTCGCAATGGAAGAGAAGCAGGTTAAAAGTCGGAAAGAATGAAGAGTCCTCTAGTGGCAACATTAGTCTCATTCAAACGCTGTGCAACTATCATAAGCCATTGATACTAAAACAATTACCTGGTTCTTTTATCAAGTCGGTGAGTTGAGCGGTGATGCCGAAGCTTGTGTTGACTGTGCTCACTGCTCACTGCCTGAACCTGGGCCACCTGTCGCTCAGTGAATTGCCGACTTAACCGCGTGACGTCTTGGCATCTAACTAAGAGAGTCTCAACACCAACAGCAAACAAAGCTGATACACAACATCTGCATCATGAAACCAGACGTAACACGCAGCTTGCTACCCGTCAGCCAATGTTTTTTTCAGCGGCGATTTTCATGTCAGCAACAGACGTAATACCGTCTGCAGCTGCCCAGTGAAGATGACGAAGCCCCCCTGTTCTAAAAATAATCAGCCCCTGCAACTCGCCACTACCAGCGGTAGTCAAAACGCCAAGACAGCAATAAGGGCCAAGCGTCGCTCAGAGCCTCCGCAAAAATACGTGGCATCACTCAACATGGTGAGGCGGTGCTGATGTCAGTCCACACTTGGCAGTCTCGGTATTTCTGATTGGATTTGGCCTTGGGTGTTGATGGAGACGTCGACTGTGGCTGGGAGACGGTGTCGTTGCCTCCGCCTCGGCAGTTATGCAATATATATTGACGTCTTCTCGCGTGAAGAACCCTGAGCCATATTTTGCAATCTAAACATCTTTGAATCAAAATGACTTATCACGGCAACCAGGACAACTACCAACAGCAGGGTCAGGGAGACTACGGTCAAGGCGGCTATGGCCAGGGCGGTTATGGTCAAGGCGGTGACGATCGCCAGCAACAGTACGGTCAACCCCAAGATCAACAGCAGTACGGTCAACCTCAAGGCCAACAGCAGTACGGCCAGCAACAAAGCCCTCCAAAACAAGGAGGCTACCAACAGGGTGGTTACGGTCTATCACAGTCTTACTATTCAGAGTCTGACCAGACCCGGCACCAGTACCCCCCTCCTGGACCTGGCCAACAAGGTGCTCCCCCGTCCTACAACCAAGGCGGCCCTCAAGGTCAATTCGACGGCGGCGATGGCCCCGATGGTGAGCGTGGTGTGATGGGCGCTCTGGCTGGTGGTGCAGCTGGAGCTTTCGGTGGCCATAAGGTTGGCGGGGTGACTGGGCACAACAAGTCAAGCACCATCATTGGTGCCTTGGCAGGTGCCTTTGGCGGACACAAGATGCAGGATGCCGCTGAGGACTGGAAGGATGATAGAAAGGAGAAGAAGGAGGAGGAAAAGAGACGGGAGGAGGAAGAGAAGCGCAGAGAAGAAGAAAAGAAGAGACGTGATGACGATCGTCATGACTCTCACCGTCGTCGACGAAGCTCTTCTCGCTCGTCCCGATCCTCTTCTCGAGGCTCTAATCGACGTCGTAGCGGACACTACGCCGGCCACTTCACCGCATCGTCTCGAGACATCAGACTCGACGCCCACGGCGACTACGTCCTCCACGCCTCCTGCCGCCGCGAGGACGGTGACTACCAGCACACCTCCATCTCCCTCAACAAGCTCCTCGAGAACGACCGAGGAAGCTTCCGCTGGTCCGCTGGTGGCGGCCAAAGCGCCTCCTCATCTGTCACCGTTCAGCAGGGCGATACCCTCCGCGGCATTGCGGCGCGCTTCGGCTGCTCTTTCGAAGAGATTGCCAGACAAAACAACATCAGCAACCCTGATCTGATCTATCCTGGACAGACGCTCCAGGTGCCAGGTGGTGGGCGACAGGGAGGCGGTGGATTTGCCTCTTCTGTGCGGAATGTGCGTCTTGTTGATGGTGGTCATCGGTTGGAGGGTGAGCTGTCGCGGGATGGAGATTGGGTCACGAGCTCGATTGTTCTTGATGAGAGGATTAAGAACTTCAACGGTACTCTGGAGCTTGTTTAAGCTGGAGTTGCATGGTGTAGCTAAGATAGTAATATGAGACTACCATATGTCAATGAACATCGTTCGTCCCGCCGCTATAAGTGATTCACTTGCTCACAAGGCCTCATTGATAGACAGAAGTCTGCGTTCTTTCACCCACAGTCTGCCCCGAGACTATCTGACTTACTAAGTAGTCTCTCCCTCCTCAGGCTTCCGACCCCAAACAAACCGAACTTGAAAGTGAGGGTGAAGCTTCTTGTTTCTAAGCTCCTGTCGCACCTGGTGTAGAAAAGTCTGGTATTCATCGGCTGGCCACTTGAGGACCTCATGCCAGATCATCTGGGAGTAGCCTAAGTAGCAGTCAGTATTCCTGCAACCGATCGATCGAATTGGAAACATACCAACGAGGTCAGACTCCAAACTGAGCTTTGCAAATTGGCCAATCTCCGCAAGTCTAGCATCCTCGGGCCATGAGCCAAAAGGAACCTATTCACATAAGTTACCAGCCAGAGCCTCACTTTCTTTGATGGTCACCTTACTTTATAAAACGCTTCCTGGATATCCACAAACCCGGCCTCTTTCATCGCCTTTATCTGCAGGTCCTCGGTAAGAACAGACAAAGAACAGCCAGTGATCCTCCCGCCCTCGATGAAAACCCTGTCCCAAATCCCCCCTAAGACGGTTGACCCATCATTGGTGACCGTGCCATCATCACTATGTGTCATAGGCTCGGATTCGCAAGACTCGACCCAACCGCCAGGCTTAGTAGCGTTATATGCTTCTTTGAAGAGCGCAGTCCAGTCGGTTATCGCGCCGAACAGATAGCGCATGTGGACAAAGTCGAATGTGTTTGTGTCCCATATCCAGGGCTTCGTGCAGTCGTCGATCTCGAACTTGAGATTGGGTGGGATCCAGGCGGGCTGCGTGGGAGAGAGATCTGTGCCGATCACGGTTGTGCTTGGATGCTCGTCGGCATAGTCACTGTTAAAGTCAGTAAAGTGTTTGCTACATGAACGAACTGCTACTGACATTGCCCAAAGGCCTAGGAGTGAAAGAAGTTAGCAATTCGTCAGGATTCTGCGTATCGTGGTACTCAGTTACCTGTTCCAGTTCCAATATCCAGCACTTTCTACATGATCACAAATTTCAGCCTTGGCTCATAAGCTCACTTAGACTTATCTAACCTGAATGTCTTCTTTGACCGGTGCAAGGTATAATTTGTCGTTAGTGAGCAGTGTCGAGAAGTGATGCCTAGGTCTTGTTAGTGGCCAGTGCTTTACAGTATCAAGTCTCCTGGTGCTCACATGAGGTCGAAGTTCTCAAGAGCCTGCTCATCTATCGGAATCGGATAATTGCTATCATAACGAGCCGAATGATATGCTCTGCCTTTGAAGTTACGGTACTCAAGGATGCTAGAGATTACAGATGCTGTCGAGGTGTGCCTACCTCAGAGGTTAGCTCGGTATAACATGTACAAGCGTTCCGGACATTCATACGGGCCACAATTCAAAGCGGAATCATCGTAAGTGTCATATGTTTGCTCCAATCGCTGGCTTGTAGGGTTCGGCGCAGGCTCTTGTGGTAAAGATTCAAGTGGCTTATGTGCAGATACTATGGGTGCAGATGCTGTAGAAGTAGACATGACGATTGAAAGGTTGCGTAGCAACTCAACGATCTTTGATGAGTATGAGTGAATAAGTTGAGGTGAGGAGAACATCAGACATTGGAAAAGAAACATGCGCATGCTCATATCCATGTTGGCTGTTGGTTGTTGGTGATGAAGCATGCGCCCAGGCTCAAGAACCAACGCTGATTGGATCCAGGTTCAACGGAAGACAAGCCGGGAACTGCATGAGGCAGCTCGCACGGATGATTTTCCCGAATCAAGCACTGTTGTTGGATAAAATCCCCTGGTTCGCATACACTTCGGACCATTTCGCCAGAATGTGCAGTGGGCAGATCATATGCTGATGCTGAAGATATTGCAGTGTTACTATAAATAGAAAAGATTTCTGAAAAGACCAGCATCGTTCTACTGTTTGTTTCAATTAGTTGTTGCTCAATGAGTTGAAGACAAGGCCAGCACAAGGTAAGCGGACAATGTAGTATGTTGATAACTCTCAAACCATTTATATCAGGGCCGAGTTGTTATTTTCTCAGATACTTCCATGATGTCCCTTATCAATCCATGTGACCTCGGTACCTAGATTAGTGAGTTTCAACATGTGACCAGCTTCCATTCGTGAGTTGCATTTCTTATCCATTAATTGACTTTGCGATAAAAACATACATTATTCCCGCCACGCCCGTCTTGTACGCGGGTAGAAGTGGATCGCCGCCGCTCATACGTTGAATTTGATACTCGCTAATTGAACCTCTACAATACTCAAAGTTCTTTCTTATTTTTTTCTCATTCGTTTCTGCTGATTTTCTTCCTGTTGATTGACGTAGGGTAGGCAGGTGCTGTTCACAGTCTCCACAGCCACGGAGAACAGAAATTAGCGCAGATCAGCTAATCAATGACACTGTCATCAGCAAGGATCCCTTCTGTCGCAAGAACAATGATCCGGCTCTTCCATCTCCCTCGGCCGAGTGCTTCAGTGGGGCGGGAAGAGAATCCGTGTCAGTGGAGTCGCCGTGGGTAAATCAAAAACAAAAGCTTTCATTTGCAGTGAATTTTCTTGTCGCGTTTTAAGCATAAATTCATACATCTCATCGTGGTCTGACATGTCAAAAGGGAGGGAAAACTGCGCCTCGATGAAAACGTCAAATCAAATGATTGGTAACATTAGCAACCTCCAACCTCGTATCGAAAACTCCATTTAACCAGCCAAGCGACAGCCAAATCAGCCAATCACAAGGCCAGATGAACAGGCCTCTCCGCTCTCCCCCCTGCCCCCTCGTTAGCTTACGTTAATTTCCCCGTTTTCAGGTGCCTCAGTCTCTCTCTTCTCCATCTGACATTCCCAACACCCACTATCAAGCATCAAACACGCGACGTTTGAGTGTTGCTTTTCAGCCTTGGACACACCTCGCTCGTTTTATCGCTAGAGTGTTTCTTGGTCTCGCTGTCGCTGTCGCTGTCCGATACTCTCGCTTCTCATCATTCCGGACTTGGCAACGCTTCGGCCTTTCGCCACTTGCGTCGACGCGGCTCTTATTTACTCACCACAGCGTCAACAATGCTTTACAAGCTCGTCTGTCTCTGTCGCAATTGATTCAAGTGCCAGAAGCGTGACTTCAACTTGGGCGCATAATCTCTGTTTCAAAACACCAACTATTCTCTCCCTGTGGTCACATCGTTTGAACTCGCCGCAATCATGAAGCTACCCACCATCTCTCTCATCCTCTTCTCATGGCTCGCCCATCTTCTCCCCTTCGCAACAGCTGGCAACCTCCTCGAATCAACGGCCCTCGTGAGCTGTCAACAGGGCTCTCAGCTAACCGCTACTCTCTTTCACATCGTCATCACCCCCAACAACTCAATAGTCACCATCAACGTCAATGGAGTTGCCTCTGTTCAGGGTTATGTTCTCTTCGATGTCACCCTAGACGTCTACGGCCATGAGTTCATTCATCAAGTAGTTGATCCCTGCAACATGGGCTTCGACATTCCATCTCTGTGCCCCATGGCGCCTGGTGATCTCGATCTGGTGTTCAACTTCGGCATTGGCGATGCCCTGGACCAGGTTCCTGACATTGCTTACGGTATTCCGGACTTGGATGCCACCGTGCGTGCATATATCAATATGACGTCGACGGGGGAGTCAGTTGCATGTGTCGAGGCAAACTTTGGAACGGGAAAGACGGTTGAACAGCTATCAGTGAAATGGGTCACTGCCATCATCATAGGAATCGGCCTCGTCTCATCATCCTTCATCTCGCTAGCTGGCTATGGCAATGCAGCCGCCCATCTGGCTGCCAACACCCTCTCTCTGTTCACTTACTTCCAAGCTCAAGCCATCATCGGCCTTACAGGCATCACCATGCCTCCCATCGTCGACGCCTGGACTCAGAACTTTCAGTGGTCTATGGGCATCATCCGTATGGGCTGGATGCAAGATATCTTCACTTGGTATCAGCGCGCAACAAACGGCAAACCCGCTCGCATCTTCGATCGTCTCGCCACCGCCTCCGTCCAAGTTGCGAAACGCTCCCTTGAGTACATCCCCAGTGCGGAGGCTTTGGTGCGCCGCAGCTTTGCCATATCGAAGAGATCCAACATCGAGCTCGAAAACGGTTCATTCCTTGTCTACGGCATTCAGCGTGTCGCATTCCGCTCACATATCGAGACGACAAACCTCTTTCTGACTGGCATCGTATTCTTCTGCATCTTCATCGTTCTTGCTTGCATTGCGGTGCTACTTTTCAAGCTCATCCTAGACCTCTGTGCAAGGCAAGGTTGGATCAAGCCCGATCGCTTCCTCGAATTCCGAACAGAGTGGCGCTCAATCCTCAAAGGAACATTCCTGCGACTGACCCTCATGGGCTTTGCTCCCATCACCATCCTTTGCCTCTGGGAATTCACTCAGTCTGACTCACCGGCGCTCATGGTTCTTGCGGTCTTCTTCTTTCTCACCGTTCTTCTCACACTCTCTATGGCGGCTTTGAGGATCATCAGACTGGCAAGTCTAAGTCCGCTTATTGGACTGTACTCCAACTCGCAAATCTTGAACAAATGGGGTTTCTTGTATATTCAGTACCGGGCTACAGCCTACTACTTCATTGTACCTCAGCTTGTCTACATTCTTCTCAAGGGCATGTTCGTTGCTCTTGGCCAGAAGAGTGGAGTGACCCAAGCGGTTGCCCTCATGATCATCGAAGTGGCTGCTCTTATCGCGACAAGCGTCATGCGCCCCTTTATGGACAAGAGTGTCAACTCTTTCAACATTGCCATTTTTGTTTTCAATTTTCTCAACGCCATCATGCTCTTCATCTTTACCAACGTCTTGGACATGCCCAAAATGGGACCATCGATCACTGGTCTTGTTCTGTTCGTGGCCAATGCCGCCTTTTCTCTCATCCTTCTTCTCATGATCATTGTCTCGAGTGTTCTTGTATTCTGGCGAAAGAACCCAGATGCTCGATACAAGTTCATGGCCGACGACAGAGCCTCATTGATGAAGTCCAGGTCATCAACACAGCTTGACACCATGACACAGCTCGATGCCTTGGGTGCTGCGGCCCGAGGCGACCCAAGAGGACATTCTCGCCCTGTCTCGTCGTCGTCGTATCTAGCAGCGCCTGCATTCCCTAACCATGGGCAAAAGCATTCGTCGGCATCTTCCCTCTCTTCGAGGAGTCCCCAAAAGGATTCCCAAACAGATGTGCGAACTGTGGAACGGTAAACTCAGTGCTAAGGAGCTTTCTTGTATATAATTGTTAATTGCTGGCGAATGCTAATTGGGAACCGGTTGTGATGTCTCGTTAGAAGGAGACCGCGGAAATGACTCATGATCACTTTTGGATTATACAATGAGGAAGCAGTGAAGGAGTACTTGTCAACTTTTTGCTATTAAAATTACTATATATGTGTAGTTTGTAGCATCATATAGACTGCTTAAGCAGTCCATAGTATCATGCCCGATCAGAAAGTCATTAAGCTTGAGAATCATCAAATGCCACCGCCTTCGTGTAGACATACCATCGTTCTTGACATGAGCTAGTGCACCGTCCACCGTCTAGTACTTGAAACGAGGCTGGTCAGTACCAGCAGCACGTCGGTTCCTCCAGACGTAGTAGCCGTGCATGCCGATGCAGCCAACACTGACGAACAACAGCAAACCAGCATTGGTCCAGTGGCCGGTTGGATAGCCCTTGGCAGCTTCTTCGGCCTTGTAGATCCAGACACCAACAATCTGGCCAGGAGCTCCCATGGAAATGTTGAGTGCAATGGCCAGACCAATGGCAGCAGTGGAGTGCAGGTTGGATGATAGCCAGCCCAGAAGGGGAGGAATACAGGCGAATGAACCACAGCATGCAATGATGAGGCATCCGTAGCGAGGCTGTGAGGAATTAGTGACGGCTTGCTCGTGCAGGATCGTGGAAAACTTACACTATATGAATCGGCGGGAAGAGTTGCAGAGGCAATGAACCCGATGGCACCGATCAAGGAAAACGCTGCAGAATGAAGAGCACGACTGAAACAATATTAGTGGGGAACCGGGAAGATAGAGTATTTGGATACTGACGCATTGTATCTGTCCGCTGACCACGAAACAAGCAATGTGACGACGTACGCAGCTGCGTAGGGCGGCACAGTCATCAGCTGAGCTCTGAGATCCGCAAACTATGATAGTCAGTACCATCTTCAACAGGGAAAGGGATTTGCATACTCCCAAGCCAGCGGTGATTGAAGGTGTGAAGAGAGATAAACTCGAAAAGGGTGCCGAGATGCCAAAGTAGATCTAGTCGCGGTTAGCAAAACAAGCCCATGTCCATAAGGTGACAGTGCTTGCCAGGTAATGGCACCATAGCCTCCATTCGAACAATGTCGCCTTGATGTCCTCCCAGGTCATGGCCTTGCTGTTACCATGCGAACCTTGCTCGGCCAGTCGGTAAGCCGCGACGTCCTTTTCTTCGGCGGAGAGCCAGCTAGCAGATTCTGGAAAGTCCGGAAGTCCGAACCAGACTAGAATCGACGAAAGAACAGAAGGGATACCCTCGAGAATGAACAGCCATCGCCAGCCGGAAAGTCCATGCACCTGGTTCATGTGTCCAACGCCGTAGGCTATAGCACCCCCGAAAGCTCCAGCCAAGGTAGCCGAGGCAAGGATAGTCGCCACACGGACTGAACGTTCTTCGGGTTTGTACCAGAAGGTGAGGTAGTAAACAAGACCAGGAAACAAGCCTAAAAGTGTCAAGATTGAACATTACGATTTAGAACTTGGTACAGATACTTACCAGCTTCGAAAACTCCAAGGAGAAACCGCAGAACTGTCACAACGGCGTAACTGTGCGCAGCGCCAAGACAGATAGTGATTGTGCCCCATGAGAACATGAGGAAAGCAATCCATCTGCTCGGCTTCATCTTCTTGAGGAAGTAATTAGACGGAACCTCGAAAAGCGCATAGGCGATAAGGAAGACCATGAGAGCGATGGTGAAATCGTAGTTGGTCATGTTGGTCTCGGTGAGGAGATCATGGCCTGTTGTATGGTTGAGGACTTTGGCGTTGCCGATGTTGGAGCGATCTAGGTAGCAGAGCAAATAGATGCCCGCCGCCAAAGGAATGATACGGCGATCTTGCTTGCGCACCAGAGCCTTCTCAAGGACTGGATCGACAACCGCGGTATTCTCCAGTTGAGTATCAGCGCCATGCTTGGGGAGGACTTTCTCGTCGGCGTGGAAATCCCCATCCATTTCAGGATTATTACCAAAATCACTCCGCGCAGCCATATTTACGAAGCAGAAGAAGACGAAAGTGCTATGGTTTCAGGAATAGCCTCCTTGGCAGAAGTTGGAGAAAAGAAGGTTCTTGTAAAGGAGGAGGGAGGGGCCCAACAAGACAGAGAATTAAGCGAAGCGGAGAGTTCATCTCACTGTATCCATTAGGGGACGTTATCCCCGCATGGATCAGCATCCCACATAGCCAACCCAAATTGAACACTGATCTGCACCGTCTTTTCGCGGGGTTGCTGATCGCGGCGACGGCGGCCGATGCCGAAGTTCATAGTTTGGGGGCATCGAAGGGCCCGAGCACCGCGGCAGCAATAAAATAAACTCGTCTCAGTGCCAGGAAGACCGGATAATGCGGCAGGCGAGTCAAGTGCTGGTGGCGGTGGTGCATTGAGGGTGGAGAAAAGGTGGTAGCTTTTGTTCTGTTTCCCCAACGCCAAGGGCTGGCCTGTAAGGGGTGTTGAAACACTGAACATGGCACTGATCAAGGCAAAACGACCATTTGATGTGTATTTGTTCTTACAAGAAAAGAGTCTTAATAATGTAGTCATGTAGGTAGTGGTCAATGAGGTAGAAGATTCTGATATGGTGTGGCAGCATGGCTTACTGTAAACTCAGCACACTTGATCTTACGGATAAGTGAACACCTATAATGCTAGAGGATACCTTTCATCGTATTGCTTATAAAACGGATATAAACGTACTGCAGAATGAAGATATTGAAATTTACAGTAACAGGAAGTAGTAGGAAAATACAAAGTACAGCAAGGAAGTCCATTGTTGACAGGTAAAAGTATCTGGACATTTGAATACTTGCTATTCAACATTCAGGAGAAAGCGGTTGAAAGGCAGAAGAGACTGAATAAAAAGAAGAGGCGAATACAAACAAGCAAAATTATGATAAGCGACAAGAATAGCAACAAGAAACTCAAAAAAAGATATCCTAGCAACTACTCGTTTCGATCGAGCGACCTCCGGGTTATGAGCCCGGCTGTGTGAGCGTTAGTAAACGATCTGATGTGTGAGTGATTGTGATTAAACATACCGCGCTTCCACTGCGCCAAGTTGCTTTCTTGGATAGGAACCGGCATAATAATTTGCATTTGTATAGGCTTTCAGTTATGTGCGTGAGTCACGGCTCCTCAGTGGAGATTAGCCCTGGGTGGAGTGGTGCATGAGAAAGTCACTACGAGACCCGTACCATGTATTTCTAGATGCCAATGCAGACGAGGAATATTCCTTATTGAATTATCATAGGCAAATTTATTCAAAGCGGGGGGTTCCATCTCTCTAATCTAGTAGAAGCTCGGTCTATCGACCAGAAATAGATTTATACCACCTATATCTCATGAGAAGTCGAGAGGCTTTTGGCAACGCGGTCGATACAAGCCTCAATGAATTTCCGAGGAAGTCGCAATAAAGTAGCATGGGAATTACTCATAGAGAGCACTGTCTCGGCTTTCAAAATATATGCAGTCTTGAAACTGTCCCAAAGTTGTCCTTCCATCTCTCCATTCGAACCAGGACGTGGATAGTATGGATCGTTCTCAAAGAATGAGTCCACCAGCTGATAAATGACTCGATCAGGATGCTCCATAGCAACTTCTTTATCAAGTCGAGAACATAGATTAAAGTCAAGAACCCACATCTGTGTGGTTGCTTCCGTCTTGCCCAAGACTTCACTGCCCAGCACGAATTCGACATCGTAAGCGTCTATACAAGCGCCCCAATGCAGGATAGCCAACGCCTCTCCAATAGCCTCAGCATACTTTACTACCGGTAACTGCATCTCGATCATTTGATCTAGATGAAGATTGAAGTTCCGGAGTGAAAAGTTTGTCTGCAATGGTTGACTGGGAATCCGGCGTCGGCCGAGATATACCCTAGCCAAACAGTGATGGTTCAGAGGGTCCTTCAGTGCATCCTCATGTTTGATTTTTGGGCAGTAGCGTTCGATGAGTGCTTCCCTGACTATCTGAGGTAAAGGTGGGATGTACTCCGATATAAGGACTGATGATGGTAGAGGAAACGTGGGATGCTGCTCTGCTAACAGCGTTTCGTTATCCTCCCACCAAACACTTTTTTCCGCATGGTAGCTATGAAAGTTTAGCAGACGGCATATAGGTGCTTCAGGCTGTTCGTCGAACGCAGCTTGGACTGCTTTATGTGCAAGGGAGTCTGCATAAAGGGAGTCTTGGAAGAATGGCTTGGCCACTTTGATGACAGTTTCAACTCCATTCTTGTGGAAAATGAGGCCACACTGTCCGAAGCCAATCTTCTGGTAGTTGTTGAGACCACGATCCTGCGAAGATTCTTCTGGGATAGGCCTTACTATACCCAAGGAGAGCAATTGGGCCATAGACTTTTGGTTGTCCATGTTTGCCAAGATGACAATGAATTTCGAACTATCTGAATTATGATGCGCTTGTTGACCCGGGAGGCGGTTCTTGAGCGAAATTGCTGTCGATAGTCGTTATTGCTTCAGTAGTAATGTGACCACATCTATTGGTAGTTGATAAGGAAGACGCGGTAGGACTCAAAAGCTTCTCCTTCGTCAATCTCTTGTCTTCCATAGGGTTGAGGTTTTATAGCAGGACACTTTAGTTTAGGCATCATAATTGTTACCTGGAGCTTACTATGCTGACGCGTGTGATACTGTCGCCGATAGCCCAATACACTTTCTGCACATTTAGAACCGAACCCTGTGTAACGAGATGGACAGCCTGGAATACGATACAGCTAGCATGAAACAAGTCTCGTATGTTGAGGTAGTGGTCATTTACCAAGCCACCATAATCACATGTGACAGGTCAATCGTAGGTATATCCAATTTATCCATAATATTTACTGAATAAAAATCACAACTTATAAATCCCTATCCTTGTAATCCATCAGCCAACATAGCATTGATAAGCTGAACATGTCGGTTGGCATTGGTCTCGCTCCACTCATTGTCATAGTTAAGACCATACGGCCAGATATGTCCGCCACCACAGTTGATACGGGCACTAGCACCGTCCCAAGTCCGAAGAAGACGTGTCGCAGAAGCCCAATCATTAGCCGCACACTTCCTGTCGAAAGCAGCCGTCTGGCCAATGCCTAGCGTGTGGGAGATCTCGTGCATGGCCGTGCGCTCGTTCATGTAAGACCGGTTGGACCCGAAGCGAAGACTGCCGTTGAAGTTCGCGTCGGCGGTTGGGACGCTGGGGACGTAGGTGACCCTGATGTTCTTGCTGGCACCTGTAAAGCGGCTGTAGCGCGCCACGGCCAGACGCATGGCTTGTTCGATTCGGCCGTAGGCGTCGGCCTGGTCTGCGGTTGGGTTGGAGGCTTTTTCTAGGGACCAAGTGATTGCGGCTGAGGTGGTGGAAGCACAGGCCACGAAGGCAGTGAGGATTCTAGAGAAGCGCATGATGACTATGATTGAAGCTTGGATATATCGGCTTGGGTAGTGCCACAGAGGAAAGGAGATTTGATGAGCTTGACCTTCTGGGCTTTAAATGCTATCTGCTCAACCATTCTTATATGTTGCCAGTATACAGCTTCCAGAAACCGCATTAACTCCGCTGATCGTCACGACCCTTATCATTTCGAGGTTTCATCTAAATGGTCACGTTTGTCAAACATCGCGGAGCATTTCCCTCCGAATGCGCCCTTGGAAACGAAAATTCTACGTCTGATTGGCTGTTTTATTCCCTTCACGCTCAGGCCCCAACCATTGTTCGAACTACTCCTGCAAGGGTCTTGAGCCGCGCGAATACCAGCCCACTGTTGCATATTTCTAGAAAAGAAGCTTAAATCTAGTAAAGTAGAGCAAGACTGGAATGACTTATCTTTGAATTGCCTTTGTCCCTAACAGTCATGAACTGGTCTAGGACAGGGAAAATATGATATTCACCATAGCGATGGATAGCAGCATAATCATCCACAGGGCTACAGAGAACAGAAAAACAGCAAGATAGCAGGACAACTCGAGTCCTTCGATTCACAAAAGGCAGGTGTGATTGCTTTGACCTCGGAGCGCTATAATGCCAGGACAATTTGATGAAACGAGGAATGTAACGGCTTGGCATCCACTTATTGGTGGAACATCTTGATCATAGCGTTAGCATATTATGCTTCACATTATAGTTTGAAGAGGGATATGATTGACATGATAAGAGTTGGAAAGATCGGTATAGACTATGTATTTATACACCTTCCTATAGCGTCCATGATGCGAGCGACCACGCATATCACTTAAAGAACCCGCTGTAGACCTTGGTAAAAGCGCTAGCAAGCCGTCCTCCATCAGTCCAAACCCAAAGACCCAAGGACACCGCTTCTTTACTGACTGGGCCGCAAGGATGCTCAACTTTCGCGACTCACGAAGCCATTCGACCAAGCCTCTACACCTCGAATCCGTTCTTGACACACCCTTCCACCATCTGTCTTGTGCTAGAAATCTGCTCGACTTTTCCATTTGCAGCCCACTTTACAAGTTTAGATCTGCCCAGCTTCGCTTGAGCTGCTGGCCACCCAGCATCCTGCAATCCATGCACAGGATCACTAGCAAACCTGACATAAAGATCCTGCATCCTTTCGCTCACACTTTTTTCGAACTTGGTAGAGGGTCCGTCGATTCCGTATGTGCCAAAGACTAGAGGTAGTTCCGCAGTATGGTAGGCACCTAGCCAGGGCAGAGGCGAAATGTTGGTGAAGTTGCCGGCGTAGAGGTATTGATAGGTCGTAGCACCGGCTTCAGACCTTAAGCGAATCTCTTTAAGGGTGGTGCATTGCAAGTTCAGAGCAAACCCATCTGCGATGGGCTTGAGATTGCTCGGTATTTCTGTTGCGGTTTCATATCCGGGAAACTTGTACGGGATGACAGCATTTCCCTCGTCCGTGTTGGTTCCAATCAAGATAGGAATGCTCACTGGGTACAATGATGGATCTCTTCCAATTCGTCTGGAATAATTTGCAAATGCAGTGATGTTATCCGCGATGAGTGAGAAAGAAATGCCGTCATCGGCGGCACCTCCTTGGCCAATCTCTGCCTGGAGATATTTCTTAAGTTTGTGCTCAGGGACTTTCCTCATACACTGAAGCTCCTCGTCGGGTGAAAGGCCACCACAGTCCAAACGACTCGCAGCAAGTGAGAAAGTGCTGTGGTTCTTCGCATCGACTAACCCTGCTTCGATTGATAGAGCATTGCCAGAGTCGGCTATCACGCCTTTGACAATAGGATCGCGAGGCCATGCAAAAAGGTAGCCATCCACCGCATAAGCACCTGCACTCTCACCCCAGAGTGTAATACGATTGGGATCGCCTCCGAAGCGAGCGATGTTGTCGCGTACCCATTCAACAGCAAGGCGTTGGTCAAGCAGAGCAAGGTTGAGGTTCTTGCCGCCGGCAACCAATCCTGCAGCATTCGGCAGCCCCAGGAGATTGAGACGATATTGGACTTGCACAACAATATGTTTCTGGCTGCGCTGAACCCAGTTCGGTGCAAGCTGGTAGGGAACGTTTGTGCCTCCTATTGAGTAGCCGCCGCCGTGAACCCAGATGATGACGGGCAGGGGTTTGTGCTTTACACTCTTCGTCTGGGAGACAACCTTCTTGGGAGCAAACAAAGAGAGTCTAAGACAATCCTCAGTTGTGTTCTTGTAATCCCCTCTCTGGAAGTTGGCAGCTGTCACAGGTCCATCAACAATAGAACCTCTAAGTAGTAGAGGCACGTATTGGATACACCCCGGGGGAAGACTGGTTGCGCGCACAACCTTATCTCCCGGGTACTGCTTAGGGACAGGTGGAGCAAATCTGATATTCCCAACAGGCTTCTCTGCGAATGGAATGTCGAGGAATGCTGCGACGTTTGTCTGTGAGTGGTCGATGTATGGTGCAAAGACACCAGAGCTGGTGTTGATAGCCAATGGCGCAATTTCATGTTCGTTTGTTGGCCATGCGATGGCTGTAGTGGATAGCCACGTCACAATAATAGATATCAATCGCATCTTGGTATGATTGGCTTGGCTTTTGATGTGCTGTGTAGATACTCAAGTCAGCGGCTGATGACAATGCTGCTGCATGAACGCTTATATACATGATTCCCACAATGCACGCCGGTTCCCTCGCATGGCTTCATAGATGTCCTCTTTAGATCACTTAAAAATCAATATATTGCGTCCAGGCGTGCTGTTTTTAACTCCGTTACATCCATTCCATGAGGCACATTCCAGACCCATAAAGCCCTTATACCCGCGCGCAGGATCCTTCAAGTGATGATGATCAGGGAGACAATAATTGATTCTGGCTAAGCGCACCCCAAATCAATAGCACATCAGTAATCTGCGATTACTAATTCCAATACTCTGTCCAGACGAGCGCGGTCAAGTCTGCTTAAGTCCATACTGTAAGCAACGGACAATTAGCGTTTTCCAAAGTCCGGTAGTAAGCTTACTGTCTGCTGAGCACCTCAGTATTCATCCCTATCCATCTAATCCTCCTGCTTTGCTACTTTGCTGATTTATTCCACAGCATTCGTTCGCGCAGCAAGCATATCCCGTAATTGCGACAACGCTTCGGTGACAGTTGCTTCCCGGACATCATCTCTGCCACCCGAAAACTGGTAAGGCCCAAACGCTCGATCCTGCCCAGGTGCCGAAATTCCAATAAAGACCGTCCCTGCGGGCAATCCATCGTGGGGACCTGGCCCAGCAACACCAGTTGAGCTGAGGCCCCAGGTCGTAGGCGTATCGAGTGCAGTGGCTCTCTTTGCGCCGGCAGCCATCTGCCGCGCGACTTCATCGTGGACCACTCCATGTCGAGAGATAAGATCTTGATCAACTTGGAGTACGTTGATTTTGATGCCGGTATGGTACGAGACTATTCCTCCGCGGAGAACCGAACTTGCTCCTGCAACTGAGGTGAGTGCAGCCATGATGCCGCCGCCCGTCAATGATTCAGCAACTCCAATAGTTTCTTGGGCTTGTTTGAGAAGGCGTACGACATCTCCTGCAATGTCGAGAAGACTCTCGGAGCTCCGTTTGATGTACTTTGCGGATGCCATTTTGTGTGTTTGGGGGGTTTAGGAATATTCAGGTTACACGTTGATTATCAACAAGGCGAGAACGAAAGGGGTTGTTATTCAAGGAACGCTCTGTTGGGTGAGGCTTGACAACAGGAATGTTTCTATGTATTATATACTCAACAAGTGCAAATAGTCATAAAGCTGTGAAGCAAAAGTGACCGTAGGGCTGAGCAAATGAGGTCATGGCGTCTCACAAGCCGGGCGGTGCATAGGCAGCCTCATAACTTGCTATGATACATCGGTGAGACCTTGGTGCCTGAATTATTATCCACCCATAGCCTCGCTTTCTATAGCGAGGCGTTCAGGCATCAGCTCGATACATGGGCGCCTAGTATGAAAGGTAAGCCCTAGACGATCTCTAGGCACCCAAAGTGCCGTATTTTAACGGAGCTCCGTGACTCACTCTTGGATGTGTCGGAAAGGCAATGAATTTTGCCTTTTTCATGCGAACTATCTCATCACCCATTGTTTGCATATCTGTATACTTCCTTCAAATAGCTTGCTTCGACGGCGTGTCTTCACTCAGCTCAATTGGAGCAAAAGAATTCGGAGGCACATCAAGGCAACCAAGCAAGATCAAAAACCGGCAACTCCATTGAATGCAGAGTTCTATGATCTATCGATGTAACAAAAACCCATCCCTCGACACCTCATTTTTGTATAGCATGTCATCTCACTGCTTCTTGAACTTTGTTCGAATCTCCTCCTCCGTGAAAGGTCGAGTGTGTCTCTTCAACATGGTAATTCGCTCGTCCATGGTGAGTGCAATCTGGTCTCCAATAGGAACCAGGCATTTGGCCAAAGTCTTGTAGTCCTTCATCAACAATCTTATGGTCAACATGAAATAATCAATGTCGTGGAAGACGATGGCGTGCTGGTCTGCGTATGTCTGCTTCGTCTTGTGGAAAGAAACTGGGTGCTCACGCCAGTGTCGAAGAGGGTTGAGGTGATGAGAGGTGTGGTAGCCATCGTTGTAGCAGAAGCGGTTGCTCTGTTGGTAGTCAGTATATGTTTTGGCCGTAGCGTTCCGGGAGGGTGAAGACTTACAGCAACGTCGATCAATGTGATGCTGGATCGGTAATCAGAGTCGGGCTCCACGTCGTCAACAAACGCATGCTGGCCCCAGTTACCCGCCATCAGACCGAATCGCATCAACAACAACGGCATAAGGAAAACACAGATTGTGGCGTTTCGGTGAAGGTTGAACAGGGTGATGAGCATGGCATAGTTTGAAAACTCCCAGAAACCTGCCTTCAGGCCTGTCGTCATCTTTCCAGTGCGGACAAAGTAGATGGGGAGGTCAGCCCACACCAGGAAGAAGAATCGACCGAAGTAGTGAAGGAAGTGGAGCAAACTGTCTCGCTGGTATCGAATGGTAGATGAAAGGTCATTGGGTCCGTTGCCCTCGACGTGGTGATGCTTGACGTGATGGTAAAAGTATGAGTTCCAGGTGTGGCCCATGAGAGGATCCGTGATATAAGGGTAGAGGTGGTCAAAGAGAGCAAACTTCTTGTTCAGAACACCACGCATATGAATGTGCTGATGCATTAGCAGAGTGTATGAACCCATGTAGGTGAATTGCATGAGGAAATGAAGGATGCCATGAATCCAGTTGAAATTGTAGAACAGATAAATAGCACTGGGAACTGAGGTCGAAAAGTAGAGGAGCAGATGCGTGAGCATAATCACATCAGTTTCCACACGAACAATGGATTGTCCAATGCGGATATAAGGACGCAAGACAAACTTCTCTAGAAAAATAGGCAGCTTGATCTGGTCCATTTCCCAATTGGTTGTGACACTTGGTTCAAAGTGAGCATCTTTAGGGTTGTTAAGAGCCTGCAGGTGGCGCAACAAATCCTCATCGCGGGGTTGGCTGGCTGGGTACGTTGTTAATTATGTGACACAAAGACGGACGGATATGCTGCACGTACCGTTCACTTCAGTCTCGGTTTTGCCATTGGCACGTTTTCCATTCTGGCTTGGGAGAGCTTCCTTTTTGGGCGTGTACTCCTTGATATCTTGGCGCAGGCCCTCGAGGATCAGCGTATCAGCCTTTGTGAGCTGCGGGTGGAAGACGATGTGCTCCGCCATTGTCAATGGTAGAGTGTCCTGCTCGGGGACTACACAGTTGAGGAATAGGCTGTGAAGGTGCAGAGCAGAAGAATAGGTAGGTAGCGCAGATACAGAAGACGTGTTAATCTGAATTCAGGGTCCAACTGTTGATGTTTGTGCGAGACCCTGAGGAAAATCGTGAGAGTAGGAAAATACCCCTAAACTTTGAGGCTAAAAAGATCCACGACCAATAACGACGTTGCAGGGAGTGGTTCAGTGGGCCAGTTGTCGCCTCTATCCCTTTTGCCCACCGCTGGTGGCTTGGCAATCTCGGAAATAGGCACAGAGACGTGTACGTTTACCCGGTAGCTTGGGCCAGTGCTGAAGGGAAAAGGATCTAGGAAGAAAGTCACCAATTGGCCATTGCATTAAAAGCCAGTCAATCATCATAGGCATTTTACCTCTTTTACAGCGAAAAGATTGGAGTAGCAGTTAAACACGTACGCCGCCGGTAGCTGGTCGCGGTCTGTACTGCTATGAACAAAAGATACACCGACCATCATACGATCATGGTTCAAAACAGGCCACTGCTGTTGACCTCCTCCACTGGCATAGAACAAGCAAAGCACATTACAAGGTAAAATATTATGTTGACTTTCATTAGCAGGTCGCAGATGGTTCACAACGTTCGAGTGTCCATTCCCCAGCTGTCGGTGTCAGTTTGCACTGCAAACAGCCGTCTCCAAGTCAGGGCGCTTTGCCCCGCAAGCCAAAGCCAAAGCCGCCTCAATCCAGTGGGTGAACCGTGTGTGTCTGGACTTTTACCATGACATCACCGTTTGCGCAGAATCGCTAGGAACAAGACAATACTGTTCTGCGTCGCTTCCCATACACACGCGATGCCTTCATAAATGCGTCAATCATAGGAAATCTCAAGCATCTGAGAGTCAAATTAGGTTTGTATTTCGTAACAAATTCGTGCCTCGTGAGCTTCAGTGAGCCTGTTCTAATATTTCCCGACCGCCACATGCCAGTGGCCTAAAACAACACCCATTTAAATAAAAAAACCGTGTATCCCTATTGCAATACCAGAAGAAGTGAAATGTTCATAAATCTATCAAAAGATAGCCCATCTAGCAAGTGTATTGGATGTACAGGCCGTTCTTGCTGTTCTGTTCGAGGAAGACCTTTGTGTTGCCGTCGGGGTTTCGGAGAGCAGCCTTCAAATAAATGGTGCTCTTGCAATCAATCCCGCCGATAATGTGGCCCTGAGCAGGGAGGTCGTCCCAGTTTGTAAAATCGGCAGCACCGACCGGCTCCTCGGCAGTGTCGAACTCCTTGGCCGCCGTGTATGTAACAGACTTGGTGTTGGGGAAGCCTGAGAGCTGCCGGACCTCTGTCAAAGCGTCGCCGCCCTTGACGACAAAGAGACGCTCGGGTCGTTCGCCTTGGGCCCACCCGACGGAGCAATCTTTGGCGTTGGCGGGGATGTCGGTGAAGACAAGGAGCTGCTCGACTTGGGAGGCGTTGTTGTATGTTTCGACGTGGAAGCCCGTGGACTTCTTTGCGATGCCGGGGGAGCCAGGGAAGATGCTGTATAAACTTGAGGGCTCGTGGTTGGCTTTACCACTGGAGGGGCATTTGCTGGCGCGGGGTAGTGCTGTAGGCACAGCGCTGGTGGCCGCCAATAGACAGGCCAGAGCAGCAAAGGTGTTTGTGAAGGAAGGCATTTTTGCAAGTTGAACAGATTAAATAAATTAGGTTGAGATGGCAGTTTATGTTGCGGAAAGGTAAAATGCCATCGGGGAGTATTAGGCATATTTATTCCACGGCACCCCAACCTCTCTAAGATGATGATCAACCGTGCAGCGAATCCCAAAAGCCAAAAAGACGTCAGCCCCAGAACCTTGTTCTCACTCTCAGCACTTCGGAGTAAGGTTTTGCGGATCAGTGATGAATTATTCGTGTCTTGGCATCGCACAAACAGGGATCGGAATGAGTTCAGCGAATCGCACAGCTGGGAAACAAGGGGCTGAAGGGGGGAGGATCACCTGTGGGCGGAGCTGTTATGCTGTGCGATGTTTATGCGTACGGTATTGGAGACATGCAGCAACAGCGCACAAGAGGCCTAAAAATGGCCATAGCAACACAGTAATGAGGCGGTCGGGTAGAGGCTGCGTCATGCAGATAAATGGCCGGCAGGCTGGTGCTCACTGCCAGCACAGCACACACAGCCCTGTACTCACCTACAATTCGTCCTCTGAAGCTTCTTGGGTAGAGTTCACTGAGCTGAGAATTTTAATGTCGGCATATCGCAGGACTGACCCGCATACTTCGGTGACATCAATTCGATGGCTGGTGCATGTGGTGATTTCCCGTCACTGGGAAGATATTTATGCAAAACACGGCAGTAAACAATGACTCCAAGCGTTGATGATCCATTTATTGTTCCTCCTGTAATATGTGATATACACAAGAACGGGTAATATGGATGTCTGAGACTTGACAGAAAAGAAGCTCAAACTCAAAAGTCATGGTACCGAGCGTAAAAAGAAGCCGACCGCCCTGTATATTCACCAATTGTAGACCACGTGACATCGAACTTCGCTACAGTGATTGGTTACAGTCATTTTCTTCTTCCGTAGTATAGTGGTCAGTATGCAAGCTTGTCACGCTTGAGACCCGGGTTCAATTCCCGGCGGGAGAGTTCCAGCCGCCTGTTCTTACAGGTTTTCTTTTTTTCCTTTTCGACAAAGGTGCTAGGTACCTACTCACTCTGTCTAGCATTGGGAAGGATCGCAGCGATGCTGTTCTTTTTTTGGCTAGCCATTTTCTTGCTGGGATATGCTATCTTAGATTCTGATATGGATAACATTCCTTTTTTTATTCTATTTCCTTTCTCCACAGAGTCATGCGATTACACAGACCGCTCGGCTTCCATCACAGCATATCCATGTTTTCGCCCACTTTGATCACCTACCCTGTAATTGCCGCTGATAATCAGGAACAGCTTCAGAAATGAACAACAGGCGCGATTTTGTCCTTGCCAAGTCACTTTTCGAAGGCCGAATCTGATTGCACATACTGTAAAATATCTTACCATGATACAGATGTTGATTTGAACTCAATCGCTTCCGTCTTGAATGAAATGGTTCAGGCACACTCTGCGTAAAGTGTCTCCACAGAAGGTTCCGTACGCCAGTCTCCCTCGAATACCTGCTCACCCCATCACGTTAACAGAGCACTGGAAAGTAGGAGACGAATCAATCGTACAACCTTTGACAGCTATTTATGCTTGAACTTTGAAAAGACTTTATCGTCAGTGAGGCAGTTGTACAAAGACTCTCCCTACATATTGTGAAAAAGTTGACCTCGAATCTAACCAAGTCAAGACAACGTGGCCGAGTGGTTAAGGCGATGCCCTGCTATCTTTCGAGACATCATAGGCATTGTGTTCGCACGCGTAGGTTCGAATCCTGCCGTTGTCGACTCTTTTTGTCTTTTACCGTGACGGATTCCTTTTTTTTCTTCTGCTCTAATACCCAAATGATACTTTTGTCTTTATTTGTGCAGTGGCTCTTGACTCCATGTTAGGTTATTGTGTAACGGGCTAGAACAGCCTTTTGCTTAGAAAAGGCAAGCTGTGTAGACCCAGTCTCATCGTCACCACATGCTTCGCGCGTATCTCTCACGCCGCTGACTATAAGTTATAGGATAATGATAACGAGATGTTGCACTTACATTTAGGGGTTGAGCAACGTATTGACATTAATTGTTTGCAAGTTGTCCCCAAAAAGCTATTGGAGCCAACAACGCCCGACCACTTCAAGTCTTAGTATTCTATCTGCTCTAATACTCTATCTAGTCTTCCACGTCGATTGATTTACTCATGATGAGAACTTGTAGACGCCAGCTTCTCTCCACCAACCCTTATCATACAACCACAAGCTCAGCCCTTCCACGGTTCCTTGACTCTCCGCATGCCCTTCCTTCAAGTAAGCCAGACACTTCTGCACCTCTTCCTTCTCATCCTGTTTGTTCATAATCGTGTAATGACCTCGCCATTTCTCGCGCCTGTCCTGGTCGCTAAGAAAAGACTCCCATTTGTTCCTCAGCTCACTCCGTATTCCAGCAGCCTTTTTCTGAGCATTATCGTGGTTCGAGACATGAATGCCTACACCCTTCCCCATCTCAAAGACATTCTTGCCCCCAACCTCAATTCCGAATCTTTCAGTGCGTGCTGCAATAGCTGCGATGTCTTCTCTCAAGTCGGGCAGTCTGGACCCCGGAAGTGCGTGAAATAGCGTGACGTGGGCATCAACCTTCAGTATACGCGAGGGGAACCACTGCCGCCGCAGCGCTGTCATGGCCTCGTGGTGTCTCTTATCCGTAAAGAGAGTGAGAATATAGAGTGGTTCCTCTTCGGTTGACCCTTTGGGAACATGAGCTTCACGGCGTTGGTATTGAAGATCACTTGATTGGTGTATTTCGGCGTTGTTGGTCTGCGATAGCGGGCCGCGCCTCGCAATGGGATGAGTTGAAGGGACTGTTGTTACTGTCATTGCGGCTTTCCGAAAGGATTTTATTGTATAAAGTCTGCGAATTAATCTCATGTTTGAGTTGAGGATAAGAGATCGTATGTGAAAAGACTTTTATGGACAAATCCAAGGCATAAAATTTGCTACGAGTGTTGACGTCAATGACCCAAAGTGAATCTCTAGCGCGTTACCTCGTCGCGCTTGGTTACGTAGAGACAGTCGCAAGACTCTTCTTCAGATGTTAGCATTTGTGGAGTTTGTTCTGGCGAAGGGTATTGAATTGCTAATTGATCTTCCCAGTGTGTTGTGCACAATTGAGTCTGCAGCTCAAGAACCTAGCTTTCGCGATCCGAGTCCCACGCAAATCGGTCAAGAGCAGTCAAATTTCTTGACCAGAAATTATTATTACATGTCTTTTATGCCATAGCTAGTGATACTAACAACTGATCCACTGAAAGTATTGTTTGGGTCTAGAGTCCGAAAATTGAGCCCCAAAAGAGACAAAATGTTCAGGGTCCTGGTTGAGGGACTTTTGCTGTTGCGCTCACCAATCACAAACTCTCTGTATATCACCTCATATGCCTGTCAGATAATAGTGTTGATAAATAAAGATTCTACCTGCCCCAAACAAGCTAGCTTTGCGCGGTCCAGATGATACCCGAATTCCACCCAATAAAACCGACCTTCTAGGCATATGGGCTTGTTCAGGATACTGCACGTTACTCCAGAATCGTGAGTAAATCTATTCTGGGACGGGTTACGTATGGCTTCACTCGGTTTCGCAAGGAGTGCGGGTATAGGCTCATTGGTATCGGAAAATAGTATAAGTAGTGCCGCTTCTTCCTAGATACATGGAATGGAATCTTCTCCTCCGTTCGTCTCAGTTTACAAGAATCGTACGCAACATGCCTCAACTCGTCTGGCTAGTAACAGCCACAACTTCCGGCCTTGGTGCTGCTGTAGTACAGAACCTCACTGCAAGGGGAGACCGTGTCATCGCAACAGGACGCGGAGCGACAAAGCGCCTCACTCATCTCCAGTCAGACGACGTGTATCTTCTTGACCTTGATGTTACAGCACCGCGGGCACAAATCGATGAGCAAATACAGAAAGCCTGGGATGTCTGGGGACATATCGATGTTTTATTGAACAACGCTGGCATTTCGGCACCCAAAAGCATCGAGGAGGCTGAGTAAGTGATGGTATCCGATGTGAAATAGCATACACTGACGTGACTACAGTGATGACTTCGTGCGGAATGTCTTTGATGTGAACCTATTTGGCACACTACACGTCACCCAGTCTATCCTGCCTCACTTTAGAGCCCGCCAGAGTGGCACTGTTGCCTTCATCGGTGCTGGCGTAGGCTGGGGCCCTCTGCCATTCCTTGCTCATTACGCTGCTTCAAAAGCTGCTCTGGGTGCTTTTGTTGAGGGCTTAGCCAAAGAAGTCAGAAGGTTCAACATTCGCTGCATCATCTTCGAGCCAGGTGGTTTCCCATCTCAGCTTGGCCAACCCCGGGAGGGATCAGTGGAAGGGTTCGGAAAATACAAGCCAGCTATTGAGGCGTACGCCCCTGCTTTTGAGGAGATGATGGATGTGTTCATATCTGACATAGGACCTAACGTCCCAGGAGATATCAGCAAACTCTCGGAGCGTATCGTGGACTGTGTCAAAGCTGAGGGCATCGCCTCTGGAAGACCAGAGCCAGTTAGGGTTATTCTAGGCAGCGATGCGCTCAGGTTGATCGAACAGAAGTGTAAGGAACAACTTGAACTTTGCAGCAACTGGGAGGATGTCAGTCTTAGCACAGATCGCGATGGACATGACCACGTGGCAAGTAAAGGGATGTTGCGTTTCTCATCTATTCTTTAGGGATTGGAATGACATTAGCAAAGTCCTTAGTCCTTGTATACAATGATCAGGGGCATTGCCCCATGGAACAATACGTCATAAACACAATGCAGTACCACTCAGTATTTGAGTAGGTTCCAGCATCATGCTAGCCGTGATCAGGAAGTGTCCCTCAAGTGCATCCAAGAATGCTATCCGTGAGGTTTGCATAGCTGAAGGTCCTTGTTCATAAGGCTGTATGCAGCCAGCAAGAACAGTTGCCTGCCTAATCCCCATCTCAAGCCCAATCCATTCTAGAGTATTGGCGATGTACTGCCTGGTTGTAGCGTCAACGACTGTGCACCTGGCAATGGCATATAAAGGGTGAAGTAGTAGGAATCCTCCAACCAAGCGGTCTGCGTGTAGGAAGGGCATTCCAGCATTGGCGTGTTTGATATAATCTTCCACATTCTGAGAAAGATGGTACGGAATCGATGCTTTGAGACCTGCAGCTAATCTGCAAACCTTCTGTAGGTACAATGGAATGAGTTCATATTGACCTAGGGCTTTGGCAACATGCACAAGATGATCAATGTAGATTATATGTGTGGAACGCCACGAATTCCATGCTGCTGCAACATAAACTATCATGAAGCTTAGTTGGTAATCTGCTTTATGGCGGAGGACGCGAATCCAACTTACGATCAAAGTATTCCTCAACAGGACCTGAGAAACAGAATCCTTGCAGCGAAACATAACCAACAAGCTTTGAGTTCCATAAAGATGGCCTATCATCAGGCCAATACACGATTTCGTCGTTGAGTATCAGTAAATCTTCTTGAAGCTGTAGAAGCGCTTCTATAGATGGAGATGATTGCGCCAGCAGTACTTCCGCACGACTCGTGAGCGGAGATAGCTTAATTATTATCTGGTCCAAAGATCGACGATGGAAATTCTCGAAGGGGGGACAGAGAACCCCTGTACCTAGGCTATGGGTCTGTCTCATCAATCACTAGTGGACGGTTGAACCTGGACAGCGAAGATCTTACCAATGCGCCTTTTGTGACAAGTTGAGCTCCAGGTGAGTAAACACCGACATTTGACGTTGGTACCGAATTTGTGATGCCCTTCTCAAGGATAGAGGCCAGTCCTTGTACATGTATAAGATGCTGTGTAGGTGCAGCGTTATCACTTACGATCATCTGGAAGAAAGTCAACGAGAGCGTCAATGATTGGCTGGAATGTGTACCAACCTCATACAAGCCCAAAAGAACAGCAGTAAAGAAGTGCTCAACAGAGACACTTCCCTTCTTTTGTGATAGAGCTGTATTGTAATCCATTAACAGCTTACCGTATTGTCTTTGAACAATGCTGGAAAGTGACTCTCGACGATATCGATTTGCGAGAGATCCAAGAATAACAATCTTTGCAGCAGATACCAGAGTGGACTTAGGTGCTGAGTTCGCAAAGATGTGGTGCATACCATCCAGAAATCCTCGAGAATGGCTTCTGTCGCTGGATCGCACCACCAGATTGTCTAGAAACACATCCAGTGCTGTTGAATCGAGCATATAATCTGTGCCTGGAACCCATCTCTCTAGGGCGGGGGTCGAGAAGACACTTGCAGGGTGATAATGCCTAAAGAACAGCGATGTGTCATCTTTATAGCCAGGACATGATCGATGAGATCTAGCACACCGGAGGCAACCCTTCGAACGTGGAGTCAGAACCTTTTGAAGAACTGGGTGCTATGTTTTGCGGCACTTACTGGACGAGTCTCATCACACTGTCGCGATAGTTTAGCAATCCAGATGATTGAGGGAAAGAAAGCTGAACCGTACCTTTTTGCGGCGCTTTTTGCATGTATCACACCCCCGAGAAACCCCAAAATTGACCATATTGTCTCAATAGGGTTGAGTTTAATTTGTTTGACCGTTCAGGAAGCCCCGGGAATGGGAGAGTCACCGTGAGGTACAACAAGGTGTTGGTGAGATATAATTAGTAATGCTCCAGGAACCACGTGACTATCAAGGAAATGGATCAAAGGTGTGCTGACGCTTGAAGATGGTTTTTACATCTTCCCGTGGGGAATGTAATAGTCGATAAGCTCAGAGAAATACTGCTAAGAGTCGGTCAATTTTGGAGCGAAGTGATCACAGCCATTGAGAATACTACTGTCGAAGGCTTTCAACAAGGCTTCGCAAGCAGAGCGTACCGAACAGAGGACTCCATAGTGGGTATTTCAATCCCCCTCCTCATATCCCTTGGGCGAATGGTTTAGTGGTATAATACTCCCTTAGCATAATTCGTTTGAATAATCTGGGAGTGGTCCAGGGTTCGATTCCCTGTTCGTCCATCTTAGGCGGTTAGACTCCGCTGTTATACCTTCTCTTTTTGCTTTTCCACAATGTTTTGATACAATGTGTAAGAACTCACTGGCAAGGCCATGTGATTGATGTTTTTGCCCTCGTCTATCTGTAGGTGTTAAAGCGTGAGCTCCGGCCTGCCTCTCTCTCTCTATAAGTAAGCTCCTCATAAACGATGATAACACCGGCAGCGAAGTATCTTGCAATACTTTCTCCCTCGGTTCAGCTTATAGCCCCTATTTCAACGACAACAAATTACATATGGCTATGTGATAACACCACCAATACAATTTGCGCTCTTCCTGAGAACATCACGTCGTCGTATAGAACTAAAAGACTCGAACCTCTTGTCTTGTGTTTAACCAAAACTGACCAAGGCTCTCAAAATGGAAGGTTAATAGAATACCGTAATGCGGTCAATATTTCTGGCTATATTAGCTAAGTCGCGTGGCTAGTGTTCGTATGTTGTGTTGAACTCGCAATAAGAACAAGTGGGAAGCCGCAAATAGTATTATGTGGAACATAAGCGTGCGCGTTAATGTTCATCGTATGGGTGGCGGAAATTCCGAACACTTTCCTATACTATATTTTCGTGAAATATTTAATATTGTAGCTTGTTCGCTGTTCTGTTATAGTGACCACCCTGGACATATGAACATGCCAAAACCATCCTCAAGCGAGGAACAAAGGAAGGAATAGATAGTTGGCGCTCTTACTCTATATAACCTAGGCTTTTACCTGCTCTTACTATTCATTTCGTCCATCTTCAACTTACATCCGCTAACAGAAGAAAAACACCACATCTCAACACCTTCCATCATTCCACTAAGTCATCCCAACAATGCAGTCCGACACCATGCTAGAGCCCGCTAACATCCCGCACCTTCCACTAGAGGTTCTGGTGCCCATAATCGCCCAATCCGAAGAAACGCAATGCTGCCTTATCAACTTGCTGAGCAGGGGCAGCTTGAAATGTGGAGAATTACACAGTTTCACTACAGTCATCTACACTCGAGGCGACCGTGACCAAGACGGTAATTATGCTCGTGGTTCCATTGAACCCCTTCCATATCGACACCGATGTGTGCATGGAATTGTTCGTGAGAACAGTGAGCCTGCCGTCCGCTTCAACCAAGCTGACGAGCTATCAGTCGAGCTTCAAAGATGGCATCTGACCAAGCGTGTCAATGTCATGGATATAGGAACCGAGGAAGATGTCTGTAAGGAGGCACAACGCATCCTGGAAGAGAAGTGTTCAAAGGATGGAGCGCCCGGCCTCGATGCTGACTTTTACGCTTATCACACTGTTGTTCACGACATACGCCGCATCTGGGACAGCAGAATCTTGGAAGATGGAGCGTCCGGCTTCGGGGATAAATTTGGCTTTTATCACGGCAGGACTGAAGACTTACTCAACGTCTGGAACAGGGGAATCTTTGACACTATCCCACTTGCCAACGACAACGGTAGTGGTGGCATCAAAGTAGAAACCAGCGATGGAGCCTACGCCAATCGCTTAAGTCCCGAAAGCCCCTAACTCGCCTGTGAGAAGATCCGGCAGCTAATGATGCGACCTGTCTTTGACTACGAGGCCAAGATTAAACAATTTGTCATCGACGAGTTTCATGAGCAGGTGAGAGACTATAGACATGTGGAGGTTTTGGCTGAAGTGGTCAAATCGAATTATGAACTGTCCATGGAATTCATGCTTCGTCTCGACTGGCATACTCTCAAGGACCTCGAAGTACTCTGTTTGGATTTGACCTTGTTAATACCAAATGATAGGTACAAGGTAATAAAGAAAAGCCTCGTTGAAATGGGACGGCATTTGAATCTCAAGACACTCATATTGCTCGGAGTTTCTGAACTAGCGAGATACCCCTACAAGAGTAAGGAAGCTTGGGTTGCCGACTTGGAGGATGACAAGTTAAGACGGACCGTGCATGTTCAAGAATCCCTCATCTCGGTCCTCAAGGAAACCTTGCGACCTGGTGGTCAGATCCATTTTGTCAACTTTCTCGAGCCAGGAGATTCCTGGTCGCCTTATTCAGTACCATTCTATCACCATGGATTATTCGATTCTGATTGGCGAGTCTACTCGCTCCAGTCATGGAATCCCTCGCTGTCTCCTTCAGCGAAGGAACTGGCGCTGGTGAACCAAGAGGTAAAGAATCGATGGGAGCGGAATCATATTAAGGATCCTCGTCCAATCGAAGTCCAGTTTCCAGAAAGATTCCAGTTATTCGATGATTAATCCCTCCCTTCGAGTGGACCTGACCAATCCGGTAGATCCGTCGTCCGTAGTGTCTTTGATGTTGCAAAGAAGGGGTGCTTCGCCTTGGAATCCTAAGGTCTTTTTCTGTTTTCTGTTTTGTTCAAGTATCTTGTTATAAACCTTTTTGCTTTGTTTATTGTTTGGCGCATAGAATAGTATGGAAAATGTGGAATTCTGATTTAGCTACGATAAAAGATGAATACTTTTGGCCCATCCATATTTGTGTGATTCGTGTAAGGGGAACAGCCCATCGTAGTTGTTGATTAACTAGTGCTCTATGGTAGCAATGACAGTAATTTTGCCCTTTACCTACTGCCAGTTCCGCATGAAAATGGAATAACCTTGTCCGACCGTAACTTGAGAGTGAGAACGCATTATACTCCACTTGTGAAATGGACAATACTACCTTCGAAGCACGTGAGAACGAAGCGCTCTCCTCCACACATACGCTGTGGTTTAATGACTCGATACTATTCTATCATATCGGGAGCCCCGAGCTGCCAGGCAGCAAGTTAGATTGATGCAATGCGGGTATCCTGTGCACAACCCTCTTCTTGCTCACCACATGTCCCGTTAAGATTTTCTCAGATTAGATTTATTTAGTAGCCAACGCGAACAAGGGTTTTGACTAACAAGTTCAGGCTGCAGGAGCTATTGGACTTTGCAAGGAACCGTCAATGTGGGATTTAACCTTATACAGCCACCCGCCAGCAGGTGCGTGGGCTAGCTGGAGGCTTGCTTGTCAAAACGGACTGGCTGTAGGTAGCTACCGCCAAGATAACCCACGCCCTTCAGAAGCCACATGCTAGTGAAATATTTCGTAAATTGTCCCGAGCTGATGTTCCTCCGGCTACATTCAGTTCCTTGATGGCCCTCAATGTGGAAATGACCGAAGAGATTACCATGTCAGAAGGTTAAGGTCGAAGACTAAGCACAGGAATATTAGTGCCCTGTCCCACATGTCGCTTAAACTCCAGACTCTGGGTTCACTGATGACACTACATGCAGCAAGCACTATAAAACGAGGAACATCATGTGATAGCTTATGCTTTTCTCATTGGTCGAGATAAGACGAAGAACGAGGCAGTGATGCGGGTAGACTAAAACCGCCCGAGCGATGAGCGGAAAATGTTTAAGCTTACATTGCCAAGAAGAAACCTCGTATCCCCCAGCTTTCTTTTAAGGATTTTCTTCTTGGGTCGATCAACCTTGTTGAGCTTGCTTGTCTGTTATCCCGAGTCTCCGAGGATCTTCGGCCAGGCCATGGTGGGATTTTAGCAAATTGACGCTGGAGCTGTGCCTTAGGGGTGCAGTTTCGCTACCAGCCTGTTTAAATGCCCTGTCGGTCTTAACCCAACAGGGAGGAGACAGCTGGAGGGTTTGCTGCAGGTTCGATTCTTGGTGAGATGTGATATCGAAGGCTATTGGTGGCCTGAGATGATGATATTGGGACACGTCAGAGCCATTTCCTTATCAAGTTGGGCCGAATGCGAGAAGTCACTGTTGGTATCTTGGCTTTAAGCAGTCAGACGCAGCGTCGGAAAGGGCTACGATTGACGACAAATGGTCTCGTCTGCATGTAAAATTTGAGTGCGATCACAAATTACCTTGCGTCGAAGCTGTCGCTATGAATCGGCATGTTCCACGGAGCTGATGTCCGGAATGGCGTATAGATCTCTGGATGGTGGGGATCTGGAGATCAATCGAATAGCTAGCTAGCAGCTGATGCGCCCCATCTTATTTTCAATTCGAGATGGAGATCTCTGAATCTGGCTGTCGCTTGATAACATGATTGTGAGAGTGCTCGCTTCGGGCATCATTACGTTACTCTGACCATGCTCGCCTGCGCCAACGAGGCACTATTGGCAGCTGTGTGCGTTTAGATTGGCTGTGAGGGGCCTTGGGCCGGACTTTTGGAGATTATCGCTTTTGGTAGGGACCTTTTCAGCGGCGACTACGAACGAGCCGCGGCTTGTTGGTTGGGACAAAGCATGGGGCAGGGTTTGTAAGCTGACAGCTGGAAATCTCAAGAATACGGAGTCGACTTCAGCATGACGCGGGTGTGCAGAAAGATCGACACAAAAGCGATGGCGAGAAAGCTCATTTATGAAAAACGGTGAGACTAGAGGCTGCTGGTGACAGAAGCCATTAATTAAACTTTATGTTTAGTGCAGCTTGATGTAGAAAGAGGCGTTCCAAGACAAGGCTTGCTGGAGAAATACTCCGTGAGTCTGTCTTGTAATTAATTGCCAGTGACAGACATTAATTGAGGGAATTCTTTACGAGGTCGCTGTGGGCCGTGCCAACCGAGAGCATGGATGGCCAGACATCAGACACCGGAATGCCCCTTGCACAAAATGCATTAGGGTCCAGATCTCAGCGCAAGCGCAGGGGTAGGTACCCCCTAGCCAGTACGCCACAGCACGCTATAGTGGAAAATCAGTCTTCGTTGGCCGAGACCTCGTGTCCCCTAGCCCCCTCCACTCTGTGCCCCTGGACCGCTAATCAAGGGCACATAACTAGTCCATATCCTGTAAAGGCCGGAATACCAAACGCTCATTATTGAATATTTCTCACTTATCCATCCATTGAACCCCCTGGTTCTGGACCTTGCCTAACCGAGCCGTAGGGTTGCCTTCTCAGACAGCCACACCATGAGTACCTCGCCTGTTCAGGCCTTTATACGACGCCTGCGTGCCTGTCAATTTAACAGGACCAGGTATGACCTCGATTTAGAAGCGCAGACACACAGACCCTCGACCATTTGGGCACACCCATTCAAGCTTCTTGGCCAGTGTAAGTTTACCCTTTTTTCTCTCCAATAGTTTTGTCGATAGTCGAATGCCAAGGTGGAAAAGAAAGATTTACAATGCACCGCCCTTTTTGTGTTTCTTCCCGTAAGGGAAATCTGTGCGATGCATTGTTCAATACGGCATAGTTGCTCTGGGCATGTTGAGGTCTCGAGGTCTGGAGCTGCAGAACAGTTTCCGGTGAGAATGTGACTGTTGGACCTTCCAATGGTCTAGACTCTGGAGGTCACTCCCATCCCCTTGGCCCCAAATTGCCCTCTTTCCTTTCCCCTTGAAATACGAGGTGGTCTTTCCGGCCGAAATGCACAAGCCCTTTATCTTAGATTGAGCCCATCTAGCCTGTCACTGTATCCCCTTAGCGCCCCTTAGTTCATTGATGATAAGGTCATTGGTGTCTCTATTTTGAATTCTGGTTTAGCTTCTTTGTGGGCTTCCCTGAGAACTATCCGTTATATACGCCACTCCCTGATCCCCGAATACCTTATTTATTTCCTCTTTTGTTTTACCTCCTTCCATCATAGCAGCCTTGTCACATGCAATCTTTAACAATGGCAGCCCTACTGAGGAATCGTCTCCTCATCTTTATCTTCACCATTTATATGGTGTCGTATCTCATGATATCTGCTTCCGCTGCCCCACACGAGAGAGCAGACGTCCCCGGCAAGTATGATGTGGTCATCTACGGCAACACAGTCGCCGCGATAGCAGCAGCTGTCCAGGTCAAGCGCATGAAGAAGACGGTGGCTATCGTATTCCCTGGCGGCACGCTGGGTGGCCTCACAACATCAGGCCTCGGCTGGACAGACTCCAAGAACGGAAACATCGTCGGCGGTATCGCAAGAGAGTTTTACAGCAGAGTTTATACACACTACCAGAAGAGCACCTCATGGAACCAGGAGACTCGAGGAAGCTACCTCGGACGAAAAATCGGCGCTCAGCCAGGCCCTGCCATCGACGAGAGCAAGAAGGTCCAGTGGACCTTTGAGCCCAAGGTGGCTGAGTTCATCCTTGAGAACTGGATGAAGGATGGAAAGGTTCCCATTTTCCGCAACCGTGCTATCGATAGAGCCAATGGTGTGGTGAAGAAGAATGGAAAGATCGCATCTTTCAAGACTCTCAATGGAGACGTCTTCCAGGGAAAGATGTTCATTGATGCCAGCTACGAAGGTGATCTTATGGAGGCTGCTGGTGTCTCTTCCCGCACAGGACGCGAGAGTGCCGGCGACTACAATGAGCCAGTAGCTGGTTTCCGTCTTGGCGCCATTGAGCAGCTTGCTAAAGTCGATCCCTACAAGAAGAAGGGCGACGCTAGCAGCGGTCTCATCGAAGGTGTTGGACGCATTGTCAAGAACCCCGATGCCCTCAAGGGCCAAGGCGATTCTTTCCGTCTCCAATCTTACAACTTCCGCATGAGTCTCACCAAGCAGAGTGGAAACAGAATTCCCTTCACGAAGCCTGCAGATTACGACGAGTCTCGATACGAGATGCTCCTGCGCTATTTCGAGTCAGGCTACACAGGAACCCCTTTCACAAGCCAGCTTATGCCCAACGTCAAGACGGACTCCAACGCCCAGAGCCATGTCAGCACTGATCTGATTGGTGAGAACTATGAGCAGGATGGCAACTACGCACTCTGGTCATACGAGAGACGCAGAAAGATTTACCTCGACCACAAGTCTTACACTCAAGGTTTCTTTTACACATTGGCTAACCACAAGCGCGTTCCTGCGTCTCTGCGCTCGAGAATTAATGAATGGGGCTATGCCAAGGATGAGTGGCTCAGCAACGGCAACTGGCCTTACGAGATCTACATCCGAGAAGGACGTCGCATGGACGGTGGCTACACCATGAGACAGAGCGATATCCAGTCGCCTCCCGCACGACCAAACAACAGCATTGGTAAGGGCGCCTACTCCCTCGACGTCCACCAGGTCGAGCGAGTTCTTGTTGGTGGAAAGCTCCGCGACGAAGGCAAGGTGCACATCGCTACCCCAGGACCCTTCAACATCCCCTACCAATGCATCGTCCCCAAGAAGAACGATGCGGTCAACTTCCTCAACCCCGTCACCATGAGTGCCACTCATATCGCGTACTCGGCCATCCGTATGGAGCCTACGTACATGGTCCTCGGCCAGAGTGCTGCCACTGCGGCCTGTCTTGCCATTGATCAGGGCGTCAACGTGCAGGACGTTGATCTTCCCAAGCTGATTGCAAGACTCAAGGCTGACAAACAGATCCTTTGAGTGTATTTTGTGTAGCGTTTTCAAGATACCATGCGTTCTTTTCAAAAATAGTTAAATTTAATAAGCCTAAATATGGCATACTCTGATTCTCAATGTGGTTTTTCTTGTGACATGCAAATCTTGCGGAGATATCGACTCTGCTGAGTGACAGTCATGACGAGGCTATTGAACCTTAAAAACGCCTCCGTCGACTTCGGAAATTCAGCTTGTCACTACTCCGGAGCTTGTCGGCCCTAACACTACGCCACTGAGTCACTATGTACAGTCTCGAGCTGAGAGTGTTCCTGGAACAGTGGATAAATAACTAATTTAGCAGCTCCGGTAATTAGTTCTGGTCCACGTACAGATACCCACGCTAAAGAAATATTCATAGATTATACTGAGCTATCCACCTCATAATTCAAGCTTCCAATCTGCTAACGAATGACCCAGATTCTCCAGCAAAGGGAAAGGATGTGATAGAATATACTTGAAAAGATTTGTGCACTAAAGATAGACCCCTCAATCCTTGTGAGTATTGCTTCGCGGATGAAAGCGAACCATCAGGTCCGGCTTTTCCCAGATCATGAAGATCCTCACCTCCGACAACCAATCTAGCTCCGTGTTCAACAGCTCCCAATCATATGCAAACACCAGTGAGGCAAGGGTAATTTTCGACTCCATGTAGGCAAGGTTAATCCCAAGACAACCTCGAGGTCCAAGGGAGAAGGCACGGCTAGCATCTTTCCGATCACCCAGTCCCTCCCCAATCCATCGCTCTGGAATAAACTCATACGGATGAGCAAAATTGCGGTCATCATGAGATGTAGTCCAGGTATCGACTGATACTACAGTGCCTTTGGGGACGTAGACTCCGTCGACGGTGGCTCCAGTGCTGACACGAGGAGGACCAAAGGGAGCTGGTGGGAATATTCGTAGACCTTCCTCGATAACCGCCTCTAAATACTCCAGATTGCTTACCGAGTCGGCAGTGATCTCATCCATGGACGAGAAGGCAGATCGTATCTCATCTTGAGGCTTTGCCATTTTGTCGGGGCATTTGAGAAGATAGAACATGACGCTCGCTAACAGATTTGCAGTAGTCTCAGATCCGGCTAGGATCAGAATCTTGGCCTGTTCGCGCAGGTGAACGACATCAAGACTGCCTTCTTCCTTTCGAAGGATGTGAGCAAAGAAATCTTCGCGGTCTCGGGAGTTGCCCATGTCAATACGCCTCTGGACCTTCTCTGCGGTGAGTCTGTTATGGGTTTCTATGCCTTCTTTGAGACTTTTCGGGACGAGAGGAAGGAAGAGGGATTTGGGAATGGAAAGTCTGTTGAAAACGGAGAGAAATGTGATTTGACGGAGAAAGCTCAAGATGAGTGAGACCCATATATTTGGCTTCCATTGATTGAGTGCATCAAAGGATTCGCCGAACGCCAAATCGCCTTGAATCGTTAGTGGTTATCATGAGGTATCGAGGAAATGGGATTTACCAATGACGTCGAAGGTTAGCCAGTTGAAGACCTCAGACATATTGGCTCCATCGGTCCCTGGTCCCGCCTTGTGTCCAAGCTGTTCTATGAGCACTTTCACGTGGGCCTGGACCGTTTCCTCGTTATCCCTCAGGGCTTTCGCACTAAATGCATGCGAAAGTGATCTACGCTGCGACCGGTGATCTTGGGCATCGATAGCAAAGACGATGTTAGGGCGCGTCACCGAGGAATCTTTAGTGTAAAATATTTCGTCTTTAGGAAACAAAACCCTGTCTTTGGAGGCGTGGTTGTATATATCTCTGTACGCGGCTGGGGATGCAAAGCTAAGATCATTGGTGGCAACTCGAACGACGTCGCCATATTTGCGATGGAGTTTGCTCATGTCGAATGAATGGTGACCGCTAGTCATGGCGCGTATGAACCAGAACTATGGGTACTTGTTAGTACGGAGTTTGTGGTTGAGGTTCTTAATCTTCTTGGCGTACTTCACTGCATGCTGCGAGTCTTGGCCCTGGGAACTTGGCCAATGGGTGAAAGTAAAGTCTGTAGACGACAGTATAAATAGTCCATAGCGTTATCTTGTACCAAGAGTATGAGTATACTGACGGGTTGCAAGCTGTTTTGATCTAGGTACTTACAGCAACACCTAAGAAGACAACTCCGTGAAAAAGTGGGATACTCGTCGTGGCTGATAGCATTTTCGGTTCGCAAAGCAATCCTTGCTTACTAGTGACGCGAGATAAAAACAGTGAGCTCTATCAGAACTCGACAAGTGACTATATATACTTGGTAATGTCATCGAGATTGTGGAGTTTCGTTCGCCACACTCATGGCAATCAGGCTGTGTGACTTGTGATGCATAAGGAACATGCATAGTGCGTTAAGGTGCGGTTTCACAGACTTGAAATACCAAGGATTGCGGACCTGCGGGCTCATTGACACAAAAAGGTACGAGGAAAGGAGAATACACGATAATTCTATCGTATAGCCACCAAACATTTCACATGTGTTTAGATAAACAGATGTTCATCTAACCGCCGACTCCACAGGGCTGCGCAGAACAGCATCGTGAACCAATGGCAAGTCTTGAGCAGTATGGCAAAATACAACTATAGGATTCTATCCACTCTGATTCCGTTTGATGCTGACACTTCTACCGCATTCAGACGGGATTCAAGTTCGATCCGGAAGGACTCACTTGGAGCCGAACTCCCCAAATGGCCAATAAAAACTGTAGCAAGGCGAGTATTCGTACCATATGCAAGTAAGACCTGTTAAAATACAAGGCCAAGGCTATCACATATATGTATGTCTTGCTCATCTGAGAAAAGAGGGGCAGTTGGCTCGTGTAGAGTTGCAGAATGGGGCCAACTTGCATGCCCGTTGCAAAGGAGATGAATACTGAACTGGGCTGTTAATCGCGGCGTCTTCCACCAAGGTTTCATCACAGATGACCCCCACTGAAACACACCATTAAGACGGCAAGAAAGCTACGCTGAAGCCTGATATCACTGTTGCTTTCTTTTTGCCTGGAAATGACGTACTTTATTGAGTCGATTGCATGTTGGTTGTGGTTTCCCATTCTCATTGGCTCATTTCCGAGGTTTTCTGCAGTTGGGTTGGAGAAAGTAATCCGAAATGGATGGATAATTGATATGGTGGGAGTTAATCTACAAACACGGAAATCTGTCGGTATGTTGTGAGGCCAGACCCGTTAAGTTATATGATAAAGGGCTGGACACCATCAGAATCATCAGATCATTACAAGTTCGGCAACAACCAACAAGAGCTAGCTCTGTTGCCCTATCGCTAAGATATCAGTAGAAATGACAGATGGATGGTATCATACGATTGGACCGCGAAATTGCGCTCCCGCTCCCGCTCCGTCAACCCTCCGACCCGAAATTGATGCACTTCCACAGCTGTGACTTCACATCGAGGCCGGCTTGGGCAGTATTAGATGTGCGTCAGGTATCTCCAGACTCGCGTACCCAATTGATATCGACTACACCTCGTGAGTGTCAATGTTTGCATTTGATACCACAGGCCCTTACTGTGTCCAATGGGACCCTTGACCCTGCGGATCGCTGTTTCGACCACTGTTAGCTCAACACCAAACAGAGTAATCAGTCCGTCGTATTTTTGGCGCTCCTCACGAATTACTTTTGCAAAGTTAGTAGGTCGTAGCGGTTGTCACTTGAAGGAGTGAATATCCTCGATTCTGCTCTCAGGTCACTGCACTTCGTATTCAAAGCGCGAGCCTCATTCAATGTATGCTTATTTTCACTGCAGACTTCTACCTGTCCAGGAATGGTATTACACGAGTACCAGAGTTGAAAAACGTATCGTCTATTTTGGCACCAGTTCTCTGATGTGAAGCTGTTAGGAAAGTATTAGCGGGGTACTGAGCTAGTTCCAGGATCAGCCCTGCTCCTGAGTCTTTGACTGTACCGCACTAACATCAAGCTAATAGATATACAATGCCGCCTTTATCCTTACCAAACCGACGAGTCTTCAACTTTTTCTCTCATGATCCTTAATTGGCAACCTTCAAACATCGTCTTTGCAAGCACAAACAATCCCGCAGGCTCTGTTGAAGTTTCCCTTTCCGACAAAATCAAACGACTGGAACCTTCGCAATGTCACATAACGCCCAATCGCGAAACCCGTCCTCACCAATTGTTCATGGAGTCAACACCAGCCCAAAACTACAATGTTCCCACTGGTCGTCAGATCTCGACATCATCGCCATTCGACACAAGTGCTGCATGCAGTACTACGCTTGTATAAGCTGCCACAATGAGCTAGCAGGACATGAACCTGAAGTTTGGCAGAAGTCGGAGCAGCACGAGCTGGCAGTTCTATGCGGTAATTGTGGACGGGAGATGACAATCGAGGAATATCTTGGAAGCCACAATCGTTGCCCTGGCTGTACTGCTGGGTTCAACCCCGGCTGTAGTAAACACTATGACTTGTACTTTGGGACCTGATATCTATTCATTAAAGACTATTGAGATGATGATGATATTTGCTTTGGCACAGTCAAGAGAAGGGATGGAAGATGGGGTGATAAGCCCTCAACCTTTCTGCGTCTGTAGTTGACTGAGTGAAGGAGAAAATCCCGCTTTCGCTCCTGGTGAATGGTCGATGGGCTTCTTGTATGCCAGTATCGAATCAGCTAGACTTGCTATATCTTCATATAAAATCAACAGGAAAGCAAGGTGAGTGATACAAAGAATCACTCAATCTAGTGCGAAATTTCGAATTCGCTCTCATCAAGCATTAGTCAGCGGGTTTAGCTCAGTTGGGAGAGCGTCAGACTGAAGTCAAACTTCATTCGCTATCATTCGATATCTGAAGGTCATGTGTTCGATCCACATAAACCGCAACTGTTTCTTTTTGCTCCATCATCTTCATCTTTTACACAGAACCTATCGCCAGAGGTCTTCTTCTCCTCACCAAGGTCCTGAAATATTGCCCTTAATGAACACTTTTTTATATCACTTGGCTGTCGTTATGGCGTGAGTATTATGGGTTTGTAGGTTCAGACTTTTGGGCAAGGACAAGACGAAGCACTCCCCCGCCTGTTACCTGTTGAGCGACTTTATCCCCGCCCTCCAAAGCGATATCTGTGAAGGCTTCACGGAGTAATACGTTGCGTTTCCGTTGCGTTTTCGTTTACTTCAAGCTTTTATTTGCTAAATGATAACTTGGAACACTTCGTCTTCTAATGCCATCCATAACCCTTTGCATAATCGGATACATACAGCAATTTACCTTCTTCACCATCATTGCATCCACCTTCCTGAGGAAACCTTCTCACAAATAAATAAACAGTAGTTCCATCATTCATCACTTCAGTCCCAGGCGCAAATGACCTCTACTCCACGTGCTTCGGGTGTTCGAACACCCATCCTTTAGCGCCCGTCCCGTTTTTGGTCTACTGGACGATCGTCAATATGTGATTTGCGGAGGTCAAGGTATGACCCGTGATTCGATGCTATTTCACAGTCATACTCTCCGGGTGAGACATACGCCACCTGGTTAAATGTCTTGGTTGGATGCTCCCTGCGGTAACCACCTTCCTAATCCAGATACCATGGTAACTTCACCCCAAGCTTGATGTAGCATTGAACCTCCAGAAGTGATGCAACGATCACAAGGACTTTTTCACGATTAAACCTCCTAGCGCGATGTCGAGAGTGAGGAGTCCTGGCTTCAGTCTGATATGTGTTGAAATGCGATATGAAATGCATGTTGTAAGAGGTATCAAATCATAGTCTTTTCGATCGTCTTGTTATCTCTCACTATTATTTATTATTTGGCATTTCCCAATCATTCAGCAAGAAACACAACGCTACCGGAATGTCGCCGATCGTCCGAGTTCAACAATCCGGTGCCTCTATCACGCTCTGCCAAATACCACCTTGTTTTGCAACTATCTTCTAGTAGTGCCAAAAAGCGATAGAGTAGCCCGTTGGGTTACATTATCCCTATCGGCTATCTATCAAATGACATGTTATCTCGCATCATTTCTCAATGTTTACCATATTGTTGCCCAACTCTATCTGACCTTTTCCCGAAGACCTGTTTTTCGTCTTTCAGCCTACCATCGGGGCAAATGACGACGCGAGAATAAATCGCAAGCAAAACTATCACACGACACCAGAGTCGTAGAACACCGTCTAAGTATTCAGCCTTATGATTCCAGGCGAACTGCTCACCCTGTTCTCTTTATCTTTATTGCGATCGCCGTGGTGGATGAGACCGATTTGCAACGTTGCAAATTGACTACTTCTCATCCCCTATTGGTTCACATTTCCATGGCAATTTTCTATCATTCAGTTATCTATCGCAACCTTTTGCAACAGTCATTTGAGCACCAATACTGCACATGTTCATCCTTTGGACTGCCATTACTCTCATCATGCTCAGAAACCCTGCTCAGAGCAGCCGATGACTTTCAAGTGTGACGATCGCCCTACGATGCATCGAACAAGTGTCCAGTCCGACGGTTTTCGCAAAAGGATGTTTAAGATTATAAAATGGTATGGGAAGTCCTTTGTGTAAAAGGAAGAGCATAACAGCAAACAAACTAACTCTGCATACCAAACTATTCACCTTGATACTACCAAACGTTTTTGCATCACCACAAACACCTTCACAATGGTCGCACTCGACGATATGACATCTAACATACCCGACCTGGTTGTTCCAGAGGGCAATGACGAAGTTTACGAACAGGCTACCGGCTATGTTAACGCGGTTTACTTTACTAACTGGTACACTTATACCTATTACCTTCATGCTCTCTCGGCTGACTCTGTATAGGGGTATCTACGGCCGTAACTATCAACCCGCGGATCTGCCCGCCTCGCAGCTTACCCACGTAATCTATGCCTTTATGAATGTGAGGGCTGACGGGACTGTGTATGTATTCCCACTTATAACCAAACGGCACTCATGTACTCATACTCTGCAGCTATACTGGCGACTCCTATGCCGATCTCGAGAAGCATTATCCCGGCGATTGTACGTAACATAGATCTCCAACCAACCTCAGGGCGAAAATACTGATTGAAGCACTTTAGCTTGGGAGGACGTCGGCAAGAACGCCTATGGTTGCGTCAAACAGCTCTTCCTCCTCAAGAAAGCCAACCGAAAGCTGAAGGTCATGCTCTCCATCGGCGGATGGACGTGGTCCACCAACTTCCCAGCTGCTGCTAGCTCCGACGCGACCCGATCTACATTCGCCAAGAGCGCTGTTACCCTGATGAAGGACTGGGGCTTCGACGGTATCGATGTCGACTGGGAGTACCCTGCGAACGCCACCGATGCGAATAACATGGTTCTTCTACTCCAAACTGTGCGCAAGGAGCTTGATGCGTACTCGAGTCAATATGCATCTGGTTACCACTTCCAGCTTTCCATCGCTGCCCCGGCTGGTCCCGATAACTACAACAAGCTCAAGATGAAGGAGCTTGGTGCGGTTCTCGACAATATCAACCTCATGGCTTACGACTATGCTGGTTCGTGGAGTACTGTATCTGGACATCAGGCTAACAAATACGCCAACCCCAAGATCCCCGGCGCGACGCCCTTCAACACCGACCAGGCTGTCAAGGCCTATATCAACGGCGGTGTTCCCTCTAAGAAGATGGTCCTGGGCATGCCCATCTACGGCCGCGCTTTCGAGAGCACAAACGGTTTGGGACAGCCTTACTCTGGAGTTGGGTCTGGAAGTTGGGAGAACGGCATCTGGGACTACAAGGTCTTGCCCAAGGCTGGAGCCAGTCTTGTGTACGACAGCGACGCACAAGCATCCTACAGCTACGACGCTGCTACAAAGGAACTCATCTCCTTTGACACACCTGGCATGGTCAAGAACAAGGTCCTCTATGTGAAGGACAAGTCCCTCGGAGGAAGCATGTTCTGGGAGGCGTCTGCGGACAAGACAGGTGCAGATTCGCTTATGGGCACCAGCTCCAAGAACCTGGGGTCTTTGGACACTACCAACAACTACCTGACGTACCCCAACTCGCAGTATGTGAACATCGCCAAGGCACTCAAGTGATGTGTAAGTGAATATGGGACTCTGGGGGAAGCTCTGCACTGCATGGAAGACGATGGTTATTGGTGAGATTCATTCGCTGTTAGATGTGTAAATTATATACCTTCGCTATAGATAAACAGACATTCGTTAGACATATAAGCACATGGCTTCTATCCATATTTTGAAGCGTACTGAGCGGTGTTGGCTTGTAAAGCATTACATAGATGCTTCCAGGCGCAGTCCCATTTTCAAGCCACTAACTCACACAATCTCTAGATCCTCCCATTTACTACCCTCATTCACAGCCTCCCCATGCATAACACCATGAACATACGCCTCGCCCACCAAACTATACCGCTGACCATCCTTTCGCAGAACTAGTGGCGTTGGACATCCAGAAACGACCCAGATCTCGTCACCGACTAGCGAAGCCTGAAAAACACAGGCGAAATACCCTTGATCGGTTACCGCTGGTCGTCGGGTTGAAAGGGTCGTGCTCATCAATGCCATTAGGTACAGCGCGTTCTTCTGCATCATACCCACCCAAGCAATCAGCTCGTCGTATGCCATAGGTTTGTCGTCTCCTTCCTCGGGAAGGTAGCCAAGCTTTCTGGCGCACGATGTGAAGTAGGCGCTACTGTAGAAGGGACTCTGTTTCGGATGCTTCGCGTGCAACTCGTCCATGGCTCCTACGGTCTTGAGGAAAGCTTCGATAGCATCTACGCCTCCGGATGAGAAAGCCTTATTCATCTGTCCAATAGTCAAGATCATTACCATATGCTGAAAGTGCTCGGTCGTGGGAATCTTGGCTGGCCGATCGGATAAGTCCTGGTCAAAGATCAAGGTTCGCCAGAAAGCCTCCTCGAAAGGCTGATTGGTGAATCGGTACGTGTCATCCACGTCGATTAACATAGCAGCGAACCCGTTCAGTTCTCCGGCGACCACTTCTTGGAGAGACTCGCCTGTAGCTTTAATGCGACCTAGGGGAAAGCCGCGAGCATGTAAAATGTTGCCATCGATATGGAAATCCACCTTGTATTTGGACGCATCCAAGGATTGTGACGCATCAAACTTGCCGAGGGACTTGAAGTTTGGTCCAGCAATGGGATTCAGCAGTAATGACGGGGTATAATCGGGAACCCAAGATGGTAAACCTGGTGTCTCTCGCAGAGATTCGTCTTTGACAACACCCAGAAGGGCCAAGCTCCCAGTTGACAGTATGATCTCTATCGCTGCATTGTGGAGTACAGTAGCTGTGTCGAGCAGATAGTTTGGCTGTAGTCTCTGCGGGATACTATCGAGACCCTGAATTCTAGCAACGTGGCTGAGAATGCCGCCCAGTCCATATATAGTATCGCGACGGTCGGTAGCATCGTAGCCCACGATCCACAGCAGCAGTTTCAGAAGCACAATGCCAACCATACTCTCCTTCGTCTGGCCAGGGGCTGGAACGCCCTCTACAACTCCAGCGGTGAAGTCAATAAGAGGTAATATGTCTGCTATCTCACTGCGGTCTCCCTTGCACCACTCGCGGACTACTAGAGTCCTCTCGGCCTGGAAAAGATGCGTCTTATCCAACAGTTCTGAATTCTTCCCACCTGAAACTAGCGTGGCACTCATTGCTACCAGCAGGCCAGTGAGATGCAGAAACAGGGCTGTTACTCCGATCTTGTCAAAAGGGACGGCCATGTCGTTGCACACAACGTCGATTTCTTTTGCGAGGGCGACTTCCTGGACCACCCACTGTCTCGCAAACCAGCGGCTTTCGAAAAGATCTATCAGGGCATCGGCTTCATCAAAGGTCAATGGATCGAGTCCGTACACATCTTTCATTTCCTCAAGAGAATGAGTGTAATGGTACTTTTGTTCCCTGACGATTCGCTTACTGACTGTGAAGCTGACAGACGCGAGGCGCTCTACAGTTTTCAGGCCAAGCTCAGTCTTGGGGGTGGGTTTGCCTAGCCACACGATAACTCGACTTGCACCTCCGAAGATCTGGTCCATGATGCCGACTTGGAGTTTGCGCTCTTGCAGATCGCTCTGGTTGATGCAGAGAGCGTCGATCCAGAATGGCATATCTGGACATGACCGGTGAATCTGGAAGAAGGCATCGTAGAGATTAGGCATCACAGAGAATTTGGACCCGTTGAGGAGAATGTCACGCATGTCTTCCTCTGTGTATCGGGAGGGATCGCCCTTGTAAGGAGGGTTCCATGTGTAGGACAGCGCATAGAATTCTGGCCTAGTAGGGCTAGAGAGCTCGAATGTCTTGAGAGTGAGGGAGGGTATCTCATCAGAGTTGATGGTGATAGTCGCGAGACGCAGGGACTCCGTGCCAAGAGACTCGGAGTAGATCATTGGCGCGTTCATTTCGTCGTAATGATTGATTGTATGAAGGATTTACGAGATGTGGTTCTCCCTCATATGCGGGGTATTTAAATGGTATGACTGGTTCCACTCTGGCATTTTGATTCTGTCAGCTGAAACCTGCGTAATGGGTGGTTACATTGGCTGGGATTTTCTGAATGTAGGCTACTGCAAGACAAATGGTAGCTTAAATTCATTCCACAGTTAGTCGAATAATAGCACTTGCAGTACCAAGTTTCCGAACAAGCTATGCGCCCAGTATGTAGGCAGCCAAGGCCCAGGCATGAGAATGCTTTAACTTTTCTCTTCTCTTCCTATCCTCAGCCGGACGCACCAGATGGTGGTGATTAATCCTAGCCCTGCACTGACCACTACTTTACTCCCTGTCCATTAACCTCGAAACGAGATCTTGAGTTATAATTATAGAGAAACTATTATTAGTATGTGATATGGACTGCGACTAAACTATCCACTCTTCTCATTATCCTTCTTGTTCCATCCCGGGATCAGGTCATTATCTGCCTCGCCCTCATCATCGCTCCCATCACGGTTCTTCCTCACTCGCCTGGCCGCTCGGCGCCCGACAATAGGAAGCTTTTCAACACCCAGATCCTTCGCAGACTGCGACAGCAGCTTGGGATCCAACAGCCCCGCTTGAACCAAGACACCGGCTTGATCCCAGTAGACATGCTCTTGGTGCAATCTTCCTCCCTTTACTGCCACAATGCTGACCATAAGTATCTCGATCTTCTTGTTGGTTGGAGGGATGCCGGGGAGCATCCAGGGAACTGGCTCGGTGTGCTTGAACTGGACATGCATCTCGTCCACTACACGATCGACTCCGATGGTGCGTGACAGAAGAGTGATCTTGAGCGATGGAGGGGTGGTGAATGACTCGGAGTAGAAGCGCTTTAACTCAGCAGCACCAGTCGCTCCTGTTAGTGTTGGCATGTATGTAACATGAGGAGTCTTGTGTGTTGTGAATGTTGACATGGCTTGGCCGAGGTTCTTGGAGAAGAATTTGCCTGGTATTTCGTGTTAGTCAGGCTGATCAAAAACCAGGCCATGAAGTCAGTGACTTACTTTGCAAATTGTTTTCCAGAACAATCTCAAGATCAGGGTTTATACCAAACACCTTCCTCGCAGCACCCAAGCTACGGCTCCAGGCCAGCTCAGCTGAGACACCGTCATATTCATCAAGGTCGTGCTCCGCAAAACCGGGCTCGGCTTCGTATGTGTAGCTAGGATACGCCAAATCAAGCTTGCCACCTGTGCCGAGACCGCTTTGGATCTTGGTTCGTCTCACGCGTTTTTTGCCCTGGATGCCGACCATCTGTGATTGCTTGACGACGCCTACTTCCTCGCCGGCAGCGAAATGCACGAGAGCGCTGATGCTGCTGGGGAATTTGCCATTTGTGTCTGGGATGCGAGTTGGGTAGTAAGCGATGAGAAGGCCGAGTTTGAACTCTGGGTTGTTGTCTAGAATATGAAAGTGCTCCAGGCACACAGATGCTGCGTCATCATAGGCTGCTTGTTGTCAGAGTAGCCAAGTATCGCTTTCAAGAACTTTACATACCGACAATTCCAAACTTTTCGCATGGCGCCATTTTCTCTCTGCTCAGAGACTTGATCTTTTTCAAATAGCCATCTCCGCAGCTCTCCATTGAAATGTACTCGACATCAAAGCCCTCATCTCGCCACTCCGTCAGCGTTACCTCGTCAAAATCGTCATTTTCTCCTGTGATGTAGAGTTTTGGAGGGTTTCGTGGGAAGTCGCCCGAGAGAAAGTTCCCGTCTCTGTAATTGGATCTGTTGTCGGAGAGGATCTGGACATTGCGGCCCTCGGCCTCTGGGACAGCAGATTTAATGAGATTTGGTATGTTGATATTCATAACGAAGATGGTACTCGATGATTGAGATTGCAGGATTGGAACACTCAGAAGGACTCAACAAACCTGATATATCCCCATCCACTTCCAACTTCCAAGTTTCACATCACTGGGTTGACCCTTGTTTGAGCGTGATAATGATGTCAGACTCAGGTACGTTTATGCTTAGTAACCAGATTTCGGGGTCCTGATTGGTTTACCGTAGGCCATCTACCCTACAGTTCTTACGTGTTGACCTTCGTTCGCGGTTCCGGCCGAGTCCATCCTGTGAAATTTTATTTGCGTAGTAGGTAGGGTCCGTCATTCGACAACAATTGACGGTCCTCAATCAGGCTCTGTAGTAGATAATGAGGACGCTGAAAATGAAAAACCATATTTACTTTGCTGATAGTTATTTAAATATACGTTTGTGTCTGCAATTATAAGTTGACTCAGTCTGGATCATACCACCTTCAACGCCCGACACTAGTCAAATCGATTGATATTTGTTTCCAAGAAAATAAGATGCATAAGACTCCGCAGTTTTATCATATCACTCGAGGTTCAAAGCTATGTAATTATGTTGTGGTTGTGTAGGTGAGAGTAAGATAAACTGGTGTGCATCAGACTCTTGTCATACTGTTAGATTCCAACATTAGTGCCATGTTCAAGTTGTGTAATACTGGACTATACCGTCAGATTGATTCTCAAAATGCTTTCTGTGGTTATATACCTCAAATTTGGTGTGCATGTTAACCATGATGTGGACTAATAGCGATGGTGGAAAGTTGAGTCTCTACCTCACACGCATATTATTAAGCTTGAAAAGATCTCACCATTAGGCAATGTCATAACGGCATATCGCGTTATTGATTACTCGTCTCACTGGCAGTAAGACAGCATTAATAATCACGTCATGAATATCGCCCGACTCAACCCAAATGTGAGTACGTGGTCCAATTAAGATGTTCAGTGGATAGTCTAATACTGATTGTAACTCATTGGATCTGACCCGTATTACATGGTGTGCAGGTATACAAACTATGGTGCAATTATTTTTAGACTACTTAAGACTCCCAACAACCTTATTGACTATGTCTATAATATTGTGCATAATCCACAGATGACATTTGCGGTACGATGACCAGCACTACAGCAAACCTAGGGGAGAAATCAGTGTTAGTCGAGTCGCCTATCAACCCTCTAAAGAATGGAAGTTGAACAACTTGATAGACATAATGATGAGACACAACCGGCCGTTTATACTCCAGCAGATGCTGAGATCACGAAGAAGTTAAATCCCACAGAAGGATTTGGGACTGGTGTTGTTCATCCAAATAGGACGACAGACACCGAGATGGGGCAGCAAGAACAGGACGGATACCTCCACGGCCTACCCCTGGTGCTCATGACACTCTCACTGATGGTTGGCGTATTAATGATTTCTCTCGACAACAGTATAATTGGTGAGTCATCCTTGCTGATCTGTTAGGGTGTACTGACTAGTCAAAGCTACCGCCATCCCCAAAATCACTAGCAAGTTCGATAGTTTGGGTGATGTCTGTAAGTAAATACCGTCTGTTCAAAACACCACCTACACTAACACCCCGTCCAATTTAGCCTGGTATGCAACAGCCTACCTTCTCACGCAACTGTCCTTCCAACCGACATTTGGCAAGATCTATACCTTCTTCAATCTCAAGTGGGTGTATCTGGCGTCTTCGATAATCTTCGAAGGGGGATCGGTGCTCTGTGCCGCAGCGCCCAGTTCGCCAGCATTCATTGTTGGAAGGGCTATTGCAGGGCTCGGTGCCGCGGGAATATTCTGCGGTTCTATGATCATCATATCTCGAATTGTTGAGGTAAGAAAACGACCACTACTTTTGGCTATTGTCTCGAGCATGTATGGTATATCTTCGGTCATAGGGCCTTCGCTTGGTGGTGTTTTTACGCATTCCGAACAACTCACATGGAGATTCTGTTTTTGGATTAACTTGCGTAAGTTTCTTCTGAATTCATATTGCTGATCTCGCTGGCTGACAGAAAAGCCTTGGGTGCCCTGATGGCTCTTATCATCTGCCTTTACTACCCGTTGTCGCTTGGCGAAGCTCCAGATGGTAATCACACCCTCAGGGAAAAGATCCTCGGCTTGGGACTCAAAAGCGCAGTCATCCTTGCGGGGGCTCTTGTATGTCTGTTCTTGGCTCTGCAATGGGGTGGTGCGGTATACCCTTGGTCCGACTCGCGAGTGTGGGGTTGTCTTCTAGGCTTTGGCCTGCTTTTAATCGGGTTTGTGATCATACAGATACGACAGAAGGAGAAGTAAATGCCCCTCGCTGTTGGTTCATTCTCGTGTAACTGATATCAAAATAGAGCTTTGATCCGCCCTCAAATCATCTCCCAGAGATCCGTTCTTCTTGGATGCATCTTTTCGGCACTGTATCAAGGAGCCATGACAACCCAGGCTTACCATTTACCTTTTTACTTCCAGGCTGTCAAAGGCGTGGACCCCCAAACATCAGGAGTTGATATTCTTCCCCACGGAGTCACTGCCACGATTGCTACTCTCATCGTCGGTTCCGTCGTTACGTGGCTAGGGTACTACGTCCCATTTATGTGGGTTGGCTCGGCCGTGTTTACGACCGGTGCAGGTCTACTGCACACCCTAAATTGGGAAACACCAATGGCCGAATGGTTTGGCTACGAGGTTCTTGCCGGAGCAGGTTTTGGAATGGCCATTCAGATACCAATCTTCGCCGTGCAGGTGGTGTTGGGTGCCGCCGACATTCCACTGGGAACCGTGCTAGTCATCCTATCTCAAGCCCTAGGCGGTTCAATCGGACTCTCGATATCTCAGAAGGTTTTCCAAAATTCACTTCATCAAAGACTGAATGAAATAGCTGGGATCGACGTCAAAGTTGTAATTGCCGCCGGGGGAACGGACTTAGAGTCGATTGTCTCGGCCGAGTCTCTTTCCGACGTCAGAGATGCATTTAGGTATGGTGTCTCGAATACATTTCTTGTGTCGACGTCGCTCGGAGGGGTGGCTTTCTTGGCAAGTATCTGGATGGAGCGAAAGAAGATCAAGTCTGAAAAGAAGGTGAGTTAGTAATGGATTTTATTCGTCATCGAAGTTGGAAGTGTGGGATATAGCAAGGGTCAATATAGCCGGGCGGGTAGGTGTATTCTTCCATATAGAGTACGACATAGATAAAGCGTATTGGAAGGATGAGCAAGAGACTAGCTTGGCCCTATTTAACTTCTACATATTATCAGGTTTAGTCGGCATTGAAATCTCGAGTCAACTGTTTTTTGACTCCTATGAATCTCATGGATATAGGTGTAGTTGATCCTCATCTCCGCATATATGCCCCATGTCGCATTGATCGGATGAGATACCCTCTTGGGCAGTTTCAGCCCCGGCGACTGATCTGTGCATTCTCCTTATTGGGCAATTAACAAACAGAATCAAGATTAATGCCGAAACCTTATGCGTTCATCAGGCGCGATATACACATGACCATATAGATCATCGGACAGACTTTACGAATTGGATGCTAGACTCGGTCGGTTAACGTTGAGCATGAGCAATTTGGAACTAGTAGTATCCATAGAGCCATATAATAAACCAAGTCTCCCACTTTTTGTTTTCGCTTGTCCAGGCCCAATCGACTCCAAAAATGGCTATTTACAAAGCTGTTGTGGTTTTGGCCAACTTTGCAGCCGTCGGCTCAACTGCGCCTAACGAGGCCCGAGCCAAGGTTGCAGATGGTTATGTTGCTGCACCGTATTATCCTGCGCCCTATGGTGGATGGGCTGGGAATTGGGCGGATAGCTATGCCAAAGCTAAGGAAATGGTCGATGATATGACGTTGGCTGAAAAGACCAACATCACTTCTGGGAGTGGTCTCTTTATGGGTATGGAATACCACAGACACGTCAGGTTCTTAACTAACAAGACATAGGGTACGAACACTTGATCTCCACTTCCGCACTTATACTGACCTGATAGTCCTTGCAATGGAAACTCTGGATCTGCTGATCGCGTTGGCTTTCCTCAGCTCTGCCTCAACGACGCTGCCAATGGCGTCCGGCTAACCGACAACGTCACAGTGTTCCCAGATGGAATCACTGTCGGCGCAACCTTTGACAAGAAGCTGATGTACGAGCGCGGAGTAGCAATCGGAAAGGAAGCACGCGGTAAGGGTGTAAACGTCTGGCTTGGTCCGTCAGTTGGACCCATTGGACGAAAGCCCAAGGGTGGACGCAACTGGGAGGGTTTTGGAATAGACCCTTCGCTGCAAGCCATCGGTGCGCGCGAAACTATCAAAGGAGTTCAAGAACAGGGTGTGATTGCTACTATTAAGCACTTCATCGGCAACGAACAGGAGATGTACCGACGACAAACTACTGATGTCGTCGGTCCGGCATACTCGGCGAATATCGGTGAGACTGCCAAACACCATGCCGGTTAAAGAGTTGCTAACTCTGTTAGATGATCGCACTCTGCACGAGTTGTATCTATGGCCTTTTGCTGAAGCCGTTCGAGCAAACGTCGGCGCCGCCATGACAGCTTACAACCGAGTTAGCCACTCCCAGGCCTATTATATGCCGAGCTAATAGTGTCATCTAGGTCAACGGAACCATGTCCAGCGAGCATTCTCATCTCATCAACGGAATCTTGAAAGAAGAGCTCGGCTTCCAAGGTTTTGTCATGACTGACTGGCTTTCCCAGATCACAGGTGTTGCATCAGCCATTGCAGGAATGGACATGAGCATGCCTGGTGATCCCATCATTCCCCTTCTAGGTCGGTCACTATGGATGTACGAACTGACACGAGCAACGCTCAACGGATCCGTTCCCATGGATAGACTCAACGATATGGCTACCCGTATCGTGGCAACATGGTATCAGTTTGGACAGGGCCAAGACTTTCCTAGCGTTAACTTTGATACCAACACAAAGAACGCTGTAGGACCTTTGTATCCCGGAGCTTGGCCAAACTCACCCACTGGGGTCGTCAACAAATTTGTCCCCGTTCAGGATGACCACGACGTGATTGCCCGCCAGATCGCACAGGACGCAATCACCATGCTGAAGAACGACGACAAGCTGCTTCCACTCAGCACCAAGAGCCCGCTCAAGGTTTTCGGCACAGACGCGCAGGTCAATCCCGATGGTGCAAACAGCTGCGTTGATAGAAGCTGCAACAAAGGCACGCTGGGTCAAGGTTGGGGATCCGGAACAGTCGACTATATGTACCTTGACTCACCCATCGACGCCATCAAAAAGGAGAGCGGCAGCGTCACGTTCTACAACACAGACAAGTTCCCGTCAGTCCCGAGTGCAACTGACGATGACGTTGCAATCGTCTTCGTCACTTCCGATTCGGGCGAGAATCAATACACCGTCGAAGGTAACAATGGCGATCGAAGTGCCTCGAAACTGAACCTCTGGCACGATGGCGACGCACTCGTCAAGGCTGCGGCGAATAAGTACAAGAACGTTGTTGTTGTAATCCATACGGTTGGACCTGTTCTAGTTGACCAGTGGATCGACCTCCCCTCGGTTAAGTCGGTCTTGGTAGCTCATCTGCCAGGACAAGAAGCTGGAAAGTCCTTGACAAATATCCTATTCGGTAAAACATCGCCCAGTGGACATCTACCTTACAGCATCACGAAGAAGGAGGATGACATGCCCGAGAGTGTGGTCAAGCTCATCGACTCGGGATTCGCTGATCCTCCACAAGACACGTACTCGGAAGGATTATACATCGACTACCGCTGGCTCAACAAGGAAAAGATCCAACCTCGCTATGCTTTTGGCCATGGTCTCAGCTACACTAGCTTCTCCTACGCCAACGCAACGATCAAGAAAGGGACTGCGCTTACCAAGTACCCTCCCAAGCGACCCGCGAAAGGCAAAGTGCTGGACTACTCGCAGGACATCCCCGACTACAAAGAGGCAATCGAGCCAAGCAGCTTCAAGACAGTCTGGCGATACCTTTACTCTTGGCTTCCGGAATCTGAGGCAAAATCTGCCGCTGCCAAGGCCGAGACATCTAAATACCCTTACCCAGAAGGCTACTCCACCAAGCAGAAGACGGAGCTTCCACGTGCGGGCGGACCAAATGGGGGCAATCCTGCGCTCTGGGACGAAGCTTACACCATTTCCGTTACGGTGACTAACACGGGCACTAAGTTCGCTGGTAAAGCTTCAGTCCAAGCCTACGTGCAATTTCCGGAGGTTGCCGGATACGAGACTCCCGTAATCCAGCTGCGCGACTTCGAGAAGACTTCTGAACTGGAGCCCGGCAAGAGTGAAACAGTCCAGTTGACTTTGACGAGAAAGGACCTGAGTGTCTGGGATGTCGAGGCGCAGGATTGGTTGATCCCTAACCTTGATGGAGAGTATAGGGTCTGGCTGGGTGCTGCAAGCGATGCACTGGACGTTGTCTGCTATACTGGTGATCTGAGCTGCGAGAAGGATGTGGATGGGCCAGTTTCATATGCGGATTGAGGATTCTAGCTACAGATTGGAGATCCCGATGCGCGCCGAAACATTCTACTGGGCTGATATAATTTGAACCGATTGGCCGTGTTGCAGCTGTTAGAACGCCATTGATGATCTTAATTTTGTAACGGGCTGTGCTTGCAGTGAGAACATGACATGACGCAGGAACAGCCATACGCTTGAGCCAATAGCGAAATAATTGAGTTGTCAAATTATACAGACTTGCCTCAGTTTGTGTCGGTGGCGTTTTGGCCCCTTTCATGGTACAGCGCGACAACCCACTCGGCTGTGGAATATTCTCACAGAATTTGCTTAGCTCAGGTAACAAGGTTGTTTCATTTTCAGTCTGGCTGGGGACCAACCCTGTCGTGACATGCACGATTTCGGAAGAATTTAGTCACGGCTGGGAATACTAAGAAAATGAAGAAAACAGACTTTTCCATGTTGCTTTAAATAAAACTTTGCATATTCCGCACACACGATGCTTTTTCTTCTTCAGCAGTGGGATTGACTACGCCATACAACGCATGGTGGAATTTATTCTAATTGTCTTCGTGTGTCTCACTACGTGCATCGGCGTTAGCAAATCCTACGTGGAGAAACCTGGAGCCGATTGATCGAATGGTCCGGGAAGATCGGAGACAAGAGTCCTTCCATTGCTTACCCCTGTAATTAGAGCGCCACAAATAGAGTGCGTAGTGGAGAGGACAGTAATAATAGGCCCTAAACAAAGCCCTGTTGTTCTCGCAAATCGCCCGTAGCGCGGAACTTTGAGTTATCAACTGTGGGTTCTGCTGAAATTAAGTGGCGGATGGCCCATCGCTTTGGCTTCACGACCTGTCCAACAATTGATCATTGCTTTGTGAGGAGAGATGTCTGTCTGCCTTTTTTCTTCTTCTTTTTTCTTTCATTGTCATACACGAATGTCACGGTGACATTCCTCTCTTAGCCCTGTATGACACGACATACGCGCAATCCTTGACCTGCCATTTCCCCGCTGTAACCGGTGCGTCGGGCTAACTGAAGCAACCCAACGCTTCACTGTTCACACAATCTTGTCGCTCGTGTGGGCTTATCTCACTCTGCGTGCTCTTCTCTCTACAGGGGCCCCCTCCCCCCTAAAGGAACCAGGACCACACACCCCTCGCGATAGATCCAAGGCTATCGAATCAACGGTCTTTTAGCGCTGGCGTCGATCACCAGGGGCACCTGTACCAGTCACAGTAACAGTGGAGGGGCAGAGGTGGTCTATCGTCTTGCGGGCGAGAACGTGCAAGTGTTTGCTTGGCCAGTCCCGTTACCCAAAAAAAGCATTTGTTACGCCACCAACAGGGTATATACGAAGCGACATGCGTCTGGATCTGCGGCATCAAGGTTTATGAATTATTTGCAGCCTCATATTGGTTGCAATAGCATAAGCACTGCTTTGCACAAAAGAGGGGTGAGGAGGGTTCTTTGCATAGGCACGCACAATAGCATCGCAGATAGAACCTGTTCGGTCTAAATCGCTCAAATCAGTCAGAATTATCTGCCCAGACTCCTGCACGTGAGCATCTCCTTTGCAGTCTCACATCATCTCTTCCCCCATTGCCCCTGTTCAACACACGTGTAAATCACCACACCAGGCTAGATAGAGGCCAGACCGGGCCGGACACTAACGATTATGGAGTACGTACACGAGCTTAATGACGACGTACTTACATATTGCATTGGTGGCTGCATTAAACAGGCCGCACATGATTGGCCTCGCTCTTTCAGCTCACAGGGGCCTGCTGGTTCTCTAGCTTGCCGAGGATGACCTTGACACCAATATCAGCGAAATACGGAGTGGTGAAAAGTACGGACCACGTCCTTTTGGACAATCTTTTGGGTGCACATTCTGCACAGCCCTTATGCAGTAGTAGAATTTCGATTGCCTAAGCGTCGACGCCTCAACTGAACGAACCAATGTTACCCGCAGCCGCTCTGCAATACCGGGTTCGGATGATAGTGAGTTTTGCTGGTGCGTGGCCCTCTCTCGCTCTCTCTCTCTCGAGGGACAGGGGCCTTGTCAGCCGCTCAGAGCTCCTGTTGCCATCTTTAGTAACGCCCGGTGGAAGAAAAGGAAGGGTGTGAAGGCAGCGTGGCCTTGCATCGGGCTGCATATGTTTATTGTGCTGTGGCAGCTTAGCTTGGCGCAATGTGCTGTACCCCATTTAGGTGCCTCGTAAACGAGTGGAATAAATAGGACTATGGATCCGTTGCCCTTATTGATTCCTCAGCTCCGTAGCCTGCTCATCCTCTCTCGCTTTTGTTCTTAGATTTATTCTCCTCTCAGCCTCGTTTCACCAAGCCACCACTCTTGGTTAGACATTTCAAGGCTGTGGCTTTTCCCTTTCACTCTTTCAAGATGAAGTCTTTCTACACCTTGGCCTTGTGCCTCGGTGCCCTCGTTGGGACCGCCACTGCTCAGGCAGAGGAGCAAGGGCAACAGCCTGGCAAGTTTGCTGCTGCTCCTCCAGTGGGATCCAACCCCATTGATCGCAAGGGATGGACAGTCAAGTGCTCCAGCCAAGCAGGAAACTACCCTTGTGGTAACGCCATTGATGGCAACAAGGACACATTCTGGCAGACTCCTTATGGCGCCGGCGAAAAGAAGCCGCCTCACTCCATCGTCATTGACATGAAGCAAACACAGTACGTCAGTGGTCTTCAAATCACACCTCGTCAGGATGGCAACACCCGCAACTGGATTGGTCGCCATGAGGTCTACCTCAGCTCAGACGGAACCAACTGGGGAAAGCCCGTTGCCTTTGGAACTTACTGGGGAGACAAGTACCCCGTCATCACAAACTTCGAGACCCATCCCGCTCGCTACCTTCGTTTTGTTGCCCTCTCCAACGTGAACACCGACTATCCCTGGATTGCCATCGCCGACTTTGTTGTCTACAACGCTCTCAAGTACAACCCTCCCAAGGCAGGCGTTGGAAAGTGGGGAGCCACTCTTGATTTCCCTGTCATCCCCGTCGCTGGTGCCGTTGAGCCTCTCACTGGCAAGGTCGTTGTCTGGTCTGCCTACCGCTACGATGCTTTCCAGGGAACAACTCCCCGTGGTGGATTCACCCTCACCTCTATCTGGGACCCCAAGACCAACGTCATCTCCAACCGCAGAGTCGACAACAACAAGCACGACATGTTCTGCCCCGGTATCTCCATGGACGGAGAGGGTCAGATCGTCGTGACTGGTGGTAACGATGCCAAGAAGACTACCATTCTTGACCTTAACGGCAACTGGGTTGCTGGCCCTGACATGCAGCTTGCCCGTGGATACCAGTCGTCTGCCACAACCTCTGATGGCCGTGTCTTCACCATCGGTGGCTCATGGAGTGGTCCTCGTGGTGGCAAGAACGGTGAAATCTACGACCCCAAGGCGAGGACCTGGACTTCTCTGCCCAAGTGTCTCGTCGGTCCTATGCTCACCAAGGATAAGGAGGGTGTTTACAAGGCTGATAACCACGCCTGGCTCTTTGGCTGGAAGAAGGGCAGTGTCTTCCAGGCCGGTCCCAGCACAGCCATGAACTGGTACTACACCGCCAGGGGCACTCAGGGAGACACCAAGGCTGCTGGCACTCGACGAAAGAACGGCCGAGTTGACCCTGACTCCATGTGCGGTAACTCCGTCATGTACGATGCCCTCAATGGAAAGATTCTCACCTTCGGTGGTGCCACCAGCTACCAGGCAGCCCCTGCCACTGCTAATGCCCACGTTATTACCATTGACCAGCCCGGCGCCGTTGTTCAAACCACACTCGTCGGAAACAACGGTGCTGGTCTCCATGCCCGTATCTTCCACACCTCTGTTGTTCTCCCTGACGGAAACGTCTTCATCACTGGCGGCCAGTCTTACTCCACCCCCTTCACTGACAACAACGCTCAACTCGAGCCTGAGATGTACATTCCTTCTTCCCACGCTTTCATTAAACAACAACCCAACACCATTCCCCGTACCTACCACAGTATGTCTCTGCTGCTGCCAGATGCTACTGTCTTCAACGGTGGCGGTGGTCTTTGCGGTGGCTGCAAGACCAACCACTTCGACGCCCAGATCTTCTCACCAAACTACCTCTTCGATGGCAACGGCAACCCTGCCACTCGCCCCAAGATCAACGGTGTCTCAACCGGCACCGCCAAGGTCGGTAGCACCGTCACCGTCACCACCAACGGTGCCATCAAGAGCGCTTCGCTCATCCGATATGGTACCGCCACACACACCGTCAACACCGATCAGCGACGCATTCCTTTGGCTCTGACCGGCGCCGGTACAAACAAGTACTCCTTCAAGATCCCCAACGACTCTGGTATTGCGCTCCCCGGCTACTGGATGCTTTTCGTCCTTAACGCTGCTGGAGTGCCCAGTGTCGCTAGCACCATCAAGGTGACAGTCTGATCTACCTTTGCGAAATAATGTTTTTTTTGTGTGTGCATTTATAATACGGGTACCACCTGCAGAGATACTACAAGCATATGATTTTTCTTACTTTTTGTATATACTTGAACAGCAACGCTGCAACTGCATATAATCGAAGCGGCTAGCTAATAGAACTTCTCTGAAATGAACATTCACTCTGCATGTCCTGTGAAGACCATGTGACTTGTTACAAACGCCTCGGGTGCTGATCTTGTTCGCGACCAGTAATACTAGTGAAAGTTCGGATACGTGGTGTAAATGCCGAGAAGGTTTAACCCATCGTGGACTCTTGCAGTGCTTTTGGTAGATCATCATTTGTGAACATCGTATTCGATGATCCTTTTGCGGCGGCCGCACTTTAATTGCCCGCAAAACTTCAATACGGGTTGTGGGAATTAATCATTACACTGACTGGCCTCTTATCTTACACTAGCCATTAGCTTTGTACAACGACCCGGGTACCGGGTTTCGGCATGTGGGATTTAGGTTTGATGGCTTCACTGATGAGGCTGCTAGACCTTCACACACGACATTATCACACCTGCGTTAGTGCAAACGATCAGTAGAATGGGTCTGCTTGGTAGCACGGTTTACTGTTCCCTTGGGGCTGGCCCAATGCAAGCCCCCTTCAGCCCTTTGGCAAACATTGGTTACTGATTTGTACCTGCAGAAAAGTGCATATGATCGAGTGGTCACGCTGAAGGAATTAATGCCAGGGGCGTGGCCTTAGACTGAATTGCTGACTGATCTGACTCGGATGTCTTAGAACAAGGAACTGCAAGACTACGTCTGGTATACTCCAAATTTTGAAGTTAAGGTTCTTATGTACTTTGAATTGGATGAGATCGGAGTAGTCTCCGGCTAATCGCAAGACCAAGGACCGTCCAGTGAGCTAATCTGACTACACCAAGACTGCCACTGAGGCAAGGCACTAGAGAATGCCAAGTAATGATTGCATACGAGGGCGTCTTATATCTCTAACAAGACGAGTAGACTGTGAGGCATTGCTTTGCCATACCGTCGCAAAGCTTCTTAGATACAATTGCGGAACATGAAAAAAGGATACCCAGTCTCCATTGTGTCTTTACCCTCTTTCTACTATAGACAAGCAAATTGATACTCTAATCAGACCTCTTCAACCTTGCTTCCAACATCGCCGTGCATCCATAAGCAGAAGGATAAATCTTGACCAGCTCCAGCCCAGTGGCTTCGAAAATCTCGTCAAAGTCGGTCTTCTTCTTCTCCATGCCAGACATGCACAAAAGAGCAAAGTCGAGCCAGTAAAGATCTTTATACTCTTGTTCCGGGACCATGTCAGGGATCAGTTGATCACAAATGATAAGACGAGAGTCTGGCCCCATGGCTGATGCAGTGTTCTTGACAAATTCGATACAAACTGGGTTGTAGAAGTCGTGAAGAAATCGGCGCATAAAGTAAATACGAGCATCTATTTAGTGAGACATAAAATTAGCGATATTTTCTGACGAATGGTAGACGCAGGGCTTCTAATGGGTCAAACGTTGCAGATGAATACATACTCTTAACAGGTTGTGGTGCAAAAGCATCGTAAGACATCAGCTCAAAGCCAGGATAGTCCTTAAGGTCCATAGTATCAATAACACCAGGGAGATCTTGTAAGATGTACTTGGCGTCAAAGGAATCGCCAATATCCTTGCGAATAGCTATGCACGACTGACCACGGCCAGCGCCGATATCAACCAGGAAGGGTCGTTCCGGATCTTGCTCAACTTCCTCCTTGAGAGACGCGAACGGAAACATGCCAATGACAGGCATCAATTCATCAACGGCGACCATATTGGCGTTCCAGAGCTCGCGACGCTCAGGGTCGGGATCTGAGTCTATGATTTCGTAGTATGACTTTCCGAGATGTTCCTTGCCGACTGAGTACACAGCGGGAGACTTGACAAGATCAAAGACATCGTCGGGTTTGTGTGAGTTGAGGTAGTCCGGGAGATGAATCCAGGCTCGGCTAAACTCCAGCACAATCATGAAGAACGAGCCCAGACCTCTCGGGTTCAAAGTGTGTGAGAGGTCATTGTGAGCATACGTATCAGGCGCCGTCTCAGTGAAGACACCATGGTTGACAGCAACGCGATAAATGCGCTGGATCGCAGTGGTGGCCACATTCGTTTTACGAGCCAGTTCTTCAGCGGTGATGGGGCTGCCATCCTCAGGCATGGCGTGGTATGCCCGGATGCCAAGTATGGTGTGAAAGGCGCCCCCAAGACTGAACTGCTCCATCATGTGCGTCAACTGGTCCATGGGCGTCTGGATGGCGGAGCGGACAAGTTCCACCTGTTTCAGGACATTTTGGTGGCTGGCAGGATCGTCCTCGTATGATTCGAGCTGAGCCACCAGTTTCTTGGCCTCGGCGAGGGCTTTCTCGGCTTTGGGGTGCACCATTACGGATAATTGTGAGATGTGGAAGTCTTGTAGGTTTATAGGTAAGTGGCTTGATCAGTCTGGTGTTGTTGATCCTGAATATGTGAGGGGTGTGGAGAGCATGCGATATTGGACATGTGAAGAGAGATATTCAATTAACAGTGCGATAGGCGGGGATGGCCAAAGCCAAGCCTTGGATCAAGTCATACCAGTCGATTAGGCACAACGATGAAGGTTGTGTCCTTACTAGACGGGTTAGCAAGTGGATAAATATCCAACCGAGGTTGTTTAATCCTGGGTAAAGGCCTTGACCTTGCACGTTACAATCCAATCGCAATGGCATCTCGGTAATAAACTGGAGTTATGATGCGGCACAGTCCAGACAGTGGTCCTTGAGCATGGAGGATTTAGCAGTTAGCCCGGCCACGAGATATCGCAGTATCGAGGTTCAATGCTTTGACGAGTGTTCTTTTACCCAGTCGTGCAATATCTGACATTTTCCTCTCCTGGTGTCCACTTCCGATCGCATGATCTTTGGTACGCAAAATACACATCATCAGCGCCGATCATGTCTTCACCTCTCATCCCTAACGAGGAGCAGGTTCTCCAGCCTGACACTGTAAGTTAAGCTTTTATATAGACAGGCATCGAGTTAACTAATGTATTTAACGCCTAGGCCCTGCAAGCTGTCCCGGATGATGAGGCTAGTGGGCCCTGATACGACTCGACCCCATTCTCCACCAACTAACATCAGTGCGTAAATACAGTCCTACGATAGTCAAAGCGAACGATCGTCTTTGACATCTCTGACATCTTCAATCCTGCATGGGAAAGTTGAAGGTGGAAGAACATATGCCGTATACGGCAAAGAAGGTGGGTCAGACCCTGAGCTCGACAAGGACATTACTAACGACGTCATCAGAGTATGGACTCCCAATGGACGAAGCGGAGCTTGATCGTATCGATATGTGTCATGCCAAATATTGCGCTCTAATTGGAAAGAACAAATATCTGGCGCCAATAGATAGTCCTCTCAAGATCTTGGACCTTGGGTGCGGAACAGGTCGGTACAGCCTTGACGACTTTGACTGCACGCGCGTTATACAGCCACAGAGAGACTGATAAATGAGAATCCTAGGAATATGGTCTATTGAGATGGCTGAAGATTTTCCGGGAGCCGAGGTGAGTACATCCACATTTATACTCAAGAAGCCGAGGCTAACGAAATTCAGGTCATCGGTACAGACGTGGCCCCTACACAGCCAGGCTGGTAAGTGGCTAACCAGGAGTACACCCATGATTGACGGAGATCTAATGCATTTTAGGGTACCGCCAAACTGTCATTTCGAAGTTGACGATGTCGAGAGGGAGTGGACGTGGCAAGAAGACAGCTTCGATTTTATTTATGCCCGAGATCTTCTACTAGCAATCAGGGACTGGCCAGCTCTAATTGATCAAACATACACGTGAGCATTGCATTCCACATTTTAAACGTCTCATCCCAGCTAACTTCAAGCAAGTCATCTCAAAGGCGGGGGCTGGGTCGAGTTTCAGGCCATCGTCGGTGTCCTCGGATGCGACGACGACTCCATCCCCGAGGATAGTTACCTGCGCAAGTTCTCAGCCATGATGGAGCAAGGCTCGGCCAAATTCGGCGCCAGTCTCACAGACCCGATGAAGTGGAAGGGTTGGCTCGAGGCGCGCGGATATCAGAACGTCACCGAGCGCGTTTTCAAGCTTCCGTTCAATCCGTGGCCCAAGGACCCGCGCCTGAAACTCTTGGGAGCGTGGGAGATGGAGAATCTGTTGCATGGTCTTGAAGCCATGGTCACGAGAATGTTCCAAAAGGGCCTCGGTTGGACAGATGCTGAGGTGACTGTCTTTCTAGCGTTTTTGAGAAAGGAGATCAAGAACCCGCAGATGCATGGGTATTGGCCCTAGTAAGTTCATGAGCCCCTTTACCTGTCTACTATCTGTGCAGGGTACATGGCTCGTCATTTCTTTGTTCTAACAATATCCTAAGCTACGTTTTGTATGCACAGAAGCCGAAGGATGATTGATGTCATCAGCTGGGACCAAAGGGTCGTACTCTCAATATATAGGGTGGGCGATGCTAAGATCTGCTTGCAGTCTTCATGCAGTTACCACTGCATCACTTAATCTGTTTTGCTTTTGTTTCTTATCTTACTTGGACGGTGCTTAAAATATAGCTGATATGATGGGCTGGATATTGAACCAGTCAGACTACTTTTATTTCTTCAAAATGGAAAGACTTGAGACATTGATCCCATGTGTAGCGATTACATGCCACTGTCAATTGATGACCGTTGAACCAGGCGAACCAGGTTGATTGTCCGAGTCAAGGGTACGAACCATCTGATGCCAGTGATGAAGTCAAAGCGCGATCTCTTTCTCGTTTCTATCCAGTGTAATTGTTACAGACCCGTTGCTACATGCGGTCAGATAAAGATCATTCGCCGTAAACTCCTTCCCGGTAAGTTGGTATTCAGACATAAACAACGTGCCCAGCATCAACTCCTCCCCATTTTTTTTCAAACTACCAGCCAAAAACGACGTACGTAGAATGACCACAGCTATGCTGAGTTTCACTCACACAAAGATCAATACGCCTTCTGACTCACTGTTCTTACTACAATGTATCTATATACATATTACATTGTCTCACTAGTATGTCACAAAATGAGACATATGACGAGAGAACAGGCTATCATTTAGCAAGCGAATCGTCATCAGCACGGATATTCCGACAAGTCGGAACATCCGGGCTGCCGAGGAGTGCTGTACCTGTTGTGATATGCTCTTAGGCAGTTGTGCTGTCGATAAATTGACTCACTTATTGAAAAGATGTAAGACAACGAGAGTGTAAACAATCCCTAAAGCGCGAGCACACAAACAAAAAGGAGAGATGAAAACAAACGTTTACTCCTTTTTCTTTTGATCAAACGGAGTCGTACAGAGGACGATCTTCCTCTAGTTCTTCAGCACAGGGCAACTTCGTCATGGGCGCTGAATACCGCTAATTACAATTAAACGAAGAGCGCAGTGGAGCGACGTCGCATGAACGGGGAGCTCGAGCTGACCGCTAACCACGTGCTGATCCAACTATCCCCGCCAGTATGTGCGTCATGTTTTGGAGGAAAACGGTCCCTGACCAACTGACGTAGGAATCGAAATTGGCACTGACGCTCGAGTATCCAGAGAATGCATAGACTTTAATCTAATTTTCAACGCTCTTGTCTCTTGTCCTGAAACTGGGGAGGCCATCCCCAGCTTTGGGGAACTAATCTCGACCGATGACACCCCAAGGTGATATCGCGGCTTACCAAGTCATCCACAAAACACCAGCGGGCTTATCGTGAGTGTCGATCTCTGGCGGCTTCAGGGCATCAGCATTGTGTTAGATTGCGATCGCCCCCGGCAGTTACGGACGTTTCATCACAGTTTGTTTCAATCAGCACAAACATCAGCCTAAGCAAATTTAGCGAGATGCCAACACCCTTGTTCGTCCAGACTAAAAATCGCATGGGCGAGTCAAACGCTTGAAGATCTAACTTTCGGTTACTGCGTATCCTACTCATACCCGCAGCCTCCTTTCCAGGGTAGCATCTAAGCTGACAGTTCTGTCACAGGACTATATAAGGCTAGGAAGTCAATTGACAAGAAAATATTCTGCATCCATCTACTCTCACTTCAACCCAGTCATTCATTACAACTCACCAAGTCATTCTTTTTAATAACACTCTCATTCAAAATGAAGTTCAGTCTCTTCTCCTTCGCTGCCCTCGCCGCTTCGGCTATGGCTGCTCCCGCTGCCGTTGTCCCCGACGCTCAGCAGCTCCCCGCTGTCCCTGCTGTTCCCGCCGTTCCCAACGCTGGATCCGTCACTGAGGTCGTCACCTCCAACACCATCACCAAGACTGTCACCCAGAAGATCTCCAGCGTCAAGGTCACCAACACTGGTGGCGTTGTCAAGGTTCTCACCATTGCCGTTGACGAGATCAAGGTCCAGACCACCACCATCAGTGAGTCACCATCGGTTACCATCTTCAAACTTTCACCTTGCTAATACATACCTACAGAGGCCACCATCTCCAAGGTCAAGACCGGCGCTCTCTCCAAGGCTGCCGCCATCACCCACATCCACCAGAACGTTGCCATCCTGAACGACCTTCTCACCACCGTCGTCAACCAGCTCAAGGAGGTTGCCACCATCGATGTCAAGCTTCCTGACGTCAAGATCATCCTCGGCCTTGTCATCAAGCTCCTCCACGAGCTTGTCGGTGTCGCCAAGGACATCCTCAGCACTCTCGGTCTCGACAACGTTATCGGCACCGCCATGGAGCTCCTCTTCCGCACCGTCGCCACTCTCCTTGGCCTCATTACTGAGCTCATTGGAGATATCGTCCCTGGTCTTGTTGACATCCTCTCCAACATCCTCGACACCCTCGAGGGCACCCCCCTTGGCCCCGTTGTCAAGCCTGTCTCTGCCATCTTCGAGGGCCTCACTGGCTACCTCACCCAGGGTACTGCCTAAGGAGTTCGTTCGAAAGTTGAGTGTCGGGTATACCGGGTATACCTCTTCCCATAGACCAAGCATGGAGTTTAGACAGTAGATCTGGTTCAAGCATAGATACCTTAAGTAATTCAACGATGTATTTCTAATTATATAATATCTGACTAAACAAATGCTGGAAGGAGTGTACGCTATGATGCTGTTCAATGAAAGTCGTTACCATTACCATGATCCAATGCGCTACCGCACTACTTGCATACAGCCTTGTAGCTACCGAAGTGCGAATCGGTCGCACGGCACTGCCCGTCCTTGATATCCTTCTTTCCACGCTTGCACTTGCTATCACTGAACAGAAGCACTACGAACAACGAATTAGTTTAAGTTTAAGGGTGGGGGCTTCCTCGTCAACGTACATTTGCAACCATCTGCGTGGCTGTATTGGCTGACCGATCTGACCGTGTCGTGGAACTTGAAACACTCGCCGAGCTCGTCGCGATGCAGAGTCAATTCGCCGAGGTTTTGGTTGTTGTTTGTGCCACCACAGTCCTTAGAGCCCCAAATACGAGAAGAGATAACATTGAAGGGGATGTCCTTGTAGCTAGGCTCGGCGACTGCGCCCATAGCCAAAGCGGTAAGAGTGGTGAAAGCGACTGCGAAATGCATGTTGATAGTGTTGGTTGGTGGTTGGTAGTAAAGTATTGTAGTGTTGATAGTTGTTTGTGAATGATGAGTGTGAGAGCATAGTTTATCTAGAGAAGTGCAAGTGAGTTTATATACAGCTTTTGGTATATCATATCTTCGTTAGGACTGCTAAGTAACGTTGTCACCATCGTGAAGCCTTCTACGTCACCATTGTGTTTGTGTCGATTTTAGGTATCTTGGGAGCCTCAAAAAGGACGATCCAGACCAAATGGTAACAACCTCTGCAGAGATACGAGATGTGTAGTCAGCACTAGAGCCATTACTAGCCTATAACCACTGCAGCTCGTATATCTTCCAGTCACTTCCAAGTTCGGTCTTGCCGGATATATACACAGCGCGATCAATATGGCAACACTATATGCCGTGCCATGAAGTTTGGTCCCCTAGCGCTATACGATTGTTATCATGTGCAGTTGAATAACTGCGCAAGTTTAATGCACCGCCGCCACGGTCAGAAAGTGGTGCGCTCTGCATTGCCCATATGTAGCACTGCATATGGGGATCAGATGTTGGATACGAACGATCACGAGGCCATTACTGTAACCCTCTCAGGCATGTACTATGCCCGAATTTGAGTAATGCAAATGCAGTGTAGAAAACCAAAGTTTCTTTGGTCAAAACCCCAAAAGATCTGCTGCCGGCCTCGTCTGTCATGACGTATTTGGCCGAACATGCCGAGTAAGACACGGCGATCACCCTAGACAACTAAATTTAGCCCAGCTAAATAATATTCCGACCCCATGATCTCGTGTCAGCCTCCCCCCAGGTTACCGATGTCCCGATTACACATTCAAGAAGCTGGGGGTCCATATTGTGATGGATTTCTTACCTTGCGAGCGAGCGGGGTATGTGGTGAGGGGCAGTCGAGATGCATCATGTCATGTACCAAAAAGAAAAAAAGGGCTGATCCATTTCAAGTATTGTCTTCTTCTAGCATTATGCAGGTAAAACCTTTGTAAGCTATATGACTAAGTAATAGCATTCGAAAAGAAAATGTCTTTACCCTCTACGACGAACAACAATTACCCTCCATATCCAACACCTAAGACCTGCTCTTGATAAACTATGACTGATACTAAGCAAATCCTCCTACGGTCACTGATATGTAAGCACCGTCGATCCACCATTGGCAACTTTGACAAAGTTGGGCGGTTCAAATCTCTCCAAATTGGGATTCTTCTTTTGTTCCTCCTCCAGCGCCCACTCGACTGTTCGCGGGGTATCCTTTGTTCCAAAGATCCTCATAAATACTCCAGTATACTCTAGTTCAGAAGAATGAGTAACAACCCAGTGTTTGACGCCTCCAACCTTGCGGTTCAGTGCAAGTCCGCCCTTTGCTCCGTAGCAAGTTTGAATGCCACCAGTGCTGCTCTCTTTGAGGCCGTGCAGCATGGCCAACTTTCTTGTCTTGGGCTCTGAATTGAGGAAAGCGTTCAGTGTCTTCTCATCACCCTTGACGCCGTGCGGAGAGTCCAGGATCACTTCATGTATCTCTTCGTTGTCAACTGTGTGCGACCAGATAATGGCGAAGACAAAGTTGAGTTCAGAACGTCCGGGTAGGAAGATCGGCGTCAGCCATTTGGGAAGAGGCTCGCCTGGATGGAGATAAGGAGTCTGCCATGATGTCGCTGATGGACTCAGATTGCTTATGGTTCGGATTGTCTTAAAGTGGTTCCAGGGTTTGATTACATTGATTCCTGGAGATGTTGCTATGACAGGAATGTCGGCAGGAAACGACTTCAAGGTCTGTGGGTGTAGATGGTCTGAAAGAAAGAACCCAAGAAGAATAGCGTCAAGCGGACTCGAGTCTTGTTGGCGATCCTGTTGCTCATCCACCGGCGGTTTATGCGCCGCTGCAGCTGACTCAATCTCTCGTACTAAGTTCTCAAGACTCTCAAAGGTAGAGATCTCGGGATTATTAACCATAGCTATGTTGACAAACCATGAGTTGAAAACATGTGCCGCTCCTTTTAGCCAAGGCTCGAAGGCAACATGGTAGAATACTTTCCCCGCGGCTGCTCGCTCTGATTCCGGTCGAGGGAAGGACATCAACCAGCTGTTGTCGCCATTTAGAGAAGTAAATATTGGCCGGAGCGCCTTGCCGGGATCCGACAAGTGTTTCAAAATATTTGTTCGTTGTGATTCAGCCATTGTATAGTATTATGGTGTAGGAAAAGTATGGCTGAAGAGGACGGGCATTAAGACGAGACTAAGTCCAAGTTTCGAAGTCGAAGAATCCATGACGACATAGGGCGATGATCCCAGAGCGGGAGTCTCGATAGTTTTTGGTTCATTGTAACCGAAACTAACTCCTTCGGACAGAGCTATAGCTATTTAGTCGAATGTTTCAGGGTTTCCGCTCCTTCGTTGCAACCATTCAAACAATATAGTTCCTATTGCTTGCATCAAATCTAAAGACGAGTAGCATCACAAATAGTCTTAGGTCTGATGTATTCTTTTTGTCCAAGTTGCGAGCACAAAGCAGGTCGTGTCAAGTTCATACGAGGTTGCTCCATGAGGTACTGGTATCTTAGAATGCTACAAAAAGTCGCCGCCGCAAACATACGTGATCAACCAAAAGGCTTTTGTTATCGCATCTTCTTACTAAGAAGTAAGAACATATATTGGCTTGCGTAAAGCAATCTGGACGGGCATCAATGTGAGCTCGTGAACCCTGTCGGCATTTTACATTTTCGCCGCTATCAATCGTCTACTGAAATCTGGACATCCATTGAACAATCGACTAGGAAGAAGAACAAATTACTTGCATGACTGACCCTGGCGGGAAATGCGTTTGGGTTTCTCGGCTTTAGCCATTAGCTTTTTCTTTTACTTTTTGGCTTTGCACGTTAAGGCACAGCTCCGACGATACTATTAGATTCAACGTCTGCAATGCAGTATGCATAATATTATATAACTATTGAACTATTTATTAAATTTGATCAAACTATGCTAGAGGGTTCACTTGGGTTGTTGCTGTTGAAAGGCTGCTCAACTGCCCAACGCCACACCAGTGGAAGTATTCGCCAAATAAGTGTAGCACATCGTTAGCCTGAAGGGCTGTACGGATGCAGATGCCGCGTAGATTAAATTCAGCCCAATGTCGAAGCACCCAGGCTCCTCGAAGGCACCGCTAGCAAGACAACACTACGAAGTAAAGAGGCACAAAACCCTCGCATGCAATGGAGGTATTGGGAATGGCGCGTCTTCACTAGCACCCCGGATTTGATCCCGATCGACAGTCTAGCAGGACGCGGCAGCGCTAATCTGCTCGTGCCGGGTCGAAGCCCCCGTTTCACCCCTGAAAATTATGGGTTAATTGCCTGATTGATTCATCTCGTGTAAATATTTCCGTGCATCGCCTTGGATTGATTTGTTGTGGGCATAACACGCTTACTACGTAATCAACGGTTGCGATGATTTCAGACTTGGGGCTGATGAGGTGGTTAATGTTGGCTCGAGCGATGTAGCATACAGCCTCCAATTGCGTTCATTGCACAGGACCAGTCAGTTGGTGGCTTGAAGCCCTGCAACACATTGGAGTCAGCGCTGGGTAGAAGTGACAGCTGAAGACCTCGGTCGCACCAGTTACGCTCCTAGCTCTAAGGGTCCAGGTGTTCTGGGGAAGCTCTGGAGAATGCCGACAATGCTGTGGAATATCGTATTTCATGATCACAAAACCCGCACCTCCACGGTTGTGACCTTCCAAGACCAGACGAATTGAATCGGCATCCAATGGGAATAAAACAAGGCTAGAAAGCTGCGAGGCATTAAGCCCTACTGGTTCCCAATCACTCTCGGGTAATGAACCTGGAGATCTCCAGGATATCAGGATATATTCCTGAACTGTAGCTAGATAGAGTTCAGTAACGTCGGTGCAAGTGGCATTTAGTCCTTAGCGTAAAGTTAAAAGCGTGACCCGCAGCGAATCCTACATGCAGGGCATCCATTGCAGGCTGATGTTTGATGTTTAATGCTTTGGACGAATGTAAAAGAAAAGTATTCCTTCTTTAGGATTCGTAGCTTGTTCTTTTCTAGCTGTTCCTCTTATCTTGTGCGATGCGAGAGTGGAGACGACATGGCCCTCGACGGAAATATAACGTCGGTTGAGCCTACAGGTGTTGGGCGCGTTCTTTTTGTGCTGGCTATCGTCTTTCTAATCCCTACGTCGATTGTTGTTGCTCTAAGATGTGTTACTCGATTGAAACACCATATATTCGGCATCGATGATGGTCTCATGCTTTTTGGATGGGTAGGCATCACACTCTCATCGTTTGTCATAATGCATAGCCAGGGACTAACAAATGTCGACGCCAGATGCTTCATGTTGCTTTCAGTGCCATCGCGATACAATGCGTCTATTCCGGTCTTGGGACTAAAGACAAGGACTTGAACGGCTACCTTCAGCTTGAATCACGAAAGGTACAAATACACGCCCAATGCCAGCATGAGAAAACTAACTGTTCTTCCGTAGTTTCTTTATTTTGGCCAACTGGCTTACAGCATCTCATTGATCCCACTCAAAGGCTCTATCTGCGTAACCCTCCTTCGAATCGCCGTGAGTAAAGTCCACCGTATCATCATCTGGAGTGTCTTTACCCTCACGGTAGTCGCGACGACTGCTATTGTTATTGGATGCCTTGTTGGCTGTCGCCCGATTGCTGCAAACTGGGGCCAGGATGGAAAATGCGCCCCATATCAGCTTATGGCGGCTTTTGGCTACCTCATGTCTTGTGCCGCTGTCGTCACTGACTTTGTTTGTGCCATCTTGCCTGTCTTTATGCTGTATAAATCCCAGATGAAGGCAACGACCAAGATTTCCGTTGGTGTAGTCCTTGGATTGGCGGCTCTGTAAGCTCTGGTTTCGATATCCTGTCCTGAAGTCTCAAGCTCATCCCGGCGCAGGGCATCACTATGTACGATCATTCGGCTCCCTTATTTGAAGTACTACACGATCCAATCAAACTATCTCTGTGAGTTGCCTACGAAGCACCATTCCACAGCCCATCAACCGAACTAACACATCTACAGACAACGTGACCAATATCGTCCTCTGGTCTTTAGTCGAATCGGGCATAGGAATAATCGCCGGATCGCTGCCTTCACTTCGCAAGCTTGTGAGCAGACGTTGGCATTTCAACCCATCTGCAGGCAGTTCTCCCACCCACAACACGCCGTACACTGGTACCAACAGAGTTGTCATCACTGCCAACACAACCACGGCTGGACGCCGAACTCGCGAAGATGGAGGAGTCGGAGAATGGGAGCAGCTGGACGACAGCGCGTCGACTAAGAAGATTTACGTGAAGGTTGATTTGGAAATGCAAACGCTGGAGAGGCCTCAGACACAATCACAGGGATCTCGCGAAGATCTAGTATGGTAAAGAGAAATAATATCATGATAAAGATGTGTAGCATACATATGGATAATGTGTTCTCATTAGTGAGACATTCGCGATTAAATGGCTTATTGGAATGCGATGTTTTGACAAGTGAAAAACAACCACGAAAGTGATTTGTTACAGCATGGAAAGTAAAACGAAAGAGATCATTTAGTTTCAAAAGGCTCTTGGGGTACAAATCATACCTTATATCTCAACTTAGGTTCTGTTAATATCTTACTTCAACATAAGTTATCAACTGAGGCACTTCCCTCAATAGAGGGACGTCAAGTGATCTCTTTTTCAATCTCTCTTACCCTAAACTCGATGTTTGTTGCATATCGATAAGATAAGATTGTCTTAATTAGTCTTTCGCCAGGCTGTCTCAAGGCTACGTCACTGGCCGGGACAATTCTGCTCCGGATAGGTAGCGAAAAGTAGCGGCCATATTTCTCAGGCATGATCTGCTCCAGATCCATCGGAAAAGATAGCGCGGTTGCGCGCTGGTTCGCCTATCGATAAGACGATCGACAGAGAGAAAATTGGCCATTGAGGCTCCATCAACACTAAATATTGCCTGTCAAGAGCATACATATTTGTGATGCAATTTAATATCCCATTCCCGAAAGCCAAGGTTGCATAATACCAGGGGCTTACGAGGTTCCGATCCTCAGTGGGTTTGAGTAGCTGTTAAATCCCGTTTCAGAAGCGATCTAGACGATGTATTGTGTGCGCAAGTTTCTATCTGCGACCTTTTACTATCCTCCCCAATTTTGTATGGCTCACCAATTAGAAGCTAGAGAAGAATCGTCCACCTATGTCACGGCATTGGAATTGTGGCCAGTATTGTGTTGCATTGGCCGCTCTGATGTCGTTCAAGCGAGCACGACATTGGGTCCGCAGATTGTTAATCGATGGCGCGACCGAAAACTGTGAAAGCATTGGCCCTCAGATGCAAGCATTTTATTGTGATTCCCTGTATTATGGTAGAATTTTAGCGATGATCTTGTCGGGCAATTGCCTCCTATTATCCTATATAGGCAAGTTTCATAATTGTATTACTCGCTAGGGACAGCTTCGTTATATCTACTACGTAAGTTCTGTTGCAGTTCGTCCCACCATGCAAAAATTGCCTCCGTTACAATGGGCCGCTATGCAGTTGAATTTGGTTAAAATATCTGGCGGTGTCCCTCGTATGTGCTATCACGTTCTTCCATCACACTTCTAGAACCCGCAACGCTGCAGGTATTTGCAATGTCGAATCAGCAGCCAGCAATAGTCCCCTCGTCTCGAGTTTCGGACTCGCCGTCTGAAAATGGCAGCTTGAAAGCAGCAAAGAAGGCTGATAATGATGGGTACCCTGACGACGCTGTACCTCCCACGGCCCCAGCTCTAGCCTCTCAACAGGGTCAGCGTATGGAGGCAGCAATGGGAGACTCAATCTTGCGATTTCTTCGAATACGAAAGCCTCGGAAGGACAATGTCTACGATCTTGATGCCGTAAGGTTCAATGAAGTAGTAGTGAAAGGAAGGCATACTGACATGAGAACAGATCGCCACGCAGCCCAGTATCTGGGACTCGGAAGACATCGAACAATACAAGGAACTGTACATACATCCACAATGGGAGAACTGGTCAGCATTCGATCCCCAATTTCGATGGACATGGCGAGAGGAAAATGCCGTGCGTCGCAAGGTTGACTGGAAGATCATGGTAAGAAGATCGATAGTAGCTGGAGAATGAGACTGACTCCGTAAGGTTTGGATGTGCATCATGTTTGCAGCCTTGAACATCGATAGGAACAACATTGCCAATGCCGTATCCGACAATATGCTTGATGATCTTGGTATCACAAAAGCCGACTACGTGGGTTCCTCGCTCGTATGAGGGATAGGATAGAGTGGTACTGACTGGTGATAGAACATTGGACAAACGATCTCTCGTGTTGGCTTTCTTGTCGCCGAGCTTCCCTCGCAGCTGATTTCCAAGCGGTAGGCGACACACCGGTCTTTGATACTCCAGTTTAGCTAACGCTTCTCAGAATTGGTCCAGACATGTGGATCCCGATTCAGCTTTGTATCTTCAGCCTCATCTCGGCGATGCAGTTCTTCTTGAAGGGTCGAGCATCGTTCCTTGCCACCCGGTATTTGATGTAGGATACCTTCAGATAATTTGATGTTGCCTCAATCACTAACTAAATACCTAGTGCCTCATTCCAAGGTGGATTCATTCCGTACGTCGTTCTCCTATTGACTACCTCCCACCAGACATCTGACATAATGTAGCGATACGATCCTCTATTTAAGTTACTGGTACACTGGCACCAGAGTATGTTCGCAGAACCCGATATCCGCAGGTGTTGTTACTGACTCTCCTAGCTTCCCATCCGTTTAGCCTGGTTCTGGATGTCTTCGCAACTCGGTAGGTCATTGAGGAGACAACACAAACACGAAGTCTAACGGACAACATAGTCGATATCGTAGTTGGCTTCGCTGCTGTAGGCATGCTGTCCATGCGTGGAATGCTCGGCTATGAGGGCTGGAGATGGCTCTTCCTGATTGAGGGTGCTTTTACATGTAAGAGGTCCTTCACTGCTTCATGCTGGCCGCACTAACATTCAAGCAGTCCTGATTGGCGTTGCGTCATTCTTTCTGATGCCTCAATCGCCCGCGAGAACCAAGAGTTGGTGGTGCCCCAAAGGATACTTTAACAAAAAGGAACAAAAGATCATTGTCAATTCTGGTGAGTTTGCAAAAATACCTGCCAACATCCATGGCTGACCAGGTCTAGTCATCCGAGACGACCCTCAAAAGGGAGGCATGTATAACAGACAAGGCTTATCCCTCCGTCAAATCTGGGAGTGCACCAAAGACTACGACATGTGGCCCCTCTACGCTCTTGGCCTGCTATTTGGTCTACCCAAGTATCCCGTCAACCAATACCTGACACTATCCTTCCGCAGCCTTGGCTTCAACGTGATTGAGACCAATCTACTATCGATTCCATACATCGTCGGCTCTTGCATCACGATGTTGCTCATCACAGCCTTTAGCGAACTTGTCAACAACAGGAGTTTCGTGTCCATGGCGGAAGATGCGTGGTTGCTTCCGTGCTTTGTGGCATTGATCGCACTTCCAGATCCGATTGGGCCTTGGGTTTACTTTGCTATCTCGACTGTGCTACTTTCTTTCCCTTAGTAAGGCCCCCTAAGCCCAGGAATAGGTTCACTTCTAACAGTATCATCTAGCACTCACCCGATCCAAGTTGCCTGGACAAGTAGAAATGCTGGATCTGTACAAAACAGAACAGTATCAGCCTCGTATGATGACCATTCCCTCAATTGATTGCTAGTTCTGACAAATTCATAGCCTTTACAACATGTGGGTTCAAGTCAGTGGAATGATTGGCGCAAATAGTATGTTTCGAAGCCGGTTAGCAGAAATGATTACTGATGATATCTAGTCTACCAACCTGATGACTCTCCACGATACTTCAAAGCAAACAAGGGTTTGCTCGTTATTTGCATCTGGCTATGTGTAAGTATTCTTCTATTGACAATCTCCTACCAAAAATCCTCCGAAACAATGCTTACACTCTCGCAGCTGGTCCAATACCCTGGCACCTTCTTCTACTATAGGTGGAGGAACAACCAGAAGGCTAGGAAATGGGATGTTATGACCCCAGATGAACAACATCTGTATAGAACAACCACGACTGATCAGGGAAACAAGCGGTAAGTTGTATCTCGCTTTTTATGTGGCAGCTAACTTATCTCATTGGTAGCCTGGACTTTCGTTTCGCCACCTAGGTAACTCGTGAGACAAGAGGGACCATCTGGATGTCGAGAGATAGGAAGAGGCGACTTGATAACAACCATCAACACTGATGGAGTGAGAATGGAATCGGAGGATCCCTTGGTAGAGCGAGGAAGTTAAATATATATCAATGCTATTTGCATCCTCAACCGTTACTTTATTGGCTGCGACAAACCGTCAGCTTGATGCACACCTCTGACCTTACAGACTGCCCCATCAAAACACCTACGCCAATTGAACCATTCAAGTCTCTATGTCAGCATCCTTCCCGAGCGGTTCTCAAGATATGACTGAGAACTCAATCTCACATTCGCAGCTCAATTCCACCCACCTAGATCTGGGTGGGTGTCGCCTCAACAGAACACAACTTTATGCACTCTCTATTCCTCTAAGCTGTGCCTCCGCCAACGAACAGCTCACTTGATTCGGTTAGTACAGAAAATTGTGCCGAGGCATATTTGTCGATATGAGATAACTGAGACTGGAGCCGAGGCGCTGGCGCGGGGTTGATGCGCCCAAAAGAGAAAGGATTGCTTGGTACCCCACACTTTTCGACTTGATCGTGGAGTTGGTCTACCCCGGATTTACTTCTTAGCGCAGGTTTCTTCATCATAGAGCAGAGGAGAAACTGTTAAATAGCTCCTCTTATCTTTTGCCCTTGCTGTGCTATTTATGTGCCTTGAATGAATCAACCTTTGACCTTCCTGTTCACTCTATCCCTGCACGTATAGAACCTCAGTTGCACTCACCACCATGGCTCTGAACTCAAGATGGTCTACGCCAGTTCCAAAATGCTCTCTGCAGCAGTGGATCTTTGGATCCTGCTGCGAGCCGTTGGATGAACCCGACAAGCCGCTCCTCATCGATGCGGATCGCCCCGACACACATTTCCTCACCAAGGACCAGTTTAGATCACTCTCAAAACAAGTCGCAATGGGCCTGATTGATGCTGGAATACGCACTGGGGACAGAGTGCTTGTCTTCTCCTCCAACAACGTTTATTTCCCCAGTATCTTTCTCGGCATATTGATGAGCGGTGGCATGTTCACTGGTGCAAACCCAGCATTCACACCGCGTGAGCTCGCATATCAGCTGAAGGATTCGGGTAGCACTCACATGTTTGCTGCTACATCTCAATTAGAGACAGCGTTGAAGGCGGCTGAGATGGCGGGCTTGTCAAAGGATAAGATCTATGTTCTCGACCCTTCTGTTGCTCCTCCCGTGGGATCTGCATCAGCAGCATCGTCCGCAACCACTCGATCAGATGGCCTCCGTGTGTGGACGGATCTTCTTAAGACCCAAGAAGAAGCCAGGAATTGGCAATGGGTTGAACCACAAGACCCTGAGAAGGCTGGTTGCTGCTTGAACTACAGCAGCGGCACGACTGGCGTCCCCAAAGGCGTCGAGATCACTCACGCATCATATGTCGCAAACGGCGTAGGTGTAGTCCATATATCCGACCTGGAGCCTGATCCTACTCTCCGAGCGAAAGCAAAGGGTCTAGGGTTCCTTCCCATGTATCACGCTTACGCGCAAACATACTTCATCTCCATCTACCCACAAACCGGTATACCAGTATACATCATGCCGAGCTTCGACTTCGAGAAGATGCTGCAGCACGTTGAGCGCTTCGGCATAACCAGCCTCTTGTGTGTTCCTCCTATTTTGGTCTACTTGTCAAAGCACCCGCTTGTCAAGAAGTACAACTTGAGCAGCGTGAACCGCGTCAGCTCTGGAGCTGCTCCACTGAGCCGTGAAACAGCCCAGGGCGTCGAAAAACTATGGACGGATGGGAGCGTCAACGTGAAGCAGGGCTGGGGTATGACAGAGGTTACATGTACATGCATGACATGGGATCCTCGCATTCTGTGCGACCCTGCAGCGGTGGGAGAACTGGCCCCCAACTGTTCAGCAAGGCTTATGCATCTGGATGGTAAGACGCCGGTAATAAAGCCCGAGGAGCGTGGTGAGCTTTGGGTTACAGGCCCGACATTGATGAAGGGATATTGGAACAATCCTAGTGCGACAGAGTCCTCTATCGATGTCGATGAAAACGGCACAAGGTGGTTCAAGACCGGAGATATCGGATATGTCGAGTCTTTCAAGGAGGGGGCCATCTTCCATATCGTGGACCGCATCAAGGAGCTCATTAAGGTCAAGGGCAACCAAGTTGCGCCAGCTGAGCTTGAGGCCGTGCTTCTAGAACACCCTGAGGTAGCAGACACTGCTGTTGTCGGAGTTCCCTATGAAGAAGACGAGGTTCCTCGTGCTTACATCGTCAAGACCGAGGGTTCCCAGATGACAGAGGAGCAGCTCGTGGAATGGATGGATGCCCGAGTGGCCAGGTATAAGCGTCTCAAGGGTGGTGTCGTGTTTGTGGATATGATCCCCAAGAATCCGGTGAGTAAGAATTTCAGATACTCTTACCTTGTACTAACAGTTCGTTTCCTCTAGTCCGGGAAGATTTTGAGACGACAATTGCGAGAGAAGGCAAAGCAAGAGCTGGACCCTAACCGAAAACCCAGTTCTCGCCTATAGATCTTACACAGGCATTATGGACAAAGAGCAAGTCAGTAGAACTCGGTATCATTACATCTTGACATTCAAATTTCGGCATCGTTTTGAGAAGCATAAAGTAAGGAGTCTGTAATGGCACTTTTCACAACGCTATCTAGCTTCCCATTCCTATAGTATCCAGCTAGTATAAGTGATCAAGACAATGTTGTTGCTCGGCCTGATAATAAAACAAAAGCGCCAAGTGCTAGCTGATCCAGAGTTCCACAATATGTAACCTCGTTCTCTGTGACAATTGCTGCATGGTATTCCGATAACTCCAACAAAAGACCACATAATCAACCTGAACCCAACCCTCGCAGCTTTATCCGAAACATCCCAAGTCCACGATAACCTCTCAACGTCCAAATAAATTCGGGCAAAAACTCATACAAAGAACAAAAGATCTGTGTACCCTGCATCCCGATTCGGGCCCAATCATCGGACACTTGAAAACACCTCTGTATAAAGGTAAAACCGACTAGTCTTCATCATCTGGAGTGCGTGTGGCAGAGTCAACTCCTGCTACATGAACCTTGGCCATGATTTCACCAAGCGAGATGTTATGATCCTGGAGGACCTTCTCGATTGTTGCGAATGCCGAAGGGCCGGCCTCGACTGCAACTCTCAAATACTCCGCATGGCGTGTTTCATCCGTCAGCCTTTTGGTTGCCATCCTCAACTGATCCAGGCGATCCTTGGTAGCCTTTTCGTAGGCCAAGAAATCAGGACCAAGAGCGCTTTCCCGGTGTTCGAGGTCACGTCGATTTCGTTCGACACAAGCGGCCAGCTCATGTGAAGCGTGCATGGACTCATACGTGAGATTACCATTGTGTACTCGGAGGGCTTCCTCCGAAACCCTGACAGACTCTCTCGAAGCATTGAGCAGCTCGAGCTGCAGCTGATAAGGCTGCATTTGAACTGTAAAAGATTGTTCAAGTTGGTAGACCTTGTTACGTGCCTCAACGCGGCTCTCGTTGATAGCTTGAATGTGTGTCAGAAGACTTCCACGAAAGACCGTCGCGACATTCTGCAGCTGAGCGTTGTTGCTGTACTGTGACTTCGTTAGATAGCTAAACTACCAGACGACTCGGGAGGGACCTACCTGGTGGCCAGTCGCAAGCATAAGAGCTGCTGGTGCGGCATATTCTTGTGGAATGTTGGGTGGGCTGTCGTCGTTCGTGCGAACCCGTTTGCCTTCGAGTTCCGACCCGTCCAGAGCCGACTCGGCCTTTCGCTTTCTTGGCCCCGACTTCGGTTTCTCGCCACCAAAATGGGTTCTGGCAAGGGACACATCGGCCTTGGTGAGGATTGTCGAGTCACGGGTAGCGACCCGAGCAGTCAAAAATTGCTTGATATGATTCAAATGGAACTCCTCGCTTTTGGCGGCCTGTTCCACCAGGATAGCCAGGTCCGAAAGCATTCCGGACCCCTAGTCCCGGATATCCATCTCGGAGAGCCATTCCCACGGCTTTTGGCCTACCGCCGCTTCTATTCTCAGAATGCTTCGAATCTTGCGAGCTCTGGCTTCCATGTCGAGACGTACGGGCCAACCAGCATAGTCATCCTGTTCGCTCTGAGCTTCAGGGGTGGCCCCTAAACCTGTTGTGGTGGCCTGAGAGTTGTTGGAAGAGGCAGTGTTTTGCGATGTCAAAGATTCTTCCGAGTTCTCAGCCATGATGTCTGAAAGATGGCGCTCCCTGATGAGAAATGAAGATATTACAGGAGAAAAGTGAGTGCGCAGATAGGAGGAGGGGACTGATGTTTGTCTGAAAGATATCGGTTGCTCGTAAAAGACAAATGAGGTTCTTGTGATAGTTGAGAGTCGCGTACGAGAAAGGAGGTGCTGATAGATTCACAAAACTCGTGCAAAGGGAAGAGGGAAAGGGATATGATACTGCGAGGCTCTTGAGAACTGCGGAAGAATCACCGTCGATGCGGGAAGTGTTGTTGTTCTGGATGTAATCTTCAAGATGTGGGATGAAGAAGGTGGTGTAGGTAAAGGCCAAAAAGGCAGCATCAAAATAAAGAGGAAACAGTGCGTCTTGGCCTTTTGCTTATCAAGAAAGTGATGTCTTTGAGAAATGAGGTGTTGTTCTTGTCAAACAAGGTATGCTTGTGAGGAAGTGTTCGTGTTGATGAGAAAAAGAGAATAACAACATGGAGAAAACGCGTGTAGAGAGCGTGTTTGGAAAAGACGCGAGGGAGAGATATACGCGAATGTTTATGCTGATACCTGGTACGTGCTAGCTGCTAACTCACCTTACCTCATTCACCTCAAGCTCAAGTGCTGATACAATCTGATGGAAGAGACCCGCTCTTATATTCTCCATAAACTACCAAGGTGCCTTTAGCTCTCCTGTTGTTCGTTGACAGTTAGTTTCGTCCAAGTTGCAGCGTTTGACCACAACATCAAGCAGAACATCTGCCTTTGTAGTCCTGTACAGTCCGTGCAGTCTTTATACTTGGAGCCAATTCGTGCTGAAGAACAACTGAAGTGACAGTTCCATAGGCTTTGTTCAGGACTGACAGTAAAGCTTATCAATGCGGTGATACTTCATTTATTACACCCAACTAACTACACTCTGTATATGCGCCAACGACATATCCCATTCCAAACCATGCATCCAGAAATGTCCTCTTCGATGGTCCACCTTCCAGTCCGCTTACTGAGTCGACTCCCTACATGAAGAGGAACACGAACACAGTTGAGACCAAGGCCAATCCAACCGGAGCCAGACCAGCGTTGTGCGAGATAGGCGTACCCGCGCCAGCAGTTGCAACAGGTGTTGCGGGTACTGGCGTGGCAGGCACAGGCAAAGGCCCAGTAGCGGTTGGAGTCGCAACAGGAGATGGAGGTACTACTGGCTGAGAGGGAATCTTGATTCTCTGGGTTAGAATTACACCATTTTGTCAGGGCAAGTAAACTTACAACAGGAGGAGGGGCAACAGGTGCAGAGGCTGGAGCTGACGGCGCAGAGACTGGGGCGGAAGGCATCGACATCGGTCCTCCAGCTGTGACACTGGGCATTTCCGACATACCAGAAATAGGCTCGATGCTGACACCCGCCGCAGCACAAAGCTTGAGACCGGTCGCGATGGCAGCTGTAGCACATTAGTTTGGACACTAGATGGAGCCGAGGAAGACACAAACCAGCAGATTCAGCAGGGCTACAGTTGGAGCTGACACACTTTGTGAAGTCTGAAGCAAAGTTTGCGCTTTTACAGACACAAGATGGGTCTGCGCTTTGGCAATTGCTGGCCTGAATAGCCTGCAAAGCGCACTGTTGCTGAGTTGTATGTTAGCTGGAAGTCGATCCAGCTGTCAATGTGCTACTTACTGCGCATTCCGGAAGAACAGAACCGCCCATACTCTGCGCCATGGCGGAGGCTGACAGGAAGGTGGCGGAGATCAAGGCGAATGACTTCATGTTGAATTGGTCTGACTTCGTGGGGATTGGAAGTTTGAGGGCAACTGTATCGCGGTGTAGTCTGTAATTCTCGAGATATGGTCGTGAGAAGGCAAAAGGTGATATAGACAGTGACAGTGATGGTATTGTCTTGAAAGATTTCCAGTTTGGGCTGGGTCCACGGCAGCTTATATACAAGTCCTCATCAATAGTCAAGCTCGGGGGGGGGGGGGGGGGGGGGGGGTGCGATGAGCATCAGATCTGGAGTAAGCCGCCACATGCGATGGGGTCGTTTGAACACTTGGCAAGAATCCCAAACCACGTGTATTCTAGGTCCTTATTCGCTAGGGTATCCAAGCATGATCTCAGAGTTCAATGACGCCTCAGACCGGGGCGCTTCCCGCGAGCTGAACGTTCGGAGCTTGCCAGTAATTAACGCCACCAAGGGAACGACCGAGAGGACATGGCAGGAAGTGCATTCGGGTACGTCACCATTATGTGATGAAGGTATTTTCAGTAAGCAGGCTTGAAGATTGAGAAGAACCTCTTGGGCCAATGTAAGACAGTAGGCCATTGAAACCTGAAACATATAACCAATTTAGCAAAAATGGCGAGGCACAAGGATGGCAGACTATGTTGTTGTGATTTTCATCCAGTATCGTTGCTATTGGGCAGCGAGAACCCAATGGGTGCATCGTATTCCGACGCCTGGCGCTTTAGTTCGCGCGAAGTGACAGACCTCTCGAGCTCTGGGTCAGCCTTACGGCCCATGGAACTCTCTGCTTCTTTTCCTACGTAGGTACGTGGTATAATGCGCGTCCTGCGGTCCTAGTTTCCAGCGCAAGGAAGGACGCGCACCGGACTTGCCACGGCGGATTTGCCGTTCAAGTTAGTACGCATAGCGGCAGACTCCATAGATCTTAGACAAACCTCAATTGGCGTTGCTCGGCAGGAGCATCGTCAGAAAGAATTGGTAGAGGGCCACGCGTCGGTTCGATGGGCCAGCTGCGGGTGGCTTGTTGAGCTAAATATTAAACTTCCACTATCGATGGAGAACCCGATGAAGGCGTAGATGTCCCTCGATGGTGTTTTTAGTGGAATCTGAGGCAGAGATATGTAGTTGACTGGAAAATACCATCAATTGAGGCTTGGCAATGGTTTGCAGGTTGTTGAACTGGTTCCTCCCCGTACGAAATGCGAAGGCACCAGTCACTTGGAAAGAGCGTTTTTTCTTTCGACCATTCATGGACAAAGCTGGTGGCTGCAGCCCCGCGATCTTGATTGGTGTAACTCAATGCGTGTCGCTATCGAAACCTTGGTCGTGCTAAATCAGAGAGGATCTTTGGTAGTAGAGCTGCGAGATGCTTAAGTTTAGAGTTAGAATACGGATATTGCGGCAGCGATCCACCCTATCCGCGGCAAGATACAAGAGTTGCCAAGTCATCGCAGCATGACGCACAGTAATTGTCATGAGATCTACTAGATGATATTCCCATTCCCTGATGACTGTCACATGGATGCGAGTTCGGACTATGGCATGGTCAGGGTTCCACGTTCTCAATCATCAGATTCACAGTTTACGCTAGTAGTTTACCATGGCCGGTAGTGATGACCAGTATAATGTATGACTGTGGTGTAAGCATCTACTATTCCTGGCTGAAATCATTGTCGAGTTTTTTCTAGGTAATATGGGTGCAAATGGAGGAATTTGGTGGTACTACGTCTGGTGTCTAGTGAACTTTGTTGTCGAGTGCTGGACACTCAGCAGCTACATTACCATAAGCGCAGAGAGCCAGCAAGTATAAAAGCTCGGGATAGGACCCCTCGATGATGATTTACTGGTAGATGTATGTGTCTGCACGATACTACTCTAGTGAGTAGGAGGGTGCGGGGTGGGATGAAGGTCAATTTGCTATGAGAACAGCTAACACGTTCAGCGAACAGGTCAAAAGACCAGGTAGGGAGAACAAGGTTCCCAGCCTTGAACAAGAAGAATACTCGGCCGCCCTTGCGTATAAAACTAGCAAAAAAGGACAAAAAGATTATATCGACTTTGTTGAAAGACACAAAAAACAACTGCGGTTTATGTGGATCGAACACATGACCTTCAGATTACGATTCCCGAAGTTTGACTTCAGTCTGACGCTCTCCCAACTGAGCTAAACCCGCCAGCCAATTGATGTGAGGAAATCAGCCACACATCACCATATCGACGCATCGAATCAGCGGGTGTGAGCTCTACGCGTCCCCAATTCATTTCCTGAATCCGACATGAAGTTAAAAGTCACCACACAATACAGATCAGACAAACCTTATGAATCGACGAATAGAATGTAGCACTCAGGAAGTGACAATGAGTGGGGGACCATATTACAAGCTGTCTTTCCGTGCTGCTTAGCCTCCATCCGTCCCACGACTGTGCAACGCGCAATGTTTACAATCTCGCCTTGTACAATAATAGAAAAGCACGGGATACATTTCAACATTGTGGGGCAGGCTGCCTATCTAATCGCCAAAGAATCTAACCGCCAGAGAGACCGAAAAGCAGTGAGCACAAGAAGATCAATGCTTCTGTTCCATCAGCACTAAAAGCGGCTGTTCGGAATATTGTACCCTTGGCTAATGTCACATTCGCGCTTGAGACTCGTATCATCCCTCTCAACTCAATATCTGCTGGGATAAATAGCGAACAAGCGCATTGAACATAGCCGATGAGTTCATATTTTTAAATGAAACCCGGCGCTCAATACTTTCAGCTGATTTTCCTGTTATCATGCTAGTTTGTGATCCTTCTATGTCATCGCAGCACTTGGCATAGAATCCTCCGTTTCAGAAGCTGTCGACTCATAACAGTGGGTCTTTGTGATTGGCGCAGCAGGGAGTTAATCTCATGAATCCTAGCGACTCCACCAGCTGAAAGAACTTATAAACATCGTCCTGTCAGCATTTGCAGTTCCATTCAGCATCCCAATATTCATCATCTCCAATCATGACGTTCACCCGCTTTGCCTTTTTCTCTTTACTGGCCACGGCCGCCGCCGCGGACCACCTCCAGCAGCCTAAGAAGAGTCCCGTTCTGAACGAGATCACTTCACAAGGATGTTTCGACTCCCTTCCCAACGACGTGATCTCGGGACAAAATAGTACCTTCAACAGTGTCGGCACGTGTGCAGATTACTGTCAAGAACAGAACACGGAAGTCGCTTTGCTCCAGGGCAAAGCATGTTTCTGCTCCCACAGCTACCCGCCCGAAGACTCTCAGGTCGACGACGACCAGTGCAACGTTCCCTGCCCTGGATACACCAATGATGCCTGTGGAGGAGAAGATGCCTTCAGTGTGTACAACCTTGGAGTTGAGCTGCTGCCCGGTGATGACGGCGGAGAAAGCAAGGGGGAGACTACTGCCACTTCTACCGCCCCATCGTCCACCAAGTCCGCTGCCACAACCACTGTTCACAGCGCCTCTACGACCGTCAGCACTTCCGGAGAGACCAAGAAGATCTCTACAACTGAGTCTGAACAAGGATCTGTATCTACAGCAGCCGTAGAAGAGCCATCTAAAGTTGCCAACTCAGCAAGCGACAGCGTTCTCTCGGCCACGCCTAGTGCATCAACAATTACGAACAACGGCGCGCTTAGGTTCTCAAACCCGATTGGTAACGCTGTCCGACTGATGCGTCAGTTCTTGGAGTAGAGCGCTTTCTGAGCTTTCCAAGGGGTTACGACTTTGTGGATTGGGGTTTCTTGTAGGCTTTTACTGGTGGAGGAATTAGGAGAGTTTGCTTGGAGGGCCAAGACATTTGATTCGATTAGACGTCCATTTATATGGGTGGAGTTACCATTGATAGTACAATTTACAAAGAAATATTCTTTTCGTCAAACTAACTACATCCAAGCATTGCCTTCAACAGCAACCTCTCCATTCATGCCCTTAGCCCGCAAGCTTCTTAGCATACTCAAAAGCCAACATGTTGGGCTTGCACCTCGTGCCCACCTTAGGAAGGGTACCATCAACAAAGTAAGCAGCAATAGCATCAAGAGTGCAATTTGAAGCATGCGACGTGACACCGTGCTGCGAAAGAGATTGTTAGTTTTCGGTGATTGAAAGATCATCATAAGAAAGGAAGACTTACACCAACACCCTCATGAACCAAGAACCGACCATTCGTAAATCTAGAAGCAACCTCCTGTGCTTGGCCAAGTGAAGTAATGGGATCAAAGGCACCGTTGACAATGAGAGCTGGGAACTTGGTCTTGACATTGTGGAATTTGTCAGTATCAAAACCTTCAGCAGCCTTGAACTTCCAGGCACCACATGCAACATAATCAGCAGCAATTGCGTCTCCGAATGAACTCTCGGCAAGATGCTTGTTATAAAAAGGGCGAAGATCCTCGGGTTTCTGTGCACGGAACTCGGCCTCGGAGCAAGCAATCCCCTGGAACGCATTGGTGCCAAGGTTCCAGTCAGATCCTTCCTCTACGTAGATGCTGAGGGCCTTCTTGTAGTCTCCGGCAAACGCATAGGAGAGGATCTCCACGATGGCAGGGTATGTGGAGGGGCTCGAGAGATAGTTCATGATGCCGTACTTCAACTGCTTTAGAATGGAGTTGCCTGCGTAGGGGAACTGCTCAGGCGACAGACCCTCCGGAAGATCCTTCATGTCCTTGAGCTTCTGAAAGAGCGTAGCCGTTGCATCTCTCAAGTTCTGAACTGTGGTCTTGCTTCCGGAGTAATCGGCCAGCTTGCAAGTCTTAGTGCCAAGCTGGATGCATTCAGTGAAGAGATGCACCAAGGACTTCTCGGCATCAGCAGGGCCTCCAGCACCAGTGGTCTTGAAGTACGCATCGGCCAGTGAGTTAGAGTCAAGCAGTAGTCGGTCAATGCGATCTGGGAATAGAGTAGCCGCGACTTGGCCCAGGATAGTACCGTAGGAGATACCCCAGTACCTCAGCTTGCCGTCCTCCTTGAGGGCATCGACAATCTTGATCATGTCTCTGGCGGTGAAGGCTGTGCTGAGGAAACGACCGTTCTCCTGTTGAGTTTCATAACAGGCTTCAGCGACAGCCTGCATCCTCGCCCACCCTTCGTTCTTGACGTATTCCCAGAGATCTGCCTGAGGAAGATCCTTCTGGCTACGACGAGCAAGCTCAGCAGAAGTTGAGCTGGTGTTGCACGCAAATGGGATGGTTCTGCCAACACCTCTGGACGACATTAGTATCGGATCTGGGGAATACTTCAATCATACGTACCGAGGATCAAATGAGATAATATCGTTGTGACCTCCCATGATGCTGAAAGACACTTGTTAGCTCTTGTCAACAAGAAACGAATGTATACTTACTTGCGGAAGTCCTGGCCGAGATACGCAAGTGTTTCAATGCCGGAGATTCCAGGCCCTCCAGGATTCCAGAAAACAGTGCCCTTGAAGGGCTTCTTGGTAGCCTTGAATCGGAGCAATTGAAGCTCAACTGTCTTCTTTGAGTTGGGATTGGTGTAGTCCAAGGGAACCTCAATCGTAGCGCAATCGCCAGCCTTGAGCAATTGCTGGGCCACATCAGGAAGATCGAGCTTGCAAGCAGCCCAGTTCAGTGATGCAGACACATCAGCGGCAACCGAGGATTCACGGGCTGGTGACGCTGTGACCAGCTGAGCTGCGCCGAGAAGTAGCGGGCCAACGACTGACCAGGGCGAATTCATTTTGAGTGAGTGTACGAAGCCAAACGAAGACTCTATGAGAGGATTGACACGTATATAGTCAGTTGTCATTTGATGACAACCTACTAATGGAATGTGCAGACTTTTAAAGGCTGGCGACGACATCGAACGATCAGCCTGAGGTAAGCCTGGACAGTGGAACATGCAGGGATGTCGATCCCTATGGAGATCAAGCCGGCCCGTGTAATGAGAAGGATTCGCGGCAGTTACGGGCCTTTCCGTCTTGGAACTGCCTCCGAGTCAGCCGTATGCAACAAGATGGGGTCAGTTTCTTTACAAGGGTAGAAACTCACAGTCCGATGCTGACGAGTGGAGATGTTTATTCTTTCTAATTTCTTCCATCGTATTGGCTGCCTGTTGCTCAAGAATTTGAGGTTAGCTTGGGGAACTTTCGTTCGCCATGATCGGATAATGGATCTGATTAGACAAGCTGGAAAGTATTACGACCCGCATGCTTACGGCAACGGTAAGTAACAACCTACCTCGGGTGAGAGCGAATAGAGTAGAGAATCAGTTGAGGAACTGGAATAAAGATGGCGCCTCAGCAAAGGGAGTGATTTTAGCCTCCATTTACCCGCAAGGCCATCCTATGAGGTACATTCTAAAGCTGCCATGGATGTTGGGACAGAAAGAAGTCTTTCCAACAGGCCAATGAACCCACATGCTTATTCGCTGCAGAAGTCGAATCCACTGAGACATCTCGCCTCGTTACTACAGTGACGTACAAATTGTACGTAATAGTTAAATGTACCTTTCGCAGTCCTCCATGTCGAGCTTCCTAACTTTGTCCCCTGTCTAGCGAATGACATAGTGACCTTCCTACCTACCTCTACTTTAGGCAAATTGGCGTCGCGCTGGTAGAAGGCCTCAAAACCAGAAGGTGTTAAGCTCACTGATCAAATAATAACCCCATGCTCAATTCTATACTCCCGGTACCTATTATCACAAAAAGCCAATTGTGCTGCCACTATCCTTAGGCTGCGCTAGGTATTAAATGTTATGTTCAGCGGCAGATGGTGATGTAAATGAGCGTGTTCAATCACAATACAACAAGGACAACCCAGCAAGCTTTCTTCCTACTATGAATACTATTGAATAGCTTCTTACGTAGCGAGTGTAACGGACGGCTGATCCGCTGATTTTACAGCAGAAGGAGTCTTCCTCTTCACAGGGTGGACTTTGCTGAATCTTCCTTCGTCCCTTACCACTCAATGGCGACGGATCAACGATAACTCTGTCATACAACGCACGGGTCATATCGACGAGAGTGAGATGGGTTCTATCAGGCACAATAGCTTGAGGGCCGTGAACCTCTCACGCGAAGATTGGTCCATAATATGTCAAATTTTAGTCGATGTGAAACGAGAGAAAAAGACTTGGTGGCTCAATACAGGTTCAAGGCAACGCCGATTTACTGAACCGACCCAGTCTTACGGGGAGAACCATTGTAAAGGCATTTTTGCGACCCAGTCTCTACTGTGCCCTACCCTCAAGAGCAACAGCCCAAATCTGCTGAACACATCGAAGACCCGCTTCAAAAGCACCTTGAATCCATCCATGTGTGAAACTAGCCTGTTCACCCGCAAAGAAAACCCTATCCTCCCAATCAGGCTTCTGCATAGTATCCAAGAACTTGGTCTTCTGCATGGGGCCAAAATAGCAAAAGGCACTTCCACCCGCCAGCTCATCGGCAGGGAAGACTTGTGATGCTCCGGCCTCGAGAAGCTCGAGGGAGTTTGCTTTGGGGAATATCCTGTGCAGATTCTCGGCAGCAATCTGAATCCTCCGCTCGGGTGAGAGTGCGCCGAGGATAGTGGCGTCTTGCTCGAAAGTGTACGCTGCCATGATGACTCCACGGTTTGAATGCTCGAATTGGCTGTTTTTGGCCGACTTTGGAAACATTGTATAGCGAATGGGTAGGTCGCTGACCAGACCGCCGTCCCGGTCTTGGCCAGCACCTTCGAAGACCTTCTCCCACCATCTTTTCTTGTACTGGAGGAGGACTTTGGTCACCTCCACGTACCGGACATCGCGGACTGCCATTTCCTGCTTCGGTACGAAAGACCTCGTCTTGGCAATTGTTCTCTGCGCGGTATATGGAATGGCGAGAATGAGATAATCTGATTTGATAGATTTCCTCAAGCTGTTAGCGGTGACTTCGTAAGTGACCTTAACTGGTGCTTGATGGGGGATTTGTGGATCTTTTGGCTCATCAAGACCAATCTCAGTAACACGAGCACCGTAGATGATATCATCAACCAACGAATCTTAATCATGTTAGCAAATTATCTTGTCCAAACATATATGTCATGTGGCTTACTCTGTCCCCTGGCACTGGAAACGAAGCCGTTGGGCACAGCATCCATTCCCTGTTGGAGCTGCTCCATACCGGCCTGTTCACCACCCTTGTTGCTTGACAGAAAGGCATCCTTGAAAGACTCAATGAAGCCATTATCAAAGACGACATGCGCATTACCAAGATCGTAGAGGTTCAGAGCATCTTCGGTCCATCCCGCAACATCTGTCAGGTAGGATCTCAGGGTGTAGCTATCGTACTTTGTTGTGATCTCGGCATATGCTGCCTTGATGGCTTTGATTTGAATCTTTTCGGGAACATGCACCTCATCTTTCGCTTTGTCGTAGGCTTTCCAGAAGTCGTCCACGACTAGTTCTACTGCTTCTGTAAAGAGTTTATCGCACGTCTTGCCCTTCTCACAATCGCGAAGGCCGGGGAAAAGAGAGAGAAGTTTATCATCCTTCTCTTGCAAAAGCTCATTGAAACGATCGTAGGTCAGGGTCTCGCCATAGCCGGAGATATAAATGAACTTGTTTTTCATCTCAAATTCGAAAAGGTCGTCTTTAAGACCAAAGTCATCGATGTATTTGTGCAACAAGTAGTGATTGGCTGGGATTCGCATAGCACCGCCCTCGCCGTGAAGTCTATGTGCAAAGGTCGGTTCTCGGAAGGTCTTGACTCGGCCACCTACTCGTGAAGAGGCTTCAAGAATCGTGACTCTAAATCCAGCCTTCTTCAACTCGTAACCGGCACAAAGGCCAGAGACTCCAGCCCCAACTATAGTGACCTATGATTACTTAGTAGGGGTTACGAATCTATCCGCTTAGGTTGTGCAGTGACTGATGGAGTCCAAGGGAGTTTCTCGCCTGGCTTGCCTGGGCCATCTTTCATGAGGGCGAGAAGAACATCCTGCAGCTGCTCGGACTCATCAGGGATGGGACGCTCCGCTTTACCGATATCCGCTTTGACTTCCTGGAACAACGTCCTGGAACCGCTTTGATTGTTTTCCTTGCACTTGAGGAAGTAGCTGAGAAGTGGGAGAGTGCTCTCGGGATGGATCTCGCATGCGAGAAACTCGCTTTCAGCGAAATGAGATGATGAGGCCATGTTATCTTTTTCGGGCGAGTGATTTATTTGTCAGAGTTTATTGAGGTTATTGATTGCTTTTGATATGGTCGCAGTTGTTACTATTTATATTGATGTTCTTTATTTTATTTCAGCTCAGTATAATGACTTCTAAGAAGAGGCGCATTCATTGACGCTTGCGCAGTGATTGTGGCTGGCTGAAATTCCAAAGTTCTATTATCATATTGTTCTCGGTGACAAACTCATGCATGTGACAATAGTGATTGATGCCACAAAGGTGTGATATCATATGTGTCGAGAGGTGAAAATTGATGTTCTATCTCCTGGAATGTGATAGAAATTGAGACAGCCCTGAGAAATAGAAACAGTGGCTGGCTGAAGCAAAGTCAGAGAGACAGAGATGCATATCAACAAACCTCAGCTGAACGTTAAAGCCAGAAACGGTGTTAACTATTGATGCATGCGAAGTTCTAGACTCATTTTGCATGCTCATTGTCAGAAAGTAGAATACATAATATGCAACGCAAAACGTAATAGAATTGGGTGTAAGTTCTGGGTACAGGTACGGCCGCCCGAAGCGAGCGCTTGTCCTGAATCAGTGAGACATGCAGTTTACCTCCAATATTATATCGATAGAAGAGCGCCAGTGAGAGGCTGGCTGAGCACTAAGAAAAAGCGCCAAACAATCCGACCTACCCAGTAGACTTCTCTATCCCTCCGTTAAATCCAAGAGCCGGATGTACTCGACTCGATTGTAGATTCCTTACCTTATCTCAAGCATATGTCATACTTACGGATGTGCCAGGGAGCTTATATGTATCGCTCTTTATTGGCATGGGTTGAAGAGAACTAGCGAGGATAGTCGATTCCAACCTGCTCCTCAAGCGTTGGTCACTGAAACGTCTAATTAGCATTAGGCTTGATGACCGACCCACGTAACATTGTCTAGGTAGTCAATAATTCTTCAGTAATAGATAGAGAAACCCATACTGAAACTTCACATGTCGAAAGTCTATTCATAGTGCATTTTGCTTGATTTGAATGAGTGACTATAAAGTAACCGTTTCACATATTCCAACCGAACTTGAACAATTCCTCCGATACTCAAGTATTTCATAACTTAGGCACAAGCTGTGCATACAGCAGCAGCGGCATCCCGAACCTGAATAGCGGTTGCGATTCCACAGTTACCAACAACACAGTTGAGGGCCGAAGCCTGGACAGCATCGGAGCTGGCGCATTGGCAGGCAATGTCGCTGCAGCCAACCGCAGCAGCTGCGGAGGAGATGCAGGGGGCCTTGGGGAGTTTTGTTAGAACGCGAGATTTCTTCATCATGAGAATTTACTCACACCGCAGGCTGGGATAGCAGAGGTCTGGGGGCAATCAGTGGGTGCAGCTTGAGGGATGGAAAAGGCAGTGCCGAAGAGGGCAGCGACGAGGAAAGAGGTAGAGAACTGCATGTTGGATAGTAGGATCTGGTTGAGTTACTTGAGATTGTATTGTAGTGTTTTGTGCTGATGGTTCTATGACTTTTGGAAGGGATTCGTAGCTGTATTTATAGGAAAACCTATCTGCTGTTCACTCGATACCCCGCGGTTCTCAACCTCTTTCTTCCCATATGAATCACTGACTTCTCCGCAACTGCTTGGAAAGACTGCACATCACAACCGTATTTTGTGATCTCATGGGATCAAAGTCAACATTCTATCTCCTTCTTGATTAGTTGAAACCGGCAGGGTTTCCCCATGGGGCGCATTGACCTCTGCAGATCTTCACTGGGCCGGAATGAAGCCTAAAACGGGCGACCGGCCGGCGAGAACACCCGACTGACCGAGGGATGCAACTGTAAATACTCTCTATTAAAGCAACATGTGAAGTTGTGAAGTATAGTCATTGAGCGTGACGCAGGGACAGAAGGGGAAGGTGGTTTGGCAGCGGGGTTTGACGCATGCATAAGGTCTCGCAAAGTCACCGGCAAATCGCAAGTGTTGCTACTGTTTGGTTCGAACAACAGTGAATGATAGGCCATAGAATACTCCGGTAGTTTATGCACGAGTCACTGGGAAACCGCTTAGAAACTTATTCAACAAATTGAAGAGGCCATCTAAAACGCGAGCTCGATACCCGTAATTGAACTCAAGCTTGTCTGGATACTAGATCACGTCGGGAAGCTGCCGCTTTACAATCCAAGTTCGCTGGGCTATATTAAAACTGAGCTATTGTTCTAGTAACCTGAAAACTTGGCAACCCTGTCCCAACCGACACTGACCCCTCAGATGCTTCCCCCGTCTTCACTGTTTCAGTAGAGAAATCGGTGACACCAAGACATAGCAGTCTACTCGATGCTGTAACAGCCTCTCAGAAATTAACCCACCCGTAATTGTGGAACATAAATCTTGCTTGTTCTTGGTGGTTGATGGGTTTGACGTCAATAAACTGATTCATCCCAGACCTATAAACATTTAATGGAGAGATCTTCCCACCTATTGCATTTTCCAAAATCTCCACTGAACAACATTTTGCGGAAGGGGGGGATTCCCATAAGTTAGAATGGTATAGGCAACCTTACCATGGACAAGCCACCGCAGGGCCCTACTATCTTCCTGGTCATAATCCCTTAAGAATACCTTGCGAGTTGCTCTGCAATTTCTGTTATTTGACTATCTGGTTATAGAATCCCAGAGGATAAGTCGTTGCATTGTGGCCATGACATTGATCTCCTCGCACACAACAGCCCATGATCCATGAGCTTCCATTGTTATCCAGCCTATTTCACGTCTCGGTAACCTGAATTCTCTAATTTTAAGTGTACGAGTAGAGAGATATGGTTGATGCTCTTGTGTTCTGGCTGAAATACTCAGTCGTTGTGTCAAGTTCAGGAAGCAGCGTAAATATGAATTGAATTTGTCAAACGATATTTTAAGACGGCCACGGGTCAGAATCGGTTCCAGAGATCAGACAAAGGGCAAAACGACCTCCGGAATCTCTGTGCCAAGTTAGCGAGGATTGGGACCCTCAAAGACAGGCGACTCAAAATTGGGTCGTTTCCGCAACGTCCAGGAAGCAGCTCCCACACTCGTGAGGTTATAGGAATATCCACTCGGCGCATCAATGATTGAATATTCTATTCACTTATCACAGCAGAAGAAATACCTCATGATTTAATGATCACATACACAAATGGGTTTATCAGTTAGATTCCAAAATATCTGAACTATTGCCGAATCGCCGCACCGATAGAGGCAAAGTAACTACACCTCTTCTGCTCCTCGCTGCTCGGGGTTTCCATCCTTGTCTTACCGCCCGTCTCAAACACTACACGCTTCTTTCCCTTCTCCGTCCAAGCCTCCCATTTGACCGCACTCTTATGGCGATACTTATTAGGGTCTAGAGAGCGAATAAAGCTTGTCCAATAACCTTGAATGACTGGTACCACCGCCGCGTTCTTTCCGCCATTCAAGTAACTCGCCGGTGCTCCGGATTCTGGGCCGAGAATGGCTTGAATCTCTACTGTGTGAGGGACACCGAGACCGTCGGCCACTTGAGCTGGGTCTTCGACATTGTATAGGTAGTTCCAAGATTTAGGAACCCCACGGGTGGTCAACGCATTGGAGATGTAGAGACTAGAACACTTGTATCTCATATCTCCATAGGCATCACTTGCCTGTCGCCAGTAACATCCAGTATCTGGGCAGGTATCATTCTGGTTAGGATAGAGGTCGTTGATCTTGCCCAACTGCTCAAGAGTCAGAAAAGGGAATTGGGCCTTGAGGAAGTCGTCGCTTTGAGCCAGAGTCGATGTGTCTCTTGGTACAAAGACAGTTCCACCATTGGTGTCGTCGCCAGTGATCAGAGGAACCTTGATGAACTTCCCCTGCTCGAAAAGCCGGTAAGTGACATCGGGGATGAGATCGTTGTCGACGACAGGACTCCACATGTAAAGCGGAGGCCTTGAGCTACCGAGATGAGGAATGTTCTTGTTCACCACCTGAATCTCCTTGGCAGACTTGGATCGTATGCACGGAAGGATATCCTTCTCGGGCCCGACACAGCCCAGTTTAATAGCCAGGTTCTTATACTGATATAGTGCCTCGTTTACCGTCAATACAGTTGCAAACGAGATGGACTCTGCAGCGGCTCCATGGAAGAGTCCTTCATCCTTGCCTCCAAAGGCACTGAGATGTAGGCTGACACTTGCGGCTCCTGCAGACTCGCCACCAATGACGACATGATCTGGATCACCGCCGAACTTTGAGATGTGCTTTTGGACCCACTGAAGAGCCTTCCTCTGATCAAGAAGACCAATGTTGGGCTTCACGTGGGAACCATCGTTGAGAAAGCCGTAGACACCAACGCGGTAGTTGATGGCAACAACGATCATCTCCAATTCGCCAGCGATGACGAGTTTGGTTCCGTTGGAATTAGCATTGGAGTTTGAGTTGAAGCCACCGCCTTGGATGTAAAAGAAGACGGGGAGTTTGTCTCTGCTGGAAGCCTTGGAGGGAGCCCAGACATTGATGAAGAGACAATCTTCAGATTGTGTATCGCCAATGATTTTAGGGTCACTGTCTGTAGCAATGCATACGGGTCCTCGCTGAAGACCTGTTAGCAAGAGACTTGGATATTTGGCCGATGACTACTTACCTTTGTGGCATCCTGAATCGCTCTTGTGCGAACAGGATCCTGCGGCGGCTCAAATCTCAGATCTTTCAGAGGGGGTGCAGCAAATCGCATAGCGAGCCATTCCGAAACACCATTTCCGAGATCCTTGCCTTTGTATTTGCTGTATCCAAGATTGACTGTGGGATCAACTGCCTGCGAAAAGGGCAGAAATAGCGCCGCTAGCAGCAAAAGACGGTATAACGACTCCATAGCTCAAGTATGCAGATACACCCACTGGAACAACAGGCGCGATATCAGTTACTACAAGCACATATATTTACAGCCGGTACCCAGAAGTTGATGCCGTTCGGCCCATTTGCGGCGCTTCTCGTCAGCCTTCGTCAATGAGTTTCAATTATCCGTCCTAGCCTGTCACGAGAGTCAAGGGAGCGGCAGTTAAATTACTGTAAATGGTCAAGGTGCTCAAGACCTGGGGTCTGGGGAGATGGCAGTGTGGGGAAAAGACAGGGATGCCACTGGAGGACAGTCTCCAAATGGGATGGTAACGTCGAATTAGCTCACGGACATTTATCATCATATTGGTCCAATTCCGAACCGAGTGCCGAACTTCCTTGGTTAAGCCAGGGTTGTTTGCCCAAATATCATAGGCTTCGTCATCATAGTTAGCGTGATTGTCGTGAAAAAGAGTGGAAGGGCTTTACCAAGGTTACGGGATATAAGGCGGTAATACGCAAGCAAGAGCCTACTGCCCCGTAGACTTATCCTGCCATTTTCCATTCCCTAATCGATCTTCAATAAGGTTACGTCGGTCTTGTATCAAACAAGTGTCGTTTAGCTAAGAAATCAACTAACGAGTTGGTCTTAGAACGGATTATTAGCAACTTCCTCCAGTAGTACATGGGGTGGGGAGTCGAAACTTGACCCTGAGCTGAACGCAACGCCTGATATGTAAGAATCATTTGACTGCTCCCGACCAGTTTGTTGGCGACAATACACCCGATACAAATTCCTTCACAGCACCTATGGACTGGGATTGGGAATCGGTTCCTGAATACCCCGCCGGCAGGACCTATATATCTTGGGAATGACACCGACTTGGCCAGGAATAGAAGACGCAGAGCTAAGGAAATCGTCGACATGCGGGACTGGCTTCACAAAAGAGAAGAGCAGATGGCAATTTCTCTTATGTAGTCCAACTTGAATGTCGTCGAGGGCCAGGACAAGATCTGGCATGATCCGTTCAAAACAGTGTTCCACGTTCAGTTTCATGTTGCAGAACTACCGGCCAATGTTATCTTCAACCTGCGATGCAACGCCAAACTTGACCGAATGAAGTCTAGTGTCTCGTCATTTCTATCACCCTGGCCATCGGCGGAACCAACAGCGACTCACAGGCCGTCCTAGTCAAGATATGTATATCTTGCCTATTTGCATCTATTCTACTCCTTGGGACGCCTCTCAGACGTTGGACGTTCAATGTTCTAAGGGTTTTCCTCCAAGTTGAATGGAATGATGAACAGTGGCGGCAACATGTTACAATCGACATGTTGGTTATATATGTTGGCATGCTCACTGCTGTTCTCAACCGCGAAGCGAGGGGCATAAAATATATATACATCCCGGTCTACGTACTGGTCGTGGTTTACTCTCCCTTCTCGCGGTAGGTCACTACTTCCGGATCACCTCAGGCCTTTCTACGAGTACATACACGAATTGGCATCCATATCTTTCTGTGACACCAGTCTTGGCATTTGTCGCCTCACGGAACATCTCAGGTCCTGCCCGAAACCGCCCCTCTCGCTCCATAGCCTGGCTAGTTCGTTGCTCTTCAGAAGTCTGGATCCTCCAGTCCCACATCCTTCTCGCAGCTGATGGGTAGGGAATTCTCGCTGTTGACGGCCTATTCGGCGACGGATCACTTCTTGGAGATCACTAGAGAGCACTGGTAATCGCACTACCCATCTTCCTCTGAATTAGACACTCAATTGCAAACTGAACGGCGCACATAGTTAAGCTAATCATTCATGCATGCAAGCCCAAAGTATCAGAAGCTTGGACGACCATCCGATTGACGAAAGTGGTGTTCGAGAAGGCGAATCACAGAGCCCCATAACCAAATCGCATGCATTCTTCGGATAATGTGGATTCTCAACAAGACGACTCCCACGCATGGGCCCCGGCTGCTTTCGATGGAGCAAACAATATCACTGTACGGGATATCGTCCCCGAGGAAATTCCTTCCTTAGTTCCAATCCAGACTAAGATTTAGACGATGGTATACATGATGCTGATACAGGAGGAAGAATATAGTGTTGAATATATAGAAAGCCTTGGTGCTAAGCTATCATGATTGCACATCCATATTTTGCCTGCCGCTTTTGGTTATTGTTGTCACTAATCTTGGCGTTGTCAACCCCTCTGATTCCCCCAATTCGCCCCAATTTACCACTGATAAGCACCCCAGCTAGCGCATTCCCCCGCCCTTTCCGCGGGATGAGTCAAGAAGAAATTTCATTCCCAGGAACGTATGAGCCAATTTTAAACCTTCAACCTTCGCAGAAGGTCGATTGCAGATTCATTCATCATGTCGACTTCAAGATCCTACCCGACACAGGCTCTTGAGCTTGATACCCTCAGCCTCACCCGAGAGGTTGCCACAGGACCGAAAGAACCGAACCCGGTCTTATCTACCGCGGGACGTCGGCTTGGGTCTTACCATGACCACAATGAGGACCTATTCGCTGCAGGAGGCGATGAGGCTGCACCACCAAGGGGAAGTCTAGTGGTTGAGAAGTGGAATGAACCAATTGGAAACGTCCTTCGAGTCGGTGCTATTTTCTGGAGTCTTTTTGTCTCTGGCGCCAACGACGCTGCCTATGGTGCACTCATCCCTTATCTCGAGACCTACTACGACCTGTCTTACCTTGTCGTGTCGCTCATTTTCCTCTCGCCCTTTGTTGGCTTCATCGTTTCAGCTGCTATCAACAACTATCTCCACATGAGAATTGGCCAGAGATGGATCGCTTTCATGTGTGGCGCATCGCATGCAGCGACATACTTGATCTTGTCTCAGCACCCGCCTTATCCTGTACTGGTATTGGCCTATGTCCTCGCCGGTCTGGGCAACGGCATCGGGCTTGCGGCGTGGAATTCATACATTGGAAACCTTGCCAGATCCAATGAGCTGCTCGGTTTCATGCACGCAAGTTATGGTCTTGGTGGCACTGTAAGTCCTCTGATCGCGACCAGCATGATTACTCGCGCCGGCCTCAGCTGGTACCACTTCTACTATGTGCTTGTAAGTCTTGTCTAACTCACATACTCGATGGATCATCACTTATCTTTCATCCAGATGGGGTTCGCTCTCCTTGAGACTGCCACTCTCACATTCGCGTTCTGGCCCAAGACAGCTCAGAAATACCGCGAGACTGTCCATGTCGAGGGCACCCGCAACGAAGGAACACGATCTGCCCTCTTCGTCATGCCCCATGCTCGAGTTGTCTGGCTGTGCGCGGTATTCCTCCTCGGCTATGTCGGTGTCGAAGTGGCTCTAGGCGGCTGGGTTGTGCAATTCATGTTGCGCGTTCGTAACGCAGACCCTTTTGACGCGGGAATGACAGCTGTGGGTTTCTGGCTAGGCATTACTGTAGGAAGAATGGTCCTGGGGATGGTGATTCCCAAGATTGGTGTCAAGCTCTCCCTCTTGATCTTCATTCCCATTACTATGGGCTTGCAACTCATCTTCTGGCTAGTACCCCAGTTTCATGTCTCGGCTGTGGCGGTTGCTCTGCAAGGCTTCTTCTTGGGACCGATGTTCCCCTGTGTCATCGTCGCGTTGACAATGCTCCTGCCGCGACATCTTCACGTCAGCGCGATCGGGTTCGCTGCGGCGTTTGGAGGAAGTGGTGCGGCTGTGCTGCCTTTTGCAGTTGGCGCAATCGCACAAGCCAAGGGAGTGCAAGTTCTTCAGCCAATCATTCTCGCTATTTTGGTCGTCTTGTTCGTCATCTGGCTTGGTATACCTAAGATTGAAAAGAGGAAGGATTGATAAAAGTCTTTGTTCTTGGTAAAAGATACCAGTCTTGAACATTCAGTACTGTGTGATTACCCTTGGTTAACAAATACTGCGCGATGCCAAGAGCTAGTTGCTGTTTTCTCTTGCTTTCCGCTTGTTTGTTCACATTGCAAAAAGAAGCCTGTACGAACAGAAGAGTATCACTTAATATGGTCCTTCGTTTTATATTCGAAAAAGACTACCGTCATTGGGTGAGTTGAATAGGGCTTCTTAAGCTTCATGTCGTTCTCTGCAAAACTTGATTTTAACTAGAATCTACCCATTCCTGCCTATATTGATAAAAGTAAGAACAAAGATAGACAAGATATATACAATTTAGAAAACTTTTACACAAGATTGAACAATATCATATAAGTTTAGGAAATATGTCCATAAATTTTACAATCTATTGAAATTTGTGAAAACTCATGTTTGACGCTGAAGTTGAAGATTTGTTTTACGACCTCTCAATCTGGATCATACTGACCCGACTGTAGCGATCTCGACACACTCACGTTTGACACTCTCGACTATGGTTGACTTTCAATCTTTATTTATATATGGTTGTAATTCACAGCCTGGTGTCATTTCCAGCGATGATTCACTATCCTTCATCGACGCTTCGAGGTCGGCTTCCGTGAAAGAGAATAGCTTGATTGTGTTTTTCGCTTGTTCAAATAGCAGTGATTCACCGTCCTCTTCGCTGGAGAAAGCGAATTGAACTGCTTGATCCACGGCTTTGAGCAGGCAATCCTCAGTAAGCTGCGCTGACGATGAATAGTTGTAATAATAATTCTTAGGCTTGTTTGCAATAGTGCCGATGATGAGGGCGGCATCGTTATACTTGACAAGCTCCTTGGATTTGTAAATTTGCTTGCGGTTGTAGCACCACCAAACCAACTCCTTCCACTCAGGGCTCGGCCAGAAGACGCGCTGAACTTTGCCTGGGGGCATGTTTTCGATGACAATATTGCGGACTGCAATTCGAATCACGACCACTGAACCACCATTGGCGCGTCTCTTGATCCAAGCAGCGTTTCTCCTGGCCACCTCGAAGCTGTTGGTAAAGTAGTACATAGTTCTACTTCTACTAAAATCGGTTTCTGGAATGGAATCCAGTACCGGGATATGGTCCAGGTTGCCTTGATTGTCGAACAAGCGGTTGGTTCGTCCCTGATCCACAGCTCTATACAGTACGGTCATACCCGGTGCACTCTGAGAGGCAATAGCCTCAGGAGAGTTACAGCTGATGATTGGGATGCTTTGCCCGCCGGGATCCGAAGGGCCTGATTCACTGTGGCTGGAGTTGGCACAGTGAATCATCCTCTATTGTGCATTTGATGCCTCGTGAATCACTTCCAAATACGCGTAGCGCATCTTAATGGTGTCGCGGACCCAACCAGTACAAGTACCCGACAGTCGAGCGGACTTGAAACGCTTGTCCATGATTGCGTCCTGTAATTCGGTGGCAATACCCCAGGTTTGCAAACAGTTCAACCAAGCTGCTGTATCATCTTCCCAGACATTGTTTGCGTAGCTGGCGTGGCCCTTCACCCAGTCCAGGAACGACACCTCCAAACCGCCATCGCCGGGATCAATCTCGCGACGAGGTGGACTTGCAGGCCAGTTGTTCCAGCCGTCCCAGATCTTGGTAGCTTTCTCGTTGTTGAAACCAAGGTACACGATGGTAGCTTTGGAAAATAGCTGGTCTGGAATTTCAGCAGGTCCTTCGCCTGTGGACTGAGTCGCATCTGTTGGCGCGAACATATCCATAATGAATGAAGAGAGCGCTTATATTCGGTAGATCGACTGAGAATGATAGGCAGGAAATGTGCTGAGGTCTTTTAATGCTTGGGTGGAGATATGGCCGATAGCTTATTATCACACAGTCCGGCAAGAAGGAAAAGATGCGGAATGGATAGATTAGGTACGTGGTTAGAATTAAAAATGGTTCCAAATATATAGGGTTTCTCGTGCTTGGCTTTTGGCTCAGAAGAATAACAGAAGGTTATTCTTCACAAGAGAGAAGATTCCTGGCTGTCCTAGACATGAGGTGGGCAGCATTGATTTGCTCAACAGGTGACATAAACTTTTCAAAAACTCACATGTAAAGCTTAATTTTATATAAGGCCTTCCAATTACTTAGAACATGTATGGCTAAGTTTATACAAGAGCCTATTTTGTAACATAAACTTGGCATAAAATCATCTAAGTCTCGCCTAGCCAGAGTGATATTATGTGTATGATACCTAAGAACAAGTTGCGCTTTATGGTGAGCCTTTTGCCCAATTCGATGACCAAGTATGAATTCAAGATACGTATGGTATCTTTAGCGTAAAGTAAAATAAAGAAACCCGCACAGCGGCACATGGATGTGCTTTTGGGTTCAGCCTCAACACTTTTGTGCAGTTTGATAAGGTTCTGAGTCATATCAAGGGGCGAAGTTGTCCTGTAAGATGAGCCTCCTGTTTTATCTATGACTCATGTTATTTGAACTTCTTAAAGCCTTCAGAGACCTTCATAATTCTTTCTTGACTTCGAGGTATCTACAATATACGAGCCGTCAAGTCACAGTCTTGCCTTCGGGACAATGTGGCTAGCGATTTAAGTAAGTAGTCGCGGTTTTCTGTCTCGTGATATGGACTATCTACTCTCCGTCAAAACACAAAAGACTCTGAACCCAGATGCGTCCGAAGCCAGCCTGTCGTAGCTTCTCCCGCCCACGATGAAACGGAAATTCAGCAACGACCATGACACGGATGTCTTCTACCTCGACCCCGGCTTTGGTCAACAACTGCAGTACTGCAACAAGCGTTTCGCCTGTCGCAAGCACATCATCAATAACCACTACCGAAGCACCTCTGCGAAGCGCATTGGCATCCATCTCGAATGTGCTGCAGCAAGCACTATTGGAGGTGTGAGATGAGATGTGTGATATCTGCTTGACTACAGAGACTGTTGGAGGGGGAAGCTTGTTCGCCTCACGGATGGCGATCAGTCGAATATCTAACGAGATTGCCATGGCAGAGGCAAAGATAAATCCACCAGCTTCACAGCCAACCACTGCATCGACTTTGCGCAAGTCACTGGGACATAGGCTCCGAATGAGAGATACGCACAAGTCAAGTCCTCCATTTTGTTGGCAGATGTTGAGCACATGACGAAACTCGATTCCTTGTCGTGGGAAGTCTGGAACTGAACGGATCATGCCAAGCAACTTTTGAAGATCCTCGCTCAAAAGAGGAAGAAGACGCTTAAGAACAAACCCTCTGATCATACTATGCCCTGTTTCTTCGTTCTTGAAAGTAAACCTTGGTCGATAGTTAGAGGTGGCGGCCTTCGACTTGCTACCACGAGCCTTCTCGTGGTAGGCAGGACCATGACTCTCGTGGCGCCCCCTACGTAGGGATCGAGTTGCCGGACTAGCCTCGACGTAAACATCAATAAGTCTGGCGTCTTGAATCAAGGGCGAAAAGGTGGCCACTGGCGCTTCATCTCGCATCCCAGTGATGAACAGAACATCCACATCAGCGCTTTGAACGACGTTGATGAAATTTTCTTCTGCTAGGCGTGGCCGTTTTTGCAGTAGATCCTGGTAGAACTTCGTCAATGCTTCGCGGTGCTCCTCTTTGTATACACGGTCCCCGAGAAGACGGCCCAGATCGGCTCCCGTAGCTGCGGCGTATTCACGCTTGGTCGCATCACTGATGCTGACGACAAGGCTGCTATGACCGTTTGTTTTGAGTACTGAAGCCCATATCTTGGCGCAATAGTCTTTCCCAGCACCATGCTCTCCAGTGACAAGAACGACTAGCTTCTGTGGCAGAAGTGACTGTCTCAGAGGACAAGCGTAAGCTAGTACGTTGTGAGGATCAAAGGCCTGCTTGAGTTTGACCAGCCGCCGGCGATTGGGCCCAAAGGCTCTAGTCGCAAGTGCCTCATCTCGAGGGTCAGGTCCAAGATCTGCGCTGTAAACACCCTGGCTCATGGGTAACAAATCTGTAATGACTTGGTACACCCAGCGAACAATGCTTTGAATAACTGCTATGTCATCTTGATGGCAAGACCAGACGCCAGTTATTACACAAGCAAATTTCCAGTCTCGGCAGCCAAAAGCAGTTGCATCAGGTGTAATATCACTAACTGCTCCGCCACCGTGTAGCAGATGGAAATAACACAACGGTGAGGGACGTTCTTGGATAGCAGCTATCAGCACACTGATGGCATCAGTCATAGCAGAATCCTTGAGGAAAACGCATCTCTTGAAAGAACACGTTTTGCCACCACCGTGACCACCATGCATTCCGGACATGTACATCTCAGTATCAAACAATCCGACAGCATCCACAATCTTCGAGCTCTTCTGCTGGCCGATAACCCCATGCACAAACTCATTGATGAGAGGGAGCGCTTTCAGATTAACTTCGCCTGTTGAGTATCGAAGCAAAGTCACTCCCAGATGAAGCTTGCCACCATCGCAGTAGAGGTATACATCTGCGGATGAGTCTTTTGGAAGTATCGCTATGAGACTATCCAAGTCCTCGAGCACCTGCTTTGCATGACGCTTGTCTTTTAGAGGGATGACCCAATCACGAACCGAGAACAATTGAGCCGGAAAGGCTTGGAAGATGACGCTAATGACAATTCCGAAATTTGTCCCAGCACCTTTGAGGGCCCAAAGAAGATCGTCCTCATTTTCTGGACGAATTGCATCAGACGGCCGATGTTGGTTGGGGACGTTGCCAACATACAAGACTTGACCAGAAACGACACTGACCACTACGGCTCCGACGATGGCATCGCATCCCAGTCCATAAAGTCTTGCCAGATGCCCAATGCCACCTTGAAGCCAAAGTCCAGCGCCAACGCTTGGCCGAGCTCCCAGAGGGACTGTCAAGCCTGCTGCCATGGTCTGTCGGATGATATCTCCAGTCTTACAGCCGGCCCCAGACACCACGAGCGTTTCGGAACCCTCAGCTCTGGTATCATTATTGACGATGTGAATCTGGTCGAAGGCACCCATATCGACTGATACAACATTAGGCCAGCGGCAATGGGCACTGTGCCCCCCACCAACAACAGTCAAGCCAACATTATTCTTCAAGGCCCATTGAACACATCGCTGAACCTGCGCAGTGCTTGTTGGCTTGACAACCGCGGCTGGGTTACGAGACTGTGCCTCCTTGTTCTTGACTTTATAGTCTCCTGTTACCAGGGGCACCTGTGAGGCCAATTCAGGCAGGCTGGTTGAATATCTAGTGAAGGTCATCATGACTTCAGGCGAATCGAAGATCAACTGGCGTGGGTGCTGTTCGTCACGGCGGCCCATGGCACGGCAGACTCTCCGCCACTCAGTCAGGACATTCTCATGCTCATCTTTATGTTGTAGTGCACATCCAGCAATGAAAGATGCGAACTTATCGAGAGCACTGTCGTTGTCTTTGATGCGAAACACACCATCAGGAAGGTAGGCCGATCGATGACAGACTAGGGTGTCGAGATGTAAAGAATCATTTCGATGGAGCACAATGACCAGTCCATCGTATGGCTTCTCGACAAGCAAGCTGAGTGCGTTTTTGACGAGTCCTACTTGGGAGGCCATTCCATACAAGCTGTGGCAGAAGAGGATGATATTGTATGTCCCGTCTGTGCGAGTGTCAGGTCCGAAAGGCTTCTGATGAACCACCGTCGCCTTTGACGAGGGGAAGGGAGCTTCCTCGGCCGTGGATAGCCATTCTCCCAGCTGCTCGCAAAACAAACTGTTCGGTTCAAACGCAGTGTATTTGGTGATTCTCTGTCGCAAAGAGCCAGGGACGTAAGCAAGGACGCTCTTGGGGCCTGGTCCAATCTCAAGCACTGAGATCTGGTTACACGTTGTGCTTAGATCGACAAGTTGTTGAGATAATTGAGGGATGGTGAATTGTTCGTACGTCTCCCACCCTAGATACTGCAGAAATAGATCAAATCCTTCGCTGTACTGTATTTCGGACAAGGGCTTTATAGAGGCCTCGTTGGGAACTTTCTCCCTGAGAGCCGTCTTCAAAACATTGAGACTCGCCATTTTGGATACTTGTGAGGCTACGAGACGGGGGAAAGTTGACCGCAGGGAAAACAGTGACAACTAGATTCTTCGTTTTGATATTCCCTGATCAGAGGAAATGTAAACCATGTTACTTCTGCCAGTCTGACTTCATTTTTGCGGGGTGGGCCTCCTTGTGTAACCATACTTGTCTGTTTGTTTTCGCCTCTTCCTCACCGAAACCGGGAATGACCATGTCCATTGGCAGATTAGACGAGCCAACGAGATTTTCAACGGATAGAAGGGAAGACAACATAGCTTGTGGTTCTGATTGGTAATATACACGTTTGATCCATGCCATATGGCTTGTTGCAGTTTGTGTAGCTCACAGGGTCAGCTTCCGCACGACTACTCCGCAGCGGTGTGAGAATGACGGTGTTTGCATGTTGATTTATCCACTCTAGTATGAGTAAATGAACCAAAAGCAGAACTCCGATGATCGACGTTCATCTGGAGGCAAATGGTATAAAGTTGCAAAAAAGAAAGCCTCGCAAACGCTCGCAATCGAATTTATAGGAACAGCCCGATGCGGGGGTCGAACCCGCAACCTTGAGATCGCGTACTCGTAAGAGTCTCACGCTCTACCGATTGAGCTAACCGGGCGTGGCTCTTAATTAATGATAAGCAAGCGCATCATTTTGTCTTATGAACATTGTAATCCACTGTATCGTATTATGCAACGTTGTGAAATGCATAAGATGATCATCTTGAAAGTGATCATCAATTACCGTATCGATATCAGAGATTCCATTCCACAGATGGATGAGAAATGTCCTTCATCTAGGATTGCCTGTGGATGATATGACAGGCTGATTCATATAAGAGCGAGGCCAGTAGAAAAAATGCACTTCTCCATCTTTTGTATCCCACTGAGGAGTCGGAGTCAGGACACAGTGGCATTTAGGCATTGAAAGCATTGGAGCGCTAGCAGTGGATGCCCCTGAAAATGAGGGAGAATAGTGGGGAAGCTGACAGCCAATCTTACGCGAGACACGCGCGAAAAAGACGCGACCTTGTAGTTTGGTGAAGAGACTTTGAACCTACTCGAAATATTCCTGGGCAACGAATTGTTTTTCGTGACATTACACCTGAGCCTGTTTTCACAGATCGTGGTTATCTAGTGACATAAAACAAAACGTCTAGAATATGAGATAGAGCAACAAACTATTAGACTTCTATTATCAGGGCAGTTTCATTACTGAACCTCCAATTCACGGCAAAGGAGTCATGAATCCAATTCTTGTCCAGGGTAGTATATAATACATTCACTCGCTACCTATGACGCAATCTACATGCTTCAACATAGTATCCATATTTGTCCTTGATTCGTTCAAAATGAGAGTCCCTGCGCTCTAGGTGTTAGTGGAGATTGCGAACTAATTCAGCGTCTTCTCCCCATCAGATCTTCCAGAAACTCCTCCAGAAGATCCTCTCTCCACAGGCTGTAGTGAGTCTCCCCTGGATATTCCTTGTACACTGACTTTGGCAGCCTCTCCGCCATGTAGCGCCCCATCTCGGGCGATGTATTCTCATCAGCCGACCCATACCACAATCTGATACCCTCGTAGTCAATGTCCTCAATCTGGAAGCCCCATGGCTCAGTGATTAGCTTCATGTCCATTCCATGGCCTGCTCCGCCTTGGGCGTAGACTTGTCTGAACACCTTGACTGCCGACTGCAAGGCATCTGGTTTCGCAAGAACCTCTCGATCTGCCGGCTGGAAGCCTTTAAGCTGCTCCTTCCACACAGCCTCCATCTTGCTCGGGTCGGGATCTTGTGCTGCTGCTTGGAAAATGCTTTCCAAATATTTGACGAATTCTTGGTTCTGGCTTTTCCATATCATCATAAGCTGTCTCATTGTGTCGTTCTGCCCCGCGGGTCCAGCCTCCCATGGCCCAACACCCGCGCATATCCCTACCGCCAGTAGAGCGTCTCTTGGTAGCGCTTGGGCGCAAGCAATGGTATATCCGGTGCCCCCACTGGTTCCGATGACGCGATAACGGTCGAGTTCCATGTGTTCTACCAATGATCGCAGGTCGGCCGGATAATCTAAGACATTCCGATTGGGTTGATACGTGGAATGCCCGATGCCGGGACGATCTGGTGCGATCCACCGAACCCCAAGTCGTTTCGCAAGAGGATCTTCAAAGCCAGAAAGTGTCACTCCAGAGTCGGGACTCCCATGGAGGTAGATGACTGGTAACCCCCTAGGATCGCCATATTCATGATGACCGAGATGGCGGCCATCTGGAAGGTCGATGACATTTCCTACCGCTGTCGACAAAAACCTGCACTGCTTTGACCGAAAGCTCAGCGAAGACCTCGCGGTTTGGAGAGTAAGAACTTTGATGCTGATAGGAATTTGTATGATCGTAGCCGAAGAGGACTGACGCGAACACGCACGAATGAGAGCAAAATTCATTGTCTCACTGTTGAGTGTGTAGAATAGATGTAGTTGTCTACGTTGAGGATGCGAGATCTGCGTATGGCAAGAAGTGGTGACCGGACAGTAAAAGGGGACAACCGACGCGCATTTGAGTAATTCGTGCAACAGTGTAAGCCGGGTGAATCCGCGATTGAGTGTTCGAGATACTCAGGATTGGCAGTCATAGTTTGGAATTTGGGACAATCATCTGGGTTTGGAACGTCACGAAGTAAGCTCATGTGATCAAACATGGTGTTTACAAAATTATGTCCGAGCGCTCCGTCAATACAAACCAGGAATGGTTTGGTGTGACGTCTACAAATTCGTGTCTGATTGGAGGTAAGATCCTCAAAAGGATTGCGAGAGCCAACCACCACCAAGGAAGGACATAGCTCGCTGCGCCTCGGGAGTTGAATGATTGTTTACCCGATGATCGTCGTTTTGGAATTGAACGTGGGCGCGAGGCGATCAGCCGCTTTTGGCCAAGATGTTCTCTCGTGTCACTGTACAATAATGAAGGAACTACTGCTTTAGATCAAAAGGAATTCCAGGGACTACACGAGTTGATCTGAGCTACCATCCATACTAAAGCTTGTGGATAATATCAATAAATGACAAATGTTAAGTATTAAGTTGATGAGGAAATTGCAGAATTAGAGAAAGAGAGAAGTCATAAAATCTCAAACATCGATGCCGTGGACAAATGAAAGTTCAAGACTCCTAGCAAATCACTCTGCTGTGACATTCTTAAGTTCCTCTACATCAAAATGCGAGACCACACTTGACAACGGATTGGAGCCATCAGAAGCTCCCATGTTCTGGAGATGCTTATCCCGACTAATCATTCCCATCAGAGCATGCCAGTCTGACGTATTCTTGTCCATGTAAGGAGGAAGGCCGACGAAAGGATTTCCACTTTCTGTGCCCTCAAGGATCTTCTTGGCATGCTGTAGCTCAGGAACTAGAGGAACATTGGTGCCCATCCAAGCGTGTAGGCCGTGCACAACACTCTCGAGAGCTCCCACGACCCATGCGTGATGAGGACTGGCGGCCTCACCAACAATGACGACATCGCCGGAGGGTTGAATGATCCTGTTCCACATCGAGCTGAACTGCTGGGGTCTGAAGAATGCAAAAGCACCCGCAGTGTTGGCATCTTCGGACCAGTCATAGGCATGATGATCGAGATAACTGTTCTTGATAAGTTTATACAGTTCCTCTTCATTAATCTGGTTGTTTCTGTGCAGGATAGCCAGATCACGAATGAGCAGCTCTTTTAATGCTGCTTCATCAGCAACCTTGTGGCTATGGTTCGTGTTGGTCGACATGAGAGATCCAATGCGATCGGAATCTTGCTGCCAAGTGTAGGAGCACAGCAGTACAGCCGTCTTGGAAGAGTCATCGTAGATGTTATACGATGGGTAAACGCAAGTTCGAAGTGACAGATCGGAGTGGCCCAGACCTGCCTCCTGAATGTTAAAATCCTTCAGGTCATGGATCCACCAGGCGCGGCTGAACTTGATAGCCACCTTGCATGATGTACCGTACCCCAAGGAGCGAATGGCCTGCTTGACTGGGTACCTCAATCCTGCATGACGTGTATCGATACGTCCAAGACACCCGAGGGTAGTGGAAGACAGAACAGCATCGTATGTGAGGACTTCAGTGTTCTGTTGAGTCCTGACATCGAGCTCCACTTTCATCTTGTCAACAGCCTTGATGGAGACAACAGGGGAGTGATACTTGGGCTTATGGATAACCTTTTCTTCCATCTTCTTGGCGAGTTGTTGAGCGCCTCCAAGGACACAGTACCACTTGGTGTCCTCCGAAAATTCGAAGTCAAGGGACTCGAGAACAGTCTCACTATGAGCCTGGTCATACCAGTCTGTTCCTCTGGAGAATATTAGATGACCCTCAAAAATGTCTCACAGAATCAAGGAGTCTTACCCGTTGAATGTTTCGAGCCACTCGATGGTCTCATAGTTGTATGGAGGCGCGGGGATATCTTTGGGTTTCTTTTTATGCGCACTGATGAACATAAGCACCTGTACAAAACGGTAGTGAGGATCTGGAGGACTCACATTGAAAGAAACTGACGAGTACTATATGTATCGTACTCCATCAACATCTTCCAACCTTCCTCTCCCGGAGGACTCTGTTCAACATCCTTGATCAGCTGTTCGCGGAGAGGACGAATATTAGCCTTCATGACGTTATCAGGTCCGTCCCTGAGTAGCCTGGGAGAAAGAAGAATGTGTTAGCAATTAGATCCGAGGTGTATTTGAAGAATACATACTCAGGACTGATACGTTTATCTGCGTCGATGTTGAATGGATCTACCGTATCAGCAGCTGTTTGAACATCTTTGTATGTCGAACCCCAAACAGTGACGTTGTTAAAACACCAAGGGTTTGTAGATGAAGCACTGGGTTGCATGATGTAAGGAATCAAGGACCCATCAGGCGCGTCAGGGTTGGCCTTGAAGTCAGTCTTTTCCATGCCCAGCTTAGAGAAGAGATCAAATGTGCTACTGATCATTAATAAAATAAAGGTTCGTTGTGCACGAGAGCGACTCACCGTCCCATGACAGGGTTGTCAGGAAACCGCATCGCCCCGACATCGTAATAATCATGGAAATCACGACGACCACCAAAGTTGTAAGTAAACAGTCGACCTCCAACTCTGTCCGGTCCAGCAGCCTCATGGATGTCATACTCAAATTTGAGCGGGACAGCCTGGTTGTGTAGCCGACCGTTGAGGTAGTCCAATACGAGACCAGTAAACAGACCAGCTGCGCCAGCACCTACGATACCTATCTTGATGACTCTGGGCTCCTTGGATCCATGGTCATGGGGAGCAGGGGATTTGCGAGGGGCGGGGGCACGAGGAAGCTTGTTTCCTTCAGGGATAAGTGGGAGGGGGGTTTCAGAAGAGTCTTGCTCTCGCTGGACGATGCGGTTCCAATCTTGCTGGACGGCTCGAACAATGTGCTGGCGAGCCCATTGGTTCCGAATAGAAAGATCGGAGTTCAGATCAAGGCGATACATGATGAGATGGGTAAATAAGCAAGTGATGGAGAATGACGATGGTTTGAACAAACGACTATCTCCGGGTGGGAAGATGAATTAGCTTTATGTACGGGCATGTATGATCGGCTCAACTACTATTCCCCTTCCTCCTTCGAAGCATTGCCAGCTCACATTCCTTAGACCCCAGCTGCCTTCAGGATATTTCGAAGGGCCTTGAGGTAAAATGAAGTGTTGCAAAAAGTGATTTGAGAGGCGTTACCGTCACATTCTAGCACATTCTCAGCTCCACGTGGAGAGACATCTTGGCAATGCCTATGGTCACACTGGGTAACCTTTCTCCAGTTACCACCCAACGGGGTGTGTGGCTCGGTAACTTCCTTCTACGAATGCAAGATGAACATATCATGCCATAGTTCTGATCTTAGATCAAATATGAGGGTGAAATTCTAATTCGAATAGTTCACTACGGTAGCTCTGATCTTTTGATTTTGGCTGTTGATGGAATGTGACTACGGGCCGTGGTAGACACGGCACGAACGAAGATGCGGGGGTGGGACCAGCCTCCAGAATTCGATTTTAAGACTGGATTGTTGATAGAGACGATGCTGGTATTTGCGCCGTATGTTTTCTTGAGGCTGTTTGGCCAATTCGATCAACCTTGTAAGACAAGGTTTCTGTCACTTTGGCTCCACCAGGTTCATCATTAGTCTGCGCCCTGTTTATATGTTCAGTACAGTGGCAGGTGGGTTGTAATTTAATCCGCACACCAAGCGAGGCTGACAGAAAGACTTAGTCTAAGTTTGACATAAGAGCGACGCATAAATTTTGTCAACATTCATGTCTCAAGGTGCTTCAAGTGCTATGGTGTGCGAATTATATATTGCGACCCACCTGAGTGGGTGTGCAGAAATTCCGACGTTTTCCTCTCTTCTATAGCTTATATAAATTATATATATAAGTTATCATAAACCTTTCTACTCTAAGTAGTAGTATTGAATCTTACGATGAGATTATAGGGAGAATATTCTAATTCAATATATTCATATTACTATGTACATTCCTATATTCGTTCGTTATATGAATCCTTGCTTGAGACTGTAGGTTTCAAAGAAAAATGTTCAAGCGATCTTATCCATCAGACAATTCCAAAACTGAAATGGGAAAGAATGTTTTTCACTCTTAGCACAAAGTGGCGGCAATGGTCACATCGAAAGCTCAGGACTCATGCAAGCAGCCAGTATGCAGTGTTCTAGCGATTAAATGACTCACTTATCTGATTTCTCCGAACAACTCAGAGGAAATGTATGTTACACTAAATCCTAGATGAACATTAACCAATATGTTATGGAACAAGGAAATATTTCAGAATGAGAAAAATATGTATTAATGTTGAGTCTGGTAGCGCCTTTGAGAAAAAGATACAATCGATCCCTACACAGAGGAAAAGATCTATTTTGAACTTCAAACCTATCCTTACTCAATTGTCAAATCCCCAATGCGCCCACATGAAAATACAGCCAAACAAAGTAACCCCGTACAATCTTATAAACGAATTCTAGTTCGCCACAAGAACCTGCGATAGCTTGTGGCGGGACGTTGGAGCTAATGTTCCAACGGTAACGTGGGGCCAGCTAAGGCCATTGAAGTCCAGGAATACGGTCTGCGAATACTGGATCTGGGTGTACTCAACAGTCACTGTCTTGGCAGCTGGAATGTTAATGTCGACGAGGAACTTTGGTACAGCGTCTCTAGGACCGTGAGAAGCAGGAGACACGGTGTGTTTCTTGTCAACACTGACATCAACAGCTGGGAGGTCAACCTTGGTTCGGATCTTGGAGAGCCAGTACTGGGCAGTGACCTTGATGGCATTCGCGTTACCGCTTCGGCCTTGTACCGAAGCGGTCTTAAAACCTCCGTCAGCACCGACAAGGAAGCCGATGTTGCTTGTTCCGCCGCCCAGGTCAGGGTTTGCGGGGCTAGAGGACACTGAAAAGGTAGTGTTTTCAATAATGTTCTTGCCATTGTTGGCGTTTCGAAGCACAGTGTTTGGATCAGTCAAGATGGGTTGTGTGATAGTCCCGGCCTTGATAAAGGTCGTAAGATCTTGAGGAAGGCGATGGGTCCTGACATCGGTCGCATTCTGGCTTCTAAAGGGTGCCTTCTGCGTGCTGCCAGCGACAAGGGGGGTGATGTCAACCGAAGGAATGTTGGGTGCACCCTTTGAAGTGACAGTCGGCTGGAAAGACTGCACGTTGATGGATGTGCCGTGAGGAATAGAAGCCATACGAGAGAGAGAGGCTGCTAGGACAGGCATCTGCTGGCTGGCCGGAACGTGCATCCAGAGGCCAGGCTCGAAGTGAATGACAGGCTGCTGCTTGCCAGGGGCCACGATCTCTGTGATGTCGGCGATCGTCTGAGTGTACGGTACACCGTTCAGAAAAAGATCAGCCTGGGTATCCAGACCGCGGTTGGGAACATCTGTGAGCCCTTTACTAAAGGCCATAGACTCGCTAGTAAGGTTGAGCTGAAGGATGTTGTCATCTGGATCTTCCGATGGGGGAAGATTAGGAAGATTGGTTGGAGTAGTGGTGCCATTGGGCCTGAATATGGTGTTGAAGCCGAAGCCGCTGTATGTTCCGGTGAATTTTGCTAGAACACCGAGCTGCGACATGGCGATGTCGCCGCCGGTGGTTTGAACGCTGGAGAAGCCATTGAGCTGGATCAGGTTCTCATTGTCCTCTGGCTGGTCAGGGTCAAGCACAGTAGGACCGAACTTGAAGTCGTCGCCCAAATCCATGGGGACGGCCGGGGCAGTTGGGAGGGCCATGACGGGTAGTATTGTGATGCTCTGAGTAATCTTAGAGGGGAGAAATCTGAAGAAACGGAGATGATTGTAAGATGGACTGGATGCTGACGATGATATATATTTATCATAACCTATAACAGCACCCTAGCTATTCTGATCGGCTATCAACACAGGTTACTGTTCTTCCATCCGTGAACGGGCTTAGTGCGCAAATGATACGCCCGCCATCGTCAGACGATTTCGTTGTACTGTGAGTGGACGTAAGCGATCGCTAGTACGAAGTAAGCACAAAAGGGTTCGGCAAATGTGATGTTCTCTCCAAAAGCATCCTTCAACCTTGTTTTCATTTCGACCAGGTTTGCATGCCAAAGATATCCAGTGAACGCTGCCGGGCCGGACCTAGCCCCCAAAGATCAATCAATGGAGAATAGCGCCTCATAGCTGAAACTCAATGTGGCTGACGAATTTGGAATGATGCATCTGGTATCTTACAGCCTGGATCCGATACAGGGTCTGGACCGGTAGAGGCGGCAGCCCTACAATCCCAACAAATGCATGCGGGTGCGACATTGGGCAAAGCTGAACTTTTGTGGCTGAAGCTATTGGGGAACTACTCGTCGGATACGGGGGCTTTGAACCCTTCAATCGTAATCTTAGCGCCGTGGCCTCCCTTGCATCAGGGCTGAGGAGAGGGGACGGGTGATTTGTGCCGTGCACCCGCATCGTTGAGTTGAGCGGCCTGTCATTCCGCCTTTCCAAACGCTGAAACTGTATCACATATGACGAATAGTCGGACAGACAACTTTTTGTAGACTTGCATGCTCTATCCATCGCCTGGCAGAGCGTACCGAATATACTCGATGGACCTCCACTACTGGCCACATAATGCAACAGACTTTCTGGGGGGCATCAGATGGGTTTGAAGCTGAGGGGTGGAGAAAGTTCAATAATGTGTTGTTTTAGTTCATACCAAAATGGACTAAGTATTTCCAAACTGCCATGGCTATCTGCTACCCTAAGAACTGCTATCGTCTTCTCAAATCGCTGTGCGAACTCTCTAAGACTTCCCCTCATTCCCCATCAGCCCCAAAGCTTAACGCAGCACCAACTCCTTTAATGCCTCCGGCAGTGTACGAATGGAAATCTCACGACGATCCCGTCCCGTAACCAAGGGCTTCACACCAATAGTGGGATTTATTTTCAGCCTCGCTGCAGCCTAGACCGTTGTGGCCAATGTGAATACCCAATGGCTCGCATGATGCAAGCCATCTCAACACGAGCCTCCGCAAACAGTCTGGAACTGTCTCTTCCACCTACCTGAACCTTCCGCGAAAGCCCGGAGGTCGGGGTTCATTCAGTTGAAACATGTCATCGCTTTTGGCCAAAGGTGGCTGGCTGAACATACTTTCAAAGCAAAGGGCCATAGGTGATTGGCTAGATAAGTTACCTGTACTACGTTCACCGTCTTACACATGTTTTCATACACTTTCAGTCTTACGTGTACTTGTGAATTACAGTCAGAGTATCACATGCCGTTTCACACAAACTTTCCGCCTTTCTCACTGTTTCTCGGACAGCGCAGTCCTGGATTGGTGGGATACCTTGTGGCCCGAAGAACATGTCATGATTGGCGCGTAGTCTCATAACACGTCTCTGGGTATCGTCCTCAACTGCATTCCCGACCATTGCAGCCACAACGTATGTCTCAACTTTATGGTAGCATGAAAGACCCAGGCCGGAAGTATGGTAGCACAATTCATTCACACATGTGTCCACATTTATGGGAGCCATTGGCTAGCTCACGCCAACGGCTGAATAGCTTTCACCGCTGGGCTAAGCGGGGACCAGAAATATAAGAAGCAACAGAAGCTCACGTATGTCAACTGCTCATGTAAGGAACCACGGGCTCAAACTCTTCAGCTCTTTAAAGCTCTGTAACTTGGCAACCCACCTCTCTCTGTATGAACTGAACAGATCGCACAAGTAGCAAGACACATTTCAGCATCATGTTCAAAATCAAAGACTTCCAAGGGATGCAATACTCCCGCGATGGTCCCTCTATCGGAAAACAGGACTATGACTATTTCAACCAGCAATATGCCACCACATCTTACCAGCAAGAGCATAACATGAACCCGGCTCTCATAGTTCAACCTAAGGAAGATGACGACGTTATCAACGCTGTGAAATGGGCGAAAGATAACGGGGTTGCTGTAGCTGTCCGTTCCGGTGGTCACCAATACAGTACATCAGCCCAAGCCAACTCTCGAGACGCTATGCTAACGGGTTTATAGGTGGTGCTTCCTCCACTGGTGGTAAGAACATCCAGATTGACCTAACCAACACGTATAAGGACATGATGGTCCTGGATGAGGATGGTGTAGCCGCAGATAGAGCATTGGTGTACGCTGGCGTAAGCAACAGACTTCAAGACTTCAACGACTACCTCCGCCACAATAGCTTGTTTGTGCCTCATGGACAATGTGCCTACGTTTGCACTGGTGGCCATGGTCAAACTGGTGGTTACGGTCAACTTGGTCGCAGCTTTGGTCTGTTCGGCGACCATATCGTCAAGATTCGCCTGGTCGACTACAACGGTACCATCCAGAATGTCACCAAGAAGAGTGACCCTGAGCTCTTCTGGGCCATTACCGGTGGCAGTCCAGGAAACTTCGGTATCATCACCCACTACACCCTGGAGGTATATCGTGCCTCAAGCTACGTGGGAACAGTTGCTGGGCCAAACGGATTTAAAGGTCCCCACGGCATGAAGGGTCTTTGGATTTACGAGCCCAAGGTCCTCTCCAGACTACTTGGATTCATCGCCAAGATGTCCGACGAAGGCAAGGCCCCTCGCGGTTATGACCTCTGTGTCAGTGTCCTCAGTACAGATTTCCCTGTCACAATGCTTTTCCCTTCATTGAGAGACGACACTCTCTGGAAGAAGATCCAGGCCAAGATCAAGACAGCTCTGGCCAAGGATGTGCTTGACTTGCTTAATGGTAGCTTCCCCGCCATTATCGTCCTCTACGCCCAATGGTGTCCTGTCAACAAGGGCGATAAGTATGACGGCACCGTTGACAAGTGGTTCCAGCAATTTAGAGATCTCCAAGATGATTGGAGTAACCACACTCTTCTTATCAACGAGTTTGATGAGGATATGTCCAAGTTGACTGGCAGGTGGATCTTCCCCAAGCGAAGGGAGTTTGAGCTACCGTACGTCAAGCGAACCTACGCCACCAAGTCACAGACCCTCCAGAAGGATGGCTGGGTTGATGCAGTGGTGAAGCGTCTGGATCTCATCTACAATCCCCGCCAGAAGCTCGACGATAGTAAAACCCACAAAGAAGCTGAGGTCTACGACCATTGCAAACTTTCTGTGCAGATCCAATGCTTTGGAGGTGAAAACTCCCGCTTCAACCTCAACAAAGACAATGGCACCTCCTACAGCTGGCGAGACTCGACTGTCGTCCAGACACTGGACTGTTTCCACGACCCAGGCTCTCAGTACAGAGACTATGCGGTGAACTGGCAGAAGACCAACGACGGCATCATGATCGGACCCAAAAGCCCGTTCAGTAAGCAAGATAGACGCGTCCTCTGGGGCTCCTGGGGTGATTGGGATATGAGCAAGCCTGAGATCTGGCAGGCGTACTATGAGGATGCTGATAAGTATAAGAGGCTTGGCAAGGCGAGGGCCAAGGCGGATCCTAATGGCACGTTTACTGCCAATCCATTCGCTGTCACTGCTGTGAAGGATGGTCCTTCCAAGCTATAGGGCTGGTGCGGGTTCATGGAAGCTTCGGCGTCTTCTTAGCTTGCACTGTTTACAAAGTCTCGTCAATCGAGCATATAATGGAATTTGATAGGAGTTTATCGACTTGACATATTTTAAATTGATTAGTAGTCTTCTTGCTTCTCGGCTTAACTTGCCTTGGAGCTCTGTGCGATCTCCTACTGTACCAAAGCGCTCAACGTAATAGCGAAACCGCCATGCAACATGTCAACTAACACTGGGGCAATGAATGGCACCTTTGAAGGAAGTGAATTAAGCTGCCTTTCAGTCTACACACTCTTGGCTTATTTCTTCTTCTTCGGCTTCGTCTTGTCCACCGTATCCACCCACTTCATGTCAATACCCTTCTTGGCGAGTATCTCCGTCGTAAGTACCTTCCGCTGATCACCTTGCACCACAACCTCCATCAAACCAGGCTTCGCGCCAGCAACTTGTCCTACACTCGCAGACCCAGCACATTTCTTCTGCAGCTCGGGTGCTAGGACTTGAGGATCAATGAAGAAAGGCTCGAGGTTGGAAACCTTGGTTACCACCTTTGTGCCAGTTCGTTTCTCGATCGTGATCAGGATTCGAGGTGGTGATCCCACCTTGGGCTTTTGGTCTGACGGTACACCACTTTGTGAAATGATATGGAAGGGTTGACAGAGATTTGAATCCTCCAGCACTCGCTTCTGGAGGACGCCTCTTGGAATCCGGCCGGCTGCGAGGTAGCTGCGATCTTCGTCGGTCGGTTTCGAGCCTAGGATGTCGTTGGCAAGGAATGGGTCGAGCTTGACGGTGGATTTTCCTTGACCTCCTAGCTCGGGGTGTTGATCGATGTATGCCTTGACAGCCGCTGAGACTTGTGCTGCACTATAGAACTCGGTCTTGGAGGGGAGGAGTGTCGGTACTAGTTTGGAAGACGGACGGTAGACCATCTGGATGTCGATCTTCTGTCCTGAAGATGAGCTCGGGCCCGAAGATGCTTGACCATCTTCAGCAGAAGTACCCGCAGCACTGCCCGTTGCCTTTGGTGTTGGTAACCGATACGGTCTGAAGCCATTAACCTGATCATGATCGAAGTCGATATCAAGGATGACCGTCTCACCACCATTGCGGTCCTTGGACTTGACTATCCGAAGCTTGTCCAGCTGCTTGATAAACTTCTTCGCATTCTTCCACGATGTTTTCTTGATGATGTAGTGCTGATTTTGGTGGCGGAGATTAGGCTGGATCATGTTGGATACGACAAAGGATGGTTGAAGAGGAAAATCGAGACCGAATTTGGGTGGAGTGCCAGATTGCTTTGCTTTATGGACGGCGAAGAGAAAAGCTTTGTGGAATGCGTCGTCGACTTCTTTCGTGGTGGGCTCGTAGTCCTCGTCGACTTCCTCTGCCAGTTCGGATGTCTGGGTTTGTGTGTCGGATGGTACTGCCGGTGCTTTGTCGTCTTCTAAAGATAGTTTACCAACATCAGATGCAAATTCTCCTCCTAGTCCGTCCCATCCTTCTATGCTTGATGGTGGATCAATTCCCCCACTGCCGAGTGACTTCCAACTCCAGCATTCATCGCCTGCCCAGTGAAGCGCCTTGATGGCAGCACCTTTCTGACCTCGAACATCGTCGGGGAGACTTCGAATGTCTACTTGGCATGTTCCGACCCAAACTGGCGTAGTATCATTTTGCAGCCCAGCGACAGCCACAACAGCGCCAGTGCTTGCTCTCTTGTCCCAACTGGTGCCTCTGGCCTTCACCAATCCAGGAACCATTAGATCAGCACCCTGTTTGAGTTTTTCCTCAACCACGAAATCGGGAGTGTGCAGCAGTGGAACAAGTTTAGGGTTACGCCACAGAGTATAAACAGTCGGTATCAAACGAGGGTTCTTCCCGGTCTGGAACCAAAGGACTCTCTCATCTTGATCTGGATGAGCACCTATGTAGACGGTGCCTTGCTCTGTTGCTGTGATGAAGCGAGCTGACGAGGTAGACTCGGGCAGAAGTGAGTTCCGCAGTGTTGACTGTGAGCCTGATGATGCATCGTCTGTCTGCTCTGGGAGAGGGACTTGGTAATCACGGATGATTTGGTCGGCGAGTTTTCGTCGATCTGAGGAGCGCAAAGGCGCGAGATTTCTGATGTCGGGCTTGCGCTTGAACATGATGACTGACCAAGCTTGGAGGCGTCGATATGTGATGGTATGCTTTGCTTTGGCACCACAGCTCGTGGTTGTGAACTTGAAGGCGAGTGTATTTTTTGTGGAGCGGGGCAGTGACTGCCGCTGAGTCACCATTGCGTCATTTCTTACCCGCCCTGGCAGTGACTTTGGTGTCGTGAAAACATTATCGAATTTACAAGGGTTGTTGGCCCCTAAGCCTCCCGCTGGCATGGGCTAAGCATCAGCCTGTGCTAGGCACCCATCTGACAATCGATATAAGTGGCAATCAGTGACACAGAATTTTCACCAATTCAGCTAAACATCATTTCCCTTTTTATGAAGACATGATCTCAAATATGATTATTTTCGCCCGCCGATTATTGGCCTCAATAGGCCTTGGCAAACCGGCCTTGAAACCCATTACACATCAACTAACCAAACTACCTGGCTGTCACACAATCATGATCAGCGGGCTGGACAACGCGGGAAAGTCAACTCTCCTAGCCAACCACCTTTGCATAAACAAGGACGATATATCTTCCATTGGTAAAGAAATTCACCTAGATATTAAAGTTTGCAATTATCACAACATCACCTTTAAGGTACTCGATGTGGGCATAAGTCGACCCGCCTCAATCCGTAGGAGGGAGAGACTACATCTCAACGAAGCGGATGCAATTATTTGGGTTATTGACACACATGATCATGACCGAAAAGTGGAAGCGAGGGAGGAGCTTCTTCGAACGGCATTCCGTAATCACGGGACGCCAGTACTTATTCTGGCAAATAAGCAGGATCTCGACGTATGTTCTAACTGTTACTTTCGTCTCACATTGTTCTAACCCAATTACCCAGGAAGCTTGGACGGTGGAAGAGACAAGAAAATACTTCGTCGACGATATATCATCTTACTACGTGGGCAGACCAAATGTAAGTGGCACAAAGAATGTCGTATTGCATCAACTAACGACTATCAAGGCAGTATTTGGTACAAACATAAAGACTGGCGAGGGACTCAAAGAAGCCTTTGACTGGGTTAGAAAAGCCATAGAAGGGCGTGTAAAGCTTGAAGCCGATATAGCTGAAAAGACTCCAGCGCTTAGTGAAAAAGCGATTTTGAACTCGGATTGAGTACGCGAAAAGTTCTGAGACATGGAGCACAGGGAGGTAACAAGCATACACAGTAATGTCTTTGCAAGCTTAGGGGAGTGACTTGCCTTTTTTATGAAAAGTCTACTTAGGGCGATTGCCCAGTAATAAACCTATTTCAGTGTTTAAATTCTCCTCAAACCCTGGGATGTCACCTATTGGGTGAAGTCTATACGGTCGTCCGCAGATGGCTGAGATCACAGTTGGTTTACCCAATCAACAGTAAAGGCCTTTCCTATGATCTATAAATACCCCCTCTCTCCTCGCGCGTTGAAATAATTTCCCCCCTTCATAACACTGTGCCATCTGCCCCATGGTCACGCTATCATGAAGTTCTTGCACCTAGTCATGGCGCTCATTGCGTCGGCCACCTGCGTACAGGCGGCACCACAGCCGAAAACTAAAAATGGCTCCTACGAGTCTGATAACGGACGACAGGTGAAAGGCAAACATCCAGAGCCCAAAAACCTCCTCCCCAACGCCGGTTTCGAAGAACATGAACAAGGAGCCCCGTATGAGATATTTAGGGAGGGTGTCAAGATTTCGAGTGACCCTGCTCTCGCTCGCACTGGCAACCGCTCAGCGTACGTCCTACAGAAGCATAATCTTACGAGAAAATCAGTACTAACAGACTATCAAGCCTCTTCGAATTGAAGTCCCGCCAAGACCGTCCCACGCTTAGATTAGACCATTTTACTGAACTCAAAGCCTCGACGCCATATATGTTGAGAGGCTATTTCCGCGTGGTTCAAGGCGACAGCATCACCGAAGACGACTATTGCCAGATCTACGGCCTCCTTCACAGCGCCGGCGCGACCCATCATATCATGGCAGGTGCATCAGTCGAGCACAACGAGTACCGGGAGTTTTTCCTGCCTTTATATAACTTTCCTGGCGGCGAGCGTTTCGAGTTGATGGTTGGCTGCGAGCGCGGCTTGGGCAAGGGCTCGAGTGTTGCTATTTCTATCGATGATATCAGCCTCAAGGAGGGCACAGGTGGCTGGGTCAAGGGCGCCAAGCATAAGACCTATCTTCCACCTGTGGATTTACATTGGGGAGGTGGTCTATTTGAGAACCCCAAGACTAAGTGGCTGGGTCCACCACAAGATACTCCGGGTTGGGGTTCGAGTGGTTTTTAAAGATTGGTATATTACTTTTCTATATTGAAGGGATCTCAGTCCTAGGTCTTTGTTATTTCGCTTGCTGTTGCGTCACATTTCCTTCTGTTCCAAGACTTCGCAGACATCTGATAGCTCCATTGTGAACAAGTCCGTATCCAATCCTGACTTTTCCACTCCAACCCGACGCATCAGGAGTTGATGGTCTCGACGCCTCGATTATAAATAGTGGCTTCATATCGCGCATTACCCTACTTTGCGAGGAGTTTGTATCCTTAGCAGCACCCCAAAATAGCAAATGATATACTTGCTGCGTATACCGTGAGAAGCCGAACTATGTTACAAGAATAACTTGTCGTCTGCATTTGGCAGTGAGATGGACGATTCGTCGATTTGTCACCTCCAGTCACACCTGACGGCTTTCCACCAGAAGCTCACAACACAGCAGTAAAGGGTGGCTCAGCGAGGAGCGAAATTGCAACGTCCTTGTATACTAGGTAGCTTCTGCCGATGTTGCGCAAGATACTTGACTTACGTATCTCGGCACTCAAGAACGTGAGAAGTATATCGTTAGTCTTTTTGGTCACTATGTTGACGCTTTCTTTGTGGTAACGAGTTAGCCAATCTAAAGGTAAGCATCGATGCGACAATACTCTTGAAAGTCACCAGGAAATACATCGTTACTTTCGAGGATGACCTTTATCTTGCTTCTCTTGCTGCACGAAGGCTTCACGGGCACGTACGTCGTGCTGACTACCTTTCGTATACAATCACACTTCTTGGCCTTCCAAGACTGAGTGCCTCGCACGTAGTGGTATACGGTGTAGTTGACCTGATAGTGCTTACATCCGAAGATAACAGGCATGAAGGCTTGGTTCCACTCTTTCTGGTCCTAAAACGTCGGCTGTTCAGCATCCATTTCCCCAACTTTGGCGTAGCCAATCCAGATGATCCGGACAGATGGGTGTTGGACTAGCTCTTCCGCGTTTCCGTTGACCACGGAGAGTGTCTCAGATGTCAAGACGACAACCAGCCATAGCGCGAGCTACGGTCATCTTTATGTGTAGCGTGCAGATCCAGACTTTTGTATACTAGTTGTGTGGAGTACTACAGATGCCCTATGAGGCTATTTGGCACCCGCTTCGACGCCGTTATAAGATACCGGTCCTGGGTTGTCACTTTGGCGCACGTAACATCCTGCAAGCTCTCTACGGCCGGCCAGAACGACTAGAAATACATGATGAAGTCGGGTTTTTTGCAGCAGGGTAGATTATCCGAACATAAGGCACGTTCAATGAACAGCGTGACCCAATTCTATGACGTACCAGAAGAGGATCAAGTTCGAGGTGAGCCGGACCTTAATTAAGGCACATCGAGATGTCGTGGCTTTGATGATATTCCAGCATCAATCAAATGGTGAGCTAACGCTTAAGTACACACTACCTACCACATTTGGCGGTATCTTGACAAATCCGAGCCACTTTTCTGCCATAACGAACGAAGGTTGATGATCGTCAATCTCATGTTATGATGGCCTTGAGCCCATTCTGATAGTAAACATTCGTTTATCTATTAGTAGATAAGTTGCAAGTATTGGAAGAGCAAAAAGATCATGGACAACTCCATAGGGTAAGGTTTCATCATCTTTCCCACGTGCTCTGGCCAATCACTTTCTTCTTGAGCTCTTGCAAGCGCTGAGGCGTACTCCCAATACGCAGGGTACCACCCTGCCGACTCCCAATCCACGATACCTCTAACTCGATACTCATGGTGTTGTTCAGACTCGCGCTCATTGAGCTCAGCATTTCCGGGGCTGCTATTGCTCAACACCTTCTCAACCACAATATTTCGCATGTGAATATCTCCATGTGTAAATTGGGCTTCGTGATCCTTCAGTGCAACGCTTAGGTGCTGTGTGAAGAAGGGAGGCAGCCATGAAGGCCGGCCACTCTCCTCCATACGATCTTGCGAAGCAAGTGCTAGAGCCAAACCGACTTCCTCTGAGCTTTTGAACGGACCATTTACTCGAGGATCATCATCTACCATGCTGAATGGCGCGTCGCGAAGGGTGCCGCCGTCAATACCGCCAATGAAGTCTTTAGGTGGCTCAAGTGCCCCCATCTGGTCAAACATGTCCTTCAGCTGCATTGTAACCGATGACTTCGATTTGTTCGAGAGATGAGGCCAGACTGATTCCAAGTTCACACCTGGAAGGTATTCCATGACAAGATAGAGACAGCCCGATGGTTCGTCCCGATACATGGCGTACAGGCGAGGTGCGCCAATCTGGAGATATTTTTCAACGAAGAGAAGTGCATTGCCCTCATATTCCTTGACTCTTCGGCCGTATTTGACGACGTAAGTACCCCTGACAACAATCACGCCGCCTGGAGAAGATAAGCCAACTCTTCTGGGCGAGAGCTGGGACTCTGGTGAATTGTGGATCTCAGACAACGTGGGGAGGGGACCAGGCAGTTCCGCAGCATTGCGGAGGTAAGGAAGTTTGGCTGAAATACTTTCAATCATTGGTAAAGTGTGTGTGAGTGAGCTGTACAGTCCAGAGGGTTCAATGGAGATGGTGATGAATAGAACAAAGAGTTGAGTCAACAAAGGGGGAAATAGCTACCTCTATCTAATCACCACGTGCACCTGACTTTAATACCATTCTGTAAACTAATCGGGTACCGGAGTGGGGTGCGGCTTGTTACGATAAAACCAAACGGTATTATTGCTATTCTTTCTATTTTTAATAAATAAAGCGTAATAAAATCTACCAGGAGGTATATAAAGGTCGATAAGGCCGATTATATATTTAACTTTAAATATAGGATATTATATTAAAGGTATATTAATAGAAAATTAAAAATAGAATAATAAATATATAAATATAAATATTAATATTAGTCTTTAAAGTAGATTAAGGAAAGTATATTAATTATAAAGTTTTAAAGGAACTTATTTACCTTTTTATATCTTACTTAATAGCTTATTTAATTATATATAATATCTTATAATTTAAAAGTTAATAACTTTAATTATAAAATTAAAAAACTTTAATAAATCTATAGTTTAATAATTTATAATAAAATATATATATATATAGATAATATAATAAGTAGTAAGGTTTAATAGGTTATAAAATATTAAAAATATTAAATTATATAGTTATTATATTATATTTTATAACCTTATTTATATATATAGCTATTTTAAAGTTATTTTAATTATTAATATCTTATTAAATTTATTTTTTATTATAAGAGTAGTATTTAATTAGCCTAGTTTTAATATACTAAGCTAATAGTATAGACTGATTAGGTATGTTTTACTATATAATTCTTTATATTTTTAGATATAACTACTAGGTAATAATAAACTTAATATTATAAATACTAAATATATTATAACCTATATTATTTATATTATTTTTATAGTAAAAAATAAATTTAATAAGATATTAATAATTAAAGTAATTTTAAAATAGCTATATATATAAATAAGGTTATAAAATATAATATAATAATTATATAGTTTAATATTTTTAATATTTTATAACCTATTAAACCTTATTATTTATTATATTACCTATATATATATATATTTTATTATAAACTATTAGATTATAGACTTATTAAAGTTTTTTAATTTTATAATTAAAGTTATTAACTTCTAGATTATAAGATATTATATATAATTAAATAAGCTATTAAGTAAGATATAAAAAGGTAAATAAGTTCCTTTAAAACTTTATAATTAATATACTCTCCTTAATTTACTTTAAAGATTAATATTAATATCTATATTTATATATTTATTATTCTATTTTTAATTTTTTATTAATATGCCTTCGATATAGTATTTTATATTTAAAGTTAAATATATAATCGGCCTTATTAACCTTTATATGCCTCCTAGTAGATTTTATTACGTTTTATTTATTAAAAATAGAAAGAATAGTAATAGTACCGTTTACTATATCACCGGTGACATTATATTAAGAAAAGGAATGAGCTACGAGAGCAAGAAGGCCCAGGACCCTGAGGAGTCGCGAACTTTTTATTCTAAGGAACTACTTGGCTACACTTACTCGGAGGGCCAACCCGCGGCATGGGATTCGGTCCTTAGTGTCCTGCCGACTCCACCCCAACAGAAAGTCGGCAACCCAAACAACCGAGGGGAAGTTGAGCCATTCAAAGAGAAAGTCGGCGAATTTCAATACATATTCTACAGCCCGGGCGAAGAGCAACGACCTCTCTGGAAATGCACTGAATGGATAGAGTGGTATGCCATTCCTGCTCTCCTGGAACACAATCTCATTCAACAAGGAAGTTGATCAGCGCTTCTCTTCCAACCTCAAATTTTGTTGGCATTGGCACTATCAACACCGGTGTGTACAGCTACCGGATTTGGATGAAGCAGCGCCGATCGATAGATACTCGGAACCTTAGTGAACCATTTGGTATAATAGCAACCGCAGGAAAGATAGTAAAGATTGATGGAGTTCGCATGTAGATATTACCTAGAGTCATTATGGGACTTTAAGTATCAGGCGATAAGCTCAAAATTAGAAATTCGAAAGAAGTATTGTCACGTTCGTTTGTCTATCCTGATAGAAAGCTATGTATGGTATTGAAGCGTGTATAAGACCGTACATGTCCTGTTATTTACTGGGTTACTCAATGTAGTATCTGTGACTGCTTCCTTCCATGCGACAACTCGACTCGTGATATGGGGCGACTTTGCGTCTCAGAACCTATCACTCATCGATGACACAAGTGTTTGATAGACTTTTAATCCTTTCTTTCTGGGGCGCCATATATTGCTATGTTGAGATTAGCCCATAGTTAGTTTGTCTGTTCCTGTCAATCCAGCAGGAGAGCCACCGACCAGACGAATGTAATAATCAAGCGAGCCATGGACGGTCAGAGATTTTTAATCTACTCACACTCGGAAACTCCGATAGAGTCTTCCCGGCTCCTTCACTCTGAAGCAAAGAGCAACAATCGCTACCAGGGTGAAAGAAAGATAGATAGTCGATGAGACTGTCACAGGTCAAATAATATGATAATCAAGAGCCTTGAGCTAAGGATTCTAGCAAGTTGCAATAGATAATAGCGCCTTACTATAGAGAGTATTAAAGAAGACCGGGCAGGTGGTCCGGGTAGTATACATCATATTGCTTGTGAGATGATTACTATGTGTTCCCAAGTAGAGTTAGAGTAATGGTTACAAGCACCCCTATGATCATATGGAAAAGATACTTTGGTGACCCAGTGAGTCGCATGAGTTGAGGGTGAGAATTGTCTGAGCGAAGAGACCTGAGTTACTCTCCATAAAGCGGCGATGCTTCGCCATTGGTATTCTCTTCCCAATACAATAACCACTGCGCCCTTATATGCAGTTATCTTTTAGTTGCCTCTCAGTCTCTCCATCTAAAAAGTTCTTTGATCTATACAAGAAATCCGCCTCCGACAGTCGCTTTGGCCATCGTACAATTCTTTGACAAAGGAAAATGAAAAACATTAGAATAATGGTAATATGTGTATGTGTGGGGTAACATGTACAATGTTATGCTCGCTTGCTGTATCACTCGTAACATCGATCGGGGTATCATCGCACGCCAGCCTGCACCAGTCTGCTCTCCGCCGCCGGGTTGTTAAGGAACTTGGGCACCGAGTCCTGTATTCGTAGTCAGTATATATGCTTCGAGTGAGTGAAGGAATTGAGGAAAACTTACGGTGGCCATCAGCTTGAAGACGGCATCTTGTGCAGTCTCCAATAGCGACGTCACCTCTCTCAAGGTATCCGCCATGGTAGCATCAAGGGCTTGAGCCTTGGTCATCCGCTGAGCGAGGCTCGAGCGGATCTTATGGTTGACGTTGACTTCTCGCGGTGAACCCGGCGCGAGGAAGGTGTTGAAGACAACGTGGGACTTGGAAAGAAGTTCGTTTATCGCAGCATCGGATTCCTTCTTGTCCTTCTCTATAGTCTCGAGCATAGCCTTGGAGTCTTTGATAATCTCCTCGACTTGCTCGTAGAAAGCAAGACTCTCTTCGCAGTATGTCTCTCGGAGGTTCTCGCGGAATAGCAGTCGCAACGTAGGGTCAAGCAGGATCTTCTCAAGCTTGTGTCGGTTGCTCTCGTTCACGCCGCCCTTTGCCGATGATGAATCTGTCTTGCCCTGTGATGAGCAACGGCTAGATGAGCTGGTCTCGACGAGGTCTTGGCCCCGTTGGGAGAGTTGGTAGATGGCGATGGGTGTGGGTTGGAAGAGCTTGCAGGCGGCGAACTGGTTCATGTAGGCCATGTCTGCTGTTACTGACTCGATGAGGTTGTAGTGGACAAAGTGTGTTGCCATGTTGACGGCTTCTCTCAAGTCTACACAAGTTGTGTTGTCTCGGAGCCACTCGGCAACTTGTGAACCGGTACATGTATCTTGGTATGTGCGGCCGTTTACCTTACGCTCCGGCTGAAGTCTGATTCCTACTGCACCCTCAGCGTGAGGACCCTTCTTTCCTCGGCCATCGACACCTATGAGTCGACAGAAGACAACTTCTGTTGTGGCACGGTCGACATGGCATGTGTCTGTCTTGTTATCTCTCTCCAAGTGTAGCAGAGGGCCACTGATGAGGCAATGGAGCTCCTCAAGCTGATCCTGGTATAATCCGTTGGATTGGCAGAACCAGTCGAAGATCATGATACCCTTTGATGTGGGACGCCACACTCCGCCTCCGTGCTGGAACACCTGATCGGGCTTTCCATCTGCGGACTCGATATATCGGGCATCAACGAATTGCTGGCACAGGTTTCGCGCTGTGTTCCTGTTCATGGAAAAGGTAGTTGTGGATGTGGAGACGACGGTGCCTAACGGGTTGCTGGGGTCCGCCATGCGATTTGACTGGGTCAGTTTGAGATTGCCGAGGTTGTGGATTGCTTGGTCGGCGAGGAATGTGTGTTCGATCTTGACGAAGCGCACGCGATGGGGCACAAGAGGCAGGAGACTGGCGAGGAGGGCGGCGAACAGATCCTGGAGATCCTGTTTGGAAGTTGTCAGCGACATTGAAAAACACAGACGAGAGTGATGCTATAGCCGGTTATGTCCGAGCTGGAGAGGAAAATTGCACGAACCTTGGATTGTGGCCGATCATCCTGCGTTGCGGATAGCAATCGCGAGGATGATTGTGTGATGGTACCCTTCGACATGTTGACTTGGGTAGATGAACGCCTGTCCAATTGCTCAAACATGCTTTAGTTTTCTTTTCCTTTACAGCCGTCGGGATCACAGAGGAGCACACTTAGATTGGGGGGCGCAGGTGACGGTGACGGTGGCGGAGCCCGAGATGATAAAGGAATAGAAAGGGGTCTCGCATTACTCGTGCGGCCGCCGAACTTGGCCTCTTTCAGCGCGACGACCCTGGGTAGTACGAGTATTGCCTCGTGGAAAGCGGAGAACCACATGGCGAGCCGCCCGACCACGCGACTTGATAACTTGGCTAACTTAGATCTTGATGCAGATTAGTTGACATGGGTCAATCCACGTGCAGGACCACAGTCAATTGGCATCGTGCATGGTAGCATTCCCTTGGCCCGCTGAACTAATTCATCGCCAAGCACATTTGCGGGCTGCATTCTCGTCTGGTCTGCCCTGATGGCTCAGCTTGATAAGCCCAACAGCCCAACCTCGTCTATGCCCGTTTTCCAAGCTCAGTTTCACATTAACCAGGAAGCATTGTTTAGGTCATCCATGCATGCCTCACAAACAAGGTTCACGTCTAGAACAACTGTAGCTTAGCAACAACTCCCTAGAGGCTTGCTAGCGACTCTTCGCACCAATCAGAGAAATCTTGGAGCCTAAAAAAACAAGCCGAACTAGAAAATTTCAGCCAAACGGGAAAACGTTACCCAGAAGCCATCGCGGAGTATCACAAATAAGGGAAATATCCGATCAATAAGACAATCATCAGTTTTACGACTGAACTTTTTGCTTTTTGCTTCTGCCACCAGCTGAAACGCCCTGGCCAGGTGGCTGATGATCTTCACCAATGATCGACATGAGACGAATGGTACCATCCGACGGCTCCGCGAGTCCACCCCATGTCACTTTTCTCTCTTAACCTGGTCCAAATTGCTCCTGCGGTTCCGCTGGGAAGACAAGATCCGAAGTTTAACGGACCACCAGATCTGCTGTGGCGCTAGGAGCCGCGGGATTAGCTTGGGGGTGCTATGGCACTTTTATGACTCGGCCGTGAAAGTGCGCGCAAAGCGCATGAATTCTGGGCATTGAGCTGCACTAAAGTCAAGCCCCCGACTCATATTGAGGCTCAAAAACACACTAATAAGGGTCAACGCAAATTGCGAGTCCGTACTTGTGGCGCTATAAATCAGTGGTCCACTCCACTTGGTCGGAGAGTCAGCAGGGGCAAAGCTGACTGGCGCTTCTCCAAGACTTCTTCACGGAAATCCCCGACACTCCCCTTCGGCCGAGGTCATGTTCCTTGTTGCACTGAGCTTGTTGCCGAGGGGCAATGGAAGCTGTCCTTTTCTAGAACAAAGTTCGATGCATTGAGCTGGAATGGCTGCTTGTTCCATGGGTTTCACATTATGCATCTGCTTCTGTGTCCGTAACTTTCCGACCATCACTAATCAGCCAGCAAACGTTAGATCCCCATTGCCACAACATCTAATGTTAATAAATCCACTCTAGTCAACACTGGTAACCGTCGATCTCTGCACCATATTTTCTCACTATTCCTTCTTGAGTTTTACTTGCTTTAACGAACCGTTCGCTGATCCTCCGCGGTTGCTCGTTCCAATAGACTGGAGCAAGGGTTCAACGGCGTTACGGGCCTCTGTACTCCGTAATAACTAGCGCTCATAAACTAGACCGGCATTCAACACTAACCTTTTCTCAATTGTGGGCGAATACGCACGTAGTAATGTCACTAACCGATGCAATGTCATTGACGGGCGGGGACTAATGTCTCTGTCGCGTGGGAAATCATGAAAGCCATAAAAGCTCTGCCTGCGCGAGGATCGTACTGAGATCTGTGCTCGAGATTGTGAACCACCGGTAATCGGACCAGGAGAATATTCCACGTGGAAAATTGTTTATGATCCAATTGCGGAGGCTCATCTCAAATCCAACAGCCTAGAGGTTGCATTTTGCACTGTCGTCAGAATAAGTTCACTATTACAATCATATCCGCCCCTTAATTGGGGCTCCCACAAATACCGGCAACCATGAGCTCCAGCTTTAGAGATGGTAGCGAATGAGAGTCACTCAACCCTTCCGACCAATTAAGGTGACTGTTGATTGCATCTGCACCTTGTCTTGCTCAAGTGTTGCTTTCATGCCCAACCCCTAACCCGTTTTAAGTCCATGCTCACTACCAATCCCTAAATCGGCACAAATACTGCCAATCACCAGCACAGATTAAAAGCGAAACTGTTACGCCACGGAATCGTTTCTTGTCCAGTTGTGCACTGTTGCTGTGATCCGAATTCAAGCTAAACAATCCGCGGATTCGCAATCGAACCGTCTAACGCCCTGACTCGTGAGCCCCCCTGGTCGACTCCTCAACCTTGAGGCCGGGTAGCTTGACTAGCCAAGTCTTAGCTTCGAAAATCCACGTGGCCGACACGTTGTGAGCTCGTGCCATGACTACCGGTTGCACTATTACTTCTAATGCTTTGCATGTCTACTAGACTGGCCTGACACGAGGGAGTTGTGCCCAAAAGCCAGTCGATTAGACCAGTTGGCACATGGCTCTTTCCCAAGCTTATCTAGCTTCATGCTCAGGGGCTTCGTGGAGGATGCGAAGCGGGAGTTGAAGAGTGACAAGATTGCTATGTGGGTTAGCTGCGTTGCGCAACAGGTCATATGCGGTATCTTGTTTATCGAAACACCATCGAAGACGTGGATGGCAGACGAACTGGAACGCGACAAGATCGATAGCACCTGTTGGACTTGTGTTGTTTGTTTTATGTTTGCTACTCAAATACAAGCCATCACCCTGCTGCGTATACTTGATCGCTCTGAGGTCAACCGGCTAACGAAACTCCATAAGTACGAGTGATTCGTCAATGCTAAGAAACCTTCGTCTAATAGCTGGATAGGCTAGATCAAGTGCCATGCTGTAATGTCTAATCGGGGTCTCCTATGGGCAGCAGCGCCATGAATCAGTGGAAGGCTTAGTTGCGGAGTGCAGTAAACCGTCATCCTTACGGGCTGAGCTTTGCGCTCACGCTCGGCGATCCTTGTCTCCACGACACCGGCTCTGCCGTGATACCGCGAATCTGCTTTATTGATCTTCGTCAACCTTAACTGGTCGTCTTCCCTGATGCTGGGGTTGGAGAGGCGCGTTGAGAACCACACGAGGGAGTCTAAGCGAGATCTACCTCTCCTCTTCAGCGATCCCATAGTAATGTCAATCATCGAGGCACAGACTCAGAGACTAGCCTAGACAATGGAGTACCTTTCGAGACTACCCAAGGGAGTGACAAGAACGTTGGCGAATACTCAGCATCTACCCTGAACCCAAACTCCAAGACAAGGCGAACTTGACTGGCAGCCTTCCAAAATACTAATTTCATGATCAGAAAGTCGCCAATTGTGATACTCTTAACTCATTAGTGTGAGAAAGTGTATTGAGCTCGGCTGGTATTTCTGCCAATGACATCTCCATGTTGATGGTTGACGAATGAGTGATATCAAATGCTACTACGCAAGACAGCCATGCGGAAAGTTTTGTACATTCATATTTGCAAATATCACGACAACTCCCATCCAATCATAAGTCATTGCGGGCGAATGGTTTAGTGGTATAATACTCCCTTAGCATAATTCGTTTGAATAATCTGGGAGTGGTCCAGGGTTCGATTCCCTGTTCGTCCATGATAGGTGGTTAGAACCCACTATTATCCGCTTCTTTTTGCAGTTTCTTTTGCTGCAAATGTCACCTGGGTCTGTGTATTCTAATCACTTACCAGTTGTGTACTCTGTGAGCTACGCTTGGATTTGAAATAGCCAATCTGGCGTGTTTTCTTTTTGCCAGAAACGGTAAGATCATATGTTCAATTTTGCTTCCCATTTGTGAAGTTAGATCGGGACAGCATCGCTGGTACTCAGAACAATTAGTAGAAGCTCTAGATAAAAATATATAACTGCTAGGCCTCGGAAAGACTATAGTTATTAAAATTCATTCTTTCTAGTATTTTATATCCTTAAGCGACGGTAGTAAATGCTTTGTAAATACAATGGTAATGTCGCAGGAGTTATGTTTCCAGGGATGATACCGGGTAGGTGTCTTTACATAGACTTCACACCATGCAGCTTTATTAACCTTTAAAATAAACTTAATAGTAAATCACAGCACACGCAAGGAACCACCTGTCAAATACCCTGCGTCGATTTGTGGTAACATCTGGTTGAACACTTTAAAACCTAATCTGATTATGCGCAAGATGTCCTATACACTGGTCCTATTGGAGCGCTTCATCACGACCACCTTTCTGGGAGCCTGCCCAATGAGTAACGAGCGACTGATTCAACCGCTGCGTTTTGCATGATGCCAAGAATCTGAGAGTATTTAAGCTACGTCACGAACAGGCAAAAGATCTGTTCTGAACCCGTATTGCCCTGCCCAAAGCCATTGGCGGAGTTACCGTCTCCGTGAGCCTAATCAAGTAAAGTTTGCCAGAATCTTTCATTCCCCGCACAAAACTCTTGCGGGGACCCCGCAAACAGGCAATTCACAGGATATGAACCTGATCGACCAAGGGTCAAACGGCTTATTGTCCTAGATGAGGAGGTCATGCCACCATCAACGAATTGGCGCACCATTAAGATGCCGGCGCTACAAATAGACTCGGTTACATCGTTTCTTTGCTGGCCGGTAGATACTCCGAAGTCGATGACCAAGACCATGAGTTGTCGAGTTGCATAGACTACCGAGGCTACAATGTTGACTGATAGAGAGTTCCTATAAGATGTGCTTTGCATCTCCCATTGGTAATTGAGAATAGTTTCAACCGTACCTGCATCTCACAGCAACCATGCGCTTCCAATCTCTTCTTTGGGGAGGACTCCTGAGCATCTCGGGTGTCCTCGCTGCCCCTACTGCAAACTCGGTGAACCAAGAGCCTCCTACCCTCGTCAAGCGTGCTGCTCCTCCTTCCACGTTCTCCAACAACGTCATCTTCTCTCCCCCTTCAAACGCCGGATGGACAGACCCTCGAGTCCTGTACGCCCGTGCCATCCAGCTTTCAGATGGCTCTCTTCTTTCTACCTGGGAGAACTACTCACCTGAGCCTCCGTTGGTCTACTTCCCCATCTACCGATCTACTGATGGTGGTGTCAAGTGGACTCAGGTTGGAAAGGTCCAGGATACTGTCAACAACTGGGGTCTGCGATACCAGCCAGACCTCTACGAGCTGCCCAAGGCCATTGGCAAATTCCCTGCTGGAACTATTCTCTGCACTGGAAACAGCATTCCCACGGATCTGAGCAAGACCAAGATCGATGTTTATGCTAGCACTGATAAGGGAAAGACCTGGAAGTTTGCCAGCAGCATTGCTTCGGGCGGCGAAGCGAGACCCAACAATGGTCTTACCCCAGTTTGGGAGCCTCACATGATGTACGTGCCTCTCTGTACGATGTTCAAGATATGATGACTAACTGGAAAACAGGGTGTACAAGGACAAGCTCGTGTGCTATTACGCAGATCAGCGTGACCCTAAGCATGGCCAGAAGCTCTCTCACCAAACTACTTCCGATCTTCTCAGCTGGTCCGCACTCGTCAACGACGTTGCTGACAGCAACTACAACAACCGCCCAGGCATGCCAGGAATCCAACTCCTTCCCAACGGCCAGTACATCTTCGTCTACGAGACCTGCGGCCCGCCAGGCTGCCGAATCTTCTACCGCTTGACCTCCGACCCTCTCAACATTCTTGCCGCCAAGGAGATCGCTCTCGTTTCTAGCAAGGGTACCCGGCCCGTCAGCTCGCCTACTGTTGTGTGGACCTCGGCTGGAGGAGCCAACGGAAGCATCATCGTCAGTGCTGGAAGCCAGTCACAGATCTTTGTCAACAAGAACCTTGGTGCCGAGAGTTCCTGGGTTGAGTTCGCCACTCCCCAGCCTAATGCGTACACCAGAGGACTTATGACTTACAAGGAGGACCCTAACCTTTTGCTCATTATTGGTGGAGGTTGGTTGCCACCTAGCAGCACCAACACGGTCAGCTTGAGTGTTATTGATCTGAAGAAGACTGGGCTGTAGGCTATAATATTTGGGTACATAGAACATAATTCTGAGGTCTAATATCTTATCCTTATTCCAAGCCAAAGCTCGCCCACTCACTACTGCGGTCTTCGTCATACTTCAACTATGAATTATATGTATGTTGATTAAATGACAAACTCATGCTATTGTTTATGAAAGTTGATGTCTATCGAGTATAAGTTTGAACTAGCCATCATGGTGACAGTTGGTACAGTAGTTCAGAGTAACATGACAGCTGTTGGAGAGATACGCTGTTCCACACTTGTTGACCCCGTTGTTGTCCTTCGCAAATTGGACACTGGAAAGTGAGTTAGTACATATTTCATCATAAATGATTTAGGGAAGGTTAAACTTACGCATCCTTGATGTCCTTGCCCTTCATTCCGAGACCGTAGTCATCACAGGTGAACTGAGCTGTGCAACCAGCTTGACCGAAAGTGGCAACCATGACCATGCCAGACTTGATACGGGCAAAACGAGAGACATAGTCCTTGTAGACTGTGTCATCCTCAAATCCATCGTTCATGGCGCGATCACAAGCGTCATCGATGCTACCGCACTGGCTAGAGCCCTTGTTGTTGGCATCAGTCTGCGTGGGTAGCGGCGTTGAGAGGGTGACAGGGTCTCCAACACCGTCAGTGTAAGTGTACTTTCCGCCAGGGTAGTTTCCGACCCGGATAGTACGGTCGGGGAAGCTCAGGACGGTGCCGTCTTCAGTCTTGGTGATGGGCTCTGGTTCGGGCTTCTCAGTGGGCTTGGGGGGCTCATCAGTAAGGAAGGCGGTGGGGAAGGTCGTGTAGTCGGCGCAGGACGATGAGATGAGAGAAGTAGAGGCGAAGTAGCTTTTACCACTGACTGTGGTCTCACAAGCGCAGTAAGGGTCTGTACCGGGGTTGGCGTGCATGATGCAAGGGTACTCGCGCTTGGGTTCCTGAGAAGTGGTGGTAGCGGCCCTGGTGGTAGTCTGCAGAGTGGTCTCGGTAGATGAAGGCCCATCAGTAGTGGTTTGTTCAATAGTCGACTCAACGGTAGAATCAGCAGCGGCTGTGTTCTCGGTGCTCGTCGCTGCTTCAGTGGAGGTAGCAGGCTCAGTAGAAGTAGCGGGTTTGGTAGAGGTAGCAGGCTCGGTAGAAGTAGCAGGCTCGGTAGAGGCAGCAGAAGTAGTACCTCCAGTACTAGGTGTAGCATCGACATCAACAACAACAGTCTCGATACCCATCGACAAAGGAGCCCCAGAAGTCTGAGTAGAAGCCTCAGTGGTCTCAGTGGAAGACCCAGTAGAACTCTGAGTGGTGGTTACTCCAGTACTGGGAGTAGCATCAACGTTGACCACAACAGTCTCAATGCCCATTGAAAGCTCCCCTCCAGTGGTCTGGGTGGTTGCCGCGGTGGTGGTGGCTTCAGTTGACACCGTAGTGGTCACAGCGGTGGACGGAGTGGCATCGACATTAACAACAACGGTCTCGATGCCCATTGAGACCTCAGGCGCTTCAGTAGCAGTGGTAGAGGCGGCAGAGGTTTCAGCGGTGGACTTTGCTTCAGTCTTGGTCTCCTTTTCAGCAGTGCTCTTGTCTTCATCTTCGTCTTCATCTTCCTCGTCATTGGGGTCCTCAGGCGTCTGAGTTCCTATAGGGGTGGGGATGCCACCGTTGATGATTACAGCGCTGGGTGCAGGAGTGATGCCAGGCAGAGGAGGAAGGATGTAGTTACCGGGGGCCGGGCCTATGGTTTGCGGTTAGTTTTGAACAGAGCGAGAGCAATATTCATCAGGGACTCACCGATTCCCCAGAGGACAATACCACCGGGACCGTTGTTGTTGACATGCTCACAGAAGATCAGACACGAAGGACCGAAAAGAACAGGGACGACGATATTGTTACCGTCGCTGTCAGTGGTGGTATGCAGAGTATTGTCAGTCACGCCCTCGATTGTCTCCTGGGGCTTAGCAGTAACGGCAGCAGGGGGGATTGTGACAGGAGCCTCGTCCTTCTTGGTAGTGGGATCGGGGCTGTTCTCATCCTCGGTCTTGGGATCAGATTCGCCGCCCTCGTCTGTCTTCGGGTCTTCATCTCCATTCTTGTTGGTGGTCTTAGGCTCTTCTTGCTTTTCTGTGGTGGTAGGCTTGTTCTCGCCAAGCTGCTCCTGAGTAGTGGTCTCAGGTGCAGGAGGAGGGTTGGTAGTAGTCTCCTCTTGCACAGGAGGCTGTGCTGAGGTGGACTCTTCAACTTGGGGAGGCTGAGTGGTTGTTTCGGGGGCAGGAATGGGCTCATCAGTCGTGGTAGGGTCAGCAACAGGGACTTGATGAGAAGTAGTAGTCTCAGGAAGCTGTGGCTCTTGGGTAGTGGGCTCTACCACTGGGACCTGCTCAGTTGTGGAGGAGTCCTGAGCGGGTGGTGCTTGAGTAGTGGTATCAACAACAGGAGGCTGTTGTGTTGTCGTATCCACTACGGGTGGCTGCTGAGTAGTGCTTTCAAAATTGCCGAGCTGCTGTGTGGTAGCATCCACGGCTGGAGGCTGTTGAGCAGGCCCATCGGTTGACAGCGTCTGTTCAAGAAGCGGATCGCCATTGGTTGTGGTCGTTCCCTCCACCGCAACTTCGGTGTTCTGCGTAGGCTGCTCCACGATAGCATCGTCAGAGGTAGTGACAGGCTCTGGGGCAGGTACCACAGCTGTGGTTTCTTGGTTGAGACCAGTATCTACAGTAGTGTTCTCCTCGATAATGGGAACCTGAGACGTGGTGGTCTCAAAGGGAAGAGGCGCGAGAGCAGTGGTGGTTGTGGATTCACCATTGGCTCCGGGTGTCTGAGGCAGTTGTGCCTCTGCCAAAGCGGCAAGGGCGACAACAAATCCGGCCAGACGCATAATGAGGGATTGTCTAGGCCGTGGTGAGATAAAGAATGACTTAGTGGGAAAGAAAACGAATGAATGGAATTGTTGGGTGTGTTGGGCTGGGCCTGCGCGACTGAATCTGTAGAGACACACAGTAGGTATGTATATAGCTTGGCCACGACATTTCTCTTGGACATATACTACGGTTTCATCAGTCGTCAAGCTATCACTTGTTGAAGATACGCAACGGTCTTGGTAATCTCTTGTGAGATCCACAGAGTGGATGTTCAACTTGAAACGATCCACAAGGATCGAATCCTACCGGACTAGCTCCTCGCGCAGTCAACGTATCGGTCCGTGCCGTGAGAGTCATGATTCGGGTTCCCCTTTTCATCTCGAAAACGTTTGTTTATTACTCGTCTATGTCTGTGGATCTTCATTTTGCCGCTCTGTAGGATTTGCAAGGCTGAGCTCCCAGGGTTGCATTATGACGTGCGGCAGTAACGTATGCACTTTTGAAGGATGCGCATGGTTGAAGACCCTGCATTCTCATTTTGTTCCGTTCTTGTGAATCAGGCTGCTGAGAGTTGATCGTCGTCGCTGAGTCGTATTCTGCAATTACCGACTTCCTTCATTGGCATCATCACACTTTTGACAACATTATTTGATGGTGGGATATTGATCCTTTAGTTCTCTACCACCGAGGTGAAGGAGGCTTGGAATGAATTGACATAGAAATGGGGAGTCTGGGTTGCCTGAACTATAGGGTTACCGTTATCTTTGTGAAGCTCAAGTCAGTTCTTTTCTCTAAAAGATAGCTAAATCATGAAAACTAAAACTGATCAAGCATATGCTCGAGCTATTTTGAAAATTAGCTAAGATGTTATCCTAATAGAGATTATGTAGTGATTTTTCAGCTTAGGTACAGAAACATACTTCAGGCAAGTCTCGGTAGAGTGTAAACAAGTCCGTTGGGTATTTGGATGAACAGTTCGATGTGAATTGCACGGGGCATTGCGCTAGAGTTCGATATAAACCCTGCATGCAAGCCTTATCACAAAAGTTGCCCTGGCAGATCGATCCCTAATTGTCAAACGTTCAGCCTCGAGTCTCCACATCGGGGCTGGCCGTTGTAACATGTCGTGAATCCTTCTCGCATATCTATGGATCGCAATCTCTTTACACTTGCCGGCAAATATTTCGGGTCCTCCAGAACATTGAGGAAGTCCATTCTCCTAGCCTCTGCTAGGACGTTAATACCCAAAGCCACCATATTCAACAATAAGATAATGATAAATGAGTGATCTGCGTCATACAATGTGACATGGAGTAGGCAGAGAAATTAATTATTCCCCACTTACTGCCTCCTAAAGTTTGCCGATCAGAGTTGTATTGGATATCGTAGCTCCAACTCAAAATCACAGTACATCAAGTCAGTAGCATAATATTGACGTCGGATGACCCAAAACTGTCGGCCGAAAAGGCCCAGGGGAAACAGGGCTTTTAGAAGGATCAAGAACGACGGGCATTTCGGAATAATCAAAGTCTTGGCTGACGATCGCAACTTCGTCCCGCATATCAATCCCGGCTCGGCTGTGCACGCATGGGCACCCGCTTTTCAACGATCCTTTCTATGGGTCGCATGTACTGTAATTTCGTCCTTCTCCAAGCTTTGACAGGAAACGTTCACCGGGTCTGGTCTTAGACTTAACCTGTGAGCGTATTGAACTGATGGCCCATCTAACATATATGTAGCTGAGATACTCCCAGAAGACTCCCTTTCCGTCTCCCAGCTCATCACCAGAAAGCAATTCTACAGTCGTGCTTATTTGTCACTCTTTCCGTTCATTCGTTACCTGTCACTCTTTTCACAACACCACTCGCCCAACAACATCAACATGTTCGGTTCTAAGAGCTTCCAAGGCGGTGTCGCCAAGATGCTCACTTCCCTGACCTGTCTCCTTGCTGCCTCCCAGATCTGTGTCGCTGCTCCCCACACAAGCCAGTAAGTTCATTAAGCGTCAAAAGCAGTGTCTATCTAAACTAACGTCTACAAAAGGCTCTCTACTCGGGATGTTCACCAGCTTTACTCCCGACGTCCCACTGCTGAGATCCAGGACTTTGAGGACAAGATCAAGGCGTGCGATCCTTACGTGCCTCAAGGAGAGGCGCAGTTCTTGGACTTTACACCCGAAGGAAACCATCTTATTGGTAGCCAGGGCTTCCAGGGCTGCTTCGGTATCGTCATTGCCACCAAGCAGGGTGCCATTGTTGGGCACTATTCCCAGGATCCCCAGGACCTTGCCAAGGCCAAGACCGAGATCCGCGACCTCTACAACAAGCACAATGCTCAAGTCGGAGGTGCTCCTAGTTACCTGTACTCCGCCGTCGAATACCCGTCGGGTGAGGTGACCCAGCAAGATATTTACGACCAATACGTCACCTTTCTCAATGATCTCACTGGAAAGGACCCGGTCCACCACAGTTACACCGAGGCCGCGAACTTGCTCACGGATGAGCAGATTGACAACGAGGACTATGCTGAAGAGTTCTTGGCTGGTGGAATTGTCGTCTCAAACTCGGGCGGTGGTAGTGCCGAGACTGACATCCTCTTCGTTACCATTGATATGCTAAGGGACAGCACCTTCGCGTAATAAGCTTATGCTGTCAATCTGGGTTGCAAGTATTTAGCTTTTGGAATTAAACGCTATGCTTGCATCGCTCAGACGTATTTCTACCATGGACTTTTGCCCGCTACCTTTGGCTCAATCTACCTATAAATAACACTTCTGCTCTTGCCATGAATACTTTAAATGGATATTTGGTCATGCTTCCAATTTTCTTCACATTAATGAGTCAGAACGGTTAATCTAGGGGCAGAATTTCGACTCCTTTTTCACCTGTTGATATAGACTATCTCGTCGCCCATAACCATGTGTACAGTCGTGATGTCTCAATCGTTGATTTCGGTACATTCGTCTATGTTGTGGTTGAGAAATATGGTAACTAGATGGAAGTACTATGGAAGGAGTATGAAACCTCTCGGAATGAAGTACCATACGCTAGTGAGATTAGATGGCATCGACGGCCGACAATCCGGGCAAGGTGAAGGTTTCACGACTTACAAGATTTTCTTTACTTAAGAAAACCAAGCAATTCAATGTATGACGGATGTCAGATTAGCAATAAAAGTAAGTGGCCTGTCCGACTAGACATGGATACATAAGATAGGCGAATGTTTGGGTTCCAATGTTATTGATCCTATACCATAAAAGCTCAAACTACACACTGGTTATGAGTCTAGTTGTGGGCGGACTTTAGTAAGTGCTTGGCCTTCCTGATTTCCTTCAGTGTTTGTGGAAACAGGTAGCCAGAATTTTCCTCCATCCTGTCCAGCCACGCATCTGGTGGTAGGATACCGGCTTGAGGAAAGGTGGAAAACCCAAGGCCATCGTTGGCCAGGGAAAGAACCATCGATTCAATGCTGGTATCTTCCAAAGTCAGTCTTCTTGTCATCTCCCATGCAACCTCAGACACTGAGGGGCAATTGTTTCTCCCCTTGAAATCCTCCGACTGGCATGCACCTCGCGTGAAGAGATAACCCACAAGCCCATCACAACCATCCTGAGAAAGGACACTCTCGGCACTTAATCTGCGCGGCTCTTGACCCTCAGATATTATGTACCGAACATTTGGTGTAGAGAGCTTGAGCTTCAACAGCATCCACTCGGCTTGAGAGATGACATCGTTGTCGTCAACAAGATGCTTCAGATTTGAGATCAGGGAAGAAAGAAGGAAGCTCAGCTTGACCTCAAGAAAGACATAAAAACAATTGACATAGACTAATGGAGTACTTGTCCAGTACTCTAGTTTTGGCATCTCAACCCTGCCGTTGTCCCAGATTTTCAAGATTGCCAGGGTAGGCGCTTCCAACTCTGGGCAAGTCGCGGCCATGCTCAACACCACCTTGAGAAGAAAGGTCGCGAAGTTTCCACCCGCATAAGTTGGGCGAAATACTCTCATCACTCCATATTTGAGAAGGTGTGTGAAAGTGGTGTCAATGTTAACGAGCGGCTCGTCGCTGCATGTCCGCCACTTGTTGTACATGCTTTCGATATGCGGGTTAGCACCCATTGACAACAAAGATTCAACTAGTTTAAGCGATGGGAGCTTTGCTGGTCGATCGTCTAGAGATAAATCATGGCCCCATGAATTTCTCAAAACTACCGTCGCGGTGGTCACCGATGGTGAACGTTGGAGTGTAGATACGATGTAATCGTCAAAGCATCGAAACTCAGTCAAACAACTTAAGAATGGATTCTTTGGCTTCCATGAGGGGCCGCCTTCGATCACACTATTTCCGTGGAGCTTTTGCACGAGTTGAAGTAGATTTGCAGTCAGTTGCGACTTCTCCGACCCAGTTCGTTCTACTATGTGTGAGATTTGATGGAGAAGACTGGCCATATTTGCGCCCATCCCGCATTTAGAATAGGCAACGTTGCAGATACAAAGAATTCCTCTGAACAATTCTTCATCAATCTCATCCCGAGATGATGTCGCGTGCGCCATGATCTTTGAGCCTGCTTCCGTGTCGATCAAAAAGTCATGGGCGGTTCGATGGATGAACTTTACATGTTCCAAGAAGAGCTGGTTGAGCTTCTGAGTCCAATTCAAGTAGTATGGTGGCCAGTATCGATATGATCGAACTTGCAATAAGCCTGCACATCGGTTCTCGATGTCTAGCTTGGCATCTTCACATAGTTGTTGCACTTCCGTAAGGTCAACATCGCTGTCGCCGCTGATGAGCAAGTCTTGGAGTGAAGGTCTCGACGCGCAAACAATTTGCCCCAGTGTCGGTTGCCAAATATCAGCACTAAGGGTTTTAGAATGATCATCCTCCCAAATGAAGCGAGTGGGACACGGGCTATGAAGAGCAAATTGGAAATACTTGGCGGCCGTCTTGCGGTATACCGAGTGGTTTTCGTTGAGCCGTTGCCACATGTCGGCATAGAGTTGCTCCAACTCACTGGGAAGTTCGTGGAGTCGGTCGATGAGCATCTCCTCTGAATCGCCATTCCTGATCCCGGCTTTAAGGCTTCGGATGACCAGGTACAGCCAAAGAAAAACTCCATGTGATTTCTCTACTACCACTTCACTCAAACAACGATGAGTTTCCACGGACAGCCTTCCAGATACCAGAAAGGTTTCGAATTCCTTGAGGGCAAAGCTCGTCATCTCGGGTCTTGTGAGGTCTTCCAGGCGAATGCCAGGAGTATTGCGGCCCTCGAGCCAAGTCGTTACGGTCTTCTCCGGCCGGCTTGAAACGCAGATCTTCATAATGGGATGTTTGAGAAACTCAGTGATAAGTTCAGTGAGCTTGTCGATTCCGTCTGCGTTACAGACCTCATCAAGCCCATCGATAAAAATACAAAGACGGTCCTTCTTGGCTTTGGTAATGAAGCCGAAAAGCTTTCTCAAAGCGGCAACAGACCAGTCGTTGTAATCCCTCTGAGAGCCCATAGCGTCGTGGTGCAGCACGGAGTCCATCGTCTTATCATCGCCTACCAGAACTTGGTAGATAAGGGAGCATAGTAGGCCCTTGATGGTATTTTGGGAAGACTCTCCAATCTTCCAAAAGAAGTAAGATAATATGATCGGCTTTGTATTATCCTGTAGAAGTTCCTTTGTCCTCTCGTCATCAATCAGGAACTTCATCAAAGTACTTTTACCGGAGCCTGGCTTGCCTTGGATGCAAAACAAGGGGTCGTTCGACTTTAGCCAAGCCAGGAAGCTCAACCAGACCCGGCTGATGCTTTCGTCATCTTCTTTTGACGCCTGGGCAAGATTGGTTGGCCCTCGAACATTGCCAATACTATTTGCAATATGGCCCCTATCGCGTTCTGAAAGTCCCTCCTCATTGTTGGCAATCCTCCGGTAAGAGGCAAAGACTTCATCAAGGTTTGCTTCTCTTGAGTCCATGAGGTCGTTGTAACGTTTGCGCATCTCCGGAGTTCTGAGACTTTCGAGTAGCTGTGAGCGTTTGTTTCCGGCCGTCATTGCGTCATTCTGGGCTTGCATGTAACTTTCAATCCTATCATGGCTATGGTCATTGCGAGTGCTGGCGCTTTGGATGCTATTGATGATGTCGTGAAATCTTTCTTGGTTCTGAAGGGTTTGATTGTCGAAGTCGGAGCTATGCGGCAAATTAGCGACATATGTACCATGAAGGGGTCAATTCATACCATAGTTGAGATAACATTCGTGTGTCCATTGCGTCTCGATAGTTAGAGAGCTTAAGTGCGATGCGTTCAATGTTCTTGCGATGCCTCCAAGATCGGATGCCAGACCTGACCGCCGTACCGAGTTTGCCTTTCTTTTGGATGCCCGTGAAATAACGCAATTCGATCTGAAGTTCTCGGACGCATGACTGACAGTGATTGGCGATTTCTTTGAGCTTCATCTCAGCTTTAGATGGCATTTCAGACTTGCTCATTGCCTGACAGTGCTTTTGAATGTCATCCATGACCCCAGACATCTGATTGGCGAAGTCTTCAAGGTCATTGTCGTGAGTAGGCTTGCCGTCGTAGATCTTCTTGCATAAAGAGATTGCGTTGTTTGCGACACCGAATACTTGCCACAAGGCACAAATAGCTCCAAGTACTTCAAAACCAGTGGCCATGTTGTTGTTCTGGCTGTATGGTGATTGAGAAATCATAAAATAATTGGTTTTCGTGCGAGTTTTGGTGTATGTATGAAAGAGTTGAATATGAGTTGGCTATACTTTTCACGGGGATACGAACCTGTCGATATACTTTTGTGCGCCAGTGCTACTACACCCAGTATCTTACCAACTCAAACCCTACTGAATGCACCGTTACGGTGAATGAGGCACTAGCTTACACAGCATTACCGGTCCTACCGGTCTTGGCGTTTGCAGTCGGTGCTGTCACGGCGATGCCTACGATAATGACTGGCGACTCCGATTATGGGAAAAAAGGTTTGCAGTGGATATGCCGTCGACATGCGGCATTGTCGACTAGGGCTGTCACGACAGGTAGGCAGCTCGCAAGCCTGACTTAAACAGTCCATCTCGAGAGAAGGATAACGACCAATGATCAGCAAAGCCGGTACTTGTTGATGTTGCACAGTTTCGGCTTTTGATACACTCCAGATGGTCCAATCTAGTCTCTTCGGGATACAGCACCATACATGTCGTGACCAGACAAGCCATACTCGAACATTACCAGTACGGCAATATCTTGGATCAGAAGAGGTTAGCAGTGTTGTTCTTGAGTATTCCTTTCTCATGATAAACTCTCTAAACTTCTCCTGATTTCGTGTAACGTAAGGACTGCCGTGGCCCCCAAGTAACAGAACAGCCGCTGTGTAGCATTGACTTGACTAGTCGTAGCTCGTTCCAATACGATTATCACTCCACCTCGGCTTCTCTTCACTTCAGCTAGCGATAAATAGCGCCTTTGCAGATGACACAGCCTTTACAAATAGCCAGTGAATTCACCGGGTAATCCCTATTAGACCTTTTTGACAAGATAAAGCCACAGTACCAAATCTCGCGATAAGATGAAGAAATGTGAGTGAATAGAGAAACATTTGCATTAATCCCAAACTAAGGAGCGCTATGAAACCGTTCTATAGAAGCACTCCGTGCTTTAAAGTCGTCGCCAAATATGTAAGTCGTGGAGAAGAGAAGCGAAACCCCCGATCTAGCTGGTTATCCCATGATCGTGCATCACCCCGAGTCCATTAAATAGTGTAGGTAAGCGCCCAGCCGTTCTTCTCTGCATCTTGTTCTAGGTAAAGCTGGGTCTCGAGCTTGGGGTTTCGGATCTGAGCGATGAAGGCGAGGGTCTCTGCACACTCGACCATGCCGACACCGTGACCCCCTTCCTCGCTGACATCCCACATGGTGAAGTTGGGACCGCCAACAGGCGCCTCGGCATCGTCGAAAGGCTTGACGGCCTTATATGTTACGTCCTCGCCGTCCTTGGGGAAGCCAGAAAGCTGGCGAGCCTCAGCCTGGGAGTCATCGCCCTTGATAACAAACGCGGTCGAGAAACGGGGACCCTGGCGCCATTGAAGGCTACAAAACTTAGCGTCCTTGGGGATGTTCTTGAAGACAATAGCCTGCTCAACCTGGGACTTGTTGTCGTAAGTCTCGAGGTGGATGCCGTTCACCTTGCCCTTGGCGTACTCAGGGTGCTCAGGGAAGATATCGTAGAGGGCATCAGGAACGATGGTCTCGTAGGTAGGAGCAGCAGTGGTGGTAGTAGAAGCCTTCTGCTCTGTGCTATCGGGCTTTTCTTCAGAAGCATGAGTAGGGGCGGCAAAGTTGATGCAAGGGTCGTGGTCGAAGCAGCCGACGGTCTCGCCACAGCTAGAGTACCATGTGCCCTTCTCGCACTCAGTAGTAGCAGCTTGTCGTGCACCGTTGGCGGGCAGAGCGCTCGCAGCGGTGGCGATGCAAGCCAGAGTAGTGATCATGTTGGAAATGGAAGGCATTTTTGCCGTGTGGTTGAGGTGTATGGATGAAACGGAAGTGATAGTAGAGGAATGAGGTTGTGAAGAATTGATTGTGAGTGTGAGAGTGTGATGATGATATTGAAATTCTCCTGTTGAGCGGCCGAACCATCACTTTATATGCAAAGTTGACTCTCTCCATCGTCAAGGCATATCACGAAGAATCGTGAGGCGCAACATGACCCATCAACCAAGCCTCACTGATTCAACATGGTTCCTGGCGAAGCATCACCAACACAACAGCGTTTTTGCAGCTATTTCCTGTAGAGGCCTTACCAGAATCAGAATATGTAGGATCAAAAGCCGGTCGTGTCGTGGGCTTAGCTCCCTTCCTGCGATCTTGGCAGCTTACATCCCCTGGCTCTGTTAGTATATAGGCGAATGACAGTGCTGGACTGTGGCTAAGCCCCGCCGCTTGTGTAAAATAGCTCGTGCAATCCCTGAATGACAGGCCAAAATTAGAGCTAGGATATCTGGGACTGACAGAAAAGACACACCGTTAATAGAGTAAGTTTTGGTATCAGCCAGGACTGTGTTTTCCTTCACCCCACAAGAATATCGAGGTTGTAATCTCATCTTATCTCAACTCAAATCCAAAGGAAGAGTTCTGGCCCACCAGCCTTAGGAAGCGCCCAGCTTGGCACCTAAGCAACAGCACAGCCCGGAATTTTATAGCGATGCGGTGTGGCATTTGAGCAGGGTAGAGCCAGGATGTCAATAAAGTTCTTTACGCTCTGATGGAAATTTTAACTAGGATGGAATGTGATGGGACTCGGTCAACGAGTACGGAGTACTCGGGTAATTTTCTTCGCCTTCACTAGCTCATACGCTGAGTCGAGTATGCCTGCCAAGCAGCATATGCTCCTCATAGGAACAGGTATCATGGCCGATCCTATAAATCTCACCAAGCGGGTCGTTATAGGCATTAGTTAATCCAACGGAATAATTCTTCCCGGTCAATCCTCCAGGCAAAAACACAGAAGGGCAAGGGTACTTTCTGTTGAGCTTCCTGAGGGCGTTGGTCTTAGGAGTTGGGGAATCTAAGATATCCAACTCTGAAAGTGTTGTTCCACTGACATGAGCTCCAAACGGTCAGGAATTACTATTGCATTGAGCTGCGATGTCCGAGCTTGCAGTACTCCGTATGTGTGCAGAAGGATAGTGCGGTATGGTTCTGAATACTTTCTACACCATCAGCTTTGTTGATATTGATCAAGTCTCAGGGCAAAAAGGTGTGAACGGACAAATTAGAAACCGAATCTGTTCGAGTTCTGAATAGGTAGTTATAGATCGTCGAGGGCAGGTAGTATACAGAAGTTCTTCCTTACAATTACTAATGGGTCTAAAGGACCAACGTAATTTCGCTTGGCAACATATCAACCTAGTCACCATGCGAGAATAGCTTTGGGGGCTTCCGCTAAGGTGCATATTTGACTAACCACAATAGCGAATTTGGGTGACGACCTGAAAGTCCGGATACCCTATACCGGTGCTCCAAGGCTCATTATATCATATTCAAGGTAGATCTATACACAAAAGAGATACACCGTAGATAGCAATACTTATCCAGAGGACTAGTGGGTAGTCCTAGAGTATTGTGGAAAGTTTCACAACAGATTTGGCAAACATCACTCAAATGATTTATTTAAAATCATTTCTAGAGCAAAGCTGAAGTAAACCGACGTCTAGCAAAGCTGATAGAGTCGTGGAGTTTTACAATTCATTATGCCCCTTTACACTTCGGCATCAGCAATATCTTGAGTAGTGGCCTAGCGATCAGTAATATACTCGAATTCCTGGTTCCGAACTCTTTTCGTGATGCTCTGTCCATGTCATTTCTGGTCCTTTGTCCCTTGCAGGACCAAGCGTGTTTTTTGGCTTATGACTCTGGTGTTGATAAGCCGTCGATCGATATGGCACATACATGAGTCTTAAGGTCGTCTAATAGCAATGACTGGGCCATTAATTAACAAGATGTATTATCTGATAGACTGGCAGAAGTATAGGTTATTTGTGGTGCGAAAGGTAGCTTTAATATCTGGTAATCTTTCAGATACTTGCCTAGTGCCTCTTAGTCCTTGAAAGGTTAGACGATTCTCACTAATCATCATTCCCCTCAGCGTTCCGACCATATCAAGAACTTTTGTTCGGAGACATACTATGGACACGGGAATATGACGTTTTTATCCTTTGATCGCCGGCTTGAGTCAGACGGACACAAGGTTAAGTCCGAATGACAATAGCACACGGTAATCCTTCCTTCATTTCGTTTGGCGAGATAGCCAATAATGTTTAACTCAAACTCTGTCAGCGGCTTTGACGGCACGTTAAAGTTCGAGGTGGTGTAGTGATTTTGTAAGAGAGTTCCAGTGATAAGTTATTTGTATTTATCGGCATTCGGGAAGACGGACTTGGTGGCTCTATTTATACGCTCTCCTTGGATTGACGTTCCATTTCAGAATCAGTTTATAATTTACGTCAAAATGTCCGATACTCCTATTTACATCCTCAATACTGGTAAGAAAGGCGTTGAAGAATATCGCCTTTCTTATCAGCACAACTGCTGGTGGAAGATGACCAAGACTTTAATCCCAACAAGCATTAGATCCCATATCGAATCACTGGGTCGCCCTCCCGCAGTCGCCGATGTCGGAACGGGTACTGGCATCTGACTACGAGACTTTGCAGCCGAAGTAGACAAAGGTTCTCGCCTTGATGGATTCGACATAGATGAAACAAAATTCCTACCTCCTGATGATCTTCCCTCGAACGTTAAGCTTTCCTTTGGCGATGTATTCCAGCCTATCCCCCATGAGCTGGTCGGACAATACGATCTTGTCCACGTGCGGCTCTTGATGGTTGCTCTGAAAGCTGAGGATTGGGAGCCTGTGGCAAGAAACCTCATGTCACTCTTGAGACCAGGTGGTTACATCATGTGGGACGAAACGGGATTCACCAAATTCAATGCGACACCAATCACGGAAGCCTACCAGAAATGGATCAGCACATATGTTCGGTATGGGCTGTCAGTTGGCCGCGACGTGACGTGAGTGTTGTGCCGCTCCCTCAAGATGTCAAGGAGTTTACTGACTTAGTATCAGAAGCCCAATGCCTCTAGAAGGGCACTTTATCAACGCCGGGTATGTTGAGTGCTCACACCAAGACTTCAGTAGTTTCAGTAAGACCTATGAGGTGCAAAAGATGTGTGGTAATGCACTGGTCAACTACGCACGGCAATCACTGAATGGGATCGCTTCCCGTGGACAATTTGAATGGATCCGTTCCCATGATGACGTGGAGAAGCACTGTGACCTCATGCAGTCAGAGCATGACAGTGGAATATCTATGCTGGGCTTTGAAGTTCGGTGGACAATTGAACGGAAGCCTGCGTGAGAGATTGATAGAAATCGGTATTCCTCAAACAAATTTGCTTTTTTTGACCTTCGTATTTGTTCAGGTATGGGAGAGTGGCGTCTGAGAGCGGGGATTGGGATTCTTCATCTCAGCATCAGTCATAATAATGAAGTATCGAGTGCTACGAGAAGAACGATTCACTATTCTAAATAAATACATAAACAAACACACCCCTACCACGAATGCTTGATGCGCACGACCATCAGATAACCCTCAGGTGAATTTACCAAGATCTTCAGCACAGCCTATATCAAAGGGCGTGTTCACTGTGGCGGGTAAATGATGCTTTGTATTCCTTGTGCAACATCAAATCCGGTGCCTCACCCTTTGGAAGAGTACAAACCATCGATCAAAGGAAACATCACTAACAAAGCTCTGCAAAGCTGTTGGACCCGGAATAGCGCATGTCAGTTACTGTCTGTACTTTTCTAAAAATTCAGCGACCACTGAGGCAAACATTGATCACTAGGAAATCCCAGCATTTGATACTGAAGGACATGCCCTTACATGGTCCATTTTACTATCAGCATCTTGGGACTACAACACGTAGATCTACACAATTCACTGACAAGAAAGTATCATCATAATCATATGGGGTCCCATTGATTGACCACATATCAACACGAGCATTCTAACGGCATTGCTGAAGTATAAATATCTCGAATTCTTATTTTTTCATTCTTACCAATCAAAATAACATTTAGAATCACCACTTACACGAGTACAACTATAAACACGCTATCTATCCACCATAGCAAAAGAAAGTTTCGAAATGACCCGAATCTACCTCCCTCTACCAGCCCAGAAGCCCACTTATACACACCTGATATATAAAAATCAGATAACCCAGCTTTCTAATCTGCCTGATGCTTTGGACAACATATACGGCAAAGGTAACTACGAGCTAGAGCTCATGACTTCACCTTTTATCAAGCTTACTACTTCTATTCCTCAGGACCCAACGTGCAAGCTGAGGTCCATGGGCGTTATGTCTCAAGCTATCAAGATTTACGCATAGTCATTGACGTTGGAAAGCCACAGAGGGGCTAGTCTACGGCCTTCAACGAAGCAAAGATTGTAATCCTAGCATATATAGATCGAGAGATTCTCTCATTTCTAAATATACTATTGAAAAGACGCCAAAACACAAATAAGAAGCGATGCGTGTGTGTGATAAGCGATTTTTGATGTTGATGACTGTTGCGGTTTTCGGCGCATATGTCTGATGAATGCATGTTTCTGCGACAACGGAGCCCAAGAAAATCCACGTTAAGTTGTCGAAGTCGCCGGGCTGGTTTGTTCGTCAACCTGGTCTTCCAACTCCATGGTACGAGATGTACCAGTACTCGCCGTATCAGTTCTTCTACAGCCCTGGTCCTCCATGGCAAGAAATTCCCTATGAGTCGACTTCAACCGCTTGCTCCGTCCATCACTTGTTTCACCGCCCATTTCTTTTCTTTGGTTATGCCATCCGTCGAACATACTGGTTAATGCGTTTTGGACATGCTGCTGGAGTTCGTGGCTATCTACTCCAGCTTGCTGAAAGACACTCGAGTCTACCAGCTGGTTCATCATTATATCTGCCCCACGGCGTTCCATAAACTCCCGCAGGCTCTCTACATCCTCGGAGAGCTCGCCGTCTAGATAGGCAGACTTGGGCTTCTTGGAATTCGGGAAGAGTATAGAATATAGCTCAAACCATTGATCGCTCTCAGACTTATTCTTGCTCCCGAGTCGTGACTGCAGTTTCCGCTTTTGATCGGGTGTTATTCCCTTAGGAGCGATGTATGCGCGCTTCACGCATTGCTGGGCTCGACGGTGCTCCCTGAGATCTTCCTCGTTGGGCCAGATGCTCAGACATATATCGCAGTGAATGGGTTGCATGTGGCTGCGGAACAAATGCTGCTTCACATAGCTGATGCGCGTCATCCTGATGGCATGGCATCGGCGGTGGCGGATTGGGTCAAATTTGTAAAAAGGGCAAGCGAGTCGAAGATTTGACCCCTCATGACTCTTTGACCTTTTCGACCCGGCTGTAATTCGGTGTTCATTTCCATCGTCTTCAGCTCCTCGCTTATTTGGCTGATCTTTGTATTGAAGCACACCAGTGCTTTCTGTGGTCCCACACCCGGTGCTGATCTCGGAGGGTGGACGCTCTTCACGCCTTGTATTATTCTGGGAGCTCTCATCATTATCGTACTGTTCCTCGTAGGCAGGCGAGCCTCTCTCTGAGTCAGATGTTTGTTGGTCGGGTTCGTAGGGACTCGGGGACTCCACAAGAGGATAAGAAGTCATGGGGTACTGGAAATTGCTCTCAGGATAGTCGTCCATAGATGCAACGGACTCATCCGGCTCATATTCGTGCGTTGGAGGCGACGTAGCAGCCGTGCCGGGCGTTGGGTAGTTTGATAAGGCGGGAGATGATGTCCACGATACATGCGAAGAAGAGTCTGAAGACCCTTGAAAAGTTTGAGCGAGGCGGCTACGTATCAACTCCATCTCGGAATTCGATATGTGTAGTGTCCCCATTTCTGTCCGGGGACCAGATTCAGTAGCCTCATGTACTGATCGTGTGCTGAAGCTCATCGTTTCTTCAGTTCGGTTAAGAGATGGAACAGATGATTGCGTAGGCACATCGATGACAGCATTCAGCAGCCGCCACTCGGCAACTTGATTGCGGATGTTGACCCATTCTATGATTTCCTTTGGTGAATTGACATCCAAGGGTTGCTTTTGTGCTTTCTGTTCTTCTTCTGTGTGAACCTGCTGGGGTGATTGCACGGTTTCCTCGTCATCGTCAAACCACCTGCCAATGCCATCGTGTTGGCTCTCATCGCCGAGGCTTCTGACCATCTTGAAAGCTTTTACTTTCGTGTGTAGATAACAACGGTAATCACTGTCTTTTAAAGCTATCCATAAAGTCACAGCCTTATCTGAATGCGACTGTATCCACACGCGCCAACAGTTAAGGTACTTTTGTCACAAAGAGCGGTTGCCTTTCCTGTTGCCTTGCCAATCGACCGACGCGTCTATGATCAGGTGGGTGACGTCGTCAAACAGTGAAGAGTGAACCCAGGCGTCGCTTAGGCGCTCATGACACGGAAGACGAAACGCGGGCTTCTGCTGACCGATGAGCCACGCTATGTTGCCGAAAAAAAGGAGAACTTGGGTTGAAAAAAAACGGTGAGAAGGGAGGGTTGAAAGTGTGTGTGTAATGATGACACTGCCAGCAAAAACGTCGCACTATCACAAAGCCACCGGGCGCGTACCAAACCAAGGCACATCACTGGACAGAAAAGATCACACTTGTGATTTCAAAGCACGCTAGAATGGGCACATCCTTGTCAGCAGGCCTCAAAATTGCTGACGTGGCGGCCCAAGCAGCCAATCTCACGCCTGAGGAGACATCAAAGGAGCGGGGTTTTTATACTTTCGCACAAGAGACTGCCGATCCCTAGGAGTACACACGTTTCTGCCATTTTTAGCTTAATCACAGTTGTGATTTCGTGTGTCCTGACACACCGCACTGCATCCCCAATGTCACAATTGTGACAAAAACCTGGTTCGAGACCTCAAGTCTGCATACAAAGGAGACTACTGACGATTCCTAACAAAGCAATTGTTCTTTCTGAACCTCTGGAAAACGTTGAGGCGGATCCCCACACCACCCTTCTTCAATTGTACTTCTTCTCTACCCCTTTGTGAGGGTTCTGCTCTCACTCACAGCAGCTTAAAATGAAGCTGCCCGCCCCCAAGGGAAGAATTTCTGAGACTGTCTTTCACTTGTTTCAATTAGACTGAGTCGTCTTTAACAATTTGCCGTTGTCGAATATCTGTTTCTCATCTTTTTGTCTTACATTTCCATCAGTGTTTATAGATTACCAAGTACACCAAATTACTCTCAATACACTGTCTCTCACTATGCCGTCTCCACCCGCATCTGGCCCTTCCGGCACACCGGCTGGCAATGCCTCTACCGTCTCTGTCGCTGGCAGCTTCCCAAACCCGTATGTCTTGTTTGCAATACATCTGACAAGGCGCATTCCGTGGTTGGGTCAAGGAGAAAAGTATCTCGAGCTAATAATGGTTCAAGGGCAAATGCTCGGGAGGGCGCCAGCCAGCCAAACTCATACAACCTCAACCGCTACGTCTATGATAGACAAGGTTCCGTCAACGATCAACTAGCTCAATTCATGGTGGTCTACAAAGAAGAAAAGCCACCCGGCAGCAAATAATTTTTCAGAAAGAATACGAAGTAAAAATGGAAAAGTCTTAGCGGAAGGGGTCAGCACATTCTTTCTCCGGTGTAACTTTAAGGCTAATCTTGCTGTTAGGTTTTATTTTTCTCCGTATATAGAGTATAGGAGTTATTGGTCATGAGATTGGCAAAACAGCACACGACCCAGGCAGGCCCTGTTGATGGTATACTATGATGCAGAATATGTCTTCTTTTCACGATATTACATATGATTGGTTGGAGTTTGCCTCCTATATATATTGACTGTCATGTGGAATGATGGTCACAGCCTAATTTACACTTGACTTGAGCAAATATAGCACTTAAGTCGCAACATCCAATAGTCAGTATTCCTATGCAGCAGTGAAAGACTCAACCTTGATCGATCCTCCCAAGGCCGTCTCGGCATAGTTGAAGATACCAAAGCGATAAGCAATGAAGAAAGCCCATCCATTGTAGAGCTTGAAGTTTGGCCCGAGGGTCTCGTACTTAGATCCATCCCAACTGTAAGAAAAGACAGTGTTTCCAGTTCCAGCCGGGTCGGTGTCCATTTGGATCCTGAGCCACACCGAGGTCTTTCCGGAAGGCACAGCGGCAGTGGCCTTCACTTCTCCCAGTTGTTTAGTCTCACCATTCCATTCATCCTGGATCATCCCGTGCTTCGTGGCTAGGGTAAACTTTCCATCTGTTCGGTGGATGCCGATGTAGGCACTTTGATCACGGAACGCTGACAGACCTGCGCGGTCGCCGTCTTTCATGTTGGCAAAGTTGATCTTCACAGTACCAACGGGGTGGTCACCGTGGGTTCTATGGCTGAGAGTGTTTCTAGCTTGGAAGATATCGTTAGTGACGCTCGCCGTGCGAAGTGTCAAGCCGTTGTTGATAGTGTAGGAGTTGATGTCGGGGTTGTGGTTCCACTCCCACGAAGGGGCAAGGGAGGTACCAGCGAACGTATCAGTTCTTGTCCAATTCTTAGTGACCCCGCTGGTACCGGGGAGGGTTGGGTACGAAGACCCCCAGCCACCATTGTCGCCCTTGACCAGAATTGGGAAGCCGTCGCTGCCCCAGCTAACTGGCGCCAGCACAGGGAGACGTCCGGCTGGATAGGCCCAGGTAAAAGACATGAAGTACCAATCACCGCGAGGAGTCTTGATGAGACTACCCTGATGAGGCGAGTTACCGCCTGAGATAGGTGGCGTGGCCCTGTCGACAAAGACCTTGCGCTCGTAAGGACCCCAAGGGCTTTTGGACTTCCAGATCCAGGTTTGCGTGTTGCTGGGACTATCGTTAAGGATATAATAGAGCCCATTGATCTTGTACATGCGGTTGCCTTCAAGGTCGTCGACGCCGGCATCCTTGTTGCTGAGAACGAGTTGTGTTTTGACTTGGCTATAACCGTCCTTGGACAACTGAGACACCCGGACATCATTTGAACCATAAACGACATACATAGTGTCGTCGTCGTCGATCAGGATACCATTGTCGTAGTAACAGTTTTCATTGCCCAAGTTTCCTCGGTTGGTCCAAGGTCCCTCAGGTTTGTCGGCGGTAAACACCCAGGTATTCCAAAAGTTCACGCAGCCGATCCAGTACCACTGTCCGTTGCTTTTTCTGTATCGAAGCGAAGATGCCCAAGTTCCGCCGCGGTAGCTACGCTGGCCACTAGAAAGATCGTAGCCATCGCCAAAGGTCAGCCGAGGGATAGAGTGGCCGATGAGATCCCAGTTGAGTAGGTCTTTGGACCGGAGGATGGGTGCTCCAGGGCTGAAGTGGAAGTTGGACGCGGAGAAGTAGTAATTGTTGTCTGGGCCCAGGAAAACATCATTGTCAGGAAAGTCGGAGTAGATGATTGGGTTCTTGAACGTATCAGCACGAGGGATAGGCTCGGCTACCGCTGAGGCCAAAGAGGCAACCCAGAGGGTGACGCAAGCGAGGAGTGAAGATACTCTCATCTTTTGTATACTGAAAAAGGTCCTAGTCTATGGTGGCCATAAATGAAAAAGCGACGGTACTTATATCCCTCCCTCGACATGTCATAGTGGCCCTTGGTCTGATCCATATCGGGCAATTCCAAGCTCGGATCTTCGGCCTGAAGAAGCAATTTCGGGAAACAGCTCCGCTTGTTCCAAACACGGAACATGGAACGAACTCCCCTTTTATCACGGCTGGCATCCGAAAGATCGCTTTAGTCGGCATGGTTGATTTCTGGGTTTTGTGCAGTCAGGCGGATGAGCGGCATAATTTGGCGACCGAATGACAATTCACGTTACAAACAGGGATAGTAAATTGCGTCAGGAAGATCAATCGATACAGTTTCCGAGACTTAAATATAATACTATACCCAATGATATGATTATATTATGTTATATTATCCCTTATCTAGTACAAAGCTATTCCTTCAAAAGCCCTTAGAATCCACCATGAGATTAATCGCGAAGATCGACAATCACCTTCTCGCTGCTAACACTCTTGGAGAACAACAAATCCAAACCATCGTTCAATCCACTAAGCCCACCAGGAATCTTTCTCGCTGGCACAGAAATCAACTTGTTCTTGGCAAGAGCTTGAGTGAAGTATGTCTGGAAAGTCCACTTCAACAGCTCCTCATTCTCCTCCTTGCCCAGTAGCAGAGACCACCCCTCAAACTTGCGGGTAATACCAGCGGGTAGTGTCTCAGGGCCAAAGGGTGGCTGAAGGGCATAAACTGAATCGCCGCCTTGGGCTGCGACAACCTCTGCGTTGAGCTTGACGGTGTCCCCGGTTGAAATTGTGTCGAAAACGATATCGTAAGGGCCAGCGGCAGTGAGCTCTTTGACGAGTGCCTCAGAGTCTTGAGTGTGGTCGACGATCTTGATCGCGCCGAGCCTGGAAACAAAGTCTTTGTGCTTGGGGGAGAAAGTGGTGACGACCTCGTAGCCAGCCTGGATGAGGTATTGAACTGCCAGGCTACCAATGCTAGAGGTTCCACCGTAGACAAAGATTCGCTTTCCCTGAGGCTTAGGCTCCTCACCAAGCACAGGTCGCTCTAGCTTCAGGGAATAGTTGAAAATGGCGGGCAGCGTGGGAAGGTTGCCTACCAAGCGGACTGCGAGGTCAAGCGTCTCATCGTCTGACACCTTGGTTGTAGTGTTCTCAGTCGAGATGGAGTATTCTTGGTAAGCGCTGTACTTGTTATCAGCGGCACCAGCAGTCTTCATCCCAATGACCCTGTCGCCGACCTGGAAGCCAGTGACTTCATCTCCAATCTGCTCAACGGTGCCAGCGAATGAACTGCCGAGAACAGCGGGGTAGGGGATAGGAAGCATGGCGACCTTTGCAATTTTGGCGTCGACAGGCTGGAGAGCGATGATCTGGTTCTTGACGAGGAGCTCATGAGGGCCAGGCTGGGGGGTTTCAATTTCTCTGACTTGGAGAGGCGCCTTGGCGGCGGGGACTTGAGCTGCGAGATGAGGCATGATGTCTGAGTTGTATTTGTGTTTTCGAAATGGTTAGTCCGATTGTAGCTGTAGTAGGCTGTAGTAGGTTGGAAAAGTAGATAGTTGTTTGTTGATGACTGTTGAATGTGTTGAGTTAGGAAAAGATAAACAAAAGATGATCGAGGCTTCTGTCTGTTATATACTAGCTTTTCTCTAGGTATTTACACATTTCCTCCATCTCAACACGTACATCGTGCTCATAATTCACAATCAGAAGGATTCCCGCACTAACACGAGTTGCTGCTGTATGTCAGCATTGCGGAACTGATTGGGAAGTTGATTATGTAGACATGCAATGACGAGATCAACAGCTCGATGGTAATTGGCTGCTCGGAAGTCTTGGCATCGACCGAGAGCAGCGTCGGTGTTTCTGGTTGGTTGGTAATTCACTCGGATGTCCGAGCTAATTGGCCCGTCATGCAACATTAGGGCGTAGAGGTACCTAGTAAGCAGCACTAACTCGCTGTACCTCTCTCCAGCCTAAATCAGGCGCACATGTTTGTCACTTCTGTTAGAGCCCTTCTGTCTGATTCTTCCGCCAAAGAATGGGACATGCTAATATCCATATTAAAGTAATCAAGATCATAACTCGTAGGTCATGCTGGTCTGCACAATAGTGTCTCAACTACACGTAGACGTGATTGGTCATTGACCGGCATTCAAGTTCTTTACTCAACTAACATCCGCTGATCTAGTCCCGCCCATCGGCATTTAGCGCAATACCGAGTCGGACCTTGTTTAAACTTTGTCGCCAGACTCTGGAATTCCGACACAGTCGACCTTAGTAATGGCATTAAAAATGCTTTGAAAATCGGGTTCGGACTTGGTCAGAGTTAGCGATGTTATTTTGGAATCGGCTAGGAATAGTAGAAGGTCTGGATACATATAGAAGATCAAACACCGTGTTGCTTCAATCATTCCCTCCATCAACACATCACCACATCAACAGTTCAGTACTTCATCACTCAAACATCCTAACTCACTTATTGTATCCAAATCTCAATTAAACCATACCACCAACAGTTTACTGTCCCCATACACATCAAACAACTCAAACCACTATATCATTCTCCATATTCTATCAAAGCCAACCACGCTATCAACAATGTCTCGTGCACTCCTCGTCACTGGCGCCACGGGCAAGCAAGGCTCTGCCGTCATCAATGCTCTTCTCGCAAAAAGCTCCTCTGATTTTATCATTCTGGCCGTAACTCGCAACAAGGAATCGCCTTCCGCCAAGAACATCGCTGCCAAATCCAACAACATCAAACTCGTCGAGGGCCACCTAGACTCCATTCCTGCCCTCTTCAAAGCTGCCAAGCAAGTCGCAGGAACTGTGCCACTTTGGGGCGTCTACTCCGTCCAACTGTCTATGGGTAAGGGCGTCACTCTAGAAGGCGAGGTGCGACAGGGTAAGGGTCTTGTGGACGAATCGGTCAAGGCAGGTGTCAAGCACTTTGTTTACTCCAGCGTCGATCGTGGCGGTGATGAGAAATCTTGGAACGATGCTACATTCGTGCCTCATTTCAAGACTAAGCATGAAATCGAACACTACCTTCGTGACTCTACCGCCAATGGGAAGAGCGATATGAACTGGACCATCTTGCGTCCCACTGCCTTCATGGAGAACCTAGAGCCCGGCTTCGCCACAAAGGTCTTCCTCACTATGATTCGCGACACGCTAAAGAACAAGCCCCTGCAATGGACAGCCACTGAAGACATCGGGTTCTTCGCCGCCGAAGCTTTCTTAGACCCCCAGACCTGGGGCAAACAGGCCATCAGCCTTGCAGGCGACGAGCTCACTTTTGCTCAGTTAAGCGAAGCTTTCGAGCACGCAACTGGTGGTCCTGCTGGCACCACATTTGGTATACTCGGAAAGGCTCTGAAGCACGGTGTTGCTGAGCTTGGAATTATGGTCAGTTGGTTCAGAGATGAAGGCTACGGCGCCGACTTGAAAAGGGTGCGGGAGCTCAACCCCGGAGCGAAGACTATGGAGCAGTGGGTTAAGAAGAGCGCCTTTGTGAGCCATTAGTAACGGGTGTCGGTTTTCATTTGTACAGGATGAATTAATATTAGAGTTGTTAATATGAGCTTAGATACAGGACGGACTCTATAGTGGTAGGGGCATGTTTTCATAATAGTACAGTCGAATTTCTTAACATCATTAATAGTTCATTGTGCACATAGGAGCATCACTTGACATGTATTCATAGAATCTGAATACTATGTACCCATTCAGTTCCGCAAAACGGTCGCCGCAACACCGTCATCAGCTAGAACTAGAACACGAAAGCACCTTGCACGGCTTTGACAAAATTCTGGGCGAGCAACTTATGAATCGCTCCACTCGCATGATAATCGTCAGCCCAAAGACAATTAGCTGAGCCAAAGCATGTGGCATCTTTAGCCCCGTAAGAAGCATAGTTGTTGATCACTTGATCAAATGAAGGCTTGGTGTCGAAGATCTGGAGTTTGACTCCTGGGTGAGATGAAGAGTAGGCAGCAGCTTTGTCCTTCAAGGCTTTGTTATAAGATATGATGTCGGCCCTGAGTCGGGCTAGATCAGCAGATGGCTGGCCTATCATTTTCGGGAACTGATCTGCATATGCTAGGTTATATGTTAGCAGGACAAAATCGATGTTGTGATTTCTGTGCTTACCAGGGATACTAAGCAAGACAAAGTTCTTGAAACCATCATCAACAAGGGTTTGTACAAGCTCAAAGTAACGATTCACGCATTCAGTAACTAATGCTCCTGTCTTACTCCAAAAAGCCTCACCGACATCGTTTATACCGTTCCAGATGGCAACGAGGGTGTCGGCATTACTGATCTTGGGCGCAACGTATTGCTTGTACAGTCCCACCTGGTCCGAGAATGAATATTGTGCCCAAGAGTTCACAATTTTCTTATCCACTGTTGCTCCGCTGTAGGCAAAGTCATATGTCAATATCAGCGACGTATTTAGGGTCGAAGTGACATGGCCGACCCAGTTGAGTCCGGCAGAAGTTGTTTGGCCGGGTAATCCTGGGTTTCCTATGGGGTTCGAGGCTGAGGGTAGCTGTCCTCCAGGCCAGAATCCAACAGTCGAGTAGGAATCACCACTATCAAGTATTAGAGAGGGCGCCGGTTCGTGGCAGACACAACGCACAAAACCACAAAGTTCTTGGTAGTCTTTGCGACCTTCGATTCCATTGGGCTTGCAAAAGCTCCAGATAGGCCACCGGCCAGCAAAAGATGTTGGCCTGGAAATTTCATAGCGAGGAAGCGAGATGGTTCGAGCAGATGTACTTAGGGAGACTAGGACCGCCAAGATTAAAACTCATGTCACTCTCCTGGTTTATATAGACTCTTGAATCGGAAGAGCGGCAGCGTGCTCATTTTTAGCATTATATTAACCGGATGCCGTATGCTTCGGAATGCATGCTCCGATTGGTGGGAATTCTGTTGACGTTGATCCCCTCATTCTTGTCTATGCTCAATTGGGGCCTAGCCAGTTTAGGTCAAATGACTGGCACAGCCCAAGATATCTTCTAGCTCTGTGTCGAATTTCAATGGGAATGGGCAACAATATGGTTTCGCAGATAGAGCATCAGTAGAATAGTTAGCTTGGTACTCATGGTTGCGCAGTGTCTTACAATTACTATCGCTCGTGTATCCCGTTGACGCGATGTGGAGTATCATATCAAATCGGGTCGATTTAGGCAATAAGATGTATTCTATGGCCTCGAATATGGAAAATCAATTTAGGGCTGAAGTTTTCGAACATCGCCAATAACAATTTACAGACTAGCTAGCATTCATGGGTCTTTCTGCCTGTGTCGCCTGAGTGCCTCGTGGTATTGATACGGCAGGCCCTTTCAAATTCGTACGCACGACCGCTACAAAAAATATTAAACCAAATGTTGAATTTATCATTTGTGGCTGCTCATGCGTTGAAAGAGGAATAAGAATTTGTCCAATAGTATCACCAACACAAATAACGATAAAGACTACGAGGAAAATAGGGGACTGCAGTTCGATGATCTAGATACGTTCTCAGGGTGCCATGACAAATCGTCGTCAGAGCCCAGTCTCACCCTTTGTGGCTACATTGCAGCAAGCTAAAGGAATCCGAAGACTTCTATTTTAAATTGAAGCGTAGTCCAATTTGCCGCATATATTTGTGCGACTCAACGGCTACGTCTGCTTCATGCACCAGTTAGTGCCTCCAGAGTCCGTAGCTCGTGGCATCAACCTACCATTACTGGGCACAGGCTAGAAACCGTGCTCACGCTTATCATCAGAAATCATTCAAGTAAGCGAGCCAGGGCGCGGTTTCGGGCGCAATGGCTTACTAGTAATACCTGGACTCGATGTGGCGGATTTAGGGCTTATGGTGAGGGAGCTTGTATAAGATCAGAAAATGCCCTTGAGCTTCTTCAAGTGACTAGAAATTTGATTTCTTAAGCACACATTACTATATTAAATAAGGCACTGGACAAAGACACCAAAACCACTGCACCAGTTGACAACACCACATCCGAAGGTGCCGTAGAGTAGCCATAGAGATGAAACTAATGTCTGACATAATCTGACCAGTTGGGATAGTTGGCGAATGCAGTACCGCGCATGTTACCAACTAAGTCGTCTACTGCTTACTGTGCATCCTAAATTCTGACCATGTCAATCCTGCCAAGCTTAGCCAATCATCGTGAAATCCTTGGCTTATTGTTTCGACAAATCGACCCCAATAGGCAGGTAGGTGGTGAGAGATAATCACCCGCAGACACAAGTTATTGATCAAACAACTATATAAGCAGAATCGGGTCGACTTTTTCCTCATCTCCATTGCCGCCACGCCTCTACTTCATAGCGATTGTTTTGCTTTATCAATAATACGTATCAATAATACGAAATGCCAGCCATGGCAGCCAAACGACCGGGACTTATGCAAGTCTCGGTCTCACGAAGTGTCGAGGAGAAGCAAATCATCCCTGCTTACCGCACCAGTCTCGCACGTCGAGCCAAAGAACTCGCCACTTATCGTAAGCATCTTTACGCTGATGCCGAGGGTGTATTTTTTGGGATCATGACCCGAATCTCACCATTCGTGATTGCGGTGCCAGACCCCTTGTTCTCGAAGCTTGAACAGCTACACATTTTGCTTGGTCGTGTCTTTATCGATGTCGTGGACAGATGGTTCACCGATGAGAACGCTCGGTTCCCGGAGCGCATGCCCTTGGATCCTTCCGAAGAAGCTCTTTTGAGATGGGTGTCTTCAAGCGAGTGCGTTCCGGATTATCCTGACCATGGAGGAATTTGGCGCAGTGATCTGCTGTTTGGACGTAGCCCAGATGGCATGGACGATGAGTCACCTTATGTCTGCGAGATCAACGGAAGACTACCTCTTAATGCCGTCACAGGCATTGCTTTAGGTGAAAATGGGCTCAAGGAACTGGGCGCTAGTAAGGGGGGTCTTGAGACGGTCAACACCATGGAGGTAAGAACCGTTTACAAGCTGAACTGAGGTCAGAGCACTGACGCACGATCAACTCATTAGGAATCTTATAACCGCATTATGTCTATGTTCAACCCCGACAAGCCTCTCTTCTGCATCCGAGACAAATGGCCTGGTGCGGACTCTCGGGTTCTTTCTGCCATCCATGCTGTGCGAGGAAAGCAACCCATCGAAGCTGCTCGTCCTCAAGACTTGGAGGCTCGCCCGGACGAGTCCTCGCCTACAGGGTTCACTCTGTGGGATAAAGCTACCAATACGCACTTGGAGCAATGGTTTGTTGAGATGTTGCAGGAGGAATATGCACAGTTGGATGAGACTGTGCTCCGCCAACTGTCTCTCACACCTCTCAACGACCCTCGCACTGTTTTTATTGTACATGATAAGCGACTTCTGGGCATCATTCCAGAAGAGCTTCCAGGGATGGTATCGCGGGGTGTCCTCACACCGGAGGAGGCTGATCTTGTAGCCTCTGGGATAATCCAGACCATTAATCCCGGTAGTGAAGGAATGCGAAGCCTGCTACGCGAATCAATTGCCGATGAAAATGTCAGGAAGGATTACATTTACAAGCCATGCCGAGATGGGATGGGCCACGGCATCTTACTCGGTCGAAACCTCACACAAGAAGCCTGGATTGAACGTCTAGAAAAGCTTGCAAATCCCGATGTTCTTCGCCCACACGACGACGCAGCTGTTATCCAAAGACTTGTTGAGCACAAGTGGTTCGACATAGTACGCCATGAGGTTCCGACCGATGATGGAACAAAGCCGAACAAGTTCCATCTCATTGGGTCCATGTTCATGTTTCATAATCAGAGTTTCTACCCAGGAACCTGGCGTATGGGACTGGAAACTCACCTTGGTATTACCGAAGACAAGGCCGGACTTGTCATGGCGATGGTGCATCCGCCAGACTGGCCAGTTGGTGACGACCAGGAAGAGGAGCCTTGAATGGAACAAACAGGAGCGTCTTGCAGATAGCAAAGTGTTTGCGAATTGGGCTTTACACAAAGATCGTCACCGAGAGATTCCGCCATTCGCCAAGTTCTGTTGCATGAGACTTACCCCTCAATATGGTCTATAGTCGATACATACAGAAACACAACAAGACATGCGTAATCAAGATTTGATTATTATATCAGGCACTGGCCATCAATTGGGTGTATTGCGTGATTCAGATTACCAACCTAATACTCCGTAGATAAGCCTATGCTGTACAATTAGCTCCCTTGTTGCGATGCTGTAAGCTAAATGCAGTATGTGCATTACTCAGCCAGGCTCCCACATAAAAAAGAAATATTATTGCATACGAAAATGCCTACGCCATGTTACGCGTGGGTACGAACGGTGATGCGAAAAACTTTCTCCACGATCAATTTCGCATGAATCATTGATTGGTCGGTTTAATGGCTTGGTGTACGAATACGCTTGATGAATCTTATTGCGATGACGATGGGTGACTCAATTACGCGGTCTCTAGCGCTGTAATCCTTCAAGCAGGCAGGTGTATAGAGTCGGGTCAGATTGAGCCGAAACTGTAGATTACTCAGATGGAGTGAGTCACTTGCCTCGTCAACAAACGCGACTCATCAAAAAAATGCAATTGCAGTAGGAAATATTAGTATATGAATAATGTAAGCTGCGCCACTATGGATTATTTTCCTTGGCATCCACAAGGCATCAACAAGATGGAGCCTCCCTATACTCAACGCTCCGGCGTCCCTCTACAGACACGCCCGGTTCTTAGTCCCTTCAATCCTTCGGCACTTCAAAGCCTCAGTTCGATCCTACCCCGTAAGAAAAATGGAATCAGCATTACTGTTCACGATCATTTTGCTTCCAAACGGTATAGGCCCGGGTCTATAGTCAAGGGAACGGTCGACATCAAGCCAAAGAAATCAACCACTTTTACGAGTATCTCAATCAAACTCGTCTGCGACTCAAGTGTTGAGCGACCAAATGGAAACCTCTCATTCGAGACATGGCATCGGCTCCTTGAGCTAGAGATGCCGATCGACGGGGAGACTCTACCAAGTTCCAAAATTCTACAACCGAACCAGACATACACAATCCCATTCTACTTCGTGCTGCCAAATAGTCTCGGCACTGAAGCTTGCTCACATAATGTTCTTTGGCAAGAAGTCCGACAGTTACATTCACAACTACCACCAACCCTTAATGGCTGGGAGCGCGACGCCATGGTCTCGAGGGGTGTTTGTATCGAGTATGGTATTATTGCTCAAGTTTGGAACTCCGCCTGTCCAGAGTATGCCAAACTCGAGGCCAAAGAGACAATCCAGTTTCTTCCGGGCTTTGTCGAGCATCCCACTCTGAAGATTCCGGACACAGACCGTGTTTACAAGTTCGAATCTTCTAAGCAGCTAAAAACAAATGTCTTTGCTCGCTCAAGCGGGCAGATCACTCTGTCAGCGTGTCAACCCAACACTCTTGTGCTGGATACGATCGGAAGGGGCTTCCAACCCCTGGAAATCTCTACTTCTCTCAGCTTGGAGTCTTCCGGTGGCAAGTCTGTCTTGCCACAAAAAGCTGTTGTCTCTGCCAAGATCGAGTCCCAAATGTGGTCACAAGACGAACCGATGCAACAGTTTCCGCATATCGTTGATGCAAGAGACTGTTACGTCGGGTCTGAGACTTTACTGAAGAAGTTGGAGGTAGATCTGTCGTGGGAAAAAGAGGCCATGAAGAGAATAGGCACCACCACAGCACAGGCTGCTGAGGCTTTCAGCAGTCGAGTTGAAATACCTCTGCAAAATTTCATGAGCGACAAGAAGATGTTCCTTCCGACATTCTACTCTTGCTTGGCTGCCAGAACATACCAGCTGCACATAACTATTGTTGTTGCATCGGTCACTTTAAAACTAGTACTGCCGATTCAATTGTCGGTGGAGGATCCGCAGGGAACGCAAAATAATACGGAGCATAGGCTTTCGGGGTATAACCCAGAGAGCTCTGGATTGCTGCCTTCATACAACGAGTCTGAGAGGAGACATTCGAGGGCAGAGTAATAACATAATGCAGACGGAAGCAAAACAATATCAGAGTGTTTATTTTTTTTTCACTTTACCATGTAACCTAGTTGCGCTTCGCATACATAACGCACGATGTCAGCAGAGTTTGGAAGCAATGCTTCAAGTTATCCTACTGTTGTACTCTGTAGTCTGCTCTGCACACCCCTCATGCCCGTCCTCTTAGGGCTGTTTAGCGAGCTATCTCTCGAGCCGACAATACCACCAAGCACACGTCGTCTGATTGTTAAGATATAGGTCTCAACAGCCACTAGGATCCTAATCCCTTTTTGTGTTTCAACACTGATTGATATCAGCTTACCTACCCGAGACTTGAACAAGTCAATGGGGTATTGACTATGGTATAATATTATCAAACCGATAATGAGGTTTCTGGTACCTAGTCGTTATTAATCTTTGTGTTCAGTTTTGATAAAAGACCATCGGATTTTGCTCTGCTGTCATGCTAATTTCCCTTCTAACCATACCGTAAGCGGTTGAAGCACGGAACACCGTAGTCAGGCCAACATTGCCTGTCGAGAACCCAGAGATATCCATCTAGAATTGCAGACGTCGACATAATATCGAGATCGCAACAAGGGTGTACGTTTATAAGACGATAAATAGATCATCCTTTAACTAACTTCGTGATCAGGCAATACTCTCTCGCCACTACAGCCGCAAAGGCTTAAAGCAGCCAACTGTAACATCGGGAGGATTTACCCGGAAGCTAGAACACCATTAACGTCTCAATTATCAAACGGTTTCCACTTTGGGTGTTCGGAAAGAATAAGTCGTACGTTAGGCTCCTCATCCAGTGCTGGATTCAACTTGTCCATCGGTTTAGCATCACTCAGGATCGTACTCCGTACTGACGCCATATTCGCTATAGGAAACGGAGAAACGGAAACACGCCCAGATAGGACGGCATGCTGATAGACCTAGGTCAAGCACAAGCCTGTACACTCGTGTGATTGGTCCCAGCACATTTACGCGACGGGGCAATCGAAGCCACCATCTGGAAAACTACCGGCATATCTTCATTTACCCACCTCCTACTCCCGAGCCAAGAAAAGATCAGGCATGACTATCTTTGCCTAACGGGGATATATCTTGGATGCAAAAAAGAGATCAAAATCATAAAAAACAAAAAACATACAACACCGGGGATTCGCTGGTCGTCACCGACCCAACTACTAATCCAGCGCTTCGCAGCTTGACTATGGGAGAGCGGACGGGATCCCGTATTTTCTACGAGCTTTGGTCGTATGTGCTTTGAGGGTGTGTAAGAGCAGAATATCAAGACTGTCTCGAATGGTGGGGTGGCTTTGATCACAGTCAGAGTAAGGCTAGCAGGAACATGTAGATATGATTCATCAGACATTCGCATTGACACATTTTGCCTGAATCGAAAGACCAGAAACATGCATAATAATGCAGAAGCCAATATTACACGGAATGGTTGTCAATGCGTGGCTCATGGCCTATCACTTTTCCCCGCAAGATCATCATCATCTGATGCGTGTTGGTTCTGCTCCGATAAACGTTCCTCGACGGGACGGTAACTTAGTGGAGACGGTCTGTACTGATTTTCCATTGAGATTTAGCCGGGCTAACTTTCAGGTCAGGCCGCTTACTACGACAGGAGGTGGTATTCATAAAATCCCCCCGCCTGTCAAAAGGCACCACAGTTGTACGGTCAGACTAACGGTAGTAATCGGCTCTGAGCACGGATACTTTCTGGGAATAAATGCACCAATAATTGAGTCTGGCCAGTGCGCATTGGGGCCTTGCCTTGGGTAGAGACCTCGGCCCATCCCCTCTCTCTAATAGCAAGACGGTCAAGACCTTAGCCAAGGTGCTTGGTCTGCGTGGCTTGGCAGGAGCTTAACACAACTCAGCTATATGCCCTGTCACCCTGTGCACCGATCGAGTTTAGCTGAGGCTTTGGAAGTAACACGGAAGAAAACAAGCATATGAACTTGCACGGCGATCTTCTGAAACGCAACCTTTCTTTTTAGCCTGAACTTATCGTCTCCCAGCTTCCCCTTCCTCGTCAAAGAGAAACGTTCTCGACCCTGTTCAAAGTCTGGACGGCTATTACGGTATGTCTGGGGTTTCGGTAGTCGATGCTACGTCTGCCGCACTAGCTCTGCCCCTGGCCCATCCCATGGCCTCGTCTTGACCCTTGCATCAATGATCACTGATCAATGCCATGTGGCGCGATAGGCCCAATCAATGCCGACTTTCCTGCTCTTCTCTTTTGAGCTCGTTCTTGGACCGAATAGGGACAGCCCGGGCCCTGACACTCCGAAATTGCACCAAAGCCGGGTAAACCAAGCCTCTCTAGTTAGGGCGTTTCAGAATCCGGAGATGAGTAGCGTGTCAGTTGAGGGTATCGACCCACTTGGAAACAGGGCATCGCAACGATCCTTACTCTCCCTCTGGCTATCTTACCGGTAAAATCAAGTCTGCAGTTGCTTCTAGACTAAAAATACTCGATCTATCATGGGTGTTACCATCCCCCGGTCGGGATCTCCTTTTATCCACTTGTGGACAAAGCTGAAGCAATGGAGTGCAAACAGATTCCCGCCTCAGAAACATAAATATACCGATGATCCTCAACATCAAGTCTTTTCTTCACCACCTCATTCTTTCAAATCGCCAGCTTCAGTACTCAACAGTCTTTCAAAATGGTTTCCTTCACCTACCTTCTCGCCGCCGTCTCGGCCTTCACCAGCGTCATGGCTGCTCCCGCTGCCAACGCCGAGGAGAACGTCAGCCTCTCCAAGCGTACCAACTCCGCCACTGGTGACAACAATGGCTACTACTACTCCTTCTGGACCGATACTCCCAGCTCCGTCACCTACACCAACGGCAACGCTGGTCAGTTCAGCATGAAGTGGAGCGGAAACGGTAACCACGTCGGTGGAAAGGGATGGCGCCAGGGTGCTGCCAGGTAAGATATCCCAGCCAGACTTATACCGAATCCGTGTATACTAACTGTCACAGAACCATCAAGTACTCTGGCTCCTACCAGCCCAACGGCAACAGCTACCTTGCCATCTACGGCTGGACCCGCAACCCTCTGATTGAGTACTACATCGTTGAGAGCTTCGGTACCTACAACCCCTCTTCCGGCGCGACCAAGAAGGGCGAGGTCACCGTCGATGGTTCCGTCTACGACATCTACACCAGCACCCGTACCAACGCTCCCTCCATCGAGGGCACCAAGACCTTCCAGCAGTTTTGGTCCGTCCGCCGCAACAAGCGCACTGGCGGCTCCGTCAACGCTGGTGCTCATTTCCAGGCCTGGAAGAACGTTGGTCTTAACCTCGGAAGCCATGACTACCAGATCCTTGCCGTCGAGGGCTACTACAGCTCTGGCCAGGCCACTATGACTGTCTCCTAGATTCAGCACTTGGCTTCCATCGGAGGATTGGCGCACTAGAAGGCAGGATGCTGTGGCAGCTTGCATTCAGAGTGCTATTCTTGTCTTGAAGCTTCTCTGGTCAAACCCAAACGACAAGGCTGGACTTGTGACTGGACGTCACTCACAACCTGTCTTTACTTCTTCGTACATAGCTTAGTATTCACAAAGAACATATCATGATGAGCACTTGTGCTCGACATTTACTATCCTTGACCTTGCACATCTTCGGCTAACACGTGATTCTGGTGACCTCCAATGGATCAATGTAATTCTCACAATAGTGGAATTCTCTGTGAAGTTTTAACGCTCGTCAACTCACAACTAGAACCCATAAGCAAACTCCCATATAGACGAGAACAACGACAAGCAATCTCCGAATATTCACAAGTGCTTTTCTTAGAGTTTTTCGTTGGACAAGGCTGAGAATTTGCGTTGCATTCCAAGACTTAAATGTACATTGCTTAGTTGTGTCAACATCTACGGATCCGAAGCCATTATTGGTCTGCGGGAGGTATGATCTGATCCTGTTGATTTGTTTCCTAGCTCGCTGTCATGGCCGTAATATTTGACCTTCTCCTTCCAGCTGAAGAATGGGCGAAGGGAAGGAAGACAGGCAATGATAAGTCCTATACATGCATCAATGAAGCTCCAGAGATCTGTTAAGTGACAACAAAGCACAGATTGTTAGTCCTGACATTGGAGAAGCAGGGCGGGTGCCTGGGTCTACTTACCTATTAAAGCAACGGTAATAACTAAGTCTTTACCGTATTCCTGAATTTGAGCAAAACGGACAATACAGAAGACGATATTGATGAGCCCAAGGAGAAAGGTGGCATACAAACTATACCGCAGTCTCTTACGTAGTGTGAGCTCTGGTATAACCAGCCATGGTAGTATAAATACTATGAAATGTCGCCGTTAACAGTTACGACCAGGACCAAGCCTTTGATTGACATACTTAACAGATCTCCGACGATGTTCAAAGTCCAAGCTATTTCGAAATTAATCTTGATGCTCTCGATAGAGCACATGTTATCAGATAAATTCCTTTTAAAAAGAAATCAGTAAATACACAGAAGCCAGGTCTTAGTTAGGTAGAAGTTAAGAACGAACCAGTTCCTCTATGTGGGTAGACATATAAGGGAGAGCAATAATATAGTGACCATAAAGCTCAGGGCGACGTATATGACTGTAGCCCATAGAAACCGCCGCCTCCTGACCATAAAGACGGGGAAGACTTGGTGGTACACAGCCAGAAGAGCCGCCTTGGCCAGGTAGAATGTCGCGAAGAACGGGTAGTTAGCAAAGTAGTTCAGCTGTTCATGGGCGGGTTTAGCGATTGATGAGCTTTGTTACAACTTCCTAGGTTGAGATACCTTGTAGAATCTTTCAGCTTCTTCAGCTGTACCCTCAAACCCGACTAGACCTAGGGTGACTCCTTGACGAAGGACGCCCATCCGGTAAAAGACGATATCGAAACTTGCCAGAGCAACAGCGCTGCACCATCCTGCACACATGAACAAGTCACTAAGGAGAAGTCGCCTCTTTTGCAGGATGAGACGTAGATAGAGCCGTGCTGCGATGACTCCTGTGGCGATGAAGATGAGAGTCCATTCTGTCGCCTAGGGAACAGTGATTAGCTGAGAGGCGTGTGACCCGCAACGCAGTAAAAATGCCTTACGATAATAGTTTCGCCGGAGGGTCCAGTGGCATATTGGCGACTGATGATTAGAACTCTCAGAAACAGCTCATTGAATTGCAATGTGTGGTAATGCAGGTTTTCTATTTCGCATTGTGGCCAAGAGCCAGATGATGCAAGGGGTACGTTGACAATATCCCCTTGCGAGGGAGATCCGCCGATGTCTAGCAACAAATCATACCTGATCTACAGGCTAGCAGCCCTAGCTTCGTCTTCGCATTCCAGATAGCTTCAGATGAATAAGATTCCGAATTAACTCGCGTTTTTGAGTAGTAGGGTATTGGAAGCCACATACCAGTCCGGAACGCCAATGGTCCGTAGGCGTTCACTTTCTCAGAGTCAACCAATGAGAGCGTGCGAAGGTAATATTGCCAAGAAGACGCATGCAATGTATAAAGCAGGGCTGGGATATCCCGTTTTTACCACAGGGCTGTGGTTCGAAGTAGATGCCACTAGGTCAATTAGGTGCCCCTCTCCAAACTGTGTAGTGTATTTTGAGGTCAGGACAGGTTCCGCCTACGTACACAGCCCTATAAGGCGCGTGCCTGAAACTTTCCAGCCATCTACCTATCTATCAGGGCGATCACTGCGTGAGTTCAAAACTTAAATGAAACCGCAAACGTTATTTTAGTGCCTAGTTATCAGTCCATGGAAACGGGAGATAAGCCCAGCAGGGTTAAGTATCGATTTAGTTCTCCTGGAACTTATGTTGAGTGCTACATACTTGTTGCTTCAGCCATTGACATTTGTTTTCTGTTACATGAAGAAAGTCCCTCCCCCAACATATCCCACGATCTGATGACATCTTCTCACAACTCAATGTCTCATGCGGCGCTCTGGACAGTCTCCCGAGGCACCTGTTTCTCCACAAGATCCTTGAGTTCTCCAAAAGCCTGAAGGATCGTAGGCGATGCCGTCAGAATATCCTTGCGGGTATCATCACCTAACTTCCCCTCTCCCGCAAGCCACAGATCCGCGCTCACGTTGCCATGGAACGCGAGAGCCGGTCGTGTTTCAACGACATTGAGCTTCATCCCCTTGAGCGTGCCCTGGAGCTGTTCACTCGCCGTGAGTCCTCCAAAGATACCATAGCTTACAATCATGGCACCCTTGCCAACCAGCTCGTTGTACAGAAAGTCAATGGCATTCTTAGTACCGCCTGCGAGACCGTGGTTGTACTCTGGGATAACAAAGATGTACCCGTCGTACTTGGAAATCTCGGCACTCCAGGCGATAGAATGAGGTTGCGTGAAAGAGCCCTTGGAGGGAACCATTGCGGGCATGATTGCCTCGTCAAAGACGGGGAGGTTGAAGTCTGCGACGTCTACCAAGGAGATCTTGGTGTTCTTGACAGCGTCTGCATCGCCTGTGATGATTTCATTGATGACGTTTGTGATATGAGGGCCCACTCTTGACTTTCTGGTGCTGGTTGTGATCAGGGCGATGCTCTTTGCGACAGACATCTTGCTGGTTTTGGATAGTGAAGTAAGAATAAAGGTACTTGGAGAAGTGGATGGTGTGTGAAAGGGTGGTTCTATAGATCTTTGTTTAGCAAATTTCTCTTTACTTTTATACCCAGCTGATGCCCTGATATGTCGCCGAGCGCTATCGGCACGAATTGACCATAAATGTCTCCCAGCGCTACGATTGTTTATCGCCCGGTCCATATTAACATGGCCAATATCAACAACCGCGCGTTTCGGGCTTTGCTAACATCACCGATGCAGCAATACGCTATCTTTTCGAGGGGTTGGATCTCATCCTCCTGGCGGCCTTGGCACTAATCACCCTTGTGGAGCTTTGCCACACGCGCGCGGGACGGAGTTTGCTGACTGAACAATATTCGGTGCTGCTTCGTAAGCCGCGATATTTCGTTTAATTGGTGGAATGATAGCAGTGCGTCTTGTGTGTCAATCATCATTCGTGCTGGTTGCGTTGTTCATATTCTAGGTTGAGATAACCTTTTACTTTCTTTCTGCGCTAGAAACTGAGATTCATCCAGATTATGCTCAAATGAACAGTGGTTTCGTAGTTCTCCCCATGTTTAGATTATAAATTCAATTCAGTTCACAAGATAGAAAATAATGGTTTGGAATGAGGTTCGATGAGAGAAGAGATCCCACAGCAGTGGATGAGCAGTATGTTTGGTCAGGCAGTGAGCCCAGCACTTCCTACTCCTCCTAAGGCACCACAACAATATTGTTCTCAGCCTGTCCCCCCACCAACAACTACATACCTTAGATAGCCTTGTCTAGCCCATTCCATCAACACTTTGATACTCGAGCGGTTTCAAGGTTCTTCAGCATGGTATGTTTCGAGTGTCGGAAGCCGGGCCCTAATTGGTTCGTCGAGACTGTAAAGATGGCACAACGAAGCCTTGTTTTATTTGATCGGAGCGAGTGCAGAAACATCGGATCTAAAGGGAATGTCAATGGTAGTGACCAAAGAGCAACGCTATTGGTAGTGGATATGTTTACTGGTCATCCATGGTCGTCAAGTAGTAAATAGCTACAGTGGAAGAGGATTGGAGAGCCCTCGCCTGACATCAAATCCATGGGAAGTCGCATCCATGATTCTACCAAAGTTTCCATCGGTTGTCTTCAGGATATCGGCGACTTTTTTTTCAACAGACCCGTGACGATTGAAAATCGCCGAAACTCCGTCCCGAATCACGGATTTGATCATATCCAAAGATATGCACAGGGGCTTTTGACGACGGGTAAGACGCTAAGATCTTGTATCCGCAGAGCTTGGCGATCTAATCTTTTTAGTAATGACATTTGTAAACTATCTCGCTGGTTTCAAATACCTATACGGCGTACTGGCTCGCGCGGATGAGAGTGTTGGTAACAGGAGGCTCTTCATCTCCTGATGTAGGTCATCTAGAATTCCGAATTGATGTAAACATAATTTTATTTACGTGTCGAGGAACTCAAAGATTCTTCATGGCTGGTCTATTCATATGACAAATACTTATAGATATATTTAAGAGGAAGTTTAGCCTGCACATGTTCTCAGCCACAGCAAATACTCAGATTATATGTACTAGAAATAAATCGGTTTTACCAATGCTCTGGGTATTCTACTTGGCAGATTTGATAATAAGCTCAGCAGCAATCTCAGCAATACCATATACTGCGGTCTGGATATGAGCCGAGATCAAAAGCGGCATGATACTCGCATCTACAACCCGGAGGTTTTCGGTCCCGTACACCATAAGCTTGGAGTCAACAACACCACCATCGGCCTTAGGAAGCATAGAACATGTACCGACTGGGTGGAAAATACTAAGCGTAGTAGCTAGTACGTACGCCTTGAGCTGCTCGTCCGTTGTGACATCATCTAGACCCGGCTCATATTCATTGTCCCAGATGGATCTCATGGGCTCAGTTGATGCAATCTTTCGGTTATACTTGACTGCTTGCGTGACCGCTTCGATGTCATGGGCGTTGCTGAGGTAGTTGGGGTTGATGACAGGCTTGCCGGCAGGGTTCGATGGGTTGATGTGGATGCTGCCACGGCTGAGGGGGTGCATAACGACAGCAATGAGACTGACAAACCCTTTGCCAAAGAGTGGAGATGTGGCAGCTGGGTAGCCCTTGACTCCGGTGTAGCCATCAGAGAAGATGACCTCAATCTGTGGAATAGCGGGGTCCTTGAGAAACTCCAACTTCTTCTTGTCGACCTTGCTACCATCCTTGCCAGCAGCCTGCTCAGCAAGAGACCTAATCTTAGCATCACTACCCAGAGCTTGCTTCCAGTTTGAGAACGTATATGCGCTGCCAGTATAATCATACAAAGAGCGCTCACCGGCATTCCAAAGTGCGAGCTGCTCGGCAGCAAAGGTAGTGTTACTCCTCAGGGCATCAAATGAAGTAAGCTCTTTCTTGAGCTGGTAGGAGGTCATGACGCGTAGGTGATCCTGTAGGTTCTCGCCGACACCGGGAAGATCAATGATTTGTTTGACCCCAGCTGCCTCAAGAATGGATTTGCTTCCAATACCAGATTGCTCTAGTAACCCGGGACTCTGGATCGAACCAGCAGACAGGATTACTTCGCGGTGCGCTTTGATGTAAGTTCCATCCTGAAGTGTAATTCCTGTAGCAACGGATTTCTTCTTGCTGCTTGGAGTGGTCATGTTGACATTGGCGACTGTAGTGTCTGCAAGGATCTCAAGATTTGGACCAGAGATCTCGACGTAGGCGTTGGCGCTGTAGGAGCGGTTGTAGTTGGAAGGGTCGATACTGCTTGGTTGGTACATGACGCCCAAGGGATCTCCTCCAAGGGACTCGAGATTCTTTTGAACACCAAGCTTATTCAGAGTTGGGATCCATGATTCTTGGTGCTTGGGGATAAAGCGATTGATGACCGCTTTAACGGGCCCACTGTCTCCCACTCCTTTGGAACCGTACGTGGCAGTGTTTTTGCCCGTGAAAGTCTCAGCCTTGGTCATTGCTTTGATCATAGTCTTCCAATTCCAGCCCGCATTGCCAAGGGCCTCCCAGCTATCGTACTCTGCTGCAGCAGCACGGTCGTAGGTCATGAGGTTGAGGGCAGAACTGCCACCCAAGACCTTACCACGGTTCACGGGAAGAACTCTATTGTTGGCTCCGGGCTGAGGGACCGTTGTGAAGTTCCAATCATATTTGGTCCCAAGGGTAGCACCCTTCATACCAGGGATGTTGATCTTTGGTTCATCCCAAACTGCGGGTCCGGCTTCAACGAGGAGGATACTGGAGGAGGGAAGGCCCTCGCTAAGACGTGCAGCGACTACTACTCCAGCGGTACCGCCACCAACTACGATCTATCATCCCAGTAAAGTTAGTATCGTCGCTGAGCAAGAAATGGGGGAAGTCACTCACGTAATCGTATGCCTGTTGAGATGGGGCTGCGACTGCAGCTGCAGCAAGAGTAAGCCACAGATGTGGAACAAGCATGGTAAAGGAGGGACGTGGATGCGTGGGGGGAAAATGCACAGCGGAACGAAAGCAGAGAAGAAAGAATGACATTGGGGAGTAAACCATTTCTATGCATCATCGCCCCTGTCACGTAGGGTGGTATCGAACTGAGGGTTTCAGTATTAGTCCAGACTATTATTTTGACAGGCGGATGATCTAGGGGTCTCCCCCGATGCAGGGGTTTGGTACCATCCTTGATCCTACACAGGAAGACTAATGCCAAGACCATTTTTACGCGGTTAAGACTTCCAAAACCTGCCAATGCACAATAAGGTTTCTACAATGCAGGGGTTTGAGGGCAGATGCAGGGTCTTTGCTGTTTGACAAGCATGACAAATCTCTTGCATGATTTAATTCTCAGTACAGCGTGGACTGAGGTCTGAGGTAAGGCAGAGCATAGACCAATCTCCGCCGTCATCTTGGGACCATGATCATCGTGATTGTTTTAGAGAAAAAACACAAATCCAAATTCTGGCATTGTGCTGGATCATTGTGCTGGATATAACTCATATCATACACCCATTAAAGACCACGAGTCATGAGAGTCCCCATAGCAAGAAATCAATGCCTGAATACTGCTGCAGGTGTTATAACCGTGTGACTGTAGAACCAAAGTAGACTCAATAACCTACTGCGGGGCATATCCGTAGAACAAGGGAATCATCGCATCACGTCAGGAGCCTGGTGGGTCAATGGTACATCGCTTACGGAGTATGCTGTGAATTGCTCGGATAAATACGAAATGCGACATAAGCGAATCCATTTCCCAAAATCTGGACTTATCAGAGGCTGGCAGGGCTGGATGGTCTACGAACTGACTGCCTGATGCGCGTTAGACATGGCTCGCCAAGACGGGTTTGGGCATACTTAAAGTTTCGGGCAACTGGGCTATAACTGATCCGTGTGACATGTCTCAGATCCGGTAACGTCTTCCGTGCCACCCTGGAAAGCCACAAGACTCATACTTGATTAATAGATATCCGTAGTGTTGTACTCAAAATCTGTTTGATCTTCCTCGCCAATTCTCTCTTTTCTTTCCTTCAAAATCTCGTCCCTTTAGGCCCACTCGTCAATATCAATGTCCACTGTGGAACCGCCAAGCCCTTTACCACCAGATGAGAACGTCGGCCCGGTGCTACTCGGCGTTTCTGGTGTTTGCCTTGCCCTAATCATACTCACTACTAGTATTCGCATATGGGTCCGGTTAGGCCTACGATCCTTAGGCTGGGATGACTTCACTATAGTCGTGGCCACTCTTCTCGGTGTCACCCGTTTTGGCGTCCAAGCAGCTCAAGTCAAGATTGGCAATGGAAGACATAGATGGTACATCGACGCTGCGGACTATATAGACAACAATAAGCTTGGATGGTTCGCTCAGATCCTCCTCTTCGCCAGCATATGCCTGCTCAAAATATCGATTCTGCTCCTCCTCCTTCGTATCAAGGATTCCCGCCATGTCAAATACTCAGCATGGGCCATCATGGCTGGACTTTTCTTCACCAACTTCGGGTGCATTGTTATCTTGCTTGCTGAATGCAAACCAACTAGTGCATACTGGACAGGCGTTGGGGAATGCTGGGATCCTCGCATTCGAATCTACTCTATATATGCGACAATTGGTATACACGTTCAGCATCGAGAGCTAAGAGATTCAGTACTGACCCTCTATCGCTAGCATTCTCTATAGTGACTGACCTGATATGCTCTCTGCTACCTATTTTTGTTATATGGAGAGTAAATCTTCCACTAAAGACAAAGATCTCCGTGTGGGCCTTGATGAGTCTTGGCTTGATGTAAGTTGACCGATTGAGTTTGCTCCAAACCATCAGAGTACACTCTCTAACAAACCCCAACAGTGCTACCGGATTCGGCATTGCACGTGCAGCCTCTCTGGGTACAACGACAGCAGATTTAAGTTGTAAGCATACAACCCGTTTCTCTCACATGGACATATCCACTTACATAACTTGCCCAGGGTTCTATGCCATCACAGCGATCTGGTCAAACCTCGAGCTTTACCTCGGTATTGTCGCTGCGAACCTCTCTCTCAGCCGGTCGATGTTTGCATTCTTCTTTCGAGACGGAAGTACAACCAAAACTTCCTCCTACGGGGGTAGGGCCATTACAACGTCTGTATCTGGAAATGCCGGATTTCCCAGTTCAAACGGGTTTCGGTCCGCACAAAGACGTTTGCCATCTCAAGGACAGGATAGCGAGATTTCCTTGGTCCCACCATCAAATAAGGTACCATCCACTTGGTACACTGACGATAATACGAATAATGAGATTATGCCTGGGGTTGTTGCCAATGGTAAAGGCGACAGTCAATAGATTACTACCCAATAGAGATGGTATTTAAGTTTAACCTTTGTGCCATTTTGATCCCCGAAGTTCATCACACGTGATAGTGAGAATCGATCGACTATTGATAATCAAGTCAAATGATTGGGTAACCTTAATCAATATCTCGGCGAGATAGATCAAGGGTACACAGCTCAGAAAACATAGTTTCATCCTGCGTATCAGGGTTCCCAAATATCATAAGTCATCCAATATCCTAATTATGTTCAACTTTTGTTCAACTTTTGTTCAGGATTTTATTTCACGTCACATGCTGCAAACTTCCTGTGTTGCTAGACTGCCACACATACTAGCTAATGCGGCGAGATGGCACGGGCCTATGATGATCTTTCCAGTCCACAAAATTGCATTTTTGCATAAAGTTACCTTCTCTAAGATTGACGACGTTCGTCCTGGCAGCTTTGAGAGAAGCTTTCTGCAATTCCTACCACCCTTCCTCCGCAAATATCTGTTGCGAGGATTGAAAGTGTAAACTTGTCTCTGTTTCTTTCAGAGTGGCCAAGAAGACGGTTTTACTCAGTAACAAGAAAGAGCGTAGACCTTTTTCTCAGAACATGTAAGACTCATATAGAGGAGCATATGCATGCTTATCGCACGCATCCTCCAGCAGAACAACTTAACCTCGGATCTCGCTAAGAAATGATCCTCAATGACAGGAACCATGGGTTTATAAGATTTCATCGGACTATTGCTGTCGCAGCAAGCCTTGATAACAGGTGCACGGTTGGTTGAAAAGATGGAGCAAAACGACAATGGGAGAACGGCATCTTGCCGAACCTTTTGGTCTTGACGATCGACGAAGTTGTCACGTCATGCAAGAAAAACATTGGATCATAGAATTTCAAAGATCCCCAGTGCAAGATGGAGCCAGAAAGAGGAGTAGAATCTCGTTATGCAGAACCTCAATGGGCAAACTAAGGGGAGGAGAAGTTCATCAAAAAGGCCGAAAGTTCGTGACCACGGGACAAACAAAGAAAACATCTGTACCGGCTAAATCAATGATTTACGTAATTTCCTTTAGGTTTCCCCACATTCATGGATCTTTGATTATAGGTAGTTTGAGTAGTAAGTGCATAACGACCTGGCCGAAGTTCCGGGACCAACACTCGAGGTCCTGTATTCGGGTATTTTGCAAACTGTAACGTGCAAGTAACAACTCAGTACTACACAAATCAACTTCAACTTAATTAATTATGCCGTTCGGATCACAGGACTGTCATTCCGTGAACCATGGCCCGATAATTGTGTTGCAAACTCCGGCTGTCCCGATTAGGCACTGCAGGAGGATGGCCTCCGAGATGAACACTCCCGATACTACATCATCATAGCATACAGCCTAGGGCCTCCATAGCACATGACCGCATCGGATGCCTGTTCCGGATTATATTTGTGGCGATGTCGGGGCGACGATGAGCAGACAAACGTGCTCATAGAGGGGCTCAATCTCAATGCAGACGCTCCGAGAATTTCCACATTCTATCCCCCGCAATGGGCTATCGTGGAGACTTTCGGATCTCCTCTGAGCTCATCCGGGAATACATGATGAATGGACCCTAGTTTGGATCCTTTAACCGACAGAAGCAGGACATCACAGGTCCTAAGTGTAACCTTGCCCTGACTTTTGACTTCCCGTGTTTCCGAGACTATTCTACTCCACGCGAGGCTCTAGTCTATCGAACTGTGTATATAATATCTGGCTTCAGCCTCTCTTTCAAATTCCTCTCCATCCTATCCACAGTCAACCTTCCAGCTTCAACAGACAAACTTCATCTTTGACAGCTATGTCGGCCTACAAGCTTCTCCTGGCTGCCTTCGCGGCCACGGCTCTCGCTGCCCCTGTTGAGGAGCGACAGTCTTGCAGCAACGGAGTCTGGTAAGTGATGATTGCCCATGTCTGAATAACCTTCACTTACACCACAAAACAGGTCTCAATGTGGCGGTCAAAACTGGAGCGGCACTCCTTGCTGCACCAGCGGAAACAAGTGTGTCAAGGTCAACGACTACTACTCACAGTGCCAGCCTGGATCTGCGGACCCTTCCTCAACCAGCACCATTGCCAGCGCCACCACCACCAAGGCTACCACCACTACCACCGGCACTGGCGGCACTGTTACCGACCCTCCTGTGGCCAGCGGAAACCCTTACTCTGGTGTCGATCTCTGGGCCAACAACTACTACAAGTCTGAAGTCAGCACCCTTGCTATCCCCAAGCTGAGCGGTGCCATGGCTACCGCTGCTGCCAAGGTTGCCAATGTTCCCTCTTTCCAGTGGATGTAGGTTCCAGCCTGTACTCCATAGGGATACCTTTACTAAGACTTCTAGGGACACCTTCGAGCATATCAGCCTGATGGAGGACACCCTCGCTGACATCGCCAAGGCTAACAAGGCTGGTGCCAACTACGCCGGTCAGTTTGTTGTCTACGATCTTCCTGAGCGTGACTGCGCTGCCGCTGCTTCCAACGGAGAATACTCCCTTGACAACGACGGCAAGAACAAGTACAAGGCCTACATTGCCAAGATAAAGGGCATTCTTCAGAAGTACTCTGACATCCGTACCATCCTCGTCATTGGTAAGTTCAGCTCGAGCTTTGCTATTACATCTGCTGACCACTGTGACAGAGCCTGACTCCCTTGCCAACTTGGTCACCAACCTTAGCACTGCTAAGTGTGCCAAGGCCGAGGCTGCCTACAAGGAGCTCACCATCTACGCCGTCAAGGAGCTTAACCTACCCCATGTCACCATGTACCTTGATGCTGGTCACGGTGGCTGGCTCGGATGGCCCGCCAACCTTCCCCCTGCCGCCACGCTGTACGCCAGCATCTACAAGGACGCTGGCAAGCCTTCCAGACTCCGAGGTCTCGTCACCAACGTCGCCAACTACAACGCCTGGCAGCTTACCAGCAAGCCCGACTACACCGAGAGCAACCCCAATTACGACGAGCAGAAGTACATCCACGCCCTGTCTCCTCTCCTCGAGCAGGAGGGCTGGTCCGGCGCCAAGTTCCTCATCGACCAGGGCCGCTCCGGTAAGCAGCCTACGGGCCAAAAGGCTTGGGGAGACTGGTGCAACGCCAAGGGAACTGGTTTCGGACTTCGACCTAGCCCCAACACTGGTGATGCCCTCGCAGATGCCTTTGTCTGGGTCAAGCCCGGTGGTGAGTCTGACGGTACATCTGACACCAGCGCTGCTCGCTACGACTACCACTGTGGATACGACGATGCTGTCAAGTAAGTTGCAACGATATTTTGGTCTCTCAAAAGCTCTTACTAACATATTTTCTCCAGGCCCGCTCCTGAGGCTGGAACTTGGTTCCAAGCTTACTTCGAGCAGCTTCTCACCAACGCCAACCCCTCTTTCTTGTAAAGAAACACCGCTTCACGATCGTTTTCAGGTGTTAAAACAAATAGGATCATTTGATTTATGGACTAGTCCCAAGAACAGCGGGGTTGAACAATGGAGGAATTAAGCCAAGCACAAGACTGAGAGCGGCTGACCAGTTATCGGAATTCTCCCAAAGAAAATGGCCTAGATAACTATCAAATTGCACCTCAGTTTCTAAAATTGTCATTTATAAATGTCTCAAGGTTCACTTTATGTTCACTTTATGACACCTTATATCATACTAAACTCTAGTTTTGCGATTTTCAATAATGTTATATTCGTACACTTAGAGCTTTTACCATAATCTTATTACAAACTGATATAACATCGACATGATATAGACTAAACTTACCAGAATCGTACCTAAATTATGCAAGTTTAGAGAGCAGTATTTAAAGGTGGAACGGTTAACAACCTACTCTACGGAAATTTTATCTAGAGTTTGAAAGGCGACAAATCACTGCAAGGGCTGTCGCATAGATCTGATATTGAGAACCAACCATTATTTTGTAATTCCACGACCAAATACACACTCGATAAGAAGTAGACAAGAAGATCACTTAGTCAACAACACCCTGCGGCAAGACCGAAATATAGTCCAAGGCAGCTTTCTCCGCACCATCAGCCTTTCCGATAACCACCAGCTTATCGCCTGGCTTGATCTTGACTCCCTCGAATGTCATTCGTATGGCAGAGTGCCCGTCGAGGAACTCACTCGGCCAATGGCCCAGTCTTTCCTCGTTATCGCCAACCCACTTACCGATCAATCGGTTGTTAAGGTAAAGAGCCCAGGTAGCTTTGCCCTTGACAATATCGTAGTAATTAACGGCGATGTCATAAGTACCCTTGGGGAATTTCAGTGTTGTGGAAGCTGTGCCAGTGCTGTCTGTGTACACAGCAACATACTTGGAGGCGGTCTCCGTAGGGGTGACGTTGACTGGGCGGTATCCGTCGAGCTCCATCTTCTCCGCCTCAATCCTGTACGGGTGGTTGCGGACACGTCCCTTTGTATCAGCGATTCCAGACAAATTGCGGTAGAATTCGCTAATAGCGTCTCTCCACACGATAGAGTGGCCGGCTTGGTACTTGAGTCTGAACATCTCGTGCTCGAATCGGTCCTTGTCTACCTTGCCCTTGAGGGAGTCCCAGGTCTTGTGGAATGTCTGAGCAGTCTTTGCACCTTCGTAGTGGGCATCGTAGAAGTGTTGAATGACTGTCTTGCCGGAATGGAGCTTGAAGGTATACGGAACGTGATGGAACCAGAGCATGAGGTCATCGGGAGTAGTTTCAGGCTTTTCGTATCGCTCGGCTACTTCAGCAGGATATTGGCCTGCGTTTCCTGTGCCGTTGCTGACGGTACGGTCCATTCCGATGTGGGTGCGTGTAGCTCTGGTCCATTGGCCCCATCCGTTGTTGTCTTGCGAAGCCGGGTTAGGACCATAGTGAGCATAGAGAATGTCGGTCAAGGTCTGGGTACCGAGATTGCCGGTGTAACTCTCATACGCAGGCCAAGAAGCCATAGACATATCCGTGATAGCCTTGCGGACCTTGTCATCCAGGCCAAAGGTCAATCGAGTCCAATCCTCTAGAATCGCCTGGGGATCCGAGGTAGGCTCCCAAGCCATGCGGCCAAAGGCGTAAAGGTTCGACATGGAAAGGTGGCTTCCCAGCCAGGTCTTGTCTGTGCCGACGTTGGTGACTCCGGCGTATCCACCCAGACGGCGCTTGAAGACCTTTCCAGAGACCACGTCTCGCACAGGAGACTTCTTGCCGTCGATACGAAGATCGGAATCAAGGATATTTCGCCAAAGGGGTGGGAGATAGACAAGGTGGCACTGCTGGCCTAGGTATTCTTGACTGATCTGTAGTTCGATCGCAGCATTGGTGTTTCGAAGATGAGCGAATAACGGACTGGGGGCCTCTCTGACCTGGAAGTCAATGGGACCGTATTTGACCTGAACCACGACGTTGTCGTCGAATTTTCCGTCAAGCTCCTTGAAGAACTCCACAGCAGCGTTGGCGCGATCCGCCTTCCAGTCAGTCCAGTCAAGCTTATCATAGACAAAAGCTCGGAACATGACGACACCACCATGAGGCTCAAGGGCTTTGGCAAACATGTTGGCACCGTCAGCCAAAGTTCTGTTGTATGTGATAGGCCCGGGCTGTCCCTCGGAGTTGGCCTTGACCAGATATCCGGCCATATCGGGAATGCGCTCGTAGAGACCATCCGTCAAGTCGTGCCACCACTTGACCACTCTCTTGTCAAGGGGATCAAAGGTGTCAAGATCACCAGTCAGATTGGGCGAGGCAAAGTTGAGGGAAAGGCCAACTTGGACACCCCATGGACGAAGAAGGTCGGCGATCTCGACGAGACCGTCTCGGTTCTCCTTGTTGAAGAGGCGCACATCGGCGTTGACGTTGTTAATAACAACAGCGTTAATTCCGATAGAAGCAAGAAGGCGACCGAAAAGAGGCACGCGCGAGAGATCCTTCTTGACGTTCTTGATACCGTCGAAAAAGATGGAAGGGCCGCCGTATCCTCTTTCAATGGGACCGTGGGTACCGCTTCCGTTGAGGTTGTCCCATTGGTTTGCCCACCGAATGGGCGCACTGGGGTTTGAAGCCTTCTCCACCTTCTTGAAGTTGCCCTGTCCAAGCATGGAGAGGTACTCAAAAGCACCGTAAAGAGCACCACGCTCATTCTGTCCGATGATCTTGACAGAGTCGCCGGAGGTACTTAGCCAGTAGCCATCCTCTTCAAGCTTGGGGTGAGACTGTTTGCTGTGGCAGGCTTTGTCGAGGTTGTCTTCAGTGGTAACCACGATTGTTTGCGAGAAATCGCAAGTCTTTTGGTTGGTTGCAGTCTTCAAGTCAATGTCAAGAATACCGCTGAAGCCTTTCTGGAGCTCTGACGCGGCGCTTCGCAGCGGGCTGTCCTTGGAGCCACCAATAACCCGAATGTTGCGTGGCAGGGACTTGGCATGGCTGGAGACATATTTGGCTGGCAGGGGAGCATATCGGAGCCAGCCGTCCAAGCCGTCCTCTGCGAGAACGCAGGTGGTAACTGCGAGGAGTAAAGTCGAAACCCTCATGATGCGCTAAGAGTGCGACTTGAAGAGTATGTGGTGAAGACAACGATTCCCATTGACGGCATGGTGAGCGAAGTCATGGACTTATATCAGAGCGCTACATCCATACATTATACACGATATTAGCAAGCGGAGTAATTATCATCACATTCAGGCTATTTCAATTAGCCTCGGGGTAGTAGTCTAACTCTGCCCTGTGTCAGATCGACGCCGATGACATTACTCCATCAATCGGCACTCGAGCAGAAGTTGGGGTAAATGGGGCCCTCACGAACCATCCGGTCTTGGGACGACGATCAGTCCATCACCCTCCAAAGACTGATTGACCTCGGCTATCTGCGAAATTACTGTTTAGACTATACTCGTCGCTGGTCTTTGCGCTTACTGCAATAAGCTGAAGGATATGTCTTTAGGCAAAAAACGACATCGGCCACCAAGCCGAGTAATATCTCCGAACTGCGTATCCGGACGGAGTACTGGGGTCAGTAATTGTGAACGCAAACAGGTGAGCAGAGCTGGCTGCACGAAGTTATGCATGCATATCGACATGCAAAGCTCATGCACCTAACTTCTTTGAGCTTTTATTCGCTTAAGAAAAAGATAACAACAAGAGGTCAAGACCAAGACCGTTTGTACGCCCGTTCACCGTCGGCACAGAGCGCTATAAGTGCACCAGACAAGGGCTTTGGCGAGTGTAACAGTCACAGCACACGTAAGTTAGCGCATGGAGCGAAACGGAACTGATCAGCACCCAAGGTCTTGTGAACCTGGGGAATTAGACGGTGAGTCATGAAACGGAGACACACTGTGTGCTGTTGATTAGCAAAAAGCTCTGTCCCTATGAAAATTTTCAATTTGTGGCCGGTTTGCTGTCTGGTTCCTGGCGATTGACTCACTCGCAGCCTGAACAAAGCCACCTGATCCCAGTTTAGAACGATGTGGCTAGTGTTTTGGCCCCGTTTTCCACGTTGTGTAACAGCGAATTTTTCTCATCAGAATTTTGCACAGCAAACTGTCATGCAAATTGTGGCAATCTGCGTCAAATCCCATGATATGATTCGGCCGGAACGAATTGCCAGCACGACAGTGACTAACCCAAACACTGGGTCCATGTCCAAAATCGAGGCCTTCTTGTTTCGCCAAGTGTTGTCTCTCCACTATTAGGCGCATGGTGGATTCAATTGTCCAAACGTCAAGCCTTTTGGGCCATAAAACCTGCGATCATATTCAAGCATATCCTCCAAACCCTGGTCGCGCTATCCGGGCCGGACCAAGGGTACGTGCTTTGCGTTGCATACATGGCCGAGTTAGCTCACGCTCGCATGCCTCGTTGCCCTAACATCCACTCGCCAGCATGCAGATGTCTTTCTTTGGTCAATTCGTCCGCTCGACATGGCATGTTGGCCGCGTAAGAAGCCTCTTTGTTGGCTGCTGTCAGGCTGCAAACCACTATTTTAGTACAGAGGACCCGTTCTATGCGCTGCAGACTCCACCGCCTTGGTAACACTAGACTGTTGAGATATGACCTCTCTCTAATTGGTACCCTTGCTGTATGCCTTTGCATGTATAAACCACGGCATCGATGGATTCGTTTCTCGCCTCGATGGTCTCCCATAAACAAAGTCAACTGGGTATAAATGTAAGCAACTGCTTTCTCACAAACAGTCTCGAGTTACTATCACTCATTCTCTTCTCCAATATTACCTAGTATAATGCTTAATTAATTACATTCATCTCTAAACCTCATAATGAAAGACCGAACGAGCGACCACATTCATTTCCCACGCCATGCCGAGCGGCTCCCTCGGCGCTCAAATGGCGTTAGTGGATATAGCGATCTGCTGGGCAGAGCTGTCTTGATATCAATCATCAACTACCTTGCCGATGTTGTCGATGCCATCGAAGACATCAAGCTTCCCAAGCAGCACAAAGACAGGACGAAGCTAAAGACCGACAAGAAGAAGATGTGTGACACCATCGTCAGAGCTGCAAACACTTTCACATCACTCTTCAATGCGGCAAAGAGCCAGAGCAAGTTCACGGATCCTGCTCGTAAGTATACTCTGACAAGCCACATGATCCCAGCTAACATACTGAATAGCAAAGAACTTGCCACTCTACCGGGATGAGATCCAAGGACAGTTGTTGTGCCCGCTATCAAAAGCCAAGACAACGAAGGCAACCCTCAGTCGAGCTTTCACATTTACACCTTACCAGCAAAGGCTCTCCACAATATTGAACGGTATTGAGGAAGAGATTTGCTGGTGGCTCAGACTTCCCCGACCGACCAAGACTTACGAGCACCACTCCAAGCATCCCAGCAAGGCATACGACGAGCGCTCGACACGAACGGGCACCACACGGACTAGCAAGTCTTACGATCATCAATCAACACGAAGCGGCAAGCCCCATGACACAAGGTCATCACGGGTCAACCAGCCTAGAGGGCAGCGACAGAAGAGGAGCTCATCACCTTCACCTCTGTCAAACATCTGTGTTGTCATGTAATTAGCTATATACATATATATGAATACTGTCCTTTGGACAGACGGGTTACGGGCGAAAATATGCAGGACATAAAAAGCGAATGGACACGAATCATCACGAAGGAACGGGAAAAAACGGGCGGAACAATCTGATTAAGCGAATGGATGAATTTTGGGAGTTGGAAAAATGGGTAAAATAGGCCTACTGGACGGAAACATTGTTTTGGGGGTCAAATTGCATCAAGCATGGGCAGGTTTCTCTTTAAGCATAGAAATGCATAGCGTTTTAGCAAAATACCAATTATATATATATCTTTCATTCTTGTTTATGCCTTGTAAAGATCGTGATTAACAGTAGTTTGCCACGTGTCCCTTGTCTGTAGTAGACAGTGGGATGATGGTCAGGTCAAGAGCTCTCTGCCATGCAGCTATAAGCAATACTTCCAGCCTCTTTCTTAAGTTCTTCCGGATAAGGTCCACCCATGGATCTGCGTAGTCTGTCTTGCAGAAACTGTCGAAAGGTACCGCAGGGGAGACTTTCCGAGTCGTGGAACTCCATGGTTGCCCACTCCAGCTTCTGCATCTGCTCGTAGCTACCGTATCTCGCCTCGATGACTTTCATGTTCTGTTTCTTTGCCGCCTCCGGTGTTTCAGAGCCCTCCATGGCTTTTCTATATGCCTCCAAGATCTGCTTTGTATTTTCCGGGGTGACTAGAAGAACGCTGAGGACGTCTTCACGCCCAATTTCGACTGTTACGCCGGAACTTGGCCATTCAAGTTCCTCTCCCGGGACTCGCAGCTCATTGCATCCGGAAAGGGGTTCATGCAGTTCGAGATAACTGATTTCGAGCCCTTCAAAGACCCAGTCAACGTCATCAACTTTGTGGAGAGGAGGATCAAGATGGTAACCGTTCCATGTCCCCCCGAATCCATTACTGATTTTGAGGAACTCTTTGTAATCTTCCGGCAGTGTCAATTTCAGTTTCTTCTCCAAGTTGGAAATTTGCTCATCGGTTGCAGGGGGTAACATGAAGAGAGTTTCTGGACCTGGCTCGTCCATCTCGACCCAAAATTCCTTGGATTTTGCCTTTGTGTTGCGTTCCAACTCCAGAAGAAGCTCCTTCATGGGCTTTGATTCTAGCTTGTGTGGCTTTCGGCCACTGGTGAAGCGCTCAGCAAAGGTCTTTATAACTTCTTTGCCGAGGTTTTTGAGTTTGTCTGTGTCGACTGGGACTTTCTCGGCCAAAATACCTGTAGAAAGAATTGCACAGAGTTCGTGACGTCCAGCAAGGAACGAGATAACCCCATCCGTGTACAGTCTCTCAGCTGCAAGGTTAGCGACTTGCTGGACTCTTGAATCATTTCTGATTCTTTCCATATCAGACGTTTGCCTTGATGCCAGCCTCACGGCGAGGTAAAAGGCATTCGCAATTGATGAGCCGCTCATGCGATCATCGGAATTGGCATCGGCATCTTCCACCCGCTTCAGTTGCTCTCTCAGCTGTCCCTTTTCGTCCTGCTTAACATCGCTATCCTCTGTGTCAAGATCATGCTTGGCGGCAGCTTTTTCTGCCCTTGCCTCAATTCTCTCCTCCTCGGGGATCTCATCTGGCCATTCATTGGCTGCTGCGAAAAAGGGTTCGAAATGCCGAAGCTGCTCACGCTGCCAGTCTGAAGTAGTATCACGGAGTAGAAGAGAGACCAGATCTTTGGTGGTGTCTACTGCCCCGAGGACAGCGAAATCTCCTGCCAAATCAACCAGCTTGTTATAAACTTCTGGTAGAGAGGGGTTTGTCCGAATCGCGTCGCGATCAAATTTCTTTTCGTAAGACATTGCAGGGAAGTTTACAATGGAGAATCTGGCGCATCAAATTGCCTCTAGTCTCACGAGCGACTCAGTTTATAAATAATGAACAACGATACCAGCAAGATGCATGACGGTGTGAAAACTGATGTTGAAATTCACGAAGGATTCTTGCTTTTGACGTCATGGTTTCGGTCATTCCTTGATGGGGTCTAGATCGACTCCAGGACCGACTTCTATGGCTTGTCATTGGGAGACGACCTGGTCAGCCTGTTGATGCTGACATCTACGATTTTGCATTTGCGTGTTGTGGCATAATCTTACAAGACTCTGTGATATCGGACATACAAGTGGGGTACAGCATTCCGACAGGCCATAGATCAAGACATAGTTTCCCGAGCTGAACGAGAATCCGCGGGTTCGTATGTTTCCCCACGTTTCATTTATCATCCGAACAAAATTGAAGAAGAACCCGCGGGTTCGTATGTTTCCTCCCCACGTTTCGTTTATCATCCGAACAACCCTGCCGTGCATCTCGTCCGATCGGCACGGGGTGATCTTTTGACGTTGGCGCGATATCTAATTACCGGTAGTTAAGTGCCGAATTTGTGGGATGTCGATCTATCAACTACATCCGACCCCAAAATACACACTTGCTTGTTTGTAGCATAGAAGAAATTGTCAATCAGTTCATAGGGAATATTAACTCAACTCGCAAGGCTACTAACTAAATAAAACGCGGTACAATAAAAGACAACGGAAGATGTCAATTCCCCAAAGAGACAAGGGAGTCCTGACTCAGATTTAAGAGGTTACAGAAGGAAACATGTCACAAAAATATGCAAAGGGAGAAACGACATATTGTCCTTAGAATGCCTCAAATAAATTAGAAGAAACTAAATGACTACGAGCACAGTACCAGACTATCCCTCTTCATCTAGTAGAAATCATTGGGGCGACCAACAGGACTCTTTTATACAGAAATGGCGACCAACAACCATCTTGCAACCTCTTCCTTCTCTTCAACTTCCTCCACATCGCACCTCAAACAGTAATAGAAGCTATGCTTAAGATAAAAAATGCAGCTTAAGCGTGGCAAGGGGAGCTGTTGGAACCAGAGTTGTTCTGGAACTCAGAGTTCTGGGCACCGGGGAAACCACCCTGGTTGCCACCCTGAGCCGGAGCCTCCTGGGCGGGAGTCTCCTGGGCAGGGGCGTTGTTGCCAGCGTCGGGGGTGGTAGCGGGAGCATCGGTGCCAGTGGCGGGGGTAGTAGCGGAAGCATCACCACCGGTAGCGGGGGCATCACCACCGGCAGGGGCGGCGCTGGAGGAGCCAGACCAGACCTTGGGGCCGGGCATGGGGAAAGCCTTGGCTCCGTTGTAGATGGAGAAGTTAGCGTACTCATCGGTCTCCTTGTAGGCACCGGGGAACTTGGTCATCTCGGCGTCGACCTTGCCGGCGCTGCCACCGGTAACCTTGACCTGAGCGCAAGAGACGTAGTGCTCAGGCTGGTTGCCGTGAGATCGGTGGATACCGATGTGCTCAATGCGGAGGAGGTACTCGCCGTTGGGGGTTCCCTGGGGAATCTTGACATCGGCGGTAGCAGAATCGTAGTTGCACCAGGCGTCCTTGGTGAAGTCACCGCCGGCGTTGCAGACACCCTCCTCCATGATCTTGAACCAGTCACCGGAGCCGTCGTAGGACTTGACATCACCACCGGCATCGGACATGTAGGCCAGAGTAGGTCCGGGGTGGCCCATCTTAGCACCGACTCCGAGCTTAAAGGTGATCACATCACCACCCTTGACCTCAAGAACCTCAGTGTTGGCACCGGACTTGGAGCCGCCTTGGTTGCAGATGATATCATCACCGTCAACGAAGGAGTTGTCGCGGATGTCGGCGGGAGGGTTGGAGGAGAACTTGATGGGGTTGTACTTGGTAGGACGGGTGAAGTCACGGATGTACTGGAAGGACTTAGACTCGGCACCGTTGAGAGCGGAGGTGTCGAAGAAGTAATGGGCAGAAGCAACCTGCGAGAGGGCAGCAATGGCGAGAATGGAGAACTGCATCTTGGAAGATTGGTGGTTTGGGATAGTAAAACTTGTACTGGTTTGTATGTGCTGGAGACTGGCTCGGTTGATAGTTGAGAACGAAAGGAACGAGAGACTAGCTCTTCGAAAGAAAGACTGAAGTGAATGAAAGAAGATGAAGATCTGTTGATGGAGACGAAAGGAAAACTAACAAGACCAGCGAGAACAAGATTCCTTTATAGATTTCGGATCTCGCACGACCTGCTCATTGTTCTTTGGGCGCTTCCAAGTTCCAACAGGGATTTCCGTTCGGGCCTTGGGACGCTCAGGCGCTGGGTCCGTAGCTGGATTTCATCCGCCCATACGGGCTCCCTACACCATCTTGGCCGTTCGCCCCGCCCAAGTCCATGCCAAACGCCGAGAAAAACAAATTCTAGCCGACGCATTCTGACTTGGCCAATGTTTTTTGCTGCCCTCGCTTGTGAGGAGCTGTTACAGAGTACGGCGGAAGAGCAGGGTATGTTTCAGTGGTTCGTGAAATTCGCACGAATGAGAAGAGAACCAAGATCTGATCTGACAGACATGTCAGGGCATTTAGTCTCGTCTAGTTTCCCTATTAAACAACCTAAAAACGTCTAATGTGAAGAGAGTTTACCTGATGGCCCATGCCATAGCTTAATATTTGCTTGTTCCTTTACTCTCTCCTTCTCACATCTATGTTAAGGGCTTCACGTCAATACTACTCGAGACTACACATCGTTAACACAAATCGAGTCATCATACGGAGTACAACGAGCAGTGTTTTCGGGCTGATTCACGGCAAACCACGAAACGAATTAATTTCGGTCAAGGGGACGCAGCTCTTGGCGACAGGGATCTGGAAACGATATCTCATTTTTCTGGGTAGTGGGGACAGCCCCTGGCGGGTGATCATAGCTTCGACAATGCGGCTAAACAGCTGTCAACCTTAAACTACCCTAAACTCATGGCTTATCTTGCTGCAATTACCTTAAATCCTGTGTGCTTTGGGTGCATCTCGAGGGTGATATCGTTATTATTCTCGCTAGGTTCGAATGTTCGTATGGGAATATCATCTTGGGAAGAAATAGAATTCGAGTTTATCCGTCGTCTGCATCTGTTTCTTGACAAAAACAAGGTATCTGCTGACGTGAACAAGGGCATCTATCAACGTGAAACGATCACTTTAACGCCTGCGATTAGCTCTTTCCACAATAGAACACAGCATTGACGAAAACGGTCACATAATACCGAAGCAGTAACTTTTGCGATGACTAATAGAGGATTGTCCAAACGCGGTGAATACAGGCGCCCAAGGATCACATGCATCCCCAAGCGCAGGGGCCACTGTATCGCAGCGGTGAGATTAACAGCCCTGCCGCCCCAACAATTATATCCGTACCAGAGTTACGTCGAAGTAAATATGCCGAACATAGTATCGTTTCCGGGTAAATAATTGAGGTCGTAAAATGCAACCCTGCTCCTTCGATGCAATTGTCGTTTCAGCGGCACCTCTGTGGCAAAAATGGCCTCGAAATCGAACAACGCAAAAGTTCGTGACATCAGGTATCAGAATTATGAGCGCATGACCTTATTTTAACGAGTAGTCGAACCAGTTCAGCATGCGATTGGTAGGAATTAAGCAACATCGGCGTTGTCAATGTCTTGTTCGAGTTTTACCTTGAACAGTTTTGGGTTTAGCGGCCTTGGCAGGCCCTATATAAGCTTGATAAGCTTATCGTAAGCAGGGTGCTTAGGATGCTTAAAGTTCTTTTTGACAAGCTGAAGATGATCGCAACACCAAGATCTTCATATGGATCTTGGTTATACGTAGCAAAGTGCGATCCGGCCCTTTCTGACACATTAAGCTGTAATGCATAGTTATACCGTCTCAACCATTCGACTCCCAAATGAACCTCAACCGAGCCTATAATCGAGGGGCAGTAGAATACTCTGCTGTTGGCTGCAGCATCCTGCTTGCTGACTCTGGCCCCTCGATGGAACCAGATGTGCAGACGGATCCCGCGGGAGGCCGGGAGAAGGCCCGGAACGTCTATCTAGCCACTCGGGATAGCTGAGGAAAACTTCCGCCAATATCGGGAGCTCGATCGACATTAACTTGACATTTAATCCCAGGATCACATACTTGCCCATCTCACTCTTACATTCTCCGCTTCTTTTCCTCTTTCGAGATTATTTCCTCTGTGATGTGGTATATGTTTGAGTTATACAAACTTGAGTGACATTTCATGCTTTTGAGGTTGTGGTGAGAGAGTAACATAATTACTCATGCTGATGAATTAGAAATCCGTTCCCACATTCAGCTTTGTTAGAGTAACGAGGAGCTACTACGCACATGCAAGCAAATGAACATTGCTAGAAATAGTAAATAATACTAGCCACATGTCAAAGCAATACGTCGAACGGATAGAATTATGGTCTGTAGGGTAAGCCATCACTGTGAGAGAAGGCCCGATGTTTCTTCAAGGATAATTGTCGTATTCATTAATGATCAGTGAGTAATAGGTGGAGCTTATCAAGGGTGAACAAGGCACGGTGATAGGAGGTTCTTGGAATTCCGTGAGAGCTGCTCAATTTGGCAGTGACTAAGCATTTGAGATTTTCCGAAAATTCTGTTTCCATTCACCCCTGGATTTCTCCGTTTTTTTGAGGCAATCTCAGATCCAGCCGAGGCAGCGAGAAGCGCACGAAACATTGAAGAGGGGCTTTCAACGTGTGAAGCATCAAGGCTACAAACTGCAAACTCTCCTTGTTTATGCAGGCCAGTAGGTAAAACGTTCGGCGAATTATCAAGCCATCAGGATATCTAGCCCCACTGGTTGGCTGCAAGAAGTTGAGAACGGTGCGGTATCTGAAAGACGGTGTGACAATCAAGGCCAATTTCCACTGAAGACCGACGCGTATGTTGCCCTCTCAGATGCAACACCAAAGATGAGGGTGCGGCCCCTCATCAGCATCTTTTGCAAATCTGCTCTGCATAAGCTGAAATGAAATGCTCCGCCCTGCGGAATTTATCTTCATCAATTCTCCGTCTTGGTCCATCTCCATGTCGCATCCCATAACCCTGATTTCCTAATCCTTTGCCTCAATCAGACTTTATCTTCTACAAACTTCCTTCCCCTGAATATCAGCTTAAATACGGAGTACAGGAGCTTACTACGTTGCATGTGCTTGCTCCTGAAATGGTTGGCCCCTCACCCAACATGCTCTTGTCGCGCACCAACGATAATGGTTCAAGTCTGGGATGAGTGCAGTTAACTTGACATCACTATTGGGCGTATCTTACAATCATGGTTGTAAGGCCCATAACAATAATTGAAACCGAGGTCGGTGCTAGTTCTGGACTCTTTCTTCCTGGCCAGTCGTTGATCTAGCGACTTCGCTGCCCACGCCAAACTTAACCTTCTTCATTGGTTGGTCTCTATCTTCGAGAAGAGTTGATTACCCACCGTGTTATCAGTAGATTTACGATACCGCGACTGGGATCAAGGAAGTATTAAACTTTCAAGCTCGGCGTCCTTTAAGGCCCCGACGCCGAAGTATAAAGTTCTGGACCAAACCTTGTCTTGTTCCGAATGGCACCACTATCCACAGTTAGGTGCGACCACTCGATCCATTGCCTCTACTTAAAAGGCCTTCCTTCACCTTTCCATACCGTGAGTGCTCGATCTAACGACTTTGGCTGTTACTACCAGCTGAAAGGGAGTGGGTGGTTGCTGGTGAGCCAGCTGAAGCATTAAGCATTTACCATGAACGGCTTGGATGCGGGAATTTTCGAAAGCTTGTCAGCCGCCAGAAACCGCTCAAAGTGACCAACACATCGAGGTATTTTTATGAGCCAATGAATGTCGTTCTTGTTGACCTCAATCTCATACTACATGCGAGGAGTCAACAACCTTGCAAGTCAAGCACAGCCAACGTAGGGTGTGATCGGTTGTGTGATACTGTGAAAGCACCCTGAACGTTTGTTAATCGCTATCTTGTGTCCCTTTCTGCTCACTTGTAGATTATTGTATAAATCACGCACATTTCCGCATGCTTTGGCGAATGAACAAAGTGCCTAAGTAGAGTATTCTCATCATGGACTCATCACACTTCACCTCCCGTGCTTGTGAGGCAACCAATTCAGTTCCTCCAACTCCACCCCCAGACACTCCAAAAATGAACATCCTCTTCCTCTGTACAGCGCACAATTCGCTCTCGCAACAGCTGTATTTGAACCTCAGTCAAACACACACCGTCACAATTGAATATGCCCTGTCCGACACTGTCATGATCGAGGCAGCAAACCTAGTGAAGCCCGACATCATTATTTGCCCTTTCTTGACCTCAGCAGTCCCAAGCGAAGTCTACTCAAATTTTCTTACCCTCATCGTCCACCCAGGGCCACCGGGTGATGCTGGGCCTAGCGCGATTGACTGGGTCTTGATGGGCGACGATGGTACCGTCTCAGACTCTGCCGAGCTTCTCAAGTCGCAAGCATGGAGCAAGACGGGTCGATCTCACTGGGGTGTCACCGTACTGCAAGCCGTAGCTGAGATGGATGCTGGCCCTGTCTGGGCTTTTGAACAGTTCGACATCGATATTGATGCGCCTGGAACGACAAAGGCGACTCTTTACCGTGGACCTGTTACACAAGCAGCCATCACTGCAACTGTCGCTGCTCTTAATCGCACCACTTCAGTGGCCAATGCCAATTCTGACCAAAAAATAACCACTGTCGTTTCGGAACAACTTTTACTTCCGAAGAGAGATACTTGCGGTATATCAGTCCATCTTCTTCCCGAACCAACCTTCAAAACCCTGTCTGTGACGCAACAAGAGCCCTTCCTTGGTGGGGCGACACACCGCCGCCCTCTTCTGAAGGCTGCAGACCGAAACTTTGACATCCACCAGGAGTCAGCCAGAATTGTCTCACGAAAGATAAGATCGGCGGATTCCCAGCCTGGTTGTCTTACCAAGTTGTTCGGAAATACCAACCTTTATGTCTACGGGGGTATCATCGAGACTGGTAGGAATGAGAACTGCGACAGTGAGCCTGGCCAGATCATCGGCTATAGAGACGGTGCAGTTTGCGTTGCCACTTGCGATGGTCTGGGAATCTGGATTGCTCACATCAGAAGGGTGAAGCGAAAATTTGACCCGCTGCTTTGGCCCAAGGTACCAGCTGTCTCAGGCTTGCTCGAACTCGGCTACATTGATCAAGGTGTCTTGAACAGAACTGGATCATTGCGCTTGATCGAAGGCTGGACGAAAGCAACATGGTCTACTTTCCAATACGTTTGGGTCGACTTTGCACCCGGCCCTGGCAAGAACAACGTCGCATATGTCTACTTCGAGTTCTACAACGGAGCCATGAACACCCAGCAATGCTCGCGACTCATTGAAGCTCTTGAATTCGTCGCCTCACAAGAGTCTCTCGATGCAGTCGTCCTCATGGGTGGCGATTCGTACTTCAGCAACGGAATCGCCCTCAACGTCATTGAAGCAAGCTGTGATCCTTCGGCAGAGTCGTGGCGTAACATCAATCGCATAGATGATGTGGTGCACATGGTGCTTGATGTGTTTCCTCGGAAGAACATCACTACAGTCGCCGCACTGCGAGGGAACTGTGCTGCCGGTGGCGTGGCCCTTGCGGCAGCCTGCGATGTGGTAATAGCAAGCTCAGTGTCAGTTCTCAACCCTGCTTACCGAGCTGTCGGACTTCACGGTTCTGAGTATCACTCCCTTTCGTATGTCGGACGCTGTGGACCTCGTGGTTCGAAGCGCATCTTGCGGGATATGTTGCCGCTATCAGCTTCCCAAGCCAGAGAGATGGGCTTGATAGACCATGTCCTCCTGGGTTCGGGCGATGCTCTCGACACAAGAATCAGGGATCTTGTTCAGCAGCTGATACAGACCCCTTACAAGCCCGGTTCATGGAAGTCCTGCGTCGACGTCAGTACCTCTGGGCTTGCATCTGCTAGAGCTACCGAGCTTAGTGAAATGGCCAAGGACTTTTGGAGCGCAAGGTCCGAAAGATACACTTCCCGAAGACGAGATTTCGTCAGAAAGGTCAAGCCTTCTAAAACACCTCTGCGCTTTGCCACTCACAGAAGGCGAGATGGAATGCTCGATGACGAAGAGACTGATTTGTTTGATGATATTGCGGCATATGAGGAGAGATTTTCGGCACATCGCGAAAGGGATAGGGATGATGGGTTCTTGTCTCGTCGTGAAGATTCTAAATTGCACAGTGAAGGGGTGGTGATCAAATCCAACTTGATTCAGGAGACCAGTAGTGTGCAAGATAAACCGATGTTGTTCCCTTGTTACTATGAAGTAGATACCCAGGTTTGTATTTAGTGTTCTGTTTCACCACAATGAGTATTTTCAACATCAAGACAAGCCCTCAGTATCTCGTGGTACAAACAACATACAAGTGCTGCCAGATGCACTTCTCATATCCGTCTTCCATTTGTACCCCGACAGTCATTTTCTGTAAGTATATGCATCACATGCGCCATTAGGTATCCCGAGCTTGTGAAATCGAACGAGGTTCATGAGCTTTGTCCATCAGATCCTGTGTGTAGTTTCCCAAGGCTTCAAAATGGCTGAGGGCGAGAGTTCCAATTCGTTCGCTACTCAGCAGCTCCATGATGTTACGCACCGCAAAGAGACCTGTGTTCCTCTTGACCTCATTGCTGACAATCATCTGTTGCTCCTCCAGCTGATCTTGTAGACGTTTGATATTCAGTATTGCTTGATCGCGCTGGTACTCAAGGCGTTGCGTCTCGGCCTTCATAACCTCCAAGTTCTTTTGAGCATTGTCTCTTTTGATCTGGGCCTCGTTGCAGGCGGCGGTAAATGCATCTGCATAATGTTCCCAGCCGCTGAGTCTTTTCGCTACTGCGTTAGCAGAAAACTGTGCTTTGCCGAGTTCCTTCTGCGCCTTATCTAGCTCTTGCGTCGCCATCTCGATGACTTGATTGGCTGCGGTTGGCATCGACTCTATCAAGCGATTCTGTTTGTCGATGTCGGTTTTGCATCGTTGCATCTGCTTTTCCGCTGCGTCGATACGGGAGTCTGTGGCTCGGATGTCTCGTTCGATGGCTGGTAGGCAATCGAATTCCTATACAAGCAAGTTACCGTCAGCATCACTGACACTCTGTATCCGGGTTGCGAACTAACCCTTCGGGCAATATCCGAGCCCCCACCAATAGGTATCACGCTGGTAGGCTTTGCAGGTTTACTTCGGTACCTGGTGGAAAGGTTTACAACCCCAAATTGGTTTTGTGTAGCAGTTGTATCTGTGATGGGGAATTCAGTGCTTGATTCAGCGTCACTCGAAAAAATTGGGAAGACGTACCGTTGAGTGACCTCGAGCGGCTATGCACCGTGGTGCCCCTGGAAGGAAGCGAAAGTTCTCTTTGCTCGTGCGTGCTTGCCACAGCTTTCCGAGAAACCGGCCATACGTTCTCACGCTGCTCGTGTTCAATGGTGAGAATACTTTCGCTCTCTCCGTCGCTTGATTCTGGCGAATTCCCTTGCTCAAATTCGGTGTTTCGGTCACTCTGGTCGTCCATCTCGGTTGGAGCTTCTTCAGGCTCGTCAGGCATAACTGAGGAGCCAAACCTTTTGCTCTCGATCCATTCTTTGGCCGAGCGGCAGTCTTTATTTATCCTGTGCGGCTGGGTAGGATTGCCAGCCCGATATCTGACGGCTTGGTTGACCAAGAAGTCGCGTAAATCGTCCATCGTCACACCTGAGCCAGGCTTGCATGCGGCTTCAACAGCGGCGGCCATAGAGGCGGCGGCGTTTGCCGACCAATGCTGAGGTTGTGGCACATAGTCGTGGGGAAGCTAATCCCAAGGCCATAGTCCAGACGCGTAAAATGTTCTTTTGTAAGCTTTCTGAAGTCCATCCTTTGTGTCACCAGACCCCAGCTCGCTGTAGCCTGTGGGAACCTTAATGTCAGCCCAAGCTGGCTTGCGCATGATCGAGCTGGAGCTGCTGCAGATGATGAGGAACGGGTGAAGGATGAAGTCTTGAATAAGAAAAGGGCACGCAGGAAGAAGAGAAGTGAAGCAAGTCTTGTTAGTTTATGCTGTCGATGGCTTCTGCTCGGCAGAAACGACGCCGCTCTCCGCCTTGTGTAACTGAATCACAGCAGTGCCTCGCAATGTTGTGACACTTGCAGCAGAATGCCAGATGCTTAACTGATGAAACTTGAAAAATTCCAGCCTTTATTAGAGAAGTATTCTGGCCATCTGTTTCCTTGACCTTCGATGTTACCTGAAGCCAAGATTGTGGAGGATTTAGTAAGATCCGTTCAGCAGAAATTTACTCCGACTGAGACTGATCGTGCATTTATTAGTGCATTCACTGCCTTGGGGCGCGTGTGGAGGAAATAAAAATGTAAAGTATTCATAAGTGGAATTTATTTGCAGAGAATTCAATTTGCCATGGGAGTTCTTCTCATTTGGACAGTCTTAGGACATCGACGAGACAAACACTATCACGGCTTCTTACCCCAGATGAAGTAGACGGGAAGGTATATATGAATGGATAGATCACGAAGTTCCTTCTTGGCCTTTGCCATCAGCACCTGCATCGCATCCTGTTCCCACCCTAGAATCTTGCCCAAAAGCATTGGTGTGTACGAATCAATAGCAGCGCAAGATTGGATCACCTGGCACTTTCCAACTTCTTTGAGAACAGGATCTTTAGGCCAGCCGCCGATGGGAATCTGTCAAGGTTAGTCAACTTGCTCAACAACGACATCAAAGGCCAACACACCTTGCGAACCTCCTCGTGCACATCCTCGAAGCCAGCCTTGACCATCTTGCTCTTCCACTGCGTGACACAGTCTATCGGCTTTCCGAACTTGGAGCTGCTGTCACGCACCGCCTCTGCCCAAATTTCAGCATTCACTGCCTTCTTGACCGAATCATCGTCAGACATGAAGAATCCGCGCTGAGCTTGCAGTTCAAGGTAGCCACCACTGGTGAGGTTCTGGAAAGCTTGATCGAAGAAATGCTCCTCGTTGGCGATGCATCCCTCTAGTTCGCGGGCGTGGATGTAGTCGAATGGCCTTTTATAAACCCATGGGTCTTCGAAGTCGTCTACTTCAAACACACAGTTGGCAGGTACCCTTGGTTAGTTAGTGAGAGTAACGGACACTTGACAAAACAATACTCACCAGTCGGGCTGGATGGGGCTGAGATCTGTCCCGACCACTTCGGCTGCTGGGTGTTCACTTTTCATAAGTTCGTTAACATCATCTTGATCTTTGAATCATTGGGCCGAAAGAAGTGCTCACTCTGCAAAATCGATCGCCCAAATTCCAGTACCTGTGCCTAGATCGAGAACCCGCTGCGGGCTTTCGATCGGAGCAGTATGAAGTTTTCCTTTCAGAAGAAGGCTGTAGATGTGGTGACAGAGATCCATCCGACTTTGCTCCTCCTCATCGTTCGGCTAAATTTGTGATTAGATGTTGTTGTGCGAATGTAATGAATGATCAGTCGGGTGTACAAACCACCAGATATGTTCCTTCATGGAATGCATGGTATCGACGGCCATTCTATTGTTGGCTGTTAGACGCTCGGAGGCTCATTAAGTAGTTCCGCATGCTAACCTCATATCTGCACCGAAATTAGCTCAGAGCTCGTGTCTGATCAGCGTTCATCTCACCTATAACTGAAGATGCTCGATTTTAGGGAAGTGAGATAGCTGGAAGATCCGTCTCTAAGATTAAGAGTCAAAAACGGATGCTATGATTGGAGTTGGCTGTTGAGAATTACCCGCTCTCTAGCGTGGAGTCTGTGTCATCAATATCATTCTAGACAGTGGATCAGTTTGGCCGCTTTATCCACAATCGTAGTCTCATTACTCCGTACCTCTGCTTCCAATGCCTCCGGGATGTTCGGGACATCTTCAGGGCGCTCGTGTGTTTCTGGGTTTATTTGAGAAGCCATTTTAGAGATAGGTGTCATGAAGAATGAGTTATAAAAGACCTCAAACAAAGAATTGGAATGCCCCGCCCCCTTTATAACGTGTTTACACGTAAGTGCTGGCCAAGTTGCATCAGATGTCGGTTACATCCCCGCTCGGTTAAAATGTCCATGGCAGTTCCGGAGAGTGAAACCAATTGGGTTGAAGGCCATTTCTACCCGTTGCCTTCTGGGTTATATCCCCGTTGATCGACCCGTAGTTTCGGAGCGGCCCGCTAGGTAGTTTTGTTAAAGTGGCTGACACTGCACTGAGATATATTGAAAAAAAGAGCCAGCAATAATAAACCAAACATTCCTGGCAGTGAAAAGCACATCAGATTTACATTTGGTAAGATATGCATTTTCTTCCAAAGTTTAATTACGCATGTTTGCTGCGACAGAACAAATGTGGAGATGGAGGGTCCATCAGTGACACAGACATTTACAAGGAGGTGTTGGCTGTTGGTTATTGGCAGCGTGCATCCTTGTTCTGAACACGAATGCGCTGTGGCCCGTTCGTTCTCACCATAACTGGAAGGTCTGTATCTGTAACCTGTTGGCCCTTCTTACTTAACCATGGCCTCGGCACAGAGCATTTGCATCCCCGACTGGGCGGCTGTCTCGGATGGTTTGCATGGCTGAATTATGGTAATTATCCTGTCAAGTTAGCTGAACACTCGATTTGATACCTAGTATTTTTTAGAATGACCAATGGCAATGATTCATAGACCCATTAGAAGCAGAGTGTTGTTTTAGATTGTTCTTTTTAATGCAGTTTCCTGCAACAATCTTCTTTTCATTCAAGAAGACTACTAAAACAGTAATGATTATTGAACTTGATCACGGTGAAGGATTGGGAGAATTAATAATGTTATCGGTTCGAATTCACCTCCATGCTTTGAGTCCTTTGGTTAGGAGTCACTAAACGTGGTGCTGTACTGGTAAGTTCTGACCTGACGATTGGCAGCAACTTGTGTCAAGTGTAACGCTCACCTAGCGATATATGCTAAAATGACAGCCTGTTCTCATACATACGACCAAAGGTAGTGGAAAATACGGGATCCCGTCCGCTCTCCCATAGTCAAGCCACTAACCGGCGGATTAGTAGTTGGGTCGGTGACGACCAGCGAATCCCCGCTGTTGTATGTTTTTTGCTGTTGGCAGCGCCATCTTTTTTACACCCCAGTGGATTTCTTGTGGGCCACTACAGGCGGCCAAAAGGCACTGCATCATTTTGGTTATTCTGTTATTAATGATGGTTCGATCACATGCATTGCGAAACGACATCCGTTCTTCCAAAAATTTAAAGTGTTGATGGAATTTCATGAAAGCAATTATATGCTAAAGCTATGGCAAAACTAGATGATATACTCGTACAGATGCATGCTCATGAATACAATTATAGGCGGGAACTCACCGCACCATTGCTACCAAGCCCCAGATCCTTGATGATGATATTTGCAGCCTTCTCACCAACCACAATAGCAGTGTTATTAGTGTTCGCACCAACATTCTCTGGCGCAATACTCAAGTCAGCCAACTTGAGACCCTTGGTACCCCAGACGTTCAGACGCTCGTCCACAACACCGTTCTCCTCGCGAGGAGCCATCCTGCAGGTAGAGATCGAGTGCCACGTTGTCATGACAGTTTGTCGAACCCACTGCTCAATAGCCTTGTCGTCTTCAGCAGAGTACTCGAGGTCCTTGACATCGCTCAGAGCGTCGGTGATGTCCGCTGAAGCGACCTTTGATCCCTCGGGCCATGTTGGGTGGCCAGCCTCGACTTCGCCGCGGTACATCTTTGTTCGGCGCATGATCTCGCGAGACTTCTTGTAAGCCCACACTTGCTTCTTCAAGTCAAGCTCGTACTTGTCGCTAAGGTATCCGACATCAAAGTCTAGAGGGTCATCATGTGCGGGGCCTGTGATGTGGATGTGGCCGCGCGAGTACGGGTAAGCTGTATAGTTGCCGACGGTGACGTATTGACCTTCTGGCACAGATGAAGGGTCGCCAAGGAAACTAGATAGGTTAGCTTAGAATACCAGCGTGATCGGTATAGGGGCACTTACCAGTTAACAAGACCCATGAGCATCATAGGACGATTGGGAACATTCTTGAAATCTCTGTCCCACGCCTTCTGGAACTCAGGGCCAAGGGAAGCCACATCAGCGTCTGAAGGACGAAGCTTGGAAGAAATGTCAACAGAGTTCCAGCCCAGAACAGGATCCTTTGAGTCAATCAGCTCTTGGCGCTTCTCGGGGTACCTAAGAACTCTGTCGATGGTTTCATTGGGTTGGAGGGCGGTCTTGTAAGGGTAGAGAATCAGGTTGTGATCCTGATACTCGTGACCAACCCCAGGCAGATCAAGCTTGACGTCGACACCAGCCTTTTCAAGGATCTTGGGATCTCCCAGACCGGATCGTTCTAGTACTGGGGGAGTACCAAGGGCACCACAAGAGACGACTACAAGCTTCCTCGCCTTGACAGTCAACTTGGGGTGTTGTGTGGTGACGATCTCAGTCTGGAAAACGGGGTTAGGTGTGTACTCGACACCAACAGCTCGCTTCTCGTCGTCAAGAAGGACGCGGATAACCTTGGACTCCACAAGAATGTGGAGGTTAGGGTATTTGCTGTTTTCGATCTTGTTATGAATGTAAGCAGTGGCAGTGTCCTGTCGTCGGCCATCCTTGGAGACGTATCGTAGCCAGCGCTCGACACCGTTGTTGTGGTTTAGTGTCTGCAGGTCATGGATCTCAGGCCAGCCGACTTGAGAGGCAGCGTTGATGAAGTCACTCTCAGGGTTCTTGGCACGGAAGGTTCCGTCAGAGATATTAACAGGGCCGTCAAAACCGTGATGCTCTGGGTCACCTCGACCATGGTAAGTCTCGAGCTTGGGGAGAGTTAGTCACAGGTTCAGATAAAACGAGTGGCAGTTGGTGTACCTTTTTCAAGAAGGGGTAGATCTCGTCAGCGGACCATCCAGGTGTCTTCCAAGAGTCAAAGTCCGCTCGTTGAGCACGAGTGTACATCATAAAGTTAATTGAGGAGCCTCCACCCAATGTGCCTCCACAGGGCACAATGGACTCGCGACCCGCCAAGTGCTCGGACTTGTTGGCCTTGTAGAACAAAGTGGAGGTGGAGGTAGGCAGAAGATGGTCTAGGAAGAACACAGGGTTCTCAATGTTCTGCACCCCGCGATTGTCTTGGCCGCCTTCAATGAGGAGGATAGACAGATTGGGATCAGCCTCCGCTAGGCGGCCGGCGATAACACATGCTGCTGTGCCGCCTAGTAATGCAGAGTTAGCATCGATGGCTGCTTAATAGTCAGGGCAAGCGTACCTCCGGCGATAATAACGTCGACTTCGCTGATGTCGCTAGCGAGCTTAGTATGTAGACCCATGGTTACAAATCGGCGATCCTGTCAAAAAAGGGCTAAGAAGAAGGTGTAGTTAACGAGTCGTGTTTTGATAATTCAAAATGGAATTCACCGCATGAGCGTGAGGGGAAGATATATATAACAAAGTGTCCCCTCCAAACCACACTTCGCAGAAAGAAACAAACGGCCGCATTTAGCCACGCGCGAGTCACCTGCAGGTCCTTCAATCATTGCAGCATCCTTCCGGACCCTTCAACAGCAGGGTCAATACCTGTTGGCCAACGTTTCATTAGGGATTGGTCAAACGATGATCTGGTCGGGGTAGGTAGCACCCATTCTGGGGATTGGGTTCTTGTCGAGCAGCTAACGAGCTCGAGACCAGCCGTTCCCCTCTTACCTAACCGTAACAAGATTGGTGCTGCATTTGGGGAAGCCAGTTCCGAGTACCGGACCGTGGCGAGGACGAAGCAACGAGTGGCTCTGGAGAGTCGGATGGTCACTCGTCTCCACTGCCTGTGCAATTCAAGGCTGTCCGTTGCAGATCTTTCTCTAATTAAGGATGAGACAGTTTCTTAGGGTGAAGTTGGCTGTTGATTTCTTGCCTTTTCTGAAGGATTTGCTGTGCAGACAGTTGGCAAAGTCATTCCGCAGTCGTGAGTCCAGCTAGTCCGAATTGGAGAATTGGAGTATGTTACCTCGGTTCTTCGGCTACTCATCTTGGCTGTGCATTACCCGTCTGGGGAGGCAAGCTGAAGGAACAGGTACGATATTCACACTGCGGACTTTCTCCCGCAACTAACTAACTTCGAATTGGCTCAATTGATCTGTTCCCTGTTGTCCAAACTAACAATTCCTTCCCACTTTGCCTACCCGTACTACCCACTCTACTGCAACCTCAAACGTTGGACCCGGACCCGTTACCTCACCGGAAAGCCCCCGGCCGCTCAAAAACGTACAGCACCTTGCCTCCAGGCTCCAGCACGTGCAGAGCTAGGCCAACCTGGACGTAGATCATATCGGTAAAATGCACTTTGCCGACGCGCCGTCTCCAGCGTGGGCTCCAGCGTGGGCTCCAGCGTGGGCTCCAGCGCGTGCCCACTTCACTTCAAATTTGGCCCCAATCTCTCATTTTCATTAAACATTAATTGAATGCATTACTGGTATATGTTCTAAATCTAGCCTTGCGGGCTTCCGTGCCACTTCGGGACTCTGTCGCTTGGTATATGTACACGAGAATTCTATCATCTCCGGGCAACGTTTTGGTGGCATTACTCGCTCATCTTGGCGAGCAGGTCTGATAATGACATCTCTATCCTTAAACTCCCGTGGTCATCTCTTCCGATTTAAGGGTAAGAGTAGGGGTCTTTTAGTTGGCTCGTTGAAGATTGCGAGCTGGCGTCATCCTCTTGGTGCTTGGGCATGACGGTGACGTGTGTTTGTGTGACCTTTGTGATACCTTGGGGCTGGGGGCCGTTATCGTCGGCTTGTCCACCAGCGTCAACGCGCACTTCCAGGTTTCTGCCTGTCGTCGAAAACATAGCGCCTTGTCCTCCCATTCCTGTTCGGTTGGAGGCTGTCTTCTTTCCGGCGGCCTTGACCTTGGAGCGCAGTTCAGTGTGGTTGCTGAAGCCATCGGGGTAAGAGCCGTGTTCTCCGGTAGCACGAACAACTCGCACGATAAGAGAAGAAATGTTCATCTCAATGTGGAGCTTGATCATGTAAACGAGGGGATGGAATTGCACGTAACTGTCCCAGTTAGAATTTTGAAAACCTGTTTGACGTGATGGGCTTGACTTACATGAAACCGTTACCAATAGACATGCTGCCGATAAGGATAACATCCAAACTCATCGAGATGGCGATCATGATGAGATTGTAGCGCATGAGCGGCTGATACTTGGTGAGGCCGTTCGCGATGAGCTTGACGCGGATGAGGTAAACGAAGTAGCCGTGAAGAGCGGCGTCGACCACCAAGAAAATGCCCTTCTCAATTCGGTCCCAAACGTAGTTAATGTCGTGCCATTTTTTAGAAATCTGCATCTGCGAGGGGATCCAGATGCAGAAGACACTGATGTTGATGAGACCAATGATAATTGCTGTAATCCATCGAATCTTGATGGCGTTCCTTCTGTCGATCATAAGAAGAGAAATACGATTGATGATGATACCACAGATGCATTGAATTTGTACGACCCAGCAAGCAACTGTTGCACCATGTTAGTTTGTCTTGGTTTGCTTGAAAGATTGGAAGGGGTCGTCGTACGGAGGGCGAAAAAGATCCAGAAGCTGAAAGTAGAGGTTAGCTTTCCGCCATTAAATGCGTGTGGGTGGTTGGCAACAAGAGACGTACCTAGGGGCGACATAGCCACGAATAAAACACCAAGACAAAATTCCGATAAGCATCGACGCGACCCATTCCGCCCAAATCATCCAAATGTATGCCCTCGCGCGTCCCGTTCGCTTGTACTGTTCCCATGTCTGCTTTGCGGCCTTTTGCGCCGAGAAGATTCCGATGGCGAGTGTGAAACCCCAAATGATACTGGCGACGAGCTGATCGGTTGTGCTAGGTGGCACGACCACGTAATGGTCTGGAATGAGAAAGCCCGCCATGACGAATGAGTGAGACTAAAGGCAAGAAGAGCTAGAGAAAATTCCAAGAGGGAAAACCAAGGCGTTATAATGAAGAACAACCCTTGCTCTTCTTAAACAAAGACAGAAGAGAAAAAAGAAAGAAGGATCCGTGCCAAGGCGCCCGACGAGGATCGGTATCTTGCAGCAGGTTTTTCCAAGGGTTCCAGAATAGACTAAGGAGATCTAATAGACCGAGCTGCTAAGGCTTTAGATCTGCCCTTGATGAGCAAATCAGCGGAGAGATTTTCGAGAAGGCGCCAGTTCGCCTGGGGAAACGGGCACAATGATGCGGTGGACTAGGCTCAGTTAGTGCTACTACTCTGATGGCGTGGGAAGATTCCGTGCTAAAGAATAGGGGCGCTCGTTTTATGTGGCGTATGTCTACCATCCGTCCGCTTGGTTCGGAAGCCCACCTACCCACCCAAGAAGCTTGGGATGGTAAGAGGTAATAAGATCAGATACTTTGGGCAACTTAGGATATCCTGGTCAATGCCCTCAAATGCTTTGCATGGTTGCGTGATATGAGGTATTGTCGAGAGTACCCCTCTTAACGTGGTGGCGTCTGTCTACGGCACGTGGAAACGTCGAGTCATTAGGCTAGTTTTACGGAGTAGTTTGTTCTGTTCTCACTAGTAGGGGGGATTGTGCCGTGCCACATGACTAAGAGCACCAAAAAGCAAAAGCCTTGAGTAGATGGCGGAGGAGCAATCTCTTGTTGAGATTTCTACATCATTTACGGTGAATAGTGGACCTCATCGTTGCTCGTTTATGAGATTAACCTTGATCTTATTGTCTCGGGATGTGAAAACACGCCGTTGGGTCATGTCTGCTCACATCGACAAGGGCCCAGCTTTCTATATCCAGGTACGGAGTATCATCTTGCAGGATTGAGATCCGGCAGCTGAAAGATGCTTCCCCGTTTGTGCAGGGGCGACGTAGCAGTAACCCTGGGAAATGAGTCGCTCTGCGGAGACCATCTCCCGGAAGACTGGTTTCCTGAAGATGGATCTGTGTCGATCATACCTGATCTGGCCAATTGCCGCCACTAGCTCGATAGCGTTGGCTACGACCTGACTCAAATTGACCAGCTTTGCCCCAGTTTAGAGAGCACGGACACTAAGCTACTCTTCACTGACTCGATGTGTTTGGCTATGCTTCATATGACTTCTCTTAGCCGCTCTTTAGCTGCTTACCGTCGCGTGGCAAATTAGCAGTAGTTTAAAGAAATGTCTGTGTCGATGGCCACTGCTCCCCTGGCAGAAGAACAGAAAACCTCCTTGGGTTGAACGGCATTCCTTTGCTCCGGCAGTGAGAGAGGCTCGGGAGGACCAAAGTGACTCGCAGACCCTGTTCCCACCAAGACTTGAGGGTCCCGACTCCCAAACTAGTCAGGGTCCGTAGCTTCTTTTCTTTCTCCCAGCGGCAAGGGCTTTTGCTTTTGTTTTGAGAGTCAATGCCTGTCTGGCCTAGTGGTATAATGATTTGCGTGGCATCACCATGGCTCCCCTGTCGCTGACCGTATTGCGATCACTTCCCAATTGGCCAAGCGGTTTTGGTCTTGCGACAAAGCCTTGTCTCTTCACTGGGAGCCCCCCGCATTTTGGTTTGGTGGCTTGCCAGAGGCTTGCTTGGTGAAGATTCAGTGTATGATCATAATGTAGTATCCGGACAAATCTTCGCGCCTGTGTGTTTCAAAGTAGTCCAAGACTGAGACGCAAATAGCGGACGGTGGCTTGATTGAGTCTCTGCTGCATGCTGATCGATTATGTTGGGCAATGGCGCTTGTCGCTAGCTGATCAGCATTGGCACGAGTCAGTAGAAGTCAGCAATGTTTCAATCAACTCAGAAAAGGATTATCGCTATCATCGCAAGTGGGCATTCTTCTTACGGCGGCTCGATCAAAATGGATTGCCTTAAGCAAAGTGGGTTATGATTAGAGATTACATGATATACCTAGTGAAATGAGTGTACTGTTGTTACTCCGTCTCAAGGTGCCGCCCGACAGCTACCCTAAAGTGCTGAGTAAAATCACTGCATGATCTCGCTGGCGGTCGAATTTGTATCCAAAATAAAGGAAGCAATGTTCAAATAGAGAAATGCCTTGTGGTTAGCGTTACCATGTATTTAAATAAATTATCTTTACTAATCCAATAAGACACGAAACCATGATAACGTAGCTACGGAACTAACAAAATTGTACTGCATCTGTTAGTTTTCAGAGCCTAACACTAATCGAGCTTGCAATTTCACTCTAGGTAACCTGGAGCAATTCCTCCCGAAGTGGTCGCTGTACATTGACTTTTCCGCCAGCTAGCCATCTTGAGCATACAGTTCGCGGGACATTGGGCTCAAGGATCAATAGGCGCGAAATGCCTATATGAGACACACGTCTCAACACAATCTCGTCTACGGATAGCTGGGTATCAATTGTGGCGTCGTAGTCGCTAAACCTGGGCGCGCTTAGCGAACGCGGGGGATCCTGGATACAGATCGAGAGGGTGGGGAATCAGCTCACTTTTCTTCACTGGTATCGAGTGTCAGCATCAGTTTACGAAAATTCGAAACAATTACAGCGATTGGTCATTGTTTGATGCTGGGGTAGATATTTATATTGGGTGGCGTCCTATCCTGCTCTGACAAATGGTTAACGTTTTGGAATCTCGCGATGACTTCAAGTTCGGCAAACGTCGCAGGCTTGAACAGCGGCACATGTTTGGTAAATCGGGCGTCCGGGCAGTCGGACTGACTTTATGTTACTTTTCCGCATGTACAAAATTTGCAATCTTTTCAATTTGATGTCTTTCTTGAAAACTTCCTGTTATTTGTCCAAATTTATTAAGGTTAGGTATCTTACAACAAGATTCACGCCATTGAGTCGCTCGACCAACACACTTCTTCTCCATCCAGTGCAGCAATCGACACGTGCATCACTAGTCACACAATCATACTTTCCTTCAAACCTTCAAACTAACTTCCAAGTCTGATAGATATAAAATCAGAAGCCCACAATGAGCACAGCACTTTACTTCCTTCCTAATACCATAGTGTTTGTTCCTCGCTGCGTCACAACCTTCCCAGACACTATCTTTCCGAACAGACTTGGTCGAAAATGTCAGGCATTATCAACAGCATATCGCAAGCTCTATGGCAAGGGTTTGCCCGTCTTGCCCGATCTGAGCCAAATTTGCAACCTCTTCCTGCACCTATCGGATCGGAGCGGACACCATTACCTCTTCGTGCAGATGCCGGTCTAGAAGTACCAACATCACAAGTTCCTGCGTCTGCTCGGTCTGAACCTGCTCGATCTGAGCCCGAATCTGCCCACTCTGGAGTGGGCTCATCAATTCTGGCAACACCTCCACCCCCTTACCAACAGGTAACACCTTCTGAAATGTGGTGTGTATGGATCGAGTTTACTTCAGATCGAGCGAAGATACCACTGCCACATGGGAAGATTGACGCGAGCTTTGGTTGGTTCGCGGAGCTTGTTTTATGGGCACCAGATATAGTCGGCCTCATGCGAGACGGGCTCTATGTAACTGAAGAAGATGTGGTCGTGGAGGAGAATCACACAACTGAAGAGTATTGTCCTCGCTACGAGAGAAGAATGGTCTTTCGTCATTATCGTCTCAAGGGCCCAAAGTGGTCTGGGTATCTGATCGTGAAATCAGTTGACATACATGAAACAATCAATTTTCGAATCCAACACCTGTCTCATGATAAAGCCATTGTTGGCTATGTCCATGATAAGAAGAGGAACCCAGTCTACGTATGGCTGCATCTACACAACTCCAATACCAACAACATCTTTGACGACAAGCCTCTGGAGGGGCTTTGGCCATGGCCAAGGAAAGAACTGGCGGGCAAGCAAGACGACGACGCGGGAAAGCGTAAAGAGTAAGCGGACCATACTCTACTATACATACTCCGCTAGTTGGGATAGTAAATAAATTCATCTTCATCCTTATCTGAGTTTATTTAAGCTTGGTGTAAAAAGTCTAAGCTCATATAATCTCTTCTAAGTTGGATCACTTGAACGGATGTGTGGGGAACCAGAATAAACCAAATTCCCAGTTGAGAAAACAAGCACGTCAGCTTACTAGTGACGTCACGAGCGATAAGTCCTAGTCTGTCCATAGACTCTCGCAGGACAACAGACAACTTTCGCGATCACTTTTGCTGGATCCTCAAAACCCTAAGAAAAGCTTGACTCAGCGACTACGGGAGGATGGCTGACGGAAACGAAAATCTAAGACTCGAATTCCTTCTTTGGCATATCGACGATGAGCCCTCAATTGCTGAGAGCAGGTCTCTTTCAGAGACAGTCCAGCGTACCATTGCTACAGCCATGAACTTGGCTGTAATCGGCGAGGTTGGCGGTGCTACCAAGCTTCTAGAAATACTTAGAGACAATGGATCTGACCCTTTCCAATTCCCAAAGTGGGAGTCGCCTTTTTTGAAGCCCTGTATGTTCTTCGCATGGGAAGCAACTTCGTCATGGCCAGCCTGGATCTCCGAAGAGGAGCGTACCGAGGAAAAGCTCCAGGAAATTGAGGGACAGGGTCGGAAGCTATGGCTTGAAAGATTCAGTGAGGAATGGGAAGTCACAGAGGAAACGGCAAAGAAGGCAATGGACATGGCTTACAATGGCCTTGTTACAGTTCTTCCAGATCTTGACGGTACCCTCGCAGGGCAAATTGCGCAGACAGAGGCCATGTGGAAGAATGGCGATTTTTCATACTCCTCAAACCCAAACGGACCCATATCGATCAGATACTCGAAGATAGCCATGTGGTGGCGTCAGGGTATATATCCTTATCTTTACTTACAACTGTACCGAACAGCCGGCCTGACTATTGCCCTGGATATCTATCTACGACTCGGCCAAGAAGATGAGGCTAGGAATATGTTCGAGCAAATATGCAGTCGCTTCCACGCAGAGGAACAGGTTGAGCACCTTGTTTGCTCACGCATGGCGTGGAAAAGATTCTTGGCTGCTCCCGAGCGACCTCTTCTCGATCTTCTCGACATTCATCCAGCCAAACTTAGATCAGCTGCATCTCGCGCTGTACAACTTGTCGAGAATCGTTTGACAACCGGACCAAGTCGCCGATATGCAACGCGAAACATCGAGGAGCTGGTTCGTATTATTAGCGAGAATACCTTCAAGAACTGCCCTTACGATAGGTTGGACGCGTATCGCCCAGCTGGCCACCTTCGGCCGCGGCCTGATAGTCCCCATGGGCTTCTCAAAGCAGGATGCACCCGTCCAGAGATAGTTTCTTTGGAGAAGCGACTCGGCGTGAACCTGCCTCAAGATTATAAAGACTTCCTCTCTCTTACGAACGGCCTCGGATCAGCATGGAATGGCCAGAATGTCCTTGACTACTTTGCCAGTGCCGATGACGTTTGCTGGCTGGATATAGACTTTCTGGCTGGCAACGAACTCACTCTTCTGCCTGATGGAGAACCAAAACAATGGTTGGGTAACAGACTCCAGTGGCCTGACATTAGACCAGGTCACTGGTTGAGTTTGTCGGGGGATGTAATGGAAGGTGAAGCCCCAGGCTATATATTCCTCCTCGGCCCAGATCTCATCCAGCCAGCGAAGGATTACCTTCTCAAAACCTATGGAGAACGAGATGAAACTCAACGGCGTGACCTCGATAATCTCATTCAGGAGACGTATGGTAGCATGGAAGCTCTTCGAGACCTGGATCATGTGCTTCTTCACTGGACTCCGTGGGACTTGGACTTTATCCCCTTCCATAGTTTTAGAGACGTTTTGGAGTGGATTGCTGAGGCTTCTCTGCGCAAGAATCGGCCGTGGTTGAATGTTTTTGAGCCTAGGTATCGAAGGTTGGCGTGATGCGATGCAGGGAATGCTGCTACAAGGAAGAAGATGGCGATGAATAAACAATTAGTGCAGCCAACACAGTCGATACGTCTTGGTGATGCATAGGAGGATAAAGACGATAGATGGCAATAGACGTAAGATATTGAACGGGCTCAAATTATGCTGTCCGCCCTAACCGTGAATATGATACAGGGCTAACTTGTGTGCAAAGGTTTCATATCGCCGCAGGAGCTTTGGGAACCGAGACACTTTTGTGCTTAGATGACAACTCTTGTCGAACATTTAGAGACAAGAGTCTCGCTCGTTAGTAGTACTTCGCAGCCTCAACATCATCCACCAACTGCCAAAAGTGGCTCTGTGTCAAAAGACGACTACCATCCATCCGTTCTGATCGAAAGCATACAAATAGAATACGGCAGTTAATCATGTACTCCAAATAAGTATAAATACCACTCTGGTCTCCTTCTTTTCCTTGCATCCCAACAGAAGATACCAACACATCGGATAAATCTCGAATAAGATCACAACTCCACACAACAGCCTCAAAGACAAGATCAAAGTAAGCTTCACACACAATTTCACCATGTGCAAGCAAATCCATACTCGAATCCTCTGCAAGCAATACTACCGTATCATCAGGGAAACCTGGCAGCCCGTTATCTGCGCCGCGGCCGTTGCGAAAGGAAATACACTTGGCGCTTGCGGAAAGACAGAAGTGGACACGAGGGATGTCGAGTCATCACTTTGTGAAAAGTGTTTCCAGAAGAAGCAGAACAAAAAGTGATCAGATTAAATGCAGGGCACCAGAATGGGGGTGTGCTTCATGATTCTCATCGCCACAAAGGCTTCAACTTAGTTAATGCTATATAGATAAATTGATCCTCTGCAATCCCATAATCGCTCCTCGGCTGAGACCAACAACCTTTCATACGATATGTAAATGCTGAGGATTCGCGTTGTGTGGTGTTTGAAACCGTCATCGAATAGATACAGGGAAGTAAGTATGTAGTCTGTTCTCATTAACTCAATGTATGCTAATATCACATGGAAAAAGTCATTCTATAGGACCAACTTGGGGATTCCATGACATTCTCCTACTTCTTATTGCCCGTAACAGGTGCATCACCAGTATCGTGAATGGTATTGGGCACAGCCCTTTCAACTGACTCAGGGAGTATCTCTTGGATCTTCTGAGGCACAACAGACTCCTTGCCACCGCCCTTGGCGTGCGACTTGCGGGTGGACTGTCTAGGATCGGAGCTAGTAGGATGAATCTCGTAAACCGTTAGTCTCTGTTCTCAACCTTGGTCAAGGAGTGTAGTCATACAGAGTCAGGCAGTGCCTCCTCGACACCTTTAGGAACAGCTTCTTGCACACTCTCTGGCACTTTGGATGTACCGGTGGCATGTGACTTTGCGTCTTCCTCGCCGTTTCCGCGCTCAACCTTTCGGAATGCAGGCATCGTTGAGAACTGCCGGGGCGCAATTGACTGCGCCTTGACAATGTTTAGAATAGATTGTGAGTTACGCATGTTTCTTCATGTTTAGTGGTTGGATGATGAGTGATGCAGGGGAGAGAATTGATAGTATGGCGGGATCCTTTCATTTTATGTGATATTAATCATGAACGTCATGACTTGACTGCGCGTGATTAATGTTATCGACGTAGTAGATCGGTAATGGACGTCATCTTTCATCTTTGTTCTGTGTCAGGTCATGATGAAGCACGTAATCATCACGTCGCGAAAGGTCAAAAAGATCAAATACAATGACGCAATGTGACTAGACCGCATATGCTATCGCAATCTTCCCATACCTACACAAGCCATTTTTACTCCGTTCCATATCGCTCATTCAATACATCGTTACGATGGCCGGTTAGGCAGTCAGACAAGAGAGTCAATAGACTCTACCACCAAATATCCCTGCATCTCAACTCAAGCATCTGGCTTCTTTTGGCCTAGAATCACATCAATGACTCTATGGTCATCATAGGTAGCAACAGTGCGCTCGCACAGAGAAGCAACACGCTCTTTACTCTGCAAGCCATCCGGACAGATGAGCCAAATAACATTGGTCATGAAAGAACGTCGATATTCAATCATGACCTCAGGATCGTTATGTCTGTCGAACTTGGGCCCTCCGAGCTTGTGCAGCGTCTCCAGATAGTGATCGAGGATTTCCATCTCGTGCGCCCGGCGATCTTCCACGCTGAGCATGGCAGTCATGTGGTAGACTACATCATGAAAACATGAACCGAAGTGGAAAGCGGACCAATCCAGAAAGCCGATGCGTCCGTCTACTGTGAAGTAGATGTTGCCGGTGTGGGTATCTCCATGCAGCAAAGTGCGGAAACGTGGGTTGCGTTCAGCGTAGTAGCGGTCCAGAGCCTCGTTGCATCGAGCACCATCCATCAGATAATCTGGTAGCTGAGGTCGACCAGGTCGCCTAACAACTTCATCCCACGATCTGCACATGAATGTCATGGCAGGGTCGTAGTTGTTCCAGATCCCTAATATCTGTTAGTATATGACAGGGAAATGACACAAGAGCAGTCTCACAAGGATGATCTTCTTGACTTTGGCCCCAGTACTGTGCGTGAAGGCCAGCCAACTGTTCTACTCCATTCTTGACCTTGTCAACCGGATAAGAAGCAACCTCCGCGGGAAACGTGCACCCTTCGCTGACGAGATCGTTCATGATTGCAATACCCTGGGTTTCACTGGTTCCGCTCCACCAGCCCTTGGGAAAGATCATGTGGTCAACGGTGGGAGCTACCTTCGAAAAGAATTCTGCCTCACGTTGAGCCAAACTGACTGTCCACGGTTGGGCTTCAATCATCTTGGGGTCGAAGACTCCCTTGACGCAAATGTCCTTTGGCCTCTCCTCTTCACTCTCATTTTCGTATGTAATCGTATAGAAGAGTTTACTTGCTGTGCCCCAGATGTTTCGTGTGTTCTCCACTGATTTGATCTTGTGGCCGAGTTTGGCTTCAAACCATTCTGGCGTGAGATCAGAAGGGAGAGCTGGCAACTGTTCACTGTTTGAGGCAGACATTTTGGTCCTTTCAATGTGAATTCTACGATGCAAATAATTTCCTTACTTGTAGGTAGTAGCTCGGCAATAAAAAGTAGCATTCGCTGACAATTTTATGCTTACAGGTTTGTAGTCATCCACATTTATCCGCAGTCAGCCAAGAAGAGGGGGTCAGTCTCGATTACGTGAATGCGTCCGATTCTTACCCAACTTCCTATCTGGGAAGACTTGCAGTTCCCTGGTCTTGATATAGGCGCGCGCTGTTTCAATCGAAACCGTTTACGGAGCAGAAAACGTGGGACTCCGAGATAGCCTTATCAGATCTGGAACTCGGAGTGTTGGAGATAGCCGCCAGAGTGTAATTATGGTAAACTGGTCAGTGCGGAATGGTGATGGTACAAAGCGTTTCAGATACTGTGCCGTCAACATCCTTCCACCCACCCCAAGATTTTGGTTTTGGGTCGCAGTGTAAGTGGACTACTTGAGCAGGCTGTGACAGCGTAAGCACACAGGCGGGTCAGAATACCACGTTAACAAAGATCACGTACTGGGCTCAGAATAATTGTTACAGATTTTGAGGCAGTTTATGCTAACATTAGAATTGGAGTACGGAAATCGAGATGGTCAAATACAGCCAATATTACTACGTCTCTTTCATATTACCATCACAAGCCAATCGTGAATATCGTGGATGACGACGAAAAGGGCAAGGAGCAGCCACTGACTTTTAGTCGTCCGGTGTAATAGAAATTGGACTAGGATTTGGCTGCGTGCTGATAGTATTGAAGACTATTTGCGTAGCGTAGCGTCGCAATGAATCTTCAAAAGTTAAATGACTCTTATCATTATATGAAGTCCAAGAGCTGAGCTTTTCTTTGTGGATGGAAGCTGAAGTTTCACTATTAAGAACTTTTGAACTGCGGACGTAGACGATGTTTTGAGCATGAAAGAAAGTCTATTCTATATAAGAAATCGCTAATGACGGGTATAAAAGATTCAAATGGCTATGTATGCTGAACAGAAAAAGAAAAACATCCAAGTCTAGTGGTCCTCCACATCCTCGTCCCGTCCTGGGTACATGATGTCTTGACTAAGGATAGCCCGCACATGGCTATAAAGAATGAAGCAGAAAGCACAGAGTATCATAATACTCATTCCAGTTCCAAACCACCCGATACTAGTACTTCCAAGAGCCTTGCTGATAGAGATAGTAGCCAAGGTGAATCCAGTGTTGGGGAAAACCATCGCCCACCATCCAAGATGGAAATATTTAGGGGGAGACTGGATGACAGCGATAGCAGCAATGCCAAACCACCAGAAGCTCAGGGCCCACAGGAAGATAGCACCCATCGTAGCCATAAGCTTAACAATGGCCACGTCAATGAATGTCCCGTCCCTGACAAAGTCGATGTTGTCAGGAAGACCCTCAGCCATACCTATCAAGGCCAGTGCCGTGAAAGCAGGTGGACCAACGCACATGAACAATCCTGGGCGATGCTCTCTGTTGGGCAGACCAGCCTGCATCAGACGTCCGATCATGTGGGCGTACATCATGACAGCCACGCTGAGTCCAAGACCTTGGCAGGTAAGTCCTGCAACGATGATAGGCACAGCGGCAACAGTAGGCTGGGTCTCAGCAATGACGGATGCGATAGTTCCTGAAAGCATAATAGGGAAGATAGGTAGAATCCAAGTAGGCATCATAGTGTTGAGTGAGAAGCTGTGAGCGGCAAATACATAACTGTACTGCCCAATTGCAAGAAGTAGAGTGACAACAACGTAGGCCCAGAATGTTGCTTGTACGGCCCAGACAAGATTCGAATCATTCTTCGGTATCGCATAGCGGTCGGTACTGGTGATGATGGTGGCAATGGAGAGGAGAAATGTGGGTAAGAAGAAACCTTCACGAGGGTGCGTTAAAGACTTGACTAATGTTCCGGGATGGAAGAGAAAGCGCGCGACCATTGTCATGGTAACAGTTGTGAAGATAAGTAGGTTGATGATATAGATAACGAGGCCAATGGTTTTGAGACCCGGGAATTGGTTGGGCTGGGCAAAGACAAGAAGTGACAGACCACCTGTGCTCATAGGAAGAGTATACCAAGCCCATGTGAAGTGCTTGAGACGTTGGCGCAGCCCATACTTCGGTCGGTTCGGGTCGTAGATGTCGAATGTGGGTGTTTCGTTGTGGTCCTTGACGTATGTTGGTGTTGAGACCCCAGACTCCATATCCCGTGGTGTTTCTGACCGATGATGGTCTAGATGGACGTTTGTCATATTGTCGAGGTTATAGCTGTTGCGATCCATACTAGGGTCGTTTGGCGTTGTTGTGCCGTGTTGGTGTTCGAAAACCATGATGAAGGAAAATGTTGTGAACGAGAACCTTTTGTGCGATGACAAGATGGCCTTAATAGAAGAGGAATGGTAGCTTAAAAAGTTTAAAAGTAAATGTAATAAAGCAAGCCTGAGTTGGTCAGACTTTATGTGAATAGAAGCAGAGTTCAAGCCGTTGTGCAATTGATGCAGCAGGAAAGATAGAAATGAGGGGCTTGGCACGATCTATAAATACTGGCAGAATCAAAAGGAGGCTGATAAGAGCCTCCTTGTCTCGGGACTTTTGCACACGCAATTATGAGTCTGTGCTACGATACCGGCGGCTGGATCTTCAGTGACACGCAAGCTGCCGGACGACGGTTAGGAGCTGAGCCGCAGAAGCACTCCACTGTTTGGAGAAGGCTATACAAGGCTCCCAGAACCACTCCAGCCAACGAGAGCACACGGATAGTCTATTCCATACTCAGAACCTGGTATAAAACCACCAAAACATCATAGCTCAGGAGCTCCCCGGGCTCCCTTGTCGTATATCAATGAGATCGTCTCGAAGATCAACGGTGAGCCAATTAAACCACCTTGCGAGCTCCGCTGGAGTATTGGATAGAGTCACCTGACTCGCGTTGTTAGAGGCTCAATTCTACACGGCCAGTGGATACCACCAATCAGAACGTGAGGGTGCCATCGCAGATGGATAGGGACATTGCTGTCGCTGTTAGCACTTGGGCACCAACAGGGTATGTAGATTGCTGCCACAGTGCCAAGATTGCCACCAAGATTGCTTCAGGCTAGTAGGGGACAATTTCGACGCTGTGTTTGAAGATCGTCCTCAAACAGTTTTAGCACGATGTGGCTGTGGCCAAGTCTGAGGCTCTGCCAATCTGTGATCTATTGTTTCATTTCACATGCGAAATGAGACTCATCGTATCGACGCTGGGAGAAGATGGCAATATTACGAATTATTGTGATTGTTCGTGAATCATCACCCAAGACTTTCTTTTGCCCATGATCGACTTCGAGGCGCGATCAGACCCCCTGAGGATCGCCTCGCTGAAATTGTCTGAGACCTGCGTTTCATCGGAATTTTGTATCGCTATGACGCATGTCGATAACAAAAAAGAAAAAGGGTGAAACCAGAGATAAGGCACGTGCAAAATACGTGCTAAAAATACGTGCTTTGTTTCACACAAAAGCGCACGTCTGGGCTATAGTTGTTCGAAACAAAGTGGTCTCATAATTGTTTAGACGCCGGCAATGGAAACGGACCTCGAGAGCCTCATTGGCGGTGTTTCGGCGGCATCACTATTTTTGGGACGGCCCGGCACTTGGTAGCCCACAAAGTACTCCGTTCTCCGTACTCCGTGCTCAGTATTTGCTCCAGTGATAAGCAACCCCGTGGGTCAATAAACAACTGTCCACCGCCTGGCCCAAATTTATTGTATGCTTATCTTTTAACAATTTTCACTTCTCCAGGACTGCCACGCTACCACGCTAGAGGAAGGAGGTTTGTGCACGACTGTATCATATCAGCCCGGATATTTCCGGTCACCTCCCGCGACCAATGAATTGTTGTAATTCAGTTACTGTTCAAAATAATACGGAGTAACTCAAATAGATTATTGATCGATGCAATATGCAACACGAAACAATAATAATAATTCAACCTTTAAAATATCTCATAGCTCAGTTTCAAAATCCCCGGAATACCTCGGAGCGTCAGTTCCACCTAACAAGCATCGCGTTACCCAGTCTCTGATAAATCTATATTGTCACCATTCTTAGCTCCGGCTCCTTTTCCTGAAGCTGTGGATACAGAAGACTCCGCATGAGCGCGTGCTTTGGCCGCCATCTTCAGAACGGCATTGCTATCAGCAACCTCAATGGCCTTGCTGATCTTCGTACCATCGTCGTTAAAATAAAAAGTAAAGGCAAACTCCAGTGCTATGACCTCCCCATCGTGGTATTTGAAATCCCCAGTGGTGGATACCGCAGCGCGTCGGGCCTCCACGTCGATCACCAGGTGGCGCGGAGTGGTATTGTAGACGCCGCCAAGAGCAAGATCGTCAGCAAAGAGCTTTTCGTACAAATCATTGGACATCAAAAACTCTGGTGGAACACCTAGGGCTTCGCAGAGCGAGGCGGGAAGAAGCTGCCGTGTGCAGTCTGGGGTGACAACACGGTTGATGATGGACGGGTCATTGGCTTCTCTCCCATCTTCGTAAGCACGGAGGAAGCTATCTATGGTAGCTTCGATATTCTTTCTGGTTTCTTTAGTATCTGCTGTAGACATGATAGCGTTTGAAATTTGGATAGTTAGTGAGGAGTTGAAGTAGCTTGGTATACGATGGTGATAGTATGTGCGGGGAGCTGTGCAATCATATACTTGCGAAATTCGCAATCGATGCTCACCTAAGCTGACGTGGCTGTCAGCCAACTTTTACATCCTTCCATGAGATAAGGCTAAAAGAGGCAGCACAATCTACCCTAACTTGAATTCCAGAAACATCAGTATGCAAGAATTGTATTGTTGCCGTGTTGAGGTCACTTACCCTGGAACGGAATTGGATACGGGCCCGTTTCAGCGGTCAGAGACTGGATTAGCTAGGTGTTATAAATGTACTGTCTAAGTGCTAAATGAATGCTAACTGAATGCTGGGTAACATGCCTAACCTGTTCCCCATACATAGCACGGTCGGTCAGATTGTAGACATTGATTTTGCCACTCCGAGGATTCCGGCGCAGATACGCCACCCTCAACGCACCTGTCAGATAAATGACGTGCTCTTGGTGGAGGTAAATATTCTGTTTACGGGTTAAAGTTCTACCAGTGTTACAGAGTGCTCTCATTGATATCCAAGTTTTATATCCTTTCTTATTAATAATAGGCACTGAACAAAAACGAGGTATTTTTAGGAAATTTTCACATGCTTCTTTTTTATGCAGATCACACCTTCTCTTTACGATGATTATTCCCGTCTCTAGCTCATGTCTGCCGAGATTAAGGGGCTCGCCTGATTGGTGGGCACTTCAGGGACCACTGAAACATGCTCAAGGCGTCAAAGTGATTGATAATGATGACTTGTAGGGTCTTTTGTCAACCAGGAATACCAACGCATGTACAGAGTAACGTTTGGCCCATCTTTCAAGCTCGGCGCCTTGGCCATTTCACGATTCAGTGAAGGTGGATCCTAATTTGATTCCAAACAATCACGGACACTGGGGTTTGCTCTCGCGAATCGTGACACTGTTCATATCCCAATCCCAATGGTGAATCAAAACGTTACCAGCGTTCCAACTGGGCATCAGAGCAATCTTAAGAGCATCTCGTCCGTGATTTGGCATTTACTTAGAATCTATAGGACATAAATACCATTAGCTATAGCTTCAAGTCATGCAAATATCCATTCGGAGCAGACGAACTCAGGGACCAATAAAACAAGAAAGTATCTCCAGATTCACGCATACAGGCATTTTCCGTCCTCTCCAGCTATCCTAAATCGCTTATCATGGGAACCTTTCCTGCTCGCAATTGTATCACCTTCACCCGTGAGATCCCGAAGCGTTTGGTCATTGACAAGGATACGCTTGTGGCTGGTCTTGACATCATTTATGGAAATGAAGAGAGTGGCGAGAAAGCCTACGGGTTAAATGATACGTACGATAGAATTGAGGTCAAAACTACCAAGAATGAACCGACGGACCTTGTCACCGAACTACAGGAGCGTGGATTCTTAAAGAAAGAATGATTTTGCTGACAATCAAAGGATATTTATGGACCTACTCGAATGGTTTAATTATTGAAATTTCCTTCTATGAAGGATGAAGAGGTTGGGAAAATAGTTATTGCTTAGCTGAAATAGATATTGTCGGTATTCAGACTTCTAAGAGTTTTCCCTTTGGCCCAGTCTATAGTTTAAGCAACTTATACCTAACCCAAGCATTTGCTCATGATATCATATAGGTTTCTCCTCGCCTGGTTTTACTTATTAGGGATTGTATATATATTCTTATATTGAGCTTTTGACCTTGGAAGAGGTTATTTTTATTGTTGATATCATTGAGAAATTTGGAAAGCCTGGTCTTGATGAAATTAAAGGTTAAAGCAAGAAACAATATATATTCTTCATATTTTATTCGAGTCAAGATGGCCGAAACTACCTAGGCAGTATTGCGGAATTTGTCTATCTCCTGACATCGCAACAGGGCTCCTTGCATTGGAACAATAAAACAATGCGGACGCCAGGACTCTTACGTCGAGAACAAGTTTTTTTATGTAACGGTCGACAGAAGGATTATCATAATTCCGAAGGAGAGGGTTTTATGACCAGGTTCATCGTGCAAATAATCGGCCAATGCGGAATAGGCTGAGCTATACGAATTTTATGCTTCCCCCCTGTCCCAAGTGGATTTCCCCGGAACACGTAACAAAATAGATAGGGTGTCGAAACGGTCACTGAGATGAGCCCTTCGAACTATGACTGTTCCTTCTCTGCCCGAAGTAGCGAGCTTGAGCCATACGGAGATGTTGCAGGGCCCGGCGTAAGTTTATATATTCTTCTGACTCTCCGATTGGACGATCTACATTCGTTTTGAAAGCTCGCCTCTAAATCATGCCTAGGTGCTCGCGGGATTTTTGGGACCTGGCTGGCTTTCGGTTGGCCTGGTCTTACTGCACTACATTTTCGTCTTCGACCCGAATAAAGATCCATTCCTCGCAGATGGTCAAGAAGGCGGCGATTGCGACGACCCAAATGAGTGGAAAGCAAACCCGATCGACTCTTTGGTAAAATATGTCATTGGCAAAGGCCTACGATGCATAAAGATAAATACAGTCTGGGGCAATGCCCTCGAAATGGTGAGCCAGATCTTTGTGTTCTCCGGAATCGCAATTGTGCCTAACATGGAATCTTCCATAGTCAATTTTGGGAATGTGCGACGTTCAGTTCGTGACCGGTATTGGAATTCTCATTAGTGGGTTCATCGATCTTCGGAAAGGTATCTCGGCATACCACTTTTATCTCATCACCCACGTCGCTTGGTTCTCCAACCTCACCCATATCTGTGGTCTTACTGTCTTACGCAAATATCTCCATAGCCGTCCTATCGAAAAGGTGATCCGGCTATGGTCCATGGCAGCTTTGGCGATCCTGCTGCTTATCGCGATGGGACCGACGCTGTTCTTCAATTGGGCTTATATCGACCCAGAAGGTTCCGCAAGCCTGCCGGGTACCGACGCGATTTGCTTCTATAATCCTTCTCGGTCAGCGAGCTGGTTTCTCTTATCAAAGAACGATGGCTCAGGACTTGCTAAGACTACTGCTTTTCAATCGGGACTAACGTCTATTCTTTTGCTGTTTCTGAACTTCACTAGCCGAATGATCAAGTTCCAGAAATCGCTTTCTGATAGTCTCAAGGCCTTGAGAAGGTTACTGTGCGGCTACTTGTTCAAGAGTATTTGCCTCCTCCAACGACGCCGCTCACAAACCACGGGCTTGAGGAGTTTCTTCAACCGTCGGATGATGCTTTACAACCTTATATCATTACTCCTTGTACTAACATTGTATCTTGATCTTCTTCTTTCCAGTTTATGGGATGTAAGTCAGTTGTAGGACACTCTCTCAGTAAAATCCACTAACGTCATACCAAGGTGTTCTGGTTACTTGCCTCTGCTTTTTGGGGCACATTTAGACTTTTTATGACCAAGTCCTCAGCCAATGTTGATGAAAATGACTGGAATTTCGGCCAAATCCTTCCTGCTTTTCTTCTACTAGGACCGATAGTTACTGCTATCAAGGCAGCTTTCGAGCACCAGCTAGAATCCACACGATCACAATCCTCTTATGATACAAGGACACTCGAAACCGGTCGTTACAGACTTGCGAACAATGAGTGGACCGTAACTGATGCTCTTGATGACTCGACCGAATCTTTGGAAATGTGTTGTTTCCAGGAACACATGGAAAATTGTCTTAAAAGAAACTACTACGACCCAAAGACTTGTCGATGGATGCCTTGGGTTGTTTTATTTGCTTGTCTCCAAGTCCTGGCAATAACTATCATGGCGTTTGCTACGCTTATCAATGTGGGACCGAACGTACGGACAGTTCTATTATCATCCGTATTCAACATCTTGGTTATTATTCCATCTACCACGTATATGCTTGTAATCACATGCATCATATATGAGATATATGGCCCAGCGCGGGGTCGGTCTTGGATTTTTACAATATTTCTGATCAGTGTTTCTGGGGCCTTTGTAATATACCCTCTTTGGGAAGTTCTGGGTAACTTTGCTGGAACACCGACAACTGGAATGGCAACTTCCTCTCTCATTTTGATATCAGGAGGCATCATGGCCATTGCAGCTTCTGGAGTCTGTGAACTCTTACTATTCGCAGGCGGGAAGGATTAGTCTAATAAGTCAATATTCAAGTCGGGACTGAACAGTCTATGCCAACTCCATGTAGCTGACTTGAGAATGACCTCTTATTTTTTATTTATGATTTATTAGCCACTTCTAGACATAATGACGGCATGTGGGGACTACTGAATCTATAACGACAACGATGGTCCCCTCCTACCATCGAGGAATCTTCTCAGAGAATTCTGGCTTGAACCTCTTCATGTAAGTTGTGTCATCACGCTTCTTCAATCCGCAGTCCAGATACTGCTGATGAAGCTTCGCCAGCCTCTCCCTATCCAGTTCAACGCCTAGACCAGGTCCAGACGGCACCACGACACCGCCGTCTTTCCACTTCAAGGCACCGTCAATAACAACATCCTCATCCCGGCGCTTCCAAGGCCAATGAGTATCACACGCATAGTCTAGATTGGGTGTTGCAGACGCAAGGTGCGTCATTGCAGCCAGTGAGATGCCCAGATGACTGTTGGAATGCATGGATAGCGACAGACCCCAAGTAGCACATATCGAGGCTAGTGTTTGTGACTTGCGGAGACCACCCCAGAAATGGTGATCGGATAGAATGACTTGCACCGCACTTTGCAGTATTGAAGGTGGTAGGTGGTCGAAAGCAACGACTGCCATGTTGGTTGCAAGTGGCATTGAAGCTTCCTGAGCCACAGCCGCCATTCCTTCAATCTCACCAGCTGGATCTTCCAAATACTCTACAATACCGTCAAGCTCTTTGGCGACCCATTTTGAAGTCTCTACCGTCCAAGCTGCATTGGGATCGAGTCTCAATGGCACGCCGGGGAATGCTTTGTGTAGGACTTTGATGGCTGCAACTTCTTCTGCAGGAGGGAAGACACCGCCCTTGAGCTTGATAGCTTTGAAGCCATATTCGTCTATGATCTTTCTTGCTTGCTTCACGACACCCTCCGGGTCCAGCGCAGCGCCGTACTCATCATCCTCGTCACCAGGATGGCCGGCCCATTTGTAGAAGAGATAGGCCGAGTATTGGACCGAGTCTCTCACACGCCCCCCGAGAAGATCGCTGACAGAGATTCCTGCTAGCTTTCCCTGCAAGTCTAGGCAGGCAACTTCAAAAGGCGAAAAGACTTTATCGGTAACTGAGGCTGTGGTCACCATTCCTCCCATCCCATCACCACCTGTGTTGGTATCGCTGATGAGCGATTCAGCACATTTCTGGTAAATGATGTTTGTGCTGTATACAGAGAGGCCCTTGATCTTGTCTGCTGCTTTTTGCAGACGGTTTAGATGAGCGGAATCTCCATAAGATTCGCCAAGACCATAAGAGTCCTCTGTGATGATTTCGATAATGCTCCGTAAGGCGTAAGGCTCGTGCACACCCACGCTGTTCAGCAGGGGCATATCATGGAATGCCACAGGGGTGATAATGATATCTTTGATGGTGCTGCGTGGAGACATTTTGGTAATCAAATTGTGTGTCTTTGCAACTGTTGGGGTTGGTGGGCAGCATGTTGGTCTTGTTGGGTATGTTTGAGTGGTGGACTATTTAACCCGGAAATGGACAATCGGATGAGGTTGAGCTGTCATACCACTCCGAGAATCCTGTGCGGGGTAGCTATCATGGCTTCCCTGGTCCCAGACTCCCAGTTACGTTATCTCGGATATAATGCGAGGTTGGGTGTTGAGGTTGGCGTAGCATTGCATGTGCGCGTACATGTGCGCGTTTCCGTATCACCTGGACTAAGCGTGAAAAAGGAAAAGGGACCACGGTGATGTGTCCTTGATACAACCAAAAGTGACCGGGATTGTCATCCTCGCATATGTGACGGATAACTGCGTGGCTGGTGCTTATCCGCACATCACCAATCGGCATATGCTCATCACCGCCAAAGTGTATTTTCCGTGCAACAAGACCCTTCCCTACGCTACCCCGCACTTGGCAACCATGGTCCATGGATACCCTGCTTGGACTCCCGCCAAGTCTGGGGTTGGAACGGAAGTTCGTCTGGGGAAGGGAAGATTGGGGGTGATAAGCTATGAGCTAATCTGGCGCCACGACCACCCTCTTCTTCTTTCCCCAGATCGTGGTCGACTATAATACCCAGCTGCAGTCTTGACTCCATCACTTGAAGTCTCATCACTCAGCATCACTTCTTCCGGGCTGGTCGACTTCAAGAAACTTGCTTTCACCTTGCAGTACACTCCCACCATGGCCGCCAGAAGCTCCATCTCCAAGAGCGACGTCGAGGTCGGCGACCACAAACCGGCTCACCTCGAGAACACCACCGAAATCACAGAGATTGGTGGCTTCCGCGTTTTCGGCCTAGACCCTGAAGATGCCGAATTCTACAACAACTACACTGAGGAGCAGCGCAAAAAGGTCTTCCGCAAGGTTGATGTCCGACTTGTGCCTATGCTTGCGCTGCTTTACCTGATTTGCCACATCGATCGAGCCAACATTGGTAATGCAAAGATCGAAGGCATGGTTGATGATTTGAAGATGACGGGTGTTCAATACAATACCATTTTGTCTATCTGTAAGTCATTCGCAGGTACCGCTGGTTGGCCGTCACCTTACCGATCCCCAATCTAGTCTTCGTCCCCTACGTCCTCCTCGAAGTCCCCAGCAACATCCTCCTCAAGAAGTTCAAGCGCCCTTCTGTATACCTGGGAACACTCACCCTCTGCTGGGGTCTCGTCATGACTTGCACTGGACTTGTACAGAACTTCGGTAGTCTCATGGCTACTCGAGTCCTTCTTGGTATTTTCGAGTAAGCTTTCTCTCTACAATGTTGGGCTGCAGCCCTTGTGAACTTGTACTGACCAGATAACCTTTAGGGCCGGCTTTTTCCCTGGTGCGATCTACCTGTGCAGTTACTGGTACATGCCAAAAGACCTATCGGTGCGAATCTCATACTTCTACTGCGCCAGTGCTCTGTCAGGCGCTTTCTCCGGCCTTCTCGCAGCTGGTATCGCTCAGATGGACGGTGTCGGTGGTCTTGAAGGCTGGAGATGGATTTTCATCCTCGAGGGTATTGCTACAGTCGTTCTTGGTGTTGCCTGCTTCTTCTTCCTGATCGACACCCCCGCCCTCTCAACCAGATGGCTCAACGCCGAGGAGATCAAATTCCTCGAGCTATCAATGTTTATTAAGCAAGGTGGAGGTTTCCAGGAAGAGACAAGTGTCCGATGGAAAGACATCAGAATGGTGCTCACCAACTGGAGAGTCTATGTCCAGGCTTACTTCCTCCTATGCCAGTCTGCTCTTTCTTACGGTATGGCTTCATCTTTCAGCAACACTATAAGCTTTTCACTAATGATATTCAGGAACCAAATTCACGCTGCCAACCTTGACGAAGGCTATGGGCTTTTCTACGACGAATGCCCAGCTTGTCTCTGCTCCTCCATACGTTGCCGCTGCTATCTCAGCCATCGTTTTCGCCAAGATCTCAGATCGCTTCTTCTGGAGAATGCCTTTCGTGGCCATCCCCATGATCATTGTCACAGTTGCATACTCTGTCATCATATCACTCAATGGTGAGCTCGAGGCCAAGAAGGGAGTGGCCTACTTCGCCATTGTGCTCGCTGTCATAGGTATCTACCCGATCCAAGCTGCCGCCGCCTCATGGAACGCCAACAACATCGCGCCCTCTTCTCGACGAGCTATCGGTATTGCGCTGATGAACTGTGTCGGAAACGTCGGTGGCATTGTCGGTAGTTTCATGTATCTTGAGAAGGAGAAGCCCAAGTACCACACTGGATTCGGTCTCAGTTTGGCCTTCGGTGGCACCGGTCTCTTGGTTGCGTTGCTCCTGGAATGGAGCTACAAGATGGCCAATGCTAAGAAGGCTAAGATTGCGGAGGAGGCCAAGACGAAGTACACCGAGGAGGAACTCTTTGATATGGGAGACAGGTCACCATTGTTCAAACATGTTCTTTGAGTTTTAAACTTGAATCGAGAGGAAATACAGATAAGCAAGGGATCACACCTCAACGCAAGGTTGATGAAGTTGGTCCAGGATATCTGCTATACGTATTGGATGGGCAATAGTCAAGAGTTTTAGCTACGTTATAATGTTACGAATGATATTCTCTGAAGATAAAATTTGCCACGTGTTCCTCATGCGATAGGCACTATATCCGGAGCAACGAATACATGATTTTATATACGAAGAAGAAATAACTATCAACAACAGCAACCATCCCACTGTGCATTAGATCAACTCGACTAAAGACAAAGAAATAGTTCAAGTGAACCAGCTTCTTGTTGCCACCGGTATCATGCCTCCGACAAGAGTCTTATTTAGGGCGCACTAATCAAGGCTGCACATACCGTTGATACAAGAGCAACTCCCGAAAAGACACAAGTCGTTATTGTCAATGCAGTCTTCTTCGCTGTTGCAAGGTGTATCGTCCAAACAGACGCCCTGTTGGCAAGTTACACCCGCCGAGCGTCTAGAGTTACTTGTGCAGGTATTTTCAGCCGCTGCTGGTTTCGCAATACCCGTTGCTGTTGCATTCGCAGAGCCCCAAAGCACACAGCGGGTTGGTGGATAAGAGACAGTCGGAGTTGTCATTGCAGGGATCTTGATTTCCTGGGGTTTCACAGACGCCGTTGTTGCATTCTTGTCCACTGACACTGCAATCACTGTCAACCTGACACTCCGGCCCAGCAGCAGCCGTAGTCGTGGTAGTGGCTGGCAAGGTCGTTGTAGTGTCTTGAGTAACCTGTGTAGTCTTGGTGATCAACAAGACAGTGGTGGTGTCAACGGTGGCGGTTTCAGAAGTCAAGACACCCTCCGAGATGGTAGTCGCCCCAGTCGTAGTAGCAGAAAGATCGGTAGTGAGGGAGACCGTGGTAGTCGTATCATGGATTGCCGCGACAGAGCTCTCGGTTACAACTGAAGTGATAGCAGCCGATGTTTCGGTGGTCAAAACCGATGAAGGGCGGCATGGCCCAGCGTTAACGCCGTTGATGGCCAGAAGGGCCAGTGCCCCAGTGAAGATAGAAGACGAAAACATCCTTAAAGTAAACGAGTGACTTTGGTAAGGAACAAAAAGAGTGTCGACAAGCAAACGAGGGTAAAGCTAAAAGAATAGATCGGCCATGAGAAAAACTGACTGTATTTATTTTCTTCCCCTTTTTCAGGAGACTTTTCCCCTACTTTTTATTAAAGACTGCGGGAGATGATTTAGTGGCGTCCTAGCTTCCAATAGACTACGCTTAGCACTGGGTCTACCTTGAATTATCGGCCACTAAGATGCTACTAGGATGCAACTACGGAGTAATTCACCAGATTCAGGCACTAACTCGTTAAAAGTCAGCCGCAATTTGGCCCGATTCTAGATTCTAGACAGGATGATACATGCTTGACACAAGGTAAACATTCAACTCAACTTCAAATAGGTCAATTACATAGACGCCATCCGTGTTATAGCGATAAACAAAGCTCCGGAGTGAAATACCATTGTAACATTTATGTGATTAGTGTACCTCTACGCCATTCTGCGTTCCATTCATGGCCTTGAGTTTCGTCCCATTCACCACCCCATTTGTTTGCTTCTTCTCTGCCGGTGACTTAAGAGTAGCCTCGAAGCTCAGCATCTCTGAAATCTGCGCTTCGATGTCCCTCTTAGCAGCATCCGTAGGCTCTACGTAAGGCCGTCTGGGCTTAAGCTTGTCTGCAGCACCCTTAATCCCCGCAGCCTTTGCCGTGCTGAGTGTCGCTGCGTACTTGACGGATGCAATTCCAGCCTTACAGGGTTGCTCGGCCAGCGCTGCCTTTTTGTGTAGGGCCATGGCCTCTTGGAACTTGCCCTCTTGGTAGAGGTTGTAGATGTGCACAATTGTCTTGGGGACGACGTTGGCAAAGCCAGCAATGGTGCCGTGGGAACCAGCAGCAAGTCCTCCTATCAAGAAATCAGACTGCCCCCCATAAATCGAGAAGCGCTCCTCTGGTAGTTCAGCAGCAAGACGTGTGATCTTGGCAACGGCTCCGCATGTCAACTTGACACCAACAATGTTGCTATGCTTCTTTGCCAGAGCGGCAATGGTTGAGGAGTCTAAGTCGATGCCGTTGCAGACAACGGGAAAGTTGTAAATGACGATTGGGAGTTGACTGTTCTTGGCGACATCGTCGAAGAAGTTATTGATTACTTCTGGCGTTGTCTGCTTGCCGAAGTAAGCAGGAGGAAGAAGGAGGACGTAGTTGGCTCCGGCTTCGGCTGCATCGTTGATGTACTCCAAAACCTGCTTCGTTGAGTGTCCACCAACCCCTGCCATGATGGGGAATGATGGTCCACATGCTCTGCGAGCTGTTTGAAGCAATGTCTTTCGCTCTTCTTGTGTTAACAGAAACGTTTCGGCATTAGTGCCGAGGACGACTAGGCCAGCAAGGCCAGTCTTTGATAGATACGAGTAGTATGCCGCTTGAGCATCTGTCTCCAATGTGTCTGTTTCCTGGTCAAAAAAGGTGATTGCGGGTGCCCAGACGCCGCTTGGAGGAGGTTGAGGAGATGACATGATAGTTGTGATGATCTGGGTTTGTAAGGAGAATCCGGGCATAAAGAGACGCTACGCAGTACAAAATAGCCGAGGAAGGAGTCTGGCTACTTAAATGCTTTGAGTCAAGAATTGGATGTGAAAGTTGGCCCCAAGACTTAGTGGCGACACCCGTGCTCGTCACTACGGCTGTGACTCTGATCACTGTGACCGAATCGTATCGTTTTAACTTGTCACTTGGCAGCGGTTGGTTGTCCCGCATGGATAAGCGGGCTAGGCGTATTAAACATGATCACGCTCTGAATAGTTGCTACAATTACGGCCATTTGCATGCATACATCCGCGCTGGGTTTCAAGGCGGAGGAGAGATGACGGAAAAGACAGGCGTTGTGTGGCAGGAAGATGACTTTTCCGAAAGGCGAAAGTGGGCATTGCCGATCCCCCGCAGGATGTTGGCCATACCCATACCCGTACGGCGTACTACCCCACGAATTTTGCGCTGGTCTATCTAGACCTAGATCTATGGAAACATGATGTAGAAGCCGAAGCTTGTCTTAGCCGAGGACCTAGCCGGGAAGAGGCAGGGAGACGGGTAAATCTGATCTTTGCGACGCCAGTAGCCAGCACATCGCATATGAACCCTCGATTGGTGACTGACTACTGTGCAAGTCTAAAGGCATACGTTTCAATGGCCGCCAATGAACTTTGCGGCTGAAACATAGCTGGGTGATAAGTGAGTTTACACAACCTGTAAGCCGATGGTGAACATAGTAAGTGCACGCACATAGACGTAAAACACCCCTGAAAGGAAGCTACGAGAAATGCTTGTTGACCAAAATCAAGAAATTACTGTACCCTGCTCGTTTCAGGTTATCGAAAGTTACAATCTCAGTAGCTAGGCGTAAAAGCGTGTTCCGAGTCATAGAAAGCTCTTCATGTCTATATTGTCTTGTCTGTATGGTACTCTATGTAGATTTCCTGTGCATAATGGTTGCCGCAGCCTGGTGGTTGGGGAATATCAAGGTATCCGCAATAACGACATTTTCCCTACGGCCAGCAGTAAATACGATGGTCTCGGCAATGTCATCCGGAGTCAAGGGTTCGCAGCCACTATTGAAGATCAGCATCCGCACCATCTGCAGTCAGAACCTTGGTACAACTTACGCATAAACGGCGTCGGCCTTTGATTTGTCGCCGCCGAACCTCACAACCGAGAATTCGGTCTCAACTTGACCGGGGTCGACTCTGATAACTCGGATGCGCTTGGAGATCAGCTCCTTGCGCAGACTTTCGGTGAAAGAGTGGATGGCAGCCTTGGTGGCACAGTAAATGCTTCCACCAACATAAGGCTCGCGGCCTGCGATGGAGCCAATGTTGATGATGTCGCCAGATCCCTCGCCGTTGTTGCGCTTGAGCATACCGGGGAGAACGGCTTGTGTGACATTGATCAGACCAGTGACATTGGTAGCAAACATGACGTTGATGTCCTCTTCCTTGATCTCGGGCGCCTTATCGACACCCTTAACAAGACCGCTGCGCATACCTCGTTAGCCAAGATGGCCTCAAAGTGTTTTGATAGCACTTACGCATTGTTCACCAAGACATCAATCTCGCTAAACTCGGCGGGGAGCTTGCTCACAAAAGAGCGCACCTCTTCCGGTTTGCTCACATCAAGCTGAACGGGGTGCACCTTGACGCCATCGCCGACCTCTTTGACAATATCCTCGGCAATCTGACGAAGGGTATCAATTCGACGCGCCGTCAATACCAACTTGAGGTTCTTGGGGCTGGTGCGGGCGAATTCAAAAGCCGTGGACTTTCCGATGCCGGAGGATGCACCAGTGATAAGTACTGTCTTGCCTTCAAGGCGCTTTGAGACTGCGGATGCCATTTTGGGAATTCTGCTGTGAGGGGAAAGTATACGGGAATATTTGTTCGGGCTTGTTAGTGAAGTTGGCTCGGGATAAATAATGTGCCCTTGATAACATATGGACTTTATCGAGTTGTTGGAATCTGGAAGAGGGGCGTGGAATCTAACGCAATCTGTCCCTCTAGCCGCTCCAACCACAAGAGTCCAGAGATCTCCAACGGATTTGTAACCGGACAAGGGTGCTCGGTTGAGCTTTTCCGACGCAATGCGTCGGCTTTGGAGCCGGAGCTGGAAAAGGTAAGCCGATATCCGTTTATCCTACTCATTGATTGGATACTGAGCATCACACAGACAAGAGATCAAGACACGCTTAGATAGGATACTTGGAATTATGCATATTAAAAATGGAGGCACCACTATACTTGCACATGTTATTCTATGTAATGACCACATGATAACCATTTCTCACACTCTGAATACCTCATCGTCCAGAAATGCATCCAGATTCCCTAGTCCCGACGATATCATTGAAGCAAACTGACCCCAGCCTGAAAAGTCAACACCAGACATACCATTATAGTCCATCCCGCTCTCCCCCATTAGATCCGTGTACGAAGTTTTGTCACTAGGCGTATCCATCGGAATGATGTTAGATTGGAAACCATTCTCGTGGGAATGTCCGTCTAAATCCCCAAATGCGTTGGCGGACGGATGCATTCGATTAATCTGGCGCACCGCCTCGATCCTCAATTCTTCCAGTAAGAAACAATATCGTTCCGATAGGGAGCCTTTCTCAACCATGGTTGACATGTGAGATTGGCACCGCGTGGCTGCTGTGAAATACTCCATGTATGTCTGGGGAGGAGATGCCCATTTCTGAATCACGTAGATGTAGAGTACCATGGCTGCAGTAAAGGCAAAATATGCGGTGACCTATAGATAATTAGGGTCTTCTCGCTGCTGCGGAGGTTGATTGTACACACCCAGAATGCGCGGAACATTTGCCCGTTTCCCACTATATTTTCGATCAAGCCGACAGTGTCCATGGCAGCCTCAAGACACTTTTGAACACTCTCCTGCGTTGAAGAGTCGTTTTCACTCCCTCTACGGTTCTGTCTCGAGATCCGCGCAAAGTTATTGAGGACGGCTTGTCGATGGGTGAGGATTAGAGCATGCCAGTAGGTCATGTTGAGAACATTGCGTTGTCGTTGAACGATGGGAGCCAGAAACGATGTGCTGAAGTAATCGGCGTCCAGAAACTGGGAGTGGTCACTTCGCCATTCTGCAAGGTCTTTGGAGATATGTTGAGTCTCCTCTGCTCGTCTGCTGAGGGATATAGGCTTGACTGAATAGAGGGCCCGAAGGATACGACCAATAATGCGGGCGAGTCTAGCAGCGCGCGTTAGCGAATACAGTTACAAATGTGTTAATGGCTTACTTCATGTGCCCAAGAGGAGCGAGCATAAGCGAGTAGCCCTTGGAAGAGCCAGCAATATTTATGTGATCCTTAGTAATATCGTTGTCGTCAACACAGGCAGGCAGCTCGGTATCTATATCTTCGTCGTGGAAGTTGCGCGGTCTACCTAGAGATACACTGAGATACGCATCCAGTGTATACGCACTCCAGAAGGTTCTTCGCCGACTTTCAACTTCAATATGATTCAAACCGCTCACAACCCCAGGTCTTTTATTACGGTTCAGCCCAATAGCCAGGGCCAAATTTGTCACAATGCCAAACTGACTCCAGCAGTGGTTTACACGAGACTGTGTGCCTAGATAGTAGCATTGCAGAAGACGTGCTTGCACACTTGTCAGGCGTATTGAACCGCTCTCCTTTGAAAGCTGATGGTCAGCTGCTAAATAGTATCTAGAACTTTATGTCGTCTTTTAGTAAACGAAGCAAACCTAGACGGGCAGGTATCTTACCTGAGATCTGCTGGCCCTAGCCTGTCGCTCTCAGGCATGTAGACTCTAGCATGAGCTAAAATCATAAATAGCAATGCAACCTTTGCAGCAGAATTGTTAGGGTCACGCATAGTCCCCAATGTCTCATAGAACTCAGCGAACCATTCTTGTATGGTAGGTCGGTGAAGAAACCGGTATGTTGGCATCGCGAAGTCGAAGTAGCGATCTACCAAGCGCTGAGCATCTTCCTTCGGAAGCATCATGCAGAAGTTTGGGTCGTAGTCTGGGTTGCGGAGGGGTGCATCGCCAAATGTAAATATGCTTCCTGGCCCAGAAAATGATATGGCTTCGTGCATACGCTTCTGTACCCTGAGTAAAAACGACACACCAGAGGCTGGCCCGATATAGTGACCCTGGAGATCCTCTTGAGATGGTTCGGGGGATTGTTGCACTGATGTCACAGCACCCGAGGTTGTGGCCCCTGGTGCCAGGAGATGTGATGAGATGCCATACTCCTGCAGCCCGACATTCTGATTCGAAGATCCACTGGAAGAATTTGCCATAAACTGCTGATTCAAATCCCCAGGGCTGTTCTGCTGGCTCCCAGGCATTGTGTTCTCAGCCGAGACGGTTATTGAATCCTGTCCAGCCTCATCTGCAGATGGTATAACCGGCAGACGGCCTCTGGCATAGGCTGATTCAAAAGTACAAGAGACCCCTGTCCGAGTGCAGAACTTGCACGGCTGCATACCATTGCATTTGATCTTACGCCTAATATAAAGATGAGAGATTAGCTTCTGGGGATCTACGCCAATAGATGCGCGGGTTTGTGTCACTTCTTGCATCCGTCGCACGCCCTGGTCACTCTGACCCGCTCCGTGCTCTTTTTCCGTCTTTTAGGGACATGACCATTGCTGCCATCTTCTGAAGGCGCCGGGAGTATGGGACGCGCTGGGATCATTGGTGACACGTCTATCTGCACGCGGGAAGGAGTTTTGCGTAGTGAGATGGAGAGCTGTCAGGACGGAAAAGTGAGGAGATGAATTGGACTAAGAAGTGAATTGCCGGCGGAAAAGCGATTCCGGGGGAGTACATGGATAGCTTGGTGGTTGTTTATATTGCCCAACCCCGCAATCTTTGTCACGTGGATCCCTCGTTGAAGACCCGGGGTAATAGCCGCCGATTTTGTCACTAAATAGCGTTTGAGCATACTTGTCATTCCCGATATGGTGTTTATTACTAAACCTAGACATTGCCGTTCCAAGGTTATAATTTGAGTATAGCAACACACGTCTAGAACTGCTAAGTAGCTTTCACCAACTACACTTTGCTTTCGCGTATCTTGTGACACATATTTATTGTACCCGAAAGGTTGATTGTTTGACTTTTCGTTTCCTTGGTAGTCTGACGTGATATACGAACAAATCATTATCCATGCCCTCCGCCGCATACAAAAGATCGTGTTCTTGGAAAAGGCCCTATGTTTGAGGCTTCCGTAACAACTTCAAAGCCACCTCCTCAAATTCGTCACCAAATTGCAAAATCGATCTCCAGTGCTGAGGAATACCTGTTAATCCATCCCTAGCACCAAGAAGCCCGCCGGCTATTGCTGCGTTTGTATCTGTATCATGTCCAATTCGAACAACATCAACCACGATATCTTCCAAGCTTCGACTGTCCAGAAGTGCGGCAATAGCAAGGCTCAGGGATCCGAGCACAAACCCGCCAAATCGACCCTTCAACTCTCGCGGAGACCCTTCTTTAGCCATTTTCGCAACGTCAAGTGACATGCCGAGCTCGATTGCTTCGTAGACTGGGCCTGTTGATGTTCTTTCGAGGGTCTCTGCCACGCTCAGGCCTGCTTCAATGGCCTTTGCCGGGTTGACCTGGTTAATGAGCTTGGATACAATCGTGTTATAAGCGGCGCATGCGATGGTGCATCTTTTGTCGTCGTGTGTGATTTTGCTGATGCGCTGACTCTCCCTGATCAATTTTTCTGGGTCAGGCTGGAACAAGCCGGTGGCGATGCATCGCATCAAACTGCCATTTCCAGCATTTCCCTCTCCAGCTCCCGCACGGTCCGGATCTCTTGTCTTTTCGTAAATTTCCAAGCCTGTGGAAGTGGCGCCGCCGATATCATCTGGATATGTGCCTGGTCGTCTGTCTGGCCAGTCACCTCGCAGCCACTTGATGAAGTAATCACCAGCCAGCCGTGCAACGTCGTCTCCGAGGCCGAGGCAATTGTGGTCATGATATGCCAGCAAAACTCCGCGCGCCATATCAGTGTCGTCTGTTGCGTGACCAGCTGCCCAGTTGAAGGGGCCGCCACCGACGATATCTCGCAGGCCGTTGGGATAGTGATGGGCGATTTCTTCATGAGAACTGAATTCGAGTGTGGCACCTAGCGAATCACCGGCGTGAACACCGAGTAGTGCGCCGATGACACGGGACTCCCGAGCCGAGAGCTCTGTTATTTCTTGAGATGAAGACATGTTGAATTTGTTTCTGTTCTCTTTTCTTCATTGAGCTAACTGTTTGTCAACGTTAAGTAGTAAAACTGCAGCAGGAAAGCGGGGCCAAGGCTGACTACCATTGAGTCAGACCCATTGCTGCCTATATTCGTGGCGGAGCTAGACCAGGCTGTGCAATAAAAAAGACATGGAATAACAGGGAGAATACCTGTGATTAGAGCGTAGGTCTCGGCTGACCTTTCATTCCATACATTGTACCTGCATTAGTTTGACAGTGCTGTGGAGGTTATCACCTCTTCGGATATATCCAAACATAACCCACGCGAGAACGTCAACGCCAGGGACACAATCAGTTGGATCTGAGCTCACATTAGCCTCGGAAAAAGACAGTTTGGTTTTTATTGGCCGACCATAAAGATGGTAAACAGTTCCTGTCCTGCTCCACCCTCTCCCCAACACCCCATCCGTTTGACACGATCAATTCTTCGGGTCGATTTAATGTAAAGGGCTGCCTAATCTATTGAAGTTTCGGACCTAGTAGGCTCCTGTGGCTGCTTTTCATCATGGGCCAAGCACCGATCTTTTTGATAAGCCGGGCATTCGGGCGTGCAGACACGCAACTTGGACCAAGATTCAACATGTTTGTCTTTGTTCACCCTCTCCATCTCAGATGATGGGGCTTTTCTCTCAATCCGACTTTCCAACTCGTCGTACTCCTCCTATTTGCCATTCCATTTCTCTTTCTCCGCATTCGCTAATGACTTCTCCTTCTCAGCTGCCTTTTTGTCGGCCCTCTTTTCTCTGGCCTTTTTGACCTGTCTCGCGAGAGCATATACAGGTTCAGTGGCGACCACGACTGGGCAAGAAAAGATTGTGTCCGAAAACTGGCTGAGACCATTGTTGCCAGGGTCGACATTCTCACCCTTGGGATCTTGCATTCGCGGGTCCTTGCTTGTGAAAGGTAATGGATGTGGTCTGAATGTCATGATGGGGCTGAACGATTAACTGTAGGTGGATTGACGAGGATTCTCAATGACTTTTAATTTAATTTGAAACAAAGACGAAGATTTGAGTGGGAATCAATAGCGACAACGGAGGAGTCTAGATATATCTTTGCGCGCGTTGCGCCGTATGTCATTATGTAGAACAACTACCAAAAACAATCGCAACAACTCGTTGATCTAAGAAGTGGTCATGAAAACGGCAAATAAGTCTTCTGTCAGCACCAAAGACAACTTGTAAATGATCAGCCACCGACCAGTCAGATATATGGCCCCCAGTCTTCAACTGGACTTCCTTGTTTTTCAGCATATCGTCGTCTTCTTGCGGCCCAGAGCTGAGCGGTCATCTTGCAGGCTCCACATACGTCATGTCATCACTGAGATTGTCTTATCGATAAGATACAACAATCCCTACGATTCTCAAGTCAGGGTTGCTACAAGAAGTTATGGCATCTCGTTAACACCATCAAGGTCCCTAGTCCAATCCCGGGCGGAACCACGATTTTGCTCCAGCCCAACGTGAAGTTAGTTGAGAAGTTTTCTTTATACTTCGTAGTAGCCCCCATAGTTGAAACATTCAAAACCTTGGGTCAGCCGACGTGGATCTCACGAAACATTCCTCCTGCTCAATTTTCTCCCTTTTCCTTACGTGAGATAATGACTTGTATAAAACAAGATGCAATTTTGCAAAGCACTTAGTAATCTCATAGCAACAAAATTTGCAGGCTAGGCACGGCTTAGCTTTGCTGCTTCCCCACAGGTGTCTTTCTTTTTCTTTTTCTTGCATTCTTTGCTACTCCCCGTGATACTCTATTACCCCATGAAAACACCAACCCCGCAAAACTGCCCCATGAACCCGGGGGGAATCGGGGCACTAACCCAGACTTGCCCGGGCCGGTGCAAACTTATTAGCTAACGGCTTCCTGCACAGTCAATAAGTCTGACTTTTACCTTGCATCTCAACGCTATTAGATGCGAGGTCGTAGTGGTGGCTTAAAATTGAGTAACTGTTACCTAACTGTTGAGCCGCGACTCAAAATGAGAAACAGAAAAAAGTGTTTTTACGAAATAGGACAAGGGAAGGGATACTGCCTATAAAACCAGCGCCATGCCAAGGTTTGTCCAGGTGTATATTCAAGACCACAGACGAAATTGAGCAGTGAAAATTTTCCGAAGTAAATCGAAGACACCATGGCTACCAAAAGCATTGAAGAGGTTCGCTCTCACTCGCCTGCCCCATCGACTCTTCGTCCTGGGCAACAGTTTGGCAATCCTGTAGGCGTCTCTCTATATGCAAGGCTAGGACCATTACTGACAATGTACTATCTACAGTCTCCTCTGGCCATGGGCACATTTGCTACAACCCTACTCACACTTTCCCTATCTATGATGGGCTTCCGTGGTGTCGAGACTCAGACTATCTTCATCGGTAACCTATGCTTAGCTGCTGGTCTGTGCATGTTCGTTTCTGCACAATGGGAGATGGCACGAGGCAATACGTTCGGCTACTCTGCCCTCAGTGCTTATGGTAAGTCGATATCGACATCCCAGTGGCCCCTTCCAGCATAGAGTAGTGAGACTTACGGTTTGATTTAGCTGTGTTTTACGGTGGCTATGGAGTTATCCTTTGTCCATCCCTCGGGGTTCTTGAGTCTTACGGTGGCCATACTCCTGAATACTTTAATGCCATGGGCTTTTACGTCCTGAGTAAGTGCAGCACAACCTTGAGCGCTTTCAATGACTGACGCGGTATTTAGTCTGGGCAGTTTTGACCCTTTTCTTCATGTTGGGATCAGCTCCAATGTAGGTGACCCGAGGTACATATTCATCATGTAGCGACTAACAGTTTCATAGCAATCTCGTCTCTTTCGGCATCTTCACCACCATTTTCTTCTGCTTTACGCTCGATGCTGCTTCAAACTTTGCTCATGCTGATGGAAAGGTCGAGGTCGCCAAAGGTCTTTTGAAGGCCGCTGGTGTCTTTGGGTTTATTTCTGGTCTGTTAGGATACTACAGTTGTGCTGCTTCTATGTGCGCCGATGCATTGCCATTTGAGCTACCTTGTGGGGATACGTCGAGGTTCTTCAAGAAGACTCGCAAGCAACTATGAGCCATTGAGTCTGAAATTCTCATTCATGTCAAAGCAGTTCAATTTTAGAAATGAATCAGGATTGAAATATCGCTTCACTTGATTGATGATTATCTGTGTACCCCTACTTGGGGGACACGCTCCCCTAAGCATTACTTGTTCTTACTGTCCTCCATTTCATTTCCCTTTATTTCGTCCCAATCTCCATCACCATCGGGCTTGTCCTTGAGTTGTTTAGGGCGGGAAGCTGATGGGGTGCTCAGCTTCATCTCCCATAACTTGGCCCAAACCAGGATTTGAGTTGCGATGATAACAATACCAAAACCCAAAACAGCAGCCCACCCCGCCAGTACCACGACCGTAATCGGTGAGTAGATAATGAAACCGAGTATTCGCGGTTTGATAGATGGGTATGTACGCTTGAGTAGCCCGAATGTGATTCGCCACGCAGATTTGAGCACCCATGAGCCGTGAAGCAGTTGAAGGGGAAACGCCAAGGTGCACATCAACAAGGCGAGGTATTGGCGAAGGCGTGACGTAATGCATTGCTTGAGCCAGAAGCCGGGCTGTGGAGCGGTAGTATCAGGCTCCTCGCCCTTTTCAGGGAATGCGTCGACTTGCTTTGTCGACCACCAGAAATTAACTATAATAAGGACGGCGAGCGTCCAGAAGAGATCACTCTTGACATACTCGTAACGAGCAGAGTCGGCGTACCACCAAGAGTCATAGCTTGGAGGTGAGTGGCAGACCTTGACTGTCATGTTGGCGAGTTAATTTAGCGATAATTGGATAAGCCGCAACAAAATGAGAAACATGTTTTGGCCTGGATTCCAGGCAGAGCTCTGCGCTCCTTATATCGATCCATGCCGTCGCCCGTTAAACGGCTGCCTGGGGGATTACTTTGCTGCTCCACATTCCACTCTCCGCACTGTTGTCACTGGTCGTAGTCGCTGATCGATTGGGGGCTAGTCAGCACGACCACTGTAAATGATCACTGCGCCTCCTGCTCCTTGCTGACGTCTATTCGGAATGGCTATCGATCGGCAATTGGCGTTTTTGCTAGGCATACTCAACCTCTTTCTGCTGCTCTTCGAGTTTCTCATTTTATCACTTCGTAATACTTATGGCAATTTTCCAAGATTGCAGTGCGGCTGGTTTCAGTAATTTAGCTGCCTGGGCTGAACAATTCGTTTGCCCCGCCCTCTGTTAGTCTCCTAACTCGCAGCCTGGTAGGCAACAATAAACATACAATGTTTTAATACTTTGCTCAACCACAGTCAAGTCAGCTTACGCAATGCACCCAGTGTAATACAGCCAGAAATAACCGACATCTCAAAATACCCCAAAGTATGACGCACAACCTTCATATTCCTCTCGAGATCATTCTTCAGATACTCGAAAACTCAATCCCACCAGGCAACCCCGGTCGCATCCTTAGTGTCTCAACCCCAGATATCCAGCTGCTCGTCGCTTGGGCCAGAGTATGTCGGGCCACCCACGAACCCGCGATTCGGTTCCTGCGACAGCACTGCGTGCATATCGACTCACAGCTCCGCCTCGGGACGTTTCTAAAATGTCTTACCTATTCACAAAAACTGGAAGAGAGCGGAGAGGCATCGACTCTTCCAAAGACTATATCGCTCTCTGAAATCTCGTCCATTTATTTTGGACTAAGCGAGAAGGAAATTCGATTAGTTCGAACTAATGCATTACTACGTGATGTCTTGATCAAACTCGGTGGCTCTGTGCGCCGCCTCATCCTTGACTTACCCTTCCGCAAGGTTGGCCATCTATACAGCACCGAAAATCATATAGATTTCATATACCAACAAGGGCTATGGGCATTATCCAATCTTGAAGAACTAGTCACATTGGGTGGCTTGCCAGCCTTGGAGTTCTGGAGAAGCGAGCTCGATATATCCAGCGTGTGGCCCAAGCTGCGCCGGGTAGCCGGTTTCAAGATCAACTTGTCTGAAGAGGCACTTTGGTACAACATGGCCAGACACCGCAACATTGAGCACCTGGTAGTTGTAATGCCTTATTTACTGCGACGGGAGAGGTGGAACATCAAGGAAGCCATCGCTGGCCGAGAATGGAATTCTGATCTTGGTGGCGACTCCACCTATGCCCGCCCTCTTAAGATTGTCGTTGCTCATCATGAGTATAGCTCGCGAATGGTTGATACTCGAGATGGAGGTATTCACGACCCATCGGGGTTTCTTGACGTTTCTGTCTTCAACATACCGGTGCTCGCAAAAAGAATCGATTATGTATGCTTGGAATGGCTGATCAGGACTGCGAAGGAAGGTACCCTCTGGAAGTGAAGGTCCAAGATGATGGTTTGTGTTATGGTTATTCACGTAGGGGCAGCCATGTATAATAGCGAAAGAAATCCACACTCAAATAGGTACACTGGACGGTCAAGGGGTATATTTATGTAGATACACATGACTTGGTTCAACCCAATGATTTTAGGAATCAGGTACCAACAAGATATCATCCACATTAATTGCCTGTCCTGTCGCAATCGACCTATTAGCCGCAATTCCAGTGAGTATAGAAGCAGCACCATCAATGTGACTAGCTGCTCGCATATACTCGTCTGATACCGGCGTTCCAAATAGATCGTTGAGCAGAACAGTATCTCCTCCTCCGTGAGCACCTACACCTTCCTCAACTTTAATCTCTCGCGGCTTCTCGAAGAGGGGTCGAAGCAGGATCTTCCGGCTCTCGATGGAACCCTCAGCAGCCTGATCGCCACCGGAGTTGACGTAGCTGTTCTCAACGATCTCAACTTCCAGTCGCCCGCCAGTTCCGTTGAAACTGACACGGAATCCTTCCCATGGGGCATAAGCTGTGAGCGAGTACGAAAGACTGGCTCCATTGCGGTATTTGACCAGGACGTTCATTGTGTCTTCGATGCTGATTCCGTCACCGAAAACACTTTGGTCACGATAGTAGCTGTCTTCGTGTTCAGCATCGAGATACATGGCCTTCAGTTGAGGGTTTTGGTCAAGATGAAGTGCAAATGGATCCGACTTGGCAACTTCACTGCCGTGGGCACGGGTATAAAATCCAGTCTGGCCGCGCTTTTCTGCGTTTTCTCTACCGTAGAAGTTGAGGTCGCCTGTGGCAAAAACAGTCTGGGGCCTGGTCTGCAGCCAGAAGTTGACAAGATCGAAATGATGTGTTGACTTATGCACTAGAAGACCGCCGCTGTTGCGCTTGTCTCTGTGCCAGCGACGGAAGTAGTCAGCTCCGTGGCTTGTGTTGAGCATCCATTCTAATTTACAATTAGCCTGATAACCTTTCCGACACGACTATTCCACGGCTCAACTCACCGAAGTGCACGCTGGTGACCTTTCCAATGGCGCCTGACTTGAGCAACTCGAATACTTTGGTGTTATGAGGTGCGTAGCGGTAGTTGAAGGTGACCCTGACTTTCTGGCCTGTTCTCTCCACCGCAGAGAAGATCTCCTTGCACCTCGGGGCATCGATAGTCATGGGCTTCTCAGTAATGACATTGCAGCCGAGTTCAAGAGCCCGGACGATGTATATGTTATGTGTTCGGTCCATGGTTGTAATGATAACCTCGTCAGGCTTGGTTTCTTTAATCATCTGGTCAAAGTTGCTGGCGAGGAAAGTTGGGACTTCGCCATGTCCGAGCGATTGAAGCTTCGAGTTGGCATAGTTCATGCGCGTCTGGTTGGTGTCGCAAAGGGCAACGATACATGACGTTTTGCTGTATTCAGTGGCAATAGCTGAGTAGAAGAAACTCGAGCGGCCGCCTGTGCCGACGACGGCATATCGTTTCCTTGTCGTCTGATTTTCAGCCATGATTAATTTTATGCATGAAACTTGGACGAAACAAAAAGAAACCTTGAGTCATGGATCATGAAGCGGTATTTAATGGGAAAACACCACGACAAGATGACATGACCGAGGTGAGAGAGGGGATGATAACTCGGTGTCTCTTGTCCCGAACTGTGGGTCCTGCTTGCGGGGGTTCTTGTGATATTATTCAGGCTGCCCCCAATGTCGCGAAGCGCTAGCAGAATAAATGATCCTTCAACTCGTCCATTGAAGGAGACTGTGACATATTATAGGAGCTTCAGGTCCGGTGCGTTGATCATGACAGCGGAAGCATGAAGTCATGGACTGCCTACTTGGCTTCTCTCTTTGATACAGCTCGTGAATCACCTACGTATTCACCCACCGTAGGTGGAATAGAAGCGGCAAGTTTACTCCGTACCCAAATGGTATACTCTAACGTTAAAAAGCTTCTCATGGATGTCATATGACGAAACATTGGGTATTGGACGAGATTTATCCTACGAATAAACAGGGTAATCGTAATCGCAATCGCATTCCCGTCGCAGAGTAGAGGGGGGGCTTCCGATAAGTCAGCTTTCAGTGGTCTCCACTGGAATTATTGCTAATTTAGCCAAGCTTTAGTGGTCGATAGGCCGAAGGGCATGAAGCTCCCAGCACCAAACACACTATAACAAATTCAGTGTGCCAGTACAGCAGAACTACGACGGAAGGAAGGCCATTTTCTGCATGCATCTCAGCTTCATTGATGCCTAATAATGAAACAGGAAAGTCAGCGAAGACCTTCCCGAAATGGTTACACCACGGCGTGACTGATCACGAATTCACGGTCATCGTGCATTTAAACATGCGCATTTGTCTGTAGAACTGGCGCACACCAAACATCAACATCCATCGCAACTTTCTCCTCAGCGTGATTGATCATGACAAAGATCTTCCTGTCAGTCCAAAAATCAGAACGCTTGATACTGACTTCTACTAACCATCTTCACTATCAGTACCGGCGCTTCAGGGTACATCGGCGGCGATGTTCTCCATGTACTGCTCGAGTCGCACCCAGAATACCAAGTTCGAGCGTTGGTTAGAGATGCCACCAAAGGCGCAGCCATCACGAAAGAATACAGCCAGGTACAGATTGTCAACGGAGGATTTGACGATACAGACATCATCGCCCAAGAAGCCAAAGATGCTGATGTGGTAGTCCGTAAGTCGCGTCGCCTATTGTCAATTGACTCATCAAGGCGTGCATTTACTGAGACATCCTTCTTGTAGACCTAGCAGCTACGGGTCATCTAAAAAGTGTCCAAACCATCTACGAGGCTCTTTCGAGCAAGCAGGAGGGATCAAAACCGCCCTACTACATACAAATCTCCGGCGCCAGTGCGTTGGCAGCAGGCGAACTTGCCGACAAGTCGTGGGTTTTTGGTACAGGTAATGATGTCATCCACAATGATCTGGACGGCATCGATTCCATCAAGTCGTACATCAAGCAATATCCCAACCGCGCTGTCGACAACTACATATTTTCAGTCAGTGAACAACAGTCGTCTGTTAAGACTGCACTCGTCGTTCCTCCCATCATCTATGGGCAAGGCCGCGGGCCCGGCAACCAGCGCAGCATGCAAATTCCCGACCTGGCCAAGGCGGTACTGGAACGCAAGCGGGGAGTTCAAGTCGGTTCTGGTGAGAGTCGATGGGGCAATATTCATATCGCCGACTTGAGTCGCATCTTTCTTCTGCTGGTTGAGAAGGCAGCCGAGGGTAACCATGATGAAGATATCTGGGGCGCAAACGGCGTTTTCTTTACTGGCGCAGGGGAGCTAGTAAGTTCTGTAAATTAGCCATGGGCTTTCATTCACTGACAGGTTATGTAGTCATTCGGCGAAATTTCACGACGAGTAGCTGTCGCTGCTCGTGACTTCAATCTAATCCCGAGCGAAGGGGTGGACGAGGTCGGTGCCGAAGAATTCGACCGCCTTGTTCCTCGCGGATCTATACTGCTGGGTACCAATGCGCGTAGTGGCGCTCAAAGAGCAGAGCAGGTCCTCGGCTGGAAACCGGAGAACGAGAGTTTGGAAGATCACATTCCTCAGGCTGTCATCAAAGAGGCTGAGGCACTCGGTATGAAAGGTAAGACCCTCGAATTCTGGCTTTGAGAATGCAAAGCTGACATCAAGTTTGACGCAGTTGAGCTTTGGAGAGGTTGATTGATATCCAGAAATTATGGACACAATAAGGAACTGACAATTTGGGGGTAATCCTAAATAAGTAGATTTTAGGTTGCGTTATGTTTTTAATCAATTCTTCGCCATTGTCTTTTTACTTCCTCCCGGCTGCCAAGTGATCCCTTTGCTTTGCGATGAAAACTGGATTTACTCCAGAAGGTTGGAGTTTCGCACCTCAACCAACGCGACTGTCGCAAAACGCCAATACACTCATTCAAAAGGCTCAAGTACCGCAATATTCTTCTGATACCTACGGTATTTTTGGTCATTTCCTCCAAGGACTTAGGAGATCCACGTGGTTGTGGTAATGACGCGTCGCTATCCAGGGTAGCCTGGCCGAAGCGCGTGTGATAAACACCACGATTTGCTTTTTATTATTGCTGTGACGTCAGTCCCACCAGGGCTGAAGATTTTGAGTTTCAACCCCTTAAAGGAAAGATGCCCCTCGCGATTTCGTGACGTAGCTTCATCTCTCTATCTGTATCACCATAATCAGATCCAACATGCCGCCCAAAAAGTCCACCAGCGCCTCTAACAAGCGTGCGCACGATGAACCCGACGCTAGCCAACACGCGTCCAAGAGCGCACGAACCGGGGATGCGCCAGCAGAAGAGCAAGGCGGAAGCTCTTCAGGGCCCAAAGGTTCGCGTAAGCGTCGCATTTCTAGAGGCCCCAACGGGGAGACTATGATGCCTCAGTACATGCCCCGTGAGTGCGCAGAGGCAAAAGTCATCGAAACTCTTCCCATACCGTCAGGATGGATCCTTGGTATTGACGCGATTCCCGATCGCGCCATGACCCTGGGTAGTCGCAAGTGGTGGGAGGATCACGGCGCTTGGCTTGAGGCCAACAAGAAGGCTCTGAAGCTTCCGGAAGCCAAGTGGAAGATGTGAGAGGAGGCCATGAAGCAAGATGGCACCGTTGCTGATGATGAGGGTGCCGATGACTGGGACTTTGTCTGTTATCCTATTCCCAGATCAGAACGCGCTCGCGTCACGGATGAAGATGACGATGAAGATGAAGATGAGGATGAGGAGGACGAAGATGAGGAAGACGAAGAAGGTGAGGGCAACGGCAAAGACGACGACAAGGACAAGCCCTACGACAAGCTCGCTTCACTTCACCCAGACTGGCCTTGGTCTTTCACCATGCGTGGTATCGATCGCTGTGACTGGTGGCAGCAGGAGGCCCTCAAGCGCAACCAGGATGAGTTTGATATGCACATCTACAATGACTTCACCGGCTACGGCATGCATGAGGTAATGGAGAACATCGTAAGTCGCCCCCAAGACTTCAAGTTGATACAGGCCAGCTTACTGGTATAAGTTTGCTCAGTTTGGCTCGGTCTTCAAGCCCAAGGCCAGCTACCGTGATATTTGGCCTGAGGTCGAGGGCATGGCTATGGTCCTGCGAAGCGGCTTGATTGACTACATGAGTAAGCATCTTTGATCCTCAACAACGCGTATTGGTTACTGACATTTCCAGTGTGCGACGACCCCGACAAGTGCGAGAGCATCAGCGAAATGGTCGGATATCTCACCCTCGCCACCATCGACGCCCTCAAGGCGCAAGACGTCTTCAAGCCTGACTCGGACATCCGAAATCTCGGCACCGTTCTGTTTATGCTCATCAGATGGGGCCGTGAACAAATCGACTACGAATTCTCCGAGGAGTGCTGCTCTTGGATCTACAAGGTCATCGACCTTGCCGAAGAAGCTGGTGTGCAGCTCGCCGCTCCGCACAACTTCGACAAGGCCTACGATGAGATTGTTAATAACCGTGACAAGAGGGCTAAGAAGATGAAGAGATGGGACAAAGTCAGCTGGCCTGCCAAGGTGAATACTCATTGTTTCCTTCGACAAGAGCGGTTGGCTAACGTGTTTCTAGGTCAAGGCTTATACCACCAAGCACATTGGAGGCGCTCGAGCTAAGCTAGGTGGCCACCAGTACGACATTACCAAGTTTACCAAGGCGAAAAGGGACCAGCATTCAATTAGGTAAGTGCGCAATTGATGCGGTTTGACCCCTAACTGATGTGTTGTGTACAGAGCTGGAGGAGGTTGGGATATGATGTGATCAGATGCGTCAGAAGTCAACTATCTGGAAGATATCGATATCACATGTCTTTGAACTTTGGGTCATGTGTGTAGTGTACTGTACTATTTCTATTCAACATGTCAGATAGGTTCGCTGCATATCTTTGTTTTAAATGAAACCAGATTGTCAAGAAAATATATTCACTAAGCTTTCTTCCCCCCCAACAACTCTCTCGCCATCTCGCAAGACTTTGCAATCTCAAGATTAGAAATAACCCCGATTCTCTCGTTGATCTCCTGCTCGATTCTTGGGATGTCCTTTCCTACACCCTTCGCTCGCCACTCGTAGGCATCTCCAACGAATCGACTGCTCTCTACAAGCCATTGGGTCCTCTCTCTCCTTGACGCATCGTACGCCGCAAACGCGGCCTCGACATCTGAGGGGCTCTGTACGCGTTCGTCGGCGAGCAGTTCTGCCATGACGGCACTATCTTCTATACAGAATCCGGCGCCTGCACCGTGATGGGGGCTGGTTGCGTGGGCGGCGTCACCGAGAATGGCTATTCGGCCTTTGTAGAATGTTGACACCGGGTTCTCGCATGTATCAAAAATAGCCCACTGTTTGTGTCAGTAGTCGTTACTTGTGCCCGCAGAACACGTGTACATACCACACTGAGTGTTTCTTCTGTGAGTTTAAGAAGATTTCTAACAAGGCTGTTGTAGCCCTTGAAGTCATCCAGAGCGTCTTGTCGATGAGCAGTCTTTGTCATCTTGTTTGGGTCACTCCACTCGTTAGGATCTGTACGAAAAGCGACGATATTGAGTTTCTCGCCATGGTTGACCTGAAACGTCAAGACATGGCCATCGGGTCCCATCTACGTCAATTAGCATCAGAAATGTATCAGGAGCTCAATGACTAACGTGCATACACGCATTGCGTGCTCTCTCTTCCCCCACGGCCTTGATAGCCTGGTCCATAGGCACCAAACCACGATACGCGTACTTGTGGGAATACCCTGGCCGTGCCGATGGATGGTTCTCACCGACAATCATCCTGCGAACGCGAGAACCAATGCCATCACAGCCAATCACGGCATCGGCATACGCAGTTGAGCCATCGGAAAAGCTCATTCGTATCTTGCCATTTGGGTCCTCTTCTGCCTTCTCGATGTGCTTGCCGAACTGCACCTTGTCTGAAGGCAGTAGGTGAATGAGCTCATCGAGGAAGTGAGCTCTGTGCACACCAGTCTGGCCCAAAGAAGTCTCGATGGTGAAGGCTGTTTTGTCGTCCTCGGTGGTTCCATCGAGGAAGTCGAACCAGGTCTTGCTCTTTGACTCCCAGCCGTTCCAAGTGCAAACTTTCTGGAAGGCGTCATGAATACCCGAATGGCAAATCTTCATCGCTTGCACCGCATTAGGAGTGAATGAGACGCCGGCCCCGATTTCGTGGAAATTGTCAGCTCGTTCGTAGAGAACAACGGGGACATTCCGGTGGTGCAGGGCGATAGCGAGGGTGAGCCCGGCAATGCCGCCGCCAATGATGGCGATCTCGAATGACTTGGGCATATTTGCTGAAACAGTCATGATCAAGAGTACCCGACTTATGGTGTTGAGCAGAACTGAGAAACACGTCTTATTTAAAAACGACTTTGGCGTTGTCGCTTGACCTAGCTCCCCCAGCTGCCGTCATAGACGCATCCGAAACTTACTTAGAAGCGAATATTACACAAGCAGTGACGAAGACCCGGCTTCCGACGCCCGCTTGCTGTTTGCCGATGCCGAAATATTCGAGTCGGCGTCTTGGTCTTGGTCTTAGTGCGGGACTGGTCTGCGGGGAAACAGATCGTCTCCACGTTTCTCCTCGGTGATCGACTCGGGAGTTGGTAAGGCAATGAGGGGAATGGCCAGTCCCAAGACATCAATTTGGAATGCTGACTCGACACGTTGATATTCCATGCGCTTTTTCTACGGCTAAGGGAAAGATAAAGCACCGATGCCCGCGGTGCAAAGAGACGTGATAAAACTCTCAGGTTCAAGCGCGTTTTCTTTTCACTCCACAGCATTTCACTGGCCTCGCTATTGCGAGTCAATAGTACTGTTACAGGACTCAAATATGCTGCTAGGGACCAATAAAGAGACTTCAAGATATGAGAGAATGGGGATTAGCAAAGGGAAGCTTTTGTATTGAGATATCCTACAATTGAGTTGAAGTTATCTTGCATTCTGGGATTGTAGTTGCTTCGTTTGGCGATTGTCCACTCAATAACAAACTCTTTCAGTGCAAATCTGGACCAGCACACCGTGGTTGCTGTCCAGTTCAGAAATTAATGGCCATGCCTTCGTCTAGTATCAAATCGCAATATGTTGATCCAGGCTCAACGAAGCCCTGTGGATCAATATGGAAATGAATAGGCCGCTGAACTGCATCACCCTCCCTCCGCAAGTGGGGACTGCACTCCGCATCTTCATCGTACTCTTGACGCTGAAAATGAACTTGCCCCAGATCCGATTGGGCTAGCTGGTAAAGAGGACCTTTGACAAAAAGCTTTGTCATGTTTGCTTCTTTGCTGTTGCAGTAGTCGACGATGGGCTGGTACTTTCCTTCATCGAGCCACATGGGGCCAATGAATACCTCGTTTGGCTGAGTACGCTTAAGAAATTCAAGGACGTCGGTGTCCCTTGTGATCAGATACCGAAAAGCACATCGTCTAAGTTTGGGGAGGTTGGGAAGTTCCGTTAAAAGGTACAGGATCTTCCAGCCAGGAAACTTTAATCCCTGCAACTCCTTCAGGCCAGGGAGAGGAATTCCGAGCCAGAGATACTCAAAGTCTTCGAGTTGAGGACATTTCGCAATGAGCTTTGCAAGACCATCGAAATTGCTTTCATGCTCTATTTCGGTACGAATTTGGCTCGCTGTCAGTTCAGTGACTCTGCCCAACCAGTCTGGAGAACCCCCTTCACCATCAATCTGGTGGAACGCATATGCTGGAGTTGAGATATTGACACGCAGAGACTTGAGAGCTGCCAATGCATGACAAATATCGGGATTGTCCCAGTCAATAATATTGAGCTGATCGCTGGGTAACGCGAAGAGTTTCATGTCATCATCGTTAAACAAGTTGAGCTTTTCGACCTGCAACTTGCTCGCAGCCAACGCCTGCATAGCAACAAAGAAAGTATCGATCGAGCATTGCCATGCACTCTTCGAAGTAGACCGTGCCTCTAACTCAGTCTTGATTTGGATTTGATGACCAGAGGTGAGCGGGCCAAGGCTGTCTATCCTCAAGCCGAGGTAACTCAGGGGGTTTACACCGCCTTTAACGAGTCCATTGAAGGCCTGTGCCAGTAGATAGACTAGTTCCTCACGCGTCGCAGGGGGTTCGCGTAGGCGTCTTTCTCCATCCTCATCGTGGATGCCCACAAGGAACAATTGATGCACTAATTCGCCCGCCTCAACTTCCTCGATCCAGGAATTGAGTGCGCTGGTGGTCAGATGGACGGTTTTTGATGTCATTGTTGCAGCGATTGTACAGCGTTGATGGGAATTATCACGGATATGAATATGGAAAGATGTCCGAAACATATTTACGAGACCTGGTAGGTGTTGTGGCTGAGCGCTAAATTTGCCACAATGTAGAGGCCAAATCCCTGCCTTTGGCCACAGAATGTCACAGAACCACTTAGGTTAGTTCTTGGCAGTTGAATTGCTACTTGAGGGGTTTCCATCATGTTCTTCTCGCAATTGCTAACCTGATCAGGATAGAAAGTGATGTAAATAAGACGCAAGCCTATTCGTAGATGGACAGCTCCTATTGACAAAATGTACATCATATCATCATAGTTTCGGTATCCAAACTTTGCCTCAAAAGGTTGTCAATTCAAGTGTCTGTTCTATGGTTGAGGCGTTTTCTCCACAACAACGCAGTATTTTAACCAGTCCTCCTAGAAGTGAATATTGGGGCTCAAGTGAGCCACTAAATGATGCAGTCGATAACTCGGCCAATAATTTGGAGAGGGCTGCGATGTGTTAGTCGACAATCTTGGGTGCGAAATACCAACACCGAAGAAGAACTTACCATGTAATGAGCTGGGTCAAGAGCGCTGGGCTCAAGGCCGCTGGGTTCTGGAGGTTGGCAATGCTAGGGGCACAGGCAGTGAGACCAGTGATTTGGCTAATGCAAGTGAGATCGAGGGTTGGGAGCCCTGGGAGCTCTGGGAGCCCTGGGACGCTTGGGAGCTGTCGCTCCTCAACCTGGACGGGGCTGGCAGCCGCGAGGGCAAGGGCGGGGAGAGCGATGATCATGGAGGCCTTCATTTTGATGATGTTTGGGGGGATCTGAAAGATCTTGAGTTTGAAAGTATCGATTGGTAGTGGTTGTGATGGAAGAGTGTGATTGTGAGTGCTGATAATTGAGAGAAGGAGAGGGATGGTCGAGGTCTTTTATAGATTTTGGGAATCATGAGAACTCAAGTCTTATGATGATAGTCTCAAGTCACCATCTGTTGTCGGGCTCAACAATCTTGGAATTACTGAAGTTGCTAGGAGTGGCCAGTATTGAAACTGTCCTTAGTTCCCTTACTGAGATAGGGACATGCACGATACTAGCTGACGATAAGTCTCAAGCGGTTGACATAGGTAGCTGTCAGGCTGACCAGTAATCCAAAGGGGGAGTCGCCCAAAGTGGACTTGCCCTTCCGTTTCGATACGGCGGCATGAGATGTCTGGTATGTGATATCTCCAAAGGGCAGTTCTCAAGCTCAGACTTGTCATTCTGAGACCTTTGGATGCCTCCTATGTCAGAGGCGTCTCACAAACAAAACGTCAACGGTTTATCGTCTGTGCATCTGGGAGGGTGCATTTCTATGCTCTGATATGAGAGTTCACTGTGATACAGACTGCAGGAATCACCGCTTGGAGTACTAGTTTAAGCAGCGGTAAGAGGGTCTTTTGCTGAATTCTAAAACTAACGTGACCAAAGGTCTTTGCTCGGGATCTTGCAAGACTTCGTACATGCGGTTTTACGGAGACGGGATAAATCTCCGGCTCCCTCTTGCTGAGGTCAGGATCAAGAATCAAGCCTTTGATTCACGTACGTTAAACTTGGTACCATCGTCTTACGCCAGACGTTGAACTCTTTGGCTGTCCTTCAGCCGCAATCCAATCAACCCCACAATGTGTCACTTGTATTGTGATCGGCAAGCGGGCTAACGGCCTGGTCTAACAGTGCCGCACGTGAATGACACAAAACGAAGAGCACAGAAACTTCAACTGGTGACTGCAAGCCGGAGTAAGGAACGCAAATCCCACAACTGATCGCTACCTTATCGGGTAAGTGACCATGAAACTCCCTGTGTTGATCTTTACTGCACGGTATATCACAAATGAGATCTTGACGAGATGGGATATCCCTGCCTTGGTTCTGTGTGATAAGCATTCACAGCCTGTGCTGTCATCACTAACTCACATGACTAGGGATATCATCCGAATAGCATAACAACGCCATTAATCTCTGCATCCCTACCGGCAGAGGCTGCAAGCAATCCAAAACGGAACATGTGGAAACTGCCATGTCAGTATGTCTTAGAGTTTAGGTCACGGAGAAAGCGGCTGGAGACCCCAGTGTCTTGGATATGTCATTGTGAGTGGCCCGGGTACTGGGCCAGTGGATATCCATTGAACGGCATTCCGCAAGTCGGAGCTTAGCTTTCAGCTCATCCTGAAGGAAGAACTTGAAGGAATCTAACCTCCGGGATCTAGATTGAGCGGCCCGTCGCGGGCGGCTTTTGGTTACTTCCTTTGCCACCCGCTGACGTTACCGGTCAAACACATACGTAGCTCCGGCCGGCAAAGCTCAACGGCGCCAAATTAGATGTCGTGAGATTTGTTGATAGGCTATCTAGACCCATTGAGTTTCTAAATCTGAGGGGTTTTATGAGACTTTTGCTGCAGAAACCTCAATTCGGCAAGCCTAGTCTCATGTAAGTGGAGATGTGACTTTCAGCTCTGATCAGCGTCTCCTATCACCAACCGACAATTTGATCCTCTTGTTTCGAATTATCACATCAAATGAATAATTCTATTCCGCTCTTAGTGGTGGTGTTCATGATAGGTCAATTGAACAACCTACGACATGGGGCGTTACATCTCTCTTTATGAACTGTTTGTTGTCTTGAATTTGTTGGCAATCACAGTCAAAGAATGTGATAGAGTTGGTGTGACAGCGGAACGGCTAGCCTTAACCTTAATTTTGAAAAAGCTCCGAGACGAATGAATTGCTGGTGGCTTGGAGCCCACCTGCGGACAACGTTGTATTTGCCCTTTGTGTCTGGTTCGGGCCATCGGGGCTGATGTGCAGAATCGAGATTATTGAGGAGATCATCGCTCCCTACATCTATACTCATTAGGGATGGCACCCCTTACAGAAAATTGACCACCCTGCAAGACTCAACGATTTTAAATGGCCTATCAACTGTCGGGATTGGAGCAGCTGACCAAATCCTCATACTGGCTGCCAAGTTTCACGCCTATGTTTGTTATTCTCACCCTGTGAGAGTATTGAGCTCCCTTGGTTGATCTACGTAGTGAAGGTATTGGAAGTATCGGCACTTATGTGCACAGGTATTTTAGGCATCCTTATTATCCTCCAATAGCGGTCCTTTTCCAGATACTTAGTGCAGATCTTTCGTGCAGGTAGAGATATGCCCAGGTTTCTTGGTCGTGAAAAGCTTGGAAGGATATTCCTGACCAAGATTCTGCGCAACAAGTCTCACCGACTCTTCATTTATTACTCAAACTGTGGCAATGGGAGTCCTTGTATCTGGCTCGTATCTATATGTTCCTTTTGCAAAGTTGGAACTGTTGAGCCCTTGTCGACATGTATTCCTTGCAGGCCTCCTCAACTCCGAGTGTGGCGAAGCCTGAGTTGGTAGACGTTAGGTATCGGCATTCCCCTTGGCTCGTTTCTGCATTTTGTCTCAAGGCCGGTAGCACACATGGCGGTAGTTAGTATCATTTTGAAGTCAAAGTGAAGCAACGGTTCTTGTTGATATATAGGCACCACGGTAGAGCCCTAGCTAAGCCTGCTTTCCATTCCTCTAGCCTAACCCTGATGTCTTCGAACCCAACCCCCCTTAAAGGTTCTTGAACAAATACCTCATACCCGCCCAGATCTCCTCACCAGACTCAATGATCTGCTTAGGCGGCACAACAAAGCCATTGCCTCGATACATATCTGGCCGCAACTCAATCCCCCAAGACAGTTCTGCCTTGGCCACACCAAACACCCAATCGAGGCTTGAACCTGACGTTTGGTAGATAGTCTGACAGGTAGGGCCATAGTTAAATTCCAACCCGTTGACCTCCCAGATTGCGTCTGAAACTCCCTCGGCTAAACTCATCTGCTCGGCAATATTGGTTGCATTGACAGAACAGTCATAGCCATAAGGTAGCAGAATAAGCTGGCTGTAAGAATGCCAGTCGACGTAGGATCGGACTCCAGAGGTTTTGGAGATGCCCTTGATATGATTGACTAGAGCTTTGTTCTCGGGTGTGTCGCGAGGCTTGCGGCCGCGAAAGGTCTCGTTGCATGGATCGGTCGAGGAGCCGCCTGGAATATCCCACTTGAAGGGCCAGTTTCGGTTGATGTCGGTGCCAACGCAAGTTTTGTGGCCACTCTTCTGGCGATTCTTGCGCCAAAGGCGGTCATCTGTTGTTGTATAAACAAAGCCTGTACCATAAACGTTAGTATGAGAATTATCTCCTAGCTTCAGAGTTAAGACGTACCGTCCGGGTTCACGATTGGCAAGATGTAAAAGTCGAAGTTGTTGAGCGTAGCCTGAATGAGAGAATCCTTCTTCTGATAGCCTTGAATAATCTTGTATGCCAAGTACTCAACTGTCTGTGACACAGTCAGAAAGAATGTCGCGTCCTTCACTGAACGGCTTTACTCACCATTCCGCTTATCCACTCGCGGGCATGCACATTCCCGTGCCAAATGATGGCAGGATTTCGTCCTTTTCCGTTATTGCCCCACAAATGAATGCCCCGAATGTCTCTCTTCTCTACGCTTGTACCAGCAACAAAGATCTCCGAGTTCTTTTTGAATGAGGCCTGAAGGTCGGAGAGAAACTTAGTGTGCTGGTCAAAACTGTGATAAGAATTGAAGTAGGACTTGTTGGGGAGCGTGGCTTTGAAGCCGCGACCTTTCGGTGTATCTAGGAAATATTAGTATTTGACTTGAAATTCTTGACTGGGACTTCTAACGATAGTAGTGTTCAAACTTTCCCTCCTCGGCGATCTCAGCTCCCAGATCATGGCTGGTGACTGTGGCGTTCATATCAAGAGCTTCGAATCCTGCGACTTTCGTTGGAGGTACTGCGATTTCGAGGGTGTCTCGATGGCTTTCGCAACTAAGCGTCACGTAGTTGAGGTCTTGAAGAAGAGCGGTCATGTTCTCATTGGAACTGTTGGCGGTAATAGAAAACGCCTTCCAGCCATCGTACGAAATCTTTGCAGCGACAAAGGGCACCGCGAGCCCGAGGAGAAGTCTGAAACGCATGTTGAGAAGCTGGGCAATGTTGGAAATACTTGTGGTAAAAGTCCTTGGGAATGTTGAAGAGGTAGACTTGCCTTCAGCCTGAGATCTATCTCGCTTTATAGCATCGCCAAGGCTCTGATTAACACTGTTCGGAACAGACGAAAACTGACTGCATAGGCATTCTATCCCTGTGAATCACCAACAACGTGGATCAACTGACCTTGTTAAGGATCAAGACCAAGAGCCATGGCAGACTTTATGTTGTTCAGAAAATCTACTGCTGAATCAGGTGCGTAGCACAAGACAAATCCCGCTCTGGCAGAGACTTGAAAGTTTCGTTCACTGCGAAGACACCAGCGGTTATCCTCCATACGTGCCATACGTACTTATTACAAGCTCAAAGAATGATATATGCCACTGTGGCCTTGTAGCAATCACGATTGCTAGGAGGCATTGTATACGATGCCCTAATTTGAGGAAAGAAGTTGCGCTTACATGTATTGCTTGATTTATATCGCCGAGATATTGAAAAGGTGTGTAATCATCAACCATTGCCCATCATGGCTCGCCCGCGCTGGACGTCACAAAATATGTATGGGATATCTTAAGATTTATGTGAATAGCGGGAAACGGACCAAGTCGAAATTCATGGCCGCCTAATGTGGTACATAGTATTCTAAGTGTCACCTCAGTCATACCACAATGGAACAAGCCAATTGATCTGTGTCGCCCCCAATCATGGTATTCTATTCTGTGCTAGTATCAGCCAAACCAGCACTATCACTCTTCTCCCAGAAATCATGAAGCATATCGGCCATTCTTCCCCAGATTCGTCGGGGCAGCTCGTGACCAACGTCCTCCCACAAGACGTAATGGACACTGCCTGGTATAGCTTTGACGAGCGCCTCGCCGTGAATCTCGCCAAAGACCTGGTCCTTGCCTGCTTGTACCACCGTGGTCGGACACTTGATCTTCTGGAGGGTGTCTACCCCCGGCCAGCCGTCTTTTTCGTGTGACGCAGCGCCGTGATTCGCCGCCTTGCTGTACAGTGTACCACCTTTCATGTCCCGTTCCGTCATCCGTGTCACCGTCTCAAGCATCTCTTTCCTTTCCTCTTCGTCGGGCTGTGTTGTAAGGGCGTCATAGAGTTTCATCCCGGACTTGATGAATGATTCCTTGTAATTGCCAAAACCTGCCAGCGTTGGTTGAAAACCGAGATTAAGGCCATCTTTGATGGGAAGCTCAGGGCTTACGCAGGGAGATGTGAACATGAGTGTGAGGGACTTGACCTGATCAGGTCTGCGTGCAGCAACAGTGTACGCTATTGGGCCACCTTTGCTGAGACCAAGAATATGGAAGCCTTTGGAGGGGTCGCAGAGATTAAGGTGGTCAGCCAGCCCCTCCACATCGCTCGCCATGTCCCCAATAGAATAAAATGCAGGCACTGGAAACTCGGTGGAGAGACCTGTGTCCCGCTGATCAAAACGGACCACAAAGTATTTTTTGCCATTTTCGGCAGATTGCAGCTTGGCGATAAGGCCTTCAGCCCAGGTGAGCATCCCACCGCCATTCCCAGGGACAAGGATAACAGCAGGGTCTGAGGGATCGCCAAATGTCTGGTAGCAGATTCGTACGCGGCTGGGAAGCGTGACAAACAATTCTGGTGAGGAATCCATTTCGTAAGATTTTGGATTTTGTGAGATTCGCAGTTGAGAGGGTTGGCAAGAAGATGCTATGAGAGGTAAATGAGTGTTTGAAGGATTATCTGGTCGAACAGCGCTGCGGACGTAAGCACTAACGCTCGAGTATGTTTCCGGGGTGAACAACATGGGACTCTCCCAAGTTGGCTGTTTACGTGAATAGTGGCAGCCCTAAAATCGGGCATTGTAGATTGGTTGAAGTGTTTAGAAATGACTCCATAGCCCCGTTTCATACACCCACACAGCAAGATGCTTGATTGGACATTGCATCTCTCAACTATTGATAGGATCTCGGGGTAGCATACGGATAACTTGCCGTCTTTTCCGTGGGAAGTATCATACAGCCAGTCGATAAGCCCATGCGTTATCCGCAGTATCTACCTTGTTATCAGAAACAACGGGGTTTTATTTACCCGCACTTTCCAGTATATCCATACTACCTACCAAATCGGTCTCAACCAAGCCATCTGTATCAAAGGATCAGGCTTACGTTGCTGGCAAAGGATCATGCTACATAACCAACACCACATTTTCTACAAAGGAATGCCTAGACATAATAGGTCTGACCTCACATCAGCTTACGATAGCACTCCCAATTTCTCTATTAAATTGATGCTATGTTTTCTTGAAAAGTACCATTATCCCCTCGAAATGTAGTATTCTTTGGTCAATACCAGATTCAACGAACAATAGTGACTACTTGTGAATCACCATGTCTTCAGGATTCCAACCCAAACAGGTGACCCAATATGAGGCCTCTCATTTGGCCGAACTGATGGGGACCGTCAGCGAAACCATTATTGACTATGGCCTTGATCTAATACCCCCCATTGAGTCCACCAATATCATCCACGATAACGCCTGTGGCGCTGCGGTTGTTTCCCAAGCTATACTAGCAAAGGCTTCACCGACTTCAGAAGGCTTCGAGATCAGTGCAACTGACATCAACCCCCAATTTGTGATGGGTTGCGAGCAGGCCGCCCAGTTAAACAAGTGGCCTGTGAAAGCACAAGTGATGGATGTTAGGGAAAGTTGACATTACCATGTGCCTCATGAGCTTCTACTGACATTAAATATAGGCTCTTCAATTTTCTGACAAGCATTTCACCCATTCCTTCAATAACTTCGCGTTCCATTCCATGGATATTGCCAAGCCTGGCTTGAAAGAAGTCTTTCGGACCCTCAAGCCTGGAGGCATCGTTATGGTCTCTACTTGGAATGATATGCCGCATATTGATGCTATCAAACATGCCCATTGGCGCACCCGTGGGGAGGAATGCTCTCTGCCACTGATGCTCCAAGATATATCCTTTGAGGAGGAACATATGAAGCAGGCTCTGGAAGAAGCCGGATTCGACCCTGCCAGAACACAAATCTACCACAAAGATGCTTACATAACGATCCCAGATATGAAGCGGTGGGTACAGCTGGCTTGGAGCTATTTGGGCATCTTGCCTGCGGGATGGCTCAAGGAAGATGAGGAAAAATGGCAAGAGGCTGTTGATGATATTGTGGAACAATTGTTGAGCGGGAATGATATCTCGGAAAATGATAATGGCGATACTGTTATGCGATTTGGAGGGTGCATCGCCATAGCTACCAGATAACGTTAGAGAATGCGCTCATGGACTTCGGCTTATAGACTTCGGCTTATGGACTTCGGTGAATATGAGCTCACATCGGCTTGATCACATAATCTGAGAATGATGACAGTTCATGGTTTGATGTCTCTGTTGTTCCTAAATCCTGATTAACCTCGGACTTGTTAGGTGTTGTTTCATCTGCGCCCCGCACATTAGAAATAGAGTTAGATTGGTAATCTGAAGTCCACGGCATAGCGTTGAGATAAACTTCAACCACCAAAGAGCCAATCAGCGGTCCAAATGAACTATCTCCAATTTTCAATCATGACGCCATTTACCAGTATAAATGATCCCCTGTGATTCCTGCAAGATGTTGCTTCACTTCGATATCAATAGCCGCCCCTCGACCTACATATTAAGAACTTTTTCAAACTTCAATTATGACTACCAAGGCCATCGTGTTCGTCGAGAAGGGCAAAGCCACTATTCAGGAGGTTCCCAAGCCCAAGCTCCGAGATGACTATGTGCTTGTTAAGGTGAATGCCGTGGGTGTCAATCCAACAGATTGGAAACATATCGACAATGCTGTTACCGACGCTGGCTCGAGATCGGGATGTGACTATGCTGGAATCGTCGAAGAGGTCGGGAGTAAAGTCACGAAGCCTTTTAAGAAAGGCGATCGAATTAGTGGAGTAGTCCACGGAGGGTTGGTACAGCTCAGAACGTCCACATGTACCGCTCTAACAAGTTCTAGTGACCGAACTCAGCACGAAAATGGAGCGTTTGCTGAGTACATTGTGGCAAAGGGTGATGTTCAAATCAAGACGCCCGATAATGTAACTGATGAGGAAGCCGCGACCCTCGGCATTTCCGTCGCTACTGTGGTATGCATGAGTTCATCGGACATAAAAATACGGGACTGATTAAGTATACAGGGCCAAGGTCTTTACAAGACTTTGGGTTTACCACTGCCCACAGATGCGAAGAAAAGTGATGACTTCGTTCTCATCTATGGCGGAAGCACCGCTACTGGTATCTATGGCATCCAATTTGCGAAGCTGTCAGGAATGAGAGTCGTTGCGACGGCTTCACCACACAACTTCGATTATCTCAAATCCCTTGGAGCTGAAGCTGTGTTCGATTACAAATCGCCCAATGTTGCAGAAGAGATCCGCAAGTACACCAACAACTCTCTGAAGCTTGCCTGGGACTGCACGGGTAGCGGTGCGACAATCAGTGCTGGATCTCTGAGTACCGAAGGGGGCAAATATGCCACCATCATTGCCGTTGATAAGAAGAGGTTGCTGGACGTCAACCCGAACGTTGATGGGCCTCATTTTACTCTTATGTACTCTATCTTTGGTGAAAGTTTCAACAAGGGGCAGGAGACACCCCCCAAGCCTGATGAGTTTGAGTTTGCCAAGAAGTTCTGGGAGATAGCTCGTCAGCTCCTGGAAGAAGGTAAGCTCAAGGCCCCTCAAACTTTTGTCAATCGCGGTGGTAGTGGTTTTGAGGGTATCCTGAAGGGTATGGATGAGTTGAGGGCCGACAAAGTTAGCGCCGGAAAGCTTGTGTACACACTTTGAGAGTAGCAGGCTAGAACATCGATGTTTGGATGGATCGAGAGTGTCGTATAGCTTCAAGGGTAAACGAAGTCAGTACTACAGTGGCACGCTGTCAAATACACGAGCGTAGGTTACTACTTTGGGGCTGAGACTGAATTGAGAATTTTACAGAAGAATATTTACCGATAGTAAATAATGCTGATATAAATCTGATTGAATGCATGCTCAATTGTTATAACTTGTCCTAGAATAAGAGGTCAAGAACAAAAAAAGAGAAAAAAGAAATGCCTCCACACCGGATTGAACGATGGACCTTCGCATTACAAGTGCGACGCTCTACCACTGAGCTATAGAGGCTATTGGATGACGTGTGTCAAACTTTGAGATATTATATACCACATCCGTCGCGTGAAAACGCATTCTTTTGCTTCTCCAGTTTGTCCAACCATGAATATCTTATCTTGGAGGAGCTCATTGCAGCAATTGCTCGTGTGACCAAGTCAATTGTCCCTCATCACCAACAACCATGACCAGCCATCCATCATCTTGTGCTGTTTATTTCTATACAGCATCGAAGCAATACTCAGCAAACCACGCTTTCTCCAAATTAACTATCCCCAGCCCTTGGTTTTCCCCAGCCATTCCCCATCACAGACCCCTCTTAATTAACTTATCTCCCCCATCCACAGTAAACGAAACGTGCCATCGCTAAAGTTGCGAAAAATAACAGCTGATAATGGAACCAACGGCTTTAAGGACATTACATATTACCGCACTCACCCACCTAACATATCCGTACTAGCCCTGGCGCTCCTGGCAGTGACGCTACAAATCCATCAGGAGCTGTTTTGGTCCCCGGCAATTCTGAGCCGAGACGCAAAGCGCGGCTGGCGCCACAAAAGCCCAACTTGGCATATGATCGACGGTCATTGTGCTCAGAAGGATCCCATGTGCATCATCCAAACTCCAAAGTTAATTCCACAGGCAAGGGGGAGTCCCGCTCGGTTATGTCCGGTGCGCGCTCTCCCTCTCTCTTTTGTCTGCCTGTCGTGTAACAGGAAAGACCGCTGTCCACGTGTACGTAATAGTTATCATTGGTAGGCCGCTCTTTTCTTTACGAGCTGCTCAAAAGGATCTAAACTGGGTGGAGAGTGGCTGTTGGTCGGCGATAGCCCAGGATGGATGCCGTTTGTTCCACAGCAAGCTTATCTCCCTTTAGAAATCTTGTATTACCTCATTGATACCATTCATGGGTCGTCATTTCCTTTTTAAAGTCTACTGATCCTGTGACACCGAGTCTTTTGCTCTTACCCGAGGCATCATCACTCCTGCTCATAACAAACGTGACCTTGGGACTTTTTATCCTTCATCTCATATAACAGTGACTAGGCATGCACTTTTAACCACATCAGCGCAATCGACTTCCACTGTGACCAGCTAAATCCGCGTGCTTTCTTCACGATGCTGGGTTTTAACAAGAAAGTTGAGGGTAACGCCTCAGATGAAGCTCCCAACAATGATGATGTCCATGTACCGCACGACGACATCCCGCAAAGACCTTGGATTGAGACTGTTCTTCCAGTGTTTGCTTGCGGTGCCGGTCTTTTCTCTGATGGCTACATCAACAACGTGAGAACCACCGTGAAGACTCTACAGTGACTCTCCTAACGTGATCAGGTTATCGGTTCTGTCAACACTGTACTCAAGAGGCAGTATGGAGATGTATACACCTCGTCAACCGCCTTCAAGTTCGTTTCCGACATCGCCTTTGTCGGAACCGTGGTCGGACAGCTCGTTTTTGGTTTCCTCGCTGATCATTGGTCGCGCACCAACACGCTGATGGTGTCTACTGTTATCCTCATCATCTTCACCGCTCTAGCAGCTGGGTCCTACTGGCAGGGGCAAGCCGTTGGGATGTTCAACATGCTGACTGCCTGGAGATTCTTTGTCGGTATCGGTATTGGAGGTAAGACAACTTGCCCTTGTTATCTAGATGTGCATGGTCTTAATAGTTTACAGGTGAATACCCCGCGGGTAGTGTTGGCTGCGCAGAATCGAGTGGTCAAATGAAGAAGGGCACCAGAAACCGATGGTTCATCTTATTCACAAACTCAATGATTGATTTCGGCTTCGTCATTGGTGCTTTTGTACCTTGTTAGCACGCCTGATTCCTGCTCTGCAGAACGTTGCTAACATCCAGTAGACGTTGTTGCCGCCGCCTGCCACAATGGTAACTTCAGCACCATCTGGAGAACTAGTCTTGGAATTGGTGTTGTTTTCCCGCTTGTTCTGTTCGTCCTACGATTGAGGCTCAAAGAGCCAGAAGAATTCGCTCAGGAATCAATGAGACGACAGACTCCCTACTGGCTTGTGCTGCGCTACTACTGGTTTAGACTATTCTGTGTCAGTCTGGTGTGGTTTCTCTACAACGTGAGTTTTACCAAATATCGAAACTAGGATCGCGCTGACAATGACAGTTCTCTTCGTACGCCTTCGGTATCTATTCGTCCTCCATTCTATCAGGAATTTATGGTGATGGTGCCAACCTCACGACTGTTTTTGGATGGAACACTGTCGTCAACATGTTTTATCTGCCAGGTACTTTGATTGGTGCATTTGTCAGTGACTGGATCGGCCCTCGATACACTCTTATCCTCGGTGTTACACTTCAAGCTATCGTTGGCTTCATCATGGCCGGCGTGTACGACAAAATCTCTGGTCAGATCGCCGCTTTCGCCGTCGTGTTTGGCATCTTCCAAGCTCTCGGTGAGCTGGGACCCGGCAACAACATCGGTCTTCTTGCAGCCAAGACCTGCGCCACTGGTGTCCGAGGACGATACTACGGTATTGCAGCAGCCGTCGGCAAGATCGGTGCCTTTGTCGGAACTTACGTCTTCCCGCATATCCAAGCCGCCGGTGGCAACGAAACTCAAAGCGCCCAGTATCCCTTCTTCGTCTCCTCGAGTCTATGTCTTCTCTCGGCTTTGATTGTTTTCTTCTTCATCCCACATGTTGGCCAGGACACCATCACTCTGGAAGATCGAAAGTTCCGTGAATACCTCCAGAGGCAGGGTTGGGATACAGCTCAGTTGGGACTCGACATTCCTGGCGTCGAAGGAGGTGAGGTAAACAGCAAGACGCAAGAGAAGTAGGCCAGCATGCAAAGCGGTCTTAATCTCTATCAAGTAGAGTATACCTCCTAGTTATCACTAGTCATTAGCCTACTGATAGCTTCTATAATGTATCAATCGAGCATGCTTTTGATCTGATAATGTCTGCTGTTCATGCATAGTGATGGCAAACTTTCATGGTCGATGGGTTTGAAATTCTTTAGTTAATTCTGAAGATATCTATAGAGACCTAGACCAGAGTTTAATGATATATATCCCTTGTCAAGTTGAAATGTCTCATCATTACTTGCCTCAGGACTGATTCGAGTGACCAAGGGATATACCTCGTGCCTTGGTATTAGAACCCAGCAAGGAATTGGATTTCCATATCCTCATCACTGACTGGATAATATTTGATTTGCTTCTGATCGATTAACCCTAGTCAGGGTTTGAGACTGTTAACAGAAGAGAATGATTATCAGAACTGCCGACCATTTTATTAATACATGATGCCGCATGATGGCCATATCTCTATACTATCGTTACGTTTCCATTCCTGTCACGAGACCAGAATGCCTTCGTTGGTACCAGTCATAACAGCCGAACTCCATTTTAAAGCAAATAATAACACAATTCCGCCTAAGATGTAACCTTAATTTCTATATCCTTCAGTGCTGTTGGACGCATACAATGATCAATTCGGAGACTTTCAAACACAACCCCTGCCGACAACAGTTGGTGACTTCATAATGACCAAGACATCCAGTTCAGCGACGAAGGGCTCTAGGCTTCTTAGCTTGAGACAACTTGTCCGTACTTGGACACAACTTCTGCAAATGATCGACAAAGGTCCCGGCTTTCGACATCCTCATCCTGCAGAACGGGCATTGGTATTGGCCTTCGTAGTTGATAAAATCGCTTGGCTGGTAATCGGGATGCGCTTGCCAGGTAAAGCCAGTTCGTTGGAGCAACATATCTGCGATATGGGGTGGTAAACTCGAGAGAAGCGGAGCAGGGCCGGTATTGAGATTCTTTGCGTTTGCGGGTTGATACGCTGGTTGGTATGATCTTGGTGTCGACTCCACGGCTTGGGACTGACTTCGGTAGGAATAAGGCTGGTCGTAAACAGTGGATGCGCTATAAGAATGCCTACGTGGTTCATTGGTATGCGAGACTGGCTCTTGTCTTGGTCGTGAAGAGCGGTGCGCCTCCGGGGCTGTTGGCACGTAGTTGTTCGCGGAAGGTATTGGGAGCGGCAATGAACCGCCTTGGAAAGAACCACGATTACTCATCCTCGGTTTTGTTATGGGGAAACCCGTTTGTGACATCTGGGGCGACGAAGTGGTTGGCGGATATTGCATGTCGAGGGAGGTACGTGGTCGATGAAGACTCCTTGCCGCTTGATATGGTGACGATGGCAGCTGGCCGTGAGAGGTATTCGGTCGGGGCAGACTCGAGGGTGGCTGTAGTGGCGAATATGTCACTTGCGAGGGTGAATATTCCTGCCTGGTAGAGTCGGGTCTAGAAAGGCTCCTCGCCATCTGCTGAGGTGAAGCCATCATCGGCGACCTTGGGATCCCGTAGGCCATGGAATTGGGTTGGGGAGGCTCCATCGTGGCTCGTGGCAGCCCCCTGACTTGCGACGCTGCATTTGCCTGCACAACAGACCCAGATCTAGAAAAGCTCATTGGTGTTGGTCGTGGAGATGCCATTAGAGGTAGTTGATGCCTATAATCGAAAGTGTTTGGTCGGGCGAGCTCCATTTCTGTCAAACGTGGTGAAGGTGTAACGTGTGAGACAAGGTGTGGGGTAGTAGAGCCAGACCGAGAAATAGATCTTGCTGCTTGCCTTGGCGAAGCCGCTATCTGTGAGATTGGATGTTCGTAGGCTTGAGAATGTGGGCGGGGAAGCTCCGGGATGTGTTGGTACGGTGAAACATAAGATGGACTCCGAACTGTTGTGCTGGACCACGGAACCTCATGTGCTGATTGCCTGGGGGAAGGCATCACTTGCGGTGCCGCGATGTTCTGAACCACAGACCCAGGACGGGAAATATTCATCGCCAATCGGCGTGGTGAGGGCGGTTGCGACGTTTGCGATGGTGGGGGACACAAGATCACGGATCCTGGACGCGATATACTCATGGCAGCGATTCTAGGTGACGCCATGGCGTGTGATGTTGGTTGACTTTGGCCGATAGAAACAGGTTGGAAGGTCTCCGTGGCATATTGTCGAGGGGAAGGCATCAGTTGTGATACTGTTTGATAAGGGGCCGGAGAATCGCGCTGAGTCGGTGCAGAGTGCTGAGGCGGCGACATCGACTGTGGCGCTGGATAGTCTGAAGCTGCGGATTCAGGTCGAGCTAGTTCACGTTGTGTTGGGGACGGTAGGGGTGTCGAGGCTGAGCCTACTGGTATATATTGGGGGACCTGGATGGAATTTGGTCGGTACGAAGATGCTCGCCATGATGTTGGCTGTTGAGACACTGTGGGTGCTTGTGGGAGAATGGCTGTGCTCGGACCCTGAGGTTCCATTACCCCATATGTTGAATTAGGTCCAGGGACCTTTTGGGGAGATTGTCGTAAGTTGGGCAGTGGTTGTGGATCTGAATAGTCTCCAGTGACGATGGGAGGGTACAGGGCCTGTGCTTTTACTCGACCCGGCGAAGATAGAGGTTGCGTCTCAAGGTTTTTTGAAACCGTAGAGTCGTGTCGGAAACCGGACCATCTTGGCGATTCTGTAACAGGCTCAGGGTTTTGAGGAGTAGCGGGAACTTGTCTCTGCATGTCTTTGGCTGCCTGCTGTTGTGACATTACAGTTTGCGCGTGCGGATGTTGAAGATATCCAATGTTGCGAGGAGGAATATCAACCAAGGACTGTCGCGGAGAGGCCGGCACTGACGGTGGTATTTGCACCCCAACTGCTGTAGGGGCATGTGACGGCAATCTGCGTCGTGGTGCTGGTCCTTCTGTCATCTGGTGTTCTGGCGCTCTCAAACCACGAAATGGAATCTTTGCAGGTGCCGCAGCTTGTGTTTCAGGATGTACCTGGTTTGGCTCAGGACACGTTGACGATGGCGATGCTGAAAATGTTGGAGTAGGTGTTTCTGGCTCTGGCTGAACACGCGTTTCAGACCTCTCCGCACGGTCCTGAACAGCTGAATGCTCGCTCACAGGGTGCTTTTGGTCAGGTCTGGGGGCCATTGTACTACCCTGCCTGACAGCCTTTTGGTTTTGTGGTGACTTCGAAATGCGGGGGCACGAGGATGCCTTTTTGCCCATTTCAGCGTACGGAGTGAGTCGTTCAGGTGTCTCTCCATAAGGCAAGCCAATATCAGCGAGCGGACTTGGAGTTAGGTCATCATCTTGCTCGCTGTTCGAAGTATCAATCTCCATCGAAGCAAATGGAGCTGGCTTGACGGTACTCAAGACGGATCGACTTTCGTCTACGTCTGGCAGCTCAGATTGCGACATGTGCATCTCCAGGTCCTCACACTCTGAAAGCAAGTTAGCCAGATCAGCAGAAGATAGACGGTTCGTATCTGGTCTGCAAGGCAAATTTGGCTCTCTTGGAAGGCTATCATCTTGATCTGCTGGATCATCTTGCAAAGGAAGATCTCCAGTTGTGTCCTCCGGGGTATCGACGAACATTTGCGGGCGATGTTCTTCCATCTTTTCGACACCTTCGCCTTTCTCAGATGCATTGGCGAGTTCTTCGGATTCGTTTTCATGGGTAGCATTGTCGGGGCTGTCCTGTCGAGTATCGATCACCATCTCCTGGTCTTCATCCGCCACTTCGTTGACATCCTCCGCAGAATCTTGATCCTGGGTGAGAGGGATCGATTCTTGGGTTTCGACCACCATTTCTTCGTCGGTCTCGTCTACGTGTCCCGACGTAACAACGACCTCTTCCACGTTTCTCCGTTCCGGATTACTTTCGACTGTATCTTCTTGCGTGTTCTTGATGATATCCTGGTCTTTGTCACCTTGTAGTTGAAAAGCATCGTCTGCTTCTTCGGGACTTTCTCCTTCTGTAACTGTAGGAACAGCTTCGGTGTCGTCTTCTTGGGTATCCATGATAACATCCTCGTCTTGCTCTTCGCGTAGGGTTTGTTGCCTAAAGAACTCCTCGGCTTCGGCAGCAGCTTCCTTTCGCAGTTCCATCTTTCGTAATTCTTCTTGCCGCAATTCTTTCTGTCGCAATTCTTCTTGTCGCAACTCTTCTTGTCGCAACTCTTCTTGTCGCAACTCTTCTTGTCGCAACTCTTCTTGTCGCAACTCTTCTTGTCGCAACTCTTCTTGTCGCAATTCTTCCTGTCGCATTTCTTCCTGACGCAATTCTTCCTGGTGCAACTCTTCCTTTCGTAATTGCTCCAACTCGGCCGGTTCTGGCTCCTCGGCTGTGTCGGGTGTGACAGGGTCGTTAATTTGTGCAGGCGGTGGGTCTACTGAAGATTCAGCCTGAGGAGATTGAGGTCCGAGCAGACTAAGACCATCCTCCGAGTCTGTGCAGACAAGACATCTTGTCAGAGAGTTTTCTCCACACTGCTGACAGAACTTACCATCTGCTGAATCTCGAATCTCGTCATTGCTCCCCAGCTCTTGCGGCTTGTTCTCTTCCTGAACCTTCAAATAATCAAGTGCCTGCTCGCTATGCTCGATCATCTGCGCCTGCTCTTCATCCCACTCCTTGATATCATGAGTCGGAATCCACGCCAAGTGGCTCTCTTCGGGGAACTTAACACCCTCAAAGAACGCAAAAGCGAAGTGTTGTTCCGAACTCATGGGTCCGCCGTCTTCATAACCCTTAGTCCATGAAAACGACATAGCTGAGCTGTCGTATTGGTAGCAATCTGGTAGACTCTTAAGCAGACCGATTTTCTCCATAGAATCATGGATACCAATAGACTCCAGGTCCTGGAGCGGGAGAAGAACCCCAGCAAACCACTGTTTTGATTCGGCCCAGTAGATGATGTAAACTTTGCCGGGTATCAGATCGACTTTGTGACTTGAGTCGTCTTGCTGATCAGTCTGACGCTTCGACCGCCTCGTCCTTCTGCCTTTAGAACCGTAAACTTTCAAACTCTGGACGTTGTGTTTCTTGCGTTGTTGCGGCTCAGGTGAATATGACCTTTCGCGAACCCTGATGTTGTCGCCGGTTGGTCCCTCATCTCCTCTCTCGAAAGCCTTTCTTGCTAAGGAGTTGTTTTCCTCGAGCTTCTCATCGTCGCAGCCTATGACTTCACAGCCTAAATTGTCGATCACAGAATCATAAGTAAAAGCGGTGACGGACTTGTGCTTCATCTGAAGGTGTGTCGAAGCCGCCTGTAGTGGGTTATCCTCGAAGCTGACATTGTGTCGGTCGCACCGAATGATGTAATATCTGCCTGGGCGAGAAATGTCTTCTGGCCTCCGGACAATGATGTGCTTCTTCACGGCTCGGCTGTTTTGGTAGACAGCGTCGTAATGCATTGATTTTCTTGTGCTTTCAAGGCGCGGTCGCTTCTGCCTACTATGAAAAGCATCATCGCGCTTTCTCTTGTGCGTCTGTCAGAATGATTAGCTTCAGAAAAGTATGAGTGTCGAGACCACGTAAGCCGAACCTCAAAAACACCATATCTGTTGGCAGTAAATGTGGCGCCTCTGGTCTTTATTTTCAGACGCGATGTGCAGGGCGACGACTGTGGCTGTTCTGAGCCCGACGGGCCATCTCGCGCGAGATCAAGGCCATCAGTATCGCTTATCATGTCACCGCTATTGAGGAACCGGGCCTCTTTGTACGTTGCAGAAAGGTTGGCGAGGTTGCTGATGAGAGATTTTACCGAGTTGTCGACGTCGCGCTCACACGCCACCAGCGCATCCCTGCACGTGGCTTGGAAATCGTGGTCGAGACGTCCTTTCTGTGTGAGTAGAGCGCTCCTCTCGGGCTCCTTCAGTTTCGCCTGCGCCGGTCGCGCTAGCTCTACTTTGCTCTGAAAAATGGCGGATGAAATAGTTTGGATTTCTGGGGCGAGAGTCTGGGAAATGGATTCGTATTTGTTGTGTGATAGTTCTAGGTTGGGTATGCTCCGCAGACACGCAGCTACCAGGTGCTCAATGCGATCGAGTGCGAGACCTGCAGGTTGTTGTGTTGGCTTTAGCTTTGGATTTATTAAACTCGGTCCAGACTGAACTCCCATGTCGCCAGCAGGAAACTCATGCCATAATTAAGTTGGATAAGGAAAAAAAAGTGCCGTGGATCTGCAAGAGTCGTAATGAAAGAGGATAAAATGCGGAAGAAAAGGGAAACAGAAGTTCGGGGGGTGGAAATGGGGTTTTCTTTGGGGAGAAAAAAGTGAAAGTGTGTAACCAACCAGATTAAAAAAAGGTTCTTGCTTCTGATTCAGAGGAGTCATCACATTACTGCAGCGCTGTGCTGTGCTGTGCTGTGCAGTGCCGCGCTGTACGGTGAGAAGACAGCCCAGCTATTGCGCCAGCAGAGCACACAATACCTAGAGCGACAGCGCCCATCCATGTCCGTAAAAGATGGATGGCCCGGCCGGGGTGTGAAAAGCAAACAAGACGCCAAGCCAACCAAGCAGACAAGGGCAAAAGGTTACACACTCCTCCCGTAGCTAGAAATTACTATGGGCGGATAGTTATCCATACTGTACTGTGCTATTGACCCCGCACGGGCATACCATACATAATAACACCATTTATCATTTCCACCTACGAATGCAAACGCGCTGAGGTGCAGCTGCAGTGCAGTCTCCCATTGACTGAGACATGAGCTTATGGCAGAGAGAGGCTGGTTCCCCCCCCCCTTCCCCCCTGGTCTGCCCTTTCACGGCCACTGGCAGGCAAAGGCGAGCTTGGCAGTGAGGATCCGAGGACAGGGTTGGGGGGGATTATGTATTCCCAACCTAAGTGACATTAGCCCGTTAGCCCTGCAAATTAGATTTAGCTTCGTCCGACAGATCCTAAACCTGTCACACATAGACCGACACACACACACACACCTAATTTATGTTTTGATCCCCCTTTGTTCATTAAGTTTTCACAATTTACCATCAACCTTACTTCTTTGTTCCTCCCACCTGTGGCGCCGCCGTTTGTTTCAGCTTTGTTAAATGTATTTCTGCAAAATCAGCCCGAAAGTAAAATAAATAAAAACACATTTAGTGGCTTGACAATTGACTCCTGGTCCACTCCCTTTCACCCTTGCTTGGCCTTGTCATCCGTGCATATGATCCACAATCCTGATAGCATTTACACAAGACGTATAGACAGACCTGCTTCAGCCAGCCATAGACAGCAAACGACGCAGTAGACTATAGACGAGCGTGGCGGAAAGCCCGGGTCTTTTCGCAAGTCTCGACCTTCAGACGGATATCCAAATCCAGCTACCTGGTATCGCTACTGCACAGCACCAGCTGATTGCCCTGTAAAATATTCCGCTCAACGGTGAATAGCCTTGTTTCGCTTAGTTCAACTGCTAGTCTAGCCTAACTTACTGGGTGGCTCGCCCATTCTAGTCTGCAATCTACACTATCGTTATAGTCGCCGCCTTTTCCTGCGCAAATATCTTGTCCGCCGCATCATCGTCACTCATCATCATCCCTAATCCAAGTCTCTCAAAAAATTCTGGCTGCGACGGCGATCTACCCAGCACAAGATATTCATAATCCATTTCTCCATCTCGTAAATGGTACCCTCCAAGTCTCATTACCCAACAGCGAATCCCTGAATCCCCCTCCCTGCTGTCGGTTAGATGGTGGTGTGCATGCCCGATAGGCTGCTTTTGGTCTAGGCTCTCCAACTCCTCTAGCAGATCTCCCCCGTTATGTGCACGGGACCATCTGCATGATGAAGTCTCCGGTACGCCATCCGAAACAGTCACAGTCTTGGATAGTGCAGTGTCTGGGTGAAACCACATCAGCACGCTTCCCAGGTTTACGCAGAACCACAGGAGTTTCTTTCCCATGCGTATCGATATTGAGTGTTGCGGCTGTCGCTCGACATAGCCCATGGCCAATGGCCCTCGGATAACGAGCTTGCTGCTGCTCACTCTTCCTAGAGGTGCGCCGGGGCCAGTAGATGAAGTGAGCTCAAGGACCTGGGAAGTCTTTTCGTAGGGGTATTTTCCGTTTCTGAAACACAAGTAGTCGACTTCTCCAGTGATGGAAGCCCAACTAAAGCTCGGCGATGTGTATGATGAGTTGGCAGTTCCAACTGGGCTCAATGCTGGTCGATACCATAGTAGCTCTTGATCGACATTATCTCGCCACAGTCCAGCAACATAGTCCGAGCCTGTTCTGTGTTGTATAATGGCAGCTATGGCAGATATCGCCGGAAGTTTATCCCCGACCTGCGTTAACTTTCTTTTCGAGTAGTTCTCAACCACCTTGTGCCAGAAATTGAACGCTTCATGAGGTTTCGAAATCTGGCTAAGTGGCGTCTGGCCAAACTCACGATGGTAATTCAACAGAGAGCCACATTCGCAGAAGATTCGTTCCTTGCACGTCCATACCATTTCCATTGCGGATACAGAGAGAAGTCTGGTTGAGAGAACTTTCTCCTGCAAGGTCCAGCCTCGCGTGCTAAGAGGCTCGACATGGCGTTGCTCATCAGCCCCATCCCGCCACTTCCAATGGGCTCCGGTTGGCCACATGGTCCTCGCCTTGAGCAATACTGGTCCTTTTGCACTTTGCATGGATTCTCTATGAATTACCCGCGGTTCTTGCGTGGTATGCGGTGGCGACTTGAGATCCGGTCGCAGAAAATGCTCCATCACTGATGCAGAGGATGCAGCAGCAATCGTAAGGTAGGCATTAGCATATGTTTCTGCCATCTTGGAACACTCTCTTTCCCAGTCCTCCTGGGAATTTTGAATGATGCATAATGCATCTATCCATATGAATCCTATACCAAGCTCTCGAGTGAGTGCAATTGCATCCTGATACGCTGCCGGGAGGTCCTTGACCGCAATTCCGGATTTCATAATCTCTATGTTCTCGATTTCAGTCTTGACAGAAGCTTGACTGCCCCAACAATAGCTGAGCGCCGTGTATTTTCCATGCTCGGTATCTTCTGCTTCAACAAGCCGTACATAACCCTGTTCAACGGAGCTAATATCGATGACACGTGTTGGTAAAGTCGGAATATTCTGACTACAATGCTCATGGCTTTCCAGACACGTTCTTAAGCAAGCATTTATGAAGCCTAAGCCTTGGGCCGACAAATGATCTTCGCATATCTCCGGAAAAGGCTGCACATGCTTCCACGGTTCTCCTTGAGCTGTTATCATGTTAGCTTTGGTATATCATACGGGGGAGGCAATCAATACAGTTATCAGTATACATCTGCACAAAGATCCGTGTCTCTGCATGAGATGAGCCTAGCAATATCTCAGGATTGCCTTGACCAATCGGAAGTCTGAGGTGAATGATCTCCTCTTCTGTCTCCGCATGAAAGTCAGGAGACTCGAGGGTTTTGAGTATGAAAGAACAGGCATCGCAGCCAACTTCTGCCGCGGTCTTGAATTGTTCAATTTCCCGGCGTACCAACACCACGAGTTCTCTTTGATCGACCACCACATCGTTGGAAACTCCTGGTGATACGAGAACAGGATCCAAATCAAAACAGCATGCACACGACGCTTGCTCACTGCTGTGTGAGTCTTCGCTATGTTGGTCGTCCATGAGAGGTACACGGTCTAGCCTGGTCGAATATGCAAATCAATGAATGAATAATCAAGTGGATAATGACGCTCACTAGCTTCTCCGCACGAAACTGTAAGTAATCCAGCTCTTTTAGTCCTTGCACGTGAGGTCCACCATGCGAAGGGAAGGATTCATGGATACGGTTCTTACTCAGCCGACGATGTAACTTTTGCATACTCTAGTCTAATAAAAACCTGTTACTGCGCCACCATAAAGTCCCTTTTTTTTGTTGTAATGAATTCCGCTGAATACAAATCTCTAGCAATCAGGCACGCTAACCGGAATATTAATGTGAACACTCGTAGCCAATCCGCTCAAACTCGTCTCCTTGAATTCATTCCTCATTCCTTTGGCCGTCAGTCGCATCGCCCGGATGGCATCGTCCAGCCTCACCCGCTGCGTACCCGTCTCACTGCTGAGAGCCAAGTTGGCGCTTGAGATAGCCTTTGTAGCGCCCAGCGCATTTCGCTCAATGCAAGGAGCCTGGACAAGGCCGCCGATGGGGTCACATGTTAGTCCGAGGTTGTGCTCAATACCAATCTCGGCAGCCTGCTCAATGGTCTCGGGGCTGGCTCCCATGCAGGCTGCGAAAGCACCGGCAGCCATGGAGCAGGCAACGCCTACTTCGGCCATGCATCCGCCCTCGGCAGCTGAGATAGTAGCACCTCGCTTGTAAAGCATACCAATGGCGGCGGCTGTGAGAAGGAATGTAGGAATATCTCGCTCGGGATCGTCACTGATGAACTCGTTGGTGTACTTGAGCACAGCTGGAATGATGCCCGCGGCACCGTTGGTGGGCGCAGTGACGATTCGGCCACCGCCAGCGTTGGTTTCGTTAACAGCAATGGCGTAAACAGATAGGTAATCCATAGTAGGGAATGTTGTGCGGCGTGATGGAGCTGGCGCAATTGGGTGGTTCAAGGAGCCATGTATCCGTGGAGGGCCACGTTTTCGCATACCCCCAGGCATGAATTTCTCAGGTACCGAAGCATTTGATGTCTTCGCGAGAGCATTAGGTGATGAGGCACCATCCTCGTTGATACTCGGATCGGGTGAGGAGAATTTGTGCTCCAGTTGCGCAGCTGATGTCTCAGCAGCAGATGAAGGATACAAGCCTCGGGTCAATCGTCGGTAAAGAGCAGGCGCTCGGCGATGAAGCTTGAGCGAGCCAGGAAGCACAGATCCCGTTGGTGCCTGCACACTCTCTAGAATGCTAGCATCCATGACGCCCCAGATCTTGAAGATCTTTCGGTAAATATCTTCATCTGTGTAGCCGAGACTCTTCTCATTCTCATATACCAATTGCGCAATGGTGAGGTTGTGTTTGCGGCATAGTGAAAGGAGACTAGCTGCATCTCGGAAGGGGTACCGCGGATGCGGTGAGGAGCTGGTACTCTTGGTCTCAGACTTGACATCGGCAGACACAGCAGTTGGCTCAGGTGAGTCTCCGAGAAGAGCGCTTGGGCCCTCGCTGGCTTCGTCGAGGGCCTTGACTTCAGTGCCTGTCCTGCGATCTCCCGCGGCGTCCGATCGCCGAATCTCCTTGTAGTACATGTTCTCGGCCAAATCAGCCGGATGGGCCGTCTGCTCCAAGTCGGCTGCCTCAAGCTGGGCCGTGCCATTCGGAGAGAGGGTCTCTTGGGGCGCTATGCTTAGAGCACCGTTGACGACGAAACCGCCGCCCACACTGAACATGTCGTTTGTGGCCAAGACGTAGCCTTCTTTGTCGTAGACGGTGAAGCGCATTCCATTGCTGTGCTGCGGCAGTTTGCGACCCCACTCCCAGATAAATTCCCTTTCGTAGTCGAAATCAATCTCTTTGCCCTTGGATCCATCTGCGGAGAGTCCACGACCGAGATAGATCTTCTTGCTGGCCTTGATGTCGTCGAAACGACTGGGCACATATCCTGTGTCGATTGTCTCCACATCGGCGCCTTCAAGACCGAGGAGAAGAGCTGAGGGGGTCATATGGCCCTCGCCGGTGAGTGCAAGACTTCCATAGATAGCGACACGGATTTTGTTGACCTTGTGAAGCAGATTGGCGTCGATAAGATCGTTGACAAAAATGTTACCAGCACGCATGGGACCAACGGTGTGAGATGACGAGGGTCCAATGCCGATGGAAAACAGGTCAAAAGTGGAAATGACGGCATGTTCATGGTCGGCTTCGCTGTAAGAGCTGTCTTCCTCTTCGTCATTTTCGTTTCTGCGAGGTCGTGTTGTGCTGAAAGGTCGAGATCTCTGGCGTCCCAACAAAGTCAGTGATACAGGTGCTGAGCGAGCAATCGGCCACCTTGCAGTGGTTGCTAGGGTCCGGGTCGACAAGCATTGGCTTGACGCCCGAAGCAGCGAAAGCTGCCTCATCCCCGCACGGCTCATTGAAGTTTTGCTAAGGAAAATAAGAATCGTTGCTTTTGTTATCAATTTTTGGGCGGTGTCTCCTTTTTGGGGTGTTGGGTGTGATATTGATATTATATCACAAGCCAAGCAAAGTCAATCGCGAATTGGCAACAAAGTGTCTCCTATTGGCCGCGTCGCCTAATCTGGCTTATCTAGGAGCGGATTATCCTTGTGCCAGCCAATGGAAACGGTCTGCTCTATCTCCGGACACGCTGCCGGCGGTGGGTCGGACGAGCAACCGGCGACCGCTCACGTGTCGGATCTCACTACCAATCACCTGCTGCCTCAGACCGATCTCCTCCGGTGTCTGTCCCCGAATTTGACACGCCTTCCAATAACAACGATGAAGTATTATCTAGTTGCGTCAAATGTATTAAAAGTTACGTTATTTGTTAGTAATTGTAGCGTTCCATTTCTCTAGTTTGCGGGGTACAGTCATTTAAACTTTAGTCAAGACAAGGATTGTGGAGAACCTACCCTAGACCCAGTTACAAAACATCCACGAATAAGAATCGAAAGGCTTTAGTTAAATCACGTCTGAAATACTCACATGAGTTAGTTAGTCGTAATCCCTGCGAACAGTTTAGTTTAATGAGACCTGTGTGGAAGATTAAATATGAATAGTAATGCTGGGCAACAACACGGTGCAAATTTAGTCGGAAAACCTTCGACGTCGACCTGCTGGGAATTTTATTTAATCGTCATATTTTCAGCACAGTCGTTAAAAGCAGACAACATTTCAACTCTGCTGGCTTTTAAGTAACGTGGCTATCGAGAATCATGTTGATACAGAAATAGCTTCCCTGTCGGCCTTCAAAGAAGACAAAGAATGACCAAGCACTCAGAGGATCCGGTGAGAAATTGGCCATAATTGTCCGAACATTACTAAAGTCTCATAACTCCAGGGATAACATGATGTATGCTTTGATATTTGAAATGAGCCTCTAAATTTCAAATGATAGCCACTGAATAGGTTTCTCAGTTTGGATGTAAGCTTCGTAGATCTGAAAAACAATGACAATTGCGACCATATGAGATCACGGTTGCCAAGGAAGATACATACTGCGGGCTGCTCCTCACCTTCCCTGGCGCGATGGAAGCTAGAGTAGAATATTGCGAACCGAAATTCATATCACATAAGCTCTTGTTGAGCAGAAATCTTGATGTTGAGCTTGGAGCGGAACTGAAGAGCTCAAGGTCAGTGCTATTACTTCCATAATTTCCATTCCCAACACCGATGGCCGAAATGGCTGCATGGATTCTTAGGTATTGATTAATGGCCAGAAATCTAGCATTCAAACCTGACGATCTGGTGCTGATATACCGTGCTTCGCTAAACACAACTAGCACTTTGCTGTATGCAACAAGGGCTGGCAAATGTAATCAACAGGACTGGGACAGGGACAGTTATAAACAGATCAATGTAAACTCGCTATGAAATAAGAACTAAGATTGAGATTTTATGACTCAGAAGCAAGGCTCATATTGTATTCGAGCTCCCAGTCCGCTTGAGGGTCGTCCTTTCGTGGCGTGAAGGTGACTGTTAGTCCATCCTTAACGGCAAACACACTATCGTTGTCAAGATAACCAGAGTCAGAATCGAAGATCTGCGTCACAACCGACTTGTAGCCTTTGGCAATGACCTGTGACATGTTAGACTGGACCTCATCAACCTTCGGGATCCTGTGCGAGCTTACCATGAAGTGCAGATGCGCGGGGCGGTACACATGGCGGTCGAGCATGTGAAGAAGCTTTCCTGCAGGGCCGTCCTCGGGAATCTTCGAACAATGTTAGTTATCGACCTGAATAGATGGAGCTTGGGTGACTCTTACAGGATAAGGAGTCGGTCGTAGGCAGTAGAACGAGTACCGGCCCTGATCATCTGTGATGAACTTGCCACGTAGGTTGTGCTCAACTTGTTTGTCGTCTTGCTGCTCATATAGACCTAGAAAGGATCAATATCTGATGGATACATCATAGACGTACTAGCTTACCGTTGGTAGATGCTTGCCAGACTTCGACAGAAGCATTGGGGATGGGCTTTCCAGTTGATGCGCATGTCAAAGTACCGTACAGATAAGCGACCTTGGCATCTTCAGGAGTATCGAAAGTGATGGTAGTGCCATTCTCACGAGTGGGTGTATCGTGGCGCCAAAATGGTCCGAGAATGGCTGTTTCGGTCCCTGATAGACCGTTCTTGGCTGCCTGACGATGCGTAATGTCATCCACAAGACTGGTGATGTCAGTGATGATTTTAAGATTGATTGGAAGTGAGTTACCTCTCGAGTCCGATAACGTCGCACATCAGTTGCCCCTCATTTCTCTTGTCGTTGCTCATCTGCCCGGCCCAGTTGACCATCTTGACAGCTTCCATCCACTCATCGCATGTGAGTTGTGTCTCGCGAGCAAAGTCGTGCATGTGCTGGATGAAAGAGGACATAACCTCTCGAAGTCGGGGGTCAGTCTTGGGGCCGAAAGAGTCGATCACTTGCTGTGTGAAGGCCTGGCCGAGACCCTCCTCTTGCGCGACACCATTGGAGTTTCCGCCGGTTGTCTCTGCTGAGTTTGTCATTTTGTAATGGCTGTGTGTGGTGTGCAGATAACGATGTGGTAGGTGAAGGATTTACTTGTCAATTGATGCAATGTATGTGGCAATGGGTTGGGTTTCTTGTTGTTCGTGGACAGAGGGGATGGCTTGCTATCGTTTTTATGAGTGCTCCAAAACTCCTCTTATCACTTGTAGTGTTTTAAGATGGTGTCAAGCAGATGACCTGACCCCGCATAATCTACAGTCAGCATGGTTCAATTCGGATATAGAAGGACCATTAACAAGGAGCGGCTAAGGTCGTTTTCCGAAAGAGGAGCGTCGGGTGCTTGCAAACGACCATCATGGGCCCATTGAGCAAGTGGTAATGCTGCAGCCATTCTGCGGGGTATCTCTTCGGCCAATTAGACGGTCGATGATTGTATTCACAAGTCTCGGCAAAGGTGAGATGGGGCCACACTCACATTCCTTCGGATGTCGGAAGATACGGTCGGATGTGGAAGTGGAAGTGGAAGTGGATGTGTAGGAGAGGCAAAACACCCTGACCCCGACGGCGGGGAAAACAAAGCGAAAGCGGGAGGGGGCCACTACTGCACGGCTTAGTGGGGATGAGCCTTCTGTAGCCGTTGCGGTCACCTGAAGCTAAACATTGTAACGCAACAGCCAGCCAGCAAAAGATGGTACTGTCTGTATCCGTACTCAGTACCACATTAGACAAGCTCAAGACGTAGGTTGGCCACCATATATATCACTTCAAATGTGATTAATAACAGAGGATTCGGCTACCTTCCCTAATGCCTGCAGATTCATATGACATCACTATCGGGAAGTTAGGGAGTTGAAATAATAATACTTGGTTATCATAGCATTTAGTTACCAAGAACAATAGAATGTTTGATCTTGACTATGAAATAACTATATCTACAATTTACGGTCGGCTTCATCCCCGAAATCCCAAGTTGGCTTGTCCGCACCATTAGGGCGGCTCGCTCTCCTGAATCCCACATCCACGCCTTCAATCTCTACAACAGGCGGTACAGCCTCAACCTCAGCTTGGTACGCATTTGAGTACCAATTCTCAACGTACTTATCCCCAGTGAACAACTCTGGATAAAGGTTTCGCATCCTCAGCAACGCTGTCCCCGAGATCTGGTCGACACTATGCGCGTGCCTTATAGCCAGGAAGTCGGAGCCAATATCTTTCCTTAGTCTTTCTTTGACATCCTCTGGGTACTGGCCGACCTTGAAGAGCAAAAGGTCGTAATGAAGAAGTGAAGCTTTGCCGTGCCATGATCCGCCGGTAGTAGCTCGGTGGTAGAGGCCCAACAATGCTGTGATAGCACCGATACAACCTGTTCCGTAGTCTGATATAGGGAAAGGAGGGACCACAGGCTCTGACAAGCCCATGAAGCGACCTTGTTCCCAAGCGATACCAGTTACCTACACATATTGTTAGCTCTCACTAGGGTAACGAATAAGGACCAACCGTCACATCACTTACACAATCGGCAATCTGTTGCCATCCAGGACGACCTGCCCACTCTCCATCGTAGCCAAAGCAGTTCTCGTTGACATACACAAAACCCTTGCCACGCTTCTTCGCAAGCTCAGTAAGCGCAGTAGCTCCATATCCGAGCTTCTCCAAAGCACCTGGACGGTATCCATCGACGACAACATCTGCCTCAGCGAGAAGTCGGTCAAACTCAGCCCGTCCCTCGGGGGACTTGAGGTCAAGCTCAGCAGCGTGTTTTCCCATGTTTCCATCAACTTGGAAGAATGGTACATCACTCAGGTTGGGGCTGGTAATCTTGAGCACATCGGCCCCATACTCGCCAAGAATACGGGTGATGATTGGTCCAGCAATGATTCGACAGAGCTCGAGGACTTTGATGCCTGAGAGTATTCTTGTTGGCTGGCTTGAGTTTAGTGTCAGAGGGCATTTGGGTGTCTCTGACTCGAGGTTCTCCACCGACCACGGCGGAAGTGCCATGTTTGTCTTCCCCTGGTTACGGGTTAGCGTTATGGTCCCTTGAGCACCATGTGTGTAAGTACTTACGTGCTCTGTCTTGATGAAATCCTCATGCTTCAGTGCAGGAACTCCAGCCTGACGCCGAGCAGCGTTCATGCTCTCTAGTTCCTGGATGGTGAATTGGCGAACTGCAGGCTCGATAGTGTTCACTATGTCCTCATGAGATTTCAAGTCTGGCATGAAGGGCTCCAGGCCGATCATTTTGAGAGTTGTCGAAGCTTCCAGTGATCCATGGATGTGATAGTATTCTCCTGGGTCCTTGGTTTCGTAGAGGTTGGCCGACATGCGTCGGTATGGATTTGACTGTGCTTGTAGTAAATCCGTATCTGGGTACGATTAAACTCTTAGCAACTTCACAGGTACCAAACCGTCAGTCTAGACTCACCCTTAAGTAGGGCCTTGACGCCAGGATCAAGCTTTCCAAGTCCGCCCACCTTGGCCATATAAGCCTGACATAGAAAAGCTGTTGTCTTTTCCAGGTCGATGTTGATATTCCTGGTTTGAGGCTTATCCACCACTGAATCCGCCAACAGACATGCGACGGCGCCTTCAACTGCCTTCAGCGCAGCGGTTGTTTCCGTCTCTTTGAAAGGAATTGGGAAGTATGGTGCATCACGACTTGACGTGAACTTGATGCTTGATTTGAGGTCTTTGATAGCTGATGGAAACGCAACCTCGTCGAATTGTCCGCAGAGATAGTCGAAGATTCGTCTACTCTCCTCCACTGAGGAATAATCGTGCTGCTTGAGACTACCCATTGTGTAAGAGGCTTATAGATTATTGGCTAAAACGAGTTATCCGCCAAAGGGAACCTCTGAAGATGCTTGTTAAGAGGAGTCTTTATACAGTGATAACCAAGGTTCGGTTCGTGGAAACGAACAGCGGAAAAGGACGGAAGATCGGATTAGTGAGAAACCCACATTAACTACGTGATAATTACCTATGAATCATGGGCTCTTTACTTTTCAGTGACCCGTTGTGCGCCAAAGATGGTGTCACCAGGGAATACCTTTCCAGACTTTGTCTTGTGGCCCCCATATTTTTGTTGGAGGTCGGCTAGTGCGTTGCCGAGGCCCTTCGCCCGGCTTCCGACACCAAAACATCAACTTTCAGCGGGCCTTCGCCGCTAACCCACTTTGAGGCATTTCAGTGAAGAGAGTATCTACAGAACTACAATATCGAGCCTGCTAAATCCAAATGAAGGTGCAATTCTCTGATACACATCCTCATTCTACTAAGAATATTTCAACAACCAATCTTGACGCAATATGCCGTTCCTCGAAGTTGGAAACAAGAGGCTGTTCTTCGCCCGAGTGGATGCAGAGACAGGGTCAAACACATCTGGACCAGTCCTAGTGTTCATCCATGGCCTTGGATCCTCTCACTCATTCTATATACCTGTGATGAATCAGCTTGCTATTGCGGGCTACTCCTCAATTGCGCTGGATGTCTATGGTCAGTTACACGTCGCTGGTAAACGCCAGTATAGAGCTGAAATATTTCTAGGAAGTGGTTTGTCTGAGTTATCGCCTGAGGTCGAAGCTCCCACGTTCGATACCATAGCAGACGATATTGAAGCTTTATTAAAAGGTTTGAGTATTCCTCCTCAGGATGTTGTCGCCGTTGGGCACTCGATGGGTGGCATCATTGTACCAAAGCTTGCACTGAAGTGTAACCTCCGAGGTGCAGTACTCATTGGTCCTGTATTACCAAAACCTGCATTGGCAGATGTCTTCAACACTCGTATAGAGACGGTTAGAAAAGGTCTGTCAACTGCGGCTTTCCGGAAATAATCACTCATTAACACAAGAGATGGTAGACGGTATGGAGCCAATGGCTAAGACCATCCCCTCCGCTGCCACAGGCTCCAAGGCAACCTTGACCCAAAAGGCATTCATCCGAGCCCTCCTCCTATCTCAAAAGTCGGAGGGATACATAGCATTGTGTCAAGCTATTGCAAAAGCAGAGCTACCTTCATACTCAAGTATTCGCTGTCCTTTGTTGATCCTTGCTGGCGAAGAGGACAAGACTAGCCCTGTCCCAGATGCGAGAAAGATTATGAGCGAGTAAGTTTGATCATAGTCCCAAACTATCTATTTATTTATATGATGCTAATGTCTACAACAGTTGGGGGTGTAACGATTCCACGAAGAGCATGCATATTCTGCCGGGCGTTGGGCACTGGCATTGCATAGAGGCGGCAGACGAAGTTGGGCTCAAGATACAAGACTTTATCATATCTCAACTATAGAAAACTTATTTTGACAACAACTTTGAACCATGAAAGGATTGGATGGACTCATTTATCTATATTACTTTGATTGGGTGAACCGTGGATAGTTGAGTTGTACGAAGAAAGCTCTTCAGGGAGTGAGCGCGTTACACAAAAGCGTTCCTCACATTTGGTTGTGTAAACTAATTGTTGACGCTCATTAATCGATTTAAGTACCTATATCAAAGTGTCGAACGATATCTTACCTTAGTAGCGATGGTGCTTGTCATGGTTGACTCAATCGTCATGCTTAGCGGTGCGTACACAGGCTACCATTATCGGCTAGGGGGATTCCCCCATCGGAAGCACGGAAAATGCAGGCCCCACGCCAATTTACGTCAGCGGTAAGTGCCGCTAAATGCTCCCCGTATCGCTTACCAGTGAACCAATAAAGACCTGGCCATATCCGACAATTTGCGGCCCGCGGTTCTTGCAGCAGTCAGGCCCTTACCAGCTCGACTTCAAACGACAAGATGCCTACCAGGAGGGTCCGAGACAGCGAAAGAAGGCGTTGCGCCGAAGCTTGTGAAAACTGCAAGCGTCGCAAACAGAGATGTGATGGTCGTCGGCCTTGCGCCCGCTGCATCAAGCGAGGCCTTGGTCATGAATGCCACGAGCCGCAGTCAACTCCAAGTCTTGGGGGCCGTCGCATTGTCGCGTCGTCTTTACCAAGCCCGGACCCGGATAGACTCAGCAGTATTACAGAGCAGACTACACCGGCTGGCAGTATAACCGTCGGTTCGGGATCAGCATTGACGTCGGCGGAGGATACCTATGTCGACGACAGGGCCTCTTCCTCCTTACAGCTGCTTTCCGACACCCAACCAGAGCGACTCCCTCGCATGTCGCGTCTTGTGCAAGATACAAGGGGCGAATACATGTTCATTGGCGACTCAGCCACACTGTCGTTTCTTCAGAATATTCGGAGAATTGTACGACGGAGCATAGGAGACTGCGCTCTTGTCGACGACCCATTGCGGCACGGCATCGTTGAAGCGTCGCCTGAAACACGGCGAGGATGGATTCTCTCAAGCGCTCAGAACCCACCTCCAAGTCAGTCAGATCAGGATGTTGACTATCTTGTGAGGTGGTATATGCAATCGGCCAATTGCGTACTGCTTTTATTCGACCAGAAAGACCTTGATCGCCGCATTCGCAAGTGGATCGAGGATGGACAAGACATCGCAGATCCTGCCAGTTCCGTTTACTATCTTGTCTTCGCAATCGGTGCACAAACAGGGCCAGAGGATAAAGATGAGTTGGCCGAGAGCTTTTTCAACTATGCTCGATACTTAACGGTCGAAACTCTGATTGAAGAACCAGGCATGATCACCATCCAAGCACTGGTCCTCATTGCGATGTATCTACTGGGTGCGTCGCGTCGCAACGCAGCATTCATGTACCTTGGCATGGGCGTTCGAGCTGCGTATGCGATTGGCCTTCACCGGCACGACATATCTTCCCTTTTCCCGCCAAGCGAGGGCCGCAGCAGGGAACAGCTGTGGAAAGGCATCCGGATTCTCGACCTCTTTATGAGCGCATCATTAGGTCGGCCTCCATCGACGTCTGAGCTTCGAGATACAGCAAACCCCCAAAATTACTCAGCTTGCAACGATTTGTCAATGATCTTTGAGGCGATTCTTACTGATGTATACGCCAAAAGGATGATTTCCCCGGAAATATTGGAACGGATCAGCAAACATCTTCGTCGATGGACTGCGCAATGCAGTGAGGGTCTCGTTGTCGATGGCATTGAGCAGGAAGACTTGATACGTGATCTCAATGGCGATGAACAGCCCAACATCGGCCTAACCCACCTCAAACTGACAGGGCACTGGACGGTCATGTTGCTTTCGCTTCCATTTCTGCACAAGGCAGTCTCCCAACATGTTGAAGAAAACGAACAATCCTCACAAGGAACTGCAAAGCGCACATCATCTTCGAACCAAATCCTGGTGCATTCCTGTCTCGAATCAGCAGTACGAACAGTCGATCTCCTTCAACCATTGGTCAAAACTGGCACTATACCGAAGCGTTTACCGATGGTAGGGAACTCGGCGTTTGTTTCTGGTCTTGTACTCGGCGCAGCTATCTTTGGCGACTTTGACAACTCTTTCCCACTCGAAAAGAGCCTTCAAGGCGCAAGGGGGGTCCTCGAGCGTTTCAGTCGCTACGACGCGGTGGCCAAGCGCCATCTGATGATCTTGGATCATCTCCAAGGGGCATGTGGCATATACATGGACAACAGAGCTAGACGCCGAATGGAACGACAGGGGCATCTTGTCAATGGTCTGTTTGGAAGCATCCATACCATAGGCAAATCGCCTAATCGGTCATCTCAACAATCAGAAATAAATTCCAGACTCTCATCAACTGAAGGGGTCCAAACACAACCGCAGACACCTAGGGCTGGACAAGGGCCTGACACTGAGATGTCTGATGACCAACAAGGCTTTTCGCTGGGGGGTGGAGGACAGTCAGAAATCGATATTTCGGGCTCAGCAGATGCTTTTCTGGGAATTTCTCCAAATATGCTCTGGTTCGACTCTTTCGACACGACCATGTCCTTGTTTCCAATTGTTGACACGCACATAATGGGCGATGAGCTAACGTGAAATGAAGTGTTTATAATGAGCTATGCGAATTAATATTTAGGCAGCTTAACTGTGGATGTGGTTAACCACATTGAGCGGCGGAACAAGGATTGTGTGTCGCGATCTTATGGTACTTTTTGCAATGCAAAATCCTCCCAATCATCCGAAGGGCGTGAGACCTTCATCTGACCCATGAATCGGAATACCACTACGGGGTATCTACATTTAGTATAGCCTAAGCATACTTGCATCAGGTAAGCTTATCTAATAAAACCGGAGGTGTCAACGATTGTATTTATGCTATAACGTTACCTGTAAATCATCAGCGGAGATATTAAAATCCCTCACATCCCTATCTTAGATGGCATCATCCACCTCATCAATCCTTCAATATCCACACAAGGTTTCATTACGGAATCCACAATCAAGGTCTTCTCGGCATTAATTCACTGAAAGAAGAAAAATCTCATCCCAAATCACATACTCATCCACAACCGTCACAATGCCTTCAACTATCCGGGCAAAGCATCTGGTGCCAGGTGACAAGATAGCATTTATCTCACCCTCGGAGCGGATCAACAGTTCACTCCCTGCCGTCATAGACCGAGCTACGACTGTTCTCACAAATAAGGGCTATAAGGTCGAAACTTTCTTTGGTGAAGACAAAGGCATTCAGTCCTGCATCAGCAATCGTCTGTCAGAAATCCGCGCGGCTTTCTCAGACCCTAGCATCTCTGCCATTATCACCACTATCGGTGGCACAACCTTCACGGAACTTCTTCCGGCCCTAATCGCCGATAAAGAGCTTCATGAGATCATTCGCGCCAATCCCAAAATTGTGGTTGGCTATTCCGATATTACGGGACTGCACTGGTTCTTGCATGCCTTGACCGGTTTAAGGACTTTCTACGGACCGGGTGCTGTTCCCGAGATCGGTGAGCCGAACGACATTAACGATAAGGACACACCACTGTCCTTTTGCGTTGATAACTTGTTGCGCGCTATTGCATCTCCTGAGCCGCTGGGCCAGATTCCCCGATCCAACTACTACGCTCCAAGAGGAGCGCCCTTCTTCGCCGACCCCGAATCCACAGAGCCACCTCAAGTCGTCAAGACGAGCGAGTGGCAGTGGCTAAGGCACGGCAAGGCCCAGGGTCGTTTGTTCGGCGGCTGTCTCACAGTTGCAGCGCGCTTAGTCGGTATCTCGCCTATCGTTCCCGACTGGCGAGGCCGAATCGTCTTCCTTGAGACAGCTACAAACGAGGATGGCAGCGGCGGAAATCCTCCTCACCGCGTACAGGCGGCGTTTGCAGACTTGATAGCCCACGGGATCTTTGAAGAGGCAGCAGGACTTGTTGTGGGCCGACCCTACGGGTATGACTCCGAGGAGGATAGGGAGGTTTATGCAGGTATAATCAAGGGCCTTTTCTGCGAGGGACGTCTCGCAGAGAAGAACTTCCCAATTCTGTTTAATGTGGATATTGGGCATACCGTGCCGATGGTAACACTGCCTTACGATGCTTTGGCTGAGCTTGATTCTGAGACGGGTACTTTTGCTGTGTTGGAATCTGGGGTTGAGTAGAGCGTTGGGGAGGCAATGGTAACTTGTCCAGTGAAACCGCAGTATAATAATTGACTATTTCGTTCCAACACGCTATACATTACTCTTCGTTTAACCATCATCTACTCATAAAAATCAATCCTGAAGCCAATACTAATAGCTTCCTGTAATCTGCTTCCAAAAGATGCTCTGCAGTCGAGCCGGTATCGATATGATGTTACCCTCACTCCAGTCATCAGCATGCAATAGATGCAGTTCGTCTAATTCCTACTACGTAGAAGTGCTGTCAGATTTTCCAACTCGTGAAACAATTCATTTCGACTCGCCACCGCCAGTAGCTAGGAGAGGATGGATATCCTGCCATCGTTCCGCTACCTAGCATACTCTTTGCCGACCATCGGCCTCATTTGCGTGGCACGTTTTCGTCGTGCCCCTTGAGGCTTTTGTGTTACGAGTTCCTCTTTCTGCACAATAGCTCAGAGCTGAATTGGCTCTTGGCAGGACCTGTGAACTGTGATACATCCGGTTATGGACGTGATGGAGGCGCCTTTGACTTTGATGGTGACGTAAATTGCTGGTGTATTTGACTTTTCATGGCCTCTTTGCTGCTCGGCATTCTGTCTCTATTTCGGTGGCCACATCGACGACGACGGGTCTCAATGGTCGTGGGGTTTGTGTTGAATAGACTCAGTATCCCTCTGCTCGAAGAATGGCCACACCGGTGACGCAGGTCAAAATGAACAAAATCGTGACAGATACGACCAATATTGTAGAATATCTGACAAAGTCATCATGATCATACTTTCGTAGGTCTTTTGTCCAGTCCGGCATGTAAATAGCCTTGGCCTGCACCAAGTATGTTGCAACAAATATACCAAAGACGATGATCATAAAAACAACGTGCCATGCGCCGGCTAGACTTCTTTTCAAAGCGGAATTCCCGCGAAGTCTTGTGAAAGCTGACTTTCTGCGACCTTTTATTTTGACCATGGTTCTGTGTCTGTTGACGAAAGGAGAAAAGCTGGTAAAGCGACGCGAAAACAGCAGCAGTGAGCAGGGAGATGAGACATCGCATTCGTGGGCGGTAGGCTATTCGGCTTTGTCGGCGAACAGCCACTTTATTTAGTCGGACACGTCAGGCGGTTCGGAGAGTTTTAAACTACCGAGAGCACCACAAATGGGTGATTTGGTGCGACGGTGTGAGCCTGTGTAAGCGCTAGATCTGCAAGGCGCAGCACAGCCAAGCTTTGCTGGCCTTGATTTACTTGCTAACGTGCCTACGTGCATTTGTTTGCAGGCTGTCGAGGCTGTGTTCGACAAATGGGACTTGAACTTTTGCTCAAGACCTGGGGTTTGAAACGGTGTTTGGCAGGGATAGGGAGGGGAGCTGGGGTATCACAGGATACGAGTTCATGTTTGTCCAATGGTGGGTGAGCCTGATCCGAGGATTCCGAGACAGCTGACAGTAATTTGCGATCCTTCAAAAGCAAAGTGAGACGTTTGTGGGCGCCAACGACTCGCGGCCGTTTGCTATCGAGATCTTTGTTCACAATCACAACAGCTCGTTAATGAAAGCATGGACTCCAACCTAAAATGGAAAGGATAGGACTTGATTGAGAAGTGTGATTGCGCATCAATAGAGTATTTATAAGCCGTTATCACTAAACGAAGTGGTCTAGTAACACCCAGCTGCAACCAACACCAACGGCCTTTGTTGGCACTGTAGCAACGGAGTGCAATATATGTTGAATAATAAACCTTATGATTACATCAGCTCAAGCGAAAGCAGCTTGGCGCAGTGGAAGCGCGGTATGTTTACAACGTCATGGCTCAAACATGATCTAGTACTAACTCATTCTAGCCGGGCTCATAACCCGGAGGTCACTGGATCGAAACCAGTAGCTGCTATGAAGCATTTCTTTTTTGTCATTTTCCCAGCATAATTTCATCGGTTTTCTTCTTGCCCTCAATTTTTACAAGTCTTTTCTCGGTTGTCTTACCTGTACCAACTGTAACGAGCCACACCACTCGGGATTTTATTCGTAGCGATTGACGCTGGAGATCACGAATTTGATGTCTTGGCGAGACGCCAGAATCGATCTCGATGAAACGGCGATCAACAACGGCGGAGCGGCCCCGCGGCCCCGGTCAGAATCCACGTGGCAGGGGGCCATTCAGAGTTTTATTAATAGCGGATGCCTCATGTCACTGAAGCTCAAGCATTTTCTAGCGGCATGGACTCCAAACGGGCTAAGCTAGTCCACGGCGTTTGACAGAGCGGGCTTGGCTCAAGTGACAGTCGACGACCGGAGCCGAGTATTAGTGCTAGTTCCGTCAGTATGATCATATAACTACGTCGACAGGTCATATAGTGGCTAATGGGATGCAGGCTCAAGGATCTGTGAGAGCGGATAGCCCAACATCCGAAGAGCTGAGTTGGAGCAGCTGAAAACCTGAAGCTCGTTTTCTCGCTCCTTTACTTGGAACGAAATTGTTTACCATCAGATCACGCATCATTGAAGGACAAAAAGTAGGAGTTGTATAATCGGTCTAGTACCTGTCAGCTTGGATATCATTTTCAACAATCATTGCAAAGACGATAATGATAATCATATCCTCCTTACTGTTGATCCTCTTACCGCCTAGCCGGTGCTTCGTATCGAACCCACCCTCACACTTAGCGAGAAGCTGTACTAGCTGCCCATTATCTCAGCTATTCAAGCCTTTGTTGAGGCCATCATCCCCTTGTTCCACTTCCTTGTTTGTTTCTCAGCTCGATGTGAATATCTGGGTCCCATCCCTACCCGCCCGGAGGAGGCCCATTTTGGTGTCGCCTCCGTCTTCAATCTGGACCAATCGACAGAAGGGTTTTCTAATCCTTCGCATTTCGATCAACGCTGCATGGCTGTATCGGGAAATACATCCTTACTTGTCATATCTTGACGGGTAGCAATTACCCAAACACCCTTAGACAATCGATAGTTTACTCCTAGTGTACTGTCTAGCGCATCATCGTGTCGAAAATGGTCAATTCGAGATGTTTAGTGTCCCAGGGAAATTTGTTTTGTTTCCCTGTAATATCCATATCGAATACGTCAGATGCTATCGTGCGTCATGCAAGAACATAGTATGGGGCTGTAAGGGGAAGATGGCGATGTCTCTCCTGGTGTATATATAGATGGACATGAATCCATCTTTCATCGTCTTTATCAGCACTGCGAAGTGAACAATCCAGAGTTATCGACCTGAACTCAACGCTTCCACCATGCGTCTTACCTTCTTCGTCGCTGCGCTTTGCGCACCCTCAGCCCTATCGTTTCCCTGGTTAGCCCCAGAAGGAATGGATGCCCTACTCGATCATCCCGAAGCACGTGCAGAGATCGACCGTCGACTACAAGAATGGCAAGCTGGCCAAGACCAAGAGAAGGAGCAACCTGAGGCTCGAGCGCTTAAGACTGGTATTGTGGGTGGCGTTGTATCCCTACTTGGAGGCACAGTCGAAGCTGTTGTCGACAATGTCCTGGGCCTCATCCCTACCAACAAGGCTGTCAAAGGCTTGCAGAAGTTCCCTGAGGCTTCACATCCTTTCAAGGCCCCCGGTAGTACGGACCAGCGAGGTCCTTGCCCTGGCCTTAACACTTTGGCTAACCATGGCTGTAAGTTCATGAGGACTTGAGCTGTTATACAGGACAGAAGCTTACAAGCGGCAGACATTCCTCGAAACGGCATTGCCACCGTGGGTCAGATTCAAGCCGGTACGGCAAAGGTGTTTAACATGGGTGCGGACCTATCTGCTCTTCTCGCTGTTGGAGGCGCGGTCGACGGAGGTGATATCCTTTCTCAAAAGATGAGCATAGGCGGGCCAGACAACCGCGTCGGTCTCCTCAACGGTGACTTGAACAAGATCTTCGGCAAGCCATCTGGAATTGCTGGACACGGTAAGTGACTACTTCCACTGTCCTTCAGCACAACTTACTCATGACCAATGCAGGAAAGTTCAACGAAGGCGACGCATCTGCTACTCGTGAAGACTTTTACCTCCATGGCGACAACATCTCTTTCAAGCCCAAGCTATTCAAGCAGCTGCACCAACAAGCTCTAGCCAAGGGCGATGGTACCTACAATGTCGATGCGGTCAAGGAACACTTCAAGATCAGATACAAGGACTCCAAAGCTGCCAACAAACAATTCTACTTTAACGTCCCCAGCGCTGCTGTCGTTATGGGAGCGTACTACTTCATCCCTGGCTTCTTCTCCAACGGCACAATTGGCGCCGGCGGTATCGCCAACGAGGCTTCCATCACCTCTTTCTACGGCGCAAAGCCAACCCGCAAGAACGCCTGGAAGGACAAGAACCTCGACTACACACACGTCCCCGAACGTATCCCCGAGCAGGGCTGGTATCGCCGCGCGACGCCCATGACCATTGCCGAGGCCGTGGGTGGAATCCTTGATGTCTACCTCTACGCGCTGCCAGCCCTTGGAGGTTCCGGAGCGGATGGAAGCTGGGTGGTTGGTCCGCTCAACTTGCCTAAGGACCCCCAAGGCCTGAGCTGCTTTTTGTACAACGCAGTTTTCGCCAATTTCCCTTCAGAGCTTTTCAATTCGGTCAAGCTCTTGCAGTCGGTCCTCAACAGTGTTTCGGGTGCACTTGTTCCTGGATACAAGGCTCTGGGCTGCAAGGTTGACTTCCCCGACGCCGAGGGTTCGTCAGCGAGTAAGAGGTTTGCTGCGTATGAGAAGAAGTATGTTGGCCCGGCCAAGACCAAGGCTGTGGGCAGCGGCTGGTATAAGAAATAATCATATCGCATTTAAGACATACATAATCAATAAACGAGTAATGATTTGTTATTGTACGGTTTTAGTCCACTTCTTCACATTGACCCATCTTGTTCGACGTTTTTTCAACAGTCCAATCTAGGACTTCTGGGAGCTTAATAAACATACACCCACACAAACGTGCATGAGAAGCCAATTGGCTATACGATGCTGACGCAACGTCATCCTGCACATCCCAGTTTTGTTCGTCCGACGGAAGTTCCGTTTGCTGGAATGTTTAGAAACCTTGCTTAGATTTTTTAGGAGCCCTTGGATGATCGAAGTCAACAAGACCACGTCACGATATCACCCCTGAGCAGTGCATGTTTAGCAAATGTCGACAAGCAATCCCTCCAAGACATTGGGTGTCAGGCGAAGAGCGTGTGTCAATTGCACCTCGGTTAAATCAAAGTGTCTCCCCCTCTCAGCGGATGAGTGTCAGCGATGTCATCGGCTGGGGAAGAGATGCGCTTATATGAATGTCGTTGAGAAGCGCAAGAGTCCATCTAGTACATCGCAAGTAACTATTTCACGGCTCTAATAGCCCAATTTGCTGACCAAGTCTGTTAGTCGCGCGAGGTTGGTTGAACAAAGGTTGAATAGAATTCTGTCTCGTCTGAGTGAGCAAGCTAAGGGTACCCCCTTAGGCGGGTTTATCACTCAATTATCTGCTGCCAACCTTGATCTTGATGTACTAAGGCAATTTCAACCAGCACCATTGAGGGTGCTTCGCAATATCAACCTACGACAGAATCCGGATGTTGTTGACTATGGCTTTCTCACTATTGCCGAGGCACATATCTTGCTAGACAATTACCGCAGTAAAGCCATGCAGCATTTTCCCTTCGTCCCAATTGCCCACAATACTAGCCCATCATCCTTAAAAAAGGACAAGCCTTTTCTGTTCATGTGCATCATGGCTACCATGAAATTTGACAACTGCACTATTCAGCGACAAATTGGTGAAGAAGTTCGGATCCAAGCACATCAAAGAGTATTGATGGAGTCAGAAAGCAGCCTAGAGCTTCTCCAGGGACTTTTGATCTACCTGGCTTGGTACCAGTACTTTTTTAGCTACGAGAAACAGCAAATCGTTCAGCTAGCTCAGTTGTGTGTCTCGCTGGTTCATAGCTTAGGACTTGACCAGAACCCCAACAACGTAAGACGAAAAGTCGACCTAGGCCCTGATGAGACAGCGTCAGGTAGAAAGGCTGCACGTTCAACAGATCAACTTCGGGCCCTTCTTGGAACATACTGCACAGCCTCTTGGTACGTAGTTGGTAATCTCTAGGAGTAATGGTTGATCGAAACTGACAAGTCAGGGTATCTACCAAATTCCGAACTCGTTGCGCAATCCCTTACACAGGATATATCAAGCAGAGTTGGGAGATATTGCTAGCCAAGAATGAGTATCAGAGCGATGCTCTGATTGTGTACTTCGTACGCGTCAATGAACTGAGCCGTCGCATATGTGATACTTTTGGATATGACGACTTGGAAAACTCAGGTGTAAGGGGAGAGTTCGTCAGTGCTATGACTTTACAGTCTTTGAGCAATGAATCTATGCTATTGAAGGCGTCTATTCCTCCACCTATCCAAGGAAATTGTAGGTCACGACTGGCTGCTTCTTAGTTGTTTTCAATTGCTAACTCTCCAATAGTCGCACTCCAACTCGAGCTGTATCTGCTTGATACACTGATCGGCGAGGTTGCGTTGCATGAAGACTTTTGGGATCGCTCGGCCACAGGGAATTTGTTCCCTGCGAACAATCCACCATTTTTCCCCAATACTAGACTTTCGATCCTGTTTAATTTGTTCCGCAGCTGTAAGCTTTTGAACGACGCTGTGATGCAGTGCCCTGATGAAGACCTTTGGTACATTACATTCTACACAACTGCCAAAGTCTGTCGAACGCTATCATGCCTCTCCAACGCTGGGAAAATAGTCACGGAGATCTCTAGAGATGCCGGATTTAGTTCAAGTGGTCCATATCTTGCGGACTATGTCTTCCAGGTATATGATGCTTCTGCTATCGAACGGGCTGCTGATCTAAGAGGGGAGGCTAAGCGATTGCGGGCGAAGTTCAGAAATTTGTCGCCCTTAGTACAGAACACCAGTGATGAGGCTGATATAATGTTTGGGTTCAGTGAGATGATATGGGCTGTTTCCACCGCGTATGAACAGTCTCGGGGTGTAGAAGCAGGTCCACTCACTTTCTCCATCATTAGTGACGAACAGTACACTTCTCCCGAGGCAGGTAGTTCCAGTGGTTATTTGTCGAGCACTGGATCTGGAAATGTTCATCTGGGCACGGCATTAGACTTTGAAGCTATTGAGGATGGTACTTGGGAGGAGTTATTAGCTAGGATTACTACGACAGCTGAGTAGATACAACCACATTGTTAGCCACAATTAGATGCTTTAGATAAATTCAACGATAGTAACTTCCAACTTGTCTTAAATCCTTCTAGATGCTGTAGTCATAAGTTGTCAAGTTGCATCATTGTACCTCCGAGAATTTAGTCATGCATGCTGACAGCAGCAAGCCACTCCTTGCTTTCATATCGATGATTGGTTATAACCTGTTCCCAACGGCAGACCGGAATTTCCGTCTAAGTCAAGTACAATTACATGCATTAATAAACAAATCGAGTAGCTACTGCGATAGACAGCATAAAAGGCTTCCAATTTCTCGAACAAACGTATATAGCTTCCAAAACTAAAGACATCAAACTTCTCATTCCTAGCACAAACCCAATAATTCAACCCTTCATAATGCCTCCCCCCAAAGGGACCCCGAACCCATTGGAAGGCCCTGGTCAGCACACCACTTTCTATACTCATGCACACCACTAACCGGTACAGGTGACTACGACGTGACCTCGGTCGTACACTCTGACACCTATCCAGCCATCGACCCAACCAAGTTCAACCTGCAGGGCAAGACGATCCTGGTCACAGGGTCATCTCGAGGCTTTGGCCGAGCTATGTGCGTAGCCTTTGCTCGGGCCGGTGCTGCCCATATTGTTCTCGCATCCAGGTCTGACATGTCCACCACCGCCGACGCCATCAGGGCTGCAGCAAAGGAGATGGGACACCCAGACCCTGATGTCCTCAGCGTCAAAACCGACGTCGGCGTCCCAGAGAGTGTCGATGCCTTGGCGGAAAAGGTCAGCGAGACGTTCGGTTCATTGAATGTTGTGATCAACAACGCAGCTTTTATGAAGATAGGCTCTATCGCCGAGTCTGATCCTGCCGATTGGTTACAGACCATTACTGCGAATGTCTTTGGACCCTATCTTGTGGCACGGGCCTTGGCTCCTTTGCTCCTCAAGGCAGAGACCAAGACCATCATCAACATTACCAGCGTCGGAGCCCATCTTGTGTCGCACAGTCTCAGCGCGTATCAGACCTCTAAGCTGGCAATCGTCAGACTAACGGAGTTTATCGCCTTGGAGTATGGGGACAAAGGCATCGTCTCCTACTGTGTTCATCCCGGTAATTCGCCCTCAGAGATGTTGGGTGGTATTAAAGGGGTCCCAGAGCCGATGAAACCAGGTTTGTCATAATGTCCTTCTCCTCACTGTTACCCTGGCTGAATGTCCTCCAGCGTTCGTTGACACCCCCGAACTATGTGCCAACTCTTTAGTGTTTCTTGCGTCGGAGAGACGAACGTGGCTGGCAGGTCGCTATATCAATGTTACTTGGGATCTCCCTGAGCTCATGTCCAAGGGGGAGGAGATTGTACAGGGCGACAAGCTTAAAGTGCGTCTTGTCTTTTAGGCTGAAGCTTTTAAAGTCAAGTAATCTAGTTCATATTCCATTCACATTCAACAAAAGTGGCCATTCAGGCTATTTCCAAGTTCAGTTCATATTGAGTATGTATTAAGTATTGTGGAGATTGTTCACTGCTCTATAGTCTAGTCTGGGTATTAAGTGTGCGATTGCTCATTACTCGCTCGTTACTCTATCACTTCATTTCTTCATTCATGCTTCTCCTCCGCAGGGGCTTGGGGTTGTGTCTGGTCCAAGCACCTCTTCCTCACGCCGAAGAAAGCTGTGACATGTCCAACAATGAACCAAGCGAACAGAATAGGCAAGCCAATATGTAGAGAGTTTCCACATCCAGACCAAACTTGAATCAACACAATCCACAGTGAATGAGCAGGGAATATGTATCCAATTCGGTAGAAGCCCGCTGTAAGCTCAAAGGGGAACACAACAGAGGCCACGTTGACCATGAACCATGTGAGCAGGAAAAAGGGAGTGAGGGGCATCGGCACATAGCTCCCTATAGTGGTCTCGAGGACCTGGAAGTTGACGTCCATGAAAAGCCAGAATGTCAACCAGGTCAATGCCCAGTCTGCACCAGATACGGCCCAGTCCTCGCGGAAAGCCCAGATGTATCCGGTGACCACCATGGCAAACAGCATGGAAAAGATCTTGCCGTTGATGAAGCGCATGACCCAAACGTCGCGGACACGCATGCTCTTGTGAAGACCAAACTTGTCGTAGATACCGTTCATGGCAAGGACGTAGAAGAATTGTCCAAGGATGGCCATGACAATGTTGATGGTGTTGTAAAGGTTTCGTGATCCTTGGTTGGTGGGTCGGATGATATCGGGAGTACCTGTAATGGGGTTGAGGTAGGCCTCGACAGCAGCTGGGTCACTGCTGTTGACATTGCGCAGAGCAGAGCGGCCCTCCTGGGTCTGGTAGTAGCCACCGCGAGATGCGCCGATGATAGCATTGATGTTGGGAGCCAGGAAGCCAGAAGCGACGGTGGGGTATCTTGCACCGTTGTAGATGTAGGTGATGCTGTCGGCAGGGTTGTAGTTCTCGGCAGCAGAGCCTCCCTCGTACGCAGCAGCGAGCCGGTCTGAGGCATCCTTGTTGATGTAGAGAGCACCCCAGTAATCAGCCTTGCAGACACTACGCTTGACATCTGAAGTCTCGGGGTATTCGTCGGCCGATCGGAACTCGAAGGTTGGGAAAGTCTTGGCTTGCAGGGACTTGTAGGCGTTGGCGACGGACTCTCCAACCGCACCACCATCGTAGTCGACAACTAGGATCTTCAGGGCAGAGACTCTTTCGTTCGTCTTGAAGGTGGAGCCGAAAAGATATGAGAGGTCGGCGAGGAAGATGACGAGAATAGCCACCATGACTCCTGTGAGGATCTTGATGACCATCGATGTAGGGCCACGCATTTCGGGAGCCCTTGAGCTTTGTCGCTCCATGTTGGCCATGACAGGCTCATCGTCGTGTAATGTGGGCGCCGGTGAGGGCGAGCGTTGGTTTTCTTCGTCCATGGCGGCCATGGCGAATTTGTTTTGTTGGATGAGTGTGAGTTAGAGAGTTAAAAGTGGAAATGAGGTGATGTTGGATCTTCAGGGACCTGAGGTCTTTAAGAAGTAATGAAGAGAACCACAATTGATAGGGAATAGTTAGTTAGTTAATTAATTAAGCCGAGCCTAGAGAAAACGTGGGACTCATTTAGTTTAAATAAAATCGACCCATCGTGGTGCGTTCCTGTTTCAATAGCGCTCCTATACTTAGCACGCATGGACTTTTCTGTGCCTGGATCGGTATTCGCAGCAAGTCCGAAGAGCGATTCTAGAAAAGTCGCCGATTAGTCACTGGGACACTGCGGACATTACTCGCATTCGCGTCGCGAATACTGGTGGTTCAAGGCCGAGATGTCGCTAAACCCACTAAAGTCCACTAAAGACCATTAAAACTCGGGTAGATTAGGCAGATCAGGCTGCCCTATCTTATCTCTTGGCTCCTGTGCCAGGTTTTGGCTCCACGCATAAGAAACATGCTTAAAAATCCCACTCAAAAAAGCGAATCCTTTCGGTCATTTGCAAACGCCGTCGCGTGAAAAGACCGGTCGGCGTCCGCACACTTTACCAGACCGAGATTTGTTGATCTCGGAAATCCTGTCAGATCGTCACTGCGCAATGCATTACCCGCACATTTATTGCCATCGCATCCTTTTTCTCTTAATTCGACAAGGGTAATTTCTTTTCAAGCCATAATTGCACATTTCAAGATTTTGGTGTTTTTCAGCTTTATGCCGATCACAACGGTCACCCAATATTCCGTACTTTTGCACCAATGATCAGCCCATTACCGCCACTACTGTACATTCGTGCAACAATGAATATTACTCTGGTAACACAAATAATGGCAACTTTGCTGCAAGTGCCATACTATGACGAAGACGTGTAACTTGATAAACATGATGTGTCAGCCTTTGTAGAAATTGACGTCAATTATACGAACAATCAAGACATCCTCTCTTCCCTTCAATGTCTCATGCTACTTGTACTACCTTTGATGCTTTGTCAGCAAGCGAATCGGTGAGATGGCCGAGTTGGTTATGGCGCCAGGTTAAGGTTAACCTTAACACCAATTTCCTGGTGGAGCAATCCTCCTGGGTTCGAGTCCCAGTCTCATCAAGATGTCTTTTTGACTAATTGTCTATAATTATCATTTTTTTGCCTTTCTCCCCGACTTGGACCTTCCTATATACCCCACATTACCATGATTTCATGAAACAGTTTCACCTACTGCACTGGCGCGACACAGCTCTTGCTGTGCTATTCAAGAATAGGCAGTGGGCGCTCTCCTCTACTGAACCTCCAACTGTTGGAACACCGAACCAGCTCCTTACACTCTCCAGTAATATGTGACCATTTCTTCCAAAAGCTCAAGGTCATCTCCCAGCTCTCCTTAAGGTGTGGCTCACCCCATAAGATCAGCCCAAACTCTTCCCTCGAACGATACTGATCCTCCGCCTGGGTGGACGATAACACACTCGCCTGTGGTATCGCGGGCGGTACGACGTGAACATAATCACCCACTAGATCCTCCAGAAGCTCAACGTGATTGAATGTAAGTTGTTTTCTAATCAGATTGTCCCGAAGATCTGGGAATGGAAGTACGTCCATCCAGCTGGGATGAGGCGAGTTCATCTGGAGCTGAGTTGGCTTGAGGGAATGTGGTAGTGGTAAATGTTGTTCAAGGGGACGAACTACGCCGATCTCACAGGAGGTCAACGTCCCGATCCGCAATACTGGAAAGTCTACCGCCATGATGAAATTGGCAAATAATCCCATCATCATCTTATTGGCCCCGAAGCCTCGGCACACATTGTAGCATATGAGGTGAATAAGGCTGTGGTTGGCGGATATGGACAGACTCGCGATACAATTCGCTTCCTGTGAGTCGGTACTGTCCTGATCATCGATAGAGAGCTCGGTACAGGACTGGCTCGACTTCGTTGCGGCACTGGTGGCAGCAATCGCGCCAAGCCTCCAACGATCGATCCGATAAGGTCGTTTACCAATCTCAAGACTCTTCTCTTCACCAGCCTTGATGCGTTCCCCTACCAAAATGGTCAGTACCGTCTCACATCGGTAGGATGCAAGAACATTTACGCCGTGCTCTCTGGTTCAATCGGTTCTGAAGCCGTTTCCGTTCTCGCCGGTCTTGGGCGCTAGCCTCTTGTTGAGTGGTTCTCATCTGATATCTCATTGAATTGTCCCTAGTTCAACAAAAAAGTATACTTTGGTAGAAGTCAAGATCAGGAGAAACCCGTCATCCATGGGACGGTGGTAGATATAGAGGTCAATCCTAAAAGGGTAAAACATGTCAGCCGGCTGACAAACGCTTCAGTCGGTTGACTGCCAACTCCGACGCTATACCCCAATAGGCAATTACTGTCATCTACATTGTCTCATTAAGTTTCGGTTACTTACTGATCAGGAAATACTGACGGGTTGCCTTTTGATAAACATGTCCCGTAATACTAAGGAGATACACACTATGTCGTCAATACATAAAGTGTAGTCCATTGACTTGGTCCTTGGAAAGCAGCCACAATGGGTATATAAGTTAATTCCAGCTGTAGTTCAAGCATTCAAATTATCATCAGCATCAAACTCTTCTCAATCCCAGACCCCAACATTTTCATACCACGCACTACGATTCACTTTCCGCCATGTCTCGATACGCATCAGCTCATGAGAATCCCCAAGGCCCTGGTGACTCTAGACCTACTGCTCTACAAATCATCAAAGATGAACATGCAGAGGGCACTCTCAGAGACAAAATCATTGTCATTACCGGCATTTCATCCGGAATTGGCGTCGAGACTGTCCGCGCTCTTTCAGAAACTGGAGCGAGGTTCTTCTTAACAGCAAGAGACCTCAAGAAGGCACAGAAGGCATTGGAGGGATTCTTTGACGCCGACCGTATGGAGCTTGTGGAAATGGATCAGACTTCTTTTGAAAGTATCAGTGCTGCGGCCAAGCATATTCTGAACAGGACGGACAAGGTCAATATCCTTATCGAAAACGCAGGAGTTATGTCTGTCCCAAACCTTGAGCTCACTAAGGACGGTCATGAGATGCAGTTTGGAACCAACTATCTATCTCACTTCCTGTTCTTCCAACTGCTCAAACCAGCATTGCTCGCAGCCGTTACTCCAGAGCTCAACTCGCGAGTAGTCGTTCTTGCTTCGTCAGCCCATCATAACGGCGGTATCAACGAGTCCGACAACTACAACTATCAGAAAGGAGGCTACGATCCTCTCCGTGCCTACGCTCAGTCCAAGACGGCAGATATATATTTGGCGAACGAGATAGAGCGCCAGTATGGCGGTCAAGGTCTGCACGCGACCAGTGTTCATCCTGGAGGCATCATGACTGAGCTGGCAAGACATCTGCCTGTCTCGCAGGTACAAGCTATTATCAGCAACGACATAGCCAAGAGCTTACTCAAGAATCCTGAGCAGGGAGCTGCGACGACTGTGTGGGCTGCTATCGGGAAGCAGTGGGAGAATGTTGGAGGAAGATATCTGGCAGATTGTGAGGAGGCGCCGGTCAGTGAAAACCCCAACTCTCATTTTGGCAAAGGTTATGTAGCACATGCATATGACCCGGAGCTTGAGGCTCGGCTTTGGAAAGACTCACTCAAGATTGTGGGGCTCGAGTGAGGGCATTCTAGTAACACCAGTTATACGGAGTAGACATGTGCTTTTGAATATTGAATATTTGGTTGCAATTTGTTACTAAGCTTGGTCTTTGTGATGCGTCTTTGAAGTGGTGACATATGATCGTATTACGTATTGCCATAGTAACAATGCCAGGGTTACCGCTAGGGACCGTTGTATCTGTGCACAGTACGATATGTGGGACAAAAGGCGGCCCAGGGATCGCGTTAGTTATGTCTTACTTGTCATGCACGCTTGTGAGGTTGGATAATAATTGAGTAAAAAGTCAGGTCAGCCAGCCACAGTTAATCATTGTCTTTTCAGCTTTCGCACTAATTGATCCCTGGCGGGCCAGGAAACCAGATAATTGCTGACAGGTACTGTGGTTGCTCGCCTGTAAAAAGGCGGTGTTCACACAGAGAATTGCATGGACTGACTTCAGCTGTCAGCGCTGAGCCCTGCACGTTACCGCTAGTCTCGAAATTGTTCCTATCACACACAGCGTGGTTGAGGGCCTCTCAGCTATCTGCGTATTGAGGATTTGTTTCCCGACCGTGCAGGGCTACCTTGTTTGTTTTTGTGAAAGAATGCAGAGACGGGAGGTTGGTGTCTTATCCAGGCCTGAGACATGGCACGGCTGCACTATTACGATCGGCATCGGGGATTTTTAGGCTCTCAGCTCGACCCTTCACCTATCTATAATCCTCTATACTTGCAACCCGTCGCAAGAGTTATAGCACTATGAAAACGTAGGAAAATAAAGGAAATACTGTAAGTCCCTTGCTATGAGCTGTGGATTTGGACACTTCTATCCAGTCACTGCCTCAATTGCCGACATTCCTGCACTAGGCCGTCGAATCCTTGCACCAGACTGAGGGGTGCGTGAGACATTGTACGCACTTCGGATGAGCCGTCTGAGGCTGCCCGAGTAACGGCGGAGACATGCAGATCTCACCACACTTATTAGAGACACAACATACAGAGCGCATATAGACTTTGATAGAGTCTTGGCCTATTCACGGCTTATTATATAAAGAATTGACCACGCCTGCAATTACGAGAAAACAGTCTATCACTTTCTTCCTCATCCGTGCAACATCTCACCTTCAAAATGCTCCTCTCATTCGTTCTCTCGTCGCTGCTGTACCTCTCCACAGTCTCGGCTCTGCCCAATCCAAACTTGGCTGAGCGAGCGGCTTGTGACTGTTCTGGCACCCGCGATGGTGGTCGCAGCTCCAAAGATTACATCTGCCGCGATGCTCGACTAGGACCTACCAAGCTTCCAAGGAAACTACCCTTGAGCACATTCGTCGAAAGCTACAACCGCTTCGGAGGTCTCACGCCCATTCAATTCCTCCAGACATGGACCGATGAGAAAGGAAGCTATAAGTATCCGCCTCAAAATGGCTTCCAGCTTGATGAACATGGAAATGCCATCAATGGAAGCATGGTCCTTCAAGTCGGGACCCTTGTTGATCGATTTGGAAGTGAATACGGTAAGAGAACAATTCACCTTGCTATCCCAGTTTGTCTAACTCAATATCAGGATCTTTCATCTCTGCTGCTTCCGCACCCTACTCGCAAAGAGCTCTCCCACCTTCAAACTTGGCTACAAACCCTGATACTCCAGACTTTCCCTACAACTACCACGTCTACCGGGTCATCAAGCCACTGACAGTCGTGGGAGGACCCATTGCGCCTTGGTTCGGTCAGCCTGGGCTTGGAGCACAGTTTTTCACAGGCGATGTTGGCAATGTCAAGTTTCTGATTGAACAAAATTATTTGCAGAAAGAGGATCCGGCGGCTCTTGTATATAAATCTAATGGTTGCGCATGATTTCAGCGGGTGACTTTGGGATAATGACCTCACGAAGACCGGTTTAGGGATATCTGTCAGTCAATCTGGATATAGTATGTTAACTTGGAAGTATTATGAATCATTACGATGGAACAACGTTTTAGTAGTCTTATCTGTTCTCGGAAGCATTTTGTCAAACCTCATTAGAACTGACGCTTGATACTCTTGGACTTTTTCCGCGTGGTTAGATCGGGGCTAGTTACACTGGCCATGTGTCTTTACCTTTGCCCACCAACTGTAGAAGAGCCCAGTTGTTTCTTCTGATGCATCTGGGTCATATTTCTTTGTTGTTAGAATTACATGAGATTTGCATATTGACCCACAAGCACAAAGGACCGATCAAAAGTACATTCGTCTCTCCTATTCACATGTCAAGATATCGAGTTTCTCTGCCAAGCTCCGGGGGAACGAAACAAGTAGGCTGTGTTCGTGGTAATTGTGGGCTTATATTGCTGAAAGACGCTTGGCTGTTTTCGAAGCCGTTGCGACTGTAATCGATACAATGTCCACCGTGGAAACTCTAGTTCTCATTTTGGGCAATACAGCCAGCCGCAAGCTCTTGTAGCATTCCGTACCTCTTGCTAGACTGCGTGAGATTAGACCAGATGTCTACATCGCATCGAATATGGAAGAAAGTTCACTATCAAAATCTTGATTCTGAGTGTGCTCGATCTCTTATTACTTAGACAAAGCTTCTTCGTAAGTTGGTTTACATGCATGAGCCAGATCAGGTACAGCTGCAGAAAGCACTGCGTGCCAGTCTTGATATACCTCGATAGGCTTTCATCATAGTACAAGCCGGTTGATAGCAGCTCATTGTGGGGTTTTAACTTTCAACAACCTTTCTTGGATTCAACAACAACGGATTGTGGAGTGCCTTGAGATTTCATTTAAAGATGTGGATAGGTCCGGCACAGGTGAGAATATCGCAGAAGCATTCGTGGAGAAATTGAATAAACGGTTCATTTTAAAAGATTATCCGCTTGGAAGCGGGTTGTTCGCACGTGGCCATCTGATGAACAATTGAACGCTAATGTACTGTGTACTGTCTTGATTGTAAAACTTGGAATCAATCAATTATTTCTTTTAGTCGGTTGTGGTTTATACTCCCATGCAAGGTTGCAGTTGCTGGCGGGCTTTCGTCGGTAATGATATTTCGCTTGATGTAACCGAGATGACGAAGTCTCGATTCTCCCAGCCACCGAATTTCACAAGCACAAATACCTGAAGTTAGTGTATTATTCTGCCAGCCTCGCCTCTTTCACCGCCTGGAAAGCTACTATAAAATTCTCGCTGAGTCCTCCCAAGCTACGCTTTCTTCTTTCCTTTCCTCTTTAGCTCTCTTTGCCTTTTGGCTTAGATCAAGTGTAGTATCTGTTCTTTTCAGTTTAATCTCTGAAAGGTCTCTAAGGAGACCAACATTGATTATTCCTATTTTTGGTCCTCGGGCGATTTCCTCTGTGCTTGCACATGATCCCGCCCACTGTGTCCCTAGTATTACACTGCCTCTAGGTGACGCGAACGCGCACTTGTCGAGCTCAACCTTTTCATTGCTTTCTCGGGCTAGACCCGGGTTGTGAAGAAGAGTAAGGATTAATGATGGATATCTCGCAGTGTGTTAATACTTAATGTGGGTATAATGTCTCGTCATATTCTTGGATCAAAATGATGGTCTTGATGATGTCTACGATGTGAAAATTTAATCAAACCCACTGTTATATCCACTGCTCGGGCTAAATATGAAAGCCCCACAAGTCAAGACGAATCTTTTTGAGGGAACAAACCAGGACTCATGATTGGAGCTCAAGGCAGCCTGTTCATAGCTGAGATCCTGCTTCAGGGCGAGAGGCAAATGGTGATTTGTGTTTCCACCACATTCCGGAGTACTGCTGTTTAGACAGATGTATGCAACATACCTAATGTATCTATTGCTCGAAAAGAGTGCCCGTTATGGCGTCAGCTTACTGGACATGGATGTGCCATTGTCAAACGCTCCTCTTCAAATTCAAAGTCAAGCATCATTAATGGTTGCCAACACAAAAAGAAGCCCACTTCAGAACCGCAAAGCACCTACGCAAAGACACCCTATACGTTTCAATTAGAGTACGTCACAAATTATACAGACAACCTATTCAGTTTGCATACTCATTGATGGCTTGTTTGCGCAGTTCTGGCAAATCTATAGGGTAGTATCCGCAGTCAACACAGCGTCGCGAAGGATCAGCAACTGAATCGCAAAGTGGAGAGAGTGATCATGTTGTCCGCACGGATACTTCCGCGCACCTACCGGGGTATGTGAAATTTCTTCCAAGTCCACCACAGCTGTCAAAAATTGACAAAAATTGTAAAAAACATACAACAGCGGGGATTCGCTGGTCGTCACCGACCCAACTACTAATCCGCCGGTTAGTGGCTTGACTATGGGAGAGCGGACGGGATCCCGTATTTTCCACTACCTTTGGTCGTATGTACTTATAAGAGACAAAAGTCTGGTATATATTAATAGCGCTGTTCAACCTGATTAGAGTTTGTCAGCCCCAATAACTACCCATCTTTATGAGCATGAAGGTGAAGTATCTGGTTGATATGTTGATGGCCGTGTGGATTTAGACTTGCATGCATGAATTAGAAACTCCATTCAGTCGTACTAACTCTGTAGCCGGAACAACAATCGGATGGCTCACTACCACCTTGCCTGGCCAATGTAGGTATGCCATCACTACCCGTTAGGCTATCTGCAGTCCATTCAAGCAACCAGAAGAAGAAAAGAGAAAGAAATGCAAATATTGTCGGGCCGCGTAACCTTGAAACAGGAAGACAGGAGAACTATTCCGACTTGACCATAGCTTATGCCCACAGCGATGCAATGGTACAGTGACATCTGGTCCATGCACGACTCTCGAGATCGATTCAATACCACCCACGTGTGCTGTTTTTTGAAGCCTCTTCCGTGAATATCCCAACGAGGAAGGAAAATGAGATCGAAAAGTCTTGGTGTCATCTTTTCTGAGTTCTAGCCGAATGAGTCTAATCCTCGTCGGTAGAGCCGTGCCACAAAGTTCGTCTTGTCTCCAAGTATTGTATTGGCTCATACTGCATTACGATTCATGCAATCGACCACTCGCTTGGAATTAAGTTTAGGGCCAGCCTGCTACGAGATCGACAGGAGTTAAGGCGGGGACATCCGCCTCGATTAATTAATCGTAAAGCCGTGAAACCTCCCGATTCAAATGCGATATTTCCACGAATAAGAGTTGTTTGATCATTTCATGCAAAGTTTGGTTTGCGAAAAATCAAGATGTAGTTCAATCTACCTGCGGCGGGCTATGGATCGCACAGTGTACCCCATGTTGTTTCAAGATGCCAAGACGTTGCTTTTATATTGACGGCAAATCGGGCTCCAGTGCCGGATTTCCCTGGTCACGACTCGTTCCTGAAACATGACACAGCGAATCGACAGCCGGCACTTCTGTCCGATGACCGAAAACGCTCCGGCCCTGGGAGGTCCATCTGACTGGTTCAACTACAGCCCGAGAATGCTGACAGGCGATACGCTGCCTGGCTGGGACCAAAGACGACAAACGCTTGGCGGCTGCATGAGGAGACACCCTTTAATATCCGTCTTGTCTATGTGGCATCGATGACGATCGCACCTCTCTTTGGGAAATACGGATGCTGCATCTCCTTGCTCGAAAGGGCACGAATTCGTCCAGTTCCAGTTCTTTTCTCCGTCGACGAAAAGGGTCACCTTGTTTTGTGTATAGACTCACATCAAAACGAAGGCTCCATACAGATGTGACTATGTTAGATATATAAACCATCTTAGAGACTGCTCAGGTCGATATCAAAACAGCCTTTCAAACAAGCTTCTCTTCCATTCTTACCAACCGACCTTGCCCAACAAAGTCTTCTTGTCCATAATCCGGCCTCCAAAACCACAATCATGCACTGCAACACTCTCTCCCTTGGCCTCGTTGCCTTCCTCGCCGGATCCGTCAATGCTCACGGCCACGTCAAGACTATTGTCGCTGGCGGCAAGGAGTACACCGGTGGTCTTCCTCACAGTGCTCCCGCTGACGCTGTCGGTTGGGCTGCTGGCAACCAGGACAACGGCTTCGTTGCTCCTGATGCCTTCAGTACTGCCGATATCATCTGCCATAAGAGCGCCAAGCCCGTCGCAAACGCCGTCTCCGTTGCCGCCGGTGATGTTGTCACCCTGAAGTGGGACACCTGGCCCGATTCCCACCACGGCCCCGTCACTGAGTACCTCGCCCCAGTCAGCGGCGACTTCGCCAGCATCAACAAGAGCGGCCTCAAGTGGACCAAGATCGCTGAGAAGGGTCTGAAGTCTGGCAGCAACCCCGGTGACTGGGCCTCCGACGACCTCATCCGTGATGGCTTCGCCTGGAAGTTCACCGTCCCCAAGAACCTCAAGGCTGGTAACTACGTTCTCCGCCACGAGATCATTGGCCTCCACTCCGCCGGCCAGGCCAACGGTGCCCAGGCTTACCCTCAGTGCATCAACCTCAAGGTCACTGGAAGCGGCTCCAAGGCCCTCAACGGTGGCGACTTCACCAAGTTCTACACTCCCACCGACCCCGGTATCCTTTTCAACCTCTACCAACAGTTCTCCTCTTACGATATCCCCGGCCCCGATGTCGAGTCTATCTAAGACACTTTCGAGGTGGCACAGACAAGTGGTTTCAAGCACTAAGCCGAGCTTAGGACCAAGAAGCTGAGTAACGGGCATGCCCTGGGCTTCGATATTCATCGGTTGCCGCTAGTCGGTTCATTTTTTATAAAACGCAGCAGAGCTGTGTTATTCATGTATCTACTCTTTTATGAATCGTACAAAGTCACGCAAAGACCCCTAAAGTCTCTTATTAACGAACATTTGCATTATCACACCATATGTCCCTTGAATGATATCAATGAGTGACCGCCACCAGGTCCTGTAGTGTTTTATATGTCAGACCTTCCCGGTGCGCTCAGCACATCTGCTGATAGATTCTATTTCAGGCTAATTACAAGGATCAATGCCAGCGTGTAATATCTTAAAGCCTATGCATATGCAGTGTAACACCGTGGACCATATTACAGTTGCAATAGAGTCAGCAAGGTGTTGGGGACGAGCTAGCTTGTGAAGTCAGCCGACCATCCGGTTAAAGTATGTAACCCAAGTGGCAATGCAATCTCGAATCGGGAAGGCCAACCGAGAACACGCTTGGTAAAGTTCGGGCATATTCCCGCCCACCGCTGATGTAGGTTTTGAGAGCTTAATGTGAGTTGTACTAGCTATTTGATGTTTGATTTTATCTGGGACAGAGTCAACTTATCACACTTTCAGCAACACTCATTGGCAGAAGGTAATAAGACCCGCCTGCAATACAGCCATAATTGGGAAACAACGCATAGGTAACGCCATATGGGAGAGGCATCCCGCAATTTGGACCACTGGGGTCCCTCGTGGCAGTGTAGACAACATCGGCGGTCTCGGCCATATGCTGTCACGTTTACGAAAGATCCGCTATGGGAGGTGTTTTCACTAATCAGGCGTCCAATAATCAGCTATGAGCTGCTCATCACGACGAGCTAAGTGTAGTCAGTAAAGAGATAAGAATCTTCGAGTCGGACTTAGCAGAACCACACTAAGCAAGTTCCAACTCCACGTCGATACACTATCGAGATAGGAACAGAGTTGACAAAAATGGTTTCGTTTTCTTTTCCGATATCCTTTCTGTACGTATGCATCAAAGTGTCTGGGGACATGTGAGCTTGAACATGTAATCTGATACACCCATCTTCCTGCACGGTTCAGTCTTGCCACGGGCTGGGAACTATGCCTTGTTACTATACTTCTCAAGTTATCAGTTGCTTGCGACGGCTATACCTTGGAAGGGCCATTCGTGAGTAGAACTGCGACCAATACTTAAGGTATCGTCTGCAAGTTGACGAGTATGACTGTTAGCCCTGGAGTTTAACTTTCCTAGTTTATAAGTTCTTGTGGAACTCTTCACCTTGTTCGCGCCCCGTCAAAATACATCCTGTGTTGGCTACGGAGAAAATCGAACATGACATCTATGAAACCTTAACCTTACAAGTCCAATACGTCCAGCGAGGAGTGGTCAAGTGTTGTTTTTCCTAAAACCTATAAACTTTCTAAAATCCGAGCCTAGAAACCTGAAAATCTTACCCTACTCACCACTACTCGACTTATTGGAAGTCCTGAGTTCGAAAAGGGCAATATAAGTTATGCTTTCCTTTTGTGAAGCCGGAACTCGGTGTATCTGATGCATTCAAATGACTCGTCCCATGGGCCGCACTTCCACCCAGCATAACCGGTATGTAAACAGACTATCACACTACGTCGTCTCGTGATTCACAACTATTAAAGCCAGACTCTATGCTGCAGAAAGTGCCCAATAAGGCTTTCAAGTACCACTTGCTCCATAGCGGAGAATGTGATCACATCTCTCTAATTCTGAGCACGGCGGTCGACAAGGGGGCTACCGGAGCACTGTTGACAGAACGTGAAATTTTGCCTTTGCTAGAACGCATGCATATGATCGTAAGATGGTCTATTGATTAATTGCGCTAATTTAGAAGGATGACTTTCGAAGTTGGTTGCTCTGCAATGACCCCGCGACCTTCGCCTGCTGTAGCTCCCGCAGCTCTATGGGATTTTCGTCGCTATAGGTGCTTATACGTTCGTGGTGCACTCTGACCTCCTCGGTCTTCATAACACCATGTGAGCTCACAGACGCCTTGCCGTGGCTCACGCTCCCATCGGAATCTTGGAGAGCTTCTTGCGACTCCTGCCAGCCATTTGTTGACATAATGACAATAGAGTTGCGTCCGTATCTCGAGTTCGGGCCGTATCGCTTCGCCGCGGTATGTCTCGTATCGATGTCCTGAGGAGTCGTGTTGGTCTTGTTGCGATTGTAACTTCTTGAGCTTAACTTGAGTTCATGGTACAACATCCTCCTATTTTGTGTTAGTGTTGTGATCGATCGTATTTGCTAGGGCAGACATAGCACTTACAGGACAGGGATACAGATAGCCATGATGGAGGCGGCGGGTTCCGTCAATGTCCAGATTGTTAGGTCGACTCGGTCGTAAGTGATATCGTCACTCTTCATGCTGACGACCAACACAGACTTGACGATGCCAGTGATACCAGCACTATATTCCATGTTAGTCAGTCCAAAATCTCAAGAACGTCAAAGAAAATTGAAACTTACATAGCACCCAGACTCATAGCAACGGCAACTCCAAGTCGTTCTCGTCGTCGCATTGTCATACGCATGAGAATCATCCACGGAAGTAATGCAAGCACAAAGTCGAGAATAGCCGAGTAATCTGAGAGAGTTAGCCGCACGATCTATCGCCTTGATTGCCTGTCCTTCAAAAACGTACAAGCGGCAAAAAGTTGGTAGGTAAGAAGCTTTTTTGGATCCCAGCAGGTTCCCTCCACCTTCTTGTCGAACACTCTCGCAAGAGGTGAACACTTGGCCAGACCGAAAATCCAGACCAAGTTCATGGTGACATTGATGGTGACGATAACGAAGACGAGAAAGTATCGCATCCACGCATTGGTAGAGATTCGGTGCAAGGTGATGGCGAAGGAAGTTTTGCTGATCGAAGTTGCTAAGATTCCGAATGCCGCTCCGACGATAGTGTTGAGGTTGATAAGTTTGAGGTTCTCTTCGCTGATGGTCTTCGCGTGCCGTCCAAAGCCTAGAGAGACGGTATATGTGTTGATGGAGACTGCAATCGCAAGGCACACCTACACAGAAAACACACCCAACGGTTAGAGCCAATACTCGGAAAGTCAGATTGATTAACGTACCCAAGATACAATAAGACACCAATCATCGTGCCACAAACCTTTGCCCCGCCATAACTTGCAGTAAACACGCAGGAACAGCAAGACAAGACTCAGGAGGGCCAAAGTCCATATACAGGCCAACAGCCTTGTGCCTCTTTCATCGCTCATATCTGGTATTTAAAAAGAACGACGAGTCAAGGAACGAAAAAGCAATGAGGCTTGAAGATCATCGATCTCTATGCACGGCGTAAGACAAGAATTTCGCCGATCCCAGCAAAAACATCTCAAACCCCAGCAGAGTGGCCCACGAGGAATTATATATTACGGTTGTATCGACCCTCAGCAACTCCCCCTCGTCTATCTTAGTGGCAAGTATGGAGCGGAGCAACATTGGATCAAAGGCTCCTTGGACTGGGAATCATGCCATCAACGCCTGACAGGGCAAAGATTGGCAGTACCTCCGCAGAATACCTTGTTTGCAGTGGCACTTCTGTTGCAACGCTTTGATCGCGCGCACCCACCGAATCCCCGGGACTTGGGCTGCACTGACGGAGAGAGTCTATGTAGAGAGTTTAGCCTAGGCGAGGCTAGTGGCTGAAGAAGGCCCCTTTTTCCCGCTGACGGATTCGATATTGGTCAATTGACGCTCTGTCACTACCGGGGCTAATCTTGGTTAATTAGCTGATTTGTGGCCACTAAGCACCTTAGTATGGGGTTTGGTGGCTTGTGACGAGTTTACAATTACGAGAAAAGATAATTAGCGACACCCATTAGCATGGCGAAACACTGGACAGTGCCATTAGGGACAATGCATCATCGCACTACCGTGTCGAAGGCTTGGTGTAGCCTCTGGACCTGGAAAACGATACCCTCCACTACTACGTAGACCTGGGGCAACGGAGCCGCGGGAGCTTCCAGCGGCCGACCGGGTGAAGCCTGTCAACATCAAACACGCTGTTAAGGCGAGGAGACCCTTTAACTTGCCCGAAACGACAGACAGGTTCATATGTCGGTAGGTTCATCTGCAGCATGGATGGGCCTTGCATGTTCAGGCACGATCCCACGTGCGCATAATTAATTAAATCGGGAAAAGAAGATGATCGTTACTGCAAATGAATTCTTTGCCAGATAAGAGAAAGTTTCTATGAGCATGGTGCATGGCTGGCTGCATGGATGGATCGGACGAAGACGCGCATGAACCGTGATCTTCGTAGATATTACATGTCAAATAATAGCAGCCGAGCGAGGTTACATGCGGATCAATAATCGAACGATATGCGTGCCGAATGTAACCCCCGAGAAGACACGACTCATCCACCTCGACTAGGATGTTAAATCATCATGGGGAAGAGGAAAAAGAAGCGGGCATATTTGCGGTGCGGGCTGCGGCGACACTTCCAGAGTGTCCACGTCCTCCATAATGATGATCCTCGCCTTGCAGCTGTCTGCGGAGGATTTTCCGGAAGGCGGCTCTTGGCAAGACGGTGGGTGACTGAACTTGCATTAAAATTTCCGCAGTCGTGAGACAGACGAAGGAGTTGAAGGCAGTAGCTTGTCAGTCAACCAAGCGTAAATCCTACAACTCTCCACTACTAACGGCGCATGGAATGGAATGGCTGCCCGCTGGCCTGATGGGACAAGCCACCTAGGTCGCTGTCAGGGGATCATAGCCCCGGAGCCAGCCGATCTGAGTTAAGCGTCAGGGCCTGTACAGTAAAAAGGCACCTATTCCTCCACCTGGTAGAGGCGGAATAGTGTCTGCGCTCCCACTGTCCACCTTTTTAGGGGCACCGCCTCTCACGTCAATATTTAATGTCAACACTTGCAAAATGGACAAAAGGAAGGATGCTTTGATATTAGGACGAGGCTCCATCTTCCAGTCTGTGGCTAGGGCAGGTTCTCTGAATCGTGCCACATGAATGTACACTGTCGTGACTGTCACCGTCCGTCAGTCAACCTTTCTTAAACATGCATGTTTAGTTGATCGTTTCACAACCAATGAAAAGCAGCTTTCTAACCGGGTCTTGGATAGGGGCCTTAACTCGCAAACCTATATACCCACCTTTGTCCAGCTCCCATGACTCTCTCTAATACCTAGTCATATATTCTCTTATATTCCTTTCTCAGCCGCTTTTTTCTTTCTTTCTTTTTAGAGAATGTTGACTGAGGGATGACTAGAGTAGCTGGAATTTATCCGTACACCTGTGTCTTGGCTTGTTAGTGCAGCTTGGTGCGAGTAAGTAGTGTCGTTCAGGCGTTTGATGTCACACTTCCTACCCGTAATTTAGTGAACTGGCCACTTCCTTCAACGGGTCCGCTCACTATTCTTAGCGCGCTTTGTCGGTTTGACCATGCTCCCTAGCACGGCAGCTAATCCGTATATGGCGTCAATCGCGACATGGCATGACCCTTCGATTCTAGAATGCCGCACTCGCCCAACGGCTTTTCCCTCTTAACGCCCCGGGGGATTTTGGTCAGCCGCGCCAACAGCTCGTCAATTTAGTCACGGCCGTAACAGCTACCGCAGTAGTTTATTTTTCCTTTTATTTCCAATGGGTCGATGGAGAATATTCTTTTCGACAGTTCTTTCTAGCGCGCAGCCATCTCAATGACTCGAAATCGCAGAATCATGTGGGGGAGCTGAACACGATCAGCATCCTTCGGACGGCGATACGCAGCATTTGGAAGGGATCGGCAAAGCCAAGCAAGCCGAGCAAAAGCATATTTTCTCGCCGTGGTTAAATGCTTTCGCCGACCCTTTTCCTCACCAGAACCAATAACAGTCCTTAGGCGAAGGACAGGAACTTCTTCGGGTGAACAGTGGGATGGACCACCAGACGGTAATTAAAGCAAGCATTGGCATGCCGGTCATGCTTCTTCGCATGGATACCACGTAGAGAGCCCCCATGTCACGATCCACCAGGGGACTCTGAGGTTCGTTGACTTAAAAGCAGACCTGCCAATGTGATCGGCATTGTCAGCCAGCCACTGATGCAGGTTTGTCTGACACGAGGTGCTTCTTCTTCTTCTCCTTCCTCTTCCTTTCTTCCAGATCTCGTCTAGAAGTAAGCGTGCTGAGTCTGTCACTGCATTGAGCCACAAATCCACAACCATGCATTCAAACACACTAAGCCTTCTCCTGGCTGCCATTGCTGGCTTGACAGTCTCCGAGGCCTCAATTCTTCCGCGTCACGGCCCTGCTGGACCTGCTGGGCATCCCGCTCCTGGCTTCCCTGGTCGTTACCCTCCTCCTGGCCCTCCTCGTCCTCACGGCCCTCGAGACCCTCCATATCCCCCTCCTGGACCTCCTTCTCCCTCTCCTCCCGTTACACCTGTCGGTGTGCCTACAGTTCAGCTGGCCAATGGTACCTATAAGGGTAAGCACAGCGAGGAATTTGACCATGATCTCTTCCTTGGTATGCCCTATGCCCAGCCTCCTGTAGGCTCACTTCGATTCTCCTCGCCCAAGGCCCTCAATGAGGCTTGGAAGGAGCCTCGTAATGCCACTGAGTTTGGTTGGATGTGTATCGGCTATGGATCCGATACCCAAAGCCTCGGCAACCCTGTCAACGAGGACTGCTTGACCATCAACATCGTTCGTCCTTCTGGCGTCAAGTCTGGCGATGAGCTTCCTGTCGGTCTTTGGGTTCACGGTGGTGTAAGTGATATCTTCTGCATATTCTCTCATAAGCACTAACAAAACATCAGAGCTACACCAACGGTGGTTCAAGAGACCCCAGGTACAACCTCAGCTGGATCGTTGACCAGTCTGTCAAGGAGGGCAAGCCCATCATCGCTGCCTCCATCAACTACCGAGTCTCCCAATGGGGATTCCTCTTCAGCGAAGAGATGCAGAAGGAGGGCGCTGGTAACCTCGCTTTCAAGGATCAGCGTATGGCCTTGAAGTGGCTTCACGACAACGTCGCTGCCTTCGGTGGTAGTGCCGACAAGGTCACCGTCTGGGGAGAGTCCGCCGGTGCTCGATCTCTGGGCATGCAACTCGTGGCTTACGATGGCCAGCACGATGATCTTTTCCGCGCTGCCATCCTTGAGTCTGGTAGCCCTGTTGCCCTGTTCGGTGATGCTTCTTCTTGGCAGGGATACTATGACGCTCTTGTCAAGAAGACTGGATGCGACTCTGCCTCCAGCAGCCTGGAGTGCCTTCGTGAGCTTCCTTGGGAGACTCTCAACAATGTCTTCAACAGCACCACTGCCCTCAGCGTTGCCACTCCTCCTCTGACTGCCGTCATCGATGGCGACTTCATGACCGCCCAGGCCTCTCAGCTTCTCCTGGCCGGCAAGTTCGCTCATGTTCCTCTTCTTATGGGTAACAACTTCGACGAGGGAACTGCCTACGGCAAGAAGGGTATCAACACCACTGAGCAGTTCGAGTCTTGGCTATCCAGCCTCGGCCTCAACAAGGCTCAGATCGCCATTGCTACTACACTTTACCCCGACATCCCTGAGGAGGGTATCCCCGCCTCTTTCATCGGCCGACCTCAGAACGAATATGGTCTTCAGTGGAAGCGATCTGCTGCTTTCGCTGGTGACTTCCAGCAGCACGCTGGACGCCGACTCTTGGCCCAGGTCTACTCTGCCTCTGCCATCCCTGTCTTCTCTTACCTCTGGAACAATTATGTCAACGGCATCCCCGCCATCATTGGATCTACTCACTTCCAGGAGGTTGCCTTCGTCTTCAACAATATCAAGGGCGTTGGCTACGCCGCCAACCCGTTCGAGAACAAGCCCGAGACCTTTGTCGAGCTCGCTGACCTCATGAGCAAGATGTGGGTTGCTTTCATGCACGACTTGACCCCCAACAGTGTCAAGACTGCACCCAGCCACGTTGCCTGGCCAGAGTACTCTCTTCTTGAACCCCTAAACATTGTCTTCAATGCCAACAAGACAGACTTGTCTTACACTGCTGTCGACACAGTCCGAAAGGAAGAGGTTGCATTCCTTCTTGATAGCGTTTTTGCGTAGAGCATCGTTGAGAGCATTCCTATAGAATTGGCTTGCCGTAATGTATAATCAGCCGGCGTCCTGTCGTTTTAGGACACAGCCTTGCCCAACAAGAGGGGGTTGACCATCCAGCACCTTAAATAGAAACCTTCATGTACATCTTTGCCAACATATTTCTCGGACTAGCTTAGACCAATGCATCCTTATAGCTCACCTGCACGAGCAGTGATATATCAACTTATTTCTTCCACTTCGTAATGTTCTTAGTCTTGTCAACCCGAGTGACGTGTTTCAAAATCAAACTTGAACTTGGGGGATGCACAAAATTGCCACATATCTTGGAACGACGAGTGCACCTCACAAGTTTGGGTGCAAATTAGTCACTGGGCCAGTGAACACGCTAGGGTTTTTGGGCCACTCTCTAACTTAGCAACTCCCGAAAGAAGGATTCGGAAACTAGATGTGTCAGGTTCTTTGGCAAGCTACTTCTACAAGCGCCGATTCAAACCACTTCAACTCATATTCGCTTATCGCGATAACCGCTTCGCATACCGTTATCATGTCAAGGGCAATGACTCTCAGATTGGAACCTTGAATTTTTGAATGAATTTTAGTGCTGGTAACTGAAGTCTGTCACTGGTGCAGTTTCCTAAGATACCGTTCTGGATAGTTCTTGTATAAGATGGGCAGATTATAAGATAGTCGTATCAGACGCAGAACACAAAGAGATAACATGATGGGTTAACAATTAAGTATTGGTGATATTCTCCTTCGCTGACCTCCTAGGCTAGCCCTTATGTAAAGAAAAGGTTGCTCAGCTCTACAATGCTGAGACTATCTGGCCAAAGTTAGGCGTGTAGCGACTGACTAAATCATAAAAACATACTCAAACACCCCGGTTGTTATCATACACTGACACAAGCATCGCAGTTCTACCAAAGTCTTTCACACAAGCTCCACAAGATATCGCTCCTATGCTTGACACTTCACTTATTCTCGCTTGGTGAAGACGAGTTGGCATTCATCCTATGAGTCAGGCTAGTCAGTACATGCATAATAGAGCGCAAAGTATACAATAAACATACCTGAGGAAATAATGTGGCAAACACTCTGATTTCTTCCGAACGACTTGTCGCGTGATGCACCCAGTCAAGTTCTAAAGATGCCTTGCCGATCATGGCAGCCATTGTAAGGGGTACATACTTTCGAGCCAGGCAGTCATGAGCCCCAGCGCCAAAAACAAGCCAGTTCTTGGTCTTTGACTCTGCATCACCTGTGATCCATCGATCAGGGTCGAAGGTCTCAGGATCCGGGTAGACGTTAGGATCGTGTAGAGCAGGATAGCAGGAGGGCACAATCATAGAGCCCTTGGAAACTGTATAGTTGGGCGTAACGGGGAATGTCTTTGTGGCTTCGTAGGGAACAAAGATGACAGGAGGGCGATAACGGAGGAGTTCTTTGATGACTGCGTTGGTGTAAGGGAGCGATTCGAGCATTGATAGCTCAAATGGTCGCTGCTTGTTGCCATCGCGAGCGACAAGGTTCTCCTCCCGAAGTCGGTCAAGTACATCAGGTCGTTGAGCAAGAATCTGGAATAGCCACGTAGTAGCACTGCTCGAAGCGTCTTGGGCTGCGAACAAAAATGTGAACATGGTTTGCCCAATCTCCACATCCGTAAATTGGCGGATGAGATTTCTCGGCTTCTCAACTCCTTCCTCTCCTGCAGCGATCCTTTCGTTGTATTTCTGGGACTCCATCATGTGCAAGACCCATTGGTCAACAATGCATTGCGGTTCAGCGCCAGTGGCCATATTAGCTTTGCAGGCAGCGGCACACGAAGCGAATTCGGCCAGCACGGCATCTGCTGTACGCTTGCCTCTCCAGCACTTCGTGAAAGGTACGTATACAGACAACGGAACATTGACAAGCTCCAGCGCGGCTGTGACGTTGTAAAAGTCCTCAGCAATCCTCTCGACGGCATCCTGGGAGATATAATCCCCGAAGAAGGTTCGGCAGGAAAGAGCACAGTTAATCTCCCTAAAAGAACGCATGAAAGCCATTGGCTTGCCCTTGTTGGCCTTGCTCGCAGCGACAAATCGACCGAAGTAATCATCGTAGACCTTCTCTTGTACCGGTAAATATGTACTGAGAGCTTTGTTCATGAAGAGGCCGTTGAGTCCTCGACGGAACTCAGCATGTGCTTTTCCCTGGAGGAAGACCCAGGCGCTTGGCCGCATGAGGGTCTCGGCCATGGGAACAATGCATGGTTTGACGAATGTCGGGGACTTGAAGACTTTGTGTGCAATATCACGATCGGAGGCGAGAACCACGAACCTGAATTTGTTTAGTGACAGGGTTTCTTGGGTTTGGGGATGGCGATGCTGACTTGTGAAATACTGATACACAGCTTAGAGGGCCACTCGCCCACTGAGTGAGGTAGGCATCGAACTTGGGATGTAGTGCTTGAATAAAGGGTCCCATGAACGGTATCTTGAGCGCAGGGCCAGCAATTGGACCCTTGCGCCAGATATACATGCATTGGTCGTAGGCAATCAAGATGGCCAAGATAGTGAGGACTATTTGCGTGTTGCTGTAGCCATCGAGATAGCTTGAGAATAGCCCACTATTTTTGGCTAAACTGCCGTTGTCTGTGACGAACGTCGCATTGTTCGGTAAAGGGTCGTGTAAGGTATTGACGACTGAAGCCATGGTGAAGAAACGAGGTGATGGAAACCTTAGGCATAGTAACCCATAATAAGCTTGGGATAACAGAGTTCTTATAGATCTTGGTAGCTACGGGACAATGCTCGGTCCCAGGGGAACGGCTAGCTTGGGACTTAACATCCAGGAATCATCGGCTGGTAGAACAAGAATACGAAGAACGATTCAACATGCAAGCATCACGCCTGATGCAGGGCGTAGGTGGTAGTTAGACCTGCTCAGCCTGACCTTGAATTGCTATGGGCTGATGTTTCACAGATTCAAGATACCCTTTATGTACTAGACTCCGATCTGAAATGTGGGGAGTATGAATGGAGGGTATATAATGCATTGATCATTTAGTTGTCTTTCGTGCGTGCTTCTAGGGGTATTTTGCTTTGAAAAGAGCTGCCCATAACTCCATCTTATCCAGCCGACCGAAGTTCTATAGTACGAACCTGCTCCAGGAGTTCCTTAAGACAGTAAAATCTCATCCTCTTTTCTGGCGGAGTATTATCTGTGCCAAATTCAAATTGCCGTAGTCAGCGGATCTTGGCCATGAACTGACGTCCCTCCTCTTTATTCCCGCTGCAGCATCGCTTGGCTTCGCATCTTAAGACGTTGCGGAGACTAAGCCTAAAAGGGATTAGTCTCCGATCAAAAGTCAGGAACCCGAATACGCGATATTGAATGGATGCGTCGTATGTTTTGTGTGAGCCCATTCTTGGGCTGATTTGGGAGTGCTTATTGATTGAATTGATTGATATTTTCGCCATTTCAGGCCAGAATTGCATCCCACCGTTGCCGGAAAATCTCTGCCCTCTCAGTTTCCAACCAGAGTATGTTCCTCAGATGGGCAATGACATCATCCCACGACTGTAACCCCATAGCATTCGCAGCAATTTTGGCTGCGTATGTGAACCATTGGGCATCTGTTGGATATGTAGCCGAGGCAATCGTGACGGAAAGAACCCAGATCTGCAGTGAGCCGAACAAGACGCTACCAGTTTTGCCAGCCAGGGCGGGAAGCTGAATCTTGAGACGTTGGATGATACTGTTGGCCAGTTCTGTGTGAGTATAGTAAGTTGTGCCGTGGATGATGAGCATGTAAAGCGCCATGGCACAGCGTAGACATTCGGATTGCGGGGAATTCGTAAGCGGAGGGGTAAGAAGGAGCTTATGTACCACGAAACATGTGAGGTCGTGAAGCTCGCTGCCCAGGAAGACCAGGGCGTCTGGTTGATGAAATATACCGCGCAAACGGGTCAATATGTCTGCTATGTCGGGTTCGAGTTGGAGAGCCTGGACGACTGGATCTTGAGTCTCCAGAAAGGTTGCTGCGAGGAGCCACTGTAGCGTGGGAGCCACTCCGTCCCCGATGGCAAGATCGTCTTGTACCGGATACTGGGGAGATCCTGTAACTAATAGCGACACCCTATTAAGGTATATCTCAGTAGAGTCCTAGAGGGTTTGGATAGTGTCACATACCAGGCAATCATCCTCGCTGTGAGCGGACTTGCTTGCTTGACTTGGTCGATGCCTCCCCGAATGCCGACAATTCTTTTTGCACCGTCTATATGCACTCTGCTGGCATCGATGTTGCCTTTCCCGTGCTGAGTAAAGTGGTCAGTAAATCAAAACTCTGTTGTGGTCTGAATGGGTTTCTCACCTCGATGGCAGCCAAGGTGACCACAGAGTTAAGTGTCTCATCCTGAATGGCGAGCAAGGAACTCCCAATCTTCTTCCGCACAAGGGACACAGAGTCAGCCATGAGAAGCTCTGATATCGGAAAGCCTCTTTGAGCACGTCGTTCCTCATCCAGAGATGCCGTCTGTATTGAGACGTGGAACAATGCCTGGTCTGCTAGAGCTAACGGCCACCATGACACAATGAAAGGATTGGACATCATATTGAGGTCCAGGGGGTAGTATTGGAAGGAAATGTTCGAAAGAACTGAGAGATATGTCAGAGAGTAGTTGGTATATGCATTGTCAGAATTGCTTTACAGTGCTGTATCAACCGCTGAACATGAACTCTGGGCAGTCTGGTTGACGGATATGAGTCAAACGGATCAAAGGACGTATCAGGCGGCCTCAACAGGTCCATTGAGTCGTCAGAAGACCCATCTCGACTCTTCAACAAAGGCCTCTTTGTCTCGCTCTTATCTACCAACCTGCCACAACCCGAAGGTTCCGGCGCCGATGTCGATGAGGTTGACGAAGACAAAGGCGCGTTTGCGTAAATACACGTGACCTTTCTCTTGACGCATCGCGAACATTTCGGAGTGCCGAGATCGCAACTATGCTTTGCCTTTGCGCAGGCATTGCATGATCTTCGGAGGGAGGTTCGCATGCTTGGCCAAGACGAGTTAGGTGGTGGTGGTATTGATAGAGGAGGAAGTTTACAGTACGTACAAGCAACGCGGTAGCGGCAAGTGGAGTAGTTTGCTGTCCAAAGCGGCGTTGCCTGATTTGGAAACGCAACCCTGGTGGTTGATCGTTGACAGTTGGCTATCCTACCCTACATCTCGTCCCGTCTCGCCCTTACGGGTTAGTTTACAATGGACCTCGCAAAACTTACGGCATTGAGTCTAAATGATGCGCAGAAAGGCTGAAGGAATATTCTATCAAGGGACTAGGAAGCTTTCATTTCAATTGCCGGTCTGTCATATTTACGCGCGAATTTGTAGCAGAAAAATATGACAAGCAAAATACCGTCGGGGTTTGTCCACCAGTTGGACAAGACACAGGATTGTGAAACAGTTCGCGCATCTTGTGACAGCACCCTGATCTACATGCCATCGTTTCATATAAAGTAACTCATCATTCTAGATAAGAAGACGCGTACATTCAACCAATAGTACGTATACTGTGGCCAATATCTGATAGAGCCTTTCTCGGCCTTGTATCCCGTCTTGGCCGTTACATCCGGCGAGCACTATTCTGGTGAGCAAGACTGGGGAGTGAAATGCCAGAGACGATAAGACAGAATGATCGACGCGGGCTGTAAATGAATGTTTCATGCCTATCTCCCCGAGTCTCAATTCGTGATCCATAAAAATTATATGCCGGGTTGTTTCTACAATGCCAGCAGATCCCTTGCCAGCCCAGGGGTATACCAGGCGACTTTCACGCCGTAGAGATCTCGAACCATATTGAGCCTCATCTGGCATATGGCCACCTGATGAGGGGTGCTATGAGGACTCGCAATGAGAACCGAAAGTGGCCATACCATGTGATACATGATGCCCGTCTGCCGTTGCGGTACGGCAAGGGGCAATCCCCTCACGTCAACTTCGCCGAAAAGATAGGGTAACGCACTGCAGAACATGTAAGCTGTCTTTCTGAGCGCGCCGTCAGCAATAGCAGCCGTGGTCTGGGCCAGTTTCTTTTCTGGACCGTCGGCCGGGCTGAGCTCTAGCAATAGAAACGAGCATTTATACATCGTCGCGAAGAAGACAATCAGGCACGACGAAAAGAAGCTCCACGTGCAAGCTGTCCACTTTGAATTAAACGAAATCAAAGATTGACCCTCGGGAGTGACTGGGCGTTTGACAGTCGTTTGCTGCGGCTGTAGCGTTGCCGGCATCGCATCCTTTTCGATCACGGCGAGTTCCCCGCCGATTGCCAAGCCTTGTTGGAGGACCTTTACGAGCATGATGCGCTGCTCTGCCGGGGTGAGTGGTGGCTCATCTGAAGCCGTAATTCGCTTGGCTGCCCTGTAAAACTGACCACAGTGCGTGGTGACCAGGGCCAGGCGCATCGAAGGGTTCGACGTATCCATCTGAGCGTCAGGAATGACCAGGCACTCCATCCCCTCCTTGGACTTGAGCGAGGGGACTTGCTTATTCTTGTCTCAGTATCCATGGCATATATGAGGGCGGTGATAAGATCTACTTACCAATTGCACGAAGATCCAGCCATAAAGCGAAGTTGATATATTGGCCAGCACTTTCTGGCCAACAAGCTCGAACAGCTGTGCTATGCCCTTCATGTGCACGGCTTTCATGTTTTGACCTTGGCATTCGAGATCCTGCATGGAGCGTCAGCGAGGATGTAGATCATGGAGGTTGGTGGTTTACCTCGATGATACCCAGCAGCATGAGTGATGTCAGTGTCTCCTCCTTCAGTGTTTGCTTACTGGATGCAGACAGATCTCTGTTGATTGACCGCAGAGCAGCCCCATAATATTTTCTTGCTGTAACATAGAGCGTTGAAGATTTGTAGTGCCGTGACAGCGACATGTAAGCGACGGCGAGGGTGGCCGGGCGTATGCATGACGCACGGTCAGAGCCCCTGTACATGTCCTCGAGGAAATCGAGATGGCCTCGAAAGACCCCTGGGGCAGGTTGGACGGTGTACTCATGGAGAAAGAAAGCGAGAGACTCATCTTCAAAGGAAGGCTGTGGTTGGCGAGGGGCGAGGACGGTTACCCCTGAGGTTCTGGACATGGCCCTCCCACCCCTCGTCCCTTCATAACGGCCCGCATTCTCGGTTACGCCTTCGCCGCTTGTGAGCATACGCAAGGTGGGAGAGCGACCGGGCTTCTCGCGCACAAGGCTATGGCCAGGCTCTCCGTGAAATCGGAACGCTAATGGGCGATCATAACCAGGGCACGGTGCCTTGTAGAGCTCGCATCTTTTACATCCTGGACGTCTCCCATCGCACTGACGAAAAGGAAAGAGAAGATTAGTATCGTGACCATGGGGTTTGTGGCTTGGGTACGCGTACAGGTACGAGTTCGGTACTCTGTAGCGAGTATTGTGACTGAAACGGTACACACCTTGATCTTTCTCTTGCGGCAGCGGCTACAGCCCCGGCTGAGGGTGCCGGGGAAAACCATTAGCCAGGCTTAGCTAGAGCCAATGCCGAAGGCTCTTGACAAACCAACAGGCTTTTCCAAGTACGCTTTGACGTCTTTTTCCCCTTTCTTTTTAGGTTGGGTATTCCTTGCGGTACTTGTTTTGTACTGTAAAGGAATGTGGGGGAAAATGTACATAAAGGTTCTGAGGATTACCCGGACGGGAGGCCAATCAAGCTTGGCATGTTACCGATGGCGTTTCTGAGTCAGCAGACGCGTCACTGAATCAGGGATAGGATTGGTGGTAATGCTACAAGCGCGATAGCGCGATAAGCAGATAGCAATTGTCGATCCACTTTACGCCAAAGCTCGCAATCTAGGGTCGAATATGGTATAGACTATATAGGCAGCGCTTGTTGTGGTGTGTGTGTGTTTGTGTGTGTGTGTGCGTATGTGCGTGTGCGCGTGTGTGTGGACGACAGCGATTGCATGGCTTGATATCTAATGCCTGATTGCATGCAGGCTCTTTTCTTTTTCTTTTTCTTTTTCTTCATTAGCTTGTATGTCCTGGGATGCGGGCAAACTCTCAAGTCTTTCCTACCACAACATGGTCTGCGGAAGACCGACCCGTACCTATGAGCGCGTCCCGGGCGTTGCACGCCTTTCCCGTTTTGGTGTAGAATAATCTTTTAGACCTCCCGGAAGTGTCAGCTCTGCAGCCGTGATTATCCTCCTGGATCACCCGACGTTGCTTATCACCTTTGTTAGGGATGCAGACCAGTCACAGTACTACCTTCAGCTAAGCCCTCCCAAAGGATTATCATTATCCAACCCCACCTAATCCCACGTACAAGACGGCTACCAAGCTTTCCGTCCACCCTCAACTCAGAAATCCTTGTCACTCTCGAGTATTAGTTTGCTTTTTAATCCATATACTATCACCCCCGGGCTTATATGTTTCAGATAGTTCCTTTTCCCTGAAGCGATGGATTAGTCGAGCATGTCGGAATGCCTTCCGTAGAGCCCCTGTGGCACAAGACCTGTACTGCCCCGAGCTTGTAATGATCTACCACATACCAGTTAACTCGTCATACGTCAGTCGCTGCTCATTATGCAGGTATTGCACGGTATTGCAGTCAACGTCTGGGCCCAGACCCAAGACTAAGAGACAAGGGGCCTTGTTACTAGCCCCGATCAGTGGCGCTACCCAGCGTCTAAGCGGCAGATTATTTAAAGAGATGCATAATACCAGTCTGTTCTTAGTCGCAAAGCTCGACGCCTCTGCTCTATTCCCGATGACTGTTTGTGAATTGGCCATGTCGGAATATGCCTACCTCTCGCCTGCGAGCAGCTCATCGCCCTCTGAGACCATGCCATCACCATCCAACGCTCAGGCGAGATCTGGAAATAGACGGAGGTAAGTGTTGCCCTGGCTCTTTGTTGTCAGTGATGGCTGACCATGTGAAGCCATACAAAATCTCGGATGGGCTGTTTGACTTGGTGTGTTGGATTTAAAGCTTTCGATATTAGTCGAAGCAGCTAACCAGAGTCCGCCCGGTTCAGTAAACGACGACACATCCGATGCGACGAGAGTTATCCCCAGTGGTAGGTACACCTCGAATACTAGGAAGGGCCATCGACTGATATACATGTTATGCAGCCAAAACTGCACAAAGCACAAAGTCAAATGTTCGTTCCACGATACGCCATTGCAAGAAGAGCTGTTAGTGCAAATGCTACCGCAAGACCAGCAAATTCGACCCTCGTCAGCGCCCAAGTCCCGACGGCCGTGGTCAGCCAAAGCTAGGGCAGAGGTGAGGCAGTGGCGGAGGACAGGGTCAATGCCCATCCCAGATGCGCGAATTAGAATCTTCTTGCAACCGACAATATACTCCGAAGACGATTTATGTTTTATTTACCAAGCTGCAAGCAACCAGCACAGACTTACGAAGATGGGCGTAAACGATTTGACCATCATATCTTCTTATTTGCCAAGGTGCGTTGGTGCAACAGGTATATCTACATCCGCGAGCTAATGTTTTTCATCCAGCTTCTTCCGCATTATTTCCTCATCTCGATTGGCGATGAATGGAGTTCTAGCTCTTTCAGCGTACCAGGTCGCCTCAGTTACTCATTGCCAACATGCCCGAAGAAAAGAATATCAATATCAGATGCTGGCCATCCAAGACCTCAGGAAGTGCCTTTCCAACTTTGGCCCTGAGCATGCAGACGGGGCACTGGTTGCGTCAATGGCACTTCTGTGGCTTTGTGAAGATATGTAAGTGTCAGACATATTTTTACCAATATCATGAAAATTCTGACAGGCTTAGGACAAGTCGAAGACAGATCTCTGAAGGAATTTCTGCTGTAAGTCCTGATTCGGATGTCAAAAATATGACCCCTGTGCTTATCAAACCACAGATAATACAAGCCTGCCGCAGGTTGGGTCACCAATCTGCGTTTTACCATATGATTGCCAAGGCTTGGCACCCACCGTCTCATTGGCACACCAGCCAAAAGCCGAGTAGCGAGAGATTCAACAGGTTGCACCACATCATAAGCGAGATGCACAAGTTTAGGGCCATCCTCAAAGAACAGGAACCCGACGGCGACACATGGCGTCAGCTGCGGCTACTCATCACTTTGGCGGAGGATCTAACCAAAATCGATTCTTCAACGCCCGCGGAGAAGCAGTTCGAACGGATCAGAATGCTACGAGACTACAAACTGTGGCTGCCCCTGAACGACTTATTGGCCGGAAAGAACGTCTCCGGCACGTTGATGGTCAACGCCTACTTATATACCATAGCTCTGTTTGCCCAGCGGCATTCAGCTCAAGCCTATATGATCGATATGGGAGTTGACTTACGGGGTTTGCTGGAGGAGACATTACGACAGGTTGCTCCTATAAAATCACATGCTGGTTTGATTCATAGTCTTAGGGCTCTTGCATCCTCCATCTAATCTAACACAATAATACTACTGTTAACTTCAATCTCAATATGTTGATCTTTTAAGTCAGATGCAAATGAAACCCTGGTGTTGTAAAATGATGCTGCTGGGATCAGTCGAGTAGATAGGCGGTCTAGATTCTCGATTGCCAAGGTAGGACTGGCCCTGACGCTAGTCTTTTTTCATCATTTACCTTTGCTCAACCGTTTTCCATCAGTGGCAAATGATCGGTGAACCGTATCATGGTAATCTCCATAACGTCGTAGTATAGAAGGCATTGCTCCTACAGCCAAGGGTTTAGCCTCTCCACTTTCGCCGCGTTCGCCGCCCTCGCAAAACCATACTTAGTTGAGAGTCCCCCACTGTGGAAGACGATTGATGCCGAAAAATCACGGAACTCGACACCCAAAAACCCTGGTGAATTATAGCTACCACCAGCACTAACTCTCATTGCTACTCTGCTAGCAGGGGCTCGGAAATAAGCTAGGGGGTTTCGGGGGGCATATCCGTATGCGAGAATCTTACACGAAAACCCAGCGATCTTGCACCTATTTCAACATCCCCTTTCGATTAGCGGAACGAGGCCCTGGCGCAATACGGGTTGGGATTGATACCAAGGCCGGCACTTGACTTAAAGAGGAGGACATGATGAACCACCCGTGAAGAATTTCTTCATCAGAGCCTGTTTCATAAGACGAAATTTGAGATTTGACAGAAAAACCGGGACCTGGCTTTACCTAATCCAGCAATTCTGATTATAAACCCTCGTCTTCGGCCAACGTGACTCAACAGGTTATCCTTCCACGGGAAAAGTCTTTCATCTTTGAAACCACCACCGCCAATTCGCCCGCGGGAAGAAAATGACATCAACACAGCGGAAGACCCTCAAGCTAGAGGAGGTAACGCTGGAAGACATCCCCGGCCTCACCCAAGTATGGTTTGCAGCCTTCACAGACCCCGGCATTCGACGAATCTGGCCTGACACGCCATCCGTCCGTAGCTGGTGGGACGACGCAAATGGTCATGACCTGACCCACAAACCGTTCCAACGCTACATCAAAATCGTCGATCCAGACTCCAATGACCAATTTGGACGACCCCGTATCGCGGCATTTGCTAAATGGGACACATCGATGCCCTGGGAGAGAGGCCGTCGATACCCCCCCTGGACGGACGACCAGCCGGGCCAGGTCTGCGACGAGTTCATCGCCAAGGAGGAGAACGAACGGCTCCGAGTCATGGGCGAGCAGAAACATTACTGTGAGTTCGAGCCAGATGGATATTGATACTGGCGCTTAGTTCTGGGTTTTCTAACCACGACTGGACTAGATCTTGACACACTAGTCACACATCCTGACTATCAACGCTGTGGAGCTGGTTCCATGCTCATGAAATGGGGTTGCGATCTTGCTGATGCTGACGGAGTTGCAGCCTATGTTGATGCTAGCAAATCTGGAGCTGCGTTATACGAGCGTTTTGGATTTGTGGATGAGAGCCTGCCTGATTCTGGTGACGTTGCTTCAATGGCGAGGCGGCGGTAAGCTACGCACATGATGCTTGCTTTTGCCGGTGATTCGATCCATTCAGGATTGTAAATCAGGTTGTTGATTATGAGAACAACAATGCGTTATTTGAGATGAGAATACTTTACAATGGCTATTCTACATTAGGACTTCTGCTAACCCCGGTGAATGGAATCATGTGTCAAGAAAGCATCACATGATAATCGTATGCTTAATATAGACTGAGAATTGTCCTTACGGTGGGTGTAGTTGCAGACCCGAAAACATATTTGTCTCTCTTCGGATTGGCCAGAATATGATACGGATGATACACCTTACGTCTTATCATTACCACAATCTACCAAACACAAGAACAATCCATCTAAACCTCATTTACGACTTAATAAAAGACCGTCTTCAGAGTTGAGAGAATTCATAACAGAATAATTAGACTCAAGAGAAGATCTATATGACTACTACTGTTTTGAACTTCCGTTCAGTTATAACATTCAGTCAGTGGCCAAGTTTTGTCTTTGCAATTCTCACTGCGCTTGTCATCGGATTGCATTCGTATAAGATTCTGAACTAGTTGAAACTTTAACAGACTGGCTATAACGCAGTAGATATTCTATAGTACGTGTGGTAACCTTATTGAATTTGAGACACTGTTGCTTTTCGGTCTGTGTAGAGATCTCTATTGTTGATATTTCTGTGGATTTAATTGGGATAGCTGGATCTCTTTTTTTTTTTAAAGGTGCTACCACACTTTACATAAATTATATAGTATATATGTTCCTGGATCTTCGTAACTTGGCCAACCGAGAGTTTGTGATAGTTTCATGATCTGACTTCACTTATGATATACCTACCCTATTCTTGGATATCAGAACATCTTCACCGCAGGAATCAGAAATCCTGCCGAATGACCACGATTATCTTACGAATATGTTAAATGCTCTATACGATCTGACCTGAAAAAATTGAAACCTCTTGTACAACCATATCTCATGAACCAATCACCCGAGTAAGCACGGATTTGCTGACAGCTGCACCTCGGTTCTGAGATTATCCGAACAATAATCCGGGCCGAGGTTGCGTCAATCATCCCCTGTTGTTCCCCTCCTTATGAGTGCATCGCCAACAGAAACAATGAGTCTCGTTATCAGCGAAGACTCAAGACACAATCGTCTACGGATTCAATGCGGGATTTGCGGCCAGGCCCTGTCCGCCGGTGTTAGCTTCGTACCCTGTAAATCCCCACCCGAGCAGTTCAGTAGGGTTTAGTTAAATTGCTGACATTGCTTCATGAAGTATTAGGTAGTGAGCTGGACACTGAATCGGGATGTTGTCTGGATCCCGCGGTATTCCCAGACTACCGCAGCAACAGTATCAGTCTTGGAAGAAAAGTGTTATGCTGGGCGCCAAATTGCTACAGATGCGCAGATGCACCCGAGGCGGTCGGTATACACTCGGACTGCCTCAATATCTTCCAGGAACACTGCAAGGTTGTCACGGCCCTCGATCGATTGTGGACAACAGTAGGTCAGCGGAATCTATGGAGAGGGGCCCCAACTCTTCAGCTGGATCGGGAACCAGGTCTCGAAATCGATATTATTCGTGAAAAGGCGGAGATCTACGGTATTGGGCTTTTGAGGCTACTCCCAGTAGAGCTTCTCCAAATGATACAAGATTACAGCGAATCCGCCACATTTTGGCGTTATATCTTGGTTTTGAGTCTGGCTAGAGAGTTGTCACAGTTGCAATCAGATGTTGTTTCGCCGATCACATCGATGCCTCTGTGTAATGTTCTAGCCTGGACTCGAGGAGATTCAAACGCTTCATTATCAAGAGAGTGTCCACCATATGTGCGGATGACGCTGGATTGTCGAGGTATACGCAAGATTGAGAGGCTACCAGAAAGACCAGGCTATCAGCCCGGGCGGTCAGATAAGGATGCCTTTGTAATTGCGCATCAGGACCACCTTAAAGATGTTGCCACAGTACCAAAGGTTTTTAATACCCTCATCAGCATGCCAACGATCTAACTTGGAACAGTTCAATATCCTACGGCTTCAACTCCCAGAGCCCATGCGGGGATTTCAAGTCTGGGATACCCCCAACCCCCCTCATCTTGAGGACTGCGAGTTTTACGGTCGCGTATCACAGTCGATGCAGTTCAAAACCATCGACTTGCGCGGTGTGACGGGCCTCACCTTTTTCTTCTCCTTCAGCAAGCTCTACGCCATTCATGCGCACACACTAACGAGGCCGTATGCGAGGAGAACCTTCGAACGGCTTCCTGCAAGACGCCAAGAAAATGTGGTATGGATCCATTTGCCGACACCCAGAGGTGAAAAGATCGTTGCAATCGTGTCCAGACTGAGGGATCAGGGAGGCGGACCTACAACCCAGAAGCCCTTTTTTCTTGTAAGACTTCCTGCTTAGCTCATCAGGAGCACGCGGTTAACACGAGTAGATTCGTACCAAATTAGCTGGGGACGTTTCAGTTGGCCCATGCCATCTGGGGAAACACAGAGATGTGATCCTAAGTCAGTCCAGTCCAAAACTGTTCATTTACAGCGCTGCTGATGTCGGTCCGGCCACTGTGTTTGGGACCTATCCCCGAGATGAGCATAATGACGAAGTTTTTGAACCTTTCCGTCACCCCTGGTCGAGTAACCCACCTTTACACGAGCATGTGAATCTTTCTTCGGCGCCTCTCAAGGACGTTGTCCGGGTGCAGGTTCTAGAAGACGAAGAGCCTGGATTCTGCAAGGCAATCCTGCTGGACTACAGTAACGGGGCCCGTCGTGCACTCGGGAATTGTCGAATCGGTATAGATCGCCCCAAAACATATTTGAGGCCATCCCAGATATGCTTCCTTCCTGCTGGGCATGCATCAGGGATCAGGCGAGATATTCCGGCTGTTCGTGTTGAGGCCGGATGTGACCCCGACCATCGTCACGAGGAAGACGGTTGGGTATGCTCGGCGATGGAAGGGATCATGGAGTTTTGGTTCTCGAGCAAGCAATCTGTTGTACGTGTGTTGCAGGAGTCAGCAGCGGGGTAGTCTATCTGTGATGCTCGACCATGCAGGCAGCCGATCATTGTTGGTCTCCAGCAGTTTCTTGACAATTGAGCGACAAAAAGAATGTAGGTGTAGTGCGATGGAAACTATGATGCTGCGTTACTCCATTGCGCAAAGCCCGCCCTGGTACTCCGTAACGTACGCGTTGCCCTAGTACGCATTAGCACCAATATGATCTTCGTCAAGGGTGAAATCGTGATGGAGAAAGAGCCAGATTGTCAGAAAATCAACAAGCCACTTACAGATGCCCAGCATTTTCGATTGGACATATCAGCACAATACCACTCCAACAATAGAGAGACAGTTCAATTGCACGTCCCCGTATTGTGCCAAGAGACCGTCGATCGAGTTGTACCAACACCAGCAGACCCTGGGCCTTTTAAAGAATTCCTCAACCGACAAACGCGGCACATTGCATATGATGTGACACTTGTCGCACGCAGACCAGAGATCGACCGATGGTCTGATAAAACGGTTCTAGTACGACGCGAAAGACTAACTAGAGTCTAGAGGCGCACTTTTTCCACGTTAGGGGCTCATGGATCTTCATTCCCGGAAATCAAGTCCGCTTAGTGGCTTTGCCCATCCAATAAACCAGCAATCAGCACCGATTTTAATTCGATAGTTCGAGACAAGACAGGCGCCAAGCGAACGGGCTTGATGTCAGTGTGGAATTCAGCTTCAGTAGGCTTTTTACAAATTGCAATCCTGACGTTATTTCTGCTGTGCTGCGGTCTCACAGAAGCCGGAGTTGTGCGCGTCATATCTGCAGCCACTCCAATTTGTACAGTGTTGAAAAGAAGTGATGAGGTTTTCGACACAAGGGAGCGTCATTTAGTAGTCTGCTTGTCACTGTACCAACCGTTAAACATTCCTCCGCGACGTCCCCGTATTTGCACCATTACTTTCACTAACCCCCCTTCTTTACTTTTGGCCCATTTCCCGGTTTTTCCTCCCAACCATCTCTCTCTTTTGATCCTTCCTTTCAAGGTCCAGACCACGAAGAAACCAACCAGTCATCTCGCAGGGAAAAGCCATAACATTACCAAAATGTCATCGACTGCAGACATCCATGGCACTCCTGTCCGAAATGGGCACAATGGTCACCATCACCATCACAATCGCAATCGCAGTCGCAGTCGCAGCAACCGCAACAACCGCACCCTCTACCACGAAAAACACCAGAGGAGTCACCTAAGTGATTTCCAAAAACATCTTGTAGCGGCATCGGGAGAGTTTGCGGGTACATTTCTGTTCTTGTATTTTGCCTATGCTGGAAACATCGTTGCCGTCCTCCAAGAGCCCATGGCTGCCCGCGATGGCTCGTTGGCCAACAGCACTCTCATGTATATTGCCATGGCGTATGGCTTTTCACTCCTGGTAAATGTTTGGGCCTTCTTCCGGATCAGTGGCGGACTTTTCAATCCCGCTGTAAGTCGAACTTCCATCATTGAGAATTGATCATACTGATAGCCATCCCCTAGGTCACCTTTGGTCTATGTCTTGCTGGCCAACTCCCATGGATCAGAGCTTTATTCTTATTTCCAGCCCAGATCATTGCAGCCATGTGCGCAGGTGGTCTTGTTGACGCTATGTTCCCTGGCAACGCATCATTGGCAAACACTGTACTTGGACCGAACACTTCAGTGGTCCAAGGAGTCTTCCTTGAGATGTTCTTCACTGCACAGCTGACCTTTGTTGTTTTGATGCTGGCTGCAGAGAAATCTCGCGATACATTCTTGGCTCCTGTTGGTATTGGCCTGGCTCTGTTTGTGGCCCTAATTCCAGGTAAGAACCGTCCTACGCTCCTTTTCTTCATACTTCGAAGAGTGGTCTAACGAAGTCTTGCTATAGGTGTTTTTGTGACTGGAGGCTCAGCCAATCCTGTTCGATCTTTTGGTTGTGCTGTTGGTGCTAGAGAGTTTCCTAGCTACCACTGGATCTATTGGATAGGCCCCCTTCTTGGTGCCGCTCTTGCTGCTGGTTATTTCCGACTGGTCAAGTTGATGCATTACGAAGAAGCCAACCCCGGCCAAGACTCACCAGTTGATGTTTGATTTTTTTGATACATCGCTTCAGAAGAGATACGTATCCCTATCTCACCATCGTACGACATAATATGGGAGAATATATGATGATAATATGGATAATGGAGCATAATTGGTTACAGGAGTTAGGGATAGGATTTTATCATGTGATCTACAAGGCAACGGGATCATCGTCAACGGAAATAGGGAAAATTTAATAAGCAAGCTCGAAAGCATACATAGTTGAAGGTGAGGAGCAAACGGATCGTGTATATGAGATCAGTACCAACTAGCCGAAAGCCTTAGAGAACAGCAATAACTTTTGACACCTCACGTAGAAGTCAACATCCAAATTGTCAATCACAATGTAACATGTATGGTAGCGAATATAGTTAATTAATATTGTAAAGCACTTAAAGTTTGAATGTTCCCTCCCCATCCATAAACACCACATCCCACCAGTTCCGCTTCTTCTTCTTGGCCCAATTCGACTGGCATATGCTTTCGAAATCTGTTTTAACCAATGCCTTCTGCTTAGGCATGAACCGTCTGATCTCCTTGTACGCCGCAAGGCCCCAGTACACAGCCCTGCCCTCGAGGGTCTCTACCCGACCGAGAGGTGATTGTCTAGGCTCCTTGAGCTGGGCTGTGACAAGTTCACGCAGGTGGGGGAAGAACCACATGCGGGGCCACCACCAAACTAGCCGTTGCTTGAGGTTGTGGATGTGGGCGTTGTGATGAACGTTGACAGGGATGGCGGTGGTGAAGAAGTCGGCGTACAGAGTCATGTCGCCCCAGTTGAGGGTGCGTTTCTCTGATGGGGTCAAGATACGCTCGAGAGGATTTGTAGCGTTGAGGATCTCACTGGGGAGATTGGTCAGGCGAACAGGTTCGATCTGAAGCTTTCTGGAACGCTCAGCTATGGAAGTCTGGTTGTTGAGAGTCACAAGGTCACCATCATCTTCCTCGAAAACAGTGGGGATAGAGATGGTTTGGTTGTAGTCGAGACCAACATGGAACTCGAGCCGGTCGCGGACCATAGTGGAAACGTTGTTCTGGGGATCAATGGAATCGCCAATCTCTCGTCGCCATGTGCGCCACATCTCCTGCTCTGCCCAGATCTCACCAAAGAATCCTTGGTCGCTGTAGAAGTTGGTGGTCTGAATGGCCTTGCTAGCCACGTAAAGCTCTTGGGCACGACGGAAGTATCGTCGCATGTCGCCGACGGGTCCAATGAAGGCACCACTGTTGATGTACCTGACCCGGAAGTTCACGTAGCGCCCATCAGGATCATTGTCTGTCTCGGGTCCGTACATATCTTTGCGAAGAGGGCTCTCTGGAAGCTCACTGCAGTGCAGGTTGGAGCCAGCCTTGAGTTGGGGCCAGCACCTCTTCTGTGCGGACACAATGATGGTCTGCTTCATGGGCATCTCGGATTTGCCTGTCCACTGTTTCTGGAGTCGCTCGTTGGCCTCGGCGTTGGTCTGATGGTAACGGTGAAGCAGCACACTGGGAGGGAGCTGGAACCACGAATCTGCACTGTCGGCAACCATGACAAGGTCATCTTCCTCCAGGTGGTTACCGCTTTTGGGGCCCTCTTTCGCGCTCCAGTCGAGGTAGTCGAGGATACCGCCGATCTTGGCAAGATGAGAACCACTCTTTCCCCAGTTGATAATGATGGGTGTGGGATAGCCAAGTGCAATGGCTGTCATCATGACTTTGCACAGGTTGGCGCCAGGGGAGTTTGCAGGGAGAAGAATGACGAGCCTGCGGTTGAGGACATTCTGCGTTGATACTGCGGGAGGGTTGGCCATCACTGGGATGCTTCCAGGTATGGTAGCAACACCTTTGCCGGCTTCTGTAACAGGCTCTACAGTTCCGGACATGTCGAACACATCAGCTGTTCCATCAGAAAGATATTGTCGGCCCTGCAATTGTCAATTACTGGACCCCACGGTAGTGCATAACCATCCATACCTCAAGTGCCGCAAGAGCTAAAAGCGTGGGGACAAAAATAATAGCCGCGACGAGAAGACAAAAGCCTCTTGTCGAGAGTCGGAGAAATCGCTTGGGGATAATCTGTGTGTTTGACTCGGCATGGTCCTTGACGGTAGTCGTTGGTAGCTCCTGGTAGCCAGTGTTGCCAAACATCTGGCGCAACCAGCCATTGTTCTCTTGTGTGCTCGTCATAGCGTAAAAGAGAGGAAGCAGATTAACCACTCGACGGGTACAAATAACCAGACCGAGCTTGAGTTACTGCGCTTTTCAAAAGAGTGTTAAAGAGAGTGGATGGGCCAAGAGAGAGAATCGCAAGGGAGGGCTTCATCTGTGGAGTCTACCTATATATCTGATAGCGTCTGTGCAGAAAGGTCCGACAATCTGCTGGAAAAAGGGGAGCAAAGCCACTGGAATCTAGAGCCTCCATGACCTTCGGTATGTTTGCCGTAGATCCTCACTCGATTGGTCATTTTTTCAATAATTCTTTAGGTTATTGCCACGGATCAATAATTCAGGGATTGGTAAAGGGGTCAATTGAAGTGGCTTGCTAAGCTCAATGTGTTTTTATTAACGGGCAGAGGGGAAAATGTCTTAAAAGGCATTCCATAGGCCCCATAGCGGTTGTTTTCCCCACTCCGCACGAGACTATTGGCGCTATTAACCAACTGGCCTTTTCTCATGTTAGGTTGGTACTTTAGTTAAGCATTAGGGGCCTAAAATGTGCGCTATGGACCTGCAAAAAAAGCACCGTTGAACATGCCAGAGCGTTTTGGGCTGATAGTCAGGGGTAAAAGGCTTTTAACGTTAAATATTTACACTTGGCGCGAAACCAAATACTGCACCAATGCTGTTTATCGATCAAGCTGAAAGCTGAAAGACTCCCCTGGTTTTGTTGGAATGGCTTCGGGGGGTTCGGGGATTTGTAGGTCGTGATAAGCAGTCTACCGAGCAGCCACTACTATCACGGTAAAACATCTTCATCCCTGATGATTCAATTTCTGAGAAGCGCGACTTCATATCGAAAATTTAAAAGGCTCAACTGCCCTGCCTTAAGATGCAGCAAGATTGCGACATCCCCAATTATATATACGTTATCGGCGTTGGTGAACTGGATCATGCCAAACTGTGCTCACAAGTCAGCACGACACTCACTGAATCAGACCCATCCACCCTAACGAGAAACTATCACCTTCAAGTCGCTTGAAGATACGGGGCCATCTACTCACAATTCGCAGGTTAAATCCCAGGATCTGATCGTGCAATTTTTATCTCCTTCTTATCTCTAAATTCTAGAGGATAAACGGGACTTGAAGTCAGGTCTCGCAGTCCGACACCTCGCAAGCGTAGGAGGTTGCACGCAAAAAGACACCAGAGCTCGGCGCGATTCCTGCAAAACGAGAGGGCTGAGAAAAACAACAACGCTATTTTGGATTGCTATGTAACATCGCTAATCGAGATATCGCAAAAAGCCAAATCAGAAACAATCCCATTCGCTCTTAGGATTAAACAACTCCTTTGCATTCCCGGGCCCATTGTGCAAGATTCCTCCTTATGCAGGGATACTCATCCTCCCTTGCTGCACTTCCCCAATCATCACCCAGCTCCAACCTCTCCGCACTGCAGCGGCATTGCACGCTGTCACTTCCGGGGAATGCTCTAAGCTTGGATCGCAATTGACTGCCGCTCGAATGGCGAGAATGTGTCCGATCGAACGGTAGGCTCCACATTCCGAGCGACTGGTAACTCTTGCTGCATTGGCTGTCTCCAGTATAATGCCATCGGGAATGGTCGATCTGCTTCAGTCCAGAACCCTTCTCCGTTGACAGCGCGGCGGCGATAATTGCTTGTTCGCGCTCCTTGGATCAAACCCTCGACGTCTTTTCGCTCCGTTGTTCGCTTGTCCCACTTCAATCTGAGTGAATTGAAGTCGTCGCTGACCAATATGGGTACATTGACTGGGACATCTGAGGATTGTGATGAAGAGAGCAATAATTTGTATGTCTCGAGGGTGAGGAAAGGGCTGTAGACAAGTGTTTCCTCATCCATCATTCTCCCAGCCTCGCCCAAATCAGCGATGGACGGTGTTTTAAGGACGGCAACGCCAAGGTCTTGTAGAAAACTCTCATCTGCTGCTGTAAATGTCGGGTCCTGGGCATAAATTTGTAAAGCGCTCTTGTCACCTAATGGTAACGTTAGGTGAGATGCGATGGCCATAAGAACAACCAGCTGCTTGACACGACGCTGTTGATCCTTGGCGTCAAATAAGCTCCCCAAGCCGAGTGAGACAATCTTTGTGATGCGCGGCCGGCTTTTTGTTCGCAGCATATCTTCGATGGTCTTTGCTAGGGCTGATTGGTTATAAGTGTATAGCGCATCTTCATAGAGTCTGAAAAGTTGTTGAAGCTGTTTTGTAGACGATCCAGTGCTTTTTCTTGAGGCTGGTGACTTTTTGCTTGGTGCATATTGGTGCTTCTCTGTACCCGCTGTAGGTGTTAGCGGTTGGAGTGATAAGGTGGACAAGGGAGGCTTACCATCAACCACAGCGATCTGGGTCTTTCTTGAGTGGCGCATCTTATTAAGAATCTGAGGATGAGTTTATGTTTCACTGGTGTATTTTACAATAGAGGTGAGTATGGGTCGAAGCGATGAAGCTGTTTTTGATGCAAAGTGTGCGTGTCTATTTTTCTTCAAATTGAGGGTGAGACAGATGCTATTTAACTCATTGCCATTATTGATCCTTTCGAGGCCTTCATGGTACAACATGCTTATTCTACATCTTCATTGCGTGCTCGGTGTTCGGTCTTGTCAGCATTGGCCTTTGTAATCTCGTCACTCTCTCTAATACCGACTGATAATGCATTGAATACAGGCCCGCATAAGCACGAGTCTGGGGAGTCAGAGACGGTTCAATTTCTAAGCCAGAGACCGCTAAACTGTTTTTGGCCAAGCGTTACAAATCTTGCACGCTGACAAAAGCTTCAATGACGACATCCTCTCATTCATTTATCTTCAATCATGATGCTGCAATGGATATCAATGCTACTAAAAAGTGAACAAGATTCCACATTTAATTATCTACTGTTTCTCGACATTTTTCTGTGTTCTGCCAGCCTAGAGACAAGCTCTTTGATCTTCCAACAGCCAGTAGCTTCATCTCGGGATAAATTACATGGTCCCCTAATCGTAATTAATAATACAATACAGCTCTTTCAATATTCTAGTTCTATTTCCATTATTATTCGGTAAATGAGTCACCTCTTATTCCCTATGAGATGTTATCTTGTCCTTCTCCTACAAGTGACTCACTTACTCGGCAATCCGGCCTCACAGATAGATAGATACCTTCCTAAATTGCGCACCTCGGACACTTTAATGTCCGAAACCACAGACGGCGCAGTCAAACCGGTCTTCGCACTTTCGCACTTCCTTTTCATCCTCACTTGACAATATCCCTGCGTTTGATCCATCAACGTAGATGAAGGAAGGTGTTTGGACGAGCAAGATACATTTTCCTGGACAGGAGAATTTCTAGCTTCTTTTGTTTTGCGACCATGCTGAACGCAGCTGGACGGTCTTTCCAGGTATCTTGAGGCTAGAACAGGGCAAGATACCAAGGTAAAGAAGCATCAATGGTCACGATACAGCATTTCATCACCATAATCACATCGACTGGAAAAAGGAAAACGAGTAAATAGATCATTCACATTATAATTATCAGCCCGTTCACAGCATTTAATCCAGTTCCAAATCCTCATTCCTCATACATCAAAAACCCTTAGCCGAAACGATTATCCGACCATGGAACCTTCATCCCCATAAATGACGACCGCGATGACTTCCGTCGTGCCTCCGAATCAGGCTGTGCATAGTTTGTCGGTCCAGGCGCATACGGAACGAATTCTGGCTCAGGTGAAGTATGACTCGGCGGCGACATCGAAGGACCTGGTTCTTGCTGTGCCTGCGGTTGCGACTGTAGTGGCTGGTAGGCCTGGAACGCGTTTGCCAACGCCCCAGGTGGACTCGAATGTCGAACATTCTCTCCAGATCCGTTAGGCTGGTATGGTCTGTACAGAGGAGGCTTTCCGCCTGAGATGGGCTTCCTTCTGATAGGACCTGAGGGTTGTCCGCTGGTAGGTGTAGACAACTCGCTCTGACGCCTGGATAGCATGTCGGGAGAGTGGTCGAGGAATTCTTGGGCAGGGCTGTATAAGTCGTGGACGGAGGTGGCGGAGGGTCCAGATGGCGTGATGGAAGGTCTGGTTATCGGTTCCTGGAGTGTAACGCCGTGGCTGGGAGCATTGTGCTGGTCATCCACGACAATCTTCTCGGGATGGTAAGCAACTGGTTCAGGGTTGAATACGTGGCCCTCGGTCTCTGGAGGAACCGGTCCATAGACAGAGCTTCTCCTACTCTCGTCGTGTGCTGGTTCTGTTAGTACTTCTGGAACCACCGGGTCGTCGTAATTGAGCTCCTGCTTCTTGTTCTGCACACTTCTAACAACTGCAGTAACAGCAGCATCTCCAGACTCAATAGCAACCCTCATAGCCTCCATCAAGTCGGAAACATGCTCAACCAACATCTTCACACAAACAGGCCTATCTGCTGCAAGGGATTTTGACAATGCGTTCAACCCCTCGTTGTTCTGCACCAGAACATCCGCACCGTAGTCGAGGAGAAGTCGCACAGTTTCATGGTCGCCGAGACCCGCTGTCACTATAAGTGCTGTGTCTCCTTCGTTGTCAAGGTGGTTGATGTCGGCACCAGCATCGAGGATAAGGCGGATCGAATCTGTGGGCAGGTAGATCGCCGCGTAGGTCAGGGGAGTCGACATGTATTCTCCGCCCGTGACGGTCACGTCGACCTTGGCGTCAAGCAGTCTTTTGAAGATAGCCTCTTCACCCTTGCTTGCCGCGGCGATGATGGGGTGCGTAAATTCGCCTCCTCCGAGGTTGGGATCAGCCCCGTGCTCGAGTAGGATATCGACGATGTCGCTCTGGCCGGATTCAACTGCCGCCTGTAGTGCTGTTCCCTGCGGCATGTTGTTATGACTTGAGCAGGCGTTGACGTTGGCTCCTCGCTCTAGGAGAAGGTTGACCACATCGGCGTGTCCCTCTCCCGCAGCGTGTTGAAGAGCCCAACCGTCGGGGGAGTTGATATCAGCACCAGCGTCAAGAAGCATCTTAATGATATCAATGGTGCCGTCGTAAGCGGCTGCTGTCAGGGCGTTTCCATATCTGGCCAAAGTCAGCTAATCACGTCCCTAATCACTTTAAAGCAACAAAAGACTTACTCCTCGCCAGTTGCGTTGGCGCTAGCTCCATATCTCAAGAGCAGCTCAATTGTTCTTGCACTCTCATTATCCGTAGCTTCGTACAGTGACTTGTCCAATGCCTCGGGCGAGATGCTTCCACCTGTATACTCCCACATTGCCTCCAGTATGCGAATCGAGTCATCATCCTCGTCGTCTTCTGCGGTATGCAGAAACGACTTGTCGCAGTTCAAATCGGGACAATTGTCAAGGATCAACGAAACGATTTCCCATTGGCCTTCGTATGAGGCATCATCCAGGGCATCCTGTTTGGCCTGCTGAGTGTGTTCGAAATCATGGAAGAGCCGTGTGAATGCTTCCATGCGACCGTATTCCGCGGCCTTGACAAGCGCAATGTCGAACTCTTTGGGAGGCAGTTTGTCCGAGTACTCTTTGATGAGGAACTCGAAAACCGTCAGGTCAGCTCTCATGGCTGCTAAGGCCAGGGGGGACGTGATAACTTCCTCGTCCTCATCCTCGTCTTCACTATCACCGTCATCGTCGTCGTCATCATCATCATCATCCTCGTCCTCATCGTCTTCGTCTTCATTCTCATTGTCGCCCTTATCTTTCTTTCCTCCATCTTCGTCGTTATCCTCGTCTTCGTCTTCAGCCAAGCTGACAAGGGAAACGTTATGAGTAACCAAAAGCTTTACAGCGTCACAGTTTCCTGACTGGATAGCGGCACATATCACACCGCCGTATGTGAGACAGTTAGCGTTTGGATCTGGCCCCCGTTGCAAAAGCTTAGCCATGACCTTTACATGACCCTCTGCCGCTGCTCTATGCAGTGGAGTTATGTAGTTGTCTTGAACACCTTCGTCAATTTGGGAACCTCTGTCGAGCAGTTCCTCCACAATATCTACATTGCCATACGCTGCGGCGAAATGGAGCTATAAGAAAATACGTGAAATTAGCCTCCGTCCTGTGATACCCTGAGCGTGATGTTTCTAATGGCCACTTACCGGCGTAGACCAGTCAGAGTCGAATGAAGACTTGTCGTCATCATATCCGTTATCCATGAGAGCCGAGACAAGTTCTCTGAATCCGATCGCAGCAGCGATATGAAGTCCAGTAAGCTCAGAGCGACTATAGTATTTGAAGGAGTCTGTGAGACGATTGTGCTCTGTAAGCCAGCGGCGCCGTAGGATGGAGCCTCCCTCCCAAAACTTTTCTTCCAAGCTAAGGGCTTCAGCAATGTCCGCCGTAGCCTGGCTGGCATGAGAAAGCCAATGCTTCACAGCATATGCCTCAGCTATGTTCTTCAGGTATGCGGCTTCGGGGTCCTCGTCTTCTTCCTGTTCTTCAACTTGATCCACCCCATCGTCATCTTCTTCCTCTTCTTCTGCCTCTCCATTGTTACTTGGCTCCCTAGATGAGCTAGAAGCGGCGTCGTCATCATTATTTTCGATTGCCTGCTGGTCGCTGTTATTCTTTTGCTCATCATTGTCGTCTTCTCCTCCAGCGACATTCCCTTCCACTGGTTCGGCATTTCCACCCGCCTCATCCACCTGCGTCTCAGGAACTGCATCAAGTGGGAAGTCAAACATTTCCAAAACGTGACTGAAAGCACGGAATCCCAGAATACCATGCTGTAGTTTGATATCTTCGCCTGTGAGACCCAGCAACTTGTGAGCATTTTCGAGAAGGTGTGTTTTCACGACTGCTTCAGCAAAACAAACAGTTGATTCTGAGCTGTTGCCATCCCCTTTCAGTACGATCAGTGGCCTACACTTCAAGATAAGATCGTGCAACTCAGATTCCTGCTCGGGGGTAGGTGCATCAAGGCCAGCAAGAAGACGAAGCTCCGTCTCAGTGGGGTCTTGGTAGGTGAGAACCAGCACTCGCAGCATTTCCTTGATCTCGCCGGTCTTGGATCGGTTGTTCTCAAACACAGACTGCCAGGCAGCGTTGAGCAGAGCATCGAGGTCTTGAGGTACAACTTCGAGAAGACGACGGACTTGGAGGTCGTTCTCGTGCCGGGGAAGCTCCTCGAGGTGATCGCAGGTGATGTCGATCCACTGCGTGTTCTGGGCGCGCTGGCCGATCACACTGCTAGCGAAGTACGCAAGAGCTCTGCTGTAGTTCTTGTGCGCCTTGAGTTCCAGGACCTTGGTCTGCGCATGCTTGCGTAGCTCCAGTTGGACTTGATCGCCGTACTTCTCGTCCTCAAGATCGACTAGACGAACCAATGGCTTCCGTAGCGCTTGGTCGATTTCCCAGGACTGGCCGCTGGTGAACATCCATCGCACCATCGAGCGTCTCCCGCTGCCATCTTGCTCAAGTTCCGAGCTGAGAAAACTCAAGAGGGTTGCTGTAGACACAGCATCTTGTGAGAGAGCCTCAAGATTGTTGACAACAAAGTACACCCTCGTTCCAACGAAAACGTCATCTGCGAGGATATCCTGTAGAACTTGCCATAAGTTTTCAACCGTAAGTAGGGGCTGAGTTTCTCGGCCTTTCTTCTTGAGGAGGAAGTTAGTGTGTACTGCTGTTAGTTTCTGCTTTTCGATAAGTTGATAGATCAGAGACTTCAACATTTCCTCGGCAGTACCATAGTCCGATGCTTTGTCGCAAAAGAAGTAGACAAGGTAGACACGCGACGCGACTTGAATAGGCTTATCTGCGGTAGCGTCCTCTTCTTCTTCATCGTCTTTCACCCATTTCTCGATCTCCTCAATTGCGGATAGAGCAGCGCTGGTCTTACCACGTCCATCGCGGCCGCGAACCCAAAGACAATCTTGCTTCTTGACGAGGGAAGTGCTCTCCTTCTCGTCAGGCGGCGCTAACCAACCCAGAAACTCTGGTTCTTTTGGAAACCACGTCGAAGTAGCAGTATTTTGTTTGATGATGTCTCTCTGTTTATGCGGTTGTGCGCCTTCGAAAGTCTTTCGAGCCTTGTCAAAGGACTCTTGAGCATCGCCTCGTGTTGATTTGTGTCGGTTCTTGACTCTCAGGCGTGATCCGTTGATCAGTCGTTTCAAAGGACCTCGCACTAACGTGTATCTTTCATCTTTCGAGCTATCAAACTTGACCAAGTCGCGATGGTTGGCAGCCAGGCCCATCGACTCCATCACGCCCTCCACGATAGCCGACTCCCGGGTGACGAATTCTGCATACCTCTTGGGCAAGGGGATGTTCAGGGCTGAAAGAAACTGGGGCATGCCGTTCAGATCTTTGATGGTGGTAGGATGTTCTTCCCAGAATCCTTGCATCTCTATCTTGGGGCTGATCTTGATAGCTAGTCGAACGAACTCCTTCCTGAGCTCGTTAAGACCTTCATCATCGGGTCTCATCAACTCGAGGAGCTTGGAGGCCGTTGCAGCGCCCGTCTTCTTTCCGACGGATGAAAGCATACAAGCCAGCGAGGCAGCTTCAGCTCCACGGAATGGGGTTCCGAAAAAGGCGCAACCGGCTATGTCTGCGAACATACCAGGGAAAAGGTCTTGTCGAGCTTCGGCGATACAGATGGCCTGAACCGATTAGAAACTATTCAGTCACGAAAGTGAAGGAGATTTGAACCTTTGCGATAACGAGTCCTCCCATTGAATGTCCGATGAATGTGATGGGCCTCATAAAGTTTGCATTCTGTGCTTAATGTCAGATTACTTCTTTTATTCCCTCATGATTTGGGGGATCGTGGACCGTACCTCTCCCTCTCTGAGCATCTTCAATCCTTCAAGCAGAGTCTGTGCGAGGTTGCTCAGAAACTGCTTCACCTTGATGGTGCCCGTCCATGAAGATTCAGATTGATAGAGAAGGATGCGGGCATTGGGGAAATCGCGACAAATGCCATCCTCTTTCATCCAGTTGAAGTCGGTGGTGGTGGACTTAAAACTCAACACAGGGTGTGCGCCCAAACCCGGCACAAAAACAATACTGGCCGCGCATTAGAATGTGATGCTTCAAAAACCGTGTTTCCAGACAATGCTTACTCCATGTCCGTCTTCCTGGTCGATTTAGGCTCGGGATAAAGCTGTGTTACTCCCTGCTCAACATTCTCATAGCCCTTCTTCGGCTTGGCGGCAACCCCAGGGTTGGGGCCGCGTCGCGTAGGTGCTCGACGAAGCGACATTTTGGGTCGATTTACTCGAGACAATCTCTGGGCATTTGGTGTTGATGCTGACAAGGTCGGAAGCGGTACGGGCACGCGAGGTTCCCAATTTCAGGCCCCCAAAGTTGTCGCCACTAAAACCAGCCCTGCGGTCAGGGATTATTCCAGCAGCTTACACTATTGTTTCATTTTCAGCCCCCACAACCTTGGTTCTTGGCATGTCAGCACGACTGTCGATAAGGCCCCAAGGAAGCGCGTTAGGCGCCTAACAGTAACTGCGAAGAGTACGCCTTGATGGAGCAGACACTCAGCTAGTGCCTCATCATACAATGGCATTATTGGACGTGCTGGGAGCTCCATTTGGTGACCCAATTTAAGCAAAGTTAATCGGTCAGCATGGCATGGCGCAGCGGGTGGCCCCTTTCCCGTAACGGAAATAATCCAATCATTTCTTGACCCGACTGCCTCTCCCGCCTGCGTGTTTACGCGAGCCAGCCCTGTGACCCGACCCTTGCTTGGTAATTGATGGGGTTCAATTTCCACCATTTTCTTCCTCCTTGCGCCGTCTTTCGTGGCTTTGTTTGAGGCAAAAGCAGTCATCATCGAACGTTTATTTCCTGTATTTATGACTTCCCGGGGACTTCAGTATCTTTGCACCGCGTCTCTTAACGGTACATCTCACCATGGCTAGTCCTCCCCCGCCCTTTACAGTCCGTGTGCTGGAGTCAGATTTCCTCGCCGACAAGCCCAGTTCAAATGGTGATTTCAGCAGCCTTTTGCCCGCAAGCAATCGTTTCAATGATGACGTTGTCGTCCCAACAACGGACCCCAACTTCCTAGAGCGGGAACTCTCAGTATCGCGCCTTAACGACGTGCAACAATGGCTCTGGATGTGCGGTCGCCCTATGCCACCTCGGCCGTTGCATCACCAGCGCCTCATCTCCCGGGAAGTCATCATCAGCGAACACGCTGAGCTCCACATGGTCTGGTGGCGGAATCGCATCTTTCTCAAGCCCATGCCCGCCTTCCTGATGGATCCCGATTTCTGGACAAGTAACATCAGCGACACGGCGCATCTTGACGCAGTACAGGGAAATCTTGACGCCTCGGCGCGCGGGTTCATCTTCTCTTACGCTGCGCTCGTCGCCTACAAAAGTGACTTTCGCATTGCAAAGGAATTTGGACTGCTGCCTGAGGAGGTGACCTGGGATGGCTGGAAGGCTTTCACCGCTCAGGTTCTGGAGAGCCACCGCTACGATCGCGTGAATCCGCGTTATTGGTACGGCGAGCTGCGGCTGAGCAGACTGAACAAGATCTACGCCTTTCGCAAGGGATTTTTGTTACGCGGCTACTCAAGAGTCGCATCACACACTGTCTACGGAGATCTCATTCGCGACAACTTTTCGGTGCTGGCAGGTATTCTCGGTTACGTCGTGATTGCGCTCACAGCGATGCAAGTCGGCTTAGGCGTGGACCGCCTGATCGAGAACCAGACGTTCCAGGACGTCAGTTACGGACTCACTGTTTTTACGTTGATTGTGCCTCTCATAGGCGCGCTGCTTATTTTTCTGTTTGTTTTTGTAATGATCGTCAGCAATTGGATGGTTACCAAGAACTTTGAGAGCAGGCGTTTGAAGAAGATGAAAGTAAAGCTTTTGCGGAGATAGATTATTATAATGAAAGCGGGCGTTATTAATACAAATGATTTCTGACACGAATAGATAAGAGACTTTGGGCTACATGAAGGCACTCAGATTGTAGACATGAGGTACAAAAAGAGGAGTCTTGATAATGTACAAAAACGATGACATCTACAACTTAATGAGATGTTACGACGCTGTGTGATCACGCTGGGGATCGAACCCAGAATCTTCTGATTCGTAGTCAGACGCCTTGCCATTGGGCCACGCGACCTATTTGTTGAAGTCAAGATTCCAAAGTTGACACTAGATTCCTGGTAAGACATTTTACCCGCATTGACGACATTGCCAGTCCTTGGTTTGGTATCGTCGCGCCGCGTTAAGACCACTCATACTCTCTAATATTCACTTGGGTGGTAAACATGTTTTCTTTGATCTACCAGGGACGTTTGGCGCGAACTCGCAGGTGGTATCATTTGGTTGCTGCTGAATCATATCTAGGGTAAGTGGCGCCGGCTACGGAGATACTCTGTTCCACGCCTTCCTACAAAAGGTGGGGTGGGGTAGCTGTTGATCCCTGTCCATCTCTTCGCCAAGAGTCCTGAGGAGCATTCTTGAAAGCCAACACATCGACACCCCATCAGGTATGTGGACTATTCCCAAAGGCCTTCTAAACGAGACTACATCAATTCTCAAGCACACATGACTAACTCAAAATTTTCAGTCGTCGCCAGAAAGACAACACGATGCCTGAACAACAACCCCAACAATCCTCCAGCAAAGAAGGTTCGAGTACCGCTGGCAACAAACGACCAACCCGCTACAGAGTCGTCAAACGATGGATGGGGTTCCCGCCCGATCTTCCAGAGTAGCTACAGACTTGGAAGTATGTCATCCATCAATTCACTCCTACCCAGCGTCGTAGTACTAATACCACTTCAGTGGATCCGGACAGCATCGAGGAAGGGAACGCGATTCTCGACGCTTTCATTGAGTATGAGATGGCAAACAATAATGCGGAGAAAGAATAAGTGTATGGAGGATGCCCGGCAGGATGTTCGTCGATATGTCCGGATACGAACATCACTTGAATGAAGGGCGCGTGACGCCACAGCATACAGCTTTATTATACCACACAGAGGAGCACTCAACTGTCGATTAGTGAGCCTCGATATTCTTCTATCCAAATCATAGTGCTTTCACTTGTCATAAAGATCCCATTTCCAATTTGTGTATATGGGTGCTACAACTCCATGAAAGAACATGAGAAAGACCTTGTACCCTCCTGGCTTCCGTGTTAGTGCCTAATCGTTATCAAGACACTAGGGAAGCGAACGAGAATACTTTGACAAGTGAAATTCGAAAACTTATTGTAATGACAAAATGTTAATCTACGCGGTGTTCCTGGTACTGTTACTGTTGTCCGAGTCTTCGCCCATGCGGATCTTCTCCTGTATGATAAACGCCTCTTGCTCCCTCGCACTCTTCTCCAAATCGAGGAACGACCAGATGCCAATGGCACTGACCAAGCTGAGAGCAAACAAAAAGTAGAAAGGAGCGCTGTTGTTCGTTCCGCCCGGAGAGGCATCGATGATAGCACTGCTGATGAAGGGTCCGATGAAACTGGACGATTTGCCGATAATGTTGAACAGGGAGAAGAACAAGAACTCGTGACCTCTGGGTGTGACAGAGCTGATCATGATCTGAGAGTAGCTATACCACGGACATACGAAAAGTCCGTAGAAGGCCTGGTACAGCCAGATCTCCCACACGTTTTTGAAGCCAAACTTATCGGTCCAGTTGCCAACCATACCCCAGCCATCCAACAGGATAATAAAGACCATGACGGCATTGAACATGGCCTTGACACTGAGATTGAATCGCTTCTGGATGAGCCAGAAAGCACCGATTCCAACAGCTTGAGCAACTATTCCCACAATGAGGAGGTAAGTCAAAGTGAGGGTATTGTAGCTAACAACCTGGTTTTGTAGCGTGCCGATAACAGTGACGGTCGTGTTAAGAGAGTCACCCAGAAGGAAATATCCGACAAGGTAGATCAAGCTCTGCTTCAAATGCCAGATTTGTGTGAGAGCTTCCCAAAGCTGCCAGAATCCAACCGTGACTATGTTCAAGTGATCCGGAACCTTCATTCCTGGACGCTTCTTCTCAAATAGGAACCAAGGGATTGAAAGAACGAGCCAGCAACCGGTGGCAAAGGCAACCAGGATGGAGAGTCCCCAGTTGTTGTTCTCTGTGCTCTTCTCAACCTTGACCCCGAACATGATACCGACAATGATAGCTAGAATGACAACTTCGCCAACGGATTGAATGTAGAAGGCGACATTGCTGAGTCTACTCCTCTCCATCTCGTCCTTGCGATCCATGTCGTGTTGGGTAATCTCGCCCGCCTCGAACTGCAACGCCGCCTCCTTGAGCTGCGGAGTGTTTCTAGCAAGTGAGGGAAACGCAGCCGTCCAGTAAGTCAAGGTCATCTGATAACAAATTAAGCCAACGATGTACAGAGCTGTGGCTGCTTGCCACTTGCTGGGGTCGTGAACACCTAACCAAGCGAAACCGATTCCATAGGCGATGATGGACCACACCAGCAGGATCCATCTTCGTCCGGTGCCGAAATCTGCGTAGGCTCCGATGATGAGAAAGAGAACGGCCTGTAGGGCGAAAGAGATGCCGTTGGCAAGCAATACAATGCTGTTGACATCCCGCTCCCGACCAGCAAACGGCAACAGTCCAGTGTCCTCGGGTGCGGCTTGAGACAGCAGATTCTGGAAAGCAGTCGGTCCAAAGTTAAAGAGGGCGAGTCCATTGGCACCGATGTAGTAGGCGTACCAACTCCAAATTTCCTTCTTTGAAGTTTCGGGCATGTCACCCTCGACCAGCGTGGGGACGATGATGCCTGCACTGACGTCCTGTTTGGTTGGCCCATCGCGCAGATCCTCGGAGGGTCTTGGCGCTGCAGTCGATTGGGAAGTCATGATTGGAGTAATTTATTTCTTCTGCTTGAGTGTAAAAAAGAGAATGACCAAACTATCAGAATATGCGGCTGCAACCTGTCCCAGTACGAGGGATTTTAAGCTCTACTGATGTCGCAGTTGAAGATGCCGTGTAACCGTTCAGTACGTCTCAAAGCTGGGTAGATCGTTGGTCGGAGGCTGGCTAGTGCCATGAAAATTAGCAGTCTCGCCCCATAATGTGGACTATTTGCCTCCATGGGGTTAGGATAGCCGAACTGGAGATAAGGGAGATCCAGGCCTATCATTTGTTATCAGAGGACTTGTTGTGGAGAAGATATGATTTGCATTTGGAGCCGCTGATTTTTATTCTTATCGTTCGTCGGGTATCGCCCTTCAGTTATTCTTGCCCCGAGGTTTCTTTTCAACGCTATCGTTAATCCACAGCCAACGCCGCTTTGGTTTTCTGAGGTGCTGGGATTTGCGGGCTTTTTCCTGTGCAAACGCCAATAATTAGGTAGCATACTAAGCTCTTCTAAAATGATCATGAGAGAATAAAATTATCAAGAGATTTAAAATAGTTAGGAAGATCTTAATAGAACTTTAAATAAGTCTTGAAAAATTTATTTATGTTAAGCCTGGTAGCACCTTTAAAAAAGAGATCCAGCTATCCCAATGAAATCCACAGAAATATCAACAATAGAGGTCTCTACACAGACCGAAAAGCAACAGTATCTCAAATCCAATAAGGTTGCCCACTTGAAAATTTTATATGAATTTAGTAAGTTACTATAAAATTTAGAGAAGAATAAAGGTTATCAGAACTTCTATATCGGCGTTAAAGCCGTATTATAAACTTTTTATTAACATCAAGCATATATACCCAAACTGAAAAGTATAAACCTTGGTCGAAATAGTTGGATGAATGCTACCATCGTCTATGATGCTTACAGTTTCCAACCGGGTTATCCTGTTATTGCACGCTTGTTCTCTACTATCTCTAAAATATGCAGAAAGCCATCCTCGTCGCTCAAACGTGCTACTGGTGTACCCTCTTCAAATTTTATTCCAAATAGAGCTTAAGCTCATCTTTCAGGTTCTCCGCAAGCGGATGATGGTGAGCGTCAGCTACGAGAACCATTCCGGGACGATGGATCAGTGATGTCGAAGGGACCGTATCTATTGTAGCAGGCAGTACTGGACTACTAATGTTAACGCCAAAAACTTTGGGTGGATGTGGTTGAGAAAATGTGCTCATGGCTCGTATTTGAAGTGAAGTAACTAAAAAGCTAGGCTCCAATTCTCATTTGCTATCATCCTTTTCTTATAGAGGTTTTGTAGTGTTTCGGGACGCGCTTTCCAGATATGACCACTATCATTCCGTCAAAATACATGATGACCATCTTATAAACTGGGATCAGAATCAGGCCTTGTTCTTTTGCCCCAATCACACTTTGCCGACAATGTCGGCTTACTCTGCGCTTTCCATAGTAGCATCGGAATCCCTCATCGTTTCATCTTGGTAGTCATGGTCCCGAACGTCGTCATCTTCCTCTCCCAAGTTGCCTCCATCATCGTCAGTGATGCCAAAGGCTATCCAGCATGTCGTTCACGGTGTTCGTTGGAATCTTGTTCATCTGTGGCAGCGCCTTTGCGAAAGGTTAGCGACATTCCGAATCGGGGTCATCATGTAAAAGAGTCTTACCTTGAGGTGAATCTGCCTCTGGCTCAGCAAGGTATGGATGCTTAGGGTCAAGTTCTCGGATATAGGATTTGAGGAGAGAAGTGACTTGAGTGGTGTCTTCCTCTGTGCAATCGCGAGCTCGGATTTCCTTGAGCTTGTTGTAGAGATCCCGTGAGGCTTTGCTGGCGGGAAGTCGAAAGTTTGAGTGCTCGGCCTGGGTAAAAACACTCTATGCAATAGCGTCCAGGTCTGACTCGACTTTCTCTATGATGGCGTCCTTGGTATCGGATGATGACATCGAGCTTGTCTTTGGACCCTTCTCGCTTGTTTTCTGGGGTCGGTCGGTCGGAGGGTCACTCAAGGCGAGTTTCAATTCCAAGAGGTGCGACTTGAGTTTCTGAAGATCGTTATTCGCGAGGCCCTGATCGTTGGCGGCCATCTTCGTAAGAACTTTTTAGATGTAGAAAGAGTCGAAAATGTCTTAATGCAGAAGCGCGTATATCGAAGGCATATATCTGGTAAAGAGGTGACAAATGTGGTGGAGAGGAGGATTTGTTGTTGATTCATGAGCTCACAGCGGCCAGTTTCCAAGCTGGCCACGTGATCGTCACGTGGCTACCAGCTCACGTCGCACAAGAACAAGCTTCCTGATTTCTCAGGTTCTAGATTGAGATGGGATGGGTAGTATCACCAAAATGACCATGATCAAGATAACGATTTAGCTTAGAAGTGGGAGCCAACCGCACATCTCTTAGAGATTCCTTTCTGGGATAAGTGCCAGGGCGGGGTTGAATTACCACGATCTTACTGGGCAACACTCCGGGTATGACCCAGGAGCTAAACGTCGAAACCATAACTTGCCAAGGCGTCGGACAGATAGACTGGGGTCAAAAATTGGTATATAACCGTGAAATGTTCCTCATCGATTCATCTCCCCGTCGCACATTTCTTACACTAAAATGGCTCTGTTGTCAGTGCCCTTGCTTTTCGGAGCAGTATTGCTTCTTTCTCTTAGCGTCATCATCACACGCTTGCGTTCACCATTAGCTTCCTTGCCAGGGCCTCGTTTGAGCTTACTGACCCCTTGGCAGCTAAGGTATCGCGAGCTACGTGGTAAACGCACCCAGTATGTGCATTTGATGCACCAAAAGTATGGCAACGCAGTTCGTGTGGCACCCAATGAGGTTGTGTTTTCTTCTCTGGAGGCAATGAAAGAGATTTATCTCTCCAAAGGAAGTGGATTTGACAAGACAAGTTTCTATGATCTCTTTTCTCAGTTTGGCTTGAAGTAAGAATTTTGAATGCTGGTGTGTGAAAAATTGGACTAAGATGAAATCAGAACAATGTTCTCTACCCCTCTCAAGGGACCAGTAAGTCAAGACATCGCTACGGACTTAATAGAAACCTAACTTGCTCTAGCACAGCCAAAGGAGACGGGTTATCGCTGATCGCTACGCAAATACGAATATCAACCGTGAAGCCTCTCTCCAAGGTATACAGAAGAGATCACAAAATTTCATCGCACGATGTAAAGAGGCCCCGAAGCAGCAGCTTGATATCTATGTATAAACGCTCCTGATCCAATGGTATCACAAGACTGATAGTATTCAGATGTATCTTCATTGCTACGCTTTCGACTGCGTTACGCATCATTTGTTCCACCCTCACGGCAGTGATTCAATTCTGAACGCTGAGGATGAGAAGACTTTGCATGAGACGGTGTTTGACAACAGCCTAGTCAGTGAGTACAGGATTCTCATAAGAAATACTCAGAGCTGATGGGGACTACGATAGGACGGCTCATGAACTATTACCACCCTACTCTTGGTAGTCTTGCTGGTAAAATGGGTCTGTTTGGTAAGTCCCGCGGCATCCCTCGCGCCATAGAATTTGTGCTCAACGGGGTGAAGAAAGGTGGGGTTGCTGATTTCACCCTCGTGAGCCGCATGCAAGAAGAGAAGTTTGGTATGGACAGTACTGTCATTGCTTCAGAATGCATGGATCACATGCTGGCTGGCATCGAAACCACGGGTGATGCACTTTGCTTCTTGATGTGGCAGATCTCTCAGCCGGGCTATGAGTCCACTCAGGAGAAGCTTCGAGATGAATTCAGCGAAAACCCAGACGTTCCTTTGGACCAATTGCCATATCTGGAAGCAGTTGTCAAAGAAGGACTGCGAGTGTTCCCATCAATTCCCATGAGCTTACCTAGATGCGTCCCCGCAGGAGGCGCAACAGTCGATGATCATTGGCTTCCAGGCGGCACCATTGTCAGCTGTCAGCCTTACTCAATGCATAGAATGGATGAGGAAGTGTTTCCTAACCCAGATGACTTTGAGCCCCAGAGGTGGTTGGAGGAGAAGGGTTCGGCTGAGCGGAACCGACTGTTCTTCGCTTTCTCGAATGGTGGACGGGCGTGCATCGGCAGACAGTAAGTACAAGCAATGCAAAACTTGCTGGAAATGTACTAAATCTCTGTGTGGTCTGGCTATTGTTGAGATGAAAACTCTTCTACGAGACATTTATTCGCGGTATAGGACGAGTCCAGCTGAAGGAATGATCTTTGATATGAGCATGGATGATCAGATATTTACTTCTCGTCCGAAGGACCAGAAGTGTATGTTGGAGTTTACTGTATGGTAAAAGAGCTTCAAGCAAGGTCTGGGTAATGTTTCTAGGTGAAGGCAGGTCACTAAGGGAAGTGTAGAAGAAGATTCTTCATATTTAAGTGGACCGGGAAAATGTATCGTTGAATAACTCGCTGTAAATACTTTGCTCTCGGAATGTCAGCATAGTAAAACCACGACGTTTATGTCCGTGCAAAGCCATGGTTATCGCTTCCATTTAAGCGCTTAGTGACCTTCTTTCTCCGCTAGTGTGCTAATGCGGGGAACTTTCATCGGCTAACACTGAAGATTTAGACTTATCATCATCAATTATTGTTGATATAATGAGTGATCTGCCTCTGATACCTGCCAAAAGCAGGACAAAAACCACGAGATCTCGTGGCGGATGCGTGCGATGTCGACGGAGGAGGCAAAAATGTGACCAGAGCAAGCCCCATTGTGGCAGATGCGTCGAAGCGGGGAGTCTGTGTATATACGAGGTAAATCTGAGCTGGGGAGGACGGTCTTTTCGCAAATCCACTTTTGGGAAGTGTCTGGAAGGTGTCCAAAGAATAGGTGAGCGTCTCAGTACATGCACAATTCTTGGTGGCCGTGTTTTAACAATAGAAAGACAATGACACGGACAATGATGGGTTTGTCTATTCTACGTCCAGTCATCAAGATGCTGAGCAAAGATGGTCTTCAACACACTCAGAAGTACCTCCACCGACTTCGGGAGACGACAAAAGGACAAGCATCAACCACGCTACTGAGAATCACGAGCAGACTGGAGATCAACCGATTATTTCTGAATTGCCGTCTGTGCCGAACCACGAAAGCCATGCTGTATCGTCACAAACTCTGACTTTACAGACCATGGCCCAACCTCGGCCGCAGCGTCAGATATCCTTCCTCCCACCACTAGCCCAATACCTATTCCAATTCTACACTTCAGAAACCATGCGACTTACAGTCCCGAGTGACTGTGCTAAAACTGAGATATGCCGCTTTCTCATTCCAATGTCGTTCCGCGAGCCCAGTCTACTCTACGCCATCATGGCGTTCGCAGCTGTTCATATGGATGCAATAGGAAAGTTACCGGGTGATTCGCAGAGGCTGATTGACAGCTTACACTGGGCGAGCATCAGACAACTGAGGCAACTCCTGGAAGATCCTGATCCAGTCTCTCAGGTTGTGGCGCTGGCTACCACAAGAACCCTTTGCCAGGCACAGATATACGGTGGGACATCCCTGTGGCGTGTCCATCTCAACGGTGCAAGAGCTATACTTGAGTCGACCCATGAACGGAACAAAACCATCAAGTATTCTGATCAACCCTTTCATGTCGATTTTCTATCAAGCTGGTTCAACAATGCACAGGCTTTGGCCGCCCTGAATCCAATCGGGCCGTTCGAAGATCACGTTCGGTTGAGCTCTCAACCACAACTTGGGGCATTCTTTGATATATATGGTGGCGTCATGTCAGACCTCCCAGCTTTGTTCAGCCAAGTCGGGGCTCTAGTTCAAAGGAGCCGCAAACAAAAATCAGGAGCGTCAGACATCACCGAAATTTCTGATGTTGATATCGAACTGGAAGCGGATATTCTCACGCAAGAAATCCATTCAAGGCTGGCGAGAGATAAGGCAGAGAATATCACCTTCAGTCATCACAGTCTCTTGTCTCTTTCGGCAAACGATATCCAGAATTATGCTCTCAGTAATGCTGGGTTTCTGTATACAGCTCTTCTACGTATATACTACGGAGTGAGATCACTCTCTCCCTATTCAGTCGAGGTTCAGTTTTGCGTTAGCCAAATCGTCAATTGCGCCTACGGTATGTCTTGTGAAACCGGACTTTCACCCAGAGTACTATTGGTCGCTCCTCTATTCGCCGCTGGGCTTTGTGCCTATGGCCCTGCACGAAACAGCATCAGATCGTCCTTGGTGGATATAGGAAAATGGATGAAGACTCCTCATCTATCCAAAACATTAGCTTTGCTGGACGATATTTGGGAGCGATGTCACAGCGAAGGTGGTTTCAGCGAAAGTTGGGAAGGGTTTGGTACGTGGCTTTGTGATATCTTCATCTTAGTTTCAGAAGCTAACATCTTTCTCAGAAACAGTCAAAGTCAAGCTCGACTTCCTCCCTTATTAGTATTTCTATCTAGGAATAGGCGACCTGTATTCGTGTTTACATCCAATAGGCCTCAGCCATCTTTCAGCAACCTGCAGCAGCGTGTATAAAATGTCGGACCCTCGGCCTTCGAGTTCTGCTATACCCTCTCAGTCTCCGTGACCCGGAGTTCGATGCTCGCCTTTCCCATATCGTCTTCAACCACTCTCCGGGGCATTTCGTAAACTCCAAACTTTCTTGCAGGGATTCTCTCGTTGAACTATGCAAGAGTTACGGTTAGATTCTTGTTCAATATTGCCAAGAACATGATTACTTACCATGGCATCGATCTCCTCCAAAGTGCGGCCTTTAACCTCAGGCAAGTAAAAGTAAACCCAAACAACACAGACCATGCACGACGGAAACCAGATGTAGCCGTATCTGGGTCCCCAGTTCAATGCGCTTGGGTTGATGAAGTATGGGGCCGTGAAGGTTATAAGCCAAGCACCGAGAAATCCGGCAGCAGCAGCGAGGCCGAAAGTATAGCTGCGGAGGCGTTGTGATGGAATCTCACCGGCGACTAGCCATGAATACGGCGCAATCATTCCCTAACAAGCAACAGTCAGCATAAATAGTTCCGAACCATACCAGAGATTCTTACATTGTATGCCATCATATACAAGCACGAAAGTCCAACCAGAACTTTGCCTGTGACGATTTGGCCTGGATTCCTGTCGTATACGACCGCAATAATGAGCTGGAAGAAGCCTGCAATGACGAGTCCACAGATTAGAAGAACTCTTCGCCGCCCGTATCTCACAACGATAAAAGCGTTGAAGATAGTAGCAAGCATTCCCGCTGTACTCAGAACGTTGCTCATCGCAAAAGGGTCCTGGACTTTGGCCATAGCGAAGAAGTAGGCTTTAAAAGCTACGCAAAAGTCAGCATCATGAGACCGGGCCTAGATGAGTTGTTACAGACCAATAATGAACATCGAACCTGAGGCAGCTTGGAGTAAGATGGCGCAGACAGATAGAACAGTGCGTCTTCTGTCGACTGGGTTGCTGAACATATCCAGCACCTCAACACTACTAGCTAAGGCTTGTTCTCTATCGATAGCCTGTCGAATCTCTAATAACTCACCATCGACATTGGCATGAACAGGCCTTAACCATTTCAACGACCTGAGACCTTCCTCGTAGCGGCCTTGAAGGATGAGCCACCGTGGAGACTCAGGAACAAACCATAGTGCGAGGAAGATGAACACAGGCACCACGTAGATGATACCAAGAGGGATCAGATACGCTGAGCGGTCTGGGCGCTTGGCTGTTGTCCAGTCGATGATTGTACCAATCAGAGTACCCTGATAGTACCAGTCAGCTTTGGCAATCCTGTTTGTTGCCGACTTGGACTGGTGTACTAACGAAAGTCGTGCAAAGATGGAAAGCCGTCAAGAACAGACCTCGGTACTTAGCTGGACTACTCTCTTGGATATAAAGTTGTGAAAACGTCATGAAGTAGCCGTTAGCTAGACCGATAAGAAGACGACCAAGATAAAGAGGCCCAATATCTGTCGTAGTCATCATGATGATATTGGCAATAGCGCATAGTATGCAGGCCAGCCGAAGACACATCTTTCTTCCGAGTTTTGTAGCGACGAACCCTGCGAGACTAGAGCTTATGAAGGCGCCCAGAGTCATCAAAGACGAAATCAGCTGCTGTCGGGTGGTTGAGATATTCCATCCGATAGCAGTTCCCGGGTCTTCATAGCCATAGATCTGGGTTGACAGCCAGTTAGTATGACTACCTGACCATTCTGAGATGGATCTCATGGCTGCGCCAACTTGCCTTGAGAAATCCAGGCATTGCCTGTAGCCCTCCTATTAGCCCAAAGTCAAGACCATACTGGAATGGAGAGAGAACGATGATGCCACAAGCAACAAAACATTTCCAGTGAGCGCGAATGGTATCCTCTGAAGGGCTTGTCATGGCTTTTGAGAATGATGGAATAGAAACGAGAGACTAGAGCCTGGAATAGCCAGGACAGCTCACAGTATCTAGCTATCTATATCTTGCGTGTTGTCTTATCTCAAAGCCAGACTCGAGGTCGTGGCCCGCTCAAGGCGCTCGGCCATGCAGCCCCGCAAAGGTTGTAAAATGCCTAGATCACTTACTACCAATAGTACAGGCGAGAATTCCTGCTTAACCGATGTGCGGGGTATGCGGGAGAGGTCACATCGGAAGTACATGACCAGAGTGTTGGTTGCACCTCGTGTGGAGCAGGCTGATGAACAAAGAAGATCACTTATTTCCGCGAGTTTAATCTGTTCTTTCTTCAAGGACGCGAGACAATAATATCGCATCGACAGCTCGCGTAGCGGGTATTAAGAACCAACTAAAGCAATTCATGCGACATCAGTACGTGCAGAGGCCGAGATTTTGATCACAAACTATCGTAAGTGAGACTCAGCCATTTTCTTGCAGCCCAAGCAAAATACCGACACATGAGTGGCTGCTTGGCAATTATCCAGATTAGGGACCAACTACCACATCTCCGAATTACCGTATCAAATGCCGTGATTATGCTTGTTGCTGATCCTTGCTTGATACATGACTGCAAACGTCTGACCAAGCACTTACAACAAGGTCATGCTTTCGCTCCTGACCAATGAAGTCAGAATGGTTCTTCTCTACTTGCAGAACGCATGGGAATATGAATGGGTCCTATACATACATGTATGTAACGGTGAGAATGCAAGTTCCAATGATACGGCTGTTGCCAGCCATGGCCAACCAGCCTAAGTCATTTGTTTGTTGTAGACAGTAGATGAATGCCAGTTGCATGGGGATATGCGGGGAATGGTCCGGGGAGAACTACCTCGGCGTTATCAGGGTATCAATACCCGAGCTTCTTTGATGAATGGCCTATACAATTAAGTTCGTCTCAAAACCTGGCAAGAGCCCCTCTTCCGTCTAATACCCTCTCCAAACCGCGGCCATGACTTCAAGCAAGTCAGGCATCAAAGTCATCATTGTCGGTGCTGGATTTGGTGGCTTAACGGCCGCAATCGAATGCCATCGCTCAGGGCATGATGTTGAGATCTACGAGTCCTTCCCTGAACTCAAAGTTCTTGGGGATATCATTTCATTTGGCGGGAACGCAGGCAGGATCTTCCACCGCTGGTCAGATGGAGAGATAGTAGCCAGACTACGCCCGCTGTGTATCGACCTACAAGATTATGGGTTTAGAATCCATAAATGGGACACCGGTGAAGTTGTCTATCATCAAAAACGGCCTCCTCCCAACCCTGAGGCCCCGATTTTGAATGGCCATCGTGGCGAGCTGCATGAGGTTATCTTCAGCTATGCACGCGATGAGCTCGGAATACCTATTCATCTTGGCCAACGTGTCTTGGAGTATTTTGAGAACGATACTGGCGCAGGAATTATACTGAAGAATGGAGAGAAGGTATTTATCGTAGGAACATTACAATGTATGTGTCTCTCTAACGACTGTCTAGATTACTGGCGACGTTGTGATTGGAGCCGATGGTGTAAGATCAAAAGCAAGAGAGCTTGTTCTAGGCTACGTTGACAAGCCCAAAAGTAGCGGGTATGCTGTTTGGAGAGCATGGTATGTGTTTCATGGAAATATTGCTGGAGCTGTGGCTAAAGATTGCAGGTTTTCAAATAAAGACATGATTGCAGATCCTCGTACCAAAGAATTCTGCGAGAATGGTGATACCTTCAATGGTTGGATCGGACAAGACGTCCATTTCTTATTCTCAACTTTGAAAGGCGGCAAAGACTGCTGCTGGGTACTAACCCACAGAGACGACCATGATATCGACGAGTCGTGGTCTTTCCCTGGTAAGATTGAAGAGGTACTGGATGTTCTCAAAAACTGGGACCCAACTTGCCGCGCAATTGTCGAAAAGACGCCCTCGGTCGTCGATTGGAAGCTAGTTTACCGTGATCCCTTGCCCACCTGGGTGAGCAAAGAAGGCCGTATCTTACTCCTCGGCGATGCCGCTCATCCTTTCTTGCCGACGAGCGCCCAAGGCGCAACACAGGCTATGGAAGATGGTGTGACTATTGCTGTTTGCCTGAAGCGAGCTGGCAAGAACAACATACCTGGGGCTCTGAGAGCCCATCAACACCTGAGGTAAGAACTATCAGTTATCGTTTGCTGGGCCTTGGCAGGTTTAACATTATGTTAGATACAACCGCGTCAGGGCGGTACAAAAGACAGGGGAGTCTACTCGAGATCTTTGGCATAACACGGACTGGGACAAGGTCAAGGAAGATCCTAGCAGTATTGCGTTCCCGAGAGAGGATTGGGTTCATCAGTTTGACGCCGAGAAATATGCCGAAGAGCAATTTGATGGCATATTTGGTGAAGCTAATACTCGCGATGAGATCAATGAGGGTGTATTAGACCATGAAACTCCTGCTGTGACTAGAGTAGCTACATGACTAGGCTAGTATTCCTCTTATGGCAACACGTTACGATTGCCCCTAAAGCAGACAGCCATATTCCCCTCCATAGACCTCAAGCAAGCCTACCTTACCAGTCGGTAAACACGTCCCATATCGACTCACCCTCGCCGACGATCATGGAGTATGACACTTGGGCATAGTATCGAGCCTTCTGATAGAGCCGCGGATTATGTGCATAGTAGGCAACTGTCAGTTGGAGGAAAAGCCAAGGGACATAGTGTTCTGCCATACCCCAGTGCTTTACCTCCAAGTGGGGCTGGCTATCCCCTGGCAAACTCGCTACGATGATGTATCCCAATGCTTCGAGGGCTTTGATGATCATCTTGCCAGACTCTGCTGGTTTGTTGTCAACTCTGTAGCGGCTTCCAAGAGCTGCATAGACCTCTGCAAGTTCCATCCGAACTTTCTTGGCTGGTTTTCCGGTGTAAGTCTTTTCTACACCTCTCTGTAGTCGGTTGGCCTTGGCGGCATCGAAGTTGGTCAGATCCCGCGTGTGTTCCATCAGATCTTTATAGCACTCCTCGCGGCGTTCCAGTAGGGATGCAGGTGTCTTCTTTCGCTCTTTGCACATCTCACAGTCGCAGATAAAATCCCAGGGCTGGAGCTTCTTCTGGACTTCGTCGTACAGCTCCAGAGCGTTTGGAGCATGGTAAAAGAACAAAAGCTCAGTACCAGCGGCAATATCTTGTGTGGCACGGACAATCTGCATGTCGCCAATAAATGACCGTCGGCAATTTCCGCTGCACGAGTGGTTGATGCGGGAAGCGAGGAGCCAGATGCCCGAAGTCGAAAAGAGTGTCTCTTTCATGTCGATGATGTCTTTCGGGTCTTTTGATGGGTTTTTGGCGGCCACGAGCGTGTCGTTGAAGAATCCCCGACTAGTTCTCGGAGAACCGAAAGCGTTGATGGAGATGATCTTCTCTACCATGAAGCTGCGTCATGTTAGTATCTGCATTTTGCCAAGCCAAAGCTTAACTTACGAATCAACAATCGGAAGTCCGTCACTTTCAAATACGGTCAATTCCTTGTGCTTTCCATGAGAAAGTTCCTGAAACATGGGGATGGACTGTGGATCGTGGTACAGTTTCTGGACGATTTGTGGCAACAAGTACGCAGAGCCGCCAATCGTCATTTTCTTGGTGAACAAGTTCATCAAGACGTTGGCACTCGCCTTTGGGTTCGTCAGATCGATGTGGCAGTAAGAGAAAGCTTTTTCGCAAAGAAGTAGCTCTCCGGCTTTCACATCTCTGGTAGTGAAAAGGCCATTCCCACGTCCCGGAGACTTGCGAATCTCAACGGGACTGGAGTAAGTGGCGCAGTCAATCAAAGGAGGAGTCGCTTTCGCCTGTTCGTACATATCTTTGAAGTCATACGTACCTGTCTTCTGCTCGTAGATCCTTAGATAAACGCGCTGCAGCTCCAGCTTGGCGACTTTGTTATCAGGAAATGCCTTTTCCAGTTCTCGAAGTTTCGTCACACACTCCTCGAAACGACCAAGCCCGTAAAGAGCCTGAGACTGGCGAATGAAAGACCTATCGTTCGGTGCTTCAGGGTCATGGCCTCGAGCCGCATCATGCAGCGCTTTGGCTGGTCGGTCGAGTTTGAGGTTGGCCAGTGAGCGATTGAGATAAGCGCGCTGCTCCTCGTCGGGTGTTTTTGCAGTCTCGTTTGCCCAGGAGTATCTATCAACATGTCAGCGAAACGTGAAGCCGGATGGCTAGATAAGCCTACAGGCGATGGGCTGCTGCCCAATCCTTGTTGACAACACAAGTATTGCCCTGTTCTCTGTGGCCCTGGCTAGAGTTGGGGATCCGACTCTTGATATGTCTCCATTTCGCCGGTACTTGCTGGTCGTTATCATCTAGCCAGATGATATCGCTGGGGTGGTCGACTCTCAAAGAATAAGGGCCATCAATAGTCTGCTTGAGGAATGGCTCTTTGATGATACAAATGCGGTTTGGTACAAAGATCTCTGCGCAAGGTACTAATCCCTCCTCAGGTTGCTGGTAAACTTGAAGTAGAATTGCCGTCTCTTCTTCATCCTCGACGATGATCATAACCGCGTTGATACGATCGGGAGGTGTGAGTATCCGAAGCAGGACCTTGCTACCGCGGTGGTGAGTCTCGAGTCTCATTTTAGAAATGGCGATGAGTTTCAAGTCCTGTGCAGGGAGAATACATGGCGGATACGGCTCCGGGATCTGAGTGATCGGGACAGTGATGTTTTCAGTCGTGGAACCCAAGTACCCTTTTGCCATCAAGTTCATCATGAAAGTCTGGACGACAATGGGGGCTGGCGGAAGATCGTAGACGATCTGTCCCTTTCTTTTCGCAGCTTCATTTGCGAAGTCCTCGATCCGCTTCAGCATGGTAAGGAGTTGGCCATCCTCTGACACGTCTATGGTGTCCATTTTGACGTCGTTTGGCTGACGGCATCAGGCGGTAGCAGTCGAGGTATGATGATGAGAGGATATGTGAGAAGGATCAAGACCTGAAAGAGAAGAGATATATACCTGTTCCAGTCTATCTGTCACAAGACTGAGGTGACTGATCGTCTGTTTGTCTGGTCAGAAAACTTTAGGCACACAGGTGCCAGATTGGTTGCCATTTGATGCGGAACAATGAGTCTCTCGAGTGGGTCATGGTTTGAACGCGAGAGATGATACGCCATGGAATCCAGATGGTGCCGAAACAAACAGCGGTTCTGCCGGCTACAGCCAGTGCTGAAGCTGAGTTATTCGCGTCACCATATAATCAGTTTGCGCTTCTCAACTTCTGCGTGCTTCTATATGCAGAAGGATTTGCTACCTGGGCCTGCGATGAATCTGTCTGGTTTGCTGTCTAAATTCTGCGCTGTATTGTTCTTCCTTTTGTTTATGACGATATCACACTCGTTTGCTAACTTAGGACAAATCCAGAAACCAACAGCCCTTGTACGATGTGAGCCCCCTATGTCCCGTTCCGCCGTACCAAATTGGTAAGGGAATCGCCGTTGCAGTCTTCACCATCTGAGAGGAATCACGGTACCGTGCATAAAGTATTGGAGCGGGCTCAATCACCGCATGTCTGTCAAGATACGTGATGTCTCGAAAGTGCAATCACAAATCTGTAGTGAAGCAGAGAGTTTGCAGTAGGTATCAAGTCAATACAAGAAAACAGCAAACGTGAGATACTGATTCATTCGCTGAAGTGGCTTAGACTGATCGTATTTCAGCCGTTTGGGGCGGATTCTCGGGATTCCGAGAGTCATGGATGCTTTAGCCTTGACTTAAAGAGTCTAGGCACCAGCAGGGACGTTTGTCTTGGGGCGCTAGCTTTGCGCAAACACCGGTAGAACTGGGCTCTTCGCAATTCTTGCAACTTCTATTCTGGTCTATCTTCAATGGTTGTCACTTGCTGTCAACAATGGGCATAGTGTAAAAGCACGTTGGGCTTCGGTACTGCACTTGCTCTCCGTCCCAGCACGGAGCTGCCTGGCAACTCTCCACCGCATGGACATTTAGATCCAAGACAATCAAGCTAACATTACCTTAAGCAAGGCAGAATCAACCGTCAAGAAGCGTTTGTGCCTGTCCCTGGTCAGCCTAAGACGCAAGGGGACCTGCCAAGACGCAGCCACAACTCAAATTCCATTCCGCTTTACGAAATAGGACACTTGTGATCACCCAAACAGGGTAGTTGATTTGTTGATCTTCCTGTTTAAGCGAAGCTGCTTTTTAACCTTATTTATTGGTGTCACTAGACCGGTCCAGATTGTTGGGTTTGGCGCTATTTGGCAGGGCTGAATGTCACTAATATCAATGGCTTTTCGAGCTGAGGCATCATCATGCGCGCTAAGCGGTCAGGAGGAAACCATTTATGAAGGGTTGTATCTCCCACTGAAAGGCAAACTTTGCCACAGGTTAGTCTAGACGAATACCTTGATCTCAGTCATGCGTCGCTATCAACCCGCCTCATTGCTCGCCTCCGTGCTTGTGGCCCCAGCTCTAGCTGGCCCAGGTCAGAGCCTCGATGCCATCTGTGAATCCACTGTAGGAGTTTACGGATGCGAGGAATACATGCAGATTCCTTATGGATCGGAGCCCATCACGACTTGTTTCGACACCAGTCCCTGCGGAGTCCAGATTCTGACCAACAACAAGAATATCTGCGACCTCGTCAACGAGACTTACATTGGTGGTTATACCGCTTTCTGCCACCGGGCACCCGATGCGCTAAGAGTGATTAAGACAGACGGTCCTGTTTGGAGAGATGGGAAGCTCAGCGGCGCCGATCGAATTTCCCTTCAGGTGGCTGACGGTATTGAAGATGTTCGTAAACGTCTTGACTATTCTATAGAGTTTGACTAAAGCGACAAACAGGAATTTGATGGACGGGGCTTTAAGTTTCAGAACAACAAAAACACCGTCTTGGCTAATCAGCTGGTTAACAAGGATGGCTGGACAGTGTTGAAAGCACCAGTGGTACGATCCCTTCATCCTCAACCTGCCATAGCATAGTGATAGTGTTAACAGACTCGCAGATCGAGATGAGGAGCTACTACGATATCGCCGTCGCCCTCATCAACTGGGAGGAGTCGGGCTATGCTGAGAGCCAATTCAATGCCATCATGAAATGGTTCGAGAACTGGATCTCCCGTGGCACAGAAATCAGAAACGGGAAGCTTGCTACGATGCTCAAGGACTGGGAGAAGGTCTTTGCGACACCATACAAGAACAGAATCACCGCCATCAAAACGGCAGCAAGCACCGTCCAGACACGCGTCGCAACTGTTTCCAGCAAGGTAGAGGCAACCAAGAAGAGTATTTGCCAGAACAAAGCATGTACGGGGAAGACTGCTTCCACGTACCTCAGCAACGGTGAGTAACCGCTCGAGGACTTTGTCTTCTTGAACTAACCTGGTAAAGTTTCTGCGGCTCTCAAGGCAGTCAAGGACCTCTCCAACATCGTCGCGGCTGCAAATTCGGCAGATGAGAAGCGAAAATACATCTACTATAACTACCTCAACAACATTCAAGCACCGTTCACTACGGATCCGGTACACTTGGTTCCTAATAACCTAGCCGACCTTCTTGACGATAAAAAGCTAAACACTCTTCAAGGACTGATGCATGGCTTTGGTACTGTTACTCTCGAGTTATCAATGTACTCAAACGACATCAAGACTAACCTCACACCTCTCATCCTGCTCACAAAGCACGAGAGTAGAGTTCGGGATGCCTTGAAGAAGATCAACAGCCAGCTTACCCAGAACTGGAAGAACAACCAAGAGCTTTCCAAGACTGCGTCCTCTCGAAAGGTCCGCGATGGCTTCATCCAGATCCAGGCTCTTCTTAAGAAGGAACTTCAGGGTTCCCTTACCACTCTCATCAACGCCATTGGTGCTTTCAACACCGACTTTGGCAAGTTCCCACTCCGGTATAACACGATGGAGATCGCTTGGGGAGCTGCTCCGTTCGACCGTTGGTTTAACCTGGAGTTTGACTACCCGTGCAGGAAGCAAGTTACGAAGACCTTCACGGAGGCTGGTTTCTCAAAGGATTTCAGCTGGCCCGTATTCAGTCCGTGCAGATTCACTGCTCAGAAGATTGTCCTGCCTCGTGGCTGGATCCCTTATTTGAAATACCGATTCGTTAAGAACACGAGCTAAGATCATCATGAGTTAGCGGAGTCATTGGATTAGGGAATGTTTTCTCGGAGTGCTTTGTATTCCGGTTGTGTTTTGAGCTTTACTATAGACTTCAGTCATGGTGTTTTCTATCACTCCAACCATGTCATTATCGATTTGTTTTTTGCCTGGAGTCCTGACAAGAATTGAACGTCTCAAATACCTGGGTATCAAGTTGCATGAAACCTGAACTATTAATTAAGCTTCTACATCCTTTATAGTAAAGACTTTTCAATGCAAGAACCTCTCCCTCCCATTATGTCCAGTCCTCAGAACGATCATCCTACCTCCTGGCATTCGCCACATATTCGAGGCTCGTATTTTGTTTCATAGTTCTTTTTCTTACACTTCTTATTAACCTTGAAAAACTGGCACTTCTCAATGGTTTGCTTCTTGTCCTCATACTCGTCGCAGGCAGGACAATTGACCCCAAAAGTTGTTATGAGACACATGTTGAGTGTTTCAAATCTAGCAAACCTGTCGCTAGAGTGTAGTTGATGTATAAGTATTAGTCTTTTTATTGTCTTCTGCGGCAACTTAAAGCTATAATCTTTTGTTTGACAATTCCGATCATGGCATTCGAGTCTGGTCTTGACACTGTGATCAAACTAGAAGCCTTTCGTACTGAGTTACTGATTCACCCTTCGACTGATCAGAGTAAGGCTTTGTATCGTAGCTGATGCACCAAATTTGTATGAAGTGATCATGCGCTAGACCATCGTTAATGATGATATTGCCTCTGGTCCAACAATAGTCGTTGTTCTACTGAATCATTTCCGAAACACATCCTGCGAAGGTTACTAAACGAAGAAACACATGCTACTTTCATATAATTGGGTTCTAGATTGAGAACATTTGAGAACTGTTTTATTTCTCTCCTCTCTTTATAGACTATCCCATTTATACTGGGGAGTCCTTCTTCAAAAGACTGGCATCGCTCTCCTCCCAAGGGTGCGACCTCTCAGCAGAGCGGGCCATCTCGACATGCTTATCACTTCTAGGTGTGATGCTGTAAGCGTACTCGACAGGGTGGCTAATAAGTCCAGGTGTACCATCAACCACAACATCAATTTCATTGCCCTTGCCGTCAACTGCCTTGCGCATGTTGAATACTGCCAGTAGTCGCGCGAGGGTCATGAAGATACTATCCTCAGCCAGGTAGCGACCGGGGCAGATTCGTCGTCCGTAGCCGAAAGCATAGTCACTAGGGTCGGGCTCGTTGCGAGGCGCAATGTATCGCTCAGGTTCAAAGGCATCTGGGTTGGGGTAAACTTCAGGATCGTGGAGCAGCCACCATGTTGATGGGATAAGGTATGTGCCCTTGGGAATACAGTAGCCCTTGTACTCAATCTCTTCTTCAGTAACGTGGGTTGTTGTTGTTGGCACAACAGGCATCCATCGGAGCGCCTCCTTGGCAAGAGCGTTGAGGTAAGGCATCTGTTCTTGGTCTTCAAAGGTAGGAAGCCTCTCGCCTCCAGTAACACGGTCGATCTCCTCTTGAGCCTTCTTCTGAACCTCGGGGAAGGAAATCATGGCAAGGACGAAGCTGCTAATCGTTGAGACAGTAGTATCGGCACCACCACCGTACATGATGGTGGCGGTGGCTTTGACAGCTTCGATGTCTTCCTTGGTAGGCTTTCCGGTGCCATCTTCGTTCTTGAATGACTTGCTCATGAGAGAAGACACGTAGGAAGGTCGGTTTGTTCCGCTGTTCATCTGGTCCATAACGAAGTTGTAAGGAGTGTTCAGGGCCTCATCGGTAGTTTGTCTCCACTTCTTAGCAGTCTGCTTGTACGAAGTACCAGGGAACCAGTCGGGGAGCTTGTTGAGGCTAGGGATGATGTCCACGGCCCAAGAGAGAGGAACGAAAGCATAGGAGAAGTTGGTCATCATCGTCTCAATCAAGCTGACGAGGGGGTCGATCTTGTGAGGTTCGATGTTGTATCCGTAAATAATTCGCAGGATGATGGCGCTTGCTTCACTATTGGAATACGTTAGTTCATGTCAACGTGTACAGCTGAGATCCATTTTAGTTGACTCACGTCTTGATGTGCTTCTGGAAGTCCTCGGGTCGCTCAATTGTCCTGATGAGAAAGCGGAGCGACTCCAAATCCTGGGTGTCTCGAAACTCGGAGCAGATCAACTTGGTACCCATCTGCTGGTGCACGAGCTTACGGAAATATCTGAACTTGTCACCGTAGGGAATGACAGGAAGCATTACACCGAAGCCACATAGCTCGCTGGCAAAGGGCGACCAAGGTCGAGACGAGGTCTTGGTCGACTTCTTCTCCAAAAGATCGTGCATAGCATCTCGGTCGTTGAGGATGATAAGGGGAGTACCGAGGACATCAATATGGCTGATGGGTCCGTAGAGTTCATTGTGCTTGGCCCAGTGCTTGTACTCTGCCGTTCCAGCCGGCGGTAGATCGAAGATGTTGCCAACCAAAGGAAGAGGCTTGGGGCCAGGTGGTAGGGGAAGGCCACTTCGCTTCTTAGAGGGGATCAGAACGTAGTAGAGGATGAGCGCGGCGAGTGCCACGGCTGGGACTAGGAGGAGGCCCATGATGGCAAAGTTTCTCCAAATGTTACAACGAAACAACTCGATTAAGCAAAAGAAGCAACGTGAGGGGAAGCTCTATATATGCGCAGCTGAGGACAGCATCCCGCACCAACCATGCCCAATACCATGAATGATTATTCTCGCCTGTTGCGTAAGCTCCTGCAGTGAAACAACTGTTGGTTGTCCAAAGACTGCACAGGCGTGGGTCAGTCAAACACAACAGGGAGGGACCTTTCAAGAGAACCCTTCTCTAGCACAATGCGAGTCAGGCAAGGATTGCAACGTCGACGGTGCATTTTCGACGGAGAGGATCCCTCGATTTGGATGTGAAGCATGGTCTCATGCATGAACATTCCCTACCAAGGGCAGCTAGAGAAGCACGAGCGCAAGAAATGTCTTGTTCTAGCCTCAACCGAGGCGAAGATAAGCCGCAAAGAAAAGCTGCATGACAGGATCACACTCCCACGAGGCGACTCAGGGAGAGCACACGCCAACAACCGAAAGAGAGCGGGGATCAAGCGTGTAAATCTGCGGCAATTACCACAAAAGATCGCTGTAGATCTCCGCAAAAATAGCTGAGACGTGACAGCACTAAATGCGCGGGCCACGAATAAGGATGGACGTTTTGCTAAAGAGGACCGTTGATAGCGAAACGGCTTCAAGCCTTGGACGTTATGGCCGGGGTTTCACGCCGGAACTTGACAAGGAACGGCCCGGGGTTCCTTGATGATCACTTCTGCTTACTGCCGGGAGGGGAAAATGCAGCTGCAGTCGGTGAGCCAACCAACATGGTGGTGATCATGCAGGAAGAGATCGTAGGGGAAGGTTAGATTTGTGTTACCATGTTCCCCACGTGGCTGAGAGCTTATTCTGGCTGCTGGACGATAAGAGAGGATATTGGTCAACACTCATGAGGCTCATATCCAAGGAAGGAAGCGAGTGAAGAATTGCGTGAGATGGTGGAACATGACAATAAGCATAACCTGGCTGGTTAAGCGCTGGCGAGTCAGCTAGACTCCAATTCCCCATCATTTTGAGTTCAAAACAGGGGGCTCTGCGGCACTTGCAGGGGACGGCTCTACGCCTATTCAGTGCCGGTAGTGGTCGATCACACACGGAGATTGCTGCACCCGCCGTTTAGAGCTGAGCAACAACGCCCATTTCGGGCCAGAGGAGGCTCCAGTGGGTTTCGGATCAATGAAATCCTTCCATGCTATCCATCTTTTGATACTCTTCGCAAGCTTCGCTGGAAGAATGAGCCCGAGTGAACAGTCCAAGGATGCAGCATCTCCACCAGTATCCGTACCAAGCCGGCACGGACCCAGAGTAAACGGCACAGACATGAGCCAAGGATCAACACATCCATTACATTGACCACTGAGCAAAAGCCTCACTGCAGCCCTACCACTGCTCCCGTAAATTAATCTTTCATATTCGTATTGCGGTAGGACAATGTCGGTTATCTTTTCACTCAAATTATGACCCTTCGCGTGCAGGAATCCGACCCATTAGACCTGAATATGGGCCTGGCCAACTTGTCTGTCTTCTCTCTCACAGGATCGCGAGACTCGACAGAACTTTAGGTTTGCATATATATATGCATATCCGTATATAACCCCCACTCCCAGATCTTTGCCGAGACAATCGCTCAAAAAGAAACTGGGTCGGGTTCGGCTGGTTCTGCCGTTTCTGTTCAATCTTTCCTCGCTTCGTCCACGTATTTTTTTTCGCAGGTCGTTGGGGTAGGTAGGGCAGGTCGAGGTGGTATCCGGAATATGAAGGGAGACCTGTTGATCTCAATGTTAGCACGGGCTTCATAGAGGAGCAATTGATGTGAGCTATGGAGAAAATTATGTGGAGTTGGAGATGAAGATGCTGTTGCCAATGAAGAACTTACCACGACTGTCCAGGTAATGCATGGCGTGGGATTGGAAGCAGCTGGTTACAAGGGCTATACGAATGACCTTGTCGTCACATAGCACCCTGACGGAAGGTATAGCATCAGAGGTCTCGCCTCTTCTAGCGGTCGTTTGAGAAGTCCTCCATTGTCTCGACTATTTCCCGTGCCCGCTTGTCTGTTCATGATCGCTCGCTTCCGCGCGACATCTTCGGGGTAACGGAGGGATGGCGCATTCAGCTCTGAGCTGCTGGAGTATCAAGGCGAATTGATGCGCTCGGTCGAAACTCATATCTTTTGCGAAAGTGGACGTGGAAGCGACTCAATCTTGCCAATTGATGTGCTGTTGAAGCGCAAGTGAAGGACAGGGACAAAGGGAAGGAGGGGAATAGTGACAAACCCTGAGCAGGAGCTCAGAGAGTAATTCCAGCGCTTGTCATCTTGTATAGAGTAGCCAAGCTTTGCGGTTGTTGTTTGTGTTCGGGAAGCTGCCTTGCTACTTTTTAAGAGACACAGGCCTGGTAAAACAGGGTAGAGTCGTCTGCCGATGGCTTTGCGCGCAAGAGTCTGACTGTTCATCGTCCGGAAAAGAGTAAAGGTAGATCGTGGAGCTGACAGAGAATAACGTATGTAGATAAACGCTGTTCTCGGACGGGACTAAATTGTTGGCAAGCTCTAATCTCATGAAGCTGAGTTTGTACTGTAACGTCAAAGCCAAAGGTACCGCTCAATTACAGGGCCTCGGTATTCTTCTCTATGTTTCGGGGGCGTGGATGTACCTGTATCCTTGTCCTCAGCGTGGACACCCTGCATGGACGGTCAACACTCGGCTGCTCAGTGAGACACGTGCGATTTGTTCATTTCCATCGCACAACGAGATGATCCTGGGGCATACATGTGTTCCGTGTGCTGTCTCTTTTGAGCTTGTTGCGCACGATGCTGATGAGCAATCACGTACGCGATTTGTGTGGTGCAGGACGTTTCCCTTCGAAGTTCGTAGCAATCTTGTGAGACATCCGCGGTATCGGACTCTGCTCCGTACAGGTAGCTAGAGACCACCAACCCTCATTGCCGATACTTTGCAGGCAGGTCGTGGATGCCCTCTTGGTGCTTGCATGTTAAATGGCTAGTGATTTGGGTGTAAGTAGAGACACTGATAAGAACAAACGGACGAGCGACGCTCTGATTCGGTATCACTGTGTGTGTTTGTGTCCCCCCGGAGATGCAGGCGCTGGTTGGGTGCTTGATGTTGCACACGCCACAGGCAATACTATGAGAACTTGACATTTGTCTTGCCTTGCCAAATCAAATGGAATGCAGCACACAACCGCGCTCCCTGACGTGGTGGGCCGTATGTGACCATTTGGTTGACTGCCTCGTCGTATGGGATGGCCGTCGCACCCAAGACATGGTGGTTGGGCTTGATGCATCTTGGCCAGATCTTGATAGCAATAGAAACAACTTGATAGTTAGAAGAGAAATAACTCTTTCATTAGTGATTAACTCCAGCTGCCGGGTGGTTGTTTCCTGCATGCGACACGTCGAATCTGTGGTTGGAAACTGGACAATTGTCTCTGGCAAGGTTTTGCCCACCCTGGCCAATATCGCTGTGGTGGGCACAGCGCATGTTGCCGGCACGTGGATGCAAAAGTGCAGTGCTACAGCACATCAGAAAGTAGATCGAGACGCTTCAATGCAACAGCCAAGTTTTTGTTGATGTTCAATTATTTATCTTGTTGAACAATGCCTTGACTTATACGGATAGTTGATATGAGATCGACTTCTGACGACGATGTTATACCTATGAATGCTGCAGAAAGACCCAAGAGGTAGTTTCTGGATGTTTGATCATCCACCCTACAGAGCTATAGTCATGGTCAAGTTCACCACCACATCCATCCAAACCTCGATGGTCAATATGCGACCTCGAAGATACAGGGTCCTTTTTAAGCATCAAATCAATTCCGGCCTATGCAAGTCTTGCTTGGTATCTTCTGGGCATGAACCAGCACAGCTGTCGCCAGCCATGGAAAGCTTTACAGCCTGTTGGCCCAGGGTAAGGTCGTCGACGGTTTAAAGCTGCAAACTTCCACACAACTGCGATGGATACACTCGAATTGTCTAGTTAACATGAGACTATCGCCGTGGGGCGGCATGTAACTGATCTAACTGGTATTGGGAATCCAGGCCATAATGCCTCCTTTCCCCCCTTTGTATTCTCTCTGCTGCCATTCCAATAATCACTCCAAGCAAAGTCACAGGTCGGCAGACGTGCCCCTCGACACAGAAATCCCAAAGTAATGGCCCACGTTCAAGACCGACATGCTGAGTTTCCACTGAGCAATATCTAGCCTCTCGAAAAGAGCAGCCATTTCCGGTGTCTCGACATGTGGCAGTAATGGCATTAATGGAACTGCCAGCGCATCCATTATGATGTTGGAGCATTCCATGTGGCGAGCGTGGTACGTTGATGCTTGGCGCTGGCCTAAGATTTGCTTCGCAATGTTCATAGAAGGGCACTTGGGGTTCGGGATGTCGCGGTATACGGCAGCGATCGGGGGTAGAGGAGATACGTCAGGTTGATCTGGGACCGGGAGGGTCTCTGGCGCTGGGAACGTTAGTTATGCGTGCAGAAGGTGATCGTGCGAGCTTACCAGAGCGTTGTTCATCGTGTTTGCGAGGCAACAAGTGCTTGTACTGTCCGAGCTGCCAACCAGGTGGATGATCAGAGGGGCCGTGAGACTCGTCTCTTTTTCCCAACCACACCCGCAAGTTAGCAACGGAAAGCGCGTCGGGGCTTTCGATCAGGGACTTGATTGTGTTGAGCTCGGATATCGTGATCGTCACTAATCGGTGGTCGAAGTTGAGCTTGCGCTGGTGGAGTGGTATCTCTGGCTCCGATTTCGTGGCTTGCGAGACATGGTTGGAATCGTTCGAAGGATGCTTGTCGGTCATGGCGAAATCGTCAAGGTTCGGGAGGAAACGCAGGGCAAACGAGAGCGATCAAGTTGTTGCGAGACGAGGAGGTTTGGCAATGATCGATGCTCAGCTCTTTTGTTTACCTGCCTTGCGAATTGCTAAGACTAGGTCTGCAATCGGATGAGCAAATGGGAAGGCTCCGCATGATGTTGACATTGTAGATGCAGTGCAAACGCAGTGCCGACGGGGAGGAGGCAGTGGCCAGCCGTGCCTTGGTGTTTGCTTCGATTGTATGCTTGAACGTGGGTACAGAACGTTTTGTCGCTACTCCAAATCGTCGTATATCGGCGTGGTAAGTTTACGGCATTTGCTATTGAGAAATATTACTCGGTAGGCATTGATTGCAAGTGCGCTGGATATCTTGAGATGTGTTAGAGGAGCCACTGCAACTGCGCAGCAGTGTCAACATCCGACAGTCGGTGGAGGGAAGCTCGCATCGCGCAGTCACCCGATAGTGAAACCTTCTTAGAACGGCGCAGATGCAAGGGATTATCCAACGTAAAGAGCGACTGGATTAGGATGCGAAGATGCGAATGATGTACATGGCGAATTTGAAGGTGCGCGTCAATGGAAGACGCGTCGCGGGAATGACGTCAGAAGCACAGCAGAGGTCATGGCCACGGCTCGCCTGCAGTAAAGATAGGGTCTCTATGATCCATAACCGTGTCTTGTCGCTAATTGCGCGATTGCCCATCAGATACCTGTCAGAGATGCAAGATGGACACGCGAAGGCTCGGTTCCTGTTTGAGGGGATTCGCAAATCATCGGCCGAATGTCGGCTTGCGCTCCCCCACCCTTCAGCCCGCCTTGTCGGCGTGTGGATCGAGTACAGGGTATTTTTGCATGTAGGAATTGAGCATAATATTAATCTCCCGTCAAAATAAACAAAAGCAAGACATTTCGATTTAAAACTGAATGTTCTGCGTGTGCATGCCCCTAAAATGTGTTCTTGGAAATGGCTTATGTGCGCGATCTCTGAATTGCCCAAGAACCTACACCCACTGCGATGTGAGCAATTTCTTGCAACACCAACAAGCGTAACCTCCAGTTCTTAGGCTTCACTCAAGTGACAAACAAAAGCCTCAAAGGGCCGCAAAACAAGTGTTTCCTGCTTCAGATCCATCTCTGAATAGTTTGAAAGCAAAACCTTACCCGACTTCAGACCGGCCGAGGTGAATGCAGGCCAAGGAACCTCACGTTCTTTGAAGTTGCAGACAACTACCACCTTTTGTCCACCATTGGAGCGGGCATAGGCAAATATATCGTCGTCGTCCTTGTCAAGGAGCTCAAAGTCCCCATAGACGATGATCTTCTTAAGCTCCTTTCTTAGTGATAGAGCTGATCGCCAGTACTCGAACACACTGTCTCGTGTGCTTACTTGGGCGGCTGCATTCCAGGTCTCGTAGTCGTCATTGACTCTGATCCAGGGTGTGCCCGTTGTGAAGCCGGCATTCGGTGTCGCATCCCACTAGAACTGGTTTAGAAGCTTTCTTTCTGCCTTTTAATTGTGGCAGAATACTCACCTGTACGGGTGTTCGCGCGTGGTCACGCGATTTAAGCTGATATTCCTTGCGTGCAATCTCAAGAGCTGCCGCGTCCGTACCAGCTATCTGCTGAACTCTTATACCTGTGTTAATAACAATAATAAACGGCGGGAACCGAGCTACTTACTCCTCCCAATGGTTCAATGTCTCAAGATCCCGATGTTCGGTCATCTCCCACTCTTCGGGCATATTCTTCATCCCCAACTCCTGGCCTTGATAGACAAATACCGTGCCACTCTGGAAGCACAGGAATGTCGACAGCATCTTAGAAGATAACGCGCGGTATACGGGTTTATCGGAGACATATCTCGAGACAGTGCGGCTTTGGTCATGATTTTCGAGGTACAGTGCGTTCCACCCGCCGTTGTTGTACATGAAGGTCTGCCACTTGTTGACAATGGTCTTGAGGTCTTGCATTACCCATTTACGCGGCGAGAACTTCCCTTTGTCTCCGTGATCCATATCCACACTAAACACTATTAGCACTGTCTGCCAGAGCGTCTTAGTTTTGACTTACATCTCGAAGTTGAAGATCATGTTGAGCTCGCCCCGGTTTTCGCCCACACTTTTGATGATCTCCTTCGGATCTTGAACCGCAGGCATCTCACCAACAGAGAAGGCATTGTACTTTTTAAGAATACTGCCTATGTCTTGCAGATACTCATGAAGTCGGGGACCACATGCGAAGTGCTCATGTCCCGATTGATACTTGGCCCCAGGAATATGAATTTGAGCATCTGGCAGCCCATCTGCTTTGCTGATAAAGTTTATGACGTCCATTCTACAACATTAGTTTGCTTCGACCATGTGGGCAATATTGAACATACCGAAAGCCATCAACTCCCTTGTCTAGCCAAAAACGAATGATATCATGTACTGCTTGGCGCACGGGGGAATGTTCCCAGTTGAGATCGGGTTGCTCTTTGGCAAACAAATGGAGGTAGTATTCGTCCGAGGATGCATCGTACTCCCAAGCACTGCCTAGGTTGTTCACTTGTGTAAATAACTACTCGCGGAAAGGAAGATTATAGGAAGATTACCTCCAAAATAAGAGACCCAGTTGTTCGGAGGCTGACGCTCGCCGTGCTCATCGTATCGAGGCTTCCGCCAAATGTAGTACTCCCGGTAGGGATTGTCACGGGAAGATCTAGATTCTTGAAACCACTTGTGCTGTTGTCTCTCACGTCAGTGACCTAAACGGACTTGTTTTGGATGCCCACTGTACCTGATCTGAGGTATGATTCACAACAAGATCCATCAGTAGCTTCAGGCCTCTCGAGTGGAGGCCGTCAACAAGTTGTTCAACATCGGCCATGGTACCATACTGCGGGTCAATATCGCAGTAGTCGGCGACATCATATCCCATGTCGACCTGCGGCGATGGATATACTGGACAAAGCCAAACAATATCGACGTTGAGTCGTTTGAAGTAGTCCAACTTCTCAATCACGCCGGGAATATCGCCAATGCCATCGCCGTTGGAGTCATTGAACGATGCAGGGTAGATCTGATAGACGGATGCCTCCTTCCACCATGCTTCGGTGACGTGACTGGGTTTGTCACTATTTTCAATAGACATCATCAATAATTTTGCCTGTTTAATAATGGCCGAATCTTGGGTTGTTTGAAGAGAAGTAAAGTCGCCCGTTGTGGAAAAAGGTGCAGTCCAATGGTAAGACGGATGATGCGTCCATGGTGCACCAATTCTATCGTCTCGCATATAGTCCTCAATTTGTTGCTCGGCTTGCATCAATAGCTATTCCTCCGATTCGGAGATCTCCCCGAATAGCTCAGCTGGAAGAGCGTTCGACTGTAATTGTTATATGTCATCGAAAGGTCACTTGTTCGATCCAGGTTTCGGGGAGCTGATATTTTTTGCATTTTGACGGTATGATCAGACCCCACTTCCTCCAAGTCTCCACTCATGTGTACATACATCGAGAATCGATGAGATTATGCGTGTTGTTGCCAACTCCCTTGTTTTTCTTTCTTCTGCCGAAACCTAGTAACGTTCATGTTGCTTACTGGCTTGTATATCATTGGAACTACATCTGTGACAAAACTTTATCCTCCCTTTTAACTGCATTGACAGCTGTCGGATAGGATACGATAAAGCACACTTCAAACCTTGTCTCGTTCTTTGGCGATGGAATTCGAGTACGTGGGAATCATGTTGGTTTATTCCGTCTGGGACTATTTTTAATTGACTCAAAAAGCTCCAGTTAACTTGGTAACCAAAGGTTAAAAAATCGGTCCTGGTATATAACCGTCACTCATGGCGTCTTGTCCGATGCCTTTGCCTCCTGTTTACATCCTTTCACTCACACTAACACACCACTAAACACAGCCTGACTTGCCGCCTTTCAACTTTGACTTGACCATGGCAACCAACTTCTTCGACTTCAGTCGCCTCCCAAAGGAACTTCGATATATGATCTGGGAATGCGCTTTGCGACCTGACGTCCCAGGCGTGCACTTCAAGATGAACGATAAGCACGATATGCCGGCGTTTTCAGCAGAAGGAACCGTCGTCTAAGATGTTCGCTTCTATCAACGTATCAGAATGTTTTACCTGGTCATACCGGTTTGCAGTACCTCATATCAACGAATCACTCAACGATTCGGAAAAGGAACCAGGCATGGTGGAAAGATGGTAATCCGTCGACCTACGAGGTTGATAGTGGACTCTGGGCTGCCTATAAAGAGTCGAAATATGCTATGGAGCACACCCTCGGGCATTCTGTCTGCCCTAGCCTGCGTCAAAACCCCAACCACCCACCAGGGACCGTGAAGGATGGCACTACGATATCGTTTCATGCCGTGACCAACAAGAGAAAAGGTTCTACTAATTACGGCCAAGACAGGATCTCGTCGTGTTTCAGATTGAAAGAATGCCAGTCTTTTATCCCTTCAATTACTATCGTGGAATCGACTTCCTTGGGCATCGTCAATTAGCGCCACATCATGTTGGGCTCGAGTTCGATCCAGCATGGGCAGAGGCTATCTAAGAATACCATAAATACCCAATTCTCTCAAATGGAGGAGTCGTTGTCACGCGACTCGCGGGAGCAGCCTAGAGATGTGAAAACCTTTGGGTGATCGATTACAATCACACACGTCGATTTGACGCTTCGCGACAGAGATCTCATTGAGCGAGAACTCGTGACATTCCAAGCAGGCAGCCACCGTTTTGTTGAGTTCAAGTATGACAAAGAAGATAACTACACATGGAGAGATTGGGAGGAAGTACACAAGAGCAGTCGCAACTGTCGGGCCCCTGCGACACTCAAAGCTCGCAAGTTACTCAGTCGGAACTGGACACATTGGCCAGGCTCAAGCATGTACCAGTGGAAGAAGATTCGACTCTTGGGATGGAAATAGATCTGACAGAGAACATGTAGTCGGGGTGTACACTACCAAGAGCTCACTGGGAGTGCGATCAAGGCTGGACAGACTATCTTGGTTAGAGTTTTATAATCTTACAAGGACATTGCTTTGTTTCTACTTGGTCATTGCAAACTAATGAGTCCAGCGTTTTTTCTTTTGTGACATAAAGTCCATTCTTGTGTCGTCTTTGTGCCTTTTGTACTTCTATCTTCCCAAATCATTGACTGGCGTCCTTGCTCTACAAGCTATACCCCAAGCTCCAACGTATAACTAGGTAACTCAACAATACCACCACTTGCCCCTTTTAATTATCGCAGATACAGTCGATCTACAGACCGCGGCTACTCATCATTGGGAGGAAGTAGAGAGAAATCCACCATGCAGCCACCAAGCGAAAGCTTGTTTGATCTTGCGCTCGGGAACGTCGGATGAGCATATGAGCTGCTACCATAATCCCAGCAACGATGGGGATCGAACACCCAATAAGACCAAGCCCCCAGTATAGAGGACAAACAACAGACCATACACAAACCGCCACAGCCGTGATCCAGCGCGTTGGTGCGTCGCCAAGAATTAGGGGGAAGGTCTGGCGGTCGATCAATTTGTCTCCATCCTGGTCGCGCAAGTCCTGGACCTGAATGGTGGTGAAGACAAGGGCGGCGCACATGAGGAACCAGCCTAGACCCTTGTTTGTGTACTCGAAGTTGTCTGCATGTGCCTGAGTGGCTAGAACAGCTACACGAAGAGTTGCTACGCGGTTGGTGGTGATGCCGCATGCATTCATGAGAGCGCGTTGCCACCAGCTCTTGTCGCCCCATGCTTGCTCGTTATACAACCATGTGCAGAAGAGGTAGAAGCAAGTCTCTTGCCAACCGCCGAAAATAGTCAGACACAGGCCGAGTAGTGAGGCTATAGATACTAGCTGCCATCGAAGGGTCAGCTCAGGCGAGATGCGACCAGCTGGAATAGGTCGCCAGGGCTTGTTGACGCCATCCTCAATAACGGACTGCGGCTGGCGCTGGTTTCCGAGATTGAAGCACAAGGTCAGATGCCACGTGAAGTAAAGAGCCACAAGGATCCCCTTTCCCATCTCAGCCAGTTTAATATCAGCGTTGCTGATGGTGCCTGGGCCGGCAAGAATCCCTGCAATTGCAAATGTGGTATTGATGCCAGTAGAGGTAGGCATATCACTCATGGTAAAGAGGCATAATGTGACGAAGTGGTAAGCGAGCTTGCTCATGCGGCTCGATCTGTGTACGTCTGCATATGCAACCTCAAGTCAGTCACCTATAGAAGTGGATTTGCTGTTGGTTCAGGGGTGTTTACCAGACTGATGGGTCGTTACCGTGTCTTCCGTGCCATGCAATGAGATGGGTTTCATTGGCAGCGGCGCATTGTGACGCTTGGTGACAGTGACAGATTTGGTGGACATTTTGGTGATAAATTTGAATGATAAACCTAGAAACGGCTGTTCGATGACTGAAGTCAAGATGAAAAGAAGAGACTCAAGTGAGAAGAAGCGGCTACTTATTCATCAGACTCCAGGCTTACTTCGTATACCGTCATAGCAACTCCTATCATAGCCCCAGAGTCAGAGTCTCCGTAAAGTAACGCGTATAAGCCTGGAAAAAATCAAAATCCACCGAGGTAACAGGTTTCAGGGAAGACACTAATAGAGATCGCCAAAGTGAATTTGGGTACGAGGACCTGACCAAGTGGTGAGCTAGGCAAGGATGCAGTTGAGAGAAGTTCGGCAAACGTTAGCCTGTTTCGGTAGATGTAACATACGCATTCTTGGCTTGCCCAGGGCCTAGAAACATTCTGGAATAGTATCACTGCGCCTTTCCGTAGGTCCATAGTCAACGGTTGTACATTAAGATTGAAAATGGGCCGATTGACCATACAATCTTCGACAACCCCCAGGAAAAAGGCTATAGGAGTCTCTGATAAGAGTCTACAACTCTTTTTAAATCTTCGGGAGAACTACGTAATGTCGAACCCGAGAACCAGGCACCTGGCTCCAGGCTTGGGTGGGGACTATGGATTCAAACCTTCAAGGGTCCAACGAGCTGGAGTAAGGTAGTAATAGGAAGGGGGGATCAACATTGTCAAGCTTTTCTACAGGGCTGGGGTAGATAAACATCCCAACTTGTTTTATTCCTAATAGAGCGGTGAGAGGCTGTCTAGCATCGGCAAACTTAACCAAGGCATTACTATCAATTATCTACTACTAGTACTGTACTCCGTACTTTGTGGTTTATCTACACGCTAACTGAGACCTGCGATTTACAGGGGCTCTGGAACTCGATATCCAGCAGCGAGAATTTCAATATCCTATGAGATCCCGAAGCCGCGACCATTGCAAATCGCGTCTTTATACCTAATTTGTCTAAGAATCCCAGATGGGGCCAAATGCCGGCACTCCCAATGCTTCCAAGTCTAGTACCAAATCGATCGTCAACTTTGGATTGGAAATTACCACCACTGCCTCGCTGTCCGTTTTCTTATACAGATCCAGGACAGTAGGTAGTGTGTTTGGTCGTCCCATGGTAGACGTATTGTGAATATGTGTGTTCTCTCCCATACCGAGGACTATAGATGCGATATTTGGCCCATAAGTCTCCAGAGGATCTCGAGTTGACCAGAATAGAGTTATTCTGGTTTGCTGTGCTAGAATTACAGGAAGACAGGGAGCGATTCCTGAGCCTGTAGCCACCAATACAATGCTCTTGAACATCGGTGCGATACGTAGAACACCACAAGTTGGTGTGCGTCGAACCCAAACGTGACGTGGGGGATCGTTGACAACTTTCTTTGTCCAGTCGCCTGCGTTGGAAATTACAACAGAGAAGCCGCTCGCTTTGGGGTCGTTGACAGTAGCAAATGCGTGCCATTCCAGCAGAGGTCGGGATGAAAGCCGGATGGTTGTACCCGGTTGGGGATTGCCGTAATCAAAGTACATTCGAAGAGCATGTGAAGATAGTCGCTCTGATGCAACCTCAACTTTTCGGCAGTTCAACCATGTCGATACGACGCAACAGGTTGAAATAAACACAAGCCACACATTGGCGCTGGAAAAGACAGAGAGTGCGACAGAGTCTCCAGCCGGTGTATTGATGCTTGCATCAAGAACAGTGAGGCACCATAGAAGGGCGAGGGACGACCAACCAGCTAGTCGGTGCACGACCTCAAAGGCGTTATGTATCTTGGCACGGATTGAGGGAAACGCCATGACAAGCATGGAGGTGAGGAGACAATCCAGCATATAGATAATAATGATGTGTGCCCACCGAGCAGCATCTCGATGCTTTGCCAAAGTGAACGCACTGGTCTTTTCGATTGAAAGCATAATGAACCAGAATGTTGCGGCAACACCACATCCGCTGTGCAATCCGCCAAGGTGGTAAATCTTGCCCATTCGCCGCCTCAACCAAAGAGGCGATGTTGTTGGAAATGCTGTGAATACATGGTATAGACCATTGACGATATGTTCTTCTCGGATGGTAATAGAGACTGCGAGGTTGATCGATGTTGCAAGAGCGCAGGTGCTCGGATTAGGATGCCCATTGATGAACCACAGCCACAAGAAGAGAATAACCCCCATGAGGTTAAGAAGAAAAACGAGTGTAAACAGAATGCGGTACTCTGATGAGAGAAATCTCAATATGCGAGTGAGTGACAGGCCCCCAGGCCCTTCGAAGGTCTTCTTCTCAGCGGCAGCCATTGTGTATAGTTGGGTCGGATATTAATGAAAGTATAAAGGCTCGTCAAATGGGGATAACAAACCATCGAATCCCATCAAGAGCAGCCTTGCCAAAGTCATATACCGGCTGCTAACGGGGACGCCGGGATAACGGAGTCCTAGTCGATAAGGCCGAAGAGCCGCTCATCAGCTCACCACACGTAATGATGGATAACGGGAACTCCTATCTGCAACTTCGTACAAACAACCGAGATGTGATGTGCGTATCAGCCCGTAGAGCTCAGCCATGGGAATCAGCCCAGACTCCAGAAACACAAATGACTGACCTACTGCAAGATCCCTGTACGTATAACTGCAGACCCAACTGATGGGTCCGCGAAGAGAATTCTCCTGCAATATCGGAGATCTTCAAGAATATAGATCGTCACGGAAAGGCGAGTTTGCAGGGGACAAATTCAACCACAACTGATATGATCCCAAAGGAACAAGGCTTCCATTGACGATCTTTGAACTCTACTCCCTATGCAATTTTGAATACGAGGAAATTTCACCTTTCTAGAGCATAGAACTCTCTACCTTGATCCATGGAATAACACACTCACTGACCTCACGATACACCTCACCTATTCAGTGACTCTACCAACAAGTCAGATACTAGAAAAACCAAAGATATCATTACTCAGTTTCTGTCACATTGATAACGGCTCGGCAATCCAGAATAGGACTAAACACTCATGTACTTGAAACAGACCCTAGTAGTGCAAGTGCTACGTAAAGTCGGGATGACAGCGCCCTGAAGTGGTGGATGAAAACATCGTTAATGGAGCTATGTTGCACTGATGAGTGGGAGTCACGCAGGGGTGAAGACCTTGATTGACAGCCGTGTCGATCCTGACCCAGCCTTTGTTTATTCAACCCTTTGTGTCGGTTCAGCTATACGAGTACTATTGAATGTCCTATGTATAGTCCTCAATATTATGATGTGCACTAGAGTCTCCTTCCCGACGGCACTAAAAGAACTATTCTTTCTTCTCATTCAAGTAGGTATAAGTGACACATCCAATGAGAATTGTTGAATTCTGCTGCCAGGCACCATAAAGGCCTTTCATACCTCGCTCTCGATAATGGTTCGCACGTTGTGATAGCTGTCTGCATACGGATACTCTCCCTATCACAAAAACAAAAAAGACCCAACGTTACATAGCCTACTGCTACTTAAGAACAGAAGAAAACTCGAATGGCGTAATTACAAAGGAGATGCCGAGTAGCATTCTTCGCGGGGTGGATTAGGCGAATCCTGAGAGGTTGCATCAGACTCTACAAGCTAAGCATGACCAAGCATTCGTAGGCACCCAGGCAAACAGTGTTGTGCTTGCCATTTCCAACCCCTATCAAATGGCAGAGAAGACCGAACGCCATAGAAACAAAACATCGACGTCATCCCAATCCTTGGATGATATAATTCCGGGTTGCTGGGTTCAACACGAATGTTGAAAGAAACCCTCAGCCCTTTACCCTCAGCCCTTTCTCCCTCAACGCATGCGGTTCCGCTGTTTTAACTTCCTTGGCACTGCTCTTTGAGAATGCACAGGGATCTTTCAGACCATTTCTGGATTTCGAGTGGAGAAAGGATTCAAGATAATGCCTGCTTCGGATACGACGTTAATTTGACTTGTGAAGTTTTGCCAGGCCTGCCTGACGGAAAGTAGCTCCAACGGTCCCCGGAGTTGGCGTTGTTTTACGGGGCTGGCATTATGTCGATCACTTTGGGTAGTGACGGTTCTAGAACAGGGTCTTGGTGAGACATGGCAGGGCCAGCTAGTCTGTTCGCAGGCGGTAGGCTAGCAGGGGATGATGATATTTGAACACAGGGGAAGCTGGTCCGTGAACTGTCTTACAAGACGACCATTATAGCAACATCCTGCAAGGGTGCCTTTGCAAGTGAAGCTATTCTCAAGAAAAGTGCGAGTAGGCCTGTGGGCGAATGCGAGATGGTTGAAAAAAGTCAGGAACTATTTCCCAAACCCTAGCCTTGTCCAGTATTTGGAGGACCTTACCTTGACAACTCCCCAGCGATCAACAGAGTGGGTTTCAACAAGCTCTAGGTGTGTTGTTACTTAAGAAGGATTCGGATTTCCCTTCCACCCTATAGTAGGAGGCATTCGGAATGGCGAGGACTGTTCAAAATATCCAGTGGGCACCAAACCGGTCTCACGATGCAACAGGACAAAGTCTTGGCTTATTATAATATCTTCACTTCTTTTGGGACTGGCCATGAGTTGAAGGTTTTAAAAGAGAGATATTTTCTTAAAATACATTGTCCAGTGATTTTTGACTGCGCATGAGCGCCCTTATCTACCCAAAGCGCCACAAAAGTTACCACATCCAGTTGATGATCCCGATCAACCCCTAAGCTAAACACAAGGTGGAAATAATAAACTTATACTGCTGATCCACTATTTATGCCATGTTGTGAACATGTGTAGTGCTCACGTTGGTGGCAGGATCTGTACCCTTGCCGATCAGACTCCGCTCGTCAAGCTCATAGTACGCCTTGTTCTCAGGCTTTGAGCGTGTACCACGGCTGCCACCCCAGCTGCCAGAGCCCTTGTCGTAAGTGGAGTCCTTGTTTGAACTGGAGAAACTCATTTTGGACGCAATGGTAGCCATGGCGTTAGGGAACATGTGCTTGAAGAGATGGCGGATGGCCGGTAGACTGGCGCAAACCATGCCCAGCTCGGTTTCCCAAATGGACCAGATGGTCACCTCAACGTATTCCCCTGGTACTGGTCTTAGTTTTTGTTTTGCAGGCGAAGGCGAAGCTGACTTACATGTGGGGTTGCTTGTTTTACCCAAGCTGATCAGAAACGGTAGACGAATTATGCTGAATACAGTCACACTGAAAGTCTGTTAGATGCATTCCGACAAGTTGGGATTGGAGGAACTCACACTATACCCAAGCTGAACATGACAAACAGCTGAATCTTCTGACGTCCCTTGACCTGCAACTTCCAGAGATGGGGGAGTGGCAGAATCAGGATGACGATATCGCAGGCCATGTTGATTCCACCAAAGGCGTATGTCTGGGAGTTGAGGTCATTGCATTTGCCTTTGTGTTCACCATCCCAGCCGGTCCAGTTGAATGAAGAAGGCAAACATTGAAGACCAGTGGTAACCATGGTAGCTGCTCCACAGAGGGCGACGAAGACACCAATGATCAATGTCAACTTTTTGAACTCCGAAGTTGTGAAGATACTGCGGAGGAAGAAGAGAATGGAAATCTTAGTGCTGTACAAGTGAACACTGTACATGATCTGATCAATCCAGAAGAGTTTCAGTAGTTCGTATAAGCGATCAAATGGTTGGATGTCCCAGATGTTTAGACCAAAGCCAAGATCGGCAACTGAAACTGTTAGCAAACACGGATGTAGTCGTGGGGGGCAGTGTTGACTCACGTCTGCAGGCGAGCCATATGTAAGGAACTGTAGCGACCTATTTCGCAAGTTAGCACATAGATATATATGTGTGTTGTAAGCACTTACAGCTGCAATCATGATGAAGTAGTCATCTGGGCCTAGTTTCCCAAGAATCTTGACCTTGGAGTAGATTCTTAGAATGACAGCAATCTCGGCAAGAATGCAGGCTACAATCGAGTTGATCCTAAATTTCATCTGCTGACTCTTGACAGGAACACCACAGGCGATGTTCTGAACCCGCATCAAGGCTGTAGACGGACATGTTAGCATTTGTTTGTGTGGCCAACGTGGGGGTGGGCTTACTCAATGAGTCTTTGACAGTACAGTTCTCCAGGACACAAGCCTGTGTCAAACCAGCAAATGTCTGATCAGTGCAGAGACATGTTGTGTTTGTCATAGCACATGGCGATTTCGGTATCGCTTGTTGGACACATTTCAGCTGTGATGGACGTTAGTACAAGCGGCATCGTCAGCCGTGCGCCTTGACTCACATCGCAGGCGGGGAGCTGAGCCGCCAGGTCTGCAAAGTTAGCAGCATTGACAAAAGCCGCCAAGGCCGTGACCAGAAGAGAAAAAGAGATGAGACGCATGGCTGGAACTGTGTGGTCAAAATGCCTGTGTTCACAGAAACAGAAACAGATCCAGATTAGATATCGACTGGAGAGTGAAGGCACTGAAATAGATGGCACGTCTTATAGGTTTTAATCTATCTCTGATTGAAACATCATCTAAAATGGCCACTTTATGCCCCTGAAGACAGTAACTACCGAAGATGTTGCGAGATTTCTATCTCCCGGCATCTTGGTCACTGTGGATCAAAACCGCCGCTCAAAGCTTGCCCAATTCACGTCGCATTCCGGAACGTTGCTCTTCCTTCGTATCGTCAAACTTTTTCACTGGAACATTACGCGGCTCACATCGGAGAGTGCTCCTGTCCTATAGAGCGAAGACTTTGAAGCTAAGAACTTACGAAACCGCCGGCATAGAGAACCCAACATGCCGGTATAAGGCAGCCTAGGCAGGGTACCATTTTAGAGCCAACGGTTGAAGATCAACATCTCTAGTAGACCACGGGCCCTGGTCGTTGCTTTTGAAGTCATGGGATTTAAGCGACGGATTCTACTGGAGTGGTTCCCCGTGGTTGATACCCCTGCCTCTGCCCGCTCCTATTGCGACGTCAGATTACCAACGGTTGAGAATGCTACGCAGAACGCGTGCTAGTCATTGGACCCGCCCCATTGTATTGATAGACAAGGATTATAGTCTTGACAACTGCCGCGATGATAGAAACGGTTAGGGTTGTTCCCCCGCTGGCTTTACGGGTTCTGATATGACCTGACGTAGCGTTGGATTATGGTCTTGAAAATCCACCAGATTTAATGCGTTTTTTTCAGGGCAGGGTTACTGCAGACCGCAATCTAAACCATTCCTGATCAAAATAAGCAAAGACGTAGGGTTCAATTGCACAATACACGGAAACACATGTCAATAGGGGTTTAGGGCTGTCCCAAGTCTGGGTACCCCCACTCGAACTCGAGAGATTGACGACGATCCTTTGCAGTTTACTCTGTAGTTCATCTGGGTTTGTTATTTCTGACAGATGATACCTGTCACCTTGCAACAGTAATTAAAACACGAGGCTCAGGAGACTATGACAAACAAGTCCGCGTCACGAGATTTGCCCAAGTTCCCAAAGCTATGACCAGTTAGTGTAGTTGGTCTTGTCGATCCAAACTTTGAGATGCCAAGCTTGCTCAGGAGCTGAGAGATGCATACGATGTGGTCCTGAGCCAATGTCTTGTCTTGGATGGAGGCTTACCCCTGCTTAAGGAGTTGGCCAGCCACAATTGTTGGTTTTCGAACTCATCTCGCTCTATTGGGCGATCACTCCAGGAGAGGCGCTGCAAGATGGATTCCGCCCTGACGGGTAGTATTGTGTTATGATGAACAAATACGACACCCCTTAGACAGCCCGGAATACCGGCTTCTCCGATCTCTCGTAGTGCGAAGATCAGCAATATGCACTGAAACATCGCTATATAAACGCATCAACGACCTGCTAAGCAATGACAAATGAGCCATTTCTCATTCGCATTCACTCTTTAATCTTTGCCTTCGTTCACTGCTTTGAAGACTATCCACTCTTTTATTATTCTAATTGTCTTTACTGAGTTAATATGAAGCCCTTCACCTTGGCGACTCTGGCTACGGCCCTGCTTTCCAACCAGGCAGCTGCCCTGCCCGCCCTTGACCCAGATACTCCCATTCCTCTCGATGCCTTCAAGTTTAATGCTCGTGATGGCCAAGACCCTCACATGGGAATCGACCCTGAGTTGATTCGCAAGTTTGCTTCTCAGGCTCCCCCGAACCTTGGAAAGCGAGTTATCGACTTTGACCCCAAGAAGCAGCTTGTTGATGGTTAGTCACATCCTATCCCGGGTAAACCTTAGCTAACTGTTCTAGTGCACGGCAAGCACGAGTTCAAGGCTCCCGACTGGGACGCTGGTGAGGTTCGCGGTCTTTGCCCTGGACTCAACACTCTCGCCAACCACAACTACCTCCCTCGCAACGGAGTTGCCACTGTAAGTCACCTAGCAGTATCTTGAGGCACCGTAAGCTAACATGGTATTTAGTTCACCCAGTATGTTACTGCAGTTGGCAAAGTCTGGGGCATGGCACCCGACATGTCCGCCCTGCTCACCACTCTCGGTGTCGTTCTTGGTGGCAATCTCTTCGCCGTCTCGCAGGGCGGCTGGTCCAAGCACATGAACAACAACCTCCTTGGCCTCCTTGGTACTCCCCGTGGTCTCAGCGGCTCTCACCCCTTCTTCGAGGTTGACGGCAGCCCTACCCGTGGTGATCTCTACGACCCCATTGGTGACAACAACAACATGAACATGTCTTACTTCATGGATCTTTACAACCTCCAGAAGGATGCCGAGGACCCTCACTACAGCATTGAGGTCCTGTACGAGCACAACAAGAACCGCTGGCACCAGAGCATTGCCACCAACCCCTTTGCTTGGTTCGGCCCTGCTAGCGGCTGGCTCGTTCGCGCCAGTCCCTACTCTTTCACTGCCCGCCTTGTCGCCAACCGCAGCATGGAGCACCCTGATGAAGGCCGACTCAGCAAGGAGAACCTCAAGAGCTTCTTCTCTGTCTATGGACCCGAGGACAACATGACCTACGTTGTCGGACACGAGCGTATCCCCGAGAACTTCTACCGCCGCCGTTACACTGATTACGGTATTGCTGCTAACGCTCTTGACATTGTCACTCACAGCCATCCCGAGGTCCTCAGGTAAGAAGCATAATACCACCAACAAGAACTTTTACTAACTCATCTCAGCATCGGCGGTAACACCAACGGCGTCAACACCTTCGTTGGCATCAAGGTCGACGATCTTGCTGGTGGCGTACTCAACGGCAAGAACCTTCTTCAGGGCAACAACCTTGTCTGCTTCGCTCTCAACGCCATCAAGACCGTCTCTCCCAACGCCGCGTCATCTCTCTTCACCACCTTGACCTCCGTCACCGATGTCATATTTGCTGCTCTTGAGCCTATCATGGGCGCCATGGACTGCGCTGTCTACGACGATCTCAGTGTCAACGGTACCAACTGGCTCGACTTCAACAAGAAGACTTACCCCGGCTTCAAGAAGGCTGGCGGTGGCTGGTAGATTAATGCAAGAGGTCTAGCACGGACGTCTTTGGTTTCACTTTAGAAGGTTAGGATCTGTATAATAGTTGATAATGCACATATCATAATCGACAGCCCCAGGGCGATTAAACCACCATTCTCAGCGTGTCCCATAATGTGATTGTGCCGCATTCTAATGACTTAATTGTGAAATGAGGTTGCTACTTCATGATAGAATAGTATTACAGAGTCGCGTATCCGACTTCCTAACATCCACAGTATCCTACAGCCTTTCTCGAGGTTGTCCAAGCACTTTGACGAGACCGGGATGAAGTTGATCGATGGAGGTACATCCTATCAGTCGCATGTTCCTCTCCAGTTCATCCTTGTAGATCCGTATAGCTTTCTCAACGCCTTTCTGACCATACCCAGCCATGGCGAAAAGGAACGGACGCCCAATGCCAACACCACGTGCACCAAGACATAAGGCTTTGAGTATATCGGAACCGCGACGTATGCCTCCATCGATGTAGACCTCTATCTTATCATGTAGCCCACGTTCTCTCAGGATAGGCATGACCTCGGCAAGGACCTCGATAGGAGCTTCGGAATAATCAAGCTGTCGCCCTCCATGATTAGACAAGATCACAGCTTCGGCACCACATTCTGCTGCTTGGATGACATCTTCGACTCGCTGCACTCCTTTGATAACGATAGGCATCGTAGTGATACTTCGAAACCATGGAATATCATCCCAACTCAGGGTCGAGTTCATGATCAACGACGGGTCCAGCTCTGTAGCCGGTGCGTCCTCAAACTCCTCCTCCTTCCCATCCGATTCGCTTTGCTGGTGTCGTAGAACCTTTTCACGACTTCCAAGATGTGGATTGTCAACAGTTATGCACAAGGCTTTGCATCCTTGTTTCTCGGCGTTTTCGACAGCTTTCCGAGTAACATTTCGATCTTTCTTGACGTAAATTTGGTACCATTGAGTCCGGTCTAGTCCTCTTGCATTTGTGATGTCTTCAAGCGAGCGCGATGAGTAGAGTGGTATCATCTGTATAATTTCATGCTTGTTACTCGCTTTGGTTAGAGTTACTTCGCCTTCGGGATCCCCGAGCTTCGCGTGCGCAGTGGCTGTTACAAAGAGTGGTACGGACGTGTGCGAACCGAGAAGAGTCGTTGAGGTGTCAACATGCTCCACGTTGACAAGTACTTTAGGTCGGAAGCGTATACGCTGGAAAGCCGAGGCATTCTCTTTGAGAGTCTGATAACGTTAGCCTATGCGAAGGGTCGTCGAATGATAGGCAAACTGACAAATTCATCGTCCGCGCCTGTGGAGTAGTAGTTCCAAGACGTTTTCTTCATTGTGTGACGAGCTACAGTCTCGAAATCTGAGATGTTAAGACATTGCGATAGCCTTGGTTTGCGATACAAAGCCGCTTCACTTTCTTCCTGGAGCTTGGCCTTGGCGTCTTCGTTCACAGCCACGGTGGTATCAATATCTCCCAGGTGCTCGGATGGTGCAAGCCACTTGTCGAGTACATCTATCGAATGGATCAGATCAAAATCTGCAGTAGAGTCTTTGCCCTATTTGTGTCAGTAATTCGTTTTGTTTCCCGCTTGAGTAGACCCTACTGCATTTTTGAGAATCACTTTTCTACCTCCAGGGTGATCTAGCATACAATGTTAGCTATGAGCGGAACGATGGCCTCAGAAGTACAATAGTTACTTGGTAGAAAATTTGTAAGATCGTAAACTTTGTTCTACGTTATGTTAGCGTCGAAGCGGTAGGGGACCAAATCATATACATGGATAATTAACCAACAGGACTCCGCGTCGTTGTGGTTCGCAACTTCGGCAGGATGCAATACCATTGTGCCAAGCTAGGTAGTTTGAGATTGGGTGGGCAGACGAATACACTGATCTGGGGAGTTGGACGAAGTAAATGAACAACTCTATTAATTGCAATTGTATGTTGCTAGATCGCAGAAATATTAAACCGCTCTTGTGTGCGAGTGGAGCCAGGTGGTGCAATGTCGCCGTATCGATAAGATTGTTGTGAAACGTTACTAGGTGACTTGGCAATTATTTATAGATCTACGGAGTAGCTATGGTGATATTATATTCCACCCCAGCGAACGCTCGACGCGAGTTAAGTGCTAAGAAACCACCACATCTTAACACCCTAAGTTTGATACTGAGACATTCCTTGAGATATTGTCCTGCTTGCAAGACAAACATCATATCATGGGTTGTTTGCGTTTGACAAGAATCTCTCCATCACTCAGCATGCATTAAGTTCTTTGGCCGATGTAGTAAAATAACAAGCTATCGCTATGTCTCAAGACGTTGCTATGGACATAAAAAGTGACGAGTAATGGACACCATTTCCCGGACATTGAGTTCTAGGTCCGGTAGTACCAAGATGCCTCAGATCCTATAGTCTCTTTCGGAGTTGCCGTGTGCGACTTCTGCTGCTTTGATCATATTGAGTTTTGACCTTGGAAGGGGTTATTTTTATTGTTGATATCATTGAGAAATTTGGAAAGCCTGGGCTTGATAAAGTTGAAGGTTATAGCAAAAAGAAATAGTCTCTTTCGGCAACAACTTCATTCAAAGTCAGTCTATAGTTAACTTTAGGATATCTTTCCAAATGTTGGGTTAGGGTTATGGTCATCTTTCTGGTGAGCAACTTAACTTGGACAGCTAAACTCCCAAGGCCGAATTGATACATCACTTGACTTCAGCTATGGTGCTATTGAAAAGCCGTGGTACCTGGAGTTCCATGATTTCGATCGAAAAAGAACTTCTTTTCTCCCTTTATGCGGCATCTACGTAGTACAACGAGAACAGGGTACAGAGTATGACAATGTACAGTGTGCGTTCAAAATTTCTGACAATTTCCTCTAGTCAAGGTTTTAAACAAGATTTTATAAATTATTAAAAACTTTTCTTAATTTATGAGTTTTAGTATAATATTATTCTAAAATTAAACAGGAAGTCTTCTAACTAGGATGTATTTAGTATTGTCTATTTTAATATAAATATATCACATTAGCTTGTTGTCGGAACTTTCACACGGAACTGTCCTACGTAGTAAAATCTAGCAATCGGAGGACTTCCCCGTAGAATTCGCGTCATAGACTTCCAGAAACTCAATTATTCATGCTGAATAAACAGTTCAAAAATGTCACATGATTACGTAGGTGCCAGGTCATTAACCGTAGTTTTGGAACAGTAATCGAAACAGACGAACTTTCTAGTGCAGTTCTAACGTTATGCCGAATATTTACGGTTCGGGCCTCGGCAGTTGATTGCTGCTTTAAGCAACTTTACCGCCGAGCTATCCCACAATTGTCGTCGCAAAGTGGGATATGACGGCATTAACTGGGTCTTTTGAGAGAGACTGAGGCAATGGTGAACTAACCTACAGCGAAAATAGTAAAGTCATGACATCACAAATGTTCGATTTCTAATTGACGGGCGAGTTTAAAAGAGTCCTATATCTATGGCATTTCTGGCTTCAGTCAGTCTAAAGAATTGACACCAACCTCAACATACCTATACCAAAATGGCACCACGACGATTTTCAACGGAACCCGTAGACGCGAGCCCTTTGGGCGAGCCTCTCAATTTTGAGTTTAGCGGTAAAACCGCAAAGAACCGTTTTATGAAGGCTGCTATGACCGAACGTCTCTCATCATGGGATCCCAAGGTCCTCGAGAAGCGAGGCGTTCCTTCACCAGAGCTCATCAACGTTTACCGACGCTGGGGCGAGGGAGACTATGGAGTCATCCTGACTGGAAACGTCATGATCGAGTATGACCATCTCGAGGCTGCCGGTAACCCTATTGTCCCTCGAGATGCTCCCACTTCTGGCGAGCGATTCGACGCCTTCAAGGAAATGGCTACCGTGGGCAAGAAACACGGAAGCTTGATGATTGCCCAGGTCAGCCATCCTGGACGCCAGGTTGCCGACAACATTCAGAAGCACCCAATCTCTGCCAGCGACGTCCAGCTCGAGGGTGATGTGATGGGAATGCACTTCGCTAAGCCCAAGGCCATGGACGAGCAGGATTTCAAGAATGTCATTGAAGGTTTTGCTCATGCTGCCGAGTTCCTACACAAGGCTGGTTACGATGGAATGCAATTGCATGGCGCACAGTAAGTACATCGTCCCTTCAATCACTAAACAGAAACTTATCAAGTGTCGCAGCGGTTATCTCCTAGCTCAATTCTTGTCGCCAACAACAAACAAGAGAACTGACAAGTACGGTGGCTCACTTGAGAACCGTGCTCGCATCATCTTCGAGATTGCAGATGCCATTCGCGCCCGTGTTCCTAAGTCCTTCGGCTTGTCCATCAAGGTTAACAGTGTTGAGTTCCAAGATGGTGGCTTTTCCACCGACGACTGCAAGCTGCTTTGCCAACAACTCGAGGCCCACAGCTTCGACTTCGTCGAGCTCTCTGGTGGCACATACCAGAGCCTTGCCTTCGCTCACAAACGTGAGAGCACCAAGAAGCGAGAGGCATTCTTCCTGGACTTTGCTGAGAAGATCATTCCCGAGCTCACCAAGACCAAGGCTTATGTCACTGGTGGTTTGAGAACAGTCAGCGCCATGCTCGAGGCTCTCAAGACTGTGCACGGTATCGGACTGGCGCGACCAACAACCAATGAGTTTGACCTACCGGCCAAGATCCTCAAGGGTGAGGCGAACAGTGCGATCGATACCCTCCTCGATGAGCAAGACTTTGGCATCACAAATGTTGCAGCCGGAACACAAATCCGACTGGTCGGAAAGGACAAGCAGCCTCTTGACCTGAGCCGTGAAGAGCATAAGAAGATCTTCGAGGAGTCAATGCAGAAGTGGGGTGAGGGTATGGCAAACAACGATGATCAGTCCAAATACGGTTATGTTGATATTGGGGGAACAAAGCTGGAACCATTTGGCGCGGCTTATGCCTCGTAAAGTACGCTACTAGACTTTTATACACGAACAGATAATGAATAATGTTTTCTCGTTAACTTGGCTTAAAAGGTACACACTGCTCTCCCGCAACCTTTCTCTACTTTCCGTACTAGTTTGGCGTGATTTCCCTAATGAAGATATTTAGAAGAGACTAGCAAGGACAGACTCTTGCAATCCTTCATCTAATGTAAACTATTATGTTCAAGCAACGCTGCAGAGCATAAGGAGAGTATCCAAAAAGGGTATTTGAGAGTTTATAGATCCCAACATTCACCAGTATTGTATTTATTTGCAGACGACATACCCTAGAACAGTGACGTGGGTTATGGTGGAGCACGCGTTGAGCCCACATGTGTTAGTCGTAGAAATTGTTGGGATAATGTCAGCTCAATTAAAAATTCCTTCCACGTCACACACTCCATAACCAGAAAGCTTATGATGTCTCACGAGAACTCTTTTAAAGTCGTGATTGCTGGCGCAAGCGTGGCTGGGCTGAGCCTGGCCAACATGCTCCAAGCCAATGACATCGACTATGTTGTCCTTGAAGCTCATCAAACAATCGCGCCTCAGGTCGGAGCTTCAATAGGTCTATTACCACATGGCAATCGCATCTTGGACCAACTCGGGCTCTATGACAAGGTCATGGAAATTGCTCCCCCCATACAGACCTTCAATTTCAGAGACGCAGCTGGCTCAGTTCTTGCTCAGCATCAAGATATGGACCATCGACTTATCGAAAGGTAAGCTGCCTTCTCAATTCTTTGGCTTCGCTGGCGGCTCACTGAAATTCTTCAGGCATGGATATCCAATGGTCTTTCTTGACAGACAAATGCTGCTGCAGATTCTCTACGATAATATTAGGGATAAGTCAAAGATCTTAACAAACAAACGGGTTGTCATGGCTAAAATGACGCACGGCGGTGTTCAAGTCACAACAGCTGATGGGACAACTGTACCGGGCGACGTCCTTGTTGGCGCCGACGGCGTGCATAGTACTATCCGTCAAGAGATGTGGAAGCTAGCAGCAGACTTGTCACCAGAACACTTCGATCCCAGTGAGCATGAAGGTGAGACTCGAAGCCGACACAACCAAGTGCAGAACTGACAAGTAGAAAAAGCACCCCCTTGTGATAACAGTTGCATCTTCGGCATCTCTAATCCGTGTGCTGGTATTGGCCCGGGTGACTTGCACTGCGTTTTCAGAAACAGCAGCTCTTATCTTGTCACAGGAGGCCCTGAGGGGCGAGTCTACTGGTTTCGTTTCCAAAGGCTGCCCAAAACATTTCGAGGTTCAGATATTCCACGCTACACCGACGCAGATCTTGAAAAAGTCCTGGCCGAATCGGCGGATGATAACATCTTGCCTGATTTGAAGTTCTCAACCCTTGTAGAGAACAAGGTTAGTGCAGTTATGACACCACTTGTGGAATACGTCTACAAACAGTGGCATTTTGGAAGGATCATCACACTAGGCGATTCAGCTCACAAGGTATGTTTGGAGACTCCTAGAGCTGTTTTGACGTCTTTTAATTCTCACGCACCTTGCAGTTCCATCCTGTGGGAGGCCAAGGCGGCAATGCTGCCATCGAAAGCGTAGCATTACTCACGAACAACCTGGTAAAGGCACTGAGTCAAATCCCATTGGGACGTTTGAGTTCCACTGAGGTCGCAAACATATTTGAAGATGTTCAGTCACGACGCAAACCCAGAGTAGCATTGAACCATCGATATTCCTACGGACGAGCTCGGACGGAGGCATTAGACTCGCCTTTGAAGAAACTAATGGCGCTCCACTTACTGCCACTGGTGGATGAACAAGTCGTGACTCTCAGCTACTGTGCTCAGAGCCCTGGTGGAGAGTGGCTGGATATGCTGCCTATTCGACCACACAATAATCTCATACCATACAAGCAGGAGCTACTTGCAGAACCGAAGTCAAGGGGTTACTTGCAATGGGTTTTCATCGGATTGTACTTGTTTATGGCTGCTATTGTGCTTTGCGCAAGTCGGCATGTCGAAATACCGCCTGGTAAGAGTCACACACAGAATAATTCACCTATACTTCATCTGGGACAACCTAGTGAAACCCGAGCCGAAAATATCTCCGCTATTCACGACCTGGTTGCAATATCCGGTGTGGAGGCGTGGGTATCAAGCCTCGCGCCCTTAGAGATATTCAACCTCGGCCACTTCATACAGCCTGTTGCCATCATGGTAATCGAGGGTTACCGTGGCCGGAACAAGCTTACACCTCTCGGATTGTAAGAACCCCTGATTTGAATCACTTTGCGCGTGTGCTAATCGTGTTGAAGGCCCGTCTTATGGTTTATGCTGGTACAAGTTGTTGGCCTTGGAGTTGCAATGCCACTATATTTTGCTTTCTACACCCTGTTATCTGATTCGGAGCCATACTGGTGGCCACTGAGGAGATTCGTCCCACTTCGCTACGCTCGGTCTGTTCTGACTGCGTCTGTCGTTGGTGAGGCAGTCCGCATCGGCTTGCTATATAACCATTCAACCACTTCGAACTCTACTCAGACTCTCGACCTCATGCGAAAGTGCTCGTTCCTAATTATTCCCTTGCTTGTCCAAGCACTCGGAGCATTCTGTGGCCATCGACAAGAACTCAATCCAAACAAGACTCCCGACCTTGAGCTTCATAGCTTAAGGAATACTTACTTTGTTATTGGAGTAATAGGCGCTTTGTGCTACTGGTATACTCTGATGACCATCTTCAGAGACTCTGCTGTGTTTTCTTTGCTCCATGACTGTACTTTACCAAGTTTGTCAAGTATGCAAAGCGTTCAACTACCATTGGAAACCGGATTCTGTATCTATCTCTTCGCGTCGTACCTCTGGAGTGTTCAAGCTATCTGGGACTTGCGACGCGTTGGTCGAGCCAATCCAAGTATTCTCAAACCAGCTTTTGGGATATTAGTCGGAAATATTGTATTCGGGCCCGGTGCAAGTCTTGCTGGAGTATGGCATTTACGAGAGCATGCTATGTCTCGGACCAGCTTTCGTCAGGAGGAAGTATCTGGCTCCGGGGCTCCTTTTGCAAAGTCTTGATCGACACGATCTCGGAAACTTAGAATATTTATATATTCCCATGTTAATGAATAAATGTGTGAAACTTGGCCCTTTTGCTCCTGGGCACTTTTCAAATGAACGACGGGAGTGGAGATAAGATAAGATAAGATAATCTCGGGTTACCTCGGCGAGTCATTTTCCGTCCTCAAGTCGTCAACATCAAGACAATTGATAAGCAGTGATCTAGTCCATAGGCCGTAATGGATAATTTCAACCATTTCAAGTGTTACTAAATACTTTGTCGCGACTTACGATGGAGGACGCAACAGATCGATCTTTACTCCGCACGCAGGGGCGCGCATCTCGCAAACGCGTCGCGCCCATCATTCCAGTTCTGGCTTTGTGTCTGTTTGTCAATCTCGCCATGAGCCTCTATCAACTCCCGTCAAATCGACTGATTGAAAGACGCCTTTGTATTGATTACTATCGCCGCACTGATCCGTCGCAAATTCAGCCCGATGGTAGCCTGGATGAGAAGCTATGTAAAATTCGCGAAATACAGAAGGACCTGGGGCGTATCCAAGGCGTAATGGAAACGCTTTGGGTCGCGGGAGGTAAGATCAATACCCGATCCTGGCCCTGTTCACCTGACTGACCAGATCAAGATTTCGCCATGACTATTCCCCTCAGCTTTCTGGCTGAGAAATGGGGCCGTCGCGCTATTCTCCGGCTCAACCTTCTTTCTCGTGGCTTTATGTTGCTATGGGCTGTTGTGGTGGGAAGCTTCGACGCTTCGCTTCCAACGAGGGCTATCATAGCCGGTCCAGTTCTGTCAATTCTTGGTGGAGACTGCGTTTTCAACTCTCTTACTTATAATCTGGCCTCGAATCTCACAGATGATCATGTGCAACGTGCCATATACTTTGGATATATGAGTTCTGTCTCGTATGTTGTGGCGCTTCTTGGCCCAGCACTTGCCTCATCGACCATGACCTTATCACTGTGGTTGCCCTTTTGGTTAGGCCTCATATTGCTCTTATCGGCGATACCAATCATACAATTGTTGCCTTCGCCGAATGAGCTTGATGGGGATGGGGATGATCTTGATGAAGAGCAGCATGAACCTCTTCTATCATCGCCCCTTCTTAAGGCCCAAGATGACCAAAACTCTCTTCTTCACTCGATTAAAGAGCGACTGCAGACCATCAAGACTATTATCAGTAGCCACTCAAGGAACTTCACATTGTTGCTTTTTAGCTTCTGGCTCACGTCGCTTGCCAGCTCAGACACAAAGCTTCTTGTTCAGTACATCTCCGCCCGCTACAATTGGACGTTTGCTTCTGCTGGATATCTTTTATCTGGCAAGGCAGTCGTCAATTTCACGTTACTTACAGTTATCATCCCCAAGCTACTCCGATCTGCTCGTGAGGTACAACAGGCAGACTCCACTGAGGCAGTAGACAAGTCAAATATTCGGAATGCCATGTACTGTCTTCTCGTCTCAGTATTCGGCGCTGTTGGAATTGCCATTGCGGGCAGAATCTGGATGCTGATTCCGTCGATGTTTGTCTACGCTCTTGGATCTGCACTGCCCATCTTTACCCTATCGCTTCTCAAGTCGCCCGCTATATCACCCCCCCACACAGAGAACTCAGAAAGCACTTCTGACCCGGAATCTCACATATTCTCCATTGTTATGTTGGTCAAAACCGCCGGATCTCTTCTGGGTGCGCCCCTGATGGCTGCACTTTGGGTTCGTGGTTTGGACATTGGTGGAGCAGCGATGGGCATGCCCTTCTTTATCAGCGCACCGTGCTATACTGTAGCTATATGGGTGTTCACGGAGATGAAAGTGGGCTAACTGGACAGGGTCAAGGTTGGCCTGCGAAGAGTATCTTGCACATATCAGCATTGCCATGAGCCAGGATAACTATTAGATGTCGTTAAAAAGATCCCTCTTTACTATAAGCACGTGTCTTTGGAGTTTCCACCATCTGTTCCCATCACCTCAAGTCAATCTATATCTTCATAATTGAAGGAACAAAATCGAAACAAAAGATCTGGCTATTGAGAATCCTACTATAGATGTCAAACATTCTTTGTCTCTGTAAACGTCATGATTCATGGATATGATGGGAATAGCAAAACTCCACTTCGTGCTGGGTTCTCCTCGATGTTTGGATCTTTAACAGTGCTATACTGCGGATATCCGTCAAGTACGCGGTTAAGTGATATATCCCGCGTACCGAGTATTCGTAACGAAAACCAGACACAATACTACGTCGATACTGCAAGGGCCTCTGTTTCGTCACATCCTCGCAACCGCCTGCTGTCCCTCCACAATGGAGCAGGGTTTCAGTACTTTCCGGCTGATCGATGGGTCCACACAATGGACGATGGTGGGAGTAAATACTACTGATTAGGCGCTGTGATGTCCAGATTGTAATGCAAAAGGATGTGCAGACTTTCATGGTTTATCGCAGAGGACATCTGCAGCAAATATTGCGATGGCACAACAGACCTTCTTGTCAGGAAGAATGCTTTATGCCAAACAACGGAATCTCAGTGATTGCATCTTGATGTAATTGGGATATGCAGATCCCCGCTCGATGTCACTGATAGCGTAAAGCATCGAATCGTTTGAATCGAAGCCGTGTCCGTATCGTTGTTTCAAAAAGCTTGAATATCGGTGGATCTCTCGGCGAACCTCTTGGCCAAGATTACCAAGGACTGAACGGTTCGCCCTGTATCTAAAGGAATGATGATGTTGCATTCGAGGTTCAATTGCGAATTGCATAAGTCACTACTGCCCACTCTTAGGGGTAGAAATTGGTTAATGAGTGAACTACATGGTTTTAAAACTTGTGTTCAATTGCGCTTGTCACTAATGTGCTATAAATATCTAAAAGCTTGGGAATAACAGGATCGGTGACAGTTCTTGCATCTGGCAAGCGACAGAGCGCTAAAGCTAGGCGGACTGTTAAGCTTATTACATATTAACCCCCTCGTCAGGGGTCATGTTTCAGTGACGGGGCGTTTCTTGAGCGATCATCGCCTGGCCTCCTGTCATTTACAGGGATCCCGCACCAGAAGCCGCCGTATGATAGGTGGCCTTTTAGCTGTTTGAAACAAGCTGTGCGGCTTGTATCAATTAAGAATATCCTGACCAGAATATTGGGTAGTTTCAGACTAAATGAACAGTGCGTTTTCGGACGTTTACGCAAGTCCGGGTTGTGGGATCAGGAGACTTGGCGATGGCGCTACTTGAGGATTTGAATGTCACTGGATCAACGAATAAATCCCTGACAGTGACAAATGTATAATAGATGAGATCCATCCACGTTGACTTCACTTCTTCTTTACTTGTCTCATCATCACTTCACTTTCTTTACTCTTCATTTCACTCTTTGACAAGCTGCGCTTAGTCACTCTTTATTTGTCTTAACATTACACAAACGTTCAAGCCGGTTTGATACCATTTTGAGCTCATATCCTTCCCTCATCCTTAAATCGACTTTCCAACCGAAAACTCAAGATGCAGTACCGTATGCTTATGGTGGCCACTCTGGCCATGGGTGCCTATGCCGCTCCCGCTCCTCCTCAAGTTACCCGAGCTCCCTCTCTGTCGGCCCGTCAAGAAACTGGCGGTGCCGGTGGCAGCAGCGTTCTCGATGCTCCCATGACCATTGCTGCTGGCGAGTCTTTTGATGGTGGTAACGCTATCTTCGACCGCGGTGTTTCTTGCACTGGCCAGGAGGAAGGTGGTGACTCTGACGCTGTCTTCATCCTTGAGAAGGGCGCTACTCTTTCCAACGTCCGCATTGGTAAGTCGACTGAATGTTTCTCTTGGTTATACATTGTCTAACTGTTACAGGTCCTAACCAGATCGAGGGTGTCCACTGCAACGGTGGTTGCACCTTGAACAACGTTGTCTGGGACGCCGTCTGTGAAGATGCTTTCTCTATCAAGAAGCAGGAGGACGGTGAGACCACCACCATCAACGGCGGAGGTGCCACCGGTGCCGAAGACAAGGTCATTCAGCACAACGGAGGTGGTACCGTTATCATCAAGGACTTCGAGGTTTCCGACTTTGGCAAGCTCTACCGCAGCTGCGGTAACTGCAAGTCGATGCCTGCTCGCCACGTCGAGATCTCTGGAGGTTCCGCCAGCAACGGAAAGATGCTTGTGGGCATCAACCCCAACATGGGCGACACTGCCAAGATCTCGGGCATCCAGATCACCAATGTGCCCAAGGAGTGCATCACCTTCAAGGGTGTCACTGACGGCAGTGAGCCTGAGGAGGTTGGTACTTGTGATTCCGGTGCCGAGGCTGGCACTGGATCTGGATCTGGATCTGGTGAATCTTCTGCTGCTCCTGCCACTCCTACCACTCCCGCTGCTGGATCTGACGCTCCTGCTGAGACTGAGGTTGTTGAGCAACCTACTGAGACTGAAGTTGCCGAGCAGCCTACTGAGACTGAGGTTACCGAGCAGCCTACTGAGACTGAGGTTACCGAGCAGCCTACTGAGACTCCCGCTGAAGGTTCTGATGATGACCAGTCCGGTGATGACCAGTCCAGCGATGACGATAACCAGGAGGAGGAGTCCAACGAAGATAAGAAGGACGAGGAGCAGGAGCAGGAGTCTGCTGAACAAACTCAGGGCGGATTCCCCAGCGCGCCCCCTCAGTTCGGAACTACTGGCCAGTTTCGCGGCTTCCAAGGATAGATACGTGTTATCGCAGGCATGAATATGTTAGCATGAACGTCAAGATCAATTGAATGCAACATATGGTTAATTATATCTGTCTCGTTTTATCTATCAGATAGCTCTGATTTATAAAGATTGATTTTCTTCATAGCTTAAATCTTATGTGAACGTGTTGCTTGGCCTGTGGAAAGTAGAGATGGTGAGAGTGCCAATGTGTCCTATCTGGAATGCTAACAAGTCGCTGAAATCGTTTGGGGCTTGGTTGGATTGCGCCGCAGGTTTACCAAACATAGGCCAGAAAATGCACCAAGAACCCTGCCACATTGAAATCCGACGTCCCCCAAGCGCTTGGCCTGCTTTTTGCCTGGCATGTTGTTTCGAAGTACTCCGTACTCTTTACAGTATTCTGACTTCTCAGTTGCCTCTAGTTTGGGGACTAGACCTTGAATGGCAATCGTCATTAGGTGAAACATGTGCAAGCGGCATGCTTTAAGTCAAGAATAAATCGAGATTAGAAGTGATTGTTTTACAATGCCAAGGAGCCAACGTAAGCAAGAGTGGTTCTGACAAGCAGCTCTGAAAGGCCATTGGGCCAATACTGCCACGAAGGATCAGGCCAAAAAGACGAGCCAAGGGCTTAAAGCTTTGGCATAAGGGCATTGCTCATTTCGGATGAATAGCTGCGCCGCTGCCTAGCTCTAACTAACGTTAGTTGCCCAGTGCGTTGAAATTTGCTTACCTATAGTCATATGTTAAAAAAGGCCCTTCTGCAGCCTATTTCGGAGGTTGAGTGATCGTCTTCTCTCCGTCTCCACATTCGTTCTTTATCGGAGACTCCTTTCGTTATCATGGTTGCATTCAGAAACATTGGCCTCGGCCTGTTTTTAGCACAGTCCGCTCAATGTATGGACCTCGACAGCAAAGATGGCATTGTAAAGGCGTCAAAGGCCCTTGCTTCCGACCTCATCAAATTCTACAAAGGCAATGAGAGCGGCCAGATTCCTGGGCTTTTGCCCGAAAGGGAAATGGGAACTGATGGTTACTACTGGTATCAATCCGGAGCTTTCATGGGGGCCTACGTCGACTACTGGCAATTGACAGGCGATGACACCTACAACGATCTTGTGGCAAAGGGAATGCAATGGCAAAGAGGACAAGAAAATGACTTTATGCCCGCCAACCAGAGCAGGGAAGTCGGGAACGACGACCAGTCTACTTGGGCATTGGCTGCTCTCACAGCTGCTGAATATGGATTCCCTACTCCCTCTGGAAACAGTTCAGACTGGCTCGATTTGGCCACCGCCGTCTGGCAAGAGCAGCGTTCTCGATGGGACACCGAAGTAAAGGATGATGTCTGCGATGGTGGTCTCCGATGGCAAATATTCCCATTCAATACTGGATTCGACTACAAGTCAAGTAGGAAAATCCCCAACAAGCTCAGCCATCACAATACTGACCCGCTTAGTTCTTGCAAACACTCTTTTCTTCAACATCGGGGCGCGTCTGGCTAGAATAACAGGCAATGACACATACGCCGACTACGCGTCAAAGACCTGGGAGTGGCTCGAGGCCTCGGAGTTGATCAACAACAAGACCTGGGCGGTTTACGACGGAGCTAAAACAACAGAGAACTGCTCTGAAATTAACAAGATCCAGTTCTCCGCAGGTCCCGCATCGCTTGCTATGGGCGCCGCTTTCATGTACAACTTTGTAAGTTTACTCCTTCACATGTTGAGAGTCAAAGTACTGACTTCGCATGCTTCTAGACCGATGGATCGGACGCGTGGAAAAAGCGAACTCAGGATATCACCTCGGCGACTCTGAAGACCTTCTTCAAGGACGGAAAGTTCACGGAGATTGCGTGTAGCAAAGGCACTTGTCCTCGAGACTTTATCACACAAAAGGCGCAGGTCCACAGATGGCTGGCTGTGACCACTCAGGTTGCTCCCTTCACGGCTGATTCTGTGCTTCCTGCTCTTCTCAAATCAGGCAAATCACTAAAAGCTGAAGGTAACGGCGATGACGCCCTGGAGCAGACACTGGCCAACTTTGCTGTTGTGTCGAACCTCTTGATTGCCGACTCTGCTGCTCCTTCGACGGAGAAGGAGACAGCCGGTGACAAGTCGGATAAGGCGAAGGAGAACCCTTCTTCTACTACCATATCCGGCACCAGCGCATCCGCGACAGACGCTGCGGACAACGCGGCTCTCAAAGGGACCGGATCTGGAAGCCTTATGGTCATCTTCGTGCTTTTCCTGTCATCGCAGTGGCTTCTGTAGAGTTGACCAGGCTAAATAGACAAAATAAGGCACTCGGTGCTCTTCTAGTTCTGCATGCCTCTAATTTAACTACCTAAGTGCAGATGTTCCCAGTTCCCAAACACTATTGTTTCCGTGCTTACATTACTGACTAGCTTGTATAAATTGCCGAACGTATTTAACTATGTTGAAATGGCTTGTTCATTCATTGTAGTATCGCTTATTGAAAACCGTAACTTGGACCAAGGAGCCTGCAAAGTCGTTCATCTGTCTGATGCGCTCGCTGGTGACGATAAAGTGAGCAACCCCGCACCTCCACCTTCACACCCTGTCTCCCACTTTGCAGTATCGCTTCTTCGTATTCACCAACCATTCGCTGAAGATGCCGCCAGTAAATTCCTTCACAGCCTGCAAAGCATGCCGGTGAGCATTTCATACCGTTAAGCTTTAACAAGCCAGTCTCATTCTCTGAACATGGTTAACCGGCGTTCCAGGCGACTGAAGCGGAAGTGCTCACGGGATATCCCGTCGTGTCATCTTGTAAGCATGTAAGGTAGCCAGTCTTTGGTCATAAATGTTGACGGTGACTTGAAGTGTGTCCGACTAGACAAAGTATGTGACTATGGTCCAGAAGACATCAATGCCAGACCAGGAACGCAACTCACTGGTGCGGAACGGCGGCAACCTATAGACCTTGCCGCTGAGCTGGAGGTACAACAAAAGAGCAGCTTTCCAGTTTCGTATTTTCTAGATCCCGATTTGTTCCAAGACCTCGCTAGCGACGCTTTGACGGCAGTAGAAAATCCTTTCTTTATCAACCAACAAAGACGTCTTGCAAGTAATGGGTCCTTTCAATCTCTCATTGATGGGTACGAGGCCACTATCCACAACTGGCTGCCTCTGCTCAGCCTCAAACGTCTACGACAAGACGCAAACACTTGGGTGAGCACTAGTCAGGGGAGTGTTGACATCCTCATATTTCTTGCCTTGGAAGCTCTGTCATCCTAAAATGGGGTTATAAGCAGTGAAAGCAATACACCACCTCAAAGCAATTCTGTTTACCTTAGAGTCAAGCATTATAGCTTCGCTGCCGAGGCTGGAGGAGCCATCACCATCAGACTGATACAGACAATAGTTTTGGTAGCTCTTTACGAATTTAGGCACGGGATATACCCTGCCGCATCCTTGACAATCGGGCAAGCTGTTCGCCTGGCCACAATAGTTGGGTTACAGAGTCAGAAACAAGCGAAACGACTCTTTGTGGATGCTGACACATGGACATTGTGTGAGGAGCAACGTCGGACTTGGTGGACGATTTTGATGCTTGACAGGTCTGTTTTGATCAAATTCACGAATGAATCATGTGAAACTCCTGGATCTGACTGGTACTAGAGTCGTGGTTGCAAACTCACCGGAGTTGTTGATAGCTGCTCCGGACCCCAGCACCAGTGATCTTCTTCCTTGTAGCGAGGATGACTGGACAGCAGGTCGAATAGGTTTCAATGAAGCACTACTCACACGCAACCTTCACTCTCCTTCATCATTGGGAACGTTTGCAAGAGCGTGCCAAGCAGTTCATATGCTTGGCAAAGTCCTCCGTCATGTGCAAGCACGAGCGAGAGTTGAAGATGTATCCGGGCACACTTCCGAAGCACTGCAGCTGCACATGGCTTTGAATCTGCTGGACCAAGGCCTCTCTAACGACTGCGCCAATGGTTCAACTGTACGCAGTAGTCAATATTTGGCACTATCATTGTGCAGCCAAGCTCGCCTGGTGCTTTACAATCAATATGCGTGCAACGAGCCAGGTCAAGCCTTGCCAACGGAGCGCCTAGCTGCGGAAGTTGAGATGCAACAAATATCTCTTGCGGGTATTAGAGAGCTTGCAGCCAAGAGGATATCACAGATGGCGAGGGAGATAAAATCTGACAACCAGCAACAGTCTGTAGCATTGAGCAATTCTCCGCTACTAGCGGGCTGCTTGTATCATGCTGCAACAGAGTGTGTATGGTTCATCAAGGAGGACTACGAAATAGAGATGGTGGATGGATTAGAGTCTATTGTGCAGGCTCTCCGAATGCTGAGGCCCGAGTGGAGTGTTTGCAGTGAGGGACCTCTGTATTTGCCATGAGCGATTACTGATAGCATACAGACGAATATCTCGGTTACTTGTTGGCCAATGGAATCAAGATGTGACTCAGTCCGAGAGGAATAGAAGAGAAAATTTAGTGGGTGAACTGTGCTTTGCATTCCCGCTCTGCCCGCTTCGCCGTAGGTGACTTTGTAGAAGCGCATGAGCCCTGCCCGTTCTGCCCGCTCGATACTCGCATTCCCGCATTTGCGCCGCTCCAGATCCACCTCCGACTACAAGACAATAGTAATGCAAAATTAATCTCATAAAAGTATATAAGGCGCAGTGCCTTACTCTCTGCTTTATTTCATTCTCATCCTCACATATATTCTTCAGCCTTAGACAAGATAAATATCATCCTTCTCCCTCACCATGCCTCAACTTGTCTGGCTCATCACAGGCTGCTCGTCTGGACTCGGCGCCGAGTTTGTCCGCCAAATCCTCTCACGCGGTGACAAAGTCGTTGCAACGGCCCGTGACATTACGAGGATCGAGCCATTCGCTAGCCAAGGGGCAGCTATACTCGAGTTAGATGTCACCCACTCACAAGACGCCATTGAACAAATCATTGCTCAAGCCATTACTATATACGGGTGTATAGATGTTTTGGTGAACAACGCTGGTTATGTAGCCGCTGGCTCGTGGGAGGATCTCAAGTATGTTCCTCTATTTAAAAAGTGCCCCAATTGATTGACTGACGTATACTCAGCTATCATGACTTTCTTGCTTCCTTCGAGACCAATGCTTTTGGTCCCCTGAAAGTGACACGCGCGATTCTTCCGCATCTGCGAGAGAGAAGGTCAGGAACAATGGTGTTCATTAGCTCCGTGGCTGGCTGGGTTGGCCACCAGTTCACCGGAGCTTATGCAGGTTCTAAGTTTGCCCTTGAAGGCCCGTTTCATCAGACAAACAGTCCACCCTGCCTTGTCCGACGTACTAACAAGAAATCAGGCATAGTCGAAAGCCTCCACAAGGAAACACAGCCTCTTGGTCTTCGCACTCTTCTGATGGAACCTGGCCGATTTCGAACTTCTCTCCTCTCAGTTACCAACCCCAAGTTCAAACAAAGCCAGATTTCTGATTACGAAACAGAATCGGAATCTCACGGAGACCATCTCCATGGCGAAGATTTGGAGCAGCCAGGAAACCCCGAAATGTTTGTCAGACTTGTCGTCGACCTGGTTAGACAGGAGGGGTGTGCAGAAGGAAAAACGATCCCATTCCGTTTGCCGGTTGGGAGAGATGCTGTGGAAGAGAATGGTTTTAAGCTACGTGAGACGACGGATTTGTTGCGAGAGTGGAACGATATCATCACGAGCACGGATTACTAGGAATGCCGTGGATATCATGTTCTTGAAGATTGGATCTTATGTGGTCATTATGTACTCATTATTCAAAGCTAATGCAACCAGAAATTGAATCCTGCTTATATACAAGTTGGGGACGTATCTTCCCTCTGGTGTTCCATTCTTCCGAATCGTAACAGCTATGCCAAGCGCAAAGATAATACGTGAAACTCGGATTTGCAGTGATATTGTCTCCATGTCATTCATTGGTGTGGCGTCTCGTGAGCCTTTGCTCTCCTTCTTTTCCTTCTTATCAATGCCGGAATAACTCGGCCTGATTGTGGGACGAACATGATTCATTGAACATTCGCTTCTGGACCATGAAAGAATCGATGATCTGTGGTATAGTAATGTGGCGTGGAAGGTGATGTTGTGGGGCGTTGCGTGTCATTCTCAGTCGGGGAAATCTCGAACTGGTGAGTTGACCTATCGTTGGATATCAGACAAGGCCGTATTGTGGTATAATTTGAACACTGTCTGTTCTTTCTCTATTGACGGCCGGCGGGGATGGAGATTCCGGACCAACGAGGAGCTGAAGAGGGCTCAAAAGCGTTGGTTCCCAGGGGAGGGTCGCGGCTGGATGAGGTAGACATGTTGTTGGTGTTGGTGGTGGTGGCGGAAGACGCGGAAACGTTGACGCTGGCACCCCAGAACTTGTCCATGATAGGGTCATGAACAGCAGTGTCGCGGCCGTTGGAGACGCTGCGGCTGGGGTCTGTGGTGCTCAGGCGTCTTGTCTGGGTGAGGCCAAGACGGAGAGCACGGGGAGCAGTGCGGGCACCGCGGCAGAGAGTCTGGATGGAGGAGCTCATATTGAAATTTAGAAGGGAGAAAGTATTGATGGATTATCAGATAGGTGTTGATTTACACAATCTGGGGAAACTTGGTGGTCAGCTCATTCTACTTATATCCTGCTCGGGCAAGTCTCCGGGTCGAGGGTGCTTCGGCTCGGATGAATGGAATTGGCCTGGAATAGGAAATCAACCGCACGAGATATCCCCGCATTATTAGCCGGTGCACTCCGCATTTTACCCCAAAGTGGGCTGATATCCATCCTGGAAACCGATGTCGGTAGTTATTTCGCCAAGTGGCTCCAGCGAGTGGGAGGGAGAAAGTTCTATTCTGTCAATTGAAATTGGCTCAGAATGCATTCAACCTAGCCTATCCAGGGTCTTGTGGGTGTCCTACATTGCAGGTATCTGCCCACATCTACCAAACTTTTGGCGTTGTGAGGCCACCAGCAATACCACCATAGTCCCAAGAATCAATTCACTAGAGACATACAGATAAAACGGAGAATGAGATAACTGTGCAGGGAGCTAGATTGCAGCTTTTCTAGTACGTTCGGCTGGTCCCATTGCGCTGTCTGAGCAATTTAAGCGAGAACTGTTTCCCTACGAAACTCAATCAGCCTGTCTTATCTCTGCAGTGGAGGTTCTAGATCATGCAATCTTATGCCAGTAAGACGGTGATTGACCGAATGGGATGTCGATGGAAAAGATGGTGTGTTAGGTCCATGCACAACTGGAATTAATTGGCAGATAGCGTTGCATCATCAAAACCCGAACCACAGCACTTGATAACGCCAACCAAATTCCTCTCAATTTCGAAATTGATTTCCGAGTTGTCTTCTTCCATAGCGAAATTGGATCCTGGCAGTCACGTATTACAACGAGGAAGAAACAGATACGGCCGAGATAATCAGAGTTTGTATTCTGGCAAGTGCAAAAAGAGCCAAGACGAGTCATTCAAAGCTTCTAAACGCTCTGAGTAAAGATAAAGACATAAAAAAGCTAGCATCTAGTATAGAAATTTTGTTCGAGTAGTTACTCGCGAATAAGGCAGTTGCAAATTGCATCGTTACCCCTGATAATATGTGACCCATACCATAGTTTGCGCCTTGCTCCGAAATCCACATGTTGGCAAACAGAGTGCCAGAGAGAAAATGACCGAAAGGGTTGAGGAATCCATAAAAGAAGCTCCATGACATGGTTGTCGTAGTGATCCGTTGTCTGTAAGGTAAGAGTAGACTTGGTCGATAGTCGTAGAAAATCATTCTGCCTATGACGATATACCGTCGACTAGATTCGTCAAGACAGAAACTAGTTTCCGTAAGAAAATGGTCGTAGTTGTGAATACGAAATGAATCTGCTAAATTCGAGACCTCCCAGCAATCTCTGACATCATCAGTCGTCTCTGAAGGTCGATGCTAGCTTCAACACAAGCAACACCTTGGTCCGTCGCATCGTCACTTGATACTTGATCATTCAACGCTCATCCCAGATTCGAAATCTTTCAGTAGCCATGAGTCGCTGAAGAAACTGAGTTTCGGCCACGACGACCGCGGCCAGATTCGGTAGTCGCCGACTTGGTGAGAGCATTGTCGACCACGATATCGTCCCTGGTGATGGTCTGGCGAGGAACCCAGACAAGCTGGAACGCTCCGATAAGTGCAACAGCAACGCAACTAGCCCATGCTGTCGCTGAACCTGCAAGAGCGTAGAATACTCCGACCAGAGGAGGGGCAGCGGTACGTGCGAGACACGCACCAGACATAGCCAGTCCGTTAACTCTGCCAAGTACACGAGATGAAGGTGTGGCGTCTTTGATGAGAATCAAAGTAACGGGTGCCACGATCAAACCACAGAAACTCTGCATGAGAAGAGAGACGTAGATACCAACAGAAATCCATGGCTCGGCAAAGGCGGAGAGGAATGGCATGAGCATGTACGACACGGGGTAAAGGATAACCATGCTGAGGAAGGAGTGCCACACGCCAACGCGGGCAACAAAGATAGGGAAGATGACGGCTTGGATGAACAGACCCAGAACACCGTTGACCGCCAGGTACACTCCGACGTCGTGCACGGTGTATCCAAGTCCACCAGTCCAATCAAGGTGTCCGTGTACATGAGAGGGCTCATCGAGAAGATAGGTGGCGAGAAGACTGCTTGCAGCCATTTGATGGTACGAGAAAATGAGCAGTGCGACAATGAGCATCATAACTGTCCAGTTGAAAGTCTTCTCGCCAGACTCGGAGCCTTCGTTCTCCTGCTCCTCGTTCGGGGGAGTCAGAAGATCATCAGGTAGTAGGATAGAGTGAACTGTTCCGAAAGAGGATCGTCGAAGGTCGATAAAGTCGTGCTCAACAGCCATTCCCAGACTGGACTCGGCGAAGCGCGGTCGTGATCGGCTGGTGGAAGGAGACATATGTCTTCGACTGCGAGAAACGGAGCTGTGAGAGATTGAACTGCGCATTTGCGATCGGTGGAGAGGAGTTCTCTCGTCGATGGATTCCAAGTCGTCGACCACGGGAATATCCTGGTAGTTGAGAGTACCGTTCTGTACCTCATCGCCGGGCTTCACGAGGGTCTCCTCCAAGAGGAAGAGACCTTGAATAACGGCAATGACAACCACGGCCACTGAAACAAGATTGGGGAGCAGATAAGGATATCTTCCAAACAGACCATCTTCCGAAAACACTGAGGGGTAGAATACCGCAGGCTGAGCGAGGAAACCTCCCATAGCAGAGCCAATAATACCGCCCAGCGTCCACACAAAAGGCTGTACAGCATAAGCCTTGGCTGTGAGAAAGTTAGCGTTTTGCTCCGCCATGACAACTCAAAAAGTGAGGGTGAAAACCTACGCTCATGCTCGGGCAATTTCACCATCTCGGCGACCATGGTCTGCATGACCGACACGTTTCCATTGAGCGCGCCACCCACAAACCTTGCCAGCAGGGCAACCCAATAACTCTTGGCCAGACCAAAAATCAGACTCGAGAGGGCCACGCCCACAAGTCCCAACAAAACAACAGGCTTTCGCCCGATGCGGTCCGACAGAACACCCCATCCCATCGAGGTCAGGGCCTCGGCGACAGCGTACGCCGAGACGAGCAGGCCCGCATAGAGTGAAGCATCTTTTTCATCAATACCCAAATCCTTGACCATGACAAAAGTGTAGGCCAGGATGGAGTTGAAGGCAATGGGCTCTGAAAAGCGACATATTGCTGGTGGTGTTTGTTAGCATGGGCATTTTGCACGTTGCATCATGGGGTTGAGGCGGGGAGTGTGAGGTGAGAAGCGATATCGTGGGCGGTGAAGTGAAGCGAAGCGCGCTGTGACGTACCGAGAATTAGAAGTTGCCTCGTGGGGAAGGCATTGGGATCGTTGGTGGTAGCGATCTTTGCTTTCCTTAGATTCATGATCTGGGCGACGAGTTCTTCTTTCTTCTTGTTCTTCTCCTGGGGAAATTGACGAGCAGAGACGGATGTTGCAGAGACCTGGAACCTGAGAGTTGGGAAGGGGAAAAAAAGAGTAAGAAAAGAAAAATCTTAAGGCGGGCCATATGACTTTGAAGTAACGTCTAGCAGAGAAATCTCCACGGGCACTGAATCAGGCGCTCATGGTAGTACGGCCCGCAGACCGACCTCGGTGCAACGCTACAGGCTACAATGCAGTGAGGTGAGGTGAGCAACCAGTAAACTACAGGTGCTGTAGACCCCCCCACGTCCTGTCGCTAAAGTCGCCACACCCCCGGCTATCTCGCTACAACAGTTTTTTCTGCCTAGCTGGGTTTTTTTAATCGCTATCACTTGGCAACGCACGACAAAGGAGGAGAAAGAGGAGTCGAACGACCGGGTTAACATCGGTATCAACACTACGGGGTTTGCATCGCATCATGGGGGTTCCATGCAAGACATTTCCTTTGTTCCAAGCTATGATGGAATGGGCGTTGGCGGAGACTCAATACCTGTGAATCCGCCCATTCCCCAAGCTAACCCTGCCTCATTACTCAAGATTCCGATTCTCCAGCATCAACATGAATCACCATGAGAAATTGCTTCTTTTTTTTTTCTTTTCTTTTTTTCTCCCTCATCTCTTTCCCCAGAATCTTGACCATTGTGAAAACGACACCGTGCTCTTGTGACCCCATGTACGAACTCAATAGAGCGCAGTAAGCTTTCGGATGATCAGTGGCAAGCGGTGTACATTGCCTCTCGTGGCAAAATAAACTTTTGGCCATTTTGATGTCGTCAAGGTGCATCCCCAGCTGTCAAGTGTCAAGCGAAACTTTATACGCATAGCAAAAAAGTGTAACAGACGACGTATAAAAGGGTTAATAATTCACGACAGAGTCAACCCTTGACCAACATTTCGATGAAACCAATCAAGCCCCCCTTGTCTCAAGCAATTCAACCATCATCTTCTGCTTGTCGCACACACCGTTTTTTCCTGCCGAGTCGTAACCTGCCCACCATCTTCTCTGGTGTGGCGAAACGGAAATCGTTCAATGGCCTAACGTCTAGCGGATGGACAAGCCAATGGCCACGCACAATTCACTAAATCCTACAGCATGATGAGGCTGAAAACGGCAAAGACCACTTCATTCATGCAGACGAGAGGTGATGTGATGTGATATCGGCAGATGACAGATCGGATTCAGATCTTTGTTGTTTTCTCTTAGCTTCCCTAGAAGGGTCCATGCGTACTGATCTGCAGCAGTCAGCCAGGCTACAGAGCCAGGGTCTACAGGCTGTGAAGCTTTCGCGTCTTTTCTCTCGTCTCCCCCAAATATGCACGGACCCGAAATATCCGTCCTAGTTCCATGATAATTGATTGCATCGTATCCGTACCGTGGAAGATAAAAAGATAAGCTTGGGGAGGCCCGGACTCTCAGATACGATGCATGTATGTTGCGGGGAAATGCAGTGTAATACAACCGGTCCAATCGCTTCACCTCATATGTTGATCATTGGGAGGTTGATGGTTCGACTTGCTAACGTTAGTGCATGAAAGTGCCGCTCTCGCTGACCTAGACGGCTGCTGCACTCCCCGCTCACCGGTTCCCTAGTGTCTGGTGGTTGGGGACTGACCGTTCAGTCTTGTGCCACAGCCGAAGCCATGTTGGTAGTAGACAAAAAAGCAGGACTCTGTTAGACGGCTGAAGATCCAGCTGCTGTCCGTGGCCAGAATTCCTGATCATGCGCGAGTAAGATGCGCACTATCCCAATAGCCTACTTGAGTAACCTGACAACCCCGATTGCGCGGTAAAGAACCCGAACATGTGGGCTTCTGACTCGAGATGGGAGATTTGGAAATGGAATCTGGAAATTAAAGCCCATGGTATATTTAGCACACACGCCATCAGCCCGAGGCTTCACAGCTGGTCCAATACTCCGGCGGCGTGGTGTTTGAACATAATTCCCGATCCTGAATTAATCGCGAGACCTCTGTATCATTTCAACCACGGGGAGAATCGCTGATCAAGCTGGTGTGTGGCTGAACCACTGTGTTCATCATAACAAATTGCTTTCTTCTTACCGGGTGCGACAGGCCGTCTCAAAAGGGAGGGCTGTTGAATCATCATACAGCTATGTATTACCGTTACATATGCAACATTGTAGGTACGTGGGACAGGGTCTCGTATTTTATACATCCTTGCCAAATGTCTCTGGGATCAATGCACGGGGAAACAAGCATCGCGTAGCCCAGGAACGTGGTTTGACAGATAAGTCTCAGCGTCATAGAAACTGAAACATGTGAGACGGAAGTGCTTAGCATTGCCCGTTTTTGTTTCACTTGTAATTTATCATTCCCTGAGCCAGGTACGTATATCATATCATATATGTTGCCTTGGTGATTCATTAATCTATCGAGATTGTTAATGATCGAAGGCGATGTGTTCAGTTCGTCAAGATGCGGGTTTCAATCATGTTGAAGAAGCTTAATCTGAAAATGGCCACGAGGAAACTCTTCAAGCAAGGATGATCTTGTCTACATGCATCAACTTGAAGTGATAAAGTTTGGTATCGAGTTGTGATAGCTAACAGAAATTATGTTGAAATTCATCGCATGGGCATACGTGAATAAAATAGGATGAGAATACAACCAAAATGGAATAAAACAGCGATGACACTTGTAGCAAACGCTGAATCAAATATCAAGCAAACTTTGTCTTCGGGCGCTCCTGAAGTTCCCCGTCCAGAATAATATCAACCTTCTCGTTATAAAAGCACACCAATCGCGCGACACCGGCGCTCTCCTGAGTCGGATGATTGTAATACCAGACCAGATTATCAAATCTCTTCCCATCGATTACCACGTGATAGTACTCAGCTTCTCCCTTATACGGGCATTTGCTTCTCATGTCGCTCTTTTGAAGGACTGTCTGATCAACAGAAGTAAGTGGTAAGTAGTAGCGAGTTGGTAAGCCTGTTTCCAGAAGATGCATAGACGATGCAGCTTTCGCCACGGTCTTCCCGTTGACTTTGACTTCGATGGGACGCTCTGAGCGGAGTATGTCAACGCGCTTGAAGGGGTCTTTGGCGTGGACGAAGATAGGCTCGTCTTCCTCTAGCCATTGATCTATGGATTTGTTAGTCTGAGGCAACAATCTATTCTGAAAGAGAAATACCTATACTGCGAAACTCGATCCTAACCGTATCAGACAATGGTCCGAGAGTCACATCCTGGAAGAAACGTAGAACTCGGTCTATCTTCACTTCCTTAAGACCGTCGTGGCCAGGAACGACAAGCTGAGCAATTGCTGCGCGCTCCTTGAGCTCCACAGAAATGTTTTGCTGATCGGTTAACTTAGCATTCTTGACATCTACCAGGGGCACATAGATGGTAGGAAAACTGTCGTGTTCATAGATGTAAACGGCCTTGGTGGTATCGACGATGGTGGTGCGGTTGTGGATGGCCCGTATCCGGCGCGTTGTCTGGAGGGACTTGCGGGGACCGTGTTCGATGAGGCTCTGGGCGAGTTCAACTAGGCCAGACATTTCAGGTGATTTCGATCGGGATAGATTGTATAGTAGTTTGTGGGCTCGTGCAATTACCATTGGGGAGTATGGTGGTTACGAAAGTAGTACCCCGCGCAGTTGATGACGCAGGGTATATGTACTGATTCGAAGGCGTAGCCACGATTTATAATCACCGCTTCCGAAACCAGAATTACAAATTAAATGGACGTCTTCATTTTCGGAACTTATGTTATGATCTTTTGCGAAGCAAGGGACTACGATCCATGCTGCATTAATATTGTAAATAGATTAATGTTTCTAACTCTCAGACAAGTTGGTAGAATTAGAGTGAAACTTACTAATTCATTTCCATTAAGTCTGAGGCTGCTCTACACTATCTTTTTATAATTTGATGTAAAGAGCTCAGGTTTCTTTTCTAGCATCTTGACTTCCTATTTTCGTTATTCCAGACACGGTTTGATAAGAAGGTCGGGCCCATATGAAGGATGTAATATTGTATTTTCGACTGATGGAGTTTCCTATCTAACTAAGATGATCCAGCAGTATTCAAGATAGACCCCATCAAAAGAGATGTTGCCGTTGATCGCCAAATATGACAAGTTGCTTTACATACTATCGAACTTCAATAGGCTAAGGTAAATAAGCTTAACCGCCGTTGTTCAATCCCCTCCGGATTCTTGTCATAGCTTAGCCATCGCTCGAAATTTGAACGAGGACTATCTGTCAGATTTGTATCTTTGCCAGGGTTATAAAGGTAGTAGACCACCATATTGATTATCTCAGTGTCCAAGCTTCCCCAAATGCGGCCTCCACTGAGGCGGAGTCACGACGAGGCATATTTGAGATGACTCAGCTGACAGCTAAGGCAGGAAGAAATAAGCTCAATCCTTCAAGAATTGTGTCCCTTCATTTCTATATTAACCGTTGCTCCTCTTACTTCCTCAAACATCATGTTTTGAAACATCCTCAACTTTACAACAACACAGATACTGAGCATACCAGCAACAACAACAACAAGAAGCAGTCATGAGCGGCGAGAGAGTATATGGTACCAACTGGAAGATCAACAAGATCAACAACCCAGAAAGCGCGAAATGGAACATCCGAGTCCCAGGCCCAGACATGGTCAATCTCATCAACGGATTCGCCCCCAGAGACATGGACGACAAATGGATGTGCTGCACCAAAGGACCTGACGACGAGGGAAACATTCTTGTCCGTATCTGCAGAAGCTGGAGCAGTAACGAGATCATCGCACTCAAAGGACGTGTTGACTCGGATGCACACAAGAACCCCAGAATTATTGGACAGAAGGGGGGAGAAATCTTGGAGATCGTGTGGGAACCTGGAAAGAAGGGTGAATATGAGCCTATGAATGAGAAGAGGGCGAAGGAATTTGCGATTGGATTCTGTAAAGGTTTACTTAAATGCGAGCTGAGACCGTAAAGCTCTTGATGATACGCCTTGAACCAGATTTGTTTCTTTATTATGGTGGTATTGCTGTGTGATAACCTGTATGCTTTCATGCTGAGATTGAGGTTTGTGAACGCCGTTACGCCATCTTTGCGCCTGTCCAATTTCCAACATCCGATACACTTTTATTGCCCAGATAGTAGCCTCTCCTCCTATGGCTTGTCAGTGCCTTTCTATAAAAGATCAGAAGAACATACCGGCGCTGCGTTGCTCTAAGCTCATCTAGTCGGTGGACCTCTAGGCGGTGAAGGCATCCGCGCCGCAGCAGTCCTAACCTCCAGTCGTTCCGTAGCGCGACGACTACTTGCGGCCACAGGACGAGCGGCTGAGGTGTATGCCTGTTGGTGAGGCTGAGCAAACTGGAAGGATTGCCGATTATCCATGAGCGGGGCGGTGTCGGTAGAGCGTTTTGGGAAGAGGTCGTCAATGGCCTCTACGACATCTTCATAAAGGCCTCTGAAAAATGGCACAATTCCGCACATTTTTACCTGGTCGCGGGTTTATGAAATGCTGGTGTAGGTAGGGGAAGTTGATGGTGAGTCGAGCACGGTGAGACGAATTCTGCGCAGAGATCACGTGCAGCGAAATACTCTCGCTGGTCATTACAGTGTTGCACAAAAGGTTTTGGAGAATGTGCTCGTTATGAATATCTTTTAAATGTACTTTGGGTCATAATTGATTAATATGTCTGGCGATTCAATCATCCAAGCCTACGAGATATTTTCGCGACTATTATGGCTTCGGCGACCGTCCCTACTTCGTAAAAGTATCCGTCTCTTTACCCATTCCCTCTTTGCTATCCGACTCCTGAGCGTTTTGACTGTTTATCTTCCTCTCCTTCTCCGACATATTTTTGTTTCCGAAAGAGGTTGCATCGTCTTTGCCAGGCGCTGCTTTCAGCGAAGCAGTCGCTCCATCGGTATGAGTGGATACAGGCTTCTTGTCGTGATTGATGTCTGATGATACTGGTGTCTTGACCTTTCCAGAGTACATGCGAGCAGCAGAGAATGTAGCGTGCATTGGTTTGGTTCGAATGGCTGACGCGACGGTTGGGAGACGTCTGAGAGTCGAGAGGGTTTGTCGGGCGATCGTCATGATTGTGATCGGGTGTGGGACGAATCGAGGGATTTGGTTGTAGATTGAATTCAAGGCTCGGACTTCTGTTGATGGTGTAGAGTCTTTGAGGATGCAAATTGCGTGTTAGATGAAGGTGAAAGATTGCAAAATTGTATTGCTCTGCGGGTAGATCCTGAAGCGAAAGTAATGACGACATTCCAAATAAATCAGTCATGATGATGGTTGATGTCATTGACACATCAATGCATCGGCTTCATTCTTCGGCCTAACAAAAGTCCGAAATGATCATTGAGAGTTCTTGCAACACTTCTTTCTTATCAGTATTGTTATCTTGAAATTGTTCAGATGATCGACATGGCTTACAGTTCTCTGGTAGATCTCACAACTGCGATTGTAGCATTGATGAGCAAGAACTCAACCAACTCAGATGCTGTCTCGTGGAATCAATAACCCTTACTATGTCGCTTGTCTTGTAAGCTGAATTTTAAGGGCCTTTCACCTCTTAATGATCTCCACTGATTAGTCGCCCTCATCAAGCCATCACACCCTTCCACAGCCCATCCCCATCTATCCAGGAATCCAGGCGTGATCTCCCAACTCACCATCTGGTGTGGCTCTCCCCAGATGATTATGCCACGCCGATACGAAGCTGAACCGTTAAATCTGTATTCAACAGATCGATGTCGTCCCTTTAGCCCGGTGCCCTCCCCATACTTATTGAACATGATATCATCCAAGAGGTTTCCCATCACGTCGTTGACAAGAGACCAATGGTTGAATTCATCATGGTGTGTGATGAGATTATCCCTCATTCTTGGACATGGAAGAAGATCAATCCAGGTTGCATGTGCTTGTCTAGACTGCAAATCTGTAGGCCGAAGATCAGGTGGTATATGTGGGCTCGCGGAAATGACAACGGCAACTCGTTTGAGACCCGCCATAATGTTCAACTTCTCGGTTCCACTTCGTGTTACTACAAGATGGTCTGTAAGCTGCGAGAGTGTCGCTTTGTTGCAGAAGAAGCCTCTGAAAGCATTGTAATTAACGAGATGCAGTAAATGATCTGCAAGCGGAGAGCCTGAGAACGAGAAACTTGCGAGTTGTTGGTGGATGTTGAGCTGCTGGCTATATAACTCAACGTCTTCAGTACTCAGCATATCATCATACATATCGGTTAGAAACACTAAAGGATTTCGCCTTCCGATTCTCGTTTTATTTTCGTCTGCACCGCTGACACTTTGCGAGCGAGTGCTGGTCTCCAGGTCAAACTCGTCTAATCTCCAAAGCTTAACTCCGAAAGTTGGCTTTCTCTGGTTTTCAGATTTGAATGATGCACCATTGCTCATGCGATTTCCTATCAACGGGGTCAGAAAAGTCTAACCCTTCCACGTAGCTCTTTGTCCGGGTACTCACGTCGTGCTCGTTGATTGAGCCTGTTCTGAAGCTTACGGCGCTGCTTCCTTTCCGCATCATCCGAGCCTGAAGGATCTGCACGCCTGCTCTCCTTGTTCCCGGCCATTCTGTAGACTTGATTCTGTGTACTTTGACGAAAGGAGTAAAAATGTAAGTTTGAAAGAGAACAGACAATGGAGGGTTGTTTGGGGTGTTGAAGGCAGATGCGTAATAAGCACATCAACATGGTCGCGCTAATACAGATCGAGACAAAATGTCATCCGCAGGCGGCGCGGTTTCTTGCGTCCGATATATGCGGCAGATTCATATTGCCTTGATTCATCGTCTAGGCTTATTTAGGATACAATGTCATCGACCTGTTATATGTCTTGCCTCATATGAAATGGTGACCAATTCAGGTGACGAATTACTTGTCATCTCTACCGCCGTGTGTTTTTACTATAAATCTAAGCTTCGCCTGCAGTCATTCAAAACTCGAACAAGCTCTATCGCACATTCTCCAACTCCTTCTGAAACTTTTACATCTTCCCATTGGAAAATGTCTCGCTACGCATCTCTTTACACAGACCCCAAAGGCCCAGGTGACAGCCGCCCAACTGCCCTTCAGATTGTCCAAGACGAGCAGATGCAGCAGAAGTTAGTCGGCAAGACAGCTGTAATCACCGGCGTCTCTTCCGGCATCGGTATCGAAACTGCTCGAGCTCTTGCCACTACTGGCATCAAGCTCTTCCTTACTGCTCGCAACCTTGACAAGGCGAAGGAAGCTCTCGCAGATTTCTGGAACCCTGATCAGATGGAACTTGTTCATCTTGAACTTGACTCCATGGACAGTGTTCGAGCTGCGGCAAAGGACATTCTATCCAAGACCGAGGAGATCAGCATATACGTTGCCAATGCCGGTGTCATGGCTATTCCAGAGCTTACCATCACTGCGGATGGTTTCGAGGAACAGTTCGCTACGAACCATTTATCCCACTTTTTACTCTTTGAGCTTCTTAAACCTGCTCTTCTCAAGGCATCCACCCCAGAGTTCCAATCTCGTGTTGTTGTGGTCACGGCCACGGCTCATCGCATTCATGGCATAGCTACCTCTGATGACCACAACTACGAGAAGAGCGCTGCATCAGTGTACTCACCTTGGGGAGCGTACGCGCGTTCAAAGACAGCCAATGTCTACATGGCGAACGAAATTGAGCGCCGTTACGCCACCGAGGGAATTCATGCCAACAGTGTAGCCCCTGGACTTGTAGCTTCAGGCATTGGTCGCCACGTTTCAGAGGAGGTGATGCTCTCAGTTATCAGTGAGAAAATGAATCACATCCAGAGTCTGGGTCAAGCCGCTGCCACGACTCTTATTGCAGCTGTTGGTAAGCAGTGGGAAGGCCGAGGTGGTGTTTATCTCAGTCACTGTGTTGCGGCGGAACGTGGCGATGACAATGATGCTGCTGTCTCTGAAACTTATGTTTCCCATACTTATAGCCCCGAGAATGAAGAAAGACTTTGGAAGGATTCTTTGGAGATGGTTAAGCAGTGGAACAACTAGGAGTATGGGAAGTCAGTTGCCTTCCGATCTGCGGGACAAAGCAATGCAACTCAATCATACATATTATTAACATCACAAATTTTCGAAAGTGGTAATTCGGTCGATATCATTGAAGATTTTGGTATTTAATTGATATTAAAAGCATACTTATCGCGGTATACCCGGCAACACTGAAACTCAATATCGTGTAAGATTCCACATCAGGTTGTGTTGGAGGAGTCCCACAACTAGCACAAATGGCATGATCATACTCCATACACGTGGATCATTCATTTATAGACTGTAACAAACAACAAAGGCAGCAACACTTGAATACGAGTAAAGCAGTGAATCTGTATGAGCCAGCCAAACCCATCACTGATACGAAGCGTCAACATGATCACGATATGAGTGTTTGGATCATAGTAACATTCAAAGAAAGTGAACGTAAGAATGGCTGGGCGTTAACTGCTTACGCTGGAGACAAATCATCGCAAATGCCACCCAATTTGGAATCGAATGGCGGTTACAAGACTCACCTTCAGACGACAAGATCAACTGTCCAAAGACAGAAAAAGTTCCAAAAATTCCCTTGTCAGGCGGACCCGATAAGGAGCTGGTCAATAACGCCGCCAAAAGCAACATTCCTCTCTCTGCGTAAACGCTTCACTGAGAAGGAAGACCCGAGCACTTGGATGGGGAAGAAAAAGAAAAAGAGAAGTGGGAGAAACGGGGGTGGTCACTTATTTATACTAGCTCTAGACAGTTACGGTTCAGGCATCCAGACCGAATGTGAGTCACACCTTGATGGGGCTGAAGCCATTTTGGCTGCTTGGAAACTCTACTACAATGTTGGGAAAATGGTGTCGCGATGGATAGGCTCTCATCGACCCACGGGTCTCATTTGAAAGGTTGTTTGTGATACACTTTTCGGGGCCAGGTAACCACTGCGACTTGAGCTTCCATTACTCATCATGAGACCTCTCACCATGAACACAGTGACACACAGACAGTTTAAGGTTTGTGATATTTCTGTCCTGAAGGAGTTCCGAGAAACCCTCTGTTTCGTTTCACAAATCGAAATGGCTCCTCGCTCAACAAGCCTCGTAAGACATCACCACTCTTGAGAACCTTCTGGAACGTGCCTACAGGTACCCCCCGCTCTTTAACCTTCTGGTCATCAACTTTGTTTCCCAAATCTCCCCCGTGCCCCTGATCACGATTAGCTCATCCACTAAGAGCATGGCAATCGATGTGTTCTGATCGATGGCCCCGGCGGCTTCACAATCTCGCTGGATGACGGAATTCCACTTGTCATCTCAGATATTCGCCAGTCAAAACATTTGTACATCCATTAATAAGGCTTCAAGAACTGACTCGTTGTCTCAATCGCTAGGTGTCTCTGCTTCTTTGCCCCGGCACGTGTGATCACAATAGTTGATACGATCGATGCCCTTAAATAACCTGGGAGGACCACTTTGCTTATAAAATTCGTTTTCGCTGCTCAAAATTCGTACATGAAATCCAGGTGCACCCTTAAAGTTCAACCTTCTGTCCGTAAATGCTATATCTATTACATGATTAGGTTGTGTCTTATGCTATCAATCTCGCTCGCAAACTCACATAGGCCAATATGCATGTATCGACGGATTTTTAATATCCTTTCTGACTTGAACGAGGAAAACGTCCAACTCAGGCTTAGACCAACCCAGTATTCTAGTGAATAAAGCGGTGCTGATTGCCTCAAGACCACCTGAGATGTTCTCAAGTGTCCACGAACCTAATGATATCGGTCAGCACCATACCCGCCTCATCGTTAAAGACGCCTTACCCAGTTCTTTGTACTTTGGATGTTTCGGCCAGCGGTTCTGCGGCCATTTGTAGATTCGCTGTGAGATGTTCTTGAAGCCGGCTGCTTCCATCTGGGATTTGAGGTTTGCTGTTCCGCCAAATGGTCGACCAATCTTTTCGGTGCTCTCGAGCAACAAGTTCGACCATTTGTAGAGTGCTGTATCGGGAGACATAGTACCGTCGTCAGAAGTTGGAGGAAGAATGTCCAGAACTTCGATCCAACCCCCAGGGTTTAGATTCGTGAAGCTTTGGTCGAAGAAACGAGGCCAGTTCGCGAAAGACACAGTCATGAATCGAGTGTAAATGAAGTCGAATGGCTCCGAGAAAGTCCAATCATCCTCCAGGTCGTCGATTTGAAACTGGGCATTGGGAGGTATCATTGAAGGCTGGATAGGGCTCAAGTCAACCCCGATAACGACCGTCTCGGGATGATCATCTGCGAAATCGATTGCCCAGCATCCAGTCCCAGTGCCAACGTCGAGTACTCTGTTCACAGAAATGCCTCCCTCCCGAAAGATTGGAGCAAGAAACAGCTGGTTATCCAGAGTGAGAAGGCAGAGCGCGTGTTGGAAGTCTAAGCGATCCTGCTCTATATCGTCGTTTGGGCCAACATAAGCGCCATCCTTGTGAGCGTGATATGTGCGTCCATTCTCTTCTCTGTATTTATAGATGGTGGCGGTCAACGAATCTGTTGAGCTCTCTTCATCGATTTCTCCAATCGCCGAATCATCGTCCGCAACACTCTCGGCGTCAACGTCAAGGTGGCCGATTGGCTCCGGCGGTATCATCCGCTCCCGCGGCGATGACTTTGGGATAGATTTATCTGGTGATGGAGTATTCTCCGCCATATTTCAAATCTTGATGCACTGTTTTACTGGGCTTGTTGTTGAATGGGCAAGAATTCAGCATTTGAAGTGAGCGATTTATTTAAGCACTCGGCTTTCCTCCAATAAGCATATTGAATGAGTCTGACAAGGAATAGACTGCGTGCGCCAACGCAGTACTTATAGACTTGAGCATCGAGCGGGGTACTCTCGTATCATGAAACGAAACAAACATTGCAGGCGCCTCGGCTAACGTAGCCTGTACACATGATTACATGGGTCTCTGGAAGCCATTTCATGATCAACAGCACGGAAGAGGTGCAGAAGTCGGTTGTTCAAGCTTACCAAGTCCTTCTCGCTACTTTGGATGTCAGAGTGTCAGTTTTGGTTGGTTGCTCTTGTATATTAGCAATAGAGTTTGTGAATCTGTGAATCTGCCTTGCCGTGAGGATGTGTTTCGTCCCATATCATCGCATGCCAAGCACCTTCACTTCTACGAACGTTGTATGACTAAAATATCATATTTCGGTTCGCCACCTACCTCAACATATGGTGAATAGCAGCCAAAAACGAGCTAAGATGCCCAGGCATGAACAAGCAGGGTCCGATTGTGACTTCTCCTTTATGAGGAGCTGAAACATTGAGTCAATGTCCCCATGAGAAGGAAATGTTGTTCGCCTGAACACAGTTGGAAAGTCCGTTCTAAGGTTCGCGCCGTTTAACACCAGTAGCAGACGCAACTCAGGTATTGTGTAAAGCCTGCTCGCTGATCACGGTGAATTTAGCAACGTATGCCAATCAGCAAAATCGTAACGTCATGATAGAGATGTCAGGTTATTTAGTAAAGATAATTTCTCTTGTCCTTGTGTATCAGTTCCACGTATCACGGTTCGAATATTGCACAAATGTAGTGATTCATACACCAACACCTTCCAGCGATAATTAGCCGCAGCGAAAGAACAATGAATGATTGCGTCACTCTAAAATCAGGTACTGCCTTTGCCTAGGTGATTCAGTGGTACAACTACGAAAATATGTTACGTGAGAGATTGAGTTCGGTATTCCTGCAAACCCATCACAGACGTATTGTGAGTTCGATCAAAATTTCTCGTTTCACAGACCATGTAAGTTTGGGTACTTGTGGATCATTTTTACTGAAATGCAGACATCAGCATCTCCTGAATCGCCTCAGTATGTGAACATACTCTGATTAATACAGACTCTAGCACTACAAGGGAAGCTTCTCATTTTCGATTCATCAAGCACGTCGACTCTTACTCACAACTTGCACCAAACTATAAAAGGGGATCATCCTCTCACCATTCCATCCCGTCAAAACTTGAATGAAGACCATCGTCACTACACACATCAACGCAACATCATCCCAAACAATCGTCAGACATAATTACAATACTCCGACCAACTCACGAAACAATGGCTGAATCTGCTACAACAGCAAAGCTTGCCTCTACCCACAAGTACTGGAAATGCAAGCAAGACTTCATCAACGGCAACGTCTGCGGCGAGACCAACGACATGGATGTCAAGCAGTGCAAGAGCTGCAAGGCGAAGCGGGACGTTGGCGATGAGGCGTTGAATTCCTACGGTGCAAAGCTCGGGAAACTCGTCCAAGTCAATCGGGACGGAACAGAGCGCTGGGAGTACGACTAAACTCAATAACCCTCCGAGCCAAGGCACTTATGTTGGGTAGGCAAGATGGTACAGTGGAACTCGTCAGGAGGAAGATTTGTTTCAGCTAGACATAGTCTAGTTTGCAGCTAGGGTCTATCGAAATAAATGGATACCTAAGCCTGTAGGCATCTATTGATAAAGCTTGATGGAGTTGAACAGCCAGTAAGACTCCTTAAACGCCTCGGGGTGGTTGGTGACATAGTCATCACAGGTCTTGGCACCAGTAGAAGGTTTGCATTCGTCGTTCCAGGTGCCCTGATCAATATTATCTCCGCAGAAAGCAGTATTAATGATCTAGACATGTTAGCTTGGTGTGTGTTCTGGCAGTATATCTACTTACAATGGTTTGACCCTTGAAGTATTTTTCGACACTGCAGCTAGATCCGCTAATGAATTGCGAAGCCGGCTTGCCCCATTTGCTTGGGTCAGGCTTTCCAGCCTTGATGTCGGCAGGGATCTTCTGGCGAGGGAACCAGTAGATCTTGAGAGCATCGGATTCGATGTAGGTGGCATAGACGCCTCCCTTGCCCTTGTTGAACGCCGAGCCGTACGAGCCCTCGGCGTGGGTGCTGCCACATCCATCACTGGGAGAGATGGTTAGCCACATCGATTTACATATTTCTACCAGCGAAGGCTTACAAGTTGGTGCCATCCTCACACTGCTCAGACTCGGTTCCACCGTTGTTACAGTTGGATCGCTCATCGAGGCCACCGATCTTGGTGAACTTGCAAGCACCACAGGTGTGCAGGGAGACTACGTTTTGGCTTTGGTCGTTGATTCCTTCGATGATGTCGATCTCGCCAACAGGGTCCTCGTCAAAGTTGTACGACCAGCTGTAAATGAAGTCAGCTCTCAATGCTTAACTGTGGTCGCGAGGAGTATGACTCACAAAGATGGCCAAACACCACAAGCAGTACCAGGCATGTGCTCAATATCGGCGATTAAAATTCCCGAGTCGAAAGTAGACTTGGACTCCAGACGAACACTGTCTCTGCCATGTCTGCTCTTGCTCTTGCCGAGAAGCTTCGCTTTGTTGACAGAGTCCACTCCAATGTACACTTGTCCGTTGGTTGTCTTGGCGAGGCCAGATGAGAGAGCTTTGCTCTTGCTTAGGTAGTTGACTGATCCGTGAGTGGGATCGCCGCCATAGGAGGGGTCGATCGTATCATAGTAGGCCGCCTACTTGGTCAGCTTGCTTTCACCCGCTCAGGATTCAAAACTTACATCTCTAAAGTTGAAGCCATCAAAGAAATTGCTGGCATCATAAGAAGTCTTGAGGGAGAACTTGCGAGTGGTAGCGCATGAGGCCTGACCAGAGGCCGCCAACATCAGCAACGAGACTAGAGTGGAATGCATAGTGAATACTGTAACTGAGGAACAGATGATGATGAATTGTTAAAATTCTGATCTTGGCTGGGAAAACCAGCTTTACATAGTAAATTCCAAAGTTGGAAGGATCACCGCACGGCCCTATCGTCAGCTCAGCTATGTCGGCACATCTTAACCGCCATTCGCTCCTTCGCAAACAATAGTTGAAACAATTAAAGTCCAAGCTGGAATCCTTTACAATGCACGTGCCTTTGTCTGAATGTCTCAGAGCGAAGAGCCGGGGTTAGTTAGTCTAGTGCTTAGCATAATGGGGCTGAGTGGTCTTGTGGAAATTTGAATCAGTTCGAGTTGTTGGGGGCAGTGCTAGTCATACGGGCTGAGGCCATTCTTGTTCCTTCGAGATATTATCTCCAAATTCTCCATGAATTTAGACTGAAGAGTCGGCGAAACCTTGATCTACGGCAACGACAACCGTGGTATGTATGACTTGGGGAATGCGATATGGCGATTGCACTTGAAGAATGGACTTTAGGGCATCCACCGATAAAGGAATGCTCATCTCTAGCTTTACCCAATTCGTTACTCAATTCTACTGATGTAGGATTGAAGGTTCGGTAGGAGGCCTGAACTAACGATAGAACATCGGGCGGAATGGTCCAGACCAAAACTCCACGTCGAGTCACATAACTACCGGCCCGTAACATATACCCGCGCGGGTGCCTCGCAATGGCCTAGTCAGGGTCCTTGATTGATTGCGTAGGCAGTTGTATGGTCTGATGATGCTGACCGCCTCTGTCATCAATACGAGGGAAGACCTTGCACGGGGGGGAACGTTGCATATCTTTGATCCAAAGAATTGGAGACAAAAGAATTGAGCCTCAAAGAGTCTAATCAATTAAGTTTGCTTGATTAGACGTCTTGGCTACGCTTGGCAAAAAAAGGCAGTTGCCTCTTGGCAAGCTCAAAGTGCCGACGGGCAAAAAACGTGGTTCCGCCCGGGATTGAAAATCCCGGGGACGTTCTCGGTGTTCACGAGATGCCATAACCGATTTCTTTGATGACTCAACAGAAGTGGTTCGGCAATATACACGCTGCAGGTCTCTTGAAGCTCCATAACGCTCGTGGAGAGCAAGGGGCTTCAACAAATCAGATGAGAGCGAGATCTGCCTACTTTTGTTGTCTAGCAAATTGGCTGGTGGAAGTATTCCCAGCAATTCCCCAGTGTACAAATTGCTACATTGCATCCGTCACATCTGTAGAAGGTCTGCCGCGGCTTTGGCTGGGGCTCCCCCTCTGACTCCCCCTTTGACCGTTGTGAGCTACGCGTGATGAGATGACCTACCTGCATTCCTAGGCAACCCTTGCACTTGCTATAGTTATCGCTCTTAACATGATTATGCTCTGACATAGGCAGAAACTCGTTCCCACAGCGAAATCGCCGGCGAAGGGTGCTTGTAGAGGCGTACCGTTCTAGCAAACCTTCTGTAAGGACGTCTCTCCAAGCTGTTTGAGACTTGCAGGTTGCCAAGCAGCTCTGTCCTCTTAGCTGTAGGATGTAGGTGTTGATAAGAATTGTATCGAGGAGGAAAGACCACGCGAGGGCCTGCCACCTATCGCCGCGGATCCGATGATCATAGCCCCGGTGGGCACGCAGTTGATCGCCGCGGTCGGCGCCGTTCATCTTAAAATTGTAGACTACTTGAATAGACGGCGTATCTATTACACGGGCTGGAGCCTCACGAGCTTGTGCTGGTGACGTATTCGGTCGGCGAAAGTCCTGGGCGCGCTGGCTTCCGCTCGAATGGGAGGCCATCCACAGCACGACGCAGTTATCTTTGGACGCGAGTTGATTGACCTAGCGGAAGGAAAATAGCGATCAGCAGAGGGAGATGGATGAGGAAAATTCCTGCGGACCTACCAAGCTATCTTCTGAAGGCACGGCTGGGAGGGAATTGGATGACCACTGCAGCCGGCCGGCTCGGTCTGCCTCCTTCGCTGTGACGAGGTTAGCATTCGCGACGTGATTCGTGCGAGCTGGACCTGTGGCCGCAATGCCTCGCTCACGCAATGATCGAATCAGAGATGGATTTGTAAAGACATTATGGGGGAAGATGTGATAAGTTTCCGCCGGCAGAAATGTCGCAAGATCAAGCACAACACGCTGCTTTTCTTCGAGCGTGTGTAGACTTTCGCCGCCGCGGCGAGCTGTCGTCTGCGCAGCTTCCGGGATGTGATATTGCCACCGCACAAGATAGTCCTTCTCAGCGACAGCGCAAATCTTCAGACCTTGAGGAGTATTCTTCTTCATGACTTTTCCAAGAGATTGCCCTTTAAGGCAGATCATGCACTCGTCGACAGAAAGATTGGTCCCCGGCAGCAAAAGCTGCGTTGATACGGCTTGGATGAGGTCCCCCCATTCTGTTACGTGTGATGTCATGCGCTCAACTATATTATCGGGCTCGTCGGAGGGAGGGAAGATACGTATGTTTCGAAGAATTAGAGAAAACTGTCGCCCGGTGATGTATTTCGCGATTTGGTGCCCAGAAGCAATTTTTCCTAGAGAAGGTGTTATCCAATAATCATCGAGTCGTTCTCGAGGATTATTCCCAATGTAAATAAGTGTTGCGAGCCAAACGTAGATATCTGCAACCGTTACTGTTTGACACGCGTTCAAATCGGCGTTCTGCGACCGCGCTCCCTCCGTTTCCTGTGAAATCTGGTCAATATGGTTGTTGGTCCATAAAACCCATTTTTCAACAAGCGAAACAGGGCAAAACAGTTGGAACAGGTCGACATGCGTGTCAGGGAGCTGCATAACGAAGGTATCGCGAAACGCAGGTCTGATAAGTTGAAGATTGAAGCCGTGGGGTGGGCTGGAGACTGCAGCGTGTACCTCGCTATCAGGATGGACAGGTAGTTTTTCCGCGCCGAAAGGGTGGGTTCCCGATTGTAGGAAAGTCAGTTCATTGGGCAGGCTCCGGCCGAGGTAGATGTACTGTGGTCTTGTAACTGCGAGTTACGGACACAGACTCATCGTTCTACAGTACAGGATGAGGTAAAACAAAACGTTGGGCTATCGTAGGCGTGTATGATCACCGTTGTGAAGCACTGAAGATCAGTGCGGGTCAAACGCTACTATGAGTCAGTGATCAAAGTGACTACGGCATGGCTCAGCATGCAATACGTCATACGGCTCAGTCAGTGCACAGGTGCAACACGCTAGGTAACAATGATGGAAATGGGTATTATTGTAAATTGAAGAAAAGTCTATTTTAATTAAACGCTATATCCGCCGGGAATTTTCGGGTTTCCAGCCCCAGTAATAATTTTTATGATATCATGTAATTATGTGAATGATTGTCTCGTGTTGACTCTGTCGATATCGTAGGGGTTGCCATCGTATGACTTGCGACGCGAGGCGAATGAAGCCCGCGAAGCACGAGAAGCATGCGATGCATGAGATCGTGTGGATTGGTGAGTCCTGCTCGCGGTAATAGGAGCGTAGGCAGGCTCGTCGACCTCAGTTGAGGCATCATCGTCGAATGTCTCCTCGGCGGGAGCAGTCTCGTCCTTCTTCTCCTCCTCAGCGGTGGCAGCATTATCGGTTTGCAGCTTGCGCATGAAAGCAGCAGACTGGGCGGCGAACTTGCACTTCTCGCGGATAGAAGCTCCGTACTTGTAGAACAGGAACGGGAAGGGAACGCAAGCAAGAGCGAGGAAGGCAGGAACTGAAGAGGCCCAGTGAATGCCGAGGTCCTTGTACATATAAGTGGTGAAGAGAGGGAATGCGGCACCGAATAGAGATCGGAGAACGGAGTTGGCAGCCAAGACGGAGGCGGCGAAGATGGTGTAGGAGTCGATGAGATAGTTCATGACACTGAGGAAGACGAGAACCATACCGAAGCCGAAGGGGACACCGGCAGCGATACTGACCATCCAGTGGGTAGAGGGACCGTTGGTCCATGCGAACCAGAAGAGGCCGATGGGCAGACAGACGGAACCGATCAGGCATGAAGGAAGACGAGCTTCAGGAGGGGCAAAGCCGCCATTCTCCGCCTCGATCTTGACATAGCGCTTGTTCATGGGGATGGTGTAGGCAATAGCCAGAAGCATACCGACCATGATGCCAAGGAAGGCCAGGCCACCAACACCCGCGTTCCATCCGCGTTGCTGCTGGTAGACAATAGGGAATGCGCCGAAGAGCATGTAAAGGGTTCCGTAGACGATTGCCATGTAGATGGAAAGAAGAAGGACGATAGGCTCCTTGAAGAGCAGAATCCAGGGGCGCGAGAGGGCGGTCTTGAAGGAGTCGGCGAGGGTGACCTTACCACGCTCGTAGTCAATCTGGCTGACGTAGACGTGGCCGGTGATCTTGGACAGCTTGGCGGCACGTCGGCGGAGGAGGACGGGGGAGTATGTCTCGGGGACAAACATGGTTCCAACGATCCAGAGAGCACCAGAGAAGGCAGCGAGGAAGCCCATGACCCAGCGCCAACCGCCGCTCATACCAAGGAAACCTCCAATAATGGGTCCAAGGACAGGTCCGAGGAAGGGAGCGGCAGCGAAGATGGCCATGGCGAGACCACGCTGGGAAGCGGGGAACATGTCGGCGATGGTACCACCGGCGTTGGTGAGGGGTGAAGAGCCGAATGCACCAGCGAAGAATCGCAGAACAAGGAGACTCTCGGCGTTCTTGGCGCCGGCACATCCAGCGTTGAAGGCAGTGAGGGCAGCATAGGTGCCGATGAAGAGGTACTGGCGACCGAACATCTCACTGAGGGGAGCCCAGAGAAGAGGACCAATTGCGAAACCCAGCACAAACAGTGACACGCCGAGCGTAGCAACCTCCTGGCTGATCTGGAACTCCATGATGATCTGTCGAATACCACCAGTGTAGGCCGATGACACGAGGGCGACGGCAAGGGTTGTGAGAGCGACGGTCATTGTGATGGACCACTTCTTGACCTGGCTAAAGGTCATGGGGTTTCGGGGGTCGTTGGGGATCCATTTCACGCGGTAGGGATCCTCCTCTGTACCTGAACCATCGTATTTGTAGTTTTGAACTTCGGGTGTGATACCGGCCTGGTCAGCGACCAATCTCCAGTAGGGGATTCTTGTTGGCACAGGGGCCTCGATGTTATCTGAGTCGTTCATCGTGTCGGTATCGTTGTCGAATCGCCTTATTGTGAGTAGCGTCGATCAAACCGTTATTAAGATCGGATGGGTTGGGAGATAATGTAGATCAGAAAACGGGAAGCCAAGACGACTTAAATAAGAGCCGGGTTAGGTTCCCACACTGTTGGTACCGGAAAGATTTTTCTTTATTAATCAACGACGCAATCTCTTCCAATTCCATGCCATGGTGAGTCGGATCCGCCGACCGGCCGTAAATCCCTGGACAGGCTTGGGTCACTCGTGGTAGATGGGGCCTTACGTTAACTCGAACCAGGGATGATATCACCAAGCGAAACGCTAGAACTTTCTGGGCTAATCCCTTGACCAGTTCAGGTAATGCCTCGGCTTGAAGGCTGATCCAATCTCCTACGCTATCGGGTCCGGATCGGGGTTTTCGGCCGTAATCATGCAAACCCCGGGCGCGACACTGGCATTACAGCTGTGTGAAACGCAAACGAGGTGAAAGGATGCGGATTTATGATCATCTTCTGCTCTTTTGCAACCCTTTTGTGCATTTGAGTTCAGTCATGCATCTCTAGGCTTCTTTCGGGGGTGTTGTCGAGTCCGCCATGACGTCTTCCGCGGAAAGTCCATGGAAACACTTTACGATAACTAATGCGTAAATAGCTTCATTGGTCTAAAATTCTGCTCAAAGTCCGTTGCCACGGAGTTGCGTCATGCCGATGCCGAAATCCGGTTTTAGCTGAGCAATCATCGGTCCCAAGCTAGCCAAGCCCTACGGAGGAGCCAGTTAAATGATTTCCGTTATGGAGACGGACCTTGAAATACGGATACCTGAACTCCCTGACTCCTTTTCTTTATCGCATGATCCGCTTATTAAACAACATTGGAGATCCCTTGTATCTGAGATGCTGAGAAAATCTAGATTTAAAAATAGCGGTTGAGCTTATCTAAGGGTCCGAGTGCAGTGGGCTGAGGCTCAGGAGAGGAAACTTGTAATTCCGGTCTGTTGTCATATCGAGTTAGGCCGTCACTGTTAGTTGCCGAGATGCGGCTCTGTTCTCGATGTCGAATCAATCATCACAAACCAATGAAAGGTGGTCGGTTTATGGCCCGACAGCATCCAAAATTGTATTAAGAAAAATCCTCCTTGACATATAGAAACCCTAGTTGGGATCGATAACACCGAACCATATACCACAACAATAAAATTGATCTCCTCATCTGTCCTACTGCCGGTAAGAAAGTGGGCTCTAGGGTAGGGCAAGACACTAAAACTTGCGTGTTCCCCATTGACCTCAATTCTACTTAGCCCAGAAAACAAGGCGTCATTGAATTTTAACAGCAATCTGAGTCTATCCATTTCACGCTAATGAATCAGCATTGAGGAGTGTGTTCATTGTTCATTCCATTCGAGTCAAGCCCCAACCTCTTCAAACCGACAAAATGAGCAATGGGAGAACCGGGTACCTAGTTGGTTATGGCATCTCACTAACACCGAGAAGTTCTCCTACACCAACTTAACGTAATCACTACAATTTACACACCAGTTCTGATTGTCGATTTCTAGAGTCAGCCTCGGCATCAGACTTCGCCCCCAATGTAAAGGACAAATAACAAGTGCTGGGAGCAGGTCATATACTAAGATTACTGGATTCCTCAGTCAATCGTCTGGTAAGTCTACCAGAAGTGGGATCATCTGGCTTTTCCACACTAGCTCAATTTCATAAACAATGCGATTCCAGGTAAGTCGGAGGACAGGATCGCTAGAAAACCGTTGGTGTTAGTGAATACATAGACCAACTACCTACCAATAAGAATGTAACATCTGGGTCATTAGAGTACTTTTTAAACTTACAGAGAGAGCTGTGTAACTCTTATTAATTTTACAAAAATCTCTCACATTTATGGTAAGTTTGTTTAGACTTGGTGGTTTTTAATTGAATAGGTGAAAGCATTTAAATGCATGACCCAACCTAGGAAACTAAACATGCTACAGACTAGAAACTGCAACATTAAGAAGAAATACTCATTGATAGTGTTGACATATACCGTCTTTAGAGTCCCGTTGTTAACTTGTTATAATGAGATTGTGTACTGGGTTTATGAAACAGGGATCTGCCAGCTGGATAAGGTAGAGAACTTGTGATTGGACAAGTAACCGCCTGCAACACTGATGGTTGTGCCATGATCACGGTGCGGGGATATTTAGAAGGATTCTATAGAGACGCGATCAAAGTACCCGTCTCAGTCATTCATTTTTCACTTGATCAGCCTCTCAATATCCACAATCAAGAGCCAAGCTTTGCGCGCCGAGCAGCACGAGGTTATCATGGCAAGATCACTTATCATGGCACTCAGGCTGACTGTCTTACTTGCTCTCACAACTCCAGTGACATCCCAAACCGTTAGCATCTTTCAACAAATACCCGCCACCGTCAATCAATGCATCCGACCATGTCTTTTTCGCCCCAATAGCCCAAATGCTGACGTTGGGGATATGCTCGAATGTGGTGCACCTTACCGAGATGACTGCTACTGCGCAACCGACAAGGCCAAAAGTGCCAGCAAACATATTGACAGCTGCGCAAAAGCCAGCTGCTCTAGAGGATATGTAACTCAAGATGCCGAAGCTATGAAGTCCTACTACGCTTCTTATTGTATGGGAAATGGATACACGGCAGACGTGATGAAGGAATGGTACACGAATACCGATATAGCTGCTACAAAAACGAATGGCGATTTCTGGGGGTGGGCTTCATCGACTGGAACAAGAAGGGGTCTATTCGGTGATGAGGATAAGACTGCGACCGCAACTGCAACTGCAACTGCAACTGCAACTGCAACTGCAACTGCAACTGCAACTGCAACGAGTGACAGCCGTACTCTATTTTTATCGAGGGATCGGTTGGTGCTTATAGGATTTTCTCTGCTTATGATACTGTTCTAATCAGTTGAGATATATGGGTCAACTGCAAATAGAAGTCTCTTTTATAAAATTAGCCGTTGTTCTTCTAAGCTAACCTGGAGAAATTATTTATATTACTCAGAGATATAGTCTAAAGCGCAAGACTGGTCTCAGAAACTGATAGGTCAATAATGAGTGTGGTCCAATTTAGATCCTTCCTAGTCTTCGATAATTATTATTGAATTCCGAGGCCCTCGATCGGATATGTTTGGCTTGAGGCATCTATGTACAAATCTTTGATATCATTATGGAACTGGGCATGCACGCGGCGAGCCAGCGACGTCATGATGCTCCTGCTCAGCAGTTCAGGTGTTTTGTGCTTATGCTTCCAGTTGTGACTGACAAACACGCCCTGGCACTCACAATTCCCATTCAGGGAGTACTCATTACCGTTCGCGTGATTGCATGGTATATTCTTGACATCGTGAGTCCTGTTGAACTCGTACCGGATGTAGTGAGAAAAGGCACTTTGCTCGTGCGCCCACTTGAAGTTCCAGTGTTCACATCCTGGGATGCTTCGTGGGCAATCTTCCCATCTCTGGAACATGTCTTGAGTACGTTGACTGGCCTGGGCGATGACGAAGCCAGTGTTGAGAATGAGATTGCCTCGCGAGTCATAATCTCCTTCCCAGTCGAGATCGTAGGCCATAGCCACTAAGGTTTTTGGTGTAACATCCCATAGATTCATGAGCCACTCCAGAGGGAGGTCGAGATGAGTGAAGACGGCGTCGGAGTCTAGTGAGATGACGAAATCGTGTGTTTTGAGGGCTTCTTTGGTAATTGCGGGTTTGACCCAAGTGCCGTGACGGTCAGGGTAATCAGCGGCGCGGACCAATCGATAATCGTAACCATGGATCATAGCTTTTAGACGCCGGCGAAGTTAGTTGTATGATCAAGTTTATAAGCCCATCGAGTCATACCGTATATGTAGTGATTCAGATGACCTCCAGTTCGACCTGGAAGTGACGGAAAGTCCAAGGGGCAGTCATGCAACATTGTGTTCTCCTTCTTATCATCGAGCCGCGTGTCTGTGTCTATGATCACAACTCGTTTCCCAAGTGGATTCTTCCATCGTAGTTGGTCGGCAGGGATCTCGAAGCGTTCTCCCTTGTCGGTGATAAACACTCTTTCCGTCAAAGGGTGCACTAGAGGTTTCCACAGCTCGGCGAGCAGCATAGGTAGAGTAGTATCTGATGTCTTTGTGTCGTTTTGTGCAACGTCGGTGCGAGGTTTCTTATGGCAATTTGTAGCAATGATATTCGTCGTGTGAGGTTCCGGAGGCGGGTTTCTACCCAGGATATCGTATTAGTACCGTTATCATAGAGTTGTATTAGCATGAAATATGAGACAATCTTACTGCGGAAAATACGATGTGGAAAGAGTGTAAAAAAGGATAAGGAAAACACAGAGACTGCATATGGACCATATCCATGTTGCGCGTCTGGAGACATGCAGGATTCTCCTCCTCTCTCCCCGAGAGTCAAGACAATTAGATATCATGGCAGTTTCTGAGTAAAGACAAACGAGTAATCGAATCCTGAGGAACGGGAAACCAGCAGGGCCGGCAAAAATATACCAATATAGTAGGCAACCAACTGATGCTTATCGTCTACGATATCTACGCGACGTACTGCATTTTCGTACTCGATGGGGCCCAAGTGGATAAGGCATTAACGAGAAAAGCAATCCTACAAACATCATAATTTCGCATCTTTTTGCAAAATGTTCTAGTTCTTATCCGATCTCACCAATAGAGAAGAGGTGGGCCTTACGGAGTACGCTCAGACTGATCAACGCACAGCAACTGTCAGCCAGAGGGGTCGGCATTTGCCAGATTTGTCGACAAAAGAAACAAGAGCTGGTGGAGTTTAGGGATAGCCTCAGACGAACAATACGTGTCTGCGTCGTAAGTTTTGTTGCTCGTTGCGCTTAGATAGGATATCTGCCTTAATTAGGAACTTGCCGAAGGCTAAGGATTCACTTCCATGTAAGCGACCCGGGCCTGGATCCGTCTCGCGATTCAAATACGCATAAGCCAACCATATGATGGCCTGGAAACCAAATTGTAATTTTAAGCATAGATAGGTCGAAGCGGATTGGCTAGGATACTAAGCCCAAATATCATTGTCAAAGCATGATGCCGTCTTTGTCTAGCTTGCGTCCCAATCATCCCTGAAGATTTTCATATTCGTAAAACCCCTGACCCAAGCACGGGCCCTGAAGTCACACCTAGTCGTCGTTCTGTCTAACAGAGTGTTATAAAGTCAACGCTTCGGAATATATCAGACCATATCTAATAATCTCCTAGAAACAAATGAGAGCTGTTATTAGAACTTGAAGTGCTTCTCTGAATTTATTTAGGAGTTTCGGGAAGTCTTACATGAGAGACTTGGTCAGTCGATATTGTTTTGGCTCACGCACTCACGTTAGGTCATGGCAAGGAACTAACACGCAACTCAAGGTTCTTACTAGGCTGATGGACCTTTCCTTTATAAAGTTCACATCAATGAGTATAAGGACTTTTGCAGCTTTGGACTCTTGCAGGAAATAAGACCGGTAAATCTGGGTGAGAGAAACGAAGGATATACAGTTTCATAGCCCAAGACCTTCAGAATTTTCGGATAGCTGCAACTCAAATCGCCAGGATTCTCCAACCCTACGCCAAATTAGGCAGATCAGATAGTCAAGTTGACGATCATTAAGTCGAGATATGCTTTGCGTACTTCTTGTTCAAGCCTAGCCCAAATTCTTCAAGCGCTAGGCGGCCGGGAGGCTGCGGAGCCTATCAACTCAGAGACAATCGGAATTATTTCGTATTGTGGTCTTGACATAAAGGTGGTGGCTCAATGGTCTCTGATATAAACTCAGGCATACGTGTTGGTCAACAGCATCTTCCCGCTTTCGAGCTTGGTTCAAAATACCAGTACAGTACCTGCGAGTACGGGGTGCTATCTGAACCCATGGAAATTAAGGGTTTCGTTTCTACTAACCCTATAGCATACGAACGCCTGTTGTTTACCATCGATGACCAGAACATCACTGTTGACAAACCGTTGGATGCCGTTACAAACATCTACAGCGTCGTCTACTACACACCAATCTTCCCATATAATGGCAATAAGTCTTTCTACACCCTTAGTTACTTTTAGGAGAGAGTTTGATGAAGTCTAAACCGTGTCTTTGGAGGAGGTTGAAACAGTACTTCAGCATTCTCAAGCCGGCCCCTATAGCTCAAAGATCACAAGGCACGTTGCACCAGAATAATGTACTCCTAAATGGACTGTTGCAAAGTCTTTGTAGCAGAATGAAGCAGAGTGTCTATAATTAAAAGGGTAGTCTATCTATTTGGTTTACTTGCGGCAAAGTCGGCCGGTCTGCTTGGTAACATAAGCCGGCGAGCCAGCGATGTACCAGTCCTCACTTCCAACAGCAGTAGGAGCATAAAACACGCCGTAAGGATCGATTTTCTGCTTCAGCTGGTAAAGCTTGGCGTAGTTTGATCCGAAGTAAGACTGACCAAAGTCAGGATCCATAACATCACCCTCGTTACCGTAGCCACCACCACCTGGGGTAACAGCCTTGAGTCGCTCCATGATATCGAAAGTGATCTTGTTGTTGACCTCTGCAATCTTCTCCTCACTGTCGTTGACATCCCAGTTCAGAGCAGTGATGACAAACATGTTGGCATCGCGCCAGGCTGGGTTGGCAGAGTTGGGAGGGGTGTCTTTGCGCTGCTCTGCGTTGATGTTGTAGATGACCAAGACACCATCCTCAGAAAGAATGCTCTTGAGAGCATCGATGGTCTTGGTGAGAAGCTTGGGGTCATCCCAGTTCTTGCGAGGGATGAGACGAGAACCCGAACGACCGTTATAGTTACCAACATTCTCGGCAGGGAAATGCTTCTTCCAGGCAGGGTAGAATGTGTCGTGCTGGAAGAACTCAGGCTTGGGGTCAACACCAAGTTCCTTCCATTCATCAAGAAGGGGCTGGACGATCTTCTTGAAGTCGGCAATGGAAATATTGGGAATCATCCAGGGGTTCATGGTCCAGAGATAGCTGCCATTGCCGGCAGGGAAGATGAAGCTGTAGCCGTAGCTCTTCTTGTCAGAGTACTCAGGGAAACGGCGCCAGTAGGCCTCAAGAGCCTTGAAGAGGGCAGACTCGGAGATACCGACATCCTTAGTGTTGACACTCCAAGTCATACCAGCGAAGGACATCTTGGGGTAGACTCGCACGGTCATGGAGACGACGACTCCCCAAGTAGCGGCACCTCCACCACGAATGGCCCAAAACAGGTCAGTGTTTTGCTTCTCATCAGCGGTGACGAAGCGTCCGTCAGGTGTGACAATCTCAGCGCTCAGAAGCTGGTCGGCAGCAAGACCAGCTGTAGGGCTGAGGGGAGAGTGACCACCGCCAGGAAGATATCCACCAGTAACGCCAACGTCCTATGGACCTGTTAGTATGGGGGTACGATAAGACATGACGGCTCGACTTACGCGACATTCTCCACCAACAGCAGTGTAGCCCTCACGGTCAGCGGCCGCATACAGCTCCTTGACTTGAACGCCGGCACCAAGCTTGAAGGCAGGGCCAGTATAGCTGCTAGCACCGCGGTAGTTCTTGGTGAACTTGATGTCCTTTAGGTTGCGTGTCCAGATGCTCAGGGCACCAGCACCGGTGCTTTTGCCAAGGAAATCGTGGCCAGTGTTGTGGACAACCAGACGAAGGTTCAGGTTGCGGGCAAAGTTGATAGCGAGCTGGATCTGGGCGACGTTGGTGGCCTTGACGGAGTAGAGAGGGAATCCTCCAATGGTGCACTTGGAGCCAGAGGCGGCATTGATGGGCTCGCATGTAGCGCCCTCGAAGAGAGGCGACATCACCGACGTGGGATCATTGATGCTTGACAAAGTTAACAAGTGATGCACGGAAGCGGCACATATTGGGGTGAAACTTACTGTGTCGTAGAGTTATGCCAGTTGTCCAAAAGAAACTTGCATGTCTCTTCATCGTAGTGCTCTCCCTTGTAGCAGGCGGCACCAAGGGGAACAGTCTTGATGAGAGAACCTCCAGTGAGAAGATCAAAGACCTTCCAGATGAACTCCCCAGGAAACGCCTTGTCACCAGGGAAGACCTTGCACTTGGAGTTGACAGCAGCTGACCGCTTCTTGGAAGCCTTGGTGTCGGCGAAGTAGAAGAGGTCAACTTCGCTCAAGTTCAGGTCGGTAAGGTTGGCAAGCACAGCATCGGTCAGCTTGGGGGTGTCATCGACGAAGGAGTTCTTCGATGAGGCACTGACTGCCTCGGACCAAGCAGGGGCGACATTGCTCTCGTCGGCCGCTACCCCACGTTTCAGATTAGCGATGGTTCGTCAGGTACGAGAAAAAGAAAAGGGATAATCTGCAGGTGGTGCAGGTGGTGTAACATACGGACCGCCTCGCCATCGACATCGATCGTCTGGCCAAGGGTAAAAGGGACGAGCGCGGCAAGAAGCCACGACAGGTGAGAGCCTTGCATCTTCGATCAAAAGTGAGTTTTGACGCTGCAGGGAGGGGGGATGACAGCTTGGCAAAGAAGGAGATGGATGGAGAAGGAGGATAGATCGACCAAAAGCCACATGGCTTGCTACGTATCTATATATCTAACACTAGTATACACTCCTACTGAATCCAACTCTCCAGTTTACATCTTTCTGTTGGTCGAGCGGTCTCTAGCACGCTTTGGGTAGTAATTACCTTTATTCTCAGGGTAATGGGCTGATAGTTAGCCATGCATGAATTGTTAATTGGCGGTGGCGACGGTGGAGTAGAAGAAGCGAGGCAATGCCCGCAAACATAACTAAGCATGGGCAGCGTTCCTGCAGATATCGGAGTCGCAACCCCCCGATGCACTCTTGAGAAGTAAGCAGCGGTTTGCATCCGACTGGTGCTGTCTCTTTTCAGCCCCAGAAGCCCGGCAGAATGCACGATCAAGGGTCCATCTGGATGGGGAAATGATATACGACATTATAATTTTAGCTCAGGACTACTCTCCCGACGTTCCCGTTATCCTTCATTCTTAAGATAAGAACTATTCCATTACTACCGGTTCCTATCAGTCTAGAATAGTCGTCGACACGTTACAGTGATTGGAGCGGGAAGAACGGACACGGACAAGCTGTACTGCTTGGGGATTGAAGACCGACAGAGTTCATGATCCCGGAGGCTCAAGTTCAAGCGAGAACTTTATTTCTTACAACGGTTGGGCAAGGCTCCCAGGGATAGCAAGGGCCAGGGTATGATGGGCCAGGGTAACGCATCGGTAGGTGGGAGGGAATGAGTTAAGCACACTGTAGTATTCTTTACAAGTGAGCAGAATGAGAGATTCGTAACAATCCTACGGTGGCATTAAGACAGATATCAGATTAGTATTCTAATGCTTAAGAATAATTTGTAGTAGTTGGTGATGATATCAGCAACACGGCAGAGTAGAATAAACTTCTCAAAGCTTAGGCATAAATTTTGATTAGTGGTGCAGTCCGGTGGTGGGCGGATTTAATCCCAGCCAGCCTGGTTGAGGAGGGCAGTCCTCACAGAGTTAAGATCATCAAATGCTCGTTTAGCTGAGACGGCCGCGGGATCAACTTTAGATTTCCGATTGGGGTGGCGGCCCAACCGAGGGGTCCATGATCCGGGGTAATGCGAGTACTCGGTACGTGCTACAGGGGCCGTAAAAGTCAAATGCCGACCACACCTTGAAGAATCTGCGACAATCCTTCGGCTCCCACCTTCTGAATGCATAACATCAGTATTGTACAGCTGGCAACGAAGCTTCAAACATGGCTCCTCAGGTTAGGCGTTCAAGACTTCACTACGATCCATGAGAAATTTCAAAAGGACTTTATGATAAATGTGTTGATTGTCGATGTTGATGAGGCAAGAAACTCAAGGGAATCCATCAGGGACTAACTGTCAAACCCCTTGGAGGTGCATTACATCTTACGTACACAGATACGAAGCACTGACTGCACCAATGGAATGGGTCTGCATTTTGGAGATTACTGAAGGATTTAGCCAGAAAATCGCGCGATTGCAGATCTCCACCTTTGATGGAAAGGTGTCATCTCTAGCTTAAACTTAGATATAAACGGTCGCTACGGACGGGACGCACTATCCAATGACAGAACCTTATCCCACCCTCAATCTCAAAGACCCTGAAGTACCTGGAGTAACCGAAATCACTGCAGATACGTGGGAATTACAAAGACGCCGCTGAAGAATTAGTCTAGAGCAGCCAGCCACTGTCTAGACCTGAATAAAGCCAAGTTGCTGACAGGTTTCAGCCACCACCGCAAGATTGGGCACAAACACTCACTAGTCAGCAGCCACAACGGCCTATCACATATGGTTTCGATCCTTTGACGACCAACATGCATAATTGCAAACAAAGCTGAAGGCATATTCCTTGTCAAAGTACGGAGTTCTGCTAGGGCTTTGCGGCACAGAAGCTTACCAGCTCTCCGAAATCCAACTGTGGGCGGGATGTGTGGCACAAAAGTAGCTGAATGACCGGTAGTTGGTACATTCATGCCTTGGGTTCTAGAACCAGCAGCTTACTGAAGATTTGAAGTGCCGAATATTGTTGGCCTGATTTGTCACTGTGCATCCGCAGTCTGGATGCTCTATCCCAGAAACCAGGAACTCGCCCTGCATGCTGTTCACACGAACATGGTGGTTCAGCTTTTGACCACGGACCATGTTGGCCATGTTGGGCAACAAGTTCGTGCATATTCCCACTTGACGTGAACTCTGTTTAATCTACAGCCCTACTGTCCCTCAACCGCCCCTTCATCTGCAGTGAAGAATCTGCAAGCCAGGTTCCCCTGGGAGCACGATATACATAAGCCTGACGCGCGCCCCATCGTTGGATCTAAGCGATCTAATTCTCGGTCTGCCGCTCTCCCAGGTCTGTTACAGCGTAACAACGGCTCCTCGGTTCCAAAGGGACGATCGACACTTGGCCCGGATCAGCGCGTAACATTGAATCTGCGTCTATCATTCTAGTGCCGCTTTGACGTTCCAAGGCGCAAACTCAACACCATCAAGCTTTTTGACAGACGCTCGGTCTTCTGCGTATTTGTTTTTCATCATGAATTCGTTAGATCTTTACCCTCGAACAGGGCCTCCGCCTTATCCGAATCCGACGACGCTTCCTACGACACCCCTTCAGACAAAGGGATTGGTCGCTCTTTTCCTCTTCCCGACTTTATCGATATTTGTCGTAGCTGCGCGAATATATAGTCGCGTGACCACACGGACAACTGGCCTAGGTAAGACTTCATCTTATTGTGTTACTTGTACAGTTGATGCTAACCTTCCAGATGACTACCTGATTTTAGGAGCTCTCGTGAGTCGACAAATTTTCGATATTTCTAGTGTTTGACTAACAACAATAGCTCTTCGCCTTGCTGATGATCGGACCTCTCTATATGTGTAAGTTAACACGAAAATCCTCCAAGTCCACCAGGGCCTTCTCGTACTCACACCTTCACAGTCATGAAGCTTAACTACTGGGGTTTTAGGGCCTACGATGTGCCCAAAGATGTCGACCTCGCCGCTGGCTTCTGGTGGAATTTCCTCGTGCAGATGTTCTATAACCCTGTCCTAGCTCTCGTCAAAGCGTCCGTTCTCGTTTTCCTACTCCGATTAGGTGGTCACAAGAGAAATGTGCGATATGCCATCCACGGCCTCAACATATTCAATGCTCTACACGCCGTCGCCATCTTCTTTACGGCTCTTTTCCAGTGCTGGCCGATAGAAGCCAACTGGGACTTTCCCTTACGAGAAGAACCGGGGGTGAAGTGTGTCAGTGCCTGGTTCCACGTCATTGCGTCATGTATCACTATTGTCACAGACTTCTTGGTTGTCGCGCTCCCCTTTTGGATTTTCTTGGGATTGACTATGCGATGGGGAACCAAGATTGCGGTACTAAGTTTGTTCGTACTGGGTAGTGTGTAAGTATCATCCAGAAACTCTGAAGGTTACATACTAATGTTCACAGTGTTGGCATCATTGGAATCATTCGCGTCATCTCTATCCATCACCAGCTTGTCGAAGGACCAAATCCCGGCGAAGATACATTCTACACTGTCCTCCCTGTCTGGGGCGCTGTCGAAACGAACATCGCAATCATATGTGCCTCCGTGCCAGCCTTGCGACCACTCGTTCGAAATTGGTTCCCTGCACTCTTTGGAAGCTCTGGAGCAACGTCGGGCACACCATACGGCGATCGATACGCAAACGGATACGGAAACAGCGCACGAGGAGCCAGTGGATTAAGATCGCATAACCACGACGACATTCGGATGAAAGATCTGCGCGGATCGCGAAATCAACACACCGAAATCCGAAGTGTTTCGCCTAGTGGATCAGAGGAAGAGATCATGACATATAATGGTATTATGCGAACTACTAATGTTAACGTCTCGTATGAGAATACATCAAAGGCCAACGTTTCTGATTCGAGGACTTCGAGCGAGTTGCGATTCGAGAGCAAGGCTTCGGAGGTCAGGCCTGGTGTATAAGGGTTTCGCGAGGGCTTGTTTACTTGTATAATAGTCATTTCCTTCATAGCAACTTGACACCCTGGGGATTAATGTTTTTCATTTTACTCTGTTATCTGCGTTAAAGTATACAGAAGTACCTGTAAACTTTGTGTAGACTATAAAAAGAGTCTGCCAAGCTTTCAAATAGTTTCTGAAACATGCCAGGCCGATGAAGCCGGTTTAACTAAGAGTGTTAAAGGTGTGAGAAGAACAGTATATTTAAAATGATTGCTTCAAAAAAAAATTGCTTTTAATGAGACGGGAAAATGACGCTCATTTATCTCTAAGTATTTACAACAAAGCCTCAGGATTCTTAACAAAAACCTCCACAACAAGGGCCAATTCCTCCAATCTCGCCTCCCAGAACTCACGACGCTCCTCATCAGCCTCAATACCGATCTGGGTTCTTCCATCCTCTACAAAAGACACAACGCGAGGTGGTGTTGCAGGCTCTGGGTGGGGAATCGAATAGTCAACGCGACACTTGGTACCAGCAAACGGAATAGAGTCGAAGAACTCCTTGTTGAGATGGTTGGTAAATGAGCCGTAGAAGGGAGTATCGGCAGGCCAGTTGGTACAATCCTTGAGAACTTCTCGGAAGCTGAGAGTGGCATGCTGGCTGCCCTCAAGAGATTGGTTTCGTACGTAGTCCACGAGTTGCGATGCTGTCCAGTTGGGCTCAAACTTGACGCGCACGGGTTGGTATTGGTAGCAAGGTCCCATGATGGTGTCGATTCCTTGGACGTCGACATCTCGGCCGGATACAATGCCGCCAAATGTGACGTCTGAAACATTGAGGTACTGCGACAGAACCTTGGCCCAGCCGGCAGTAAGTAGCATCGCGTGCGTTGTGTCGGGAGAAGCTCCAGAGATGTCAACATCCTTAGTCATAAAAGCAGTCTTCTTCTGAGGATCAGCAGCAGGCGCGATCTCAGTATAGGATGACCCGTGGAGAGTCTTGCGCCAGAACTCAACGTTGCCAGATTTGGCGCTGGACAGATGCTGGATGTATGTCTCAAAAGGCTCCGACGAAGGAATCTCCGAGCCACGGTATCGCAACTCAAGCTGGCGGAGGAGCTCAGGCAATGAGACACCATCGTATTGGGCATGAGAAATGCGGATCATGAATGCGTTATCCTTTGCACCGCGGATGACGAAAAGGCGAAGGAAAGACGAGCCAAACACTAAATCGGCGCTGTCGTTGATATCAGACAGAGCTAGTTGCTTGGAAGTGTCTTCAATTGATGCGTCCGACGTCTGTTCTGTAACAGGGACTTTCAGATCCTTGAGGACGACTTGTAGAGTCCTGCCCTCGTGTTGAACAAACACGGTTCGGAGAATGGCGTGCTGTGACACAAGATGCTGGAAACTCTCGACGAGACGGTCGGTGTCAATTGAATGGTCCAGGTAGAGCATGTTGTATTGGATTGAGCTTCGCGGAGCAGACACTGATTGGTTGACATCGCCCTCTTGAGGTCCAGTGGCGGGGAGAACATCTTGGATCTGCCATGTCGAGTCTGCCAATTGAGGTTGGATGGTGTTGGCCAGGAAGTCATCAACGTTCTTTTCGTTCAGTAACGAGAAAGAAGTGTACTTTTTGGTTGACTGACTGCCCTCGGTCGGGACCTCAATCAGGGAGTTGGCCATACCACGGAGTTGCATGTTCTGGAAGATGCTGGCGACAGAAAGACGGTAGCCATCTTGTCGCAGAGCTGAGACCATGCGCATGGCCACGATGGAGTCGCCGCCCAGACGGAAGAAGTTGTCATCGAGTGATAGCTTCTCCTCCTCAATACCGAGAAACTTGGACCATGAAGCGCGCAGAACACGTTCCTTTGTGGTCAACACTGTTGTGTCGGCAATGGTCTTCTTAAGCGATGCGAAGGCCTTGCGAAGCTCAACGATCAACGATAGCGTAACTTGCTCATCCAATTTATCGAGAGCATTGATGTCTGCGGTCTCGGTGAGAGGGATGCAGATGGATGGGATGGCGTAGGGCGGAAGAGTCTCGACCATGGCCTTGTTGAGGGCAATAATAGCAGTGGCGAGCTCAATTGACACAGCCTGTGACAAGGGTAGCGAGGCATCGCCAGTATCAACACCAAGCTTCAGCAATTGCACGTCCTTAGCAAGAGCCTCTTGAACAAATGCTACAACCACCGGAGTCTGACTGCTCGCTCCTTTGGGGACGACCAATCGACTCACAGCCTTGGTGTTTTCGGGAAGAAGACGCTTGAGCTCCATGTTAGTGGCGTTAAGATCCACGACACGACCATCAACGCTGGTCATTTCGTCTTTCCGACCGATAAACACCAAGCTCATATCATCGGCATATTTGACGAGATCACCAGTGCGGAAAAGCTTGCCCTGGCGACCAGGGGAGCCAAGCGCGCCCTCCTTGAGCCACTCTGGGGTATTCGCAACATCAGCGTCATCGCCTGCTACCACGCCTTCGAGGAGAAGTTCTCCAGTACTTCCGAGCGGCATGAGAAGCTTCTCATTGCCGGGCTGAACGACCCACGGGACGTACTGAGTGGTAGGGTACTTGTCGCCGCTGGTCAGGAACCTAGAGATGTCTTTGGGGGACACAGGTGCTTGCTTGTTCGCCTCCCAAATCTTCTCAAGTTCCTCCTCGCCCAAACATGTGAGATCGCCCAATGAACGAGACAGATCGCCGCGAAGTTGGTTGATGGCAACCTCAAATTGCGACAGCACGCGCTGTACTTGCACGTGGCTCAAGAGCTCTGAGTCAAAGCTTGCCAGCAGACGGAAGCCACTCTTCTGGAGCGACACGGCCAGCATGAGAGGGTAAGAATTGAAGTGCAGCGCCTCAAGAGCGGCATCTCCACCACGGAAAGACGGAAGCTCGTCGGTCTCTGTCTCGGAAGGCTCTGGGTCTTGAGGCTGCACAACAAGACCCATTGTAACCTCGCAAGCAATCTGGGCGTCCTCGCTCAGTCGTCTGATGTGCTGGATACCAAGATGCTCGTGCGCGGCGCGGGCAACGCTTTGTTCTTGGATGGCACGGAGGAATTCTTGCACAGTGGCGGTGCGATCGAGACGGACGCGAACGGGGACAGTTGCTAGGATAGGACCCTCGATGAGCTCAGCGCCGGGAAGAGGAATGGTGCGGCCCATGAAGGTCTCGCCGAAGACGACATCGTCACTCATTGAGTATTGCGACGCCAGCAGAGCCCAGGCTGCTCGGATGACAGTAGCGATTGTGATGTCCGACTTGGCAGTCTTGTCAAATTGGATGAAGCGTTCCGTCAAAGCATTAGGATCAGGAATGTAAGAGCGCGACGGGAGAGATGGGAACTGAGGTCCAGTAGCCCCCGCGAGTTGAGTCTTCCAGTAATCCTTGGACGACTCCCTCGAGTCCTCGGCCAGGTAGCGGATAAAGTGCTTGAACTGAGCAGGTCGTGAGACTTCTTCGCCCTTGTACGCAGCCCGAGCATGCTCGACGATGAGGTCCGTGGACCAGCCGTCGTAAATGGCGTGGTGGGCTGTCCATACAAAGTACCGCTTGTCAAGCGCTTTGTCTGTAACGATGACGAAGCGAGAGAGAGGTGCACCAGGTGACATAGGTTCCTTCTTATCCTCTTCGACAAACTCCTCTAAGGAAGAGTCAACTTCCTTCCACTGCAGAGCCTCATTGATGACAACTTGCATGAAGCCGTGCTGCTTGAACTCGACAATGCGCGTGCGAAGGATGGGACTCTCCTTGTACACGACCTCCCATGCAGTCTTGAGCTTGTCGACAGAGCTGGAGGCGGGAATGTCCGCGATTCTCTGCGCGACGTAGTTTTCTTTTGATCGCGTGTAGAAAGCCATGTGGATCTCTTGCATAGGCGCACAAGGGTAGATATCCTCAATTGCGGTGACATCGCAGCCTGATTGCTCAGCAGCTTCCGTACGTAGAGCATCGCGATCCATATCATCCTTGAGCAGGGAGAACTCGGGGATCTGCATGTCAATTCCCTTGCTGCTGTCGCCCTTCTGCATGGATTTTGCCATGGCGGAAAGGACAGGGTAGTTGAAGATGTCAGCAACAGAGAGCGTGTATCCCCAGTCTCGGATGATGGGCACAAGCTTCATCGCAAGCACAGAGTCTCCTCCTGATGTAAAGAAGTTGTGCGTAGTGCTGACCTGCTTAGTCTCGAGTCCAAGCAGACGGCACCACGAGTCGCGCAAGAATAGCTCAGCTTCCGACTCAGGCTCACGAATCTCAGAGCTCTCATTTGCAGCCGCCGACGCCTGGAGATTGGCAGAGATCTCTGCACCAAGAGCACGCAGGGACTTGCGATCCGTCTTTCCAGAGACAAGGTACGGGATCTTGGAGAGGGTGATATACGTAGCGGGAACCATGTACACGGGTAGAACCTCAGACAGCTTCTGGGTCATCGTCTCAAGAGCATCGCGCAGACGAGGCGGGTAGTCAATCTGACGAGCATCGCCATCGTCCTTAGCTTCACGATCAGCCACGAAAGCCACCAGCATCGATTCTTTGTTCTGGTTTCGCGGTGCGATAATCTCAGCGACGACTTCTGCGCCCGAGGGGAGGAGGTTTTTGATGTGGTGCTCGATCTCGCCCAGTTCTACACGCTGGCCACGGAGCTTAATCTGGGTATCTTTGCGGCCGACGAAGACAAAACCCTTCTCACCATCAGGATCGTATCGGACCAGATCGCCTGTCTTGTACAGACGTCCACGTCGTCCGGGGATGCCGTCTGCGCCAGCAAGAAGGAAATCAGGGTCGTGGATAAAGGCCGCGTTTGTCTTTTCAGGATCACCCAAGTATCCTTGACCAACAATGGGGCCTTCCACGAGCAATTCGCCAACAGCACCAACAGGGACGAGCTTGTTATGGTCTTCGGGGTCGACAAGCCAAATGCATGCGCCGGTACCAGGGCCGATACTAACATACGGCTTGCCTGCTGCGCTGGGATTGACAGTGCATCCGATAGTACACTCAGCAGGACCGTAACCAACAACAATACGAGTGTGTTGTCCCCAAATAGCAATATCTCCTGCGGAACAGGACTCGCCGCCGATACCAAGGCTGTTCAGCGAGGGGATAATATCAGGGTCCAGGATGCGCGCGACTGAGGGTGTGATGTTGACCATGTTCACCTTGAGACGCCGAATCGCACCGCTTAGATCATTCACACGGTCATCGTCGGTGGGAATACAGAGGCATCCACCGCGGATAAGAGTGCACAGAATACTATCGACACTAACGTCAAAGGCATATGATGTGAAGTCGAGTGATCGCGAGGTACTCGAGTAGCCAATTCCTGTGCTTCGGGCAAGCGCACTGGCAGTGTATGTTTCGTGTGAGAGCATCACTCCCTTAGGTGTACCGGTACTTCCCGATGTAAAGATGATGTAGAGGAGCGACTCGGGTGGCACTTCGGGAAGCTTCCTAAGGGGATCCTCGATGGTCTTTGCCAACGAGTCGAGTGTCTCTGTGTCGACGATAACATGTTTCGCGTCCGGCGCAATCTCAGATCCATATTTGGCCTGGTCTCTAGATGTGAGAATGTGCGTTGCGTTGACTTGCTGCGCCATAACCTGTCGTCGCTGAATAGGTTGGCTAGGATCCATGAGCACAAAAGCAGCGCCCGCTTTGATGACGCCCATGACACCCACGGTCGTCCATCTCGACTTCTCAAAACAGAGCGGTACGATATCGCCATTCTTGACCCCGATATCAATAAGATGCTGCGCAAGTAGGGTCGACAGCTTATCCATCTCCGCATAAGTGAAGTCGCCGTCCCACGAGCAAATCGCTGGCGCATCGGGACGCCATCTCACCTGCTCGGCGATGACAGTGTGGATGCACATGGGCACCGGCGGAGGAAGGTCCTTATTCCAGTTCCATATCACTGACTTGTCGAGTTCTCCCAGTGGCAGGACGGAGCCAAGTGTTGCGTTCGTATCGGCGATGGTCGTGTTGAGGACTTCGACAAAAGCTTGCGCGAAGTGGTTGGCGAGGAACTCTGCGCCCAGTGGTTGGCGCCACGTCGGTTGTAGCCAAAGGGCTTCATCGTGTAGTGTCGCTTGTATCTGAACGTTTCCCTGTGTCGCGCAGCGTGTTAGTCGACGCACACAGCAGCAGAACATAATGCGCTTACCCAGTTCACGGAGAGATTGCCGTCTTCGGTGACTTGGTTCACCACATCGCCCGACGCAGCTTCATCATTAAAGAAGAATCTGTACCCATCTGTCGTCACTGGCTTTTCTGACTCTAGTTGCTGTTGTAGGTAGCTCCGAAACACCTCAAGCTCTGATGCGACAGAGTCGCTGCTGTCCCATTGCAGCTTTGATGTGTTGAGGGTAAAGGTGCGACACGTCTCAGATCCGGTTTCACCGAGTCCCCATGAGAACTCGACGTGGTTTCCGTGGCTATGGCGATATAGAAGAAGCGACCACGCTAATAGTAGGGCTTCGAGCTCATAGCTGTGTTCTTGGTGTTTGCGAAGAGCGGGTACGTCATACCGCACACCCTTTGTCTGCAACGCAGACGATTCAACGCCTGTCATGATGTCTTCGTTCGTTTTATTTGAGAAGCTTCTACTATTTTGGCTGAAGTCGATCTATATGGGCGGAGAAGAGGGTATCGTGGGATCGGGTATGGGAATACAGATGCAAACCTGCGTCGTCGAGCTCGTCGCAGAACTTGACTCAACTCACATGAACACCTCCACTATTTTATTGCAGAATTAAAAACGCCGCATGTAGGAACCCGATTACGTATCGACATCGATTATTTTCACTCCCTCTTGTACGTTCAAGTGTGGGGGGTCCTGCTTCGATTTGGTCGCAATGGCACGGGAACCTTTGGGCATCACATCACACAGGACGATTTCAGGGTCCTGGGCGACTTCGGAGGGTGTCCGCCTTTGGGAGTTTCGGAGCTTCACTTGCTGATCACGGCACGCTAATCCGAACGTGAATTGAGGAACAGCATGTGAGAGGCGATGAGAAGGAAAAGCAAAAGGGCCCACGGCTGGGATGGGTCCTTGTTAGCGAGACGATGAGCATCCTGGCTTCCCGAAGCTAGTGCGGACACAGAAGTTGGGAAGAAGAATACGACTTGGCTGCTTGTGTCTGCCGTGTGGCTTTACAACGAGGTTGCTTCGATCTAGGGCAGATTCTATGTTCGCATGAAGTTGCCTTGCATAAAGACGTTGGAAGATCACCCAGAGCTTTGGTAAACGATGGATCTGTCTGCCGTGTCTGTGGCTCGACAGCTGTCTCAGTCCCTCCCACTAGAGTGATCGAGTTGCAGCTCTTTCTGATCCTCCAAAAAGAACTCCACCGCACCATGTAACATTCCCAACCCGAGAGAAAAACAGGGTTGCTTTTTCGTCCCGTTCTGCTATACGGAAAGGGGCTATAATCGACACGTTGGCGGGGACGCAGCGCGAATAATGAGCTCAATGACCAGCGGCGAACTTTTTTCTTAGCGCTTTTGGTGGGGTGATTGATAAGTCCATTCTTTTTATCTGATCTGATTGACAAGGATTGTCCTCCACACTACAAGCTCTGCTTGAAAACATGGCGTCACACGAGGTGTAAGTAAATTCCGTCTTGACGGCGCCATCTATATTCCACAGGGTCTCTAATGTCCCTAATCCCACCGTAGCTAGCTCTAGTAAGGAGTTAAAAAAGCAAGTGTTATAGTTATACGGTACATGAATGCACAGGAAAAAAAGGAAAATGCCTCACAGCTGCAAATGCATGCACTGCATCACAACTTGCTATCCACCCATCTCGGGGCCCTCTTCTCCACAAAGGCCTGCACTCCCTCATGGAAGTTATGTCCGTCCGCCATTACAGCGTCCCACGTCTGGCGATGCACCCGCACCGCATTCTCGGCGCTGCCATGCTCCCAGCCCGCAAGGATGCCCGCCCGAGACGCAATAACGCTGTCAGGGCTGTTGCTGGTAATTGCCGCGGCGTACTCGAGCGCCTTCTTCACCACAGGCCGCTCCAGCACGTCGCTGTCCGCTGGCGCATCGTCAGCGATGGCGTTGAGGATGCCGAACTCGCGCGCCTCTGCAGCGCTGATGCTTCGTCCTGTTAGGGCCATCTCGGTGGCTCGTGGGCGTCCAATCGTCCTGGCTAGTCTCGGCAGAGAGCCGGCATTGGCGACGACTCCGATCTTGGCCTCCGGGAGAGCAAAAGTCGCGCCTTTAGCGGCGACGATGAGGTCGAGGTTCGCAATCATCTCGAAGCCACCGCCCATGGCCAAGCCGTTGACCGCAGCGATGATGGGCTTCTTTCCGCTCCTCCGTGAAAGGCCGCCGAAACCCGTCGTGGGCGGGTCCATCGGTCGCTTCTCGGGAATCCCGTCTCTCTTGCGCTGGTTGATCTGGTTCCATTCCTTGAGGTCCATTCCGGCGCAGAACGCACGCCCAGCGCCTGTGACGATGGCACAGCGCAGCGACGGCTCGTTGTCGTACCACTCCCAGAGAGCTTCGAGCTCATACTCTGCATCGCTGGTCATGGCATTGAGAGCTTTGGGTCGGTTGAAGACAACCAGCATAACATGCGCTGCTGGGAATGAGACGAGGCCATAGTTCTGAGAGGGTGGCTGTCGATTAAACGTGGGTTGCGCCATGGTGGTCGAATAGCTGAGTATTTTGTGCTGTGCTGTATGCCCAACTTTGCCCAACCGCCCGTTTATGTGCAACGCCAGTCTGCACTTCGCGATGGATCAGGTATGTTTGTCGCTTAGCAGGGTTTATCTGATGAAGCCGAGGAAGCTCAATGGCCAGCGACCTGTGATAAATTCCGTTCCGATCAGATAAAAAAAAGTGCAATGCAACGCGACCCGGCGTTAGAGCTTCAAAAGAGACAGCTCCAAAGATCCCTGTTGCTCGATCTCCGAGGCACACAGGCACAGCACGCCCCCTCCAGCGCAGGGCTCCTGGTCGTTTTGGCGTCGAGCTACGGAATGAACCGTTTGAGAATCTAATCAATCACATCTGATAACCGGGTGTTACAATGCGTCACCATTTTGATGATCGTGCATGATGCTAAGTTAGCCCCGAGATCGGCTGGTACGGGCCTAACAGAGTTTTCAAGGGAGCTATGGCAGCTGCTGAAAGAGGAGAGCTTGGGGATTGACCATCGGTTGGCTAGAATGGAGACGCTTTGCACAGATGAGGTTCAAATGAGCTTGCTGCCGCAGTTTCGCAAATACGAGAGATGCGAAAAACGACTCAAACAAAGGCATTGGTAGGCAAATCGGCTGACTGTCGTAACAGCGGTTTCCTTTTTCTACGCAGGTCGATTCATGACCTGGTGGCTGTCTTGGTGGCGCGCCAAAAGATGCTAATAGTACCGGCAGTTGAAGCAAGCCTCTGGTTCTACCCCACGACCGCGCCTTTCTCATCTCAACCATCAACTTTGCTCACGATTATAACGCTACCATCGGGCACGAACAAGAAGCCATGAATAATGCGCTATATCCATTGAGGCCCGAAGCACAATGTAGGTGCAGGCCTAGAACAGCCTGTAATTATATGCGCGGTCGGAGGAGTAAGCCTGTAAGGACAGCTCAATCGACTGCCACCCTATAGCAGCTTGGGATTAGAAACGTTGAGATCTTGCTTCCGCAAAACATCATGATTGTCTACACAGGGCTCCAAGGAACCAAGCGAAAGTTATTTTTTACGTCAAGTCGAGGTTACTACTGATTGTAGCATGATAGTTTGTGGCAGCCATTCGATCAAGATGTCCTGTATCGTTCTTGAGCATCGTGGATAAACCTACACTTAGCTTCTGCGGCTGAGAAAACATTACGCTTGAGCTGCAAGCCACTCGTCACCATCACCATGTGATCACCACTGGTGATCTATATCAATCTCATCTTATCTGATGGATTGATTAGTATTTTGCAAGCCAGAGTTTCACGATTCATGCACGGGAAGAACTGGTGGCTTGAACCGCACGAAATATCGCCAGTGAGGCTAAAGCCGGCGCTCGCTTACATTCCACGGGTCTCGTTCGTAGCACCCAGGGCCCCAAAATTAGACATCGGGGATAAATAAATTTCCATAATTTACAAAGGGACAAAATATAGCGACACCAAGCGGTAACTTGCTAATAACCCCGTAGAACTTCATCCACATCGATGAACAAAAAAAGTCGCAGAACCCACCACAGCTTCCGCTAAATCTCCGGGCCTGTAATTAGCGCACCTTCGCACCCACTTCGTCCCCAGTTAGCGGAGCTTTAGTGGCATGATGAGTGCACCCACCCACATTGCAATGTCGCAGGGACTGCGGATAATCGGCACAAGCCATCATCCTCCGAGGACGAGAAAGCTTCCAAGCTCTTGGTTCTTCAATACACAGACTCCCCTGCTTCTCTTTTCCTCGGCTTGACGGACATCGGGCTTGTTTACCGTGTCTGGTAGAAAAACTCGCTGGCCAACATGTACCACATCTTATCTAATCTGATTGCGTTGCACCCACGCATCACCGAGATCGCTTTCGCTTCCCCGGGGGTATAAATAAATTCTGGAGATGAAAAGAGAAGTCTAGCATCCAAACCCAACAGTAACAGTCCCCGCCCAACATGTCCTCAGAGCCTTTCCAGAACAAGTCGCCAATCAAGATCAGGCTGCCTCAGCCTTATCTCGAGACCTACTATCTCGAGCGCACCGCTGAGAACAAGCAGTCGTATCGTCTGCGCAAGGACGACTCCGTCACAGAGGGCAAGCCTTTCCCCAAGGCTCTGCACGGCGATGGCTTGGTGTTTTCCAAGGTTCCCTCGGCGGAATCTGATAACATCCCCGATTCTGATAACCGCGAGTATGCCCGCGCGCGACGAAGTCCTGTTTGGACTCTCAGCTGGGACAAGCAGACGCCCACGCTTGCGCAGACCTGGATGTTCTTGTATACATTCTTCACATACCACTTGGATGTAGAGCAGTTCCGTCTCCGTCTAGAGGGTGCTGGCGCAGAGGACCTAGCTAAGGCTTTGGCCCTTTCCATGGTGGCTATCAACATGCCTCAGCCTCCCAAGGGTGTCCAGCCTGCGCCCAGCACTGGTGTCGAGGTGCTCGTTCTTCGAAGCGCTTTCTGGCAAGGATGCGCTTCTCCGCTGGGCCAGCAGCCCATCTGGCTCCCTACCTGGAACTCGGCCAACGTGGTGCCTCATCTTGACTACGTGATGACGCCCACTTCCGAGTCCACTCTGCTGCGTCACCCACGCCGAACACCCAAGCCAGCTGGTGGCGATTGCATCTACAGTCGCTACATCCCTTCCCTGGACGAGCACTTCAACCTCGTCGCTCTGGACTACGAGAACCCCGAGCATCTGGGTCTGTTCAACAAGTGGCAGAACGACCCCCGTGTCGCAGCGGGCTGGATGGAGACGGGCACTCTCGAAGAGCACCGCACCTATCTGAAGAACATCCACGAGGACCCTCACCAGTTCGCCGTGCTGGGCTTCTTCAACGACACACCCTTTGCCTACTTCGAGCTCTACTGGGCCAAGGAGGACAAGATGGGACAGCACTACGCCTCGCTGGACTTTGACCGCGGCAGGCACTCGCTCGTTGGAAACGACACGTTCCGCGGGCAGTACCGCGTCATGGCCTGGTGGCCCAGCGTGATGCACTACGAGTTCCTCGACGACCACCGCACCGAGAACGTGGTCGGCGAGCCTCGCCTGTCGAGCGAGAATGTGCTCAAGTACGAGATGATCTTCGGTCTGCACCAGGATAAGTGGATGGATCTGCCTCACAAGCGATCCAACCTTGTCAAGATCTCCCGCGAGCGCTTCTTCCAGATCTGTCCCTTCAATCAGGGCAAGCCTCGTGTGGCAGGTACGACATTTGGCTTCGAGCCCAAGTTGTAAAGAAGTGTGAAAAGCTATTAAAATATGGTGGCTATGGGATATTTGGTAGATGCAGCATGGTAAATAATGTTAGCGACTTGTGTATATATCAGACAATTACAAGCAATGTTGGTTCATCTTCATGTGCTCTTGGCGTAAGACATAGAGCATTTGCGCAAAAGCAGCAATTCATCGCCACGGGAATAATCCTGCCAAGACACTACCGAAGGATCGATCCGATCTTACCGATCAAGAATCCTGTCGCACGTTTGCCAAGGCTCAATTGCATTGTCGATCCCTTCTTCACAAAGAGGTTCAAGAACGGACGAAAGATATCGCAACGACGATCGACCGTGGGATCATTGCCACAAGCTGCTTCAGTTCCGCGCTTCGCGAAAGCTCTGGAGATCAATGGCCGGGAATGTCCACTCGTAACACAGAGTCAGGTGTGGGGGGCTCTGTTCTCAATACGGCTTCTCGTCTTTAATTACACTCTAGTGTACGTAAGAGCTCCCGAACACCGGACGAGTTTTTGCGGCTTGCAGCTATTCATTTAAGCTTGTTTGAACAGCAGATTCATCGCGGCTGGGGCTTGCAGAAGCTAGATCGCGTGGTTCACCAAATCACCTCTCTCAGACCTGTTGTCCCAGCAAAAATCACACAACTCCCAGGGGTTACCAAGTGGCCTCATCACCTGCCTGGTGGAGTGACTCTTGCCCACAACCCGGCGGCGGCTGAAGCGGTTGAAGGACCGGGACTTGACCCCTTGTGGCGTCTTGTCCGGTAGGCTGTCAGTCAAATAGTGAGCCGAGAATCAAGCCTCGTCATGCAGTCTTTGCCAGAAGAGGTTATCGCTCGTAGGGCTACCGACGGCGAGCCAATCTGCCACATGGAGCTCTTTGCTGCCAAGAAGAAGTTATTGATGTTTTGCCAAGGAACCAGGACATGAGGAAATGCTAAAGAAAAAGAACAGGAGTCCTGTCTGAGGAACCTCCGAATGGGAAGAATGTAAAAGATTGTTTAGCGTGCCAAGCTCGGAACGTCGCCAGCTGTGATGCAGGGTTTTTTACTCACGCAACGGTTGTTCCGACGTGTTGGTTGAGGTTGATGAAAGGTGCCTGATCAGGACCCTTGTCATATGGTCCCAAGACCGCGTACTGGGTCGTAAAAGTCTCAGGTCGAGACGAAAGGATGAAGAGACAAAGTGGAAGGTATTTAGAAGAGACCCGCTGCAAAAGCGGAGGTTACAGTGAGGCCTCTGTCAGTTTACAGCAGCCCAACCCCAGCGACCGTCAGCTATAGTGGCCTTTCCAGGTCAGGTCACCTATTGATCAACGAGCATCTTATTGACGTGATCCGCAACAGCCAGCAAGAGGCATCCCACCCGACCGACGATGGCGATGGCGATGGCAACAGCGCAAGCCTCGTTTGATCTAATCGATCAATCAGATTAGATAATGAAATCTCTGTCTCAACTCGCCTCGGCTGCTTGGACGCCCAAAAAGTCAACACCACCCCCACTCGGAACCTGGTTACTCGGCGTTCGAGGCCTGTGCCAACCAACAGAGGCCACTAACGAACAAAGTGGCTGCAGACGCTGGATCCCTCGCGTCCCGAATCTTTCTCTCTGTTCCTCGCTAGCTCACGGTCTCTGTTGGCTCTAAACACTCTCCTCGAACGGGAATTGGCCGATCTCGGTGGATTAATTAAAAAAGAAGGTAAATGGGCTTTTGGCCACCTGAGGGACCTGATCTTATCTGATGGAGTGCGAGGATGGGTCCCCAATATCCTGAACTGGCTCAGTCTAGCCCGAAGCACCCTTGTTTAGGACCTCTTTTTTTGTATTTTTATTTTCCCCCTTCCTCATTATAACCGTCCGTCTTCTCCCCAGTCCACCATGATTTGAGTTTCCCTTCTCTTTCTCCTCCTTGTCCTCCAAGCTTAAGCTTAATCCCCCCCCCCCCCCCCCCCCCCCCCCCTGAGATAAGATCCAACCATGGGAGTCTTCGACAAGATCCACCTCACCCTCGGGCGCAAGGGCAATGAGGGTGCTGCCGCTGAGCAGCCCGTAACTGTCACTGCTGCCGTCCACGACAAGGACCACGAGGCCGGTGTCTATCCTGACGATGGAAGCACCAGCGATGCCGTCACTGAGAACGCGCAGCATGGTGTCCAGACTGTTGAGGCTACCACCCTGGCCTGGAGCAAGAAGGCTCTGGCTGGCGTATTCGTCTTGTATGTATTTGTCTGGATGCGATCGAAGATTGGACTAATTCCCGTGCAGCATGTGGTTGATCTACCTCACCAATGGCTTCCAGAGCCAGATCAATTACACTCTTGTTCCCTACGCCAGCAGTGAGTGGGAGTCTCACTCTCTCATTCCCGTTATCCAGGTCGTCGCCAGCTGCATGACTGCTGCTGTCTACATTCCCCTGTCCAAGATTCTCGATCTCTGGGGTCGTGCCGAGGGTTTCCTGCTCATGGTCCTTTTCGCTACCATTGGCATGATCATGATGGCTGCTAGCCACAACCTCCCTACCTACTGCGCTGCCTACGTAAGCCATAAACACCATCCAGCGCTGTACTTCAGTCGCTAATATCTCGCAGGTCTTCTGGCAGGTTGGCTGGTCCGGTCTCACCTACAGTATTGACGTTATCACGGCCGATTCGACACAGCTCAAGAACCGAGGTCTGGCGTACGCCTTCACCTCTTCACCTTACATGATCACTGCTTTCGCCGGTCCCAAGTCCGCCGAGGCCTTCCTCCTGAACGGCGACCAGTGGCGATGGGGTTTCGGCACCTTCTCTATTGTCCTCCCTGTTGTGGCCATCCCTCTGTACGCTCTTTTGAGGTACAACCTCCAGAAGGCCAAGAAGCAGGGCCTCCTGGTCCGCCAGCCTAGCGGCCGATCTTTCTTGGAGAACATCAAGTGGGGTCTTATCGAGTTCGATGGTGAGTGAACCCGTACTCTATGTAGTGAATGACTGCTGACCTTCTGATAGCTGCTGGTTCCTTCTTGTTCGCCGCTGGTCTCGTTATCTTCCTCCTCCCCTTCTCCATCGCCAGCAGCGCCCCCAAGGGCTGGAACACACCTTATATCATTGCCATGATCATCCTGGGAGTTGTTCTTCTGGTCATCTTCGGCGCTTACGAGCGCTACGTTGCCCCCAAGCCCTTCCTCCGCTTTGAGCTCCTCACCAGCCGCACCGTCATCGGTGTCTGCCTTCTGGACTTCATCTACATGATCGCCTACTACTGCTGGAACAGCTACTTTACCTCGTTCCTCCAGGTCGTCAACGGTCTTTCTCCCTCAAAGGCTGGATACGTCAGCAACACTTTTGAGATCGTTTCCGGCGTTCTCCTCTTCATTGTCGGCTACAGCATGCACAAGACCGGTCGCTTCAAGTGGCTCCTGTGTGTCGGCATCCCTCTCTACATCTTCTCTCAAGGTCTTATGATCTACTTCCGTCAGCCTGGACAGTCCATCGGTTACCTCGTCATGTGTGAGGTTTTTATCTCTATTGCCGGCGCTACCTTCATCCTCTGCATGCAAGTCGGTGTCCTCGCTGCCGTCGAGCATCAGTATGTTGCTACCGCACTGGCTACGCTGAGCGTCACTGGAAACATCGGTGGCGCTGTCGGTGGCACCATCTCTGCCGCTATCTGGACCAACACCTTTTACGACAAGCTTGCCGAGTATCTCCCTGAGTCTGCTCTGCCTGACCTTGACACTATCTACGAGTCTCTTGACTCGCAGCTGTTGTACGAGCCCGGATCTCCCGAGCGCATTGCTATCCAGAGGGCCTATGGCTACGGTCAGGCTAGAATGCTTGGTGCCGGAACTGGTATCATGGCCATTGCTCTTGTGTCGCTGTTCTTGATCAAGAACTACGATCTCAGGACGATCAAGCAGACCAAGGGTACCGTCTTTTAAGAGAATTACCCAAATCGCATTTATGCGAATTAAAATACGGTGGAGGATTAATGTTATACCATGTTATGTGTTTAGTACGAAGTAGAGACCTTATCTTAATAAATGAAGGGGCCTGGCGGGCCCTGACGAGTGGGCATCGATTGCCTTTTTATTCCAAATCTTCAGTTCAGAAAGTACAAAGTAAATCGTGAAGGTGATGCAGTAGTTGGTCTTACACCGTTTACATAACTTAACGACTTATTTGCCCTCGCTCAATTGTGAAGGACATGTATCTGGAGGACGAGGCCATCAACACTGCTGAACAGATCGTTGAAATCTCAAGGGCTAACATGTTTCTTGTCAGGCCAGGTCGAAAGTTATCGCAGACAATCGCGATATCTCCAAATGTTTGTGCTAGCCATCTTTGATCAATGATTGCCTACTACACACTCGCCCACTATTGACAAGTCACCATGCTCAAAGACCGGTACAATAGTATTCGCACTTGCATGCGCGCCAACAGATTCTATCAACTCTACTTCTAAATGTGGTTATATCTTGCCAAGAATGAACTGCATGAGTCCCTGCTGAAGACCTGTCACCGCCACACTTCCATGATCCTCACCCTCAAACTCGCGCGTCCAGATCTTCTTCACACTTGGACAATTATCCAAGCGCGACACTAAAGCCTTCGCGCTGTCTCTCATCTTATCATCCTCGGCACAATTCTGCCTCTTGTACCATCTCTCATCAGACTCGTCAGGCTCTCTCACCAGGTCTGACTTCCCAGTGCCCCAGGTGAGAGCTAGCGAGAATGGAGGATCAACGGGCTTGTCACGCGCCAGGAAAGCAGTCTCTCGCTCGCGGATCAAAAAGTCCTTGTTCCACCAGATCACGGGACTGGCGGCGATGTATGTGTTGAAGAGCTCTGGCTGGGTGAACATGGTGTTGAGTGTGAAGATGCCGCCGTATGAATGTCCAAAGAGGGCTTTGCGACCGGTGTGCAGGTTAGCCTTGGGGAAGAGCTTGTCCTCGACGTAGGGCATAATGTCGGCCTTGATCCAATCGAGGAATTCATTGGCCTCGCCGAATGAGATGTCGGTGCGAGGCTTGCCATATCTGTCGAGTGGCATGTCATACTCATCGGCTGGTGGTGTAAGATCTGGACCCCGGCGGAAGTCGTAGATATATTTACTGGGCGGGTACCCGATGCCTACAAGAACAGTTCTTGTGCTGTTGAGGTACTCCAGACGGCGAGACACATCAACAGCTGTGAAGAAATATGCATTTCCATCGACAAGGTAGCTGTGTAGTGGTCAGTCAAGTGCCAATTGATGGCGTACGGGGAACTTACACCAAGTTGACCTCCTCATTCTCAGCAGCAACGCGATCCTCACCCCAACACAGCGGCCACGCTACCTGTACAAGGTAATCTCCCCTCTTTGTCTTGGCAAGCCACTCGAGAGTATTAGGGACACGAGCGTGTCCATGGCTGTGATCAGTAGCCATAGTTCTGTAGCGGAAGTGAGTAAAGATTCGTGGTGTTGGCGATAGTGATAGTGTCAGTGATGGGCGAGCGCGAGTGAGACAACGCAGCATGACACGGAGCGACAGCAAACTAATTCAGGACGAGTCGGCTATTGGACTGAGCTCCAAGATCTGATAAACAGAGAAAAAGATCTGATAAAAAAAGGCGCATTGCTTTGCATTTACTTATGGGTCTCCACGGGCTGTTAGTGGGCCGAGACAGCGGTATCGGCGGGGCTTTTAGGCGGTTATGCTCGGCAGAACATCCACTGGAACCCGTCAATTACAGTGGAATGAACGCGCCCCTCGGGCTTGCAATTGTGCTGCAGAATGGGGTGATAACGTATGATCTCAGATGACAACCACTTGTCTGCCAGGATGACGAGTAATTATTTGCATCATAGACACATTAAAGGGTAAGTTTTCGTCGAGGATTGAGATGCGTCGGACGAGGACTTTGCAGCACAGGCATAGAGACGCAACTGCGACAGAGTTTGTTTTGATCAATTGTCGTAACAGATGGGCTAATAATGTCCAATAGCCGCGCTCCAAGAGGTAGAAGCATGAATAAATTCTTAACAGCCTAGAGTTTAGTGAAGTATTCAAGCAAGGTAATGACTTTAAGGCGAATGATTGAACGAAGCCCTGCCAAATATTTTGGTATCCTCGACTCTCATACAAGTGCCTTCAGCTTCCACTCCAGCAGTCCCAAGATCCAGGCGGCCTGCTGGAGCTATCCCCAGCAAAAGATTAGAAATCTACAAGGTCCATAGGACGGACAGAATTAGAAATAAGCTTATTTAACTCGGTCTGTCAAACTTAATTTACAAGATCTCCAGGCCGTTGGCGTTGAGTAGTCTTGAAACTCAGCAGTTGAGGCAGCCCTGCGACGCCCTTGCATAGCGGCTCCATGGCGTCTGAGGCAAACAACTCCAGTGCACTTCTAGCCTCCAATTAGAACTTACAGGCGGGTGAGTTTGAGTTATACTTTGAGGCTTCGGCTTTGATCATTCACCTGCGAATTCATTGCGCCTTCATAATATCTCTGCATGGCAGAACGATTGTTTCCCATTCTCTATGGTAACAGTCTGACAATTGGTCATGGACCAAATTGCAACCATAATCTTCATCAAACAACCCTGGGTGAGATGGCCGAGTTGGTTATGGCGCCAGGTTAAGGTCAACCTTAACACCAATTTCCTGGTGGAGCAATCCTCCTGGGTTCGAGTCCCAGTCTCATCATTCTCTTTTGTCTATTGCGACAATTGATTCACTTTTTGCAAGTTGGTACGCGAGGATACAGCGCGATTGCACTCGCAACCTGCCGGAGCTACTGGTGGTCTGTTCAGCTTTTAGCGTCGATTAGAACCTGGAGCAGGAGAAATATTAGGTATGAGATGCGCACTTTGGGACAACATCTGATGCCGTTTGCTAAAAACATTGGTAATGTTATGGCCGGGCCGGTTCTTGACTTTCATCCAGATCAAATTGGTCAGAGCACATCACATACGAGAATAAAGCGGAAACGGTTGGTTGGATCATATTTATAAACACAGACTCTACAAGCGAGAGTCTAACTCAAGTGGTCTGTCTGAGAAGAAGTCTTTTAAGACATCGGTTTAAAATTTGTACATGTAAGAAGGCTTCCATCAATCCCATTTTAGGGGCTTCTACTCTACACAGTGCCGTCCACTTAGATGTGACGGCGGCTGCGACGGTGTCGGAGGGCCCTCTTACACTTGGAGGGCTTCTTGGAACCGACGGGAGTAGTAACAGGTGTGGTAACAGGAGCAGTTTCCGTAGCGGGAGTAGTAACGGTGCCGTTGGAGGGAACGACAGGGCTAACAACACCACTTCCGCCGCCGAGGATCTTGACAGCAGCGTGCTCAGCAGCAACCATGATGATGGCCTGGGTGTTACCAGTAGGAAGATCAGGGTGGATGGAACCGTCAACAACGAACAGGTTCTCGGTGCCCCAGACCTTGGCGTCAGTGTCGACAACGCTGGAGCCATCGTTCTCAGTACCCATAATGGCGCTACCAACGAAGTGAGAGCCGCTGACGTACTCAGCCATGAGGCTCTGAGCAGTAGCATTGCTGGGGATGGTGATAGTGCTGTTAGGCTTGGCAGCATAGTCGATGAGCTTCTGCATGAAGGTCTTGACGGCCTCCTTGTCGCCGGTAGTCTTGAGGTAAGGCTCGCCAACAAGCTTGGTAGCACCAGAGCTGGTCACGGTAAGGGCACCGCTGGAGGTGGCACCGTGGGTGAGGTAGACCTTGATCTTGAGAGCATCGTCACCAGCGGGAGCGCAAGTACCCTGGACGTATCGCTCGACGCCGTCAGAGCCTGTGACGCTGTCCCAGAAAATGAATCGCTGGCCAGACTGGGCAAGAAGACCGGAGCCCTGAGCGAAAAGATCAATGTCGGTCTGGCTAGGCTCGGTGAAGGCAGAGTCGCTCAGAGCAGGGAGGGACTGCTTGGTCTTGACCTTGACGGTGAAGATGGGGTGGTCCTTCAGGTTCTCTCCGACGGGGAGGTTAAGCCACTGGTCCTTGGAGGGCATGGTGAGACGCTGGCTACCGCTGGCAACAGCCTCGATCTGCTCAGAGGGGCCGATGCCAGAGTTGACGAGAAGACGGGGAGTAGCAAGAGCGCCAGCAGCGAGGATGACAGCACCGTTGGTCTTCAGGTTGATGATCTGGCGGGTTGAAGGACCAGACTGGACTTCGATACCAGTGACGCTCTTGCCATCACGGATGACACGCATGACCTTGGTGTTGAGCTGGAGCTTGAAGTTGGGGTTGGCCTGAGCCAGGGGGAGGTAGTCACGGACGGGACCAGCTCGCAGACCGTCAGTGACCATGAGAGGAGGGTGAGTGAAGACAGCCTTCTTCTTGCTAGGCTCCTGGATGCCATCGACCTCGGTGAAGCCAAGGCCGGAGAACCACTTGCTGAGGACGTCCCAAGCACCCTGGTCAACTCGCTTCATATCCTTGGTAGGGTTCAGGGTGCCCGGTGTTCTCTCGTAAAGCTTGTCGGCAGAAGACTGGACATCCTGCCACTTCCAGCCGGTGGGCCACTTGTCGTCGAAATCAGCGGGCTGGGGTCGAACGAACATTTGGGCGTTGACAACAGTTCCGCCACCAAGAATACAACCGGCCATGCTGGCGGTGTCAGTGCAGTACTCAGAGGTATCCTTTGCAGTTGTGAGATGGTAAGCCATCGACGGAGTGTCATACTGCGTGATGGTTGAGTTCCAGTCCATGACAGAGCGGCCACCGGAGGCGTACATAGAAGCCTTGCCTTGCTCGAGGAGGAGAACGGACTTCTTGGACTCAAGAAGACGCTCGGCGACGATCAGACCGGAAGCACCAGCACCAACAACGATGTAGTCGTAGGTCATGTTGGAGACAACGGTGGTGAAGTTACCAGCAGGAGTACCGGTAGAGCCGCCGGGCGTGGTAACGGTGCCAGATGAAGCCATCTTGGCCCAGGTCTCGAAGTCGGCGGACTGAGCAGCGGCGGTATCGAGAGAGAAGCCACCAAAGCCAGCACCGTGGTAGTTGAGGGCAGACGTAGCATCGGATGGGGTGTCAAGAGCGGTAGAGCTGATAGCGAAACCGAGAACAGCGTTGGCATCAGCGGCCTTGAAGGTGGTACCGTCGGTCTTGATACAGCCCTCACACAGGAAAGTGAAGGTGAAGGAGTCAGCACCGACGGAGACACCCTTCTCGATGGGCTTGATAGTAACAGTATCGTCGTCGAGAACGGAGGGGTTGGTGTAACCACTAGCCTGGCGGACTGAAGTGAGGACCTTGCCATCGTTGGGCCAAGCAACCACGAGGAGCTTCTTGGCCATGGTGGAGCCCATACCGACGGAAGCATATCCCTCGGAAATAGGAGCGATGATCTGACCGATAAAGTCTGTGCTGGGGTTCTTAGGAAGGGCGATACCAAAGGTGAACTTGCTGCTCGTGTCGGTAAATTGCTGGAAAGTGATTCCAGTATCAGCATCTTTGTACTCCACGCTGGCTGCTGAAGCGGCCTCGTACATCAGCGCCGCCGATGAAAGGAGAGTTGAGAAACGCATGATTGCTGTGTTTTGGTCTCAATTGAACGATTGTGGTAGAAGAGAATGCACAAATAGTGTGATATGACAGAAATGAATGAATGAATAAATGAATGGACAATATTGGCAACCAGTGCCTGTAAAGAACGAAGAAAAGAAACACAAAAAAAGAAGATAGACCAACTCAGACTGAATGTATCAGAAACATATCCAAGTGAGCTGTCAGAACATATTATATATAAATGAATCTCGCAGAGCCAAGTAACGTTTCTTAGCCCGGCACCTCGTTTCCGATCCCTCGGGTTATGTTTTCAAACACCAAACACGGCATTGGTGGCTTAATTGTCGCGGGCGGGCAATATTCGCTTTCATTGTGGATGAAGTTATCCACATCGGCCAACTGCACTTTGCCTCAGGTTGTTTTGAGTCCCCTACTAGCAGATTCAAAGTTGCAATTGCTCTTTGTCCTGTCTCTTATTGGTTGTGGGCCAGGTTTCAGGTTGCGGCTCCCATCTCCCAACAGGGTAACAGAGCCTTGGGGGGCCCGAGTCTTTTTATATGAAACAAGCCCAACGAGTTTGTTCGACGAGGGCCTTGTACTCAAGCGCGCCGCAATAAAATCTGCGAACCACAAAAGATATCGGCATAATCACAATAGAGAGATAACTGATCGGAAGGGAATTATCCATAATATTTTTGAGAAGATATACTAAATCATTGTTCACTGTTCTGCTATTGATCTCCTCCCTACCTCTGCCTTTAATCACTCCTGATTCTATCCGTACCCGTGCGTTTATTGCCGGCAGTCCAAGCTTGTAATAAACCGTTTCAATTCTTCTGCTGCGCCCTCGGAAGATTCTCCTCTGATAATTCACAGGGCAAACAGGGCTTGACGCGTCACTTCCTACAGCTGAGGAGACTTACATGGATGGTTCGCAAATGACTCGCTACGAAACAGAGTAGCGAAACAATTCTTTTCTTCATTTAGACAAAACAGACCATTCTGACCAGATAAGACCGGGGTTAGATATCCACCTGTCAAACCTTACAATTCTTCCATCGTGCACGGTTCCATGCCTTGTTTCTGTTAATTAATTACCCGGTTGCCCATCTCGATTCTTTGCGAGTATTCGCAAACATATCTTGCAGGGCTTGCATTTGGTAACGATTTGCCCTTCGGACGTTTGAACTTTTAATAGCCCATATGCTCTCTGAGAGTTCCCGACGAATAGACTCTTCAGGCGTAAAGCCTTCTACGCTAATGCGCATAGTCTTGTAGTCTTCGAGGATATCTGGGTAGTTTTGAATAGGCTATGTCCTCAACGGCCTATTGGATCATCACGGCCTCGTCAGATGTAGTGGTTAGGTTATCTGAAGATGTATAAAATATGTAATAATTAGAATATTTCGTAAATAATCTTAGGGTAGTATTACATAGGATTATATAAAACTACACAGATTTGTTATAATTAATGTTATCTTGTATAAAGCTTAGAAGGGGGAAGATGTCGGGACTCTCCATTCCCGCTTTATGCTTCAATGTTGTTGTCGGCTCACCCAGAGTTTGTTTCCATTAATCACCCTGTCATAAAATCTACAGTCTCTGCGGGAGTGCTAATTGATTTCAATGATAAAATTTATACTCTAGACTAATGCTACTCTGCAGAGTCTGTCGCCGATTGTTCATGCGTAGAAACTCTGGACAAACTGTGGATCCATGAAGTCGTGAAAACACCAGTCTGAAAGGCGTGTACCAGATGAATTCGAATCACAAACTGCTGGCATCCCCTGCTTCTGCTAACCACTGACCATGTCCCTTATCTCAATTCCTTGGTTCGTTCTTCGCCGGCCGCAATCCATTTCCGCAGCTGCGGCTCAGATCGCACCTTGAGCCCAACCTTGAACGGCTTTGGGTCCGTGGTCAGCGACGTTGGGTTCGCATTGCACTCAATTGAATCCATGACCGGAAAGTCTTTCTTGTCTTTGGGCGGCAACATTTCAAAGGCGGTAATGAGGCGAATGAAGGCTGTGTAGAGCTCGCGGTTGGCCAGATGGGAACCAGCGCACATTCGCGATCCGGCACCATACGCATAGTGAGGCGTTCCGACCTCCTTGTCGTTCAGATACCGTTCTGGGTTAAACTCGTAGGGGTTCGCGAATCTTGATTCATCGTAATCTGCGGCGTATGCATTCTGGAAAATCTCCGGTCAGGTACATGTGAGATGAGCAACGGGAAGTGGGCTGTCATACCATGAAGAAGGTGGTTCCTGCAGGGATCGTGGCACCCTTGTAAGGGATATCCTTAATGTTTACCCGCGGGAGGCAGATCGGGATAACTGTCCAAAAGCGTAGGATCTCCTTGACGAGCGCCGTGATATAAGGGACCTTCTCTTCCGTAAGACATCGCTCCCAAGCTTCGCCATTGGGGTACACTTTGTGGATCTCTTCCAACGCTTTGGCTTGGATTTCATGGCCATGAGGCGTCGCAAGATATGCGATGCCCATGATCAGGTTACCTGGAACCGTATCCAGACCGGCAGATACCATGGTGAGACAAATGGACTTGATTTCGGCTAAAACTTATCAGCACTAATCAGAAAGACATAAGGACCTTTCTTACCTTCATTCAACTTGGCTTCGGGGTCTTTGAGAATATTTCCAGTAATACACGGCTTGTCTGTACCATTGGCTATCCGCCCTTTGAGGTCGTTCAGCAAATCCGTAAGGTACTTGTCCCGTCTTGCCCTGAACTCGCCAGCGGATGAATTCTGTGCGCCCCAGAGCCGTAACAAGGGCACATAATCCTGCCAGTTGTTGCTCGTAGATCTGAAGTTGGAAATCTCGCGCTCCACATGGGTGATCTCATGGAGGAGTTCGCTGTTGACATCTCCATTAATGCGAAAGCCGTAGTTCAGGGTCAGCGATGTGTTGAGCGCAAACCGAGCAAAGTAAGGAGCCGGATCCAAGTCGTTCTTCCCGTCTTGACAATCTTCGAGGAGCTCCTTGATGCTCACCACAGATTCGAGGTCGAGAATTGGCATGTAGGATTGCGTGGCAGGGCGATTGAGCGCAGTGGCGGCAGCTTTACGGCGGGATTTGCAGGACTCGTCCCAGGGTGAGGTGCCAATTGTGAAGCCTTGAGAGGAAGAAACTACTGAATGGAATGTGTGGAACATCGGGCGGGAGATGAGCGCGGACTGGTGAGTTATCCAGAAATGCTTAACTGCATCATAAGAGTTGACGTAGATGACTCGCTGCAACAGTTAGAATCTGACCGCTCGCGATGGGTCATTGCTCACCTTCGTTCCAAGACGCGTTTGAAAGACTGGGCCGTACTTGGCTGCCCATTTCTGTGCTACCCTCGCATGATCCGTACCAAGCTGGATCAAATTTCCGAAAATTGGAACACCAGGTATCTCAGGAATTCCCTTGATCTTGGGAGTATCAGTTGAGTTCGAAAACCTGTACAACAAGTACAAGCCGATGAGGACTGCGATGTAAAGGACTTGGTCCGACATGGTTTTTGCTGAATGTCGAGGCGGGGCAGAGATGATGAGTGTTGGAGTAACATGATAATTGCTGGTCTGTTGGCTGTATCTTATACCACCTGTCTTTGTCCAACGTCACAGTCTAACCCCTCAGCTGCTGGTTTGGGATCTGCAAGCGATATCCAGGACCATTGCCGAGTAAGCGGGGAGTCGTGTGCCGAATCCGACGATGGCCGTTGGTAATACACTTTCCATTGGCTGCACGTTTGATCTTTTCCTTAAGCTGTGTATCTGATCTGAGTAGTAGTAGTTCGGTTCTCTGTAAAAGACCCTCGGCTCTCTGGACCAATGCTCGAAATGGGGAGTTTTAAGAGAATATTATTTGTTGTCTCGGAATCACTGCCCTTAGTTGATTCCGAAATTTCCGAATTGACACAGATGACCCAGTTCCGTATAACAGTTCGAATCCAACCAGGGATACATCACAAAATCAACATAAAATCGCTTTATGTATAACTTTACTGTAGATTTATTTTATTATGATTTACATAATAGTAACTAAAGCAATAGATTTTACCGGCTAGGAGAGAAGAAATTAACAGGATGCCTATGGTATACATCCCCGCTTACTCGTTGTCGGAATTGCTTCCGAAGAACCGAAAATATTAGAACCATTTTCGTATTTATTATTCTTGAATAGTATGTGAAGCATTATGGTTCTGCGCTCTGCCTCAGATATCTTCGATTGAGCAGAATTATCTATGCATTGTTTCGCCTTCTTGGAGGAATAAAAGGTACGTAATATCGAGCAGAGTTTACATTTACGGAAGTCGGAAAACTACACATAAGCGGGATCCATAGAGATGAAGGTGACGTGAACCCAATCACGACATCGATTTGAAAGCTGAGTCTCGAGCTTTCTCCAACATGTCTGCACTCCATTTTAATGCTTGTGTTGAAAGCGTGTTGTAGACAATTTAATCTATTCCCGCCTTACCACACACGGCCTCGGTTACAAACTGATTTCCCTAAGAGCCGAACGCACTCGGAAGTAAAGGAATCCTGTACGGCTGTCCTGAATTTGCTACAGGGACCAGGATCTTACCAGCCAATAATGAGTCGGATGGGAGCTTTCCTCTTTCGACAGCAAAGATTATACCCTAACAGTATCGACAACCTCATATCCCGCGCCGGATAGTAGCAGGATTACCCTCCCAATCCGCCGACGTACTGCGGACTTGAGAGAACATTATCTGAGAATATGCAAAGACATTCGGATCATGGAATGATGTTTGGCTATAAATTGAGAGGTCTTCGCAGATCCAGATGAAGCTCAACACTAAACACACAAGCACTTCAAATCATACATCATTTTAACTCAACTCACAAATCGCCAGCATGTCCACCACTTTTGACCTCTCAAAGCCTAACAGGACCATTCACGCCGGAGTTATCTTAACGGGTGGGCAAGTAAAGCAGCTGATGTCAAATGTTCTGGTTAGTACTCGTACTAACTGTCAGATAGCGAGACCGAGATTTTGGATGTCGCCCCCATTGATTTCCTCAACGGCATTACCCCGAAATTCTGGAACAACGGTCTGAAAGGCTTCGTGCCGGATGAATACGAATCACAGACTGTTGACATCCAGTTCCATTGGGTTTCCAAGAATGGGCCTGCTTCGCCAAGCCACCTAACCGGCGGCATCAAGCTCGTTACTACGGTATGTCACGCAATTACCGGCCATCCGGCCTCAAACTGATCAAGTAAAGGACTCTTTCGAAAGTTGCCCTCCACTGGACATTGTTCTCATCGGAGCTCATGCCATGGGCTACACTCCCGACGATACCGAACTTGCCTTTGTCCGCAAAGCCTGGGATGACTGTTCCGCCTTCCTTACCATCTGCGGTGGAGTCTTGGTCCCTCTTCAGGCTGGTATTCTCGAGGATAAGATTGCCACGGCTCCTATAATCATTCTTGACAATCTCCGAAAGCAGGCTCCTGGGACCAACTGGGTCACCAAGCGTTGGGCCAGAGACGGAAAACTGTGGACCAGCGGTGCACTTCTCAATGGAACGGACATGATGACCAATTTCTTGAAGGCTTACTGGGGAAAGAGTGATGATAGCTTGGTTGGCTTTCTGAGCAAGCTGGGTGCGTGGCCGGACCGTGATATTGACTACAAGGATGTAGTTTAGAAGTGTAAAATTACCATTTTCGTAGAGGGCGGGAGGAAGATCGCGTCTTATTATGTAGCTTCTTTATCATAATCAAGCCCCCTGCTCTACGGCAATCACCCAGACTTACTCCCGGGTGCACAGAATAAGTGATGTGTGGTAAGCTGCCCAGTGTCGCGAATATCTGCCTTGATTTGACTCAGCTGGAAGTCTTGACGTTGGTGGGGAAACAGTCTGGCACGGCATTGAGTGGCTTAAACATATTTTCAAGACATTTATGCACACATAGCTGAATCTATAGGTCGCGATTCTGATATCGCCCAGATCGTCGCTGCAAGGCGCTCAGATAGTTGCCGATCGGCGTTCTGAGCACAGCTGCGCTGAGACATATCAAACGCTAGTCTGCGGAGACGTCCAATAAACGTGCAAGCATTCAAGAAGCTAACTCTGAGTTCAGCAAAGACGAATGCATTGACTCCGTAGCATGCCGCAATGTGTGCAGGTCGTAAAGCGGCTGGTAACGAAAGCCAATGGTTCGCCAAACTTACGTCCCGCAATCTTGATATATGATGCTATGGCTGAGACATCACGTCAGTACAAGAAAAACACTATCACATTGGCCATTTCATGCATATATGTTTGAGGTGACGTAGGATGAATAGTCATAGGGCGGAGAGTCTGCGTTGTCGTGTTATATAAGACGTCGTATGCTTCCATTGTCAAATCGTCACAAACTGCACTTTAATCGTCCTCTCACGCACACCTATTCTCCACGCCCAACGCGCTCATTGCATCATCATGTCTGCCAAAGTCTACGTCGGATAAGATAACATTGCCCAATTGTTAACTTGGTTGGCAACTAACATGCAAACCATTAGCAATCTGGGGTGGAACACAACAGATGATTCACTCCGTACCGCGTTCGCCGAGTATGGCCAGGTTTTAGATTCGGTAAGTTTGTTCCCCTTCCACAAACGTTCAATATCTGAGCAAGAATACCAGATTGTTATGCGCGATCGCGACACGGGGCGCTCAAGAGGATTTGGCTTTGTTACATACAGCAATGGGCAGGAAGCTGAGCAAGCAATCAATGCGCTGCACGAGCAAGAGTAAGTTTCGAAATTAGCAACTCCTGTGTACAATAGCACGCGACAAGAATCTAACCTTTGTCGTTGAGGCAGACTCGATGGGCGTCGAATCAAAGTAAATCTTGCCAATGCTCGTCCTAGTGGTGGTGGCGGAGGAGGCGGTGGTTATTCAGGCGGTGGTGGAGGTTACTCGGGTGGTTATTAGGGTGTTGTTTCAGCTGGTGGTTGAGGCGGTGGCTGACAGTAGGGTCTTATCAATACCTAAGATGATCAAAGGCACTGCAGTTTCAACCCGATTGACTAGTATCGAGATAAACCCATTGTTATATTGGTTGTTGCAAAATATACAGTCTTAGAAGACTTGATGAAAATAAGTCTTTTTGCCAAAACAAACTCTCCGATAGCCCACAAGCCTTGATTAATAATTGGATTTCGGAGGTCTCACAACAACGACAATCAAACCTTGTACTTAGGAGTAAGGACTGTATCCATGCATCGGCGCGCACCCAAGTAACCACCATTGAGGTGATTCTGATTGGTCAATAAGAATCTTTTTGTTGGATAAGATTTGATTGTTCTCCAAGTTAATTTGAGGATTGCGTGGTCAGAAGTCGTCGAGCGGTGGAAATTGGAATGTCCATATCGATAGTGCAGCTCAAAGTAACTTATCCAGACACAGGCTGACAAAAGAATACAATGCGACGAGTCTTCAGGCTGTCAAATACGTTGTAGGTGGATCAGGCAGTGGCTAACTGCCTAAATGGCTGCAACGAGGATACCTAAGATACAAAGCTATTATTCGCAAGAGAAGGGTCACGCTATTTACAGCAAACAATCATAATATAATAACTTTATTCAATCTTTCACCGAACTTCATCGAACCTACAGGTAGAAAATGCACATAACTCCAGCACAGTAAGTCAAGGTACAACAAACCTCAAAGCTTTGACACAAAGGTGTTTTCCCCCCAGTGATCACGAACAAGAAATTGAATTCTTTTTGAGCTGGAGTATGTATAGTAATTAAAAATAATTGACTTCGTATTTGACCAACTCGAAATATTTCATAGAGTATGGGTCGAAGTGAACAGTTGACAAAGTCAAGGCCATGACCGCCAGTGTCACAGACGCAGGTTTCTCTGTTCCCTTATTTATCACATCCTGTGGATCCCTTCCGCCCCTTTTAACCTGTGTGATTTGCTCAACAACGGATACACAGCTATATTTTGCCAGGACATATAGACAAATTCCAAATGAAAAGAGCTGCCTGGATCCACAAGGCGTAACGAATTTCGTGCGTCAATGTGGTACTTCTGCGCGCCTGCTACCCTATATTTCAGCCGCTCTTTAAAATGTGTAGCAAAATTTCTTAGCGTCTTAGGGTTCTGCTAAGCATGCAAGGGTCATCATACCACGACATGATTCGCTGAGCCAGGCAAGCAGCGCATTCAATTGGCCTGCTTCGACGGTTGCCCCGTGCAGTCATCATTTTTGCTTGCGTGAGGTGTTTAAATTGTGCAGCGAGGGACACGTTGGCTGTGCGCGGTATAAATTGAAGCGGGGGTGTTTTTTATTTGCCCGACGTCCCCTTATCATCATCCTAAATCACACCTTTCCGTTACTATGAGCACCAAACTTTTCATCGGGTAAGAAAAATACGGAAAATCCATCGAGAATGCGAATCTGACACGAGATAAATAGAGGCCTTTCGTGGAACACCACGGACGAGTCGCTCCAGCAGGGATTCGCCGCGTTCGGTGAGGTCACAGAAGCCGTAAGCAACAAAGCCCCATGAAAATTTCGACGCCGATCATTTTTGTGCTAATTCCATATTCCAGAGAGTCATCATTGACCGCGAGACCAACCGTTCAAGGGGTTTCGGCTTCGTCACTTTCTCTGACGAGGAGGCTGCCAACAAGGCTATTGCTGAGATGGATGGTCAGGAGTGAGTTCCCAGACACAGGCATTCGAATGGTTTGCACTTTAGCAGAAGGTATCTAACATAATTATTAGGCTCGATGGTCGTCAGGTCCGAGTCAACAAGGCCGAGGAGAAGGCTCCCCGATCCGGTGGTGGCCGTGGTGGCTTCGGTGGTGGTTCCAACAACTGGCGCAACTAGATTGCGTTGGTTCTGCAGGCCCAACGATAGTTTAATACTATAAACCTGCCCATTCAAAAGACATGAAAACCTGAAATGATCTGCCCTGTGACTGCATGTGAAATCACGATAAGATTATCCAGCCGACGCGAATGCCAGGACAAGGCGGTCGATCGGACGGATGCATCTTGACAAATGACGACAAAAGTCTTCCGTGAATACATCAAGTGACTAAGGGATGGGCATACGATGAGGGCTTTGATTCTCCTAATTTCGAAAGAGCCTGTTGGGAGCTGAAGTAAGGCAAGAGTTGACATAACTATGCCCCTGCGACATTGCATCAGCAAGCAGTACGACATAGCATAGCATACACTAGGGTTCCCGGAGTAGATAGATAAGTTGTACGGTCGGCAATATATATAGACTATGCAACGACTATATATGGATGTGTATGGAGCTTGGCTAATTCTATAATTTCTATCGAGGTCTCGGGCGTCTCACAGAAGACAGGTTTTCATACGTCAGCATCAGCAACGTTGCCCTGCACGTCTTGCTCCCCTTTCGGGTTTCTTTCAAGCTTGCGTAGAATCTTGGCTGGATTTCCTGCAACAACGTGATAAGGAGGTACGTCCTGAGAAAGGGTTAGCTAATGGTATATGATTATCACGGAATATTAGCAACCTTTGTGACAACGCTTCCAGCACCAACTGTCGATCCCTTGCCGATGGTAATACCTGGGAGGATCGTTACATTGCCGGCCAGCCAGCAATCCTCTCCCACAGTAATTGTACCACCCATCTCTGGTCCATTAGTGCCATTGCGTAACTCAGGGTCAAGAGGATGAGTTCCCGAGAAGAATGAAACGTTTGGGCCTATCAAGGTTCTTGAACCGATTGAAACGGTGCATGTATCGATGAAGGTACAGTTGTAGTTGATGAAGACATTGCTTCCAACCTTGACATTAGTACCATAGTCCATCTTGATAGGCCCTTCAAGCCAAGGATACTCATGCAGAGCAGCGTCCTCCTCATCTTCAGTGGCAGCGGGTGGAGGTAGCGGACGTTGATCATTGGTTATTCTGCGCTTATGTTACCAGCCGTGCATAAATGTCTCATACAGACTCAACTCACTGCCGCCAATGCTCGGCCATTTGGCGCCGGGTTAGGTCTTCGGCTGCATTGAAACGAGCGACGGCGCGCTTACAACGCTGGCGAGCGGCGACCAAATCTGGTGTAAAGGCGTAGTATAAGTCCCCGCGACGCATGCGGGCGAGGTTGTCTTCCTCATCGATGTTGAGGACGGTCATCTTAGGCGGGTATTCGTAAGAGGTTGTTTGACTATGCTTAGGAATGGTAAATAATGTTGGAAGATGATAGGCTGTTTTAGGTAGTAGGAGGTATGTGTGTATATATTTCAGGGTGGTATCGGCGATGGTGTTGTCCTGATATGGCTCAGTGATTTATCTTGCGATTGGCTATATGAGTGAATGCTCCATCCGGACTTTTGATATTCCAGGCTTCAAATGCATCAAATCAAGTTAGTTGCACTTGAGTTGTTTGTCTGTTGCTCTTACCTAGAGCAGGTCGCTAGCAAGGGTAAACGCCATCGTAATCATACGAGCGGGGCCCAAGACGGATTTGCCCATTGTGGCTTCTGGATCATGAGGGAATGAGGCAGACCGCTGTTCGTCAGACTCCATGAGGAAATAACTACTGCTATGTCCGCGTTTAACAACATCAAGTCATCTCTGGTGCATAGCCTGATGGTGGATGTCGATATCCAAGCATCACCTAAATCTGGTGTGACTGTAAAAGGATCAAAATATCCGACGGTGTATATTTCATACAAGATGATATGAAATTTAATGAAAAATTTCTAACTTGGGTAAAAATACGTAAATTGAACCCTAAGGCTTATTGAAGAATGATAAAGCCTTTCCAATATTGTATTATGTTATATGATGCTATCCTGAGACTACATATAAAGTCCTCTAATTCTTATGCACACCCACAGTGGGCTCGTTGTCGGAAATGTTTCACAGAACTGCACTACCGATCAAAAGCTCACCAAATTCACGCTCCTCCTTCAGCTGGAGCGCCTCTTGATGCACCCGCAACTCCTCCTTCTCCTCAAGGCTCAAAAGACTCGTCCACGTGAATGCTTGATCCTGAGACCAAACATGAAATCTCCTCGGCCTTCCATTCTCAGGGTCGTCAAGCATTTCCATTTCAACAAGCCTTTCATCGTCCCAGATGCTGAAACCCAAACGTCTGAATGGTCTAAACAGCAAGCCCTCGCTCAGTCGAGGACTACCTCTAGGACATAGTAGAGGCCCTGCCCAATGGTATCCTTTGCAGCCAGTGAGTACCTTTTCTGAATGATAATTAAATACTCGGGTGATAGAAGCAGCTAACAGAGGTGGGCGAAGAGCAATCGTTGGCCATCCGAGCATTGGGTTTCCTCGCTTGGGAGATGGCAGCTGGTGGTGTTTGTCTTGCAAGGGTTCGAAGCCAGTGTTGAAAAAGACGCTCAAACGATCGTTAACAGCATCAATATCACCCACACAAGAGCCACGATCTGGAGTTCCCTCCAAATCTCGAACATAAAGTAGCACAGACCACAAGGGCTCTCGGGCGATCCAGTCCATTGGCTCTTTGGGCCCAGGCAAGGCCTTTCCCGCCGATCCCATATAACGAATCGTTTCGATATCTGACGCTGACCACTGCAGCCGCCCCTCTGAAGCCGCATTGCTCAGCTCGTAGCACAGTTGAAGATACCAAAAGCCCAAGATAATTCGCTGCAATTCATACCATGAGGGTCCAACCCCAGCGTTTATCTTGTACGGTTGGCCCCATGTTTGACCATCGGGTCTCCGATTCCAAGGAAGTATCCCGAGATGGTAGCACTTATCAGTGAGATGCTCTGGCTTAGTTGCCTTGATTCGCTCGTGAAAGTAGTTGAAGCACTCTATCGATAGTGCATTGATCTTTTGGGCAAGAAAGATCATTCCCCTGGGGGTAAATGCTTGAGGACCATGCATAACATCACCGAGTCGAATGGGCGACGAACGATCCAGCGGCCATGCCTGAAAATCCTGGACAGACTGACCCTCAAGGATTGTGAATGTCGTCGGCATTTCGAATGCAGTGACAAAAGCGGCAAGATTGCTGGCTGGCTGATTGATCGAAGAACAATCTCTTACAAGAGCTACCAAGCGCACGATATGTGGCAGCCATGGGGTTGTCGCCAGGTTTGCAGCCGAAGATACTAGGACGTTATCGAGAACCCCAGCACCCACTGGGCTATTTAAGAAGTGAAAGACATGTGGAGATGATGTGGTGATGTTGTACAGACTCCTGAGGTCGGGTAAACTGCTGAGGATGGGAGCGATCAGTTCCGGCGGAAGAGTAGCAAAGATATCCATCATTAAAGAATATAGTTGCGTGATATGGATTCATCACCGTGGATGAATGCTGTCAGCATCTTATCATCCACATCACGTGGTGGATGAAAAGAGGCTGCTTACTCGTTTATTCCGGTATGGAGGGAGTCACACTCAACGGCACATTTATCCCAGTCGAGCTGACACTCACGACTTTTCAAGACGCCGCAGAAATAAAAAGAAACCTAGGATTCAACTATTACTTTTTTTAACCTCTGTAAGTGTTAAAAGTGTATACTACAGTGGATGTGCAAAAGATGTGCAAAAGTTCCGCCAATTGCCTCTCTTCTAAAGATTAATAAGATGGTATGAATTTCAACAAACTCTTTTACTTTATATACTTTTAGATAAATCTAGGATAATCTTTTATATACTTTTATAAATTTAGGATATTATTATACATAAAATACTCTAATGATTACATATTTTACATATCTATATTTTTATGTGTATTCCTCCTTAGCTTGATGTAAGAACCTTTGCACGGGACCGTATCAACACTTCTCGTCGCTTTGCTGCAGTTCACTGCCAGTCTCACTGGGCACTTCAACCTTCTTTGGCTTCGGGCGAATAAAGACAGATGACACAACCATGAGTGCACACAGCGCGGTGTAGAATGCCCACATGATCCTTAAGCCGTTGACATATCCTTGCTTATCCGTATCGCCCTGTTCCTTATCATCGGACACAGAGGTCAAGTTGCCATCGCGAACGGTTCTCTGGATCAGGACAGTTCCGACAACTATCGATACAGAAACGAAAAGACCGCGCATGAAGGTATAGGCCGACATGGTGGCAGCCATATCCCTCTGATGAACATGGGTTTGCAATGCTATCATGGGGTTCTGGAAGAGGACACCGCAGCCCAGGCCTGCAATGACCTCGAAGATCACCATCTTGGCCCATTCCTTTCGCTGTCCTAGACTGATGAAAAGACCAGTTCCCAAAGTCATAAGAGTGGCACCGATCAAGATCACGATTTTGTAGTTTCCTGTTTTCCTTACGAAAATTCCTCCAAGGGCGGTCGATACAGACATGGGGAGGATCAACGGGAACAGTGTTAGTCCGGATATGATGGGAGAAAAGCCAAGAATGACCTGGAAGTAGAGTGGTAGGAAGTAATCGTAGGAGATGAAGATAAAGGAGTGTAAGTTAGCCACGGCGAAGGCTGCGAGGTTGCTTCTGTTTTGGAAAATGCGAATGGGAATGATGGGGTTCTTGGCGACCTTGGCCTCCCAGACCATGAATAGGGCTAGGATTAGTACCCCAAAGACCAACAGGCAGATGACAAGGGCCGAATTCCATGGTGCGAGACCACCAGAGCCGGCTTCGAGACTGTATAAGAAACAGATAGTTCCGCCGATGATGAACGCAAAACCAGCCCAGTCAAGGCTGCGCAGTCCGTCGACGAGAGGCTCCTTTTCAATGTTGACTTTGAGCATGAAGAAGAGTCCGATCAAGGCAGCGCCCTCGAAAGGCAAGTTGATATAAACTAGGAAGATGTTAGTACATATACATATATCTTCACATATGGGGGCAAGACTTACAACACCATCTCCAAGTAACAGCTTGGGAGAATACACCACCAAGAACTGGTCCTACTGCTCCAGCTATACCAAATACAAGACCTGTAATACCGTAATACTTGGCACGGTCTTTCAGGGGGAATAAATCTCCGATAAGAACAGTGATCAGAATCATGCAACCGCCACCACCGAGACCTTGCACCACTCTTCCACCGATGAGCATCCCACTTGAGTTTGCCAAGGCACAGATCAGACTTCCAGCCATGAAAAGACCTGTGGCAGTCATCATACACGGCTTGCGACCAACGATATCAGAGACCTTTGCCCACACTGGCGTCACCGCCGTGGTAGAAAGAGTATAGGAGGAGCCTATCCAGGCATACTCGCGGGCAGAAACATGAAGGTCCGTGGCGATAGTAGGAAGAGCTGTAGAAAGAATGGTCGTATCGAGAGCACAGAGGAAGAGGGTCAGACAAAGGGATAGAACCACTAGACGTCTCTGGAGAGTTCCCATGGCGGGAGGCACATACGAGGCCCCTGTCTCGACGGGCTCAAGACGGGCACCAATCGCGGCTTTCTCGTTTGAAGCTTCATCTTGGGGAGACGGCGCCTGTGGCTGTGACTGTTGAGGCTCCAACATGATACGTGTGATGCAACGGTTAGGACGGGTGGAAACAAAACTCGTGATTATGTAGACGAAAAGAGTAACATTTAGAACCACTTATTCGAGGTTATACTCCTGATTTCGGTTCGCTTCGGTTCGGGGCTGTCCAAAGATCCCGGTCAAGGGTCGCCAAATCGGCCAGCTACCCAATAGGAGAAAGGAAATAACAACTTTATCTTGAGAATGATTGGCCTTTGAGTAAATCATTGAGTCGACGTGAATTAGTACGCATTCATATTCGTGCTTGAAGTCGTGGGGATGGGATCGTCTTGAGCGGATGCTGGGACTCGCCTTGGAGGCACTAAAACTCTTGTCTGTTTGGCGTGTAAAATGTGATAATATCTGCTCTTTTATACTTAGATACTATGATACAGACTAGAATAAACCATATTCCATTTATAAAAAATGGAATCTCCTAGGTTCACGTCCTATGAGCTACAATACACTCTCTTTAACTTATATGTAATATCATTCCAAGATTGTATAAAGTCTTCTAATCCTTTGCACGGAACAACTTTTCTAATTGTGTGTTTACAGCACGAGTTTCTAGACTAAACAGATCAGCACTACTGAATGAAGATCATATTTACTCTTAACCAAGTTGTATTCAGCGCCCTCAATAAGGCGCTGTGGCGGTCGTAAGCGTCAGGGGTGTGGTGTTCGTCTGGGTTTACTCACCCCTCTTGGTAAGGATATCCTTTCCCGAACCGAACGAACCGAATTGAACCGAAGTTGGGCGACAGCAGCGCCAACGCCCGTTTCGCCTCTTCTCCAATGAAAAGAGCTGGAATCAAACATGACCAAGACGATAGCGGTCTCGACCATGTTGGGGACCCTCTAGTGCTCCTTGAGGGAAGCCCCCCGGCTTTCTAGTCGTCTTTACCCCGCGAGAGGATCAGATACTGGGAGAGCAATGATGCTCTTCCGCAATTCGGAGATCTATCTCTACAAATGCGGGGGACACCAGGGAAATCCATGGGGGGCTTTAGTGCCAGATTTACCCCGGACCCTCGTCGTGGTAGCTTGTCATGATTGAGCTGCTGTGGTCGTCTGCGGGGGGAATACAAATTGTTGGCGACACCCTCGGCAAACCTTTCGCCGAGAGGAACGGTTCTCCCTGTTCTTCCTCTGTCGTCAATTGCTCTCTTTGACTTAAGAAAAATGTCTTCCACCATGGAATCTGTCTCATCAGAACCTCAAAGTCTATCTCCCATACCGCGACCCCCGCGCTCAAAACGCGGTCGTCTCTCCCTCGCGTGCACACAATGTCGCAAGCGCAAAGTGCGATGCGACGCGACGACGCCCAAGTGTCGCAATTGCGTCCTTCGAGGCGATGAGTGCCAAACCTTTGACCCGCGACGTCCCAATGGCCCGGCGGTGAGGAAATGGCCACACAAGAGCTCGCAGAGCATCTCGTCGTTATCACCAGTACAGCGTCGAGCCTCTATTGCGAGTCAGCAGAGCTCTCCGGCCTCGCTCGTGTCGCAGCACACAGCCACGACACCTTTGTCGGTTTCTGGAAACAAAGAAAGACTTCCGTCATGGATTGAGCGCGCGTACCAGGAGACCCAGAGCACTCCGGAGAGCGGCACCGACGGGCAGAGCAATGATAGCCCTGACGTGGTGATGAACACCGACGAGTCGTCGCATCGTATCAAGGTCAGCACCCGGTCTTCGCTCTTCACTGTGACATGCCAACTGATATCCGGTGTAGTACATGGGCTCAAGCAGCTTACAATGCCTCACCCGGTTTATCGATCTCTTCCTTCAGCGACGCGGCTTAGACCCCATTGGCCGCCATTTCCGATGGGGAATGTGCTTCACCGAAGAATACGCATTACCACTGGTGCCCAGCCTGCCAGATCTACCCAGCATGTCAGTCATGGAACCCTGCTTAAAGAAATACTTCAGTCGCACACATCCCCTCGTCCCTGTGCTCGACCATACTGCTTTCATATCCGATGTCCTCCGCTTTTCAGACCTCCAACAAACTTGTGCGACGGGACTGCAAGGAGCTATCACCTCGGTTGATGCACCTGCTCTAGCTGCTATTTACGCTGTCTTGAGTATCGGCATGGACGACCATGAGGGTACAATATCACCGGCAGCAACTGGCTATCTCACTGGAGCTTACTCCCTGGTGAGCCACTTACTGAGTTTTCCGTATATGAGTTCAGTGCAAGCTCTTGTCCTACTCGCTGTGGCTATGCGCGCAAGAGGTAATACAGCATCCCCCATCCTCAAAGCATACAACTGACCTTGAACCAGGGAAAGAAGGCCAATGCTGGCATTTACTCGGCCAAGCCATTCGAATCGGCTACTCAATAGGCTTCCACCGAAAGATCCCAGCATCAAATCCGAACCAAGATTCTGGCAACCAAGTCGACCGCAAATTACACTCTAGAGTATGGTGGGCTTGCTATGCTTTAGAGAAGTCCATGCAGTTGGAGACCGGCCGCCCAAGTGCGATAGAGATAACGGATTGCGATCAACCTATACCAGATAAGAGTACTGATTTGGATCCATACTTCATTCGATGGGTTTCTCTTTCTCTCCTAATTGGGAAGATCAGTGAGCATATCTTTCAAAGGAGAGCAGAGACTGCATTCGAATTTCTGTCCGGCATTGGGGTTATGGACCAGGCCTTGATTGATTGGCTAGACGAAACGTCTGAGGATACCAAGTCAAGTCAGAACAACGCGAATACCTCCGAAGAGCGGTCGTTTGCAGTTTTCCTCTCTCTCCAGTTCCATCAAGTGAGTACCTAGGCACTACTACAGTCGAGTATATGGCACTAACAACCATCGAGGCACAAATTACATTGCTGAGAGCATCACTCATCTTTCCCGAGAGTTCATTTAGTAAGGAAGTGTTGAAACACGAAACCAAGCTCCAAAGTACATCACGGCTACTACAAAGCCAAACGACCTGCGTGGAGGCTGCAAGGTCTATCATTACCCAAGTGGCCGAATTTGCAGACTCACAGCCTGACTTCTTACTTCTCACTCCAACCCCAACGTTCCTCGCAGGGACAACACTTGCCTTGCAAACGTTCAAGAAACCGCACAAGCGCATGGGTAGATCGGATGGGGAGCTTGTTAGAACGGCTTCCGATTATATCGCTGACTGTTACCGTCGCTGCGGCCAACACAGCGAGTTCATCAAAGGTGTGCTGGAATTATCGGAGCGGGTGAACCAGGTCTTGTCGGGAGATACCATGTCTGTTGACCAGACACAGCGACCGTCTCAGCAAGATCCGCAAGATGCGAGTATTGATCAGAGCCTCTTGTCGCCGAGTCAATTCTGTGATGTTGGCGCAGATTCGTTCGTGTTCGATCCGCTCGAATATTTCCAGGATCCGTTCCAAGCTATACCGTTGGACCACTTCTGGGCCGTGATGGAAAGTGATTTTGCGACTATAGGCGATCAGGGCCTGTGTTGAGTTATGTGTATTGGAATGGTCCACAGGAAGTTGGAGATATACCCTTGGAGTTGCACAACCACGCTGCCGAATGACTCACGATTAATGAACTGCCACGTCAGAATAATGAAGAAGAACAAACCTGAACAAGATGTTTTGCTATGAAACTGTGACTCACTTCAGATGGTTTTAATGATACAAGACTGCCGGCGACACAAGGGCAGGCCATGGCTGTTGGCGGGTGCTTGCTTAATTTAAAGAATAAGATGGTTATGATCCTTATCGGTCACCACCGAGCCGAACCGTCTCCGGAGCTGCATATGGCCTCATTCTGGGATCTTGTCGTACGTGGGATCGCCCGAATAGTAGATAAGATGATGCAGCCGGGGTAGGTAGCGTAACACTCTCGCCTTCTTCTACCAAGAAGTTTACAGATCAGTACTCTTGCTCCGTTCAGCCTCCTATCATGCTGCTGTGGTTAAGTCAAAGCGACCCCAAGGTTTCCACACAAGGCAAGCGAGAACTGTTGCTAGATCTTTCTGCATATGCTTGTACATCGCTGCATAATTGCGCAAGACGGACGAGCCTCACCCATGCGGACCAAACTTTGAGGCAAACCAACGTAGTGCACATTACTTAAGCCAAAACATACGCTTGCGACATGCAATCATGGTGTGCTGTAGTAATTACCATTGAACACAAGTCTGTTTGTCATAGTAATTCGTACAAAGCAAATAAGACGTCTTCATGGCCTTGGTTAGCAAAGCTGCGAGTCTAGACAAATTTGGTTCACGCGTGAGCGTCTACACTCGTACACTATTGACTTTCTCGAAGTCCAGACTCTGATAGAATCTATCATTGCCACTCTATACTTGATGTCTTGCACAAAAGTTACCACAAGTCCCCATATCTATCGAAAATGGTCTTCCCACGAACCGAACTCGGTTCGGTGATTCGGTTCGGACCGGGGAGGGTTCCCAGCGTCTCATGATCTGCCCACTAACATTACCCCGGATTTTAGCTGGTGTACCCCAAAACCGAAGTCTGTGGAGCCGACAGGCCCCAGCTTCAAGCTCGATATAAAGAGGAATCAAGACTACGACTTGGAGAATAAGTTCGATCCTTAGACTCGCAACTACCCATCTGATCAAGCATTATTTGTTTAAGTCACACTGCTATCATTGCACAGTTTTTAAGCAACACATCAGTCTTCAAAGATGGCTCCATCAGCAACCACCACCGCTACCGCCACGGAGCAGCATCCTACTCTCACTCTCCGTCCGGAAGGACGTGAGCGTATCAAGATCGACGGCAATGACCGACGATATGGCGACTGGAGAGATGACCTTGTCCGTGATGGATATGCTGTCGTCAAGGGCGCCATTCCACGGGAGCGAGCTCTGAGCTACGCCAACCGCATGTACGGACTCATTGAGAGCTTGTAAGTTTCCCGTTTGAAACAGTATCAGCATGATAGCTAACACCTTCAAGTGGTCTAGGATACAACCGCAACGACCCGTCCTCCGTCCACCCCGACAAGCTCCCTGTTATCAACGAGAAGGGCATGCTGCTCAACTATGGTGCCGCCCACGAGGACTTCGTCTGGGGCGTTCGTTCCGAGCCTGGTGTTGTTGAGGCCTTCGAGTTAGCTTTGGGTACTGAGGACCTGATTGTGTCATTCGACGCTATCAACTACGGCTTTGCCAACAGGGAGAACCTCCCCGAGAACAAGCCTTGGCCTCACCAGGATCAAGACCCCGATGTTTCTGGATTCCGCTGTCTGCAGGGACTCGTCAACCTTCTTCCCAACGGTCCTAACGACGGTGGTCTCATCGTTGCCAAGGGTGGACACGCCAAGAGCACAGAGTTCCACGACGCCATCCGTGGTACAGAGGAGCGCATCCCTGCCTGGACCAAGGAGTGGTATGGCTTCACAGACAAGGGCATGAAGTGGCTGGATGAGCACGGCTGTGAGTGGTACAAGGTTGAAGCAGACCCTGGTGATCTGATCCTCTGGGACTCTCGAACCCCCCATTACAATGTCCCCGTCAAGGGGTCCCAGGATCGCTTCGCTATCTACACTTGCTTCATGCCTGTTACTGAGGCAACTCAGGAGGATCTTATCCGTAAGAGAGCCGCATGGGACGCTCGGATTGGTACAACGGTACGTTTCTCCTCTCGAAGTACTAAAGAGCTGAACTAACCCTGTCCTACAGCACTGGCCTAATGCTAGACATACTGGCTCTAATGAGGCTAAGAGGAATGGAAAGCCTGATCATGTGGTGCGCGACAGGCCACTTCATGACCCCATTCTCAGCGAGAGGGCGTTTAAGTTGACAGGCATTCCTTACATCAAGTCGGAGGCGGCGTAAAGGAATTGGAAAAAATTTGTTAGTTTATTATTAGTAACATGTCAACTGTCTCTATCTACTTATGTACTGGCATCCCCATCAAGAAAACGTAGCCGCATTTCACCATCAAGGCTCAAGTTGTTCAATAACAATAAAACATGCAACAAAGAAAATAGATTAAGAAGAGGGTAATCTTGTAATTCATGTTATGTCATAATATATTCTCCAGGCTTTTCGTGATCTTCGATTTTCTTTGTACGTACTCCTCAAAGCGTAGTTATGTAGGGGGTATGCATCGCCATGGCATTTTGTTAACACTATACTCTATAGATAGCCAAGGGATCGTTTATACCTCAGTTTCGACGTTAGGTGTTCCAGACCACTCTGCAGCCAATTTGCCTTCTCACTCAATGCGCTAACACACGAAGTCATCCCCGTGACAGTATTGGCAGCATAGCCCTGATGGCACAGATTGAGTCGCCCAAGTCATGTACTCGATTAATCGGCATCGTCATAATTGCCTGGTCAGAGGACACATCATATGACGATCAACATTGCGTGAACTGCGTACTCTGCTGCGGTTCACGGTGCATACCAACACAATCCAATCAACCGCAGGCAATTTGATACATGTCGGCACTTCCTTCGGATAGACATTAGCCTCTGTTTGACGTGTGGAGAGGTTCAGCTGATCGTCGGCTTGGCAACAAGTCCACTATTCGGTTCATGCGGCCGCTTCGGTTCGGGGCTCGGTTCGCGGGCCCGTTGATCAACACGGGATGCTAGCGTGTATACGATAAGACCCTTGGCATACCATGTATAAGATGCAATTGGTAAGGAAACTGGGGATTTTGACTACTGAGAACAACGCAACTGTACAACTCAAGACTATACCGAATTCATCATGGGAAGCATGCCTGATTTACACATTGTGATTGTCGGTGGCGGCATCGCTGGTCTCGCTACTGTGAGTTGCTCTCGTAATGGATATTCTAAGCGACTTCCACTAACTCATTTCAGGCCTTTGCTTTGAGACATCCCAACAGACGCATCACTGTGCTGGAGCGGTCCCGTCTTCTACGTGAAGTCGGCGCCCTGATCTCGCTGCAGCCAAACGCAAGCAAGATTGTCACAAAATGGAAGCTCGACCCATTTCTTGAGAGTGCAGAGCCCTTGGCAGACCGAGGATTTAGAATCTTTGACGCCGACGGCAACTTGGTCAGAGAGCTACCATTCCAGAAAGGCCAGTTTGGCGCTGAGCGCTTGCTCTATCACAGACAAGACTTGCAGGCTGGTCTTGGAAATGCGGCTACCAGCGAGACTGCCTACGGAAAGCCTGTAGATATCCGCACCGCTTGTCAAGTCGCGAGTGTCGACTGTGATGAAGGCGTCGTGACTCTTGACTCTGGCGAGAAGATCTACGGAGATGTCATCATTGGTGCAGACGGTATTCATAGTGTTATCAGAACAGCTGTTGTTGATGAGAAGAGAGATGCTCTACCAACTGGCACATCAGCATATCGAATGCTCATCCCGACTGAAAATCTCAAGGACATCACACTGCCCGAAAAGATCTTGGATCTTAGTGATCCCAAAACAACAATGATCATGGGCCACGATCGAAGAATAATTATGGGCCCTGGGCGTGGTAGCAAGATGTACGGCATCGTCGCTTTGGTGCCAGACGAGAAGCTCGCAGAAGAGAGTGCGGATAGTTGGGTCGCTCCCGGCAGCATCGATAAGCTTTTAGAAGCGTATGCCGATTTCCCTTCGTGGCTACACGACATCTTCCGAGCAGCACCAGATATCGGACTTTGGCAACTCCGCGATATAGATCCTTTACCGCGTTGGGTCAAGGGACGAACCATCTTGATTGGTGACGCCGCACATGCTATGCTGCCCACCCAAGGCCAAGGTGCATCACAAAGTTTCGAGGATGCAGAGGCCATCGTATCGTTCTTGGCGAATGTCCAGTCAAGAGATGAGGTTGGCGCGGCTCTGGAAAGGGTCTTCGCCGCGAGATACGACAGAGCGTCGTTGATTCAAAAGTTCAGCAGAGAGCAGGCGAAGCCCGCAACAGATGGTGTCAGCAAGAAGGTGAATCTTGATCCTGCTCAGTTTATGAAGTACAATTGCGATTACGATGGTGCTGAGGATTGGGAAGTCCGTCAGAAGAATGGCACTTCCAACCCATGAGAGGAAGATAGGTGGAGGGGATATATAGCATTATCATTGAATCATTGAACAAGGATAATCAGTCACAAAAGTAATGATGTATGGTCAAAAGTGACTAGAGGTAGAAGTTGACTAGCCACAAATCTGCTAGTTATCATAGCGCAAACATAGACAAGTGAGGCAAAGACAGGTCTATCACTAACTGTTGTTTTTTAAATCGCCTGACCGCATGTATGGATCAGCGAACGGTGTGATGTGTTGTCTGGAGTTGCTCCACTCCTTTCTGAAGTCTTATACCCAAGTCTTCCTGACCATCTACAACGGGTTAGGGGAAACTGTACTTCAGATCTACAACGTTCAAGGCATGGGGTTACCGATGGAATGAAGTCACGATACCGGGGCAACCGTAGTTTCAAACGAACAACATCAGTTCAGAGCAACCGCTAAGCTAAAACCTCACACTATCATGAAAGCTGACACATACAGCTACAGTGTAATCATAAACCTCCTGAGAGCCAAGTTTAAACATCCTTATCCTTTTCGCCAGCATACTTTCCAGTAATCTGTCGAATCTTCTTGCCAAAGATGAAGACAAAGATGCCGAGAACACCGAAAGCACCAGTCAATCCACCGAATACAGCAAAGGCACCATCATAACCGTTCCTCTCAATGAAGGGCTGGATACCGTAAGACACGCCAAAGGACATGATACCTCGGACGGCACAAATGATGACCAGGAGAGGACCGGCGCGCTGAGGATAACTGTCGAGGAGGTAGGTGATGGCCACGATGTTGGCACCAACGAAGGTGAAGTAATAAGCCTGGAACTTGTCAGTATCATTATAATTGGACTTCTTCCTAGTGTACTTACAGCAACAGCCCAGACATATGTAAACCAATGGTAGTTCTCGGGGTGGGTGGCACCAAGTCCGTACAAAACACAAGTGAACACACCAACAACCATGGGGAACGCAAGAGGAAGCAGGCGAATCTCAGGCTCGTGCATACCGTTGCGTCGGTTGGCGAACCACTTGATAAGCTTGTCAGATCCGTAGCCAAAGCAGGGAAGTGCGATAAGAGAGGTGACGATTTGGCCTGCGTTGACGTAGCTGGCGGATGACTGGGGCCAGTTGTAGGGAGGGCTGGTCACGATTTGACCGTACTAGAAAGCGTCAGTATACTTTGGAAGTTATCTAGAAGTCTCAGAACACTTACTGTGGTTCCAATAGCAATATTGACGCCCAGAGTTAGGCCGTTAAGGCAAAGAGCCCAGAGGACGTTAGGGAAAAGCATGAGACCAAAGGTTTGCTGGCAAATGTTAGCGGGTCTGGAAACTGCAACGGACGATAGAACAGGGACACCTACAGAGAAAATCTCAATGATCTTGTTCCACTCAGGAGCTCCGACCCAGAGTCGGAGGTTAGATCGCCAGGTGCGAGGAGCAAAGTTGATGTAGTCGAGCTCAGGACGCTCGGTGCAGACCATAATAACCGCCTCATCATCAGAGCTGCCACCAGACTGGAATGAGGACTTGGGGCGATGGTACTTTGTCTCGGGAACGAAAAAGAAAGCGGCAACCAGAGAAACGGCGGACAGGATGGCACCAAGTCCGTACCACCACTCAGGAGTGATGGCTTCAGCAATGGGACCGGCGAAGATAACGAAGATAGCGGTGAGGATGGTCTGGATAGTCTGCTGAATCATCATGCAGCGGCCTCGCTCGTGAAGGAAGAACATTTCCTGGTAATCGTTAGATGAGCCCTAGATTTTCCCAGATGAGAGGGATGTACCTGTGTGATCATGGGCACAAGGGCCTCGCTCTGACCAGCGGCCAAGCCAAGAATAATACGTCCGGCAAGATGCCATTCGTAGCTGGTTGCGCCCGCACACAGACCAGCACTGAGTATCATGATAGCCGTGGCTACGAGGAGAACGATTCGTCGACCAACTGCGATTCCGAGGGGCATTCCAATCAAGTTTCCAATACCCCTGTGAAGTTGTCAGTGATGGTTCTCAACAGTGGTGCACTACCCAATAGTAGAGACAGGTGTTGCGGCTTACATGAAAAGGGTGGGATAAGTCATCAGATGCGTGATATCGGCGTAGCCCTTGCCAACAGCGGCGTAGCCAGGGATGTAAAATCCCAGCAGGCCACCGAATCCGGACACCAAGGCCAGACCAATGGTAGAGACTTGCGGTGTGTTAGCCCAAGCTGCTGTCATCTAGATTAGGCTGTACATACAGAACGAGATGATGACCAGGACCACGACCTTTTGCCACATGGGCATGTTCAGGGGATCTGTCAAAGTCAGCACTCTAAACCACACTCGCCAGAAAAGGAAGGTTCTCACCCTGAGGATCAGCAGTGGGAGTAGGAATATACACGGTCTTGCCATCGGTGAGCTTGACAGTGCCGCTGACCTCGATCTTGGACTTGGACACCTCGATCCCATCGAGAGAATCCCTCTCCAAGCGCTCGACATGGTTGACGTCGGATTTGGTATCCATGATACTGGTGAGTTATTGGTGCTGAAGGCTGGTTGCTGCTGCTCTTTGTTGATGGGAGCTGATGAAGTTTCAAGACCAGGACGACCGCGCCGCAACAAGGCTTTATAGATAAAATGCAAACCTGGGCCAAGAGATAACAAAACCAGGTTAGGAGCTGAGGCCAGGCCCTCGACCGCAATCTCAATGGTATCTTGACTAGTGCAATCCCCCGCAAAACCAAACCAAACCTTGTTTCCCCGCATGGACATTGGGGCCACATCCCGATGGCTCGGTACGATTTTTAGTGTAGAAGTGCATGGTCTGGGCTGGACTTGTCACGAACCGAGATCGCCACCCCGGACTCTACCCCGGATCTTGGTGTTGTACCGAACCGAGTCCGGGCCTTGTGATTTGCCAAGTGCGAGGACCCCCATGCCAAGTTCTGATGCGACCTATCACGAAGACTTCATTGGAAAGCATCACTGATAAACACATGGTGCAACATTATTTGCAAGCAGATAGAATGAAATAGAAATCACCAGTTCATCTAATTCTGATCTAATATCCTCAAACGATTTGTCAAACTCGTCTTCAAGTCTAGCCAACATCTTCCAAGGCCTACCCCAGCCACCACGAAGAACTCATCAAATTCTCTTCAAGAGATCTGCATTTTAAACTCGTACCAGGTTAAAGAAGGAACAGTTTAAGTGCATTCAAAAGATAGAGGTCCGTGCGTGAAGTAAAAAGAAGTGTATTGTAACAAATTCTCAAATACTGTAACAAGATCTGTCTGATCTAACTAGCATTGCAACCCAGCCCATTTCCAATTCAACCCATCACTCGTCATAGGACTTAACGCCTGCCAATTTCAAGATCTGATCTGTTACTTCAGGCTTCTCAAAGGGTTCTGTGCGGTATTTGGGGCAGAGTTCGCCGTTCCTCATGGGCTTCTCCTGGGCCATGCGGATATTGCTGGAAAACGTTAGCAACCACCACAATACATCAAGGGTCAATTACTCACCAGTGAGGCCAGTGCGTGGTGCCAGTATTTGTAAAAAAGCAGTGGGCCTTTGCCTTTAAAGCTTCCTCTGTGGCAAACTTTCGTGGTGTCATGCAAACATACTGAACGTGGCGGATCTGGTCACCCTCAGGGAAGCGGGCATAGTGCATTGTGCGAGAATCCCAGAGGACAAAGTCACCAGGCTCCATGTTCACCTTGTACATCTCACAGCCTCTCTCCTCGAACCACTTGACGTCCTTCTCGCTGAAAATGAAGAGATCCATGTACTTGATCTCAGGAGGAGGAGCATCCTCGTGGTCAGAGGACTCTCGCTTGTGAGAGAAGAACTCGTTAAAGAGCTTGGAAGAACCCTTCATGAGCATGAGACCACCATCCTTGGGTCCGTTGGGGGCAAAGTTCAGAAGACCCTGCACAGCTTGCATGCTGCATCCTAAAGTTAGCGTAGCTCTGGGCGGGTTTTGGGGTAGACTACTCACCCCTTGCGCTCGGGGTTCTGATCACAGTGGGGCCAAGGGCTCCAAGAAATATCCTTGCGGTTCGGCATAGAGACGTTGAGGCCATCGAAAGAGCACAGAAGCTCCTTGGTCTCCCAGAGCTTCTCAAAGACCTCGACAACCTTGGGCTCGGTTCGAGCCTCCCAGGCCATCTTTTCATGGGTGGCACCGTAGCCGTAGTACATGCTGCCCTTGAAGCTGACAGGGAGGTGGTCCGCAGTCCATGTGCTGGGGTCCTTCTCGTCAAAGCCCAGCTCGAACTTCTTGAGCCACTCAATCTGCTTATCGCAGTAGTACTGAGCGCGCTCCTTGCTGATGACATTCTTGATCAGGACGCAGCCATTCTTGTGGAACTCATCTCGCCAGTCGCCGTAGACCTTATTCGGGTCGAACTCGACCAAGTCCTTGATCTCGAAACGAGCAGCGACCGTCTGAGAAATCTCAGTTGTGGTGGTTGTAGACATATTGTTTTTGTGATGGGGGTTTGTGGAAGAGTGAAGTGAAAGAGATGAGAGTGAAGTGTGATGTTTGATGGTGAGATGAAAAGCGCTAAGAATGGATTGAGGCTGAAGCTAGTTATACCTGAGATCCGGGCCTCAAGATGGAGAGATCTAGAGTAACGAGAGCCCCAATCGGTTCGGAATGCTCTTTTGCTGAGCATTGGAGTAAACTGCGTCTCCGCGCCTGGGATTTTCGGTTCGGAGGGCTTCGGTTCGGACCGGACTCGACGAACAGGGTCCAGACCTCGGATCATGTCTCAAATGACTCTGACAGAAACCACTTACTAACCCTTGATAGGTCGCGCTATTGGCATTAGTGAGGAGCTCCAAGGATGGAGACTATGCAATAGCCAATCGTATACGGTCAATTGGGAATAACAATCTTTGCCCGCAATTTGAATCATCATCCGCAGTGCGTCCCCGCGATCTTCCCCTCACTTTTACCCCGTGGGGATTTAGACCGACCCGACCCTTGACAATCTTTACGGAAACGGGAATTATACCGGTTGTATTGCTCAAAACTCCACAATGGAGTATGTGAATAGTTGTTACATATCAAGCCTTGGAGTTTAAAGACACACTTCAACCTCAAACTAGAAACATCCAGTCAGGAACTTTGTCTATCTCATTCATTCTATTATCTAACAACATTACACAAGGAGAATTCTACACAACTCAACAAGAATTATCATCATTATCACGACCTTTGAGGTGCTTACTCTCCCCAATACCCCATCACTATCTTTCTCCTCTCATACCCCTCAACGCCTCAAATATGCCGCCTCCTGTTCAGGTTGCCTTCAAGCCTCTCAACAAGCCTGAGGTGGGCGACAATGGCTACGTTGAGCCTACTCCCGGAAAGTCAGAGGTCTTGAAGAAAGGCTCCAGACCTTTTGATGCTAGACCTCTCGACTCTGATATCCGCATCGACCACGATGTTGAGATTGTCGTTCGTGATGGTTGCCGCCTGTACGTCGATATATACCGCCCCACAGGTTCTGAAAAGGTGCCAGTCATTATTTCCTGGTCCCCTTATGGAAAGAAGTACTCGGCAATTGACATGATCTTCAACGTTTGTGTCTGGGCCTGCTGTTTGACCAAAGACGATGTCAGTGGTCTGGAGAAGTTCGAGGGTCTTGATCCGGCTTGGTGGGTGAACCAAGGCTATGCCATTGCACACGTCGATGCCAGAGGTGCTGGTAACAGTGATGGAGACGCTGTGTGCATGGGTGCTCAAGAGGCCGAGGATGCCCACGATGTCATCGAGGCCCTGGCAAAGTTTGACTGGTGCAATGGCAGCGTTGGCATGGCTGGCAACTCATACTTGGCCATTATGCAATGGCAAGCTGCTGCTCAGAACCCACCTTCACTAAAGGCAATTGCACCTTGGGAAGGCTCTGGAGATATCTTCCGCGAGCAATTCTGCCGAGGAGGCTGGTTCACCATGAGTAACTTCGATCTCATCACAACTCTGGTCATCAAGGGCCAGCACGGAGTGGAAGACTTTGCCGAAATGTATCGACGCAGCCCTCAAGCTGGTGCTTTCTGGAACGACAAGCGAGTTGACTTCAGCAAGATTAAGATTCCTGCTTTCATTACTGGTTCCGATCTTAGCCAGATTCACACAATGGGTGCTGTCCGTGGCTGGATGGAGCTGGCGAGCGAGAAGAAGTGGATTAAGTGGTGTGGATATCAGGAGTGGTATGAGCTCTACGGTATCAAGGAAAGCTACCCAGAACTTAAGGTAAGATATCAAAAAGCTCAAAATGTCTAGCATGGAAGTTAACTTTATTTTAGAAATTCTTCGACAAGTACCTCAAGGGTATTGACAACGACTGGGAAGACACGCCTCGCGTTCGCTGGGCAACTCTCCAGTTTGATGAAGGAAAAGTCAAGAGCGACATCGAGCTGCCTGACTTCCCGGTACCCAACACCGACTATCGCTCATTCTACCTGGGAGATAGTGGCGCGCTTCTCGACAAGGCTCCATCTTCTGGTGTATCTGCTTACAATTCCGAAGACCGCTGGTCGATCTCCAAATTCCGACACACCTTTGACAAGCACACACGGATCATCGGAATGCCCAAAGCAGAACTTTATATGAGCTGCGATGACCTTGACGACATGGTCGTCTTTGTGCAAGTGCGTAAGCTCGACAAGGAGGGCAACGAGTTGAGCCATCTGCAATTCCCCGTCGAGAAGACCCCAGTCAAGTCTATCGCCGAGATGGCAGAGAAGGAACGGCAAAGTCTCACATTACACAACGGTGCTATGGGTATTCTAAGAGCTTCTCAACGGAAGATCGACGCAAGCCGATCAATCCACCCTCAGTTCCCCTTCCATCCCCACGATGAGGTACAAAAGGTTCCCAAGGGTGAGATTGTCAAGCTTGAGATTGGTATCTGGTGCATGGGAGTGGACTACGAGGAGGGCCAAAGTCTCCAGGTGGATATCCTGGGACAATATCCCGGGTTCAACGAAACTGCTGCATTCTCTAAGCCAAGACCGGAGAGTGAGAAGAATAAGGGTCAGCATAAGATTCACTATGGCGGCGATTACCCAAGTCGTGTCATCATTCCTATTGTAGACGTTTGATACCAGAGCTAGACTCCATTTTCATCGATTTATAGTTACACAGCAAAAGGATCTTCCTTAGAATCAGTGTTGCGAACATACTCAGACCCTTTCGCCGTGTCATCTGCAAGTTCTTGACCATACTGATCTGCGATGAAGGCATAGATTTGATCTATACCGGCGGTGATGCCCGAGGAAGTCCAGATGTTCCCATCTACAACCCATCTCGCCTTTCGCACCCATTTGACGTTAGGACCCTGGGATTGAACCTATCACTGGTCAGCAGTTGGAGTAACCGAATGGAGAGTATCATACCCAGTCAAACGATCTCTTATTGGACGTCGCTTCCTTGCCGTCCAGCACGCCAGACTGTGCTACAATTGCACTTCCCGTGCAAACAGTCAACAAGAACTTCAACTTAGGATATCTCTCCTTGACGAACTCTCGAACCGGTTTCACATTGTTCGCATCTCTGGCTCCCATGCCGCCCGGCACAAGAAGCACCTCAATATCGTCTGGGGCAGTCTCGTAGGTATGTGTTGGAACAATACTCTGTCCAATACGGCCAGAAGTACCATCTTCTAACAAAGTTGATACAGGCTCTAGCGAGGTATGGAGTAGTGAGAGCTCAAGATGTTGTCGCTTGGACATGTAGTTTAGCGTATCTAGTGGCCCAAAGACATCCAAAGCCTGGAAGCCCGGAAAGAGCGCAACCGCAAACTTGGTAGGAGGAGCCATGATAAAAAATCGATAACAAGTTGGGAGAATTTAGATTTTCCAGAAAGATGAGTCAGAGAAATACTGGAAGCAGAAGCAGGCGGTGGTGAGGGGTAGCGAAGTTGTCGTGTAATTTGTCAGCATTGAGAACATCAAGGTATTGGCCGATTTCGCGGCCAGCTAAACAGCTTGGCAATAGATTGGTTAATAACTGAGCAATTTAGAGCAGAAAAGGATGACATCAGTCGGCAGATTCGAAAAGAAGACATTATGTGCGTGTGCTTTGCACCTTCATGGTGTAGGTATGGTAAGATTAGTTGCATATGAAGGTATGGAACGGATTTATTGTATGAATCATGCGCAAAGAAGTTTACCTAAGGTAATAGTTTGGAGCATGAGACACAGGCTCTGGAAATTGTGTAAGTTGACAACCGAAAGAAGGCTGAGGCAAAGCGGTGGGCCTATGGAATCCTATGGCCATTCACCGGTTGTACAAACGTCACACACTTCTTACTGTAAGTCTCGTCCAATTTGAGCTGTGTTTTGTTTCTTGCACGAACTGGTGACACACGAAGCATTTTAATTCCTTCTAGTTCCATACTTTAACACGAAAGATTTACTATGCTGCAAGTATTTTATCATTCTGGAGCGGGCTTGCCGGTGAGTTCAGGTCAACCTGAAGAACGACACAGATCTGCAAGCAAAACATAAGAAATTGTGTCGCATGTTGAGTCACCAAAAGTCCCAGAACTCCGCTAAAATGGTTGGGGCAGATGATTCGGATATGGAAGAGACGATTGCTGAGGCTGAGGAAGGAGATGAGGTATCTAGTCATTCTAAGCGTCTCAAGACATGCAAGAGCAAGTCCAATGAGTCGAGTGACAATAAGAAACTGATTGACAACCGCAAGTCAAGGGCCGTTACCATCTCCGATGAGAAGAGCGACGTAGAGATAACCCCTCGTCGATAGCAGACATTTTCTATCGAGGCCACTGAGACAGAGGAAGAGGAAGATGTACGATGCTTCGTATCAAGGTCGATTGTATTACGAGTTAAATAACTTGGGTGGTTTATCAAACGTTCTAAGCTCTAATATATCTGTAGTAGTATAAACTTAACTAAAGTAATAGAATAATTAGTGACTTCGTCTAACTTTTAATAACTCCTTTAGTTTGAAAACGCGTTCTTTTCAAATTTTATTATGGTTATTTAAATTTAGACTAGTTTATTAAAACATGAAAAAATCAAATGCAAATAAATCATCGACAAAAGACAGGGAAATGTCTGGACTTTTACCTGGATACTCACCATGCTTCCCTGCCTCGGTAAACTCGGCTATCAGCCATCTACTCCTCATTTCACTTTCATCCCACCTCCCACTGCACATCATTACAATTGCTTACACTATCCGGATCGACGCGTCCCCTGCTGTCTGAAATCGGATATGTAAACCTTACCAGCCGATGTCGAGCCAGGGACCAAAAGGCTATTGTTGCTCAGCCAATCAAAATGGCACGCTTCGGTGTTCCGATGTTACCCAAGCACGTTTTATGAGCTAGGTTGGCGGCGATAGTTCCGTCTTGGGTTACATGATCTTTATTGCGTGTTCCTGAAACATATTGAGTCTGGAGCCAAGGATGGACTAAACTCTAAGCGTCGGCAACTGAATGCGGGAATCGACTATGAGCTGGTGCATGAAATTACCGGCAAGACTGCCCTTGCAAACAAACTGCAATTACACCGATTATGCGTCTGCTCTGCATTATGGAGGTATAAGATCACCTTCGTTGCCCACAAGGCCAACTGATACTCTGCACACTATTGTCCACATTCATTGTTAACATACACTCTCATTGACTTGCCATTCCCTCGTTCAAACCATGCTCAATTCACAGGTGCTTGCCTTGGCGGCAGTCGGTTGCCTCCAGGCAGCTACTGCGGTAGCTTACTCATCTGCTCAAGATGCCACTGTACGAGCAGAATACGACTACATCATCGTAGGTGCTGGAGCTTCGGGCCTTACTGTCGCGAACCGTCTGACCGAGGATCCTGGTAAGCTTCTCAAACATGACAGGCGACTTACGGTGTCTAACAAAGTCTCCCAATAGCTGTTACTGTTCTGGTCATTGAAGCAGGAGATTTGTGAGTGAAACTTACACTGGTGTCTCAATTCACTTATCCTAACAGTCAAACAGCGATAAGAATGAAGACTTCATGACCATCCCCGGTCTTGCCGGCGGTGCTGTGGGTACCAAGTACGACTGGAATCTCACCTACCCTGCTACCTCATCCCTCAACGGACGAAACATCTCAGCTCCCTTGGGTAAGGTCGTTGGAGGCTCAACCAAGCTTAACCGCATGGTCTTTGATCGAGGATCAAAGGCGGATTATGACCGTTGGGCCGAGCTTGGCAACGGCGATTGGCAGTGGAAGACTCTATTGCCCTTTTTCAAGAAGGTATTGTCAATACCATTGTCCGTATTCCCATACGATTTACGAAGCTGATAGAGCGAAATAGACCGAAAAGTTCACCCCGCCTACCGCCGAAATCAAGAAGGAGTACGGTGTCACTATAGATCCCTCCGCCCACGGTTCCTCGGGGCACATTGATTCCAGCTACTCGTCTTTCTTCTGGCCTACCACCAGTGAGTCCCTGCTTCAGTCCTCCCTATCACTGATCTTAGCTAACGAGCAATAATCAGAGAATCTTATGCAAGCCGTCGGCGAACTCGATATCGATGTGGCAGCTGACCAAGCTAACGGAAATGCTATTGGAGGGTATTTCTGCCCGCACAACCTCGACCCAAAGACCATTACGCGGTCCTCGGCCCAGGACTACTACAGCGCAGTGTCTCAGCGCAAGAACCTTCAGCTGCTTGCCAGTCACCAAGTTACTCGGATCGTCACCAAGAAAAGTGGAAGCTCCGTGACAGCTACTGGTGTTGAGGTGAGCCGAGCCACTACAATCTAACGTCTGTCGCCCCTCGACCGGGTGATCGACGTTAGATGGATATTCTTAGCTAACACACGACCACAGTATGCGAAAGACAGAACCAGCACTAAAAAGACAGTCAAGGCAAAGAGGGAGGTTATCCTCGCAGCGGGGTCGATCCACACACCTCAGATCCTGCAGGTTTCTGGCATCGGTGACCCAGCTTTGCTATCCAGCATCAATGTGCCTGTGGTTGTTGACCTTGCTTCCGTTGGCCAGAACTTTCATGACCATGTCCTGCTTGCTGTTGTCAATACCAGTAAGTAACGTTCATCTTAGTCTTGCTAAGACGCCAAGTCCTAACAGTGAAAAGTCACCGCGCCTCTCCAAACCGGCAATCTGACCAGTAACGCCACATTCGCAGCTGAGGCGCGTGCTCAGTACGATCAGCAAAAGAAAGGCCCCTTGACGTCTCCCACTGCTGATTTCTTGCTCTTCTTGCCTCTTTCGAACTACACAAGCGCCGCCTCAAATATCCACAAGCAAGCTGCCAGCCAAGATGGTGCCAAATTCTTGCCCTCAAACACACCTGCTGAGGTGATCAAGGGCTATAAAAAGCAGCAAAAGGTTCTCAACGACAAGCTTCTTGACACAAAGTCCGCCATCCTCGAGGTTATTTGGAGCGATGGTGTTGCCGTTCTGGGCCTTCAACACCCATACTCTCGAGGATCCGTCAAGGCCAAGTCTTCCAACATCTTCGACTCGCCTGAAGCCAACCCAGAGTTTCTCAAGAACCCTCTCGATGTCGCTATCCTAGCCGAAGGTGTCAGGTTCGCCCGAAAGCTTTCCGGCGCGCCATCTATCAAGTCTCTCAAGCCCTTGGAGCTGGTACCTGGCTCCAAGGTTACGAGCGATGATGACCTCGAACAGTTCATTCGATCCAGCGCGTCAACTCTGTTCCACCCTGCTGGTTCTTGCAAGATCGGCAGCCGCAGTGAGGGTGGCGTTGTTGACGAGAAGCTCAGGGTCTACGGTGTGAAGGGTCTCCGAATCGTGGATGCCAGTGTCATTCCGCTGCTTCCTGCCACGCACACAATGACTACTGTGTATGCTATTGCTGAGAAGGTGAGTTGTTTGTTGGGAACCAAGTACAATGTGGATTACTAACGTCTATAGGCTGCGGATCTGATCAAGCGTGGTTAAAGGACTCATCAACGTGAAAATTTGACGAGTAGTTAGCGGCATCCCACAATTTCTTCTTCTTCTTCTTCTTCTTCTTCTTCTTCTTCTTCTTCTTCTTCTTCAATAGATGTTATTCGTATTCGCGTCATGGGGCCATTATGTTTCCTGCTGGGTTTAATCAAAGTCCAATAGCAATGGTTACATACGTATATATATACTGATATTACTCCAACCGTTCGCCGATGCCATGTAGCTTGTGAGGCTTGGATAAGCATAAAACTAAGCCTAAGTTTATATTAACTTATCTTGATTTCGTATAGCTTAACTGAATTTCTAGAAACCTTAATTATCTTCCTAACTTATTCTAAGACTTTTAGCAATTTAGGAAGATTAATACTCTCTCTAGGAATACCCAATCTTTATATATTTTAAAGGAAGTTATATAAAAATACACAAAGTTTTCTTCCACTTGGACTAATTTTATTTATCTACTGAATAAAGGAGTATGCTTCCTAGTCTTGCGACTTGTGTACTGAATAGACATCTATATCACGTCCTAAGGTTGTAATAAAGATAAGCATGTGTAATTGAAATATAGTAAAAACTTTCTTCGCTGCACACTTCCTCAGCCATGTTGCCAAAAAGATACCACCACTACAAAAAGAGATGCTGTCGTGACTTGCCATGGGCGAAGTCGTGCATGTTCATATTCCAAAATACTAAAGCTTGAGTCATCAGCAAATGTTGGTATGGCTCAGTTGGTTAGAGCGTTGGTCTCATAGTGAATAGCTGTGATCTGATCCTAGATCAGAGTGATCCAAAGGTCGAGAGTTCGAACCTCTCTACCGACACATCTTTTTGGCGGTCAGCGAATGATATGTTCTTTTTTACTCGCCTCCAATATTAATTACGCTTCTTGTTTGGAGAAGCGTGTGCTTGACTGCATGAGGTCTTCGATATGTTGCAACCGTTGAGAAGGATGGCAGTTGGCACACACAACACTGTTTCGTGGAGGACAACCGCTAAAAATAGCCGAGTGGTGTGACATTTCAGCGCTATTCCCAGTGATTGCCCACCTGTAACTAATGCAAGCCTCAAAGTCACTTCAGTAGAGCTCTGACTCAATCAAGATCCGTCCACATTCAATCCATCGCTAATGCTTAATTATTATTTACAAAAATCCATTGACGCTTACGATATAACGCTCACATTACTACACATCCGCTGTCGTTCCCATTCTTGTCGTCCCCGCAGCAACCGCAGCAATCGCAGTCATCGCAGCAGTTGCAGCTACAGTCACCACAACAGTCACCACAGTCACCACAGCAGCCATCATCGTTATTCCCCTGGCCATTGTTATCGTTCGAGTAGTCTTGTGCAGGAGGTCGGGTGTACTGCTCCGGTTGGTATGTGTTGTTGTTGTCATCATCGTCGTCGTCGGCGTTGCCGTATTGGTTCCCATCATAACGTGGATCGTCTGCGTATCGATTATCGTTGTCGTCTCGATCATCACCATCCGACGTGTCGCGCTGGTCTGGATAGTCATACCCATAGTTGTTTTGGCCGTAGTTGTCATTTTGAGAATAGTTCTGCTCGTAGTTGTCGTAGTTGTTCTCGGCGTAGCTATTGTTCTCTTCGTTGACGACGTAGCTAGAGCTATTCATTTCGTTGTGGATGTAAACTGCACCACCAGCCACTGCCGCTCCGGCTACCGCACCGCCGGCCACGTACTTCAAGTTCGATGAAGTACCGCCAGTCTTGTGACCTTGCTGGTATCCCTGGCTGTAGCCCTGTTGTTGCCCCGAGGCCTGGCCTTGGCTATAACCTTGCCTTTGTCCAGAGACATGCCCTTGGTTATAGCCTTGAACCTGTCCAGATGCATGGCCAGTCTTGTAGCCTTGTCGATTTCCCACTTGTTGGCCATGCTGGTTTCCTGCGTGGTATCCTTTAGCTTGGCCAGCTTTGAGGCCCTGTGCTTGACCGGCTTTATGGCCTTGCGCCTGTCCAGCTTTCAAGCCTTGTGCTTGTCCAGACTTTTGACCTTGAGCAAATGCCGCCTGTTGCACGCGCCTCATCTCAGCCATCTGCATCCCTTGGTTCGGCGCAGGCTGTCTACCGACCACAGGGTGGCCAGCGACAGGCCTTGGGGCAGTGACTGGCTGATAGCCTGGAGGTCTTTGAGCCGGTTTTGGAGCAGGTCGTCCGGCTGGAGCAGCTGGGCGCCGGGTGCCAGCAGGTTTCTTCGGTGGTTGGCTATTAGATGATTGCCATTAGTCTGGAGGATTACATTGCCGAAAGAGATAGGATTTGCAGGGGTAGTGATGTTCATCTAGTGGACATAACGGAGACTACTCACTTGACCATCGTGAAAACAAAATATTTCTTCCTCTAATAGACGGTAGGGAGAGCCAACGGGTTGCACAAAAAAGACCACTTAACGAGAAAAAGAACAGAAGGGGAGGAACACAATCCACTGGCCTCTGCAGAAGCACAGATATTTAAGACAGCTGGCTCTGGAGGCGACATCATCATGAGGCCGCAGTGCTATCTTCTTTTGAAAGATGATATTTTGCCCTGAAACAAATGTCACGCTGACCACCCAACCGCTTGAGGCAACCAGAATAGCTACGGTTGTCAATAGTGGGAAACACGGCTAATATTGAAAACAACTGCTTTGATAATTTTCGACATCGAAATGGCCCCCAAATAACCACACAAGGTTAATTTCAGCTTCTTTGCTTATGGTGTTGCAATCCATACTTGTAACCGTACCAACCAATGCAATCCTTGACTAACCGCAAGGCCCTACAGTCGAGGTTCAAAGATGGCTAGCCAGAATAGGCTCAGATTCCGTTTCTGGTCCCCGATCCTGTCAGCAATTGCACAAGCGAAGGCTTTCGTCCGTGTTAACCGCCAGCCTTATTTCAAATTCTACGTAGTATTATCCGCATGTGTTGACAAGTCAGCCGCATTATCTGGTCACAGATGTCCTTCAGATGTGGGTCTTATGCGAGGGTTCGGCCGACAATCTTCTCAAAGCTTGTCTGGTCACTCTGATGAGACGTTAGAAACGCCACATAACAGATGGTGTGGCCACTAGGACTGTTGGATTAGACGTCCTTGGACTCCAGTCGAAATCTTGGCTCAAAGGAGTGAACCACTTGGTGTGCTTCAAATGCTTAGTTTTGATGAGTTATTTGTTCAACCTTTGGGCCTTTCATAGTCATCCTTTTCTCCTCATGGAGTCGAAATGATGAAGCGAAATGCATTAAACTACCAGAAGTAGCAAGAGTGCAAGACTTCTTCTGCCTGTCACCCACATTAGTCGATAGTGGCAGAAAAGTCTTATAGTCGAGAACACCTACATCAGTACAGAACGGGATCGTAAGTGAAAGGTGAGACTACCATGAAATACCTTTCGCTATATTTATCAGACTGTGCGAGTGCTATCACTAATGCGAAGAAAATACAAATCAGTAAACATACCAAGACTTAGGTAAAAGGAGATCATTCTCACCTATCGCGGCCCAACACATCTACCCGGAGCTTTATGAGATCGACAACACTGACTAAAGTCCTACGAGGTGGTTGGCGATCTTTAACATGCGCCAGTCTGGTTCTTCCCAGATCCTAGGTCCAAATTTCTAACAGCAACACCAAAGGCACTGCAGAGAGAAGGCATTGCCAAAATAGTCAAAAGTTGATGAAACAATTGCATATTGAGGTTGAGTGTGATGAGATTAATTCGATTGCTGTTGTCAAAGTTAGATTGATGTGAGTACAAGAAAAGAAAGATCGGTGTGCTGATGAAATGGAACTTTATAGTCGTAGTCACACTTGAAACCATGACTAGAATACATTATGACTGGCAAGATTTTCTAATTGAAAAGTAACTACGCCAAGTGCTAATGCTACTCTCCATCGTATAATTACGCAACAGGGCCGAAGAAGCAGAACTTGCCCTTCGGGTCATATTTGTTCTTCAAACTCTTCAGACGGTCTTGTCTCCAGTCCTCATCTCCATACCAGCTGATGGGCTTCTCATCACCGTATGCATAGTTGACGTAGACACTCATCTCAGACTGACCAGAAGCCTGATGGAGGATTTGACGCAGCTCAATGCCAATATCTGCGGCCTTCTGGTCAAGCTTGGTATCTCCGGGCTGATAAGTTATGAGCGGCGCAGTAAGGATGTCCTGGTGGCGGAAAGCAAATGCCGCACTTCGGTCGTTGATGCCTCTCACAGCCTGGGTCGAGTAGCCCTCGAACATGAAGATAGACGTGCTGAAGGGGGTTTGAGGGCCAGTCTCTGCAGAGAAGAGATCCCAAGCACTCTTCATGGCAGTGACATTATACTCTTGAAGATAGAGAGGGAAGCGAGGGTTCACAAGACCGCTCTTTTGACAAGGCGCAGCATCAATATCGATTTGGGTCCACCTGGCAAGGTCGCGGTAATCTCCTGACTCGGGGGTGATGGCAATAGGCTTGAGGTCGTGGAAGGGCTTAGAGATCTTAGGGTCGATAGTCTTGACACCTTCTTGGATGAGCCAGAAAAGAATAATAGGCTATAAAGGTTAGAGAGGAATGACAGGGAGTGATAAAGTGAGACTCACGTTTTCAGGATCGGCATCAGGGTTGTGGACCCAATAACTCCAATTGATAAGGCCTTCAGGCTGCTTACGTAGAAGATACTCGTTGGCAGTCTGATAAAGCTTCTCGACGTGCTCTCCGCTGAAAACAAGAGTCTCGATAGCCCAATCACGGTGCTGTATCTCATAGACTTTAGAAGTGATGGAGGTCACGATACCAAAGTTGTGTCCAGCACCCTTGAGGGCCCACCAAAGATCGGACTTGTTATCAATGGTCTTGAAAGAGCCGTCAGCCATGACAATGTTGAGAGAAACCCACTGATCAGCAATGATGCCATGATGGCCTTGAAGCCAGCCGTGGCCACCGCCAAGACCGGGGCCCATGTAGCTAACACACTCGCAAGTTCCGGTCACTTAACAGGGTCAGTTTCCTATTCTAGAAAATGAGGCTTTTGATCATACCAGTCTGCTTATTGGCGGCCCAGAGGGTATCAGTGACCTTCTTGGATTGAGTGCCGCCTCCAATGGTTGCGGTCTTGCCATCAGCGGCGACCTCGACCTTGTTCAGTTGATTTAGGTAGATCTCAATGCCATGATCCATTCTTCCCAAGGTAGTGATCGCCCCATGGGCAGTGTTATAGGCAAGAAAAGGAAGATCCTTCGAGTTAGCGTATTTGACCTGCAGAAAGGTGTCAGTGCTACACATCAATGACCGAATGTTGAACTTACCGTTTTGGCAACATCCTCCTCAGTTCCAGGGACGACAACAATATTGACCTTTGGGGCTTCGAGAACAGACCAGCGAGTGGTAGCTTTCTCGAACTCCGCAGATCCAGGGCAGTAGATCTTAGCTGACTTGGACAACTTCTTGCCAAGCTGGCTAAGACCTTCTGAGCAGGTACCAGCAGCATCACTAGAAACCACAGGCGTCGCTGCACATGTGACAGTGACAGTCCATGCTGTAAAGGTAGCAAGTAATCTGATAGAGAAGCGCATAGTGGGAGCTACCATGTAGAAATGACAGGCGAAATATTGAGCGCTACTTCAAAAGCCCGCTCCGGGAGAAAGATTTGCGAGGAGCAAAGGAATATTTAAACTGTCTAACCTGCATGAGAAACTGCCCCGATGGTCTCATTGATGCAGTATTTTCCGTGTAATAAGAACAGGGTTGCGAAGCCTGGACAGGAAGGTGGTGGTTTAGATCTATCGAATCAGATCCCAGTCTATACGCGGTGAACGTGACCCGCATCATGTCTGAAAATTATCTCATCTCCTATGGTCTTGGCCTAAAGACATCGACCCGGAGAGCATTTATGTGATCACTTTCGCAGCATCGGTTCAGTTTCTCAAGAGGCAAAAGATGCCAAGATGGAACACATCCTAGTGTAAATCCATTCGGCCACGAGCACTCGGACATTTATCGTAGCTTCTTTCGTTTGCATTTTCGGCGTTAGCTTCTCCAATCTTTCGCAGAAGAGGGACGCTTCGGAACAAATTAAATATGGCATCTTGTTGGAATCGAAGCTATAGTTGTAGGGGACCATGTCCAATGGCCACGGGCCGGTAGTTCCATCGGAGGATCTCCAGATCAGTAAAGTCGAGGTGGGTACTCTGGGTATCTTCCTTCATTGCCAAGACACACATAAGCCCTACGCCCAGATGCGACTCAATGCTCCGAGGTTGAAGACGCGTGAGGAACTAGACTTTGAATTTTGGCTTGTGAAACTGCCCAAGATTAACTTCATAATGTGTTGTTAGGAATTCAGTTCTAACTCGTGCAGAGTATCTTCCCCAGAGGTGATCGTCACGTCGATTCCCGGTCATCGATTGTATTCGTGCCTTACGTGGTAGCCGAGAAAAAAGGCTGCGATGAAGTCATCTTTCATAATATGCAAAGCACCATATCTGCTTTGTCCCATCCCGCAAGCCTTATAGTGAGGCTCTTGGCACGTCATTTTCTTCATTGCTATTCTTGTTTAGCTTGCTTTGCAAGGGGATTGCCTAGCGTCAGGTACATGTTAATCATAGTTTCAGTGAGAAGATCCCTTGGTAAATACTAAGCTGCTGTTTACATAAAATTGTGTAACCTCCACAGGTAGGTGGTTACTATGACCTTTACATACCTGCTGTCCTAATCTATACCTTCAGTTTCATATATGTGTTCAGCATCTACTTTGGATGTTCTGTCCCTGACCTAGCTATATCCTTTACATCTGATACTCCCCGGAACGTACTCGGCCCCAATCATACTACATCTAAGCATATATTGAAGCGAGTCCCTTCATCAACACTCTCGATACGACAACGATACAATCTTCACTAGAGGGTAAGTCTTTCACCAAATCATCGACATATCAGTTCAAGCCTTGTGGAGCAAGCTTGCTCCATAGTCCAAACTTCCAGACGCTTTTATCCGTACAAGATTCTTGCCAAGCTGTCCTCTCTAAGCAAACCGCCTGGGCCCTCTCAAGGCGACTCTTGATTGCAGTATCTTATTCACCAAGCTGGGTAAACTGGGATCAGATCACTTTTACATCGTAGTATACTCTTTCAGAGATTTGTGATCACTAAAGCATCTGCCAATAAACAAAACGTGTGTCTACATACAGTCAACCCCTTCAGACCGCACTCGGATTGGCCGTGGATATGATAACATATCTACAAACAAATCGTAGAGTGAACTTGTCAGATGCCATGAAGGAGTCATTGTAAGTTCTCATGAGATGTAGCTTGTTCCCAGGGACAAGCCCAACCGGGCCACTGGAACTGCAAGAATTTCGCTGAAAGAGTTATCATTGACCATATTATGAGTGTCATGTCCTCAAAGCCAATCGTTTATGAGCTATTCATTTGTGGTTAAGAAGGTTCAATTCTCAGTCGCAACTTGCGCAACCAGCTTTGGTGCATCAATGGTGCGATCGGTCTACAATATTGTGCTGGCAATCAGGTCGTACTATGTCATGATTGCACTGAAATGCTGTTGAAAACGCAGTTCAGATGCTCTGCTCGAGACTACAACTTCCACCCTTGGGATCACACCATACTCCGACACCGCAACTTTGCTTTTTCCTCGACAGACTCGCGTTGTCGCAATGCAGGTTGTCGTGTCAATGATCTGACTCTGAATTCTCACATGCCTGTAAACAACCAATCAGTTGCGCACCAATCGCAGCCAATAAAGTCCTGTGTTTCACTTTTGCGTAGAAAATTGCAAGATCTATGTCGAAATAGGGTAATGGTCTTCCGTATCGATCAATCGACATTGATGTTGAGTCGTGTTGTTGAGCCGATGTCTTCACTAGGGGAAGGTTATTCTCATCCGCGTCGGCACGGCACAGCACTGCAACTGTAGTTAAGCTGCTGCCTACAGAACGGTACCTGACCGCTGTTTCGATTCTCCGGGACCTCAGCTTACCCCTGCTTCTTCAGCTCAACGCCATGCATGCATTGCCAGATTTGGGGGAGTTTTTGGTCATGGGACCTATCGCGTTGAGAGCCGCGACCATGAGGCTGACATGGATTAACATAGTCACATGGACAAGATGGAATTTCTTTAACCCCAACCCCACGATGCGTGGGCTTTAGCTTCCTTTTGCTTTACCGTCAAAGCCAAGGTGCAAGGTGGTCTGAACGCTGAGTGAGCTTGTTTACAGAAGGTATCCACTGTAGCTTTTAGCAATCAGTCTGATAAGAGAGCTGATAAGACCCTGATGGTGCAATGTTTGGTTTTTTTTGGGTAAGATGACGGGGGCGTTACGGTGATCGATTTTTCTGCAGTGCCAACAGGTGCGGAGGCAGGCGCATTTCAACACCAAGGCACAGCTTCAGAGAAAAGAAAAAATACACGTAGTAAAGGAAAATCCTTTCATCATTCGCCACCTGGAAATAAAGAGGCTAGAGAGGGTCAATGACAGGCAGCAAGATAAATTGATTCAAGCAGAGCTCTGATAAGCCCATAAAAGTTAAACTATGGGGCTCTTTAACGTCACTGGCCCCATAGCTTCCCGGGACCTCCACTGACTTTTTAGCCACCCAACGCAAAAACGCAGCAGCGCAGGGCAACGGAAAAAGGAACAATCGAGCAGGAGGAGCCACCGAACATGGGGGAACCTTCGAAATCTCTGAGGTCCGATTTTATTCCGATCTTGAAGTCCCTTATCTGAGGTGCACTGACTGGTGCAGGTGCTGTATTACAAAACCCGGCGGTCAGCAGCAGCAACGAGCGAGCGGTGACCTCATTCTTCAACAAAATACACTTTCTTCCTCTCTCCTCCACCACCACCCCTCAACACCAAAAGCTACATCTACATCTACGTCGCACCCCATTTCGAGTATTTTCTTCCCTTTCTTCTTCCTCTTCATTCTTCTCACACACACAAAACACAACCGCCCAACATGACACAACGCCTAAAGCTCACAAGCGACAACATCTCCACCATTGCGTCACAGCAAGGAGACCAGAAGGTGCAGGTCCCCTCCTACGACCGCAAGTCCCTCAAGGAGGGCATCGTCCACGTCGGTGTCGGCGGTTTCCACAGAGCCCATTTGGCCGTCTACGTCGACCAATTGCTCGAGAAGCATGGCGAGCGCGATTGGGCCATCTGCGGTATCGGCCTGCGACCCAACGATGCCGCCATGCGCGATGTCCTGAACGCCCAGGACCACCTCTACACAGTTATCGAGCGCTCCGCACAGGGCAGCTTCGCCAACGTCGTCGGCAGCATCAACTCCTTCATCTTTGCCCCCGATGACCGCGAGTCCGTTATCGCCAAGATGGCTCACCCCGATACCCACATCGTCTCTCTCACTATTACTGAGAGTGGCTACTACTACAACGAAAACACCCATCAATTGGTAGCCGAGCACCCCGATATCCAGCACGATATCAAGGAGGAGAACGAGAACGCCCCTATCAGCACATTCGGCTTCCTCTACGCTGCCCTGGCCAGGCGTCACGCCAACGGCCTCAAGCCCTTCACTGTTCTGTCCTGCGACAACATGCAGAAGAACGGTACCATCACCCGCAACATGCTGGTGTCCTTCGCCAAGCTCCGCAACCCTGAGCTTGCCAAGTGGATCTCCGAGGAGGGCGCTTTCCCCAACGCCATGGTTGATCGCATCACCCCCAGCACCTCCCAGAACGACATCACGTCGCTCGCCGAGAACTTCGGCATCGAGGACGCTTGGCCCGTTGTGACCGAGCCCTTCATGCAGTGGGTTGTTGAGGACAAGTTCGCAGACGGCCGCCCTCCCTTCGAGAAGGTCGGTGTCCAGGTCGTCCACGACGTTCACGACGTCGAGCAGTTCGAGAAGCATAAGCTTCGTCTTCTCAACGCCAGTCACTCCGCCATGGCTTACCCAGGACAGCTTGCTGGCTTCAAGTACGTCCACGAGGTTATGGAGCACCCCATCTACCGCAAGTTTGTCTGGCAGATGATGCAGCAGGAAGTCAAGCCCCTTCTGCCCGATATTCCTGGTGTCGATATCGACAAGTACTGTAACACCCTGATGGAGCGTTTCTCCAACCCCACCATCATGGACCAGATTCCCCGTGTCGCCCTCAACGCCTCCGGCAAGATCCCTCAGTTCATCATGCCTTCCATCGCCGAGAACATCTGGTGTACCGGCCCCTTCCGACGTCTGTGTTTCGTTGCTGCTGGTTGGTTCATCTACATCAACGGAGTCGACGACAAGGGCAACAAGTTCGATGTTGACGACCCCATGCGCGAGAAGCTGCAGGCTCTGGCTAAGGAGGGTGGCAAGGACCCCCGTTCCATCCTCAGTGTTAAGGAACTCTTCGGTGACGATTTGCGAAGTGACGAGCGCTTCTTGAAAGAAGTGACCAAGGCCATGGAGCTCATCACCAAGGATGGTGTCATGGAGACCATCCCCAAGTACGTCGAATAAACTATTGGCGATTTGATTTGCCTGTCGACTTGTTCAAGGAAAGAGATTTACAGCGAAGCGGATTATGATGAGATTCGGTTAATGACTTGCTACGGACTGGGTGAGCCGGGTAGGACGGAAGTCTATGGCTCCGAGTTGTCCCAGAGAGGCACACCTCAGATAGACCTAAAAGGGCAAATGCCCAAAAAGTTTTAATGATTATGCCATGATTTGATGAACACTTTGGCCATGAACTGTGACAATGCTGGTTACACTCAATGCCACGTTGTGTCGCTGCCCTTGATGTCTAATACTCTTACTGTCCAAGTATCACTAACACACAATGAATTCATGATGTCAGTCGTACTTGAACTATTATTCAATTATATCGGCAGACTCGGTGTGCACATAAGCTCATGTGATCGTGCTTAGCAGTAATACGAAAGCTTGAATTTCAGAACATGATCTCCAACACTCGAGCTATCTGACCTCTTTATGCACCAAGTTTCAATGCTCTTATGATCAATCTGTGAACTACAGTCTTGATGTAGGAGAATTCATGTATTCACTCTGGTGAGTAACTGGGCGATGTTAGGCACCCGAACAAAGCTCTCATGAGGGCGTTGATAGTAATGCTTTGATTTTAAATCCTTAGTTATCCTGCTGATTTGGGCATCGGTAGTAACGACAGTGAAGGTGTAAGCCATTTTTAAAATGTTACTTACTGATTGAACAACGGCAGTGTTGCGTTGCATCATGGAGACCACGTGTGTTGAGTGGCCTTGAGCTGAGACCAAGAGGCTCTCGCATGCGTAACTCATATGATCGAAACGACAGGGGCGAACAGGTGTCATGGTTGTTCACATTTGGGTCTCGAACCGCACCACATGATAAAGCAACAGTGGCAAGGTGTGCTGTTGTTCAATTATAATTGCACACATTTTTTGCAATACATCAAGATCCAATAACATAATCTCGACTGTTGCAGGGCACAGTGATGCGTAATCGACTGTGTACATTTACAACGGTCACGCCGACTGAGGTTACACAAATCGAAATGACATCCTCGTGATGAGTTTAAAGGTCACACACAGCCCAGCATCACAAAGGCACAATCAAGACGGGGAAGTATCAGGGTAGGTATGAATTCAAAGTTCGTCATTGCATGTGAATACAAGTATATACAGGGTACATCAAATCAGAACAAATGTTTGCACATAAAAATGTGACTTAGGTTTATTTCAAAGAATCGAAAGAAGGAGTTTCGTAGCCCGCGCGTTGCTCTCATGAGTTTGAAAAAGATACACATCATGTAGGTCGCCTATTGTCCGCGACCAAGGGTCTTTCCATGTCGGAGTTGACTCTTTAGTAAGGCGTGTCACCGATCCTAGAAGTCAAAGATTAGCGAGTGTAACATTGTGATAGATGATGTTGGAGAAAACTTACATGTTACCAGGCTTCTGGTAGCGAGCGACAACGTACGAGGCGCCGTCACTGCCCTTGGAGACAGCCATGGCGACCTTGGTGGTGGTCTTCCAGACGCACTGGGTGTAGTGACCGAAGCCCATGTAGTTGGAGCCGGAGATGGCCTCGCCGCTGTACTGGCTCTTCTCGCTGAGGAAGGCCTCGACGGCATCGGCGAAGGGGGTGCTGCTGGTGCCCATGTAGAGGTTCTCACCGTCGTCGCCCTGGGAGTGAGTCAGGCTGCCGAGAGAGGCGATGTGGTCGGCCCACTCCTGGGCGCCGGAGACGAGAGAGTCGTCCCACTCGAGGGCGTCGTTGCCGACCTCCTTGCGGGCCTCGTTGTGGAGATCGAGGGCCTTCTGCTGGTCGGCGGAGAGGCCGGAAGATCCGGAGCTGGGTGCCTTGGTCTCCTCAGGCTCCTCGGTCTCGGCCACCGTGGTCTCGGGCTCCTCAGCCACGGGCTCGGGCTCCTGGGCGACGTAGGTGGGCTTGGGAGCGACGTAGGTGGTGGTAGTCTTGGGAGCGGCGACCACCTTCTTGGGCTGCTTCCACCACTGACGGCTGGGGGCCTTCTCCTGGACGGGGGCGGGAACGTAGGTCTGCTGGGGGGCGCTGCCGGCGGTGACGACCTTGGTGACATAGGCGTACTCGGTGACGACCTCGTAGTGGGGACGGGGAGCGGCCATGGCGGTGGAGGCCATAAGGCCCATGACAATGGTTGAGAAATGCATCTTGTAGAGAGTTTTGTGTTGTTTGTTAACGTCGCCGGGACTGGAGTTGGTTCAAAAAAGGTTGCTGGTTTTTAAATGTTGAAAGAACGTTTGGAAGGAGTGTGAGAGAATGTATGAATGAATCCTTCAAGGATAAATGAGTGAACCTTTGTAGGAATGAGTGGACAAGACTGTTGAGTGTCTGAGGAGCAAAGAAAGAGATGGTGATGGGGCGGGAATGAAGGTTATATTATAGTTGTGCGACACTGAGTGAGAGTAATTAGCCCATTGGGTGAGACATTTCACTCATCCCGACCTGTGGTGTGGTGCAGTGTGAAATTCGACGTCCTTGTCCGCGCTACGTAACGCACGCCCACACCTGCCAGCGCCGAATCGATGGAAGAGCCGTGGAGATTCCTTGTTTCAAAGGGATGGATGATGGCCCGATGGGCTCTGGCTCTGCAAGTGCAGCCTTTCAGTCCAGGGGTAAAAGAAGATAGGCTAGACTAGACCAGGGGTAAAAGGCTTGGTTTCCCCAGCAGAAAGCCGTTGATGAGGACCCTCAGCCAATCACGCCCTCGGCTCAGGGATGACACCCGAGGATGCGGATGGGTTGTTCGTGTAGAAGTGTGGAGAGGGCTGCCACACTGAAACCCCTCACATCACTCCTTTAATATTAAACCAAGACCAGAAGGCAAGCCACAGGCCAGCTAGCCTAGCTAAGATCTGGACCGTGTGTTTCGTCTGCGCGCGGCAATCACTGTCAATAAAAAGTTGAGATGACATGTTCCCGGGGGGGTCCTGGGTTGGGACCTGGACTAGCAACCACCGGCGCGGTATTTTTAACGCCACAAAGCGACGGCGGCAAAGGGTGATCATCTGCAGAATACGGGCGGTACGTGCAAAGGAAGCACAAAGCGCACAGAAGTCATCCCAAGTTTTGCTATACGTGACCTCCTCGCACAGACGTAATTGCCCTTCCCCCAGCTTTTTGGACCTTCTTCATCACGGGTGACGCCTCAATTAATATCAATTTTAAAGTTACGACTTCGTATCATCCCGCGAGCAAGGATTAACCCAACCAGGGCCAGGTTTAGGTGGAAATTCCCCTCAAACGTGTGATTTGATAATCGAAATCAGCCCTTGGAAATTGTAGTACTATAATGCAAACAGCAACAACAGAATAACCTTGCCAACTCGCCTCCTCCATTCCTCTCCCTACGAAAGGGGGGTTTCGGTCTTATTCTGACACGACCGGTGCATATTCGAGTGTTTTGTTAAAAAAAGGTTTTTTGTTCCCTTTTGCTAGTTCACTTGACTCGTTTGTTCTCGCTCTCGCTGTCACAAGCTACTGCAAGGGACGGATGCAGCTGTCATTGGCTGAGAAGGGCCAAGCGTGCTGTGGAAAATGCCAGTTGTTCGAGACACAGCATGTCATCGGAACGTGGCCAAGACCCTCACCCCCAAAAAGGGGTGGTTTAGCAGCGAAGAGAAGCGAAAGAAACAAAAGAAAAAAGCCGCCGTTAGTTATCGAGATGCAGAGTTGAAACAAGCCATCGTGTTTTGAAAAGTTGGGTCTTTGTCGGGCTTTTTGCAGCGAAGGGAATAAGAGAATGATTCATTGTGCTCCGTATAGTGACCATGGTCGAAACAACGCCACAGCGCTTCTCCTCCGCGAACAAAGCCCCAATCTTGCCAATCACGTACCGCTCGCTGTCTGTGTTGTTTTCTTCTCTTACACTCTGATTGCAACATCGTTCCCTCTTGTGGGGAATGCCTAATGCCTCCCCCCGGCTTTTGTGCCTGGTCATTGTCTCAGAAAGATCGGCGGGAGGAATTCTCTTATGCCGATGCTAACGGGCCCCCGTACCTGAATTTTGAGTTGTTGATCGAGGAAAGCCTTGCCCAGTTGATGATGATCAGGGTTGCAGTCAGTTGCAGTGCCGACCGGGGGCCTCGGAGCGTGTGTCCAGCCGTACTGTACGTGCATTTCAAGGCGGACATCCTTGGGCCTTTGCCAAGACTTATTTCCGATGGATTGCAATTCGTCTCGAATTGATATTGATTCATTTCGGAACCTAGGCAAGTACAAGAGAAGCTCATGTGACCCTGGTCTGCAATCTTTGCTGTACAGGGTTTCAGCCAGCGTATTGCTTCCGGCCTCATTTGCGTGTGTTGTTCTTCAAGGCTGTGCCCGTCCGTCTGTCTGTCGCTGAGTGCAGTGCGCTGCAGTGCATTGCAGTGGAAACTTGGCCCAGTGAAAACAAACTTGGTTGAGCGGGGAACGCCAAGAAAAAGGGCCACGCGTAAAGCAGTGCCGGACCCTCACTGAACAATTCTACGAAAACGAAGAATAAAGCGCCTTTGATGTTGTTGACAGTCGCACGCACGGTGCGCAGCATCACAAAGGTGCCCGCCAGAATTGAAAAGACTTGGGGCGAGAGTCTAGGCTTTCACGCACGTACCAGCAATCTTTGAGTACGCGGTTCTAGGTTTGAAACCGCCACGATTGTTGCCTTCCTAACGTGGTGTCGGCTGCGGCTTTTCTTCAGTCAGATTGATTAATTAATTATTACCTTCCCCCATCGTATCAGATTCAACCTGGGTACGCGAATCTTGCATGACATTGCACGCTCTTCCGGGTAACCGCTGCGAAAACCCTTGTCTGAAGGAATTTTGCGTTTCAGAAAACCCGACCAAGCCGGACATGGGGTTGTTTTGATGAGTACGTAATTGTCAGATGTAGACAGAAAATCTGGAGATGAGAACGGAGTTGTCCAACTCCGTATCTTGTTGGACTGTACAGCATGATGACTGCATGGAGTTGGTTGTCTTTTGTCAGGAGATTTGTGAACCATGCACAATGACAAAGTGTCTAGGGTAAGTGTGCATCAGTACTGATAGAAGATCAAGTTGTCGTTTTCCTCATTGCATGTCATTTTGCAATTGGATTTAGAGAACAATGGAACTGTTTTCTATTTTCTGTATTGTTCAGATGTGCTTTGTGAATTGTTTTAACAAGCTCTGTTTCTCATAATGAAAGATCCAGCTTGGTACCACGTACGGTGTGGCTGCGAGATACTGCCTTAACAGACAAAGACCAGTTTGTGGCCTTGTCGCGGACTTATCTGCTAAACCGCTAAGTTCTGCTTATCGATAAGGACATTATGATCTGCCGTGAACTCTGATTATTTTGCCAACCTCACCATTGGTTAACTCATCAATCCGTAATCACATTACAAAGCCTCCTGCGTCAGAATTAGACTAAAGACCCTCCAATTAGGCTCAAGATGTCTTGCTATACGAGCCAGTCAGCCCAGGTAACGTTGAGAGACAGCGCGATGTGATGTGCGCAATTTATTTGTCTGGCGTCACCCAAAGTCCAAAAATATGAGACTCAATCGGAGCATCATTTTGTGTCAGGTACCATCAGGTCCTCTTCTGTTTCGCGTGGCGCCATTACATCACTTGAACGCTACGAGAATCCGTAGTCGCCGTGACACCTCTCGTCCGTTCTCAATTTCCAACAGAGACAGTCTGAAAATGAACCCTCAAGCAGTTGAATCTCCTCTGTCTCAGTCGGCGACATTCCTCGTCCTCTCGGCAACCGACGCTCCGAATGCCAGCCAGACTATCAAGTCAACATTGTCTAGCATTGCAGACATAACCAAAAACATCTCCATTCGCCACCAGACTGCCAATCTCTCGTGCACCGTCGGAATTGGGAGCTCGGTCTGGGATCGCTTGACGAAGCTCCCTCGTCCCGCTGAGCTGCATCCTTTCAAACAAGTTGAAGGTTCGCAGCACACTGCTGTGTCGACGCCGGGCGATATCCTCTTCCACATCCGCTCCGAGAGGAGAGACATGGCTTTTGAGTTTGAGCGACAGCTCATGGATAGACTTGGTGACGCTGTCAAATTAGAGGATGAGACCGTCGGCTTTAGATATTTTGACACACGTGATGTACTCGGCTTTGTCGATGGAACCGCCAACCCCGTCGGCCCGGATATTACACATACAGTCCTCATCACCGCAAATGACGACTCTGCTGCGGTAGGAGGGAGCTACGTCGTTGTGCAGAAATACCTTCACGATCTGAAAGCATGGAAGACGCTCAAGACAGAGCAGCAAGAAGCCGTCATCGGGCGAACAAAGCTGGACAACATCGAGCTTGATGACGCTGATGAAGGCCAGCAGCTATCCCACAAGAGTCTTGCTACTATCGAAGACGAGGGAGGAAGCGAGCATGATATTCTGCGAGACAACATGCCTTTCGGATCTCCAGCACAGGGGGAGTTTGGCACGTATTTCATCGGCTACTCTAAAAAGCTTTGGGTGATAGAGAAGATGATGGAGCGTATGTTTGTTGGGGTTCCTCCTGGGATGTATGACCGAATGCTTGATTATTCAAAGCCGGTCACTGGCTCAACGTTCTTTGTACCTTCTGCGGATGTATTAGCTGGTCTTGATGACTGATTGGTTCATGCGTGTTCGACCGACGATCATGATTTCGAGAAGCTTACTTAAAAGAGAATGGCCAAATAATACTACATCTAACTTTTCTATTTTTAATCCTTGACAAGCGATACCGGGGATCTCCTATTATCACTAGACCGGAGTTACTTAGTCACAGCGGTGCCGAGGGTCTATAATCTGTGCAATCGGCGTTATTCTAAATGCTTGTAAAGTATATGCATCCTCCAAAATTTTCTCAACCAATAGCGAGGCGCGAACCACTCCTGGCGGTGATGTAATGTTAGATAAAGTACCTCGCAATCACCACCCACCCAGATCGCGAACACGGTACTTAACCGCTCACTCTATTCTGCCTAATATATTTCGTGTCTATCCATGAACAGCCACATCATGCCAAATTCTGGAGGTGTGAAAAAGTCACGTCCCAGGAGAAAGGGTCGACCTCGGCCTTTGCCACCGGATGTGATGGCTCGGAACCTGGCTATTGAGAAGCAACGTCGCGAGGCACTCAACGAGAACTTTGTGGTATAGTTGATCCCACGTGTTTTCCACCTACATATGAACTGATTGAGTTTTGACAGGAGCTCGCACGCATGCTTCCCAACCTTGCATCCGCACGCCGTCTCACAAAGGTGCTCATCGTCAATGAAAGCGTCGAGCACGTACGGCAACAACGCGCGTTGTGTTTGGCTGCGGCGCAAGATATGCAGGATTTGGTTTCTGAGAACAATTGGCTTGTTGCAGAGGTCAATGCATGGAGGGCGCAGTTTGGTGGACCAGGAGCGTCACTGGTTCCGGTGAAGCCGATGACAGAGGCAATGATTCAACTGTCAGAGGTGAAGAATCAAGTCTTTGGAACCTTCAATGCTGGCTTTGGCGATAACTGGGTGGAAAATGCCACTCAATCCGAACCGAACACAAGCTTCGAGCTGCATGATACGATGCAGTCGGTGGACGATCCTTACTCAGACCTTGGACAACAGACATATGTCAACCTACCACCACAACACATGCAAACGAACATCGAAACTCTTGCTCCTAGCATATTACCTAGCTCCACACCTCCGGAATACGATATGCATCCTGAACGCTACTTGGGTCCAATCTTACACTCCTCCATGACACATTTGGATATGTTTGACCCTTTCACTACGCAATTGCTACAGGAGGATGAGCTGACGTCGCGCTGGGTCGCTGGGTCAATTGGCTGGACATAGATGTGAATCAAAGGGGATAACGAAGATATAAAAGTTAGTACATGCTAGGTTGAATAATAATGTTTTAGAAGCCACTGATTACTTGAACTGCCAGAGAGCTTCTTCCGTAGTCATTCGACTCTGTAGCTCATTCGCCTGAAAGTCCGAGTGCTCCGAAAGGACCCTTTCTAGTGACAGGGTTAGCTGCTATAACCTGGCTAGAGACGCCCCACGGTTAGCCAGGTAATCAATGTCAGTAGATGGGAAGCTGCCGTCACAGCCGCTGAGAGGATCAATACTGGCTAGGTGGGCTATATACTGAGACTGAACAATAGTTTACTTTTGGTGTGTTAACCTTAAGTGGATGGTTTTCTTTATGGTATAGAAGGGACAGCTAGAGGAGGATGTACTCTGGGGCAGTGACAGGAGCACATCCAAATCCGGCCATCGCCATGCCACAACTTCCCCAGCTGAAATGAAACTGGGCCACAAGGTCAGTTCCTAGTCACTTATGTATACCGGGCTGCCTTTTTTTTGGGAGCAGTTCGCCTTGCTAGTTTAATTAGGGGTCGCGTCCTGCTTGTCTCTTGGCTGAGAAGCTTCTAGATCTGGACGATGCTAGAAGACATAACATAGGCGTGTTCTTCTCCTGATCAACACACTGTTGTGCTTTTCATCTTCCCGCCCATCCTCTTCTAAAAGTGTGTAGTTCAACGATTTTGGTCATATTTTGCTACAGAAATAGTGATATACTTGGGGCCTATCGTTCTTATTTTTCGCACCGACGTTCGTCAATGCTCTCCGAGTGACCAGACCACACCTCTTGGCTTTGAATTCTTGCGGTCATCAGTCCCCAAGGGGGACGGTTCGTTTCTTCATTCAGCTAGACATTAGACTGATTGGCCTTCAGAAATTTCAATACTGTGGAAGAGTCCAGGACGAATTTGTGGCGTGTGATTTCAAGGCGCAACGAGCAACCATGAGCGAAGAGCCGTTTGGTAACGCGAACCCTGGCAACGACAAAGATAAAAGTCAAAGATCCAGATCCGACATCAAGTCTGCGAGAGAGGAGAAACTGAAGCTGCCGAGTTACCAAAGACTGCGCAGTCATGTACGTCAACAATGTCCAGTTGACTGGAGAGGTTCGTCCTGACTGACTGTTGAAACAATGATTTATTATCTATGTGGTTTTGATCTATCTCACCGAGGTATTGGATAATGTTATTCAATAATTAACATCTTCCATATAGGAAGCTTAGTCGCGACAAGTACCCGTCAGTATCTCGGGGTTCACCTTTCGATCTTGTGTCTCCTGGTCAGGAGTCCAGTTAGCGCTCGGGATTCAATATCTGGCATTGTTGTAAAGATTACAAGAAATCTCAAGCTACGCAACATGGGACCAACATACTGAACCACAGATGTCGCACGTGGGATAATGAACGGATATAGCTTGCTACTTGCGAACTCCGGATGCGGGAGTCTAACGAGGGCAAAGGTCATCCTCGCTTACTACATCCTCTCACTTGGTTCGGAATATCTTATTGTCTTCTGTCCTTGGAATCCATAGATCTTTGATCTTGTCGCTATCTGAGAATTGTCAATCACTTTTCGTTATGGTAACTGGGAATGACAACACCTTGCGAGTCGAAGTTCGACTTTTGTCCGACCATTCTTTAACCTCCTCATATCACTCGATGTGTTCAGCCTGAGTATAAAATTGGAACTAGAGTGAAAAGAAGACGGTTCAGGTATGTTAATTTTAGCAAGCGGCAAAAAGCCAGACAGCTGTGATCTGCCGCTCAACAATATCTTCATTGTGGCCCTTGGCCCAACTATCTCAAATTAACCGAATTTCTGAGTCTGTGATATGCATCTTGAGAAAAGGGCAGATGATAAACTCAAGGATCATCTATTAACATGTAATCAGAGTCTGGGTCCCCAGCTCTCTCCAAGTCTGTCCATCAATCGACAACAAATCACCAGATCATCTGAATCCCGAAGCTAGCTACTTGCTCCTTGAATTCACTCCAAGATGCTCATCGCCTCCACCCACGGTTTACAATCAAGTACGCTGCCTCTTGTTTTCGTTTCTGACCCAGGGATCCTCGTCGCTCTTTCGCTTGAACAGGGAAGCCACTTTCGATACGACGTGGTCCACGACCCGCCCAAGCTCATTAGTCTGCGTGAGTTGCGCACTTAGCCCAACTTTCTGCTTTTCCATTTGGGTCCTAAGGGTGTTGATGGTCTCCCCCCAACCTTTCTCAACCTCGCCAATCTTCGTGTGGACCTCGCTTCGAATGTTTGTCTCGGTATCTTTGATCCCGCTGTCGAGTGAGTCGATTACAGCTGCTAATTTGTTGTTGATGCTGATGTAGTCATTAACCTCGGCTTCAAAGTCTCGGAAGCTTGCGTGGATAGCTTTGTTCTCTTTTTCAAGATCCTGGATCTTCTGGGATTGCGAGTCGATGGTCGCAACAAACTTCTTGATCTCGCTTTGCAGGGCTTCGACGTCCTTCTGTGTCCTGGATAAAGCTTCTTCTGTAGCCCTAAGCTTCGAATAATCTCCGTTGTGGCCGAGAAGGGCTTCAACCTTCTCTTCGACTGCCACGAGGCGGTCCGGCACCGCAGGGCTATCGGGCAGTGCCTCCAGCTTGTCAAGGAGCCCTTTGGTATCAAGGGTCTCGGCTATCATCGCATCTCCACTGCTGGGGTTGATCTCTGGGTGTTGAATAACAGTAGCTACATTGGGAGTCTAGAACAGTAAGCCCCTGTTCCTGATGGCTACATATTTGAACTATACTCACACTCTTTGAAATCCCTTCAGAATTGACTGTTGCTGATACGCGACGTCCAGACCCGTTCTCGCCCTGTGGATTTGAAGCCGCAACAGCATGTGTTTCACAGCAAAATTTGCCCAGGGCGCGAGGCCTCGAGACCTTGTCAGCAGGAAATTTCTCGCCCCAGTTCCTAGACAGCTAATCTCGGTACTGGCGGAGTTGAGTGTGATCAGGCCCATAGACACTGGCCAGGAAGAACCATTCGAGGTACGTGATTAGCTTTGATGAAGGAAGGCGACCTGACACGGCTTGATAAACAAGGCATTTCTTGATGTCTGCGGCGATGCTTGGGGTCATTCCTTCAAGGTACTTTATGACACGCAATGCAAGATTGTCGGCAAAGTAGGGTGCCATATCTTTCTTGACATGAGCCATATTGTCCCTAAGCCTCTGAATGAGGCCCTGCATGGTAGCATCTTTCCAGCTTGGTTTCTGGCTGAGTATGTCTATGAACATGGGAAACCTTTCAGCACTGCCAGGAGGTGTTGTGAAGTCCTCGGGGTCTTCCATCGTGCACTGTAGAGATGAGTGAGCAGATGCCACAAACGGTATTTGAGAGAAGATCAAGGAGTTTACCCCGTGGTGAAATCGCGTGTTGTGCGGTTCTGTGTTTTGGAAGGGATGTAAGGTTGGAAAGAAAATGAAGATATGAGGGAGGGGAAGATGCGAGTGTGGAGAGCGTGAGAGGGGATTTATGGAGTGAATAAGTGCCGGTATTGCTGCCTAACAGAAGATTTGGAGTGTGGAAGGCGGAGGGGGGTTTAACGCGTCTGGGGTCAATTGAAAAGCACATGTATTATGCCAGGGAAGCTCTAGAGTTCAAGACGCGCGCCTTGATTCTTCGCTTAACATTCTTTCTTTCAACATAGAATAAGGTAAAACGCATAGATAAACATGACATCACTTAATCTGCGAATTAACACAGCCTCTCTCGGCCAGAGTATTTCCTGCCTTGCGCCTCGCAGCTGCTTTGACCTTTGTATAATATATCACCAAAATAGTCAAAGGCTACGAGCGAATGACTATTCGGATCTTGAGGTTGATGCGACTATTCGGATCTTGAGGTTGATTCAACTTTTCGAACACCTAAGTCTAGGTACACCATTTGCTGCCCGTCCATCTTCCTCCGTTTATCTTCCTCCGACCCTAGGTTGTTTCCAAGAAGGGTGAAGCTCATGGGTCATGAGAATACGAATGACCTTAAACACGGCGGTAAGCGTTGTCCTTAAAGACTTCGGGGTTGCTATTTGACTGACATATGGGGAGCCGGGCCGTTGAAGCATTCTGACGATCAGCTCACCTCATTACCTATCTTGAGAAGCTACCTCTACCGGCCCCTTTTCTCATCGTGCTGTCTCCAGACGCCTACTCCAAATCGGCCAACCTTCAGCCACGGCATCGATTCATCAAGGAATGCACCTCAAAGTTCGACCAGGAGCTCAACTACTAGGCCCGAGGGTATGACAAGGAGAACGCGCTTTTATGTGACTCACATGTAGCAGTCTGAAACACATGAAGCGGTGAGAAGATACTTGAGCTTTTCTCAACTTTAACTTTATGACAATCCTATCCTCAGCAGTTTATACTTGGTCTGCTCGAAAGCTGCATCATTTGTTTGGACAAAGTTGGAGTGGTTCTGGGACAGGTGCATCGAACAAAGTAGACTGGCACTCCAACGGCACTTCAAGACGGACGGAGACTGGCAATGATGATTCCAACGCGTTGCGATTGATCATACTTCGTCCAAGTAGCCCCATACTTCGAGCCAAGCTACGTACATCATTGGATGCAGGGCATGCATACATCCATCACTGTCAGGACGGCTGTCCACCTCGATCGGGGAAGGTCTACGCCATGACAGATCGTCGGGTCAGGGGCATCATATCGTGTCCAGCACAAAGGAAGTCAATTCCAAGTAGATACTCGCAAATATATGTACATGTCCTCATAAAAATCACTAGAACAGGCCAGCCATGTCCTTCTCATCCAATCAATCATGCCTTTCAAACAGTCCCTTAAGCGGCACCAGCAGCGTCGGCCTTCTCGATGAGGAACTCGGGAGCTTCACCAGATGCGTCAGACTGGTAGAGCAAGTGAGGGCCGGCAACAACGAGAGTGCCAGTGCAAACAAGGTCTCCAACGTTGCAGAAGACCTTGGTGCGGTCCGCAGGGTAGCTGGGAATCTTGCCTTGGTTTTCTAGAAGGTATTAGCGGACCAGTTTGTACAAGATGAAATGCTTGGGTGAACCCAGCAGCGGAGGGGAGTACTCACGGAGGTTCTTGGTGTATCCAAAGAGCACGACACCAGCGATCTTCTCTCGAACGGCGTCGTTAACATCAGTGGTAGCGGCGGCGGCGAGAGCAGCTCCCTGACTGTATCCACCAGCGACGATGACGGCCTCAGGGCACTTCGTGTTGGCATCCTCGAAATGACCAACCATCTCGCGAATAGCGGCGGGAGTAGTTCCACGGGGAAGGGCATTCTCGCCAACACCAGCAGTGTATGCGCCACCGACACCCTGAACCCAGACTTTGCCCTTGCCGTACTTGGCCTCGAGCTTGGAGGCAACCGCGGGTCCTAAAGTTCCCTGTAGTTAAAGTTAGATCTGATCTGTCATATCCTGTGGCTCCTCAATGCTACATACCAGGTTACCGGCCTCAGTGGAGCCGCGAGCGAAGACGAAGATGACACCGGGGCAAGAGCCGGCAGTGCCCTGGGCAAGATCGTTGCGGGTGATGCTACCGCCGAAAAGCTGACGGGCCTCGAGAGCAGACTCCTGCGCAGCAGGGAGAGCTGAGGCAGTGGCGGCCATGAGAGCAGCGGCGATGGAGAACTTCATTTTGATGGTATTGTCGGGAAGATACTACTGTGATTGAGTGAGAGGCGTGAAGTGAAGTGAAGAGAAGAGACGAGAACTGAAAGAAAGGCAAGAAGATTGAGTGAGTGAATGAAAGAGTGATTGTGAGGCTTGATTTCTTTCAATAAACGTGGAGGTTATGGCGAGTATTTATCATTCTGAAGCATCATCTCGGCTCTCACAAAACTAAGGGAGTTTAAGTTTAGTATGGCATCGTCGAAGCAGTCGAGACGAAAAGCACCGCCAAGACAGAGAAGCAATCATGAAATCTATTCCCGAACAATAAAGCACGTTCCATCCGCGATGGCTCTCCCCCGTTCCCAAACCTATTGCAAACCCCCGTCACATCTCCCGAGTCATGTAGCCTTATGCTGTTCTGTAAAATGCGATCAAATTTTCGCAAGAATGGTTCGAAATAGGAAACAGATCCGCTAGTGATCCCCTCTGATCAGCAAGGAATGACATGAAACTGGCAATTCCTCTGGTCGCATCAGCCGAGCCCTATGACCACGTTCTTGGGGCGCGCCGCTTTGACTCTGGCTCGGACTAGCTCAGGAAGTGCTTTTTTAGGGACCTGAAACCCAGGTGAGCTGTGCACGGGGTAGTATTCGCTGTGAGCCACTTATTTCCGGTTTCAGAGCCAAAACCGACCACAACCTGACAACGCCGCTTGTCTTTATACAGTATAATCTGTCTTGGCTGTCAATAAAACGGAGCCGAATCACCGGAAAGCTCCATCTCTAGTGTCCACTTTGTTTCTACTGACAAAATTCTACTGGCTGCTCAAGTGCTCACGCTAGAGTGTCCCGACAGGTGTCAATCGTTCGGTACATTCGGATTGACAGCAAGGTCAAGGCGACTTCGTGTTGCCTCCTCTAGTTCCAATCTATTGAGTTCTAGCGCCCTGTGTTGTAATTAAAACATCTTATGTTTGAACACTCGCAACCCCATATCGTCTTGGAAAGTGTAGCCGCTAGGTCGAGCATCGGATGTTTCTACCATTGCCTACTGTCGATCGTGCGGAATGTAACCAATGATCATCAATCCCAGAACAAGTCCCTCACGATTGATGTTGGATATCGTATGGCCAACCGGCCTACACTATACATCTAACGTCTTTAACAAGTTCCCAGGCCACCACCTCGACACCCTCCCGCACAATGCCGAGGCTGTCCTCTGACCTGACTCGATACCATCTTGGACACTACCGAGGCTGTGCAAACTGCCAATATCTTAGCGCAAGGTCCGACAAGTGTTTTATGGTGTGAACCCCGCGAACTAAGAAAATAGTGTTGACCAAGATGAATCAGTGGCTGTCATCTCTCACGTCCTAGTTCGCAACAATTCCCTTTCGCAGAATAAGGAACACGCTACTCGATATAGTATCTGAGTATTGACACATGACCTACCAGGAAGGTGAAGATAAAGACATAAACATCAATTGACGCTACTGCATCTAAGCATATGAGAAAGAAGAGTCGCAGAGTACTCCGAGACAATTTGATCATGCAAACAAAAGAGCAACAGTGGACTGTCGTAACTATCATGAAAAGTAAATATAACGTTGAATTGTAATGTGCACTATTTGTCATCTATCTCCATCCCGAATCAGCGACAAGCACCATCATCCGTCGTCTCAACGCCATCTTGAAACGTACCGAGGCTTTCAACCGAATTTAACAAGGCCATCCCAGTTTTTGTTTCTTCTAAACGAGATTCAAATCTGCAGAGATATCCCAGGCCGAGGTAAAGTTATCCATCTCGTCGGGACAGCATTTTCCGTGTCTTTCTTTCGCGATAGTTACCTCTTGTAGATACCGGATGTGGTTTTGTACAAAACCGGGAAGTAATTCTAGACACTTTAGTGATTCATGCCGAGGCTGTCGTCTTTGCCTTTGGACAAGTGGATGAGTTTAAACAGGCATCAGGGATGCAAGTAAAGTATATTCGAAGGACATAATACAACTCCTCATCAATCTTGAGAACACTATTACTTCGCCACTGTAATAAACAGAAGCCTGATTGAAAAACGCGAGCTTAAGAACCTTGTTTCTATACTGGTTAATATGCTTTGGACAATTATTCCGCGAATGCGAATCGAGGCAATTCCAGAACCTACTTCGATCAGGCTTCCTGTCTCAAATCTTCATTCATAAGTCGTAACAATTACCTTTTACAGAAGGGGGATATACTGGACACCATGAAGTGATCAGCTCTACCAGCTTATCACACGACCGCGTAAGTACTTGTCTCTTACCCATAACTATGAGAATCGAAGTTGGCAATGCCTCGTAATCCTAGCCTCGGACTTACATTGGCCACCCATCTTACTGGAAACGTCGTCCGATCTCGGCGACGAGTCTCAAGAGCCTTCAAGTCAGGAAGTTTCTGAGTGTGAGGTTTGTGAAGCTCAAGATACATACGCTTATTGGTTCGGAGGATACTATCAATAGACATGGGTTTTTGCATTCCAGCTGAGCTGCAGTACCCACAAAATATTCTATCCCTTGAGGAAGCGGACAACCTTGGCATTGGCGCGCACTGACGAGTTTGAAACAACAATGTGTCTGTGCATGTCCGAAAGTCTCGGGCATTTGGTCTGAAAGTGATTAACTCAGGGGAATGCCGTACGTTGATCCCGCAGTAGAAACACATCGGTGAGCTTATTCCCGCTGTTGTGAGAGAACTTCTGGAATACCGGGTGGAGAGCTTTGTCGGTCCGTCAGCTTGGAAAATGGACGAGGAAAAACAAATAGCAAACAAGTAGTCTAATCTCGGCAAGTGCATACTATGAAGGTCTTTTTTTTTGCCTCCTAGATTGTCACGCTAAGCAGTGGGTTGTCATTGTCCTTTCTCTTCCTTTAACAAATTCTTAATGCCTCTTCACTGCCCGCGGTCAACACAACCACGCGTGTTGTTTCTTACGGTCTACACCTCAACTATGCCCTCATGCTATGGAGAGTCCTTTCACGTACGAACGAAATACAGCGAGCATATTTAAGGAGTGCGGTACAGTATGCGGAAGCAAGATATTCCCTTACCAGCGGAATTGACTGCCACATCTGTCGATATAGGGTAGGTGCGAGAACTTTGACTCCTTTCCCGCCACAACGTTTCCTTAGGGACGGCCCGCCATTTTGACTCAACCAATCGCGCGATCTGTCTCGCAGAGATACAGTATCGAACAAGGTTATTCAATCACGTTCTCTTACCAAAAAGGTTGCTATTTTAGGGCTCGGATGATTTCAATCCCGTTTGCCCGTTGATGTCGTCTGGACCAATCAGCTCGAACTTCTCTGAGCAAGAATCATCGCACTGCTAACCCAGCAAGGCAATTTGGGGGCCGGTCCTTCAACCCCAGCCTCCCCAGAGAGCGCTGACAGTATGGCCCGTCAGCAACAGGCAAAATATAGTATCATATAAGCACTACTATTCTGTCTGGCCCCCAATGATGAAACGCCTAGGGGAACGTCAGTAGATCAGCCATTGGCCACTTCCAGCATTTGGGGCCCTGTGGCGTAAGCAGCTTGTGTAGGATCGGCTATGACGCAAAAAGAAAAAAGTGACGAAATGGCAGTCCATGAGCTCACATTGCACGTTGGTGATTATCAATCTTGGATTGATGGAAAAACCTGGAGTCCGCTGCTAGTACATGACTTCACGTGAAAGAGGATTAAGATTGATTTTATCCGTATTTTCTTTGCTTCTGTAAAGAGTCCTTAGGGTGATGCTGCCGTGATTGCTCTTCACCCTTGTTCTGACGCCTATCGCGTGTTGATCAAGACCCACGCGTTGATTGGTAAGGCTGATTAGGCCACCGAAGAACCCGGGGGTTCTCTTCAATTCAGGCACCAGGCACCACTTTTGCGGAAACTTTCTCTCTCACCGGCCATAGCCACTCTGAGTAATCGCCGTTGGTCGCCGCAATGGGTGTGTTCTCAAGATGGAAGATGCCGTTCAATGGATGGAAGAGCACATCCGTCTATCTCACAGGGCTCGTCACGACACTCACAACCCTGCTCATTGTCTTGCTCTTCGTGTCCCTCTTCCACCTCGAGAAAGACGACGCGGATCATGGCGATGGGAGAACCGATCAAGATGCTCTCGGCCAGAGCGTACTGTACAGAGGGAACTGCAAGACATCAGCAAGAGCAAATCTATGGATCCATCTCGCCATCAATGTCATCGGCACCGGTGTCTTGGCTTCGTCCAACTTCTTCATGCAAAGCCTCGTAGCGCCTACGAGAGCAGAAGTTGACACCGCGCACAGGGCGGGACACTGGCTCGAAATCGGCGTTCAGTCTCTCAAGAACTTTCGCTTTCTCGGCTGGCGAAAGATCCTGTTCTGGTCCCTCTTTTCCCTCAGCTCCGTCCCGTTACATCTCGTCTTTAACGGTTGCGTCCTCGAGTCAAAAGGCACCAACGGTTTCACTATCCTTCTAGGCACCAAGAGTCTTGTTCAGGGCGGATGGCGCGGGGAGCCTCCCATCTCAAGTTGGCTTTATGAGAAATTCGGCTCTGATCCTGCAATGGCGCAGCAAGCCATGGCCCAGGCGAAACCAATCAGCGAGTCTTTAACCGCGTTAGATTCGATCAATCGCTGGCAGGAGATTTCTCTTGACGTTTGTATGGAACGATACAACAGGCCAGAGGTAGCTCTCACACGTTATCGCCACGTGATCCTCGTCATGCAGGATTACGAAGATTTTGATGGGAACTTGACCCGGGGCTGGAAACGTGGAGAAGTCTTGAAGAACACAACCGGTGTCTCTGATCTGAACGTGACCACCCAACTCTGGGGAGTGAGCGACTTCTCACGTACCGGGAAAACGGGGTACAACAGTGCCATCTCACAACCAAAAAGCGAAAACTGGGGGGTACAAAGACTAGACGCTAGGTTGCCAGCTAATAGGATGACTATACAGGGCACCACCAATGTCTTTGACCCCATATCTGGAGTGATGGTCATGGACCCTCAGTTGTACACGTCCAAATACCGAGTTATGCAGGTAAGCTACTGCATATCTGAAAGGTACGAGGCGCCATGCCGACTCAGTGTTGCGAACAGCCTTCTTCTCATTGTCTGCATAATGTGTGCCTTCAAGTGCGTACTGTGCTTCTTGGTTCTCAAGCTTCGTGTATGGGGCGATGAGAACCCTCTCATGACTCCTGGAGATGCCATCGCCTCCTTCATCGCAAGACCGGACGAGGAGACGAAAGGCATGTGTACGTTGAGTTCGCAAGATCTGAAGAAGAACCCCAACAAGAAGGCACCCGGACTGGGGGATATAAGCCAGAACTACAAATGGCTCCAGGGCCCAAGACAATGGCAAGCTACGTCGACGCGGAGGTTTGGCAAAGCGGTGCCCGTGACCATATGGGTCATATCGTCGGTTCTCATCGGAAGCTCCCTTATTGTAGCCGCAGTCATGCTGAGTATAGCCATCAGAGGCCAGCCAATGTAGGTACAGCTATTGCGCCTCTCTGGTACAAGACTAACACTTTGATCAGAGAACAGTCCCGGTTCGGGCATGCGCCACAGAACGAGGATGTATCAAACCCAAATTTTGACGGTCTATCGCTCATATCCTTGACCATGATAGCCAACACACCGCAACTGGTGCTCTCCATCTGCTACCTTGCTTACAATGGTCTTTTCACTCGCATGCTGGCCGAATTTGAGTGGTCAAAGTACAGCGTCGAGTTTCGAGCTTTGCGTGTCACTGAGCCCAAGGGAAAGCAGAACTCTACATATCGACTTCAGCTGCCTTATAGGTTCTCGATTCCATTGATCATCGTCAGTATTCTTCTGCATTGGATATACTCCAACTGCATCTATGTGAGCAACTATGAGGGTAAGTAAGACAAATTCCGACGGACTGGACGGCACCACTGACACTCAACCAGCCTACGCCGCAGGTTATCCTTACGCGAGGACTGTCACGGTGGGTCTGCAATTCTCATCAAAAGCGATTCTTATCGCTCTCTGTGTAACCGTATGCATCGCGATGGCGCCCTTAATATTGGCCTATGTTAAGCTACCGGGAATAATGGTTATCGCAGGAGGAAACTCTGCGGTCATGTCGGCCGCCTGCCACTACCCCTCCACGAAACTCCAGTCACTAAGTCGCGCCACCTCCGTATATAGCCGCCCAGGAAGTGAGTACGACAGCATGACCATTGGGCTAATAGGAGATGAAGAGGTGGAAGAGCTGGATAGTGTGGCGAGGAGGAAGGTCAAGTGGGGGAGAATATCGACTGGGAAGAGCGATGAGAGCCAAGTTGGTCATTTGGGCTTTGGTACGGAAGAGCTCACGATTGAGAAGCCAGTGGAAGGAGAGCACTACAGTGGTCTTTGAATTGGTGGCGAAGGATACGGGCTTGATAGCGTGGATTCTGGAAGATAAGGGAACGAGAGGCACGTTCTGGATGTAACCATCCACGGCAACATGTACCACCACATTATACCGAAATAATAGATAACGCTACGCTAATGTGTGATCGCCTTTACGTAGTCTTCATTGAGACTTGGACATATGGGGTATCTTGGGAGGTCCATCAGACTGCAAGGTATGGATATTAACTGGGAATTATCTTGTGGACGCATTACAGCAAGAAATTACCATTCTGTTCTGTGGTCTCGCGGATAGGGACCGGAAAACCGGCACCTGTATCAACAATTCCGCGATAGTTCGATGCGAACAGAAGTTCCAGCTTTGAACCCACCAACAATGCGATACGTGCTATTTTGTCGCATATTGTCTGCTAGCAGCCGATAGCCGTATTTCCGCACCTTGCCACCACATCTTGAAGCAACTGTTCGTTAATATTCACCTGTTTGAAAGAAAAGACACCGTTCGATAATATGTTCTGAACCAATCAATGACGTTATGTAGTACGGATACAGGTTGTTCCTTTAATTAGGTACGAAAATTAGGAGATAAATCTCGGCACTTTGGAGCCGGTTAACTCGGCCACAAATAGCTTGACATAACAAGGATGTCGTGGCCTTCCTTCTCGAGAAATCCCGGACAGTCTAGCCCAAAATAGCAGCTCCGTTACCCCCAAAGCGGACGAAACGAGGACCTTTTGATCCCAACTCTAACAAAGCGCAAACGCGTGATGTTGCGGGGGAGGCTCTTATTGATTCGTTTTATCTGTGATGCGTCGTTGGGAGTATGTCACTCCTTTGCAATTGCTGGCTGCCCCCCCTGGCAGCCACTCCCGCTCGCCAAGACCAGATATGGCAGTTAATTAGAATCGAACCGCGATGTTTGTGTGGCGATTGATAGCGGCTGATACGACATGCGCCGTTTTACCCCGGATTGAGATCCGTCCGACCTGTATAATTGGGTTTCGAGGCGACCAGGGACTTTTGACGACCCTTTGTCAAACGTTAGGGTCTTTTCAAAAAGTCCCCAACCATCAGATCCCATTGCCGCTCTATCCATCATGATAGCGTGCCGGAAATCCGGAATCGCTTCAGCTGGAGCTTCCTGAGTAAAATGAGCTCCTTTGAGGCAAATCGCAATAAACTACAAAACATCTTGGTTCATCTGCCAAGATATCGTTTGGCTTGTCGACACTCTTCTCTGTTTAGTTTCATGTTTCATATTCATCATGAGTGAGCCAGAGACAAGAAGCACAGAGCTGGAGAGGCCTACTCCCAAGGCGGATATCTATCCTGCCGATGAGAAGAAGGGTCTCTCTAACAACGAGAACGCCTTTGATGATGTCGAGGTTATGTCTTCAAAAGCCGCCCAGCCTCTGGAGACTGCCGAGGATATCGTCACACATGTCATTCAGGTCGATGATGACCCTACGATGAATCCATGGACAGTCCGCATGTTCGCTGTTGGTAAGTGTAGCATCCATCTATCAAGATAAGCTTGCTGATAAGATAGGCATCGGATTGTCTGCCTTTGGTGGTGTTTTACAGGAGATCATGTACTTCAAGCCCCAAGTCGTCTATGTATCAGTCATGTTCTTGACTGTCCTGGCCGAAACACTGGGTACTGGTCTGTCGCATATCATCCCCCGCAAGGGCGTCATCGGACGCTGGCTCAACCCTCACCCATGGAACAGAAAGGAACACACTGCAGCAGTCCTAATGGCATCGGCTGCGTCTGTATCAGCCCTATCCACCGAAGCCCTGTCCGTCCAGAAGCTCTGGTATGGCGGCTACCCTAACCAGGCTGCCGGTATCTTTATCACCCTTTCGTCTCAGCTTATTGGATACGGTATCGCTGGAATGATGAGACCTGTTCTATTGTATCCTACTAAGATGCTCTACCCTGCCAACCTGCCCATCACAACTGTCATGGAGACTCTACACAAGCCCAAGTCGGAGACTAGAAAGAGATTCCAGGTTTTCTGGATTGTCTTTGTTGCCATCTTCTTCTGGGAATGGTTCCCTGAGGTAACTTCACTCTTTATGTGTCATGATTACATACTGACAAGCACAGTACATCTTCCCGCTGCTTTCCGCCGTCTCCGTCTTCTGCCTCATCGATCGCCACAACCCCGTCTTCACAAACCTCTTCGGTGGTTCACAGGGTAACGAAGGCATGGGTTTCTTAAGTGTCTGTTTTGACTGGAACTAGTAAGTCTTCTAATCTTCTGAAATTGTAATCTGGCTAACCTTGAAAGTATCGCGGGTTTTGGAAGTCCACTCTGGATGCCTCTACAGACCTTGTGCAACAGTTTCATTGGTTACATCCTGGGCATTGCAATCTCCATGGGCCTCTACTACGGTAACGTCTGGAGAGCCAGGGACTTCCCCTTCATGGCCCAGCTCCTCTACGACGGAAGCTCTAACACAACGAACCATATTCCCTACAACGAGACCTCCATTATGAACTCTGACTTTACGGTGAATACTGAAGCTCTCGACAAGGCTGGTCTTCCGTATCTCACGGCTACATACGTTAACTACCTCATCACCTCCAACGCTGGATTGACCGCGACTCTGGTACACATGTTTCTATGGAACTACGACGAGATTAGCCTTGGATGGTCTTGGGTTACTATGACAAACCTTAAGAAGTTAATTCGTCCGGAGACGTACTTTTTCTGGAGACAGACGGGTGGTCGCACTGAGGAGGAAAAGACCAAGCTTCGCGACGACCCCACCATCGATCCTCATTATAAGCTTATGCTTGACTACGATGAAGTCCCCAACAGTTGGTACTTCCTCATCTTTGCTGCTAGCTTTATCACTGGTCTTGTCTGTTTGTATGTGATGAAGTCCACTCTTCCTTGGTGGGGCTTCATTATGGCATCCTTGTTTCTGGCCATCTTTCTTGTTTTCTTCGGTGCCCAGTACGCCATGACTGGTTTCGGCTTTAACCTGCAGCCTATCTTCCAGATGTTGGCTGGTTATTGTTTCCCTGGTAGACCGCTCGGTAAGAAAAGTCTTGACCCACGACCGTGTTCCTGATGCTGATCGTTCTTAGCAAACATGTACTTCACGTCGTACACATACAACGGACTTAGCCAGAGTTTCCTTCTACTTCGAGACCTGAAGCTCGCTCAGCAGAACAAGCTATCGCCGAAAGCGACTTTCACCACTCAAGTCATTGGCTGTATTTTGGGTGCACTGCTCAACTACGTGATGATGATCAGGTATGGTTTCCTCTTAACTTCAAAATATAATTGCTAATAGAAACAGTATCGTCGATAACCAAGCACCGATCCTCGAATCAGCAGAAGGAACCAACGTCTGGTCAGGAGCTCAGATCCAACAGTTCAACACCCTCGCTATCGCCTGGTCCATCGCCCCCAAGATGTTCTCAATCGGCGCCCGCTACCAATGGGTCACCATCTCCTTCTTCATCGGCTTCATTGCTCCTCTGCCATTCTACTTTCTTCACCGTCTGTTCCCTCGATCGCGAATTTGGCCATACCTCAACACCTCCATCATTCTCTGGTATCTCGGCTACCTCTTTGTTGGACTCAACGCGTCAATTACAAGTTACTACATCTTGGGAGCTTTTGGCCAGTTCTACCTCCGCCGATACCGCCCGCATTGGTTCGTCAAGTGGAACTACCTCATTTCTGCGGCACTCGATGGTGGTACCCAGGTCATGGTTTTCATTGCCACGTTCGCTGTCTTTGGTGGTTCCGGAAAGTCAGTGCCATTCCCTGCATGGGCGGGTAATAAGGTGAACAATTTTGATTATTGTGTCTACAATGAGTCTGGCTGAGGATCCAATTTCACGTGCGATGAGGGGAGGTCTCAGGATATTCAGTGAGGCTTTAAGTAGCATAGTTTACGCTAAGTTGTAGCAATTCCGAATATCAATTTCAAGAATGAATCATCAGTCTGAATGAACCGAGTAAACAGAAATATGATAATCTCAATCGTTAACGTATGAGTGATAGCTTACAAGAGCGATAATCCCATGCAAAATTTCCGACAAGTAGCTAACTAGGACTACCCATAATAATATGGATATATGAAGTGTATAATATTGAGAATATTTTATACATTACACCACCCTAAGATGATGAGATTTCAGAAAACAAAAGAGTCGATCATAGTTGATATTATCTTACTTTTGAAAAGAAGAAGTTATCCGTAATTTTATATACCTACGCTACACTTCTACTCAGCACTTAGACACAGATTACACAGAATAAGAATATTGGCCAGACTACGCTGAAAATTTAGTTATACTGCATCTACTGACGGATACTATGATGTTGAATTGGAGCCTCAGATATGCAAGTGAGATGACGTAACTCTGCCTAATCTCAACATACCGCAGTGCGGAGTTGCCCCGCGCCAGCGTAACATCCATGACAAATGTCCCAGAGCTTATGACCATAGACTATTCAAAACTACTTCTGTGAGAAATAACAGGAAAATAAAGCTCTATACTATACAGGTCCTCCGGCATGGCTTCTTCCCCCTTCTCTGGCCTCAAAGGCTACACGTCGAAGACCATTCCCTTCAAATCAGGCCCGGATGGCGACATTCTTCTCGATGTGGTTTATCCCGAGGAGTCCGATGGCAAGCCGAGCACTGTCCTCATCCATATCCACGGAGGATTTCTGGTAAGTTTCTTCACTTACCCAATGAGCTTATCTAACAATTTTTCAGATCGTCGGAGACAGATACAGTTTTCTCCCATCCTGGCTTCTCAATGCCGCTTTTGCTCGCAAATGGTGCTTCGTTAGTCCCGAGTATCGACTTCTCCCCGAGTCCACCGCCCACGCATCTCTGGACGACTCCGTTGATGCCTACAACTGGGTGCGCTCCTCACTGTCAGATGTCATCGGCCGTCCTATCAGTTCGGTGCTTTTGGCTGGCTCCAGCGCTGGCGGATATCTCGCACTGGCGACTGCAAACGCTGTCTCTGAAAAGCCAACTGCAGTGCTTCCTATTTATGGAATGTTGGATGCCGCGAATTCGCGATATACGACACCTGGTACTAGTGTTTGGGGAGCACCTCCTTTCGACACGTCCCCTGTGCTGAACAAGTTCCCCAAGGTGAAGGAGAACGATGATCGAAAAGCCATCTCCGCATATCCTCCACCCGAGAACATGGAAAACGACCTTAGATTCAAGGTGGCAGCATCTCTGCACATCGATGCGCTCTTCCCAGACTACATGACGGGAGTTGACGGACTGAGTCGCGAAATTGCAAACAAAGGAATTGATGCCATCCCAGAGAAGCACCGCCGTTTGTTCCCTCTATCATTCGGCGATCTCGCCAAACTTCCTCCAACATTTTTGTTGCACGGCATGAACGACTCGGCTGTCACGGTGGACTGTAGTGTGCAAGCTGAGAAGAAGCTTCGAGAAGTGGGCGTCGATGTAGTGAGTGACTTCCCTGAGGATGGGGAGCATGGCTTTGATGTTAGACTTGGAAACATTGATGTCGAGAAAGCGGATGCAGACAGTGTTGCAAATGTTGAGAGCTTGAGGAATGCTATTCGCTTCCTCGACTCTGCGGTTAAGAACTAGAAACATGACGGATGTCGGTAGATGAAGTTTGTTTGCCCTACTGGGAACTTCCTCCTATGCTTTGTCTTCCATATGATGCTTGTGTGATTCTCCCGGCAATTAGTGGATGTCAAGACGGAGCGAAAAAACCATTCCTTGCAAGTAAGCCACTGCCATATTAAAAGACAAGGATATAAAGTCACAAAACAGTTGATTTAAGATACTTCGTATCGAGATCTACCATTGGCTTCAATCAATTTATCTCGGCCACGACACTCTTGATCACTTCCTCAAGCTTCTCCTTCTCCAGGCCAAGCAGCTCAATAGCATTCGTCTCCCCAGTGAGCGAATGGCCAGCCCCATCTGCAAACAGAAACTGCTCCAGATAGTTGCCAAAAGCACTGAAGTCCCCTCTGGCAATCTTCTCATCTCCAATCTTTTCCAACTCGGCGCTGCTAATACGTGAAATCTCAAATTTGTCTCCAGTGATCTGCTCGACTAGTTGAAGAACTTCATTTTGGGTTGTAGTGACACCTGCGATGTCAAGATATTTGTTCGCTGTCTCATCTGGCTTCTTGAGTATGGCAGCTACAGCATCGCCGATGAATGCGAGTGTGCTTGTAGAATAAGGCTCGTTGCCAGAATCGACAAGGCGGAATTTGCGTTCCTTGATGTTGACGAACCCCCTTTCATTGCGAAGTCCCTGTGGCTGAGTGAGCATTGAAACTATCCCATCGAGTATAATTTACTTACTGCATCGAGAAACAGGCCGTTGGACAGACCGGTCCATGAAAACCATTCATGCTTTTCTGCAAGTTCAATCAAGTAGTCGGTGTTTTGGATCTTGGCAGCGAGGAGTCTGCCGATCTTGGTATCGCGATTCTCTCTTGAAGGAATTCCAAACTCAGATGGAATGAAGCGAGGGACTCTAGCAGCTATGGCAGCATCAATGATGCCTTTTTGTTGACCTGTCGCAGCGGTTGTTACAGTCGATACTACGGCATCTAAGCCGGTGATTGCTTCTTTGATTGACTCCAGCGAGGTGATGTCGACACGCTTGACTGTCACTTTGCTGGGGAATGTTGCCGTAGATTCGTTTCTAGTGATAGCAGTAACGTTGAAACCAGCGTTAAGAAGACTGCTGACGACTTTGGAGCCGAGAAGGCCAGAGCCCTGGATTGTTAGAGCTTAGATCGCTGTGATATCCCACGGGGCGCAGGTACTCACTCCCACAACTGCTACGTTCTGAATAGCCATATTTAATTCAAGAGTCTTCTAAGTGCGAGAAGATTCAGCAAGATTTATGACGGGAAGCAGAAAGGTAGAATGAATATCTCATGATGTTTTGAACTACTCCGCGATGGCATCATTTTTTACTGGGTCGACTGGCTCATTGCACCATCCACGATGCTGTGTTGCGACTTTTGCCCCCACATTGATCTGATACCAGATTTGCTAAAGAAATCGATCGTGGATACAGAGATTCCGCTCTGCCAACGGCGGCTTTTGCTCAGTTCAACTGTGTACTATGCTTGGTAGACAAGTTGAGTCGAGGGTACAGCCTCTGTGATGAAGTTTACACAGCTATTACTTGTATCATCCGATGATGTCATTATAAGTGTATATGGTCGATCCAAACATTGCTGGCTGGTCTTATGAAGGCAGCAACTATTCTAAGAGCAGCTCATAACGTCGTCGTAACATTACAGCTCAACGGCAGGTGGCACATATGCTTCGTGACCATTGTACTTCTATGTATCGTGGCGATACACGTCCGCTACACAAAAAGCCAACCTTATTACTAGTGATTCGACAAGTCGGAAAGAGCCCTGTGGTAAGGCTAGATGTGTCGCAGGTAAGTTATCATTCCAGTCACAAATCCACTTGAGCGAAGTGTAGAGTTGCGTTCGTGGGTGAATGATGGCCCGTACAGTGAGATGGCGAGTTCTTGGAACGGCGATTCAAAATCTAACCCCACCTACTCTCTACTTAGGGATAACTAAAAATAGACAGAGGCTTAAAGTTCAGATACCAAGTCGAGACTCTCTTTCATTTCGCCGGAGACGTCGGACAGTAAACATTGCCATCAAGACTGAAAGCCGCGTAATAACAACAGCAAGTAAGCACTATGTTGAATATAGTTTTGGACCAAGAGAGCCGACAGCCGACCGCCAATTCTCCATAGTCACATACCAGCAGGCATCGTAGACGATGGAAAATCCGGGGTAAAAGCTTCTAGACCAAAATTTGACACAAAGTATTGTTCTACATGCTAGTGTTTTTTAGTGCTGGAAGTGGCTTCCATTAGAGGAATCATGGCAATTACATTACCTGTGCGTGGAACTGGCCTCGGCTCGCCAATACACTTTTCTTGGTGCTATTGAACTTTGCGTTGACGTACATTCCTGCGCCATCAACCGGTTCTGAATCCCATTCTCACTGGACGTTTGATGCATGAAGGAAGAGTACCCACAGGCACAATGAAGATCAGATATTACGGACACTCCTGAGATGACTCGGCCAACACATGTCAGCTGTCGGGATGAAACAGGCCGTTTTCTGACCCCCCCTCGGCTACAGCGGCTCAATCCTACTTCTCGTATGGCTAATTTGGGGACCTTGCTGACGGAATCTTCCTGCATGCAACAGCAAGTGAAAGGAAAACGCACAATGAATTTGTGCCTGGTTCTTTGCACTGCTACGGGCAAACAGAGTACAGAGACTTGTTTACAGTCTGATCTACAGCTTTCGCTCACAATTGTTTGTGGCGCGTTGTTTTGCTGTTGAAGATTTTAAGTTTTGGTGGTCACTGCGGATACTGACAGCCACAGCGTCCTGGCATCTTGGATGGGCGCTCCGTATAGAAAGTGGGAATCATTGTCGCTAAATAAATACCAAATTTGGAGTTGGTGGGTTAAGCTCATTTGAGATGGCGTTGACAAAGTCAGTGTGAACCTTGTCTGTCAGCCTGTCAGCGAATGTTGCTTTTGAGGCGGCGCAGGAGCCTCACTTTAGCACTCGAGGGGTCTCTTCTCAATGCGACGCCTGTTGGGCAATGCCCGGGACAAGCAAGTAACTCCCGTGTCTCTAATGAAAAGACAATGCTATTGTCCTTGCATTTTGGACATGTCATGGTCTAGCGTCGACTGAGAAAATCTGCCTCCCCGCCGCCAAGAGATCGATCGACGGCTACTCTCAGGGGTAGCCAAGAAACCAAGACGCCTCTGGGCACACGAGCAACACACACATCAGCAGTAGAATGACGATCGTTTTTATTTCGTCCGTCAAGAAGGAAGGTGCGCAGTCTGGCCAAATGAAGAAATGCCTCACATGGTCGCAGACATGTTACAGTACCCCATGGCGCAGCCTAGCGTAAGATTAATTGATCCACGATTGAATGGTTCGAGCCTTTGGTCGACTCATTTAGCAAAGGGGGCCAGGGCCCCTAGAAATGAAAGAGAGGAATCGGGTAAGCGGCTTCTCTTGAGATGGAAATAGGAAACAAAGGGGGCCTTTTATGGCTAGAAAAACAAGGAATGTTCCTTTTTCTGGGGAAGGTTGAGCTGAAATCTTGGATAGGGCTCCAAGGTTTATGATGCTATGCTTTTTCAATTTTGTTAATTATTGTTTTGTTTTGGCGATGGACACGATGATCATGCAGGTTGACGGCAGAGTTGTAACTATCGAGCGCCTCGTCAAGCCATTTTCTGTCGCTCATCCAAAAGAGCTGTGCTTTTTCTGCTGAGTACCTCGGTGAACATTTTCAGAGGAAAAAAAGGGAACGTCGCTTGGACAGGAAAAAGGAACGCGCCGCACCCCCTGAACAAGTCGCGTGACCTTACTCGCCCGAGCGTGTACCGTACATCCTTGCTTGGATCTTTTGGCCTGTCAGCTCAGGGTACGTACAGAATCAGGGAGGAAAAACAAGACTTCAACACCTTCTTTTCTGTGCCGTTCCGAGCGTGGCTTGTAATTTGCATTGCAAATCCCCCGAGCCAGCCAATCAGACGAATGTTATGACCAAGTCAGCGTTCGGTTAGTCGGAACCGTTTTTTTCCCTGCTGGAAAGATGGAGAACTTGAAATACGAGCTGTTGAAACCGCCACTCAATCAAAGCAAATTGTTCTAGCCCTAGGACTGGAGACCAATGCAGAAGCTGCCGGTGCCAGGGGCTCGCTCACAGACTCGGCCATTTCCAGTTAATGACCAAGTGATCGATCCCATCCCCTTTTGTAGGTCGTGTTACGTAGCAAAATTAGGGCCCTTTTATAGTGGGTGGGCTGAGCTGAGGCACTGAACGCTGAGCACTGGGCTACACGCGAGCAGTTGCTGTTTTTATAACAAACCCAGCCTAGCTTGGGGCCTACAGATCGGTAGTGCAAGTTAATTTAGGGGGGAGGAGCCTGGATGAGTATCCGTAACGTAAATGTAAGATTTCAGCCAGATCCTTTTTAATGACATGAGCATCCTACTCCCCCTCGGCCCTGATCTGACGTCCTCTCTTTTTTGCTGCTGCTCTTTTTGGCCTCTTCTTCCATACTTAACTTTTCATGGCCTTTTTTGTTCTGTATATTAATCGTTTTGGCTGCACAAGCTAGACAAGACGGCCCCATCACCGGCATCATCATCATGTTTGCGACACTCGTTCCGTTTTGTTTTTCCACAATCTTTGTTTCCTTGACGTTTACCAAACTGGTCCACCTTTCCATCCACGCCAAGACCGTCTCGCCCGGCGCCCTCGTCCTTTTCCTGCCGTCGCTTCTACTTCCTGATGTTTTAGTCATTTACGTGTCGCGCCTGGCGCTGCGACAGAAGAAGGGCGTCTTTGCTGTGGGAGCCTGTGTTTTAGGCTGTATATTCTCGTGAGTTGCATTCTTGTTTGCGTCCAACACCGAATTGGACTGACCATTCCAGATTTATTCTTTTGGGCGCCTCGGCTTCTCAGCTTGGCTTCTTTTACACAACGGGTAATGAGGTTAAATGGTCTGAGGCGAGAAGTTATGCCGGCGATGCCAAGGGCATGAAGATTCTGCTCAGCGGAATTAACTCTGTCCTCGCAGCTGGAGCCATTATTGTCGTTGTTGCTTGGATTGCGAAATGGTTTCTTTACAGAGCTGTCGGTTCATTAATTACAATGGTTGGAACACCTATTGCATATGGTACGTTCAATCAACATGTTGGACCACTGGGTCAAGTGCTGACAATCACATAGCTTGGCAGGCTATCCGAAACCGACGTCGCTCATCCACCAAGACCAACACATACGAATCCGACAGCGACTTCGAGGATGTTGAAGTCGCCAAAGAAGGCGCCCGACTTATCGAGGACGATGCCGCCGAAGAGACAAAAACCAAGCCCCGAACATGGATCATCCTCGCCATTATATCCGTCTTCTTATTCCTTACCACCGCTTTCCGACCTTCCGCTCCTTATACAATGATGTCCATGACACTCCCCCGCGCTATGCTGGATATGTTCAAGTCTCCTGCACCAGAGTGTAACGCAGTGAGCGGCAACTGGCCTCTGACCGACCTCATTGCTTCCGATAAGTGGGAGGACCCCAGTGGACGCTTCCCTGGCTGGACACCAGGCCAAGTCGGCGAAGCTGCGCGCAAGTACCGAAACACAGTCCCCGAGTGGCTGCCTACCGAGATCCCTCACGGCTTCTCCAAATGGACTCCTGCAGACAACACGACTGACGAAGAGCCCGAACCCAAGTCCACCAACGCCTGCGAAGCCCCCAAAGCCGATGGTACCTTCTACAACCCTGTTCTGGACCCAATGAAGATCTCCAACCTCGACACCGACATCCTCGACGTGCTGAGAGAAACGCTCAAGGGCGGAGACGTCAAGATCAAGCATGTGGCACTCATCATGATGGAGAGCTACCGCGAGGAACTCTTCCCCCTTCAGCAAGATTCACCCTACCACAAACTCATTCTCAAGTCACACAAGGGTGAGGACGAAGACGAAGTCAACGAGAAGCTGTCCCACCTCAGTCCCGTCGCCGAAAGACTCACGGGCAAATCAGGAAACTGGAAGAAGAAGGATGGCTCAGAGTTTGAACACGTGGCGATCCCGCAGTGGAACGACACAGCAGCGGATGGATACGGAGGTATTAACGTCGTGGGTGGTTTCACCACATCTTCGCTGTCATTCAAGAGTATGGCTGCTATCCACTGTGGCGCATGGTCCATGCCTGTCGATGGCTTTGAGGAGTCTGAGACAGACAGCTACCAGCCTTGCATCCCCCAGGTCCTGGACCTCTTCAACAAGATCAAGAAGGATAAGAAGTCGGACGACTTTTTGGAGCAGCAATGGTATCCCGCCTTTTTCCAGTCCATCACAGATGGTTACGATCGACAGGATAAGTTCGACAAGAAGATCGGTTTCAAGCACATCGTGACGAAAGAGGTTCTCGAGGATGACAAGAAGGATGGCGACGACCTTGAGGAGATTAACTATTTCGGCTTCGCTGAGACGACACTCAAATCTCATATCCATGACTACCTCAAGCAGGTTAAGGACGAGGGCAAGCGCATGTTCTTTTCACACTTCACCAGCACAACTCACCATCCCTGGGGTGTACCCGAGTCGTTCGAGACGACCGATTACCTGAAGACCAACGGAAAGATGAAGTGGCACGAGGACTTTAACAGCTACCTCAACGCTGTGAGATTCACCGATGCCTGGTTGGGCGAGTTGCTACAGACCTTTGACGAGTACGGCTTGACAAACGAGACTCTGGTTGTGTTTGTCGGAGACCACGGCCAGGCCTTTAAGGAGGACCAGAAGTCCAAGATTGGAACCTACGAGAACGGCCATGTCAGCAACTTCCGCGTGCCTATCACCTTCCGTCACCCTCATATCCCCCGAGTTCAATACAACGCCAACGCAACATCACTCTCCATCCTCCCCACGATCCTCGACCTCCTCATCAACACCGGCTCCCTCAACGAGAAGGACCAAGACGCTGCCTCGGACCTCATCCACGACTACGAAGGTCAATCTCTCATCCGCCCATATAAACCCATTCACAACGGCCGCCGAGCCTGGAACTTTGGCATCGTCAACGGTGGAGCAAGCATGCTATCTATAACCTCTGCCGATGCACCCTGGCGCATAGTCATCCCCCTTGATGACTCGACACAATATAGATTCACCGATCTCAAGAACGACCCTCTTGAGCGCAGACCGCTGGAGAAGTGGACTCTGGAACTTCTCAAGATCGCCGTTGAGAACAAGTTTGGAGAGGAAGCTGCCACATGGGCCGCTGAGGCAGATGCGGTGTCCAAGTGGTGGGGTCAAGAAAGAAAGAGACTATGGGGATATGATCCATCAGCTCATAAGCAAGATTAGATTGATGATTAAGTAATGTAATGCGAATGTTTAATGGTTTTAACTGTATATCCCATGATGGTTGTGATTGATAGTGTCGATGTGGACGGTCGTCGACACAGATTGGCACTCACTTGGCTGTGTGTTTTACGCAGGATAGTCATACTAGAGGACTTGAAAATCACAATGTATCTCTGACCATAAGCCAGACGAGGTTACACAATGCGACAAATAAGGCTTGAAAAGATAGGTTATGAATGTAAAATTGTCATTTTGCTATCACAGCATTATCTCATACTGATGCTCCTCTAAACTCAAAGAAAACAACAATGCGCCATGTAATGTCTATCCAAGCTGACATCTCCAGAACCGCCCAATGCAATTTTCATGCAATCTAAAACTACAATAAAATAGATCTTCCGTTTAGTGCCCTGAAATCTGCTTCTTGTTCGCTAGTCTTCGCTCCTCAGCAGCGACCATGTCTATTAAGCGTTAGTTATAGCTCCAATATGTTCAATATGGTGACTTACCCTTCCAGAGATCTTGGCCCTCGTACTCCTCCTTATGCACCTTCGTCTCGATGATCTTGGTAGGATCATTGGGATCCACCGTTCTGATGATCTGCCATCTGCTGTCGCCGTTCTTGAGATCTCTCATCTCGACCACGGCAGACACAAGCAACACGGCTAGTGTCAGGCCCTGGGCGTAGACACGAGCTTGCACAATCTTGTTGGCTGTGTTCATGGGCTGTCGGCTGACAATGGCAAAGGCGACACCCATTGAGGCCAACCATGACAGGAAAACGATTTGATATCGGTTCTCCTTGGCGTATGACATGAAGCGCTCGTAGGACGACTCATTTTCTCGGATGAGCTGTGCTGTGCGGGCGGCTTCGTCCCTGTAGGTTCGCTTGGGATCCTGGGCGATCTGGTACGCGATACTCCATCGCTCAGCGTTGACAATGGCGCCAAACGTGCCGGTTGATGTGACGAGGAATGCTCTGAAGGGGATAGTAAGACCTCTAAAGGTTGGGTAGCGTCTGGAGGCGAAGATGACACCTCCAATACCGACGGCTGTGAAAAAGGTACCACCAATGATACCGCCCTTGAGGACTTCGGCGTAGTGAGCCTCCTCTTCTTGCTTGGTGAGAATCTTCATGATTGGAGATAAGGATAAGAGACGGATAAGAGCGATAAGGATAAAGATAAAAGATAAGAAGCTAATGGGGATTGGTTTGGATGCTTGACAAGGTACTGTGGATAAGTGTGTGTGGGAGTGTTTGTTTGTCCCCAACTGGCAAGCATGTTTATATAAAGAGAGCAAGTCTGCAAAGTTTTACCTTGATACCGGGCGAAGCCGCGTCGACCTGATTCCTCATGTCATCTTGTCGCATGATTACTCGAATTCGGGTTACTTATGCCGCAGCTAAACCCGCACCGCAAATGCCGCATACGCCGCTTCAGCCCCACGGTCCCGCCCGAATTGCGGCGATTGATGCCGCCTGTGGAATCATTTACGGGGCCGCATGACCGTTGTTGGCATTGATTCCAGTGAACAAACTTTTTTGCATTTTCAACGTGCTTCTTGCTATGGTCAATGAATAGTAAGTTCTAGTGACGATCAACGGCGATGCCGATAGAATACGCGTTCAAACAAGACCAGAGAGTCGGTGTATGCCTGGCATGTATCAAGTGTTAGAAATGGGATGTTGTCATCCGGACCGACTCGATTCTGGGCTCAGATCTGTGACAGTCAAGAGCAAAATCGGCCGAGTTGACGAGACGAAATTCATGGGGGGCATGTTGCTCTTATATATTTCTCTGCGTGAGCCCTGGCCCTTAGGGGAGACAGTGTCGGCATCAATGCCGGCGTAGGCTGACCTCTCCACTACGACCAATACATTACGAGGATTAACGTAGCAGCAACCTTTGTGACTATAATAATGCTCAGATATTGCATCAAGAGGACTGGCTCCCCCTGAGTGATATTGACGTAAAACTCCAGTATCTTATTTCTCTGACGGGCCTACATAGACCTGGAATCGTCAGTTGGAACGAGATTCTCCGGCCTCCGTGAACAGCCTGTTCTATCGCCCACATATGCTGCCAGATCCACAATCGTTGATCTTGATACATATGCCGAAGAGAAACGGCACTGCCGATGTCATCAGCAGCTGGTTACGTCATCTTTCTGGTTCTCGATATGGTAGTCTTCGTGACAAGGTTGTATCGATCAAGATTCTCTAGATCAGCCCCGATTGCTTCGACAAATAGTTAAAGTGCTTTAGCCTTTTATAGATGACGTGTGTTTTGATAATGGTTTTGTTTGTGTAAAGGCGTTATGATAAGTTCAGCAGATTTCGGCCATGAGAATTTTGCTCTCCAGTGAGATATGTCGAATCAACCACTAGTATCCGTAGGTCAGTGAAGATAGTTTATAAACAATCCGGATTGGGCAAACACTCAGGGCTGGCCACAGATCTTATTCTTTCACTCTAAAGCGACTGTATTTTAGATCATTTTATGTTCAGCAATCAAGATTTAAGTATCTGTAGATAGTGGCAAGAACTGAGCGTTCTCTCTATCGCGATACTTCACCCTAGACCTAAAAATCTCAAATAAAAGCCTGAAAGATATTTGTATTTACAATCCCGTAAATGGAAAGGTTATAACTTAAATATATACCAGTTGAAAAAAAAAGTATTATACTTTCTACACCTGCCCCCATCTCTACTAAAACGTCTCAAGGATAGCTCATGTGTTCCACGTCCAGTCCCAAGCACTAACACAATCCCGACACTCCCAGCAAGTATGGCTGTACCAGTGATACTGCGGCGCAGACGAAACTACCTGGAGGTCTGTAACCTCTCTCTGTCCACGGGCAAGCACACAGTTCATGTTCGAGCTCCACTCGAAACCCCAGGCGTGACAGTCGGGGTTAGTATGGCAGAGGATGGCGCAATGCACAGGTTCTGTGACAGCAGGGGTCCAGTTGAGTGGGAGTTTTGTGTACTGTTGAGGGTCTGCTCTTATGAGCGTTCCGCCGCATGGACCCTGTTCTTTCTCAAAGGGTCGGTAGCAGATTCCTTGGCCGTTGCTCCACTCGCAGGGTTGCTCAGCAGGGCCAGGCGTGGGAGTGACTACCTGGGAGAGAGTTATGTGTGACACCGATGGGAAAACAGGCTTGGATGTGATGGAGCGGACAAAGGTTGTGGGAGGCTGACTCGTAGGTGCAATCGTAACTTCATCCGTAGGCTCACTTGTGGGCTCCCTTGTAGACGCAACGATAGTCTCTGTGCTGGGCTGACTCGTAGACTCGTCCCTACAAGGACAATCCATACAAGAGAGGTCGTGCCAGTAGTAAATACCCTCTGCCACTGAATCCTTGTTGGGATCTTGAGCCATGACAAAGTCATCATCATGAACGGCGTGGCTTGAGAAGCGACAAGATCGATCGGATGGCATCCACGCCGCAGATCTGCAGCCGGGTGAGAGAGAGCACCATGATACACACCACATCTGGCTCAAAGCCATAGGGTAATCGTGAGGTTTCTCAACAGCGTATCCAGCACCATCACTTCCTGGCCATCGTCCCCTGTAAGCACAGCGAGGATTGCTTCCACCCTGTGACAAACTGTTCCAACGACATCCGTCGTTCAAAGATAGAGGACAGGTGGAAGCAGCAGGAAGCTTGACCTCAGAACTGGGCTTAGAGGTAGGTTGGTGTGTTTGTGTCGTCTCTTCCGGTTCCGGTAGGCTAGTTGTGGTAGTGACTGGTTCATCCTCGCAAGGACAGTTGAAGCAAGACAGATCGTGCCAGTAGAAAACACCCTCAGTGTCGAGATTGGGGTCAGGACCATGAATGAAGTCGGCGTCCTGAACTTCATGCTCAGAGAAGCGACATGTGTTGTTGTCGGGGTCATGGGCCACAGACTTGCAGCCAGGGGAGAGAGAACACCAGCCCAGGCACCACAGCTGACTCAAAGGCTTAGGATATCCTTTTGGTTGGGGAACCAAACGGCCTTGACCGCTAGGACCCGGCCAGGAGCCACGACTGGCGCAGTTGACCATGTCTTCGCCGCTGTCAGGACGCTTCCACCAGCATCCTCCGTTGAGTGATTTGGAGCAGAAGGGAGGGTCGACGTCTGTGCTGGTTGTGGCCACGACAGGGGCTGAATGAGTTTGGGTTCCAGTTTCGAACCCTGTGGTAGTGTCGAGGTTGGTGTCTGGCGTTGAGGTTTGCTGATCTTCAGACTGTGTTGTAGTAGGTACAGCATCTGTTGTAGTCTGTGGCCCCACAGCAGGAGGGTCAAGAGGAGGGTTGGCGCCAGTACCACTGTTGCCGAAGTCAATGGAGAAATCGTCGATGGTTTGGGGTGTAACGAGGTTGGAGATGAAGACAGAATCAACGAGAACTGTCGCTCCGCCACCGATAAGACAGTTCATTTCGATGCGCAGGGGAGCGTTGACTTGTGCCGGACTGACAGATTTGAGAACCTCATTCCACGACACGGCCATGCCGGAGCTGAACACCCAGTTCTCGTAGAAGACAGCACCGCCGAGGAAGGCCGTCAATTGGCAGAGGTTGATGGCTTGGGGACTAGTAATGACGAGGTAATAGAAGCGTATAGTATAAGGTGTTGTCGTGTCGAGAGCGGATAGAGTCTGCGAGATACTGACGGAGATACCCATAGCTCGCTTGCCATCGCCAGTGTTGGAAGCACTCATAGCGGCAGCGCCTCGTTCTGTACTCCCTGGTACTTCGCGTCCTTGACCTCCGACAATCTTGGCTTCTCCCACAACATCCCAGCCAGGGACAGCAAGAGGATCGGTAGGGTCGACCTCACCCATGTTGCCGTTGACGGCCAAATTGCGCACCTTTGGAAGGGCAACATCGCTGGGTGTTGCTGAACTTGTTGGCTCAGCAGTTGATGAAGCCAGTGTGGGGATGGTATTGCTGGATCTGGGTTTACAGGCACTGCCCGCGACAAAGTCAACGGTGCCTGAGATGGCGAGAGCCGCGAATGCGAGCACGGAACGCATTGTGAACGAGTGTAACAATGGAGCCTAAAGAATGGACACCAGGCGATCGAATGGAGTCTGGGGAGGGACAACTCCTATTTAAGGGACTCCATTCCCAACGACTTCCAGACAAAGTTGCTGCATGGTCTAGCTTGAAAGATATGGCCATCAGCTGTAAACTACGACGGGGCTTCGATCTAATCTGAGCAAGCTAAGTTAATTGGCGAGAATATTGGCATAAATATTCCACATTGAGCCAAGTTGAAGCATTTGGCCATGTCCGAAAAAGCGCTTTCTTTTGATTTCGGGGTTCATAGTGGGCCCTGAGAGCGTTCGGGAACGCAATAGTGTGCGGCGCTATTGATCGATAAACCGCAAGACCCCTGGGGCTAGCTGAGCGGCTTGGACACGTTGAGGATAGTGGAATCGTTTAATTTGAAGTATTTTGCGGCTGAAGCTCGAGTTGGGTTCACATCTAATGAGCACCATGTTTCCCCGTTCTCATTGTTGAGAAAGCTTCCATGCACGGTGTCTCAGTGTGAACAATGTGAAGAACATATTAATTTGAAGATTGACTCTATCTCTACTACTGGCTGCCCATAGATAGTTGCTAGGCTTGTACGTAACTGCCAATAACACAATGTTACATAATTCCAGGCCTAGCAAAACTCACTGGATTACCAGGCCATCTTGGCAAGCAGACCAGTAGGCCACCTCCTCACACCATACTTTCTAGCCTCATCCAACAGAAGCTGAAACATGCCGAAAGCGAATGGGAGGAACCAGTGCTCAACGGGGACTCCTGTGGTACCAAGGACAGGTCGCAGTGGGGGGATATACAGCCAAAAGATAGCCATAGCAAGGGAGAAGAGAATGGCAGGGAACAGATACCAGTTCTGTGTCTCTCGGTTGAACAGTGGTGGATGCTGGAAGATACTGAGGCGGCGAGTTCGTGTAGCCATCAGGTTGAACCACTGCATCACAACAAGATTGACAAAGTAGATGGACGATGCTTCATTGGTCTTGGCCAGGTAATAGTCTGGGTCAATCCCGTCAGGCATCTTGCCGAATGAGAACCAGAGCTGGCTGAACGGGATGCCTTGGCGTTGGAGATACCAAAACGACATGGCGAAGGAGGCAACTGTTTGCAAAACTCCGTTGATGCCGTAGGATTGGAAAATGAGCTGCCAGTTGACGAGGCGATCCTTCTTCACGTTGCGGGGACGGCGAGTGAGAACGTCTGCTTCGGGCTTCTCGTAAGAAAGCATAGTAGCAGCGGCGCAATCAGTGAAGCAACTGTGCAGGATTAGTATGGTTCTGATGTGGCGAAAGGCTAAAAAGGGAGATCCTACCAGATGATGATCATGAGGAATGATGAAAGAGCTTGGGGCAGTCCGAAGGCAACAAAAGCCATGACGGGCCAGAACTCAGAGAACGAACCAGCAGGCAACAGGTAAGAAATGACCTAGAAATTATAAGCTTTGGTGATCATCGTAGGACTTCATGGTGTATCTTACCTTCTTGAGATTGTCAAACACAACTCGGCCGTACTGCACAGCGACGATGATTGAGGAGAATGTATCCAAGAGGACCATATCAGCCGCCTCCATGGCAATGTCAGATCCACTTCCCATCGAGATACCGACATCTGCAGCCTTGAGAGACGGGGCATCGTTGACACCATCGCCAGTCATGGCGACAACGCTGTTGTGCTGGAACTCACGGACGATACGGAGCTTCTGTTCGGGTGTGGTACGAGCAAACACAATTTCTTCGTACCGTGTCAAGTTCGCCCACTGATATTCGTTGAGAGCCATGAGTTCAGGGCCACTGAGGATGATAGCACCGGGATGAATGCTGGGCTCATCCTTGCTCTTGAGAGACACGGAGCCTTCTGGACTGCTACCGTCTGCGAAACGATGGAGGGCTGTGCTGTCATCGACGGCATGGGAGGTGATAATACCGGCATCGCGGGCAATGGCCAAAGCAGTAAGAGCAAAGTCGCCTGTGACCTATCAAACAATTATTATTGTTCCTTGTGGCTGTAATCTGCGACAAAACTTACCATTGCAATTCGGATACCAGCGCCACGTAGAGTGCTAACAACATGTGGAATATCGTGTCTCAGAGGATCGACAATGGCCACAAATCCAACCAGGGTAAGGCCAGACTTGGATTCACTGGTGATCGCCTTCTCGTACGAAATGTTCTCAACGTCTTTGGGAAGATTGCCACTCTTGATGGTCTTGCGTGCGAGTAACAGACAACGCTTGCCTTGACTGGAGTACATGTTCTTGAGCTCCTCGAGCTTAGCCCTCATAGCGGCATTGAGGGGGACGGTCTCAGAGTGTTCAGAAACATAGTAAGAGCAACGGTCGATGAGAACATCGGGGGCACCCTTGATAGTCAAAAGCCTGAATACTGTGATTAGCGCTGGTTCGAATAGAGGCAGTTCATTAACTTACGTGTCCTTGACGTCGAAGTTAGAGTCTTTGCTCAGAGTTTGAGAGATGGCTTCATCTCTTGAGGAGGTGAAGCAACGGATCATGAATTTGTTCTTGCTGTTGAAGGCGAGGTCGTATGTCTTCTTCCAGCACGAGCGCAGGTAGGCGACACTGCTCGTGTCGACGAACTCGGCAAAGCGGAGGATGGCTTGGTCAGTGGCATCACCAAAGATCTTTCTCTCTGCCAAGGGTGCTTCCATGGTGGCGGCATCGAACTCGGAGGCATTGCAAAGAGCAGCCATAGCTCTGAGCTGGATGATGGGATGTGTGGTAGACTTGGATAAGCCCATCTTTGCCCTTGCATCCTCGACGGCCATGTTAAGACCGCCAATGGCGCAGTCGGAGACTGTCATTTTGCCCTGCGAAGGATATCAGAATTGGCATGAGAGATTCAAAGGGGAGGGGGCTTACAGTAGTAAGGGTACCGGTCTTGTCGGAGCAAACAACGGATACCGATCCCAAGGTCTCGACAGTCTTGAGGGACTTGCAGAGAATTTTGTTCTTCTTCATGAGGTTTGCAGTGATGGTGAGACCAGCAGTGATCGAAATAGGAAGACCTTCAGGGATAAAGGCGATAGCGACACTGACGCAGTTGACGATGAGTGTTGGAACGTTGATGAAATCGGGATGCTTGCTTCTCAAAAAGGTGCCCCTGTAGAACGTCAGAGTTAGTGATGCAGTCGTTCGGAAGATGAGATTCTGACTTACCAGATGATGCAGACGATAGAGATCATGACGATCATGATACTGGCGATAATTATCACAAAGTACAAGACTTCCCTCTCGAGAGTGGTCATCTTGACCTTGGGTTCATTAGTGAGACTCGCGATGCGTCCAAACACAGTCCTGTCACCAGTCGCAACGACAATTCCAGTGCACGATCCGAGAATGCAATGAGTTCCCTGAAGGCCAATATTGTGTGTCTCGAGGTAGTTCGTATCAGTGTGGTCAACAGTTCCGGCCACAGGCTTCGATTCGCCGGTAAGCACTGATCGATCAAACTTGACATCAGATGAGACCTGCACAAGGCGCATGTCCGCTGGAAGTTTGTTGCCGGCTTTGACACGGACGATATCGCCAGGGACGACGTCTGCGGCACTGAGATGGATGAGCTGGCCGTCGCGGACTATGTCACCTTCTTCGGGCAGCATCTCCTTGATTGAGGACATGGTTCGGGATGTGGACCAGTCCTGGAACATGTTGAAGAGGGCTTGGATGAAGAAGACGGCGAGAAGGACGATTGCGAGGGCCTAAGATACAAGTTTGGTTAGCAAGTTTTTACGTTGGCAAGAAGGCTTAAGCAATGCTTGTTCGATAGTAGCACATACCAAGTTGGCGACGGCTGGAGGATCTCCTAGAGGTTACCAGGAAATGAAAACAAGGATGCAACCGATGAGAAGAATGCTGCCAAACCCGCCAAAGAAATACAAGAAGATAGTTCTAAACCAATGGGTCTTGGCAGGCGAAGGGGCATTTCTGCCGTACTCAGCCTGCCTCCTCTTGGCCTGATCGGCAGAAAGGCCCTCTGTGATGGAAGTGGTGAGTCTTTTCTCAACATCGATGGTCGGGAGAGTGTGCCACTCGAGATCCGTCAACGCTATTTATCGCACGCATCCGTTAGTAACATTCCCATTAAAGAAGAATAAAAGATAGATTACCTTTCGTAGTGACATCCTTAGCTCTAGCAAGTTCGGCTTGCTCTTTGCCTTTGGACTCTTCGATATCAAACGAACTATCACGCGCGTGTAAGTAGAACGTCTAGAAACATAGAGAGACACTGAGCGTACACTGTACGATAGGTGATGGGCAAGGCGAGACTGGGATCGCCACGGTTCATAGAGTTTGCGCGATGGATGCTCAGAGAACCTCTTGAAAGAGAACGGCGGTGACTTGATCGCTCACGACGGCGAGACCTGCGCAGATCTTCGTCGTCATCTTCCCAATTGATGCGCTCACCAATTTTGGGCGGGGCTTTTTCGTCAGGATCCATGGCAGAGAGGATTGGGGAGAGACAGTCAAGAAGACAGCAAGACAGGAGTGCAAGATAATTGTGTAGACAGTTGAGGTAAGAGTGGAAGAAAGAAGGCGGGTGAAGTGGTGGAATTCGAGGTGACTCGAGCTGGTAGAAATAAAAAAAATAAAGCTGGGTCAGTTTGGACGCCAAATTGGCGCTTCTGATTTGTCTAGATCGTTATGCACCCTCATCCCATCCCAATGTCATCATCTAGACCCTTTCTGCCTTTCAACAGAGCCCCCCCTCCATTTCAGCCCGTAGCGTGCTTCAGTTCAAAGAGCATGGGGTGCGGTCAATTTAGGGCGCGGGAATAAGAGATTGGGATCCCAAGCTTGAACCACGTCCACGCCCATGGGGGTGTCAGAGCTTGGACCCGGGTCAGCAAAACCCGGTCCTGCATCCTTCGGTTAGCCTCGATCGAGGAAGCTGCCGTTGAGCGGCAGAGTCGGATGGTACCTCTTGTGGAAAAAAGCTCTGTATTTGGTGTAGTCTTGAACTCGGCTGAGTGGGGGAGAGAGTTTGGGCACGTGGGAATGGCTGCTGTAATGGTAATGCACAATATGTGGGCTTTGGGATTTTTCTTGTTTCGATCTCTGAGCCCGTGTCCACCTCATTTCTGTTTTTCGTACTTCTTGTGCCTGATAATCGCGCTTCCAAATACGTATTGACTACTAAACTATCATATCCACTGGGTCTTCACATATTAGTCACCGAAACAAATATGAAGTAAATCTGTGGAAACTTTACGAATTCAAGAAAGGTAGCATGTAATATAGGTCTCATTCATAGTTGAGCTTATCAAGTCCTCGCTTTTTAAGTTGAGTCAACCGTGCGTTGATTTACAAGTATATTAAGCATAACCCGTTCTAGGAGCTACTTGCAGGAAAGCTGAAGAAGATCGACAAGCTGTCATATTTAACGCGCCATTGTTATTATCCCCTGCTGAACCACCAGCGACTATGGGGAACCCAATCGCGGTCCGCGTTGGTAACGCACGTGGAACTATATCCTTGGAGGCAGGGACCGATGCAGAGTGAAACGGGAGATTCGTCAAGTTGCTACTGTCATGGCATGTAGAGCTTGTCGCTTTTGGGTGTGTCTCTTGGTCGAATTTCCGACAGCTGGAGGTTGTTAGCACCGTCACTGGCTGCAATACGTGGGGGGCGGCTATGCACGGGAAAGGCACCGGGATGAGCCCTACCTTTGAGAACAGTAGAGAAGTTGATGATCGCGGGGGGTAAATTCCTTCTCGCATATCATACTAGCACAAAGGAGGTCAGCGGCCTGTCCCAGCTACAAGTTTACACCATTCAAACCGTAGCTGAACGTACCAAAAATATGGGAATATGTTTTCTTCTTCAGCCGTAAACGCCAAATCCTCATCTGGTTGCTCAGCTGGACAACGAGCTATTTTCGAAGGCGTATGTGGATTTATCATGGGGATTCCTATAGGGACAGCGTTGGATCGGCGGTGGCTGTGCTTTACACGACGATGATACATCAGACCAACGATAACGTCAAGCAGAACAAGATTGAGTGAAATCGGCCAGTCGAAACCGAGAGAAGTTATCTTGAGATGCCTCTTATCTTATTATCTTAAAGACTCCCTCGACTGTGGTGGAAATCACTTTGAGTAGTCCGAGTCAGTAGTGGGGGTCCTTAAAGACTTGCCTGACAACTAGATGCTAGATGCACGTTACAGCCGAGGGAGCTACCCCTGCACTTTCAATTCTTACGACTCAACCAATGAAGAGAAGCTCATTCCATCTGAGGGTGTCATCTCCACATGAGACAAGAGAAATCTGCAGGATCAAAGGTCAAAGCGTCTCGGGATCACAAAACAAGCATTTTCTAGGGCCACACTAAAACGGGCCAAGATTTTACGATCTCGCTTGGCAGCGTAGGGGTGTGTGTAAATTCGCACAAATCACCACCAACAACAAACCGCTCAAGAGGCCTCCTTTGTCTCCTCTCCTCTCCTTGAGCGGTTTGTCGTGTGACTACACATCTCATTACCAATAGTAATCCTGGGGCTATGCAAAACATGCCCTTCTAGCTTATTTACTTTGCCGCTGACAAGCGCTGGTCGGAACAGTAGGGCTTCTCCTCCCTGCGTCAAAGACCCTGAAATGACTATCAAACAGTGAATGCTAATTTCCGCGGTGGAGAGACAAACGTAGAGTACTGTACCAGAGCTTGAGAAGAATGACTTGAAGTCTTGTGGTCTAGCCCGAAGATGATAGACTCCCCCAAGGAGGCATGAAAATGAAAATCCCTCACCAGTATTTGGCAAATTGAGACGTTCACATGTATGCCAAGTTGGCTTATTAGCCTGTCCCCAAGCAATCAATACTGTGCACCCGACTGTTTCTATTCCCACAGCTTCAACTCTGCGCTTCAACATTCAGATTGTCGCAAGGTCTGCACTTATTCTCCGCATGGATTCAGCAACAAATGGTCAAATCAATCTTTCAGACGACGATTCTTCGGGTTTTGATCACAGCGATGGCGAAGACTCTCTCTCCGACCGGGAGAATTACAGTGGCCTCCCTGCGATAACGCCTATTCCCGAGTCACGGTTCCGGCGCAACGTCTGGAGCATTGTCGGTAGCATTCGAGGTGAATTACATAGCCCCATTGCCCAAACCTTATCTCCCATGGCATTTGACTGATTGGTTTGGTGTTTGCTAGGAACCCTTCGAGATCTATACGAGTCTATCAGCAACGCCTCATACCAGAGCTTACGACCTCACGGATCGACTGTATCAGTACAATCGCTCTCGGATTGTTCAGAACGATGCGCGACACAAAGTTGTTTTGCGACATCGCTTGGAGCGATGCTCTTGTCTTCATGGGTCAATAGTCTGCTCATATTTGTGGTCGCTGGTACTGTGGCATACATGGCCAATGCAGGTCCACTGTTGACATTTACATGCAACGCCATTGCAATCGTACCCTTATCCGCACTACTCACAGACTCGACAGAGGTAATCGCAGCCAAGGCAGGTGATACAATTGGGGCATTACTAAACATTACTTTTGGAAACTTGGTCGAGCTTATACTTTTGTAAGTCAAACATCTTCCTGGCCATGCACAAGCTAACTGAGGCATTGTTTTAAAGCGTGTAAGTAATGCATACCGTCACGAGATTCTCCCAACTGATTGCAATAGAATTGCCCTCAAGAACGATCAGATATATATAGTTCAGGCCTCAATTCTCGGTTCTATACTCGTAAACTTGCTCTTGGTCTTGGGCTCAGCCCTACTGGCAAGCAGTGTCACCGACGTAGACTTCGTATGCAATACAGCCGAGGCGCAACTTCTAGCATGTCTTCTTTTTGTCTCTGTCTTTGTCGTGTTGATGCCTGTAAGTGTTCCATCCCGATATGTACGCACGTCTAACGTTTATAGACGGCTTTCGCACGATCCTTTGACGACACAGGCAGCAACAAGGCAGCGGCTCTCAAGATGAGCAGAATTTCAGCACTCTTGGTGTTGCTTATATACATATTGTACTTCGTTCACGAAATAAGATCTCGTTCTGGTAAAGAGAAGGAGATGGAATTACGGAGTCAAGACCTCGAGAATGGTTCAAGCATCATTCACCCGGTCAGATCTGTTGATCACGGCTCCAGTTCGTTGGCCTCACAACACCTACCATCTCGCACAATCCGTTTTGCAGACGATCACCAGCGAGAGCGAAGAAGTGATTCGATTTACAAGCTCGACGATGTGTCTGAGTTGGAAACCATTGAACCAACCAATGACATAGCTGTGGAACGAGGCCGTTCAAGTGTGGAGACAAACCATACCAACGTCACTCGACCCAGCTCCTACCAGCCCCTGATTAATTCGCGAAGACTCTCCCGTTCTCTCTCAATCAGCAGTAGTAGAGGACTGCAGAGTCGAGACTCATCCATGAGTCGGGAGGGAAGGCGCACCACTGCTGTCCACCTCCTCAGGGAACATCGCGCCAGCATGGATCAATTGGTGCATCGCCAACCGCATGACGAACACTCCGAGACCGACTGGAAAGCTTCCGTCGCCATGTTGATAATCACCTCGGCCCTTATGTCGATGTGTGGCGAATTCCTCGTGAGCACTATTGACGATATCACGCATGAGGGTGGTTTATCCGAATCTCTTATTGGTCTTGTTATCCTCCCCATCGTCGGAAACGTCGCTGAGTATGTGACCGTCGTAGCCGTGGCTGTTCGGGGTAATATCGATCTTGCTATTGCTGTCGCAGTCGGTTCAGCGATTCAAATAGCACTATGCATCTCGCCTTTGACTGTCATGGCAGGATGGGCGATGCAGCGAGACCTGGACCTTACTTTCAACACATTCGAGATGGTGACGCTCGCCGGGACGGTCCTCTTGGTCAACCTACTTATTCTGAATGATGGAAGCTCGGGCCTTAAGACGAGCGGTTTGAAGGGCGCTTTGATGTGTGCTTGTTATGTTATTTTTGGGTAAGCTATTCCCTTGCTGATGATTTTTCTTGTTTATGGAATGACTACTGACCTTCAACCAGGTTAGGAGCTTTCTTATCTCCCTATTAAGGCTTGGGAGTGATTCGAGAAGAGATAAGGAGAAGAGATGAATCAGCGACACCATGATGTGTGAATTTGTGAACTCTAACGCCGCGAGGGTCACAGTCAGAAAGCACTCGCGGGAATTAAGAAGGTAGCAGTGTTTGGGAAGCGGTCAGAGTAGATATATTAGAAATATGGTAGATCATCTGTAATCGAAACTCTATATTCATTCGCATTGTTCAAGTCCCTCGTTCTCTTTTTATACAGACGCCCAACCATATTACCCGCTTCACAATTATTGGTTGGTTTTATCCTGGGGTAACATGAGACTTAGCGAATGTCCGAGCACTCATATTGGAAGGTTTTCTGAATGCTTCACTGCCGTGTATTTCGAGATTGGTCAACTGTCGCCGTTGGGAGAGGTACTTCACTGTTGGTTCAACATTACGGTTGCGCCAATCAGACAATCCACTGTGCAATAGGCTCTCGTAACAGCAGTGGAGTGCCACCACAAGCTGCGGCAACTCCAATGCCTGCCGGTCTGCTAGCACAGAATCGGGGGTTTGGAAGGGGGAAGGGAGAGAAGAGACGTCGCCGCTACCTCGCAAGTCTCGCCTAGCAAAAGCCAGTGTTGTCAATCTGGAAGACGCGGATGATTGGCTGGAATACACATGGATTGAGGCTGTGCTGCTATCATGTGTCAGATCGTTCTTTGTGTCTCCAAGTCAATGACGTACGCGCCAATTCTCCTTGGCATTTGTATGATGGTTGGTCCTGTGGATCATCAAGGGGTGTTTTACTCTACGGCCGCGAAGATGCGGGCTAATAGGTGGGTGGGAGGACTGGCGGTGTGGCCTGGAGACGGCAGTGGCAGCGCTGGCTTGAGCATTTTATGAGTGGACGGCAAACGACAGTGACCAACATGTCCAGAAAAGGGCAGCGCTCCAAGGTAGAAGAAAGGCTTAATCCAGACAAGCCTTTTAGCGCCGGAAACAAGCCTCTTCAACGCCCCTTGGCAACGCACGCACACCCCACCACCAAGCAATGGCCCTCGGACAATAACAGGGATGTCAGCTAACGAGATGGACCCTTGGTCTCAGCTCAAAGCTTGCTACTTGACAGAAGGCGAGCTTGTGATAAATGATTCGGCTGAGCGGAGTCATGCAAAAGACCTGTCTCGACCGTGGTGACGGTGTATGAGGCATTTATCTCAGTTGGTGCTTGCAAGATTCGTATTTTTGCGAGTGGGAAAATTGGGCCAAAAGCGATGCTGTTCTGGGACAGATCTTTTGTTCCATTTTTTGGCTTTGGCGGGCGCTGTCTTGTAGCGCTCAGGTACCGTTCCCAGCTTGTCATTAAGCTCAGAGACTACCACGATACCATGTGGCCCCGCACATGCAGGGCGTTAGCTTGTGTGGGGACCGGACCTCGTCATTTCCTCTATTATTACTTTGCCCACGCCCATAGCAATCCCTGAGTCAAACAAGGGGTTTGATGTTGGCTTTTCTCTCGGATTGCTTCATCCGTGAAGCTACTGAAAGCTCACTCACTCACTCACCCCTCTCCAGTCAGGCGGCCTCTCCACTGCATGGACATCCGTCATCTCGCTTGAACTGAAAGGCTGTGTCATGTACTCCGTAATTGACAGCACTAGGCTTGTCTCCATGTGAGCCGGCAGTAGACGCACAGCTTGTGAGAGGCATTTTGGAACAGGTATGCCTCATTGGTTGTTTTAAGATTTTGGTGAGATTCTCCTGATTTTGGCACGAGAACGCATTTTAATCATCCGAGGAGATCGGATCTGCTATTGTAGAGAGTGTGGTCAGAACAGTTGACCCGTTTGTATGACCACAGCAAACCATTCATGCTCATTTGAGCCCTCGCTTGATTAGTATGACAAGCGGGAGTAAAGACAATTGCCACACCAACCTTTTCAAGTCGTGCATTTGAAGTCCACGTAGTCCCTATTTTTCTTTTTGAAAACTTAATGATAGCTCAAGGGTAGCAAAGTCAATCTGCTCCATCCAACTACCGACATTTGTCTTCCTGTCGCGCCAGGCTCTGGGCATCGTGATGCCACAGCATGGTCCGCCCCCCGCTCCAACCAACTCAAAACACCAGCCCCCTTCTGAGGTTGATGATTATGGGATAGAGGATGAGCCTCGTTCTCCAATTCTCCAGCCACGTCGTCGTGCTACTCGGCGAAAATCGACACCCTCGAGCTTCGCTCCCTCAGAAAGAATTGCTAGTCAACATCACCACCGTCCGCTCCCAAGGATCAAGTTGACAAGATCACCAACTGTAGCAGTCGATGAGAGCTTGTCAGATGAAGAACAAGATGAGCCGTTCGCAAAAGAGGACCGCCAACAAGCCATAAATAGGACACATCCTTTCGGCATCAGAGTTTGGAATCCGCCGCTATATCATGACTATAACCCTGAAACTGATGGCGATGACATCGGGATGTCCGACCATGTGGTCAGTAGTTGGACACTCATCTTCAACGTTCTCTGGACACTGTTGTTCGGCTGGTGGATAGGCCTCCTGGTGTTATTCTGTGGGATTGTCTGCATAGTGCTCGCAAGGACTCCTGCGCAACCTTCGTATGGTCGAATTTTGTGTAGCTTGGCAGGCTACCTGTTCTTCCCTTTCAACAAGTTGGTGCGATGCAGTATCAGACACAGTACAAACCTAGAAGGCGAGAGACAAGTTCCGACTTCGTGTCAAGGCGAACGATTATCCTGTACCACCTCAGAGTACGGCCAGCTCTTGCGATTTCCACGCTTGAGCTATGGTTCAAGAGTCCAAGCCTTGAATGCAGATAGAAGGGTTGAACAACTCTCCCAGCAAACTTTGGAGCCTATAGATGCACCGAAAATGTCTCTCTTCTCAAGCCAATGGAGTGCTGAAAAACTCTTCTTCTCCATTGCGCTATATATCCTACTATTACCAGCCTTCCTCCTTGTGGCGACGATCTGTTGGTGTTTAGTTCTTCCACTCCCTATATCACGGATGTTGGTTCGGTTATTGCGAAATCTCTACAGCCGAGCGTTGGATCTTTTTTTCGAATGCAACTCCAAGACAACTTCCTCAGCTGCTACGGAAGAGGGGAAACTCTTGCTCTGCAACCATATGTTCATTGACATCAAATCCTGGAAGTATTCTTTTGGCGGCGTCAACATTGTCCTCATCAATCTTATGACAATTGCTACGTTGACAACTTTCGATTGGCTCATCCTCGTCAAGTGTTTCCATTTTCATTCGTTGGGCATTTCACCCAGCCTACTATTCTTCGGTAGCCTATCAGGCATCATCCCTCTTGCCTACGTTATTGGTCAAGCAGTGGCCTCAATCTCAACACAATCGTCTATGGGCACCAGTGCCGCTGTTAATGCAATGTTTTCCACCATCTTCGAGGTCATATTCTACTGCGTTGCCCTTAGGCAAGGCAAAAGCGAACTGGTCCAGGGCTGCATCATAGGAAGCATCCTGGCCGGTGTCCTTTTTCTCCCTGGACTCTCTATGTGCTTTGGTGGGCTAAAGCGAAAGACACAACGGTTCAATTCCAAATCGGCCGGTGTCACGTCAACGATGCTCCTGTTTGCGATGATCGGTGTATTTAGCCCGACCTTGTTCTACGCTGTCTACGGTACTTACGTGATGAGGTGTGGAGATTGTCCACAGAACATGGCGGCAGTTCTACAGAAGGACTCACGGGAAGCTATACCTGGATGTCGAACCTGTTCGATCTCGCAGCAGCTAAATTTGAATGAGCCTATCTACATTGAGATGCTTAAACCGTTTAGCTACCTCTGTGCATTTCTGCTTGCATTGGCTTATGTTATTGGGCTGTGGTTTACTTTACGTACCCATTCAGCCGTCATCTGGAATGAGGGCAAAGAAAGACACCATGATGAGTCCTTGAGTCGTCATGACCCCATCCCATCCCACGAGAGACATGCGATAGCTAGTCAGCCCATATCGAAAAGACCTTCGCACTCAAGACAGAACCAAAGACTGTCATCATTTGGGGGGATGGTCCCAACGCCGTGTGATGTGATCTCTGAAGCCCCAGAGTTCAGCCAACAGGCAGATCACTCCGTGCCAGAAAATACCACACTAGCCCCTCACTTAGCAAATACAGAAAGGCCACCTCGTGACGAGGAGGTGCACCATGTACCTAACTGGAGCAGACGTAAAAGTCTACTGATTCTGATTACTGCCACGTTGTTCTACTGTCTCCTCGCTACGATTCTTATCGATGCTGTGGATACTATTCTCCAGGAGTTTTATATCGAAGAAAGGTTCTTGGGACTCACAGTTTTTGCACTAATACCTAATGCAACTGAGATATGGGTATGTTGTTATGCTCGTACGATTCATCAGCTGAATACTAACACATCTAGAACGCTATACTATTTGCTGCCAACGGCAATATCGCACTATCTGTGGAGACTGGCTCAGCCTATGCACTACAAGTGTGCCTTCTTCAAATCCCTGCCTTGGTTTTCTTTTCAGCTGTATTCCAATCATCAGGACGTCGGCAAATTGATAATGTCTTCACGATGGTGCTACCTCAATGGGACATGTTCGTCGTCATCTTTTCCGTATTTTTGCATGGCTACATGCAGAATGAAGGGAGAAGTAACTATTTCAAGGGAAGTATTCTTCTACTATCGTACGTGGCTGTGATGATAGGGTTCTTCCTCTCCGGTAAGCGAGACTAGTCATAAGAGAATACGCTGCACCTTGTCAATTAATATAGAGAATCATCGTATGTTGATTATGGCCAGGTTGACAATGACAACTCAAAATGCGTGCTGAAGACTTCGCCATGCTACATGCTGCGACTGGGTCAGGTGTGAAACTACGATTCCCAGATTGGATGCCATGCACATTAAGAAGTGTGTTGAGATGCGTCTGCTACGTTCAATAAAGGATGCCGCGTCGACTATATCCGGTCACGTCAACTACAAACTTGTTCACCGGATAAGATCTTTGGAAACTAAACCCTCGGTTTCGTGTTGCTGCACCAAAAGACATCAGCTGTGAGGTTGAATGACAGCTTTTAGCTGTACAATCTTTTCTTCAGACACCCCAGAGACTTTGTCTTTCTCAAAGCTTAGCCATTAGGTAGCCAAAAGCATGGTGTACGGTAGTTCTTTGGGCGGTTACGTGACCCATGATTTATAGACTCTTTGGGCACATTGGGTAAATGTTCCACCTGTGTGCCTGTCCATTGACTTGCTTCTGTGGGATGATATTGATCTAAAGAGAAAAAGAGTTGTTTGCACCTGTATGTAAGGACTTAGGATTTGAGTCTTTGGTTAGGTCTTCTTTATCGGAAGCCCCGCAAGTCATGACAGGGAATAGTATCTGAGGGATGTCTCCAAATCAAACTGACTTAGAGAGATGTACGTTGGCGACTTGTTGTTAGAAAACTGAAAAGTTAATTACTATATAATGATCAACTACGCTTCAATAAGCACATACGACCAAAGGTAGTGGAAAATACGGGATCCCGTCCGCTCTCCCATAGTCAAGCCACTAACCGGCGGATTAGTAGTTGGGTCGGTGACGACCAGCGAATCCCCGCTGTTGTATGTTTTTGCCGATTTGAGCCACACTCTTTTTGCTGCCAGTCTAGCGGTCCAGAATCCTCCATCCAGTACATAAAGTCCATTTGGATAAACCTTCATAGCAATTGGTAGGTTTTCCCTGTTTGGCTTGATTCGCTGTAGATTGCAGACAAACACTTGCCTGAGGAAGGATCTGATAGCGCCTCACAAGCGTGGATATCAGGAGGAACGATTGGCTACACATCGGCCGATGCCTCAACAGGAAACGGCCGAGCGTTAAGGCTGACCCATATCATCACGCCAATTTCAACGCCTGCGTGAACTTGTCACCGCTTCAACTTAATCTTGCCAGGGACATCGTCAATCATGAAGTTTACCAACGCCATTCTCTCTCTCCTTGCCTCCCAGGCGGCGGCTCAGGTCATCGACATTCAGATCGGTGACACCGCCATGCTCGACCTGATGCGCCAGGCTGCCGAAGCGTCAGCGCGTGGTGATCATGAACGCGCCGCCGAGCTGAGAGAGCTTCTCAGTATCTCTCGCTCTCCTTCTAAGGAAGAGGTTCGATACAAGACAGAATGTCGCGTCAGCTCAAAGTTCGAGGCCGAGATTTACACTGTCCGTGACCCCTCGAGCGCTCCCAAGGAAATTGCGTGGGCTATGAATTTTCTCGATGAACATTGGAAGACCGACGATGGCCGCGATCTTCCTTATCCTGGCGACTTTGATCGTTTTATGCATCCTCAGGGCTTCAGAGTCATGCGCGCCGATTACAAGAGTCTACCTTGGGCTGTGCGCAAGTACCACGAAGAACTTGTCAAGGAAGGCACCAAGATGGAGCGCAAGTTCATTGATGAGCTTGATGGAAACGCATTCTTCGCACCTGGTGTCATGACTTGGCTGGCGCCTTTGTTTGCTGGAAGCGAAGTTGTACCTGGAAAGAATGCATGCGAGGGTAAGTCGTTTGAGAGTTAAAAAAAGCCAGGACTAACGGGCCGTAGATGATCTTGTTGATTTCAGTAATTGGAACAAAGAGAAGAAGGATGTCTCTGACGATGTCAAGTACTCGTTCTCCTACGGTGGCAGAGTACAGATTGGGGACAATATCACGGTTGAGTTGAGAGCCGAAAAGTCTTCCAAAGAGAAGGCTACCGAAGAGAAGACTACTAAAGGGAAGACTGCTGAAGAGGAAGCTGAAGCTGGTGAACTGTGAAGTCGTTAGGCACTGTATTGCACGAGATGACCATGTTACTCACTAAGCTGGAGATCATACTTGACACGGTGCTATGATAGAATACTCTGTTTTAGGTAGTTGATAGGGTAGACGTGGTCCTCTTGAATTCGACACGCAATGCCCCCCTCGAGATGTCGCCCAAAACTGGATCATCGCTCACGTACTATCTCTTTTTGTGAGACAAAGTCAGAAATGCACGCTTGAGGGAATGCTACGTTTATACTATAGTGTAAGGTTATGAATTAGACCCCGGGATTCTGTAAAAATGCATTACTTGTACTGAGGAGAAATGTGTATAAACGCCATTTGGAAGATCAGGAACTTATTGCGTAGGGTCTAGTGATATTGTAAGGAAATTTTGGTCAAAAGGCCATTTTCATATGTGATCCTCCATGTCCACTTTGATCTGATAAGATCTTAATGTCTAGTTTTACCATTTACACCATGTGATATCACCCCACATGCGATGACATACATGTCTTGGCGATCTATGGCTTGCTTGAACGGAGAATTAGTCAATTAGCAGGGGTGTTGTAATTGTTGGTTCACGCTGCCTCTCTAATGTTATGACAAGGTAGGAGGTACTGTTCATTAGTATTTACTGGACTTTCCAAGTCGTAGACGTCAGTGAAGCTCTGTCTGTTCATACAAGTCTTAAGCATCAGATTCACTAGGCATGGTAGAACAAAGTTTGTTGTAATAAATTAAGGTGTCTATGCATGTGTATGTTCGTCTAGTCCACCGATCTAATTATTAACATTATGATCGCTAATCATCCTGGAATCCAATCCTCCTCGTATAATCATAATCATTCGCCGCTTAAGGGAGAGCAGCAGGGGCGTACTTCTGGTCAGGCTTGACGACCTTGCCACCAGCGAGCTGCTTGTCGGTGTAGCTGGGGTAGATGATCTGCTTCTTGCTGCTGACAACAGAGAGGGTGGTGAAGCCGGCGTCGGCGCCGAACTGGCCACTCCAGCCGGAGGTGATGGTGAAGGTGCCGCACTTGGCAGGGCCGCCGTTGGCCTTGGAGGCACCCTTGGCCTTAACAACGTACTTGCAGGCGGTGGCGGCACCGCTGCCGGTGTTGATCTTGAAGTTCCAGGTGCAGGTGGTGTCGGCCTTGTCGCAGACGCGGTTGAGGGTCTGGATGGTCCACTGGGGAGTGGCGGCCATCATGGAGACGGAGTCGGCAGCGGCAGGAGCAGCGACGGCGCCGGAGGCGGAGACGAGAGCAACGAGAGCGGCGGTGAACTTCATGTTGATGGTTTGAGGTTGTTGGTGGTGAGAGAAGAGTGGTTTGTTTGGTGAATGTGGAAGAGTGTTTGGTAGTGAGATGCTTGAGAAGATGAGAGTTATTTGATGATGAGAGATGTTGATATCGTGGGTTGATCAGGTAGTCTTTATAGAACTTGGGGAAAAGTATTAATAGGTTGATGACTTCATGGAATTCGGATCGTCGGCTCCAGTATTGTTGGGCTCTGATGTCGCTCTGGCCGAGTCCGCAGTCCAAGACACGTTACTGCTCTAGGGCGAGTCGGTCAGTTGATGGCATCCAAGCTACTCCGTATAGCGAGCTAGTCCCAAGTCCCGGGCCCAGACTGATCTTTTCCAAACAGGACAGAAAAAGCCAGACAGTCGTCTAGTGAGCTACTGTGCCGGATTCCCGCTGAATTTTGCACGCTTTGGCTCCAGCCCCTTCGAGGCCTGGGGAACCCCGATCAGCTCAGGCGAACCTCTAGCCTATGACAGTTTAGCTGGAATCTTTTCCGCCAATAGACAGAATACTTATTCTTGGATACGGCCCCGCCCGGGTACCCCTGCAGAAATGATGCTTAAAGCAGTTAAAAAGCTTCTCACAATACGAGATGGATCAACATAAACTATTGTTCTTTCCTTACCCCTGCATGTGAATCCAATGCAAAATGGTCGTAGTAACCTCGTAAAGCACAGTCGATCGGATGATCACATTGCTGCATTCAACCTGGAGCAATTTTGTTGATGTAATGCAAGCTCGTCTAGTTGGGCCCACGTGCATTGCTCAGCTTTGGGACCTTTGAAAGCTAGCGAGAGATCGGCAATTTGGAATACGGAGAGTCCACGGAAGATTGGGGATGGTGAATCCATCTGTGCATGTCGCTGCTGTCTATCAATCACTGATCAGTACGATCAATTGCCTGGCTTCACTGCTTCAACAACAATTTAAGATAACGAATAAACAAGTCTTACATAAGGCTTTTAGTAGTTGAAAATGGACAGCTTTTGATCAATCGTACGTTCTTGTGTGTTTTTCGCTTCTATGACGTAGTCTACACTTGCCGTGGTTCTCGCATCTCAGTTACTACTTACAGCCAATGTTACCATAGCCACACGAGCATGAGTAGTAACAATCTCCCTCTCTCTGTCATACGCCATTTAAATAACTTGCTCAATATTTCAAGCATTCCTTCAATTGACTTTTGTTTTATAATCAACAGACCGTGCCAAGGTGAAAGATTGTCTACTTTACGTTGTTTCCCAAAGTTGATATAGGGTAAAATGCGTCACACTTGTCACATTCCAGACGCTCCACTTTCAAAAATAACCTTGCGGATTTATCCACCCTGCATAAAAGTTTCGATTTAACTTTAAGCACAAGCGAGCTTATGCTCTGGCGTTGTCGGCTATTTTTGTATTTTGAACGGGGAGCGCGAAGCAACAGTGGCAAAGCTCATGGCATTGGGCTAACGCACTGAGTCAACGTTACCCAAGCCAACACCAAGAGGGCCTAGCTTCGACTTCAACTTACTACAGCAGTTCGCATTGGTTCAAGGAAGATTTATGCCCTTTGCTCAAATATGTTGAGGTCAATTGAGTTATTCACTTACTACTTCTAGGTATGATAAGCGTTTCCGGTTTGAGCATCCTGACAGATTTAGATCTACAAGAATATACGAATGTAATTTTGCAATAAACCTTCCTATCCCACACCTTCGTATGTCTAGTTGTAATTAAACCGTATAACTTCATACCCCTTGTAATGGTTTACCACAACAACTATCGACTAGACTCGCTAGACCTTCTTCTGACTCTGCCACAGCCTGGACACTGTCACCTCCCTAACGCTTGTGGACAACATTGATGTTGGGATATGTGGCCTCATTACCCCCGCCATTGTGATTGAACTCCAAGGATCTAGCGTTGCACCCCCTTGACCCATTGAAGAATTTGGTAACCAATGCCATGAGTAGCAGTGGCTGCCTATGTTTCTTACTAGATATTGGTCTTCGTGAAAATGGGATGGAAACTGACGGGTTTGGGTTGAGTTTTCCGATTTATCAAGTGATCAATGACAATCAGGAACAATGTTGATGCAGACAAGCCTAGTAATAAGACAGTCTTTTAGTTGAGGTGGAATTGCTTCAGTCATGATAAGGAAAAGAAGTTGTAAAGGCTTTCAGTAAATTCTTCACATTATTTGCTCGCTCATAGGACCAAAGAACCAGCAGATCACAGATCCATTCTTCTGCCACGGGTTTCAACGACCACATCCCCAGCAATGTGTAGTTTAAAATCCACCTCCACTGACAATTGCAATCAGGCATCTTGATCTACGAAAGCACTTTTTGGGGTTGGATATCTGGCAACAGCGAGTTAGTTGTAAAGTAAGCCATTGGTAATTATTTACTCACATACCTCCACTTGGCTCTTCGATGCAGCCTGATGTCTCCCGAATAAAATGCTAGAAACATTCCATAGAGCCCTCCTAATGGCCAAGCTTGTAGTAGTGATTTGACATTCCAACCCGTTTCGTCTCTCTCTTTGGACGTGCTACTGGCCTTCTTCACCTTGTCATAAACCGTTGGCAGGGTCGTTGCAAAATATCTTTCCCTAAGGCTTTGATACCAAGAACGATCGTACAGTCCCCAGAATCTCTCCTCAGTATAATAAGTGTGCGCATATAGCCATTTGCGTCCGCCTAATTCGACGAGCTTCTCCTCCAATGCGCGGTTCTTGGCTAGGAACTCTGTTTGATTCGAAGGCCCCCAGCCCCAAACACCAATATTGAGCATGGGCTGAGACATACCAGTCTGTCCATAATGCTCCCTGGATTTCGCCAGATTACTTGTGACAGGATGGAATGTCGGCATAGTGGTTTCTTTTAGCGGGCACAGCCAAAGTGGCCATATTCCAAGCTGAGAGTCAACCCAGTCAATGAATATTTCAGCCGTGTCGTAAGGTAGTGCCAGGTCTTGAATCACAAACTGCTCGGAAATACGACTCGCATGAAGAGCGTGATATAGCATTCTTGTGTGCGAGTAGTCGTCTAGAAGCCACCGAAAGAATTTGTTGAACGGAATAAACTTGAAGTATGTGTATCCCTGGCGACCGACCCAGAATGCAGCTCTATCATAACGGAATAGATATTCACCCAGAGGGACATACTCGGTGGCGCTCGATAATGGAGAAAGGTCAGTAGTAACATCCGAGACATGAATATAGAACCACGGGTCCCCGGCGTTACTAAAGGTCCGTATTAGGGACTCAGCAGGTTTGACGTTGGTCAGCTCCCCGGTGATAACAACGCCATGGGTTTTTGAAAAAAGAATACCATCCACGTAGTCGATATTGGCCTTTTTGCAGCACTTTTCGATTTGTGAAACGGCGCTGCCAATACTGCTGACTCTGTGATATGTCGTTTTCACGAATGTTTGGGCCTCAACAAGTCGCACCTGAAGCAATACAGTAATGCCCAAAGTGCCTGCAGCTCCTGCAGCGCCATGAAACAGATCTTCTCGCTCATCACTTGAGGCCCTCACAACTTCACCATTGCCAAGGATAATTTCCACGAAGTTGACTGTCTCGTTGAAAAATCCGTATCGAAAAGAGCTGCTCTCGCCAGAGGTCCCGGAAAATCCACCACCCGCAGTGATACCGGGAAATTCCATCACGACTGGAGGGATGAGACCGTAGGCCAGAGTAGCCTCGACTAGTCGATCCATGGGGACGTTTGGTTCCACGAGGCAAGTCTTCCGGGCAGTGTCGATGGAAATGATCTCAGACAACATACCGATATCGATGATGTTAACACCAGGATCATGGTGAGGGCGAGTACTGCTCGACGAGCCATGGAATATTCTAAATGGCTGCCCAAGCTTATAGAAGTTGCGAATTTTGTCGGCGACATCTTCCACAATTTCTGTATGACGGTCCATGGCTTCATCTGTCACTCACATAGAGTTATTGTTGAAGCAAGAATGTAGTTCGAGGAGGTACGCTGGGAAATATGACAGGCAATCTATTATTCATGTACTTCAGAGGTAGTAAGCTGATTGTTTGGGGATAGGCAATTGTGCCCATCGTACAAAGCTGGATCCCTCAAGCCTCGCCGTTCCCGAATACATGACCAATGCGACCGACCCCAGAGTCTCGAAGGCTTGAGACATCACACAAATAGAAACCGACTCCCTAGACTCGGTCAATTGAAGATTTCGAAAGTGCGGTGAGGATGGTTGTACAAGATCTCGCGTACAATTAACTTTGTTTGGTAGACAGTGCGATACCCTAATGCATGGTCCCGAATAATGTGGTAGCTGCAAAGCTATCTCATAAACATGGAGTACAAACTTTCATTGGCGAGACACAGCATTCCCTGAAGGTTCACAAAACGTCAGCCCTCTATTCACATTATATCCCAAGCTTGAATCTAGTGTAACTAACACCTCCCGATATGACCCCGACACGTAGTAGCTCACCAGATACCAGGGATGAACCGCCAAGGCACACGCCTGCAGTACTCGGCCCATGCATTACCGTACTTGACCGAACAACTCTTCTCGTCGCGTATACATCGATGAATAAGCAGCATAGTCATCCACACGGCATACGTCCACACAACAGCTTTTGTGCTGCCGACCAGCGCACAAGTACTGAAGGATAAAACCAAGTCCCCCACGTAGTTTGCGTGACGTGACCATCCCCACCAACCACTGCAGAGGAGGAGACTGGTGTGTTCTTTGCCGTCGGAAGTTTTGAAGGATGCCACTATGCACTCTGCCGGCTTCCCCCAAATGTGGCACTTCCCGCCAGACGACCGGACCGTGTCTTTTTGGTGGTTAACGGAGCGAAAGAGTACGTAGCCGGCTATACCTAGGGCGAAGAAGAAGGCAAGGTATGGTGTCGAGGGTGATGAGGGGTATAGACCTAGGTATTGCCCCTGTATAGTGTAGGTTGTAGGCAAAAAGCAGAAGCATCCCCACGACAGGTAGAAGCCATAATGGTCCATCTTTACGTCAATTGTGCGTAGATACCATGACTCATTGATGAAGAAGTCGACCACGTAGAGGGTTTGCAGCGCGGTAACGAGTATTAATGATGGTTCAACATACCCCTGGTTTTGGTACTGGAAAGCCATATTTGAGAAGTCTCTGTGTACTAGGTAAGCAAAGGTCTTTGGAGAAGTCATGTAAAACCCACATCAAAGTCCAGACCATCATGCCAGCTCGACCGTTACTGAAGAGCTTCATATCAAAACTGCCACCCAAGCGAGGATTCAGTTCGATTCCCATATAAAAGTCATATAAATGGGATCCTGGCCATGGAATTAAGGAATAGTTCCCATGAATCTCTAGAAAGAAAAAAACTTACCACTGAATTTCCTGTCCTCCGGATGAGTTGGTGCTACGTAAGCTTTGACATAAGTGAGTGCAGAGATAATAAAACCGGCCAAGTTCATCGCTGCAATCAAGCTACTCCAGTTGCGCGGAATGAAGCCTGGGTCCAGGATCCCTAGCCAAACGAGTGTTGCGTAGAGAAGATGAGTGACGATCCAAGCCGAGAGACCGTTGATTTTGTAACTGAGGAGATATCCAGCTGGAGTGTGTTGGCCTTGGTGGTTCTCGCCAGGCAAGTAATGATAAAGTATCGCTTGAAGGCCGACCCAGAAGATGACAGCAGCAATGCCCTTCATGGTGGCTTGAGGGCCATATTGAGTGCAGATGGTCCAGAATCCATGCTCTTTCACGGCAGCTGCAAAGAGCGAGAAGGAGCCGTCATATTGGGCAAGTGTAATGAACGTCGATATCGATGCCATTGGTGCCAGAAATAATGGCGATGTGGCGATAAGAGATCGAAGCCATGAGCGCCCAGGACCGGTACGGCCCCAGACATCAGCATCGGTGGTAACTTGAGCCTCAGTCGCCATTCCAGTAGTTTCAATAGGTCGAGTTTTCCTCGATCTGATCAACCTAGTCGTCGAACCTGCTGCCTGCAACAGGCCTTGGGTGTTTCGTGCCATATCTCTAAACTTGTCTCTCGTATGTTCAAAACTCATGTTCTATTCAATGAAAGAGATATTGAGAGTAGCGGAAGGGATCTAAATTGGAACAAGCTGTGGTACAGAGAAGATGAAAAAATGGTCACCGTACTTTTAGCAGCTGGGACTCTAATAAGATTGTCACCGACCAGTGTCGGATTAGCCATGGCTAAGAAACTTGTGGCTTGCACCAAGTGCTAAATGGTTGATGTTTTATGTCTGGGAGTTATGCAATCAATGGGCTATACGGGCTCATTCCTGGTTTAGTTCTTGATTGACCGTCAAGATGCCGAGCTCCTTACTGAGACATGTTGGTGGCTGGCTGTACACTACTCACTTTGTATCGGATTTCGGAGCATTGCATCAAGTTAGCGCTTATTCAGTTAGTATTGAGTTATGTGCATTAGATTGCCCCTATCAGTGGCTCGCCGAGACGAAGCCTGGTTACACAGCATCATTCTTATGATGTTGCCTCACTAGTTAATACGGACTGCTCATGGTTGGGGTCACACTGACATGCTCATCTGATCAGGGGAAACCTTGTGTCCCTTTCTGCAGCTTGAGATTCGTTCGGCCTATTGATCCCGGCACTCCAAAGCCTGACCGCCTCGATGAGTTTGATGGGCCAGGACGATGCTAGTGACGGCCAGTCTCAGAAGTTCCCACTTATCACGAAGATGGAGACTCACATCGACAACACAAGGTGAACATAGGACATTGATTGGTTATAGCCTTGTCTTTCCTTGTGCATGACTCATGAGTCTCCGATTTTGATCCAATTTCCAATGCAATCAAGACTAACTAAACCGTTCAGATGTGCTAACAAACCTTTGAAATTCTCAGAGGTATGATGCCTTCCTTTCTCTTCACCAAACAGTCAAACTTATGCTCAGTCGCGCGGAGTAGAGTGGCCTACTTCGATGGCTGTGGTCATACCACCGAGCCCTTGTTCTTCGCCCTCAGACGTACCATCCCAGCCCTCCCGCTCATCCTTAGGTAGCCTGACGAACATAACATCCAAGGCCAGTCCGAACAATGCCAGGCCAGCGGCAAAGTACAAAGCCGCCCTGTATCCCTTGACTTCGTCTTCATTGTTCGTTCCGACCTCTGTCTCAATTGTCCCCGCAAACCCTTGACCCAAGCTGTTCCCGTACAGGTTGAGTGTCCCGATCAAGCTGCTAGCTACCCCCTGCTGGCGACGACTGACACTATTGCTGGCAATCACTTGAGCAGCGACGTAGACTAAATCCGGACAGAAGCCGAAGAACACCATGGCAGGAAATAATTGCGCCCAGAATGACTGTTGAACTGGCATTGTCGCTAGTAGGATATTCCCCACGATCGTCGTTCCTACACCGATTGCCATTATCCACTGAGCTGCCACTCGAGGGATAAGCCAAGCGGCGACAAAAACCGCAAGCAGAGAGCTGAGGCCAAAGGGGATGAAATGAAAGCCAATCTGGGTAAGGGAGGCGTTGTGCAGAAGGGCCTGCCAAGCTACAGAGTACCAGAGACCAATTCCGAACGCCATGTATGACAGTAAGACAACGACCACAAGCGCTGTAAATGTTGGTGCTTGGAAAATAGACAATGGCATAATGGGATCTTTCGCGTAGTGCTTTTCCCAGAGGAGGAATGCAGCGAAAAGAAGGACGGAAAGGATGATCAAAGCGATCTCGTAGGGCGTATTCCATCCCACCGATGGTGCTTGGCTAAAAACGTCAGCCGGCAATCGTATCACTGTAGGGCTCACTCACTTGCAAACCACGTTGAAAAGAAGGAGGGCGCTCAAGCCCATGATCGCACCAGGGATGTCAACATGTCCTCCTTTATCAACCGGTGTTTCTTTAGGCATGAGGTATACCAGTCCTGCTAGGTTCAGGGCAGATATCCCAGCACTAAATGCTATTCAGTAACCGCCAAATTCATCACCCAGGCAACTTACATGAGGATAAAAATCCAGGCCCAGCTGAGATTATCCATAAATGCACCAGTCAACAAGGCACCAATCATTCCACCCAGCGGAGGGGACGCCGCAAAGAAGCCCAAGACCACATTTCGCGATCGACCCGGCGGAACCATGGTCGTGATGATTGACACGGCGTTGGGCATGAAGATACCTCCGCCAACGCCAGTCAAAGCCCGCATCGCGATGAAAGAATCGTAGGTCTTCATGAAGGCGTTGATGAGAGAGAACAATGTAAAAATTGCGCAGCCGAGCAGAGTAAGTTGCTTGTGGCCGTATACCGCCCCAAGCCGACCGGTCACCAGAACGAAAGCGCCTTGGGTGAGTCTATATGCTATGAGTGACGGACCACGAACTGGTGGTTGATGAATTACTTACGGGTAAGATGCAACCATCCAGTTGGCTTGTCCTGGGCCAGTTTCTCGCCCAAGGTCTTTACTCAGTGTAAGACCACCAGCAATGGTGACTGAATTAGATATGAACTAGTCAAGGTGTCAATGTTGGGAACATCAATTCTTAGCTTTCAGCACAGTGCTATAGTACCTGAACAGTGTTGGCGCACACCAGTAAGGATATGATCAATCGACGTGATGCCGGACTCGTAGTGAAGGCAGGGTCAGCTTCGAATACTCGCCCCGCTTGGTGATTCTCTTGACTAGGGATATCTGCATTCTGGTTTCTCTCTGCAAGATAGATTACTTGGAGGGGAGCTTCGAGAGCAGTCTGAGTAGTCGCCATCGTTGAAAGACCTTTCAATGATTTGGATTGCTGCGGGGAGGTGAGATTTAGCACAACGATTTATAAAGGTTAGGAACTGCATGGCACCGCTTAAATAAATCGGTAAAATTATGTCAGCAGGTCTTGTCTCGATAGGCCAAAGAAAAGAGATCGGCATTGTGCATTCGCATATGCAACGCTGTGTACATCATCAACAGAGATCTACACAGTTGCTTGCATAACTTACAGTCCTGCCTACAGTCAGATCATAAGCTCTCAATGCCGGTATTACTATCAGGTCTAGCTACCTTACTTATGTCTATTGATATACTATAGAAATGTAGATTTCCATCCTCGTTTGCGTGTTTTACAGATTGTCTAGATTTCACTTGAACGCTTTTACAGCTGCAATGTTGCAAGATTTATGGTCAAGTTTCTTTTTATTCATGTCTCAAACGAGAACAATACGCTCAAAAATACTATCTTTGTAGTTATAGAATCATAATCATATCTCAATAATGTCCCAGGTCATCTTAGAACAAGTCCACGTGACACTTGCGGGTCAAGGGAATATCGGCCGCAAACACCAGCTTCTTGTTCTTCTCATCATATTCGGCGTGGTCGGTACCCTTGGGCTTGGAGTTGACGCCAAGAACGGTGATAGTCTCAATACCAACGCCAGCGTCATATTCAAAGGTACCGCTCATGCTCAGCTTGCCCTTGCTGTACTTGAAGTCGATCTCAGATGCGGTGTCGACAACTACAGATTCACCATCATCGAGGTACAGAGAACCCTCAGCCTTGCCGTCAAGGCCAGGGGCGATGACGAGGTTGAAGCCCTTCTTGCGCAGCGCAGTAGTGGTGTTGGCACTTTCGATGCGCTGGGGGTAGACGATGCCACCCTTGTAGTGCACCTTGATGTCGGTGAGTTCAACTTCAGCAGACTCGTACTGGGCACGTCCGCGGACGGGCTTGCCAGTGGACCACTCGTAGAAGATATCATCGGGCAGGTAGTACTCGAGCTTGGTGCTGTTCTCCTTGGTAACGGGGCTGACAAGGATACCATCTCCGTAGAAGAACTGGAGATCGATGGAGTAGGTGTTCTTATCGTTGGGGTAGTTGAAGAACAGAGGGTTGAGAGTAGGGGTACCAGTCTGGTTCTGCTTGTAGATGGCGGTGTAGATGTAATCAACTGCTATTTGTTAGTGGTCATTCAAGTCTTGAGTTGAAGGAGAACTTACGGAGCTGGTATCGGATGGCGATTCCGTTGCGAGCTGCCTCGGCAACCTTGGGCCAGCGGTAGAACTCCTGGGAAGAAGCTGTGATCTCGTTGTGGTTGCGGAAGAAAGTGTAGAAGCTACCAAGAGTAGCCCATCTTGCGCAAAGAGTCTCGGTGACATTGCCACCGAAGCCACAGACGTCGGCGCCAACAACAGGGATCTGGTAGATAGAAGCAAACTGCAGAAGCTGTCCAATACTGAAGCGGTATTGATCCCAGATTGAGAGGTTGTCTCCAAGCCAGTGAGAAACATCCTTGCCAGAGCCAGCGAAGGTGCTTCGGGTGATGACAAGAGCACGCTTATCAGGGCGTCTGGCGCGCATGGCATTATGAGAGTGTGTAGACATCTGAGCACCGTACAAGTTGTGCGTGTCATACTGGAGGTAATCACCGCTCTGAACAAGGTCGGTATCAGTTGTACCGTCAGCCAGGGTAGGTCCAGCACCGTTCTGGATCATGTAGGGAGGCTGAATGAGGTCTCGGTTGGGGAGACCCTTGCACTCATCAGAGCTACAGCCGGAGCCAGTCTTCTTGCCGTTCTGCCACGAAGAGCCGGGGCGTCCATATTTGTTCTGACCCCAGTGCTTACGGGTTGCCCAATGTCCAACACCACGTTGGCGGTGGGTGCGGACCTCGACAGAGCGCTTGGTGATCTTTGCGACGGAAGTGACCTCGCGCTTGTCTGAGCCGCGAGAAGAGGCAGGCTGCAAGCTCTCAGGGAAGCCGGGGATAGGAGCAGGAGGACCATCTCGAACAGGAGGGGCCTTGGGTGGGTCACCATCAACCTTGGCGAAGTTCTCAGGAGTTGTGTTGTTACCGGGGTAAGGGCGGTTGAAGAAGTTAGCGGGCTCGTTCATGTCAATCCAGAGACCGTCGATATCAGGACCGTTCTCTCCATCGAAGAAGTTCTCAAACAGCTCACTCCAGTACTTTTGAGAGTTGGGGTTGAACCAGTCAGGGAACACACTAGGACCAGCCCACACGACACCTCGGTAGTCTGTGCCGTTGGGCTCCTTCATGAAAGTGTCGTACTCGCGACCAGCATCGAGAGCAGGGTTAGATTCCATGTCGTACACAGCTGGGTCGACCATGACGATGTAGTGCTGATCCCGCGCGTGGATCGTGTCCACGAGATCCTTGTACTTATCAGCGGGGAATCTCTCGGGGTCGATAGTGAAGATACGGCGACGGTCCATGTAGTCAATATCAGTCCACATTGTCTCAAGTGGAATACCAGCAGCTGAATAGTTGGCTACAACAGCAGCAACCTCATAGACATCACGGTAGCCGTATCTACACTGGTGGAAACCCAGACCCCAGTAAGGTGTCATGAGAGGAAGCTTGACAATCTCGGCGTACTGCTTGGCGACATCTCGGGGTGAAGGTCCAGCAACAAAGTAGAAGTCGAGAACACCGCCAATGACGTTGTACTCGAGGAACTGGTTGCCCTTCTTCTTGTCGATAAACACATCCATGGCATTGGAGTTGAGAAGGAAGACACCGTGGGTGCCCTTCTCACGATGGTCAAAGTAAATGGGGTGAGCGCCGTAGAGGTTCTGGCCCTTGGGGGTACCGTAGGAGTCACGAGTGTAGATAGTTCTGGTGTAGTTGGTCGAGTTGAGCATGAAGGGGTCGCTGTGCTCGCCGAGGCCATAAAGGTGAGGGCGCTCAGGGAGCTTGGTCTTGATGTAGACATACTGGCTCTCGAAAACGAGCTTGCTGCCCGAGGTGTCGAAGAGGGTCTCCCCGGTGTCTCTGCGAGTGACAGAGAAAGAGAAAGGATCCGCCTTGAACTTGAATTGAAGCTTGGAGTTCTTGGGAGAAGCCCATTGACCATAGCCCGGACGGGGAAAGATGTCGTCGGGGACTTGGTAGACGGTGTTGTTGGTGTCCAAAATCTTGACATGCAGACGGTCTTCGGTTTGGTACTCGACCTCAAGCTTCAGCTTGGGCAAATCAACGCCAAAGACATCGCAGGCCTTCCCCGCAAGAGAAAGGTCCGCGTAGAAGCCAGAGCGAGTCTCCCAGTGCTTGGTGGCTTTGTAGCCAGGGCACTTGGAGAGGTCTTTTTCGAAGAGGTCTCTGCGGGGCTTGTCGAGATCTTCAACGCCAGCTTTGCTCTGTGCAAAAGCGGTGCCGCTCAAGGCGACAGCCGAGGTGAGCAGCTTCTTGAGAAACATGATGAAGTGTTGCGAGAAGAGCTGGTTGCTGAGCTGTCTAAGGATCCGATAACTGGCTCGTACAACCCTCTTATATATACCGGGTTTTCCTTGGCAATCATGACCATGAGTTTAAGCTCTCGTCACTCTGCATACTACGGTTACTACCCCAGGTGCGGAGACTCCGCCGGTCAGGAACACATTCGACAGGGAGTCTCCAAGCGTTGGGGCCGCTACAACGGTCATTCGCAGCGTCATCTAGAGTGAGCCGTTGTAAAGGAATCATATTCTACAGAAGCATATGCCATGTTATGACCGAGAAAAGAGCCGGAACCAGGCTCTTCGTTGCGTGATGCTGTGCAAGGATCATCTCCCGATGATGCATCATCATTTCGTGGCGGAGACTCCATTTGCGGGGTTGAGTGGAAGGCTAGCCTTGTTCCCCAGCTTTTTTACATCAAGGTACGGATGGCAAGGTCAAGAAAACTCTGCTGGTAAAATTAATCGGCTGCAGAGACCCATGGCGAGTGAGAACTCGAGTGACTGTTGGCTGAGAATGCGGGATTGGTTCAGCGTCGGGCCGAAATTATGCATGATTTTAAGGGAATCGTGAGAGCAGAGAAAAGCCATTGACGAATGAGCAGGGGGCGCAAATAGTTCGAGTTTATTTTAGGTAATGATCGCTGGGATGACTTGATGGAGTTGGAGATTTAGAAGTGGCTGCAACGTCGAGGATCACAACTGGCGATGTACTGTGAATCGCTACGGATCCGAGACTAACACTGGTAGCAGGAAAATGGTACTTATTGTGACCACTCTGTTAGTGATTTATCTCGCCTCCTCCGCAGTACACACATTCACGGCATCACCACATGACGCCCTACTCCCTCTTCCTCTCTATTGGGCCGACCTCGGTCTCCGGCTCGGTGGCACTCTTCTTAGCTGCCCAGGACCTTGCTGTTTTAGCGGACAATCCCCAGGTCAAAGCAACGATTCCCATGGGGAAGTGACCTGCGTATGGGGAAATTTCCGACGATCCCTGTTGGCTGGCAAGGTGACAGAAATATGTGTCATCTTCTTCACAAATTGTGTCGATTGTCACAGTGTTATTTTGTCACGCAGTCGCTTCACTTGCCCAAAACATCACGCCAAGTCGTGGCCGTCTCGGTCAATTATGTCAACCATAACCTCCCATGCATTTCCACTAATAAGATAGAATACTATGACAACTGGGGATAGCCTCATGGAACTTTTGGGAACTGCTGTTAACAATATTAAGTAATAATGGGATGACTTCGCACGTGGGGACATGTCAATGCTTCGGGTGTCGGGTCGCCCGGGTACAAGCGGGTTTCGGTGCAGGGTAATCAGTCATTTTTTGTTGCTTACTTTTATTAAATGAGGCCATGAAAACTTCCATGCTGGGTAAAAGATGATGATTGTTGATAGTCCACTCTGCTTGTGTAGGGTACTCTGCTTTTGAAGTCATTCGCCGAGACTTTGACGCTGGTGGTGAATGAAAGCTTCATTTCTGTCCTACTGACCAAGTCTCTGGCGTCTATGATCTTTTTCGAAGCCAAACCATGACAAAAAAAGAATGTTGAACGGGTGATTAAAGTTTGCTTCACAAACAGTGTGAAGACAGCGAAACGAATTAGCAATACTCAATAAACCATCCCAGACCTTATGTAAACTGAAAGATTATCGATAGTTCGCCGCGACATCAAGCCGTTCATCAACAGAAGGAGCATTGTGATTGGGGAAGGTTCATCAAACTCTTTACGCGACGCGGCGACAATGACGCGTTCATAGATCACCAACCCTTCAAGCATGAGGACTTCTTTGATCTTATCAGTATCTGGCATCTTGGTCGGCTAGGTTTCGAGCGGTAACGTACCTAGGCAGCAATCAACGACTTGATAGACCCACTTGTGCTTATTTTCACCAGGCAGCCAGTCTTTACCTTTATCACCTTGGCCAAAGACACGTTCAATACCAAAACCAACATGTCGCAAACAACACCGAATATCGCCAGTAATGTCAGGCTAGTTGGGGATTCCAATGATAACTACCCTTTGGTTATCTGCTTTCACGGCTCGGGGGACTCTTGCGCCTCTTGGGAGCCCTTGGCAGATCTACTGAGTGCCTCATATCGGGTCCTCCTGTGGGATCGACATGATCCTGATGTTAGACCTCAAATCGCAGTATCGAAACTTTTGGAATACCTAGATACCGCCCAGCTATCTCCCACCTTTGTGCTCATCGCTCATTCATACGGCGGGACCTTCGCGAGGCTCTTTCTGGAGCAGAGACCACAGCAAGTCGCAGGGATGGTTCTTGTCGAAACTGGCCAGGAGACTGCAATAGACTCTCAGATCGAACAACGACAATACGACGATCAGATCTTGGGAAATAAGCCGTTGGCAGTCATACGGGGCAACACCCTTATCGGCAAGTGGCAGGAGTATAACAAAGAGGCTGTTGCTTGGGGCAACGTTTCTAATCCGTCACTTCAAATTCAAAAACAACTCCTTGACGCTGTAGATAAGGAAGACGAAAGGCTGAAGAAAGCCCAATTGCAACTCTCAAGAAACAACAAATACGTACACATTCCAGACTGTGGACATGGGGTCATTGGAGCAAGGCCAGATGCAGTGAGGGATGCGGTCTGCTGGGTTATGGAACATCTACATACACCTGAGGGTGAGACGTCGAGAAAAGAGCCCCAGAATACCAAAATAGATAATGTCGAGACAGGTGCAAAAAGAGGATTTGGAGCGCGATTGAAGAAAGTCAAGAGTGTATTATCTATGGAAAGTATTTCCAAACGGTTTGGGAGGTGAGAGTGTTCACAGTGAGCAGCTGATCCAATGTTTCATAGTGAAAAGAAATAAAGATACTTTTGCTAACTAGAAGGGTGTATGATATTATCTATATATGGTTTTATTCGTGTATTCACAGGCATAACAATTACCACATTCACTAGAAGTTGTTAGCTTACTAGCATTCAGATAGATGGTTAATCCACTGCTTCCTATTTGAACTGACTCACATGCCTGCATTCGTAGACTACACCTTGTACTAAGCTTGGAGTATCATAAAATGTGTCTGACAGACAGTATTTACAAGTGAATCATAGTGTACCTAGAAGTATAAAAACTCGCCCTCGGTGCTTCCTCTTCCCACCCTTTCATTGTTTACAAACAACGACAACAGCAAACAACAAGTATAAGACAACCGCTCTATCAATCTTATAACCATGCCTTCATCCAACGAAAAGCAAGAGGAAATCCAGAAGGAATCCAAAAAGGAGGAGACTTCGACCAAGCCTAAAGAATCACCCACGAAGGAGCCCAAGTCGACCACAGACGTCAAGGAGGATGATACACCGGAGCCCGAGCAGCGATATGCGTGCAAGGAGTGTTGCCCTGCGTGCAGGTATCCCGAATTATTCGAGAAGCTAAGTGAGAAGTGATGTTAGCTTATTAAAAAATAAGGGAAGGTCCTGAGTTAGTCTCCACGAGGTCGAGATAACCTGACTTCCATGAGACACATACCTCTTCAACTAGTTACTAGTATTATACAACAAATTTGCGTCGTAAACGTCTTAGATGCTAGCCTCTTCACATGCAAAAGTGATTCCTCCAGTGCACTAGCAGTTTTGTAAGCTTATATTGTACTGGTCATTCTGTATTTCTCTTCCGACGTGGATGAGCAAGTCATTGCCAAAACGTTCATTAGAGTTGCTTGCTGATAAAACAAAAATTGTATTGAGGACACAAACACGACAAGAAGCCAAAAAGATCGACCACGCCAGGATTCGAACCTGGAATCTCTAGAGAATAGGATGACGGTGAACCGAAATCTAGCGCCTTAGCCATTAGGCCACGCGGCCGGATACTTGTATGATAGTGGTCTCGTTCAGAAGGATCATAGTGGTGAGTACCACGACATTTTTCCATGATTGTCTTTAATTTGTTCAAGATTGCCCCATGCTAAGGTGGCGGAGTTGAGATATAAACAGTGAGGTGTGAAATTGAGGTGGAGATTGAAGGTGATATGGTAGGAAAAATACACGAAAACCCCAGCGGCTATCTTTCACCTAAAACCTCATTTGTTGAAATGGCAGTCTCGAAATCCTCTAGGAACTTCCAAAACGTCTTCTCGCGCCACCCTTTTGCTTTCCAATCGTTTGCGTTTTTGGGAAACTCATCTATGATACCGGCAACAGACATGTCGTGAGCAGGGACGAAGAAGACATTATCTTGCGCATCTACTTGCTGTGCATCCTTGATTGTTTGTATAGCTTGTTCTATATCAACGCCGATCGCGGGGTCAAAGAATGTCTCGCCGGGCTTGCGTCCACGCTTGACATTTAGGTTGTCGAACACACTACCTGGGCACTGAGAGAGACGTAGGCGGAGGGAGTCGGATAATGATAAGTGCTCAGACAGATCCTGCGGGCAAGGCAGATATTGCGACGGGCGAATCTCGCCGCCGTGGTGACATAGATCGCCACCCATGAGGATGAAGGTGTCGGGTTTAGCTGTTGTACGAGCAAGGCCTGCTAAGTGACCGACGGCATGGCCAGGCGTGTCCAGAAGGTAAAAGGAGCCATCGCCGAAGAAGTCGAAAGCTCGAAAAGGACCAACCTGAAGAGGCGACTCCTCGAAGCTGATTTCTCTAAAGTGCCGTCCTCTGAAGGGGTTTTAGCAATCATGCAACTATGATTAGGGGTAAATAGGGCCTACTCGAAATCTACCTCACGCAATGGTGAATCGGGATTTGCTGGATATCCTGGACAGAATGCCTCCTTGAAACCTGGGCCAGCCACGAGTTCCGTTGAACCAGGGAAGGTCGTTATATCTCCGATGTGGTCAAAATGGTGATGACTGCCTTTGAGTAAGTAACGCTTCTCACAAAGCTGCGACAACTAACCTCCAAATCACACTATCAATCTCTGAAGGCTGCACACCGTGATCATTGAGTATGTCGGCGACATTCTGGGACACCTCCACGCCCAGGTTATACTCCGTAATCATCTTAACCCACGTCGGGGAGAAGTTTTCCAGCGGATTTTTGGGCACCCCAAGATCAAAGAGTGCTTTCTTGCCGGAAGAGCTTTCAACCAAAAAGGACCACGTCGTTACCACAGGCATCATTTCCATGCCATCCATTGCTGGTTTCATGAGGTGTGACAGAGGCATTCTGGAAAAGCGCAGTGTAGAGTCAATGATGCTCACTTTGGCTGCCTTGCCATCAGGCACTTGGAATCGTGGTCGTTCAGCCATTTGGAGTGCCGGTGGATGATTGAGAAATCTATGAGGCTGGCAGTAATGAGTCCTTGATAAGGTAGAAACGAAGGATTTTATAATACCATGTCGTCGGAGGGACACGGGTTGAAAGGGTGATTGAGTAATGGCAGCGTTAGGCCCGCTGACAGTTCCCCGTCTGAAGGGTCCATTTTATTGTGTACGGGCAGGACCGGTTCATTTCGAATCCACCCGCCACCCCATGACCTCGGAGCCGGACAGACTTCAATGCCGGTGCGGCTATTCAAGAGTATTTGTTGCTGAGGCTTCAAGTCTTCTTGCTATGTGGTGACTATTTCTGCTGTAATTCTCTCAACTTTACAGTTCTCTCATATCTCCTCTAATGCCGCTTTACCCTACCCGATTTTGCGACTCATAGATCGTTATTACTAAGAATCGTTAGCCGTTTGAATAAGCCATCCCCAAGCTCACTGGCAGGCTGCCGGACAATCCAAAAAGAAAATGCTCTACGATGGTGTTTATTTTGAGCGACGTAAGTTAGAATTGGATGAAGCATCATGACGTATGTTAATCCCTGAACGATACTCTGTTTGGCGGGGATGATCGACAGCCTCGGCAAATTCCACGTGAGGAGAAAGCTAGGTAGGCAAGGTCCAAAACGCGTACGTATTATGAATCTTTCATCATAACAATCACCTAACATCTACCTTTGGCAAGACACAAAAATGGCCCACGAAGTTGATCCCAAACGGCTGAGCCAACCATTCTCCCTCCCCGATCCCACCAGCTTCTCCAACTTCCAGCGCGACATCTATCAGTCTTTCCGGCCACCGCTCTTCTCAACAAATCCCACACAATGGGAGTCCCTGGCTAAGGAAAGGATCCCACCTACAAACTTCGGTTACGTCTACGGCTCAGCCAGCAGCGCTGCCACGGCAAAGGCCAACAGTGAGGCTTTCAATCGATACCGACTTAGGCCACGCTTTCTTGTTGATGTAACCAGACGCGAAGTAGATGTCGAACTGTTTGGAACAAAGTACAAGAGTCCTCTGATTGTCTCCCCGATTGGCGTCCAAAGTATTTTGCATCCCGATGCGGAAGAGGCCACAGCAAGGGCATGCCATAATGTTGGTGTGCCGATGGTTTTGTCGACTGCTGCGACTCGAACAATTGAGCAGGTTGCAGCCGCCAATGCAGATGGTGATCGATGGTTTCAACTCTACTGGCCCAAGCCACAGTATGAAGAGATCACTGCTAGTCTTCTCGGCCGAGCGAAAGCGTCTGGTTACAAGGTTCTGGTAGTTACTTTGGATACCTTCAGTCTTGGCTGGAGACCGACAGACCTTGACACCTCTTACTTACCTTTTGTATGGGGTGAAGGATGCCAAATCGGTCTCTCAGATCCTGTTTTCAACAGACTGTTCGATGAGATGCAGAAGAACGACTCACGAAGCGTGGGTGAGAAGTTGTCTGAGCTATGGTCAATCATGAGACGGCCTGGTACTGTTTACGGCGCTGCACGAGTTCTTGCCAATGCAAAGACCATGGTCAGGTCAAAAGCTTGGATTGATGTGATTAACTCGGGTACATACCGCGAATGGGCTCACATCAAGATTCTGAAAGATTTATGGGATGGCCCGATTGTTCTCAAAGGAATCCAGACCGTTGAAGATGCTCATCTGGCTATCGAACACGGCGTTGATGGTATCATCGTATCCAACCATGGCGGTCGCCAACTCGACGGTGCGATAGCCTCACTTGATGCTCTGGCCGAAATCACAGGCGACGAAAAGATCAAGGCTTCCAACTTGACTGTCATGTTCGACAGCGGCGTGCGGACCGGCTCGGATGTGCTGAAAGCGCTGGCTCTTGGTGCGAACGCAGTTTGCATTGGAAGGCCTTATGCTTACGGCCTCGCCGCTGGTGGGCAAGAGGGAGTCGAGCATGTGCTGAAATGCCTACTCGCGGATATGGATAACATGCTTGCGAATGTTGGGAAGAAGAGTGTTCGGGACTTGAGCAGGGATGACCTTCAAGTTTTGCCGCTGTCCAAGCTATAATAATGGGAGACAAGGAGAAGGGAACTTGCAGTTGATGTATTTTCGTTATTCTTATCGGGATCTTATTATTATTACGGTACAAATTAGCGGCTATTCATGAAAATTTTGAAGATATTGCAGGGGATGTCCAACACTTTGAACCATAGGTGGAGTGTGCTGGAGACTGGCGGCATCCATCGCTGAAGCATTCTCGTGAAGCATTTTTGCAACTGATGATGGCAACGCGCCTTTGAATGTCGAGCGGCAAGCCAGTAAATGATGCATTAAAACACTTGCTCGAAAGAACTGGCAACCGTTGATGCATTTATTCAGCGTTTGCCTTCCTGCGTTAACGCCGAAGCGAAGATCTGGCAAACAGGCCAATTACGATTGACTTTGAGGAAGCTTGACATTTATCGCCGAAATCCGCTTGCGTCACATAAGCGCTGTCATCGGAGTTTATGGAAAAGCAAGAGATCCACGGCCAAGGAATTTCTACAGATTTAATATTTAAATCGCTTCATCTTATGCACAGTCGGTGGCATGCACAACTTACTATCTTTACAGTCCCATCTAGCCATACATCAGCAACTACTGATGGATTCGCAAAGAAACTTTCAGACCCTGAAGGGCAAAGTCGCTCTCATTACCGGTGCATCCCGTGGTCTCGGCGCAGGCTTTGCCTACGAGCTTGCACGAAGAGGAGCCAAGGTAAGCAAATTGTCCAAATATGCTCGTTGATAACTAAATGAAGCTAGATCGTTGCAACATACACATCTCCCAGTAGTGAAAAGCTCGTCAAAGAGCTGTCCGACAAGATTAATTCTCTCGATCCACCATCACAATGCATTGGTGTAAAAGCAGACCTCAAGGAAGAATCGTCCCCTGCTGAGATAGTTCGTCAAGCTGTTGCTGCGTTTGGTCCTCAGATCGATATACTCATCAACAACGCCGGCATGGAAATCGTCAAGTCCCATACTGACATAACCGCCTCCGACTTTGACTCGATCTTCTACCTCAATGTGCGAGCCCCCATTCTCCTGCTTCAAGCCGTCAAACCATATCTCCCGTCTTCAGGTGGCGGTCGTATCATCAACATATCTTCGGTGGGCGCACGACGCGGTTTCAAAAACTTGTCCCTTTACTGTGCTTCGAAAGCTGCACTCGAAGGATTGACGCGCTCGTGGGCTGCTGAATTAGGCGAGGAGGGTCATACGGTGAATGCTGTTAATCCTGGGCCAGTACAGAGTGATTTGCTGGACAATATTCCCAAAGACATAGTGGACATGCAGAAGAAACAGACACCGGCGGGGAATAGGTTGGGCGAGGTAGATGATGTTGCACAAATTGTTGCATGGTTGGCTTCTGAGGAGAGCAGATGGGTTACAGGACAGGCGTTGTCTGCTAGTGGGGGGCTGGAGATGTATTGATATGACAGACTGGCCAGGGTTGAAATGGTCTAAAGATAGACGCTTTCTGGGTCATTTGTGTGAAGACTTGGTGCTATGTCTACCAGGCTGCAAACAATCTACAGACGAACGAACACGATCACCTTTACATCAACAGTAGGAAAGCCAGTGAAGATATGCGTGCCACTATATCCGAGTAGCAAGACCATTCGAAGTTCAGCCAATCACGTAACGAGGTTGTCAAATTGTATGCAGTCGTCTATCAATTTTCGTTGCAATAGTTTTGATTTGAGTGACCTAGAACGACTCTTGTGCCGGCCGCAAGTCCAGCTCATGAATCCAAAGCGAACTGGGCTGCTGCGACAACCATAAATATGTCTGTCCCACATCCTCTGCCCTCATATGCTTTCCAGTTCTTGTCTCTTCCGTGTCCTCATCGGTGATTCTTCCATTTGCGATAGCATGCACGCACTGAACGCCGTACTTGCTGTGTTCCTTTGCAATCGCCTGGGCCACCATTCTAGCCGATGCACGGCTGGCTCCGTAGGAAGCATAGCCCTCGTTTGTTCTCATAGCACCCAGAGTACCCGTGAAGATGATGGTGCCCTTCTTTGCCCCGTTCGTATCAGCCAAAAGGGTCTGGCCGCCATTCTGCTCGTAGATGAGCTTCAGCGCCTCTTGAGCAAAGACAACAGCGCCTGTAGTGTAGGCCTGCATGCTTTCGTTGAAGGCCTCGGGCGTTTCCTCGAGGAATGGCTTTTTGCTGGCTTGCTTGACGTGGTAGATTGACAGCTTGAGCTTGAGGTCCTTGAAATCAGGGTGTTTGGCGATATCCTGGAAGGTCTTGCGGAGGTTATCGGGCTGGGTGTCTGTAGGGAAAGAATGAAGAACACCGTTTGTTTCTTGGCGGAGAGAATCACGGAGACTCTCGAGGTTATCGGCGTTACGGGCGAGGAGAGCCACTGCGAGGTTACCACCATCAGCGCGGGCCAGCACGCGGGCGATGCCCCGGCCACTGGTAGGGCCGGCTCCAATAATGATTGCTAAGCCTGAGGGTGCCATTATTATACTGTTCAAATAGTCGTTGAAGGTTTTGAATCATTAGGTTGAAGTACCTTCGAATTTATATACTGCGGCTGTTAGTACACGTCTCGAAGACGTCATTCTGGTCCTTTAGTGATGACACCCTTGGCCGTTAAGTCCGATACGAAAAGGGCAGTGATCTTCACCTTTGAACGCGAATTGTCTTCTGTGAGCCATAATTTTGGCACTTGAATAATAATCGGGCCTTTTGGGGTACAGTACCAGTCAGTACTACTCACATGGCTATAACGTAGCGATATATTTCGATGGCGGTCCAGGCTGTCCCTGTGCAGCCATTGGAAAGCTGAGAAACCGTGGCTCCTTTATTCGCCTTATAAAACAGCATCATGGTATGTGTTTATTTGTGCTATATAGAATTAAAAACAAGATTCTTACTCTGTTCTCAGTCTTGTCCTGCCATATTCTTTTGTCCCTCCATGCTTTGCTTGTTTATCTCTTGTGCTTGGAGTTCGGCAGGTCTAGTGATGTAGTTGGATGTTCGACACGATCTAGGATGGTTATCTATCGAGTTATTTCGTGAGTTTTAGTCATCCTCTAATGAAATATGGTAGAACCACTACGACAGATTTGGTGTGTGAGCATATCAATTATTAAATCTAATCAGAAGTCCGGGACGTCTGTTTGGGAAACAGATACATGCTTATATGCCTGCGGTTTGGATAAGTTTGCTAATACAAACCAATTACTAGAGCTTGCTTTACATCCTTGCTAACTTCAATAGAACTACTCTGCTTTGATGATCCATCCAGTGCAGCAACTCCATTCAATATCTACTAAGAAAAGCTTTTCTGCCAACCTTTGGCTTCGGATCATGAAAGCTACAATTCCACCGATTCTGACTGAATCAAGGTCACTAGACTAGCTCAAGGTGTCTTCTGTAGAGGAACCTCTCAATATACCTGCAATGAATCTTCATGCAAGGTAGGCCTCTCCAACAAGTGCCGCAGCTGTCATCACAGCTGAGACGGCTTCCCACGTAGCAATGACTCTCCAGGCAGGTCCTTGAAACCAAAAGATGGTCGCGGAAATAAATCGTGCAAGTGTCAGAGCAAAGAATTCTCGGTTCTCTTGGTACGCAGCAAGCATATAGTAGATGCCGATTCCAATAATAGCCACTGAAAAGCCATTGAGAGCGGGGAGAGCTGACTCGTGCAACTGTTTCGCAGCGAGAGCCTTGCGAGGTGAGATTAGGTTGCTGACTCCGTGGTTGAAGGCGCTGAGGCCAAAGATGAAGATTGTTATGGCTGTGACAGAAGGCATTTCCCGCACGATAGTTTTGAAGTTGTCAAGTCGGTGAATGGACTAGATTTATGCTGGGAAACGTGATGGCAGTAAGCTCAACAACTGTCCAGCTCATGCAGCCAAGGGCGGTATGCAACGGCAGGTAAACATTTTGATGTTGTATGGAAGCAGGCCTCTACTAGGGCTTACATCAGAATATCACTCGCCAGTTGCATAGTAATGAGACTTAGCGTTGTCTGCTGGTCATGGTTGACCGGATTATTCTCTACTGGAATAATTCTAACCACTAGTGTTGTACTTCAATCACATGTTCCGTGACTAGTGAGTATGGTTTCTTATGGGCTGGAATTTTGACCATTATGTTGATCTATCTAGTCCATGTCGACATTTCACACTCAGTTCCAAACAAAGGGAATGTTTGTCAGAGGAGGCTGACAACCTCAATTATTACGCGATAACTCGTCTTACATGCTAAATTTGTCTAGACACTGGCGGCAGCCACCTTGGCGACCATGCCAAGAATACCAGCAGCAGTGACCACCGTCTCGGACCTCTTGAAACCCTCCTCAAAAGGCACACGCTCTTCTTCTACTTGTATGTTAGCTCCACTCTGGAATAATTAACATGATCAACTTACGAAAGAGAGTCTTGACCCATTCGGTATTGGCATTTCCATCATCGGTGTTTCCGAAAACAGACAGGTAAAGGGCAGTCTCAATGAAACTGAACTGAGCCTGAGAGGCGGGTAACGAAAACTCGGGGTTGACAGCAGCAGCGGCTTCAAGGCGGTCCTTTCGCGCCTTGGCGGCAGTCTTGATAGAGATGGTAGACTCGGTAAAATGTGCGGCTGTTGACTCCCAAATGGTCTCGTTGAAGCTGATGTTGTCGCCAAAGTAGATGTCGCCACGGCTCAAGCTGCCATCGTGCTCGATAACTAGTACGGTTAGCCTATTTCTCCTTCATCCTGTATGCAAATACTAACCGCCGTGCTTCTTGAGATCATCGAGATTGAATGTGACGTTGTTTCCAGTGGTCAAAGCCTTCAGGCCGACAAGAGTCGTGGCAGCTGGGTCTAGGTTGACGGCATCGGTGAAAGCGACGATCAAATCGTCAAGGGAGATGTTAAGGCCGTTACGGGGGAGGTATCCATGGTTGGCAACCGCGTTGACCATGGGGCAAGGGCTTCGGCCTGTATCTGTTAGCTATCAACTGTGTCGATTGTGGTAGATGCACTCACGATCAGATGAGGCCGGGGCTTGCCATTCGTTAGCAGCGCTCACAGCCAAGGCGGCGGAGGCGAAAAAAGCAACGTTGAAGAGCATGATTGATGAATGTCAAGAATATCAAGGCAACTCAAAGACGGAATGGAATGTCTGGAGAACAAGGACTGACAGACTTCTCATGACTTTTATTCGGGTCGTTCCTTCAACCCCTGTATACGATTATTTCTCCCTCTTGACATTTAGTCCACTCATTTCAACTAATTCAATGCCGAGGCACGGATGACTACCAAAAAGAGACTCAACCGTCCGTTTAACCCGTATCTATTGGTGCGGAATCACGGCATTCCCGACGCGATTCAGGGGATTCTTCACAGCCCGTAGATGAACCAATTATAGCGCATGTGATTACACTTAAAACGTCGAGTAATGTCCAAGGACGGATGGTGTGGGGTCGTGCGGGCTCGCATAGTGGACCGCGCATTGTCGATATCCTGGAGCCATGATGTGATGTTGCCGGCCGTCATTCCTAAAATGGTGGTATCTTTTTTTAACAAATCTTTGTATAAGTTAACTTAGGTCTTAGGGGAAATCGACCCCCTGAAAGCCGACTTCCCCTGCGATTTTAGATAGACGATTTGCCAAATCTAGTCATCACATGTGATCCATATGTATAACCTTATTACGGAATATAGGCCGACCATCTGTTAGATCTCTTATAGACGGTCGGTTCCAGGGAAGCCGGTTCCCACCTGAGTCAACTTATCCAACAGCGTAGTGTAATATGCTCTAGGGGAGAGATGGGTGAGGTCCTTCACGCAGAATTCTAACCATTCAATTATGAAATGACCACAAGAAGTGTATATTAACTACTATTTATGCTCCAACAATGGATACCATCGATCCCAGCACACCTAAAACTCTCCTACTCAGGAACTGGGCAAAGATCATAGTTGCCATCGGCATTGTTTCCCCACCAGGTAGGGAATGGGTGTCCAGGACCTCCAGCGCCGAATACCGCAAATGAGAGAATAAACAGAACAGTGAGACTGGCACCGTCAAAGGCACCAGTCACCAAGTATGAGTAGTCCCTAAACCATCGTGGGCGGTAGTTTCGGAGGTAAAATTGAACGAAGAAGCCCGAAAGCAGCTGGCTCAAGATGACACAGGTTTGACTCTGGTTGTAGGGGATATAACCAGCAAACTGGATGAACTGAGGGAAGTTGATATCCGCGACGTCAAAGTTCTTGATCTTGGGGTAGAACTAAACGGAGTTAGTGAGATATATAGATCACAGCTTTTCGGGAAACTTACCTTGTAGAAGATTCGGTGGATGACAACCAGACTGGCGCCGACGAGTAAACCGAAAGGCACAAGCTCATAAGTACCGCCCAGCTTGTACAGATAACCAGCCAAAGCCCACGACGTTGCGTTGGTGTTGTATGACTGCATGGTAGCGCCACTCCAAGAAGAGTTACCGTCTCCATCCCTGAGCAGAGCTCGGTTGCTGCCAACAATGCTGATCATAACGGCGTAGTTGATGAAACCTCCAAGGATAGTTCCCCAGATTTGAGTGAGGAACATGACACGGGGTGGAATCTTGACTGGATACGGGTGTTAGCTTGATGCTCGAAGTGGAGGCAGGTTAAACTTACGGTATTCGCCCATCTTGAGGTCAGCAGACAGATTGACAGCGTTTACGATGACATTGTGTGACCAGGCTGCAAAGTACATGTTACCAACAGGCTTGCCAGGTAGCATCAGACCAGCCAGCATCTTGGAGAGATTGTTGGTGGCAATTCCATTTCCATAGCGGGAGTAAAGTAGAGTGCTCTATAAAAGCGATTAGTACCAACCAAAGCCTGCCAAGGAATCGGACAACTTACGACAGGGGCGATGACTGAACCCAAAAGAAGTGAAACCACGTATGCCCATGGGGGAAGAGTGATGTGCTCTTTGATCACAACAACAAGACCAAGCACAAAGCTGCCCACGAGAATAGAAATGTACCACCACCATGGGACTTCCCGGTAGTGCTTTGCCATATGCACATGGTGGCGATCGTCGAATCGGCCTTCCCTGGCGCTCTTGAAAGCCTTGACAACATCCTTACCCCAGAAGAGGATACAGTGAAGAAGAAGGGCGCCAATCTATCAAACAGTTAGATGAGATTACTGATCGGACTAGAATCTGACTTACAGCAGCGTTGGCCATGAACAAAGCGTAGGCAAAAGTGCCAGTCAGTCTAGGAAGACCAAAGTCCAGTAACCGCTCCTCGTTGAGTACTCCACCCTCGAAAACCTCAGCAATAGGATATCTGGTACCGTTCTCGAGCAAGAGCCGGGTGGACATGAAGGGGAGCGACTTGGCACCCCAGCCATTGCCATAGTAGATACCAATCATAACGACGTAGCAAACAAGGAATCCAACTGCCATATGAGCTTGTAGGGGAAGAGGAAGGGAGGTGTTGAATGATGTGATCTGTTCATACTGTAAGTTTGGTGAGGATCAAATCAGAGAAAGGGTAACTCACATATTGCCAATCAAGAGAGACGGTAAAAAGACCAAGGCCTTCGTTGTTAGTAGCACCACCGAAGATACGTGTGAGGTGTGCAGCCTTCTTGCCAGTTGCCTTCATGGCAGCCAGACACTTTGTTCATGGTCAGTGACGATACAACTTTGCAATCAAGCAAGGCAGAATACTTACAGGGATGGAGACTGAGTTGAGCCAGGGAAAGATATAGGCAGGGAAGAACTCATATATCGACATGCCACCAAAACTGTACCAGAAAACGCGCAGAGGCTTGGAATCCTTAACCTCCTGCCAGTGAAGTCCCTGAAGGGTCTTGACGGTTGGCAGACTGCTCCAGAATACTGCATCAACGTGCCAGACAGCAACGGGGCGCAACAAACCGCAGATACCATAGCCGAACAAACCAATCGAAATTGTGCTCAGGATAACGGTAGTTGCGCTCAGTGGCATATCGTAGAAGAGGTCCTGGGCGGCAAAAACCTGGATACTTTCAGCAGCATTGGAGGCAGAGGTGGCTGTGATGGAGCAGATAGCGTGCTCCTTGAGACCCCATGGGCCTGGGTTGATGAACTTGATGGCCTTGAGCCAGAAAGGTAGCAATCCTGTGTTGCCCTTGGCCCTCCATCGCGCTTCGAATTTGTCGCCACGAGGGAGACCGAAAGCCCAGGCGTTTCCGATGAAGTACGAGATGAGGACGATGAAGGTTCCTTGGATGGTAATCATAGTAGGTTTGAACTATAGTCAATCGCATTAGTAGGTGTCGGATTGTTCCAAGGGCTGTGGAGACCAACAGTGTAGATCTGATACATGACAGCTTGAAAACAAGCGAGTCCAGATGACAAGACAATGCTTCGGAACGTCAAAGCACTGTCGTGGTCGTCTCTCATGGGAAGGAGATGGCGAGATGCATCGGCACCGGTGATGATGATGGCATCTCTGCTGTCCTGGTCGCTGTCGTCGCTCTGGCTGTGTCCAGACACGTCGTGGACTTTGGAGTCGAGAGCGTCCTTGGGCAGATCTTGACTCTTCTTCTCGTCGATGTTGTCGGGGCTAGAAACGGGGAACACGGATGTCTCGAGGACGTCGTCGGGGCCGTGAGGCCCCTTGGGTTCAACACCTGTGGACGACATGCTTTGGCAGCGTTTCGATCCTCTGAGAAGGGGTAAACAAGAGGAGAAGCTGTCGTGTAACGGTCCACGATTGTATAAGTTGCCTGGTGTGATCGTCTGATTCTTCAGGTCAATTTAAGCATGTGCGGAGCGACCTGACTTTATCTTAACCGCATGGTCGTACTGATGGAACATTGATACCATCGCCCCAGACAATGAGCCCATGTAGCCGATCTCGATTCTAGAATGGGCATCGGCCTCTGCAGTGATAAGACCTCGGCCGCTCACAAGGGGGTTTCCATAATCTAAGGGTCCTTTTGCAATTGACGTTCCCTTCCTGGAAATTTGCCTCCCGGAGTGGTTGATAGTCTGATAGATCCGGGTGTTGGTTTACCGTCTTGTCGGTCCATAGCATGCTATATCCTTGGCCTCCTTCCCGTTCTGTACTAGCCGTATACCAATTCTGTAACAAGGCGCGTCTGTATCGTGGAGTCGTTAGCTTTGGACTGTCACTCCAGTCCCTGGAACTAGGATATCCTAGCGCTGTACTGTCTAGCACCTGCCCGTGTGTTTGATATGACCTACCGGTGCTAGAGATGGTCTGCGCGGGAAACCATACTAGGGTCAATTTTCGCTGCTAAGTCTCAACCAGAGGAACTTGTGTCGGCAGCACAAAGTGTTGGTTACATCGCCTGACATTGATTGGTTACAGAGGTGGTTTCTGCTGGGGTAACATTGATTGCGACATGCTGTCTGACCAGGGATCCTACGACAAAGGGTCTCGAATTGCGATAATCGGAAGACCACTATTGGTTCGTGTATCAGGCACTTTATGGCTCAGGAACTTTTTTTGGTGTTGGTCAAAAGCCTAGACTGACAATCTATATCCAGTTACTGCTCTCCCGCTTACATGATATGGCATGTAAGCACCCAATTGATAAGCTTTAAATAGCGTCAGGGGTGGGAATACGACAGAACATCAGGAAACGCAAAAGAACACTGAAGAAGGGAAATAAACATTCTCTTCGAAATAGAGCAACAAGTCATATTTGCAGACACTGTAAAGCAGGTAACCACAGAAAGAAAACCTGGGATATCCGACAACTGCCACATCCCGGCGCTACATTGTCGGGTACAACCGATCTCAGTGGAGACTAACAGGGATTTCCTGGGTCCAAGAACTGGGGAACTATTATTGCCTCAAGATAGCGGCGACCTTTTTCCAAGGCCCGCACGTCAAATACAATCGTTCCTTTACTCTTCGGGGCCCTTGATCATTCAGGATTTACAGCCGAGACTTGTAGAGCAGCACCGACGACGGATTCAAGCTTATTGTTGTCGATGCGGCCGCGGGGCGAAGTGATAGGCCCTGTGCCCCATACCTTGAAGCCCGAGGTTCCATTCTTGGAAGGCCATCTCTTATCTACGACGTTTTGTTGCCGCTCTATCCGGGCATGGGCCACGTGATTCGCTTTCGCAATCAAAATAAGACGGTTGTACGGGAACTTTTGCTAGATGCGACGGCTTCGTCAGCCATTATCAAAAAGGCGTCATCCCGAGAAGTTCGACCTGCCAACATCGCGGAATTCAATAACATACGAGTGTCAATTTTTGATAAGTCTCTACCCAATTTTACAAATAGATATTTGTTCATTCATCTTAACAAAACTGATTCTAGTCTATGAGTGGGACTTGCTTGCCTTAGCATGGAGCGTATCTGCACAATGAATGCCAAGACGCTTGCCAAGCCGGCATTGATCGGTTCGCTGAGACCTCTTAGCTTCCCGTGTATCAATATCCCTGTCTGTCAATGATCCGTTCCAGTCTCTAGTCCATTGGAGAGTGAATGTGATTTTGCGGCTCAGCAACTCGGCCGATACAACACTTGGGTGGCCAAGAGGCCAAGACTGCAGTGCGGCTAGATTACGTCGAAAGAATCACCGAAGCCACTTACGATACCATCCAACTGGGAGGCGAATAGCCTAGGTTCAAAAGCAAAAGCGCCAAGTATGGAAATCTTTTGTCAAAAGCATCCACAGTATGCTGAACCTTCACACAATGCGAAATCTTGGTTCTCCCATTATACTCTATTGCCCGCAGTTCTAAGGAATATTGATTTACACGATCAAACTCGCCAACTGAGAAAACACGGCATACTCACTCAGGCACTTCAAACATATCCTGATGAGTGTTATGGAGATGGCGACGGTCTACTGTTCGCCGATATCATCTCAACGGAGTGCTAGTCGCTCGCCACCCGTATAGCCGGCCACGCCACAATGTACGTCTAATTAAAACAACAGGTGGACAGACTTCATAAAGATCTGCAACTGCAACGTAGTGTGGGCTCGATAATTTGTTCTTGCGTTGTTCTAGACTCGAGACACAGCATCTTGATCTACAACTATAGTGCATGCATCTTCTTTGACGAAACTGGTAAAGAGATACTACCAAAGATGTCAGCCTACTTATGCAGTCCACCCCTGGCCATATGTGCACCTGTCACTGGACCCCAATTACCAACATAGGATTGCCTATGGTGCACGAACGTTCCAGTATGGCGTTGTTCAACCAGGGACATTGCAATATCTCCATGTTATCCTATTGGACCAACTTCAGTCCATACCTAACCAGGAAGGTCGTTTAGTTCTTTCTATTTGCCATCCAAGACCATCGTGCGGCGAAGTTTCTGGACGTGTGGCGAAAAATCTCGCTGTGGTACTTTGTAGTAGCAGTTGGCTGGGCGCACCAGAATCGTGTCTCATGGAAGACTGTTACAAAAGTTCAAATCAAGCACGCCTTGATCCCTCTAATCACAAAACTTTTGCCGATATATTTGCAAGCACTTGCACCACTACAGACAACCCCATCTGAGGGACACCATGGTTACAACATGTGAAATGTTGACCTCCGAGATAGATGAAGTCCAGTGAAATTCATCGCTTTGGCATTGTGATTGCAGCTGCTCATGGCCCCCCCTTTCAGAAAATATCTCTGCTGATTTCTTGAGACACAGCGTGTGTTATAAGACCACTTCCTGATAGAGATCTTGGCACGATGATACAATGATATTACAATAGACTTAATTACAAATAACAACCAACTAAACTACTCATCAAGCTTCAGGTATGCTTTTGGGTCCTCAACTAAGTGCTAGGCACCTGATGTTCGTATATGAGAGCTGTTTTAATCTTGGATAAAGTCAGGATGTGCACGTGAGTAAGTACGACTTCGATACCAGACATTTACGGAAACTTGATGGATGGAAACTTGGTTGGCCTGTACAGCGAAGCGAGCTCTCGACACAGCTCCTCCAATTAAGTCAGACGCTCGTTTCTGGGCCATCCCTCCGCTTCATTTGGAACAAGCCAGTGTAGAGTCTTTCTGGCAAGACCTGCAATAGTGCTTTGTGATTTTGTGAACCATCTGCGGCAAGTCAAATGTGACCAGACTTGGAGTACGTCTCTCGTTGTGGTTGTTAGCCATGACGCTCTCCGATATCAAGTTGCCAAGGACGGCTCAAGGGAGAATTTCTGGCTTAGAAGAAAACCAGGTTGACAATGGCAGGAACTTTACACCCATAAGCAGTTTTCACACAACTCCATTCATCACGTTTTACCGCTGGCCTTTGGGATTGGCCAGTGTGTTGGACTCAATGGGTTCAAAAAGCGTCCTGACTTATCTTTAACGAACACCCATTTTGTAACAGATGCCTTGAGGTATGTAACACACTTTACACCGAACAGGAAAATCTAAATACTGGAATGATAAATCCTTATATTCCGCCGAGATTAATAGATTGTATTGGGTGAAGTAAGTAGATAACAGTATTATTTGAGGACTCTATAAGAGTCATCTTGTAAATTCTTAAAAGATACCACCTTCGGTGAAAGACTATAGGGTAAGGGAGGAAATAAGAATAGACCCTTGAGCTGAGGGTTATGGATTCACTCCGAAGATAGCGTCAGCTAGCTTGACCTGGTTATAGCGCTCAGGTTAGAGGCTACCGTTCTCTGCCGTATCATAAGGAGCTGATCAATTAGCCTTTTTGTAGTAGCTTAAGCGCCTGAAACCAAAGAGAGACTGTTGATTTAAGGAAATGAATTCTTCGCTTTGATAGTCTTAATCGTTTTATTTCAATACTGATACCCCTTTAGATATCTCCTTTGATTCTTTTAATATCTCTCCACATTTCTCATACTTTAACACAGTCATTCCTTCATGAGAGTATCGTTCTTTACTCCATAATACGTTCCAGTGTTTTTGTGTTGGCTATTGGCCTCCTTGCTGCTGATTCGGCTCTTGCCGGCCCTTGCCAGCCTCGACGTTCCAGTGAGTAGCAATTAGATCATAGTTACAAGGTTATAAGCGGTGACTGATTATATATTCCCTCCCAGCTTCGGACGGAGTGACGGTCACATCGGCTGCAACATCTGAGATATCTACCATCGTCCTGGGAACCTCAACAAATGTCTTGTCCGAGACCACAACCGCCAAAGTTATCGCTACCACAACAGACGTTGCCACCACCACGACTGTCGTTGCAGACGCTACTACAACAACGCCAGAAGCCGACACATCTACCGGTATTGAGACTACTACCGCCGCTCCAGGGCCTGCGGCAACTTATTTCGTTGTCGTTAGTGGGGGCCCCATTGATGGGGCGATTGCAAAAGGAACTGACTAAGGGGGATCGATTATTATCTTCAATTCAACAGCTTCGGGACTTCAACCGAGATCATACACTCTCGAGCCCGGTACAGGTCGTCTCCAAGATGTAAAAAGCGGGAACTATATCTGTGCATACTACTATTGTTGATATCATTGAGAGATTTGGAAAGCCTGGGCTTGATAAAGTTGAAGGTTAAAGCAAAAAGAATATCTGTGCATACTACGCCGATACCAGCACCCCCTCGGGCACAGCTATGGGTAGCCAACTGCCAATCCTCGAACATAGGCGATGACAAGCCACATAACTACCTGAACTGCAAGATCGTTGACAGTCAGCTCTCTTGTACAGCCGCCTTGACTGTATGTACCACTGATGAGGACATATTTGAAACCACATGTACGACTCCGCAGGGCAATGTCGTGCTCGATGTGTTCTATTACCAACACAGAAATGCTGGTGTTGATTACTGGTTCATCTCAAGTGGTAGTCCTAACGGCTATACAGCTATTAATATTGCTGCCGTGGAACAGTAAATTATTAACCAAGGGGCTGGAAGGTTTATTTTTCAATAATCATAACTGGGGACGCATCGTCAAGAAGGCAGCAATTCGCACGCGCCGTCATCCATATGCCGTCTTAGCCTGCATTTAGGTCATATTGAATAATGCATACTCCTGCTATTTGTCGATACTGACGTTACTTCTTTTAAGAATAGATGTGCTCATTGACTACTGCCAATTGTGGCTGTGCCAGACTTGAAATACCATCGCGGCGAATATTCCCCGCTCAGAGACAACGTCACCCAGCCACCCCAAGACGGTTTGGGGGTCAACGGCAGCTAATCGTCCGGAAGCGAATCAGTCAGCCTTGGAGCGGGGCCCCAATCGGAGTTTTAGCCGCAAGAAGCTTGATCCTGCGAGGGAAAGTCTTGCATGCTCAGCCCTAATTTCCAGGGGAAAAGATGATTCCAGTTTCGTTCATTTTCGCACCCAATGAACAAATCTTTTGCTGGGGGCTAAAGGCTCTTAGTGCTGACATTGCTGATCTGTTGTGCGGTCCAGGCTTTAGACTTTGAATATAATCCTTGATCCATCCCATGGCATGGTCTGAGAGCTTCAGGCCCTTCAAAGCTTGATGCAGGACACCGCTGTTTGTTCAGTGGCTGGGGGGTCTTGGCAATACGGAACAAGTGTTCGTCACGGTAGAGTCTTTGGCAAGTGAAGATTGAGTGTCCAGCATTTTCTTTTCTATCTGTATCTGAAAATAATTTAAGAGCTTGAAACAGTAGTTCGATGTATAATGTCACTGCCGTTGTCTACTCTGGTGCTTGGTGTTTTCCGTAGTCTAACGTTAATGGCAACCTTGAAGCCCTGTGATAAGCGCTAGTGCCTCAGAATTGGTGACTGGCTAAATGTGGCCAACCAAGACCTTGGATGATTGACCCCTGGGCATCGATCTCTACCAGTTTTAGGCCCATCACCTGTTGTCCCGTACCAAAGTCCCTGCGAATCTCCGCTTCATTGCTACACAAATTGTCAGCTTAATAAAAGCCAAAGGACAGGCACCTCTCAGGATGTCGTTGTTCGGTTTAATCCCTCGTTCTTCTTGTTTGGTCTTTTCTGTTGCAGCGACGTGATTGTTTCTTATCGCCTCATCAGCAGTCTTTTCGCTCCATGTATTCAACTCCATGAACTCAACTGTTTGCCGGCTCAGCAAGCAGACTAACAGTGGCCATCGCTGAGATCGCGCCAATCACCATGTCTCGTTTGACCATCTCATCAACAATAGGCCTTGTCTGCCTTCTCGCAAATCCCGTCGCGGGTTTGGCTGGATGGTGGACGTGGTCACCCGATACTCTCACGCCTCATTTCGCATACCAAGATCCCGGATCTGGAGACATTTTACATAGCTCGTGTAATAGCAATGGTTCAGCCGCGTTTTTGTCCGATAAGCCCAATAAATTTCCCCTAAAAGCCCAGCCAAAGCCTGCGACGCCACTAGCTGTGACGGGTTGGTGGGACGACGATCTGAACACGCCAATCGTGAGCATTCTGCGACTCAATTCTGACGGGTTTGGTATTGACATTGTAGGCTTCCATCTTTTACCAAGGCACCGACGACTCGATCGTAAATGCGTTCTTTACATGCGACAACAAGACAGGCAACTACAAGCTCGACCCCGAAGGCATCGACATTGTTTCCGACTTGGCGGGCGCACCCTCTGTACATGAAAAGACCGGACTAGCAGTCACAGAGCTAGGAGATTCGGGCGGGTACCGGCTCTATTATCACGACGAAGATGGACTGGTGAATTTGATGGCATACGATGACGACACCGATTGGCGATACGATGGCCCAGTGTCACTCAAAAAGACAGCTGGGAAGGCTATAGCTGCCCTGCAAATAAAGGGCACCAATGTTTCGGTGGCTTATCCATATGACAGCAACAACATTGCTGTTGCTCACTTCAACCAGGATAATAAGAACAAATGGAGTTTAGGTAAGCATGCTCAAGACGGGCAAATGCTGCACAGTCACTAACAAGCATCTCAGAATCATTCCCAACTCCCTTCGATAGCCCGGCGCCGACGAACAATACCGACCCTTCGGACGTACGACTCGATACTTCAGGAGACAGCTCGCTTAAGTTATCATCCTTCGATAACGCTGCCGTCAATCTCGGCATTGCGGCCGGTACAAAACAACGATTATCTATCCTATATATTGGCAAAGATGCCCAGCTACATGCTGTATCTAGCAATGGTGGCGCTTGGGAAGAGGAGGAAAGCCCCGGATCAAAAGAATGGCCCGAGGCGGATGATGAGTCAGGGCGCCTGGCCGTCGTTTCGCCCTTGGATTCTAGCGATATCTGGGTATACTACCTGAGCGGAGACAAGGTTCTTGAGCTGCATAGAGATGAGAGTGGTTCATGGGCCAAGGCCAAGACGCCATCTTCGACAACCAAGAGTGACGATTCTAAATCGGATAACGAATCGGATGGAAGCGGTGACTCGACAAGAACTGACGATAGCTCTGATACGAAAACGAGCGAGAGCGCTGCTGCTTCTCCAGCGACAGGCATGACAACTGGAGCAAAGGCAGGCATTGGAGTTGGAGTCGGTGTTGGTGTGCTGGCCCTCTTGGCTGCCGTGTTCTTCTTCCTCCGCAAGAGGCGACAAACACCGGGTCCCGGCCAGCGCAAGGATTCAGTTGGAGAACTCGGATCAGGGGCTAGTTATCGTGCTGTTGAAATGCCCACTGTGGTACATGACCCGCAGGAATTGGCAGCGACCCAGAACCAGAAGTATGAGTTGTTGGGCGACACTGGACATAGGGCATCGTAGCACGATAGAGTGAATTATGATAGGAATAACAATAAGAAGATTATTGTATCTTATTATTATTGTTGTTGTTAAAAGGGCGTCATGCGAGCAGCACGATTATGATGCATTCCTGCAGGTGCTGAGCCACTGGCGTAGCACATTCGTCAGTGCACTTGTCGACAAGTCTGCACCTGGGAACTGAGCAACAAACGGCTCACTCAAAAACCTACTGTGGCTACGTACAAACAATTGTAGGCCAAGCCTTATATCTCCAATGGCATGCCTGGAATGACAGCTAGCTAGAAAACAAGCTCATGTCAAGTTTTAACCACCAATGAACTCCTTGTCTTCATGTCACCAGCCCTTTCACTCTCAATCGCCAAACGTCAGTCCCCTGTCGCCAAGCGCTATTCTCACTGGAATTCCCAGTTTTCCCAGATAACCTTAACCTAAAATCCTGCTGCGGGCACGTTTCAGTCCACTTTTGGAGGCACATTTGCTCCGGGATGCCACCATGGGCCGTTATCATTGACGTAATGTTCCTGCAGGAACGCGCTTTAAAGTACAGTACGGCGCGTCAGTCTTTTGATCTCTCCCATCTCTTCCATCTCTCTACTATTCTCGTTGTCAAGTACGAGAGAAAGCAAACATGTCAAGCAGCGTCTTGAGCACCTTTGTCGGCGCCATTCAGGCGTCGGCGTCTGTTCTGCTCACCATCTTTTATGGTGTAATTGCAGGCCAGACCAAGCTTCTCAGCGTTGAGACGGGCCGACAGATCTCGAAGATCTGCATCAAGATGTTCCTCCCAGCCCTGCTAGTTGTCAATCTCGGCTCGCAGATAGAGGCATCTAACGCATCCCAATACCTCATTATTCTTGGTAGGTCGTCAATTGCATGTGCAAACTCGAGGGTCTAACATATCGCTAGCATGGGCTTTGGTCTACAACCTCACTTCGATCGCTGTCGGATATGTCCTCACCAAGTTCCTGAACATGCCCAAGTGGTTCACCCCGGCGATCACCTTCAACAACACCACGTCCTACCCCCTCCTCTTGATCCAATCCCTTGGTTCAGCTGGTGTCCTGTCCAATCTCGCAAAGTCCGACGATGACACGAGTGACGCTATCATCGACCGAGCCAAGTCTTTCTTCCTCGTCTGCTCCGTTATCTCCAACATGCTTACCTTTGGACTTGGCGGAACCCTTCTTGGAGTCAGTGACGAGGATCCTGTCGATACCATGGATCGAGACCTGCGCGACCGGGCCGGCCACAACGATACACCTGAAGAGAGCGGTGCGGATGAGGAGAATGGACAAGATGGCGGCGATTCCAACGAGCGCACATCCCTCCTACCGGGACCTCTGCCACGATACGCCAAGAAGGCCTCTCGTGGTACTGCTCAAGCCCAACATGCCGTTTGGGACAGGCTCCATCCACGAGTCCAGCATGGTTTGGCACTCACTACTCAATTCATCAGCCCTCCCTCCCTCGGCGCCACCCTTGGTATCATTCTTGCCTTCGTACCTCCTCTTAAAAAGGCTTTCTTCGCTGATAGCGAGGACGGTGGCATTTTTAACGCTTGGTTGACTGTCAGTCTCAAGAATATTGGAGAGCTCTTTGTAACTTTGCAAGTTATCGTCGTTGGCATCAAGCTTGCCCACAGTCTTCGACGTATGCGCAGCGGACACGACTCTGGCAACCTTCACTGGGCTCCTATGACTCTCGTTGTTCTGATCAGATTCCTGATCTGGCCAGTGTAATTGACCTCCCTCCTCGACATCCACAAGATGCAGCACTGACGTTTGAGATTAGACTTAGTATTCTGTTCATCAGAATGCTCATTACGAAAACCGACATCCTAGGCCAGGACCGAGTCCTCTGGTTCACCATGATGTTGATGCCGGCAGGACCACCGGCAATGAAGCTGGTCGCTATGGCAGAGATGGACGACGCTGACGAAAATGACAAGATGTCGATTGCGCGAGTCCTTATGGTAAGACATTTACCACAGCTGGTCACAGTGAATATCGCTAACTCTATCGATAGACTTGCTACGCTGTGTCACCCTTGCTATCATTCGCAGTTGTTGCCAGTCTTAAAGCTTGCACTTAAAGGACTAACACGTCAAGAAGAGTCGCGAAAGTGAGCGCTTCTTCACTCAAGTACCTCTAATACCCGGCTTGGTGTCAGTTCCAGGCGGCGAAATAAAGAACGAGCAAGAACACATAGTTCGCCATGATGCCCGACTTTTCCCATAAGAGGAAAACGGCACAAAGAGTTTACTATGGTATGAACAATACTTTGCAGACTTCGTCATTGACCCACAGAACCCAAAGTATACATATCGTGGAAACCGGCGTTGGCTTATATAAACGAAGCTGATCTGACGCCGTAAAACGATTCGAGTGTCTTTAGCAAGTATCAATACTCATCCCTTGGCCATCCATTGGACATGGCCTCGTACACCTTGTACAGACTAGATAGTAACAAAGATAGTCTGATCTCATAAAAAACACTAGCAACTACTTTTCTCCACCTTCTCTTCCCGGCCTTCGATAAGAGTGGCTGTCGCGCGTCTTGTCGCCAACACCATGAACTTGTTGCGGCCAATGCAGGTTGCCGTGAATCATTGTGCATCCAATTTTTGACTCGTGACAGAAAACTGATAGCATAATACTGTACACACTCATTGAGTGTACATAGTTTGCGGTCCGACCGTCTCTGCTCACATTTTGCACAGAGTTCATTCGTATCCTGCCGCAGTATTGTAAACTGTCAACGATGACGTTGTTGATACAAAGCACAAGACGCGAGAGCAACAGCCGTTACGATGTTCCCAGCGACCTTGCTCACCCTGTTGTCGTCGCCAATCTTCCAAAGTAAAAATGCCGCACTGGCCTTGTAGAGGCTCATCAGAGTGAGGAGAGTTATAATTCCAGCGAGACTACTGTTCGCCTGGTTCAACACCAATAGTACTCCGACCGATAACTCCCAAAGACCAAGCATATAAATAGGCCCCGAGCTTGGACTGCTCCTTGAAGTGGGAGTGTGCTTTAGTCCGTTAAGCTCATATTCTGCTTGCGGATTGGTGAAGGCCATGATACTTCGAGCGATGCAAGCAAGACCGAGGACATAAACTGCAATCTCTGAGAAGCCCATTAGAAAGTTCGGTTGTGGTAGGTGGAGGGCAATGAGAGGAATTGTGTAAACTGGTGTTGGTGCTTCGGTATCCTAACCGCTTTGTTCGTGACGCGGTCAGCATAAATTACGTCCAAACTCCCTGGCTTATTACGTGAGATGTGCTGCGCCCCTTAGTGCCCCAGAATTGTCAAGGCGCCAAGACGTCAAATCTAGTATAAGTTCATGTCTGTGTTGAAGTCACTTTGTTCTCGATTCATGAAAATATTTATCTCGCATTGGAAATTACAGCTGTTCATATGATCATCTATCCTCATGATATCTAATAACGATTTGGCTCAAAGTCTTCGAACACTCCCTTAGGTAATGGTATATCCACCATCTACACGTAGCTCTGATCCCGTCATGTAAGAAGAGGCGTCGGACAAAAGGAAGGTGACGGGTCCCATGAGGTCCCGAGGCTGGCCCATTCGGCCTTGGGGGATGAGAGCCGTCCACGTGTTTCCAATATCCGGGTTCTCCTTTATGATCTTTTCCGTCCTACTTGACATCAGAATGGCGTTGCTAGAAAGCATCAAGGGAACTTACATGGCAGTCAACATATAGCCAGGGGAAATGCAGTTTACGCGGATCCCGGCATGGGCCCATTCCACTGCTAGGGAAGCAGCCAGATGACGAACAGCAGCCTTGGATGCATTATATGGACTAGTCACCATTGTTAGTCTTCTACATCTTCAACAGCCATGAGATAACTTACGCCTGTGGCTGTGGAATATTGACAATGACACCTGACATACTACCGATAACAACGATACTACCTGGTACCTGACGTTCCATGAGATGCTTGGCAACAGCGACAGCAAATAAATAGGTGCCGTCGACGTTAACAGCCCAAAGTTTGCGCATACGCTCTATGGGATAGTTAATTGCGTCAAAGTTCTCGGAGAATCCAGCTGAAGTGACTAGACCATCGATCTTCTTGTGCACGTTGAGAATCTCAGCCATGCACTTAGTCACGGACTCCGGGTCAGACACTTCCGCGTAGTGTGCTGTAACTCTCGGAATTCTGGTGCTGGGTTAGGGGATGTTGAAGTAAGTAAGAGGATATGACTGACTTTTCGCTATTTGGGTTCTCCTTCTTGAATGCGTCTATCAATTGACCGACCTGAGACTGTGCTTCATCCTCTGCAATTTGTCAATACCAGCCGGGAAGCTCGGGAGCGATGCCTTACTGTTCATATCGACAATTGCTAGATCAGCGCCGGAAAAGACAATTCCTTGGCCCATAACCAGACCAAGACCTCTGGCACCGCCGGTCATAATAATGGTCTTTCCTTCGAGTGACAAAGACGCCAGGGTAGGTTTGGAGAATTGCCCCCCTTGGCCAATCAGCGGTTTACTGGCAGGAAGTTCATGATGTTCCGGGTATTCGACGCGAACACCAGCGTCTGTGCGAGAGTAGGATCGCTTAGGTGGTTCTCCGGCAGGCATATTGGAAGTTTAATCGATTCGAATAGAGTGATAGATTGTTGGAGACGAGCGAACAATGGGACAGACGTTCATCTTTATTCATTGTTACCATCTTATGATGGGCTCCGATTTTTGAACTCGTATTCTCACCCCACGTAAGGTTGGTTGCAAGACTCCGGAAACATGATACCTTTCTGCTGATCTCGCAACCAAAGCACCATCATATCACGGGATGTTAGTGAACTGCGAAGGGACACCGCGTTATGTAGGTCTCAGCTGATCGGCAAGGTGAGCTTGGAAGACGGGCGGTCAGCTCCACGAGGAAACGCGAAAGAATAGAAGAGCTTTGGTTCTACTAACAGTGAATATTTCATCCTCCGCGCGGCGGTCATCCAAGGTAGGAAAGCCGGTCGTTGATGAATAGTGATACGAGCCTGGATGTCCACGTGCCTGAGAACCCCCACCCAATGCCCTGGATCAGATCATGTTGTTGTCCGACAACGAGACTTTTAGTAGTTGATGGTTGGTTTAATTCGAGCGCTTCTGGGTACTTCTAACCCGGTGATCAGCTGGTGTCTAAATGCTCGCTTCATGGGCCTGATGTTGTTTTGTCTTCAAAAGCAAACTTTGTAACACCACGCGCAATATTTGCTCAGTATACACCATTCGGACGATATCATAGCAAACATTCATTCTCAGAGGGGGGTATATGATCAAGACGATCAATTGACATCAACCACCTTGATAGTGAATTGAAGTTTATTTTGGCACATTGTTCTAATAAAACTCCGTTATTTCATAAATTACTCAGCCAGATCACTATACCGAGTAAATATCACGTTAATTCTCCACAAGAGCTCATTGTCAACATCTTGAGATGATATGACCACTGGCATAAGGAAGACCGAATTGATAAAGCGTAATGAATTGATACAACTGCTGTATATCCTGGGCTCCCACCCAGACATCATCATCTGGCACTAGATGGCTGCTCTTCTCTCCGCCTCTTTCTTTAGCTCTGCGTTGAAACCTTCAAAGCTCTTCCGAGTTTTCTTTCCCATGAACCAATTCGGTTTCCAAAGAAACGTGAGTAGACCACGCCACTTTTCATTTTGTATGAACGTCGTTCCTCCTGGAGTCTTGGTGCTTGGTCTCCAGCTAAACATGTGCTCGCCGAGGAGCAGTGGCTGTAGACCACCAGCCCACTCAAATACATCAGGCTCGTTTCTCTAGGATCTGGTTAGTAAGGTACTGGGACATCCGCCAGATGTAACTTGCTAGTAGGGTTGCTGTGAAACTGAGGCCTTCGATGTTTACACTGAGTTTGTCCTGAGGGAGCAAATCATCAATCTTCTTAGACGAGACTGCTGGATCAATGGTCCAGGTACTCCATTCCTTGAAACTTGTGAAGTCTTTGAACTAGTAGAGTGTTAGATGTGGTATACGCCTTCTGAATTGACTCACCAGTGACTTGACAACATCGACCGGGGCCTCGATCTCTGTTTCAACTATCAACGATGCTCGCTGGCCCATGATGTATTGATAGTAATACTGATTGGAAAGAAAATTGACAATTTCGACCAAGTGTAGAGAAGACCTGCAGTTCTAAGTGCAAGATCAAGTCGGACATATTTATGCCAGCGAGAAATCTTCCGAAGGAACCGTGCCGCCAAACTGGAAGTGTCAGCCAATGTAAGATGTAAGCTGACATCCGTGTTGACCATTTTCTCAATGTAGTATTTATGACGTAGGAAGGTGTTTCGGACTGCTTAGCCATGAACTGGGAGAGACGGAAAAGGGATTATAGTATGCTTCAATTGAACGTTATCAGATATGGTAGAAATACGCAAGACGCTGTGCATCAGCCCTCACGAGGTATCGTTGTCAGTTCGACAAAAGCTTATTCTAGCAAGACGCCTGATAAAAAGATGATACAACTAACATCCTGGTGGGCGTAGAGCCTTGCTACATCATAATTTCCTCCTCTCTTTCCAGCTACCTGAGGTGTGGTGATGGGGGGAATCCCTAGCTACTTAAGGCAGCCGATTTTAGATCTTGCAGACAGCCCCAAATATCTCAAAGCAGACGCATATAGCTATGCAGTTGACTAACGAACTACCTGAATAATACAGTGCTGTTATTTATTTGTCTTTCTCAATTACTATCCCGAGTCCGGTATCTGCGGCAAGTTAGGATGCCCGTGCCCTTGTTGATCAACTTTCAGAGACGGCATGCGGGGTGAATGTCCGAGCTCGGCGACGGTCTCCCAAGACAAGATCAGCGACCTCGCAGTATTAACAACGACCCTCGCTGCTACGTTGTTCGCATCACTTGATACAGGTGTCATACAAGCTGTATCGGTTCAAAGTCTATTGTGATCAATAGCGAATCAAGGTTGGGAGTACAATGAAAGAGGGGTCGTGAGCTTATCTTACAACGTTTGACGGTTACTTAAGGCAGTCATCTCCCAGACATCTGACAACAGACTGTATCTAGAGATCAAAGAAGAAAACACCCCTTCCGAACGACAAAAATCACAATGGAATCTTCGGAGCTCACCCCAGAGCTATCTCAGCTCTTCCTAAAAATCGAGCGCAGCTTCAAAGACACCGATCTTGGGGATCAGCGCTGGTATATCGTCACTATTGCCTGCCTCGTGGCCAGTCCGGACCCAGAAGCATCTGCAGCGCTCTACAGATATCTGATCAGCCAAGACCCCTACCAGACGAGTGAATCACGCCAAGCCCTCATACGACGCCTCCGCGAAGCGCTCTTCAAGACGATCATCCTTATCGGGGTGTGCAAACCCCTCGAGGCTATCATATCAATCAACCAGATCGAGCGATCCGAGGACTGCGACTTCAGTAGCAGTTCGCGCGAGGGCTGGCAAGCCGACGAGGCAAACCGCGAGAGGGGTATGGAGTGGTTCAAGAAGATCTACACGCGAAATGCGGGGGATACGCTGGGTATGCTGGATGCGCATAAGGATTTCGCCTGGGTCTCGAAGGAGATTACGTACGGGCTGTTCCTCTCGGATCGACAAGTGTTGGATGATGTTGACACGCAGCTTGTTGTGCTCCCAGCAATCATGAGTCAGAATCTACGGCGGGAGACTCACTGGCATATCCGGGGGACGCGACGTATCGGGGTGTCGAAGGAGGATGTCCAGGTCATTTGGGATTGTGCCAAGGAGATAGGCAAGTTCTTTGGTAACGAGCTGAACAGGCTGCCAACGGTGGATGATGTTGAGCCTGACGTATAGGTTTAAAGGTATAATCATGCTGTGGTATTGGCATGGTGTGCTTCAACGGGGATCGCCTCACGGTGACAGCATTGTGGAAACACACCCAAGACGCTCGTGTGGAACGACTGGTGTTACTGAGAACTTTGAGAGCTTTGTTCGCACGCAACCACAATTGGTACCTTAGACATAGACAACTCATCATTTCAATCATCTACAGCACCATTATATACCAAAGCAGCGAGTGACGGAGCTTGGTGGAAATATTGAACTATTGGTAGGTCGATCGGACGTCACTGAGCGATGGTGTTGTTCGTCCTTCGTGCCGCGTCGCATCGCTATTTGAAGGGCACTCTACAGGCCATGGCACGAAGAGCAGGGTGGAAAGGTATGGACAGATAACTCGTGTATCATGGAAAGTGCATTAGACATTTCGCTGAGAGTCGCAGGGTTTCGGAAGGTTGGCAATCGCACTCGCTTGAAGCCCACAGTCGCGCGGATGGGTGACTATTCACACGGGAGTAAGAGTGGCGGTAGGCGCACTCGTCGCAATCGCACTCGGTCGCGATGAATCTCACAAGTGGTCAAAAAGAGGCATCGATCGGAGGTACATGAATGTCGAGACGGAAGTCGGCGCGCGGGAGGAGAGCATAGTGAGTTATTGTGTCCGGGTAGGGAGTGATCGTCAGTGTCTGGCTCGGCTACGATCGCAATCCTCCGGTAGAGGCCCGGAGCAAGAGGTTGAAGAGACGGAAAAGCATTGGCCGATGCCGCTTGTTTTGTCCACTGGCTGAGCCAGCCAAATGCGCTGCACTAACAATTATTATGCAGCCCCTACAAACCAGGTGGTCACTTCGAAAAGAGTACTTCGAGCTTGTCGCTCTCGAATGTACTTTTCTCTTACTCCGCTCCAATCTCCCAGCCACCGCAGTTTCGCTCCTTGATCTCCACCACCAACCTCCCCGGCTGGCGGCTCAGCGGCTGTGAGCAGATGTTGCTGGCGGGGCGGGGGCTTGTGCAATTCATTTCAAACGAGTGCTTTCTTTTTTCGTCGGATCATCCCAGCATGGAAGAGTGCTCCGAGCCGTATGCGCGTTTGCTCGACGCGTATTCGTATTCGCACAGGCACGGATGCCCGCTGATGTGAGCCATCTCATTTAGCTGATAATCAATTTGGGCTAAATTCGGGCTGCCCTGTAACCGCGTCACATTTCAATTATCCCCACGCGCATCACGCGCGTCACACATCTCGATAAGATAACGAATCGCTTGCGCGTGACTCTGGCGAGAAGTCCAGCTGAGGTATGCTGATAGACGCCATAAGTCAATCATATCCTCAAAGTAGTGGATTACAGACAAGACTGGCTCAAAATGCTCAGTCAGAAACTATTAAACAGCAAGCATGTTAGCTGGTGCCTGAATACATCTGGGCTCGAAATAGCTGTTGGTGTTCGTAGTTACCTGTGCACCCGCTTGCATGCCGGCTGGTAAACTTCTTTATCTCACGTCAATAGACAGCTACTCTTTCTCATACTTTCGAAAAATGATGAGTAAATCCTCTACTCCCCGGTCTGACTGACAATTAATGAGATTTGACCGACATCAGAAGGCCAGGGTCCAGACGGGATGCTGCAGTGATCAAATGCAGAGGATGTACGCCCCGCCTCCCATTCCGTCAGACACTCAGACCCATCAATAGACGTCTCGTAGAAGAGATCTTGTTGAGGACTTCTCCATGTCTTGTCCAGAGCCATTGGGGAGGATTGAAACATCACCTTGTGCGGTGACGATCAAGTCCTGCTTGGATAGATCTAGATTTGACTGCTAGGTTAAGGGGAAGATACATTGCCAATTTTGATGCAAACGAGGCACTTTTGTGTTTTGTGAGGTCGTCGTTTTATTAATTACCATCGGCAGGCAAATATGGATAGGTAGACATGGACGTGTTAGGTTCATCAATAGTTTATTCTTTGTTCCATGATTCTAGCAGGGGCTCTAAGTATATTGAGCTGGTCGGTGAGGGACATAACATGCTACTAAGGCTAACTCCCATATGGTCCTGGATGGCTCTTCATGCGCGTCGACCGTGGCAAACGAGCGGGCTCTATCCCCAGACTACGGATGACGTGGTTCTGGCTATAGCAACTTGGTAGATTAAGACGAGTATTAGATAGATAAAAGAGGTGCTTGTCTCTCTCCCAACCTTATTCTTCTTCATACGGAATGATATAGGGCAACTCTTTTCGCTATATCTCCTCATGGCTGAAGAGACTCCTAAACGGTTGGTTCCACACCAAGGAACCCCAACAACATCAGACACACCACTTCATACAAAAATGGGAAAGGTACAAGGATGCTGTCATATCATTGGAGACGGAGGCTAACTTCAGCAGCATGATGATGATACATCTACAAGTCAAGTCCCAGCTCCCAAGCAGGCTCGCAGAAAACCTATTTCGAAAAACAAGCCGAACCAAACAAAGAGCAGATCCAGATCCTCACACAGGAAGAAAGACGGTTTGCCTTTGAAGAAGAACCCTGAAACACCGAAGATTGAGCCTGCACACCAAGAGGCGGTGTCTGGTATAATGTTTGCGCAAGTATGCGAACTCATACCTGGAATAGGACTATCCATACCATTCGATGGCAATCGAACCATGGTGCTTCCGTTTGACATAATGCCTCCTGGCCTTCGGCATTTCGCTTTAAACGACCCTCCCTGTCATCCACACGGTTTGCAACAAGATATGCATGTGGCCTCTGATATCACAAGCTGCTATGGCGCTATAAGTGATGTCGCTCGCAACTATTCATGGGCCTGGATGGGGAACAATGGTCCGTCAGTCCAGCCGGCATATTTTTTAGGGGTACCTGCTCCTACTTACAGCTTCGACAGTCAGGCCTGGGACCTGAGCGATGAGACTCGGTTACCAAATCAGAGTATGTTCTTTTGCGACGGAAGCAACATGTGAACAACACTTTGAGGGACTCATTGTCACTCGGATATTTGCGCTGGCACAACAGAACAGGCCGGGTTCATAAATAACGGATCCGTCTTACTCTGCGGGATACGTCATGAAACAGAGTAGGACCGGTCCAGGCACAATTGAATGGCTGGAATAGTAATAGTATAAGGGTCATAATGAAGAGGTTCACTTATTCACAGGTGAAGATTATCCAAATCCTGATCCGCACAACAAATTGCAATGTGATGTTCTGGGCGCAATTAAATCACAATGGGCCCAAAAGTGCTTTGTTCTCACGTTGGTCAATAGATGTACATCTGCTTACAAAGTCAAATCCAAGGACTATCCTCCGTCGTTTGAGGTTATCCAAACTGAACCTGTCTGGTAGATAAGGATGTTTCATGTTGAACTCGCTGGCTATCTACACAAATTTGTAAGTTCATGGTTCAATTCCAAATGTGCCGTCATGAAGTGACCAAACAGCAGTACAATTGCTTGTTAAGCTGAACATACATCGAGAACGATAATTTTGTGCTGTAACTAACACACCAGGGGGCCTATAAAACACCTTGATGCCGCCCTGGTTTTCGACTTTCCTCCTGTCAACCAACACCCCGTGTGATACGCATCCCGATACTTACGACTTCTTACTGTACTACCGGTTTTTCATTTAGGACACTTTTACCATGTTCCGTACTTTCAAGAGTGGCTCCTCTCCGGAGTTCTCAGCTTTGAGCAAGAAGCATGGCATGGCCAATGCTGTTTTCATCAAGCACGTCTCCATCAAGCACGTCTCCTATTCCTCCAATGTAGCCCTCGAGGACATTGATGAGACTAGGCTCAAGGACATTGAGACCGGTGTTCGTTACGTAGTCCAAGCCTTGATGGACAACGCCGGTCTCACTAAATCAGAGTGCCGGCTGCTGCAAGGTTGGTCCTGCCAGCTTGCTGGGGACAAGGTACCTTTTCTCACTGCTCGTGCACACACTATCATCGATGCCCGTGGAAAGGGACCATTCTCCAAGTATGATCTGAGTTTCATCCATTATGTGGCGAGCTGCATCAAGTTTGAGGCGGCAAGTACCAATAAGACGTTGGCTGACTTTGCTAAGGAGCACGGAGACATCTTGGACCTAGCCTACACGGTGGCTAAAGGGAGATATAAGGCTCTTAAATCTAACATGCTGGAGAACTTGAATGGCGCAATGGCTGAGTTTACGATTGCTTCGTCTCACCCGGAAACTCTGGTGAACATTGAGGCAGCAATCGACGAGCTCGAGGACGTTTCCAAGGCCTTTACTTCTATTCAGACTCAGTTGGAGGAACAGATCCAACTTCTGCATCAGGCGAGCGAGGCTTTGAAGAAGTAGTTGAAGCGTTGGAAGGGCATGAGAGAAGAATTGATGTGCGTAGATAGACTGAGCACTTGTTGAAAGATTGGGGTTTGTAGCACAATAAAAATGCTGCATGGAGTACTGATTTGCAAATAGACTGGACATTCATAGTTGAGCAATTGAGCTTTGCGCATATCATATTAAATAAGTCTGATTCCATGTTCACAGTGACAAAACCTGCGTCGATGATTTGAGAAAGTTTTGATGAGACGGAGTGATCCATGTTCATAGGAGTAGAGCGTTACAGCCTGATGATAGTTTTCTTCAATTGAATCATAAGAATTTGAGTATCTTTCAGCTCTACATCTTAAATATGATGTGTCGCTGGTCAAGTGGTTGAGTTGTTAGAGAAGGTACTTGCAGTCTCCTATGGGGGCCGAACCGGAGGTACTTAGCAAGGACCACTAAATTTAGTGCAAAAACGGCGCACAACTTGTGCAAGCGTGTCATTCTTAGCTTATGCAGGGGGAAAAGTTTGAACAAGTCAACAAATCGCGCATAACTTTGGTGCAATTGTGCCGTACCTGGACTCTCTGGAAGCTAATCGTTGCTGTGCATGCTCACAATTCACAGCGCCTGCATTACGATATTGGAAGTGTAACTTGTTACTTGTTTTAGATGGGTCTGTAGCTGCAATTTTCTCTATTGAACGCCCGCCAATGCCTTTTTAGCAAATCCTATCCTGGTCTTTTCCGCGTCAAACACCACGAAAGCTGCCTTGAGAGCAATGTCTCCCAAAATGTTCAAACTCGAGTTGCCACTCGATTGTAATCCTCCAAAACACAAACTGGGACCTGTTTTAGATCTCTTAGCCTTCTTGCCCGGTTCAGTTGGCTCAGGGCCCTCCAAAGGTGCGAAATTCATGTATGAACCAGGTACTGTGATCCCTGTGTCGCCGATGTTGAAAGTGAAATCTGGAAGCTTTGTGTTGCATGGAAAAACATAGCCACCTGCTGTTTCGTCCGCCTTTGCCCCCTCCACCTGGGCATAATAGGCCTTGTTGATCTCCTCAGGGAGCCAGATAAGAGAAGTGCCAGTATCAGCGATGGCTGCCACTGACGTTTCGTTGATTTTGTCCTTTCCGACAGCAAATCCTGTTGAAGTGAACGTCCACATCCCATTGGAAGTATCCACAGGCGCGTACACAAGATCGCCAATGTAAGCAGTCTTGTTGATGAATCCGAAGCTGTATGTACCTGGTGCGTCGTGCTGTAGGTCCGCTGTGAATAATCCAGCGCTTTGTTGAGTTTTCGCATTGTCGAAGAAAGTCTTTTGCTTCTGAGGCGTGACTGTATTGATGGAGCTGAAACCCAGACCAAGTAGACCATCGACGTCCTTCTGCTGTGCAAAAGAATCATGTACCTTGTCGGCAATCTGTACAGCCTGAGCCTCTACTTTCAGACTACCAATCGAGACTGTGTCTGTGACTACATGGCCTGAAGCGCCGCTTCCGTCGCCATATTCAATCAACCATTTGGCCCCGTTCATGTCTTCGCAAGACTTTGACTTGGAGGACTCATAACGAGTTCGACTACCGCCAGCAGTAGCCGCTTTTGAGCCATATACCCAAAGGTCTGATGACCCGGTGTCTAGGTCCATTTGGAATGTCCTTGGCGGGTTGCCGATTTGAACTGGCGTTAACCATTCTGCGTCATCTTCGATAGGTCTGTTGGTTGCAGTTCCCGTACTATCACGACGAAAAAGATCCGAGGTGGCTAGTGATTCCGGGAGATCGATGTGATATTTTCGATGAACTTTGATGAGTGCAGCAATGCCGTCGCGCTTATGCCCGGGATTTCGGACTTGTTGGACTGAATTTTCATGTGTTGATGGTACAGCTGGAAGACAGGCAATCAATGGGAAAGACGCGAGCCCGCTCGTGACAAGAGAAAAGACTCTCATTATAAAGGAATGTATGATAACAGAAAGAAACACAAAGAGAATGTGCTGAACCAAAGAGATGGAAAGAGCGGAGAGATGAGTATGGGATTAACACACGCTTCGCAAGGGAGGACTAACAGATATACCTACTCCCCAGTCCCAACTGCTTAAGCTCAACACCTCCACATGTCAGGAACCGACTCCGGATCTACGTAAAATCTTGGCTTCGAAAACTAGTTTAGCATACGCGTCAACAGCTCCTGAGCCGGTGTTCCTGACCCTGACTAGAAAGCCCCACGACGATTGAGTTTGCAACCTCGACATTGGTTCCTAGCCTGAAACGTGGGTCGATCAACGGACAAAACTCCATCGCTGTGGCGGCTGAAAAACATGATGGTGGCCACATATGAATCGTGATGTGGGTTTGCACCGTACGTCAGCAATCATGGCAGTGGTGGAGGTTGACACGCGGCTCCTTACTGTACGTTCTTGTTATCTTGCGTCGATGTTAAAGGGTCCTCTGTAACCTGGTTGGCTATCTTCACATCAGTTGGTAGAATATACAGTAAATCCTGCATGCTTACTGTTTATTCAACAGAAACGATCCATTTCATGATGCTTCATTAAAACCATCCATGTCAATGCAACGATCGATCTTTGGTGCAGCTCCGCAGGCCGTAAAAAAATGTTTCAACTCCACTAAAGATGCTCTCAACCTTCCCTGCATTAGCGGCGCTAGAGCATGTGAGTGGCCTAGAACCAACTGGAAGTTTGCTGGACGTGGTACCGACCTCATGCCCTAGCCTGCCTACCAAGAGCCGCAACGATCGCCACATCCCGCTCTGTATTTATCACCTAGGGACGGAAACAAAGATTAGCGTCCGGGTGTCCTTCCCATCAATTTCGACGTTCCGATCAATGCAATGAGGTTTGTAATAACGACTTGTGCTGAAGGATTACTTCTCGTGGTCTATCTGCTCTGCCTTTACAGTACCAGGGTATCATTACGGGAGGATGCTCATCGTTCCAATTAACAGATTGAGTTCTGCTCTGATGAAGATCATTCCAGGGATGACCGAATAAACAGTACGAAATTCTGACGACACGGAGACGGTGAAATCCATCTCCACTGAATGCCCAACGTCATCACTTTGTAGACCGCATGGTCATTGCCTTAAGAACAAATAGTTGGTTATTATCCATACAATTCAAGATATACGACATATCAAATGCATACAATGGCTTCTTGGTTCAAAGAGGAGACAACTCGCCCAGCTTTCGACAACAAGGCCACGCCGTTAATTAGTTTCGGTCGGCCATTTGCAGAAACATGCTCCAAACACGTCAGAGACAAATTCGAAAGCTCACGAGTATACATCATAGCCTCTCGTTCTCTCTCACAGAACACATCATCCCTCAACGACCTCAAGTCGGCTCTCGGCGACCGTGTTGCTGGTGTTCACATTGGCATCTCACCGCATACGCCACTCCCGGAGATCGTGGCCATTCTCTCAGAGGTGAAGTCTCTTGACATTGACTGCATCGTGACCCTTGGCGCTGGGAGTATCACAGATGGGGCAAAGCTGATACGTTTTGCTCTGGCAAACAACGCCTTCGCCGAAGAAGATATTTACACGCTCTGGGGCGGCAAGTCACACAATCCCAACAAGCGCGAAACTCTGCACAAACCAACAATTCCATTGATATGTATACCGACTTCACTGTCCGGAGGCGAATACCAGGCCATTGCGGGAGCAACAGATGTAAAGACCAAAGCCAAGTACACCTTCGAGCCCATTGTCGATCCCGATCTAGTAATACAAGACCCGCAGTTGACGACAACGACGCCAGAACGTATCTGGCTCAGTACTGGCATCCGAGCAGTGGATCATTGTGTTGAGACCTTATGCTCGCTACAGAGTAACGAGGATGGCGATGCATGGGCAGCAAGGGGTCTCGAGAAGTTGATATCCGGTCTTTTACGATGCAAGCATGATCCTGGAGATCTGAACGCTCGTCATCTTTGTCAGACAGGCGTTGTGGAAGCTATGCGCGCGGTATCCTCGGGTGTACCACTAGGTGCGAGTCACGCTATAGGACATCAACTGGGTCCTTTGGGTGTCGGCCACGGCGAGACGAGCTGTATCCTGCTGCCAGCAGTTTGCAAATTCAATGCCGGTAAGGATGTTAATAACGACCAGCAGGATCGCACAGTCGAGTTACTTCTCGAACAGCAAGCGGTCAAGTCTCTGCTACAGGTAAATGGGGTGTTAGGCGACAAGCTCGATCTTGGTGATATTCTGGACTTGGTCATACGGGAGTTGGATATGCCGCGTACACTGAAGGATGTGGGAGTTACGGCTGACCACTTACCGGGCCTGGCTGAAAACAGCTTAAACGATATCTGGATTAAAACGAACCCGTATAAAATTACAAAAAAGCAAGAGGTGTTGGAGATTTTAGAACAGGTTAGTGGGGATACAAGTCCCTTTGGACTGTGAGGTATGTGCCTTGAAGTCAGGGCTTACAGGTTGAAGAACTGGGTACATTTTGCTTGTGTGCTCATGTTATTATCCCGCTACGCAAAGGCCCGGGCAGTAGTCTAAGGTAGCTATTTATTCCATCTTCTGTCGAGTAAGAGCTCACTAAGGTGTTTGGTGATTGTTTTGACATGATACCTTCGCCCTTTCATTAAAAATTGCGACAAGTGCTGGCTCTTCCCCGCACGCCATTTGGAGCGTCGCGCGAAAAAAGAGCGAGATTAGGCACATGTTTGTAGGGGGAAGGCTGCTAATTCGCTCGCCATTCGGTCAACTTTCGGCCACTGGCACAATTAGGAAACCAGCAGTAAATATAAAACAAACCGCAAGATAAAAGGAAGACATTTCCAATTGTTAGTTCACTCCATACTAATTCTATCAATTAGTTAATAACTCACTCAAATCGCTTTTCTTGGCAACTTTAACAAACACAATGTCCGCTTCAAAGACTGTCACTTTCTTTGGCGCCAGCACTGGTGTTGGCCTATCCGCACTCAAACACACTCTTGCCGCAGGCTACAACTGTATTGCCCTCTGTCGAGATGCATCAAAACTTGAGGCTATCATCTCTCCAGAAACCCATACAAATCTGCGAATTATTGAAGGCAATGCGCATGATATCAAGGCTGTGGTTTCTTGCCTCAGAAAGGCTGATGGCTCACTCGTTGATGAGATCGTCTCGACAATCGGCGGCAAACCCATCATTCACAAATTGACAATCGATGACCCCAACTGTTGCAGGGTGGGAATGGCCGTTCTTCTTGAAGCGCTCGCTCAACTCCGAAGTCAAGGAGCCACCGGGAAGCCTCGCATCACTGTGTTCAGCACCACTGGCTTGTCCGACTTTGGTCGCGATTATCCTTTACTGCTTTACCCGATTTACGCAATTGCTCTCAAGGTTCCTCATGAGGACAAGAAGATCATGGAGACCACGTTGGTAAACAGTGGTGAGGATTTTACTGTTGTGCGTGCCAGTCTGTTGGTGGACGGTGAGACAGAGAGCCCTGTTCGCGTAGGCGTTGAGGACCCCAAGGCAGGACGCGAGTCACTAGAAATCGGATACACCATTTCGAGAGAGGACGGTGGAAAATGGTTGGCAGATAATTTGTTGGTAGGAAGGAAGGCTGAGTATCATGACAGAATTGTCTCAATCACTTGGTAAATACGGGTTTGCGACGATGATTAGAGTTACTGTAAAGGGGGTTCATCGGTAATACTTGGTAATGGTAATGTGGTATGCACTAGAATTATATAATTTTATATGAAGGCATCTCTGATTTCGAAGCGCTTGACAGTTGACGATCTTTTGATAGGCTTGGTGTGCTTGTTGGCTGCGACCCTCCTTTTGGTTGATCAACCGAACGACATAAGTACTAGCAGACGATTTCTATCGATGTTTGCTTTTGGAAATTTTCTACACACAATACCTCAGGATAATTGATGATCTCTCCATTATTAAAGATACAATCGATGTGGTTCAGTAACCTGTCGAAGATAAAAGACGATGCGTATATTGGATACCCTATACCACTTCAAATGGAAGAGTACAGAGGTGCGGAGAACATGTCAGCGGCAATTTCGGGTCAGACGAACAACCATCTCCCTCACTTTTAACATGCAGTAACGCAGTTACGTGGCCTGAGCGATGACCAAGATTAAAATAAGTGCCACAAAGCATTTGGTAAGACAAAAGTAGTGCATAAAGCTTGTAATAGCAATTATAAAAGCACTGAGCACATTTTTGAGTCTTCATTTTCCCAAATGATGTGGTAAGTTGGTGGACAAGAACAAAAGATATGTCCTCGTGATAAGATTAGATAGAATCTGTCATCAGCCGCCTCATCAGCGATAACTCTCCTGACAGTATGCGTAAAATCGCACACATCACTTGGGAGGAACCAAACCGGAATTTCCCAGAATCACCTTAGTCGGCAACTCATTAATAGAATTATGAGAACTTCCTCGCCTTAACTGACCTAGTTATGCACATGACGCCCTCCTCGCCCTCCTCCCCCACCTTGGATTCTTTCGCGTCAGTCTCGGCTTTGCCGCCCGAGAAAAACGCGAGGGGCACCTCCGCAGCCAAGATCCGCAGTTGCGTGGTCTGCCGCAGCCGCAAAGTTCGTTGCGACAAGCTCTCGCCGTGTTCAAACTGCCGTAGGGCTAACATCCCCTGCGTGGTGCCGTCTAATGACCGGCCCCCGAGATGGGCGCGGCGTCTGGAACGCATTGCCAACGATGGGCAGGGTGGCACAGGTGAAGGTGCTGACAAACTTGGAAATGATCAAGTGATGGACAGACTACGCACACTTGAGGGCTTAGTCAAAGAGCTCAGTGGACAGTTAGAGATAGCTAATGCTGCTGCAAGCAGAGGGGGTTCCTCTGATGCCGCATCTCCTCCCGATACTACTAGGGATGCGGCTAGTCCTTCCTCGACATCAACTACTTCGGATGTGCAAAAGCATTTTGGCAGAATGGTGCTGAAGGACACAAATCAAGGGAGGTATATTGCCAGTGGATTCTGGTCTCGTATCAGCGACGAGGTAGGTAAACCTATCACTCATCTAACTGTACGTTTCTTAACTGTTTGTAGCTCGATGGACTGAAGATGGACACTCGTAAGCTGGCGGACGATGAGCTATCATCTGAAGACGAGGATTTACCGGCAAATACTCCCTCGACGCAAGAACTTCACCGAGACCCTTTGGAACGACACGCGTTTCTGTTCCAAAATGATCCGAACTCATTGTCTAGTGGGCAAAAATTTGACCCATTGCCATCACAAATACCATTCCTGTTAGATGTCTTCCAGGAAAACATAAACTTGCTCATGTATGTTGTTCACATGCCCGACCTGAGGAAACTCATTCGACCAACACGTGGTGCACCCACTGCCATTTCATTGAAGAACCAGGCGTTATTGTTTTCGATTTACTACGCAGCAATAACCTCAATGGACGATGAAGATGTGTTGCTCAATTTCGGGTCTACAAGAACAGAACTCAACATTAAATTTCGACGTGGTCTCGAGCAGGCTTTGGCACGGGCAGATTTCCTCAACAATCCCGACATTATTCTCGTACAAGCCTTGGTGATCTTTCTTGCTCTTGCTCGCCGACACGACAGTCCTGTATACGTATGGATGATGACAGGTCTTCTGATTCGCATGGCCCACGCTGTTGGTCTTCATCGAGATGGTTCGCGGTTTGAGCATTTATCGCCCTTTGAGGTGGAACAGAGGCGACGTCTTTGGTGGACAATCATCACTGTCGATATTCGTGCGTCTGAAGACCAAGGAACTGAGTTCACAATAACCCAAGATAGCTTCGACACTAAATTGCCCTTGAATATCAACATCTCAGACCTAGAGCCAGGTACAAAGGAAACACCCGCAGAACACGACGGGGTCACCGATATGACCTTCATGCTCGCCATGTGCGAGTTAGCCAGCGTATCAAGACAGCTGATGGCTTCGGGCATCAACACGGCTGGGCCGACTCTCGATGAACAAACTCGATTAATTGAGAGCCTGCAAGTGAAACTGAATAACGGCTATTTTCGATACTCAGTCGAGCCTGACGACATCGTTAATTGGGTTGGTGTTGTGTGTACGCGCTTAGTTCTATCCAAGCTGACCCTCTTGGTTTACTTACCTTCTCTTTTCGCCTCTCCCAACGAGCGCTTTTCTGACGAAGTTCGAGACAAATTACTCGTGGCTGCTATTGAAGTAGCAGAGCACAACCACGCTCTCAACTCTGAGACGAAGTGCCGCCAATGGCGATGGATCTACCAGACTTATACACATTGGTATGCCATTGTCTGGCTGTTGATTGAGATTTCTCGACGAGACTGGTCATCTACCGTTGAGCGTGCATGGATCGCCTTGCACAGCGTTTGGTTGATACCATCACAACATAATATGGCCAAGAATATTCGCATGTGGGTTCCACTACGCAGGCTGATGGCCAGGGGGAGGAGCCATCGTGAATCCCAACTGGCACAAATACGTAACGATGCAACATTGACTCAAAGGCTAGAAGACGTTGATCGTTGTCTCCCCACGCCCATGAGTCCGGAATCATCTCTAGACACCCAGACACGTGAGCGGTTTCATGAGCATTGGTGTAGTCTTGTGTGGAAAGCTAGAAACACTCCCTTTGGGCCCTCGCTGTCACAACTCAGTGGTGTAGAGACTATGCAGTCCGGCAACACTGTTTCAGATGCTCCTGTGAGTTACCAGGCGGGGATTTGGACAGATACACCAGCTGGAAGCACTCCTCATCAAGATAGTCTCTATCCGATTGGGGCCACCAGCAAGCAGTTGATCGAAGACCCAAATACGTACCCGCAGTGTTGGCCAGATGGCCAAGTCATGGGAACGGGTTCGACGCCTTGGCTATGGACAGACCTGGATCAAGGCAATGGCGTATCAGAAGACATAGGGACCAACATGGATATAGATACTGACATCGACTGGAATACATGGTTACAGTCTGCGTCAGGAATGGAGCTGAAAGGAGGGAAGACAAGCGTCTCCTGAGATGCTGTCTCATAAATTTCAAAGCGATGTTGCTGAGCGGCTGAGAGTCTACTGGAGGTCACTGTAATATGCAGCTGGTGAACTTTCTGCGAAGGATCTCGAGCGATGGTATTATTAGACTTCATTGTATGCCAATTGAGTAGAGAGTTTATTGTCGTTCATATCGAGTCTCGTACCACGTTTGAAATAGCGATCTAGCTAAACATATTCATAATGGAGGTCCCCATACAGACTAAGGAGCAATACTAGCTTAAATCCAATGAAATTCCCTAATTGCATCAGCCCCTTCTACTCTGTTTCCAAAGAGCATTAAAAGCTCCTACATGCTATAGCTACGAGGCCTCTCCAAGCGAGAGGACAGGCAAACGGCAACCTATAGCAAGCCAACATTAATGTAGCTGGTGAAGCTTCTATTATAATTAATAGTTAACAAGTGTGGATTGTGGTTAGTTGTTGACTGTACTGGACGTGTTGGCATATATAAAAGACTTCTGTGTGGTATGATGTACTACGATGGAAGCGGGATTGTCACTAAGTAGTTTCAACATATTTTTAAGAACAATCGATGTGGTAGTATTGAGCAAAATTTCTCGTCTGCTTTGTAGTTGTATAGCATCTGAGATACAAATCTGCGTTAAGGAGAGTATAAGAAGGGAAAGAGAAAAGAGCTAACTTGAACTGCGAGAGCAACATTCATTCATAAATCCATAAAGTAAAGAAAGTCCGTCATCCATAAGCTTGGGCAGAAAGGAATGGACGATACCTCGCACAATGATAGCGAGTGCATCAGCGTTGTACTTTCGTACTAGCAAGTCGAATCTGGCCTTGTAATCCATACTAGGGGCCGTTGGTACTCCTTATTTTCGAAAAGAATGTGTGAGGCCTCGTGGGGACCACGTATGATAGTCTTTCGGTTATCATTTCAAACCTATCCTCGGCCAGGGCCGTCACCCTTGGGCTTTGTCTCAGGCGCCGGATAGTGAGGCTTGGGCTTGGGCTCTGGGTAGTGAGGCTTGGGCTTGGGCTCGGGCTCGGGATAGTGAGGCTTGGGCTTAGGCTCCGGGTAGTGAGGCTTTGGCTTTGGCTCTGGGTAGTGAGGCTTAGGTTCCGGATAGTGAGGTTTAGGCTTGGGCTCAGGATAGTGAGGCTTTGGTTCCGGATAGTGAGGCTTGGGCTTTGGTTCATGCTCCGGGTAGTGAGGCTTGGGCTTCGGCTCGGGATAGTGAGGCTTTGGCTTTGGTTCATGCTCCGGGTAGTGAGGCTTGGGCTTCGGCTCGGGATAGTGAGGTTTAGGCTTGGGCTCGTACTGAGGCTTGGGCTGATGCCAGGGTTTTGGCACTGGCTCATAGTGAGGCTTTGGCTTAGGATGGTAAGGCTTTGGCTCTGGCTCGTAGTGAGGCTTGGGTTTAGGATGGTATGGCTTAGGCTCATGCTCTGGATAGTGAGGTTTGGGCTTGGGGTGATAAGGCTTAGGTTCAGGCTCATAGTGAGGCTTCGGCTTAGGATGGTACGGCTTTGGCACTGGCTCGTAGTGAGGCTTTGGCTCTGGCTCGTAGTGAGGCTTGGGTTTAGGATGGTATGGCTTAGGCCCAGGCTCCGGATAGTGAGGCTTTGGCTGATGATACTTGGGTGGAGGATAGTGAGGCTCAGGGTGATATGGTTTATTCCCTTCGTAATTGCCTCGCTCAACCACCGGGATAGCAGCAACACCCGAGGTGAGAGCCAGAGCGGTAACAGAAGACAGCTTCATAGTTGCAGATAGTGAGTGATATCTGCGTTGACAAGAAGGAGAGTTGGTAAAGAGAGAGTTGTATCTCTTGAAAGAGTGAAGAGAGTAGTAGTAAAGTTATGGTTGTGAAGGTAGGAGTTGGATGGTGAGTAAAAGAAATGTGAGTTAGAGGTGCGAAGCCCAGACTTTATAATCTTTTTCTGCAATACTACAAGAACTTGAAGGTGCGGCAAAGTGAATTTTGTTAAACCAGAACTCACAACACTTCCATACTCTATGAGCAGAGTCTGGACCTGGGCTATAGCTCCTCGATTTGGAATCCAACTTTAGCTCCCTACCTTCAGTCTAAACACCTATTATCGTATGCATGACGATTTGTTTATGCAGAGTTAATGTCTTGATCAAGCGAGTATTGGAGGCAGTCGGAAGCTTCACCCTCTTCTTGAGATGCGATTGGTGTCCTCCAAAAGCAAGGTGTGCTGTGATTGAAACTATTGAACAATTAGCATGGTCAAGTCAGAAACCAACAGTCTCACGTCATTACAGCATCAAGCTATCGATATTGTGTTTGTTGGGGTGGTGGTGTATCCATCTTGCAAATTTGTTCCCTGAAGCAAAGCTCACACTTCCAAGATGGTGTGCTCTTGTACCACCTGCATGGTGCCAGCAATGGCTCCGAGGTAACTTCGGCAGAGTATGGGGCCCCTTTTTAATTTGTGTGCTCTGCATGCCATATGCGTTTCAGCTGGATAACCCAGATGACTGCGACCGTTTCCAATAATACTGTCGTATATGCTTATGTGCAAAACGGATATCGGCTATGCCTGGCTCAGTTTAGATGTAACTGTTGCCGTCTCTGGGAATGCGGGTATTAGGCTACGCCACATCTCAACGGTGCAGCAGCCCCGACCTCGCAGATCCAAACTCATTCCGGGTTGGACTATCTCGCTTTAATCGTGTCCCGCCGTTTCATCCATTTGACACTTTTCGTTGATTAAGGGATGATGTCTAGCCTACCAGGATGTGTACTAGACTACATTGCCTTTACGCCTAGTGAAGAACAACGGTATCGGGATGTAATCATGCAGGCGCCTCGTTGTGCCATAATGGTCAGAAGAAATCGGAAACGGGACCAAACTATCCGGGAACCTCACGATTGGTGCCCGCCTGGGAAATTGTGTTGGTTATGAGTTATTATATGTGTTTATGACCATGTCTTGCATTGCATAGACATTAGTCGTTGATAATTTCAAATGGTTTCTAAAGCCTCACGCCACAGGAAAGCCACGGTAATATACTTAATGCCTTTTACCCTATCAGTACTTCAACGAAAGCGTATTGGGGCTAGAGAGTTTCATAGTGTATCTCTAGTGCTGTGCGTTTTCCTCAAGTGAGCAGACTGTTTTGTTACCACACTACTTGAGGGTGTGGTGATCCGCTCCATCCCGGAGCACGACATCTAATAGTCTTGAATTTAAAGTATTTTTAGCTTCGTCGGAGACTTTTTTCTTGTGTGCTCGATTCCCAAGTGGGAAGCACAATCCCGATACGGCTTGATTGTACTAAATTATGACTTACGAAATGGGTCAACCTCGTATTAGTTTACCACTGCATGAGATGGTGACTAGCCTCAATACAATAGGTGCTGCAGTCACCAGTGGTTTCAAAATTCATAAACGGGCCACACCGAACTGCAACACTATTGATTGTTGGTAACCCAGCCGTATTAAGTATGCCACAACCACCCAGCCAAAAGATCTAAAACCAAAGGCCACCGTTATTGAGAACAGTAACTTAATAGGCTATACTTCGTGTGACAAGGTAAGCCCTAGACATGCATTGCTAGCTTTTCTCAATCCTATCACTGCCAACTTCGTGATGTATTTTTACCGATCTGAGTCCTATGCTCGATTGAGACCCAGTTCTGGCCCTTGGAGTTGAGGTGCATGTCTTCTTTAATGCATGATGAGGAGTTCATTATTACTGTTGGTATAGGATCTGACCTCCCTTGGCCTCTTCGCTGGTCTTAGGTTCTTCTCTCTTGTTATTATGATGTAACTATCTATCGTCAAGGTTGGCCACATACACCATGTCAGCCAGGATTATAACTCACATTCAGTGCTAAAATTTGAAGGGATTGTTGGGAGTATACCTACTTGTGTCTTACTTGACATGCAGTGGATAGTTCCACAAGTTAAGATGCTCGGGTAAAGGGCTCGATGATTCATAATGTCGTGAGCTACTATACAGAGACCCATCTCACTGACCTCAGCAGCGAACTTAGTTCTTAGTAGCAACCTTACTGTATAGTAGACAACACTAGGAAAAGGTGAAAGCTTTTACTTTTCTTTCTATATGAATAGTGGCTTTAGTGTAACGACTCACCGTTGGACAGCAATTCGAAAGTTATTAACGTTGTTTAATTGTTAATCCATGCTGTTAATCGGAAATCACTTTAAGAGACATGTGTTATTAGTACAAGTACTACTAAACTCTGTTGCTCTGTTCTTGCGACAGGGCCCAGGTTGGAGCCAGATGCACGTGCATATGCCAAGTTGCAGTAGCTGAAACACCACACCACATTGGGAGCCTCGTATTATCTGGTAGCACAACTTAACAATTCATTACAGCTACTGTTACTATCCTGTGGTTGGCTCAGCCCTCGGTTGTCCCCAGCTCGTATTAGAGTGCTGAATGCAACCCCCCTCCTCTACTTAGCTAGATGGTTATGCATAATGCATAAGGTTATATAAGGTGCGATAAGGCTTGTAAGTCATATTGTACTAAATAATACATTTCTACCAGTGCATGAGAGACGAGTTATTGTTAGGTAAACACTTATTTTAAATCTATATTTACAGCACAACCTTTATACTACTTGTATATTATTAAACTAAGAATACCTTTTACCTATACCTTTCGAATGTATTTATACACTATATTACTATATAGCACTAAACAACAAGCAAACTCTAACACATAGAACTATTAAGCTCATAATAGACGAAAGCTATTACATCCCTGGATAGAATATAAACTGAGATCACTTTACATACCGGCTGAGTCTTGTCTTTAACTACTGAGTTAACAACTTGCCAGCTTAAAGACCACTAAGACTATTACTAGATGACCACTTAGAAGTAACAACACGCCTTGCAATACCTGAATGGTAAAGAGAATAAATCTACGTATTGAGTACAATATAGATACAATGCGATTAAATCTAGAAATGGCATATTTAATACCTGTATTAATCCGAGTATCTATTAACAATTTAGAAGATACAGTTTAAGAACGAGGTTTATCGCTTCCAACCACCAATCGCGACATCCTTCCAACCTAACAGGCCGCAGCTAATTGTCCCTTGGAATTTCTTGTATTTACTTCCGGAGAAGACCAAGTACCCCATTCCCGACTGAAGCTCTTCGTCAACAGAGTCAAAGGTTGCATTTGCCGTCGCGCTGGGAGAGCACATAACTCTCCCCGTCCATGCAAACCAAAACTTGGGCTGTCGAAACGTGTTTTTCTCAAATTTGTCAAATCGCCGTAGGCTTTTCTCTTCCTCGTCTCTGCAGGCTGCAAGGGTGCTGGGGTGGTAGTCTAAGCAGTCACCGGGTGGTTCGACGGTTCCATTTTCCTGAGCTTCTGCATCTTTCCACTCATTTGAAATCTCCGATGTTATCTCGGGACGTAGGTCAACCTCAGCCGCTTCTTCATCAACAAGTGTTTGAAGGGTTTTACGGCTTCCAGCTAGAATGATTGTTGCATCTAGAGCACCAGCTAGGTAGAGGGTGCCCGCAAGCCCGTCTTCATTATCGGCAAAGGTGTTGATTTGAAGCTGTGATCCCGCCAGTAGTCGTTTTTCTCTTCGACTACCTTTCTTGCTATTCCTATAAGGAGCGGTTTCATATTGAGACATTCGTGCTGCAGCCTCAGCGCTGGGACATTGGACCTCATACAAGCCGAATGCTTGAAGAACGCTTGAGGATCTAGTGTTTCCAGGTGTAAATTTGCGAGACTGGCGATTATGAACATGCCGGGAAGTAAGGAATTCCGACTGCCAGTCATCAGTCATTGTATAACTGGGAAAGGGTTTGGTACGAATAGATATAAGGAATTAAACAATTGAACATGTACAACGAGAAGTAAAGTCCTGACTCAGGGTTTGGTTGAAGTAGCCTGAAAGGAGTTATTATGTAATGGATGACGTTGATAAATAAATGTACGTTACGAAATAGAATTAGTACCTATTGTTAAACCGGAGATGTTATATAATAATATAAAGGGCGTTTTAACTAATTAAAGCTTAGATAGATAAAATAAGAATAAGCTAACTAGATTACGTTTTAATTAGGATTAATATAAGGTAAACCTTTAAAAATGGGAAATAGGCTAGATAGAATATTAATTAGGATAAATATTAATTTAACTATAGGTTACGGCTTAATATAACGGTTAGGTTCCTAAGGGATAAACTAGTCCGTACTAGGTTTATATTAATAGATATTATAAAAGATTATATTAAGTAGTTATAAAATATTATATCTCTTAATAGTAAATAAGGTAGGTTAGGTATATTTAAGTAAAGAAGTTATATTAATAGTTAGTAAATTAATATCTATAAAAATACTAATAAGTATATTCTATATACTTAGGCTTTATATATAAAGTTAATAATATTTAGGAATAAGGTTATTCCTAGATCGATATAGTCCTAGGCCGTTATTAATCTTATTAATAGTCAGTTCTATAGTATTTAGTTAATATATAATAAAACTATAAGGTATATATAATATAAACATAAAGGTTATAATATAATCTTTCCCCTTTATTAGGTCTTATCTTTAAGACCTATATACCCTTACTAACCTAAGATTTTTTTAATATATTTTAATTTAAACCTTTTACTATTATATTATAAAATATTTAATTATATTATTAAATAGGTATTCTATAAGGATTATAAAATTTATATTTTTATTCTTTTTATTAAACTTTTTAATAAGGAGGCTAATATACCTTATACTTAATATTTTTATTTTAGTAAGAAATACCTAATATTTATAGATTTTACTTATTATAGTAAATATATTTATAGTAAGAAATCTTATAATAGTACTTAAGTATTAAATTTTTATAAATAATTATATTTCTTATTTATAAATTTTTATTAAATTTTTATAATAATAAATTTAATAAAATAAGAAAGAAAATTAAAAGTTAATAAAGATAAAGTAAGTAATAATCTCTTTAAGCTTTATAAAAAAATAGTAACTTTATAGACTTATTTATTTACTATTACTAGTTATTTATTATAAATTTAGAAGATCTAGACTAAAGTAAAGGAATGCTATTTTAAGGCTATTTATTATAGTCTTTAGGAGGTTAAATAGTAAGATAATTTACTTTTTATATTAAATATCTATAAAAATATAATAGTATATAATCTTTAGATTAATTATATCTTTAATAATATTAACTAGTCCTCCTTAGGTCTTAATAATAAATTCTTAGATATTCTTTTTTTATTTAATTTTAATAAAAACTCTTTAGGAGTTATTAGGTATTAATAAGGTATTTAGGTAGTTTTTATATATTTTTATTTTCTAGGTAGTTCTTTTATTTAATTAGGTATTTTATTTTACCTTTATATTTATATATTTCCTTAATTATTTTTATTTTATAGACTTCTAGTCTTTTAATCTTTTTTAGTTTATTATTAATTTTAACTTAAATTATATTAACCATTAATTTGAGTAATATAATATAAAAGATTAAATAAAGTCTAACCTTTAATAATAAATTAAATTTATAATTATTTTTTAAGATTTTTTATAATACCTTATAAGGTTTAATATATTTATAGTTAAGTTTTTTTATTAATTATTTTATTAAAATGTTTTTTATAGTAAGGTAAATTATATCTCTTTTTAAAAAAGATAGTCTTTTTATCCTTTTTAAATTCTAGTAATTTTTTATTTTATTTTTAATAAATTCTAGTTTTATTTTTATTTTTTTATATAGATTTTTTAAGTTATTACTTTTAATTATTATAGCTAGGTTAATATTCTTAATTTCTTTTATATTATAAAAAGTATTTAGGTTAAATGTAAAGTTTATATAAGCCGGTATAAGCTTTATAGTCTTATTATAGACAGTATTATAGATAAACTAGGTAGTTAAAAGCTTTTTAATTTAATTATTTTATTTATAGTTAATATAATACTATAGGTATTATTTAAGTACCTAGTTTATATATTTAGTTTATTTATTTACTTAAGGCCTAAACGTTATTATAAATTAGTAATTTAGTCTTAAATATATTATAAATAATTATTAAAACTTTAATATAAATATAGTTCCCCTATATATTAAGATTTCTAAAGGTAATTTATATATATTAATAATATGTTTATAAAAAATATAAAAAAGTTTTTCTATATCTATAGATTCTTTATATAGTAAATAATATAAGAATTTTATAAATCAGTCTATAATAATTATAATACTATTATAAAAAATACCGGTTAAGGGTTCTTTTAATAAAGGTAATTTAGTTATATAGTTTATTATAATTAAATCCTATAGTTATTATATAACTAATAGTGTTTATAAGTTTTTATAGGGTTTATATTATTATAATCTTTTATTTTATATAAATTATATTATTTAAGAACTTTTTTTACTATTTTTTTAAGGTTTTCTCCTTAATAGTTTTTATATATTTTTTTTAGTATTTTTATAATACTTTAGTGGCTATATAGGGGATATTTATATATTTCCTATATTAATAATTCTTAATATTTTTATAGTATATATTATTCTATAACTATACTGTTAGTATTAAAGACTATTTTCTATATATTATAGGGGGCATTTTATAGTTATTTTTAAAAGTCTTTTTATAATTATTTTTCTGGTTTTGAAATAGTTTATTAGACATTATATTAATTATATTTTTTATAGTTTTTAGTGGCTTCCTTAATTATATTTCTTAGGTTAGGTTTATTATAGGTCTGATTTATTAATTTCTATATTTTATAGTAATCTTTATTATATCTAGTTCTCTTATAGTAGTTATTAAAGATTATCTAGAATATTTAAATTAGTATAAAGATTTTATTATTATAGTATATATATTCTTTATATTTCTTATATCCTAGATATTAATCTATAAAGTCCTCTAGTTTATCTTATTATTAAAGCCTTTAATATTCTGGCTAGGATGGTTTATTAGTAATTTATATAATTATTCTAGTTTATTAGGTGAATTTATATTCTCCCTTATTATTATATTCTAGAATTTATTTATTAAACTTTATTATATCGGTATTATAGTTTACTTTTTAATTAATAATATCTATATATTTATTATTAAATCCCTTATAATAGATAATTATAAAATTAAATTTATATAGGTATTTTATACAGTATAATTATTATCGATTTAGTTTTTAAGTAATAGTAAAATATATAATATTTTAGTAATTAATATAGACTTTAATTTAATAAAGGCTTTTTATAAAATAATATTAAAATTCCTTAAAGTAATTAATAATTATTAAGAATTCTATATTATAAATAAGGTAGTTTAATTTAGCTTTATATAGTTTATATAACCCTAATTAATAATATTATTAATAATATTATACATTATATTACAGAAGTAGGCACAGTAGGATTTTAATAAGGGTTATGTAATCTGATTTAATTCCTCGGCCCGAAGCCACCTTTGACTTTAGGCTGCCTTGATTTTAACTTTAACTCTAAATATATGTTTCTCCGATATATTTTAACCTTCTACCTTTCTGCCCCAGCCCTTAGCGCCTTACATATAACTTCTGTCACTATCCTTAACAGTCACGCACTCTTGGTCTCAGGCTAAGATAAAGATGGTCTAATCTAGCTTTACTTTATACCTCTGCTGGCCTTAATTACCTATTTAACCTACTTCTCTAAGTAATTACGCTAAACTATATAGTTAAGTTTTAATTTAAATACCTTAATAAAGAAGGTTTTAGTCTTAAAAACTAACCTTTTTAAAAGCCTTTTTTCTAGGCTTTTTAGGCTTTTAAGTTAATTTTTTATATACCTTAAACTTAGTATTTTTATTTAATAAGAATTCTAACTTAACTATATATAAAAAAATACTAAAAGCTTATAGCTAAAGGTAATTAACTTAATTAAGTTATAGTTATCCTATTTACTATAGGGAGGTATTAACTAGCCTTAGAAATCCTACCCTATCTTAATCTTAAGGTCTCTAGCTATATATATAAATTATTTATACTTTTCCTTACTATAGTTATTAATTACCTTATAGATCTTTTTATAGGTTAGGTTAAGACTTATATTACGGTAGGTATTTATTATTTAGATAGTAATACTTATTATAGTAACTATAAAAGAGGTTAGCAATAAAGGTAGAAGGGGGACCAGGGGTTAGATAACTAATTATAGCTATAAGGGTTAATTAACTAGCTTATAGTATAGATTAAGTTAAGGGTGTAGGGGAAGCTAGCTTTTATATATACGGCAGTTATATATATTTATTTAATTAGAGTTTAGTTATTATATATAATATTTAATATCCTAATTATATTAAGTTTTTAACCTTAGAAGAGGTTATTTTTATTATTAATATTATTAAGAGATTTAGAAAGCCTAGGCTTAATAAAGTTAAAGGTTAAAGTAAAAAAAAAGAAAAAAGAAATAGTTTATATAAATAAAAGGCTATTAGGTATAGCTTTCCTTATTTATTATATTAACTAATCTATTTTTTTAAAGTAAAATCTAATAAGTCTGTCTTAAGCTTAATTTCCTTAGTAAGGTTAAATATAATAAATACTAATTTATTAAGAATTATATTTTTAAGCTTTATAAAAGCTTTTTAAACTTAATTTCGAAATATAAATCTTTTATTTTTTTTAATTAGTTTAGTAAGTAAGTTTATAATTTTATTAAAGTCTTTAATAAATTATTAATAATAATTAATAAAACCTAAGAAGCTTTATACTTTCTTAACTATTAATAATTATAGCTAATTTTATATTATTAATATTTTCTTTTAATTTA